CCACCCATTCCACCCCCCGCATTCCCACCCATCCCCGCTCCACCCCCGGTCGCTCCAATATTCCCCGTCCCCGTCAACAGCCGCACCGAAACACTCATTTTCGAAATGACCTTCCGCAGTTTGCGGAACTGCAGCAGCCACAGGTGCTGCTTCAGCTGGTTTTCTTCTTCCGGGTCGATTTGGAGTTCGCCGAGGGAGAGCTTCGGCGCTGTGTCGGGGGCGGAGGAGGATGAGGTGGAGGATGCAGGGGCGGATGAGGAGTAGGACGAGTAGGAGGAGTAGGGCGATGTTGTTGTTCGCATGAGCGAGGCCTCCAGGCCTTGGATTACGCGGCCGATCAGGATGCTTGTTGTCACTATAGGACACGAGAGGAAGGGTTAGTGTTATGGTAGTAGGAGGCTGGTAGGTGTGTTTTGGGGACGCATGGTCATACGTATACGTACTAATTGACATGTCATCTTGCGTGGTACACGGACACGTAATACAGTCCTCGGCAATGTTAATCACCCGCCGTAACTGCGATAGCTGCGCATCGAAGCGGTCGCACGAAGCGGCAGACCCCGGTGGCATCGCGGCCAATTCCGTCATGAGCCGCGAGGCACACGAGCAGGGGCTGTTGGTGTTAGTTGGGGGTTGTGGGGGTGGGCGGTGTTGCTGCTCAAGCTGCTGCTGCAGCGGAAGCGCATATTCGAGCAACTCGCCTCCCATGATGCTGTCCCCCATGGGATTATTCTGCGGGCTAGAAGACGGAGGAAAATCGAGCATGTCATAGTCTTGTCCGAAAACATCTGCCCCTGTCCCATCGAGTGCAAGGCCGAATTCGGAGAAGAGATGGTCATCGGGGAAGAGGGTGGGGAGCTGTGTTGTTGTGTTCATCTGTGCTGTGCCGAGCATGATATTGCTGTGGCTTGTCCCGGGTGCGGACGGAGGTGAGATTGCTGCGGGCAATGGCAGCGGGGAATCTGGCTGGCTGCGTAGTCTTGACGGCGGCGACGAGGAAGAAGAGGTGTTGCTGCTGGTTGTATTTTCAGAGATGGACATGGTCCGCGTGTGGCCTGAGGGTGACGGGCAGTGGGTATAGGCCGAGCCCTGGGAGGTTCCAATGCGGGGTGCATTCTTGTGACTGCGTCGAGAGAGGCCGTAGACGCAATTTGTATCGTTCTTCTCGCAGCGTGCGCAGGTGGGTTTCGTCTGGCTGCAGCGCACCTTGGCTTCGTTGCATGCATCGCACGAGGCTCGAAGCTTGGTCACCCTCCCGTCGACGGTGGAGGTCATCTTCCCAGGAGTAAACCAGGTACCAGCACAAAAGAGTTGCTAGGCTGGCCGAGGCCCGATGCCTTATAATGGTCAGTATGGTTCGGCCTCCCATCAGTCATCGTCAGCCCGCGGTGGCAAGGGAGGAGCAATTGGCAGCACGGAGGTCGTCCGTTAGCGTGTGGCGCTCGACAAGACATGAAGGATCGATATCCTAGCTGGGGCCAGAAGTGCTCCTTCTGCATAGGCGGGGGGAGTTTTGGCTTCTTCAGGACAGCGCAGTGTGGGTGGTTTTTCCGGCCGGGCTTCTTCACCGGCGTGACAGCTCGTGCCGGCCCGGAGAGTCAGTATTGGTTGGTCCAGAGGTAAAATGGTGCGAATTGCGCCCCGAAAGCATAAAAGACTGGCATATGATTGCTTGACCTGAAGGATTATGGCGCGCTTACTCAGAGCTGAAACATGCTGAAGGATCACACAACCCTGCAGATTGCGAAGCGCGAATCCACCGCCGTTATCGGGTGAGCATTGCGGGCTGATTGGGGGCGAAACAGCTCTAGAGGCGTATTGCTTCCAATGGAAATGGGCGCTGCAGTGTGATCTGCGGAGCGAGCGAGCAGGCTTGTTCCAGAGTACAGATCGGCGTCAGCAGCTTACCTGTGAGGATGCTTGACGTAGATCCCTGCACTGGGGCTGAAACTAGCGCGGGGAACGCGCATTAATTAATTTGGCGTTGAATCAAGATAGCAGTCGCTTGGATCCTGGAATGACTTGGACATGGATGGCCGACCCTTTGACGGGTCCAGCCGCCATGGCCATAAGCGAAGTTATTGTGCTTCGTGGCTAGCTGCTTGTTCGCTTATTGTTCCTGCTCTCGTCTAGCTGGAGTGACCTGATGTCAGCGGCTGCCTGGCTGTCCTCTGTACTCTGGCCCCAAAATGCAGCGTGCCAGCTTTCGGCAACTCGGCAACCCATCCAACGCTCCAGGCAGCGGTGGTACTTTTGGTCCCCTCCAGGTCGATCATGGCCGAAGTTACCGAGTCGCCGCCGTCACATCCCCGACTCTTTACTGACCCCCCATTACGCCACAGGTACTCTACCATACAATCACAGTTAGGCTATACGTGCCATCCGAATAGCCCAGGAGCGCTAGGTGCCATCTCCCCGAGCTCCGGCCATCGGTTCCTGCTACTAGCGATCCGACCCGTGCCAAAGCCACGGCCCACCACGTCTCCATAGATAACGCCTCGCTAGTAGGTTTAGGCGGACGGTTGACTTTGAGATTAAACTGCTGAGAGCACCTCCCTAAACGAGGCAAAGGGCAGAGAGGTAGATTGGTGGCTTGCGCCACAGTGGTATTCGTGGTGGGGTTTAACGTTTGCAGAGATAGCTGTGAGACAATACAAAGTACTTTGCCGCAGCGCGTGGAAAGTATGTGTAGGGACAAAGTTAAGGTCTAGAATCTACCAACCAAACTCCTCATGCTTCCCTTCGTCATCGACGATCTTCAAGAACAAATCCTTGTTATCCCCTTCTACGGCCGCACGTGCAATCACCCTCCCACCAGCATCTGCATCCTTGTGGCCGTGGTAATTGCCAAATGCCGTGCGGCAGTATCCCGGCTCCACCAGGACCGTGGAAATGTTTTCGTCACGGAGGGCGATCATGTCCACGGCGGAGATCATATTGACGGCCGACTTACTGCTTCGATAGACGGGGAATCTATAGTTCCAGGCGTTGTATGGGGAGGATTCTTTGAGAGCAACGCCAAACATGCCGAGGCCACTGGTGACGGTGACGATGCGGCGCTGTGGGAACGTAGAAGCGCGCAGTAGGGGCAAGAATGTCTCATTCATGACCGCGACGCCAAAGACGTTTGTTTCAAAAACATCGCGCAGATCCTGGCGCAGGGTGACGTTGTCCCCGCGGGGCGATCGGGCGATGCCGGCGTTGTTGACCAGGATATCGAGCCGCCCGAATTTCTGCTTCACGAGGGTGGCCGCGGCCTGGATTGTCTCGTCGCTGGTCAGGTCAATGACCACAGGCGTAAAGTCTTCTGTCACATTGCCCCCGCTAGCGGCCGCAATCACACGAACAGCCTCGTCGGCCTTTTCTTGGGATCGGGCGGCAACGACCAGGTGGTATGCTTTCTTTTGCGCGAGCACTTTGAGCGTTTCGTGGCCGAGGCCCTGGTTGCCGCCGGTGACGAGGATGATGGGTTTGGAGGTCATTATGTAAAGAGATAATAAAGATTAGCTATCGAGTAGTACTAGAAGAGGATGGTCATGTCGGCTCATCTCCAACTGCCTCCGTTTTATATTGGATTCCCGCCCGGAATTGAGGACCGCCATGCCCGGTCGGGTCGAGTGAGGATCTGCGTCCATTCGTATTTGCATTCGTATCAATCGCCCAGTTACTTCTGAATGGCCGTTGTCATCCCCGACCAGTGGACTCGGGCGGGGTCCCCGATCGGGATCTGCATCCCCGCCCTGACTTCATATAGAGTATCTTGTAAACTGTAACAGTCGAACACAGTCAACAAGAAGAACCACCAAAAATGAACCAGAAGCTCGTCGAATCAACATCCAGCACCGTGTGGGCAGCCGTCTCGCAATGGCTGGCGCCCAGCAATGCGGATTTGGAGTACTGGTGGAAGCTCACTGGCCCGCAAGTCGCGCATATGATGGTGGCTGCTGGCTACTCCACCGAGGCGCAGTACAACGCCCTCTTGTTCCACTACCATTGGATCGTACGCCCAAGACATCCAATCTCCCTTATCATAATGCACAAATCATCAGCTAACCAGCACTTGTCAAGCTTCCCTATCTCGGCCCCGCGCCCAGAGCCGACCGCCCCCTCAGATGGAACTCGCTCCTGGGCAACGAGGGCTCGCCCATTGAGTACTCGTGGAAGTGGAACACGCCGACTGGCAAGCCCGACGTGCGCTACTGCATCGAAGCGATCGGCCCGTACGCGGGCCGCCCCCTCGACCCTCTGAACCAGGACGCCTCGCTGGAGCTGCTGCACCGCCTGCAGGATCTCGTTCCGACCGTTGATCTGACGCTGTCAAACCACTTCGCCGCGACGCTCTTTGACCACAACCGCGGCAAGTACGCGGAAGAGGCCGCCAACGGCGAGCACTTTACCAGCACCGTCTTCATTGCCCCGGAGTGGCTGGAGAGCGGGTTCAATGTCAAGACGTATTTCCTGCCTCGGCGCGTGGGCGCCACAGCCAATGCTAAGGGCCTCGCGTTGGCGGACTGGGAGGAGTCGTTCAAGCAGCTGGATCCGGATAACGAGGCTCGCCGCGTCGCGTTTGACTTTTTGGCCAACGACCCCGAGGGTCAGGCGATTACGCCCTAGTAAGCCCACTCTCGCTTTCTTTACCAAGTGCTGTAGATGTTGGTACTAACGACCGCCAGCATGCTCGCCGTCGACAACGTAGTCCCCTCGCAATCCCGCCTGAAGCTCTACTTCATCGCCAAGCACAGCAGCTTCAGCTCAGTCCGGCAAATCCTCACGCTCGGCGGCCGCAAGCCCGTCCCCGAAGCGCACCTCCAAGAAGTCCGCTCGCTGATCTGCGCGGTCTCGGGCCTGCCGCCGAACTTCCCCGAGGAGGACGAAACCCCTTTCACAGCGGCGCACTACACAACCGCCACGCGCGACAACTTCGGCGCCCTCCCGGAAATCCTGCACAGCTACGTCTACTATTTCGATATCGCGCCGGGCAAGAAACTCCCCGATATCAAGTTCTATACGCCTGTGCGCGGGTACGGGCCGAATGACCGCGACCTCGCAAATAGCCTGATTGGGTGGATGGCAGAGCGCGGGAGAGGTGGGTATGCCAAGGAGTATATGAGTGTCTTGGAGACTTTGAACGCGCATCGCAGGTTGGAGGATCGCAAGGGGGCGCATATCTATATTAGTGCACTGATTAAGAAGGATGGCCAGCTGGATGTGACGAGTTATCTTGGGGCTGAGGCGGTTGATCCGCTGAGGAGGGAGCCTGCGAGGAGGAGGGGGACGTTTCGGAGGGATGAGTGATGTGGATTAGCAATCCTGATTCTTGTTTTTCTCGTTCTCTTTTTATTTCCTTTTGATTAGTGATATGGTCAGCACTATTTGTTTGTGCAGCAGTGTAACCCACCAGACGCGTGGCCAAACGCTTAGCATGACGAGGCCTGGAAGTGCAACTCACCTTTTGACTTTGCGACTATCATACTGTTTGTAAGGGCTTGGTGTAGTTTGTAATAAGACCAAATCTAGACTGTCTTCAAGTTTACTCTGTGATTCCCCGAATGCTATATCGGCACAGGTCATCATGTCTGCCGGTAGCCTTGCTAAACTTGTTCGCTTAAAAATCACATTTATATAACACAATGTAAGAGATGAGACATCTCTCTTAGATCCGCTAAGCTGAATTCAGAGCGTGGTAGTGACAAGACAGACAAGCGATGGCCTAGTTCATCCAACAAACCACTCGTCCATATCGCAGACGGGAAGCAATAATCCATGGCAGGCTCTGGCCACAGGATCATCTTGTATCCTTATCGTGCTTGCTGATTGATAAACTCTGCCTCGGCGTACTTGCCCTGATACTGAAGCACCAGAACCAAGTTATCAGTATAAGTAAGCGTTTGTGGATGTTCTAGGCCTAAGACTTTCTTACTAAGCGCTAGGGCTTGCCTCAGCATAGCCTGTGCCTCTTTATACTTGCCCTGATAACAAAGTGCCGCCCCTAGCATACTAATGCTACAAATAGTGTTAGGATTCTCTGGCGCTGGGACTTTCTCGTAGCCTTCTAGGGTTTGCTGACTTATGACTTTTGCCTCTGTACTTGCCTTGATCCCGGAGTACAGACCATGAAAGGTAGAACAAGCAAGAGTATCAGGCTGACCTGGCCTCAGAGTTCTCTCCTTCTCGTGTAGTATTCGCTGGGTAATGGCTTCCGCCTCCTTGGCCATGCCCTGTGATTGAAGTACCAAAATAAGCCCATAAGCACTATAAAGAGTGCAGGAATGCTCCGGGCCTAGAACCCTTTCCCTACTTCGTAGTGCTTTCCGAATAACAGCTTCTGTCTCTTTGTATTTTCCCTGATACTGCGACCGTGAACCAAGAGTGCTGAGACTTGTAAGACTATCAGGATGGCCTGGTCCCGGAAGTCTTTGATATCCTTCTTGTGCTTGGTGGTTCATAGTCTCTGCCTCTTGATACCTCCCCTGGTACTGAAGCACCAATACTAGATTATCCAGGCTAGTCAGAGTATGGGGATACTCTCCCCCTAGAGCATCCCTGTAGCTTTCTAATGTTCGTTAACAGGTGATTTCTGCTTCCTTGTATCTTCCCAAGTCATGAACCCCCGAGCCTAGCGCGCTGACATAAATTAGCGTTTCGAGGTGCGCTGCAGTCTTATCTTTTTCTTCCGGATCTCTAGGCAATCGAGAAACATGATTTTTGCGTTTTCATATTCCCCGACAGCGCGCAAAGACTCCTCCGCCCTCATGATCAAGTCGACATGGTCATGACGAACGTTTTGAAACTCCTCACTTCCTTCAAGAAAGAGCGTGTGAGGAAGGTAGCTCCTCCATAATGCTCGATCGTTGTGGTCCGTTGAAAGATATCATCCAGGCGGTGCACTGTTTTGTGTACTCAGAGGCTGACGAGCCACCTTTCCGTAGCCAATCTCGCATTGTAAGGTGCACAAGCCAATGGAGACTGAATGAGCTATTGCAGGCATGTTGACTAATGCATGAATAGGCGCTTAGGCAATGAAGGGAGTCCATAGGCTTCTTTGTCGAAGGCACAGGTGGAAGGATCGACGGCGGAATATCCTTTGAACTGATGCAAGCGATGAAGGACGAATTGTCAGCCGCCATATCCAATTCTTGGGCAGCTGAAGGAGATCAGCCAGGTTGTCATGACTGGGTTCTGACTCTCCTCGCTTTCAAATTCCTCACTCAGCAATGCGCAGTGGCTTCTTCCTCTTTCAATAGGCACAGATAATCGGATAACTCGATGTCGTTCCCATTGATATAAGCCGCGGCTTGAGGGATTGCAAGAGGAGGAAAGCCACGCTGCTCAAGGAATGTGAATGTAATAAGATTATCTTGCAGCAGCCCCTTCTGAAGCAGTAAGGTCTCAAGGATCTTCATGGCAGCGTCTCTATCCACATCAGGGATGGATATCATTTCAGTTGATGCCAACTTCAACGCGAGGTTTCAGTTTCGAGAAGTAAAGACAATCTGACCATTGTTACTCTTAGGGAGAATGTCTCTAAGTGGCGGTGTCGTCGCGGTCCCTTTTATCCACATCTGCATATCACCTGCGCTATTAAAGGCGAAGAGCCATCGCCCAATGCCTTGTCTCGCGAGATGAGCTTTCACTTGCTCTTTCACCTTTGTCGGTTCCAGAGCTGTGAGAGCCACGATCTCCATTTATGCTTGATCCACAGCTTTATAGCTGGTACAAGGGACCCAAATACAGAGCACCCAGGGACCTCTTTCCTTGTTCGATAGGCCAGTCCCAGTGCGATTTGGACTTTTCCAATCCCCCCAACTCCATTGATGGCAATCCTTGTCGGCTCGTCTGAGTGAATAATGAGTGATTCATTGTGGCTAATCTCGTGCTGCCAGGCGTCAGAGCGAACATTCCGGGAAAAGGAATCATACCACTGCGAGCTTCCACAAGTTGATCTGGGATTACAGGTGTTCTTGCTGTTATAGTATACCCCAGGCGCAATATTTATGGCATCTGTAACTTGTTTATATGGCTTGCTTGTGCTTTATTGCATAGTATCCTTACTATTAAACAAAGCGTGATTGTTCCTGGCCCTGACATCGTTCAGACCCAGGACAGCTGTTTTGTGCAGTCTGATATCAGAGTACTTAATTCCATCAAGTAGGTGAAACTCTTCGTAAGGTATAATTGTAGTTTTCCTTGCGGGATAACCCGCCTCCAACTCTGCATCGGGAGTAGAAGAGTAGTTTCCTTCGCCCTTATCTTAATCCGCGCTGGGCTGGGAAGCGTTGTCATTGTCGCTGTCTTCGAATCCACCTTCGTAACTCCGATTGTCATTGACATCAGCTCCAGCACTGTCATTTCTCTGGATCTTTGCAGTTCACTTACTAACTGGCCGCTGCATGCGACCCGGCATTGCAGTTCAGCCGGAATATCACTGCTGAAGTATAGGGCCATAGGTGCTTTGCTTAGGATAAGTTCTCCTAGAGAATCCGCCGCGGGTTATTGGTTCCCTTGCAAGAAATCACCATCAGAAGCCCCGAAGCGCGTCTGCCACCTTGATTTCTTAGGCCAGGTCCTACCTATTATATATAGCACATAAGTTACTAACATTACCACGGCAGCTCTAGACCAGATATTGCCTGTGCGAACCCGTCGCTCAGTACTCAAAGGCCAATCTAACGCGCCGATGCCTGACAGGGTGAAATTCCTAGGAAGAGTTGCCCTCCAAATATTTGGTATGTTTGGGAATGAGTAAGAATGAGTCTAGGAGCGTGATGCTTGTATCGGCCGAAGAAATCCGCTTTCTACTTTGCCGTCGAATCCAGGTTATCTAAACGCGAGTAAACCCATCTTTCGAACTCAGTCAGCAGCTCAATTGCACTCTGATCCCCGGTCGGTAAAAGCTGAGAGAGGTATATGCCAGCGACCCCTTTCTTAATGTCGATCCACTGTAATAGGTTAGTTAGATACAATATGTTTCCCATAGCGATCGGATGACTCACCCAGTAACAATTTGGCTTTCCGGACCAGGAGAGCGAATGTGCTTCTCGACCCTGTGGGACCTTAGCTCTATTTAGCAGACCACCGATCCCAAAGTCCACTGGTATGTCAGTTGGAACAGCATTCCATATGGCATTGCGAGACGCCAATGAATACTCGTCCGGCTGGTCGAGACCGCGAACACTCTCTAGCTGGGGTTGGAACATTTCCTGAACAGTCTCCGGACGCAGCAACTCGGCCGTAAGTATGCCACGACAAATCTTCAGCATTTCATCCACGGTTGCGTATAGGCCACCTCCTCCTATGTCTTTTACGATGGGGTCGAGGAAGATGGGACTCTCCGCTTCTTCCAGGCCGTGATCCGTTCGTATCCAAGCTTTGACCTTGCGGGCCCGGAGGTCTTCTCTCTGGTCGAGATGGAACGTCGCGTCCTTGACGGAAACAAGGTCAAAAACATGGCGCTGCAGGTACTCGCCCAGCTTCATAGAGGTGACTCGCTCAACCTGTTTTAAATCATCCATGTTATTTTGTCGAGCGCATGAATGAGAAAAGAGAAGACGTCAGAACTTACCGCTTCTCCTGCCCAGTCGACACCAGGTGAATACATCCATCGTTCACCCGGTTCGAAACGTAAGAATTGAAATTTGTGAAATGTTTCGAGCACAGGTGGATTTCCCTGCAGCTCATAATAGCGTGTCAGAAGAGGATCCATGAAGAAGTACGCTATCCCACTGGAGTGAGTCAACATGCGCCTTGTAGTCGTTAGCACAACTGAACCGGACATTCTGTCAGCTTCGGAGAGAAAGAAATACCGTATGGTAACAGGTTTTGTAGCTGGCCGGAAGATAGGATTATCGTTCTCGTCGAAGCCCGTTAAGATCCGAGGACTTTTCCACTCCGGTAACACATTGGCGATGTCTGCATCTAGATCTAGTAGGCCGCGCTCGACACACTGCATTACTGCAACGGTGGTCACCAACTTGGTACAAGAAGCCACCCAATGCACGGCGTTAGTATCAGTAGAGTCGGCGGATTCGTCTCCGAATGCCTTGGTGTACTGCAAGGAGGCTTGATTGATTGGCGTTAGCAAGCATCACCTATCTAGACAGCGATGCAGGTTTTCTATATCCTCACCATCTCTATTGACCGCCCCTAGTGTGACGCGGGGTAAGGGCTTCCTGCCATTCTCAGACGACTGACGGAGCAAATTTACTCTCTCTTCAAACGAGGTCATCATGGCAGATGAACGTCAACGCTAACGAAATTGAGCTGCTAGTATTCTCGGCGAGGCTATTTCTGAGTTCAATGTGAGAGGATATCACCTAGGTCGTACTGTCTAAGCTTCACATCAAAGCCACCAACAGCAGACTACAGTCGATCTTTATAACATTAGCCTGTTGGGAGGCCATGGGAGAATTGCCGAACCAGTTGATGTAATAATCCTCGTCAGCAGAAGATCAACAAGGGGGGCCGCGATCTGGCCCAACAAGGAAATAAGCTTTCCCTAAATGGGAAGGATTGGCATAAGCCCAGAGCGAGTTTTGGAGCGCGTTAATGAATGTAAGGTCCCACCATGGGGGATTATTGGCTGATTTACCTTTCAAAAAGTACTTTGCAAATTGCCATCTGTTTTCATCTTTCCCATTATTAATCCTTGGCAAGACAGCACAAAACCTGGAATGGCTTCGCCTGTCTCCCAATTTCCTATATCGTGCGTTCTGTGATTTAAGTATGTCAAACACGTGTCGTTTCCAATTTCAACACGGCAACTCAACCAGCTCCGTCAATCGTACATCACCAGCCAAGAGTGAGCATGAGACAAGACGAACGAACATCCAAGACCAAGTGACGAAGAAACCGAGCAGATAAGATTACCGACAGGGTATTGCTTGAGGAATCGGAAGAAAATATATCGCTTCATTCAAGGTACAAAAGTTGACCGTCCCAACTTTCCATGCAACAGTGTCGAATGATTCTTCTGGGCAACTGCCTAGTTTGGTCTCAGCCTTGGCTTATGTAAATACGAGTCCAAGACATACAATCTGCTAACAAGCGAGACTATCTACTCCTTCCATATAGAGGTACTCGACTAGAAACAGACGTACCGGTGAGATCTATATAGTAGCACCTCATTACGCATATTACCACTCCGCTAAATGACTTGAGGTTTAAACATGTGAATCATGCTTCGCCTTGCCTATTGATTCTAAATCAAATACACTTTGTACAGGGCGCAATCAAAATACCCAGACCAAGTTCTGTTGGGAATTGTGGCTGTTATATGCCCTGTCAACCTAGATCGGAGGAGGAAACCTTCACTCCAGCCACGATCTGATAATGTCCTGAGCTGCATCCCACAACCAAGCGTCGTGCAGCCTGGCTTGGTGGTCAAATCCATGCTCCCCGTCCCGCACGATGAGACGAAATTTGAGGCTGGGGTCAACCTCGATGATTTTCCTTTGCAGCTGGTAGCTCTCCTCCACAGGAGACACACTGTCATCCCGTCCGTGGAGTATCAAAACTCCACCACGTGGAAAGCGTGCGCCCGCGTCGAGTCGTTCGAGCGGATACGGACCAATGGGCCCGGCAGGGAAGAGCTGACCTAACTGGCTATGCTGACATGCGGCAAACATTAACCGTAATCGATCGGGGTCAGTCGGGGCAGACACAATCACGGGCTCCTCTTGTCTCCTAATGTCGTCGAGATGCGATCTCAGTGTATCTTGTGGAAAAGCTTCGAGGTTGAACACTGGTCGTTCCTGGCCACTGCTGAAGTAAGGTGCTTTCGGATTGACCATCGGATAAACAGCGTTAACCGCTCGAATCTGGTCTGGGTGACTTAGCCCCATTTGCAAACTGAGATACCCCCCGGCGCTGTCGCCGATAGTCATGATCCGGCTCAGATCGGCCTTCACGGCGCCATTGGTTTCCCGCTGAAGTAGAAGGGGCAACGACTGATGCATCCATTGCCAGTGGTCTTCGATATCCTCAAGGACTTCCAGCACAGAGGACTCCGGTAAGAGTCTGTAATTTGGGGAAACAATGATGGCCGAGTATTTCTGCGCCAGTTCAAGATACCACGGGCTAAAAAATGGGGGGAAGAGACTGTAGCCCGCAATCAAGCCGCCGCAATGATAGCGAAGCAGAACCGGTCGAGGGATGGAGCGCAATTGCTGATTAGATGGCTCGTTGAGGCTCTTTGGATATAGCACATCCACAGTGATTGTATGGCCGCGCACGGTTTTATAGGGGACGGATATGATAAAGAATGCGTCAAAATGGGACAAGTCGGTCGGATCCGAAGCCAAGGCATCCATCTTGAGGGTGAGTGTCTGCAGAGACTGACCAGGAAAGGTGAAACACTCATTTATAAATATTAGGATGACTTCATGTGCAAAAAGCTGAACCATGTCCAGTGTCCCAATTCAAGTCGCATTCTGGCCGAAAAAGGAAATTTACGCTAAGTGGGTCCGGGTTTGGGAAAAGTATGAGCAAGCACCATTTTTTGATTCCAATGATGATATAAATTTTAGTACGGGAACCCTCTGGGGGGCATCGACGATTTACTGGCGCCGGATTTCGCTCAATGACTGACTATTTCCCCCGATGGAACTTATGACATTGCCCTGACATTATGTGTATCAATAAGGTGGAAAGAAGAATTCCAACGAAGACGCCAACCTGATTGGCTGTACAGCTGCTCGCAATCTGTCCTAAAAAAGAAATTGCAAAGTGGGGCGGGCTGTCCGGACAAAGTTCGAGGATATAGCCACTAACCGAACATATTAGCTATGACCTCATGCTTCAGCCTAGGCCACCAATGCTATATGAACAGCTTGATAGAACATATTTATCTTTCATCTACCTCCCAGAAGATGTGGCCAAACCAGTCTTTTGCCCCTGACGGTGGACGAGAACGCTACCCCGGTTAAGTATGGCCCACAGTGAGGCATTCGTCCAGGACCGCTTGCGGCAGCTCATGCCAGGCCTCTTAGTATACACTAAAGGCAGGCACTACCAAGACTGTCTCGAGCTATACAACCGTGCGCTGAACAAGCAACCACTGGTCTGCGCCCGGCCACGCACAGAAGAAGAGGTCTCACGCCTCGTTCAATTCTGCACCGAAGAAACGATTCCCTTTGCCGTCCGATCAGGTGGCCATGACTTCTTCGGCCGCTCTTCAGTTCACGAGGGCATTCTCATTGACATGCGCGCAATGGACATGATCAGCGTCCAGCCGGACCGAGCCAGCGCACGCGTTGGTGGCGGAGTAATTGCCGGCCACCTGCAGGAAACCCTTGATTCCTACGGCTTATTCACCCCTACTGGGCAGGCAAAATCCGTGGGGTATGTCTCGTGGGCATGTGGTGGAGGGTACGGCTTCTATGTCGGAATGTATGGATTTGGGGTTGACCAGATCCTCGGGGCTCGGGTGGTTTTAGCTGGGGGCCGCGTCATTGATACCGACGAAGATCCTGAATTGCTGTGGGCACTTCGCGGTGCTGGGGCCGGCACATTTGGCATTGTCACGGAGCTCCGCGTGAAGATCTACCCGGTGCCTAAACTATATGCTGGCTTCCTAGCCTTCCCCCTGGCCGAGGCTGCAACTGTCCTTGGCAGGATTGAGAAACTGTTGGGAGATAAGTTTCCTGACGAGTTTAGCGGAGATGCCATTGCCGTTAATCCCGAAATGACTCCAATACCGGTGGTCGAGCCCTGTTTTGTTTTCTTTTGGTGTTGGACTTCGGCCAATGGAAGTCTTGCGTCTGCGAAAAGCTTTCTTGAGCAGATGACGCAGGCCGGCAGGGTCCTAGGGAACACGGTCACAGAGTGTAAGTTCCAGGCGTCTATTATGCAGTATATAAACTCGATCTAACTTGACCTTGTATCCAGCTACACCAGCCGCCTACGGCCTGGGTGATTCGTCGTCAGGAACCTTCTTCCGCAGTCGAAATGTTGACCGTATAGGTCAGACGGTGGGCAGTATTCTCTCACAGCACCCTCTACCGCATCCACTGTCCGCCGTCATCTTTCACAACAACCATGGCAAGGCGGTTCGACATGAAATCGCGGATACTGTCGGCGCGTGCTTCCCAAATAGATACAAACATGTCATTCTCGGACTCCATGGGGGCACCACTCTAGGCGAGGCTGATGAACAGGAGGTTGCGGATGCAACCGGATGGGTTATGGGGTTGGAGGAAGCGCTTGATCAAAGTGGTCTTTCCTTGCCAGGAGGGTTCCCTGCATTTTGGCCCCCTGACCAGGTTAATGTGGAACGATTCTTTGGGGAGCAGAGGGCTTCAAGACTGCGGCAATTGAAGGCGCGACTGGATCCGAGTAATCTATTTCACCACGGGCTGCCCCGTCTGAATGCAGGCTGAATGGAATTGAATATACTTGCTGTTGTTTGAATAGTCACGAGGTTTCTCGGCGTGGATTTATTTGGGGTGGGCGGGAACAGTCGGGAACTACGTTAGCTTGCAGCTGATTAGTAATTCCCACGTGAGTGGCAATCCCCCACCATCCAAAGGCAACTCTCAGTTGACCCCATTGGTAGTTGCCAATGCCACTATTGGACGCAAAGAACATTACACAACACTAGCAGTTCATCTAACAGAGATGTACTTCCCCGGCTTACGTTTTAAGCAAACGATAGTCAGCTCATCTTCACATGCAAGCACTCAGCAAGAGCGTGACTTTCCGCCATATTCACGGCGAAACAAGAGCAGGTTGGGCTGCGGAGAATGCAAGACGAAGCGAGTCAAATGCGATGAGGCCTATCCGACGTGCGGCCGATGCCAGCGTCAAGGTCTCTTCTGTTCGTCTGCCCCGCGCTTAACACAATGGCAAGTGGAGACGCCGTGGCTCTCACTGCAACCTAAAACGGGGGTCAATCGAAGATTACTACAGTACTGGGCGGAGAAAGTCAGCCAAGCCTTGGTCATAGATCCTGACAACAATCCATTCTCTTTCCCCGTTTTGGAATACATTGCTCAATCGTCCGCACTTCTCCACGCTATTCAGTCAATAAGTGCCAGTCACGAGCAGTACTTCCCGGACAAGCTCCCCATTATGGCCCTTGAGGAACGTGGCAGAGCCATATCATGCCTTCGAAGAGAAATAAATCAGATCCAGCACACACCCTACGCACACTTTGTGACTATCATGTTACTGGCTCTGTCGCAAGTTGCCAGTTCCGACCCGAAAGATTATGGCCAAGAGCATTTACTTGGTGCCCGTGCCTTGATCGACAGTATGCTTCAAGACACATCGATGTCGACGACTAATGACCCTATGGTTCGGGTCTGCCTGGGAATCTATCTCTACTGGGACATGTGCAGTTCATTCCTGGTAGAACCAAGTGAGCCACATGGTCTTAACTTATTGAACATATCCATTGCGGTGCACAGGATGGGAGACTGGCATCATCCAATGTACGGATCATGTAGCGGACTACTTCTTATCATAGCAAATGTTGGACGATACTGTCGACAGATCCTTGACATGCCACAGCACCGCAACGTCACGCAAGAAGCCATCTTGGAGGCCCAGCTTACTACGTGGACGACAAACTCCCCAAACCCTGGTCTGGGCCACTTATATGAAGCGTTCCGCAACCACGGGCTTATTTTCCTTTATCGATCCCGTGCGCACGTACTGAAAGGTTGTGTCACAGATCCACATGTGGTGGAAGCGCAAGAGTCTTTAATCCAACAATACGCTGAAGAGGCAGTCCGCCATCTGATGCTAATCCCTGCATCCTCGTACTACCTTAATTTTCAATCTCTCCCTCTTCTCACAGCCGGGTCCGAATTAACTGAATCAAATCACTTGCTGCGCGATCAAGTGCGTGGCAGGCTTAAAGCCATCTACTCTTTGAATCGCCTTCCCGCAAATCTACTGGCCTTTCAACTTATTCAAGAACTCTGGCATGCACGAGATAGTGGTCAGCCCGCCTTCTGGCTACCGCACATGCTTCAGAAGAATTGGCGGCTGCTTCTAGGGTGAGGTTTATCTGTCAAATCCATTCTATTAATCCTTTGGATGTACATGCTCGATTCTTCGAGGGCTAATTAAAATCCTCTCGCAAATCTTGTAAACTTCCAAAAAAGACCACATGAATACCAAGATACCTCGCGATTCCCCTGAAATCCATTAAGTAGCATACAGGAGATGTAAGCCTAAGACATCACCACACGTGATTCTCAAAGGTCTAACAATATTGAACTATTATTATACCTAAAATACTTAATTATAGGTTAGCCAGGTGACCATTAGTGCTTAACCTCTACCAACCATCCTTTGATGACAGTCTAACAGTCAACACATGGGCCGTCTGCAGGCTTAATGAGTATATTATTTAATAGAGTTACTTCGAAACTCAGAACTCAGCGCAACGAGACCAGGAAAAGGGTCCAAAGGGCATCCATGGCCCAGTTCAGGGACCTTTATGAGCCAAATCAGAAAAGAAAGAGGCAGCAACAATATACGTGCTTCCAAGTAGTAGTATTAAATGGCATGGAAGCCGCAGAACAAAAGAAAGAGGAGAAGATTGCTTGAATCAAATTTGCAGGATCAAGGATGAAACTCAAATGAGACAAGGGGCTCCTGCTCCTACCCATATACTTTGTAGAGAATTTCCTAGACGCAGGAGAAAGACTTGAATCTCTTGCCTTCACTACCAAGAAAAAGTTGGGCGGCTGAGCTAACTTGTGTCCCTGGTAAGCAGCAGCCAGATCATGATACAAGACTTGAGACGGCGTATATGCACAATGATCACATGATATTTACCGGTTAAGACCATAAACCTTCATAATTAGCAGCTGCAGACTGTCAAAGCTTCTGTTCATCCGGTTTCTTATCCCTTCTGCCCGGGTTGATTTCTGCTTATCAGGTTCGGCCTGCGGTTTAGAGAAATCTTCCAATTAACAGGCCGTATCCAGCTCTACTTTGGCTCATGACCGTGGTCCTCAGTCAGCCGAGCTCAGTTCAAATTTCTCAACCTCCAAGCCGCGTCTCGATATCCGCCCCAAACACGCAGCCCTTCAGTAAACGTACTCTCCTTCTGTAATGACCTCTTTGGTTTGATCTGCAATTGCACCATCATAGATCGGAGGATCCAGTTTTCCTGTCCAGTCCTAGATTCCATATCCCGCAGCATAGCTTCTAAATCTTGAAGAAGGAGGGCCAGGAGATTCTGAGTATCCTCCAGACTCTGACTTTCTTCTATCCGGGCCAGGATATATCGCTTCGCCTCCATGGAAGTGGCCGCTCCACTGTGTGGCACGTTGAGCCACTCTCTGAGCACTGTGTTATCTTCTAGATTATTACAGGCTCGGATGAACGGGAATGAAAGCTTTTTTTCGTCGAGGTCCTGGCAGAAGCCGCGTTGGGACGTATACTCTTGGGATACAAGGTTCTGATAGTCGTCCCGAATTTGATAATAGCGTCCCAGCTTGTACATGAAGCGGCAGGCATCAAGGTCCCTGGATCGTTAGTTAGATGGTTAGCTAGATGGGGTTGCCTCGGTGGAGATTTCTGACCTGTTTTGGGTGGCTTCCTGCTGCATTAAGCGTAGGATAAGTAGAAAGAGGCCACCGGTTTCTTTCCGCTTGTGAGCTAGGTCGACCGTCAGAGATCGGAAGTACATACTACCATCAACCATCCTGAAATATTCTTCCTCAGTGGGGATAGTCCTGTGGGTGGCCCAGAAGATATCATGGCCCTGACCTGTATACATGCGTGCCATTTGCTCTGTGTAGGATTAGTAGAATTCCGCCAGTATCAGAAAAAAGACTCACCGGAGAATATCAGGACCGCAGAGGATGAGAGGTGTTGGACAAGGCGCAAAGCATTATTAATGTGGAAACATGCGGAGTTGACAGTTTGGCCGACTCCAAATATTTCATGGGCCGCTGGCCTACCCCGTCGAAGACAACTGGCATCCTGTATATCATCTAGCCTGTGGCCACGGCAGGTTAACTTGAAGAGAACACTAAAAGATCACGTTAAGTTCAGCTCACATCAATGATGCTTCATGGAGCAGAGATGCCACTCCAGAGATCAGCGCTAAGGAGCGCTCTGGCATAGCGAACCAAGTTTGCAGCGCATCGATCAGATGATGTCGGAAACCCTTGGATGGCATAGATGCGATATACTTGTACGGCTTCCATAGGACCTGCATTCATCAACGTGGCGTCTCGGGTGACGGAGAAGTCATACCGTTTCGTCCAATATTTCAAGGTCTTTGTATACAGGACCTGTTGCACTTGCGCCTGCCTTGGTCAGTTTCTGATTCGGGCGAGATTGAATAGAGTACCATACTTCCTAATCCGATCTCCCCGTTCTTCATGGCTTCCGGTTTTAATCCCATTACGTGCAGTTCTCTGAAGACGGAGGGAGTCCGGGGAGGGCAGATATATGGATCTCGTACGTCTAGGTGATATCGAGGGGTATGGATGCTCCACAAGGCATTTCCTGCCATGGACAACTCAAGGACCTGGAACCATTTCCTAACAGACATCGACGTACAGGGTCTCCCTAGATATTTATCGCGGAGGAGACAGTATTGCTTTTCGTGCTCGCAAATAATGTTGTGTACCGTCTGTTTTGCGGTCTCTTCGGTTGTATCCTGCATCTGCATGACCATATGGACAGCGTTGATCAGAGGAAGAGCATCCCCGGACCGCCGCGTTACTCTTTTCTCTTTCTCCCAAGACCAGAGATCATTGGTAACAGCCAGAACAACAAACGCCAGGTATGTGACTGGCCCGGTTTCCACCTCTTCTTCTCGCGTAAGTTCGACCCCGCTGGCCCAACCCATCATGCGTACAACCCAGCTTTACGGCAAGTGTCAGCACGGAACTTCTTCATTAGAGATGACATGACAAACTTTGCTCCGCACTCCAGGGCCCTACCAGCCAAGTAGTCCTCCAAGTTTGTGACCTTTTCGTCCCTCATCTGCTGGCCAGTCTCATGCCACTGCTTGAACGTCCTCTGGCAGCGACCAAGATAGTCTTGGTCGATTTCGTTCAAGACCGCCCAGATCTTTGCTCTGGCCTGCTTTCTCTTCAAGCCACCTCCAGCGATATCTTGGAGGTCTTCAAGCCTTTTTGGCCCTAGCGCCTGTGACAGGGTTCTGTTCTTTTGCACATCGTTATCCTGGCCGCCTTGAACAGCGTCGACAGACATGTCTAGCAGCAATAGTGTCAATAACCCTATATACTCAAAAATGAGCCAAATACACTCACCATCATGCACAAACGCATACTCAATGAAATACGAACAAAGTCCAATTCTCTCCGGTAATGCTTCTGGAGCGCAGAGTGCCGTAAAGTCCGCCGTGTGCGCACTCAAGCCACCGACCACCTTTCCAATGCTGCCCGTCCCGAACAGGTCAATTTGGCACTCTATGCAGGCCTCCTGGGAAATAGCGACGTATTTGCTGACTCGGGGTTGAAACCGCGAGATGTATCTGCTCTCGGTTTCTGCGTCCATAAGGGCAGGGTCCGAGTGTCTATACTCGAGAGAATAGGTCTTTGATCCGACGTCATTCTCCGTGCCGAAGATATTCTTATGGTCTCCCATTGTTTCGACTGGAGTTGTGCTGTCCGTGTCGTAGGCGAAGAAGAAGTCAATAAACCAGTTCTTTAAAACTTGATTTTCTTGTGTGCGTCCCGAATTAGGAGTCTCCCGGGATGAAACATTGTATTCCTCGACGGCGTCATCACATTTACTACCGTTACATGCAGAAGAGTCAATGCGTCAATAAGAAGGAGAACTATGACAATAATATCCGCTAGAGAAGTAAATTGATCCTCCATTATGTCAAGGTCAGTTGCTCTATATAAACAGTTCCAATATCTCTCAAAATATTTAAGCTCCATTTTCCCGAATTTAGACGACATTCCGCCTTTATGTCTCCTTTCCGTTCTATGACTAGCTTCCTTCATCCAATAAAAGTAACATGTCCGGTAACATTAGGTTGATTTTTGGTAAGTGGCAAAATGTCCTATGCGATTAGTAGAATGTGACCTTCACTCGTAGAAAACCCTAACGTAGATCCCCGGCGATCCGTACTTCCCGACCGACCGGTCCATGGTCTAGCTAGATCAACAGCATCAGGGTTGCCCGTCCTCAATATAGCCGCGATCCACAAGAGCTGTCTTGACCCGAGCTTCAACTTCGGCAGTGGATCCCAGCTCTACTCATCCCCGGGAAGCGGATTGTGAGCAGGCTCCAGGACTATAGTCCGTGGAAGTCCGAGTATGCGCAGCTACTGTCTCTTGGCATGGTTGAAACTCGACTAAACGAAGCGAAACTACCCTCCAATAGCCCCAACAATCACTACTAGAACCGGCGTGGCGCCGCTGTGGGTCGAAAAGACCTTTAGACCTCAGCGCTTCCGCAGCGAGCGTTCCTCAATACCTGCGGCCAAATATTTTAAGACGCCAATGTCACCACCCATGTTGAGACGGAACTATGTGGAACATCCACGACCACTCCCAGTAACTTACTTATAGATTAGTGCTCCTGAGATCTCATCTATAACTCACACGCCTCATTTATTCCATATCCGGAACTTCCTGCCAGTCCAGCCTGTGCGGTTCTTCGTTCCCATAAAGTGTAGTAAGGGCACTATATATGTCGCGTTGACAACGATTGGAGTGACCGAATGCTCAACCACTTCTACCTAGTCACCTGGCCGTAGAGAGTTCTAATCCATTGGACCCCGTGGTGATTAAAACAGAAGTCATACTACAAAGAAACGAAGTAACCATTTCTTAGCATCCTTCTTCTCTCATAGTCACTATTGGGTAATCTAGGATGAGGTTTATTTGTTAAATCTATGCTATTAGTCCTTTGGATGTACACCCTTGATTTTCTAAGGGCTCTTAAAAATACTCTTGCAAATCTTTTAAATCTTCTAAAAGGGCTAGTAATAATATATATACTTTTAAATTGTAATATTAAGTAGCATAAAAAAAAGTTATTTAAATTAAACTTGCAGGATCTAGGATTAAACTTAAGTTACTATGCTATAATAGGCTTACTATAAAACCATGTAGTAACTAGCACATGGCAGACTATTAAATATTATAAGACAGGGGGATCATGCTCCTAACCATATAACTTATGAGAATTTCCTAGACGCAGGAGAAAGACTGAGATTGGATCCGGAAGATCAGTGTCTCTCTGGAAGAGCCACCAGCACGGGTTACAAAGAACTAATGTGAGGCAGAATCAGTGATGCATGGTGAAACCCGAGAGAGTACATGAATTGAGATATTATTAGTCTAATTTTAGTCCCGGCTCTGTTACTTCCATTGGTGATCAGGGCATTTTTCTTGACAGTTCTCCCTCGTTTCCTTCTGTCACCCTTGGCACTTTGAACATGATTTTCACCTTCTGAGCTGGTGGCAGAATCATCGCCGTTATCCCTGGACGAAGCCTTTATATTAACATTACGGGGTTCCTTAATACTCTAGTGTAATTTACTTGCTGCCAACTGTGCCAAGTCTATATTAGGGAGTAATCCCTGCTATGTAGGCCGGAACCGAGAGGAGTGATGAGACCGGGGCCAACGTTCGTATCCTTGGCGTTTTGTGTGCGTTGGTGATAACCTTCCGTCTGGTATCTAAGATTAGGGTGTAATCTATGAGCGACGGTACTCTAAGGATAGTCCCTATTGCCCCTTAGCCGGCAATCCTTCACTTGCTTTAAAACATATCCGACTACCCTTTCGATTCTGAGAGCCGAATAGGCTCCTCTCCCCTCACCAGCCTCCAGCGGTTACTAGATTCAACTAAATCGTCGCATCCTTCCACAGCCCACGACCACTTTGTAAGAAAGCCCGGGGTGGCCTCCCAGTTCTGCATGACATGCGGTTCACCCCAAACAATAAGTCCCTTGCGCCCCGCAGTGACCTCATCCTCATCACGTCCTGCTCCAGGGGGCAGGGTCGACCTAGATTCGGGATCGGAGACAGTAATGGTGCGGGGCGTACCTCGTCGCTCTCAATCCGGCGTGGCACTCATAAGCTCACCAATGAGGTCTTGTAGCAGCTCCCAGTGGTCGAATCTTCCATCGCGTCTTATAAGATTGTCACGGAGGCGGGGGAAGGGGAAGAAATTGATCCAGAGGGAGTGGCAGCGGGTTTGTTGGAGGCAGGTCGGGACGAGGGCGAGAGGAATATTGGGGTTCAGGGGGTAGATGGTTGTGTCATCACGATAAGGACCACTGATGGGACAGGTAGTTGGGGAGGGAGGACCATCGGTCCAGCCTGTGAGAAGGGTATTAAGAGTGCGCTTGTTGGAGACAAAAGCACGGAAGACATTATACTGAATAATATGGAGGAGGTGATCAGTTGAGAGGGGGAAGATGAAGGACGGGGCGGTTAGTGACGTCTGGGCATGGAGCAGGGTGGGTGGTGGCCCACGAATGAGCCCGGCGCGTTCAGGTGTGAACATTGTTGTACTGGCGTGAGTGTGAGACTGTGGAGGGGAGATAGACGTGGCGGTTGCGACACTCAATTCTGTTGAGGCGCCTTGGGAGGGACAAACATCGGGTTCGTCCACGCGCCAGCGCCTGACTTGGAACGGGCGCAACATCTGAACAGACCCCGGGCCTTGCTCCCTAGTCCGCAGTCCTTCAAAGGTCATGAGCGTGGCAGAGGGTGGGGAATCAAGGGAAAGACTCACGGTGTGCTCTTTGGTTCTTTCGGTTTTGGATCTTCCTGCGCTGCTTCTTGGCCGTCGTCTCAGCCTCAGCCTCGGCGTCGACGTGGTGGGGGTGTACGCCAACCCTGTTTGCTTCGTCCTCGCTCAGAGTCGAAGAAAGCAGAGTAACAGAGTGTTCCATTATCCTTGGGGTACTGAACATCCAGTTCCGTGCCACGGCTGTCGAAACGTAGAGGGATGTAACGAAAAAAGTGAATCCGCCTGGCCTGGCGGTCGGAGTTGAAAGATCTCGTGTAGAGTGGATGCGGGGGTTTTATCCGATTCGATCCCTATTTGACAACCGGTGAAAGGCGGGGCCGTCGGCCAGCACTGTACGGAGTATTGCATTAATAATTCGCCACCATTTCGGGAAGTTTAGAAAACAGGATGCTCCAGAACACCTCTCCCTCCATAACTGACGAGGCTCTCGCCCGGCTGTCTCGGAATGTATCTTTACTGGGATAAGAGTAGCGCATTCCAGCTAGATTCAGACGGAGAACTGCAGTTCAGTGTGTCAATTTCGATCCACAGAATTGGCAACTGGCACTACCTATTGTATGGACTCGACAGTACCGAACTCCTCTTCATTCTGGGAAATGTGGGCCGGTATTGCTGGCGGATTCTCGACTCGCAGCAAGGCAACTTTGCACAGGAAGCCATATTGAAGGGACAACTATGCTATTAGAAGGTAATATCGCCCGAGAATCTGCAGATATGGGCCTTATTTTTCTTTATCGAGCCAAGTGGTCAAAACAGTCAACTCGCGAATCCAGATTAGATATTTCAAAGTCGAGACTCCTTGATCAAAACGATGAAGAAGAAACTGTCCCCCACCATGTGATGCAGAAACTGCCTCAAAACAACCTGGATTTCCAATCTCTTCCGCTTCATGCGGCTGCGTCTGAGCTGACTGGACCCAAGAAACCTTTTTTGCGAGACCAGGGTTCGCGAGTGACTTTGAGCCATATATTCGCTGAATCGGCTTCCTGCGAATCTTCCCACCCCTTAACTTCTCGAAGAATTGTGGAGTGCCCGGGATAGCAGTAATCCATAATTCTGGCTACACCATATGCTGTAAAAAAAAAAGAACCGACATTTGCTCATAGGATGATTATTTTGCCTGACCTCGATTTATTTTGTCCACTAAAGGTGGACAAGCCGGGATATATCTTTTCCTCCCAAGCACTTTGGAACTATGGAAGCAAGCTCTGCCCCTGAGGCAAGTCAAATTCCTCGTCACTCGTGGTGCTAAAAGCAGTATGAATAACTCCTCTTCTTCCTAATACTTTTAGCCTTCTTATATATGGGAAACCCCAGAAAAAGCGGGTCCATCCACCAAAATTTCGGTGTCTCATGAAAGTCTAAGCCTAGCCAGAGAGTGTTGAAATGGTAGTTTACTATAAGGGCTCTGCATTCACAAATCAGGTCAAACATATCTTGGGCTGATATTGAACAAAGACCCGTTTAGATTTGCCTCGGGATCTTTACACTGGCAGACCAAAACTAAGCAGCCGCGTTTGCCATCCTCAAGATCACATCCTTGTCACAGAACTCAACCACCTTCTCGACCTTGGACCCATCTTCGTTGAAGTACAAGAACCAAGCGAGCTCGGCGTCATACAACTCTCCGCTATTGACATGCACTTCTGCGATAGACGTGAAAGCGGCCCGGCGAGCCTCAGTATCGATGACTAAGTTCGCAATAATGTTGTTTCTGAATTTCAACACCTTGATATCCTTCGCAAAAGTCTCCTGATACTGCGTAGTGTCGAAACTGAAGTCTACCGGTAGGCCAAAGGCCTGGGGCACGGATGCGGGGAGCAGGTACCGAAGGCAGTTCGCCGTAACATCGCGGTTGATGATGGAGGCGTCGTTCTGGGCCGCGCCCTCTTCGTACGCTGATAGGAAGGCTCGGGCTGTAGCCTCAATGCGCTCTCTGAGGTTGATCGAGGCAGGACTTGAGGCCATAATAAAGTGCAATGAGTTGTTGGCATTCTTTAGAAAGTCAGGTAGGAGTTGGAGACAGTGGTGTAGCAAAAAAATAAAGAGAGAGAGAGAGGTGGTTGTATGTCCACGACTGCCTTTTTATGTTCTACGCGGAACAATATTCTGTATTACCAAACCACATCAACCTTGGGCCCCGGCTTACTACGAGTCATAGTCCCTCCCGGCGATAGGAGAATATCCAAAAGTTAACGCCGTCCATTGAATGATCCTTTAAAGACAAGGTCAATCAATATGATCTCATGTCCTGCCACTCACCTTTCCTCTCGCAGATCTGTATAACGCTGTGATGACATTTTACCCCTTTTTGGCCTAGGGAGTGTCTCGCCAAAGTTTTAAAAAAAGAAAACTGGCGCGGAGCTCCCGTGGCTTTATCCGAGCTCCACTTGATGACATTAGTTCCATAATGTCGGGGATTGCGGCGGACGTAATATTCGGTACCCAACAATAAGAATTTGAAGGTATGATTCCTCCAATCTAGCAGTGCTACTGCACTAAATACAGAAGACATACATGTAATCTAACTAAAATAACAAGTAAAAACGATACAAAGGAATAACTAGGATTGACCTAACGGGCGCTGACTCTCAGCAAGTTTGGCGTTGAAGCAGATTACTAGCGGTAAAAAATTCGCCACATAATTAACCTTGGACCCTCAAACATTGATAATGAGGAACTGCCGGAGCCCGGGACCTTAGTTACTGTTTTTGCAGGAGTAACTAGCCCGAAGAGGGAAAAAGGTCATCACAGCGGGTCATGGATCAGTCATGGGAGAGGGGAAAACTGAGGAAGGGAAAACTGAGGAAGGAAAAGAACTTGACATCATATTAATTGATCCTAATCCAAAAAGCATGCATTTGAAGAGGCGGTATTAGCTTTTAGTTTAGCCTAACCCTGGAAAGGGCCTCTAAAGAGTACGGTGATTTGCAAGTCTTCTCAAGTAATGATCTCCTGCGACGAACCGTAGATGTCGTGGGTGAGTCGACTATATAAGTCAACCACTTCCCGCTTCTGCATTCACTGGACTTCAGAATCCAACATACCAGCGCAATCATGTCCCGCTACGTTGAAACCCACGCTAAGCCAAATGGCCCTGGTGATGCGCACCCGAGGGCCCTGCAAATCATCAAGGATCAGGGCGTCGAAGGCAAGCTCCACGGCGAGATCATTGTCATCACCGGTACGTCTTCTGGCATCGGTATCGAAACCACTCGCGCCCTGGCCACTACTGGCGCTACCCTCTTTCTCACGGCCCGAGACGTCGCCAAAGCGCAATCCGCCCTCGCTGGTATCTTCGAACCTTCCCGCATGGAGATCATGGAGATGGACTAGGCAAACCTCTCTTCCGTCCACGCCGCAGCCGCAGCCATTCTTGCCAAGACCTCCAAGATTCACCTCCTCGTGCCGGCATCATGGCCATCCCGGACCCCCGCCTGACCGCTGATGGCCATGAACTCCAATTTGGCACGAACCACCTCTCGCATTTCCTATTTTACAAGCTCTTGGAGCCTTATTCCAGACCAACAAAAACGTGAAGAACGGGGTTTTGCAGGTGGTGGGCTTCGAGCCAATTGTTGAACAAAAAAAAAAAAAAAAAAAAAAAAAAACGTGTTGAAAAACGTGCTGGGGCTCCTGACGCAATCGTATCGAAGACACGATCCTAATTGATAAGTTGGCCTTTGACAATGGGCTTATCGCTCCTCCAGCAGAGCACCTACCCAAGTTCTTCTTAGCCAAACAGTGGTGGAACGCTTCCCAGACAACATCTGCTTCATTCTTGAAGGTCGGGAGTATAGTTCAATGGATTATCTGGGAAATAACGAGAGCTTTGAGAAGCTTGGTGATAATTGGATCATAATCGCCATTGCCACGAGCCGTAGCGATGGTGGTACTGTCGGCCCAGTATTGCTATGATGATGAAAGTAGCCTCTTACTACAGGGACTGGCTGTACAGGCGCTCAACAGGAGAGTTGGATTCGTTTATTTTCGACTTCTCTTAAATACAACTTGGATCACGCACAGAGCCACATATTCCAACTCGATAGGCACCTACATCTTGAGCTGTTGCTTATCACTTCTAGTTCCACACAGACTGAACCTGCTGAACCCTAAGTTCAACTCCACTAGTACTACCGTCTGTGGAGAAGAGATAGGTGTCAACAGAATCATCACTAGGGAAAATCTGAGCAGTCAAAGTAACATCCCCAAGACCTCCAAAGACCTCCACAGAGGACCAGTCAACAAGAGCACGGAGCGTGATATTGCCATCATTTGAGTGCAGCGGTGCGTAATACACACTCGAGAACGAGCCGTCAAAACCAGTCTCTCCGGACTGCGTCCGATTGACAAAGAGCTGCTGGGTGGTGAAGTCGTAGCCAATACGGGTCTGTTCACTCAAGTCTGCCGAGGCCCGAACAATAAGGCCAACTTCGGCTGCTGTTGACTTGGAAAAACTCAAGGTAGCGTCGATTGCTTTTCCCGTCACGTTTAGTTTGGTGACACCGGCTGGTATGGAACTCCATCGCCTAGGAGTGCTGTTCTGCTCCTGTACGATTGGCTGCTGCACGACAGTCGCGGTCCCATTGATGGTGGCGAGCGACAGTTTCCGAGGCACGGTCAGGCTGCTCCGCCAGGGATCAGTAGGAATGGCGGCGGCATACTGCCAGTTGTTCATCCAGGCAATATCGACACGATCGTTGGTAGGAAGCCCAGAGAAGCTAAGGGCTGCATAGAAATCCGGGCCATAGTCCAGCCAGTTTGTTTGCTGCACGCTCTCAGGGTCCGGGGTGAAGTTTGTTCCGTCGAAGTCACCCACAATATACTGACTCCCTGATCCAGTAACGCCAGGCGGGCCTCCTGGATTGAGACCAATTTGAGCAACCCATTTCAAATTCTCGGCGTCTCCATCCAGTGGAAGCGGAAAGATGCTGGGGCATTCCCATACACCACCGACAGCATTTGCAGGGCCAAATTCGCTAACATGCTTCCATGTTTTGAGGTCGGTAGAGGTGTAAAAAACCAGTTTATGGAGCTTTGCCAGAGAGACCACCGCAACCCATTTGCCGGTAGATTGATGCCAGAACACACTAGGGTCACGGAACTCGGAGATCTGGTCTGCATATTCAGCAGGAGGTTCCGCGATTACAGGGTTTCCAGCATCGTAAGTAGTCCATGTCATGCCGTCATCAACACTGTACGCAATGGACTGCGCTTGTTGGTTTGCCGCCACGGACTTTCCGCTGGGCAACTCCTGTTCCTGGGGGTACTGAGTCATGTTGGTCAGTATATTTCTTGTCATGTGTTCAGATTTCCGCTCACAAAAGATGTATACATGGCCACGAGGGGAGTTGAGCCATTGCCACCGAAGCCACTAGTGTTGTCGACATCCGCAACTGCTGTTCCGGAAAAGAACATCTCCGTAATGGCATCAGGGTAGCCACGAGCAAGGAGCGCCACTGGCTGGTGTTCCCAGTGAATCAAATCCTTGCTGGTTGCATGGCCCCAGGACATGGCTCCCCAGGTCGCTCCGCCCGGGTTGTATTGATAAAACAAGTGGTAGACATCATTGTGATAGATTAGGCCATTCGGGTCATTCATCCAGTTTTTGACGGGGGTAAAATGATACTGAGGGCGATAGAGCTCGGTGTAGCTTTGAGCAGACACGGCACCAAATGCGCAGAGCCCCAAGGTCAGGGCATAATGAGCGGAGGGTAACATGGTAGTAATCAAGAGCTTGCAAGGAAATTGATGAAAGATTGGTTGATAGTAAATCTGGGAGCGACGGTTGTCAAGGGGGTTTATATATCTTTAGGTCACCCTACGAAGCCATTGTTACTGTGCATGTCATTGAGATTCAGTACCCATTGATCCCTCTTCACCTCAAATCGCGGAGTAGTATTGGAAGGTCTCCGAGAAATGTCGATCTCTATCCATCCGAATTTGGCGAAGCGAAACTTCGGCGTGCCGATCAAGCGCTAACGGATCCCTCGATCTCCACGCCGGCGAGGAACGTGGGCAGTGCCCAGCGGCCCCCCCCGCTTGCCAAGACTGGACGAGGCGTAAGAGGCGTAATTGAGGTTCCCTGTCGACATTCTGGAAACTTGCCATGAAGAAACTAAAAACGAGCAAGGTTTCTTTGTGTACTGGGGCTCCCGCGCGTGGCGTTGCAGGGCGTATTGGCCGCAGCGACCCACCAAGTGATAGTATGTCTGTGGGGTGGGTGGGATATATTAGAAATATTTGCATGCACCCGTAACAGATCTTCTATACCTGTCACCCTTTTCAGTGAATTGTTTCCAGAGTTAAGCAGAGTGACAGTAATATTTCGGTAGAAGAGTGACCTTGGATAACAAGCAGCATCTCCAGTACTACTCTGCTATGCTGTCATCTCGTCGAGATGGATTTAAGAGTAAAAGTGGGGCGGCTCGGCTTTCCGGCAGCAGGTTAAACAAAAATGCGCCATAAACATCTCCCCAATATAGTATTGTGATCTGCCCTCAACTCTCATTGACAGATGAGTGGAATCTCAACTTGACGCCTCAACCGAACCCCACCACACTCGGACCGGTTCGTTCAACCTTGGGAGTAATGATCCCTGTCATTGGTTGTCCCCTGTCGCGGAGGATGCCCGAGTCTCCGCGATTCGGGGGAACAAATCTCTCAGTGCAACGGGTTGATTGAAGATCTCAATTTAATATGCACGCCACTACAAGGTGCACATTGTCGAGGCAGGCCGCTTCCCAGAGTATCTCCCCAACTGTGAGGTTGAATTTGTCGCGCTGTCCGTTGCTCCTTGTTTGGATTAGCATCTTGGCCGGTGACCAACTTGAACTCCGATGGTGATCTATGGCGACAAGTCGTGGCCGCGTTGAACCCAGGCTGAAAACGCACGGCCAGCATTCCAGTCGACCGGTCGGTATGGCAGTGGCTGATTAAAGGTAGCCGGATAGTTTGACTAATAGTTTTGATCAGGAGTGTCCATACATATTCCGTGAATACTTCCCCTCGTCTAGTCCTCTGTTGGACTTTCGGTATGGCTGGTAGTCCATTGCTCGGCTTTTCACTCGTTGGCATGTGACGGTGGTGGCGCGCTTCCCGAAGCCACTCACTCCACCCCAACCGCAAAGCTGGGGCTTAACCTCTGGGGAAGAGGCCTGTTCCGAGAGCCGTGGTTGACAAACTGGGTGACAGGCTTCCTCAAACCTCGCTTGGGCGTTTTTGTGGAGACAGGAGTGGGAACCACAGAAGATGAAACATGCAACTGCAAGGTCCCGTCGTCGCGGAGGGTCGCGACGATCGGCAAATTGTGGCCGACGAGTGCAGTATGGGGATATCCAAATCCACAAGCCGGGGCGTTTGCCCCACAATAGATCCTCTCAAGTTATTAATGCGAGGGCCTAAGTTATCGCGGATGAGACTGGATGGTCCGCGGTGCCCCGAGATGCTGCTCATCTGGTTCTCCAGAGAAAATATGCAGGTGAAATTGCAAAGATTTCCAGCAGTCAATCAATCTGAAGAATACTAAAAGTTGATATTGCCCTGGTCTGGGTGAAGGATGACGTCCTTGAGGAACGATCTTGAGTGACGATATTGAATGACCAGATCGTTACTGACGATCCTGAGGGCATGCTGAGGATATCCTGAGGGTATAATCTACCCTTGCCGTCCAAACTGAGGATAGTGATTCTACAGAGAGGGAAGACTATTTCGGACAGCAGAGTGAAGGGACAGACGGAGATGTGATTAAACGTGACATGGGAATGACTACAAGGCCGATAATCGAGGCGGGTATAAAAACTTCATTTCTTAGAAAAAGGCTTGACTGCTTGTGAGCGCGGGATAAGCTATGTGATGGGAAATTATCATATATCATATGGTACAACTCTTACAATTCGGAAGACTGAGATTAAGAAGTATACTGTTACAGAAGATTAACGTCTTGTGATCTGTAATATGGTATAATAGAAATAGAACTGATAAAGACGTGTGATCTAGGCAATTTGCAAGGGTAGGGGTAGTATTACCTAAGAACCCATTGGTAGAAATGAGAGGCCATTAGCTGTCTACTGTTGAAATAAGGCTGCAATCGCGGGATATGTGGCAGAGAGATAGCTCCCTTAGGTGAAAAGTAAGCAAAGGAGCGAATAGAGAGTTGTACTTTCTACGCTGCCTGAGCAGGTAGGTCAAAAGCTGGAGGGAGGGCGCTTGAATTCAATGGCGAGCAAGGCTTTGTTTTGGCATTCTTTTACCCGTGAGTTGAAACTCACTTGAGCCCACTGAGGTTAAGTAAGAGGAGGCATGAGCAAATGTTGAGAAAGTGTTAGGGCTGCTATCAGAGGGTGGCCTGGTAGGTGGAGAATAGTCGTAGAAAGTCCATTATGGTGCCAAGATGGCACTTTCACGCCTCACTGCTGAGAGTCACAGGTGGATATTCAGCTGTTTATGGCCCTCTATGGCGGTTATCTCCCATGCTGATTTCACAAGTGTGGTATAAATAAAAAGTATAGCCAAAGTATTATATAAGACTGGTAAGAATCCCAGCTCCGCCGGTATTAGGGCCCAATGCTGCTGACTATGGAAGGAGGACTGATGCCCGGACAACATACTAGTATATACATGAAACAGAGAATACAAGGCTGGCGCTTGAAAGGAACAGGCACGCGCCACTAATGCAACAATAGAACACTCAACTCAACCCCTCCTGGATGACACATACCCTTCACCGCATCCGAGCTATAGTAAGTGTGTATCACGGCAACTCAAACCTCGAATCCTGCACCCCAGCCGGCTTCTCATGCGACCGGCCCCCCTGTCCCCAACCCAGCTCCTGCGGCTCCTGCATAACGGGCTGTACTACCGAGTACTGAACCCCCGCCGGGGTCCCGGCTGCTGCTGCTGCTGCTTTATTCCTTCGTCGAGCGATGAGGAAGTAGACGGCTCCCGCTATGATCGCGATCGCGCCGACGGCCACACCAACGCCCACGCCTGCTTTTGCGCCGGTGGATATGCCCGATTAAGAATCACCTTCGGAATCAGAGTCGAACGTAGGCGTTGCTGTTGAGGCTGATGTTGTTGACGTATCTGTTGATGTTGAGCTCGATGTCGGGGTGGCCGTCGTCGAGGTCGTGTAGATATTCCGCGGAACGTGCACCTCTTCGTCTGTCCCACAGCAATCCGCTGCGGTCCCGCAACACCACGTTTCCGAGGTATCTGTCCCGTCGCAGGGTGTTATTCGCGCGTTTTCGCCGGCGAGGTCGCCGCTCTACGAAGCAAAACATAACGCAGATTAGCCATCGTCTCCAAGCCAGTCTCTCTGCCTCACCACTATGCACAGCGCCCGATCTAGGAAATCCCAAACGGCGAAGCAGAAACTTGTGAAGACTGACTAGAAGGGTCAAAGTACCGCACAAACCCTCAAACACCCCACCTCCGGCCAGTTGCTGACAGAGCACGTATCGCGCCAGTACGTCACATTCGATCCTTCGACGCCCGTATCGGCCGCGACTTTACAGAGCCCATTCTCTAGACACTCGTAGTACTCGTTGCAGCACATGCTCGGGGCGCCGTTGATACTGTGGCATGATTTCGAGTCGCCGTTCGTTGAGGAGATTCCGTTGGGGCGGTAGCATGTTACGGCGAGAACTCCGGGGAGGTAGAGCGTGGGCAGGACAAAGAGGAGGGCTTTCATGGTGTTTCTGTCGTTGCGATCGAGAGACTAGGCATAAGGGCAGTAGGTATAGGAGGGAGGGTGTGGAGGCGGAGGTTGGACCAATAAGTCAGAAGGAGAGGATGCAAATTGAGGAAAGAGAGTCGGCGTTTGAGGCTCGAGAGACCAGGCCACAGGTGACTCGGCTAGCCTTATGGGGTAGGGGCTCTGCTAATTCCGTGGTGATTTCGTAAGGATCTTATATTAACCGCTGCTGGGTTCTTACTTGCCCGCACGTCCACCCCTTGCCGCTTCGAGACTGATGTTACTTGTCTCACCGGTTTTGGAGAGCAGCTCAAACGCTTCAATAAGTCGTCCGAGAGTTTCGACAAGGATGGCCTCAAGTCAGCATGCGCTCGTGAGACTTGGACCTCTCAACTGCCGGGCTTCCTAATTCCGTGTTGATCGCGGAACCTGCTCCATAACCAACACATTAAAGTGGGGGTCGGGACCCACGCGGCTGAAGGGCCTCCAAGCCCTGAGATAGTGATCAAGGCTGAATAAAGAGACTCAGTCCATGTTGCAGCATAGTATTCACGGCAGTCTCGGTCTGGCAGGGATATGGTTCATAACAATCGATCATACGTCTGTCGTATAAACAAATAATTCCGGCAATGCTTACCCCAAACCCCTAACAAAACAACTTCAGCCCCCCATGCACTCAATGCTCTGCCAGGGTTTAGTCTCCACCAATGTCAACACATGCACTGATCAGCGTCCATAACTGCCATCTGATATGCCAGCCTCATGAACAAGGGGTATGGCGTGCTCCGCTTTGCAGATGGATCGTCGCTTTCGGGTTCGCACAACCTACTGTATGGGGCTTGGTTAGAACTTGGGAAGTGTCCAGAGGCGTTGGAGATATCGAGACTTAGTATTGGAGGATAGTCATACCTTATTCTCACGTTTCGTGTGAGTTGCAAGCTCCTCTGCAAGCAAGCGCTTATTGAGGGAGGTTCAATGGATATATATTCGGGGTCACCCCTTACTGTTATACATACTCGCTCCTATTATCAGGCTCCAGTAATGTCTCGATGGTCAATCGATCAATGATAGATGCATGATGGAAGAATCTAGGTAGGAGGGATAAGAATATATAAAGGCAGTAGGGTTACACGAGCGTGTTAGCCCTAGGAACAAAGGAATAATAGTCATGGTGGTTGTTTGAGTAAGATTGGCGAGGACCTACTGTGCTGCAAAAGTTAGCGCTAACCTTGGAAGTTTCGAAACCATGTCAGTTGCGGCTGTTGCAAGCACCATGATGAGCGCATACCCAGAAAAGCTCAAGGCCCAGCCCTGACCGGAAAAATAGCCGAGATCTGAAAGCCTGGGAATGAGCCCGGAAATAGAGTGTGCCAGCCTTAAATACCATCCAATAAATTAGTATTAGATAACAGGTCAATTCTTATATCTAATCCTTATAAGGTCTAGGCGCGCTACTTAGTATTCCACCCCTATAGCAGCGAAGACTACGCTAATATTAATATAAAAGGGCAAAACAACTAGTGGAATATTCATGTCTTGTCATGGGGTTGGAAATTTATAATATAAGGTAGTACTTAGAAGTTAGGGTGTAGAGATAGCCTGGGCACACTGTCCGGAAATTTGAATTGTGTCACGTTTCAATGCTCGTTTCTTGGGCGATATATAATCCCAGAACCCAGCTGTTTTCCGCGACCCTTTTCTTGCTTTTCTAAAAGGACTGTTCCAGGACTCTAGTCAACATGTCATCTCAACCCCGTTTCCGAGATCGCCTAAGCCCAGCATTCAAATCCAACTCTATACCCGAAGCACCACTGGCAACCCCAGCTGCGGCCCCAGGTCCAGTATCAACAACATTAAAATCGAACCCTAAGCTAAATGGCAGGACAAAAGACGATGAATCCCTCCCCGAAAATCCGGCCCCAGGGGCAACAAGACCCGCACCTCCCCCAACCAAGGTGAACGACAAGAAGAAAGACGAAGACTCATTCCTCTAGGAACCCATCGTGCAAGTAACATCTAACCTAAAATCCGGGTGCTTCTTCGACTTCAGCGACAGCCCATCGCTCAACGCCGTCTGGACCCTGCACTGCAATTTCGTCTTCAGCACGCAGGCAAAATGGGCTTGTATTAAGATATTTCCATGGGATTTTCTCGGTCCATAACTCTTTGCTTTTTCTAACCCTTAGGGTGCCACCCTAGATCACTTTCTATATAATACTGTAGAATAACGTGTCTACAACGCTGCATAGCTCCCATAGTCTGTATTGTATGTTGTTAGTAGCTCCTAGATAGATGCCAAGAGTCTCTAGGAAGAGTTATGGGAGCAAGCTATGGTTAAGACAGACTTCGTAGTATTCCTATACCTTGGTGAGCGTCTATTACTAATATCTATGTTCCTGGACATGGAGGCTAGCATGCTATTTATATCTACTGGTAGAGCTATAACCCCGGCACTAAAAGATATACATACCCTCTGTCTTATTGATGATGGAATTAAGATATAGCGTATTATAATTAACCTAGTAAAACAAGCTATCAACGTCTACTACCACCCTAGAGATGGCGCGTTATTTAGTTAGACACGTAGCTACCCTACCTTCATTAACTAGAGTGTAAACATACACAAGAGCCTTGCCATTGCATGGGGTCTGCCCAACGACACAAGCATGTTCATTCTGAAGAGCCAACCACAGGAATATTACTATGGGCGACATTGGCTGCACCCATGCTCGAAGCATTCGGCACTCAATTTGCGATGGAGGTCCGTCGGTTCCTAGCGCATGCAATGTTACAGCGCTCGTGTATCGCGCATCTTATGCAAGGCGAGGGTGGATGCAATGCTGCGCTTGTACTGTTTTAGATAGCGAGTTCAAAGCCGCAGCTGGCGATCGTCTCGGAGCCGGTGACTAGGAGTGTTGTTGCTGTGACGCCAAGTTCGTACTTGAAGACACCGGGATCAGGGTACTTGTTTTGCAAGATTGTTGCCATGCAGAAGATTGGGATTGGGCTTGGAGGTGCTGTTAAGGAGGGGCACTTGGCGAGTGATTTAGTTAGACGGCTGGTGTCTTTTATCCCCTACTAAGCTTTATTACTATACATTTTTTCTTTTCTCCATTTCATTCTCTCCTTATTAATAAATTGGTGGTTATACCCTTAAAATTTACAAGTTATTCTACGGCATGTACGTATTTAACCCTAGTAACAAGTTATCTACATTGCGACTCCCCTTTATAATTACCTTTCTTATGATATCCTCGGGAACATAAGTCGTCGCGACAGGTGCCATTTGGGTGGTTCAGTATCAGGACGTGATCAACGAACTGCTTGCTCCCTGGAGGGAGCTGATCCCACTTTGTAGTCTCCTCAAGCGCCGACGCAAGCTTTACTAGCAGTAATCTAAGACTTGGTCGCCAAAGACTTTCTGAAGTGCTGTGGTCACTTTCTAAGATCTGGCCACCTGATAACTGATAATGAAGCTAGTGGATTGCGTATACAGCTTATTCACTACCTAGATCATTCCTACTCAAGAATTAAACAAGCTTCAAAACATGAAGGGCCTAAGTAGGGCGGAGAGCATAGAGAGAAAAAATATTGGTGCTTATAGAGGTATAACAGCTGGACTATTCTTGATAATAGTAAAGGGGGGGATAGACCTCTTGTACTTCTTCCTACCAAGATAACTCTTTATAAGCTCCATACTTGACGTACCCCCCCAAAAAAATGTGTACCGACCTATGCTAACTTAAACGGGCATCTCGGATTGGTGCGAATGGCTTTGTGGAAAATGTCCGATTGGGCAGGCCGATGAGTCCGGGAACAGCCGATAGACTCAAAGGTTGACCGTTTGCCAAGCGTGCGGGGCGGGGCGCACCCAGTTTCGGGCTCTAAGAAGGAGGGGCAGGCAGGCCGGCGCGATCAAGCCATTGACAAACCCGCAACTCCGCATGCTCCAACGATCGTTACCATGTCCAGCCTCCTCGAGCTCCCCGAAGAGCTGCTCTTGATGATCATCGCCACACATCTTGACTCTGAGGGGGACATATTCGCGCTGATTCGCACAAACCGCCGGCTGTACGCCATTGGAAGGCGCGAGCTCTACCGTTTTAACGGAGCCAACAGCAACTCCAGCGCTCTGCACGCTTCAGCTCTCTCTGGGAATGTAACGGCAATAGCATATGCGCTCGATGAAGGGGGAGCAAGCATTGATGCAGCTGGTATCCATGACAGCTGCGCAACGCCTCTTATTCTTGCCAGCGGCGCGGGACATATTAGCGCTGTTGAGTTCCTCCTTACAAAAGGTGCCATGGTTAACTGGTGTGCAGCCGGGAGTAATACTGCACTTAGTGTCGCCGTACGGGGTGGGCATTCGGCAATTGTGAAGAGGCTACTCGCAGTTAAGGGCATTAACCCGGATATCAAGGACTCGTCCTATTCGTCCCCGTTCTGGCTGGCATGTCAAGGCGGCCATCTAGAGATTGTCCAGTCGCTGCTTGCAAGAGACGATATTAATGTGAATAGTGTGGGAATGCATGGCAGAACTCCTCTGTTTGTGGCAGCGCTTAATGCCCACACCGCTGTCGTGCGAGAACTAGTCGCGGACGACAGGGTCGACCTTGGCTTCATTACCATGTACGAGGACCCTCCTCTAATAATGGCCTGTGCAAAGGGATACGAGGACGTTGTAAGGGTGCTTCTGTCCTCGCCCAGGTGCAATCCTTCAGTTGCATACCACCATGACGGACCAGCCCTGTGGGTCGCAGTCAATAGTTCGCACGCGCGGATTGTCAAGATGCTACTCGACCGCGGCGTGGATCCAAACGGACGAAATAGAAAACAAGAGACAGTGCTCTGCAGGGCACTCAGGCTGGGGAAGACGGATATCACGCAACAGCTCCTCGAATATGGTGCAGACCCCTGCACAACAGACGTTGGCGGGTGGACGCCGCTGCACCTGGCAACCGAAGCTCCCGACCTCGCTATTGTCAAGCTCCTGCTTGCCGACGCGCGAGTTGATGCGAACCAGGCATCAAAGTCGGGGATGCGGCCTATTCATATTGCAGCGCATCAAGAGGACCGCGCAACCCTGGAACTCTTCGCTGACTGCAAAGATGTCGACGTGAATGCGCCGGACGGTGACCGGCTAACGCCCCTAATGTGGGTGGCGTATCATGGGTTCTTGGGCCACGTTCAGCTGCTGCTCGCCCATGCCAAGATCGACATCAATCTTCAATCCAAGCATAGATTTACGGCGCTTATATATGCCGTGAAACAGGGACATGTGGCGGTTGTAAAGGCTTTACTGAGCCATCTGAAGACGGATGTGAATATTGATGATGGGGAAGGGAGGTCGGCTTTGTGGTATGCGAGTGAGTATGGGTATCAGGATATCGCAAAGCTCTTGATTGCAGCGGGCGCGGCGGAGTCCTCACGTTGTTAGCGAGGGATGCTCGAGTAAAGGGGTAAGAGAAAAGCGAAAACTGTGTGCACAAGATTGTGCTCTAGATAGTGTAGGCCGCAGTATTTATGTCCCACTAATTGCGGAATCATGATCCATATTAATCAACTCTTGGCTTTGGCTGGAGTGAAATGGCCTCGGGTTTGAGAACAGGTCGAGAAAATGGGTAGGCAATGGCGAGAATATCGCCATCAAGTAGTGGCTGCACAAGGTGCCGAGTCTATTATAGTAGAATCGTATTAGCAACTCTTCATAACAAGCAAAGAAACCAAGGTTTAGTGGATTCGGGACATTTCGCTAGTTGAACAAAACCTAATCATCCCCATCGCTTGATAATTCTAGATCTAGATGCTCTTGGATACTGCATCTACCATAGTTTGTCGATTAAAGCACCATTTCCAATTTTCAGCGTCAACCATTCCTAAAACACGTGAAACGCGTTATTCATTGGGTAATCGACACCCTGATAAAGAGAGGATGCTGGTTGATATATGTTTTTCTGCCCTATCTGGGCTCTAGTGCGAGTTCGCGTATCAAGATACATATCACCATTTGTACGTCCCAGTTTTTTATTCACTGTGTTGAATGTACTAATGCCGCCATGACAAATTCTTGTGAAGGCCTGCTAGAGGATTCTGTTACCGGCCTCATGAAGGAGCCTGACAATTTTCTCAGATCCACGTTCTGCAGCCGCCCATGATAAAGGTGTTCGGCCATACTCAGTGTCCTTGCAACTCACATCCGCCTTTCCAGTCTGAGTAAGGGGCTTGATAACCTTCCCGTGTCCACGTTCTGCAGCCCATGATAGAGGTGTTCGACCATACTCAGTGTCCTTGCACTCCATACTTGAACCCTGCCTAAGAAGTACCTTGGTGATAGCACAATGCCCGCGGTATGATACTAGCATCGGATTAAAAATTGCTTGGTCTTTCCTAAATTTGTAGTCTCCTAGAAGGTGCCAAACCATGCTTCATAGCTTCTTAAATGCAGGTTACAAATTCTTCCAGCAGAGGGTAGTATAGCGGCAGTAGGAATAATACTAGGTGAAAGAAGGCTATAATCATGACCATCGCATCGCAAACGCACACACAACCAAGCTAATGATAAACCGTCTGAACAACAGTCAAAGTCTTCTCATGAATAACCAGCTCGTCCTCTGCTGGCACCTTATCCCCCCTGCGCACGCCCGAAGAAAGCAAATTCTCCGCTATAATCTCCTCCCTCCGCACCTCCAGCTCCTCCACATCCCAATTTACCAAGAAATACCTGCCTGACAGGAACTTCCTGTCCCCACTACACAGCCAAACCGCTGCCCCGCTTGCAAGCTCGACTGTGTCATACAGGAAGGCCGCAATTATAGGGACACTCACGCCCATGTCTGTGGCAACCATGCCCGGGTCAAGGTTAACAGATGTAATGGCGGGGTACTCGGCTGCGAGAAACTCGGTTAGTTTTGTCACGGCGACTTTGCTGACGGTGTATGCGTCAAGGGCGATGCCAGTGGTTTGGGTTGAGGTGGAGGTTAGGTTTATGATTGTTCTTTCTTGCTCTGGAGAGGCTTCAATGGCCTTAAGGAAGGCCTTGGAGACGATTAGGACGCCTTTGACGTTAATTTCCTACAGCTGATAATTAGCAGCGGTGAGAGAGGAATAGAACATAGAACTAACCTGGACCGTCCAGAACGACTCAACGGTGGACTCCCCAATCACCTCGTTGACAAGGTATCCAGCGTTATTGATAAGGACATCCGGGACTCCGCACTTGGCCACAATTGTTTCGAATGCAGCATTAATCCCCGCCTCATCTCGCACATCAGCAACCAGGGAGAGAACCACTGTTTCAGGGCTAATCTCCTTGACTTGCTTTTCCGTCTCAGCCAAGGCATCAGCAGAGCGTCCAAGAAGCGCAATCGCCGCTGCTTTAGCCTGGGCGAATGAAATCGCGAATCCCTATTGTCCTTTAATCCTCTCGCATCGCGGCTTTGCTCTGTTGGCTCTTACCCTTCCTAGTCCTCGAGTGGCGCCAGTGATAACAATCACCTTTCCCGCCTGCGACAGCTTGGGCTGTTTGGGGTCTACAGCGGGATAAACATCGCGATGGGCGTTCTTTGTAAAGGCCATTGCCTTGACAAAGAGATTTGGGTCAGTATTTGCGTCGGCCATTGTTGATTTGATAGTGGTTGGAGGACGAGGTGCTGGGTCAGAATTTTGAACTTGAGAAAAAGAGACTTTCGGACAACAAACACGGATTTATACTTCCGGCAGTAGACACGCCCCAGCTGAGTTACAGTACACAAGCCGCGGGGTAGCTGAGGGTATCATTGGCGCCGACAGCAGGCGAGGTTCAGGACGCCACAATCGATCTGAAAAGCACGGACAAGATACTCGAACTCGAACTGGTAGGATTCCATCCGGTTCCGGTGGGCTCCTGTCAGCCAGCCCCCCGACCTTGGCGGCCCGTCCTATCGTTGGCGTTGCTGTATGTACATATATGTATGTAGCTACGGTGCGCCCTGGAGCATGTGAGGGCGCCACAAGGCTAGACTCGAGCCTAGTCACTGAACGAATGATAGATCGTGTTCTGGTGGAGCCATTCATTCCCGCCCGCGAACCCTCGCTGCGTCGATGACACGCACATTTTTTTTCGTGGGTTCGCCAAACTTATCCGGAGACCACTGTGTACTTGTTCTTCCAGTTCAGCCCATGTTCTAGGTCTCGTAACCCAGAGCTGCCACTCCTAATGCCGTAAGAGAAGGAAAAAAAGAGCTCACCTAGCGGAGGCACAAAGGACCTCCGCGGAGACCCAAGGTGCAACCATGAGAGGCCATTGGGCTGGCTGAAAATCGGGTTCGCCGTTGGTTGGTGTCAGTAGTTCCAACCGGTGAGGCTCAGCCAGCCTCCACACTCGACTCGACGGATTTCTCCGAACTGGCCCACTCCGAAATTCTTCTTCGGCCGGAATACTTGTCCTGAAGGCGTACGCCTCGATTCATGAGGTACAGAGTACCATAAGGTGCTCCCTGCAACAATCCAACCACCAAAGTTTTCTCATCATTCAGAAGAAATTGGGCGCCACGTCACCAACGTTTGTTGTCGTCTAGGAGCAGGGCGACCAATTAGCCAAGGCTCAGGCTGAGACCCTTATAAGCTAGTGTCGACCGTATTGGGCAGTAGTTTAAGCCTAATCTCAATAGTCTATGCGATCCTATCTTTTCAGGGACTAGATCAAGTGTCTTTTGTAGAGAAAGGGATTTTTTTGGTCCCCACTTCACCAGGAACTCCCAGGGTCCTATCTAGGCAATTGGTACGATCAAGCGCGCTCCCTTTCGTATCTTACGGCAGGCCGGGCCGGAAAATTTTGAGGAAATGCGGCTAGACACGAGAATATATAGCTTCTCCTCCCCAGGTTTGTTTCTCTGATCTGCCTCTTTCCTGCTCCGTACCAGATTCTGGTAACCGCTTCTTTTCTTTGCCAATATTATTACAAGAATGGGTCACTTCCGCTCCGCTGCAATGACGGGAGCTCTGCTTCTTGCAGGCTTAACACCAGTCATCGCGCAGACTTGCACCATTCCAGCTCGACAGATACTTGGGAACCCTTCCTTTGAGACTGGTAGCGTGGCACCCTGGGAGGTAGTGAAGGGGTGTACCGCGGGATGCCCGGGTACGCCACCTGATATTTTGGAGGACGCAGAGAACGCATATGACGGATCCTAGGTGCTGTAAGTACATTGACACGTATTGGTTTAGCTGGTCCTGGTCATTAAGCATTACAGCCGCCAGCCCTTCGAGGGCAACATAGTCTGGTGGGCTACGCAACCATCGTGAGCCCAGGCGAGCCGCATAATATCTCGCTGTGGTATCGCTATGATTCACTACCTGGTATCTCAGTAGAATCTTGCAGCATTGCTGTTAGATATGGTAGAGCGCCTATACAGAACATTGGTCGATCTTCTGCAGCGCCCAACGCAGGGTGGACGCAGCTATCAGTTACCTGGACCCCTACAACCACTGAGTATACATTCTGCGTCGCCTATGGCTGCAATACACCACACTATACCTTGATGATATTCAGTTCTGGGCGCCAGAGAGGGAGACTACTTGTTCGACCTCGACCTCGACCTCGACCTCGACCTCGACTTCGACTACAACTTCCACTTCAACAACTTCGACTAGTACAACGGTGACTTCTTCGTCTACAACCACCACAACTTCAGACACCACTACTTCGTCCACTACTACTTCATCTACAACAACCTCAGACACAACTACCTCAGACACGACTACTTCACCCACAACTACTTCTGCTTCATCTACATCAACCTCAGACACAACTACGACATCAACAACAACAACTTCTTCCACCACTTCCCAATCAACATCCACCTTCACAACCACCACAAAGCCAACCTGCAATCCCCACCACACCAAAACCATCACCAGGACAAAGACGGTTACTGTGACTATCTGCCCTACCTCGCTCCCGGCCTACTTCGAGTGCCTTGTTGATGGTATCCACCACCATTAGTGCCAAAACCACTCGTCAAGTAAGAAAAAGAGACCGGCCCAGGAGACAAGTGGACGAAGAGATATATCTAGACTTGAGCCTTGGATAAGCCTAGTTAATTATGTATTCCCTAATTAAAATATAATCTTCGGTTTTTTCAGTGCTATACAGATCTTGTATTTGTCTTGGCTGAGCCCCTGGGTTTTGTCGACCGGAGGCTGAGCGCTTTGTGATGTAAGTAGGAACCAGGTATTGACCAGGTGGAAAAGGATCAGTGAATGCATTGCACTAAGATTAGATGGCATGTGCTTTGAGAATCAATGTGCCATAGCCAGACAGAAGCAGCTTTCAATAGCCGCTCACAGAACTGGAGCCTAATGATATACGCTTTCTTTTTGGCAGTCTATCTTTCTCCAGTATACCCGTCTGACAGCATACATCCCATTAGCAATACAGCAGTCATTTAACTACCTGGAAAGTAGCTAAGTGAGAATCTAAATTTTCAGGCTGATTGGTTACCGTAGTCTTGTAACAGAAATGGCAGAGATATACTCTGTGCAACTGTCCTATAATTCAAGTACTTGAAGCCGAGGCCTTGATATCCGTATCCCCAACCGTTGGAGGCGTCCTCCTAAACTGTTCAACACCCTCTGCGCCACAAAGCCAACTTGCGCGGTCCTTGGTGAACGCCTCAAACTTAGGCTTCAATTTCGTCTCATGCAGACTGAAATCATCGACCGTCCCAGTGCGCAGAAGGCTGTGTCCCGGAAACACTTCGCTCGTGCGATACATGAGCGACCCACACACAGAACAGAAGAAGTTCGTCATTGCCTTGCCGCTGACGGTGGTCTTTGACTGGGTGTAGACTGAGAGGGTTTCCTTGCCGCGCAGATGTTTCAGATACGCGTCATTGATGATAAAGATGGTCGAGAACATGGATGCAGTGATTTTGTGGCAGTCTGTGCAGTTGCAGATGAAGGTGTCGACGAGACCGGGGCCTTGCGTTGGCTGTATAAATGACATTAGCGGGACATAACCACCCCGACGACGATCTTGGAACTGGACAAGGCTTGCGCCTGGCGCTGGTAGCGTGGAGCAACTTACAAATGCCAACTGCACAGCTCCACAGTAGCATGTAGCAGTTGCCTCTTCCCCTGTCGACCAGCCATCACTGGCGCTCCCTGCAAGAGGGAGATGGGGCTTCGTGTTATCAGATGTTGCAACCATAGTCTCGTCACACTCAGGCTATCGGGCCAAATCCAGTAGCTTGAGCGCATGTTCCATTTATATCTTATTTACCATCCATAAGTTGGTCCTGATTGATAATCTTGGAGATTGAACCGTGGCTGCTGGGTGTGTGCCACATTAACCTTCGGAGCCCACCGGGCTCCCACCGGGAGCTGTGCTTTCCGCAACCCACCGTTCGGATGATAATCAGTCGGTGTGTACCACTGTGTACATGAATCAAGGCACAGCCGGTGCATAAAAAATGGTTAGTGATCATCCCTGTGTAAATTCCCAAATTTGGAATAGGATGATCCGACAGTAACCTTGGACCAATATGGAGCAGCATAAAATACTGATTAGTGATCGTCCCGTGTGCCACTTACCGAGCTTGGAAATATTGGAAAATCAGAAGCAGGGTAACTCAATCCGTTGGTTTCAAGCTGCACTCTATGAGTTTCAGATAGGGCACCTATGTATGCTTTTCCTTTTTCTAAGGTTAACTTCCGCCCGGCTAATGCAGAATGCCGGGTAGGAAAGAAAGCATGGACGGAATGTACGGTTTAGACTATAACCAGGATGAATTGGGCTGCACTATACTTGACTATGAGAAATGTCTCTCAAAGGAAGAATTCCCCGACTACGCGAGACTCCTATGCGTTCCATACACGGATACCTGCCTCTCATCAAGAGCAGGGATCAGCTTACCCACATTGATCGGTTCACTCGAAGCCCGGATTGTCGTCCGCGCCTGTTCAAGTCCGTTGCCAATGGCGAGGACCTCGATCTCGCCTTCTTCCCTACCAGCCTCAATAAACGCAACAGCCTGTCCATGGAACAGACCAATCCTGTCGGTAGCCCGGAGGTACTTTGAAAACGCCGTGTCACCATTGCACAACCCCCCAACGCGACCTGGCCCCTTGACAGAGAACGAAATCTCGTCCGTAGCATCCGGCACGAAACAACCCTCGGAATCCACAACTGAAACTCGAACAATCGCCACATCCCTCCTGTCGGTGTCGAGAACCGAACGGTCTGGGAGGAGTCTCAGTGCGGAAGGCGCACCGGCCGTCTGTTGTATGTGCTCGGCAACAACGATTCCCTCGCGGTATCCACGAACACAGACTCGACCAGGCTGATATACGACCCCCTCGCGTATCTGCGCTTTGTGGTTGACCACCGGCCAGCGGTCTCCTATGACCGTCCCGTTGATCTCGACCTCGACCTCATCGCAGTTCGAGTAGACTGCAAACGGCAAATTCTGGCCTTCTTTCCCGGGCCAGGTCCAGTGGGGGAACGCGTGGACGATGGGCTCCGAGGGCTTAAAGACACTTCTCACAAGCCAGTAATAATCCTTTGGCAAGCCAGCAAGATCCCGTTGTCCATAGGCGCCAACGAGAGACGGCCAGCGGGCGGGTGCCGGTTCCCCGTAGTAGTCGATGCCTGTCCAAATAAAGGCGCCGGTGACCTTGGGATGCGAGAAGGCCAGGGTAATGTTTGGTGCAATGATTGGGGAGAACTTGCTGGGGTCGATATCGCCAATCGCGCCGTTCGCCTGCGGCTCGTCTCGGTCCAAGAGAGCTTCATGGATATAAGAGAATGAGCCCGAGTACGCGCCAGCCTTGTCGTAGTGGTAAACCCCGCGGGTGCAGGCATACAGGCCCTCCTCGTCCAGGACATGAAGCTGACGTGGGTGCAAGGCAATGGACTCATCGAGGGTACCAAACAAGCATCGGTAGTGCATCCCGATTACATCCAGCTGCTGGTAATACCCGGTCTTGGTGTCGGGGAGGTTCATGACACCGCCGACAGTGACGGGACGAGTCGGGTCCAACACCCTGCATTCCTTGATGAGACGAGCCAGGACAGCGCTCCCCATCGGTGTCCCCTGCATGGACAGTTCTTCGTTTTCGAGACTCCACATGAAAACAGAAGGCGAACTGCGAAAGGCTCGAACCATAGCTCGTAACTGCTCAATGCTAGCTGCAGAAGTGCTCATATTGCGCTGCTCTGGCAGAATCAGCATCCCGATGCGATCGGCGTGGCGGACCAGCTCTGGTGTGGGCGAGTGGTGCGCTACCCTAATAGCATTGACGCCCATCTCAGCGCACATGTCGACCTTGGCTTCGATGATCCGGTCTGGTAGGGCGCTGCCGTAATAGCCAAAGTCTTGGTGGAGATTGACACCTTTGATCTTGGTCTTGACCTTGTTGATGATGATGCTATCCTCTGCCCATTCGATCCTGCGGACTCCGAAATCGATGGTTGTTGTATCCAGCAGTTGGTCGCTTTGCTGCCCGACGACACGGACGGTCAACGTATATAGGGAGCCCTTTCCGATGTTCCAGACCTCTGGATTTTCGAGCAAAACCTCTTTCCGAACAGTGCGCTGCGACATCCCTGGCACAGAAACCGAGGAGTTCGTGGCATCTTTAGCAAGACTGAGCGTGTTGCCATTCGGATCAGTGAATGTGAGCTCAATAGTCACTGCAGTCGTATCCAGAGCGAGGTTCCCGACCTCTACTTCCACCCTCACTAGAGCACGCTCGGGAGAGATGTCCGGGGCAGTAACGAGAATCCCATTCTGCTGGATGTGGACATCGCCATAAGTTTCCATCCAAACATGTCGATAGATGCCGCCACCCTCCAACCACCAGCCCTCCGCCTCGGACGAATCACTCCGGACTAGCAGGACATTGGGTACATCCGAACGAAGCAGTTCAGTCACATCAAGCGTCAACGGCGTGTACGAGGTGGTCTGCCCTCCGATCCAGAACCCGTTCAGCCAGACGCTCGACTCCCCGGCGATCCCGTCAAAGGTCAATTGGACGTGTTGGCCCGGACGAACTGGGTCCGTGGGAAAGACCGTGCGATAGTACGCGACACCTGTTGGCCACCACGCGTGCCATCCCTTGGGATAGTCGACGGGATAGTCGTTATTTGGATCCGGGGTTTGCTCAGTTCTCCAGTCGTGTGGAAGGTTGACCTCGGTCCAAGAGGCGTCACCGTCTCTGGGACGAACCTGAATTGCCTGGAAGCCTGCTCCCATCTTCTCGATTGCGGTTGCCTCGCCTTTGTACTGCTCCAGCTCTTCCTTTGTCAGGTCACTCCATCCGTTGGCTGTTCCAGCTTTACCCACTAGACGGCGGGGAGCCAAGATGTCAGCACCTAGATGGAACTTCCAGCCATTGTCAAGGGATGTCCTGCTTCGCGGCTGGGTGTTCGCCATACTGTAGAATGATCGTACTGAGGCCGTGGCACAAGACTCCGTGGATGTGAAATATACTGTATAAAGGCGATCTTGCGACTCGAACTAAGAACTGGGGTAGAGTGTGAAGAGATGTGTACAAGGCGGCTCGGCAGATTGCTGTCGTACCACTGCTGTCTCGGATAATAGAGGGCAAGCATTTCTATCCTGTTAAACGAACCCCGGCTGGCTCTTTATAAGCAGAGCGGGGATACTTCGTACTCGGATCCTTCACCGTAACAGCTTGATCTGGGAGGTTCGTATTCTTTGCCAGAACAGCTCTAGGCAGCTTCGTATCGATCCGCGGTTAATTCAACAGCCCTACTCGGCCCGAGAGAGCGAGAACACAAGGGTCACAGGGGATGCTTGCGAAGGCACTAGTCCCAAAACTTGCTTTACGAGTACGATCTTTTCATGGCCATTCCTTCTCGGCGGGTTTTACCCCGGATCCGACTCAGAGCTCACCCGGTTCAAGTTTCCCCGCATTTGCCTGGGACCCTGGTCAAAGCTGGAGATGAGTTCTTGCCTCATGCTCCACACAACAATCAAGTTGGAGGATGCATGGGGTTGAGCAAAGGATGGCACCCCGCCGGAGTTTGGGTATCTTGTGTTCTCGCAGCACAGTGCTAATGCTCGACGCTGAAGAGCCCACGTGCTTTCAGATCTCGGAGAGGCCAGAACGTATCTCTGCCTCAAAAATATATAAGAGCAAGGGTCTCTGTTCAAGATTGACCCACTTCAACCCTGGTCAATCACTTCAGTGTCATTCCATCTTCCACACTCGAAAACATATTGCCCTATCTTTAGCTAAGGCGTTCTTCCTGTCATGTCAGCAACCGAGATGAATAGAGTCGTCTCTGATAAGCAAGACCGACCAGTCGAGCTTGAAACTGTCAGGCACCCCGACCCGACAGAGGATAACGATGACTTTGAATGGACCCTCGACATCTGGCTAAACCTGGCTGCCCTCTACCTCACCTACTTCTCATGCGTCTGGGCTCAGTCCGTCCCGGGAACAAGTTTGGGATTTATCCAAAAAGCATTCCCCGAGGAATCCGGTACTGCACCGTGGATCCCAGGCGTGGGGAGTCTGTGCCTCTGCGTGATCAGCAGCTTCGTCGGCGAGCTCTCTGACATCTTTGGCCGGCGATACTTTCTCTTCTTCACCACATGCTGTGGGGTCGCTGGAATGTTGATCTCTTCCCGCGCCGAGTCGGTGGGCGTCATCATCGGCGGCCAGACAATCACCAGTATCGGCTTCTCAGTCGGCTATCTTACTACGCCATTGGTCTCTGAGATCGTTCCCAAGCGTTCACGATCCCTCGTCGTCGCAGGAACGACCTTGCTTACTGGTCTTGTTTCGGTCGGCGGTGGAGTCGGCATGGCCGGTGTTATGAAGCACAATGTTGGCGGCTACAATGAGGGATGGCGGGTGGGCTTTTACCTCGGGGCAAGCTTTTTTGCCCTCTCCTTTGCTCTTCTCTTCTCTTATCACCCCAGCAAGCGCCCGAATCCTGAGGGTCTCACAGTCCGAGCGCGGCTTCAAAAGTTTGACTGGGTTGGCATCCTTCTTGCCACCGCGAGCCTGACCTTGCTACTGGCTGCGCTGCAGATGGGAGGCCACACGTACCCCTGGAATTCCGCTACTATTATCTCCTTGCTCGTCATTGGAACAGTTGCCCTCGTCGCACTGGGCATCTGGGAGGCAATCGGCGCCACGCACCCCTTGATCCCGCGCCAACTCTTCCAACACCGCAACTACGCCATTGGCCTCACCATCAACTTCATCGAGGGCGTCGCCGCATTCGGTGCTCTCAGCTTCCAGAGCCCCATCGTGCTCAACCTCTTCGAGCCGGACTACCTCTTGTCAAGCTTGTACATCCTGCCCTCCGCCGGCGGGACAATTACTGGCGCTGTCGCGACTGCGCTCGTCGTGTACAAGACAAAGGAGGTCAAGTGGGTGGCCATCGTAGGGTGCGCGCTGCTAGCGACCAGTGTCGGCGTTATGGCTCTCCTGGAGCCGAACATCAATCTCGCGGCTTGGTTCGTGCCGACCACGATCACAGGAGTCTGCATCGGTGTTTTTGCCGTTCTGAACCCGGTCATCGCGACCATCTGCACCCCCAACGAGCTCGTCGCTACCTCGGTCAGCATCGGAACCTCAATGCGCGGGCTCGGCGGGGCCATCGGCATCGTCATGATCTCCACCATCTTCCAGAACAAAATCACCGCCAACCTCCCCGCAATGGTAGGAGGCGCTATAGTCCAAGCTGGTCTCCCCCCCGACCTCATCCCCCACATCCTGGGCGCGCTATCGCATGGTGACACATCCTCCCTGTCGCTGATCCCGGGCACCTCTCCGGAGATAATCCGCTCCATCGTTGACGCGAACCAGCAGGCGTACGCAGACTCATATCGGGATATGTGGTACTCGTTGATTCCATTTTGTGTCTTGACGCTTGCGTCGGCTTGCTTTTTGACCTCAACCAAGGATCAGCTTACCGGGGAAGTTACGACTGCTGTGGAGCAGCGGTTTAGTAAAGGGAAGGGACAACGTGAGGTGGAGGGTAAGGGTGATTTGAGGTAGGGTAGCTAGTGCATGGTTTCACCTTTAGGCTCCGCTCTGTCTCCCGAGACCCTACGTGGAGGCATCCGTACCTTTGTTACTTGCTTGAAGACGCTAGGGTAGTCTTGCTTCTTAACTTGGAACCAACTATTCCTTATTACTCGCGGTCTGACAATGGGCTCTCATAACGGCGTAGGGAAACAGACCACGGTGACTGTTGGAACAATGTTCTCAACAACACCATTCGCAAATCCTCGACCCGTCGGGTCACTTGTGAAGCAGCCAAATTCACTATTATGGCTTTTTGGATGCTTTTGTGAGAATTCGCCGTATGTGTATCAGATGGAGGGCTACGAGGGCACGTACCATACCACCCGTGTGCAGACTACCGCAATGTTGGTTGGTAATAGAAGACCCGGTGGAATTATGAGATTGCTACGAGAATCGTTGCCAGAGCTGAGCCGAATACTGTGCCATTCACATTTTGTGCTATTGCTATAGTAAAGGCTGAGAGACAGCACCCCGATTTCAGCCCATCATGCTCCCCCACCCATTGTCGACATGTATCAGGGCCCCATTAAGTAGCTTTGACCTTGCGCCATGCGATAACTCCAAGGCGAGATCGGCAACATCATCAAGACCACAAAGGGGAACCCGCAGAGCTTGCATGACATCTCTCGTCTTCTGATATCCGTCTGTGTTGATGCCGCTGCGGAAAGCATCGGTGACATTTGTGTTCATCGCGCCCATCATAAACGCGTTGCAGCGAATACCCTTGTCTGCGTAGAAGGAGGAAGTGTTCTTGGTCAGGCCGACGAGTCCGTGCTTGCTGGCTGTGTATGCCGCACCTACCCCTTCGGTCAGTTCATCCCAACGCGACCATAGGTCAATCAGCAAAGGCTTGATCCCACTTACCTGCAGCCAATCCAACCTTGCCTGCCATGGACGCGATGTTCAAGATGTACCCATCCGGCTCCTCCTGAGCCAGAAACAGTTGAATCGCCTTCCTACTGACTAGAAAGGGCGCAGTGAGATTGACCGCGATGACTCGGTCCCAAAGTGCAGGATCGAGGTCTCCAGCGGGGTCAAACCGGTCCATAATCCCGGCATTGCTCACCAGGATATGGAGCGTTCCGAACTCAGCCGAGATCTTGATAAACAGTTGGTCCACTTCCTCATGGTTGGAAATGTCATAAACGTAACCTTTGATTGTCCCCTTGGCAGACAGTTCCGACATGGTCTGCGTTATGCGCTCTTTGTTGATATCGCAGATGATGACTGTTGCTCCGGCTTCGAGATACTTTGTCGCAATTGCCTTGCCTAAACCGCTTGCTCCGCCAGTAACGAGGGCGTTCTTGCCGGCAAGGACGTGCTGCGCCATTGCAGTATGCTGAGGATGGCGTGAAGTTTTAGTGAAGCTAGTTTTGGTTGCAGGGCAATATCAGAGGGTACAAGTCGACTTTATATTCCTCCAAGTACCCATCAGGAGCCAGATCGACATGAGTAACCGACCATCCGACAGCGATGCGTATTCTGTACGAAAAGCGTATTCTATACGAGGATCCGCTCCAGGGTCCACGACTCTCCTTTTAACCGACATGATCTCGCCGCCGCGGCTTCTGCAACCCCGGTGCTCCAAATTTAGCCAGGGTCGAGTCCGGCACAGTTGGATAACTGCTCCGTGTCTCGGTTTCCTTCCTTTCCGGTAGTTCGTCGTGCAACATCACATTCTCGGGTTATGCTGTTGACATTCGGGATGGAGCGCATCTGAATCTTTGGGACATACTAGCAGGACCCACTAACTAAACGCGTGTACGAAAGGCCGGGTCCACGGAGCGGTTGGTGGCCGTACGCAATACGAATGTCCCAGAGCCCACTCTTCCGAATGTAGAACTCGCTGGCCACGGACAGTAAACCATCGGGACCAAGCCTTGTTTAGCTTCTGCAGAAGCCAGGTCAGTCCCAGGGATGGAACCTGCGGGGACCTGCTAAATATCCCACCGCAGCTATCAGCCTAGAGCTGTCAAGAACTCGTCGTGTCTCTCAGACGAGAGGATTGATGGCGTCGCTTTTCCACTTGATCCTTTGCGCTGCTTCCGAGTGTACAGTCGACCCTATTAGGGTCCACGCCCAGATCTTCATTGTGACGATCATAGCCTCCTGTGAAGGTCACCCCGAGGACAGGCAAATCGCAATCAATCCGCGCGTCAAAATGAACACGGAATACTATCTACTATTGCTGCATGCAGGATGTTCTCTGCTCTAAGGGAGCTCTCTACCACCTACCCGGAGTAAAACGTCCCAGTGTGCGTGTTGGCAGCCTTCGGCGAGGATGCAGTGGCCCTGGACCGACCCGGGAAAAAACATGATTCCCCAACAGGTCAAAGCAAAAAGGCCCGTGCCACCTCTTGGCCCGAGCGGCAGCTTTCTCCCGGAAGCATGTGGTCACAGGGTGCGCGACAAGGGACCGGATGTCTCGGGATAGGAATGCACCGAGCAAGCGAACCACCGTAGCCGTAGTGTACTTCCCCAGATTCATCGAGCCTTGCGAATAAACACGGGTTGAACTGACAGCCAGAGGCGTCAAGGAGCAGACCCACACCCTTGAAGCAACTATCACCCCACCATCCACGATCGACATCTGGGATGTGGAAATCCAGGATTGGAGAGGCTGCCCCAATGACAGAACTTGAATCCAGCCTATAGTATCGGTGTACACTTCGCAAGCAACCCTTGATTGCATGAAAGAAATCTCTCCGGAGCTGGAGTGCGTCAGCGGGATTTGTACGTACTGAGCCACGTTCACTGTCCCGAATATGAAGGACATTGATGCCTACCTCTCAGTCAGTCCAATCCTCAACATCCTTCGCGTCTGGGTGAATGGGGATCGCGTGGGCCCGTTCGGGGCGGATAGTGTCAAGGTGGACATTAGCGATCGTCTACGCCGCAGCAGGGTCAATACTATAAAGATTAGAGTACTAACAACGATCTACAATCGCCTGAAGGCGGACGTGGGCTCTACCCTCGTCATGGGGTATCCGCTCTCCATGAGTTATCCCTAGTTTGCGCCCGCTGAGAATCAGGAGTATTGTCTACAGGGACTGGTGGCTATCGACTAGGTTCGTGAATCGAATCATCGTTTAAGGAGTTTGTTTAGGGATATGAAGTAGCTGAGATCCTCCAGGGTGAAGGGGAAGACAGAAAGGTAGACCTACGCAATTGCATTTAACCAATTCAGACAGATTGTTACCTTGCATCACGTTTGATGTGTTCCCTAGCTAGAGTCCCATAGATCCACAAACAATCTATATCACTCAAGGCTTCAGTCTCCAGGCTACAGAATAAGATTATCACCTTGACAGCAACTGATATAGGGTTATATCAGTGGAGAAGGGCCCGCGACTCTGTTTCAAAGGACCGAAAGTACTTCTACATTTGGGTCGCGTCAAGGATTCAGCCACGTAGTGGTTAGGCCAACGAGGCCTTATCAGTTCAGATAAACTTATAAGGGATGCACTCGCATGCAATTAGGAGGCGGGGAAAGGCTTTTAACCGACAGTTAGCATGGCTGACGAACCAAGAAGCTGCATGTTCCACGGTGGTTGCAGAAGCTCCAGGCCCCTCTTCACAAATATGAGGGCCTTAGAAGCCATCTTCACTCTAGAGTGATGGCATCTGGCATGCATAGGGAACATGGCAGAACGGGGCCGATATTAGTCGAGGCGCCGGAAAATTTGATTCTAGAAGCCTATGGGTGAAAGTACAAGGGATGGCCGAATCCATACTATGGATCGTCGTAGCGATACTCTTCATCCCAACGTGCTCCCAAGTCCCGCGTGCCAGAAGTGGATCAGGAGATCATCGCAGTAATGGTCACCCTCATTTTCGGCTGCTAATACCCCGGGGCTTATGGTGAAGAGATTTCTCCGCACCAAAACAAATCCTGTCGGATTGAATTACTGCGACTCTCCGTGGGGAAGAGCTCCCATATTCCCGGGGAAACGAGTCATGTGCGCGCCCCTCTCTCATCAGGTTGAAACCGGCCTTCTGCCTGGACTAATGTCTAGCGACCTTTTCGTACTGTCCTCTTCTAACTCTACCACGTCAGTATGCGGGGAATGCCGGGGCACTAACTTGCGGGATTGGTCAAGAAACCCGGCCGCGAAGTGATGAGCACGCCTGTCGCAACACATCAAGGGCTAAGAATGTGGAGCCGAATTGGGGGCCCAATTGTATTCATTCATGAGGAGCCTGGGCCTCTGGCTGAGTCGTACTCGTAACTTTTTCCCCAAACGGCGAGGCGAACCCCGCATTGATCCTACCCTGAATCACAGATGCGGGGACCACTGGTATTTGGCGCACAGCGCTCCATTGTGCACAATTCTCTGATCTCTGCCCCTCGGTTCTTTGCCCTCAATCTCCACATAAATTGGCTCTGATTTATGCAAGCATAAAACAAACTCTGCTGTCTGAGCGCTGATCGGAGTTTGAATTCGTCTCCAACCCGGCGTGAGTAATGCTACGAAAGTCTGCCCTCCTAAGCTCATTCAACCAGGGGCTAGCTGCGCTAGTAACCTTCCATACTAACCAGGACAGCATAAGGAGATCATTACCTGACCTAGCAAGCAAGTACATGACACCAGGCCTGGGTATGATGTCAATTGCGGGGTGACCATTTGGATAAATTGATGTGGTGCATTGTACCGGGATATGTGACCCTGAAAAGCAGGGAACACCGTCCTGTTTTGCTGCTCTATTGCGGGGAAGACTCGCCGTCGTAGATTACTGGTCAATGTAACCCTGGAGTAGATTTGTAAATATATATTCCTCGCAGGAATATGAATCGGATACCTGACAACTAAAGCGCGCATAAGAAAGTCTCAGGTTCTTCCAGTGTGCCATCCCCGCGAGATCTAAATAAAAATGCGTTGGACGGCAGTAGCTGCAGTCATATATGCTGTTCTGCAGGTCAGTTACGCCAGTCGCGATACCTTTAGCAGTGAGTTGCACCTCTGTCAAGGGCTTGTTCCATTCTCAATACTCATTCCCCATACGAGTAGGTCCAGGAATCAAGGTGGAGCAATGGCACTCAGCAACCCAAAAAGCCGACGCTCTTATTGCAAAACTGAACATTACCGAAAAGGCTGGCTTGCTCACTGGAAACCTGCGTAATCTGACATGCGGTGGCATTATTAATGCTATTCCACGTGTCGACTTCCCTGGGCTCTGTCTGCAGGATGGGCCATCAGGTATCCGTACCGCAGATCTCGCCAGCGTGTTCTCTGCTGGCATATCAATTGGAGCAACTTGGGATCCAAAGCTGATCTACGAGAGGGGCCGAGCGATGGGAGAGGAGTTCCGAGGGAAAGGAGCGCATGTGATATTAGGGTACGTATATATCTTTTCCCTATTGGTGTTGTTCAGCAGGGTTGTGGAAGGGCATAATGCTAAAAACACCATCGCAGACCCACTACCGGACCCCTAGGTCGCATTCCTCTAGGCGGCCGGAACTGGGAAGGATTCTCCGTCGATCCATATCTCGCAGGTATTGCGACGTCGGCCACGGTGCGCGGACTCCAAGATAGCGGAGTGCAAGCGTGTACAAAGCACTACGTTGGGAACGAGCAGGAAACACAACGTACATTGGGAGTTATCAACAATGTGAGCGTTGATGCGGTCTCATCCAACATCGACGACCGCACCCTCCATGAGCTGTATATCTGGCCATTCGCCGACGCCGTCCGCGCGGGCACATTGTCAATAATGTGCTCATACAATCGTCTCAATAATACCTATGCATGTGAAGACGAGCACACTTTGAATAGGATCTTGAAAGATGAACTTGGATTCCAGGGTTACGTCATGTCCGACTGGTTCGCGACTCATTCTGGTGCAAAGGCGGCCAATGCGGGGTTGGATATGAGCATGCCTGGTCCAGTGGATCAATACGATTTTACGAGCTCCTACTTTGGCCCAAACCTCGTCGACGCCGTACAATCTGGCAACGTCTCGGCAGAGCGACTCAATGACATGGTGCGGCGCGTCCTAACGCCATATTTCTATCTCGGCCAGGATGAAAATTACCCAACAATTGACCCGTCCGGCCTATTCGTCACGCTGGCGGCAGTAAGCTACATGCCTTCCATACTCGGTATTCCAGATGATGTGCCCTTACCACCCGCACGAGACGTACGAGCGGACCACGCGTCCCTCATCCGCAAGCACGGCGCCGCTGGTACGGTCCTCCTGAAGAACACAAACAATACACTGCCCCTCAAGGCACCACGTACTATCGCCGTTTTCGGGAACGACGCGGCGGATATCTCGCGTGGCTCGGCCGCCCCGCTCGGCTCGGCATATGCGCCTCCTCAGGGCATCGAAATGGGCGTGCAAGTCATGGGTGGGGGTGCGGGGTCCGGTCGTCTATCCTATGTCGTCTCGCCCCTCGATGCACTGAGAACACGCGCCGCGAGCTCGAACAGTAGCATATCAGTCCAGTACGTCACAGACAACAGTGTGGTCGCAAACGCCGACTTTAGCGGTATCTATCCGTTCCCGGACGTTTGCCTCGTCTTCCTCAAGACATATGCGGCCGAGACTATTGACCGCGTTAGCTTCGACGCGGATTGGAACTCCACTGCCGTTGTCAATGCTGTCGCCTCGTACTGCCCGAGCAAGAAGACAGTGGTGGTCACTCACTCGGCGGGTATAAACACCATGCCCTGGGCGGACAACCCGAATGTCACCGCCATCTTGGCTGCGCACTACCCAGGGCAGGAGGCAGGCAACTCAATCGTGGATATTCTTTTTGGAGATGTGAACCCGTCGGGACGCCTCCCGTATACAATCGCGCGGAATGAGAGTGATTACAACACGGAGGTCTTCAATGTAACGGACCCTGAGAAAGCAACAGATGCCACTGCTTGGCAGTCGGATTTCACAGAGGGATTGTTGATCGATTACCGTCATTTTGACGCGAATGGTATCACGCCACTCTACGAGTTCGGGTTCGGGTTGAGCTATACTACCTTTGATCTTACTGGAAAGTTGAAGGTGCTGCCTGCACATGGCCAGAGGAATATCAGCCCATTCCCACCCAAGGTCAGGGAGACCAGTCCTGGAGGGACCCCGAACCTCTGGGAAACTCTTTTCACCGTTACCGTTAGCGTCAAGAACACCGGGAATGTTGCGGGTGCTGCAGTGCCACAGCTGTATCTGTCGCAGCCGAGGGGTTCTGTGCCCCAAGGAACACCGGTGAAGGTGCTCCGGGGGTTTGACAAAGTGTTCTGAAGCCTGGAGAGGAGAGAGAGGTATGGTTCCCCTTGCTGAGACGTGATATGAGCTACTGGGATGTTGCGGCTAAGGACTGGAGATTGCCAAGGGGAGAATATAATGTCAATGCTGGCTTTAGCTCGAGGGACATAAGGAGGAAGGGCACCGTTCGAGTTCGCTAGGATGTAGTAGCCGGCCTGAAGCGAGTGCATGATATGCATTCATCATCCGCACCAACACGAAGAGAGATTAAAGTTATATCATCTATGGAACACATATATAGTCGCGGAAGCCCAAATCCCTAAACGCAAGGGCACCAAGTGAAATTGAACAAAAATATCCAAATCGGTTAACGCAACTCCGTCTGGACGCCAGCAAAGGATCCCTTTTGCGGAAGGACACTGGCTGGGTGAAAGCGATGAAAAATCGCCTGGACCACAAACATCGGAACCGTGTCAAACACATACAGATAGGCCTCATGCTTCATTAAATACCCATCAATGCCTTGGACAAACTCAACGATACGGTACAGGCAGCGAATAATGATGAGCGCAGAGACTAGAAAAAGCACGTATAGAAGAGCACCATACGGCAAGTGCACGATTTTGACGCGCTTGGTCGTTTCGACTCGTCGACGAAACACAACCGAGATCGCAAAGAAGAAGCCGAAAAATATGAGCTGGATGAAGAGACCAACAATGGCTATGTTTTGCCCCATTTTTGCCATTGATTCCATAGCCATCATGCCGCCACCGCTGGCCTGGAGGAAGAACGCGAAGACGTCACCGAGGACGAATATCTTGGTCACTTTACCAGGGGCAATTATGGACAGCTCTGGGGATTGAGCGTAAATGACTATTCGACCGTAAACCATATAGATTGTAGCGGCGTAGAGGGAGGGTGGAAGGAGGAGGCAGATGCTCTGGCCAATATAGAGGCCCAGGGAGGTTTGGTTCTGAGACGATGCGGCGCGGAAGAGGTAACCCACTGTCATCACTGATTTGGGACCAAGTGTTAGTATTGGACCGGTTGCATGGCGGTATTCCACTGCGATGTCTTACTGATTGCCCCAATGATAAAGGTGGTGAAGAAATAGCACTTGAACTTCCAGAGCTGGAAGATATGGAATCCAGTACTCGCCCCGTAGAAGATCAGCGCGATAATTGCCCCGGCTAGGGTGGGATCATAGTGGTAGATTGACGACGACATGCTGGCATCAGGGTGATTCACGTAAAGAGAAGGAAGTTTAGGAATGTTATTATGGCCAACGGATGAACAGGCTCGCTGCGGTACTTATGGAGTTTTCATCCGAGCATCCTGGAACCTTCAGACGCTCCACAGTTAAATATAGCTACGGGATTCATAGAGGCCGCTACAATGCCTTAGCATTAGGAATCACGAACACTTGTCGTCAAGCCACACTCTAGTATCACGTATTCGTATTCTCCGGGCCTGCTACTGGGCGCTCTGGTGGACCCTGAACGTTTCGTAGCACACAGATCTATACTAGAAACCACTAGCGAGGACTACGGTTCCACCCAAGGGTTTACGCGTATAAGTGTTTTAGATCGCCCCACTAGAGAATCTCCGATGCGAATTGACTGTTTGACCAAGGGGTTAGCAAGACACATCAAGAATGATTCAATCGCACGCCACTATGAAAGTGACCCTTGTTGGAAATATGAACTGGCCACTGTAGGATCTAGCATATAAGCGGGTTTGAGAGACGATGATTGTGTGTCCCAGCAAGAGTGCTGTTGGGAAACTCTCGCCCATGATTCCCAAATCTCGCCCAACGATTCGTTCATTGGAGGTGGTCAAACCATGTCTACGAGGCCGGTTATCCTCATCGACGAGCACATCCTTAGCATTATTCATTCTCCCCAGCTCTCTGCGGCCTAGCTGGTGGGATTAGAAATGCAATTAACAAACAAAAGACGGCAAACGAGATTTTTCTAGAGGGAGGTAGGAATGATGAATCACTAGGACGTAGTAAGTTACCGATTTTTGCAGTGTCCCTCGGGACGCGTTCAAGTCGGTGTCCATGGGTGACTAGGGACCATAGCTTCATGGCTTAAGAATCGCAAGGACAGATACTAAGCCTTGGAACTCCGAATTAGCGCTGACAAGGTGGCGGATAAGATAATTTCTTGGTCCTCAGTACTAACACTACCAAATGTTCGCGCTTCTATACCCATGCATAGCATCCAATACCTATGACGTCCTTCAGGAGGCTCACTACTAACGGTAAAATGAAACAAGCTCATTGAGGTTGCTTAGCAGACATCAGCCACTTTCTACCGATATGGGACAGGGTGTTGGGTGACGGAAGACTGTGGATCCGCCACACATTCAGCTACTACTTTTATTGGGCTTTACCTGTTATATCAAGGCAGGGTATGCTTTTTGAGATACAAAACGGAATTGAGACAGCAACAATATGTAGTGCTTATCCTACACGGTCCTGTACCATGCCTCGTAGCCCCGAGGAGGAGGGAATGAAGCAAGCAAAACGAATCAAACACCAACTTTTAATAATGAAAAGAAAAGCATGGCATCTGGACATAGCATTTCTCACGTACCGAGTGTCCAACCGTGATTAACCGATCGCTGTTTGAGGCACAGGAGCCCTAACCGGCTGGTCGGTATGTAGACCATCGCTGTCGCTATGACTGGTTCGAAGTGTGAACGGAATATGGATAATGTCGTAGCGGATGGAAGGAGATTCTTCTAGGGCATCAATAATGCGCCATCGAGCGCTCGAGATGGTATCAATCAGTTGCTCCAGGTTGGACTGGTTACCAGGTGCCTTCCCAGATGAACGAAGTTTTGTTCCATTGCGCGGCTTCCCCAAATATCCAATGCTCACCGGCGAGCTGGTTACCACGGCCACCAATCTCTCGTCAACGCCCTTCCTCCTCGGAACTTGGTCCGGCCATCTGACTGGAAAACCTGGAAAACCCCTGTCGAGATCCAGTGCACCGAGTGTGTATGAGCGACCGCTTTCTAGGTCAATGCCCATAGGGCTCGAACGTGAGAGGTAAGAAATCACTCCAGCCACATCGACATCAAATACGGATATGTAGACAGTGTTGTCACCCTCGTTGCGTAGGTCAATATAGATGCGGTCGCCGTCTGCCAAGTAACCCGTGCCATCCTGAGGGATTATCCTCTCCCGTTTCTCTTTTACGACGAGCCCAAATTCGATTTTGATTCTATGGCGGAGCCTCTCTTCAGGACTTTCGCAGTGCAAGCCAAGCAGATGCTGTCCGCGGGCAAGCTCTTCGGCATCAAGGACAATATCATTGACTACCCGAGGCAATGAGTCTGGGCCGTGTGCCGTCCTTTCTGATATTGGAATTCCCTTGCTATTGATAACTTGAATGGTGGGGCCGCTTTGCCGAATTACCGCGAGGGAGTCTTTGTCGTCCGCATTACGAGGCCGAAGGTATCGAGAATTGTCCACAAGGAGCTGGAGACCTTCGAGGCCTGCAGGAAACTCAATGGGCCACTCATACAGTGCCTCCTGCTCTAAGACTGCTTCTGCACCCTCTGCAGGGATGCACTTTTCTTCCTCTTCGAATTCCAGGTGCACACGAGACTTGAACCCTTCAACCTTGGTGACGAACGCTGTGGCGATCTGGGATCTGGGATTGCCTGCTCCAGAGGTGAAAGGGTATATCGCGTAGACATTGTTCTCCCGAACGCCGCCAACCCTTCCTGCGGACAATATTGCCACATCCCCTTCCATGCTAAGAAACAATGACCTTGATGCTCCCTTGAGGGTAAATGGGATACGATCGTGCGGTCCTTCCAAGTGCGGATGTTGCTGGGGAAAGCGGACATTCACAAGCTGTCCCACACGGAGCATCATGGTGCTCCAGGACACCTCCTGCCCATTCGATTCCTCCAGTGCCTGAGCAAGAGCTTCCGTGAAGGCACCACTCCACGAGCCAGACGTAGTTTCATACTCAAAGGCACTTTCACTGGTGTTGCAGGCAACGATTCGGACTGCGTGTGGGTCGCCCTCGAGGAATGTCTCACCCTTGAGTTCCCCCTTTTTTCTGAGTCCCTCCACATACTCTCCAATGCGTTCATGCTCCTGCTCGGCAATATATCTAGGAACTGCCCTTGGGCCGAGGCCGGGGTCTCTCGACATGCGACCAGAGTGACAGCAGTCAAGTATAGCCGTAACATTCTTGGTCTTTTGGGTTGTGTCGCGAAGCAGATGTGATAGCTCAACATCCAATAGGCCCCTAAAGTCTTCGTTCGTCGTTTTATGGTAGTCCATGGGAACAAGGAACTGATAGCGCCAAGGCGCTTTTTCATCATTTGCTCTCTGTTCTGAACCCGCTGTTGGACGTATGGGCGATTGGACCAGGCTTCCATGCCCTGAATAGTAAATCACGACGACATCTTGATCAGAGCATTCCTGAATAAGCTTCGACCAGGCTGACTTGATTTCATCTCGGGTGGCATTGTGCCCAGAGCATTCTGTTATCTTGAACCCTTTGCGGCCAAGGACGCTCCCCATGAGTCTTATGTCGTTGGCCGGTCCAAGAAGCCCGTTATATGAGCTTGAGATAAGAAGCGCTCGCATATTGGGGACCATATTGTAAACCTAGTAGGGTGAGCATACAAATTCCAGGATGCTGTTGTGGCAGAGGCGGTACTGAACGTCCCGGTCAATTCGTACTTATCAAGCTGTCCGAACGCGTCAAATATCAAAAAAGCCAGAGAGACGTAACAACTTCCTCTCCCAAGGAAAGTGGTCTATATTTCTTTATCTTCATCGTCTCAATGTCCGTAAATTTGAGCATTGAGCAATATACGATGTGGAAGGTCGTGTTGTCATGGACTTCCTCGTTCCACCAGTTTGGTCACAGGAGCGAGGTGGTCATGAGAGTCGACTCCATCCAGATTGTCCAATGGCCTAGATTTCATCATGAGTGTGCTCTTATGGTCAAGCAAAATGGACGGATTCAGAAACGGCGGATCGAGTGGCTTGAAATTCCGTGGCTGTAAGCATGGCATTGCAAAATCATTTTAAGTTGTTGGGATGGCCTATCACAATCTTTATTAGTAGGAGTACCGAGATACGTGACATCGATCTGCGACCAAGCAGGCGGCCTGATCGCAGTGGTGTGATTAAGCTCATACTCACTATCAACACCTTATTCTGGTGGAACCGCAGGTCCACCGGCGGACTGCGGGCCCGCCTTTCAGACGGAGTGCTGCTTTCAGTGTCTTGTGATACTCCGTAAGCATGTATACCTCGTAATTCTTTCTACCGCCCAGCACCTGCAATAAAGCAAGAACTCTCGCGGGAAGCACGATGGACCGCTCTGGACCACTCATGACGTTTATAAGAACCCCATCTCGCTCCCATTCATTGAAATACCAACACCATCATTAACATCGTCATTATCATCGTCTCTATCGCTTGAAGTACCCTCAATCTCATTTCACCTTGTATGGTTTCACCAAGTCTTTATCCACCGAGCAAATCCCAAACCTTGTGATCATTCGCTGTAAGATGGACTCGAGCTGGTCAGAGCTCTCGAACGTTGCCAGAAGCTATCCCGTCCTACGGAAGGTTTCGGAGGCCCTAGATTATAGTACTCTATACACTGATCGCAGAGGTAATTTCAAGACCGCGCTTGAGATTGCCCAGCACGCATACACGCAGAGCCGCTCTACAGGGGGAGGCAGCCTCGCGGCTGCTCTCATTAGCTGCGGGATTGTCCACACCCTGCAGGGAAACTGTAGGCAGGCACTCCGCGACTTGAATGCGGCAAACAGTATTGGGCATGCCGACCCCGCCCTTCACTTCCTGGCACATACGTACATTTATGTGGCTAACTCCATAAATTACGACATGCTTCCGGATACTGCAGATGGACATGCGCGGGACATTCAGTACAGATTCGACAAGAGCCAGAATTTGCAAGACTTGTTTGCCCGCCGTTCAGAACTCCCCGCTATGCACACAGTGGATCTCGTTCTATTCCGCGAATGTGAGTTGTTGAATAAGCATAGGTGTTGGATGTCCGCGCTGCGCCAGGGTCCACATGAAACAGATCTCCTGTCGACAAACAACAGGGCAGTCCTACTATCAGGATCGGGGGAGGACTACAGATATCTTGTAAACTTGGGTACCCATCAGCGAGGATTGTCCAGTTTCCAGCATGAGAGAGCCAAGTTGTTCTTCCGGTATTCTCACAAGGACGAGGCTACTCAAATTCTCGATAGCGCCCGAACATACTATCGGCAAACAAATGATATAGTCGGTCTAGGGAATATTGAGTTGACTCTCGGTGATTGGCTTGTCGCGCCGCTGTCTTGTCCCGAAGTCTGGAATTCATACCTGGAGCAGGGTACGAGCGATAGTTCACTGCACTGGCAAGTCGAAGCTGCTGAGGCTGCTATCGATCTCAGCTCCGTTGCCGAAGCGAGGCAGCACTATGAGGCAGCGTTACGACTATTCACGTCGCAGATCCGCCTTAGAGGAGTGGCAGCAGTGAGAATGCGCCTCGGGTACCTGTCCGCTCTAAAAGGTCTCGCTGCCACAGATGTGGACTTTGTGAAACATTTTGCAGAAGCCCGACAGGAAATTCAAGCCGCAGCGACTATCTTCCATGAGACTGGGGACATCATGGCCTTCCAGCTGTGCCAGGCCCACCTGTCCCTCTGCGATGTAGGAGAAAAACAGGGTCCGGACGATCTGCAACGGGCTGTCAACATTGGACAATGGGGATGCACCGACGGTAGTTTTGGATACGCTCTTGGAATAGGCCTCCTTTTCGCACGCATGGGACGCCGTTGGACAAATCACATAGGCGACTACGAACGGGCTTTTACCTGTTTTCGCCTGGCCGAAGCCTTGTTTAAGCATCTCGGAGCAGGCTTGTCTCATATTCACGCTATCGCCGATCAGATGAACCTCTACAAGGTGCTCGGAGACTTTCCCAGTTTCTCAAGGCTGGCTGTAATGGCTTTGGATGAATGCGAGGCCTTGCATCTTCACCAGCCAAACATCGAGGACCGTATTGAGGAGGTGTCCAGGTGGATTCTGATCAGCATCATAGGCACGGCTATGAAAAGAAAGGATCCGACCCTCATTGACCACGCACTGGATTATGTTTTCGCCCACTTGGGGACAGATTTTCCGGACAAAACTGCTAAGTTCCCGAACTTGGATGATATTGCTACTGCTCTATCCGGAATTCAGGTATCGGAGGACCCTGAGGCGATTACCAAAGCAATGCACGAAGCCCTTAAGGGTTTTAATCCCAATCAGATGGCTCAGGAGATGCTGGATTCTGCTGTCACAGACTCCAGAGTCTATAGAGAATTCTACCGCGGGTTGAGTCATAAAAGAGCGGGGAATGCTGAGGACGCTCGGGAGTGCTTTCGAAAGGTCCGAACAGAAGCCCAAGCTTATGACCAAGCTCGCAGGTATCACTTGGATGCCCTGGCTTATGCCGGCGAAGGCGACTATGGGAGGGCAAGTATGGCGAACAAGATGTCTCTCAAGCTCCGAATGAAAGATCTTGATCTACGAGAAGAAGCAGGCAAGAGCACTCGGTTGGACCCTGATAGCAGAAGGCAAGCTGCAGTGGAAGCACTGATGGCCTTTGTTGAATTCGACGATTATCAGGAGGCTGACAGGTGGATGCATTTCTTGAATGAGCACTTTTCAGAGTGGTGGGCGTCGGAAAGTTCCCCTTGGGAAGCTCTGCACTATATGGGTCAGACACAAGAGGGCATTGGGGACTTGGAATCCGCCCTAACATGTTATGAGGACGCGATATCGATGTTCGAGCGACACCGTGAGAACCTGTCTATTGATGAGCTCAAAGTCGCGTTCTCTGGAGGATCTACGACACAGAAGATGTTTTTTGCCTACACAAGAACCTTGTTCAGGTTGCTCAAACAGCCGGAATCTTCTACTCTCTCTGTCAGAGAGATCGAAGCTAAGATATTCGAGGTGGTTGAACGAGGAAAGGCTCGAAGTCTGCTGGACCTGATGCAAGGTGGACTTGTGGGCAGCGGCCAGCTTTCCACGTCGAGTGCATTTCGCCGCTGGAGACAGCTGCATGCGTCACGATCGATGCACTGTACGCTCCTCGAGCAGAAGATTGCCACCGGCAAAGCCGACCAAGATGAGGTTACTCAGCTCAAGGACTCAATTACCGAGATCGAAGGTCGGATTCAGACTGTGGAAAGGCAGATGCAATCCAGTGGTACCTCTGCGAAACCTGTGACTGCTGAAGTCAGCTCCCTGATGGATGTCGCCAGCAATCTTCCCGGCGATACACTGATCCTACAGTACTTCTACAACTACAACACACTGTATAGTTGGGTCATCAGCCATGAAGGGATGGCAAACCTCGTAGCCACGGAACTTGAGGAATACTCGCTGGACCGAGTCGCTAAGGAGTTCCATAATGCATGCGACAAAGGACTCGTGACCCCACATGGGCAGCAGCTTTCAGACACGCTCCTCAAACCGTTCACTGACCTCCTGGAGCGGTACAACCGGCTTATCATTGTGCCTCATGGCTCTCTTCATCTTGTGCCTTTCCACGTCCTGCCGTTCAAAGGGCCACCTCTTGCTGTCTCCCATGTGGTGACATACCTCCCAAGCTCAAGCATCGCACGGTTCCTCCACCCAAAGAAGACGAATCCTCGGCGACAATCAGTGCTTGCTCTGGGTAACCCCTCAAGTATGAAGATGACAGACCGGAACAATAATACAATATTTGCATCACCATTAGGCGGTGCAGGTAAGGAAGCACAGGCAATTACTGCCCTCTTTCCCGGGAGCAAGGCCCTCTTGAATAGGGAAGCCACACTTGACAACCTGCTGAAGTACATACACGACTACTCAATCCTCCACCTCGCTACTCATTGCAAGTTCGACCCCGAGGTACCTCTCTTGTCATCCATTTGTCTCGCCTACGGCAGGCAATTATCAGTCCTTGATCTTTTGGACTTGCATCTCGACGTGGATCTCGTTATTTTCAGCGCCTGCCAAACCGCTCAAGGGACTCCAACTGCTGGAGACGATATAGTCGGGTTCAGCCGTGCGCTCTTTGCGGCTGGTGCCCGCGCGGTCATGGTTAGCTTGTGGCCCGTCGATGACAGCGCAACATCCGAGATATTGATCGACTTCTACAAACGGCTTTCGAGCGGCAAGTCAGCACCAGCCGCTTTGCAGGAGGCCCAGGTGTCCTTCTTCAAGCAGCACTCCGGATCCCGCAGGGCTGATCAAGACAACTCAAGCAATGCTTCAACTTCTGCTATGACGGATAAGTCATCGGTGAGAAGAATGGCTGTCCAAAGAACTATCACCAATAACGAGCCGGCCACACCTACCGACTACTCCCTCCCAATGTTCTGGGCCCCGTTCATTTTGATGAGTGCCTAGCTGCCCAAAGCTAATCTGACAGATCAAGCTGGTAGATTACCAAGCGCCCCAGAATCATTGTTCAGTTTCAAAAGCTGTTTGGACTTCTTGAAAGGTGTTGCAAAAGTCGGTTTGCTTCGTATTGAGCCCAAATTGACTAGTTACGTAGGCTCGATATTAGTATCTTTGCTATGTCCATGAAACTCTGACCATGATTGATGATCCATTAGCAATAAGAGTGAATATTCCTGTTGCGTACCCGTAGAAAACCGATTATAGCCGGCCGATTTGACCGGGTGACAGTGAATTTAATAGGGGAATTCGGAGCCTATAAACTGCTAGGCAGTCACTCACCACACGACATACAAAGCCAAACAGCTGCCTCTAGGAACGGCGAGGCAATGTATGGTCGCCAGCGGCGGAAAGCCAACAATCCCTCACCCATCGATTCCAACGTAGTTGACTGGGTGGGCTTCCATGGTACACGCCCAAACCGAAGAAATTGCATTACTCCCCTACCACGGATTGTAAACTCGATGCGTTAGTGGGAGGCACAGGTAACCTATCTAGAAACTAATATGGGCCGTTCCTCAAATTTGCTCAGTATTATGGCTTGCCTAGAAGGCAAGATCATCAAAGGACCGCAAAGACTACCCCTAACCCCAGACAGACTGTAGCGAGCGCGAAATACCCCATCATCCACCGACGCCTCTGACAATTCTGTCCGCGGACAGTCATTGTTCTATCCCAGTCGGAGAGGCGTGGGAAGCGGCAGCGGAGGTAGTAGTCCAGCTGAGATCGGCTAGAGAATTGATGTCAGTATCCGTTATAACAAGAGCCGGCTGCAAGGATGGATAGGATATACATACAGGTAGATAGCCACGTTCCGCCTGCCCTGTCCCTTATACCAACTCGTGCAAAAGTGGAAGACTGTAGACTGTGTATGGCGCTGGATGGCCCTGTCCCACGCCTGCATAGCCTCCGGTTTGGGCTCGAATATGCTCACGTGGCCTGTCAAGATGGGTCTGATCAACACCAGAATGTACTCGATGTTGTTTTCTATCGTCATGATTGCCGATGTATGGCCGGTCAGGCTGTTGGGGCCTCCGACCATGAAAAAGTTGTGGAAACCGTCGACCGCGGTGCACATGTAGGCGTGTGGACCGCCGCGCATAGTCCATTGGTGCCGTAATGAAATGCCGTGGCGACCGACGACGGGGACATAGTGTTTAAATTCAGTGGTCTTGAATCCGGTTGCGAGGATGAGTGTATCGGCCTTCAAGGTGCTGTCGGTGAGTTCTCGGCTCAAGGCATCTGATCCCCGGATGGTAACCTCACGATCATGGACCTGTGTTAAACTGCCGCTGACGAGAGTATATCGCGAATCATGCATGCTCCTCAACCAGTCGCTGTCCCATACTCGCCTCTTGCAGCCGACGGGGTAGCTCGGTGTCAGCATGGAGTGGTACTTCGGGGGAGCCAGTGAGGTCATATGAGTCAACGAGGAGGCTTGGGCTTGCTTCTGGGACTTGTAGTTATTTCTCTTCAAGAACAGACAATGCGATTCAGCGGCGATGCAGATGAGCATGCGCATAAAGAAATCTAGCAGAGGGATGGTGCCATACACACGAGGAGCCCACTTTGCGTACGCTTCCTTTCCACCCGGCTGTTCAAGTATTGGAACAACCCATGGTGGTGTTCACAAAGTCTGGGTAAGAGACTTTCCCGGGGTCAGCAAGAGGGCAGGGACAATTTGAGCAGCGCTGCAGCCCAACCCCACCACGACAATGTCTTGCCCGGTAATATCGGTGTCTGCCGGCAACCGAGCGAAGTGAATCACTTGCCTGTTGAACGCATTGAGATCCGCGATCGGCTGTTTTGGCTCTGAGAGAATACCGACGGCGCTGATGGCGATCTTGGCCTGAGGCCGGATTCCCGTTCAAAGACTCGAAATTGGTCGAACCCACGATTCTGGAGTATGCACGCAGCCCCGATACCACCCACTGCAGGTCCAATGATAGCAACTGGATAAAATCTTGCGGGTGGACTCTCTTTGGGATCACTGATTCCTACTTGTGGAGACGACATGACGACGGGAGAAGCGGCGTTGTTGGGAAATTTGGGGGGGCAGAACACAGAAGCGGAACACAAAAGTCAACTTGGGAAAAATCGACAGAAGGCAGCGAGTAGTTACGGGCTTTATTAAGAACAACCCCCAGCAGGTCGGGTCAATGTTTGTGCAACTGCACTCTCCCTAGTCGAACACTGCAAGGATCGCCAAGTACAAACGGGCCTTGGAGCCTGTTTGATGCACCCCATGATGTGTCGAGCGCAGTTGCCACAGACTTGGGCTATAAGAGGAAATATCTCCGCAAAGCAGAGCGGACTTTGTATTATTGTCTGCTCTGCTAATGACGGCATCTGAGGGGTGTAGAAGTAGGAAATGCCCATCATGTCACCTCAAAAGACGCGAGTGGGTGTTGCCGAGCAACCAGAAACATCGGCTGCCTTACGTCGCTTTAACTACGGAGCAAACGGAACCTTCTTCACAAGGTCCAGGAAGAAAAAAGCAAAAGCATACAACAGTAGGGATTCGCATGTGGTCACCCACCATACTACTAACCTACCGGCGTGTGGCTTAAGTACGGCTGAGCGGACGGGAAGCCCTGTTCTCCACACCCTGTGGTCGTATGTGTTAGACTGGCATATAGAAGGCGTTGATATGATAACTTAAAGTTCCAGATTAGCCTTAGCTTTCTGGCCTGATAGGAGTGAGCATGCTTGGGTGTGAATTTTGCAATTCCAAAAGAGTGGCGGATGGAGCTCTTGAGTATTTAACTGTTCAGCCTTGGCAATTTGATACAAAAGTAGGTCCGCGGGTTAGGGCGGGTGGAACAGACGTTATGGCGTATTGTAATAGGGATATATATCATTCATGGAGGAAATGCCCCCTAATCCCACCTTATAACCCTAAAAGACAACGATGAACTCATGGGCTTCTCTCTCCTCTCCCCACGAAACCAAACGGTCTCGCCCGCTTCAACCACACTCTCCGGCACCCGTCGCGCAAGGGGACCCATAGCCTTCAAATACGGTGTCATATCCGTCTTGAAACTCCTCCGCTCGAACTCCACAACCACACGCCGCAGACCGCCCATCTGTGCAAGACAAGCACACGCCCGGTTCCAAGCCGAGATAGCACACTATCTCGAATTCGTTGCGCGATCGAGGGCGCATCTTCGGTCAGTGTTTGTGGAGGTGGGCGATGGCGATCACCTTCACATCAAGGGACGTCTTCATTAAAGATAGATACTCAAGGATACTGTAACCCTTTTACCTTGGTAGGAAGTGGGTAACTTGGAAGCGAGCAAAATTGAGGTGAGATTGAAGTTGGCATAATGAGCTGGGATGAGCCTTGCTGCGCCCTGCCGGTTCACGTGATTACAATCGGTGAGGCAGACTGGACGGAAACGAGAATCGACGCCATTGGCAGGTTACTGCGGCTCTGCGAGACTGCGAAATGAGATTGCCTGGGCCATACTGAAGGGAGAACATTCTAAGAGAAGGATGAAGTCCAAAGATCAGCAGGAATGGAGAGTGGTCAGCTGACCACTTCGTTCTCTCATTACCTAGCCATTCCTGCCTCAGGCCGCAAGTCTCCAGAACTCAGAACATTGAGATCTATCGATTTCCCACTTTCGCACGTACAGCTTATGCAAATCATGTCCTGTGCCTTATAAGTTTGGGGAAAATCCTTCTTGTTGTGTGTTTTGTCCGTGCAAGCTTTTGCCAATCACCTGCCAAATTAATTCTTGCGTCTGGGTATGTTGGTCTATACCAAGTTTCTTTAGAATCAGGGGGCAGTGAAAGCTCAGCTTGTTTGCAGATGACGTACAGCAGTAAGCTCTCAGATATCGGGACTAGTCCCTTTTGGGCAACAGAGATGTACAGCGAATGAGGAAATCACAACCAGGGGCCAAAAAGTGGATGTAGTCTAAATCTGTACAAGATCATCATTGCGATCGACTATACTCATGAAGCGTTGAGTGACAGGAGAGCTGAACATTTTCTCTCTATAAAAGGGCCACAGGCGAGCACCGCAGAAACTCTCCTTCATCTTCATTGATTCCAATCTTGACTCTCGAAACGATAGCAAGCATGAGACTGCTTTCCTCAACCACGCTATCTGCCCTGGCAGCCACAACCCTGGCCTCCGCGCCTTCGGTTACCATCGACGCTGGCACTCTCAACGGTGGAAAGTGCAGTGCTGGGCAAGACGCAGTCTTCTACAAGGGAATTCCCTTTGCAGAGCCTCCCGTCGGGGAGTTGCGATTCGAGCCTCCCAAAGCCTACAGCGGAAACTATCCCAATGGAGTACACAATGCAACGGCCTCTGCTCCGGCTTGTATTCAGTTCAGCGGTTCGACTTCGCCGCCGGGAGCAAAATCCGAAGACTGGTACGAAATTCATTACGTTAAGCCTGACAAGAGACTACCTCTAACACATCATTTAACTCGCAGCCTTTACTTGGACGTCTGGGCTCCATCCAGTGCGACCAAGGATTCGAAGCTCCCTGTTAAAGTCTGGATCTTTGGCGGATCCGACACAGAAGGCGGCACTGGATACTCCCTCTATGACGGCTGCAACCTAGCGGAGACAGGCGCAGTCGTCGTGGCACTGAACTACAGGCTCGGCCCCCTCGGTTTCCTGGCGCTTGACAGTGCCGGGTTACATGGCAACCAGGGGATTCAGGATCTCATTCTGGGCTTCGAGTGGGTGCAGAGCAGCATCTCTGCCTTTGGCGGCGACCCGGTATGTGATCCATCTGATGTGTGCAGCGCATGAATTCTGGAAAATCCTGGGCGAACTATAGCACTATAGATATTAATTTCCTTTATACAGGAGAAAGTGCTCGCTTTTGGACAATCTGCTGGAGCTACAGATCTCTACGCTATTGCGAGTCTTCCTCAGGCGCCGTCTCTCTTCAAGAGCGCCATAATTGAATCGATTGCTCTACCCCAGTTGACTCTCAAATCGGTTGCTCAGAAACTCGGTGCATCCTTTGCGAAGACGCTTCAATGCGGTCTTGACGACGTAAGTGGATACCTAGGTACCCCTTCGTCCCTTCTTGAAGTATACTGAGCTTCCAGTAGAAATCGTGTCTACAATCTGTATCTTCCAGCGATATCCACAAGGCATATAGTTCCGACTCCTACCTGGGTTCAGGACTCGGAGGCTACAGCCCGGGCGTTGCTAATAGCCAAACACCGAAATACTGGCCGATTGTAGACGGTAATGTGATCAAAGAGAATCCTCTCACACGCGGATCACAAGTCCCAACGGTCTTTGGATATAGTATGTAGAGCCCAACATTGTTCCACCAAACCATGCTAACTTTACGAAACTTGAAGATCAACAGGAAGGCACTCTGGACGCAATCTCGGCGTACAACTCCCCAGAGGTGATTGCAAGCCTCACGGCAGCAAACTACACAGCATTCCTACAAGGAAACTTTGGCTCCGCCGCAGCGCGGATGATCCAGAAATACTACCCTCTATCTGCATTCGATTCCGCCGTTGCAGAGCTCGGGCTCACAGCCGGATCCGGCGTGTTCGAGGCCATTGCCCAGGTCCTCACCGACGCGCATTTCAAATGCCCAACATATCGCAGCGCCCTGAGTACCGCACGCAATGGCAATAGCGCAGTCTGGGCGTATGAGTTCACGCACAATAACACCTGTGCGTGGCTTGATACGCTCGTCCCCATCGCAGGCGACTTGTCCTTCCTCGGCGCCGCGCATACGGCCGAGATCCCGTTCGTGCTGGGAAATCTGGATTTCGACTACCGCGGAGAAGGACTGAACTACACGTGCAGCTCCTCGGCAGTAGAGCGGGCTCTTGGCACTGAGATGATCAGCCTGTGGACCGCGATGGCAGAAGACGGCGACCCATCCACGGAGGCGATCCAGTGGCCGGGATTCGAAATCACATCGTCCGGTGCGAACACCCCTGGGATGATCTTCGCGAACTCGAGCACGTCGGGCACGATTGACTACTCGGTCTGCAAGTTGTGGGCACAGGTTAGTGCTATGCTGGGTGGGAATACCACGACAGCCGTACCATCTCCTAGTAACAGTGTTCTACCGTCCAGCACGGTGTCGCCAACCAGCACTGTGCCGTTTGATGGCGGAGCGGTTTCTGCTTCGGTTGGAGGGTCGATCTTAGTGAGTGCGTTTGTGATGGTTGCTGCTGCTCTTGCGTAAGAACATATAACCAGCTTGTATATAACTAGTATGGAGGGGATCTATACTCGTGAAAAAGATATGATTTGGTCATTACTAGATAACGAAGCCTATTAGGCATAACTTTGTACACTACAGGAACATATCAAGCTGCACACTAACTACTTCATTATGATATGATACTTAGATAAAAGACCTCAATCTGATAACTCCACTTTCAAACGCAGCGCCCTGATATAACACAATAAACTTTCGCGCATCCCTTCTGCAGAAGTACAGAGTAAGCAGGAGCACAGCTTTTGAGTGGAGACAAGCCTGCTTTCAACTGGTAATTTCCAATGGTCGCAATCAGGACCTAGTTATTTGACCATGCAGTATCTATCTTGGGGTCACTCAATTGCTCGCTTCCAATCCCCTTCCCGCCTCCCTCAGGACAGTATGTCTCAGCTAGGTCGCAAAACAGCTTTACAAATGATTACTCGTATGTACACTGCTTTGCTGGAAAATGAGGCTATTTACTTATCCAGGTCACTCTCTCAGTCTCCAATCAAACGCCCCCCGCTTGATCTCAAGAATACATCTTAGTGAACTGGAGCATGACGACTCCCATTGACAATGTGAGGGGAGCATCACTGTCTTCTCTCACGGTCTACTCAGGCTTCCCGCCCAGTGCCATCAACCCCATCAGCCCAACGACCCTCCATTTATTCTCGAAATCCGGTCTTCGGTTTCCCTTCTCAAAGCCTCAAGCCGTCGAACAATAGTATCATCTGCCGTAGAAAAAATAAACGTCGGACATTTTACAGGGCGTGGATATTGCGAACATTCTGGCGAGTTGATTTCAGATGGAGGATGAACTGTTGATGATTATATACATATGATTGCGGAAGAATATACCATTTAACTATAAACTACTAAGGTCCAACCTTACTACTTAATCTATTAGTTACTTTTAGTCTTTTTTAAACCTCCTCCAAATCCTTCTTATTTACCATTAAATAAGTAAAATTTTATAAGAGAAATTACTAACTTAGTAGGGGGCTCTCTTACATTCCCCCGTGTAGGCTATAGTGCATACAGTAGTTGCGGGTATCCCTTTTGACTATTAGCCCTAACCCCTCAGTCAATATGACAGCCAACAGGAGCTTGTGGTATCATTGGCTATCAATGGAAAGCCGAGATAGGCATCCGTGAATGTGGGATGGTCGGGAAGGTCTATTAAAATACGTGCTATTAGGCCTCCGAGAACACCAAAACAGTCGTTGAAGCGTTTCCTTGGAATTGCGGTCAATGCTAGGCTTAGAAGCAGTTATCCCCGTGAGTAGTATCAAAGAAGATAAGGTATTGCATATAGGGAAGAGAAATAGGGGTTGACCTACTGGAGAGATTACCTGAGACAGTTGCATGCACAGGAAAGGGTGAAAGCACTATCTTGAAGCAACAACCACGGTCGAGAGGGGCTATCATGCTACCTGTCTTTTCAGTACATTGCACAAGCTCCAGACCACGCCGGAACATGCGGACGATAACGGGGTGGAGTTACTTGCGACCTTCTGCCATCCCGCCACCCAAGAAGTAGATATAAGGATGTGCCTTCTCGTACTAACCAGCTTGAATCTTTTACACGCCCATTGGCTGGCCAAAGGCAGCGGCAGTGCCATGGTCAATAGTCCTCGAAACGCATTCTAGCACAAGGGTAAGATCCCGACCAAAACTACTAAGCCTAAGCACGAGGCGGCAGACTGAGATTCGGTCCAACCAGCGGCGCCCCCACGGCACCAAGCAGTTGGGCTTGTCGGTCGTATCTCGACAGCTGGCCTAGTCCACCGGGCTAGTTGATCAAGCGAAACTCCGAGCTTGAAGGGGTTCGCCTCAAATGCACGTTAGGGTCTTAGTTTAATGCTAAATCAGACTATATTCCGAGGTTGCGCTAAGTTGGCGCATTATTGATCCTTCGCATTGGGATCCACTTTCAAGGTTTTGGAATAGTGATGGTGACCACTTCTTCCTATAATTAAATGGAAGTATAGAACACTACGCGCTGGTTCCTGACTTGGAGTTCTATGCTGTGGAGGCACGGGTGCTGTCGGTGATTGACAGGGACTATCAGAGCCCCAACGCCTTGCTCATCTTCGTGCTAGACGACCTTTGTTTCTTGCGCGTTCGGAGGTCGAATTAACACCCTCAAGAAAAACTAAACTAATTATGAGCCACCCGAAACGTCCTATGCTGAGCCATTACAGCGAGCTGTATCCTTTCTGGTGTCTACCTTAATCTCGCTATGCATTTCTAGCACCAACTAGTGCACGGAGATGTTGGAAGCAGTGTTGGTGCTAGTACTACTGAGTTGGAGAAGGCATCCTAGGTCGCTTATTTATGTACGCTAACCACACCGCGTGCGTTCCTGCCTAGTCCGACCCGGAGCGACCACACGCGGAGGTTAATGGACCAGTCAGGCCCTTTAGAGGCGTGCCTCCAAAGATATTCCAAGGTTTGCGCCCATATGCAGGCACCCTGTGCCACATGCTTCAAACTAGTTGGACCGCATCTGATGCCCACTTGGCACTGCCAGAAAAACGGTTGTTGAACACCACAGCATACTGAGCTCACCTTGGGCTGAGCCAAATTCGCTAACTTCAGGATTGTGATTCGCCCATATGCCATACTGCCAAAGGGCGCGGCTGTTGGTAAAAGCGTTGAGCAAATTTCGCATACCTAGTCATGAAGCGTTGAAGTAATCTGCTGTGCTGCGCGTTGGGAAAGTACCCACTAAATCATGGCAGTCGGTGAATGTCCAAACCGAGACATTAATATTGACGAGACATTAAGCGGACTGGACATCTTGTCCTGGGTCAATATTGCCGCGCTGTATACGGCTTGAGGTTGGAAGATCGAGTGCTCCACTTGTTAGATCCAGGCGCTGCCGTGGACCCTAACTCCCGAGGCGGGCGAAACCTTCTGCGGCCCACCCGTGGTTCAGGGGAACTTCCGAGGTATTGTTGGTACCAGTTTCACCCGTGGTAGTGCCTGCCGGCTGGAACGACCGGCGGGGGGGGTGCATTGAGCCCGGGCCACCATGAGCGCCTGGCACCCGCAAAACATCTCATGAAATCGCCGAGCCGCCTATTAGTGGCTAGGCGCTAAGAGATCAAGTGAAATTGCGTCGATGGGCATCCACCCAATCAGGACTGTTGCAGGCTCATCGTGGTCTGATTTCAAATCAGGGTAATCCTGCGAACCACTGTGGCACTGCATGGCATGAGTCATTATTTCCGGTCCGCGATTCCCATCCATGGTGAGTCTCCCCACCATGCACCACACCTGTTGAACTCTCATGCGAAAACTTCAGGGTTCCAATCAAACAATCACCAGTTGACCGCGACAGTCTTCAGTATCTGACCGGCCAATTTCTCACGGACAATATATAAGTCGCAAACTGCTGACCAGCATGCCGTCCGAACTTTGCCAGCGGCACATTCAATCTCCCTTCCCTGTAATAGCTCACCTGTATTCAGATCCATCCCTTCGGGCTTTTTACTCGCTCATGATAACCATACTAACCTTGTCTGGCACTATTTAGCTTCGTCTGCCTACTCGTCCCCGCCTCGTACATTCCACAACTTACCCGAATCGCTACTAGCAACCAGAATGGTAACTGTGCGATTTCAGGGTGGTATATCATTCTCCTGACGACCAGCGCGACCGCTCACTTGGCCACACGGTTGAATTGCATCTCTAGTTCCGAGGCTTGGAAGTGCGTCCGGCATGGCGAACTCGATGGGCTCGATGCCTTTTCCGCCCTTGTCGTATATATCCAACCTTTCCTGCACTGGCTGTCAGCAATACTACTACTATGCCTTTACGTTGCATTTCGCAGCAAGCCCCCGACTCGACATGAAGGCGATATCGCGGCCACTACACCCTCCAACTCTGCTATCCTCGCCATCGTCATCACCCACGTAGCGATAACACTCCCATTGGCCTTCTGCCTCCTCCACTTCATGACAGGCGAGGATGGCCCATTCAATAATCCCTTCGTTTTCGTCGTGCATACCTACTACGAGCTATTCCTCCAGACAACCGGCCTACTCACCTCGCTCACGGCATTCATCCCACAGCTGTATCTCATCCTCACCCGGGCCCGCGACAGTCACCATCACTTTGACGAGGGTACTCTGAGCACGTTGAGTATCGCCCTGCAGGTCCTTGCATTCACACTTCTCGCCGCCTCGCAAGGGTGGCGCATGAGACAGCGGCCATGGACACCCTCGGAGAATGGAGCGACTTGGATAGTGCCTACTCAGACCTGGAGTCTGAAGTGGTGGGTTAAGGTTCTCTTCGGAGGTGGGCGTGCGGCTGGGTGGTTGGGGCTGGCGACTTCGCAGTTGATTGTCCTGTGTGTTGCTCTTGCGGTTGGAGGTGATGCCGGGTATATTGCGTTGTAGACTTTAGACTCCGACATGGATTGCGGTGTAAATCTGTCGAGTGGATCTATATACAACTTAGTCTGTCAAAGTTGATGCCTGAGGTGTCTGATCTCGCCAGCTATTCCACCAATCCATAAGACAACCAGGTCTTCATCTTTGCAGTCGCGGTCTTAATTGCGTCTCACTTGATAATGTCACCGACTCTTTCGATTTCCTTGCTTCCACCAAAGGGGCAGTTCGTTCCAGCAAGATAGGACCACTGTATCCAGCATAGATATATAGTCAAGGTCCAGTCACTCACACTTAGGTTCCAGCAAGTATGGCAGAGTCCCTGAGTAAAGACTGCCAGGACTCGTGAGTTGAAGTCGTGTTGTATTATGGGGATTCCCTGGCTGGCTACACTACCATCGTCTATCACCAACCCAGAATGCCGGCAAATCTAAAGCCGTCACAGCTCGAAGAGATCTGCTAGATGATCGAAAATGGGATAACCAGGCCTGAGATTGCTTTTATTGCTAACTGTAGCCGATAAGCTATTATATATATCCATTAGAACCTCTAGGCTTTTAGAGCGGGTTCGTGCGCTTGTCAGCGTTTCCAGCGGCGACCGCCGCGTTACCCCTCGAGATCGAGTACGTAGAGAGTACCTTGTCTATTCGTAAAGCGAGCCCGCATAGGTGCTCCACGGATTGAAGGGGTTTAAACCCTAATTGGCTGCGGGGGAGTTGGACGGTCACAAATTGGTCGAGGTCTTGGCGCGAGCAGGACCAGAAAACCAGCCGTAATTCGAACAGTCGAGAGTCTCCTTCGGCTCCCTTGTTCGCTCAGATGACGATCCTGTCTGTCAGATCGTTTTATTCCCAGTTGGACAGACCTCGTCAGACAAGATGTGCAAGTCGCAGTTATTACTACAACAAAGGCTGACGCATGATGCAGGTGGATATATATATTCGATTGACCTAGAACGCATTGACGCATAACAGTATAAGAACGACATAACAGCAAAACAGTAGAGAAATCTTCTATAACCAACGAATGTCAAATTTACAGTCCAACCCATCAAACCGTCTGCAACCTGGTAATAAGCTTCGAACAAAGCGCCTGCAACCCATTGGCCCCCAAAATCTCAAAGACAGCAAACGTAACTGAAAACGACTTCTCAACCCAGTTCCTCAGTTTCACCGCACTCAGCGAATCCATCCCGTACGCCGAAAGCGGTTTATTCGCCTTGATCGGTTCGTCCAGCCGCAGCATCCGCAACAGCTGGCTTTGGAACAGCTCGATGGCTGCTTCCGTGAGGGCAGTGCTGTCCGCGCCGGAGGATTGCATGCAGAGGAAATCGGTGACGGCTTGTGATTCTTGGTTGGCGGAATTTTGGGCTGGTTGGTTGCTCGTTCCGGCGCGGGAGAGGGTTCTGAAGCGGATGTCATTGAGAAGGTCGGAGGTTGCGGGGAGCGGGAAGCTGAGGGCCATGATTAGTTGTGAGGATGGGGCGTTGCGCGCGTTCTGCTGCTCCTTGATGGAAGCGTCCATGAGGTAGAAAAGTTCCCCTTGCTCGATGTTGAGCCACTGCGGATCGGTGAAATAGTGCAGCAGCCCCGGGTTCTCCATTGCGACACCGGTATCCTGCACCGCACCGATATCGAGGGAAAGCGCAGGCAGTCCCAGGCCACGGCGGTACGCAGCGAACGAGTCGAGGAAGGAGTTCGCCGCCGCGTAGTTAGCCTGGCCGCTTTGCCCGATCACTCCAGAGATACTCGAGAGCAGAGTGAAGAAGTCCAGTTCGAGACCCAATTCCTCGGCGGCCTGGTGGAGGTTCCAGGCTCCACGCACCTTGGGCGCAATGCACCGTCGGTAGGAATCTGCATCCATAAGCTCATAGGGCTTGTCAAGCAGGACCATTGCGCCGTGAACGATTCCGCAGACGGGCAGCTTCGCCTGCTGCAGGGCACCCTTGATCGACTCATAGGAGGTAACGTCGCCTTTGACGACTTGAATCTCGCAGCCGAGGCGACGGCAGGTCTCAACGATCCATGCCGCCCGCGGGGTGCTACTGCCGCTGCGGGAGAGGACGACGATGCATTTTGCGCCGCGGAGGGCGAGGTACTCGGCGAGCGTGCCTCCAATTCCGTGCAATCCGCCGGTTATCAGGTATGACCTGTCCTTGCGAATGACGGAGAGTGATGGTGCGGGGCGGATTGGTACGGCCCCATTGTCCGAGCCATGGGAGACAACGACCTTGCCAACATGGCGTCCCGTGCTGAGATGCTCAAATGCCTGGCGGATTTCTGCATACGAGAAAGCCCTCACAGGATGGATCAGCTGGAGATGTTGCTTCTCGAAAAGGCCAAAGGCTTGGGTAAGGAGGCTAAATGAGGAGCGTCAGAATCTTCCTTGAATACTTTAGATGACCGGACAGAGCCACGAACCTTCGAACAATGTCATCCGAAACCTGCTTGCTTGTCAAGTCAAAGGCCTTGACCAAGCAGTTGCGCTCAAAGGGGCCAGGGGCGAGACGCCGACCACGCAGACCTCGGCCAATGTCGACGAGAATGCCGCCATCAGCGCAGATACGCCATGTCTCATCTAGCAATTCGCCGGTTAGGCTGTTGAGAATGACATCGACGCCTCTTCCTTTGGTGCTGGCAATGATTGCGTCTGCGAACTCGGTGGTACGCGAGGAGAAGATGCGGCTGGCTGGGATGTTGAGGTGCTCTTGGAGGAAGGAACGCTTTTCGTCGCTGCCCACTGTAACATAGATCTGTGGTTTGGTGTTAGTGAAGCTAGGAGGTATCAGGTTGAAACCAGGACATACCTCTGCCTGTAGGTATTGGGCGAGCTGTATGGCGGCAATGCCAACTCCTCCCGCACCGGAGTGAATCAAGACGGACTGTGCGAATTAGCGTTGGTCGTCCCCATGTGAGACATATTCTCAAATCCACTGCTTACCTGACCCTTACGCAAGCCCGCAATATTCACCAACGCGTATATAGCTGTCATGAATGAAAGAGGCAGAGCAGCCGCGACCTATTATCCCTCGTTAGATTACTAGGTCTAGTCAGTTCCTGCTTGATTACTGAACATACCTCGAGAGCCATTCCGTCAGGCACATGGTGTACTCGCTTATACGTAGTGCGAACCCGGTTGGCGAAGGCACCGCTATCAGTAAAGGCGACCTTGTCACCAACACGGAAGGTGTGCACATTCTGCCCGACCTTCGTGACACTACCGGCGCCGTCGAATCCAAGTGCCTGGTCGTCGCCTGGAATTGCACCGGTCGAGATTTGCACGTCCTGGGAAATATGTCAGTCACGCTGCCACTGCAGTACTAAGCAATTGTTGCAGCGATTCAACGAACCTTGTAGTTCAATCCAGTCGCGTACACCTCGATCTCAACTTGGTCTGCAGCCAACGGAGGTTCCTCGCCTGTGGCCTCGTAGAGCTCGAGCGAGTCGAATGAGCCCAGATTGGTGATTCCGAGCTTTACATGTTTCGCGTTATCAAGGAGCGACTGCGCGTTCGGAGCGGTGGCCGGAGCGTCATTGACATTCAACTCTTCGGCATCGGCCTTTCGCAGGGTCCTGCTCACATGCAGAATGCCATCACGCTCGACAAACTCAGAATCTTCCCCGGAACCGCCCTCTCTGGAGGCAATAGAATCCAGAAGCTTCAGGATGGTCACAGAATTATCCCGGGGAGACTTGGACTCAACATCGAGGGTAACCAGTCTGACAGCCGGATTCTCGGATCGAATACTGCGCGACAAGCCGTGGATGAGCGCATTGTTCGGGTTCGTGACCTTGTGTTGAGCGCCCTGCGTAACCCATATCGTGGACGGTGCCTTGAGGACGAGATCACGGATGCTGGTCCATTGCTCATCGGTCACGTCGCCGAGGACTGGGGACGAGAAATCGTCGAGGACAACGACCGCTTTCACGTCGTTTGTAGGTGCACCGAATGTTGTTTGCAGCTGGACGGCGTATCCCGCCTCGGTGAGTGATTCAGTGAAAGTGTTCAGCAGCCCAGATTGAGGGTCGGCTGAAATGATCGAGATAACCTGGGGTTCCTCCTGCTCTGATGGCGGTGTAGCGAGCTCAATGGATCGACTGAGATAAGCAAAGCTAGATCCATCGATAGGGATCTTGAACAGTGTGTTGAATCCAGCATCCTGGAGGAGGGCCTCGTCGGCGTCTTCGCCGGAAGGTGTTGTCGCAGATCGCTGGACGAACAGATACACGACGTCGCCCTTGGCCTCGGACGGCTTGATTCGCTCGAGCACCGACGTCTGCGCAGTAGCAACGAGATCCTGATACTGGACAATGACGAGATCAACCCCCGGATCAGCGAAGATGGCATTTGCGTCCTTGCCTAGGAGCTTGAACTCTGCGTTCGGCCGGTCGCCGACGCTGCTGCGGACAGTGCTCAAACGGGCGGAATCGGGATCCGCATAGGTATAGTGCTCAGAGGCTCCTCTCAGCCCCTCGCTTGCCCCCTCGAACCAGGCCGTGGAGACGCTGTCCGAAGTCAGGTTGATTTCCCCGACGCGGAGAGTCGGCTTCTTGGATGCGACGAGATTGATCACGTCCGCCACTGCAGATTCCGGACGCAGGACAGTGAGAATCTGGTCTTGGGAGAGGAACTCAAAGTCCGGCAGCCATGCAGGGACCAGGAGTGCTGGATCAGCATCCACCCCGTCGCCCATGTTGAGCTCGGAGAACCGCAGACCCTTAAACTCGAGAAGCAGCTGACCCGTCGACGTACTCCAGACAGAGGCATCCGTGTAATGATTCCTTCGTTTCTCCTTCGCTCCTGCACCAGAATGCCCGGCGCGGGCTACAGAGACAGCAGTCTCACCCTCAGCCGGCAAACCCCCACTCGGACCAACAGTCAGCTCCTCGAGATGAGACGGGAGGAGCAACGACTTGATCTCGCTGCGCAGGCCGCTATACAGCGCGGGGAAGACGGATTGGAAGCAGATGTCGAGGGTAGATGGGTGCATCGCGTACGGGTGCTGCGGGAACCCTGTCGATGGCGGGTTTCGGGACAGGGTCGACCGGGTTTCCTGTTGGCCTGCGCGGCACTCGATCTCGAGGAGACGCTGGAAGTCGGGTCCGTACGTGCAGCCTCGGTGGTCGAGGGCGCGGTACCAGTGCTCGGCGGATTCGGAGTATGCGAGGGGCGCGAGGGTTTCTTTGTCTGCTGCTGTAGTATAGTTAGCCTGGCTGTCTAGAGTCTCCTGGATGGTGTGGTGAATCTGCTTACCCCGAGCAGCGACCTGGCGAACAGAGATGCGGCCATCGCAGTGAGTAACCGAAGTCCCCTCTTGGATAGAAAGCACCCTGAATCCAGTCCATGAGGTGTAATCATCCGAAACCTCAGTAAACGCCAGCACGACGGTAGTGTCCTTTCCAGAATCCAAGGCGAGCGCCCGTCGGAAGTTGACGTCCCTCAGGACAAACTGCAGATCTGTGACACCCGCCACATCAGGAATCGGGTTCACGCTCTGTCTGGCCTGGTACACGGCCTCAATCGCCATAGCCAGGTACCCCGCCGCAGGGAACACGGGATCGCCAGCCATGCGATGGTCCTTGAGCCAGGGCATATCATCCAGCCGGATGATGCTCTTCCACGAGGGCGCCGACCAGGGCGTACCCAGAATCTTACGGCCGAGCAGCTCGTGGTACGGGAATTGGCCGAAGCGCCAGTCCTTGCTCGCGTCGCTTTCGTGCCAGTAGACGGCCGAGTGGTCCCAGGAGTAGTTGGGGAGGTCGACGAGGACGGAGGGTCTGGAGGTGGGCTCGTCTGCCGATGGGAAATTGACTGCCCCGAGGGAGAGGGGATAGTCGGCGACGTACAGTTTGCCCGCGAGCTCATGCATGGCTTCGCCGCCGTCCTTGCCGCGGTCGAGGGCCGCCAGGTATTGCACACCCTTGACCGAGATGCCTTCCAGGATCTGTCGGACGGGACCGGCGAGTGCGCCACTCGGGCCAATTTCCAGGAGGAGCGTCGCACTGGAGTCCTTGACAAGCTCCGCCGCTGCGTCAGAGAACAGCACAGGCGAGGCCATGTTCACCCGCCAGTATTCTGAATCGCACGGCTGGTCGAGGAGATGCCCGGTGACAGACGAGAACATCTGTGCCGCATCGGATGCCCGAGCAGGAGCAGGGTACTTGGCCCATTCAGCCTCGAGCTGCTTCTTGTACAAGGCGGCGATATCCGCGACGTACGACGAGTGGTACGCCAGATCGACCCGCAGCAACCGGGCAAAGGTTCCTTGCGCTTCCAATTGGGCTTGGACGCCAACGAGGTGACTCTTCGGTCCAGAGAGTGTCACGCTGTTTGGACTGTTAACGCAGGCGACTTGGACCTCCCGTGGCATATCGGGCAGCAGCTGTTTGAGCTGCTCTGTGCCTGCGCCCACTGCGCACATTCCGAGGGGCTCTACTATTGTCGGCCCCAGCACTGCCGCTGCCTGGCCGCGATAGAACGCTGCGAGGATTGCTTGTTCCTGGCTGAGGTAGCCCGCGGCATAGGCTGCTGCGATCTCTCCGGATGAATGCCCGACGACTGCGCGCGGCAGGACGCCCCATTCTTCGAGGATGGAGAGAATGGCGAGCTGGAGCGCTGTGATGAGGGGTTGCGAGAGCTCTGGCTTCTGATAATAATCGGCCTGGCGGGGCTCGCTCAACTCGTCTATATGATTGTTAGATCATTTCTCCCGACATGAGAGTCACATGAGATGGGGAATACTTACCAACTAGAGACCACGAAGGCGGCGTCGAGGTACTCTGCAAGACGGTATCAAGGTACCGGAGCCTCTTCGCAGCACATGGGAAGTTCTTGATAAGCCCAGCTCCCATCTGCGGCCACTGGCTGCCCTGTCCCGTAAAGACAAACGCGACCTTGGGGGGCTCCATCCCCTTCTCTCCGAACTCCACCTTGGCCCGATTGAGGTTTGCTGCGCTCGTAACGACGTATCCTCTGTAGGCGTGGTGGGTACGGCGCTGACCTAATGTATACGCCAGGTCGGACGGCTTCACCTTGACGTTCAGATCAGCCAGATGTCGCTTGATGTCGGTGTAGTAGCGTTTCAGAGATTCTTCGGATGCCGCGGAGAAGACCATGGTGTATAGTTTCTTCGACGTGCTTTGGCGGGATGCGAGCGCCTGGCTTGACCGCGATGAGGCGTGCGGCTTGGACCATTCTTCCCCGAGAGATCCTTTCGGCTCTTCGACAATAACGTGGGCATTGGCTCCGCCGAAGCCGAATGAGTTTACGCTCACCCGGCGAAGGGGGACGGCGGGCCAGCTGATTGTTTTTGTTGGGATTTGCAATGCGCCGCCGAGCAGGTCAACTGCGTCTCAGGTCAGCCATGCCGCATAACATGTGTGACATGGGGTAAGGGCGAAGTATACTTTTGGGGTTCAATTCTTTCAAGGTACTCTGACCGGGGATCTTCCCTTTCTCTATTGAGAGAACAGCTTTGATCAAGCCGCTGATTCCCGCCGCCGGCTCCGAGTGTCCTAGATTGCCCTTGACCTGTAAAGAGACGCTTGTCAGTATTTTATGGACTTTTGCTGGGGGTTTGAGTTTGGCTACTCACAGATCCAAGTATCAATGGTGCCTGGGGGTCTCTGGTACCCCCAAACACCGCAGACAATCCATTGACTTCAATGGGGTCACCGGCCTATTTAAATCAAAGTGGTCAGCAACTGCACAGACTTACCCCTCCCCCTTCTCAATCACAATCCCCTCCGAAATAAACATACCTGCGTCCCCGTCCCATGACACTCCACATACGCCGTCGCGTTGAAATCACTAATCCCCGCACGCTTATATGCAGCCCGAATACACGCCGCCTGCTGCTCCGCGCTTGGTGTCGAGATACCCACCGTCGCACCGTTGCTATTACTCGCCGAGGCGCGGATGACTGCGCGGATGGGGTCGCCGTCGGCCACCGCCTGGTCGAGCCTCTTGAGGATTACTGCGTTGACGGCCTCGGCTTTGACGTAGCCGTCGGCTTTGGCGTCGAAGACCTGACATAGGCCGGTTCGCGAGTAGACGCTGCCGACTTGTCCTTCTGTTTATTTGTGAGTAGGGTTGGGTGGGGAGTGGTCTCAATGAGAAATGGACATGGTGGTACTGACCTTCTAGTAATTCGTCGGGGCTGTAATTGAATGTGGTCAGTATTGGGGACTATTGAATAGCAGGGAACGTACTTTAGGAACAAGTGCGACGCAGCTACGACGGCCGCAGAAATATCGTTAGCAGCCAGGTAGCGACAGGCCAAATCGACGCTTGTCAGGCCTCCTGAGCAGGCCGTATCGACTGTCATACTAGACCCAATGTTAGAAATTATCCTGCGTGCTAGTGAGGCTTTTCGACGCAACGTACCTGGGTCCCTTGATATTGAAATAGTGACTGATCCGGTTACTCATGATGGAGCGCTTCGTGCCCGTGGTTAAATTGATCGGCCGGTCATCAGGGTCTCGATTTTGGAGTGCGAGGAAATCTGGCACGGTCAGTTGCCCAAGTCCATTGGGTACTTTGAGTGCAAGCACTACTGACCAGTTGTAAAACTGCTAACGAAGCACCCAATCTGCTCCCCACTGATTCCATCTAGAGTCAACCCTCCATTCTCAAGCGCCTCGTAGACAACCTCGAGCAGCTGCCTCTGCTGCGGATCCATTGAGCGCGCCTCCACGGCGGAGATGTTGAAGAACGGCGCATCGAAGCGGGCAGGGTCCACATCGTGAAGGAACATGCCGCCGCGGCCCTTCATCGTTCGCGGTCGTCTCGTCCCATCGTAGTGGGCCTGGGCTGAGAAACGCGACTCAGGAACCTCGTTTGAAGCAGTCTGTCCGCGCTCGAGGAAGCGCCATAGCGCCTCGGGATCGCTGTTCTGCCCTGGCAACCGGCACGCGAAACTGACGACTGCGATTGGGGGCAGGCCGGCTGCCTCTTCGCTGATACTGAGGGTGTCTGGCGTGTTGTCCATGGGGAAGTTTTATTAGTCTAAAAGATGTTGGGCGCGTAAATGGGGTATGCAGAAAAGATAAGACAAGGTGAATAGGGCTCCGTGCGCCTGTGGGGCTCCAGGTGGTCTATGAATCTAACAAGTGTATCACACACGAATCAAGTATGCAGACAAACGACAAAACGAGTATGTCTCCTTCGCTGCCCATATAGCCTCTTGCTTATGTATCCCAACGCAACGGGAGAATATGGCAATCCCCGTCAACTCCATCGTCTCGCTTCGCTGAACTCATCCAGGCCTCCAGGAAGTATACCCGGCGCGATAAGCCGCAGTCCGGGATGGCGATTTCGGATTAGCGCAATGGTTCGCGAGGCCGTGTTACCGTAATAGATAACCTTGCAGGGCAGGGATGTCCGGAGGCCGAAACGTGAAGGGCGAAGGTGTGGAGCGGAACCTCTGCTGCGCCTTACGCGCGACACTAGTATCGTGAGGCCCGATCTGACCCGGTCGCTCGTGGGCCAATCGCTGCCCCTGCACGCCCTGCTGACGCTGCACAATTCTCCGATACGCCTGTATTTCGGTAAGTTATTATTTGCGAATTCCGAAAAAAGGCTCAATGGCCCCCGGCCCGAGACACGTTGGTGTTCCCAGTATACTCTGGAGTCTGGATGCAGGGCCTCCGGTTACCCCCGTCCACCACCCCCACCACCACCAGGACCCCGGCCACCCTCCATCCCAGGCGCTGCATGTCTTGGTAATCTCGCGCTTCCGGACGCCTGACGATAAACGTTGCGAGGCTGACACAATCAAGAAAGAGGCCCACCGGGTGGCGTGTAACAGAAGAGTATTAAACCGAGCGGAGGGGGAAAGCGAGCGTTTTCTATCCCATCCCGTGCTGAAATCACCTTCATAATTTATGTCCTGGTCTTTCATGATCGTATGACTTTTGTTCTTGCCTGTTCTCAACCCTACATTGACATTTCCTCTGCACATCATGGTCCGCGCACTCATCCTCGATCTCGGCGATGTCCTCTTCAACTGGGACGCGCCTGCGTCCACCCCCATTTCACGCAAGACCCTCGGCCAGATGCTGCATAGTGAGATCTGGGGTGAGTATGAACGTGGCCATTTGACAGAAGACGAGGCATACAACGCACTCGCGAAGCGGTATTCCTGCGAGGCCAAGGATGTCGCACATACCTTTGTCCTGGCACGAGAATCGCTGCGGCTCGACACGAAATTCAAAACGTTTCTGCAGACTCTAAAGCAGAATGCCAACGGCTCCCTTCGTGTCTATGGCATGTCGAATATATCGAAACCGGATTTCGAAGTCCTGCTGGGCAAGGCCGATGACTGGACTCTGTTTGACAAGATCTTCCCCTCTGGCCATGTCGGTATGCGCAAGCCAGATCTTGCCTTCTTCCGCTATGTGCTCAAGGACATTTCAACGCCTGTCGAGGATGTGGTGTTTGTTGACGATAACCTGGACAACGTGACGAGTGCTCGGTCTCTGGGCATGCGCAGCGTCCTCTTTCATAAGAAAGACGAGGTCCAGCGACAGCTCACCAACATCTTTGGCAGCCCTGCTGAGCGGGGCTTGGAGTATCTCTCCGCCAACAAGACGAATCTGCAGAGTGCTACCACGACAGATATCCCAATCCAGGATAACTTTGGCCAACTTCTGATTCTCGAGGCCACTGAAGACCCGTATGTTTCCCTCTAGTATCCCAATCCATGTCTCTCGCTGACTATCCTCTGTATTTCCAGATCGCTGGTCCGCATGGAGCCCGGTAAGCGAACCTGGAATTTCTTCATCGGTTCTCCATCCCTCACAACCGACACCTTCCCCGACGATCTCGACACCACATCCCTTGCCCTCTCCATCGTACCCACAAGCCCCGACGTCGTCAACTCGGTCATCGACGAGATTATCAGCCGTCGCGACAAGGACGGTATCGTCCCGGTAAGCCGCCCACCCCCTTGTCTAACCCCCGAACGGATGCTAATCACAATCTCCATATCCAGACTTACTTCGACAACACCCGCCCCCGCGTGGACCCAATCGTCTGCGTAAACGTCCTCTCCATGTTCGCAAAGTACGGCCGCGAGCACGACCTCCCCGCAACAGTTGCGTGGGTCCGCGACGTCTTGTATCATCGAGCATACCTCGGCGGAACACGGTACTACGGGTCAGCTGAGGCCTTCCTCTTCTTCTTCACTCGCTTCGTTCGCAACCTCCGACCGGGAACTCTCAAGCAGGATCTACACGCATTGCTATCAGAGCGCGTGCGCGAGCGACTCAATACCCCCGTCGACGCACTCGCCCTGTCAATGCGCATCCAGGCCTGTCATGCGCTGGGCTTTGACGCCCCCGCAGACATTGCGACGCTCATCACAATGCAGGACGAGGACGGCGGGTGGCCGGCAGCCGTCATCTACAAGTACGGGGCCGGGGGGTTGGGGATCACGAACCGGGGTGTTTCGACTGCGTTTGCCGTAAAGGCGATTACAGGGTCGCCCGTGAAGACTGAAACCAACATAGGCGGCGATGGAGCTCGCGCTGTCTCGGCCATGTCCTCCTTGGAGGCGAGGAGGCTACAGCCGATCTCGTCGGTTGGGGACTGGGTGCGGTTTATCATTGCGTCGTTGCATGTCCATCTGGCTTGGCTTTGGAATGTTTTGCTTTTGAGCAAGGTTGTTTGAGCTTTAGATAGAGGGCTGCTTTGGTTTAGTTTGGTTAGGCTTGTAATTCAGGTTTTTGGTGCGTTTCTGGATCGACTAGACTGTGAATCCTAGAGAATACTGTTGGGCTCTTCTAAGAGACTATTAACCCTACTCTATCCTGGGCTTTTTTGTAAGAGCGAATCCAAAATATTGCACTCGATTTCGGGAGCAATTCAAAATGTGTGGTGGACGATGCTGTCCCCAGCGCACCATCGAAGGCTGAGGCGATACTGTAGCTCTTCGAGTCACATTGTGCAGAAGACACGTGTTTGATGCACCAAATATTCAGATGCCAGCTGATTAAATATCCGTCAAAGTTATAAATCATTGTGGTGGTTGAGTATTGGAATTTTGACTTCTTCGTCGAAACTATATATTGTTGAGTCCGGTTGCGGCAGGAAAGCTGGGGACGGATCGTGGATGGACAGGCCGGGAGATGGTGACCTCCGCAGATAAAACCCTTTACCCTGGCTCAGGACCTCTGGTTAACCATCCAAACATCCTCTGACCTGCATCTGTATCGGTACTATAGCAGTTCATAAAGCCATACAATTTTTCATTTGTTCAAACCCCCTTCCACGGTGCGCCTCTCCACCTAGAGTGTAAGCATTAGGCCACGCTATCAACGTCTCAGATCTGTTGCTCGAGGTTCAGCATGTGCAGTGTAGACTCTGGACAACATTGACTCTTCAAGTCACTACTATAAGCGCTGACCCATTGAAGACTATGGCTGCCCTTTCGCAGGCTTCCAAGTCGCCGACTCAGCACACTCTACTCTGCCAAAAAGGTTCGTACGGCAATGTTGCCATATATTATTCTACTCTACTTCGAGTCTATCACCAAATCAACACCCCGATTAACCGATTAATCCAACTCTCAATCCCCAGCGAGCCCAGTCCTGACAAAAAGGCTCGCAAGCATGACCATCTTGAATAACCGCCTCCATCTCTCCCACCCTGTCTAATCAAACATTAAACATTAAAACCCCTACTTCTTCTGCTCCGCAACCGGAACCTTGCTGATCTTGAATCCACCCGGAACCTGCGTCTGGAAAACCCCGTTGGGATCATACTTCTCCGCCGCCGCCCTAAGCTGCTCAATGTTGTCGCCACCGTATCCACTAATGGGATCCTGCCAGCCGTCGGCGTAGTTGAGGTACAGGAAGTCGCTGTCCTGCTCGAGGGAGCGGGCGTACTCTTCCAGGTTGTGGATCAGCTCGTCGGCCAATGGCTCGAAGAGCTCGTCGTCTTGCGTGCGTTCCCAGAAGGCCTCGAAGAGGAGGACTGTGCGGTGCGGTTCGAGTTAGTGCCGTACTAGCAGGGTGGACACGGAAAGGGAAGATTCTACATACCAATCTTGTCACCATTGTTCTCGAGACCGATAATGTTGCCTCCATTCTCCTGACCACTCGTACCAAACAGAGTGGGCATGGGCTGGAACCCGGCAATAACCAGCCAGTCGCCGCCGGAGACGTTGGCCTTGATAGTGTCGATGTACTCCTGGTACAGGTTGGCGCCGTGCTCGATGACGCGGGCATCGTTCTTGAAGGCAAGTGTGACGAAAAGCACGCTGGTAACCAATGAAATGTCAGTGCTTAGCAATAGCTTTCCAAACACCTCTCGGGGGGTTTACTCACCGGAACCAGTTCGTCGTATCCTCCAACTCGGTGACAAGCGATTCAATCGACCGGGTGTGCACGGTGCTGGAGATATTCTCAATGGCGTAGTAGTCATTAAACGCCTCTGGATACTCGACGGGATCGGTGTAGTACATGGCATTGGCGGCGCGGTTCACATCGGTCAGGGTGTCGTATGTCCAAAAAGTGACGAGGAGTGCCTTGGGGTCCTGCTCAATGTTGGAGGTAAAGTTCTGCAGGGTGCGCGCCAGCTCGGGCGTCTTGGAGACATTGTATGAGGTGTATCCGCCCCAGATTTGGGTCTGGGGGAAGGCGCGGACTTCAAAGTTGGTGACGACGCCCAGGTTTCCGGAGCCACCCTTGAGGGTGTGGAAGAGGTCGGGGTTGGTGGCGTTTGTGGCTTGGATGAGCGTGCCATTTGCGAGGACAACCTGGACAGCCTGTGGTCAGTTCATGGGCACATTTCCGCGGGGACGACAGACTCACATCGAAGGACACGACATCGTCGCAAGCAAGTCCGCGCTGTGCAGAGTAGATTGTGATACCGCCTGTTTAATTCTCATCAGCTTCAATGGGCTTTTACTCGTGGAGCCAGAAGATACGCACCGCCAGTCAGGAAGCCGCCGACGCCGACACTGCTAAATCGCCCACCGGAGACCATGACATTGTCAGGACGCAACTCTTCATAGACATTAACCCATCTGCCGCCCGGGCCGAGCGACACCGTCTCAGTTTCGGGATGATAGATCGTGTGGTTTAGCTTGGACAAGTCGAGCGTGACACCTGCAGCGATATCCGAGAACCCGACGACCATCGAGTGCCCGCCACTGCGGATCGCAAAGGGGCAGGTCTCCGCCAAGTCGGGCTGGGTGAGGGTGGTGAGAACCGTCGAGACATCCTCTGCACTCTCTGGGAGGACGATGCAGGCCGAGTTGAGGCTCGTGGTGACGGAATAGTACGAGCGCTTGGCGCGGAAGTACTCAATGTCGCCGTAGGCAAAGACCTTGTCTCCGACGGCACTCTCCCGAAGACTGGTGCACTGCAGAGAGTTAGTAATTGCCGCGATTGAGCACGACAGGAGCCAAGACATACACATTGGGCGACGGCTTCGAGACCGCACTGGCCGGGATCGTCGAGCGGGGTAGAGTGAGCAACGTCCACGAGGGCAGCGAGGATCACTGCACCTGCAACGGTTGCAGACTGAAACGCCTTGGCGAAGAGCATGTTATTGGTCGACGGTGAGCAATCGATTGGATAAGTCAGGCTGGAATGATAGGTCGCCCGAGAAAATTGTTGCAGATGAACTGCTCGATGCGGAAGGGGGGGGACACCTTTATCCCTGTGGGAAATTACACATAATCGGTGTTCGTTATGGCCCCCTTTTTCGTTTTGCTCCCTTTGGCGTGTTCCTCGCTAGGAGGAGGCTGTACAAGGCAGCTCCGGAGCTGCGCTGCGGGTGTGGGCTGACATCAGTTCGCAGCGCGTATACGAGGTGCGCTCGGTTCGGTTCAGCTGAAAGGTACACTGTGTATGCAGCATGCATCCTTCAGCATGCAGCATGCAGTAAGCCCGGCAAGCCCCGGCCGCACAGCCCAGCTTCGCTCCCCGTCAGCGCCGAAGGATTTCCTCGTGGACCCCGACGCTAGTGAGCAGGGGTGGATCGTCGCGATTGTCCCAACTCCGGTACCATCATGCATACGAGGACAGACCGAGGGGCCTTGTATCGAAATGCTACTCCGACGCGAAGGACTCTGAGGGGACCTACGAGGGGGCGCCTTGGCTTCTCTTTTACTCTGGCCCAGACAATCCGGTCCAGAGCATAAATAGAATCGAGGCTTGATCCTGACTGCCTTTTCCACCGTGCACTCTACCTTCATCAGTAAAGTTGCTACTGTCAACCTTGAAGCACTAGACACCCTCAATTGCCTCGTGTTTACTTGTTATCAGAGACCAACCATGTCAGACACCTACTTGGTTGCGGCGAGCGGGCTCGCCGTCTGCTTCTTCGTGCTGTACCTCTTGAGACCCAAGACTGCTCTGCCTCCCGGTCCCCCCAAGCTGCCCTTGATCGGAAACCTCCACCAGCTCGGCAAAAAGCCCATGTACGAGCGCTGCCAGGAATGGCACCGCCAATTTGGCAAGCTGATCTCCCTGAAACTCGGATTCGACAACGTCGTGGTCATTGGTAGCTCGCAGATTGCCCGAGACCTCCTGGATAAAAAGGGCGCCATGTACAGCTCGCGGCCCAAGTTCGTCATGGCCCACGAGAACGTGACCAAGGGCTTCCACACGGCGACACTTCCTTACGGGCCCCGATGGCGTCTACACAATCGCATGCAACTGTCCGTCCTGAACAAGCGCATCGTCACCCGGTGCCGACAGGTGCAGGAATTCGAGAGTCTGCAGCTCATCCACGAGCTCCTCTTCACCAACGACTTCCACCCGCGCTTCCAGCGCTGGGCCAACAGTCTGCAGACGGGTCTGGGCTACGGACAGCGCCTGGCCAAGGGAGACGAGTGCAATATCCACGAAATGGAGCACATCAGCCGCGTGTTCCGTGAAATCTTCGCAACAGGCACTTGGCTCGTCGATCTCTTCCCGGCCCTCAACCACCTCCCGCCTCTCCTCGCGCCCTGGAAGGGTGTCGCCGAGCAGCACTACAACCGCACGATCGAGCTCTTCCAGCTAAACACCGCCGCTGCCCTGAGCAAGACCTCGTGGAACTGGACCAAGAAGATCCGCAGCCTCACCGAGTCGCAGGGCCTGCCTCCGGATGAGGTCAACTTCCTCGTGGGCGTCATGGCCGAAGCCGGCGGCGACACGACGGGCGTTGTGCTCGACATGTTCACCCTCGCGGCCGCCCTCCACCCAGAGAAGATGGCCATCGCACAAAAGGAAATCGACACGGTCGTCGGAACAGACCGCCTCCCCAACTTTGGCGACGTCGACAAGCTCCCCTACCTCGCTGCCCTGATCAAAGAGTGCCTCCGCTGGCACCCGGCCGCCCCCTTTGGTCTCCCGCACTCGGTCATGCAGGACGATACCTACGACGGGTACCACATCCCCGCGGGCACAACCATCATCGCATCCCAGTGGTCCATCAACTTTGACCCGGAGACATTCCCCAACCCCTACGAGTTCCGACCAGAGCGATACCTCGAGAACCCAGATCTCCCCATCAGCTCGTTCGGGTTCGGACGTCGCGCTTGCCCCGGGCGCTACTTCGCCATGGACTCGCTCTTCATCTCCATCTCGCGGGTCCTGTGGACTTTCAACATCCGTCCTATCAAGCAGGGCAAGGATGACCCGCCCATGCCGGCGTGGGAGTTTGTCATGGACGGTGCGCTGCTGAGGCCCGCGCCTTTCAAGGCCCTGTTCTCGGCGCGCGATATCCACCGTCAGCGGTTTGTCATCAAGGAGTGGGCGGCTGCTGAGAAGAGTGTGGATGTGGAGGCACTCTACGACGCTATTGAGCCTGCGGGTGGGGACTTTAGCGCCCAAGAGAAGGAGGAGCCGGTTCTTGTTGCGTAGGCTGGAGATTGGTGGATGGTGGTGGAAGCTTGGAGCAGGCATCCTGGTTGAACTCTGTGGGGCTTTGGTTTTTTTTCTTCTGCTTAGTACTAGAACATGCTGTCGCTTGCTTCAAAGTTGGATATGTCAATTATTGCCTCTGCCTGTTTCGTTAGAGAAGAATATCACATCTGCGCTGTTGGACCAATATCGTCTCGTTACCCTTGTAAGATGCATGCCTGTCACACATGCAACCTGCCAGAAACGTGGGTGTATATCCTTGTGCTACGTACCATTGTAAGCCCCCGGATTGGATACTTCTTCCGCTGACCTGGTTCTACCTACTGTTCCCCTCTTCGCTGTCTGCAGTGCAGATACCATGTGACGAACCTCGCACCCGTTCCCGCGTAAACCGCTATCGCGATTCCCACAATCCAAGTGGCCGAATCTCTCCCCCTCTTTGTCCGATAAGCGGCAGGGTCTTGCATGAGCCACGTTCGTTCCAGATGCTCCTCCCTCCCCTGTTCCGGCTTACCCATCCCCCCTTCGGGGTTCAGTACCAGCTCCTCGGGTAAGCAGACTCCAGCCTTAGCGTACATGGTCTAGAAGGTGGACCTGAAGGATCTCCGTGTTGCTCTCGGGCAGCAGGGACGCACAGATCGCGTGTAGACCGTTCCGTTGGCTCGCCCTGGATCTACTGTTCCGACGGGCCGGTTCCACAGCGTCGAGTCGCCTCACGGAGTATATGGATCCAGTCAGCTCCATTGGATGCGACTATTTTAATTCTGCCCGGAGTCAAGTGTTTTAAGGCGGAGCCTGTCATTCTGCAGGGCTATTTTCGCTTATCTATTATTATTGTTATTATTATTATTTCTCGGCGATCCTTCGGAGTGGCCCAAAAAAGCTTCTCCGGGCAGGATCCAAAATGCAGCCCCAAACCAGGATCAGGATCCGCCTGCGGGATTCGGCTCCTTCGGATTTCAACCAAAACTACTCGAACTATTTCGCCTTTGTTTCGGTACAATGCTTCGCCTTGTATCGCGATGAGCCCCGATACAGAGTATGAGACAAGCCATACGGATCCGTCCAGTCATCAAAACCGGAACGGCTTTAGGGGACACGGTCTAACTTTCCAACCGTCCTCCGATCGCTCTCACGTTCTTTTCTTATACCTTTCTCTTCTTTGGAGATCCAGTGCTAAAGGAATTCATACGACGTCTGAACCTTGAGCAGATTTGATCGAAGATTCACCGTCTGGTGACACTCCACCCGCAACCATGTCCTTCGCCTTCAGCAAAGTCGAGTTCGAAGAGGTCGAGTTCCAGACCCTCGACAAGCTTACCTTGAAAGCTCGTCTATATTCAGCCGCGAAACGTGGGCCGGCGCTCGTGATGAATCCTGGAGTATGTGATTGACCATCTCTCCCCGTCTTTGCCCATCTCTCGCCCTGACAGCACACGAACAAACCCAAAACCAGCGGCTGACTTATCCAGTACAACTGCACAAAAGAAATCTCCGCCCCCAGCGCCGCAGCCTACTTCCAAAGCAAGGGGATCACATGCCTAATCTACGACCCTCGAAACTGCGGACAGAGCGACGGTACGCCACGCCGCGAAATCGACCCGCACCGACAAGTCGACGACTACCTCGACGCAATGACTTACATGTCCGGGCTCGACATCGTCGACCCCGACCAAATCGGGTTCTGGGGCGTATCGTTTAGTGCGTCGATTGCGCTGGCCGCCGCATGCTATGATCCGCGCGCAAAGTGTATCATCACCGTGAGTCCGTGGACGTTCGATTTTGGGATCACGGCCGCGGAGGCCAAGGATAATTTCTCGCGACTGGTTGCGGAGCGCGAGGCGCAGGCGCTTGGGAACGAGCCGTTCTACACGGCGATGGTCGATGAGGAGGGCAACAACCCGATCCACGTCAATGTCGACTGGGGCGACGAGGTGCGGGCGGCGGTCAACGAATTCGTGTCGCTGTCCGCGGACGGGTTTGTGCCCACGGTCACCTTCCAGAGCTACTACAAGCTCTTCACATTCAGCCCCTATCTGTCGCTGAAGTTCTTGGGCGACACGCCGCTGATGATGGTTGTGCCGGAACACGATACGGTGTGTCCGGTGGAGCAGCAGGTGAAGCTGTATGATGCGGTCGAGGGGCCCAAGGAGATTTATCATGCCGAGGGCAAGAGACATTTGAATATGTTGGCCGAGGATAAGTTCTTTGAGCCTATGATGAAGCCGCAGGTGGAGTTTTTCTTCAAGGTTATGCGGGGGGAGGCGATTTGAGCGTGGCTCTCTGCCTGGATCATTTGTTATCTGAGAGCATTGAGTGTTGTTCATTTTTACGTGAGGTCAATAGAACTAGAGTTTTCGAGGCGACTAGTAACCCTGAATCAATTAATTCAGAGCGGCGAAATGATGAAACAAGAAGAACCAGAAAGAGAAAATAAGCAACGGTGGAGAGCTCGCCACGAGGAGGATACGTTGAACTCCCTTGATGCTGTAGACACTTTGTCGCAGGAATCCGCAACTCACTCGGGACCTTCAGGTTGCAGCTGATCCTCGCACCGATAGTACAGGGACCCGCAGCTCGGAGTTTAAACTTAGTGATCGCCGCTGGGGCCAGCGAGACGACGCTTACGGTGGGTCTGAGGGGCAACCACCTGCGAATGGCAGACTCCGATTTCCACATGCCATCGTCGGTGCAGTTCAAATTCGGCCTAGAGCCACGTTGGTCAGCTTCAGCTCCTGCATGCTCAGGCCGCCGTATTGAAATTTGCAATTCGCTGAACAAAGATATGGAAACTTTATCTTGGCGAGCCATCAGGACTTGGCGAGTGGCTTACACTTGGCAAATGGCTTACGCTCCAAGCTGGCAGATGGCTTACATCCCTGTCCTCGAGCTTGTCCCGTTTAGTGTTTTCTTTGTTCGCTGACTCCGATATAGCCATCAAGCGACCACCTCCTGGCGTTGCCAGGAGATGACCATCTCTCTTCCTTACTCACCCTCTTCCCGCCTCCGAATCAGCTACACACGACACAATGGCACCCGCTCTACCCTTCGCCCTCCCCTCCCTCGCGGGCAAAGTCTACCTCGTCACCGGCGGCAACACCGGCGTCGGCTTCCACACAGTCGACGAGCTCGCCAAGCACGGCGCCCGGGTCTACATGGGCGCGCGGTCGCCCGGCAAAGCCGAAGCGGCCATCAAGACGATCCGCGCCGAGACGCCCACGGCCGACGTGCACTTTCTGCAAATGGACCTGATGGATCTGCACTCTGTCGTGGCCGCCGCGAAGAGCTTCAAGGAGAAGGAGACGAAATTACACGGCCTGGTGAATAACGCGGGCATCATGGCGACGCCGTACGCGCTGAGCGGGGATGGGTTCGAGGCGCAGTGGCAGACGAATTATCTCAGTCATTGGGTTCTGACGTGGCATCTGCTTGATGTTCTGGTGAGGACGCTGCAGGCGGAGGGCGGTGCGGCGGGGAGTGTTCGTGTCGTCGACGTCACGAGTGACGGACATAACTTTGCGCCGAAAGTTGGGATCGACTTTAAGGATATTAACCTGGAAAAGGCCGGGGTGTTTGCTCGGTATGGGCAGAGCAAGGTGGGCAACATTCTGCACGCGAAGCAACTCAACAAACTCTATGGACCCAGTGGCTCTGAGACGGCGAAGAAAGGGATCTGGACTGCGGCCGTCCACCCGGGACATCTCGACACGAACCTCAACAAGCAGACTGCGTTCCCGAAGTTTGTCAACACTCTCTTGAGAGCTGTTGGCGCGTACTCACCTCCGAGGGACGGAGCGTTCAACTCGGTCTTTGCCGTTGCCTCGCCGGAGTTCAAGGTCGCTGACAGCGGGGAGTACTTTGTGCCCGGCCAGAAGAAGAAGCAGCCCAGCAAGGTTGCACGGGATATGGAGCTTGCTGGACGGCTGTGGAAGTGGACGGAGGAAGAGCTGCGGAAGCGGGAACTGCTAGACTGAGCGTTACGAGGTGGTGACTACGTACGAGAATGTGCCTGGATCATCGGCCGATTGGTGGAGCTCCCGTGTTTTATCTAATGTCAGGACAGTCGAGTCCAATACCCCTCATTTTAGTACTACACATTGCAGTCCAGAGCGTTTTCTTCTAGATTAACGCAACTCATATCTGTCTCCAAGGCTCTAGATCGACTTGTAGATCGTCTTGGTAAGGCAGTGATAGGCAGTAACGAGGCCTACAATTGATCAACGCGGCGGTCCTCAAATGCCTCGGTCACATACCTCTGCATTTCTCAAACCTGTGCTCTTACTCCGTCCGTCCTACACCAATAGTATACCATGTCTTTGCACACAGCAAGTTTTATTGCATTCGTCTTAGTACAACTCCATTCTACTCGATGGTATATAACACCTAGTATTATGATAGGTCGATTATCACCCCTACTTTATGCATCCTTCATCACAGTATCCGCGGGAAAAAAGAGCTTTGTATACTTTGCGCATGTACAGGTTTTGCAGCAGCAACCCTACTAAATGAAAGGATCTTTTCTAGCTATATTATACTACCCCGGTGGAGCTGGCTGAAATAGGATATCCCTGCTCCACCTTCAGGGGCGCCACGCGACGGAGCGCACAGGCGCCAGACCCCCCGCATCTCGTTCGGGTTGGTGCAAAAGCTTAAACAAGCTGCCAGCCTGCAACAGATTTGGCATTTTCTGTTTAGGTTGAACTGTGCAGTGGCAGTCTGGGCTCGTTGCGCTAATCCCCATGAACTCACGTGAAGGAGGGTATGCCATGGTCATAGTTAGTATAGCCCACTTTTACGCGAGCAGTGGTGTCATTTCGGGAATATAGGGGTTTCGTTTAACCCGGCCGAGTTTTATCCTCACATTCTGAGCCCTGCAGCTGACCTGCTCAGGATTGTCCTAAAGCATGCTGGTCCGAAGGCTGACGGGTGTTCTTAGCTGAGAAAGGTTTCAAGTGAGATCTATATTCAGGTAGCTTTTGTACATTTGTCTGGTCTTCTTGGCTGTGGAGAGAATGGCGATAATCTTGGTTTCGTCTCTCATCATTAGGGTCATGACATCATCTAATACATACTCGCTCTCATGCGGCGCGAAATCGCTCCAGGTGAAGGAAAGCCATCAAACTCCTTACAACTATACCAGTTGACAGCTAATAGTCCCCAAATCCCGTCCGTCCGAGGTCCCTGGGTCACAGGGCGCACTGCCTGTGGGCCTAGGGCTAGCCCTGTCCCATAGAACTTTCCGTCCTCCTCCGACACAACAATTCCGGTTGTATGGTCTAATGGTTATGACATCAGACTCTGATATCCCATTAGAGTCATATCTGGTGATCCCGGTTCGATCCCGGGTACGACCTTTTTTTCTTTTTCAGTTCACCATGGACTGACTCGTCTGATGAGGTCTCAGCTTGGGGAGTTAGTCGTGCGAATGGTCCTGACTGCATGCCCAGTGCCTCGGAAGACGAGGACGTATCGGACGGCAAGGGCACTTCACAAGGCCAAAGGTCCGCCGAAGCGTTGTAACATCCCCGATAAGAACCATCTGAAAAAGGAATATACAGCAATGTACAGTAATTTGGTGAATTGGTATGTATAGATAGGTATAGGCCAGTCGAAAACACCCGTAGAAATATTGGTCTCAAACCTACCATGTGCACATATAGGCAGAGTTTCCCCTCATTTAAATTAGTCTAAGGTATAATCTTATTAGGGTAAAGTTAACTAACTAGGGTAGTTATATTGTCTTGGGTTATTAAGGCCATATCTATCTTAGGTAACTAAGATCTATCTCCTATGACATATATTCATGGCAGTAGTCAAGGAGGTGAAACAGAGGAGTAGGTTATAATTATTATTCTGCCTCTTCCTTTTTCCATTCTGCCTCTTCCCATGCGTGTCTCGCTTCCTCCAGTTGATGTTATAACTTGGTAGTATCGTCCTGCGTAACTAGTGATAAATTTGATGGCAGGAAATCATGGGATATTGAACCCCTGTTAGAACTCATGATTCGGGTGATGATGCGGCACCTGTGCATTTGTTTATGTTTGATTACTAATGTACTATGCAGGGGGCTCTTGATGCCTTAGGCAGAAGGGCTAGCAAGCCACCAGACACGTGCAGCGCTTCGTCGGCGTTGCGGGGAACTAATACCCAACCAACTTTTTATCTCCAAGCACCATCCAGATGCACCCTCTGCCGTGGTCCCTTGGTCGCCGGAATTCAGATAGTCAATTTGTTCGCAGCCAAGGACTAGCTGGACGTGTGAATTGTATCTACTGTTTCCGTATCTCCGTGAAAGCGGCATAATGCGAGTGTCTAGGGTAGGAGCCCAGCTCCCTATCGAACTTATCCTGCTTTCCGCCGAATATCTAATGCCTGTTGACCTTCTGTCTCTCTTATGTGCGGCTCCTGGGCTAGCACGGGCTCTAACCTTCCAGCATACCACGCTTCAGGACGAAGGAGGGAGGACGATCCTGCATCTACTCGCGAGGGAGGGCAAATTGATGCAGCTACTGCTCGCAAACGGCGGTATCAGGCCAGACCCGAAGGATCACTGTGGCCGGACGCCATTATCACATGCGGCTGAAGGATATGAAGTGGTAGCCAGGCTACTGCTGGACCGACGAGATGTTGAGGTGGACTCAAAGGATAACTTAGGTCGAACACCATTATCCTATGCCGCTGGTGGTGGACATGAAGCAGTGGTCAGGCTACTACTAGACCAACAAGAGGTTGAGGTGGACTCAAAGGATAACTTCGGTCGGACACCATTGCTATATGCCGCCTGGCACGGACATGAAGCAGTAGTCAGGCTATTGCTAGACCGACAAGATGTCAAGGCAGACTCAAAGGATAATGATGGGTTAACTCCAATATCCTTTGCGGCTGGAGGTGGACATGAAGCGGTGGTCAGGTTACTATTAGACCGACAAGATGTTGACGCGGACTCGAAGGATAACTTGGGTCGGACACCATTGCTATATGCGGCCTGGCGCGGACATGAAGCGGTAGTCAGGCTACTGCTAGACCAACGAAATGTCGATGCGGACTCAAAGGCTAACTGGGGCCAGACACCATTATCCTTTGCGGCTGGAGGTGGACATGAGGCGGTCGTCAGGCTACTACTGGACCGACAAGACGTTGAGGCAGATTCAAAGGATAACTCGGGTCGGACACCATTATTATATGCAGCCTGGCGTGGGCATGAAGCGGTGGTCAGGCTACTACTAGACCACCAAGATGTTAAGGTGGACTCAAAGGCTAACTGGGGTCGGACACCATTATCCTGTGCGACTGAAGGTGGACATGAGGCGGTGGTAAGGTTACTGATGGACCGACAAGGTGTCCAGGCGGACTTGAAGGATAACTGTTGAAGAGGAAGCGCTTGATGACAGTCTGACAAGCAGACGGGTCGAAATAGCGGGAAAATTGCACACTTCTGCAGTGCTCAGGACCAAGGATAACCCACACTTAGAAGACAGGAGTTACTTTTCAAAAAAAAAAATAAAATAAAATAAATAAATAAATAAAATAAAACATTCTTCACAAATTGATGATTACTTTGATATATATTTACGATTCTAACCATACGACTCCGAGAGGCTTTCGTTTGACTCGAATCTTCACCACCAGTTCGAGTACTGATGTATCGCTGCCCAGAGAGGACATGTTGAGTGTGTCGAATATCTTTTGGAAGCGAAGGCCACACTGCTGAACTTGAGAGATTATTTCGGCATGTCCGCTATACTGTGGGCTGCGCGTAAAGGTCACACCGCTACGGTCAAGGCTTTGCTACAAGAACATACCGATAATATGACCAAAGGCAAGAAGGGAAGGAATTTGTTTCATCATGCCTTCCACAACGGAGATGTCGAAACCCTGAAGCTCTTTCTTGACGCAAGAGTTGATGCTCTTGATCTTCCAGATGACTGTGGTACGGCACCATTAATGCAAGCTGCGCTTCATTTCTGGGAAGTGACAGGGGCTTACAAGCCTTCCGTTACATCTGATACACCTGCCTTCAAGAAATGATCAAGGAGGCGGAAGTTGTCCAGAAGTCTATCGGCACCCTTCTTGATCACAAACAGAAGCAAGCAAACACAATGGAGGCCAAGTCTACGCGAAAGCAGGCACAAGACACGGCGAAACAAACAGACACTATTGTCATCTTCACGGTGGTGGCAATTGTATTTGTGAGTCATTTGACCCCCTTGGGATCGTTAATTCACTCACCCGATCAACCTCTTACAATCTATTTCTTATTTGCTATAGCTCCCCCTCTCTTTCCTGACCAGCCTCTTTGCGCTGAACATCAGTACCTTCCCCCACCAGGGTGACGCCCTCGCATATCAGGGATGGTGGATATTCCCAATTTTATGTGAGTCCTCATTTCAATAGGCCCAATGTGGCTAAGCCTGATGTTGATGATCATGTAGTTGGTGTCTCTATTATCGTATCGGGGTCCTTCATGACGGTTGCTTTCAAGGCAAACACTCTCAAATCGGTTTTGACCGAGGCCTGGCACCAGCTAAAGTCCTATGGGAAAAAAGGCCCGGCAGTCTCGACCGACAACGATACAAATGCAAGGGGTATTATGGGCTTTGGCCAGGGCCAGGGCCAGAAAAAGCCAAGCGTTGGTGTCTATATTGTTTGAACACTGTTGCGGTCTGTACAGAATGACGTCCATCTGTTGCGGAATAGCTATACTTTGTTGATTTTGCTCGGAATCATCAAGCATGCAAGTCTCCGAGTCCTAAAAGTTTGTATTCTGCACTTTCTCGCCATCGTTGACAAAATGAACCAACGCCTGCTTCGATAGCGATTTCATCGCATGGGTCCGTGAGGGAATCGGCAGTATTGTAGGCTGAACTTGAAGAGTGACAGAATTGAAAAACTTGATCAAATCCTACCGTATCAATACAGATGAACGTAAGAAGGATACCGAAGGTGAAAGGGAGATTTGGAGTGACGTGAGAGATCTTGTAGACGTGATCTACCGCCCTTCGCTCCTTCTTCAACAGTATGCATACCGCGGTAAGATGCGTCCAAGAAATGGGACTTCGTGACCGAGTACTAGTCGTCCAGATTCGGACTTTGACCCATTTCTTACCGTAATTATTCACCCTATGTACCAGAGCACTGCGATAGCCGGCTCGGCCGCCGCTGATAAGCATCTTGGCACAATATATATATACATTCCCAAACGTTGTCCGCCTTGATAACAAGTCAACCTCTCTCTCATGGTTTTCACGCGATAAGCAGATCCATTGGAAACATGGCTTCCACTGACGACATACCTACCACCGCGTTTGTTATCCCATCTGTTGATATCTCTAGTTTCCTGCTCGACCCATCCTCCCCGGCAGCCGAAACCGTCGTGTCGGAGATTCGCAATGCCTGCATGACCAGCGGCTTCTTCCAGATCACAGGACATGGCATATCGCCCGCTTTGCAAGATACCGTCATCACGGCCGCAAGGACATTCTTCTCACTATCCAAGGAAGAAAAGATGAAGTTTGCGGGCACCGTTGGGAGGGGCTATGAGGTGATTGGAGCGCAGGCCCTGGACCCAAGCACGAAGCCAGATCTCAAGGAGGTGAGTCACCCCATGTGCCCCCCCTGATTACTTGGACCACTAATTCAGAAATGGCCACTAGGGATACTTTGTCGGCCGCGAAGATCCCAACCGCTGCCCGCCATACCGACCATTCGAGCATCCCAATGTCTGGCCAACAGCAGTAATCCCGGACCCAGAGTTCCGAGAGCCCCTGCTTGCATACCACGCCGCTCTTACCGACCTGGCGCTAAAGGTCATGGCGATCCTCAGCCGCGGCCTGGTGGGCCTCACACCAGAGCTCCTCGCCGATTTCTGCCGCGAGCCCGTCGCCAGCGTCCGGCTCCTCCACTACCCACCACATCCCGCCGACGAAGCTGACCCCAGCGTCGTGGGCGCTGGCGCGCATACGGACTTTGGCGCCATTACGCTGCTCTTCCAAGATGGACAGTCTGGACTACAGGTCCTCAACCGGGATACGCAGACGTGGATCGACGTGCAGCCGAACCGCGATGCGTATGTGGTGAACGTAGGCGATATGCTGGATTGGTGGACGGCGGGAAAGTACAGAAGCAGCGTCCACCGGGTGATCAATACAAGTGGAGTGGACCGGTATTCGATCCCATTTTTCTTCGATGGGAATCTGGACTTTGTTGTAAGGCCGCTAGAGGATCCGGCTGCGGTAGGGGTGACCGTGGAGCAGCATCTGGCGGCCAAGTATGAGGAGATTTATCTTTGAGAATGAATGTATACAGTTAGTTTAGGGCCGTAGAAGCGGAATTAGACTTGGTATGAGCTGCAATTGGCTGGTAATGGACACAAGGCTCAATTTCAGGTAGCACATCTTCGAAGCTATTGAATATAGCTATGAGCATCCTAGTGAAGAAAGCAGATTAATTTAATTACACCAAATCAGCGCACCCATCCTCAACCCCCTTGTAGCCTTGACAGCACACTTATAGCACGGGCCCTGTGGAATCCGGATGACAGCATTAAGTCCCCGGAGCGCACACACAGCCCTTGCCACAGTCTCCGCCCCCTGTCCAGTAGCATTGATAACAATGAGACCACCAAGCTCAGCTTTAGCAAACTTTTCATCGTCGACAAGCTCGTTCGGAGTCCAAGTCTGCATCTGATACTCACCCGCCTCCCTCCCATGGACCGGATGTCCCGCAGCATCCGAGGCATCACACCTGGGCGGAACCACAAAGGCCGGACTCGTGCGGAGCTGAACTGTATGTGTCTTGGACGAAGGCTCGTGACTGAAGAGCTTTCGGGCCAAGATCTTCCGCCTGCTCGTTTCCTCGTGTGCGGGTTGGGCTACGACGAATTCGAGGTCGGCATCACATTTCAGGTCTTCGCTTTCGAAACTCTTTTCGTTTTCCTTGGTGTGTCTGAGTTGAATGGATTTGAGGATGTATTGCCTCTCGTCGCGGACTGGGGGAATTGGGATGGTCCATTTGGAGGGGTCGGTGATTTCCGTGGCATACGTGGCTCCGTCTTTGTCTACGTCCTCGTTGTATGCGATGGGGTCGTAAAAGGGTACTCGCTGCAAATTGGGCGGGACGCGCGCAATGCCTCCAACGTCTACCCAGAGCATCTGTGGCTCGCCTTCAAAGTCTAGATCGATCTGGACAGGGGGACACGGCCCCACCCATCCGTTGACGGATTTGACCCCAGGAAGGGCGGCCAGCACGCGGCCGAGCACAGTCGAGGTTCGCCAGTACGTAACTCTAGGCAGAACGAGCCCGGGCCGTTCGCTCGACGAAAAGCCAATGTTGGACAGTGATGCCGTGCAGGAAACTAGGGATGTCATGATGCTATCCGCGAACCAGTTCCCCGGCAGCAGCGGGCCATATAGCCAGTCGTGCAAGCTGGGGAACACCCCTTGTTCTTGCATAGCAAACATACGCTCGAAGATGCCTATGATACGTCCGCGAACCTCGTCGACGTAGGGCCACTCGATGCTCTGAGCGAACTTGACCAGTCCCTCCTCCTGCTGAGCATGAACGTTCGACCACCATTTGATGACATTACCCAGGATCTCAAAATCCCACTCCTTGATCTCATTCATACTCCGATGCCGCTCGGCTGGGTCCGAGATCCCAGCCATTTCCAAAAACTCCTCGGCAAGGCTCATTCTTGATGCAGCAATGTTCTCGCGGATGATCTTCTGAATCTCCTCGCTCTCTTCCGCAGCCTCCGCGACAGTCAATGCCTGCTCCCATGCCTGCAGTGACTTCTTGATCGCGCCCCGTCCCAGCTGCGCCTTTGCCAGAAACGCCCAGGCTGTCCAGTCATTGGGCGTATACTGCGTCAGCCGCCGGGCATCCACAACGCCCTCGGCGTACAGCCGCGTGACCGCCTCCTCATTCCCAACCTCCGCCGCCTCCTCAGCTGCCATGATAAGGGCCCGACATCGTGCTTGTTGGTATTTGGTGTTTGCCGGATCAAGCGCAATCGCGACGCCGAGACACTGCACCGCGAGTTCCGGTTCGGGATCTTCATCATCCATCGCCTCTTCAGCCAACGCAAACAACTCCTCCGTCTGCACCTTCTCCTCAGGCGAAACCTCCCTTGGGTCTGGCAGGGGTAATCCCTCCGTCATGCGCGGCTCCGCGTTACTCATCCACTTATCAGCAATAATCAACGATGCAAGAGCCTGGCGCGAGAATCTGCTCGATCCCCCCTTCGCCTCACCCGTCGCAAGCCGCCTCGCCAACTCCGTCGTGATGATCATCTGCCAGATGAATGTCCACATGCCCAGTGCGCCCTCGGGATTCACGGTATTCCACTCTTGCGAGATGCACGGTTTCTTGGTTAGGTCTGCGAAGACGTCCGCGCGATTTAGCACGTTCAGGAGCGCTGTCGCGCTCCCGTGGATATCCTTTCTGGATGATACTATACCGGCCATTGCCTCGTCGCCGATCAACTGGCGTAAATCGACGTCTTCCTCGACGAAATAGTCCTGCGACTCCCCGTACAGACCGAACTGCCCTCCGCGCCTCTTCTTCAAATCATCTACCCGTCGCAAAAGCTGCTTCACGCTTGCGCCGGGGAGCGGTGTTGGGGTAACGTCGGCATATCCGCGGCGCACAATTGCTAACCCGTATTTCGTCTCCTCGACGTAGTCCCAGCAGTCCAGCCCATAGCCGTGGATTGTTAGTGTACCGGGATGGGCATGGTGGTACGCCGGGTCAGCCTCGCAGTCGAAGTAGAGCGCGTCTTCGTAGTCGACGTAGCTTCTGTAGGCGTCGTCGGGGTTCTTAATGAATTTCTTTGTTCGGTGATACGATTCTGGGAACTTGTGTTAACCCCTTATTCCTCTCTTTCAGCCGCACCGAGTATCCTTACTCGGCGGTGGAAAGTCAAGATCGGGGAAAAGGACGAGTACGCACCAAAAGAAGGGTGTAAATACCCCGCGCCCTCCTCTTCAATCCTCACCAACTTCCCTGCGTGGGTAAGGACGGCTGAGACCTTGGCGCTGGTTGCGGAGGGTCCGTAGAGGGAAGCGTGTAGTGCGCCTCTGTTCTGCTCGAAGACGAAATCCTCGGCATCCAGGAGCCTGGTGTCTATTTCGTCTGGGTCGCGGGGTTCTTGGTCGCTTTCACCACTGCAGATGCTTGCAGCAGTGTCGTCGACAGGGAGGGCTTCTTCGTCGGAGTGCACGTATGCATTATCGGTGTCGGGGAGCTGGGTTGTCATTGTCGTTTCAATGGTGGTCGTCGTAGAGTGGGTAGCGAGGGCTTAATTCCACAAGATTGAAGCATCAACCGTGTGAGGAGAAGGGGGATGGAGATTGAGATAAATATCTCCTGCCTACCCCTCATCTTGCCTCGTCTCGCTCAATATATTTCTTTCACTGAATACGAGCCCTCCATCGCGAGATTAGCTAGCTGAGGCTGAGGCACCCGCCAAGCGCCGACAAGAGACCGAAGAGCTGACCAAGCGTTGTTTTGCCTAGAGGCAGCGACGTACTCAGCCTCATGGCGGCGCTCTTCCTGACTCGAGTCGCGATGGAACCACGCGGGGCGCATGATGGCGTGGATTAAGCTAGCAGGGGAGGATACGAGGCACGCAGGTATCAGCCAATTGGGTTGGATGTTTGGGTATCGTGATTCGTGTCTTGCGAATGAGACAGACAGAACACGACGACCCGTCCCATATCTCATGGATGCTTGAGGCTTGGACTGATACCGGAAGGCACGGGGAGATACCAGGAGATACTAGGAGTGTGGATCATGGGGCGGCAGCTCGTATCACCGAGAATTCCGATAATCTGCCCTTCTGGGTTTAATTGCGGGATTATCTCTTCTCTCTTCTTTTCACGGTGAGCGAGCTGACTCCGTGCGCGAGGTGAAGTCGATTTAGCCACGAGGTCGTTGCTAGCAGTTGGAGCTCTATCTAACAACCAGCCGAAGCTTGAGTAAATTAGCGTCACTATTCGTCCTGCTGCTACTTGCCCCAGGTATTGGCGAAATGGCAGGGTTGGATACCATCGCCCGACCGCTCACCGGAAGTAATGAGATTCAAACGGACATTCGGGGGCCAATCCTAGACCTTCCAACATTTTCTCGGAGATCCAGGCCTTCATCGGTGGATTACACTGCCCAGTGATCATCACACTCCGCAATGACCGGACGAGCGATAAACACGTTGAAATATGCCTCGCCCGAGCCATGAAGATACTTATCTACTCCTTCATGCGATCAGTGATGCTACGAGATCGTGCCAGAACATTGACCCGGGACATGCCTACGTGAGGGGCTAGGCCCCGTTGATAATGATAGTAATACCGAACCTCAAATCAGAGATTGGCTCTAGCCTCCATTGCATTCCAACTCCTTCCCACATCGGCGAAGCACTGCTGCCATCCCTTGCATATAGGGAATGCACCAGCGCCGAAGGATGCCCGCTAACATTCAGCAAAGCCAAGCTCTCTCTCCGTGCTTCTCGCCAACGTCGCATATAGAATGCTGATAGCAATGGGTTTGTAGCTGAGCCAGATCCGAGATAAACTTTTTCGCAAAAGAGTCACGAAAACGCGGGTCCGGGCTCGAACCAAGTTTGTATGCGACGACAGGAGGCTGTGGGATAGTAGGACGGGGGCAAAGCAAGGAGTGTGCAGGAGCTCACAAATGGCAAACCAAGTAGGGTGAGGAAGGGCCAGGCGAGTCTGAGAGGAGCTCGGCCATCCATGAAAAGTCAGGATCTGAAGTGTTGCGCAAGTTCCAGGGTTGGACTGCGGTCTCTCCGCGTCTAGTACCTGTCAAAGCCTTAAAGGTGGACGATCCATGGCAGCTCTGAAACTGGATTCGCATCCATCTTGCAGTTTCCATGGCGAGGATTTGCAGCAGCTCCACGGTCATGATGGTCCCGCAATGTTCTGGCCCCATGTGGAGATCCGGTCGGGAGCCCTGGCAGGTTCTTGGGCGGATCGACACATGCCGCGTCCGGTAAGGGATGAAGACAGCAAGAATTCCCAAGTTTTGGCCGAATGTCTCGTTATAAAACAGATGAATGTGAATATAATTCCGTGCGTCGGGGCTGTGAAGATGTCCAGCAAACTTTTGCATGCTAGCAAATATTGAGCCAAAGCTGTATGACTGACCAGGGGTTCAATCTTGGAAACTTGTTCCTCAGCCTGTTAGTGGCCGAACCTTGTACTGTGTGTAACCAACCGGTGATTTTGCAGGTTTCCGGGGGAGTCAGGGGACGCTTTATGTTCAAATTTCTGCTTGAAAGTTGCACGGCTCCCAATCAAGAGCAGAACGGGAACCAGAGAGCGCCTACGAGAGTCGTACTCGAATATCCTGACGAGAACTTGCCAAGTTCCAGGTGTGATTTTCATCTCTGGTTGCACTCTGGAACAAGGTAAGCCCGACACCACTAAGGCCTTGTGGAATATACCTATCTAGGAAAGCAAATCTCCGGTTGATTGGTTGGGAAGTTTGACCGGTGTTTGATCACTTCGAAGGTTGACGCGGGGGCATGTGAGCAACCGTCAAGTGCAGGTATGCGTGGTCTGGTGTCTCTGCAAGTGAGATACGAAGGGTTGTATCCTCCGGAACACTATACAAAGGGTTAGTAATACGATAGTTGAACAAGTGCTCCTCGAATAAGTCAGTATGAACAAGATGGCTCGTGTTATCTAGCCCTGAAGTAGTCACATTTGAGGACAGCGAAAAGGACGAAAGTTGGGCGAGGTACATGAACTGTCAAGGAAAATCCGGCTCCTCCGCGGAAGTTCATCTTGTTTCACAGAACTAATGACGTGGGAAAGACCAAAAGCCAATGCCTCGACAGAGGCAATAGAACGGGCAGGGTTAATTCTCCTGTTGTGATGTAGGGTCGATACAGAGTTCTAGCACAACCAAGTGGCGTCGATAGGCCCGTCCAGACCACACCCGTCCCCTTCGGCATGTCGCACACTTATCGTCCTGCGGTATTGTTGCGCCAGACATGTTATTGGACACAAACAAAACGACCCTTGAACGCGACTCATCACAAGAGCAAAACACCTCGTGCCTCGTGCCTAGGATTTCTCGTGCAGCGATCCCCCCCAGTTCTGCGCGTGGACGATCTTCTGGCTCATCGACGAGTGTCCCACGGGTCACCCATTCGGCCAGGGTCAGAGAAGCTTCAAATAAGCCTCTGTTGCTTCCTGCGCTTCCTGATTCCCTACATACTCGCTTATCTTCTCTCGAGACCCACGAATCACGGGTTTTAAAGGCGAACCGTTGCGCTGCCGAAACAACCTCGAGGTACGACGGAGTAAGGACAAGGAATCCTGCTCTTGAGCAGTCATGGATACCACTGACGAAACCCTCATGGCCGCGGCCGACATCCTCCAAGCCGCGACGAAAAACATCTCATACTCGGTAGGTACCAAGAAAAGGCCTCGTCGCCGACCGTTCATACTCCTGACCAACTCTCAGAGCGTCGTGGAGCCGGAGGCTCTACGGCTGCCAGGCCAGCCCACTAAGGGCAAGGCAGCATTTGAGAAAGCAATTCTGGCGCTCGTTCGACAGGTGGAGCAGATTAGTTCCTTCTATCACCTTGGCCCTATTACACCGGCCTCTGAGACGCCACCGACGAAGATTATTTGCATGGGGTCATCTCCTCCGCTTGACAGGTCCGGGCAGTGAGTATTTGAGAGACTTTGTGCAAGCATAGCGGGTTGCTAAAGCATTAATAGTTTCAGCGAGAATGCACCGGATATCATGCCTCCTGCGGCGATGAGTTCGGCCCCACAGATTGAGCTCGATGTTGAGACGGTCACACGAGCGCTTGCGCAGAGGACACAAGGGAATGCCATTCAAGCCGTACCCTGGGACGCCATATCCCGCATCCTGGCCGGGTTCGTGCGCGGTCCATGTGACACGACCAAGCAGCTCGAGGAAGAGCTCCAGAAGCGACAAAGTATGAACGAAGCGTTCCAACAAGCCCTGCAAGAAATTGGAAAGATTATCACGCAGGTTGCCAATGGGGATTTGTCAATGAAGGTGCATATCCGCTCGGCAGAAATGGACCCGGATATCAAAACGTTCAAAGTCACCATCAACAACATGATCAACCAGCTGCGTGTGTTTGCAAGTGAGGTTTCGAGGGTGGCGCGTGAAGTTGGGACAGAGGGAATACTTGGGGGGCAGGCACAGATCGCAGGCGTGCACGGTGTATGGGAAGAACTCACCGACAATGTAAATATTATGGCCTCGAACATTACAGACCAGGTCCGGGAAATTGCAGCGGTGATGACGTCGGTTGCACATGGGGAGCTAAGCCAGAAGATCGAACGACCAGCAAAAGGCGAGGTGCTTCAGCTGCAGCAGACCATCAATACAATGGTCGACCAGCTCCGAATGTTCGCAACTGAAGTGACCCGTGTTGCGCGGGACGTGGGCATTGAAGGGGTACTTGGCGGCCAAGCACAGATATATGGGATCCAGGGGATGTGGAATGAGCTAACGGTCAACGTCAATGCGATGGCCCATAACCTCACCACTCAGGTACGTGCACCGCCTCGCAATGGTCTGCTCCGCTAATATCGTTACATAGGTACGTGATATCGCAACGGTGACCCGTGCTGTTGCGAATGGAGACCTGGCTCAGAAGGTCCAGGCCGACTGCAGAGGGGAGTTGCTTGCATTGAAGGAGATCATCAATTCGATGGTAGATCAACTCCGGCAGTTCGCGCAAGAGGTCACTAAAATCGCAAAGGAGGTTGGAACCGATGGAGTCCTTGGCGGACAAGCCACTGTTCACGATGTTCAAGGGGTTTGGAAAGACCTGACGGAGAGCGTCAATCAAATGGCGATGAACCTTACGACGCAGGTTCGTGAGATAGCAGAAGTCACAACTGCGGTGGCTGTTGGGGACTTGACCAAGAAGGTCACTGCGAACGTGAAGGGTGAGATTGCAGACCTGAAAGACACGATTAATGGAATGGTCGATCGATTGAACCAGTTTGCTTTCCAGGTCAGCAAGGTGGCGCAGGAAGTCGGGGTCGACGGAACTCTGGGAGGGCAGGCTGTGGTGGTGAACATTGAAGGAAAATGGAAGGATTTGACCAACAACGTCAATACGATGGCGCATAACCTCACTCTCCAGGTAGGCGACTTTGATTTTATTGACGAATGCTCAACCACTGACCCTCTCTTTAGGTACGCGCCATTTCTCATGTCACCCAAGCAATCGCTCGTGGTGATCTGAGTAAGAAAATCGAGGTCCACGCTCAGGGCGAGATTCTAACATTGAAAATCACAATCAATGACATGGTCCAGCAACTCGATCGCTTTGCTCAAGAGCTCAAGAGAGTCGCCCGTGATGTTGGTGTTGAAGGTAAAATGGGCGGGCAGGCGAACGCTGTTGGAATGTGTGGTCAGTGGAAAGAGATCACACAAGATGTGAACATCATGGCCGACAACTTGACATCGCAAGTCCGTGCGTTTGGAGAAATAACCAATGCAGCGACTGATGGAGACTTCAGCAAGCTGATCACCGTGAGCGCATCTGGCGAGATGGACGAGCTCAAGCAGAAGATCAATAAAATGGTCTCCAGCCTGCGCGACAGCATCCAGCGGAATACTGCAGCGAAAGAGGCTGCTGAGCTTGCAAATCGAAGCAAATCCGAGTTTCTTGCGAATATGAGCCATGAGATACGCACGCCGATGAATGGAATCATCGGGATGACTCAGTTGGCGCTTGATACAGAGGGTTTGACACCCTACACACGGGAGATGTTGAACGTGGTCCACAATCTTGGCAATAGTCTTCTGACCATAATCGACGACATCCTCGATATCTCCAAGATCGAGGCTAATCACCTGGTCATCGAGAATATCCCCTTCAGCCTCGGAGCTACCGTCTTCAATGCGCTGAAAACCCTCACCGTCGAAGCAAACGAGAAAGCTTTGGAACTTACCTACTGTGTGGATAACTCAGTACCCGATTATGTTGTTGGTGACTCCTTCCGACTCCATCAAATAATTTTGAACCTCGTTGGAAACGCGATAAAGTTCACGGAGCAAGGAGAGATCCAACTCACAGTCAGGAAGACTGCATCTGACCTTGCACCTCCAGACTACATGCTCGAGTTCCTAGTTTCCGACACTGGCATTGGAATCGACAATGGCAAGCTAAACCTCATTTTTGATAAGTTCCAGCAGGCGGACGGATCTATGACTAGACGGTTCGGCGGGACAGGATTAGGCTTATCAATCTCGAAAAAGCTGGCCAATCTTATGGGCGGAGATATCTGGGTATCCTCTACCGTGGGTGTGGGAAGCACTTTCCACTTTGTCTTTAAAGTAACCCTCGCCGATACATCGCTCGAGGCAATGTGCAAGCGGCTCCAGCCATATCGAGACCACAAGGCCCTTGTGTTCGCCGTAAACGGGGAGGAAGCGTCGGAACCAATCAGCCAGATGCTCAAGACGCTCCGTCTAGAACCAGTCGTTGTGGCCTCCACGCAGCAAATCGAAGCGACCAGGACGACCACCAAGCCGTTCACCAACCATCACTCACAGTATGATGTCATCCTTATCCAGAACATGGAGTCCGCCGTGAGTCTACGAGCAATGGACGAGTTCCGATTCGCGCCAGCTGTCTTGATAGGACCTACCATGTCAGTGAGCATGAAGGCAGCGATGGATCTGGGCGTGACGTCGTATGTGACAACACCCTGCCGTGCTATCGACCTTGGACACGGCCTCCTTCCTGCGTTGGAGGGTCGGTCGACTCGCGTGAGCATGGGACAATCCATCCCTCTGGCAATCTTGCTTGCCGAGGATAACGAGGTGAACCAGAAGGTTGCCGTCAGATTCTTGGAAAAGTATGAGCACAAAATTATAGTTGTTGACAATGGCTTGGAAGCGTTGGCAAAAGCCCGCGAGCGCAGGTACGACGTGATATTGATGGATGTTCAGATGCCCATAATGGGCGGCTTCGAAGCAACCGTTCTTATCCGCCAGTATGAGCAGGAACATGGCATCTCGCGGACTCCTATCATCGCCTTGACTGCACATGCCATGTTCGGCGATCGGGATAAGTGCATTGCAGCGGGAATGGACGACTATCTCTCAAAGCCGCTGAATCAGAATCAGCTGGTTCAGATGATCGCCAAGTGGACCGGAGTTTAGGGGGTGGAAATGCCGACAGAGGAAAATTGGTCTGAAAAAAAGGCGTGCGTCTTTCAGTCCGCCGATTGAGGCTCATTTCCGATGCGTCAGTTGTTTAGCTGTCTTCCTGTACTTAGTATATCTCCAAAGCTTTTCTGATTATGGCGGATCTTGGGCAGTTTGTAGTAAAAAACCGTTCTTTCCTCAAGTCTCAACAAACCCTGCTTTTTTGAGGAGAACAGTTAGCCTTATCGTCACGGACAACCTGAGTGTTAATCGACCATGTTTCCGCAAGGGCAGTTCGCCCCTCAGCGGCAGCTTGGTGGGAGTCTAGGGGACGAATCCAAGGCCGAATCTTCGAAGGCGTAAAGATGAGTCGAGCCGCAACCAGTCGAGAAAGGAAACATCGTGCATGTATTTATAGAAGGAGGAACATGGGCGAAACTATCGAAGAGCACAGCGGCTGCGGGCACGTGATCGGTAGCCTCACGCACGACGTCAACAGAATACATCTGGATGTAATCCTGAAACCTGGAAGCGCGTCGGAGAGCATATGGCCAGAACAGTGAGTGTGTTGAGAATGCTGGTGACTGTGACCCTTTGACCTGGACCAATAATGGGGCTGCAGGAAGGAAGGTGATGTGGATGTGAAGTGAATTGATCAAAGCTCTAGCCAAGGCGGTGAATCTCCGACGGGGCGACATCGGTTTCAGCTCTCCTGCTGACCTGCCAAACAGCCAATCATCTTGTGCTGAATTCTGAATGCCTTCATAGAATTTCAGCTCTCTCGCGGCTGCGTAACTCGCCACAGTTCTCCCATCAACCTCGACGGCAGAAATGTATGCTCTTGACCGTCACTACTCAAGACAGGAGCGGTGGAGAAAGCGAGCGACAGCCTGAGACAGCGGCGACCGAGACAAGCCAACGAGAATTGGGGGGAAGCCCATGTCCAATGCGCACAAATAGGACACAAAAAGAGCCTACAGACAGAAGCTTCCTCGACGTCAGGATAATATTCAAACCAAGGTCGTCGTGTTCAATGACAAGACTATTGGCGTCAAGTCCAAAGTGTCTAGAATCTGAGTGGAGGCAGGTCAGAAGAACGTGTCAGGAGAGAGCGGAATCTTCAACCCAATCGCGCGGGTCCTCGGATCTGCTGGCCCGGCAAAACTTCTCCACAGCGCGCACGGGCCATCAAACACGCCAGGGTCAGTCAAGATCGTATGGAAAGAGCAGTCTCGTCGCAACCGGATGGGCCACCTTTTTCTGCCACGATGGGCAGGCTCAGTGCTTGTGGTAAGCCCTACGGGACACAATTGTAGTGTATTTTTCTAGGTTTAAGGACCAAGACTGCTTTGTGTTGGGAGCTGTTTCGGGAAGCAATCACACGTAATGACAGCGCTGAGCGGAGATTTCTTGTTGCTAACGATACTCGATTTTAAGATACAAATTGCCGGACCGAAAGCAACCAGCCCTTCTTTTCCTTCGCATGACCATGGACCGAGCCCGTCGACAGGCATGGAACGGCAGACAAGTGGCGGCTATGCGCTCTCGGGATGCTTTCGGCGACAATGGGACAGCAGATTATCCGATCTATTGAACATCTTTCCGCACGACTGGCACCAGTGAGCCCCAGGCAAGATATGTTGCGTTATGGTATGGCGCTTGATGCAACCTTTGCGCCTAAAGCTGCTGCGATGGGAACAGTTCGGCCAGAGGCATATGAGAGTGCCCTCCGGGGTGACTCTGGATACGAAGAATCATTAGTGTCACGAAGCCAAACAAAAGGAGGCCGGAGACTGCTGCATGGGGCATACCCGATTGGTACCGTATCGTCGCCAATGGAGAGTTGCTGGATCGCATGATACACATGGCCGGTTTGCATCAGAGGCTGCTCAAGGGGGTTGCCCATGTACCCTGCTGACTGGGTGCCGTGCGCGGAAGCCGTCGTCGCGGTATTCCAGTTGGCGGTCTGGTACTCCAGCAGACCAGGATGGGCAGCCGCTGCAGCCGGGCTCGCGAAAGGGTCAAATACAGCAAAAGACGTCAGAAGGCTTGGGACTGGCTGATTAGGCGATGAAGGTGCCTGCGGTGCAGAAGCGAAAACAGAGCTCGCATGTCGGGCAGAGTTTCCGTTGTCGGCCTTCTCTCGGCTTGGTGGCGCATTGTTGTCATTGATATAGGGTCTCTGCGACATGATGGCTGCGGGAGAAGGCGGGTTGCGGTGTTGAACACGGAATCGGTAAGGGAGCTAAGCATAACAAACTGGGGGAATCCATTTTCATTTATGCGATTTGGGGCTACGCACAAACGCCTGCCGTGGATTTCGAATGGAGGCAGAATAAGGCATGGGTGATAGAGCCTCGAGACCAGGAACCTTCCAAAGAGGAAATCGCAGGTAGGGAAGTCAGAAAGTGCCACTCCGGACCTATAAGAAGCTAGGCGGAACGTCATGGGTTGAGTATGGGTATGTGTATGTTGACGCTAAGTGCTCGGCTCAGATTTCTATTTCAATCCCTATGGTGGGCAACTGAGTCCCGTCTGTCATTTCCAAGTAGGCTAAAAAATACCCGCTCTGGCCGGCATACGGTAGCGTATCCCACGGCTATCTCACTTACACGCTAGTTATTTTGACCATACAAACACAGTGCTAATTGTAGCATCAACTTGGCTTTGCGATATATCAAGACCTGCAGCATAGCTTCAACTATTCCGAAGCGGGTTAGCGGTAAATGCAGAACGAGGCGCTAGTCATCCCGGGTACGCTATACTCCGTATGCAGACCAGAGTGTGTATTGATATCAGGGAATCTGCGCTGGTCAAACTTAATCCAGGCAGCGGTTTTACCAACAGTGGTTAGCATGACGCCAAGCATGGATGCCAGACTCGATGAGGCGTTGATCAGAAACGCAGTGGAATCTTCTGGGATCGTAGCCCTGAACTCCTTATGGCTTACGATCACTGCTAAGGGATTCATCTCAGCCAGGAATGTCACACGCACTTCTCCTTTGCTACGCCGCCAAGACAAAGTTAACCGTTGCACTTGGGCTGTCCTGTTGCTCTCCTCGGCAGCCAGTCTTATTGTCAAATGGACTAAGCATCGGTGAGCGGCGGTCTCAAGGCTGGATTCGACGAGCATACTAATGTATAGCTCGGATGGTGGTGGTCGCATACATCGCAACCGCTTGTCCCTGGTAATTGATAGGGGAGTGAGGAATCTTCACCGCAGCTTGCGTTGCACAACAATCAGCTGTTCGATGGTCAACATTTTGGCCCGAGTGGATCGTAAGCGCCGTACTTGGAGTAGCTCCTGGAGAAAATGCCTTTTAGCTGTGTTTCGGCTTTCGCCATGGAATGCGGCCCAGGAATCATCCATGTTGTTGGTACCTCCCGATTCGGAAAGGGTTCGATTGTATTTTGAGGGTCTCAAGACAGAGTGCAAGTTGCGACCCCCCACCAACCACGTGAAGGCGACTAGTAACTTTGCGCCGTGGGCGAACCTCGGAAGCCACCGGGGGATTTACAGTACCAAACATCAAGTTACAGTGTTTTGGTCTGTGCTAGGTTAATAACCATCCGTATATGGGAAACCGTAATACTACCGTCTTCACTGTCGGCGGCGGATCAAAGCCTTGGTCATGATCTCCGCGGTGTCGGACATCCCCCTCCTTTCCAATGAGCGGGGACATTGGAGCCTCTCATTGCTGGCCGAAACACACTAGAGAGGGACTACCAGAAAGAATTGCTGTTTTTCTCTTTCAACCTCTAGGCTACTTGCGGCATAACACGGTGAGGTGGTTTCCAGCCGCGTTCTCTGCGTCCAGGTATGGCATTTCTCAAGGATCAACAGTTGCCATTTGCCCTACCAAGAAATGAAGGAAAGAGGGCTCAATAGGGCAGGCGGATTGTTGACTGTGTGCGCTGCGCGGTCCATACCCGGGGAAAGTCTGGCATTAACTACGGAGTAATTGCGACAGTACCCGGCCTGGAGAACAGTTGACTTGGTGCTACTCCTCTTCACCAGTGATCTCGAGGCTTCTGTCCCGTCACGGCTCACTAGCTACTCAACCTCCAAACCAGCATGGATTGGAATCCTGTAAGGCGGTGCTGTCCAACCTCAATGATCATTGGCACAGAAGGACTCGGCTCATGCCATTCTTTCCCACCCGTTTGTCTTGCCTGACATTGCCCTGTCTCAGCGGAGTTAATGAAGGGATATCAGCGCCAGGTCTCCGGTGCTGTCCAGTATGCGAGACATCTCCTCTCGAGCACTGCATTTCCGGAAAGTAGGTCATCTGGATTGCATCTCAAGGAGCTTTCGTGTCGAAACCCCGCTGCGCTGCTGCCTGGGAAAAAGCAAGGCGCCCTCACGTGGAGACTAGCTGCTCTGGTCTCACCGGCGGATGATCCCCCGACTCAAACTCGTCAAGATCCCTCTTCCTCAAAAAAGGAAGCAGTCCTACAAAGATGTCACCTCGTGCTCTTACCTCTTGTGGTCCATCGAGCTCAACCGCTAGTCTACCAGTCGTGGACTTGCATGCTTTAACAGCTCGCCCCATGCCCTCGTTGTTCCCCCGTTGTTTCCTCGTGAGCTCCAAGCCTACGGGAACATCCTCCGCATCGGAGATGCAGGGATCTGAACGTGTGCCGACCGAAGATGACATACCTGCTCATACAACCTGTCTCGCAGGATGAGAACGTCGTTTGCGCCCCCTCCAAGCTTGAGCATGGTGCAACAGCTGCCATTACACTGTCCATTACCTGGGACAACACAAGATCTCAACCCGATGGATAAGGGAAGGAGAGATGTTGGGACCAACGGATGCGGGTATCGCTAACTAGGAGAACAAAAATAAATACTTGTTAGGGACTGCAGCTACCGCATACCTAGCTATAGGACTGTCCCGATTGTGTCGTCCAGCCCTTCCCGAGTCGCGCGATGACCTCCGATCCCCGCCCGATCCCCGCCCGATCCTCCACGAAAAGCCCTTCCTCAAGCGCCCATCAGCAAGAGGTTGTGCTCCCAGAATCGTGTGCCTTTTACAACTCTCCCACTCTCGGCATCCCATTAGCGAGCAAGTCAAATAATCTACGCACCTAGAAAAGGGAGAAGGTTAGCCCGCGGAGGTTCAGTGTAGCGCCTGGATGAGCATATATCCACGGAAAGCCGTTGAAGCGTGGACATTTGCAATCGGCGTGACAAAAGGTGGCTTGATACATCGTCTCCCAGCCCTTTTGTGCGAGTGCTCCGCCTCGCGTCCCCTCCTCCAACCTTCGTCCGTCTCACCAGTGCGGCACATAGATCGACCACGCCACAGTCCGAAAGGCAGAAGCAGGCAACTCGCGCAGGCCGACAAAGTCCTCGGCGAGAATATACGCTCGGCAGACGCAGTACACAATGCAAAGCGACGAAATCAAGAAAAGCGCCTCCAGTGGAATCTCTAATCGAGGATCCTTGGACGGGTCAAGATACCTAACCCTCGAAACCAGACGACTGAACGACGTTTCCTGCGCTTCGGCATCTCTCGCCCTTGTTGTCCGCCTTGCCCTCCTCTTGATGTATCGCGGAAGGATAATGTCATCGCAAAGTTTCATACAGAAACACCCCAGTATCGAATAGCCCAGTGTATAGCTCGCGGCGATGCGCCAGAGGATTCGCTCAGCCTCGGACGGGAAGTGGAAACGCCACCCAAAGGCGAAGACCCCGCCAAAGGCGACGATAAACGGGAAGGCGATCGCTTCGCCGAGAAGTCCCGCCTGGCGGAACTCGTCGCTCGGGATGCGGTTGTATGGTCTTGTCGTGACGCGGCGGCTAAAGATGGGGCAGTGGAGTCGCGCCAGCAGTTGGTTGTAGTAGATCCAGAACATCTGCAGCATGTAGAATTTGGGCTGGAGGAAGTCGAGAGGGTTGGTGTACCACTCGACTTGATCGCGAGGGCAATGCTTGGATGTACTCTGTCAGTGAACTTGCCAGACACGTGCTTTGCAGATGGATTGCTGCTGCCAAACTCACCACGGCTCTTATCAGATCGATGTGAGTTGAGAGACTGAGTGTGCGGGTCGTCGTCACATCCGACGGCTTGTGATACCAGCAGAAGGATGTCGCTACGAAGACGATAACGAAGGATATGGTGGTCAGCTCGAGCGTGGTCAGGGCAAGACCCTGGGTGGCTCGCAGTATACAGTTGAGCATCATCCACACGCCCTGGCAGACGGTAAAAACCCTCGTCACTCTATCCGATTTATCCCTGTCCCCGATATCTTCCCGACTGATTCGTGGATACACCAAATACCCCTGCTCGACGAGAAAGAGCAGCTGCTTTGCATCGATCGGGAACGGAGCGTCTATCCCAGGCCCATCGAGGAGAAAGCCGCCCATATCTGCATAGAACGCGTGCGTCATGGTCCAGTCGTTGTTTGCGAGCCGTTTTGTCTCATACAACTTTCGAAATCCCTCATCAATATGTCAGCCCAACGCGAACGAAAGTCATGAAGGCACTCATACCTTGACAGATCTCCTGGCAGAGGACCACTGTCCCATCGCCACCATGAGGAGGAACTCCGGCCCGAGGATTGCAAGCAGCGCGAGGTGGATTTTATCCCTCAAGCGCGCCCATGTGCCCTCCGATTTGGCGGGAATGTTTGGGCACACGGAGGCCCAGCAGCATAGGGAAATGGTCAGCAGACAAGTTGACAGAATACTCCATGAGCCGCGTCCTCTTGGTTCCTCCACCCAGCCGCGAGTTGGTGTGATTGTGGTTGTATTCATCGCGGATGAGATGAGCATGGCAGCTGTTCAATTGCTCTCAGCACTGCCAGGTGAGGGAATCTCGCTCTTATAATTTCTCTGTAGGATGTCTTAAAGCCCAGGCGGTGCTTCGCTTCCTGAAACCACTGCACAGCTTATGTCTTAGTGGCCAGCAGTCTGCGGGCGTTCGCATGCGCAAATTTACCCATGTGTTCCATCCACAACGATGGGCATTGCGCCTGGGGAGAAGGAAAGAATTAGTTGGCGCACTTAACTAGGCCCAATCACGAGCTGCATTACCTCTATATCATAAATCTGGTCTACCATCGCTCCCGGGTTTGGTTCTGGATAGCCCAGTGCCCTATCCATGAGTCCTCCAACAACCCAGTGTACATTGGATGTCAAGACACGGTGGCCAGACAGTAAGCAAAGTGGCAGTTTGCTCAAATTACGGGGTAGCCGTATCATGATGGGGTTGTGTCATAGTGAACCATGTCTGAAGCCACAAGTCCTATATTTATCTGACAAGAACCCCGGCTGTTGAGACCTACAAGTGACACATTTCAATTCACCCCCGTTTTCGGTCATTTCAGCAAGCAACATAAACTACAATTGCTTCTGTCATTTCTCTGCGTAACTTCCACCTTGATTGTGGACCGCGGAAAGAGAAGTTTGTGATGTTTGGAGGTTGGATGTTTACTGGAGCCCCTGATTCAGCCTTGTGCACCCAGGGGGGAATTACACGACTCATGTCTCCCTCCGTTACTTTGTTATGAAGCTCACAGCATGAATTTAGACTTTGATGTCTATTTTTATCTTTTGAAGGACTCATCTTCCAAGACAACTCATTTGGCAAAGATGTCATATCCGAACTGGCCTATCTCCACGCCTCAGTACCACAACGGTCTTGGTCTGCATTGAACAGATGCAACAATGAAAGAGCAATCCACATTGAATTGATCCTGACCGCGTCCCCTGAGCCGAAAGCAACATCTCGCAGCGTGACCCTTGGCTTCCTCCAAGTAGTCTTATCCTCTCTGTCGACGAGCAGCGAATGTGGAACCCCTTGTTGCTCCAACATCAGTAACCGGATCTCAGCTAATTGAGCATCGCCGCTTTAGCAACCACACTGGGCCCACGGCAGGACTGCCATGACATCGGTCTGCCACAAGCCTGCAGCCCTCCCTAGGGCCGGGTGACGGAATGCGGATGGAAGGACAGCTTCAGATGTTGTAGAATTGGATCCAAGTCCGAAAGCCCCTGTGCCAATCGTGGCCATCCAGGCCGGATAGCATGGCAGAGGATCTGTTATCCATCTTATGCCACCACCGTAGAATCCGCGCCGCTTTTGACGAGAAAATTGGCGATACTCTCGTGCTCATCCGTGAGGCACGTCATTAGCGCTGTTGCACCGTTCATGGACCCTCCCTCACTCCGGGCCTCTAGATCTGTACCGGCTGCGACGACAACCTTGGCCACCCCCAGCGACCCGGCGATGACGGCGTTCGTGAGTATCATCTAACCGTCTCTATCGCGATGCTCCGCAAACTTGCCATGGTCGAGGAAGAGCCGGACGATCCCCGCCTTCCCCTTGCGTACTGGGCATTTCCTTTCCAACTGCAGCCGCACGATTGGCTCGCTGCCTCGATCAACTGCATGGTACAGGAGTGTTCTGTGCTCGATATCGCGCGTCGCAATGTTGAACCCTTTATCAACGAGGTATTCAACAGCATCCGCGGGCTGAATCTGCACGGCGACCGCCAGAGGCGTCCTCCAGGTGCAGTCCACGGCGTACACGCCGTCTGGAAGCCATTCAGCGAGCAATCGAACCGTCATTTCCTTCCCACTGTGCATTGCAAGGTGCAGTGCCGACTCGCCAGACATATTCCGCGAGCTGCGGGCATTGGCTCGCGACATGTGCGGGATGAGCACACGGATAACATCGTCGTGTCCCATCCGCGCCGGCATTCAACAGAACCCTCATAACCTCCCACACCACTGGGAGTATCTCTGAGACTCTAGATACTAGAAAATAGCGGCGTTGAGAGATGCGCAACCTCTGCCTGTCTCTCAAAGTCCTGGGTAGCTGGCGACGTCAAGGAGGATCTCGACTGGGAAGCAGAAACGGCCATCACAAGACATTGTAAATACACATTTAAAATTTAGCAACCGGATGAGCACGCATACCGATTCTTATATAGTATCCCGTGTTCGCGCCTGGAGCCTACGAATACGAACGGGGGCCATGATTGTGCTCTCGAATGTCGCTGGCTAATCTCCCTCTCCCTTTGGGGTTCTGCCTGGATCAAGTCTCAGACAAGCAGACACCATTACCTATATCCTCTGCCTAACAGACCGGCTCCAAGTACCAACGAGACAGAACTCTTACTTCATTTGAACTTTACTCGCTACTGATTGGCTCAGTTGGTTGCACGACGGGCAGTGCTTGCAAGCCGTTGGCGCTGCAGAGAGAGTGAGGGTGCCTCGCAAGGCCTGAGTTCTTTCAATTTTCTCAGCCTTTAGCTCGGAGTATCTGCGGTGATTGCCGTCGCTGAAAACAATGCCTCTCTCCTCCATGGAAACTTGGATTTTTCCCTCTTCAAATGCCAGGTTCCGGCCAAGCTCATCCCAGTTGGGGAGCGACTTTCGACGCACAAGCGGGAAACTGCAGAGAGGGCTCCTTTCATGCTCTCCCTGGGCGACTTGCCATTTTCTTGGAGGCTATTCTTCCCAGTGCCCCGTCCCGCCCATATGACAGTACTCGCGCGAGCCTTGGGTGTCCCATGGGATCGAAAGGTCGCTGAGCAAAGGAGAATAGCAAGGAGCGAATGGCGTCTGTAATCGATAGAGGGTCGAGCCAAGTAGGTCTATTAACAATCAGGACATGGGCAGGCGCGTTGGTGTCTTTTTGCCTTGACTAGAAATATCAGTCTTCCTCGAATCGTCGCCTGCGTACCTGGACGGACAGAAACACGCGGCCAGTGCGATATCACTCCAGATGGAGTGTCCAGCGGCTCATCTTCTTCGTCAGCTAGACGCGTGGTTCGGTTTTGCGAGAGAAGACAGTCGTAATTCCCAGGGTCCATGACAGAGGATGGAGTGAATCATCAAGAAAATGCATATTATAAATAGGGAGAAGCTGTTTAGACTAAGGTTTCATGGTAGGCGGTTATCATCGTAAGCATCTATCAATATCTCTCTTGCTTTTAAAGAACGACAGACTTGGCCGCAAGAAGTATCACTGACTGACTGACAACTTCCTGCTCAGCAGAGGGTGAGCTATGTGCTCATTCTGTCCTCGATCATGCTTCGAAGCTTTAAGGCGGACTCCTTGGGGGTTCTCTCGAGTGTCTCGTAGTCGGTGAAGGTCACCCCAAATCTATAGCTGTACCCCAGGCCCCATTCTAGACGCGTGGTTAGCTACGGTTAAAGATGGAATGTGGAGGAAAACTGGCAGTGAAACCGAGGGAACTTACCTAGATTATCCATCAAGGACCACGCAAAGTACCCAGCCACCTCGACGCCATCCTGAATCGCGCCAACAATGGCATCCAAGTGGGTGGCAAAGTATCGCTGGCGGTACTCGTCCTTGACAGACTCCTCCTTGCTCATCTTCTCTTCGCCGGGGCAGGGGCAGCCGTTCTCCGTGATATATATGGGCTTCCCATACTTCTTGTAGATCCGTACCAGATGTTTTCGGAAACGTTCAGGGGCAGGGCGCAACCACCAGATCCCGCTGGGCTCGCCAATTGGCACGCCGACGTTATTCTGTGAGAGCTCATCCACATTGCCCTTGTAGTCTATTTCCTCGGCCAGGGTAGAGCGGTGACGGGCGAATTGAGCAGTATAGTAGTTCATGCCGTAGAAATCAAGTTGGGCCTCGCGAAGCAGGGCCAGTTCAACGTCTGTAAACGCAGGAAGCCGGTCTCCAAGTTGCGCACGCATTGGTGCGGGATAGTCCTGGGCAAGCCTTGAGGGGCAGAGGAGGTGCGATATCAGCAAGTATGCACATGTAGGATAACTGGGTTCCTGGCGCTCCACCACCAAGGTGCGACTCACATCATCGGGTTGGCGAACCAGCCAAACTGAAACTCCATTCGTCTCTCAGCCGCCTCGTGGTCGCGAGGGTCCTCGGGATCCCACGGCTCAAAATAATCGCCGCTCAGCGAAACGCCAATACTGCCTCCCTGCGTGGGTTTGAACTCTTTGTTGTACAGGCTTGCTGCGCGGGCATGCGACATGATGAGGGCTTTTGCAACGATCCAGGGCTCGCGTGTTGAGTCGCCCTCTGCACAGAGCTTGTTGGTGCTGCTTCGTCCCGGGGCGTCGATGCCGATTGAATACCCCTGTGGCTGTGTCAGCCCCTCGGTTGCCTTGAGAGTACTGGAAAGCTGAACAGGAAAGGGCAGGAGAGGAGAGGGGAGGAGAGAGGAGGAAACTCGCTACGCACATGGATGGAAACGATCCAGGGCTCGTTCAGCGTGATCCAATTCTTGGTGCGATCACCAAATCTTTCGAAGCACACCCTAGCATAGCGCCCAAAGTCTTTCTGGACTTCCTCGACGTTCAACCAGCCGCCGTATCGGTCATGCAGCGCCTGGGGTAGGTCCCAGTGGTATAATGTAATCCATGGTTGGATACCCCTGGCAAGGAGGCCATTGATAAGTGAGTTGTAGAATGCAATTCCCTCCTCGTTGACAGGATCGTGGCGGCCACCTAGTGGGATAATACGCGACCAGGCAATGGACAAGCGATAGGCCCTAGCCCCATACTTGGCAAGAAGATCGAGATCTTCCTCTAATTTGTGATAATGATCACACGCAACGTCGCCATTAACCCCGTTAGTACGCGAGGGCTCCAGGTGCATGAATTTGTCCCAAATGCAAGGACCGCGACCGCCTTCATTGACACCACCTTCGATCTGATAGGCAGCGGTAGCGAACCCCCACACGAAATTCGAGGGAAGTCCCTTAGGCGCGTCTGGCTCGGAGGATACCATGTTGATGATGGCAGATGTATCGGATACTGCTGGTATATACGGCCACGACTGAACAGAGAGGAGCATATTATTTCCTCCTTCAGGGAATCCATGGTCTTTATCCCCAACGAATGTTCATGGTTATGGCCCTTCGGACAAACCGTCCCCGGAGAAAAGAGAGACTGACAGGGTCGGCGATTGTCCCCACAGAACCCAAACCCTCTGAATCATCCGCCTTTATCCTGACCTCCAATGGGACAGCACAACCTAGAGCCGCCATTCCACGTTCAGTTTAGTCCAGGTCCCTCGATTGTGGTGCTCCAGGCACGCGGGGTAACGAGTCTGGTCATTTAGCCGACAGTGCTCTACTTCAACCACTATTTCCCCGACCCTACATTCTCTGCTCCCAAATTCCACCGACACATTCCGACCCGATGGCTTCACGAGGGACCACCCAGGCCTGTGAGTTATGCCGTCGCCGCAAAGTCAAGGTGAGTCTTCCCCAATAAACTCTTGGCCCACTTCTCTCATTTCTATTCTCTTTGTCATCTCTCCTTGCTGAACGGAGAATCTCCAAGTGTGACGGCCTACCGACTTGCACCAACTGTCACGTCGCCGAGGCGCTCTGCCATTATCCACCCCCGAAGAAACGGGGTCCCAAGACTGCCCAATGCCAGGACATTGCCCCAACAGAGTCTCTGAACTCACCATCTTGGGCGACCGAGGGCTCTGGAAGATCCCAAGGCGCGGTCCCCTCGACTGGAAGGAATTCATACAGTCCCGCATCCTATAGCATGAGGACAGACTCCCTGCTTGCATCTCTGGAAATACAAATAGAAAGTGCTGTCCGGGTCCATCTAGACCTCCTGGCGGGGTTGCATGCTGTGGCTCCCTCTGAGACACCGGTATCGATTGCCAATCACTGTATCCTGCTGTATACCCAGTACGTGTTTGGAACTGTCCCTATGTGCCACGAGCCGACCCTCCGAGCGACCGCTCAAGGGTGCTTTGTCTTGCCCTCGACCTTCGATGACTTGGCGGAAAATCAGACGTGGGGCTTTCAATGTCTTGCAGCTGGGAACGGGAACGGAACAGCGAGATGGAGCACCTCAAGGCGCTCCGAAACCTCACTCTCCTCACGGCCCTATGCGCAGCTGTAACCTACGTGGTCCCCGAGTCCCTTCTTCCCAACAAGCACCTGATGGCCCCTCTATTTCACCGAGCAGCGCGCAACATGCTCAGCGTCTACGAGGACTACGACCTCGAGCACCCGGACTCCTCATCTCTCATCATCCGCATGTTCCTCTCGTCAGCCATACAGATAGCCACAGGGAGCCGCGGTATAGCATTTCATGTCCTGAATGAAGCCTGTCTGATCGCGATGAGAATGCACCTCTATGATGAGAGCGCAGTCCAAGGGCAGGACCCGGTCGAGGAGACCATCCTCCGAAATGCATTTTGGCAGCTATATGTCTGCGACAAAACCGCGTTGGTTGTCAAGGGCCGCCCCGTAACAATTCATGAACCGTTGTTTGAGAGTGAACTCACTCTCCAGATCCGTTCGCATCGCCCCGTGTCACTTTTTGACCACGGCCACGGTCACAACACGGACAATAATATCAACAACGCCGGCCTATTGGAAGACTGTCTCTTGGACGGATTCCACGTCATCCGCCGCCTGTGGACAATGGCTGCCCGGGTGATCCAAGCCGTCGAGTCGACCCGGGAGAGGTCCTGGGACGCACATCCTCATCCCAAGGACTCCAGCCATAGGGCCGCGCAGCTATCCGAGGCATACTTTGAGATGATCACATTGACACATGACCCGCCTCTCTGGACTACCCACTACAACTCGGCCCGGGATTCGCGTTCACCCGCCGATTCTGGCCCAGGCGCGTGGGACAAGGATCTGGCTGACATCGTGCAGCGGCAACGCACCAGCTACCTGATTACTCTGCACAGCATCAAGGTCTTTGTTCTGAGCGCTGTGATTGAAAGCAACATGACCCAGATCATAGGTCTCAGCACGGAGCCCCTGGCGCTTGCCATGAGACAGGTCGAACAGGCGCAAGACTTTTTGAATGTCCTGGAGAGTGTGCCGTTTCTCCATCTCCAGGCGGAGGGAGAGCAGTGCGTAAGTTTACTCCCACCCGAGGCAGAAGTAAAGGCGCTTACACATTATCCGCTGGGAATAGGTTGAGAAGATTAGACGAGTCGGCACCTTGCTGCTCAAACTAGAAAGTAGCTCAGATAATAGCATGGTTAGATTCAGGGCGAATCAGTGCGCCATGCGCTTGGTTGACTTGTTGGCCCGTCTGGACTCCAAGGCATCAGACCTTCTCGGGGGGTAAAAGCGGGTGTTTCTAGCTACAGAGGAGAAGAAAAAAAGAGAGACATGACTTACACCCCCTCTACTTGGAAATTCGCGAACCGTACCTTGCGTGACTCGGCGCCGACGGCGTAGATGCCAATCACGGGGCCCACAAAGTCGTGCCCAGTCATGTCCAGACTATCCATCCTGGCGAGCTCCCGCTTCGCTTTCGTGTCAATCGAATACCAGAACGTGAATTCCAACTCGGTATAGTCAATTCCAAAGGTAATGTTCGCGGCTTGGCCGAGCGCACGCTCGCTGCGAGAGGTTCTCCGTTCGATCCCCCTGGCCTTGTTGACCATCTCCCAGAAGATCTCCTGAGAGTCTATGTCTGGGTAAACACGGACGAACCGATATTCGTCCTTGTAGTAACAGAGCCCCGTCTTGAATGCTGAACGTGCTGTACCCAGTTCGCCAAGTGACTCGAGGGTCGCCGACGCTGAGCCATCCAGCAACCTCTGCCGCTTCCCAGTAAAAGTCACAGGCTCCTTGGATTGGTCTAGGTCCGCTTTGCTCGATGTCAAACTGACAGTATTTCCGTCGTATTGGTAGTTTTCCTCGACAGGATCGCGGATGCGCAGGTAGGCGACATGTGGGCGGTCCAGCCTTCTCTTGACAGGCCATTCGAATGGTAACCCCTGCTTCTTGGTGGTGGCGAGGGGCAGTGACAGGGGCACATCAATCCGCACGGGGTCGATTACGGGGAATTCCCCCTCAGGCCATGTTGCTGTGGTGAGGACCGATTCGCGGCCCATGATAAATCGGCCATTGTTCTTTCTAACCCCCAAGCACACAAAGTACCATTCGCCAGTATCAGCCTCTTGGAAAAGGTCCCCGTGGCTCGTGTACTGGACATAACCGGTAGGGTCTGCCTTGGGGAGCACGGGGTTCGCCGGGTTCACCTCGTAGGGACCCCAGATATCTCGCGACCGGGCCATGATGCTATGATGATCAGCAAAGCAACCCCCTTCGGCAATTAGAAGGTAGTACCACCCGTCCTTCTTGTACATGTGCGGACCCTCGGGGAAGACCTTTGTGATCCCATCCCAGAGCAGCTTCTCCTCGGATAGCTTGGCCCCAGTGTGGAGATCAATCTGGAATTGCATAATCCGGCTCTCGGGGCCAGGACCCGCGGCACCAAGAACATAAACCTGCCCGTCATCATCCCAGAACAGGCTGGTGTCAATTCCATTAAAGTCATAAAAGACCGGGTTGCTCCACTCATCCGCCCAGATATCTGTAGTAGACAGGATGAAGTTTTGATACTCGCGACCGTTGGGTAGGAAGGGTGGTCTGTGGAAAACATTAGTGCAGACGATATAAAAGGTCCCCCTGTGGTATCTGATCGAGGGAGCCATCAGGCCACCCTGGGCAGCTATTCTCTCATCCGGAGCCTCGGGGCCGACTAGTTTGGTCATGGACTGTTGTAGAGTCATCCGTCGAGGCCCGTCAAGTGCATTTCCTGGTGGAGCAGGTGAGTGGGGGATCGATTATAAGGGCTGAGGTTGGAGTGCCACCTACCAATATGCTTCCATTCCCTCAAGTCCTTGGAGGCGTAGACTGGCAATCCGGGGTACATGTGGAAGGTCGAATTAACAAGAAAGTAGGTGCCGTCCACATAAACAAGAGAAGGATCGGGGGAAAACCCGGGGACAACCGGGTTGACGCGAACTCGCTCCATTGTACAATGCTGTATGTTTCAGATGGAGGCAGGGGAGGGCCGAAATCGGGTTTTCAGACATCTTAACATGCTGCAAACCTCTTTTGTACCACAGCCTCGATGAATGAGCCTCTACAAGGCAAGGTTGGAGGAGGGGTGCCAGGCCTCTCTCTCTTTGCCCTCGTCCATGCTCATATGGACCTTGCGCAAGGATATTCCACCGATCACCAAACGCCCCACAGTTTCACCGAGCACGAGAGAAAACCCCGCGTAGACTTTTGGGCGCTTGTAGGATCATAGGTAGAGGCATTTCTGACTGTAGTCAAGATTTCTTCCGACATGAATCATAATCCGAAAGCCATTTCCACATTGGAAATCTAAATGAATATCCAAGAGATTCGCCAGTTAGCAGTACTGTCTAAACATGAAAAAGCTTGGGGTCTCTTGAAAATGGCCCCACCACTCAGTTGGAGAAGTCACTAGCACAAGCCATGGCTGCGGAGATGGCGGGAAAGCCAACTGCTTCCGCCACGAGGCGATGTTGTAACATCATACGAATACGAGGATATACTCCGTACGAATACGAGAAGCGAGTATGTAACCAGGTACCTGCGAGAACCGAACTTGCTCTCGGAACACGCGCTGCTTTTGCCATTCCTCCCGATCCTCCGCATTTAGGCTAAAACACCCAGGTGCTGTTGGTATGATCTAGGTGCATTGAAGTGTAAGAATGCCCCGAGCGTCTGGTCCTAGAGGAGACGGAGTTTTCGCGGGGCGTGAATTCCCACCATTTCCAGTCAGTAGAGCATCTTCAGGTCAATAGCTGGAGAATATCGCTTGTCGATTCACTTCCGGTCATGCCACCTGTGGTGAAAGAGCCTCAGCATGGTGGGTAACCGTTGCGCATGGCCAGGTCAGTGGAAGTGATGCCATGAGGTAGTGACACTCAGGGAAACTCGGCCCAATTCGGCCCTTCTCAACCTCAATTCGGGCCGTAACCCAGTGGCCTGATTGAGTGTTCTAGCCAACGTCAGTCGGTGAATTCTGCCAAAGGTGAAAACTTTTAGTCCCTGAGTCTCGATGTCTTTCCCACATGTAGAACTCAGTTACTTGCCCTAAAGAGGGTTGGTGCTGGAACCAAAAACCCCACCTAGTGTCACATTCCCCATGGGCGACGTTTGGAGTATAGAGACCAATCATACGCGTGTTAAAGAAGGTGGGGAGACTATCTGGGTTTTCAGTTGAGGCCAGACTTGTATATATATCGCCATCTCCATCATCCAGACTAACAGCTCCTGACCAGGTCAACAGTATCCTTATCATTTTCCTCCCCATGACAAAGTAACATCTTCACTGGTTTGCCATGGAACCTGCCAGCGAGGATAGCGAGTTGCGGATTCAAAAACTCTGTACAAAGGAGTCATGGTGGCGCGTCCCACATCTTGTGGAATTGAACCTGATCCTCTTGGTTCCATTTGTCTCGAGCTCTGTTGGTGGCTTTGACGGAAGCTGTGAGATGGATTGAAATTTGCGAATTGTTTCAAAGCAATATCAAACCGAGTCTCGAACGGACGTTTTCTAGTTGAGAGAATATTTACCATGGCCCGGTTCGTCTTGTGTGCTCTCAAACTGTCCTGCGCGCAGCTCCTGCTTGCAAGAGCCACCACGAGGATGGCATTTTATTTCATTTTTTCCACTCTGGTCCCTGGTCTTGGCTCATTTAATTAATTACCCATGCGCGCCCACCTGGCAGGTATCCCATGGTTCGTTCCTGCTTGTTGTTATTGGGGACAGGTCTTCTCACGGTCATGGGCTACTACTACCAGACCGCATCTTTATAAGACCTGTCAAGTGCTGGCATATTTAAGATCTTCTGACTCATACCAATCATACTATCCTATGTACTCTGCAAGCTAAGCGACCACACTCTTCATCTATCAGCCTGGGATTGCCTCTGGCGGGGAGAATCCCAATTGCTGAGGCGTTGTAGGCCCTGGGGGGGAGATAGTCTGGAAACACAAGTCCATAATGCCGCCTCCCCAGGTCAAGTCATTAATATGGCCATGAATGTCGCGGATCCTTGCCGTTGGAGCTGGGGCTAGGGACGAGGACATGATCATGATACCACTGCCATTTCTGGTGCTGATCGCCCAATAAGGTTATTGCAGTGAGTCTAAATTGTGGGGCAGCCCTGCAGGTTCCAAAATTATCCAGTTAGTGCAAAATGGATGACGTTAGGTAACCTTGAACCACGTTTTCCTCTTCCTCCTCGACCGCTTCAACCTTTTCCCTTGCGCAACCCACCAGACACACCACTCTGCGACATCCCTTTAGCATGCTGGGTCTGGGACTCACTGGGGAGGGGGAGCGCGAGCGGAAGCGACACCGCGCCCGGCACACCAAGTCTCGCCACGGCTGCTTCCCTTGCAAGCTCCGAAGGGTCAAGGTGGGCGATCTTGGATCCGAGAATTGTTTTTCCACTTGTCATGACCAGCTCCTAACCACGCGCCATGTTTGTCCTGCAGTGCGACGAGGTGCGGCCAACCTGCGGTGCGTGCTCGTCTCGACGAGAGCCATGCGCCTTCCCCGACCGGTCGATATTTCCTGATCCAGCGGCCACAGCAAGCAAACCATCAGCAAGAGGACGTCGAACCCGGTCGCCACAGTCGGAGCCACTGGCCGCCAATCAGTCACAGCCAAGTAGGCCTCCGCAACCGCCAATTGACCGTGTCTTGCCCATGGAAGATCTGAGGCTCCTCCAGTTCTATCATTTGCATACCGCCGCTCAGATGGCCTTTGATGCGAAGCGAAGGCGCGCTTGGGAGCGCGTTATCCCGGCCCTGGCCGCGGAGCACGATTATCTTATGCATTTGCTCCTTGCTCTAGGCGGCGCACACAGTGTTGCGACACAACAGAGTTGAGCCATGACACACAGCGATCGGGATCGGACACGGTTGGTCTACGAGGCATTCTGGAGCATTATCAATGCGGGTTACAGGGATTCAGGGAGGAGGTGTCCCAAATCAGCCAATTCAACTGCGAAGCCATTTGCGCTGGGTCTCTGCTACTGGTCGCGTTCGCCTACGCGTCGTTTCATCTCAGCGGACTGAACACGCAGGGTGTGAATGAGGAGTTACTCTTGGATCTTGCAAGTAGGAGCTTAGGCGACAATGAGCTCCACCTTCGCTGGCTGCACTTGATAAGAGGGATTTCGTCCGTTGTACTCGACCAGTGGGCAACCCTCAAGGCGAGTCGTCTGCGGCCCTTGCTGTTATTCTTCCACGGCGATGACTATTGGAATGATGTTCCATTTGAGCTCTCCCTAACACGGCTCAGTCGTTGTTCGCCACGTCTGCGGGTATTTGTTGCAGGCTCAAGTCACGCAATTGCGGAGCTGCACGCGGTTTGGGCTGCCATTCAACCCCCGAGTCTCGATATCTCCAGTAATGTTGAATCTCCATCTTCCCTCGCTTCCTCGACGACAATAGATGGACCATATAACGAACAGGTGAGGGCCATCGGCGTCTTGGAAATGATCTACTCACGGATCAATGGCGCCTTGCAATGCTCCACTGGAGAGCAAGGCCACCCGAGCGATCTCGATGTCCAAAATAATCTGGAAGAGGCCACGGTGCTTTCCTGGCCAATCCTGCTCGCCAGTGATTTCATCGCCTGCTTGGAGATGGCAAATCAAACAGATCCCGTCTGGCGACATTCGTTGATCATCCTTGCACACTTTTATGTTATCAACACCTTGGTGGACCGCTGGTATCTGAAGGGGATGTTTGAACGAGAGATATTCAAGATGTCTGATCTTATCGGCGTCACAAGCGACCCTCAGTTGGCTTCGCTCATGAGATGGCCCATGGCAGTCATCACCTCTTGACTCTGGGGCTAGACACCACGACTGTCGAGGACTACACGAACCAACAGACTAGAGATAGGCCACGCACGATCCATCTGTCGTGACTCATAGCCCAGTCTGTGCCCTGCATTCGGCACAGAGTCCATTCTGGCAGTAGAAATTCATCTCGTTGCTCCTGCGATTTGGCGGCGCGTAATGGTCGCTGAGCTTTGGGCGGCTCATCGAAGGCCTCCGCCGGGGGCTGATCTGTGAGTCGTCCATACATGCCCGCCGTTTAGCAATCCTAAGCAAGGATACCTGCATGTTCGGGGACGCTGTGCCCAGGGCGGGCAAATTTATCACAGGTGCTTGTTAGATATTGCTAATTATATACCACAAGCTCCGTGGTCCAGCGCTGACACACCCATTGATTCAGCACCGCCGGGGTGGGGCCGGCAACGACCCGCTCGTGTTCGTATCTTCGCTCATCCACTGCTCGCAAGTCTCTTTTTCTGGCCCACACTCGTAATGTGATATAAAAGCATAGTTCCAGCGAACTTGCTCTGCCTGCATATCATATACCTACTCTTTTAGCATCCTTGCCACACTGTGGCTGTCCGTTCTTTTGTCTTTTCCTATCAAGTTTTCTCCTTCCTGCAACACTACTTCATCTCGACATTCTATATTTGAATACCTACAACATGTCGAACGCAACGGATTCCAACACCGTCTCCTTCGAGTTCTACCACTACCACCCGAACATGGGCGGGGCCGTTCTTTTCATTTTCCTGTTCATAGCCACCACTGGTTACCACGCCTTCCAAATGTTCCGCACCCGCACGTGGTTTCTGACCTCGTTTGTCGTGGGAGGTGTCTGTCAGTCAGTCCTCCCTGCCAGCATCGATAGTATACTGACGTGCATGAGCACCCAGTTGAGGTGATTGGATATATCGGACGAGCCATTTCAAGCAAGCAAAGCCCGGACTGGACCCTTGTGCCATACATGATACAAACGCTTTTCCTACTCCTTGCGCCTGCCCTCCTCGCTGCATCCATTTACATGCTCCTCGGGCGAATCATCCTGGCCCTCAAAGCCGAGTCGCACGCGCTGCTTCAGAAAAAGTGGTTGACGAAGCTCTTTGTCACGGGCGATGTCCTTTCTTTCCTATTGCAGGGTGCCGGTATGTTCGGCCGCCAGGCGGGTTCTTGGTATTCCTCCCCTTGACCACTACCCATGTAGCTGACCCTTGGATTCATGGTAGGTGGCGGCATCCAGAGCAGCGGGAACATGGACAGCTTCAAGACCGGCGAGCGGATCATCGTGGTCGGCCTGTTTATTCAAATCTTCTTCTTTGGCTTCTTCATCATTGTCGCGACGCACTTTTACTGGAAACTCAGGCGCTACCCAATCCCGCGCGCCAGCTCGCCCGACATCCCCTGGCGCAAACATCTCCATGTCCTCTACATGGCCAGCTTCCTGATCATGGTGCGCTCGGTCTTCCGGCTGGCCGAGTATCTGCAGGGGAATGACGGGTATCTTCTGCACCACGAGATATACTTGTACATTTTCGATGCGCTGCTCGTCTTTGTTACCATGCTTCTTCTGAATGTGGTGCATCCTGCTGAGATTGCGCGGTGTATGGATTTGATTCCGGATGGTGGGGATATGCCTCTTTATGCGCATAGACGGTATACTGCTGTTTAAAATAGAAATCCGGCCAGTCCTCTTCATACCATCCTTGTTGATTTCATGTGTTCTATATCGTATTCAGTATGCGCGCGGTCGTCACCTAAAAATAGACGTTTATCGCATACCAGTGGCTAGTGAGGCGGTATAAAGCAATTCCTGCGGGTAAAATTGACGGAAGCTACCTGGGCCAAGATAGCAATTAGAAACCAAGCGAGCCTCCGTCTATATGGAGGCTCTGGATCTTGGTGAACCCTGGAATAGCTCTCATTAACTTAGCGTTGCTACCTAAGTCAAACAAGAAGAAGAAAAAGGATATCCACAAGTCGAAGGGTCCACAAGTCAAAGGGGATAGTATCGGCGAAATCAAGCATGATCTCCGTTTTCACGGAAACCCAAGGGCCACGAGGGCCGCTCGCTGACTACCTTGGTGTGGCTTGGGGATTGCGGTAGACCCTGCTTTGCAGAGGCAATACCTATGCTGTGTTGTACGAACACGAAGGCTCCACCTGGAGGCTGGAGATTGATTGGACATGATCAAAGGGCAGAAGAAACCTGGGCGGCATCTATCCATGGTTCAACCCGGGTGAGAGATGTGGCCAATAAATCCATGCGAAGCTTGAACTTGACTCCACTGAGCTTCATCCAGGCTGTACGAGTACGAGTGGAGCTTTAGATAAGATCAGCCAATTATGCATTTGTTCTGCTTCTAGAACAAGATCGGGCCCGGCCAAGGCGGCAAGCTGGCCAATGAAAGAATTACCACAAATGCTTGGAAGACGAGCCACTTTATACGAACACGAGTGGGGCCTGAGAGGACTTTTTTAGGCTCCATATTAATCTTTTGCCGCAGACTGAAAGTATATAGCTCGACAGAGCACAGGGGGGAATTCCCATTGAAACTTCTCAACCCTCAACACTCACAATGGCTCTCTGGACTCGACAAACAGCAGACGGTAGCACCGACTACCAAAATGCCGTCTGGGCATACTATCGTTACTACCCATCCGAGGCTGCAGCCATCCTCTTCACCATCCTTTTCGCCATCACCACCTTTGTCCACCTCTACCAGCTCTTCCGCCATCGGACCTGGTTCTTTATCCCATTCGTCATTGGAGGGTTCTGTATGTCTACCTATACCTCTTTTTTTTTCCCTTTGTTTTGCAATACTGACACCACATGTAGTCGAATGGGTCGGGTACATTGGCCGGATCTTGTCCAGCCACGAAAGTCCCAACTGGTCAATGGGGCCCTACATCCAACAAACCCTGCTCCTCCTCCTAGCTCCGGCGCTCTTCGCGGCCTCTATATACATGATGCTCGGACGGATCGTGGTCCTCCTAGATGCCGAGCACCTGTGCATCTTCAAGAAGAAGTGGCTCACCAAGTTCTTTGTCGCTGGCGACATACTGTCGTTTACTGTCCAGGCTGCCGGTAAGTGCCTGATATATACATCTAATCTCCTCCTCCGTGGAACCACAGACCTAATTCATGATAATCTAGGCGGCGGCATCATGGCCAGCGGGACCCTCTCAGCCGTGCACACCGGCGAAAACGTCGTGATAGCCGGCCTCGTCATCCAGATTCTCTTCTTCGGCTTCTTCATCATCACCTGCGCGATCTTCAACCGGCGCGCGGACAAGACTCCCACGCCGCGGGCGCTGGAACTAGCGAGCCTCTGGCGCAAACATATCCGCGTCCTCTACGCTGCAAATATCCTCATCATGATCCGGTCTGTCTTCCGGCTGATCGAGTATGCCATGGGGAATGATGGCTACCTGCTGCGCCGCGAGGCGTTTCTCTACGTGTTTGATGGACTCCTCATGCTGGTGGCGATGGTCTTGTTTAATGTTGTGCATCCCAGCGGGGCGATACAGCGTGAGAGGAAGGATATGGAGATGAGTCCCAGTGTTTAGTATTTTTTTTTTTGATTCTGGCGCTGTTTGGTTGGACCCGGGGCTATTGTTACTTGGTATATTTTGTGCTGTTTTCTTTCTTTCTTTCGTCTTTTTTGCCTTTAGCAGATATAGAAACAGTGAGCTTGGATAGACCATATGTCTACTTTATTCCCTTCGATCTCCAGAACTGCGCCATATTTCATCCTTACTAGGCATCACATATTATGGACGGTTTCGATATTGTCCGGCCTGTTTCCGGATAGGCTCAATTGGTATTCTCTTCCATCCTGCATAAATGGCCCTCGGGAAGTGCCACCAGCTGAGCATTTGGGGAAAGGTCCAGCCCGTACTAGATGGGTTGTAGTTGCATCACGGCTGTGGCCGACGGGAGGAAGATGTGGATGAATCCTCAAAAGCTCACTTATGACAATAACCAGACGGTTTGTTCCTCAGTAGAAGTAAAAGAATCAAAAACTAGGGCTTGGTCATCTGGACAGAGGCCGAACCTGCCCTGAATCCGATCCAGCCGGCCGTGTCGAAAGCAGTTGAGTGATCTTCAATCCATCCAAAATACGAACACGATGTCGATGTCAATGTCGATGTCGATGTCGACCGTTCTCAACCAAACATTTTTCAAACGAAAACGATTGATCGACATCGTATCTCACCTGCCAAGATGCTGCGTGTTGAGCCGTGCCTAAATGGCTATTACTCCGGTTGAATGAGGCGGGGATGCTATGGTGCCTCACCGTGCAGGGTCATTTTTAATGTGGATTCGACGAGCTATTATCCGCCCCGCCTCTGGCTAAAGCTTCTGCCTGAAGACAACCTTGGAACCGTTTCAAGGTTATGGGGGGAGGGTTGGTAGTACGTAGCCGGGACACGCATTTGCATGCAGGGCCTGTTTGGGTGGAAGAGCCAAATCCTTGGAGATGCGGCTTTGTATTCACGGTTTGCAACGTTTCAATCTTGACTTTGCAGTCTACAATAAGGCAGGTCTGTGAAAGGCTTTCGGCAGAATATTGTTGTATTGCGGACGTTCTGCTTGCCGCGTGGAAAGGGGGAAGAGGGGATGAGGGGGGAGCGGTAACGAGTGGGGAGCCACTGGTAACTGGGGCCTTTCTGGAGAATCTTCAAAGTTCAGCCTCTTGGTTACGATGTACTATTCTCAGTCGGAGAGGCCTGTAGTGGGTCCATTTTGGACCTCGAGGGCGATGCATTATGCGAAGCTGGTGCATGTACGAGCCATGTGACGCGAGGGCGCCCATGGTTCGCCTGCTCCTCGTTTTCGCTTTTGTATTGACCCTGATGTCATTCTTTTGCTTGGAACATATAAAAGGCCCCGACCAGTGTCGATATCATGGCAGTCCCATCTTCATCCAACATTGTTCCGCCACCAAGTCCAAATCAATCGGAGTCCTGACCACACATCACCATGAAGGTCACAACTTTTATCCTCGCTCTCGCTACTGCTGCCGCTGCCACAGCGACTGGCAGGGTCCCCAGCACCGGAACAACTCCTCTGAGAAAAGAGGCCGAGAAGAAGGATATACTCATCGGTTCGGGCGCGATCAACCCGGCCTATCTCAACGACACTCGATTTTCGGCCGTGCTTGCTCGACAGTTCAACAGCCTCTCTCCAGAGAACGAATTAAAGTGGACATTTATCCACCCCACAGCCGACCACTACAACTGGGAGCCAACCGACCGCCTGGTGGACTTTGCCGAGTGCAATAACATGGTTGTGAAGGGCCACGGGCTCATCTCCACCTGCTGCAACCCAGACTACCTCACCAACATCACCGACCCCAGCGTCTTCCGCGCTGCACTGACTTCCCACTTTGAGGCCATCATGCATCGCTATACCGGCAAGATGGACCGGTGGGACGTCGTCACCGAAGCGCTGGCTACGCAAGGCGGCGGCCTCCAGGAAAACGACTTCTTCAAGGTCCTGGGCCCTGGCTACATTGCAGATGCCTTCCGCATCGCGCGGGCAGCAGACGCCAACGCAAAACTCTTTATTAATGAAAACATGGTCGAGTCAATCCCCAGTAAACGCCAGGAGCTTTACGACCTGGTTGCCGGGCTCGTGGCGGACGGTGTGCCCATCGACGGAGTCGCGCTGCAGATGCACATCACTGAGGTCCCCGTCGTCCCCGGCGTGATTACGGAAATGGTCAATTCCTACCACGCGCTGGGGCTGGAGGTCAGTATCGCCGAGCTGGACGTCCACACCCTTAACGCCACGCTGCAAACGCAGATCTACGGGGATGTCGTCGACGAGGCGTTGCGCGCTGGGATCACAGACATTAGCTTCTGGGGGTTCACGGACAAGCACGCATACACTTGGTTGCCCGGGGCCAAGCCCCTCATGTTCGATGAGACCTACCACGCCAAGGGGGCGTTTTACGCGGTCCACGATGCGCTCAAGGGCTTTGGCAGCGCTCATTAGGAGTAGCTATCGAGGGTGACGGCGCGAGTAGATACTGTTGTACAACAAGGAGTGTCTGGCTGTGTCTAGGAGTAATGTTTAGAACAGAAATTAGGATGTACTCGAATGTTTTAAGCACCTAGTAAGTCCCTAGGCTTTTAGAATCATACACCATGTGCTTGGATGAGTGTCTTTTGCCTTTTTACAAGTAACTCAGGAGGCGAACAGTGGTAGTCAGGCTTGTATACGAACTGCGAGAGACTGAAAGAGATACGGGAAGAACTGCTTGAATTAGGCTGCCACCATAATTGCTACAGCGATAGCAAGAGGACATCGGAGTAAAGAGAGGATGCTCTATCACAATCAGGAGGTCTTCTGGAGATTATTCACGCAATTCTTTGTTCCTTCCCAACAGTATCTTAGGGCACACCTACATTACTCCACGATATAGTGTCAAGGTAGTAGCCTTTGCTTATGATTTCACCAAAGCCAACATTATCTATGTGATACTTCCTTTCTACGCGCGCTCAAGGACGAAACAGACTTGGCTCTGGAAGCAGCCCCCATGAATTGGCATGAGGGCGAAGACCGACTAGATCGAAAAGGGCTATAACAGCATCTATTTATTGAAGACTCTTCCCATCCATCCTTTGTTCGATCATACCACGAATCAGCAATGCCGACTCCTTGGGCGTCCTCTCAAGTGTAGCGTAGTCGATAAAGGTCAACCCGAACCTGACACTGTAGCCCGAGGACCACTCTGGGTGCACCGTTAGCTGTGAATCAGAAATGACCGGCAACCTTGGTCCGTGGCTGTAAGAACGTGCATACCAAAGTTATCCATCAGCGACCAAGCAAAGTACCCAGCGACCTCTGCGCCGTCCTCCATCGCCTCAACAAGCGCATCCAGGTGCTCAGCCAGGTAGCGCTGGCGATACGTATCCCTAACACAGTCCTCCTTGGTCATCTCCCCGGGGCACGGGCATCCATTCTCCGTAATGTAGATGGGCTTTTTGTACCTGTTGTAGATCCGCACAAGGTGCTTTCGAAAACACCCCGGGGCCGCGCGCAGCCAGTCGATGCCACTTGGCCCGCCGATGGAAACACCCTCGCGATCCTCTTGGTACTCATCCACATTACCCAGGTAGTCGGTATCTGGTACGGGGGAATCCCCCACGCGGTGCCGTGCAAACTGCGCCGTGTAGTAGTTCATGCCGTAAAAGTCCACTTGGGCCTCGCGCAGCAGCCCGAATTCGGCTTCGGTGAAGGTGGGCAGGCGATGGCCAAGCTGCGCACGCATGGCCGCGGGATAGTCCTGTGCAAGCCTTGCACAATGACATCAGAGGTTAGCCGGCTTGGAAAAGGGGGGATATCACGGGGCAGGAGCAGCAGCATACAGGATTGGATTCGCAAACCAGCCTAAACAGAACTCCATGCGCCGCTCTGCCGCTTCGTGGTCCTTGGGATCGGTCGGGTCCCATGGCTCAAAGTAGTCCCCATTCAGGGACGCGCCGATAATGCCTCCTTGAGTGGGCTTGAACTCGACATTATATAGCCTGGCGGCTCTTGCATGTGCCAGGATCAGTGACTTGCCGACAATCCAGGGCTCGGTTGTGGGATCTCCCGGGGTACAGGCGTTGGGGCCGCTGCCTCGGCCGGGGGGCTCGGTGCATCGTATGTATCCCTGGGGATCGGCATATTAGCTCATCGGTATGCCCCTCGAGAACGCTCCTGGGGTATCACTCACATTTACACTGGTATTCCACGGCTCGTTGAGCGTAATCCACCTCTTGACCCGGTCTCCGAACCGCTCATAGCACAGCCTCGCATACCGCTCAAAGTCCCGCTGGGACTCTGCAGCGTCGAGCCAACCGCCATAGCGATCTTGCAGTGCCTGTGGGAGATCCCAATGATAGAGCGTTACCCAGGGGGTAATCTTCCGGGCCAAGAGACCGTCAATCAGGCGATTATAAAAGGCGATGCCTGCTTCGTTGACCGGGTCGTCTCGTCCGCCAAGGGGGATGATCCGCGACCACGACAATGAGAACCGGTATGCTCTCGCGCCGTATTTGACCAGGAGGTCGAGGTCCTCTTCGAAGCGGTGGTAGTGGTCGCAGGCGATGTCGCCGTTGTCCCCATTTGTTCGCGATGGTTCCAGGTGACTAAAGGTATCCCAGATGGATGGGCCCCGGCCGTCTTCCAGGGCTGCGCCCTCGATCTGGTAGGCAGCTGTTGCAAAGCCCCATTCAAAGTCGGAGGGGAGCATTCTTGTCGGAGGCGCTGGTGCTCGAGCTGAAGTAGTATCATACGCTGTAGTGAGGGGACTGTTACGTACGCCTGCAGCAAGTTGGAGCGGTGGTGAAATTCCCACAGACATAAAATGGTACAGCGGTCCTCTTTTATCGTCTCCCTGGGCTATACACCTCAGGACGTGCTACCCCTCGACCCGACTGTGACGGGCGTCACGGAATCGCGCATGCTGGGCGTCGCCTGTGGGTCTCCAGCTCGGGGGATTTGTGGGCCTTTACTCCAACAGTTTTGGCCGACAATCTCCAGTCTATTTGTCCGATTGGCTGGTTGATTGAGATGCTGGTGCGCTTGGATCCAAACAGCATCTAGCGTGCATAGGCAGTAGTAGTAAGTGGATTCACAGCATCTAGTAAAGGCACCTGGATGGCGTCTGGCTGTCCCAATTCGGCGGTGATTGCCTCGGTCAGAAGATGTCAAATACTACAATACGTCCATCCTCCTTCTACTCCTCTTAGCCATGGGACAAAGACTATAAGATCAAGAGCCATGTAATACCACTAGCCTAATAAATCCTACATCCCAGACCAGAGGTAATCATCCGCCAGCTCAAAGCGTTGTCGCAGCACCTCATCCTCTGGATCCGCGCTCGTCGCAACCACAATCTCAAAACTCCCCTGCTCCGCCAGCCACTGTTCATGGTCCTGGCTCCAAAACGAGATTGCATACTTGTCAAGCGTCACCGACACATCCACCGTCTCACCAACAGCCACGTAGACTTTCTGGTACCCCTTTAGTTCCTTGACCGGCCGCTGGACGGAGCTCTCGAGATCCGCGACGTAGACCTGGACGATCTCGGCGCCGTCGCGCGTCCCCGTGTTTTGGAGCGTGACGGACACGTCGAATGTCGGGCGTGCGGCGAGATCGACCGTCTGGGGTACCTTCAGGTCGCGGTATGCGAATGTCGTGTAGGACAGGCCGTAGCCAAAGTAGAAAAGCGGCGGGGTCTTGAGCTTTTCGTAGTAGCGGTGGCCGATGAACACGCCTTCGCCGTAGTGCAGCATCTTATCCTGCTTGCCAAACGACAAAAAGGCCGGTGTGTCCTCGAGACGCTTGGGGAATGTGACACTCAGCCTTCCGCTGGGGTTGACTTTGCCAAAGAGAACGTCCATGATTGCGTTGCCAGTCTCTTGCCCACCGTACCAGGCGTGGACGAGGGTCTTGGCCGAGTCAACCCAGGGGAAGGTAATGGGGCACCCCGCCTGTGTGACAACAATCTAAATACTGGTAGTTAGCCTGCGATAGTCTCGGGGAAGACCCACTAGACGCGGTCTTCGGGCACCGCTGGAAACGTACAGTATTGGGATTGGCCCTGATCACAGCCTCGATGAGATTGTCAACCTGTGGGGCCAACGCGAGTGACTTTCGATCTATCGCCTCACTCTCCCAGTCACTGTTCAGCCCCGCAATGACAATCGGATAGTCCACCGTCCTAGCCAGTTCAGTCGCCTCGGCCAGCTTCGCGGCGGGGTCGAAATGCTCGCAGCAGCCGATGCGTAGCCCGCCTGAGCTCAGCGCACCAACACTAGGCGTGAGGCTCTCGTTCTGCAAGAGGACCATGATCTCGTAGCTTTGACCCTTTTGTGCGTCGAGGACCGTGGTGACCTCCATGCTATATTGGTCAAACATGGGCGTTTGGAGGGTCTTTTCCGGGTGGCTCCTGAACAAGTCAATCTTCTCCACCCCGTCGATGTATAACCGGCCCTTGCCGGCCACACACAAGCCGAGCTGGATCGGCCTGGTGGCCTCTGCGGTGTAGGTTGTCATCACTCTTACCCAGTAACCCTCACTGATCCCGTCGGGGAGGTTATCGGCAAAGAACATTTGGGCCTGCGTGGTCGTCGTCGTCGCCAGGGGCTTGATCTCTCTGGCCATGTCCGGCTCTTGCATAAAGTATTCGACATAGAATCCTTTCTGAGTGCTACCAGGGACAGTGATGCACTAGGAAAGGCATGGGGTGAACAGATGGCCTCCACGTTTAGCGTGAGTAACGTCTCTCGAGGGTTGTTAGGCATCATGGGATTACGTACCGTAGCAGCCAATGTTGGCCGTGACATTTTCCGCACCGACGAGCTCGTTGAGTGCATCCAGGGGCTTACTGATGTAGTAGGGCATCAAATCCGACGAGCCACCTCCACTCACCGCGGGGTATAGAACCCCCGGACCGATCAGCGCGTACTTTGTACCAGGACGTTTCGCGTCCAGAGGCAGAATACCATTCTCATTTTTGAGGAGAACGATTGATTCCGCAGCAACCTTTCGGCAGAGCTTTCTCTTCTCAGGGCTGTCGCCAGCGGTTGACTGGTCGACCTGCTGCTCAAGGGCAGGCTGCACCTTATTAAGGAGGTTCAGGTAGTTCCTCACGGCAGCGTTGAGAGTTGCCTGCTTCAGCTTCTTGGAGATCACCGCCCAAAACAGCAGCTGGCCTCTCCATCTCGTCGGGCCAGGCATCTCGAGGTCCAGACCCGCATCCAACGCCTCGGTGGTGCTGTAGGTGCCAAACCAGTCGCTCATAACCAGTCCATCCCAGCCCCAGTCCTCGCGGAGCACCTGGTTGATGAGCCACGGGTGCTCGGCTGTATGGATTCCGTTGATCTTGTGGTACGAGGTCATGATGGACCAGGGGTTGGCCTGCTTGGCCGCGATTTGGAACGGTAGTAGGTGGAGCTCTCTAAGGGTCCGCTCGGATGCCCAGATCGAGTCCTCCTGCGACATTGTCGACTGGTCGTGAGCCGCGTAGTGTTTGATCGCACAGGCGACGCTTTCGGACTGCACGCCGTTGACATAGTCTGAAGCAAGCGTGCCGCTGAGCCAGGGGTCTTCACCAAAGGCTTCAAAGCCTCGTCCAATGAGCGGCGACCGCTGCAGACACACGGTTGGAGCGAGCAGGACCTGACAGCCCTTCTCACGGGTCTCCCTACCAAGCATTCTGCCGACGGAGAGCATAAGTTTTCTATCGAACGTGGCTCCCATGGCGGTGGCGGATGGAAGGAGCATCCCCGGCGGCTGTTGAGTACGGGTCTGTCAGCAGCAGCAGCAGGCATCGGTCAAAAGGCTGGATTTAAGAGGGCATACTCCATTGAAGAACGAGGTGCCTCGGGCACCGTGGGGTCCATCGGTAGTCTGTTGCGGGGGGGACATGTTAGTATGTATTTGTTGATGGGTTGGTGGCAGCAGACACGTACTGTTATGGCGGGGATGATCAGTCTCTCAATGGCATTCGTGCGCCATGTATCATGTCCAGACAGAAGCTCGATCTTCTCGTGAAGAGTCAGCTCAGCCAACACCTTGTCCACATCTATAAGGCCCATAATGTTGCGTTGACGAGATAGTGCGAGATTGGCAAAGGGAGACGGTCGGGTTTTAATTGCGATGGACCTCTTGAGTGAATGCTGTATGATTTGGAGACAGAGACATTTCCACAGTTTGTCCCTGCGGGGTCCTATCTATGGGGAGATGTCTGTGCTTGACAATTTGCCCGACTCGCCTCCCCCACCCTGTGATTGCTTTGGTGTGCTCGGAGAAACCCCGCAATAATGCCGAGCAGATTTACACCCCCGATTTGGCAAATTTGTGGAGAAAGGTACAGCGAGAGCTCGGCGGTGGCTCGCTAGGAAGGGGCATCTGTGAGAGAGTCTAGGGCGAGAACAACGACGGGTAATCCAGGTGGGGTGGGATCTGTCTCGGAGAATTGCTCGGTTTTGTAGGCCCGGGTGCTTGCTGATCCCAAAGAAAGGGTGTGTAGTTTCATGGATGACAATGTATGCTACTGTCCTTGTGTCCTGCTTGTGATTTGCCTGGTCGCTGTGCTTGTATGACTACCGATGTTACTGCATATAACGCACTTTTTCTGGGCCTACTACAGTTCGATATCAAACTCCACACAAGTCGTTGATTCTTCGTTACTCTGATGGCTTTAGATTTTCAATATATACGCCTCGGTTGAATAGCATATCTGTACACACCGGCTAATCATACTCCAGTAAAGAGTCGGCTAGAGAAGCTCTGCGTATTTTCCGATCTCGCGGCACAGGATCTTTCTCCTTTGCTAGGTCGCTGACGGTACACGTATCAATCACCTGGACTGCTTGCAGGCCCTAAATCAAAGCAAGTGGGTAGCTTGTAGTATTCACAAAGTATTTCAAGGCCGCGATCCAGGCACTGCAATGGCTTCCTGGTCGAAAACATGGGATTCTGCTCATGGGCTGGCCCGCGGGGGCTTAATGGAGTCTGTCATTTCCCTGCGATTCGGTAGAGCTCTGCGGGTAATACGCTTGAAGAAGTTGTTTATGCGCATGGACGGTCGTTGGCGGACGGGCCGCGCTCGCTGCGTCGCCCCTTGAGGTAGTATTACCATTTCTGTGTCTGTGATTTCGACCGTGGGTGGAACAAGCACCTCCAGGGTCACCATTCCCCCTGAAACAGGAAAGGCCTGTGTATCTTGCTTCTGCATGCGTTCATGGCTGCGCATAAAGACACGGGTCTCGAGCTCTCCATTCTTTTCTCCAATGTACTTCACCTCCCAGTTTATCTTCCCGCGAACGTGCCTCGATCCGCGGATATCAAATAGGTGCAGAAATACCTGTTCCTCGGTGGCAAGTGTAATGGTAAAATGCACTATTTCTCGTCCAGTCTTGTTGTCTGGGGATGATTTTGCGGGGTATAGAGTCTTTTTCTGATCCGCGAAGCAAAGCTGAATATACGGATGTTTTAGCCGGCTTTTACCCAGAAACTCGACTAGCCGAACCTCCAAGGCTGTCGTCGAAGCGCTGTGTGAATGACCGTTTTCGCCAGGGGAATAGTCTTCAATTAGTGCTAAGCGGTCTAGGTGCCCGTTTTGTAGAGCAAGCTGACCTGGGGTAAGAAGCTCATCTGTTGACGCATCCCTTAGGGCTCCATTTTCAAGCAGAAGTTGGCACACGGCCATGCTCGATTCCTCACTTTCGGCAGCATAATGAAGAGCACATTTTTCACCGTAATCGTAACAGTTTGGATCCGCTCCCAATTCCAACAGTTTCTTGCACATAGACAGGTGACCCTTCTGCGCTGCCAGATGTAGCGGTGTTCGGCGCAAGTCATCACGGGCATATAGCAGCTTCGCGTGGTATGGATTTTGCGCTGGCATGTTCATCAAGAAGTAGTCCAGGAACTCGGTAGAGCCCTCTTCAGCAATATAATGAAGTGGCGATTTTGATATCTTGTTCCCACAGACCGCATTGGCGCCCCATTTAACAAGTATCCTGGTCGCCTCCTTGTGGTGGTTAACCACTGCGGCCATAAGCGGATACTGATATTCCCTTCCTGTCTCGTCTGGATCAGCACCCATTAACAGCAAACAATTGATCCATGAGACCAGACTCAGCTCTGCGGCAAAGTGGAGCAAAGTCGTATCCCAGGAGAATTTATCTGCGAGGCAAATCCAGCGCCGCCAGAGGTTTTCAGCCCTAAGGCGGCGCAGAATGTGCCCAGGATCGCCCTTATACTCGTCAGCATACTTCGCATGAAAGGCAAACGCGTTGATTGTGTATAGAAGAAAGTCAGGATACTCCTGCAAGGTTTGCGACAACTTAGTCTCGGATTTATGGCTTTCAATGTCACTCGCCGCTCGCTCCAGGACACTGAGATCAATTTGAGGTATAGACTGCAAATACTGCTGTAACGCAAAAGGCATAGTTGGTGGAACAGACAGACTGCCTCCAGCTAAAGGCGGAGATTTAGTGACGGAATCACTGGACGGCGGTAGCAGATGGGTTGAGAAAACGTTGTTGTCCGCATCGTTCCAGTCATAGTGGTCAGAACGAGCCGAACCCGTGTAGCTTGAGGCGGATGATCCAAAGCTGGCCTCGCTCCTGGCTCCCCGGGGACGATGTGTCTGTCGGTGGGATATGAGACGATCGACCTTTTCTCGCCCTTGTGCCAGAACGTCCAACTCTGGAATGGCTATATAGTCAAGGCAGGTAGAGAGGATGCTAAGATGGCCAACAGCAAGAGCCCGGGACTGGCTCCTCAGTGCTGGATCCAGGATGAAGAACCCCTTTCCACGGAAAAAGAATTCGGCGACCGAGCTGTGAATAACTCGCACCGTCCGTGCCTCGCCTTCCTCGCTATTCAGAGAACCAGCATCGCCGTGTGTGGAGTTTCTTTCGATGGCAGCTTGTTGCGTCGGACTCGTGTTAACTTCCACAAGCCCCTTGGAAATAATTTGTATCTGCCGCTCGAGCTGCCATGTATTCTCATCATAGTAATCAGATTCCCGCCACTCCTGTAAGGATTCTGGCGGCTTGTCTCGAATCCAGGCGATGACGTGGTGCCATTCGAGCAAGCGCAGTGGCTTAGCTGCTAGTACCACCCAGTAAAAGAACTTCAACGTCATCTGGAGGTCCTGTGTCTCGGCAGTGGACAGTATTCGATTGTACAGTTGCTCCAGAGCTGGTGGAATCTCCTTGAGTCGCTGCTTGAGGTATCTAAAATTCTTGCCGTTATCCCAGTCTTGCAATAGCGTATCCATCACTATAACGGCCCAGAGAATGACTCCAGCAGATCGGTCGACAATGCAAGTTGTCAGTTTGACCCATTGTTCATGCCCCTCCAGGCCAGCCGTCGCTAATTTTCGGTCAATGTACCGTCGAATCTCTTTGATATTGTGCCGGTCGATCAAGACTTCAGGACACTCTCCAATGCTGACTTTCGGGTACTCTCTGCTTGACAAGCATATGCTCAATTTTGCGTCGGCCACATGCGAGGCTGCTGTTATTTCTCGAAAAAAGATGGCCAGCTCCCTCATCCCATCTCCTTCACATTCATCTATGCCGTCCACAAAAATCACCGTCCTGGACGTTCGGTGCTTGGTGAATGCGGTCTTCAGAAATGACTTCAGCTCTTCTATACTCCAGCAGGGTCTTTTCTTGGAATCCTCGAACCTACGGCCAAAGGCCTTCATAAAGTTCACAAGGCGGTCATGATCGTATTGTAACAGCTCGTAGATGATGATTTGGAAGAGGTCGAGCTGGGTCCAGTGCAGATGTTGATTTAGGGGATGGAAGAAGAACCCCACGGCGCATGAGCCATCCCTTTGCAGATTTTCAACCGCACGACTAAATGCAAACTTCAAAAAGCTTGATTTCCCAGAACCAGGCTTACCCTTGATCCAGATAAGGCCGCGATGCGCGCAAGTCTCTTGGCCTTGGTACCAAGTGTTGTATGCGTCATGGCCCAACATGTCATCCCAGGCACAATCAACATGGTAGGTTTGGCCGCTATAGGGCAAATCTATTGTTGAGGGCAACAGTGAACTTAAGATGCCTATTTTGGCAGTGTTAGCTTCGTTCCTAGCCAGTTTCGCGAATGATGCACACCGGATTGCATTGCCACTTACGTTTCTTTAAGCTCTCTGAGATGGTAGCAGCCGTACTGCGGGTCTTGTCCAGCTTATTTGGTGTACGCCCAAGATGACTGTTTAGAACCGCGTCAATGCCCGATGGCGCGACCAGAAGAAGCTCTTTGGCGTATGCGGCGGCAACTGCAGCGGCATAGCCTTGCCAATCCTTGTTCTTGTGCGAGTCGGCATAATCACATATGCCACGAACAACCAGGCACGGGAAGTTGTTCATTAGACCAGCAGCCTCCATCTCCACACAGCATGCCCCAAGATCACGACTCAGACGGTTCCGGAAATGGCTGTCCTTGACGACTCGGTTTCCCGAAGCTATCAGTCCATAATGAACTCTAGGCTGGTTGGGCACTCGGGGAGGCCGGCCGATAATTCTCTCTGGGTTGCAGCCACGACATGTTGGCTCTTTCTGATCGTGGGTGTAACTTGTCTCGAATAACAGGTCTTCACGTTGGGGCGCTTCCAGGACAGTACGTAGAGCCAATGATTGTTTCGCAGCCTCCTTCATGATTGAAGAGATTTGGTTACCCTCCATTTGGTGGATAGCCTGCAGCTTGGATACAGCTGTCAAAAGAGTTTGCGGTGGCCGATTTAACATGCCTGTGCGTTTAAACTTGTCACCATGGCCCGCCTTTCCAAGGTCGTACTGTATAACACCTCCATGAGTGTTGGAGCTGGTTGGAACGCCGACAACAACATCCCCAAGACGAATATCTTCTGTGTGGGACGGTATCCCGCCTCCGATCCCTACTAGCAAGCCAATTTTCACAGACTGAAAGCTGGATAGCATATTCATGGCAACAGTCGCTGCAGATGCAATCCCATATTCACCACTCGGTAAGCACGCGATCACAACTTTGTGCGCCCCGATCCTTCCAAGCGTATATGTGTTGTGGTCACTTGGCTGGACGGGTAGGTTTTCATATACCACATCCAGCATTTCTGTCGCAGCGGCTAACTCCAGTGGCAGGGCGCATATCCACCCAACGCCAAATTCCGCATGGCTCAGTGATCGAGGCATTATTCAAAGGGCGAAACCTGCAACAGCTTATTGCTCAATGGCATAGCTCGAATTTGTTGTGTGGTCATCTCAAAACCAAAAGGAGTTGGAAGCGATGAAGAGGCGAGCGTGCGGCTGACGAGGGCGCAAGGCTACAAATAATCACGTGCAGATGTTCGCGCCCAGTATAGTTGCTTTTGCTGGGCACCTGGAAGCCTAAACGAAGGGTTTGTAGATGTTGTTATGTCTCGTGCAATGTTGAAAAGATGGGTTGATAGACATGGTGCTATTTCAACAAAGCAAGGTGCCCCATGGCAACCCAAACAGGGAAGGCGTGAGAAAGGCCCATTTTGAGTAGTCATACGATAAGCGTAGTTGAATTAGCTCTCGAAAGCAGAGCTTACAGGCTCGACGAGGATGCAGGTAGCTAGTCGTTAAAGGACAGATGCTGTGTTTTTCTGAACAGAGTCTGTCTTGCGTGCCTATCTGCGCTTGCTGCATCCCACCCACGCACAGCCGCAACACAGCCACAATACAGCTGACCATGCATCCCCCTCTTCCTTTAACAAGAGATGCGCGATACTGGCTCGACTTTCTTCTAGCTAAGCGCCTGCTCATCCTGCCATCGCAAAGAGGAACGAGTCCATACCCTAACCCGCTCGAGGACCCATTCGAGACGTCAGATCATGACTTATCGAGCCGCCTGTGAAGCAACCCCGCTCAGGCTGAGCCAGAGCGCCGATATGATGCCTCGCGCTATGCTGTTCTGCCACTCAACGATGGCAGACCCTTTTTCTCAGGTGCCCAAAACGGAGGGCGGTTGGACTTGTGTATGGCCTTTCTTCCTTCCTTGTTCTTTTCCTTCTTTCTTTCTCATGTACATCCTGAGTACTCCCAGAGCAAGAATACCAGAGCAGGAATACCAGATGCTTACGATTCAGTGCTAACTCTGCTGTTGAACGAGGCTAGTGCCAATGCGACACCCACAACCTACATACGTCCAAAAAGTGCAAAGTCTGTGGAGAGGACCATCTAAAGTGCAATCTGTGCGTCAACGACATGGAACTTGTGAGGGACAAGACTGAGGTAATGGAAGGAGGACACTATTCTTATATTCCGCTGCGCCCTCATCTCAGGCAGCGGCCGCGCCCAAATGTGACCGGATGGTGGTATTGTGTAAGTTTCTCCATGGCTTTTTATTTATTTATATTTTTTTATTTTTTTTATTTGATTTTTTGTGCGATTCGGAGTATTTCGACCATAGCAAGGATACATAATGCTGATTTCGTGTTCAGTGCCAGTGCGGACACATGGTCAATCCAAATCTGGGTCTCGACCGGTGCCCCTCTTGTGGTCATGAAAAATGCGGATACTGTTCTAGTAACGGAGAGGTGGTTCATGTCATATAACGCGTACTTGTATACACTAAACAGGTGATGATATGATCTTGGGCCGCCTCCTGATGACAGGCCTCGGAATTGCACGTAGGCGATCCAGCATGCTAAATAGCCCAATGCGTTTCAGATTGGAGGAAACGGTGACACTTATGAATGTAAATCCAACCAGTACCGCTACATATAACCTCCAATCTACGTTCGATGGAAGGAAAGACATGCTAAAGACAGCCTGCTAAATGTCAGCAAGAGCCGAAACCCAATACAATCGGTAGCATACAGTTATCAGCCCTAGGGGAAGATAGAACTAGATTCCTGGTTAGTATAATGCACATTGGCAACCTCGTGAGGGCTATTATGCCTACTACTGTCACTTTCGTCAAAAGACCAATGTTGTCCGCTTGAGAATTCGATTCCCGAGCTTCCACAAGTGCTGAAGTGTTGAGAATCTCAGCCGTTAGCACTTGGAGCTATGTATTGGGTTGGGAACCACAACTTACATTGGACCTCTTGCTCTCGAAGGCCCCTATTTGCCGGGCAAATGTTCTGTGAATGAAGCGCAACTCCAAGATATCAGTGTCTAGAGACTCGAGGTAACTTTGCATTTTGGGTGAAAAGTTTGCCGGAGTCTCCTCAGGATAAAAAATGTGCAGATGTTTGTCGGCAAAGTCATTCCATGCCTCTATCGTATTGATGAGTGAGTTGTTGAAAAGCTGAAGAACTTCGATTGCCCACGTATATCCATTTGTCCGGGTGAGACCATCGTGGCCATCGTCATTGCCATCGTCACCTGTCCGATCTCCCGAGACCTTTGAAGGTTCGACAAATATATCTTTTTCCTTGATTGCTTCTTGGTTAGTTTCTGGTCACATGGAAACACGGAAAAGGCACACTCATACAAGTCTTTTAAAGCGTGTTTCAAGTGTCTGGACGATGTTCGCCCATTCAAAGCGCACTTGCCGCAGTCGCCTGGACAGAACAAAAAGGAAGTACTCGCGGGGGTTCCATATAGGACTCGAGTAATTTGCCCCTTCTCCCGATGGGGCGTCCTGGTCGATGCCAATATAGGATTCGACATCCTCTGGTTCTGTTTCACAAAAATGGGTCTCGACGAGGCAATATAGAGTCCACACCCATTCGTCAATGCCCACCAGAAGAACAGATACTTGAGCTTCGTAGAAGAATTCCCTCTTGTCGCCGGTGCGCGGGCTGAAACCAGCCTGGAACGCCCCTTTGCGCCGATTTACATGGCTCTTGCGGGTGTCGTTTCCTGGGGGCAATCGCCTCAATGCAAAGAACGGAATGTGGAATTCGAAGGTAAAAGAGCTCGCAGGACGAATTGGATAGTCCTACTGCGAGTTAGCTCCTTCACGAATCCGTCGACTGCTTAACCGAGGAGTGGCCGGCGCTTACAATGGAAACACCGAAGAAAGCTCGACTGGTGATGTATTTTGACAAGAACTCCCGCAGAGAAGGCACATACCGACCGGCCACAGGGAGCACAATTGCAAGTGCGCACAGGGGCGACAGATCTCTGATGTATCTTGGGCTTATTAGCATGCTGAACATGAAGCACGAAAATACTTACATGCTTCGACGCTCTGGCGAGCTTGTCCCGAGGTGTTCGCGCTTTGATAATCAGCATAGGCCACCAAAAGCAAGGCCTAGGAAGTCTCATACTTTCTTTATGAGTTTATCATAGAGGCCTTTCGCGTTGAGAGCTTCAAGGCATTTTGCTTCGCCCTCCGGCGGATACTGGGTGTACTCTGCCCAATAACGAGACAAAGAGGCATTGGGTTTGGATGGATCTCTCCGTTCATCAAGCAATATGACCTTTTGGAAATCCTGCGATCCCTCTAATATAGGGACTTTTCCTTCCAATTTCTTCACGTCATCCGGCTCGCGATTAAGGAACTCTCGAAGGGCAGCATAGCTGTATTGCTCAGGCATAAGCCTATGCACACGCAGAGAGAGAAAGCCTTCGATCTTTCCAGTAACGCCCGGGACGTCTGGAACTGTCTCGTTCTCTACTCCGTACAGCTTTTCATTGCGCCGGGTGAATTTAGGGTCCCAAGAGAGGAATCTTCGAGATAAACCTGCCATCGTGGGTTGATAAGATGTCGCTCGAAGAAATATGTAGAAGGAAAATCAAATGCTATTTTCAGGCGTAAGCAGGGCCAGCGGAGCAGATAAATAAGAATAGAAGACAGTGTGATCGCAAGGCTGTCTTCAGCAGGGCAGCTCCGCCTCACTTTCGACGTGGCAGGGAATAAAAAATAATCTCCAGAGCTGCCAATCAAAACATTCAGTTTGTCCGTAAGCTGCAGAGTTGTTGGAGTGTGATGATTGCTGTCCTCGCTCCAGCTCGAAAACCACTCGTGCGAAATGACAGTCCGACGCCACCACTTTGCCATGATGTCTGAAAATACAGAAGGAAGGCCCTAGCCTTTGCATTGACTCTACAATGTGTCTTCCAAAGCAATACGAGGGGTTGCTACGACACTTCCCACAGCATCCAGGGAGTGTCGCGGAACTCGCCAAAAGAGGAAGGAGCGGGGGGCAACGCAGCCTGGTTCTGCCGTCTCTGTCCGCCCTGGTCTAAGTCACGTGGAGGTTTGCACAGTTTGCATCCGAAGCCATCATTGGCTGCAGTGGACATTCCATGCAAAAACATCAACCACTGTCGAGGGTATGGATTCCGATAGTATGAATTGGTGATCGTTGAATCTTACTTTTGCATTGCTTGGTGGCCACATCCCGTATACCGCATCGCGTGCCAGCCGCATTGTTATTCTCTCCTCCCTCCACACTAATTGCCCCTGCATACTACGCTCTTTAGAGTAACACCTTCAATCCTCTCATTCCATTGCAATAGCTGAGAACTTCAATTCATAAAACTCACATCATAAGCAACAATGGCAGAACCTCTCTCACGAACCGCCCCATTCTATACCATCCCGCCCCGCCAACTCCTGTCAATCGAGCATCCCGCCATCATCAAGAATGTCGACAAGGCCATCGATACCCTCCAAGGGAGCGCAGGAATCATCAAGGTACATCTCTCCCTCCGTATAAACAACCTCTCTAACCAATTTGTAGGCCCTCACCCCGCCCAAGGCGGATACCCCAGTCCACCTTCTGCTCCGCCCAGAGGATGCAATGTCACGACCCGCGCAGTCAATCAGCACGCAGTCGAATAACATTCTCCTCAAGGTGACTGTTCCCAAGCGGACGGGACGGAAGAGGAAGAGGGGGTCGGATGGGCCGTTTGTCGAAGATCCCGCTTGTGTCAATCCTGGGAATGCGCCGCCGAGACCTACGGCGCGTGAGGTTCTGCGGACGCTTCGTGATAACGAGGGGAAGTATCAGGTTGAGCCTGTTGGGTTGATTGAGCGGACGCATGTTTTTCGAGGTATGTTCTCTATAAATTCTTATCTGTTGGTCTACGCGGTTTCTAACGATAAGCAGGAATGCCGGATTTTGTCTTCTCGACTACAAGCAGTCCGTTCATCAACCGGGTCCGAGACACGATATTGCCCTTTGATTATCGAAAGATGAAGGAGTTCGACCTAGACATGAGCAAAGGAGCTATATCAAATGTCGACCTCATCCCGCCTCCATCATTTAGCCATGGAGACCTTCCTTTCAACTACTTGTACGCTGTCCTCAAATGCCTCACCCCACCCTTGCTTGAGTGTCTTCAGTAGGATACTAATATCCCAAAGCTACCGCCAAAACCCCACAGTCCGCCAAACCCTCGACACATCCGGCAACATCACAACCGTAAACACGCAACAAGCTGCCAAAATCCTCACACACCTCGTCCCCTACGACATCGAAACAGTCCCATCCGCCCCGCGACCAAACTGCCCACCCTTTGAAACCCTGGACCCGACCCTCCGCGAGACAATAAACGTCATAAACTCCCTCTTCGCCACGCGGCCCGCGTGGTCCCGCCGCGCCCTCCGAAACCAACTCACCACGATCGAGCAGCGCTACGCCCTCCGCCACGCAATCCCGCACGTCGGCTACGTCTTCCGCTCGGGACCCTGGCGCGACGCGATTATCCGGTTCGGGCATGACCCCCGGACGGACCCCGCTTCGCGGATCTACCAGACGACCATGTTCCGCATCTTACCTAGGGAAGCCGAGACGGCGCGCGACGGCGCAGGCGGGCGACGACATACGCTCCCGCGAGCAAACGAGCTAACACCCGAGGCTGCAAGCACGACGACGTCGCACCTGTTTACGGGGATCCCGCCGCTGCCGCTTGACGGGCGGATGTGGATGTTCTGCGACATCACGGACCCCGTCCTCGCGCGGATCTTAAAGCCTTCGGATCCGCTTCCGGAGGGGTTCGTACGTGAGAAATGTGATATTATGGTTGATGGGTGGTATGGGAATGGGACGACGGCGAAGCTCAAGGCTATTATGCGGCATAAGATTATTACGCTATATGAGGGGCGGACACCAAATGACGATGATTATACGCGGATCTTGGCGTTGCCGGACTGGGCGAGTCCGGAGACGGGGATGGCGGACTTTTGGCTTGATCCTTCACAGGCCAGTGCGAAGGAGATGTCGCTTGCTACGGAGATTCGGTCGACGATTAAGGGGGCGGCGACGTGGAAGGAGGTTGCTGGGGGGAAGAGATCGATTGTGAAGAAGGATGGGGAAGGGGGAAAAGGCGGAAATCAGGCTGGTGCTGCGGAAGGGGAAGGAGAGGAAGAGGAGGAAAGTGGGGTAGAAGACGAGAGTGAGGGGGAGGAAGAGGCGATTGAGCAGCAGGAAATCATGGAAGCAGCAGTTGAAGCAGTGGATAGGGCTGTGGAAAGGAGGGAAGCCGAGGGTGAGGATGAATCCGATGATCATATGTCGGATCAATGAGCTATGCTACGTGAATAAAAACCGAGTCTTCTTGGCAATGCTTGATTAATGGAGTATTTGCATCGTGACGGCATCAAAGACGTGACACATCTGAGCTCATTAGGTAGTACATGCTGACATGCATGCAGTGGGTGAAAAGGATAAACGAGAGACGATGCAATGCAGGCATGACACGAACAGAAGAAAGCAATGACACGGAGAGCGATGAGCCAAACAGAGAGAGCGCCATGAAAAGAATAAGAATCAGGGTATCCAACAAGACTTCACAGGATCCTCCAGAAGCAATGCGCCAACGCCATGAAAAACGCCCGCGGCCCGAGCGTCAACGCCAGGGCATGAAATCAAGATTGTGTAACGAGTGATGGGTGTGAACTTTTCATCTATGCGGTAACAGGCTCCGATACCTCGGTAGCCTCTTCCGTAGCGCTTTCGCTCTCCCAGATTTCGATGCCACCGTCAGACGGCTGGGCCTCGGCCTCGGTCGGTTTCGCCGGGCTAGCAGCTTCCAGCACAGAGGCAATGGAGGACATACTCGAGAGTTTACTCCGAGTAGGGTGTGTAGGACGAGGGACGGAAGAGAAGGTAAACTTCTTCTCCTCGGCTGGTGCTGGTGCATTATTCTCCTCGTCCTCGTAAACGACAGCGTATGAGAAGGCGTGGCAATCTTCTCCGTAATAGTCGGCGGCATTCAGATCGCCCAATGGCGAGCGAGGCTCATCCACCATCTCGGACTTGCGGGCCGCCGCAGCAGGCGACTCCTGTTGGCGGGACCGGGCAAGGGCGAGACCCAATTCGGCGGGAGGGATGTTCTCCTTTCCTCGGTGATCCGATTTGTCCTCCGCTTTTCCCTCATCGTCGCTAATATCGAGCACGCATGTCGAGTGCTGCATAAGGTTCGTCATTTCCTCTTGCTCCGAGTCGACATAGATATCAAAGGACCAGGATGCAGGCATCTTGGTGGCAGGAGCCGGTTGGCTCTTCGACTTGCCATTCGACAAGGCAGTGGCGATTGAAAATGGACGGCTGACGCCCTTTCGGGACGCAGACTCTGGGCGGTTCTTGGAGATTGGAGCACGGCGAGCAAAAGCCTTGGAGGCCTTCATCTGTGGGGAGCGACCAGCAGGTTTCAATGCTGATGCAGGTTTTGAAGTCGAGTGGGAAACCTTTGTGGGAGTCGTCGGTGTGCGGGTGGTAGAGGTCGAGGTCGAGTCAACAATGATATGAAACGCCGTTCGGGAACTCTTCATGGGCTTCATAGGGCTCTTGACGGGGACATGATCATCCTCGTCATCGGCAGCACGCTTCCGCTTCGTCGACTTAAATGCTGTAGGATCGATATTCTCCGCGTCCGATTCAACGAGGGGTTGTCTCTTGCCCGAGAGGATGGCGCCTATTCACGTAAAATGAGTTAGCATTGACGCGTGAATCACACGAGGTGCCTTGGTCGTACCATTCTGCTTATTCTGGAGGTTCATCTTGGTACGGAGCAGGGTCCGCATGCGAGAGGCGTCCAGAGGAGCAAAAGGCTGTCGTACAGCGGCAGGAGACATTGTAAGAGCAGCCATGTCGAAAGAAGAAATAGGTAACGATCGAAAAGCGCGACACGACAGAGCGAGAGAAGCAGCAACAGCCGGTGTTGATGGAGAACGAGTCGAGTGTGGATTTGTTTTGGTCGCGCGGCAGGAGGTGGGGTGCTGCACGCTGATTGGCTCTACTGGGTATACTGGTCGAAGGAGGGAAGAGCAGGTCGTGACAGCCACGAGCCCACGGATGGCCGAGAGTAGAGTGCAGACAATAAAGGAGAGAAAGTCGCCTAGTGCTGAGAAAGGGAGACAGGCTCAGACAGCGAGAGGGAGGATTATATGGCAAGAAGCGCCGCGAGGAGGTGCGAGGCAAGGGCTGGACAGGCTATGGAGAATTCCTGCACGGGCAATGGAGGGCGGGCGATCTCAGGATCTGAATCGGAGTCTCATGAGAGGGGAGGAGGCGAAACATGCAGGCGTGAGATTCTGAAGAGGAATGGAATGCTCCCCGCCAGGTTCTCCTTGGTAGATATAAGTAGGCCAGCTGAACAGCAGGAATGGCCGCCGGCATCGAAGCGCGTCAGGTTCGTGTCTCTTGCAAAGCTCTTAATTAGGCTGCTTAACGAATCCAGAGCTGACTTGACGATAGAAGCGTCCTCTGCGATCCGGCATCTGCAAGGAATCGCATGGGCTTCGATCCAATAATTGCCAGAGTTCCCCTCACTTCATCTACTTCGCCTGGGCGCGTCGCCGTAATTTATCCCTTACGCGGGATTACCGGGCACTTGGCCCCTTTTGCGCGCAGGCTGCCTTGGATAAGCGGCGTATTTACCGCGCGTGACATTCTTGCAGCACGACACCATCGCCAGCTTCGTCGCTCGTCCTGCCCTGCCATCCGCCATCTGCCATCTGCCATCCTCCCTTCAACGCGTCCCAGCTCCCTGCGCATCTCGACTTCAAGCCTCGTCGCGTCAGACCCTGCTTAATTATGCTTCATTAGCAATGCCCTCCCTTCGCTCTCCTCATCGAACCACGTATCTCCCTCCCGTGTTCTCGTCCTTTGCTGGAGGTTTCAACCTCGATCCCACCCAGTGAGGACCGAACACTATCTCCCCATCGTGGATCTCCAATCCCAAGGTAATTAAACCAGGCCGCCACCAAGGCAATCATCATGATCGCCTGCCCCTCCAAAGATCACCGACGGACTCGGCTTTTTCCGTTTTAAAGTTGCCCAGTGCGCGCCCCGGCGTGTCCTAGCCCAGCGCTTCCTGGCCTGTGTTTCATCGTGCCGGGCGCTCCAGCTGAAACCTGCGATGCGCTGCGAAATGCTATTTTAAGAGTTAATTTAGGTCAATTACGCAACGGCATCTCTGGCGCGAGTCGCGCAGCTCTCTGGTTACCCCCTCTGTCTGCTTATTATAGATAGGAGAGGAAGCCGGACCCGAGGTCACGGTGCGAGTTGCACCATGCTTTTGCTTGTGCCTCTAAATTGAACTTTCAGTATGAGCTCTGCGCTTGTGCGTGGATTGGACTTACGCGCTTGTGCTTCCGTTTTGAAGTGTGTCTGCCCAAGGAAAGATGCAATTCGCATTCGCATCGCATCGCATGTGCTTTGCGCATACAGAGTATTCTCACTCGCAAACCTTGATGTTAAGCGCCTGCCTGCTTCAGAGGCATATCCTGCTTCTGCACTTCTCGCGCGAAATAAAACGAGTTTCTCCGTCAGTACAGACCTGCGCTGCCGCTTCCTGTTCGGTTGAGGGTTTCGGACTCCTCTATTCTATTCTACGTATAACCTAAAACATGACCTGTATGATACATCCGCATTAGCCCTGCGCAAGCTTCGTCTTGCACGGCTTCAAATCTCATCCTCCCACGGGATACTGTCCATGGCGCCCTGTCTCTCCACCCCCCGCGCCGATGCTCTCGTAGCCACCTCCATCGCCGCGTCCATAACCGACCTATACCGCACCCCCTTCTCCTCTGCCGTAAGATCCTCCCCTGCCCTGCCCTCCACGCGCCGCCTCTCGCGCCACCGCGCAACCTTCACCGCATACGCACCGACAAACGTGTCCCCCGCCGCTGTTGTATCAAGCACCCGACTCACCTTGGCCGCCGGAACCTGATTCGTAGCCCTTCCTGCCAACTCAGTCCCCGGGTCCGCAGCACTATACCAGACGCCTTTCGCGCCCAGCGTAACAAGCACGTACGTCACACCTAGTGAGTGGAAATACCGCGCAACTTTCTCCTTCCCGTCCTGCCCTTCCTCAATCCCGGGGACCTTCACCAACTCCTCCGCAGGCGGCGCCATGAGCTCCGCCTCCGTCTCGTTCATAATCAGGTGGTCCACGCCCGCATACACATCCGCAGGTAAGCCGCCAGGCGGCGCAGGCGCAGGGTTGAACATCACATCTGGACCAGCCTCAATTCCCTTCTTTCCCGCAGCCCTCTGCTGCTCCTTCCACCGGGCGAGATCTCGTAGAATACCAATTGTCGTCTCCGTCGGGATCTCACCCTGCATGACGATGACATCTGGCACGGGTGTTGCGAGCGCCATCCCGATGACCTCGGGAGAGCTCTTCATCCCGGTATAGTTCGCTCCGGGGGAGAACAGGATCCGGTTCTCGCCTCCCGCCGACGAATCAACGATAATCACCGCGACGCCCGTGTATGCGTCTGATATCACCTGCACGCGCGAGGTGTCCACGCCGGATCTCTCGAGGGTAGGTTTGAGCAGGCTGTCGAAGTGACCGTCGAGAGCGCCGACAGCACCGACCATTTCGACCTTGACGTCGCCTTTAGATGTGGAGGTGGAATCGGATTTGGGCTGCGGGCGCGAGAGCCGGCCGCAGGCGACCGCTTGGTTCGCGCCCTTTCCGCCGGCGCTGATGAAGTATGCGGAGGAGGTGATTGTCTCGCCGGCGTCCGGGAAGCGAGGGGTCACGGAGACCATGTCGGCGTTGAGGGAGCCGATGACGCGGATCGTGGGTGCCATTGCGGCTTGGGAGCTGTTGACTGCGGGGCTTCAAAGGCGGGGGAGCTCAGGGAGCGATTGGGTTGTGTCGGTTGGGTTCTGGTATCGCGAGCTTGTCCTGATAGATCTGACGGTGCGGATTAGTGAAATGAGTTATGGGGAAAAGCCGAAGTGAATGGGTTTTGTCCGTTGAGAAGGTGGTTGTCAAGGTTCGGTGGGATGGAGAAGATGCGGGATGGTGGGGAGAGAGCTCGCCGCCTAGAAGCGGATACAGATGGGCCTCGCGCCTCACAAGCCAGCTCTGATTCAGCAGCAAGCTAGCAAAAAACGCGTACAGGCTCATTCCTAAGGATCTGGATAAATGCGTGATCAATGAACTACTGTAATCTTATACCTCTGGGGCCAACGATCCTGTGTGGAACCCTTAGAATACATATCGCACCCAGCAGCGCCAACAATATATACTTCAAACGGCACTAGAAACTGACCAATTGACCACAAAATCTCCGGTCCACACGTAGAAGAGCCAATACACGATGCTGGAGGCCAGAAATTGTTGTGATGTAGGCAAAAAGATGTCAATACAAGTATTCGTCACAATCTTAGACAGTCATATTCAATTATCATCACTATTCTAATACTATCATCACGAATGTATACAACCATCCGAATTCAACGCCAGACCCATATAATCTCGCTGTGCCCAACCCAGTTCAAGGTATGCTATACCAAACAATAAACGAGAAACAACGCGCCTATGTACCCACTGCAATGTTCAAGAAAGACTATACACCCTGTCGGTACACCTGTGACCCTCCGGACCGGATCTGGATTGTGCTCCTACGCTGCAGCACAATGATTGCTCTGTTAAGTGCTTGTTCGGTGTAGCCTCGTCCGTCGACGAACTCACGGCGTAAAGTCGCCAGACTGGTACTCCATCCAATGGGCAGGCGGCGCTTCAGCTCGTCTTCGATCTTTGAAACTTCTTCCATCATTTCCTTGCTTCCCTGGCCCTCGCCTTGCGTGATCGCGTCCATGGTCGAAGCCAAGAAAAGACGGATGGCCTCGTCGACGTGAGCTTCGGTGGCGATGGGAGAGAGGCTGAGTTTGGCGAGCGATTCGGTGATACGGACGATGGCTTCGAGCTGACGGACTGTGATGGGGATGGAGGATCGGGCGTTGGCGTCGAGCTCGGCACGGTGCACTTGCTTTCGGATTGAGACGAAATGGGAAGAGAGCTTCTCGGCGGCTTCGGGAGAGAGACGAGGGGCGCAGCGGCTGTGAGGAGTTAGTCTGTGTAATTGCTGGAAACGGGGTCCGCGATACTTACGTTCGGCAATAGCTGATGTATCGCTTCATCTTCTCGAGGGGAATTTCCGCCTCAACCTGCTCCTCAATGCCTCTTCCGCCCATATGCACACCCATGACGTGACGTGCGATGCTCTCATCCCGGCTGCGTTCGTGGTCGTCACGGACGACGAAGATCATATCGAAACGAGACAGGATAGTAGTCTGGAAGTCGATGTTCTCACCAGGAGTCTTGAGATCGTCGTACCGACCGAAGATAGGGTTTGCAGCTGCCAAGACGGACGTTCTTGAGTTGAGAATGGTTGTGATACCGGCCTTGGCAATGGAGATTGTTTGTTGTTCCATGGCTTCGTGAATAGCGACTCGGTCCTCATCGCGCATCTTGTCGAACTCATCAATACAGACAACACCTCCATCAGCGAGCACCATGGCGCCACCTTCCAGGTAGAACTCGCGCGTAGCTGGATCGCGCTGCACCGACGCCGTGAGACCGGCTGCCGAGGAACCCTTACCGGAAGTATAGATGGCGATCGGAGACACCTTCTCGGTGAATTTAAGAAGCTGAGACTTGGCCGTACCTGGGTCACCGAGTAGAAGAACGTTAATGTCTCCACGAAGCTTCATGCCGTCGGGAAGAATCTTCTTCGAACCCCCCATCAGTAAGCAGACGATAGACTTCTTGATATCCAGGTTTCCGTAAATTGAGGGAGCAATACTCCTTGCGAGTGCGTCGTATAGGTCCGGGCGGCGGCTAAGCTCCAGAAATTCCTGCTCCTCTTCTTCTGAGAAGATCCCGGCACCTTTGGCGGTATGGTCAAGATCTGTGGTAATACCAACGGCTCGTAGATACGGGTTGCGAATGGCGACTGCGCCATCCTTCTTTCCTCCTTTCTGGTAGATGGAAAAGATACCCATGACTGTGCAGCGGGAACCAGGAACAACCCTGTTGGCCAGATACCGATCGGCGGAAATGAGAACATGTCGTGGCAATTCACCGACGGGCACTTGATCGGGCGCTTCCTGAAGCTTGAGAACTTGCTGGTCGACAAATTGAGATTTCTCATGAGCGACAACATAGGGATCAAGTGGGCATTTCGTTTCAGGTTCATCACCAGGCTGTGATTCGCGTCCACACCGTCGAGGAAGTGTGAGACCAGAGAACCCACCATCAACGCGGATATTCTCGCCGTGGTCGCAGTTTTTGCAGCGAATGTGGACTAATGTTGCTTTGGAGGATATTGTTGAAGCACCGATGACGATGCCGGGAATACGGACGAGATGTGAGATGTTAGTCGCATTTAGGTCACGAATGGAGATGTGTGTTGCGGACGAATGCAAAAGCAATTGATGAGATGGGAGCACGATATCTCGTTGCGAGGGGTAGACGATGCGTTGTGTGCATTGCTGGAGAGCTGCCTCAAACTAAAATGCCACGAACGTTAGCATGAGATTTTTGGAGCGGCGACGGGGCAACCGACAAGAGGGATGATATCTGCAGGCTCGGTGGTGAGTTTGTGCGCCAATTCCTCGTTGTAGGAGATCAAGTGGGCGATATCGATGTCGCAGTAGTATTGTTTTACAAGGACATTCTGGCGCAATTGATCGCTGAAATCTCTGTTAGCATTGGCCGGGGTCAATATGTTGCTATGGTCGTACCGGTAGATAAAAGCATTATCGAGCTGGAACTCCAACACGAACTCTCTTAGTCGGGCCTGAAGTTGTGTGCGAGATTCTTCGGCGCCATCGACACTGGGAGCAAGTACGCTCAGGGTATAAGGTGTGCGTCTGTCCATGGTGGCTAGAATGTGGTTGTGAGGTTGAAGATTATGTGTGGGATCCGACCATCACGAGTCAAGGAGGCGGCAGCAAAATGAATTTCATTGCCATTGCAACGAGACGCGAGAGGAACGCGTCGCGTTGACCCACGCGTTAAGTGGTTTTGGCCTCAGGCAAAAGCCAGGAACGGTCTACCGGAACATTACTAATTCCGCCATGTCGAAAATGGTTTAGCGCCTTGGAGCTGGACACTGGCACCTTGCCCAATTGGGATGCGCTGTGGCCTGGCGCTCCCCGGCCATAGGTCTGACACCTGGCGAGCTGTTGTTGACGTTGCAGTTGTTGCTCAATTCGAAGTGCTGTGACTTGACTTTCTTTCGATCTGAAATACTCTGTTGCGCCGGTCCCCGCGGGCTCGAGCTCGGACGATTGCCGCTCAATTGCAAGGTGTCCACTTGTCATGGTGAGGTGAAGTGCGACAGATCGAGGTGGCCGACTGAGTCGCCAACTTGACTCCGGCGAGATGTCGACGAGTCCCCGGAAATCGATCGATAGCCTAGCATCGGGTGCATCGACACCTTCGTTATCCCAGTACTCATTCAGTCAAATCGAATCTCCCCGCGCTCCACCCCAGAGATACCCCCTGAGGAGAGGCTCGACTGCCAGCTCAATCGTGAGCATCGGCGGAGTCCTCGACCCGTCCAACCGGCATGGTGCAATAGCGGAATCAGGGCAGAATGGTGAGTCGGGTTTATATTGACGGTATGCTACCCCGACTGACGCTGTATAGCTATTTCTACCCTCCTTCAGCCCCCGATCGTCCGCACCGGTCTCGTGCCCCATAGCTCTGCCACAGCCGCCGGATACAAACCCCCAAGTACTCGCGATATTCCGCCCGTCACCTTGACAAACATTCCTCATGTCGACCGAAAGGTATTCGAACCGTATCTATCACAAGTTGGGTCCTTGTACGAAGTGTTCCAAGAGGCAAAAGAGGGAATCGTTGAGCAGGACTCGCAGCTTGCGCGGGGAGGACCACGATCTCCGAAAGCAGAAGAATATGACTCCTTAATCCCCAGGTCTTTTGAACGCCGGTCTTCTGCCATATCCACCACCTCCCGTTCAAGCTCTCCGTATGCCTCTGCCCGGAAGAGGTCGTCGAACCGTGGTCGTGCTCCAGCAGTCACTCCGTTGTCGACAATCCCCCCTGTCTACTTTGAGAATGACTTTCACCTCGAAAACCCGCGAACGTTTGATGTGGTATCGGAGAGATCGGAGGTTGTCACCCCACCAAAAGCGCCAACCAAAGACAACAAGGCAGATACGGTCATCGAACCTGTGCAAACCGGAAGGAAAGCGCTTGCTACGAATGCGATCTTACAAGAGAAGCTATCTTGGTACATGGACACCGTGGAGATCCACCTTATATCCTCGATATCGACTGCATCCAAGTCGTTCTTCACAGCTCTGGGATCACTGCGGGAACTGCACGCCGAAGCTGCTGATTCTGTCAAGCGGATTCAAGTGTTGCGCAAAGATCTCCAGAAGATAGATCGCGAGATGGCACTTGGAGGGTTGAAGGTTGTAAATCTTCGGCGCCGAAGGGAAAACGTCCGCATGCTTTCCGACGCGGTCTCTCAGCTTCGCGATGTTGTGCAGTCTGTCACCCGATGCGAGGAGCTAGCCGAGGATGGAAAAATCGAGGAAGCAGCCGACGGGCTTGAGGAGGTGGAGAAATTGATGGCTGGAAACTATACCCCAGATCAACCGACAGATGGCGAGGAACCACGGAGAACAGTTGACCTGCGAAGGCTCAAGGCGCTTGAGGGTGCCTCGAACGAACTTGATCGTCTGAGGTACCAGATTGGTACAGGCTACGAAAACCGTTTCTTGAACGAGCTTCTTGGTGACCTAAAACGCCATGTCGAGAATGCTCCATTGGCCGCGACCGTACAACGATGGGGTTACTCCTTCCAACGCCAGCGTGGAGGCCAACGTTCCAGCCTCACAGAGCCACCGGCATACATGTCCATTGATGATAAGCTGCGTTCCCAACTGCGTTTGCATCTTACTGGTCTTGCGCGTGTTCGCCATACAACCCCTGCTGCGACGGCGTTCAAGACTGCGGTTCTGCGAGAGATGAAGAGCTTGATTCGTCGACATATGCCGAGCAGCAACGACGATGATAATGAGTCCATGGTGTCGGTATCTACACACCGATCTCATCAACTGAGCTCGCAGGAGAAGTCCTCAATCCTCGCTCGTAACCTCCGTGCTATGGATGCCGATGATGCGTACAATATGCTCGCATTGGTGTATACCGGCATCAGCGAGTCGCTACGCAGATTGAGTGTACAGGTCAAGGTTCTTCTGGACATTGCAAGTGGATTAGGTGGCCTCCAAACTGGCGGTCCAAAGTCCCCAGTGAGCAATGGAGATTCCCGCGCCTCGGCGCATGCGGCTCAGGATGAGATCCTCCAGGTTCTGGACATGTCTAGTCTCCTTGGGCAGGCTGTTGATATCGCTCAATCTCAAGCCACCAAAGTCTTAAAGGTCAGATCCGAGCAAACAGCAAGCCTGTCAAAAGAGGACTTTGTCAAGTATTTCACTCTGAACCGACTTTTTGCAGACGAGTGCGAGGCGATCTCTGGACGCAGTGGGACCGCTTTCAAGACTGCTGTTGGCAACCAAATCCGAGATTATATCTCCCGCTTCGGCGACAGACAGCGACACAGTATAGTCCAGGTGATGGACGCGGACCGCTGGGACGCAAAGGATTTCGGTAAGGCTGAGTCGGAAATCCTCGGCCGTATCCTCGGTGCAAGCACGAAAGACATTGATGCCTGGGTAAAAAGCTCGAAAATCTGGATCACTCAGGATGAACGCCAAAACGGTATGCCGACAGAAGCAGCTGTTGTCAATGGCTCGAAGGATGAAAAGGAAAAGGCTCGTAACGCCGTGATCGACGAGCAAAAATACATTCTTTCGGACTCTGCATTGGCAATGATGAGAAGCATCGAAGAATTCCAATTCTTGATGGCGAATATACCCAACATGATTCCGGACATTGCGGCCAGCCTTTTGGAGTCATTAAAGCTGTTCAATTCGCGTTCCTCTCAGCTGATTTTGGGTGCTGGAGCTACAAGAAGTGCCGGCCTGAGGAACATCACAACCAAGCACCTTGCTCTCTCTTCACAGGCCCTGAGCTTCATCATCGCTTTGGTTCCGTACATCCGGGAGTTCGTCCGTCGGCACTCCCCACCTGCGTCGGTGATGGGCGACTTTGACAAGGTGAAGCGACTGTACCAGGAACACCAGTCGGGGATCCACGAGAAACTCGTCGACATTATGGGCTCTCGGTCATCCATACATGCTAATGCTATGAGGAATATCGACTGGGGTCAAGGCTCCGACGTCAACCCCTACATGGAGACCTTGACCCGGGAAACCGCAACCCTGCATAGGGTATTGAGTCGACACCTCCCCGAAATGACGGTGATGATGATTATGGATCCCGTGTTCCAGAACTACCGCGATCAGTGGACTCGAGCGTTCGACGAGGCAGTTATAAGGTCGGAGGCTGGCAGAAAGAGGTAAGTTTTTTCTTTTTCTTCGACCTAGCACAGGAACCTTCACTGATGTTGGCAGACTACGCCGCGACGCAGAACATTTCCAAGCGAAACTGAGCAAGATAGACGGCTTCGGGGACTTGGGCGAGCGACTCCTCGAATTGGTCGATAAGAAGAAGATAGAGTATATGGAGCAGCAGCCCACGGCCGCGCCAGCTCCAGCCGAGGAGACTCCGTTGAAGGAGTCACCAAAACCAGAGGACGAGGCCAAGGCCTGAGCTGGCTGCGGACAAACATAATAATTCATGTGTCTATAATTACTCGGTTCTGCACAGCACTTTTGAGCGACTCTTTACGCCGTATATAATCAGCGACTCTCGCTTCGCCACCTGCTTGCTACTTGTCCTTTTCAATAGACATTTCCTATCTTCCTTCTTCTCTTTCATAGTACATAAGTACGCACAAACATACAACATTGGACTCATTCTCAAGTTGAATCAATTCGGGATATGGATCATTCCCGTCTCATCCTCATCATATGATAATCATAAATATAATACACCATCAGAACTCCAGTCCTTCACTCAATGAAACGGACTTCAAATGACCATCACAGATGGATAGGAGGAAAACCAAGTTAAGCAACCAGGCTCAACTCTACCTCTAAGCCTTGTGAGCACCCAGCCCCTTCCTCTCACCAAGCGTCTTGGGCTCGTGGCCGCCCTTCCCGCTGCCGTGCCCCTGGTCGCGCTGGCCGATGTAGGGCTCGGGGTTGCCCATGTCCTCGGGGAGGGGCGCGGTGCGGTCAACGCGGCCCAGGTGGTCGTGCTGTAAAGGACTTGTTAGCATGCATTCGTAAAGCAAGAGGCTGAGTGATGAGGTGAATATGGAGGGATTTGGAGGGGAATGAACGGGGGGAGCATACCTCGGGGTTTGTGCCGTGGACCTTGGTCGGGCCGGCCTCGATGGCGTTGTCGGAGACCTGGTTGTCCTGTGCGTATGTGACACCACGGGGCATTTTGGTGGTTGTGCTGTGTAAGGGTTTAGAGATTTAGAAAGTTGTGTTGTGAGTAGTGTAGTTGGTAGGGTCTGTAGTGCAGACTGTTAGTGCCGAGCCCAGCGCAAGTGGATTGCAATACACAAAAAAGACTCCGTACCTGATCTAAACTCTAGATCTTGTAATAGTCAAGTGAAGATGATTGATTGATTGTTCTATCGAGCAATGAGTCCCTGGAAAGAAGGTGGTATATATAGGCATGTCGTCGGCGGTGTTGGTGGTCTGCACTGACGATGTGATGAAGTCATCGATGCGATGTTCAGTTGGTTCCCCCACAATGACTTCATTAGCCCGGCGGCTGACGACGATTGTTGGCACAGGGTTCTAGATGTGCCGATTGGGATTCTATGTTTAGTTTCGTCAGGGGCGAGGGGCCGTACAAAATTCGATTTGGAGTGGTTTTTAGGGTATGTTGTGTTCTGGAGGGTTCTGATGTATGGATATACCTGTAGTGATGACTGGCACTGCCCCTAAACTGTGAAAATGAAATAATTACCTATCTTAATAGGCTTTCTACTAAATCAGATAATATGTCTGGTCTTACATCGGAAATGTAATATAGTGGTTATTGCAAACTATATATATGAGCAAGTTATGGTTGCTGAATGGTACTGAATATCGTTGCAAGTGCTAGAAGGGATGGTGATTCCAGAAGCTGTGGAAGATAGAATTAAAATAGTCGCCTTGATTGTAAGGCTGATTCTTGCACAGAGGTAGTTAAGTTATAGAGAACATTATCATCCTGTTCGTTGTCCTCCACATCGCTGCTGCATCTGGTTCAGTCAAGGAATCATTTCAGCTATGATCTTTAACTACTGTAAGGAGAAGTGGGCCTCCACAAAACAATCACAGTTCATCTATACGCTGGCTGTGGCAAGCTTAGTTCTCTTGTGTTCTCACCAACAGATGCAATTAGGGTAACCCCTTCAATCTGCGCCCTTTGGCAGCGGCTGGTCCCTAGAGTGGGTCATCGTGTCTTTGGATTTGGAGGGGCAACTCCAACTTTCAAGTCGCCGAATTTAGAGAGGCAGCGAACGAGGAAACGGGCAAGATCTATAGGGATACAAGGCAGAATAGTAAAGGACTATACCCTCACGCACGATTCACAACTACAAGTCCAATTCTATCAACAATGGAACACCTCAAGATGACCACTCCAACGGAGTCCCTCCGCTTCGCAGATGCAAGTCCTCTTCACCGGCTTGGAAAATTTAACATCTACTGACCAGATTTCAGGTAGCCGTCACCTACACAGCGGACCAATTCCAGGGCATCTACCGTGGCAAACAATACCACGCCCCGGACTTTGCCCAAGTGATCAAGCGCGCACACGACTACAACTGCCCCAAAATGATGTTGACGACCATGACCCTGCCCGGCGCATACCAGAATCTCGAAGCCTGCCGGCAGCATCCTGAGACATGTACGATGACACTAGGTGTACACCCGTACCACGTCAACGACATCTACGCCAAAGAGCCGGAAACTGAATCGGGGCCAGAGTCGGGGTCGTACCTGCAGCGCCTGAGACAGTTCGGACAGGACCTGCTCAAGGAGAATCCCTCGCCGCTCGTTGCATTCGGGGAAATAGGGCTCGATTACGCGCGTCTCGAGCTGGCGGATAAGGAGACGCAACAGCGCGCATTCCGCGACCAACTCGATCTCGCCGTCGAATTCCAGCTCCCGCTCTTCCTCCACGCGCGCGACGCCTGTCAAGACTTCATCGACATCCTCACTCCCTACCTCCCTAAACTGCCCCGCGGCGGCCTCGTGCACTCGTTCGCTGGCACAAAAGCCGAGATGCTTTCGCTCGTCAATCTCGGCCTGGATATCAGCGTAAATGGCGTCTGTTTCCGGACGGACGAGCACTTGGAAATGGTGCGCGCGATCCCGTTGGAGAGGTTACAGTTGGAGACTGATGCGCCGTGGTGTGAGGTTGTTGTTGATGATGCGCGGATCAGTGGGTTCTTGGAGGGGGTTAGGGCGATGCCGGGGGCGAGGAAGCATGGGAAGTTTGTGAGTGGGCAGATGGTGAAGGGGCGGAATGAGAGTTGTACGATTGAGTTGGTCGCGAGGGTTGTGGCGGGGTTGAAGGGGGTTGAGGTCGGAGAGGTTGCAGAGGCGGCTTGGGGCAATAGTGTCAGGATGTTTGGGCTGGGCGTTGATGAATAGAGTGTAGATATAGAATAGATTGTGGCTTTTGTGTAGGGCTTGGGTTATAAGCATGAATTTGGTAGATGCATAGAAATTGGTGCATGTAAGCAAGGCAAGAAAGAGCCAAAGAGAGTCATGTTCATGACTCATTGAAGTGTTCTAGAGCCTGGATATCCTCCAAGTAAACTATTGAAGCTACATAGTAGATGTATATGAGTTGAAAGAAAACGGGTACATTCCTAATATACTCAGCACAGCTTGAACTAGACTTTAAACCAACATGTTTTTCTTTCTTTAGTTTACAGCTTATATGCCGATGAATTCAATCCATGCAGCCAGTTCCTTCCCTATTCTCCAAGCATTCGCTACTCTATCGCTCCTGGCTGTCGTCTGCCTATCCTCCGCCTCCCTTCTACCTCGCCCGAACCCGCGCAACATGTTCCCAACATGCGCAAAACCGTTCGTTCCTGTGCTAGTGGGAAATCTAGACGAAGCCCTACCTCAACTCAAAAACAAGCCAAACTCCAGCGTATCCATACCCAGAACCTACCGCGACACAAACCAGATAAATTGGAAAAAAAAAACAAAAAAAAACAAAGGCACGACTACAGCCGCTGCACAGGCAAGCTCGTCAGCACCTCATGCGCCCCCATTTCAATGAGCTCCCACTCCGCCTGCGCCTGCGTTTCGTTATACAAGCTATCAGTACTAGAATTGGAACTCTTATAGGACCTTGCAGATGTTGATGCCGCGGGCATATAGGGCCCACGGCTAGGACTAGCCTGCGATTGTGCCCGCGAGCGGGACACCATCTGTCTTCCTTCTGGCACCGCGCCTTTGACTGAATCAGCCAGCGGCGCCAGAGGCGATGATGGTATTCTGGGCCCGGCTCGTCTGTCCCAGAACTCGGCGGAGAGGTTCCTGGGATTTTCAGTGCCGGGTCTGCTACCTACCCTCGCAGAAAAACTTGACGCTTCAAACTCCGCCGGCGCATGGGAAGAACCCGACGCCAGCGCCGACGCCAAATGCGTAGAGGGCCTCTCTGGCACTCTCTGGACACGAGCTTGGACAGTCTGCAGATCACTGTGACGAAGGTCAGAGGACGCGGGCTTGCGCCTGAGACTATGCCCGTCCTCAGACTTGAGCGAGTTAGCAGTACCTGGGCGGATCTGCTGGATGGGGACGGGTTTCCTGGGGACGGTGGACCTCATGCTAGACTCACCCTCCTGAGATGCCCTCCTAGTACCTTCATGCAAACGACGCGATCCCGAACCAACAGAGGAAGGAGCAGGAGGGAGAGAACCTTCCGACTCCGGTGGTAGATCCGGGTTCACGACACATAACTTTATCTTGGAACCGGTACCGACAGAGGAAAAACTACCTCTCCTGGTGACGGCGACGATCGACTCAGCGGAGCCATCTGGGATACGAAGACATGGACTCTCGCGGCGACCGCCGTTGAACCAACGGTGGGAGCCAAAGAGCTTCCTGACCTTTCGCCGGCCGAGCTCCCAGAGTCCTACTAGCTTGACGGTATATTTTCTCATTTTGTTGACGCGCGTGCGGGTCGAGTCGTGCATGCAGGGTGGGATTGGGGGGATAAAGGTTGATGACATGATGTGTGAGTGGGGTTTGGTTTGAAAGGTGGTGATTCCGGAAGAGATGGATCGTAAAAGGGTGGATGGTGTGAGTGAGTGAGTGAGTTGATGTAGGTGGGTGTGTGAGTCAATCAAAAGGAGGAGAAAGTGAAACAAAACGGGGTGAGAGGAGAGGGAGGAAACGGCTATTTCTACATTCGAGTTCGAGGGGGATGGGCTTGGGTAAAAAGCAGGCCAATGTTCTCATGAAAGCTCTTCTTTCTGAAGAAACGCATTGTTCAGCTAAGAGCTTTCAGCTTGTCTTTGTTTATAGCTGTGAACGTATGGGGGGTTTTTGGTTGTGGGGGGGGGGGGCGGGGGCAGCAGCACGAGAGGAGCCCCTTTTACCTGGACAAGGCATATATGAACTCAATGAAGAGAGCTTCGCCTCGATTTTGCTCTATTTGCCCTCCCTTCTCGATATGAGTCAAAGAGGACGTAATGGTAGAGAATGAAGGAGTTCGAACAAGGGTATTTGTTTTCATCTATCAAGGACTGCTTCTGCATTTTTATCGTAAGGCGTAGAGTGAATTTGAAGGGAACAAAGGTGGTTTGACCACCAATGCCTGGGGTAAGCAGGGTAAGGCCCGACGTGCTCTATATGGCATAAACATCAAAGCGCTATATGCACAGAAAGAAAAGGTATGCTGTAGACTGAGAATGAGTCCGAAAGCAGGCGGTCCGGGTAGACTGAACGCTGAATGAACATTGGATTTGATCAACTGAGAAATCTATTGCTCAGGGCGCGGGGCACCCTCCGGAAGAGCCTGTTCCTTGCCCGCCCCGGGGTAGCGGGAGCCCTTGTCCTTGACCTTCTTCACCTTCTTTTGCACAACCGGCGGAGGGTAAGCCTTCTCTGTGATCTCCTGCCATTCCGGCGAGGCCTGGTAAGCAGCTTGAATGGGTGCCATGAGGTTGACGAGCGCAGCTGCAACAGCGGGCTTCAAATCTTGCGGCGTAAGGACATCGTTTGTGTAGTCGTCTTGCAGTTGCTTGATATCGGTGTAAACAAGGGGTTCCTTATCCCGGCGCTCAACTCGGAACTCCTTGTTGCCTCTGAGAGCGGCGGCGGGAAGCAGGATGAATTCGACCAAAGCGACGATGCCGTTGTTCTCAACGACCTTGGGAGCGGCCTCTGCCTTGCGGATCTTCTTTGTGATAGCCTCCGGAGGGTCGAGGAGGTCGATCTTGCTATCTTGAACACTGGAGCTCATCTTTCCTCCGCTGAGACCCGCAATCATCGGGTTAACAAGGTGTGCGCGCTTACGGTAGCCAAGCTTGGGCAGCCACTCGGTAGCAGCCACGAACAGCTTTCTCTGGTCAACACCTAGTTCAATTAGTACCTTTCACAGGAAACAAAAAGTGGGCTGGCTCGTACCTCCAAGCTGGGCATCGACCTTAAGGTGCTCCTCATCAAGCACCTGAAGAATTGGGTACAAAAGACCACTCAGCGGAGCATTGTCCGACTGCTTGACAATCTCCGCACCTGCCTTCTTGGCGTCGTGCTCCGAAATCAACGACGACAGCCTGTAGACATCCATCACGTATTCGGGGCTCTTCTGGTAGGAGGAACCGAGGACGAATTCGAGCTTCTCGGTGGGAACGCCAACGGACTCAAGGATGGCCGTGATGATCTTGCGGTAGTACTTCGCGCGGTTGTCCACCAGTTCAAGCGGCGCCTTCAGATTGTCGAGGAACCCGTGGATATCGGCGAGGAGAACGACGACTTCGCATCCTGCGGAGAGGAGCTGGGCGATCTTGAGGGCGGCGACATAGTATCCGGTGTGAGGGCGACCAGTCGTGGCGGTTCCTATGAATCTTCAGATGAGCCTTTGTTCTTTGACAACAGCGGAGAAATATGCCACAATTACCCCAGTAGACACGAGGATTGCGCCCCTCAGCGAGAACCTGCTCGATCAATTCAGGGTTGATGACCTCGGCGAGGTTCTCAGCGATGATGTCGTATCTTGCTTTCGCAGCGGAATCCATTTCGACGGTAGCCATTGTGATTCAAGTGTAGTGCGAAGATATTTGAGGGACAGGACAACAGATGGGAGGGGAAAAAGTTCAGGGCATCCCACCACTAATTTGACTCACATGGCAAATCCGGCAGAAGAGGGGTACAGGGCGGCGTGGCGAGCGGTGAGAAATTTGAATTAAGCTCCGCTCACGTGGCGGCGACCAATTCCGAGAAACTTTGTTCCGTATTTCCGATATCGCTTCCGAGATATCTCCTGCCCAATCAGCGTTTGTCCGATGAACTCGGCTCAAGGTTGGAAGGGGCGATCAGGGCTGTTCCTGCCTTGCAGGGAGAAAGAAAACAATTAGGAAGGAGCGATGGTGGGCAGTGTCTGCCTTCAGGTGTGGAAAGAGCGAGTCTGCGTCGCGCCTGCCGTGGAAGAGGAATAGTATCAGGAAAGGCAAGCACGAGGGAGCGGGCAGCCCTTCGCACTAGCCATGTTCGAATCAACACCTAATTTACCCAGCATGAGCAATTCCAACAGCGTTGCTTGCGTACACTAGGGCTGGTTTCTTTTTACATAGTATAAATACATCTACCATCTAGTACCTGGGCACATTGTCCGACCCTTACACGTCACAACCAACCAGGGGCATCGAAGTACCTACAAACAGCCCTAACTTGGAAACCAACAGCCTCCCATTCGAAGACATCACTCTCCCAGACGGATTTCAATTCCTCAAGCAATAAAGATACGCCTCTGCAATATCCCCCACATTCCCAACCTTCCCCGTAGTCGCTGCCTCGCCAACTCAGTGAGAACGCCTTCCCTCGCCTCGCCCTCAAGCAAATCCCACATCTCCGTATCCACGCCGCCGGAACCCACAAGGTTCACGCGTATCGGCTTCAGGTCAAGTGCCAGACCTCTCATCATCCCCTGCAGACCGGCGAGGGATGAGCTTGTCACGGTCCCGCGTGGAATTGGCTTCTCGCCGGATAGGAAGATAGATTTACTGGGCCTGGGGTGGATGTTTATGGCCGTATTAGGCGATGAGAAGTGGGGCGAAGAAGCAGACCATTCCGGCTACTTTGAATCTGTCAAAGGGGGGTTGGAGGAACGGGGCCAGGAGGGGCGTGTCGCCGGCTGTGAAGGTTAAGGGGTCCAGGGTGCCGATCTGGGAGAAGAGGTTTAGAACGTTTGCTGGGAGATTGGCTTCATCGGCTAGATTGCAAGGGTAGCCGCTTATGGCTGTTGAGGTTGAGGGTTAGAGGCTATGTAGATTGGCGATTGCGGCTTCAATGCGGGTTGCGGAGGACGACGAGAGGATCAATTCGGAGAGGTTTTGCTCGAGGAGGGCTTGAGCGGCGCCAAAGCCTAGCCCAGAAGTGCCCCCAATTATGAAGACACGAGGTTGAGCTTGTTTGTACACCTGAGCTGATCTGACATGCTGGAGGTATGTTGTTGGGCAATCTGATAGGGCGGATAGAGAAGTTAGGGCTGCGGTCTACATTCATACTTACCCACATTGGCGAGCAAATGTCACCTTAACCACAATGCCTATATCTCGCTAGATAAGTCTCCGTTGGTTACAGCAGTTTTACCATTATTAAGGGCTCTATTGTCTCTATCGGTGACATTCGTGTGGTCTTCGGACCAATTTTGGGGTCGAGGTATTGTGTCTACACTAAGTTTATACTTGTAAAGGACGCAGCAAGCCAAAGATATATCACCTAGTAAAGATACCAGGCAGAGAATTTAATGGCTAGATAGCAGGGCATGTTCCAAGTCACACATGATCTTAACCCTCCTCGGCACCCGCATCTGTCTCGCTCGCTGGTTTCTCCCACGAGTACGCATTTAGCCGTTCGGGTCTAGGGAGGCATACAGCCAAAAAGTTCAAAGCGTGTGGCCTTAATCGTACGCCAGATCACGAAAGTATGCTGAAGCGATGGAAGAAGATCGAGGTTCATAGCGGGCTGGGCAGGAAGTGGACTGGGAGAGCTGGGCATCAACAGGTTATGGATCTGGTGACTTATCACTGTAAGTCTGGCGCCATAGAGGTACGGGTGCAGTCTCTAACCGTTCTCTGGGTTTTTGGGGCTGAACGGAGAGGAGAAGTACAAGGCTCGCAGTCAGATTGAAGAGCTTGTGGTATCGCTCAGCAGCAAAGAGCCTTTTCCCTCATTCGAGTCAGTAGGGGGAAGCATCTCGATGCTAGCTATGGGAAAAGTAGCAAACCCAAATAAAATTACGGATTCGAAGACTTTATGTGGGAGCTCCTGCAGGCGAAAGAGCTCTCCTTGCACCTAGAGACGGAGAAGGAGCGCTGGCACGGTGGAATCACCCATGTTACTATACACCATATGACAGCCGCCGAGCTTTGAATGCGAAATGTGGAAATCATAGTGAAGGACAGGGAGACAATACGGGTATCTGCCCCGACCTGGCGTCCGAGGGCGCCAAATCAATGCACTGTTCAGGTTCGCAAAAAAATAAAAAAAATAAAAAAAATTGCAGCGACCATTCATCGCAGAAGCGCGGCCAACCATCGATGCTCGGCTGAAGCAAAGGAACCCGATGGGATTGCAGAACTATACTTGGGATTAGCGGGCAAAGAGGGTTTGAATATTGGTGTGCTGATTCTCTGCTAAAGGTAGCTTGGTTCCATCCTGCTTCCGAGGTCTTGCATCGTGCCTTCCTAACCTGGGGTTGGCTTCCACGACTCGCGAGGCAGGCACGATCCATGGTCCTTCCTAATTAGGGCAACGACAAGACGACCCTGGCCGCTCATCGAGCCTTCCTAGTTGGTGTCATTTCTCACAAGGAAAGTACCACAGAGGTCACTCCTTCTGTTTTAAGGGTAATTTGAAAAAGCCAACTGCTTCACAAAATATTGCGCAAGTCTAGGATCAGTTGGTAATAAAAGCCTGATATGTGGCGCTGTCCTTACCAAGCACCACTCAGATGATGAAGTTGTTGAATGGTCTCGAGGTAAAGGCAAACAAAAGTCAGCAGCCGATGAAGTGGTTAAAAAGTAGTCCGCTCTGCCTCTTCATAGTCCATTAGGCGTCTCTTGACCGAACGAGGAAGACAATATAATTGATTGGCCAACCAACGAATCCGCGGCTGCACAACATTGTACGGCACGCCCATCATTCCCAACAGCCCATTACCCATTGTGAGACAATCATGCCCGCCCCAGATCCATTCATCAAGCCTCCTCTCCCAAGGCGCGATCGCTTTGTGATCGTCGAATAGAGTATCGAACCTGGTGTGGCCGTCTATTGACTTTAATACAGCTTCAGCAGTGTATTGTACCGTGAACAGATCCTCGTATGACTCTGTGCAAGGAGTAGACGCAACATTGCTTGCATTTGCATCTTGCGCTCTGTTTGTTAGACTACTGCTGCTGTCGATGTCCACAATGTCACGAGAGGCGCGGACTGCCTGCGCCTGTGGCCCGCCGTTAGCTTGCTTTGAGCGGCCTTGTGCAGTCTTTCTAAGTAAAAGGGTGGCGGTGGTGGGTAATTCATCGGAGGGCTGCGTAGTATCCAGAAGGTTGGGCGGATAGTCAAGAACCAGGCCAGGATACTTTTTGCCCCGATGTGGGTGGCGAAGGTAGTCGTTCTCCCTTCGTAGTTGTTCAAACTCAATGTGATCTGCCCTTCGTAGCATACCATCTTGATTTGAAAGCTCCCGTTCGTATCGTTGCTCTTCAATTGCCATGTTCACCTCCTTCCATTGATGGCAGGCTTTCCAATAAGCTTCCAAACGAGCTTCGTTTGGAATCACGACCGCCTGCGCCATCCAGCGGGGGTTTACCGGGCTGAGTAGGGTACCCAAGTGCCTTTTGAAGTGGATTGAGAGAGTTTTCCATCCCTCTTTCTTCGGGCTTGGACTGCACAACCAGCGGAAAACGGTCTTGCACCCAGTGAATCGGCAGCAGGCATGCGCACCTTCTGATTCTATCGTTCCCATCCAGATGGCGAGCTCCTCTATTGACTCAGACACACAGTGCCGGGATGGTACGTAGCTCTTCAAGACCACAGCATCTCCAAGTCGGGTGTGTGGACAAATTGGAATGTGAAATCCTTGTAAAACCCTGGTCATCTCTTCTTTCGTAGCCACCTTCGAGCCCGGGAGCGTTAGGACATCATACGATGCGCAAATGGCGAACTGTTCTGCAGAGTTCGACCACATATTGTGGCCCGGGTTCCTATGCATCCAGACCCGGGATTGTGAGAATAGCTTCATGACGATGCTGCAATTGGGATCTGGGAGCATGTCAGGAATGGCGTGAGGAATGAAACTGCGCCTGATCCCCTGGAAATCGTTGAAGCTGTAGTGCTTCCCAGGCTCGACCCATATTTGCCTGCAGGACGCCGAGCACAGGCGGCTTGTTGGAGGTTGCTCTAACTGTTGGGCTGAGAAAAACTTCAACATATGGGCTGAGCGACAGCCATTGCAGTAGGCGTAAGAGCGAAGAGGAAATCCATCGCGTGCAAGTTCTGTTCGGACCGCGTGTCTGCCGTCAAGATATAGCTCGGGGCAAGTTCCTGCAAAAGTAAAGCGCAAACGCCGGCATGAAAGAGCGAGAGTGTGTTTGGCGACTGGAGGGAGGAAATCAAAGATTGAGAAAAGGAGCTCCGCCGGTAACTGTAACAGGGGCGAGTCCATGTTCGTCAAGTCAGCTTCGACCTTCGCCATCGTTAGATCGCCTGGTGGGAACTGGCGAGAGCGGCGCAGTTAAGCAAGTGGAGAATGCTGGAGCCTTCTATTTTGGCCACCGTGTCTTGCGTTGTTATTTGCAGCTCGTTGGATCGGACCTCCATCTGGAATCTACTCAAGCCCGGTGGGCCTAGCGGTCCTGCATTTCTCAAACCGCCAGGCTGGGGGCTGAGCAGCCTAAAGCGCGCCAAGCCTCTGCCAATTTAGGGACACGAAGACTCGAAACGAGCTGAAGATATCCATGTGGCATCGAAGACTCCAATTTGAGATTTCGCCCCATAGTTGCCCAGAAAGCCTGCTCCGGGCAGTAAAGCCTGCATTCAGAATTCGGAGACCTCGGGTTGGAGGTGAAGAAGGAGGATGTTATTCACTGGAGCTGTCGTGGTGGGGACAATCTTGGATAGCTGCAGAATATCACGTGATGGTCAATAATCGCAAAAGCAAGCGTGCCGGTGGGAGTATGACTTCGTTTCATAATCTCATTCCAAGGCTCGCGACTTCTGCGAATCCTTCAGCATCTTCATGTCTCACAATTTCCATGGATCAGTCCTTGCAGGTCACTTATAACACATATGCATGTCTTGCATGCAAACTCCATAAAAGGCAATGTGATCGAGTCTTACCAGCATGCTCAAGATGCATCAAGTATGGCTCCTCTCTTGTTTTTAAGCCATGAAACTCATTACGTTGCAGAAATAAGCGTGAGTGTTTATATGGGCGACCCATAGATGCTTCAAGCGGGTATAAGCCTAACCTTTGACGGTTCCAACGATTACCCACTGACCTGGTCAACAGCTCTCCGCTAGCGTCGAAACGGAAGGCTTGCTTGCTCTGCCAACATAGAAAGAAACGATGTGATGGGCTAATACCGAATTGTTCTCAATGTCGCAAGTATGGTATCCTCTACCTCTTCCACGGGGAAAGCTCTTGTTCATCTTCTTCGCAGGCTGCGACTTGACTGTACCTATCCACACGAGCGGTCTTTGTCATCCGCCGAGCTGATTTCCCGATTTAGCAATACTCGCGGGGTAGAGTATCGCTTGCCGGGACCTGTTGACAGTGAGCCATATATGCTCGCTCTCATCAACTGCTGTAGGTTGGTTGATCACCTTACATACAGCAGTGTTAACCTATCGTCCAGTCAAAGACAGTGTCAAGGCCATGCCAGGGCCTTCCGAAGAAGGAAGTGTGCTTAACTACATGGAGAACGACTGGATACCTCTATCTCTTACCGACCCCGCCTTTTTCTATGCCACCCTCTGCTGGGCATCCTCATTTTACGATATTGTCCATGACCAGGAGGAATCCCGGAGCACAGTATATCATCAAACCCAAACCATTCGATTCGTCAACCAAAAACTGGCGGCTGGCGACATCGATGATCCCCTTGTTGCGTCTGTTGTTGTCTTGGCGATACAAGCAGTATGTGCGAGTATAATAACGATGCTCAAATGCTAAACAGGAACAGGCAATGCGCGTAAACCTTCCTGCCACACTCCAGCATTGGCAAGGGCTATCATCCATTATGACGGCGCGTGGTGGGCTGCCGGAGGAAACACGATTCAGTGGTTTCATAGCTGAGGTCTTCCGCATGTAAGGGCACGAAACTCTCACTGACAGCGTCCGCTTATATGTATGAGAAATATGATGCTCCCAGCTATGATCTTTGACACAGATACTATCCTCCCCGTTGTTCCTGGACCAAGCCCACCGCAACCTCTTTCGTTCCTCTCCTGGGTTTTGAACAAAATGAACACTCGACCGCAATACCAACTAGCGTCCGACACTCGACTCATTCTCAAGACTATTCACGAATCATTCAGCGACCCTCATCAGCAACCTACAACGATATCCCTAACTAAGGTGTCTCTCAGCGATTGGATGAGAACAAAATATGGAATAGAAGTCAAAATTCCGGAAACTCCATTACAAGGCGATCCCGCCCTCGAAGCGTGTTGGCTTGCAACGGACATACTATGGTATCTCTTAGACATCTCGGAAACAGGCAGTGAAAGCACACTTCAGTGTTACCTGAAGAAACTCAAAGCTGCCGTCAGCAAAGTATCTCGAGCTACGTGGATTACATCTGCCTCTGAACCATTCTTATGGGTGGCACTGATAGGGGCTGCTGCTGCGCCCGACCAGCCCAATCGAATTTGGTTCACTACACTTCATGGATGCATGCCCTCATCCATACTGACCAAGGATGTGTCGGCTTATCAAGACTTCTGGCAGTGCTTTTGTTGGGTCAGAGATCTTCGGAGGTTCAAGATGCAACCGGTGTTGGATATTTCGGAAGTTGACGATACTTATGGTCTTGCTGATACACGTGATACATGTATGGCGGTGTAAGCTCAACGACGCGGTTATGTTTACGTATTCTCGCAATAATAGTCTACAGCTGAAGGATTCCCTTAGCCTTGACGTTGCCGCTGTCCTCATGTTATATGGGGCAAAATATATAATACAAAACAACCTTTCTTCGGACTGTGTTTCGGGGAAGCGCCCGCTTTGTTCAGACTACGCTTGAAAACAATTGGCTGAATAAATAGATGCAGATAGTATCTGGGAGAAGCTTTGACTCGAAGAATATGGATACTCGGCCCGCCGCGTCTAATGCTCCCTTGAGCATTGGACTACCTAGGTAAGGTATAGTTTAGTAGTGCTAATTCGTGGTTGGCTATATTTATCCGCATATTAATATCGAAATGCTGGGCGTGGCAACATGCTATTCTAGGAATATTTTCAACCCACCTCGCCCAACATTCGAACCTGTCACCTCCTCGGGCAGCTGTTCAATCCAGGAACCGGAGAGGTACCACTCATTCCGAAGTTCTTTCGGCTTGTTTCTCTGCAGTCCGCCCGGTCGGATGGCCGCAGGTATTCGGGTAGCCTCCGGGCAAGTCTAAGACCAGAAGAGACGTATCAGCACCAGATCCTAAGCGAATTTTGCGTCAAACTGCGGAATTGGATCTCCATGACCGAACGACTTTTCCACCAAAGATGCGAGCAGCACACGACGAGGACGTGCAGACATGATTGGCCTCCTGGCAAGGGTGGGACTGGAGAACATGACGTCACCGACACTGGAGCTTTCCCCAGACATGGAGCATTGACAGCACACCTGCAGTGCCCCAAAGCTCTGGCACATTTCGAGGTCAATCCTTCGACAAGGAGCTTAAGAAACACAGATTCTCACAACTGATAAGATGGATTTGGTTTTCACAAAGCACTGACACCATTTTAGCGGGCTGTGGAACCGGAACGCCTCCTTTGTAGAGACCGGACCCCTTTCGGCCGCGTCTCAACCATGCTGTAGCTACAACTCAACGAGAGGCTAATGCATCTGCAGAGACTCGTAAAGGAAACTCATGTAGTTAGATGATCAACCGGTCGGCTGATCTCGCAATTGACCATTGGATCAAGCAGAAGAGGGGTTATGCTATTCCCTGAATGGTATCGTCACTGAGCCATCAGACGGCCAGGGTGTTGCGTCCGTGCAACAGCTGCCACCGGGCGAGATAAAGCCAGCGCCCTCAGGTTTTCTCTTCTCGAAAATTTCTGACTCTTTGCCAGATGCTCTTGGTTGTCAAGGAGACTACGGCAGTAATAACATAGAGCGACACTCTTCTTTGAGAGTCTGGACCGAAGTGGCCAACTTCCAAGTTCTTCCCTGATTCCCCGCCACCCATTTTCGAGAATCCCCCGCACTCCTGTCCAAGGCACGAGCGATCTCGCTGAAGTCACTAGCAGCGTCGTCGGGCCGACAAGAGACGTTTTTCTCTTCTTCCTATTCTTCTCCATATCTTTTCTTCTCCAGGTGCACCTGTTTCCCCCATCTTTTCGCTGCTTCCGTTGCGTCTCTGCTGCCGGTGAAAGTGAAGCTCGTCGCAATGTCGTCCGGTGAAGGAAACGAGCAAGAGCCCCCAAAGCGCGATGTTCGCAATCACATCCTCTTCGAAATTGCGACAGAAGTCGCCAACCGAGTCGGAGGCATTTACTCTGTCCTGAAATCCAAGGCTCCTGTCACAACCGCAGAATATGGCGAGCGCTACACTCTCATCGGCCCGTTGAACCGCAACTCCGCGGCCGTGGAGGTCGAAGAGCTCACACCGTCAAACCCTGCATTGATCGAAACGATAGCGTCCATGAAGGAGCGCGGCATTGCCATTGTCTACGGTCGCTGGCTTATTGAGGGTGCGCCCCGCGTACTCCTCATTGACACCGGTACTGGCTACAAGTATCTCGACGAGTGGAAAGGAGATTTGTGGAATACCGCTGGGATTCCCTCGCCTTCTGCGGACAACGAGACAAACGAAGCGATTGTCTTTGGGTACCTGGTGGCGTGGTTCCTGGGCGAGGTATATACTCTCTCAGACCTTCTAGGTGCAATTGGCCTGCTGACGCAAACTAGTACATTGCGCACGAGCGCCGGCGCGCCGTTGTCGCTCACTTCCACGAGTGGCTTGCGGGTGTCGCCCTCCCCTTGACCAAAAAACGCCATATGGACTTGACCACTATCTTCACTACCCACGCGACGCTTCTCGGTCGGTACCTCTGCGCGGGTTCGGTCGACTTTTACAACAACCTGCAGAACTTTGACGTGGATGCAGAGGCTGGTAAGCGAGGGATCTACCACCGATACTGTATCGAGCGCGCCGCGGCGCATTCAGCAGATGTATTCACTACCGTCTCCCACATTACTGCGTTTGAGAGCGAGCATCTTCTGAAGCGGAAACCTGATGGAGTTCTCCCCAACGGGTTGAACGTCAAGAAGTTCTCCGCCGTCCATGAGTTTCAGAATCTGCACTCTCAGTCCAAAGAGAAGATCAATGAGTTTGTTCGTGGACACTTTTACGGCCATAACGATTTCGATCTGGATAATACTCTGTATGTGTTCACATCTGGTCGGTATGAGTTCCGAAACAAGGGTGTGGACATGTTCATTGAGGGGCTGGCGCGTCTTAACCACCGGTTGAAGGACAGCGGATCTAAAACGACCATTGTTGCGTTCATCATCATGCCGGCGCCAACAACGTCCCTCGCTGTTGAGTCCCTCAAAGGTCAGGCCGTCGTAAAGTCTCTCCGCGAGACGATTGAAATGATCGAGAAGGGGATTGGAAAGCGAATGTACGAGCGTTGTCTATCATGGAAGGAAGGTCAGAACATGCCCGACGAGAAAGACTTGATCACCAGTCAAGACCGCGTGCTCTTACGGCGCCGGTTGTTCGCGATGAAGCGACACTCGCTCCCTCCTATTGTTACACACAATATGGTCAACGACCACGAAGACCCAATCCTCAACCAGATCCGTCGTGTCCAGCTTTTCAACCAAGAATCGGATCGCGTCAAGATTGTCTTCCACCCAGAGTTCCTGAACTCCTCCAACCCCGTGCTGCCTTTGGACTACGATGACTTTGTCCGCGGCACACACTTGGGAGTCTTCCCGTCTTACTATGAGCCATGGGGCTACACTCCCGCGGAATGTACCGTGATGGGTGTTCCCAGCATCACGACAAATCTGTCTGGTTTCGGCTGCTATATGGAGGAGCTGATTGAGAACTCGTCTGACTACGGAATTTACATTGTCGACCGTCGAATGAAGGGTGTCGATGATTCGGTTAACCAGCTGACCGAGTTCATGTACAACTTTACTCTGAAGAGCCGTCGACAACGGATCAACCAGCGCAATCGCACCGAGCGTCTCAGCGACCTTTTGGACTGGAAGCGTATGGGATTGGAATACGTCAAGGCCCGGCAGTTGGCTCTGAGAAGAGGTATGTATCCTGAAGACCTGGCAAGTGCGCATGCTAATCATCGCACAGCGTATCCTACATCATTTGAAAATGCCGACGATTACTTTGACATCATTGGCGGGACAGAGCAGAAGATTTCGAGGCCCCTGTCTGTCCCCGGATCGCCACGGGATCGATCTGGAATGATGACCCCTGGTGACTTTGCGTCTCTCCAGGAAGTCAAGGAAGGCCTCTCGACAGAAGATTATGTTGCTTGGCGTCTTCCGTAAGTTGTCAAAAGCGCCCACTTTAAGAAATTCTTGCTAATCTCTGACTCAGGACAAGCGAAGAAGACGACGCGGATGACCAATTCTACCCTCTCACTTTGCGAACGAAGAAGTCAGATCGACCCTCCTCACCTCTGGACCGGATATCTGTCAACGGCCAATCACCATAGGTCGCATGGATAGATCCACATTCGATTCTGTTGCCCTGCTCTCACGGTTCGCATATCTGTATTGTTTACATATTTCATCGCCACAACTGTTGATATTCTTTGACTAGGACTTTAGTTCTAGTTTGGCTGCTTAGCATATCCGCACATTTACCATTTTTGCTCCCTTCATCTTATACTGTCTCGTAGTTCGTTCGCCCTGGATTCGTCAGTGTTTCCCAACTTGGAAGAATTAGACACCTCCGGTGTCGGGTAGATCCCTGGATACTTTGACCAGGGATCGTCGGATTGCAGTCGTCCGGAAACTTGCGGGTCGAGCAAACCAGAGGCATGACGATTGGAGCAGTGGATCTCCATCTGATCAAGCTGTACTCTGGAGTGTACTACCAATGAGCGCCAATTATAATTATCGTGGTGGTTCCTAAACTTCGGTGAGCTCATCCAGACCCCTCCAAGTTTGTCTCGTGACCGGCGGGGAATTTATGGGCCCCTCCTCTCCCCCCTCCTTGCTCGTCTCTCTTCCCCTTTCTCCTTCACTGCTTTTTCATCAATTGCGATTTATCTTCGAGTCTCGCTTACCCAACCTACCGTCGACACTTTCTATACGGTACGGCCACAATGGGGCTACACAGCCAGGAGCGAGCAATCTCGGGCTCCTTCGCTATGGGTTGAAGATGGGTCAAGGTATCGTACATGTATAACAACAGTCACTGCATCCGCATGACAGGTGTTCGGTTCGGGGCTCTTGCTATTCATCTAGGACAGAGGATAGCAGGAGCTCCGGCCGTTCTGAGATTATACTGTCACAACTTGATCTAGATAATACTAGCGAAAGGACATGCGCTGCATTGATTGCTCCCTCCTCCCTTTCCTTCTTTTTGAGAGGAAAAAGAGAGCGTTGTCTCTCATGCTGACAATTTCCAGTTACTCAATTGAGTTGAAACCTGTGCCAAGATGTCTACTGACAAGATTACTTTCCTGACCAACTGGTATGAGTGGCCTGGGCTTTATAGCTCTCTAATATCTTTTTGTCTTTGCGTTGTGTTTCAGCAGATATAAAGGTCAGTGGCTAAGGTCATGCTGTTAGGCACGCGACCCCGTACCACGCACCCCTATACCTAGCCCAGAGCAAGGGATTCTTCAAGGAAGAAGGCCTCAAGGTCGCTTTGCTCGAGCCTAATGATCCCTCCGATGTCACCGAAATCATTGGCAGCGGCAAAGTCGACATGGGCTTCAAGGCTATGATTCATACCCTTGCTGTATGTTCCCCCGTCGGAAACATCATCTCACAGCAGATGGTTCTAATGATGAACATATAGGCCAAAGCCCGCAACTTCCCCGTCACCTCGATCGGCTCTCTTCTTGACGAGCCCTTCACCGGCGTTGTCTACCTCAAGGACAGCGGAATTACCGAGGACTTCCGCTCCCTGAAGGGTAAGAAGATCGGCTATGTCGGCGAGTTCGGAAAGGTATGAACACTCTCTCCTCTCCCGCATGTCCTAAGCTAATGCAAAGTGTAGATCCAAATCGACGAACTCACCAAGTACTACGGCATGACCGCCGACGACTACACAGCCGTCCGCTGCGGCATGAACGTAACGAAGGCGATAATCAACGGAACCATCGACGCCGGCATCGGCCTCGAAAACGTGCAAATGGTCGAACTAGCCGAATGGCTCGCGACACAGAACCGCCCTCGCTCCGACGTCCAGATGCTCCGCATCGACCAGCTCGCGGAGCTCGGCTGCTGCTGCTTCTGCTCGATCCTCTACATCGCCAACGACGCCTTCCTCGCCGCGAACCCCGAAAAGGTCGCCAAGTTCATGAACGCCGTTAAGCGCGCGACGGACTATGTCCTTGCGAACCCGGAGAGCGCGTATGAGGAGTATGTCGATATGAAGCCCGTTATGGGTACGGCTGTGAACCGGAAGATCTTTGAGCGCTCGTTTGCGTATTTCAGTCGGGATTTGAAGAATGTGCGTCGGGATTGGGAGAAGGTCACCAACTATGGGAAGCGCCTGGGGATCCTCGATGCGGGGTTCCAGCCCAACTATACCAACCAGTTCCTTTCTTGGGGGCTTGATAAGGATTCGGCTGATCCTACTGGGGACCAGAAGCGCATGGCGGCGTTGCAGGAGCAGGTTGCTGCCAAGGGTGGATTCCATCGTCTTGAGGTGGCTTCTGCTTAGTTCGTTCTTCTGGACGTCGGCCTGTGGGAATCTGCGGGCTGGATACAGGTGGCATAATAGCTTACCTGCAGGGCATTGAGGTCTGACCTAACCTAGTTCACTCATTAAGGACAATGCCTATAAATGATGACTACTGTCTTATCAACGTATTACAAGGACTGTAAAGGGACAATGAAGAATAGTGATTCGTAGTCTAAGAACGTTATATATGTACAGAAGCATCAGAAGCATCAAGTGCTCTTATGACACAAACTCCACCCATGTTCAATACGCGGGACGAAACGGCAGTGAAAGGCGACAGCAGAGTCAGAGGATAATTACTGCTGCTTCGCCCTCTCCACCCCCGGACTCGGGCTTCTCAGTCCTCCCACACTCCCAAAACTAAAAGTACTCAATCCACTCGGCGACCTCGCCAACATCGGACTGAGCCTCGGATTCTCCAGTACCGAAACCTGGACCTCGTCGCTATCATCGCTCTCTGTGTCGCTAATATGATGTAGACCCACTTCCTGCTCCTCGACCCCGTAGACACTCTCCCAGTAATCGTCATCATCATCGTCGTCGTCGCGGCCTCGGCGGAGGAGGTATTGGTACTGCCATCGACGACGCAAACAGAAGCCCATGCAGCACCGGCGGAACAGGTAAAGAAGTATGAGGAGGAAGAGCGTTGCGGCGACGCCGGCAAAGAAGAGGGAGGATGAGGAGGTCGATTTGTGACTGGGATCGGATTGGGGTGGGTGGTCTGGGCTTGGAGTTGGATTGTTGGGGTGAGGTGGCGGACCGCTGGGGTCGAAGGGGAGAGTTGCTGTTGTTCCGAGTACTGAGCCTGCGGAGTCGAGGGCGCGGATGCGGAGGAAGGAAGAGGTGACGCCAGGTGGTATTTGAATTATGGTTTCAAAGGTGGACTTTGGTGTTTTCGAAATGAGGGTGAACGCCGGCGCTGAGTCGGGGCTATCATCACCATATTCTTCTTCGTTCACATGCTCCTCATTTATGGAGCTCGAATACGAATTCGGATCGTAATTAGGATCAGGAAGGGCAACGTCCGCCCCTTCGAGAACCCACATGGCGACTTCCGTCGCGCCATTCCAACTGACAGCCGCTTCAAAACCAAAGATCTCAAAGTCCGGTGTCGTGGACGGGTATCCCTTCCACGCGTGCTTGGATACACGATACGAGGCTGGATCCCCGGAGCCAAAATGCGCTTCAGGACCGAATACAGCGTGGCAACGGGGGATGCTTCCGTCGTATTCTGTCCAGGCTGGGCCATTGAGGCCGTATGAGAGGAGAACATTGCCGCTCTCCAGGACTTGGAGAGAACCTTGTGACTGTGGTTGCGCTTGAGGGACAACCATGTGCCTCTCAAGGGCGAGATACGTCTGGCGAACCTTGACGGCCATGGTGGATTGGTCAACGTCGAGGTAGAGGCCTCGATTTCGTTGGTCTTTCGGCGATGCATTGTCAAACAAAGTAATGGCTGTGTCGTTGTCCTGGAAGCGGGCGTGATGTGGCCAGGCGAAGGACGAAGCGTCCCCGGACGAAAGGTCCTTGAAGTCGCTGTGCTTCCCTCCAAGCCGCCATATGACACTCCCTGTGCGCCCATCAATATACACGAGGTAGTTGGCGTGAAGTCCGGTGACCAAGAAATTGCCCTTGGCATCTTTGTCAACGCCATTGATGTGGAAGAAATCCCAGGCAGTCTCATAGCTCCCGCCCGCATGGTCGCGCGGTTGGGTGACTTCGGTGAAATTTATGTGCTCTGATGCGCGCCATTCAAAGAGGACCCTGTTGGTCTCGACGTCGACCTCAACAAACCTCCCATCCCAGATCCAGCCTTGTTGAGGCCCGCCGACCGATTGGAAATTGGCCGGGACAACATCATAGACGGTGAACAGTGCCGTGTCACTGCGCGTGATCCGAAACTCATGCAAGTCGGCGGAAAGGCCGTGCGGGCCTCTGAGCTTGTATACTTCACTGTATGACGAGTCGAGCTGTTCCCGATAAGATAAGTTACGAATCTCCTTCGGATGGAATGCCAGAGAGAGCATACCATGTAGATAGAGCCATCGCCATGTCCGTCAACTTTGTCATCGCCTGCCCAGAAGGTGAGATAATCCTGACCTTTATAGGTATTGACGTCGAGATTATACACCGGCAGGTCATTGAATGTGGTTGACCACACGAGCTCCCCATCCTGATCAACAATTGTCGGCCCATGTGCTATCATGCCGTCACCCCGAGGGCTGAGAAAGGTGTACTGGCCATCCCTGCATTCGATGCTGTTGGAGACGACTTCGATAGGCGGACCGACAATGGTCGTGGAACGGTATTCGACCGCTGAATGCCATGGCTCGGGGACGTCATCGGGTGAGGGATAGGGGTCGTTTGCGTGAGCGAGGTTGAGCAGAGGTGCTAAGAGCAGAAGCGGGCGCCACATTGCGGAAGATGCGGCACGCGGGTCATGGGAAAGAAGAACCTGGAGAAGGAGTAGGTGATTTATCGGCGTAGAGTCCCCATGTCGATTATTAGAGAACAAGACGTTAGAAGCTGGGTGTCTGGGACGAGTGGAAATAAAAGTCAAGACGCTCCAGGTCTCATTATTTTTAGTTGCCGCGGGATGTTTTGGGGGAGCCGAGACCGATCGACGGGCGAAGCTGTTGCAGGTTGGGCGGTTGGCTGGGTCCAGAGGGGCGCATCCCCGCCCGGAGTCTCAGGGTCGAGGCTTCTATTTCTCCTTATTGGAGGCTCACCAACTATGCTCCAGTGTACTCGTACGCAATCGACAAAAGTTCAATAACGGTCATCCAATCATTCTATTCTATATTACGAGGTATATCCGTCGGAATGTCATCTGCAGCTGCTGTACAATAATGCCGAGACGCTTATTTGGTGCGCTTGTAAATCTTACCTAGGAAGGCCTCAAAGACCTCCTTCTTCAGTCCCTGGGACTCGTCCACGGCCGCGATCTTAGTCTTGATCTCGCCCACAATCTTCTCCTCATACTCCTTGTAGACTGTCTCCAGATCCAGCTCCTTGAAGAGCTCCTTGACCTTGGCCTCGAGAGCGGCGTCCTTGCGACCGTAGCAAGTATCGAGGAGCTTGCGCTGCTCAGCGTTGCAACGTTGGAGAGCCTGGTTCACAATCCACGAGCACTTGTTGTCCTGAATATCGGTTCCTATCTTTCCAATGACCTCGGGGTCGCCGTATGCGTCAAGGTAGTCGTCTTGGACCTGGAAGTACTGGCCGAGGGGAATGAGGATGTCGTGGGCCTGCTGGAGGTTCTCAGGGGTCGCAAGCTGGAGGTAAAGGAGAGCAAGGGCGACGGGAAGGTAGAAGCTGTAGTAGGCGGTCTTGTAGGTGACGATGAACATGTACTTCTCCATGGAAAAGTTGTCGAGGTCGACCTTGTCTTCAGGGGCCGTGATCAAGTCGCACAGCTGGCCTAGCTCGGTTTGCCAGGTAGTCTCGTGGAAGAGCTCAACGATGTCAATGTAGGCAGGGTGGGAGCGGAATTGTTTCTTCAGGATGATATAGATGCCGGACTCGAGGAGGAAAGCGTCGTTGATCGCGATGAGACCAACTCCAGGCTGACGGTACCAGCAGGGCTGACCGCGCCGGGTGATGGAGCCATCCATAAGGTCATCACTGACCAGGAAGAAAGCCTGAAGCAATTCAGTCATCCAGCCCAGTGTGGCGAGATCCTTGTATTGCTCCTCAGACAGCGGCTTCTTCAGCAGCGCAACACCGGTATCGGGGACGGAGAGACCGCGGTTGAGCTTTCCGCCGGGAACGTTGGTGTTGAGGTTCTATTGAAGGACAAGAGGTGTCAATGACTATCAATTGATCAGAAGCCCAAATGCTTTACACTACCTTTTCGAGCCACTCGAGGGCATTCTGGGGCAGGTTGTACTTCTTCGCATGATCAAGGATATCCTGAGCCAGCGAGGGAAATACCGCCTCAAAAGCGGCACGCGGTGAAGACATTTTGGAGAAAAGTGATATGAGATGACGGGCGCAAACAGAGCAATTGGACTGGGGACTAGAAATATGAACAGAATTTCGGAGAGCGAGCAAGCACGAGGGGCCTTAAGAGAAGAAGGGGGGGTCTCTCGATTTCTTTGAGCGGAGTCCGGAGTATCTGGGCAAAAGGGGGGTCTCCGATGCAGTATGAAAACTACAGAGTACCCCTCAGTGACGTTTGCACTGTTTGTTTCTCTCCATTGTTTTGACCAGCTCCAGATCCCATCGTCAGCAGCCATTCGCGCAGCTTTGTCTTTTTTTCGGCAAATCGCTTCGCAGGACGTGTCTTGGGCCTGAAATTATCTCTGGGCTCAACCATGGCTGCCAATTTCACCGAAGACAACATAAAGGAGCTCAAATACCGGCTAGAAGACGCGGCGATAAAATGCTCCGAGCGCTGTCTCTACCAGTCGGCGAAATGGTATAACGCGCTAGCTCTATACTTGATCTTTACCTTCTTGAGGGTATCCTGTTGACTGACAGAATGTAGGGCCGCAGAAATGCTCGACTCGATCATCCCGATCGACAACTATGACACCGATCCCGATTCTCCAATGGACATTACCGATCCACCTCCGAGCCCTGTGAATCCCTACCTTCGAACCCAAGATGCGCATGAAGCTGCACTCGAAGCTCAGGAAGCGCACAAGTACCTCTTAGCTAAATCATACTTTGACACCCGGGAGTACGACCGATGCGCCTCGGTGTTTCTCCCGTCCAGCATCCCGCCTATTCCGTTATCTACCTCTTTGCCGAACCCGAAGCCGAAACCATCATTGACACCGCAAAAGGGGAAATCAAAGGCGTCGCCATATGTCGGGGTGAAGGAAAACATCGCTATAAGGAATCCATATCCTAAGCTCAGTCAGAAGTCATTATTTCTCGCTCTTTACGCCAAGTACCTTGCTGGAGAGAAAAGGAAGAATGAAGAGACGGAAATGGTTCTCGGCCCGGCTGACGGGGGCGCAACTGTGAATCGGGAACTTCCAGACTTGGCTCGCGGGCTGGAAGGATGGTTCACGGAGCGTAGCGAGAAGGGCGTCGATGACCGTAACCACGGATGGCTCGAGTATCTCTATGGAATTATTCTCCTCAAAGGGAGGAACGAGGAGGAGGCTAAGAAGTGGTTGGTAAAAAGCGTGCATTTAAACCCCTTTCACTGGGGAGCCTGGCAAGAATTGAACGATCTGCTTGGCAGTACCGAAGATGTAGGCCTCCCTATCTGAACGGCCGATTGACTTAGCTAACGATTTACAGCTGAAACAAGTTGTCGACCACCTACCTCAGAACATCATGACCCTCATATTCCACGTTCACTGCAGCCAGGAACTGTATCAAGCTACGGAAGACACATACCAGGCCCTGTCGGAGCTCGAAACAATCTTCCCTGAAAGCGCGTTCTTGAAGACACAAAGGGCACTACTCTATTACCACTCAAAAGGTAGCGTCGACACGCCATTTCAAAACAAACCACTAACCCCGGGCAGATTTCGAAGAAGCATCCCATATATTCACGGATATTCTAATAAAGTCTCCGCACCGCCTCGACAGCCTCGATAATTACTCCAACATTCTCTACGTGATGGGCGCACGACCGCAACTAGCCTTTGTAGCCCAAGTCGCTACCGCCACCGACAAATTCCGCCCCGAAACATGCTGTGTAGTCGGGAACTACTATTCGATGAAATCCGAACACGAAAAAGCAGTCATGTACTTCCGTCGTGCACTAACCCTGGATCGCAATTTCCTTTCCGCCTGGACACTGATGGGCCACGAGTACATTGAGATGAAAAACACACACGCAGCCATCGAATCCTACCGTCGTGCTGTTGATGCCAACCGCAAGGACTACCGAGCCTGGTACGGTCTTGGTCAAGCCTACGAAGTCCTCGATATGTCCTTCTATGCTCTGTTCTATTACCAGCGCGCCGCAGCACTCCGACCCTACGACCCGAAGATGTGGCAGGCCGTCGGATCCTGCTACGCAAAGATGGAGCGCTTTGAACAAAGTATCAAGGCTCTGAAGCGAGCCCTTGTAGCAGGTTCTTACTACGCCGACGACTCCTCACACCACCCAGGAAGTGCCCCACATGGCCGCAAAATCCTCGACCCTGAAACACTATATCAGATCGCGTCGCTCTACGAGCGCCTTGACGACGAAGAGGAAGCGGTCACGTACATGGAACTCACTTTACAACAAGAAACAGGCGGACAGCCAAATCAAGATGAGGAATCCGAAGCATCAGAAAGTGATAACGACGATGATCAAACCACGTCGGGACACCGTCGACGGGCTCGACGACGCCAGAACGACGAGGACGAGGAGACATGGCATGGTACAGGGCCGACAGCTACAACCTCAAAAGCGCGTTTATGGCTTGCCAGGTGGTCCTTGCGGAATGGTGATTTGGAACGTGCAGATCAGTTGGCGGGAGAGCTGTGCCAGGATGGGGTGGAGGTTGAAGAGGCAAAGGCGCTGATGAGAGATGTTCGGGCGAGGAGGGAGGCCGCTGAGTGATCTGGTCTGCTAAGTCTTCCTATGCAACCCACTTTTAGTTCAGTTTTTACTTTGCTTCCAGATATGTATTCATGAAGACTAAAGGCTAGCGCGGCGTTGCGGCGTTACTGCTCGGATACAAGTTATTATGATACCAGTTATTCCTAAGCCAGTTTCTGATGAACAAATCGACCCAAAGTTCAGCTTATCAACTTATCAACTTACCAACGAATTCTTATCACTCCCTTCACCCAATCTTGCACCAGTATCCTCATGAACAGGGAGTTCGAAATCCTCAGATGATAAGGCCGAATAACTTCTCTGCCCGTCGTTTGAGCGCCATCCTTCGCTCCTTACGTTTCCTTGCATCAAGCAGCTTTTCCAGATAAACTTCACAGTCAGGATCATCCTCATCCGGTCCAGTCCAGATTCCATCAACATGCCCAATCATGCGCAATGTCTTTTGTGGACTCGGTTTTTCCCCGTTGATAACGCCACCACGTACCCTCCTCGTTCTCTTCCATCCAATGCGTCCGAGCTCGGTTTCAGTCATTGCCTTCACGCCGACCGGCGTGAAGCCGCTCATGAACACTTGCAAGACAGGGTAGTGCTCGTAGGTATCGTGAAAGAGACTGCAGGCATATTCTTGGACTGATTCTGCATTTTCCAGAAACAACGAGCACCTTGAGGCTCGCCCCAGTAATTTCTCTGTACCAGTGTCTCAGGCCATGCGTCGAAGTCATTTCAATCCAGACGAAGTATGATACCATGACATGGGTCGCCGGAAAAAGTGCTGAGCATAGCCGAGTCGACCTGAGTGACGTATTCTAACATCGCGGTCTGCATTCTTGGACTGGCAGAGCTATACCGACTTCCGACGGGAAGCTGCTGCAGTATGCCGATTTGTCGACTTGTCTGATCTGCTTCGGCAATTGAGGACTCGACCTGGTGTTTTGACCAGGCATAAAGCTGCTTCAGACTTTTTTCCCTCTTCCCTCTTCCGCGCTGTCGCATGGCCTTCATGCGCTCCAACACATGAGCCGGTATCTCCGAGCCCTGTTCCGATATCTTCTCTACTGTTCGACGAACGTAAACTACACCTCCCTCGTCCTCGGGCTTTCGGTTCCTGTCATCTTCGTCGCCTCCGATCGTCGTTGTTGTAGGTTGAACCTCCGTTCCCAGAGGCTTGCAGGTCCGGCGGTGGGAGCGCATCGGTAGTACGATCGGTTCGAGAGGACACTTCTCCTACGAGAGTTCTAGGATTGTGTGCCTAAAACTCAGACACTCCACTATATGTGGCGGTATGGTCGCCACGGTCAGACTGGCAAGTTTGAACACTTATGGTGGTGATCAAGCGGTATGTACGCGTGAGATAGTTTCGGAGTTCGAACCTGGAGGCAAATGGGTTTGAACAGTCAAGTGGGAGCACAGCCTCATTCGTGGTTAAATTGGATTGGGCTTATCAGCCTTAGACTGCTGCAGGTGTGGGCATGATGTCCCGTTAGGCTGAGGCGAGGTGTCCGACAAGTATACGCAAGCCAGGAGTAAAGCCTTGTACAACTCCAGCCTCACTCCAGTGAGAGGGATCGATCTCTAGGTCTCCCGTCTGCGGACCGCATAAGACAGGGCCATCGATCTATCCAGCCCGCGAGGACCACCGAATCATATCCTCTACGTTTGGCACTCCCCTGGCAAGCCTACAAAGGCCTCAGTTACCCAGTGCACCATCAACACTGACAGGCCCTCGACCTTCCCCTGCCACTGCGGCCCCAAGCTTATCCAAGCCCGCAACCCCAAGTCTCTCTTCCGAGACCTTGACGCAGGAGGAGGTAGAGAAACCTTGGAAATAGATAGGTTCGCGGTTTACGCACCCCGTGGACCTGTTCCAAGAACTTTACTAACGAGGGTATAATGTTGAAGGCTACCACGGATACTCCAGCTTCCTCGCCTCCGACAACGACTTCTGCAACTTTCGTCGCTTTGAACGACTTAATACTCGAGTAATCCTAGCCTTACAAGACGAGCTAACGGAGATCGAGGATTCCCTCGTCGAGATTGACCGAGCGTGCAGCAAACGAGATGGTCCTGATATCAACAATGGCTCGTTGCGACGAGATACGCAACAGGAACGCGTGGAGCTGATATGGGAGGCTCGTCAGAAACTCGAGGAATACAGTCGATTTCCCTTGCGCTTAGATGATATCTATATTCTGTGCTCACTAACACAGCGCGTTGGTACTGATAGACCGATACATATACCACTACATCCAACTCAAGACCCGGGCGTCCGCTGCTGAAAAGGACGTCAGCAGCCTGAAGAACTGGTTCTATAACCATGACGGCGCAGTAATTCCCGCGGAACGGAAATACATTGATATGGATGATCTCTTCACGCTTATACCCAAAGACCGAGGCCCGCTGCGATGTCTCTTCGAGTGTTCTTCTCGCTTTCGGTTCTTTCAGCTTTGGCAGAAGAACCCTACGGTATCTGACCTACCGGTATATATTCAGCATGTTCATTACTCGTCTGATAAACGGATTGATCACTTCGTTATGCTTACCACTGTTGTGATCGGACTGGTTATGCTGATTGCCCCGATATGGATCTTGACGTTTACGGATCCTATTGTGTTGAAGTTGACAATGATTACGATCTTCATACTACTCTTGAGTCTAGTTTCTTTGGGGACGAATGCGAAGCCTTATGAGTCTTTAGCAGCGACAGCGGCGTGAGTCAACCGGCCGTATCTCTTATTCTGGTTTTTTTCTGCTGACCGATCACAGGACTCCGCTATTCTAATGGTGTTTCTTCAGCTTGGAGGCTCGAGTATTGGCCAAGGTTCAGTAAGGTAATGAGAGTGCGCAGCACAAGTTCAAGAACCCTCAAGTTGTTATCCTAGCAAACGTAGTAGATATCCAGAACGGCCACTCAAACATCATCGTGTTTCAGCACGAACTGGAGGATCCAAGGAGGTAAACTCCCCAAGTATCAAGAGCTCCTTTCTATCAGATAATATCCAAGGCTTGGGTATATAGTCCCAGTCCGGATGTGCTCTCGGAGCATCTAGATCAGCACAGTCATCTGTGCTCGGAATTTCTTCAACGGAGGTGTGGGGGTAGCTTTTACAGTCCCATGCTATACAGGCGCAAAAATATTCTCGGCTAAGCTTCTCCCATGTCCGCCGTAGACAGAAGTGGTAGTGCTTTAGGCTCCTATAAATCTCGAGAAACTTTGTGCGGAGAATCAAGATTCGCGCTCCTGGAGGAAGATTGGGGGTAGAGAGGCGTAGCGTTTGTGTGAGGCGATTGCATAAGTCTTTGAGCTTTGGGCCTAGCGGAGTGTGGAGCTCATCAAGGAATATCATCCCCAAAGTGAGCTTTTGGGAGATATGCCCAGTACAGCTGAATTTCTTCTGTGCTATCCAAGTCGATTTGAGCATGAGGAAGAATTCGTCGATCGTGTGAGCAACATTCGTAAGCCCGGCAATCTTTTGCGAGTGTTGTCCAGGGTGGGTTGCAGAAATAACATATAGAGGAATCTCAGAGAGAGGGGATTTGGGACGCTCGGAGTCCGTCTTGCGCGAGTGACGTTGTAGAACCTGCTGATCACGCGTGACATACTTGCTGGGGGTAGAACCAACTTCAAAGGTCGGTAGGTAGGCAGAAAAAGAAGCAGCTACCCTCAAGCGTGGATACTTCAGCACATCCGCTGTACTCTGTTTTCTTGCGTCTGTATCGACATTTTCGTTGCGAGGTTCAGGAGTCAAATACGATGCTTTCCTTTTTCGGGACACTCCTTGTGATGACAGGTTTCCGTTACTCGCGAGTATACTGCTGTCAGCGTCGACAGTACTGACTGGTGAATTAGAGGCACGGCGATCGACATATATAGGAATGGTTTCCGTCCCCGTATCAGACGTTTGACATAGTGGGCCCTCTCGGCAGTGTTGTCTTGAGTCATTTCGTGAACGGCATGGAGATGAGTCCTCTTCATTCTGACTCGCATTCGAGATAACAGATTTTGAAGGACTACGAGTGCCAACCGTAGACACGCTCTGGGATCGATCTCGAATATAGCCTGCCATGGACGTGCTAGACTTCACGCGCTTCGCCCACTCCGCCTCTTCTTCCAGTGAATCCTCGGGGATAGACACCGCTGACCCAGCTAGATCTTGCAATTCCCGGAACGACACAGCATCCTCAAAAGATCGATCTGAATGGATCTTCAAGATTCTAGGAAAGCGAAGGGTGTAATATCTGGCACCTGAGGGTTTCTCGAAGCTACCTCCCAGCATTTCAACGACAAATGGCGTCTTGAAAACAACGTCCATTCGGGGTATCCCGGGTCGTCCGTACTCGAAATCGGTGTCATCACAGGAATCCGCTCTTCGAGCACCATACTTCCCAGACGTGCTTAGAGTTTGCATCATGGTCGGACTCATACAATGGTGGTCAATAACATCCACGATACAAAACCTAGGTGTAGCCGAGCCCTGCAGAACAGCATCTTTGTTTTCGAGGCAGCCAACAAAGAAGTGCGTCCAAGATAATCTCTTTTCTCGTGTAAGAGTTGAGGCATCCCGGGCATTGTATGCCGCACCGATCAATGCCACGTCTATGGTGTCGCCCAGTCCCGGGATATAATCCTTCTTAAGCTTAATCCAACGACCGGTGCAGCTGTCACCAGGATTAATCAAAATTGGGAAATATGGGTCCTCGCATCCTTTCAGAACGAGCCCTTCCCATCGCTCAGCAATTCCCATGGAAAAGAATGACTCGAGTTTGGATTGGCCATCCGGGCGTGAGAAGTCGATAACTCGCTGGTCGGCGATATCAGCAAGCCCAGGGATTATCTGCACTGTGTCCTTAAGCAGTAGTCGCCTCTCGCGATGGGGTTTTCTCAAACAAATATTGTCATCAAGAAGTAATATATCGAAAAACATGATCATCAAATGCTCGTAGGGCTGTGGTCTGCTCCAGTTAGCACTATTTCGCAAGCGGTATTCATGAATGACTGACGGAGAATCGCAGTCTATTCCAATAAAAGTGCCTGAGCGAGAAATGAATTTACGTAGCTTGTGAAATTGTAGAATGCTCTGCCGCTCCTCACTCCAAACCAGCAACTCGCCTTCCAGAATACAACGATGCGAAAACTTGCATTCTGGTTGTCCTATTTTCAATGAATCTTTGATTGCTTGGTGGACCCCTGCTCTGTCTGCGGTCGAGTCTTTCCCACTTTTCGAAAAGATCTGAATTGAATGTGGGTGCTTTGAAAGATCGATATGAATCTGGCAATACTCGCCGTCGTATTTTCTCTCGACACTCATCCTCCGCTGATCGATCATTTTGCAACAATGCTTTATGCTCCGGGCTTTGTAATACTCCGGGCGTCCTATCTTCGTTCCAGTGATCGGGACGAGATGGTGCACAGCTATTTTCCCTAAGTCTCTTGCTAGACTAGGCTCGGGTTTCGCAGGGAAATGGCGTATAGGTTGAGATGAGATCAAGTTGACGGCGGCTTCGAAGGAGTTCTGGAAGAGGAGTAGATGTGGAAGTAAGAAATGATAACTCGCCAGGGTGAGCCTCTCCGGTACAATCTCAGAGAAGTGGGATTTGAGAATCATTCGCGTTAGCCATTTGGCATCCCTGCTACTGAGTCTCCGATATATCGGGGAGAGTGTCTCCTCAACATCGACTGCCGAACGTTGTCTTCGAACTGTGGGCCCGGAGAATCGACATCGAGATGCAATTTGCGTCAGCGCATAATCGATCTCCTCTACATTAACCTCTTGACCAGCGGGAATGACGTTCTCTGCCTGGCGCATAACATTTTCCACGCACTGCCCGAGGTCTCCTCCACCGGATACGCGCCATTTTTCAAGCTCTTGTCGCCGAGAGGACCCAAGAAGCAAGCATCTGCCGATAAGCCTTGCGAGATTGGTATCCTGTAGCCAGTACACTCGGTCCGTTCGCTTGACCGGAAACATGCATGAAAGCAGGGCGAGTTGATCGTTGTCTGGGTCACGAAGCCGTTTGCCATGGCGGACAAACCATTCCGTAACAACACGAACATCTGGGTCCCTGTTCCTCGCCTGAGTGGTCGCTTTCAAGACCCGAACATCCTCGAGGGCTGAAAGCAGATCACAGAGGAAAGAGAACTTGAACCCCATATATCAGAGGATTTAGGCTTTAGGAATCGACGCCTTTCCGGCTTCACATAAGTATTCATAGAAGAGTATGCCCCTATAGAAAGCTTTTTACGCCTCTGGCAACTGAGTTATACAGAGCAGATGAGATCGCTTGTGAGTTTTGCAGAACTTGAAAGGGAAAGACGCGAGCGGGGTTTGGAACGTTCGACGCGGGCACGCGTCCATGGATCACGATAACACGTGATTCCCGCTTTGAATGACTGCTGAGGGATATGGCTGGGCTGCTCTGGCTCGGAAGACTTGAATCTTCTATTTTGCTTGTTGTCGTGTAGTCGTTCTAGATAGTAGAATACAAATGTTGCACCTGAATCGCCGAATAGTGCGCTCAACCGCGATCCTCAGCCATTTACTCAACAACCCGATGGTATAAATTATGAAATGATAAGAAGCCAACGCCAGATTTTGACCACGATGTAAAGAATTGGAAGAGATAATATGCCAAAAAAATACTCTCCTCAGAGAATACCTTGCTTCTGCAGACTGTTGAAAGGATTAGCATTGTTACGGGTACTTCAGTAAAGAGAGGGACATACTCGAGATAAATCCTTTCTGGCATCACATTGCCCTCCGCATCTTCCATCTGGACCACATTGTCTTTGAGATCTCTGTCCTTCTTGCGCTCCTGCTCCAGCTTCTCCCACAGTCGGATGGCGTCGTCGATCTTCGTAATCTCACGGAAAAGATTGGTGTTCGAGGTAATACCCAAGCACTTCAGTCCAAAGATATGCAAGGCTTCTGAAAAGTGCTTGTCGAATGCACGGCGACCCATGTACACGTAGTTTCCACAGATCTCGCAGGAGTACTCGACACCTAAGCCGTGCAGCTTGTACAGCCAGTAAGGGATGGGCTTGCCATCCCATGCAAGCGGAAGTTTAAGGGGATTGTAGACTCGGTCTTCGCCTTCTTCATCGGATTCTGCTGCACGGTCTCCTCCAACATTGTCAGATTCTGCGAGCATTGCCTCCAATTCCATCTGTCGTTCCCTCTCCGTCATACCCTGCCTCCGCTCAACATTGATCTTCGTTGCTTGTCGCTCGTTATCTAGAGTTTTCGCTAGTGAGCGGACACGATGCTCGCGCTCCGCTACTGCTCGTTCCTTCAGGCGATGAGCCACGGAGCTTCCGCTGCCGGCTAACGGCGCGGATCGGTCCGCCGAATCCCCAGCGGCCTTACGAGCCTCTGCGGCTCGAATGTGCTTCTTGCCCGTCAAATGATTCTTGTAAACGTTCTCGTTCTTGAACTCCTTCTCGCAGTCCGCACACCATGTGCCTTCCCCAGACCCTTCGGTTTGTGGACCCACTGTGCCATTGCTCGCGTTCTCTTCCGTCCATCCAGGAACTTCATTTGCCGCCCACTGTTTTTCGAAATCTTCGTCAAAGCTAGCGAAGAGCTTGTCCAGGTCTTGAAGAGGTCTAGACTTCTTGATGAACTCTTCGAGATAATTCGCCAGCTCTCCGGCGTACTGGAAATATTTGTCAGAAAGCTTATTGTTCCGTTTGATCGGCAGTTGCGGGGGGGTGAAAGCATCGAATATGTCAAGATATTGTATGTATGATAACCTCTTAACACCCGGTAAATTCAGGTATTCCTCGTGCAGCCGTGTAAGATCGAGAAATTGTCCATAGCCTTCTTCGCCAGTGAACATTGTGTCGATCTCCATCCCTGTCGGCTCACCCTCTCCTGGTTGCCGGCGTTTGTACGCTCGCTCAAGGTTCTCCACGGGCTCATTGGGATAACGCCTGTGAAAGTCCTTAACCTCGTCTAGTCGCTTGTAGAATTCTTCGAATTGGTCGCCCGTGGAGAGGCCCTGGATCTCTTTTTCGCGCTCGCCATCGGTACTTTTGTAGATTTCGAGTAATCTTTTGGACTGGTCGTCTATGCGCCCAAGGAAATGAGCAATCTCATGGTCGCGAGATAAGCGTTCACGAATCTGAGCGAGAAGCTAATTAGCGACAGACAGCGAAGAGAAAACTGCAAGACAAACTCACGTTTCGGGGTTCTTCAGCAACGCGATCCGCAATCGCTTGCTCTAGTCTCTCCAGATCCTCGTGGATAAATCGCTGGTCTTCAAGCAACATTCTGATCTCAAGAAGCTCGACTGAATTCGTCGCCACTAATGTTGACTTGAGACGGCCGGAGTCGCTGTTCAAGAGCTCTGCGGCCGGAACACTTCACGTGATCTGGGCGGTGGCGCATCGATTTGGCGGAAAAGTCGCGGTGCAAGACTCGAGCCTTTCTCACGCCCACGAAGCCCAGTCCATACATCAGATCTCATTTACTTTAAGTCGCTGCATTAAAAATGGCGGACGGAATCGACAGGCGCGCCGATGGTAAGGCTCCAAAAATAGGAATCTGATGAAGGCGAATGCTTACGGCGCAATTTCAGACAAAATGGAGTTCAACACCTCCAAGGAGGTCACAGTTGCTCCTACATTCGAGGATATGCACCTGAAAGAGAGTCTTCTCCGTGGTATCTACGCATATGGCTATGAGTCCCCTTCAGCAGTCCAATCGCGTGCGATTGTCCAGATTTGCAAGGGTCGCGACACCATTGCTCAAGCGCAGTCCGGTACTGGTAAAACCGCGACATTCTCGATCAGTGCTCTACAGGTCATCGACACTGTCGTGCGCGAGACCCAAGGTATGCTGGCCATCATCGATACCATTATTGAAGTAATATTGACATCCCATAGCTCTCGTCCTCTCCCCCACACGCGAACTTGCGACCCAGATCCAGTCCGTCATTATGGCCCTCGGCGACTATATGAACGTTCAATGCCATGCTTGCATTGGAGGCACAAACATTGGAGAGGATATCAGAAAGCTTGACTACGGTCAACATGTGGTTTCTGGAACTCCTGGTCGTGTCGCAGATATGATTCGGAGACGCCACCTGCGCACTCGGCACATCAAGATGCTTGTCCTTGATGAAGCAGACGAACTCCTCAACCGTGGTTTCCGCGAACAGATTTACGACGTTTACCGCTACCTTCCTCCGGCTACCCAGGTGGTTGTCGTTTCCGCCACCCTCCCGTACGATGTGCTCGACATGACTACCAAATTCATGACGGATCCCGTGCGCGTTCTCGTCAAGCGTGACGAATTGACACTGGAAGGCATCAAGCAATACTTCATCGCCGTTGAAAAGGAAGAATGGAAGTTTGACACCCTCTGCGATCTCTACGATACTCTTACTATCACACAAGCCGTCATCTTCTGCAACACCCGCCGAAAGGTCGACTGGCTCACCGACAAGATGCGCGAAGCAAACTTCACAGTCTCCAGCATGCACGGAGAGATGCCACAAAAAGAACGTGACAGCATTATGCAGGATTTCCGACAGGGCAACTCTCGAGTGCTGATCTCTACCGACGTCTGGGCCCGTGGTATTGACGTTCAACAAGTCTCCCTCGTTATCAACTACGACCTTCCTACCAATCGTGAGAACTACATCCACCGTATCGGTCGTAGCGGTCGATTTGGGCGAAAGGGTGTCGCCATTAACTTTGTCACGAGCGACGATGTGCGCATTCTGCGTGATATCGAACTGTACTACTCAACACAGATTGACGAGATGCCAATGAATGGTGAGATCGCCTTTATTCCTCGTACCACGGCGTATGCACTGACAATTCTCCAGTTGCCGATCTACTTTCTTAAGCTTTCTCGCCTGCTATCTTACGAGTCGATCCACATCACGGCGCATCTCTTATTCTCGCGCCATAGCCACTAATGCGCCCCATACAGTCTTTCAGAGCACCCTGCAATTTACAGTCATTGCCACGAATATGTAAAAGCCACTTGGGTGTTTGGCACTCTTCGGGGACAGGGAACCACAAAAGGCAGAGTGGAGGAAATGGGAAATTTCTTAAATTGGTATGTTCCAGGCTCGTTTACCTGTGCCCTGTTCGGAGGCTGGATTGCATTGCTGACGCTCTACTCTACGGACTGAAGTTATCAACACTATCTAAATCAACAAATGATATCTCAATGCTCTTGTGTGACAGTTAAAAGGGTCGATGGGGCTTCTTCTACCACTTTCTATATACCATATCTTCTTTTATCTTAGCAATGAATCGATGCTACAGTTTGGCATATTTTCGCAACTATTTAATTGAGTCGTCTCTTTCCGCATCATTTGGAGTCCGTATATGCAACTACTGCTTGAGCGGGTTTACCATTCCTATAGGTACCCAACCTGCCTCGCCGGGCTGAGTCTAGTAAACTATGATGTGCTAAGAGCTAGGTGCAGAAACAACACAAGAGAAAACTAAACAAGACAAAAGAATGGCGACCCAAAATCCCACTACACCCAACGCACTCCCTTAAGAATAAGTAGTTGGACCACCAAAAACCTGGACATAGTAAATAGCAGACAGTCCGTATATTGAATGAACAAGAATATATTGATATGCAGCACCCATGAGATGGAAATGCTCAAGTGGGAGATTCAACGCCCCTTGACGAATGCAAAGTATAGGACAATTTGTGAAACCAAAAGGTGGGCGCCTGCGACCTGTATCGACTGGATCATGAAAAACCTGAGAGAATGCATATATGCAGCGTTCAAATAGATGGAGGATTGGCGGAGAAGTGGAAGGAAAGGGGTGCAATGCTAGGCAAGGCGTTCGAGGGGAAAGTGCAATCTAAAAGCTCGAGGTGGACCGCAAAGCACTCGTCCGGGCGTAACCATTGCCTGTGATCGCTCGTCGCTTGTTTGGCGTGCTATTCGGATGCGCATCGCTAGCTCGGCCCCAACTAGAAAATAATCAGTATGAAGATAAAGTGTCATGATCAGAAGTAGTGAAGAACTCACATCTTGACTAAGCAGTCATCGCCTGCAGAGGCAAACATGCCGGGGTCAGCAGGATTCCACGAAATCGCGTTCACACAGCCGGACAAATGTCCCTCCAGGGTCTCGACAAGCGTTCCGTTCTCTTTATGCCATACATAAATCCGAGAGTCTATCCCATCGTCAGTATATTGCAAGGAAAGGGGAATGAAGCAGGTGGCTTGCCTTCACTACCACTGACGACAAAATTCTCTGCTGCGCCTCCAAAGGCACTTCGAATGATAAACGTGCTTTGTTTTTGGCCTTGAAAGCGGCGAATTACTTCGGTAGTCTCGATGTCGATAAGTTGAATTTGGCATTCAGTCAGGTTTACAAGCATGTGACGTGAGTCTTTGCTGACGACAATTGAAGTTGCCTTGCTCTTGAGTGGAAGGATATACTCCTCCTCGTGCGTGACGAAGTTGAAAACTCGGATTTTCTTCTCCACATCCACAGCAATCAGCCTTCGACCGTCTGGAGTGATGGCGCAGTCTTGAACACGGAAACCTGAGGGCCACATATGCAGGGGCTGGCCACGAACGCTCCAGTGACACAGTTGAGATGTTAGGTCGAGAGAGGCTGTTACGAACGACTCTCCGTTGGGAGCCCAGACGGCAGCTGTTACTGGTTGTCGGTGGTGATTAATGGTCAAGAGGCAGCGTCCGGTCTATTTTGATAGATTAGCGTCAGGGCCCAAGAATCGAAGTCCGAATCGTTAGCATACCTCAGTGCTCCAGACACGAGCTGTTCTATCCTGTGAGCAAGTAATCAGTTTGGAATCGTCCGGGCTCCAAACAGCATGAGCAACCCCGGCTTCATGATCTTGAAGTTTATGGATAACTTCGAATGTGCTGGTATCGTAAATAATCACACTGTTGTCGCGGCCCGCCGTAACTAATTTCGTGCCATCGTGAGAAAACTGACAATGCCAGACCTCATCAGAATGCTGGGTCAGCTCCAGTCTGGTGCTCAGAGGGAAATCGTTCCGGTCGCACATGTGGTCGGAGTAAAGGGATGGAGGCAGCGCGGTATTATGATATAAGCACTGGTTGATCTGATTTTGTTTGACGTGGTCTAGTAGCGTAGCTAATCGATTATCTGGAATCATGACAGAGGGTGAAATCGATTCTGCTGATGGTCAGAATAACGTTGCGGGGAGTTTTGGGTTACACAATACTCACTGGACAACTCGGAAAGCAGACGCTCTCGGGATGAGCCAATAGAACCGTCCCAACCGGCTTGGTCGTGAAGGTGCTCCGGTGGGCACATCAGGAGACTACTCCAACACGTTAGCCTGGTATGTATAGAAAGGAAGCGCAACCGTACCTTGACAGAGCGTGTAAGCGCCCAATATCAAAGTTCAAGGGTGTCAGTTCATGGCGGAGAACCATCAAAGCAGCCCCGAGATCTCGAGTATCCAACAATTCAAGGAACTTTTGCTGCCGCAGATAGAAAAGCATCTCGTTCCGGTCGGCATTCTCTACCAACGCCAACCGCTCCTTGCTTGCCGTTTCATCTTCAATGTGTCCATTTCCATATTGTTGAAACGACTGTACCAGTATGCGTTCCGCCTCGGCCCAACGTCCCCCTAGTACCGCATTCCTGAAGATAGCTACTGCGGGGCTTTCCAGTTGGTAACCGCTTTCCTTGCTTAATAGTTCTGCTGAGCCACTATAGCCAAGTTCGTATAGACTTTGGATGAGTATTCGAGTTACTTCCTCACGATCATGCCCAAAGTATGAAGTTGTTTTTGCCGGAGCTTTTTGTAACCTGCCCACCTTCATTTCACCATTCGAGCTAGGATGCGTTGACTGTCCGTTCAGAGCTCGGGAGACGGCAGCCTTCTGAGAAGACGAAGCCGCCGAGCTCTTCGGCAGTTGTGAAAAGTTGTTCGGACTCGAAACTCCATCTGGTCGCATATTTGCCAGGCGCCTGCGCTTGGAAAATGAAGGATAGCCCTCTGACGGAGCACGGGGCTCGCTGGTGTTTTGCTGCTGGAAACTAGCCTCGCCTGTCGCCGTGTGACCTCCCGGACGACTGGTGGTTTCTTGGGGTAGGGATTCGGGGGTATTTGACGGACTGCGGCGGCGGCGACGGCTATAAGAAGAGGATATATACTCGGCGGCGCCCGGACGACTGCGACTATGTGCGGACTCTCGATATGGTGACGAAGGGGTGCTATCCACGGAGGGATCGGCGCTTGAGCGAGAGGACGTCGGCTCGGAGGAGTAGGGGAGGGTCGGGTGGTCGGGGGCCGCGGAGGAGGGCGTATACGAAGGGAGGCGGTTTGCCAGATCGAAGATTTCAAGTCTGCCCTTTTCGCCTGGCTCCGTTGAAGAACCAGGAGAGCAGACCTATATTGGAGGTGGGTCACTGATGCTCTTGAAAGCTCAGTTCCCGTCCCCGAGCTCGATGCAAATCAGGAGCCCTTCAATTCCTTACCTTTGAGGGAACAAGGTGAGAGTAAACAGATGATTCAGCGAGAGATACGGTGCTGGTAGCTATTGTCGAAAGATGCGAGAGGGGATGTTGCCGAACCGGTGGAGTGAGGTCTTATCGGGCCCGACTGGTGCTAAAGGGAAGGTGCCAAGCTCCAGAGACTGTGCTGAAAGGATGGGGCTAAAGCTGGAGTGTAGAAGGAATGCCGACGAGTAAAAGGTTAAGTTGGCAAAGCAAGGTTGCAAGTAACAGAGTTTATTGCAGTGGTTGAGGGCAACTTCAAAGATGGAAAGATGGATGTCGTCGTCGAGGTTGAAGCACTCGGCGGATAGTCAACTATTCTCCGTGGGGCCAACGATGAACGGTCACGACTTCCTGCGTAATATCGCCTAAATGAGCACTATTTCGCTCAGAAGCATCTGAACGGAAGATAAGCACGCAAGTTCAACTTGATAAATCGCTATATCGGACTGTTCGAAGTATTTCTGTCCCTCCTGAAAGCTAACACCCTGTTCCGTCGGCTACGCTTTGCCCATGATATATATCTAGATCATGTTGACGCCTGTGTTGACCTTAACAGCCTAATCGGCATCAATAAGCAACAAGATCCTCCGAGTCCCTGAAGGCCCTATGTTACAACACTGACCTGATGGACAGCAAAGCAGACTCCTTGCAACACGGTAAGAAACATGTCAGAACTATCAGAGCTGCCACTACCGACGCAAGGATATCCTGACGCCATCAGAGCCTATCGAAGACTGCCGCGGCTAATTCGAGGGATGATAGCAATCCATGTTTCAATCCTCTATTCTCCGCGCTATTGGCTGGTAAAGGTCATCAGCGCAACAACGAGACATCATCTGGACGAATTGTCACAGGTTCGGAATGTTGACTGTTCATGACGCTACGAGGCAACCTAGTCGCTTCTCGCGGTATCACGAGGCTTACAACGCCATTAAGCTCAGGGCAGCTGTGCTTACTCCTGCAGTTCAGACATGGGTTACTCCCACCCAGCTCCCTTACAAACAGCCGCGATGCCACGTTCCGAGATCCAACTGAGGCTTTGCCCGGTGACATCGCTCTACAAGCCAGCTAGGTACACATCCGGCCGTCCGTTACACAAGGATCGCCACTTGTGATACAGCCCCATTCCTGCGTCGGAGGCTGATTCGGTGAAAATTCCTTTTCCCGTTGGAAACGCAGCACTGATTAGTCTACCGGTATACTTATGATGTCGAGCAAGGAGAGGTTCTTGTCAGTGCTTATCATGCGAAACAGCCCTTACAATCAGTAACAGCTGAGCCACCACTTACTGGCATTTGCAAACCCAATGCGTGACATTCGGCAAATTGCAACCAGGATTACCTGTTGCTAAACCACCCTCGACCCATGGTACAATCCAAGAACTAGACCAGATTCCTGACCTCATAATGATACATCATAGCTTCCCCACATCGCCTCCCCCGCAAGCTATATAACCATCCCTATTCTCGAAATCTAGATCTCCATTTCTCAACCTTGAACCCACTCTGATCTGAACTTTTCTATAAACCCCTTCAAACCCACCATCGAAGAAACCAAAATGGGCTGCGACTGCGGATCCGGTTCATCCTGTAACTGCACTGGTCCTAACACCTGCAACTGCGGCAGCAACTGCGAATGCAAGGAATGCGGAGTATGTTACCCCTGTCGCCCCTTGGCCCCTTAAGATTTGTATTATTGTGCATGAGTCGGCAAAAAGACAAAGGCTAATTCTGGCACCAACTAAACAGAAGTAAATCATTCCATCGCCGATGCAATCAATGGTTTAGGGGATGCAGACGACACTGGCGTTGAGCACTCTTCGGGCATGACCACAATTTTGGATGTTTTATTGGATTTTTAAGTTGCGCTACTATCATCATGAAAGTGACGTGTATGAAAAGACATAAATTGAAATAAATTGTCTATTTGAATTCTATTTCCAACGTTCACTAGCTATGCATTTATCCCTAGCCTGCCTGCTTCATGTACTTCGGGCCTTGGGCCCTTGAGCCAAACTTTTATCTACTTGCTCTGCAACGCAGCCTTCGACGCCTCCAATGCACCCGTGATCGTAAATGATATACAGGGCGAGAGCATGTACATGATCTGCCAGAGTCAGCCTTACCAAGTCCCTATAAAAATATGACAGAAAGAGGAAACATACCGTCAAAGTCTTCGCGATGGTCATCTTCTGCGTCTCAGAGACCTTCGCCAGCTCTGCCAGACCCTGAATCACCAGGGCAGGAGGTCCCGCAGGCATTAGCATCATACTGAACCACAGCACGGGATCTGATCTGAGCACAGAAGTGTTCTTTGCGAGGCCGTATATGATTGCGATACTCAACCTAGAAGTCCATCGAACCTCAGTCAGCATATCAAACCGTCGCTACTTCACTCAATGTATAGGGGGGCGCGAAAATGGAGAGGAGAGGAAAAGGAAACACTCACGCAGGCCAAATAACCAATCTCACCAAAAAAATCGTCAAAATCGCTTTCCAACCGGGATTACTATCCCTGCCACCCTCCCTGCTTCCGCCCTGGATCTTCTCGAAACTAACACCTAGCTCACAGCCCACAATAAAGATCTGTAGTGTTGTGAACAGCTTTCCGGTATTCTTGATACTCGAGGTCAACCACGCGTTGAAGATCCCGCCCTCTTCATAGCTGTTAAAGAACGCCTTGTGCAGCTGTGGGACGAGGCCGAGGACTGCCCCAACAAGCGTGCAGACAATCGCCACGTCGGCGAGGGGTGTATCAAAGGGCGTGAGAACATTCTGCTTGATGCGTTTCGGGAAGACGAAGACCACTTTCTTAGCCCAGCGCTTGAGCTTTGTTGAAAGGTCGTCGTTGGCCTTGCTTGATCGTCCGCGCAGGAGTGGCATTTCTTCGTCTGCCTCAGCATGGCCATTTTGGGCTTCTGTATCCGCGGCGTTTCCTTCGGCATCGTGGTCTCGTTCTTGGTCGTGATCATCGTCTTCGCCGTCCTCGTCGGCGTGCGTGAGCATCGTCGGTCCGACGGCGTACCCAATTGTCTTGCTGATGACGCCGCAGAGGAGGAAGTAGCTCTGTGCACGAGCTATGGCGTTGGTTACTGAGTCGCCGTCTTGAACAATCATCTTTAGACTACCAACGCTCTCGAGCGACTGCAATAGCAGCAATGGGAGCGATGTCGTATTATTGAAAGCGCAAGCAGGAATGACCCAGCGGGGGAGCTTAAGGAGCCTCGAAGCGAGGTGACCCAGTAGAATCGAAAAGGATGTGTAGACGATAGCCCAGACTGAATACCTGTGAGTTACATAACGCATAATTGTATTTGACAGGGTTCTGAATTCTTACCCAACACGGGCAGATAGTTCATCGCATTGTCCAATTTGAGCTGCTCGCCGAGATGCACGAGGATCAGGGCTGGTAGGAAGACTTTCACACCTAGCCCAGATACATCGTGGATGGAGCTCGTTTGGATGAGGCCGAAGTGGCGGGTGAGCACTCCGTAGCCCAGAGTGAGGACGACGGAGACGCAGGCTTGTAAGGCGCCTACAAAGGATGTACGGAGGCTTCCCTGAGGCATACTGACCGGACATTAAATTGCTGCTGTTTCTAAAAATTGGAAACCGAGCACGCGAGCTGGATTTATGCGAGCGGCTGTGTTGATATTCCATGGCGTCATGATGGCGATTGGATAGCTCCCGCCAGCTTGGTCTGGATCCACTCCACATCGAAATCAAGGGTTTATATTGTCGGTGACTTCAGCCAAGTTCAATCAATGCAAATTCTCGTACCTGATAGCTCTTAAGGGATGAATGGTAAAACAAGATTATTGTTAGCAATCGGATTGCGACCAGCCATTTACTTCAGCGAGGTAAAAGTGGAAAAAAAAAAGCACTTCCATCCACATCACCAGGCGCGAAGCAGCTTCTGCTGGCCCAACAGACGTGCTCCTGACAGAGCTCCATACAGCACGGTCACTGCTGAGGTACAGGCAGCGAGAACACCCAGCTGAGCAAGCGCTTCAACACCTGGCTTTGTTGCCTTTCGCTCCTTGCGAGTCCCTAGTCTCGTTGTACGGGTAAACCAAGGTACATATTTAAAGTCAAAGATTGTTTCGCCGCCAAGACCGTGCTCCTTATCTGTGATTATCGAATAATACAGCCTGCGGCGAATCTGAGAACATACTATTAGCACCGAAGCGCATAACAAGCAGGGGCACTAACCGCAATCCATGCTTTGTCGAAAAGTGGGAACACACGATTCGAATATGCAATGAGGATAACAAGATAGCAGTAACCGTATATAAGAGTTTGGTAGTAAAGGCTCGTCTTTGGGATATCAAGGCGGTCGGCGAGTTTGTCGCCGTTGAGATGCCTGGCCATAGCTTCCATAAACTCTGCCGATGCAAAGCTAGGTGCTGTATTCTCAAGACCTATAACAATGTTCTTGGCTAGGACTTGCCCTATCGGTTTTGGGTCGACTTCGAAGGCGAGGATTGACTCCATAAAGGCCTTCGCTGTGGGTTTATCTGCAAAGACGTCGCTTGGGGTACCCATGTAGTATGCCACCAACCGCCAAAGGGCGATATAGTCGTCGATCTCCTTCTCGGTCAGATAGACACCTTGTCGGGGGAGTCCTATCCACACCACACTGGTTGAGAATGTGTTGATGGTCCCTATACAATCAAGGTCACTGATTGGGATGCCAAGTACCTCAATGTCGAAATATTCCGGCTTCTCCTTGGCGAGGCTCATGATTCTCGACCGAACTGAAGAGTGCAGAAGTCTGACCCTGACCGAGGATTTGTGACCAGCACCGCCCGGTTTGATAGAGTCCAGAGAAAGAGATACTTGAAGAACATGTTGGAGGGTTTCGAGTAGCCTCCGCCGCACGACGTCCGCACCAAACCCTCCTGTCCTGGCTAACGTTTCAACCACACGACTGGCACCCCTGCAGCATGAGACTTAGTATACAGCTGTCAAAGGTTGGTCGGCATACTAACATTCCACCCAGGAGGCTCTGGAAGCTAAGCTATATGGATACTCAGCGGATTGTACCACCCACCTTGTGCACAATGATTATACTTACCACATTCATTATCGGCATTCCATAGCGGAAGAAAACTTCCTGGCCTCTCTTGATCTGGTCCCAGTCGACCCAGTCAGGCACCGTGTTAATTTCAGTCCACAACTCCTGTAGCTTGGCGTCGTCCTTTGCATGCTTCTCCAACAAGGCCAGTAGATCTCGCTTGGGTGCCTTGATTGCTGGCTCTCCTGCCTTTGGGCGATACTTCTCAGGAGGCGCGAGTTCGTTGAGCTTGGCGATGCACTCATCGGCGAGCTTGTCGTACGTGAGGGTCATTGGGCGCAACTCATCCGGAGTCTTATGGAATTCCGTCCATTCGAACGAGATGTCCCAGTGGGTGCGAATGTCGGGGCCAGTCATCTTTGTGGCGTGGATGCTATTGTCGCAGTATATGGCGCATACAAATGACAGCAGCAGTTGAAGGCCCGTGGGCAACAACGCATATAATATACCATCTTGTCCTATGCGACAAACCATATGATCATCTGTGCCTTCTCTGCGCAAATTTCTCGGAGTATTGGCTAGCCGATTTCGACAGCAGTTTCCATGTGGAAAAAAACGTCCATTCCTGGAGAGGCAAACAGCCGAGAAGCGGGCTCGCATCCACGGATCGAGGAAGTCTATTTACGGTTAGCTGGATACATGCGACATGTGAAAAGCTCTGGACATCGATATGAATAGCACTTCGATTTGCCCCAGGATTAACAGAAAGTGCGGGGAAGCACATCTCTGCTATGTTGGTTGGCGTTATTACGGAGGAGATATTATCATGGGGGGCGTTCATGACGCTGGCTATACGAGTCATCGAGTTATGCTCAGACGCATATATCTGAGTATCGGCTCGACTATGCAGGCATTACTTCACCAAGTGAGCTTCACAAGGAGTTATTGTTGAGCCGCAAATAGGTCCGGTTTGAGACGAGATCGATGGTTGATATTGGTCGATCGCTGTGGACAGCTACGGACTGCTGTATCATGGGCCATTTTGAGCAACGCAGTAAAAGCCCGGATAGGCTTACAGTAGGACTCATATAACAGCTCCACGTTCCGCAAAGGACGCCTCACAGAAGATGGGATGTCTGACAGCCGCCGCGTTTGCGTTCGTCTCCAGACAAGATGTGAATGCCGAGTCTCTTAGCATCAATATCGCGCGGGAGCCTTACTCAGCGCCTCAGGCTCCCTAAGCGATCCCCGACGACCATAACGCTACCTCTGAGCAGCGAAGAACCCACGTTTCATTGAGAACGGAAAAGACTAGAGTCGAATGTTGGGATTGGGCGTTCGTCGACTGAAAGCCCGCCCGTCTCTGCTGGATCTCATTGCCAATCGTGGGGTTGGTGACCTGTCGTCCTCCGCCCGATCGCAGAAGCCTCCGTCATCACCGCCCAGACCAGGCGACCTGCCACCGCTCCCCGTTTCGCCCACGACCTCCATTGACAGCACTGGCTCGAGCAGTCCCAACATCCCACCGCCCCTCCTCATAACCCCCTCCGTCCAAACTCCGGTTTCTCACATCATGGCTTCCTCTGGAAAGGGCCCCGAGAGCTCTGAAGATGCTCACCATGGTACAGTCTTCTCCATCTCCGGTCCAGTCGTGGTCGCCGAGAACATGCTTGGATGCGCCATGTACGAGCTGGTATGTATATCCAGAGCTTTTCGGTTGCTTTTGCTAGCTCCGACATTGCGTATCTGCATTCGTTGTACTCGGCCGCTTTACTTACCGTGCATCATGGACATCTAGTGCCGTGTTGGAAATGACCAGCTAGTTGGAGAGGTCATCCGCATTGATGCGGATAAGGCCACTATTCAAGTCTACGAGGAGACAGGTACCGCCCGCACCTTCCGTTCCTACTATGCTTCCATCGGATTATTGACGGTTATTGTCTCCTAGCTGGATTGACGGTTGGTGACCCCGTCTGGCGAACCGGCAAGCCTCTATCCGTTGAGCTCGGTCCCGGTTTGATGGAAACGATCTATGACGGTATCCAACGACCCCTGAAAGCTATTTTCGACCAGACAAACGGCATCTACATTCCCCGTGGTATCAAAGTCAACGCGCTGGATCGTGAGAAGAAATGGGACTTCAAGCCCGGCACGTTCAAGGTCGGCGATCACATCACTGGTGGTGACGTTTGGGGCTCCGTCTTCGAGAACAGCTTGTTGAATGACCACAAACTCCTCCTTCCTCCCCGCGCCAAAGGTACGATCACTCGGATAGCGGAAGCCGGTAGCTATACGGTCGAGGAGCAACTGCTGGAGATTGAGTTCAATGGCACCAAGACAACCCACGGAATGATGCACACCTGGCCTGTTCGTGTTCCCCGACCGGTCAATGAAAAGCAGTCCGCAAGTGATCCCTTCATTGTCGGTCAGAGAGTGCTGGACTCTCTCTTCCCAAGTGTGTTGGGCGGTACTGTCTGCATTCCTGGCGCTTTCGGATGCGGTAAAACTGTCATCTCTCAAAGTGTGTCCAAATTCTCTAACAGTGATGTCATTGTGTACGTCGGTTGCGGCGAGCGTGGTAACGAGATGGCTGAAGTGTTGATGGACTTCCCCGAGGTACGTTGCTTGGCTGGCGCTTTTGGGTACATAGTTAATGCTAACGTACATGGATCTGCAGCTCAGCATCGACGTTGGTGGCCGGAAAGAACCTATCATGAAGCGTACTTGCTTGATCGCCAATACCTCCAACATGCCTGTCGCCGCTCGTGAAGCTTCCATCTATACCGGTATTACTATCGCCGAGTATTTCCGTGACCAAGGAAAGGACGTCGCTATGATGGCAGACTCCAGTTCCCGGTGGGCTGAGGCCCTTCGTGAGCTTTCTGGTCGTCTGGGAGAGATGCCTGCTGACCAGGGTTACCCCGCCTACCTCGGAGCCAAGCTCGCCTCTTTCTACGAGCGTGCTGGTAAGAGTACCGCCCTGGGAAGCCCCGAGCGGGAGGGTAGTGTCAGTATTGTCGCTGCCGTCAGCCCACCTGGTGGTGATTTCTCAGACCCCGTTACCACCAGTACTCTGGGTATTGTCCAGGTGTTCTGGGGTCTCGACAAGAAACTGGCCCAACGCAAGCACTTCCCCTCTATCAACACATCCATCTCATACAGTAAATACACCAACGTCCTGGACAAATTCTACGAAAAGGAGCATCCTGAGTTCCCTCGCCTGCGTGAACAGGTTCGAGGATTGCTCGCAAAATCAGAGGAACTCGACCAGGTCGTGCAACTTGTCGGAAAGGCCGCGCTCGGCGATCCCGACAAGATTACCCTAGACGTGGCTGCGATGGTGAAAGATGACTTCCTCCAGCAGAACGGATACAGTGACTACGACCAGTTCTGCCCTCTCTGGAAGACCGAGTACATGATGAAGGCGTTCATGGGGTACCATGACGAAGCACAGAAGGCGATTGCCCAAGGCCAAAGCTGGCCCAAGGTTCGTGATGCCACTAGTGACATCCAGAGCGCCCTGCGGAACATGAAGTTCGAGGTTCCGGATAATGAGGCAGAGGTTTCTGCGAAGGTACGAGCTATTCCTTTTGTTTCTGTCATGCACTCGCTAACCTGCCGCAGTATGAGAAGATTCTGCAGACCATGTCGGAGCGGTTCGCCTCTGTGTCTGATGAGTAATTTGCTGTTATACCTGAAGAACGATGTTTTTCCTTTTGCACTATTTCTGTCGAGAGCTTGTAGCATAGCAGCTTTCTGTAGTTACTCATGTTTATATCAATACTACACAATTAGATGACCATACGAAATTGGGTAACAAGAACTAGCTACCTAAACTGGTTTCCAAAACTATAGGTATCTCAATTCTTGGTCGCCACAGACCTTGGTGGCTGAGATTTAGGTGCACGGCCCATATATAAACCCCACGCACCGCCCGTGCCCAAACATGGAGCTTGGCTTTGTTGCTGCCTTTTCGATCTCGACCGCCGACAGGAAACTTGGCCGCTCGCCATCCCGCTTCCCTACCTTCCCACCGCACCTCTCAGTCTCTCCTCTGCTATATATCCCATTTACCTCTCCTATCTCTCTTCTGGCTTTTACTTTGAAGCGACTGTTGCTGTACTATTGTGTTGCCAGCCATGGCAAGCCCGACGTCCGGCTACTCGTGCGTGACTCTGGCTCCCTCGTGCTTGAACCCGGAACTTAGCTGACGATTGGATCCCGGTGACAGGATAAACGTCAATGACCCCAGCTTGATTTCGCTGGTCAACAAGCTCCAAGATGTGTTCTCAACCGTCGGAGTAAGTGCACCTCACTACCTGGGCCGTGCTCCGATTCGCACAGCCCCTCCCTCCTGACACCGCCTGTTGACGGGATGCTACGCAGGTCCAAAACCCGATCGATCTGCCCCAGATCGCAGTCGTCGGATCGCAATCTAGTGGAAAGAGTTCAGTATTAGAGAACATTGTCGGCCGGGATTTGTGAGTAATCGGTCCTCATCGCAACCTGCGCGATGGCCTGGGCCGCGCGTCGCTAACCAAGTGGACTGTATCTAGCCTCCCTCGCGGTTCCGGCATTGTCACCCGAAGACCTCTCATTCTGCAGCTCATCAACAAGCCCTCGAGCAACCAAGCGAACGGAACGAAGGAAGACAAGCTCGAGACGACGGATAAGGAGGCGAACCTGGACGAGTACGGAGAGTTCCTGCACATTCCCGGACAGAAATTCTACGACTTCAACAAGATTCGCGAAGAGATTGTTCGTGAAACCGACGCTAAAGTTGGCCGCAATGCCGGAATTTCCGCCGCTCCGATCAACCTGCGCATCTACTCGCCCAACGTGCTCACCCTGACCCTGGTCGATCTGCCCGGTTTAACCAAGGTGCCGGTTGGGGACCAGCCGAAGGATATCGAGAGGCAGATTCGCGATATGGTTTTGAAGTACATTAGCAAGCCCAACGCCATTGTTCTTGCCGTGACCGCCGCCAACCAGGATCTGGCCAACTCGGATGGCCTGAAGCTTGCCCGGGAGGTAGACCCTGAGGGTCAGCGCACGATCGGTGTCTTGACCAAGGTCGATCTTATGGACGAGGGCACAGACGTGGTGGATATTCTTGCTGGCAGGATTATCCCTCTCCGTCTGGGTTACGTTCCGGTGGTCAACCGTGGTCAACGTGACATTGAGAACAAGCGGCCTATTTCCTACGCTCTGGAGCATGAAAAGAACTTCTTCGAAGGGCACAAGGCTTACCGGAATAAGGCCTCGTACTGCGGAACCCCATATTTGGCCAGGAAGCTGAACTTGGTGAGCATTGCCTCCCAGATTGCGACGGACTCTGGCTAACTTTATAGATCCTTATGATGCACATTAAGCAAACCCTGCCAGACATCAAATCGCGAATCTCCTCGTCGTTGCAAAAGTATTCGTCTGAACTTGCACAGCTTGGCGACTCCATGCTCGGCAACAGCGCCAACATTATCCTGAACATCATCACAGAATTCAGCAACGAGTACCGAACAGTCCTTGAGGGTAACAACCAGGAGCTTTCTAGCATCGAGCTGTCGGGTGGTGCTCGTATCAGTTTCGTGTTCCACGAGCTGTACTCGAATGGTGTCAAGGCAGTAGATCCCTTTGACCAGGTCAAAGATATCGATATTCGCACGATTCTGTACAACTCGTCCGGTTCATCGCCTGCGCTTTTCGTCGGAACTACCGCCTTTGAGCTGATTGTCAAGCAGCAGATCAAGCGGTTGGAAGACCCTAGTATGAAGTGTATCTCATTGGTTTATGACGAACTTGTCCGCATCCTCGGCCAGCTTCTGAACAAGCAGCTCTTCCGACGCTACCCCATGCTCAAGGAGAAGTTCCACGCTGTTGTTATCGCTTTCTTTAAGAAGTGCATGGACCCAACAAACAAGCTTGTCCGGGATCTCATCAACATGGAATCCACCTACATCAACACTGGCCACCCCGATTTCCTCAACGGACACCGCGTAAGTGATTGGAGCTGTTTCCAAGTCTATCTACTGACTAGCGCAGGCAATGGCCATCGTAAACGAACGCCACGCTGCTGGCAAGCCGACCCAAGTTGACCCGAAGACCGGCAAGCCTCTCCCTCCGCGAGCAAACAGCCCTTCCGTCGAAGCTATTCCAAAAGACGACAATAGCTCTGGATTCTTCGGCAGTTTCTGGGCGTCGAAGAACAAGAAGAAGATGGCTGCGATGGAGGCACCGCCACCAAACCTGAAGGCTTCCGCGTCTCTGTCTGAGCGCGAGAGCACCGAGGTCGAAGTCATCAGTAAGTCTCCATAAGTGCTAACAAAAAGGACAGCGCTAACAGAGGGCAGAGCTTCTTATAACGTCGTACTTCAACATCGTCAAGCGCACGATGATCGATATGGTTCCCAAGGCCATTATGTACACCCTTGTGCAGTACGTGCCCTGAATACCCGTCCTGAACTCTACTGACAGATTCCAGGTTCTCCAAGGAAGAGATGCAACGCGAACTGCTCGAGAACATGTACCGCAACAACGAACTTGACGACCTTCTGAAGGAGAGCGACTACACCATCCGGCGGCGGAAGGAGTGCCAGCAAATGGTCGAGAGTCTCGGCCGGGCGAGTGAGATTGTTAGCCAGGTGCAGTGATTGCAGTAGACTGCGAGTTGTGATTCCCATTACGTTGATCCTTCGTTTCCTTTTGTCTTTTCCGTTTTGGACGCGGGTGGGAAAGATTCGAGACTTCTCTTTTATTCGAGGGATATATGCCTTATGTTTATACTTTTCGTGATGTGAGCAAGAGTTGCTACGGCCGCATTTCCTTCTGATGTCGGGTCTGGATCTTTCTCACGAATTTGTATCGCCTAATGATGGATGCTTTGCGCTTAGAGTAAACAGACTAGTCGTACGTTCAGCAATGTACAGTACTACCTATATGAAGAGGTTGGGCATGACCCCAGTCCCGCAGACCACATCGTGCCAGTAGTCGTGGCAATTACAGCAACAGCAACAAATGGCAGCTGCAGCCAACGTTCCTTCCAACTGGGCCCTCGATTATATCATCTGAGATGCTGGCCATATGTGGTGGTCACATGAGTGACGAGGGATCATGTGGCCCCACTCTCAAGCCACATCACATTCAGGCTAGCGTGCCAGCTTTACCCCCCACACCAAAATTAAGCGTTTCTTTAGCGCTGCCTAGCGCCGGGAAGAGAACCAATTAGCGTGTGTCTGTGAACCGTTTACAAAAGGTGTGCAGCTCTTGGGCTTCGTCTCTGTATATCAAAGCAGAGCTCGAGAAATAGAATCTGAGAGCCTTGAAATGAAATCAAATCTCGCTCTTAAAAAAGGGTTAATTTGCATGCAGCTTGCCATTACCTCGCTCCGTCCCAAAATGGGAAAGGAGCGACATCTGATGCAGGTGAGAGTGAAGGGCCAGCAGACGGCAGCCTGAGAAAAGTTTTCTTCTCAGGCTTCTTAAGCTTTCGCTACTGCGTCTACTTTTTCAAATCTTTTTCCCTTCCAACCTTATTTCTTGTTATTTCTGTCCTTGACTGGTCGTTTCTGTTCTCTCACTTGCTCGTCACTTGGCGCGTCGCAAAGTACTCACGTACCAGGTAGAGAAGCCTTCCGCGCAGAAGTATGTAATTCCCCGTCTTAGTTCCAGCTCTAAAATTCCACTAACAGCTCTCACTGTCAAAAATGTGCTTCAACATTGAGTTCCAGTCTTCTCACTTGGCTTGTCGCACGTATCCAAGGCACGTAGTCAACAGCCAGCTGTTCGTTGTGTGCCCGAAGCGAATCGAGGCCCGCAAACAAGCCCGCGTCGCCGCCAAAGCCGCTCTACGTGACGCCATCTGGGTTAATCCCAGAGCGAACAACAATCCCTCCCTTCCTCACAGCGACGTTACCAACTGGCACTTTGTGCTGAGCGACGAGGACGGCTCAGACTATGAGGGTGTCACCGATTCCTCTGTTGATCATGTCGAGGAACTTGGCGGCACCGCTTCTCTCGCAGCTGGCTCTGAAATCCTAGCTCAATCTCAATCCCCCAATTCTGCCTTCCTCAATGATGACTGGGACTACGTCAACAATTGCCCGGCTGCTACATGCGATGAGGAGATTTGCGAGTACATTGGCTCTGCAAGGTCTTGGTTAGCCGGCGGACTTTGCGCGTACTGCAATGGGTGGAAGAAGTGGGAGACGATTACTCACGTATGTCTGCCTCTTCTGTTTCCCACTTCCTCTTTGCTTGTCTCTCAGTTCTAGTTCACATCTCTCTCACTTCAATCTCCGAGTCAATTTGACTTGTGATGGTGTTGCTAATCAAAGTTCTCTGACTGCTTAGGTTGTCACTGCTCCTAATGGCATGCTCGACCCCCTGATGAACGCGCTTATGGCGCTGAGGTGGCCTGGAGATCCGGGATTTGGGGTGCCTGAGAGGGAGGAATTTGAGGACCAGCAGTCTGAAACTGAACTGTCCGAAGATGAACAGTCGACAGATGAGCAGTCGGCGGGTGAAGATTCGGATGAACCCTTCTGGGACTTTGACAATTCCTACGACTTTGGTTGGGTGTTCTGATATCTCTTCCCTATCTTCAATTACTTGCTATTGTTTGATCAGACTTTGACGTCGTCGGTTTCGTGATACGCTACATCCGGCAATTTGTTCTCGGTCTTTCTGTTCTGGAGTAGAAGCCTCGCTTTTGCTTTTGTCTCTTCGCTCCTGCTTTCTTCTCTTTTCTCTATTAGTTTTTCATTGCGATCATGAGATACGTGCCTATGCTGGTTGTCACTGGGAATGTTGGGACGATTTATGGCGGTATGATACCAAGGCTACTGTACATTGGGGCGATGCGTTTGGCAAGCTTAAAGGCGTCTAGATCAGTGTCTTTTCACGGTCATCTGAATCATGTACTACACTGCATGTTGCAAATAGTCAGAATTTGCCTCCTTTGCTAATCTGTATCTCTTCTCTTGTCTTCTTGCAACGTCACAAATTTCACCTGCCTTATCCTGTAGCAGTAATCCAATCACATCTCGCTCACTCTACATTTCTACCCCAGACCCTCCACCACCCGCATGCTCATGCCTCTCCCCTTTTCCCTTCTTCTCCCCTTTACCATCCCCATGTCTATAAGAATAATACCACCCCTCCTTCGCCAAATCCATCCTCACCTTATAATTCTCCTCCGCAACGCTCAGCAGCCCAAAATCCATATCCGCAACAAGAACACCCTCCTCATTCCCCATCTCAGCAACAGGCCCAACAATCGGCAGCACGACACGCGACAACCCCAGCGTCTCGGGACCACCAGAGACATTCGCGAAGATGATCCCGCAGGTGTTTTCGAAACATCTTGATGTGAGCGTTGATGAGAGGAAGAGGGATTCGCAGTTTTTGTTGTGGGTTAGGGCTGTGGGTGAGGCGTCGGTTGCGCCCCCTGTTGGTCGTTATTAGCTATGGCATCGAGAAATCTGGTTCAAAAATGGAGAAATGAAAAGGGCAGAAAGGATGGAGAATTGAGGACGCACAATACGTCGGGATGACTACAACCTCAACCCCACCCGCAAGCAACTCCCTAAACGCCTCAGGGAACGCCAAATCCCAGCAGATGAGCAACCCAACCTTGCCGACGGGCGTATCGAACACCTCGTGCGGCTCCGAAGTCGATGAGGTCAGGTACGCGCGTTCGGGGTGCCAGATATTCTTCTTGCGGTAGCGGCCGAGGATAGAGCCGTCGCTGGAGATAAAGTACGCGGTGTTATAGAGCACGTATGCATCCTTCTCGGCTGCGTCGTTTTGTTCAGGGTGCGGATGTTTTTCGACGAATGTGCCCGGGACGATGCAGATCTTCAATTCCTTTGCGAGAGTTTGATAAGAAGTTAGGTATTTGGTTGTTAGGTCTTGGGCGGCTAGTTCGGCGAAGCGTGGGGATGTGGGTTCCCAGCCTGTTAGGTGGTATCTGTTCCTACGATTAGTCTTGGTTCTATACATTGTAGGTATTCGGGAACGTGACGGCTTACTCGGGTAGGACAGCGAGCTGGGCGCCCTGCGCTGCTGCAGACCGGATGTACTCGCATGCTGTCGCGTGGTTGTCTTCCGGGGCGAGGTTCTGGGAGTGTTAGGTAGTGTTGGCGGGGCTTGGTAGCGAGGGATCCTGGAACGTACCTTAATCGCCCATTGGATAACCGCCACACGATGAACTGGAGCCATGTTGTAGGAAGTGTATATTGACAAGGCTGGAATTTTACTCCGTCGATGAGGGTAAAGTGCCAAGTGTTCGCATTGATGCAAGTCAGTTGAGGTTGCGTTGCATTGGGAACTGCGGGGTGGAATTTGTGGGTCCTTAGAAGAGGTACTCCGGTAAGAACACCGAGGTTCCAAGTTACTACGCAGCAGCGGCCTGCGAGGCTGATGACAAGTTTCTGGATTCGGTTTGTCTTCTACACCATCTACAACAAATATACAAAGTGCAGTAGTTGCACGAGGAACGCATACACCCCATTCATCTATGACTTAGGGCAAGCAATTATGACGTCAACCAATACTAACAACTTTTCCTCCTTGCAAACACACCCAGACACCGGGCATTGCTTTTACCCCTGGATCCACTTCCCATGACTCATTTCAGAGGCAGATTTGTGGCTGTCCTCAACTCGACCGGAAGCCCTGTACCCAGTCTGTGCGGTTGACCGTTTTCGGACCGTGAACAAAGTACCCAATCCGCAGCGAAAGGGAGCTGTTGGATTAAGTCAAGTCAAGCATGTGTACAATTGGATTTGACCTCTAAGCTCAGTACGTGTCATCTGGAGACCGCAAATGGCAAGCCCTCTGATAAGCTTATCTCGGAGCACTGCACTACAATATCTCCACGGGGTCGCGGGTATCGTTTGGAGGGAACGATGGAGTGGGGAAGAAATGGGAAACAACGAGGGCTTTCACGAACGCTTGCTCGGCTTATTAACAGATTATGGGCTTTGAATTTATGAGAGAGAGGTATATAATTTTGTCTAAAAGGTGGTCCGTGAGTATCAAATGACTGTGACTCCAGGTCGCTCGTCAACAACACAGACAAAGTTAATTATCCTGATTTACCAGGTATTAAAAGCATGCTTCAGGGATAGTGACTGCCTTCTTCTGGCTGTAGAGAGAATCCAAATATAAACCGTTGGTGCGTTTGCGGAGATTGGAGGGTGTTGGCGGCAAACTATAGGTAGTAACTTAGGCCTCCACCTTTCTCTTCCACCATGAACGATACAATGCTTACGCAGCAAATATTGGATTAGAACAAGAAGGGTATTGATAGTCCCGCTTTACCACGAGCTTCCTGCAACATGCTTTTTTGGAGTTCTGCGCAGAGGATAGGCCCAAACCGGTAACCATCATTGGCTTTGTGGATGGGATCCGATCGAGGACTCCAAAAAGAAAGTGTCATTATACCGACTTTTCTCGGGAGAATGGCCTCTCGAGCTCTACGTATGGAATTTGCCCTTGATGTTGAATATGTAACTGTTTATTTTGCCATCCCTACTAGATATAAGGGTGGATCATGTTCTCTCTTTGGCTTGTTGGGGTAATAGATCATGAGACGATGATTCTCCCACTCAGAAGATCGATGGCCCTCCCTGTTTATAAGCGCTTCTGAAGCTTACAGTCCGCGGTTCAGTCGTGTTCTTCTGCCAGATATTCCAGTAAGGGTGTTGTCCCAGATCAAGGACTCTGCTGTACGATTATTCTTGTTCTATTACTTCGCAACATCTAAGCTAGCTATCTAGTCCCGCTTTAATAGAAGTGAAAGTACACCAGGAACAACATTGTACGGCTTCTATACAAACCCCACTGATAACCTGCCATGATACGTTCATTTTACAGAGTCACCCCCTTTCCATAGAGGCGGATCCATCAGAATTTCTTCCTTTTAGCTTTGTCTCTCGTAGCCTTAATTTTCGCGGCTTGTTGAGACGTCGCTATGTGGGTTCAGATAGCATGCTCTCTCATGTCGGCTAAGGTGATTTTTGACAACCATCTTGCCACAATATTGACATGTAACTTTGTTGTGAATTCCCTTATGAACCTGCACTGATATCCTACTAGAGAATTCCTTATCGCATTCGTCGCACTTAAAGATACCTTTGGCGTCGTGAGCCTTCATATGAGAATTCAGTCCTCGTTGACTAAAGAATGTGTCACTGCACTTGCAGCACTTGTAGGGAAGAAGATCCTTCTCCCCAGGAACTTGAGCGTTAGCGGTTTGTTCTCCAGTGATTTCAGTCCCGATCGCTATCATGTTTCTCCCTTCAACCGATGTCTGGGCGCCTGTGATCGCTCCTGGGGCTGTCGAAGGCGGTTGCGAAATATTGTTCTCTTCAGGTTCAGGACTAGGAGGCGGAGAGGGTCGAGGTTGTGGATCGGGGTGAGGAGATATGGGTCCAGATTCCCCGTCGTCATCTGCAGGTATCGTGATTGCGCCGGGGATTTTAAGGGTAGACTCTGGTGGATATTGATAGGGAGTAGGCTCTGGGAGGCGTGGATCAGAAGTAGCATCGCGTAGTCCAAGTCCATCCGCAGTCACGTTGTTGGGAAATTCGGGCAGTCCATCAGCCAAAGTTGGAAAGACTGGGATGTTTTGCATTATAGAAGTCGCGCGATCGATGGCAGCAGGCAGGTTGTCTGGCTCAGGATTGTTGATGTGTAAACATGGTCGTTCGGACAGAGCTTCGGGGGTCAATCCGCATTCCTGCTTACAACACGAGCCATCTGATTTGCATAGACAAAGGTAAGACATGATGTTTAATGAATAGCAGTTTCTGAAGTAAGTGAATGAATGTGGTGATGATGTATTGGTTGCTGAGTTCAGGCTTCTCCCGCCGTGGACATGCTCGCCCCTCCACGCACCAAGGAAGGAGCGACAGAGGCCCCATTACGGTATGTATAGGAGAGAGCGCGCCTACCCACTCCTGATAATCTTGAATGAATAAGCATCTATTTACAGGTCGATATATCCCAAGACGCCACTCACAAATCACTGCAAGCGCACTACAGAACCCAAGATCTCACCAAGTATCAGCGCCCCAACTGCCGTCTGAGGTGTATGGTCCTTTAAAGCCAACCATGACACCTCGTACAGGCAAGCCACATTGCGAAGGCGACTGGGCACAGCTGAGGGCAACCGCAGGATACACTTCCAGCGACATTCTACATTCCTCACCAAATGATCCACAGCCCTTTTATTGGCGCTGTTGAGCCTCATCGAAACGTTGGGGGTTATGCGCGCTGATCTATCCTTCATGGCGCTGTGCATTCCTTGACGACTTGTGCAACGTGGATAAGTTGGTGGCAAAAAGCCAGCACGGACACGGCACGGTCCGTGTTGATTGATGAGATCAGTATGATTCGAAAAAGTCGGGAAATATATCCGCTCGCGGATTCTGAGGCGTGGTGGGCTTAGCCCTAACTCAAGGATAAAATCCAGATTGTAACAGAGCGAAGACCATTGTGAGTAAGAAGAGAATAATTCCCAGTAAACAAGGCCATTCAAGAATGCAATCCCCAGCCGATCGATCTCAAAGTTTAGCCCTGGGCATTCAGCCGATCGCGTTTTGGGCTGAACTGGGCTGGGCCAGAGTATCGGGTCCGCGGAATCGATGAATTCGAAGCTCACATTGAAACCCCTGGCTTGATTAACAATCATCCGGTCGGTAGCTAGGTTTCGATTGATAATCAATAAGCAGTGAGCAATGCTTATTTTCCTCGAATCTCTTGTCTTGAGCCCCGCGTTAACGAGGGGTAGAGGAAGGGTTGGAAAGTGGTTCAGCAGGGGCTGACGAGTTGAGCTGACGCCAGCTGAAAGAGCCCTTCGTCAAATTTGAAATTGGCCCGCCTGAAGAATAAGACGCCTGGTAAAAGCACAAAGTAATGCATCGCTCGTCCTCGGCAAATATTACTTATAACCCACATAAAAGAGAGCAAATTAGAGGAGCTCCGTCTGCTATAAAGCAAAGTATAGTCGCATTGAGAAAGGGAAAAAGCACATAGTATCGAGATCAGAAAACATAAGTTACTGGGCTTCGAATTGGGGGATGCGAGTAAACTCAAGACATCGCTGCATACGTCGCTGCGACTGCCAAGTCAGCTGTTCTGAACGTTGCGCTGATGAACGCGTCGCAGATGCCAGCGGAGGTTGTCTCGCCTATTGAACGACACGCCACATCCGTACTCCGGGCACTCGTGGGAGCGAGGTTCGATATGCTGTGTCAAGACATGACGCTTCAAGTCATGGGAGCGCCGGAACCCTCCGGTATAGTCGCAGCCTTCCCACTTGCATCGCAGAACAATGTGGCTTATCGCGATAAGACACATACGTTAGCCTGGGCCACTGCAAGTCGTAACCAATTGGTACATACCCTCCGTCAAAGTATTCACCTCCAAAAAGATGGTTGTGTCCAGCCACTGCTTGGGAACCTCCGGAATAACTTCTGGAGGACGTGGGCGAAGGGTCGTTGGAGGTGCCGGAGGCACTCAAGTAGGGCGCAGAATGAGTGTTGGCGACGGCCTCTCCATAGTTGTCGTAGCCCATAGTTCCCTGAAGCATTCCGCTGCCATGGTCGAATTGGCGAGTTTGTGAGATATCGTTTTCTGGACGACTGGCCGCACTGGAAACGCCGCGGAACGAATCATAGGGTGACAAAGGGGAAAGGAAGTACTGATCAAATGCCCCAGCAAGAGTAGCGCTGCCAGCATAGTGGTCAGCCGGAGTGCTGAAGTTTGTGTCAAGAGACAAGAAGGGCGTGCGGGAGCTGCGTGTGGGGGTGGGCAGGGTATGTTGAGCCCGTCGAGTGGCTGAGGCATGTCTGGTATTGCGTCCTCGTAGCATCTGGGACATGTTGGAGCTTGTAGTAAAAGTAGGGTTGGAGCTGAGGGAAAAGTTCGATCATCCTATTTTGAACGGGCTTGTGGCCTGATTTATAGACAAGCTGAATAGCTCAATGTCACGGTCGTACCTTATCGTATTCAAGGGTTAGAGGGTAAAATCTTGAAAGGCGTGGGTGCCTGCAAGAGCTGGAGAGAAATGGGTGCCCGGAGATAGTGGAGCGATCGCAAGAAATAATGAGCCTCAATGCGAGCCAAGATGTGACGTAAAGTGGTGCCCATTGGAGAGAGCTTTGAGAGTCTCTGTCGGAGGTCACGCCGCGTCGCCTACCTGGGCTCAGTGCAGGCACAAACATTGCAAGACGACTCACTCCTTCAGTTCTGATTTGTCAGTGCATAATGCCCAGGCTAGACGCCTCTGATCGGTTATTTAGATGGACCGTCCCTGACTCGACCTAGAGTCACCTTGTCAATATGCTTAATCCATGTTGCCGGGAAGATGTTCGTCCTGATTGGGCAGGTCCACCTCGCTGGAGACCTTGAAGATCCGTTGCCCATCCACCGGGGATCCCGCGCCCTACCTAATTCTTTACTGCTTTCCTTGCTCTGGTAAGCCCTCGCTGTCTCAAAATCAGAAGCGACGCCTACACAGGGGTACGTGCTCACGATCAGATCGAAGTGTGGCAACATCTCGCGAGCTTATACCGCTTAAACACCAAAAGGCACATCCTGTGCTACCACGATCGTCATTCGAGCTGTGCGGGACCACTTACAGCCTCATAGCGGCCATAGCTCTCCCCACCACATGCCGAGTTTCGATTGCTTTGACATATCTCCTTCCAAAGAGCTCCTCAACATATCAACTGCACCAGGATTAGCAAGCAAACACTTATCTCAAAAAATGACGTGGAATCGCAACATTCCAAGTGACAAGCTGATTGCCCTCACATGAATTGGCAAGGCTCACCTTCCATTTCCGAGCCCAAGATGTCTTGTGCTGTACCCCGGCGAGTCCGAATGACACTTTTATCTCCGTCTTGCATATTAATCGACGTGTGCACTAGTTGTCTTCCTCCACTAACCTCTGGATCCCGGTCATGGTAATTCCCAGTTTGTTCACCAGACGTTGGAGCACCGAGGCCGAGGCTGCGCACTGCCCGCAGACTGTGTAACGGCTGGTTATTGGGGATTCGTAACAGTATTCCGATATTTGTCATGCGCCTGCCCCGCGATAGAAATGGATGGAGGGGTTTCGAGTAGAATAAGACCAACTCTGTTTTGTTATTGGCTAGTAGTTATTACACGCATAACTTTGCACACGCTGCAAACCCCCGAGCACGTCTGTCTGCAGAGTACACTTGCATCCGAATTGGCCTTGAGTTCTGGTATAAATGAAGCGGCGCCCTCTTCACTCTTCTTTCCCCAGTTGAAGGCAGCCACGTGATGTGGGTTTCTGTCCTGTCCTGCCTCGCCGCTAATTTTGAGCCTAGCTCAGCTCCCTTCTTCAGCTCGCCTTTATGCATATCATCGTTGCATGCTATGCACCCTCTTTTGTGCATTGTATCAACCGCCATGAAGCCCCATACGCCCTGCTCAACAAACAACGTTAATCGGATTGCCCTCGACATAGCCCTCGACCCCTCTGACCAGCAAGTCCTGCAGGTTACGAATCGTCGACTCGGAGAACCAGGCGATATGTGGTGACACTGTCAGATTTGGCACGCCCTTATCAAGGAGCAACGACTGCCCGCGCACAGGCGGCTCACCGTCAAACACATCCGTCGCCGCACCGGCAATCCACTCCTCCTTCAGCGCCTTTGCCAACGCCCCCTCATTCACAATCCCACCACGGGCGACATTTATCACCAACGCGTCAGCTCGCATACTCTTTAGCTCCTCCTCCGAAATCAGGTCAACCGTCTCCGCCCGTTTTGCAGCTGTAATCATCACCACCGTCGCCCTCTGCAGCGCGGTCTCGAATCCGACCCTTCCTTCCCTCACCTCAGCGCCCATAACTCCCTTCCTCTCCGCAACGAGAACCTGCATCCCCAGCGCCCGCGCTATCATCTCGATTCTGCGCCCCAGCGCCCCATACCCCACTATTGCTACAACCTCTTGTTGCGTCGTATGCGGCGGCTCGCCCAATCCTCCTCCAAAACGATGCACCAACGTCCGCTTCTCAGCCCACTCGTCACCGTCCATAACAAGGTTATGCATGCTTACAACCCGGCGGCGAGAGGAGAAATATAATGCGATTGCGTGCTCGGCAACGCTGCTTACATTTGCTTGCGGTGCGTTCATCACCGTTATCCCGCGGGCAGTGAAGGCAGGGATATCAACCCATTCCACGCCGGTTGCCATGACGAAAACGCATTTCAGGCGCGGGCACTGAGAGATAATCTCGGGTGTTATGGGCACAATGGTCGTGATTGCGATCGTGGCGTCGTGGAGCCGACTCACTATCTCTTCCTCGTCGAGAGGGACTGAGGCGTAGCCTGTATAGGTGTGGGGGAAGGAGAAGCCCGGGATAGGACAATGGCATTCTTCAAGACAGACGACGTGATGCTGCGCTTCCGGAGAGATACTGGAGGACATTTTGAGTTGGGCTTGAGAATTGAGACGACGGTCAGCAGGATAAGACGTGATGATCGAGGTACGTACTCTGGGCGACGTTGGTTCCCACTTGGATCATGGAGCTGCTCCCTCGCGTGCCCCACGCGTCGTTACGATAAGATAACACTAACACTTAGCCCGGATATTAGGTTCGGTAGCCTCCGCCACGGCCCGGGGATGGATTGTCTTAATGGTAATCCTCGTGGTTGATTATTGGGCGTTGTACATCAGTGTCCTCTGTCTGACAAGTTCGAGGTTCAAGTAACACGTCGCAGTTGGTTTGTTTCCGCCTTCGGACTCGCTGAATGCCCTCATTCTTCCTCGTGTCACACATGACGTAATCTAGCATCGAACTGCCTGAGGCCGCAAGGCTGGCGAAAAGTCTCTGACTGAATAAAACTTTGTTCTCTTTTTTTGTCACGCCTTGTTTCTGAGAATCTTAGGTAGCTGTTTCTGAAGCAACACTTTTAGTGGCCTGAAACAAGGGAAGCTGACTATAAGGGGCAGAACATGGAGCAGTGGTAAAGCAAACACTCCGCTAAATTGCATGTTGCTGAACATCATGTCGTGCCAGAAACAACATTATATGAAATCAATACACCAAGGCTTCTAACGGAGTCTGTCACCATTTCAAAGTGCTGGGCAACAATCAAGATGCTCGAGGCCGCGCTATATATGGGATATTGAGAGCAAATCCGTTTTCGGCCAAGGCGTCCGCGCCCGTATAAATATTGTCCCAGTCGATGTCTCCCCTAGTTGCTAGGATAACATATATGAGATATACTCATTTGTGACTGGCTTAGCATGACGCAATGGTCTGGTGCTCTCAAATGCGTGATGTCTAGTACACAAAGGACTACTTGTATTCACTATCTAGTACTCGGTATCGAAATCTCCGCGGACCGAGACTCAATGGTTGCATACAAGCCAAGAAAAGCGGCTTGACAACTCGCCATAAGCAGCTATGATGGGGTATAGACGGGTATAATATAAATGTGAGTCAATCTCGGTATGTCGCCGAAATGAAGGACACTCCAGGTGGTTATTGGCAGTACAAGTACATCCTAAGAAATTGTCGTACCTTGTTCCTGAAAACTATATACCACAGTTATTAAGTTCAATCAGCAACGAATGTCATTTGAACCCAGGTTTGCTTTCCCGGCAAAACGCTGGCACGAGTCAGTTCGGCTATATATTTCTCCCATGAAGCAACTTCGCGGGGTCAAAAGTCAGGCTGGCCTTTTCCAGCAGCAAGGAAAGGATAATCCGCTTAATTCCAAAACTTAACGGGAGACTTACACAATCTCGAGCATATGAATAGGAGTATATAGTAGTATTGCATCATCGTGACAGTCAAAAATCAGGCTCAATCTAGCGTGGCTGGTTGGCAGGCGACCCACACTGAGCCTCGGCTTCGTGCGCCAAGCCTCCGTGTCCAGCAGGAGGTCGTCTGCGTTTGCCGTCACAAGTTTTGTCAACATTCCCTCCATTTTTCACTTTCGACCCAAAATTCGAATCTACAGGGGACAACGGACACGATGGCGCCATTAACCGCAGAAGAGGTCGTCGCCCATCCGGCCTACAAGTACACAGACTGGAAGCTCCCTCCAACAACCTCTGGCAGATGCCCAGTCGCGCAGAAGAGACGCGGCGGGCCGATTAACCTGTACTACGAGACACATGGCACGGGTCCAATAAAGCTTGTGGTAAGCGCATAACTCTCTCCAGATCAAAGGCAATTACATTGAGTTGCGATGAGACGGAAGGAACTGACAACAAACACTCAGTGGGTAATGGGCCTCAACGCCGTACACAGCGACTGGAAGCGACAAACGAAATACTTTGGACACGACAACGCGCACAAGTATACCTGCCTCGTCTTTGACAACCGCGGCGTCGGCAAATCCGACAAGCCCCTCTCCTTCTACTCCACCTCCGAAATGGCCCAGGACGCCGTCGACCTCCTCGCGCACCTCGAATGGATCGACCTCGACGGCCCGCCCTCCCGCGATATCCACCTCGTCGGCGCAAGCATGGGCGGGATGATCTCGCAGGAGATCGCGATGATTATCCCCGATCGACTGGCGAGTCTGACGCTATGTTGTACAGCACCCCGGGTTGTGCGCACGGCGCCGTTCCTGGAGAACCTGCGGGAGCGCGCGGAGATGTTTATCCCGCGAAAGATGGACCAGGAGCTGGAGAAGTTGGCGCATTCGTTGTTCCCTGCGGAGTTCATGGAGGAGCCGGATGATGAGTATGAGGAGCCGGAGAAAAACTTCCCGACGAAGCGCGATCGGTTTGCGGCGGGAAGGTTGCGAAAGTTGCAGGATACAGAGGGGTTTACGAAGAAGGGGTTTCTAATGCAGGTTGTTGCGTGCTATTTCCATCACAAGTCGGCTGCGCAGTTGAAGGCGTTGGGGGATGCCGTCGGGCGAGAGAGGATTGCAGTGCTGCATGGGACTGTTGATCGGATGTTGACGTTTCATCATGGGGAGTTACTCAATAAGGAGATTGGGGAGGGGATACTGTACAAGGTCTGGAAGGGGAGTGGGCATATGTTACCGTGGGAGAAACAGAAGGAGTTCAATTCGTTGGTGGAGGGTCTTGTACAGAAGTGCGAAGATCCGGGTGATGTTATGGGTCTTGGTATATAGCGGTGTTGATACGAATACACGATGGACATTTCTTTTATGAAGACGATTCAACTCTCTCTCTTGCTTATGATGAAGATGACCGCGCACCTGATCGCCTTCACCACTGGAACGCCAGTGGCGAGACCAAAAAGTCCAGACCGTTCAGAATGAGGCATGGCAAAAAGGAAAAAGGAAATGACCTACGCAGGGATCGAACCTGCAATCTCTTGATTCGTAGTCAAGCGCCTTGCCATTGGGCCAGTAGGCCAAGTTGTTGGAAATTTAAAGTGTCTGTGAGCTTATAAAGCATTTACAAAGTAATCTACAGAGTCAGCCATGGCTTTGTGTCTTAAAGAAGTCAAAAAACATATTCGGCGCGCTCGGCACACGTTAGAAAAACTAGCCTCCATTGAGTTATCCTCGTGGGAAAAATGTCCTCATCGCCTGCTGGACATATGCAACCAGTTGTATATTTCTTTGTTTGTTGGCCCGTACAGAGAGGTTACCTCTAGCGCTCTTCAGCCACTCCTCAATCCAAGGTATCTGAATGTATCTGCATTGATGGAGACTGAGAGGAGGCGCATGTCACATGGCAGCGCTCAACTCACCTTATGAGCCACCCTCATGGATGTCTTTGTACGACTATCCGTATAGAACCATATCCCAACTCCGATTGTCTCGTTCCACAAGCCCGAGCACAACTCGGAGAATACCGGGTGACTGCAGGATCAGAGGTAGAATTAAGGATTACGAAGTCCGCGGAAGAAGAAGCAGAGCAAACCTCTGATCGCTCAAGCCTCAAGTTGTGAAACCATACCCCGTACAGAGTACTGTCAAATCCTCACCTGTCACATCTCCAAATTCAAATCAGATGCGGTCTGCGCGCGCAGATAAGATCCTTGCAGCCAATCAATTGCATCACGAGCTTTATGGCTGCTTCTGATTGAGAGCTGATAGCCAGGGGTCAGGGACATCAGGATGCTGCAGGAAGCGCGCCAAGAGGTGACCGCTCTTTTCGATTCCCCTGCTCATTGTTTTTGTTGTTCCCAGGGAAATGGAAACTTCAATCAAAGCGCATTTCGGCCTAACTGTTAGTCTAAATAAAGGTGGTTGGCTTTTGTTTTTGCTTTTTTGAGGCGTCTCAATTCCGATCCAATGTCTCGGACTCGAGTCGAGACTCGAGACTCGATGGCAGGTGACCCGAGTCCAGTTTCAAGTGTTCGAACCTCAAAGACGAAGGAATACTTCAAAGGTTATGGATCTCAATGACTCTTTGTCTCTCCGGGCGTTTGGTGGCTGCTATGGCTGTCGTGAAGAGGCATGACATGATCAGTGGTAAGCGTGCAGTACGCAATGCGGTGTGCAATGATGAGATGAGATTCTCCCATCCAAGTCAATTCCAGCCGAGAACTCACGACACGACGCTGCACCCCGACGAAAGTAGGAATGGAGCATGTGTGGCAGCGGGTGGAGCGCACCGCCACAGGACGCATGCACTCGGAAAAGTCGAGAAGCTGAGTCTGTCTTGGCGAGATTCAAGCCGAATGCAGCGTCCGGCACGGCGGCCAGACGGGTCTCAGAAGATGTGATAATAAAATTAATGGGATTAATTATTTAGCCAGCATAAGCAACAGAGCACACCAGGCTAAGTTGACTAAATCTGCATGGATGATGAGAGGATCATGCGAGTGCCTCGAATCAGGACCTGACGATTTGCTCTAGTGCGCGTCAACCCCTGGTCTACCTCTTTTATTCCGGCTGCGTGGCTGCTTGGTTTCTTTTTTTCTTTCTCACTGTCCCTAATTCCATTCTTCCTGAGAGTACTTTTGCGATATCGACCGTGGTCGCCGCATTTATCTGCCGTGGTTCCCTCTGAAAAGAGCGGGCGCTGCGCCTTGAATTTCTTTCTGCCTTCTAAGTTTGGTTCTCGCGGCATCCTCTTGAGCTTCTCTTTCATCTCATTTACCTCTCCTCCACCATGTCCTCGAGCGCTCAAAATGCCTTGGTTCTTCCAGAGAATTCTTCTATCCTGACCAGAGGCTAACGCCAGCTTTTGTGCAATCGTCCTTGCCTCATCTTTCTCGCCTTGTTTGGTAGCTGATCGGCATTGCGCACCTTCGTGCAGCCCAGTACCGCGTGGCGGCTGATCTCCATTCCTGAATCGGCTGCAGACTATCGACTTGATTCCTATTTGCGCCCCTCCTCTCGCAAAATTCTCCGAAGAACGTACATATACAATCCCCTTTACCCTCAACACATCGCTCTCCGCAGCTTGTCACACGGCGGTGCAACCGTCACACTCGCCGAATGTTTTCCGCTCTTCTTCGCCAGGCGGCCTACCACAAGGCCCGCATACCATGGCTGAAGGATTTACACCTGAACTTCATCCTCATTCACTATATCTATATTATCTCCGTCGCCCTCATCTCCTCCATCATCATCTACCCCGGAAACGACCTGAAATACATTGATGCTCTTTTCTTCGCTGCGGGTGCGGCTACACAGAGTGGACTGAACACGGTGGATCTCAACCTGCTGTACACCTACCAGCAGGTCATTCTTTACTTTGTTTCCATGCTCACCACTCCGATCTTCATACATACAGCTCTGGTTTTCGTCCGGCTTTACTGGTTCGAAAAGCGCTTTCAGCACGTTGTTCGTGACGCCCGAGCTCTACGCACCACGAGATCCCGCCTCCGAACTATCAGCGAAGATAAGAGTTCTGCGGGGGAAGAAGCGGGCATCAATGGGCGGCCTATCGTGGTTTTGCGCGGCAACTCGGAAAACAATTCTCAAGATGGACCAAGTGCTGCAGCCCCCATCTCGGAGAGCGACTCCGAGTCTGTTTCACCCACATCGAATGCGAGCAGTGTGAACAGAACGACAACGGAGGATTATATGAATACCACCGTTAACCGCGACTTTGGCAATCTTCGTGTTCCTCCACAATTGAGCCCCGAGCACCACATTGCTTTCCTAGAGAAGCAGCGAAAGAACAAGGGCGCTTTGCGTATTCCCAGTCCGAGAGAGTACGATCGCGGTGGTGTTCCGCAAGTTCTGGAGGAGGAAGAAAATGACGAGACCAAACTCGCACGGAGCGGAACTGCTCAGTCAGACCCTCCTCGAAGTCCCCGCAGTGTAGAGGAGCAGGACACCATTCCCGCAACGGACGGACCACATATCACGATCAACGAGCCGGAGATGCCATGGACGAGAACCCGTAACTCTACTTTTCCCCGCCTGGATACCCGCCCAACCGTTCGCGAGACAAGGGAGGATGGTGACCCGGCTACACTGGGGCGGACCAACACTCGCAGACCCACATTTACTGGTATTGTTCGATCACTGACACAGGAACGCGAACGACCTACGCTGCCGTATCTTAGCTGGGATGCGACTGTGGGCCGCAATTCGAACTTTATCGATTTGACCGAGGAGCAACGCGATGAACTTGGAGGTATCGAGTATCGCGCTTTGAAGACGCTGGCCGTCATCTTGATAGCGTACTACGTCCTATTCCACCTTTTGGGTATCGTTGGCTTGCTTCCCTGGATCATGGAGACCCATTGGGGCAATGTTGTTAAGGCAGCTGGTCAGGGACGCCCATGGTGGGCCATTTTTACGGCTGCCTCGGCGTTTAACGATGTCGGGTTCTCGATCACTCCGGACTCCATGCTTCAGTTCCAGACTGCAGTTTGGCCGTTACTCCTGATGACCTTTCTCATCGTTATTGGCAATACGGGATTCCCATGTATGCTTCGCTTCATTATCTGGGTGTTGTCAAAAATTGTGTCAAAAGAAACCCCACTCTGGGAGGAGCTCAAGTTTCTCCTGGACCATCCGCGACGATGCTTTACACTCCTGTTTCCACGAAATGCCACGTGGTGGCTGTTCGCTATCCTTATCCTTTTGAACGGGATTGATCTGATCTTCTTCATCATCCTTGATGTGAGCGTTTCCCAATCTATTGGATCTGCCATAACTAATACGCCTAGCTCAATGACCCTACCGTCACATCTCTGTCAACAGGAATCAAGATTCTGGACGGACTGTTCCAGGCTTCCTGTACCCGAACCGCTGGATTTGCTGTGGTGGCCATCTCCGAACTACACCCCGCTGTGCAAGTTTCTTACATGATCATGATGTACATCTCTGTGTTCCCGATTGCTATTTCCGTCAGGCGGACCAATGTCTACGAGGAGAAGAGTTTGGGTGTGTACGAAGACGATAATGACGTGAACGAAGACACCCAAACAGCACCAAGCTACATCGGGACTCACTTGCGGAAGCAACTTGGTTTCGATCTTTGGTATGTCTGCTTAGGCTTGTTCATCATCACCATTGTTGAAGGTGATCGTCTGGAGAACGCCAGTCAGTACTCGTTCCAGATTTGGTCTGTGCTCTTTGAGGTCGTCTCTGCATACGGAACCGTTGGTCTATCCCTTGGCTATCCAGGGGTGAACGCTTCGTTTGTTAGTCAGTTCAGAGTCATCTCGACCCTTGTCATCATCGCCATGCAGATCCGTGGACGGCATCGTGGCTTGCCTTACAGTCTTGATCGTGCCATCTTACTTCCCTCTGAATCACTCAACCAAAAAGAGATTGTCGATGCGGAGAAACGCATGCGGCGACGAACGTCCAACCTTAGCCAGATAGGCTCTCTGGGTCGGCAGCAATCGCAGGCCGTCTCGGAAAATGGTGCCACGTCCGCGTTCGACCCGAGTCAACGCAACGCTGCACTAAACACAAACATTGACTCGATCATCCGACGCCAATCTACCCTTCGTTCGCAAAGGTCTCAGCAGCGATGAGATTTTTACCAGGCTTTATAAAATTTTGATTTGATAGATATAGCGTTTGAGCGGTTGTTTTGGCTTGAGCTGTATAACTGCATCTAATATTGCTTGCGATTTACGTTACCTTCTGATACCCGGAGGCTTTCCCTTTCGTTTTTGCTTGGCCATAGTCACTGGTGACTGGCTTTCGTTCTTTTTCTCAATTCAACCAAAACATCCAATGGATTCCACCTTGGACTTTTCTCCCTGCATTTCCTCCTTTGGGATTGTTTTCTTCGTGAAATACTGCTGCCTATCATTGTGGATACCATTGCACAACCGGAAACCTCGGGTTCTGCAACGGTCCGCCAATCTTGCCCTATATGGTATGCAGCGGTCTAGCCCATCGATAGTTTGTAGGGCTGCATGAACATCTCCCGCCCAGCAATGCTACTCAGACGTCAGGGGCTTCTCGAATCCTCGCTCATTCTTCTGCCAAGGTTCTAGACAGGGATTTGAGATGATGCACTAAAAATATCTACCATGAAATATGACCAATTGCCCGTCGCCCGGGGAGGTAAGGAGGCAGAACGTGACTAACGGTGTCTAGACCAGGGCAAAACATGAAGTGTAAAGTGAGACAGGATACACCTCCTTGCGTCTAACCGATGCCTGTGCCTCTGGTCCAGATTGAGTGGAAATACAGACTCACTCGATCCAAGGTTGACGAATGAGACTGAAAACTCAATAATGAGTCCCAAATGGGACTGTAATTATGGACAGGTACTTTTCTAGATGAGATGAAGAACTCGGCTTGTGCATGTATGGAGTATCTATGCACAGCAGGTAGTACCCGCTTATCTTGCATTCCCCGCGGTGGCTGGATCATATGGCTGCTATCTTACTGCTATTCGAGCCATGGATGTTACTGTAGCACGGCCGCAGGCGTTCTAGAGTAGGCAGTTGCTTTCTTTCGACCCTTGAGTGGAATATAGGAGGTAAACTGACAGCACCAGCTGAAAATGTAATGTGGCTGAGGGCCAGTCGGCGCACGCGGGCGTAAAATCTGCCTTCTTGGATTACTTGCAGCGGGATAACTCAGTTCACAAATATTTAGCAGAAGCACTTCACTCATGTAGGGGGGAGAGTTCTTCCGCTAGCAACGGCGGTGGTGTTGTTGAAGCCAGAGAGGCCTTTGCACTAATTTCTCTGCAAGATCAACCCGGCTATTTGGGTAAGCCATAGAAACGCATATGGTTTCTGCTGTTGTAAGTCCTGCCCTTGGATGATATTTCCCACTGCATTATCACGTTCTCCTGATTGACTACCTGATATAAAACTCACTTTCTTCTCATTGGAGGCTGGCAACCTGCTGATTATTGTGATGGTGCTAAACCCAGTAAACGCCATCTCGTGCAGACAGTGTTACCGACATGAGGAGCAGAGGAATTTCCCATGCCCACCACTTTTGCTTCCCCCGAGACCAACCCTAAAAGGCCACCGCGCAAGCTTCGCCTCAGCTGTCCATGGCTCGCTCAATGACCGTTGGGCTGAGAATAGGCTCCTTATGCTTCTAGAATCTTTTCTTAAGCTCGATAATAACCGTAGGAAGAACGAAGATAGGGAGGAAGCGCTTAACAATTTCCACGATATCCGTCCAAAAAAGATCCAGCTCCCTCTCCGCTAGGGACTTCTTCTTCTGCTTTTGCTCGGATTCGGCGACACCTTCTGGGGTCTCGTCATTGCCTCCCTCGGAGTAAGAGTACTTAACTTTCTTCCTTGGGGGCATTTTGTTGATGGAAAATCGAACCAGGTAGAGTATGAAGAGATCTAAAGACCCGTGAAGATTAGTGTAAAAAGGAAGATTCGTCCCATAACACATAACACAAGGATCTCACTGGGGCTGGAGGTCTGCCATAGCGAGTGAGCAGGTTTCTAACGCGCTGTAGAATCTAGTGATGGTGCTTGCTTGCTCTCTTGTCTATTTTAGCCGCAATTTAAGTCTGTGTTGTAAACCTGGGCCTGTATTTAGGTATCTCTATTGATCTAACATTCATCTACATGGCAAGTAGCCTTCAGTAGATGGTGTTTCGACTACTCAAGGCATATACCCAGCAAAATCCATGGACATTGAGTCTTGCCTGTCATAATTACTGAGGAATAATTTCGACGAAATGGACTCCGGATAGAGATGTCATATCAATCTCTATCAAAGAATATGGGGTTATTTGTTGTAAATAGCTGGACCGCTCAAGACCTGCATAAGAACCTCACCTCTCGCATTGAACATCTTGGACATCACCAACTTCCTCCTTACGGTCTTCTGTACCAACACGGCAGCAGTTTGGATTGAATAATATCTTGATTATTTCTTTAAGCCTTTTACAATAACGTTTGTCTTTCCATGGAAACTTTATCTCCTCGAGAACCCACCATCCGAAAAAGAAAGTTGGTTGGGCTGATGACTATTAACTTCTTGAGATGAAAACCTTGATGGGCGAACCAAAGGCATTTATTTCCTCCTCTTTTCTCGCCTGTCTTCTTTCGTCTTCACTTTTCATTCTCCTTCCACCTCCACATTCTGCCTTTACCGTCATTTTGAAAGTACCTGACTAAGAATGCTGCACATCGACGGCGGTGATTTCGGCGTGATCCTCGATGAACGCGAGGAGAAAGGGAAATGGAAGCCTACGCGGCTGCGCCACATCCCCTGGAACGACCTGCTAAGGATTCTAAAGGTGACGAGGAATGGTGATACATTGGTCCCGACGAAGCAGTACGACTGCCCCCAACATCTCAGTGAGTACACTGGCTCCACACCCCAAGGCCCAATACGAACATAGCTCGTTGCTAATACAGATGAATATCCAAGTTCGAGTGATCCAAGAGCATGACATCCTTCGCGAGACCCAGCAATCACTTCTATTGCATGAGGACTCTTTTGGGGCACCGGGTCGATATTGGAAGCTGAAAACAGCGATAAAATCTTGCCTGGCTGTTGAGAGGCTAGATATCGAGGGAAGAACAGTAGAAGAAACTCCGTGGTTGAGGAGGAGATCTGAGACCCTACAGCACCCGCGGCCGCTATATTATGACAGAGGCCCACACATCTTTGCTGGATTCCGATTTCGAGAAAGAAATAGATACTTGGATCCGAGGATCAGCAAAGCAGTCTACTATGGGCCCAGGCGATGGCAGATTGGGCTGACAATTCGGTATACAAAACCAGAATGGGTCAAGTGGGATTTGAAAACCTGTCTGGTTGATATGAGTACGACGTCCGCCTTTTCCCCCTCCATTTGATTACCCATATTATCAGTTGATATACTAACAGGCGCTCGTTCAGGGGTAGTCCAACTGACTCGCAAGAAGCGTGGGGAGCAAAACTTGGATGTGTATGGGATCGTGACGAGTGGAGATCTTCTCCAGTTTCATAAGCTCAACGATGCGGCAGAGGTGCAATCTTCCCCGGTATTTCTCCTTACGAACGAAGGTCTTCCCGCTATATGGCCCTATTTACGCGAGATCATCCATGCAATACAAATAAACGCCCCTGCACCTCTCGACCCAAACCTTGTTGGTGATGGAGTGGCAAGATCAGCACGTTTTGCAATCGAGCGGAGTATTCTCTTGTATTCATTGGAGATGAACCCGGACGGTACGGCTCGCGAGTTACCTCAAGCCTCGGAGTTTGGTGATGAGGAGGAGCACCAGAAAGCCGTGCAACTGGAGAAGCGCAAACGTCGAAGGGCTCGGAATTTTGCTGGCGGCCCCCGTGGCCCTGAATCTGATCGGTATATTTCTGCTGAGCCTGACTCCGACTCGGAGGATTGCTACGAGGGAATAAGACCACATGTGTTTCCCGAGGAATGGAAGACAAAACGTGGGGTTAAAGTGCGATATGAGTTGGATTCTAGCAGTGAGTCTGGAGGCTCCGAAAGCGAGGACTCTGAAGCCGAAGAGCCCAAGGTTGAGGACCTCGAACTTTGGCCCGACCCTGAGGATGATTTCACAATGTTGTGACGGTGGACGGATAGGATGGAGCTATGCAGCGAGAACGCAGCTGAACAAAAAAAACAAATGACTTGCTTCATTGATATAAAGTCAATAATCAGTAGTCCCAGGTAGTGTTATGAGTTCGGAGTATCGCATCACAGCAACTCATACCCCTCTTCCGAGCCTGGAGCATTGCCATCATCGTGAGATCCGATCTGTACCCCACATCCTGCACACTCTCCTTAAGGTCAGGGTGAGGGCACGGCCTCTCACAGCCCAGGCCGTCCTCCTCCAATTCCGACTCCTCACAGATGATCCGATCACACTCGGCATTGCCCGGGCTTAGGAGAGGAAGCCGCTCCACATATTGACGCCTGAGTCTTGCATTCGTTATAGCTTTCGGGGAGTCATCGGGTTGCTCGTTAGGTCTGCCGTCCGAATTCAAGCCCCATTTATGATTAAGGGGCATCCTCGCGACGCGGAAGTCTCGTGTCTGCCTCATAATGCATTTCTCGGGGTCAGCAGGCGGTGGTACCTTGATCTGAATTGCGTGTATAATGGATCGGAGGGAGCTCCATATGGGCGGCAGCCCTTCACCGTCGGGTAGGAAGACAGGCAAGGATAGGACCTCTCCGTTGCTGGTGAGTTTATTCAAATGTATGAGCTCGCCGCTTGCTACGATCCCGTACATGTCGTCATCTGAGCCCTTGTTGCGCTTTTGGCGGGTTCGCTGTATGATTCCTATAGTCGACACGTGGCTTGTCAGCGGACTTTGATTCAATGAAGCATGTATATACAGAATGAAAAGAAAAGAGGGAAGCAACAGGAGTGCAATATCCCACTCATGGCACCAAGCAACTCCTCAACTCCCACTCCACCCTCTCTGGGCCTGTAGACTTTATCACAAGCCCAATACCATACTTAGAGTCGTCATAACGCACAGCGCCATTCTTATTTGAATCCAGCCCTCTGTTGTTCCCTTTGAGCACGAACCCTGCGTAGGTATATGGAGATAAATCAGTATAAACAGCGGACCTGACAGCTCCAGCTTCGCAGATGTCCGTAACGGTTTGCTGTCAAGGTCTCCTGCTCTCCCTTCAATATCCAGCCTCTCAGCGGTGAGGCAGGATCGGATGATGGTACGCAATTTTCAACCCCAGTTGAAGTCTCTATAGTCGACGAGGAAGAGATGGCATTCGCGGACGTCGTGTTCTTTGATTAATGGGCCTGCGTATCTGTCAGGTCTGTATCCTTTCAGATTCTATAGAGATAATACTCACTGAGAGGAGAGGGCCACTCGTGTTCCTTCGTAGGGATAAATGCAAGATCGCTCTTTGTGACTTGTAAGATCCCAGTCAGGTTCTCGCAAGGGATGTGGCACAGTCCTATCGAATCCCATTTTTCTTCTTTCTGGCACCTGTCAATGTCGCCGAACATCACACCGAAGTCGACATCTTGGCTCTTGTCCGATAAATCTTGCCCGTGCGCTTCATAGGATGTGGCTCGAGAGAGAAGGTAGGCAAAAGGTAGTAGGGCGAGTGAAAAGTAGAAAGTAGATGAAGAAGTAAAACTCGGTTGATTTTTCAGAGCTTTTTCGCCTGCTATTCATAGTTAGCTTCCAGACAGTCAAAAATAAGTTTAATTGACCTCACGTATTGGTTCGGAGTCGTAGTGTTGCCTAAACGTAAAGTCCGGACCAACGTAGTCGAACTAGTGATGTAAGATGAAGGGCCAAACGCCTCTATATGTCATCTTAATAGTGGCTTGACAGTGACCTAACAATGACTTACAATCAGCGAAATATGAGACACTAAATCAAGAGGTGGCGAGGCACCTTATTTGCTCTAATCAACTCGGATACATACAAGCAGCAGCCGGGTATACAAAGTCACACAAAAACTCGTAAAACAAATAAAATTCGTGGCAAAAAGGGGCACTTCAAGTGAGGAAAAATCCTAAACTCAAGTGGGCACTCCCAATAACAAAAAAAAAAAAAAAACGCTTCGCTTGAGTCAAGTCATGGTATGCGTGAGGTCAAAGTAACTCATAATCATGTAAGAAGGCGAGCGCTGAGTATCGAGCGGCTTACAGCCCACGTAACAGACTTCCCTCTGCGAATGGGCTCTGGGGTGCCATATCCAACATTGGCTTCGTGGCGTTGCGGTCTCCTGTGGCCACTCCGTGTCCCAGTGGCACGCCAGTTGCAGGAGGAAGAGTTCCAGTTCCCGTCCGAGCGAGAAGACTGTTCGCAACGAAGCCTTGCTCTTCTGGGAGAGCTACATCGTTAGGCAAGACCGGAGATACAGCTGTGGCTAGTGTGTTAGGGTGCCGATAGCGACTGCTGGCGCTGCGGGCCGTGTTGGATCGGTTGCGGGTTCGGGTCTCTATACTGGAGGGAGGTTCTGCAGGTGCTGTAGGTCGTCTCCAGGTCTTCGCTGGGGGAATCGCGATACCGCCGGCTGCTTCAGGTCCCGTAGCAGCCTCAATCAGTGGCGCACCTGAGTCAACGGTGACGCCTCTTCCTTTTCGTGTGTGCTGTGGAGGTTCTTGGTAGACAGGCGTCAGGTCAACAAGCGGTTTGCCTTGCTTGATCGACCCGGATCGCTTCAAGAGGATATCCAAATCAGGTACTTGAGCTGATGCCATGCTATTAGATCGACTACCAGGCCGCGAGGCGCTGAATTGGCGGTTCAATGCCCCTCCAACTAGGCCTTGATTGAACAATACGTCCGCTTCCCTCTTTTCCCGGTCTTCCCGCTCCTTCATCGCCTTCTGGCGCAGAGTATAGGTCCGTCCCAGCAGCCCTGATGACGAAAAAGGATTTTCATCGGATAATTGTGCGGTAGGTGATTCGGTTTCAAGGGACTTGGGAAAGGACGAAGGCGGGGGCCCATGTTCTCGGGATGGTCTTTCACGCGAAGAAGGTTGCCGTTTCCTGGAGCGTGCGGCTAGGGGCTCTTCACTCTCCTCACTACTGTAAGTGTCGATGGTGGCTAAGAGAGGCTTGAAGGTTCGGACTTGAGAGGGCTCCTCTTGAATTCGACTGATGCTTGCTTTTCGCTCACTACTGCTGTCGGTTTGACCCGCACCCAAGGTGTTGACCATGTACCAGCTGCGCCATGTCTGAACGGCCCTATACCAACCATCGGCGACCGATTTATCATTTGTCGCGAAAAAATGGATAAAATTCTCGGTTGTAAGGAACATGCTCGATTTCTGTTGACTCTTGATGGCGTAGCAAATCTTCTTCGGCGGTTTTATCTTTTGCGAGAGGAAGGTCGGGGTAGGGGAGTAAATGTCAAAGTCAGAAAGGTGGCAAACATTAGTCTGGTCTTTCGCCATGTCTTTCTTCGACAGAGTGATCTGTCCGTCCGATCGTAATGTGAGATAGCGCTTGTCCCATTTTCGCGGCTTCTGGGAATAATAGATGTGAAAGGTCACGTCTGCTGGGGGGTTCTTTGGCACAGACTTGGAGTCTAAGAAATCAAGTGCCTCCATACTCGGGCCTGGAACAATGATCAAAGAATTTTCCGCGTCATGAGCCCACGAGTTCATCACATCTCGGACACATTCGTACTGCCGTAAAGGTCGCTCTAGGCCTTGCGCGGTAAAAGATTCCATGAGTATAAAGCGGGAAGGTTCGATTTCGGGCACGCTGTGCGAAGCGGACGTTAGAATGTCATGAGCAGACGTTGATGGGCTAACACTAAGCTTCAGAGAATATTTCTTGTACTGAACGAGAACAGTTCTCTCGCCAGCGTTGACTGCTGAAACTGGGGCATCGATTCCGGGAAATATGGTTGCGGCGTTGGCTTCGGTTGCACTTCCAGGCCCATGGCTTGTCTTGCCCTTTGGGCGGGAGAACTTCATCGCGTCCTTGAAAGATTTGCGCTTAGGTTCATTGTGCGAATGGCGCCGACTCGCGTCCTTGTCAGCTGCGGGTCGGATGTCAGTCACTCTCGGGGCCTCGCGATCTGTTGCGGCTCGTCCTCGAGTGGCTGGTCTTTGACGGCTGGAGGGTGTCGCCGGCGACTCCCCACATCCACCCGTCAAGCGATCCATAGCCGCCTGCCTATCTCTCTCGCGCTCCTCCTGCTCCGACTCGCTTGAAATGTTGCTGGTGGCTCCAAAAATGCCCTTCCCGCGTGTGTCAATCCTCATTGTGTCCATGAATCTTCCCCGCGGCTTCGTCAAATCAGGTCTATACGAGTCTTTCGACGGACGGGGGGCGGGATAATCATCAGGATATCTTGTCGTTGGGTCCGTCTTAGAAGCCGTGTATTGTTCCGGTGAAGTTGGAAGAGGCGGAGGCGCATCGGAGGTTGAATTGGGAGTAGAAGGCTTCTGGCGTCGATAGCGCGACATGCTCTTCTTGACCGTTGTAGTAGACCCGCTCGTCCAATCCGGAGCAATTTGGGATACATTCGCAGATGCGCTTTGGTAGGTAGGTACGGGTGGTACTGAGGTGTTTAGAGGGTTCAGTCCGTGGGGGTTGTTCGATGCGGCCTTTCTCACGGAGCGGTACCGCGAGAATTTCGCTGGTGCTGGCCCGCCTCCTCCAACCCCTGTATAGTCCTGTTTCTCAGTAGCCATCATCGTGCAGTTTTGCGTCACAATTGCTTTCAATGCATGCGCATGGGTGCCGTGGGCATAATAGGGGTATATCTGGAGTAAGAGGTGGTTCGCGTGACCTGTCGCATGCGTCTTCGGATATCCGTTTGCGATCCGATAGACAATGACAGTTGAGCTGAGCGCAAACTAGTATCTAAACGTCTCCAGCAAAAATGATCGCAGTCGGTCAATTTCCGTCTTGAGAAGTAAATTTGTCTCGAAAAGTAAAGGAGGGCAAAGTCAGTAGAAATACGACGGGGAGGCGCTATTTCCCCCTAAAAGCTGCAAAGATGTTTCACAAGCGTTTCTGTGGTCTGACTTCAACCCCAGAATAGAACCAGAGGTGAATCGCACGCTCTGAGAAAGTAGGAGAGAAGAACGATTTCAGTTCCAGCCAGGCGGGCTGGCTGTAGCGGAGATTTAAGTCAGGTACTCCGTGAATTGCTGGGAGTCTGCGACCCAGTGGACCTGCAGAGCGAACCACCTGCTCGAGGCAAGGGGCGGCCCAAACGAAATGAGTTTGCGGTGCTTGCTGTCGAGTCAGAGGCACAAACAGCTGTTCGATGACGATCGCATCGTTGGTCGAGGACCTGAAAACAAGGCTGAGGGTAGGCTTCAAGATTCTTCCAAGGTCAAAAAGGCCTGGCGCTGTCATTGGGGAAGAAATGGGACCAAGTGCGGGAAATAATTGGGCCAATTTGGGGGTCCTTCGACGAGACCAGGCCTTGCGGCTCCAGATTTTGGGGCCAGCAAAAAGAAATACGTCCAATTAATCACTGTGCCCTGGGCCTGCATGACGTTTGGTCAAGGAGGTCTCCTTGCAGTGGATTCAACATCAATCTCTCATCATAAATCTGGACTCAGTGTCCTCGCTGCCCAGTGCTCGACAACCGAAAATATGCCAAGACATCATGATCGTCTGTATGGGCTATTTTGGCTTGTGGAGGAACATAAATCCGCCGCCAAATCCCTCCAATACAGTACAAAATTACTATGTACCCTGGATCTTGTTAGCGCTGAGCGGCCTCCGCTTGCGTCTCAGACAACCCTTCACCACTCTCTGGTGCCCATCGACATCGCCGTTTACTCCGCACGGTTCTTCACCCCCGATATTCACCTTTCCAATCTCGAAAAATAGCTTCACTGGCTTCCTGCCCGTATTTCGCGGCCTGGAAGAGCGTGTTCGACGACCAGTTTCAAGCAAAAGCTTTACGACTGCTGCCGTGTCCGTAATTAGCCTTCGATGACGGAGTTTGGTCCAACGGACGTTTTGCTCTAGGTTGGCCACGTCTTTTTTGAGACCCCTCTTGACGCGCATTATTAGCATCTACATTTCAGCCACGCCTGACCTCAGAGTCCTGCCAATTGATGTCCATCTTGATAGTACCATGGAGCCCCTCTACCACCGCTTCAATCTCACAGGCCCTAGATCAGAGCTTCTGCGCCTAGCCAATCTTTCCAGGTTACCACGATTCCAGCCGTCTCTAGAAACTCAATGAGTGCTTCTTGCCCACTTGCGGTGTCGATCCCATAGGTATATTTGAATTAGCGTTACCTCAACAAGCCTAAGCAGCCTGTCAAGCACAAGAGATGCCCCTCCCGCGCTGCTAACAGCAGAGGTATTCGTCCAAATGGACTGATATCAGTGACCAGTGCATCTCCTCCACAATCGAAGCTCAACTGGGAAGCAGTTAACCATCCGGTCTTTATGACCCATGATTGTGCTGCACTCCCAGTTGCTAGGATTGCATCAATACGGGCATGCGCCAGCAACTGCTGGCACAAACGACGACATCATCTCACGCTTACTATAGTCGTACCCAGTGTAGGTCGCAGCTGATTTTCATCTCGAGAACACAGCGCCAGGTACTTCCCTGGGAGATTATATCCGGTTTCCAAGCATAAAGTCACGGCTAGTAGGTTACCGGGAGGAATTAGGACAGTAATATCCCTCTGAAGCATCTGGCACCCTGGCGATTAAGGAGTTGGTGAACTGCGAACTTGAAAAATTAAAGCTCATGTGCGATGATCGACTGTAAATCGCTAATCAGTGATCTTCGTGCTCCCTGCTGATCATCAGATTTCCTGTGGCACCCAAAGGCAGAACCCCACGAAATGAGTTTGAGACATCGTGACGTGGGCAGGAGTTTTCCATTGAGATACATGTACAACCCGTCCGATATTGGCCGGGATCATTTCTGTGTAAAACTAGCTAAGATATTCGCCATCGTCTTCCATTTACTCCGGAGTAGACGGACCTCCTGGTCTCTCATAGGCCAGTCTCAAGCCGTGTCTCTCTTCTATCGTCCTCTGTGAACTCGCAAAGAGATGACAGCTCATAATTAGCTTGGCAAATTGCTTTTTATAATGTTACTCTATTTATACTATGTGATTTGCGATGCGGCAGGGTCTCTTCCAGACTCAATATCGCCAGCCACGCTTTATTTCTTTTGTGACTCCAGGTGTTTCCGCCTAGCGCCGCGCATCATTAGCTCTTAGTGGTCATGAATAGCTGGACGATCTCAATGAACACTTACCACCACTGCTCAAAATTGACGGTCGACACATCGATCCCCAGATCTTTCAACACTTTAGTTGAGAGATGTGTATCATAAGGTCGCTGCACTGATGCATTCGGGTCGTTTCCTTCCTTGTTCGGAATCATTCCCTTGAGGGATACGCCCAGAATCTCCGCGAACTTTTGGCAAATCTCGTACTTTGTCATCCGATCTTCCGAGGAGAACTGCAGGATCTTGGGAAGCTCGAGAATACGATCACGGTTCTTGAGGTATTTGATCACAATATCCCGTAGCACGCGTGCAACGTCCTCGGTGTTGGTAGGGTATCGCTGAGCCCAATCGTCCATCTTGATGGCAGCATTCTCGTCTTGCGCCTTCCATACAGCGTCAACGAGGGTGTTGACAGCGCTCTCAGAGTTATCGTTCGCCGTGCCGTATAGCACCGGTACGCGGACGACAAGGCCCATCCCACTCTGCTTGGTCGCTTCGAGAACAACCAGCTCGCCGTCCCGCTTCAGCTGGCCGTACATGTTTGGGGGATTTGTCTCCGCATCGGCCTCGTACGGCGCTTCTCCCTCGGTGCCCGGAAAGACGTAGTCCGTTGAGATATACACGAGGAGTATACCGCGAGCGGCTGTCAACTCGGCGAGTGTACGAGTAGCATCAACGTTGACCCGGCGTGCCTGGTCGGGGTTCTTATCACATAGGTCGGGGGAGCGATTCGCAGCACCTATTCACAGCGGTCAATTCCAATCTCAAGTAGGTACTGAGAATCTCGTCAAGAGCCGAACGTACAATGGATGACGATCTGAGGCCTAATAGTCCATATTAGTATCAATTGGTTTATTTCTCAATGGCACTGGCCGCCAGCGGCTCGAAAGCTTTGGATTGGAATGCAGCCACATACTTAGCTTCGTCCAAGAGGCTTTTGATTTCGTCTGGGTTTTCCAGGTTGGCCTTGATGATCGTAGGCGGGTTGGCGCGCGAAAAGCCCTGGCCGACAGTGAGACAGCCGGAGCGCTTGAATTTGTCAAAGACTTGTCGACCCAGAAGGCCGCTTGCGCCTGTTACAAGAACCGTAGTTGCCATTTCTCGAGATATGGTTAGAGATTGTGAGAAAGATGAATTGCGAAGCTTGAACCTTGGAGGATTGCTGAGGGGTCTTCTTCCAGACCTTTGCGGGGCACTTGCATGACGTAGTCCACAGTCACCGGCGACTTGTCTCGGAGGCTTACCAGCAGCGCAACATCACCGGTTCCCTTTCAGCAAGAATAAGAGCCACTTGTGGATGATTCTACCATAGAGAAAGGAGTTTCTCGTAAAAACTTTGGAAGTGACGTGCCTGTCTGCTATTATGAGGTCTCAGGACACTATGAGCGGAACATATATGTATATATATTTCAAGTATACATCACCATATATACTCAATAACAGTCTCGTCTTTGAGAGAATAGTCATCATATGCTCGAAGACAGTAAGCCCAGCATAAGATTGTTGTCTTGCCAATAGTGATTAAACCGCTAATAGGGCAAATGTACTTGGGGAATAGGTCTGGTAGCAGCTCAGTCCGTACAATCCCCGCCGTATCACTGATATAGAAATGTAGATACGCTTGAGCAATAGATGAAGGTGATCGAGCCCTACCAATATGTAAGATGTCTCGGGTACATAGTAAGAATCCTGTCTGGGCATACGCTGGTGGTGATGATGCTACAGTACGTATGTACTACTTGTACTGTTGTATTACGAGTAGTAAAGGTCGATGAAGCTTACCATGCAGCTGATATACCCACACCCGAGGCGGGTATTCTTCGAAAACTGCATACAATCCGGTACGAGGCGTTGTAAATTGGAAAGAATTCATTCGTTAGATCAGAGATCACCGGTACGATATTCGTTCTCCCCGATACCGGGCGGATAAAAAGTGCTGAATAAGCGAATCCTCCTGGCGGAGTTGAAGATCGGAGCCGAGACCGAAGGGTTAAAAGATCTTGTCGCACCGGTCCGCTCAAATCAACACCGATCATACCATGTCCGGGGCCAGGAACTTCGCAGCCACCCTTCGACGGGCTCGTCTACCCAAGCCGCGTGTGGCTGGGCGCACCATTGTCTCCCAGATTCCTGCTGTCACCGTTACTCGCAACTTTTCGCAAGCATCGTCGTTACGAGCGACCAAGGAAGTCAAGTACACGAGCGACGCTTATCCCAACCTGAAGCGCAACCCGAACTTCGGCGAGATCACTCCGGAGGATGTGAAATACTTCAAGGAGTTGCTGGGTGCGGAGTCGGCCGTGATTGACGGAGTGACGACCGATGCCACCGACGATATCGAGCCATTCAACGGCGATTGGATGCGCAAGTACCGCGGGCACACGAAACTCGTCCTCAAGCCGCAGTCGAAGGAGGAGATTAGTGAGATCATGAAATACTGCAATGGGAAGAAGCTGGCTGTTGTGCCGCAGGGTGGAAACACAGGACTGGTTGGCGGTTCAGTGCCGGTGTTTGATGAGATTGTCATCAATACTTCGCGGATGAACAAGATTCGCTCGTTCGACGAGGCTTCGGGTGTCCTGGTTGTGGATGCTGGTGTCATTCTTGAGGTGGCTGACCAGTACCTCGCCGAGCGCCACCACCTCTTCCCGCTTGACCTTGGTGCCAAGGGCTCATGCCATATTGGAGGCAATGTGGCCACGAATGCTGGTGGGTTGCGTCTGCTTCGGTACGGCAGCCTTCACGGTACAGTTCTGGGCGTTGAAGCTGTTCTTCCCGACGGCACAATTTTCGATGGCTTGTCAACTCTGCGCAAGAACAACACTGGTTACGATCTGAAGCAGTTGTTTATCGGCTCTGAGGGTACAATCGGTATCATCACTGGTGTTTCGATCATCTGTCCTCCCCGACCCAAGGCTGTCAACGTTGCGTACTTCGGTCTTGAGAGCTACGACCAGGTTCGCCAGGCCTTTGGCGAGGCCAAGAAGCAGCTTTCCGAGATTCTGTCTGCGTTTGAGCTTATGGATGGCCGTAGCCAGAAGCTTGTTCACCAATCTACCGGCAACAAGTATCCTCTCGAGGGAGAGTACCCCTTCTATTGCCTGGTCGAGACAAGCGGATCCAACGCTGAACATGATATGGAGAAGCTGGAGACCTTCCTGGAGAGCATCATGGGCGAGGGTATTGTGTCCGACGGTGTTTTAGCGCAAGACGAGACACAATTCCAGAGCATCTGGCGCTGGCGAGAGGGTATCACCGAGTCCCTGAGCCACCTCGGCGGTACTTACAAGTACGATGTTTCTATCCCTCTTCCTGAACTGTACCAGCTGGTTGACGACTGCCGGGAGCGTCTGACCAAGCTCGGATTCGTTGGTGACGACGACTCTTTCCCCGTCCGTGCCGTTGTCGGTTACGGCCACATGGGCGACTCCAACTTGCACCTCAACATCGCCGTTCGCCAGTACAACAAGGAAGTCGAGAAGGCGATCGAACCCTGGGTGTACGAATGGATCCAGAAGCGCAACGGTAGTATCAGTGCTGAGCACGGTCTGGGAGTTGCCAAGAAGGAATTCATTGGTTACAGCCAAAATGATACCAACATCAAGCTGATGAAGCAGCTGAAGGACTTGTACGATCCGGTAAGTGATACTTTGCAACGGGTTGGGAGTATACAAACTAACGATCGAGTAGAACGGGATTCTGAACCCTTACAAGTATATATAGAAAGGTATATTTGCGCATGCATACATAGCTGCAGCGTGTACTACAACATGAATAATGGATAATTAGCGAGCGCGTACTGCCCAGAATCGTCGCAAAGCTAGAAGTAGAAAATAGTTGCCTCAGGCGTAGATCTTTTGTGGCTGAGTTGCCGTGTTTTGCGGCTGACACCGGTGGTTGCCATGCGCTACCGGCTGTGTTGTCTCTCCTTGACCCATGGAAATCGGAACCGTTATCCATTGGATGCCAGCGATGGAGTCGGGGTCGCCTCAAGTAATTATCGAGTTTATTGATTCACATAGCTGACGCCGACTCCCTTCCCATCTCTTTTAAAGGCCGGTATACTCGACCTGTTCAGCGCAGCGACAAGGGATCTTGCTGGGCAGGAATCAGGTAGCTAGCTGTGCGGGTCGCTCGCCCCTTGTTTTTGCTTTTCGGTCTTTTCCCGGTCCTTTCTTCTTTCCCCACCCCTGAGCTTCGAAAGCTTCGAGCTGCAAAGCTGCGAGCTTCGAACTGCGGTCGGAATGTCGCGAGCCATGGCGGACGATTTGGCGAGTCAGTACCAGATGATGGAGGAGCTGGGAAGTGAGTGACCTACCAAGCTTGGTTTGCTCAATGGCTCTGACTGACGGATTGTCGCAAAGGTGGAAGTTTTGGAACAGTGTATAAGGCAATCGACAAGACCACGGGGGAGATTGTCGCCATTAAGCATGTGAGTCTCCTTGAGTCCACGCTGTGCTTCATGGAATCCAATTGACCCTGTGCTCCCTCTAGATTGACCTGGAGTCGAGCGAAGACGACATCCAAGAGATTCAACAGGAGATATCCGTCCTAGCGACATGCGCGAGCCCCTATGTTACTCAATACTACGCAAGCTTCCTCCGAGGACACAAGCTCTGGATTGTGATGGAATACTTGGGCGGAGGATCGTGCCTTGACCTGGTGACTATCCCCGAAGCCGATTGGGAGGAATCAGCTAATCATGTGTAGTTGAAACCTGGTGTGTTTAACGAAGCGCATGTCGCCATTGTCTGCCAGCAACTTCTCCAGGGCTTAGACTACTTGCACAGCGAAGGAAAGATCCACCGAGATGTCAAAGCGGCCAACGTTCTACTTTCACACACGGGCAAGGTGAAGCTCGGAGACTTCGGAGTCGCCGCACAGTTGACCAACATCAAGTCGCAACGCAACACCTTCGTCGGAACACCATTCTGGATGGCCCCGGAGGTTATTCAGCAAGCCGGCTACGATTACAAGGCAGATATCTGGTCGCTGGGTATTAGTGCGATGGAGATGATCAACGGAGAGCCGCCGCACGCTAGCACCCATCCGATGAAAGTTCTGTTCCTGATCCCCAAGGAGCCTGCCCCTCGGCTACATGGTGACGGATACAGCAACGCTTTCAAGGACTTTATTGCGCAGTGTCTGACAAAGGATCCTGAGCGCAGGCCGAGTGCAAAGGATCTTTTGAGACATAAATTTATTCGAAATGCCGGGAAGACAGAAGCGTTGCAGGAACTGATCCAGCGGAAGCAGGATTGGGATGCTGGACGCGGTGTATCACGTAATGTGAAGTACTATGCGGAGTCTCTGTATGTGACCTGTACGAACTTGAGCTATGGACACGAGCTGACTTTGGTGATATAGGAACACAATCACGCATCTCAAGGACGACGACGGCTGGGTTTTTGATACGGTTAAAGCACCTACCATGGTCATCCGGGAAGACTCTGATGACTCGGAGACTGGGTCAGTTATTGTTCACGATCCTCTATATGACGAGTCGGCCGAAATGGTTGAGAACCTCCGCATATCAAGTCCCCCGAACCCACGACAAAGACACAACAACACCGCCGTACGCCGTGTACCGGCACCCGATCGCAGCCCTTCTCTTCGACGACCAAAACGACGATCCAGTGGTGTGAAACAGCCACTGGGAGTGGATCTTACGTTCGGTAACAGTCCTTCGACTGTTCGCCAATTCCGACGGGTGTCTGACAAGGCCCCAACTGAGGACTCGTATCTGTCGCAGCAACTCGCCGGTACGGACGAGAATGCGAGCCCTAAATCAGTATACACCGAGACCAACAGCAAAGAAGCCCAGCTGGGACGCCGGGCATATACAAAGGCCGTGGGTCACGCGTGCCAGGAGGTCCTGGGAACGACTGCAGACCAGGAAAAGCGCGAGGCGATATCTCGACTCGCAGAGGCCTTCAGTGACCTGGAAATGGTCGATCCAGAGGGCCTCTACCAAATTCTCAAAACTACAAACGAAAAGCTCTTAGGGTAAGCTAACTGTGCGATATTTTCTCCTGCCTGTCATGCTGATGAAATTCTGGAACAGTGACTGCAAGCTGTCAACTCTTGTCCCACAAGCTCCACCTCCCGAATCTCCACAACGGCCTCGCCTCGTTCTGGCACAGAACAACCCGCACTTGAAGAGTCACAAGCGGCGCCAATCGGCGGCAATGATTGAGCCAAATCCGCAACCTCAACAGGCGAACCTTCCGGGCCAGCCTGTCGCAGGCATGGAGCACATCAAACAACTATCCGACGTTCTCTACCAGCGATGGTCTGAAGGCCTTCGCAACCGGTGGCCCGGAGTATAAACCTGGGCAGCACTTTCGCTGTACAGATCGGTCTCAGGCGTTCTATAATCCGGTTCTGCGCTTTCCTGACGCTCGCTGATTGCCCATTCACAATAATACCCTCGTTTTCTGCATGACCTTCTTAAAGGTCCTTCCTCATCGAGCTCTCATCGTGGGCTAAGCTCTTGATAGATAGCTTACTGCTATCTGTCGCACTGTACTGCCAATTTGCACTGCTGATTTTGTTGCTGCTCCAGAACTGGTTCTGGACTGGATTTTCCGAAATTTCCTTCTGGTGAATTATTTCCACTTTGAGCTTGTGATTATTCCACGGCTTCGCCCTGGTAGATACGGGCATTCCCATCTTCCCTTCGTTGCTCATTTTGGACTGCGCTTATATTTGTGAGATACATGTGGTGTTGGTGATGGAGTTTGTAAGTATTGAGATTTGGTTCTTGTACATTTAGAGAAGGGTGTTTGTACCGGATATAAAATAATAGGATTGATTATACGGCGAAATGCCTGCTTCCGGTACCATATCTTCAGCTTTCTAGCTCTATATGAATGATTTGTTCATCATGAAACTGGCGATCCCAAAATAGTCTCAGACGCTTGAGTTTTCCACAGTTGCTTCCCCAGAGACTATACAGCACTAGTCAATTTGTAGTCGACCAGCACGAGATCTCAAAAACATGCAAGAGCCGAGACACTCTCCATAGTCCATCGTCAGTGTCAACCACATGTCTAAACTCATCCCCTTGCAGTCATGATTCAGGATAATGCTTTCCGATCTCATCGCTTGAAGAATGATTATGGCTTTCGCCGATCGGCCCCTGAGCTAACTGAAATGGAAGGGATACGCGTGGCGGGCCGCCTGGTCAGTCCCAGACGAGACTAAATTAACGGCCAGTCTGGGCTTCACCACCGTCGGCACTGGCCACTTATTATCATCTCAATTTCTCCCCTGGCCTGGCGCTGACTCTTCTTCTCCATCCTCCCATCCAGACACTCAAGTATCTCGGCTCCCTCACGCTCCTTTTTCGCCAGTCTCTCGCTCTTTTCGCCGTCCCGCCCCTTCCCCTTTCCCTCTTTTATCCAGCCCCTTTCGCCCACCTCGTCTTTCGTTTCTGAGGCTTGTCTTGTTGTCTTGCTGGAATGTCATGATTCTGCCATTATCGCCTCAATAAATCCGCCCGATTTGCCATCGTCCCCGTTCCGCGATGGTGGACTCCCCGGGAACGGCGCAGGCGGAATCCGCGCCGGAAGCGTCCCAAACAATGACGCCCTCAACCACCACTGCGAGTGAAGCGCTCCCACCGCCGCGCCAGATCTCCAAGCGATCTTCTCTCCCTCCTCGTCCTCACGGTGCCGCCCGCCATACGAAGCGTCTGACCTTGAATTTCCCCATCAACATCCCCCAAACAGCTATTGATCCCAGCGCAGCCTCATCTCCGTCCGGATCGATGACACCAGCCACACGATCGTCCGCGCGCCAGTCTCCCGTTCACACCATCTCCACGCCGCCGTTCGACGGTCAAGATGATGGCACAAGCTTGCTGACCGCCATTGCGTCTCAGGAGCGAAGGGTGTTGGAGCTTCGCGAGGAACTACACCGGGCGGAAGCGGAGCTGGACTCGTTGAAGAGACAATGGGCATCGTCGGAGAAAACTAGGAAACGGACAGAAGTCAACCATCGTGCGGAGGTTATGCAGCCTCTCAAGTCGCCTGATCGAGTTGCTGGAACTGGTCACAGCAGAGAGCAGAGTGTCAGCGGTGTTGCAAGTCCTGTTCCGACCCAGGTTCGCCTTAGTCGGGAGCTGGAGCGCCGCCAAAGTGTGCTCGCAGCTGCAGCTTCAGCTGGAACTTCCGTCTCGGCGAATGGCCGGCGAGTGTTTCAAGGGTCTCACACGCGGGCGCTATCTTTGCTCTCACCTTCCATTAGCTCTGCTGCGAGCAGCAAGCAGTCCGGATCTGAGTCCGGCTTTGTGCAGGACAACGATCGTGTAGGCCGGCCCCCACGATCGGCCACCATGCCGTCTGTCGACCGTGCTGTCGACCGTGCTGTCGGTCGTACTCCAACCTCTGCCGCTGTAGCGCCCACCGAGGATATGATAACTCAGTGGCGTAAGACGATGCCAATGCCACCTGCTTCTCGGGATCTCCTCATGCGCACAGGCAAGCAGATGGCGACGGACTTGAAAGAAGGGCTTTGGACGTTCTTGGAAGACATCAGACAAGCAACCGTCGGAGACGAAGGAATCAACGCCACGGAATCGCGAACCATGCAACAGCCCCGCAATCGCGACTCGAGCTCAACCTCGCGCAGCCGAGACCGGTTATCCGTACAAGCAGGCAACCCCTCGCGATCGCCGTCCTCAGGAAAGAGGAGTCCGGGGACCAAAACAAGTGGTAATAGCTCCAATTCGGCGGACATAGACGCCTCGTTCTGGAGTGAATTCGGCATTGATTCATCTGCCCAGAAGTCCCCAAACGCTCTCAAAACTCCGCAAACCCCGCGCGATCCGAACAGTCACAAGCGCGCAGATCCCAACACGCTCGACGTGGACGAAACCTGGGATGACTGGGATACACCGCAACCGAAGAAAACGCACACGCCATCCTCGAGCCGCTCTACTATCGAGTCGCGGCAAGACCAGTCACCGGTTACTCAGACGAGCAGTCCCCGTACTAGCACTAGGTAGGTTTTGGCTTGCCTATGCGCGTCAGATATCTTCGTTCTCTTTTTTTTTTTTTTTTTTTTTTTTTTTTCTAATTGTCAGTCACTCTATTCTACGGCCCTTTCTAACTGGTTTCAGCTTCGGCGACTGGCGCCACGACATCCCCGACCCCAGCGTCGCAGACGGCATCCCCTGGCCCGCTCTCACCCAAGCCGCGCCCTCGAAACTCACTCGGACAGCCTCAAACCTCATGGCCGAATGGGAGCGCAGCCTTTCCCCGTCGCCGGTAGCTTCTCCGTCTCTCGGCAAGGACAGCAAAAAAGATTGACGTCGGGAAAACCGAGATCTGAGTCATCAACGGCCTCCCCTTCTTCTTCTTCCTGTTTACTACGAATACCCTTCAAACCTCGGACAGCCATTCATCCGTTTCTCAAGCGTTTCTCGAGCGCAGCCGTTGTATATATGGACACGAATATGTACGATTTATTTCTTTTTCTCATTCACTTCTCTAAATTCTTCGCACGCACCCCCGGTCTGTTGTTGTTATCTCCAGCTAAGATGACAGGATTACGGCTTAACGCAGGGTTATGATTCCGGGATTGATTCTGGTTCAGGTTCTGGTTCTCTTTAAATGACCCCTTATGACGAGTGTTTTGGTATATACTTATGAACTTTTTTTCTTCACTTCACGTCTCTGATCTCGAAGGACCTGATACTTATAGTGGGGCAGCGAGGATTGGGACAAGAATATCCCCACCTTTTTGCATGCATGTATGACCAATCGGACAATGTACTATTGATAAGTTGAATAGGAACAATAGTGTTATTTCTGAACAATTGCTCCTAGCCTGTTCATATGGAATAAGTTTCAGATAGGTTTGAGGTCCTGCATCAACAATGGTAGCAGGTAAGTGATTATCATTCTCTTCTCATGTCAACTGAGGCCATTGAACGCTGGACACCTCTCAATGACGAGCTGCGGGGGCTCATCTCAGAACAATACGAGAATTGCTGCAGGAAATTCCCCAGCCAGCCAATCACAATGGTTGCCTGACAGAGTGAGGCTGTTTTCCAGGCACACCTGTTCTGCGATAGGCTGACTCGATCATACTTGGTGGCCAGGATAATCTTATTGTTGGACTGCTGTCCTGCTGATACCCAGGTGACCTGCATATATAATCAAAGCCTTTCTTCCCCTCTTCTCGCAAACTCGCATCTGTTCAGTCTGCCATCCTGAGTTCAAACTGCACGCCACCTTCATTCCTTTCTATCCAACTACTAAATACCTCTACTCAACCGTCCAAGCCAAGCGAAGCATACTAAAGCAAAGAATAAGAAACAAGCAAAATGTGCTGGTCCATCCACGAAACCTACACCCGCTTCCCGAACTGCACCGAAAAGTCCCTCAAAGAGTGTGTAAACTACGATCCCGCCGAGGACCACATCCTATGGTGCATCCTTGCCCAGCAGCGTGGGTATCTCTGTGCACACATCGTCCCCACGTCTCAGGGTTCATCAACGAAGCGGCGTATGAATTGTCCGAGGCACCGCAGGAGACACACTGGAGGACAGACTCCGCCAGTTGTGAGGAGGGGGTTTGTGCGTGGGGAGCTTAATATGGGGTGGAATTGGAGTGTTTTTGCGGCCGCTTGAGTGTGGTATTGACACTGCGCTGCGTGGTTCTCTGGCTTGAGGAGGTATGGAGGATGCTAGGTGATGGACTGAGATTCTTGATGAAGGTATCTGACGAAGGGACAGGTTGTTATCCGGGGACACCTCGCTGTCTCCTCTCTACTACACCTATCGCGATGGTTAACGGAGCCGATTCGGTTTCTGAGAGAGGACAGACCTACCTACTTGTGTTGCGCTCCTCGAGGAGGTGCATACTACGCGCTTTTCGTCCCCAATCTTGAGGCAACCTGCAATATACATTGGAAATACATGAGCAACACGCCTAGCACATGATTGAATGTGTATCGTTATTCGGGTATTGGCCGAGGTCTTTTGGTTTCCATGGCGATGATGACCCGCCCTGATGTTCATTTATGGAAGCAATGACTGGGGCGCACCTTCCCTCTACAACCAAGGGGCCTATTATGGAAGGAACGAGGGAGACAAGGTTCGAGGTCCTGGTTGGGGAGGCATGACCCGTTATGAATATCAGACGAAACCACTATAGGATGAACTACAGCACTGTTTATCAATGCCACTTTTTTCTTGAAATTTGCGCCCAAGAGGCTCTAGCTCATATGCATATATATCCCTTTGGACGCTACCAAGAGTGTCGAGGTTGATCAAGGATGTCATACACGTCGACTCGGAAAGGAAACCCGTCTGGCGGCCGTCCCACTTGGTTTAGTAGCCCATCAACCTTGCGCCGCCAACGAAACTCGACCACGAAGTCCGGGACATGCTCGACGTAACTCAAGTTCTGTAGCAACTCAACCAGCATTTGGTCATCCACGACAACTTCATTGTGCTTCACACCAAAGGACACACGCAATTGCTGTAGGCCTTGCATGTAATACCTGACAACGTGCAATGCATCATTCCATCCACCGACTGTCCATTGACATTGATCGGAGTAGCTGGAAAGCCGCATGTCAAGATGTAGTTTTCTAACCGTTGCTAGCCGATCATGGCGCATGACCAGAGGGAATTCCCTAAGTGTTCGGGCTTGCCGAACCTGGAGGATGTTCTTCGTGTAGAGAAGCCCAATAGCTTCGGAATAGGCTTGTCTGCACGAGCGCAGCAAGCCCGTTATCGTTCCTGGGAGTCGGCCTCCTTGCTTCGGTTCTCGCTGCACTGTGCCATCTTGATAGGCGATCATATTTGGCCAGCATGCATGCTGCCAGCCGCGAATGTTTCTTTTATCTGTGTTCGAGCATCGGATACCAAACACCCGCCTGTGAGTGCTGGCGAGGTGGAGTACCTCGTTGCCCTCTGGTGCCAGAACCTCTTCATAAATGCGTAAGCGGATTTCTGGGGTAAGCTGGGTGAAGAGTCTTGACTTCTTCTGGGGTTTCAAGCCCGGGTAGACAGCTCTTAGCCCGCGTGGTGGGGCTGAAAGAGAACGGCGATATCGAGGGAGTGGTTCCGGAGGTTCGCTTCTCCAAGACCACCCTGGAGGCACGAGGCTTGGGACAGTTTCATAATGAGATCGATTCTTATAGCCGCAAAATCTTGGTGGATTAACGCAGAAGTAGCAACACAAAAAAGGGCAGCAGATGATAATCCCCGCAAACAGCACGACCTCTTTGACATGGTTGACGACTTTCTCGGCAGTTGTATCTTTCTTAGCGGCCATCTTGTCAGTGAAGGACGTCAAGTGCAATTGGAATGCGGGGAGCGAGCTTGTCCCTGTATATCGAGAAATGGGGAAGGGCTGAGGCTGGCAGCGAGGCTGAATCCTGCTGCGCTTCCGCTCTTGGCGTCGGCATCTTGTAGTCTGATTCCTCCTAGTACTATCGACTCATGTTCAATGCTTCTGGTTTCAGGCTGATGTTGGACCCCTGTTCCTTCGTATTATCAGCCAATCGAGGTGACGGACAATAACCTTGTTGGAGGTGGATGATGTGATGTCTCGTTGGTTAACCGCTTGGGCTTGTACTTGCATTTGGCGAGGCGAAATAAGGTCTAGGCATTCAAGGCATAATCGAATCAGCCCGGATTTCGAAGTGTTCCTTGGCCATCCTGCTCCACTGAGGTGAGACACCTCAGTCCGTAGTGTTTACTACGAAGGGTCCAAACACCATCCATGGATACACGGCGATCACATGATGCGCCACCTGGTTTTTGTGGAGGCGAACCACGTGATAGCGCTGCGCATCTGGCTTGCTTCGCGCGCCGGAAATAAATTCTCTCCGCATCGACTCCGACAGCTCGGCCTTAGAGATCTGTCGCAATCTTCATTCTCTTCATTCCTGCAACGGTTTGGCGCCTCTGTACCCGCTACATCTCTTTCTTGATAATCCGGCTCGACATATCCTACCCGAACGCCCCCGTTTCGTCAACTTCAACATGAACTTCCCAGGAACAAGCGGCTCTTCCGTCGCAGGCATGACCGGCTTCGGAGGTCTAGGGAGCGGTACCAACCCCGGAATGAACGAGCAGGAGCAAGCAATGGTCAAAATGGTTCGTCACAATCACTGCGCAAACTAGATACGCGGCAAGCGGCGCAAAGCTAACTCTCATCTACCAGATGCAAAAAGCCATGGAATCATGTCCCTTCAAGACCGTTCTGTCCGGCACAATGGGTTTCGGTCTCGGTGGTATTTTCGGTCTGTTTATGGCCAGTGTATGTTTTCTCTCTTCTTCATCTACCTTATATACCGCGTACTGATATATATCCCCCTATGTATAGATGTCCTACGACTCCTCCTTCACCCCACAAGGCAAAGCCATCGCCGATCTCCCCTGGCGCCAACAAGTCCGTACGGGATTCAAAGACATGGGCGCGCGGTCGTGGTCGAGCGCCAAGAACTTCGGTATAGTGGGTGCGCTGTACTCCGGGACCGAATGCTGCGTCGAGGGCCTCCGCGCGAAGAACGATCTTACAAATAGTGTGGTTTCGGGGTGCATTACTGGTGGTATCCTCGGTGCGAAGGCGGGGCCCCAGGCGGCTGCGTTCGGTTGTGCGGGTTTTGCGGCATTTAGTGCGGCTATTGATGCGTATATGAGAATGCCGGAGAGTGAGTGAGTGGAAGTGTGATTGTCTCTGGACAGAACTGGGATGGCGTTATTTTGGGATAGATGGGTTGCATATCGGCGTTGGTTCGTTCTCTCTTACTTGGCAGATTGTGCCTGTTCTGCTTATTGATCTGGTTTGTGGGTTACGACTCGCTGCTCCTGTATATTAATGCATGTGTAACCATAGATAGACGTGATGGGATATATGATTCAGAGTCGATGTATATCAAGTCAAACAGAGCATCTCGCAGCACGCGCAATCCTACGTACAGCTATAGACTACGAAAAGTACTATTTCCCTCCCAACTCCGCGCCCAACCCTAAACATTCTCCAACTCAACTCTCTCCCCATTCTTCCCATGTTCACCCTCAACCTGCCTCATCTTCCCCCGATATCCTTCCAAAGCCTCCCGGTTAATGCCCGTGCACTCATACTGCTTAAACTTCCACGCCGGCAACCCGGCATCAAACAATTCATCAATATCCTCCAGACTTCTCCCCTTTAGCTCAGGCATGAAGAACCACGCCCACACCGCTCCAACTGCAGCACACCCACCCCATACATATCCCAGCTTCGCGCCGAGGTTCGCACCGGGAGTGGAGAGGAGGTATGGCGTTGTGTACACAACTGCGAAGCCGACGACGACGTTCCATGCGGTCTGTTTCCCCGACACAGTCGTTTATTAGTATGGCAATTCCATCGAAAACAAGAAAAGGAGGGATATAGGTACGCACCGAAACAGCCATCGTCTTCTCGCGCAACGTCGCAGTGCCTACCTCAGCAGCGGTGATATACGCCGCGGGCCCTAACGTCGCATGCAGGATCGCCGCGTAGAGGATAAACGAGGCCACCATGCCGTTCGTGTCGGATGTTGAGCGGTTGGCATTTGCGCCGAGGCCGCCAATTAGGCATAGGAAGAGCGCTTGCAAATAGCAGCCATGGAAGGTCAGATCGCGGCGGCCGAAGACGTCGAACATGTACATGCCGATTATGGCGGTTACGACGGAGACGCCGTTGTTTATGGCCTGACGTATGATAGGGTTAGATCTGGCTTAGAGAGGATAGTGTCTGAAGACTAAAGGGCTAGTTCGGTCTTACAGCGTAAGCAAAGGCCTTGTCGCCTAATCCAACTTGCTTGTAGAAGGTTGGCCCGTAGGAACTGCTGAAAGTCACGCCGGTCAATTGCTGCAGAGACATGATAGCTAGCGCAATCGAGGTGCGGCGACGGTTCGAGGCATTGAAGAGGGCCTTCCAGGGTGCCTTGTCTGATCTATTGTCCGAATTCTCGAGGGCGATGATCTCGAGCTCGCAGAGACCCTCGTCAGCTGCCGTCTTGGGGCGAAAGACCTTGAGAGCGTTGAGGGCTTCGGAGCGCCGGTTTTTTGAGATCAGCCAGCGAGGCGAATTTGGTGTAAAGTATAGTCCAGATATGATGATGACGGCAGGCACCATCTGGATGCCCGTTGCCACCATCCATCCGGCGTCGGTGGTGAGCTTGGACAGGCCCTCGTTCACGACGCCGGCGATTAGTGAGCCGAATGTGAGGAAGAGCTGAATTGATCCGACGCAGAACCCTCTGAGCGGGGCAGGGCAGATTTCGGATTCGTAGGTTGGGACGACCTGGTGGTTTGTTAGAAGATGGTCGAGTTAGGGCTGGGGGCTTTACGTTTTCAACCAGACCCACGGCGCCGTAGATGAGCATTCGCCCGACGACAAATTGAGCTGGGGTATGGCTTGTGACTTGGACTAATTATCGACATGGTTAGTTCCGTACGTTAGGAGTTGTAAGCGGATTACACTCACTGACTGTCCCAACGATCTGGACGCAGCAGGTAATGGCCATGGACGTGCGGTGGCCACATAGTTCAATCATCGGTCCAACAATGACAGCTCCCAGGAACTTGCCGATGAGAGGGAGACTTTGTACATCAGATATCTGGTCATTATTGACCTAACATTTGAATCACTAACCTGTTCATCATGGACACGACATGCGTGGGAATCGCATAGGCCTCTTTCTTGTCATTCCAGCTTCCAAACTTTCGCGTGAAGGGATCAAATGTCTGGACTCCTCCGAATGAAGCGCCATCACTGACAAATTTGTGAGTCAAAGTCTTCGTTTCGCCGCTCTGGTTTTTAACATACTAGCCTTCGGAGAGAAGACCGTTAGCATCAATTCCACCACATCCAAGCAGGCCACTCACCAAAGAAAATGCTGCCCATAGAATAAAGCAAACAGATCAAGATCAGCGGAACCGTGCAATCCGCCCATGCCTCCTTGGGCACATAAAGCTTTCCACCTCCGGCCATTCTGCTTCTCTATGTCAGGGTTCGTCCGTCAACGGGCTGGTGCTGAAGAAAGGCGAAGGGGAGGAACGAGGAATGAAGAAAATGAAAAGGCGAGCCTCTGTCCATCTTTCATGTGGAGTACACAGCACCCTCTTTAAAGTGGAATCTCCTCTGGGTGAATCTTTTCTCCATAACCTTCTCCAAGAGACTTACTCCAACTCTTGGGCTGGCTAATTTGTTACGGGGTTCTGTCCGGGGTCCAGCAGCCCTACTCCGGAAGAGACTTCTCTCTTACATGGCGTGACGGACGGTCGATACGGCGGATAAACCTTTTGAGCCGGATGCATTGTGTTTCTATGACCAATATCGACCTCGGTGTGTTTTCGACTGATCCTGTCGATTGTGTGGAAGGAGTTGGTTCCTGGCTCGGAATGACGTTCAAACCAGTTCCCACTTATTGTGTCAGAACAATACGCTAAACATGCAAGTGGACATCACACACCTCACTCAATGGTCATACTTATTGTGCAAATTTGCTCTGCGTTCATGAGGTGGTAGAAATGAAACCTCAGATCTGGAGTTGGGCCAACCCACGTGGAGCCCTAAAAAGCCCCGCGTTGGAACAGACGGAGGAAATCTGGGGGCCAGATCCACAATCACAGTCACAGCCACCTCCAACGAGTAAGGTTTACAAGCAATCTGGGCGCTCACCTCACTTACTTGACCAAAGCTACAGAAACTTTTTTGCGCGTGCCTAGGAGTTTATCCTCTCATATTAACCGCAAGGGTTATCTTTGCCGGACGGCTAAGCCATCCTCCCTTGTGTGCGAAGTCTGGGGTAAGTGTTTCTGTCAACTATCGTGTCTTGTAGGTATTTCCAGGCTGACTTGTCCAATCTTTATCCATCCGTGCATAGCAGCCCTTACTGAGCTCTACTACAGGCAACATGGCCGACTTTGACATCGCAATCTATGGGTCTACGTCTGGAGCAGTGGCAGCTGCCATCCAGGCTGCACGGTTAGGGCGAAAGACAGTCCTCATCTCGCCGGATGAACACATTGGTGGGTTATCATTTGCTTCTCTGTTCAGTCCCTCAGTCTAACACATATCCAGGTGGAATCCAGATCGAAGGTCTTGGTTCAACCGATATCGACAATCAGGTCGAGTTCCAGAATAGCACTGCGGTTGGCGGACTGGCGCTGGAGCTGCATCGGCGACTCAGCACACACTATGGCAGGCTTTCCCAGCTCGAAGAGGTTGTTGCAAAGCGCCTCAAGGTTCCTGAGATGTGGAAGTTTGAGTCTTCTGTCTTAAAGAGGATTCTTGCCGAGTGGCTTGCGGAGTATCCCGAGCTTGTGGTTGTCAGGGTTCGCATTCTTTATGCTTTATTGCTTCTCTCAGAACTGTTCTAATGGTCTCACCAGGCTGCCCTCATTGAAGACCCCTCAGCTGTATCCAGAATTGGCCCCATCGTAACCTCCATTCAACTCACCAATGGCCAGTCAATCAGCGCTCGAGTAAGCCCTCCACTCCGTTCCTATATTTCTCTCACTATAATCTCACTAGTACTTCATCGAAGCCACCTACGAAGGCGATCTCCTCGCCGCTGCAGGCATAACTACCGTCGTCGGCCGCGAACCCTCAACAACCTACAATGAATCCCTCGCTGGCGTCCGAGCCGACACTCGCTACACGCAATTCGACGTTCCCGTCGACCCCTACCGCACGCCTGGCAACCCATCCAGCGGTCTTCTCTACGGAATCTCTCCCGAACCATTTGGCAACCCCGGCGATGGAGATGCACACCTCCAGGCATACTCGTACCGTCTCCCACTCACAGACATCGAGAGTAACAAAGCTCCCCTCGAGAAACCAGAGGGGTACGATGCGTCTCATTACGAGCTCCACCGTCGGTATATCCAGGCCGGTGGGAAGTTGTATACACCGCGTCTGCGGGGTGTGCCGAATCGCAAGACAGATCTCATTGGGTCGGAGGCTGTTCTTGCGACAGATTTGCTGGGTATGAATGATGACTGGCCGACGGCAAGTCGGGCGAGACGCGAGGAGATTCTCGAGGAGACGAGGAGGTTTACAATGGGGCTGCTTTGGTTCTTCGCAAATGATGAGGCTGTTCCTGTACGTCCATTCATCTGTTCTTCTGCCCTATTTCACTATCGATATACTAAAACCGCACCTTCAGCCCTCCATCCGCAAAGCCTGGTCTGACTTCGGCTATTGCCTCGACGAATTCCCCGATAACAACCACTTCCCACGCCGTCTGTACGTCCGTGATGCGCGCCGAATGGTCTCTGACTACGTGATCACCCAACACACGGCATCCGAGCCCGAGGACACAGATCCCGCCTCCACAACCAAATCTGAGCCTGAGCCTGTCGCGGTAGCGTACTGGCCCACCGACACGCACTGCGCACGGCGTGTCGTGCGCAATGGCCTCGCCCATAACGAGGGCTTCGTGTTCAAGGAGCACGGCCACAAATGGAAGCCTTTTGGGATTTCGTATCGCGCGCTTGTTCCTACGCGGGGGGAGGGGGTGAATGTCCTCTCTGTGACATGTCCGAGCTCGAGCCATGTTGGTTATGGTATGTACTGCTGTTTTCCGCTCCGAGCTGTTGGGCTTTTTTCTTGATTGGGAATATATTGGTGCTGATGTTGGTGTAGGCGCTGTCCGGCTTGAGCACCAATTCTACGCGCTTGGTCAAGCGGCTGCGAATGCGTGTGATATTGCACTTTCTCATGCCTCTATGGACTCGGCCTTGGATGTGCAAGATGTTCCGTATGATGTGCTCAGGGGAAGGTTGCTTAAGCAGGGGGCTGTAATTGATGCGTCTAGTGTAGGGAAGCCTGACTTTAGTCTTTTGTAGCTCTTGACACACTATCCTGGTATAACATCTCTAAATCAATATCGATGTGTATACAACAATCAATGTCCAGCGCTGCCAAGGTTGCCTAATAGGAGCGAGTAAGTAAGTGGATAAACAAAACGGTCTCAATCTCCTGCAGAAATCAGAAATATTCCCCCGAGACAGGAACAGATATATTTTACTGTCAGATGTTTCTTGCTATTTTTACCAATAGACTGGGGTCGTGACAGTGAGACACCAACCGGCCTATACCGGTGAAACCCTGCTCAACCCAGTGGTGCTCAGCAGAAATAGTTCCGAACGGCCTAAATAAGCCACGATGCTCCCTGAACTTGATTAGCAATACGAGTCTGCCCAAGCTAGAATCTCTTCTATGTACTGCCATGGGATGCTGGTCTCAACATAGAGCTGGCCGGGGTACTCGCCCATGGGAGCCTCGTGCGATCTATTTTGGGGTTGGTGATGATTGAGTTAGGGCTTTGGAAGTTTTGGGTCAAGAATGTCTTTGGTTAAGACTTGTAATTTGGGGCTTTGTGCTGCACGTCTTCCATGAAGAGGCACTGCAGTGTTGAATTTGGAGAAACGGTGTGCTTGGTAGGACGTAAGAGCAAGGATACAGGTTGCGATACGGCAATAGGACTGCCTAATTAGGCGAACGCAGTGCAAAGACGCTATCATGAAACAGAAAATCCCATACATACTGAACCAAGAACAAAAGACATCGCCAAGCACCCATTAAGCATCTCATGAATCATCGCATTAAACATCTCATCCGGCCATCTCAGTATCTTGTCGAGCATTTTCTCCTCTCTACCCGACTGTCAAATTCCTTGCTCTTCCATACCCATTGTAGCCCACTCCCCTCAGGTTCCATTGAGAATGCGCTGCTTGCTGGTTCCCCCCGGCATCATATGCCCGACTCACTATCTCTCTTCCGGATCCCTTCTCGACGTCGATCTCAGCACTCCAGAGGACCCAGCACCATTTTTTCGTCCTATCTTTGTCATTGTCCAGATCCCGATTCCCAATCTGTGCATCCACCCAACCTTTTCCTCCGTCACCGGAAACCTGCACCTTCGTGATTGGCCCGTCCGATCCCTGGGGGACTGCATAGCCTTTGACCTCATATTTCCCTGACTCTGAGAGAGTTATCGTCTCATTATCTTCTGGTACGGCTATAACCGAGTTGATGGGCACCTCACACATCGCCGGCGTTTTATCCCAAAATTGTTCCGCTGCGTCTTTGTCCACGGCCTCCTCCGGCAAGACCTTGTAATCGCGCCGCTGGTAGAAATTGGTTGATTCCTGGTCTTGGATCGTGATGCGGTCAAGCCATTTCACCCATCGCGCACCGGCGATCCCAGGTAGAACCACTCGAACCGGGTATCCATGATTTGGCTCGAGGGGGTTGTCATTCATCTATCTTGTTAGCCGCGGAAGAATACTCCAAAAAGGCAAGTCTAACCTCCAAAGCAAGAATGACATCGGCGTCCTCGCTCAGCGCCCTCGCTAGCTCTACACTACCACCGAACCACTTGTCCTCCTGGCATGGCACTTGGTAGCTCGAGAAGGCGACATGTAGTCCCGGATGAGCCTCTTGCACCCCAGCATGCCGCAAGACATCTCGTAGTCTCGGTCCTTTCCACTTGCAGTTCATCACAGCTGCGTCGCCCCAGTCAATGCCCTCGACTTCTTTCAGCATTGTGCGCATGGTATGGCGTCTGTTGCCGGCACATTCGAGCGCGCAGCATATCTCGTGTTGTGGGAACTTTGTGGCTAGGTCATTGACTGTAAGGCGCAGGGGATTCGGAACAAGCCCATCGATCGTAACGGTGTGTGTGCTCGCTGAAATATGGGGAACAGGGCCATGGTTCCGATCGTATGATATTGCGCCCGGTGTTATGAAACTGGCATTGTCAGTGCCCAGATCTGAGCGTAAAGTGGATAGGTACCTCGAGACGAGCTCCTTGACAGAGGGCTCTCTGTTCAGAGGATTGTCCGTGGAATATTCCGTATGCTACTGTTTTTAGATATTTTCCAGCAGAAGGGCACTATATTAAGCTTACTGTGCAAGCCATTCTGATTCTCATCGAATGTTTGAATAAACTGTCGTTTGATACCATGAGCCAGATCTATGTATGTTAAGCTCTGACGTCATGTCACTGGTGGGGTCGCCCCTTCTCTTTACTCCAAGCAAATTAGTGGCGGATTCGAACCAGACAACACCCAGCAGCCAATTGACTGGGTCATGTACAGTAGCCTGTCCATTTGAAGAATAGTTTGCATGGTCGAGATCCTCAATTCAGGTCAAGGGACATGCACATTGAAGGTTTGATTGGGTGGAGGGTGAACTATCGGCGGAGAAGGCACGTGCTGCCCTAGCCCTTATCGGACTGCCTGTTTGGGGTGTTTGTTTATCCTCCGCCCCGTGACTCTCAGCAACGCAGCAAACCAACGGAATCAATCATAACATCGACGGTCGGGGTCAACAACAACTTCGCAGCCATCCGCCGTTCACGACATAGGCGCAACTGCGGCCTTGATACGTCCCTTGAACCTGATGCGAGAGATTTAGAATGATTCTCGACCCATCCCTCGCCATCGATAACTAACCAAGCCTTCTTACCGCCGACAATTACCCCTCGAGCAAGATGCCGAGTCGAGTTTCCGCCCGTTCATCGACTAGCACCACGCGCAAGGCCTCTGCAGCAAGCAATGCGTCAAGTGGTCGCGCTGGCTCCGCGACACCTTCTTTCGCCATCCCTGAGGAGCCTGCAGAGCCTGAAGCCATCCCGAACCTCCGCCGCGATGTGTGCGCGATTTTCGCCGACGCCCAACGTTCGACGACCGGTCACCGGAAGCTCGTCGTCCGATTAAGAAAGATCCAGGAGGCCTGCTGTGGCATTTCCCAAAAGTCTTCCAAGAGAGGCGAAAAGAATGCCGACTCCTCACAAGAGCGACTGATTCCAGGGGAAGAGATGATACCTGAGAAGGAATTCAACGTAGAAGTGGGCCGCTGCGTGTTACGCATACTGACAATCAAGAAGACGGAGCCAGTTGGCGACCGTATTCTGCGCTTCCTTGGAAGCTTCCTTACTCATGCCTCGGAGAAGGATGCTGAGATTTTCGGCTCCGATGAGGATGAGGACGACATCCAGAATACTCATGAGAGGCCGACCGCGCACCTAACCACCAGCCTCGTCGCTCTTATAGTCCCTCTATTGTCCGCTAAGGACAAGATTGTCCGTTTCCGTACCACGCAGATTATCGCACATGTCGTCAATTCTCTCGATACAGTCGACGATGATTTATACCATACCCTGCGCCAAGGCCTTTTGAAGCGAATCCGTGACAAGGAGCCTTCCGTCAGAGTACAGGCAGTGATGGGCCTCGGTCGTTTAGCCGGTAATGAAGAAGACGAGGATGAAAATGACGACAGCAATGCCGCACTTGTGGAGAAACTCGTCGATATAATGCAAAACGATACAAGCGCGGAGGTTCGAAGAACGTTGCTACTCAACCTCCCTTTGATCCCTTCCACCCTGCCCTACTTGCTTGAACGTGCCCGCGACCTCGATGCGCCTACCCGGCGAGCGCTATATTCCCGGCTCCTGCCGACACTAGGAGACTTCCGACATTTGTCTCTGACGATGAGAGAAAAGCTGCTCCGGTGGGGTCTGCGCGACCGCGACGAGAGTGTCCGGAAAGCTACCGGCAAGCTGTTTTATGACCGCTGGGTTGAGGACTGCGCAGGAACAAACGATGATCCCGAGAAATCCGGCCAGCGCTCCCCCCCTAGTATTCCCGCCCTGCTGGAACTTCTAGAGCGTGTTGATGTCGTAAATTCGGGAATGGAATCAGGTATCGCACATGAAGCGATGCGCAGTTTCTGGGAAGGTCGCCCAGACTATCGAGAGGCAGTTCTGTTCGACGAACAGTTTTGGGAGTCTATGACAGCGGAGTCTGCTTTTCTCCTCCGCTCCTTCAATGACTTTTGCCGCGTCGAAAATGAAGGAAAGTATGACAACCTCGCCGACGAAAAGATTCCGGTGGTTACTGCGTTAGCGATGTATCTTCACAAGTACATGACCAGTCTCCTACAGCGCAAGAAGCTTGCGAAGGACGCGACAGATGTCAACGATGACGAAACGCTCGAGGTTGAATTCATCGTTGAACAGCTCCTACATATTGCGATGACGCTCGATTATAGCGATGAAGTCGGTCGCCGGAAGATGTTCTCCCTACTCCGCGAAGCCCTAGCTGTGCCCGAGCTTCCCGAAGAGTGCACAAAACTCACTGTCGAGACGCTAAGATGCGTCTGCGGCCCCGACGCTGCGGCTGAGAGTGAATTCTGCAGTGTTGTCCTCGAGGCGATTGCTGAAGTTCACGACACAATTATCACCGAGGACAGCTTTGTTTCCGCGAAATCCGAAATCAGTGACGACGCCAGCAGCCGTGCCAGATCTGAGACTCCAATGAGCGAGGATGACAAGCCGTTTAACAAGGAAGAAGCCAAGGCCAAGGTTCTCCGTGAGATCGTGGTCAACATGAAGTGTCTCCACATCGCACTCTGCATGCTCCAGAATGTCGAGGGTAGCCTCCAGGCGAACATGAACTTGGTCACCATGTTGAACAACTTGGTCGTACCGGCTGTTCGGAGTCACGAAGCCCCAATTCGAGAGAGGGGCTTGGAATGTCTTGGACTTTGCTGTCTGCTTGATAAGGTCCGTTATTCTCGCAGATCCACCTGTATAGCTTATCAACTAACATTCTGATAGACCCTCGCTGAAGAGAACATGATTTTGTTTATCCATTGTTATAGCAAGGGACATGAGGCTTTACAGGCTACTGCTATCCAGATTCTATGCGACATGCTTACAAGTCATCCTTCATTGCTGGCTCCTGTCACTCAGGCCGACAAGGAGACGGTGTTACCCCCCTCTTTCCAGAAGCCCTTATTGAAGGTCTTTGCTAGGGCCATCAAAGCTAGCTCGCCAGGCACTGTGCAAACCGCCGCTGCCACAGCTCTCTCCAAACTCCTGCTCACCGGCGCCTTCACTCCTTCCGGCGCCAATATCCCACCCGCTATCCGGGAATTCAACCAGAACGCAATTGAAACACTTCTCCAATCCCTTGTCGTTTCATTCTTCCATCCACGAACTCGCGACAACCCCGCCCTCCGACAATCCTTGGCCTACTTCTTCCCCGTCTATTGCCACTCCCGTCCGTCAAACGCGCAGCATATGCGTAAAATCACCGTGCCAGTGATTCGAGCTGTCTTGAACTCGGCAGAGGAGTACTACTCTCTCGAAGCCGAGGAAGATAGCGACGGCGAGATCGACGAGAATGTCGGCCAGAAGGAGCTGAAGGCTCTGATGACTGGTGTTCTGGGCATGCTTTCTGAGTGGACCGATGAGCGCAGAGTTGTCGGACTCGGTGGTGAAAGATTGCTTGCCGGAGGTTCTGCCAGTTCCAATGTATGCGGATTCATCCACCTGGAGCTGGTAAAGGACATTCTGGAGCGTGTACTCGGCATCAGTGAGGGCACCAACCGGTGCTCCAAGGAAGAGCGGAAGCTCTTGTTCTCACTCATGGGCAAGCTTTATATTGCACCTCCAGCCGCGCCATCGCGCTCAGCTTCTCAGAATCCCGAAAACGATGATCCGTTCCGCTCCAGTGTTCGAAGCGCACAGGGCAGCGAGATCACCCAGGAGAACCTTGCTTTGGCCCAGGAAGTCAAGGAGCTGCTAGACCAGACCATTGAGGAAGGCATGGCAGCCGATGCCGCAGGCCGGAATGCTCTCGTCAAGGTTAAGAACGTTGTGCTCAAGCTTCTTGCGGCCCCAACGAGCACGCGGCCCGCTAGTTCTCGCGGAGCTCGGGAGAGCAGTGTTGAAAGTGATATTGCGAGTGTTCGGTCAAGAAGTGTTCGGCCGTCGGTTGAGCCCGGGTTTTCGCGTCGTGGTGTCTCCGTGGAGCCTAGCATTATGGAAGAGGATGAGAATGAGGATAGTCGCATGACTGTTATCAAGGAAGAGGGTATGGAAGAGGATTGATTCTGTTTATGATTCCCTGTCTCGTTTGGCGTTGACCATGGTTCTCGTGATTGATGGGTATTGTTCATGGCTCGGTTTGCAATGTAATTATTCCATTCTTGGATGAGTATAGATGATCCTGTTTATGAAATAACCCTTGCTACTTGTTCAGCATATATATATCGCAGCTTCGAGAAGCACATATAACTAACGGATACCCAAGGACTATTTGATTTACAATCGAGCTAGACCTCTGAGAACTTTACTATCATGTGAAAAGCCTCACCATCTTTTCCTCTGGTCTTGCAAGCGTCGTAAGCCTGTGGCTTGAGGTATCTAGCCCTGGCGCAGCATAAGGTGTCATCCAAGACTTGACAGCTCTAAAGGTGGCTAGTGTTTCAGCCTCAGGCTGCCACAGCATCATGCCATGACGGGCTCTGGCCCATTTACCCGCCGCGCTCTCCAGAGCCTTGACGAAAAACAGCCAGATTTTTGAGACATCGGGATGGCCAGAAGAGCAAACTGCTCATTTTATTCTCTTCCCCAGAAGCGATGGGAGGTGGTGCCAGTGTTTAAGATTACACGAGTGATTTATTCGGCGGTATTAATATGCGGGAAAGACCACGAACCACAGAGTCGCCTCGGAAGCCAACCGGGGAGAGTGGAGCCCAAGCACTCGGAAGTGAGGCATCCGTCTTCGATTTCAAGGTGTGCATTTGCAGGTGATTCTGCTGCAAAGATTTTGGGGATAGCATGCAATTGAGATTTAAGAGGCTGTTTGGGAGCTGTATTGGCGTCTGGTGATGGGTGTCAATGGCAGTGGTAGGTTGCTGCGTGCGCATTGCTAATCATACACCGGAGATACGAAGGAGGTAAGATACCGGCAGCAGCACGACGAGTACCTTTCGAACTCTGCCTGTTGCATCTTTCTTCCGCAGGTACCGGGTCATTCAGAGAGAGGTGAGGTCTGTTAGATCTCTCAAAGAGGTATGTTTGATATCCAGCTGAGAGGTGTTGGCTGCAGCTTGAGTTTGAAGCAGGGTGAATTGTAAGCGTCTCGGCAACAACGTGGATGAGCATGGAAGAGCACTTGTAGAACCCAATGAACAGGAAGCTGTGCGCTCATCGAGGGGAATGATTTCGTAGCTATAATTGGGATAATATCAGGGGATGATTAGAGCTCTCCGAGCTGGATCCCCATCTTGTCTGTCCTCTCCTTCCTCTTCCCTCAACCTGTCGAGAAGCCGAAACTTTTCTTTTTAATCTCGACGCTCCACCACCACCAAAACGAACTGGTCCTGCTCGAACGGACTGGGCGACTTTCTTTTTCTCCCCCATCCTTTTCCTCTCTCACACTCCCCGTCTCCTCCCCTTCTCCCTTCTTTCTCTGTATGTTTTTTGTTTCTTGATTCACGACTTTCCTTTCCTCTTGGTCGTGAATCCGTGTCCTCTTGCTCCCACTCGCAGAGGCACGATTTTTTCCCTCCACCTCCTTCCCGCCGAACCCCCTCCCCCTGCTGTCCCTAGTTGGCATCAGCAGCGAGCGTCAAAGTTCCTGAGCGATGGCCGCCGTATCAGCTCCGACTCCCAAGCTGGATCGCTATATCATCATCCACGTTGCAACCACCTGCGATGAGCATGGCGTCTACGTTACCAAGGATTCCGCAGAGGTGATCGAGTTGGGGTGGATCTTGTTGGATACCAAATCCTGCGAGGAGGTACGCAGCCATTTCTTGCCTGCATCAATTACTGCCCCTCTTTTCTTGTCGCTTGTCGGTGGTTGGGGATGGGCTCGAGCCCGCCCGGCCATCTCGCCGGAGTCTCCCCCTCAACCCCAAACACTCGCCGAAGTCCTGTTTCTTTTGCATCTTGCTGACCGGGGTTTCGCTACTTTAGTTGCACCGCGAGAGTGTGCTTGTCAAGCCTGTCAACACACCAATTACGCCGCTGTGCAGTAAGTACACTCTACATTCGGTCTCCAATGCCATCACCAAACCCGCTTCCTGTTCCCCTGTCACCCGTCCACCTCGGTGTATATCAGTTTGCTTGTGCAATGGCTGACAGTGCCCGAAAGCGAGCCTGACGACGCTGACTTGGGAGCACGTCCGCTCAGCAGGCAGCTTCCGTGACGCTATCAACCGATTCGATTCGTTTGCCCAAGAACACCTGTTGTCGAAGAACCTAGAATTCGCCTTTGTGACCTTGGATTCATGGGATCTCCGCGTTCAACTGCCTCGCGAGGCCCGCGACAAGGCTGTTGTGCTTCCTCCATACCTCCAACACTCCCGGACTTTCGATCTTCGCACCGAATATCAGAGATGGCAAACTCACCACCCCGAGTCCCTTCCCTTCGGCCCCAGCTCTCTGTCGAACATTTGTGCCGCCCTTGAGGTTGAACCCGTCCAGTCCTCCGCCCCGATTAAGCACAACCTCCCTTTCCACCTGCAGGCTTTGGCCCCCGCTTCCCCTCGCCGGGCTATGGACGAAGCTGTGACCCTGGCCCGCGTGCTCCGCGGCCTGATCCGCAAGTCTCAACCCGCCCATGAGCACCCGGAGATCTTGACTCGGCCAATGGATGCGAGAGCAGATGTTCGTGCTTTCTTGGCGGAACGTAGCAAGGTCCTTCATCTGAGCGGTCTTCCTCACGACACCACACAGTCCGAGCTGGAGAGCTGGTTTACTCAGTTCGGTGGCCGCCCGATCGCTTTCTGGACCCTCCGTACACCTGACCAGCACAAGCCGACTGGTACCGGATTTGCTGTCTTCTCGTCCCACGAGGAGGTAAGTGGTCGTCTTTCTCTGGTTATCAATTCCCGCGCAGTTAACGTCTAAATCTTCAGGCCGCCGAGAGTCTCTGCATGAACGGCCGTGCCCTCAACGAAAAGGCTATTGAAGTGTCGCCATCCTCTAGCCGCGTTCTTGACCGAGCAGCAGAGATCCTTACTCCTTTCCCTCCTTCTAAGAACCGCCCTCGTCCCGGTGACTGGACGTGCCCGTCTTGCGGCTTCTCCAACTTCCAACGCCGTACAGCTTGTTTCCGCTGCTCGTTCCCCGCCATGGCCGCCGCTCCTGACCCAATGGGCTACGGTTACGCCTATGGTCCCCCCTCGATGATGCCGCCTCACGCTGGCGGACACGGCCACGGAATGGGCCATTCTCGTGGTATGGGCGGCAACGGTGGCGTAGTTCCTTTCCGTGCTGGTGACTGGAAGTGCGGCTCTGAAGGATGCGGTTACCACAACTTCGCTAAGAACATCAACTGCCTGCGATGCGGCGCTCCTCGGTCTGGAGCTGCCGTCGTCGCCGACTCCGCCTTTCCGTCTGCCATAGACCAGTCCTCCAACTTCGGTCACAGTTCGATGAGCAGCACTCCTGCGCCTGGTCCCTTTGCCTCCTCCGGTGCCGGTTTCGGAGGATTCAACCAGCCCTTCGGTGGCCCTCCCAGCAACTACGGCTTGCCCTCTGGACTGGCCAATGCCCCTGCGGCTTACCCGCCAATGGGACAGATGACTCCCGGCTATGGTTCGACAAACGCTTCCCACGGTGCCGCCTCTTTTGCCAACCCCGCCGCCCAGGCAGCTTTCACCGGAGCTGACCACACTTCATCTACCAATGCCTCAAACGGTAACTTCTATGGAAACGAGGGATCCAGTGATCCTTTCGCGTTCCTCTCAACGGGCCTAGGCGGCCTGACTGTTTCGGATGATGCTCATTCTCGCCGTAACGGTGCCGGTGCTAGCAAGTCTCCTGTCTAAGCGCTTGACTTGCTGAACGCCTGGCGATATCCCTATGGGAGTCTGAACAAAATTATCGCCATTTTCTACTTTTATCTATCAATATGGAGATGCGGATATGATGGTGCACGGTGGTTGAAGCATGTTTGTATACGGGATTTTTGCAGTTCTGGTGCATCAGGTTGGGAGGAGCAGGCAGGTAGCGTCATCATTTTGCCTCATTTGAACCCTGTTTCTCTGTTTCTTCTCGTTTCTTCTGCCATATGTCTCAGCTTCATTTGACCTTTTCGGTATGTGCTCGGTCTTGTGATTTGGAAGCGATGTTTCAAGGTATAGACGACGGTCCCGGCAGGTGGGTGCTGGTGGCTTTCATCCCTCGATTCTCCGGTTTGGCGCGATCATCGCTTTGCGACCCTCTTCGGTCGGCACGAGCTTCGTTTGCTCAACTCAGGCTTGCGGCGTTCGTTTATATTGCCGCAGGCCCTGATGCGGGGGCTCCCTTTGGCATGAACTTGCATTCTAGATATTTGTTTTTCTGTTTTTGTTTCTGTTCTCGCTTTTGTCCAAATTCATCTTCTGCGCTCTCCGGCAACAGGGCTTTTTGGAGAACTTTATGGTATTTGATCACGGATGGGATACAACGGAACGGTCTGTTGGGGGTGTTGGGGTATTCCTTTTGATCCAGCAATGGCAGGTTTGGGACATGTACGGATCAGGGATCGTGAGTACAACAAGATTGCTCTTGAATGTTTATAATCTTGCACTTGTTATTTTTATCTCTTCATCTCTTGTCTTCATTGCGCTGTTTTTTTGTCCTTGCAGAAAAAGTCGATGTGCGGTCGTGGACGGCGAGTATATTACTACCTGAACAAATATCATGTACAGAATCTCCGATACATCACCATTCCAAAGGAGTATTCATAATAGTGCATTGGATAATAGAGCTGAATATAGGAGTGTTACCTGGGTAGCTTTCGAGAGTGTGGAGGACGGCTGAGACCAGTTAGCCGCGCGCTTGGCACTGGGAGCTCTGAGGCAACCGCGGGACTCGCGTTCACCTCCATCTTGTCATCGCCCAAGTTGGCTCCTTCATTCCCAGCATCTCACGCCCTCTCTGCCACGAATTGTATCTCTTTTGCGTCTCTCTGAATTTTCTCGCTTTTTTGTCCTTCCTACCTAGCTCTCCACACATTCTAGAGATACACACCGCCCATAATGTCCGGATACGACCGAGCTCTTTCAGGTGAGATAGCTTGCTATTTGGAGCTCGTGTGTTTACTGAGAACCGCTAATGCTGACCAAATAACATAGTCTTCAGGTGAGGATAACATACTGTTTCAGCTTGAGATGCAAGTTTCTGACCCGTCTCCCAGCCCTGATGGGCACGTCTTCCAGGTCGAATATGCCATGGAAGCTGTCAAGAGAGGTAAGTCGATGAGATCATGTCGACCATACCAACCACACCGCGGAGCAACTCCCAACCTCATTCCACCTGTACAGGAACCTGCGCCGTTGGTGTAAAAGGCAAAGACATCGTCGTTCTCGGCTGCGAGAAACGCTCCGCGCTCAAACTCCAAGATACCCGCATTACACCATCGAAGATCGCCGTCCTGGACAACCATGCCATCCTCGCCTTCGCCGGCCTGAACGCCGACGCTCGCATCCTTATTGATAAGGCCCGGTTAGAAGCTCAGTCGCACCGCCTGACCGTCGAAGACCCCGTCACCATCGAATACATCACCAAATACATTGCCAGTGTGCAGCAGCGGTACACACAGAGCGGAGGTGTACGGCCCTTTGGCATTAGTACTCTGGTTGTTGGGTTCGATCCAAATGATAAGACGCCGAGACTGTACCAGACTGAGCCGTCGGGTATCTATTCTGCTTGGTATGTTCTCTTGAGCTCGTTGCAGATATGTAGGGGTGGGTGAAATTCTGACTTGTGGATCGTGATGTAGGAAAGCGAATGCCATTGGCCGCTCCAGCAAGACTGTCCGCGAGTTCCTCGAGCGCAACCACGAGGATGATATGGATCGGGAGCAGACGATTCAGCTTACAATCAAGTCGCTTCTAGAGGTTGTGCAGACCGGTGCCAAGAACATTGAAGTCGCTATCATGTCACCCGGCCAGACGATTGAGATGCTGCCCGATGACCAAATCGAGTCTTACGTTAAGAACATTGAAACGGAGAAGCAGGAGGAGGCCGCGAAGAAGAAGACGGGTCGCACCGGCACAACAACGGCGGCGATCCTCACACGGTCCGGCGGGGAGGCAAGTGAAGGCCAGTAGTTTGCGAACGGGGTCGGAGCAAGTTTGTGGTTAGAAGCGACTACGTGGGCTACATTAACCTATAAGACTACTTATTTTGCCGTCTAATCTCTGGGATATTTGGTAATCCTTGTAGAAGCGCGAATCCAGCTACGAAAATAAGGAACCGCTTCGGAAGTCATCTCCAAATTTCTCCAACTCCACTTCCAGAGAGTTGTATTGAAGTATATCGAAGGCCGCTATGGCGCATAAAAGTCGTAAGTCATCGTAATCTATATGAGGTGCTCAACCCAGGCGGTCGGCGGAGTCTTTGGCGTTGAATATGGATCGTTCTTGGTCTCCCCGTACACGGTCGTCCTTGATCATTCTAGTCTCCTAGTTAGTATGCACTCAGCATTCCGGCGGTCGGGGAGGGGCTCGTGCCTGGAGTCGATTCTGATATCCTCGCCCTCCACTTCTAATCTCGGCTTCGGGGTCACGGCTTCAAGAACGAAATGGTTATCACAGTGCGGGCAGTACTCGTCACTGGTAGTGTGCGTTAGTTCTCAGGCCCTCACAGCGATTACGCGCCTCGCGAATGTACCTCTCTTCAAACTCCTCGGAATTCTTCCGGAAACATTTCCTGCACTTCTTGCACGCAAAGATCTAGACACCGTTTAACCGTCAGCCCTGGACCGGAGAGCCGGCACGTGCGGGTTCGAGGCATACCATCTCGTTTGACTTTTGAAGGGAATGGGACTCGGACTCATGGTGGCATTCGGCGCAGTCGAACCATTTGCGGCCTGCGAGGACAAGACTGTTAGCATTGGGTTTTGCTAGCATGGGATACCGTGGAACGGCACGTACAGCACGCGGACCGAATGGCCACCTGGGCGTTGAGGATGTGTTTACTGCGCGTTGAGTTAGCACGAGCCGTAGATGCAGATCGTCAGGGGCGGGGAATGTACACACCACATGGCTGTGCTGGCTCTGGATGGCAGGTTATCGATGGGAAAGAGGGAAGGCAGAAATAATTATCGAGATTAGATGCTGGACCACGAGATCGGAATAGTGGCGCGTTTAACCTCGTTTGGGGACGGCTAACTTGGGTCGTTACGTTGAAATGCGGTTCTTCAGGCGGAAGCTAAAAATAATCCAATTTCATCCAATCCACGCGGCTCGAGATGCGATCAATAGTCGTTAGTAGTCACCTGTAGCAAGACTGTGACCTTTGTAGACAGAGAGATGCTCAAAAATTAGATTCAATAGCTGCAGTGTTCTTGATTCTACTGCTGTGTGTTTGCCCTCCTTTCCTGCTTCTCCTCCAGTTCGTCCGCATCGTCGTCCCCCACTCCTTCATCTGCCAGTCTTGCCGAGCTGCACCACGATTACTTCCCTCTTTCGCTCCCCCTCCACCTGCTGCTCTGTACGCCTAAGCCCCGTTTCATCTTCGGCCTTGAGCCTTCTTTGCTCCAGCTTACGACGCCTCCTCCGAGCATTCTCTCGACCTTTTCCTCCGCTCTCCCCTCCCTCATTTCTCTCGTTTCACCTCCTTACATCTCACCTGCTTCCGCCTAGATCTGGCCAAGCCCGGCAACAGCTTGCTCAGGCACGACTCCTGTCAATCTTCCGCGCTCAGGTCGGCTTATTCCTTTTTAAACACTGGCGGTCTCTGGGTCGGGTACCTTTTTGATACCGTGATTGAGGGCCTATGATTCATCTTTTCGACCTGTCTGCGTGCCGGAACTGTCGTCATGGAGGGAAACGGCAAGGGTCACGACGCTACGGATAGCGCCCCCATTGTACGTCATGCGCAACGATATACGATGTTTGACCGCTAACACGATCTGATTGCTTCTCTAGAGACCCGTATCTTCGCTCCTGTCCCATTTCGAGAATCTCTCACATCGCCGTTCTCCGTCCGCCGTACCCAGCGGTCCCCGCGACAGCACACTTCTCAAGGCACCGGAACTAGAGGATGATTTCCGCTCATCTTCGCGGGCTTCTCTCGATCTACCTCGTCCTTCTCCCTGGGCTTCTGCAACGGATTTGTCGAATGGTCGGCGGAATGAATATGTGAACGGTGCGAGGGGACGGAATGGCGGAACACCGGGGATTTCGCCTGGGAGGCGACAGAGTAGGCCAATGTCGATGAACTTTCACTCGTCACCGCAGCTGGCCCCGACTTTGACAATAGACTCCCCTCGCTCCCCGCCGCGTGGACTGGGTACATTCGACCGTGGAGATGATTTTCGTTTTGCGCGGAGTCCGCCGAGTGTCTCGCGGGAATCGCTGCCTATCACGTCAGGTAGAGCGTCCTCTAGTCGCCCGACCACGCCCGTCAATGCATCGCCCATCCCCATGGAGCGGAGAACCGGTCACCTTTCCCCAGGATCGTCTACATCGGCAGGGTCAACAGGTGAAGCCCCCCAGCCTAACCGAGCGTCGAAGCCCAAGATCCCCGCAAAGCCGGCGAACCTGACATTCCATGATTCGAGCCCCTCTCTGGCTCCAACCCAGCCACGAGCAGCCTCGCGAGACCGTGTGTCGCCGTTTAGCACCCCACCGAGCAGTCCTGAGAAGGCATCGCCAAGTCGGCCCGCCGCCGCGAAGCCGATCCGACCTCTGCGCCCCCCTTCTCGCCAATCCCCACCGCCACCATCCGCCGTCGAGATGCCACCACGCCGGTCAATGGAGAGATCACCTGCTCCTCCACCTATTAGGGCATCATCCGCTTCGCGGCGCTCGCCAGTCCCCGAGACACCGCGACAAAGCAAGCCGCTGACTGTTCAGATTCCCAAAGGGCCTTCTGTACAACCTGCAGCTCTAGCAAGCGCACCATTGTCCGCCCGGTTGTCGCAAAGAAATGATAGCCCTCATAGCCGGCCAGGTCTTCCGCCACGACATCCAATCGTGGTCCACCGGACGGGAAGGTCACCTGCAAGGCAACCTGCCGCCATTGAAAGCCCAGCACCCATAAGACATATTTCCCGGACCGACTCAATACAGACTCCGCGCATTCAAACCCCGCAAATCCAGCGACAACCGTCAGTTTCGCGAGATAATAAGCGCCTGCCACCTCCATCAGGTTCGGACAGGGCGGTTTCGGATCGTCAGCCCGTGCGACCTACTATCAGCTCAGAGGAGCCGGTTGCTGATGAACCGCCTATACGCACAGACTATCCTGATGCCTCGAATACGAATAGGCGGCCACCCATCCTGAAGACAGGACCTCGAGAGATCAATACTCGTTATGATACGCGATTGATGGATGTGTGCGGAAAGCATGTATGCACAACTGGCTACATCACGCGTGTCTGGGATCTCACGACGGGGGAACAGCTCATGAGTCTTAGCCATGGTGAAACTGTGAAGAGCTTGTCACTGGCTTTCAAGCCGGGGGCAGGTCTTGAAGATGAGGGTCAACGCTTGTGGATTGGTACTAATAACGGAGAGCTTCATGAGCTAGACGTCAATACCGGGTCGATTGTGGCGTCGCGCGCATATCCATCGCGGCGAGAGGTCATCAAAATTCTGCGCCACAAGAAGGAAATGTGGACAATCGACGATGAAGGCCGGTTACTCGTGTGGCCGCCGGACGAGACTGGTGTTCCTGACCTTCACTACAGCTATCACACCCCTCAAGACAGGGTTGCGAGAGGCCATACGTTTTCGATGGTTGTCGGGGATACTCTGTGGCTGGCTACGGGCAAGGAAGTTCACTTGTACCGACCTGATGCACGCGATGATGCCTCTTTCAAGATTCTGAAGCGGCCATTAGGTTCGCATCACACCGGAGAGGTCACCTCGGGTGCTTACACAACTAAGGACGGTGGTCGGGTGTACCTGGGCCATGCGGATGGTAAGGTCACTGTTTACTCGGCCAACGACTACGCTTGCCTTGGTGTCGTGAATGTCAGCGTATACAAGATAAATTGCCTGGGAATTGTGGGTGATAATCTCTGGGCTGCTTACAAAACAGGGATGATCTACGTTTATGATACGCGCACAAACCCTTGGACTGTCTTGAAAGACTGGACTGCACACGATAGCCCCGTCTGCGGGTTCTTGCTCGATACTAGCAGTGTGTGGACGATGAACCGACTGCAAGTGACATCGCTAGGACAGGACAATTGTATTCGTCTTTGGGACGGCATGCTAGAGGACGACTGGTTGGGTAAGTGGCATCCTCCGAGGCAATACTATAATGAGCTAACAATGTGCAGAAATCCAGATGCAGAAGAGGGATGTCGAGTTCTGCTCGTTCCGCGAGATTAGTGCCGTGGTCGTGACCTGGAACGCCGGTGCTTCTACTCCCGGAAGTATACGCACATCTACTTTTATCCAGGACGCAGTCCACCCGGAAAATCCACCAGAAATTATCGTTTTCGGTTTCCAGGAGCTTGTTGATCTTGAGAATAAGAAAATCACAGCCAGTACGTATTATATTCCGGTGGCTTGAATATGGTTGCTGATTGTCTGCAGAGAGTTTGCTGCTCGGAAGTAAAAAGAAGGAAAGCGGCGAGAGAGAGCACATGAGTCGTCAATATCGGGTGTGGATGGAGCATCTGACGCGGGCTATCAACGACTGCATGCCGCTTGATGAGTCCTACGTTCTTTTGCATAGCGCGAATCTTATTGGTCTCTTCACGTGCATTTTCGTCAAGCACAAAGAGCGGAATAAGATTAAAGACGTCAGTGCCGCCGAGGTCAAGCGGGGTATGGGAGGTTTGCATGGAAATAAGGTATGCCTGGACGGATCATAGTTGAACGGTTGAAGCTAACGGTGTAGGGCGCCCTTGTGTTCCGGTTTATTCTGGACGATAGTTCGCTCTGTTTCGTAAATTGCCACTTGGCAGCAGGACAGACGCAGACCACGCACCGCAACAACGACATCGCGGCTATTCTCGAAACCGAGTCTCTACCCGTAGAGACCAGCCTGACGTCTCGATTGAACCACTTTGTCAGTGGCGGAGACGGATCCATGATTATGGACCATGAGATCTGTATTCTGAACGGAGATCTCAACTACCGAATTGACTCTATACCGCGGAACGTGATTATTGAGGCAGTCCGCAGCAACAACCTTGCGAAGCTATTGGAACGAGATCAGTTACTGGCGTCTAGGCGCAAGAACCCAGGATTCCGCTTACGCGCGTTCCAAGAGGCTCCAATCACATTCGCTCCGACATACAAATATGATGTTGGCACCGATGAGTACGACTCTAGTGATAAGAAGCGGTCTCCTGCTTGGTGTGATCGAATTCTCTACAGGGGACTAGGCCGAGTCAAGCAGCTGGAATACCGGCGCCATGAGGTGCGAGCGTCTGACCACCGACCAGTGAGCGCGAGGTTCAAGCTTCGTATCAAGTCGGTACTTCCTCAGCAACGGGATGCTGTGTGGGAAGCCTGTCAGAAGGATTTCCAAGCTGAGCGACGAAGGCTAGCATCTGAAGCAAGGTAAGTTCAATACATCTTCCCAAGGAACCTTGCCACTGACCTGTCGCAGCATCGAGTATCTAATAAGCGTTCTCGGAACGGACGCCAAACAAGCCCGGGCACTGATCCTGGGCAACGGCAGCTGAACGTCACCTCAATGCTGTATATTTTGGGGGTTTCGTATCATTTTTTTTTCTTACACTCTGTTTCTAGAGGTTGGAATATCTTATGGGTTGGGCTGGCTGGTAGAAAAGGCAGTGTTGCATACTATGTGTGCCATCATTCAGGTGGCCTGTACGACTAATGACTCACGATAGACATGTATGATGATGGGAGGAGTTAGAGCTAACAGAGCTTATACTAGTAATCCTATAATGAGGTGCATTTGTACGCTTCCATCACTAGCAAAGCCGGTACGTGAAGATATTGGAAGGAGCTTAGGTCGCCCCGGGCGGAAGGGGGCTCCTTCCTGTTTCGGCACACAAATTCCCTTAGGCACTTCATGCACTGAGAGATGAAGCACTGCCTGCTCTTGGATTCTCTCCCCACTGTTACTGCATCTCACACGCTCTCCCTCCGCCTACCAGCAGAGCACAATGGCTGATCAACACTTACATCGCTACAACCGCGCTACCTTCCCACACCCAACCTCCGGCCGCCCCGCAGCATATGTAGCACCGCCCCCGCGCGGTCCTGATGTCTGGGAGCCTGCACGCCATCGAGGAGAGATCGATGTCCATGATTGGCAGGAGGCGATGGTATATTATTGCAGGCGCATGGGGTTTCGTCGAAAACAGCTTGTTGCGAGTCTTGGACGGTGAGATTCCTTCCCACCCTACTTTACCTCGCCTTGCACGTTTAGAAGCGCGTGGAAATGCTTGAGCGATGAGCTGACATGTTTCATAATAGATTCATGCTCAATCACGAGTTCCACGACATGACCATCGTATGCGGGAATCGGAATGTGGAATTCCCATGCCACAAGGCGATTGTGTATGCGCAGTCGAAGAAGATCCGGTCGATGTGTAGGGAGGCTGATGTGGGCGAGGTATGTAGCCCACCTTTTTACCTGCTGCTGCTCCGCTTGATGGACTAGCAAGTAGATCAACTGGTAGATCTGATGCTTGTTGCAGCAAAACCCCGTGGTCAGAATCATATGCCATCCGCTCCCTTTCCGTCTGACAATGGAGTATCTCTATACGTGCGACTATCATTTCTTTTACAAGTGGGACTTTCCATCTCATTTCCAGGCCCAGGGCCAGACGATTCCGGTGGATTATGTTGGTATGTTTAATGCTTTCCTTCAAGAATATGGATGAGAATCAGCAGGGGTTGCAATGCTGATAGCCTAGTATAGATCGCCTGGACTGCTGCGAACTCTCCCTGCACCTCCAAATCCACCTCCTCGCAATCCGCCTCCGCATCCCTGGCCTCAAGTATCTCTCCGCAAACAACATGATTCAAACCCTAGGTCGATCCGCATTCCCAACTGTCTTCCCGCGGTTCGTGCGTGAGGTGTACGCTATTGTAAAGAAGCAGAACGCGCTCATCAAGCGACTCCTTGTCAAGTACACCGTTGGCGTTGTCGGTGGACGGAACCCGAGGAACCACTATGAGGGACGATTTCCGGGGTACATCTTCCGTGAGATCCCAGAGTTTGCGCGAGACTTTTGGTATGGTAGGATTGGGTATCCGGGGACGAATGCTCTGGATATTGAGACTGGGATGCATATAGCTGAGACGCAGTGGGAGTGCTGAGTGAGTTGAAGTCGTGGACGGGTGTATACTTACTTCATGCGGTGCTGGCGGGCATAGATTGGTGGTTTGGACTGGCTATATCGTTTAGACCCCCATTGAGATTAGAATGAGTAGACAGACGCCTTGTATATAGATAGAAATGCAACCATCACCAGCTGGTATTCGCAGATATGCTAGACGATAAATCAACTATATGCATCATCACGTCAATCAAGACCGTCAAATCAGACTCAACCCCGAACCACAGGCAGGGAAGGTCCAGCTGAAAAGCACAGCAACACCTGAAGAAGAATCAATAGAACAAACACAATAAACCTGAGCCACGGAGAACGACGCTAGCGCCACAAATCCCCGCGACTATCCCTCCTCCACCCCCCACTACTCCTCGGCCTCGCGTTCCCATCATCAGCTGGCACAGCCAGGAACCCCCCAAACCCATTTCCCACAAGCACACTCTTCCTCGCATCCCCACCCCAGCTCCTCCCCAGCGACGCATCATGAAAGCTCACTGGCCTCGTCACGCTATCCCTTCGGCCCCGCGTCATACTCCCAAGCGGCTCATAGGGCGTGAAGTTCCACTCTAGCTCGTCGAGACCCTTACTGTAGACATTTAACGGGCGCGCAAGACCCCCGCCCATGAACTGTGGACCTGATTCGCCGCCACCGAAGAGGCGGGGTGGTGGTGCGATGAGTAGGGCTTCGGGAAAATCGGCGTCGCGGACGTAGAGGTCCTGTAGGGAGGGGAGGGAGTTGGACATGAGGGTTGAGATAAGGTATGTGTAATAAGAGGCTGCTTTGGGGACGACGCCGTAGGAGCCCGGTGTGGAGGTAATTTCGTAGTGGAGGAGGCGGAGGGTTGGTGAGGAGAGTGGCGGGGTTTTTTCGGGCGGGAAGGAGCGGGTTACTTCTTGGGTTATTTGTAGGCTGAGGAGGGAGGTTGCGAGGGTGAGGATTTTGTGTAGGGTTGGCGGCGGGATTCCAGTGTTTGTTAGGGTTAACTGGAGAAGGTTTTTGGCGGGGAGGGGGTGCGAGAGGAGGGATGTTAGGCCGCTTGTTGTGATGTTGGGTGTGTTGCGGAGGGTGAGGCGCTGGACTGCGGGGAACGGGGGTAGGATTTGGTTCGGGGTGAAGATTGAGTCGTCGAGGAGGGGAGCATTGTCAATTGTTAGGTCGCGGAGGCGCGGGAAGGATGAGAGGGAGAGGCGCAGGGTTGCGGGTTCGAGTTGGAGGTTATAGAGCTCGAGGATCTCGAGGTTTGTCCAGAGGTTCGAGTCGGGGAGTTGTGCGAAGGACCCCTCTGCACCGGCGCAGTATTTCATGCGGCGTAGGTCCGGGCAGCGCGCCATGAGCTCTTGTTTCAGGGTCATGCAGGAGGGGTCGTCGCTGTAGATCCCAGAAGGAAGGTCAACATAGCGCAGGTTCGGGAGGACGGAGATGGTGCGCGCAATCTCGGCTTTGTTTGCTTCGCGGGTCATGTATGGCATGCGGAGGGAGAGGACAAGGTTGCCGGCCTCTCGCGACAGTCGAACTGATCGCATGAAGAGAGAGAGGCGGACCTGCGGGGCGTCGATGGGGTCGGCATTGCGGTTCAAGAATGAGCGGCGCTTGCGTCTGGCGGCGAGTTCCTCTTCGAGTTCGCAGTAGTGGACGGCGTCAATGCGGACGTGTGAGTATCTAGAGGTGTATTAGCGGAGCGTAACGAGGAATCGTGGGCGGGGGCGTACAGTAATGAGCGAGCGACAGGGTACCAGCGCTTGGAGACCAGAGTGCAGTGCGCCAGATCGCGCATGTCACAGAGCATGCACCCATCCTCGGTCATGGACTCCTCGGAGGAGTCGTAGGAGCTGTCGGCGGCATGGGGACAGACAAAGGCGAAGATTCGGGCGAGGACGGGGTTGGGCAGGTGTTTGGTGAGGTCTTTGGCGTAAGAGGGCAGGGGAGGCAGCTCGTCGCGGGTGCGGAGGTGGTCGTAACTACTGGCCCCGTTCCCCGCACGGCTCTGGCTTTTGGACCGCTGGCGAAGTCGGCTCAATAATCCCATGGCGAAGGAATGGATTGCATGGGAGGGAGACTAAGTAGTTCCGGTGCGATAGTTCGAGAAGAGTTCGAGAAGAAGCCGATGAGGCGAACGGTGTCAGAAATAAATGAGGGATGGAGGCGGGGGGACGTTGCCAACTAAGCGAGTCCGATCTGGACAGTGAAGGAGCGGCCGCTGGTGCTGGTGTATCTCTTATATCCCCATCATTGGAGGATCTTCGCTCGTGAAATTAATTATTCAGGCGTTCAGCCTTCAGATGCACCTAGCCGACGCCTGGAATTCCTTTGTTGGTTCAGGAGTCGAGTTGGAGTCGACTTTGGGGCCGAGGAGGACAATCTCTTGCCAGCGAGTGCGCTGAAACAGCCGTTATTGGGCCCCATGGCTCCTGGCCATATTTATACCCGCCTATCACTGCGGATGCAGGGACGACAAGACAAAGAGGCGCCAACTGTGGTGATGCCAAGGACGCAAATTGAGGGAGCAGACGAACTGGCGCCATGTTTCACTATCGCTGTCGCGTCGCACCCGCTAGTCTCAATGGTCGACGGTCAGCCAAGTTGGAGTCCTCTGTCCCCAAAGTCTTGTTCACGTGTTTGATTGAGGTTATCCCTCACTGAGCAGTGAGGACAATGAAAGCGTCAAGATCAAAACACCAATCTTTGTTGACATTCCCCAGATCTGGTCGTCCGGAATCTAGATTCTTTCCTCAGGGCCGAAACACGGACTCATGACATCACCCAGTGTTCATCTCGACCGTCGCATCGCATAAAATCGAACAAGATGACCCTTTATACAGTCACCACAGTCCAGTCCGCTCCTCATGCTGTGCAACAGGATTTTCCCGGCTAGACCAAGCTCCTTAAATGCCTCCCTCTTTACCTGCTATACCAAGCTCAAACCAAGACATCTCAGCTACTCCCCTCCTCTCTACAGAGCTCCAGCAATGACCGAAAAAGACCCCGGCTACAAGGACCGACCCCCGTACAAGATCCGCTCTGATGCAGAATTCGGAGAGACCAAATGGCGCGGTAGCTGCAGTTGCGGCCAGGTCACGTACAAAATCAGCCGCCAGACCCCACTGAACGCAAAGTACTGCCACTGTCGCGGATGCCAGGTCACACATGGTACGTGCACGAGTTTCGAGACCAAGTACTTTGACAAGATTGATTTGCTGATATGGCGCAGGCGCCCCCTTCCAATGGTGCGGCATCTTCCATAAAGAAGACCTCATGTTCAACAAGGGATCCGAGGGCCTCTCGTTCTACTCCTCCCAGGATAAGTCGAGGGATTACCAGCTGCCGACTAAGGTCGCCTGTGCGCATTGTCGGAGCCCGATCATGGATGAGGGACGGAATGTCTGCTTGATATTCCCCACGTTGATCGACTATGAGGCCTCGGGCACGGATCATGATACGTGGAGACGGGCGTTTGAATCCAAGTACGTTGCCTTGCCTACAGCTCTAGCTGGCTATTATGATCTTTCGTTCGATTGAGCTAACAGTTTGCAGAATGCACATCTTCTACGGCAGCCGTGCGGTGGACACTCCAGATGGAAAGCCCAAGTGGGCGGCTCTGGACGAGCAGAGCGATTTGCTCGATGATTATGGCAATCCCAAGAAGGATTAGGGTTTCAAGTACTCGAATGTAAATATACATGATATACACGAACGAAGAAAAGGCAATTCAAATGGATACGAACGCGAAGTACACGATTTGAAGCACTTATCGAACTTGTAGTCGTATCGAGCTGTAATTCTCGAGTAAGAAATGACGTCGATGCGATTTCCCCACCACACGAGACGGGGATTTCTTGACGACTTCCGCACTCCACAGACCACTCTATACCACAACAACACACCGTTGTACAGTCAACTAATACTTGTAAGTGAACCCGCAGCCCCCCAAAGTAATTCCGAGAGCATACCCTCCCATCCTCGCCACACATCCCCCCCACAAAAGCGACTCCCGCCTACCCCGCAACGGTCTGCGTGCAACATCCAACCTCATCTAACAACTCCTACCTACCCAGCTCCAATTCAACCCACCCAAAACGAGAATCACAACAATGCCCTGGTCCCAAACCCAATTCACGCTCCCACCGCGCTCCCGGGGCTCCTACCTGATAACCGACCACATCGTGTCCTCGGTCCCGCAGATCCGCGACTACAAGGTCGGGATGCTGAACCTGTTCATCCAGCACACGTCGTGCGCGCTGTCGCTGAACGAGAACTGGGACGAGGACGTCCGTGAGGATATGAGTGATGCGCTGGATCGCATTGCGCCCGTCGACAAGAAGGGGAATCTCTATCGGCATTCGGCGGAGGGGGAGGATGATATGCCTGTATGTTTTCCCTGTTTGGTCATTGCTGGAGGTGAGAGGGGGCATTGGAGGATTGTTGGCGAGGTAGTTGGTGGGGTTTGAGGGGAGATTGTGCTAATGTTTATGTGTGTGACAGGCTCATATCAAGAGTGCGCTCATCGGTGCGTCGGTGAATATCCCCATTACGAATGGTAAACTGGCGACGGGGACGTGGCAGGGGATCTGGTATTTGGAGTTCCGCGCCAGTCGGCACACGAGGAAGGTTGTTGCTACTATTCAGGGCGAGAAGGCTTGACTAGATGAAGTGCATTTATAGGGCTGAATTGGGACCTGAGGTGCAGGTCATGTCTTCTATGTTGCACTTGATAGTTTAGACCATGTAAACGAATGCTGGGCAACTGCCGGGTAACATGGTAAGGGTTGCTTCCAAGATGGAGGCCGCCAGTGTGGATATCTATAGATTGAAATGACGGACCAATGAGAGTTCAGGTAAATGAAATACTCCAACGGCTCATTGATTTGATACAACTGTACAAGCCCAGCCGGGCAACATGAAACATGCAACAACGCCAAAAACAAACTTTCTTTACCGCTGCTCATATCCGCCCTCCGTCACACGCTGGGTCTCGTTCACCTCGGCGGGATCACCGGTAGACTCAAGGGGGTAGCTGGTCTCGGGCAGGGATTGGAGGTACGCACGGTTGCTCTCGTGGGCCTATTACGCATTAGCAGCTCTTCAAGTGATCGGTGCTCTTGTGATAAAACGTACGAAGGGAAGGCCGCAGTAGCCGCAGGGCACGATCTCGGGCTTGTCGGTGTTGATAAAGACTCTGGGGTGGCCGAGAGGGCCGCCACCTCCGTCACAGCTGACAATGCGCTTCTTTGTCCAGCGGACGGGCTGTTTGTGGATGAGCTCGATTGCGGCCATGGGTGTGGGCTAGATATCCATGTTAGTTATCCCTCCAACCATTCCTCGTTCCCCGTTTTCTGCACTCAGCCAGGGCACCATCGTATCGAGGTAACAAACCTGAAGATGCATTATAGTCTGCTCGAATCGCGGCCCACTCATCGCTTCCGCTCTAGGCCTCTGGCTCGGGGCCCAAGTGGTAGCCCGGTTGGGAGCCTGCATTGTCCTCACACGCTCTGCAACATCCGTAGATTCCTGCAGCGCAACATCCCACTCTCCCATCGAGTCAACCGGTGTAGCATTGGTCTCGGAAACATTGGGCTTGGGCTTCCGCGGGGTCGGGTCGTTGGCTGGAATGGTGTTTTCCGAGAAGCGAGGGACGGTCGTCGAGTAGGCGGCGGCGGCGGCCCAGGACTGGGAAGCGACGCGGGGAGCCCAGGTGGAAGACAGCGCCGCAATGCGGCTTCGGGCGATCGGGAGCAACATTTTCTCCTGCAATTGGGTGTGTAGCGGGAGAGTTCACGTCGACGGGATGCGGCACTCGCGGAGAGATGAGGTCGGTGGTCGAGGTTTGCGGCAGGGAGCTCCAATGCCGCTTCGGCAGCCAATCGGGGCGGTCGTGCGGTGTGATTCTGCCGGACGCGGTTTTTCTTTACTTTTGCTTGGGCAAGAGCGACGAAATTCTTTCAACGTTGCTTGAGGTTTGCTTTTTGTCATTTGGCTTGTTTGTCGCGAATCTTGCCATCGAATCATACAGATTTGTATACTCTCAAGTCTGCCAGCATGCCTCGACCGTCGCCTTCAGCCCCGAGGGCTGAGAAGAACATGTCTTCGCGCCTACTTACTATGAAGGTAAGCACATCACCAAGAGCTTTGTCTCCTTGGTCTAACAGTAATAGTTCATGCAAAGAGCTGCTGCTAGCGCCGCTGCGAAAGAGTCATCTCAAGGCGAGTCAGCTAGCAACTCTCAAGCTTCAACTCCCAAGAAACGCCGCATTTCTACCGAGCCGGCCGAGAGTCCATCTCCCACACGTCCATCCGACATGGAGGCTATCTCAGCTGCCTTGGCAGAAGAGGAAGAGAAACGAAGGGACGCTATTGCGCGACAAGCTGCGGAAGCAGGCGAAACGGAATGGTTCCTCGACTTTGACGGGGCAGACTCAACCCAATACGCGCAACCACCCGTTGTGCTCGCAGATTACTCCCTTGATGCGGACGATGACGATATTGGCTACGGGGGACGACAGGTCTACGGAAATTACAAGAAGAAAAATAAGCCGACGGTTGTACGATCCTGCCGACCTGTTGTTCGAAAGCTAATAGTATACAGGCAACCACCACCGCCGAAGGCGATCAAGATGAAAGTGAAGCTCGGGAGATGATCAAGCAGAGCCGACCGAAGGTCAATCTAAGCGAATTAAACAGCATATCGGGGGGAAGGCGCGCCAACCCGATGGCGGTAAATGATAAGTTCCAGAAAAAAAGGAAGCACAAATGAAATACAGCGGCACGGAACGACAGATCAGCTCACGAGACAAAAGCCACCCTTTAACACTACTGACGATGCTCATCGGTCAATCGAAACGCGAAGGAGCGGACTACCATGCGGGTGTTTCTTGTGCCTCCCATCCTTCGGTAGACGCCCCCTCCATCGTCTTCAGAGCTCCAGTTCTTTCGGCCGTGGACTCGCTCCTCACAACGATATCGCCTATTCTGAACTTGACCTCCTCGGCAATGATACCGTCGCAGGCATCTCCTGTCGTGCTTCTATTCCGCCTGTAGACCCGAACCTTCACGACATCAGATGTTGGGGATTTGCCATCCGATGTGTAATCAGGGCTGCTCGGCTTCCCGACTTCCTGTCGAACACCATTCGATCTCTGGATTTTCCGCGACTGAGAGCGACGGCGTCTATCATGAATGTCGAATGGAAACTCCTCCGTCGGGACTCTTAGAATTCCTCGAGGCAAACCATCTTCTCTCGAGAATCTGGACCTAGAGCTCACTTGTGATCCTGGGCCTTGCTTTCCATATGAGCCAACTAACGCATAATTAGAGGCAATACAATAACAAATCTTTCTGGTCACATACCTCTGCCTCCTCTGGAATTGGAGTAATCAAGATAGCGGGCACTTTACCTGGCCCGTACCCGTTCCCGTAACCCTGCCCCTGTCCTTGTCCGCTTTCTCTCTGTCCCACGTTATCACTGCTAGATTCCCTCGACGAATGCGGTCGAATCTGCATTGGAAGGGGAGCACGGGCATTCGAGGTTGGGGACCGTTCAAGTCTCGAACGGACAAGGCGGGGTTGCTCTGTTTGCAGGCCTTCGACCACAAAGTAGGATTTGGCGCATGGACAGAACATGGCGATGCTTTCTCTTCAGAGTTGAAGATGGTGCGAGTCCAAAGTACGTGAAAAAGTCCAATGATCGCCCGAGGTCTTGAGGGCCAAAAACTTAGAGAATGAAGAGCAATGGCGCCACAATGGCCTTGTGAGACGATGGGCTCCTCTTATTTGAGAGGAAGAGGAAAATCATCGTCCCCTAATTCGAGGGTGGATCCCAAATAGGAAGGCGCCATTGAACCCAAATATAGTCTATTTTCTAGTCTATCGATCCTGTTTTTTATATCATCTGCAGATGAGCTGTCAGAATGTCAGGCCACTCTGGCGCTAGTTTAGGCATTTATATTGATGTGTTTCATGCAAGTACGTCATTAATTCGCTCGAGATACCGAGATAGGAGCAACAATTCGACTCCGGTCAACAACTCCGAATCCCCCTTAGTCGTAGATCACAAATTCGCCCTCTCCCTCTCCACCTTCTTCTCCCACCTTCTTCTCGTCGAAAAATTCACCAGCAGATTCCACGCCATCACACTAACCCCCAGCGGCGGCGCAACAAGCAAACACCACGCCCACCACTGCGGACTACTTCCCTGGATTTTTGAAATCGCCCGCGCAACCTCCTGTTCTAGCTGTCCTCTATCTCCATCATTCCACACAATCACCCCGCGCGCATCAGCCGTGCCCCGGAACTCGGCCTTCTCCACCTTCCCCTTGACATCCCCCTGACTCTTGACCCGGTTCTCCGCATCCTCCGCAGAGAGATGCGCATCGCGCGCGCGCAGCCTCGCCATCTGCACACTCGGATCACTAACCCCAACAACAATCACAGTCCCGCAGATCAGATCCATCCCACTCTCAAAGAGCAGCGGCACGTCGAGAACAACCGCCCAGTGGCCGCGCACATAGTAGTACATCAGCGCCTTGTAGACCTCCCACCGTACGGCCGGGTGCACGATTTTATTCAGGACCATGCGATCGCGCTTGAGGGCCTCGGAGTCGCCAAAGACACGCTTCCCGAGTGCGGGGCGGTTCAGTGGGCGGGGGCGGTTCGGGGGGTCCTTGGGGGACGCTGGGAGGAGGAGGTCTGGTGTGCTCGGGCCAAAGTAGCTGACGATGGCATTGTAGCCCTTTGTCCCGGGTTCGACGACGCGGCGGGCGAGCTGGTCGGCGTCGATTATCGGGAGGGAGTAGGGGGGAGAGGAGAGGAGGTTGGAGACGGTGGATTTGCCGGTGGCTATTGAGCCTGTTAGGCCGATTATGAGCATTTTGTTCGCTTTTTGGTGACTCTCGTTTTGTTGTAGGTTAATTTTGGATCTGTAAGGTTGAGGATTGTGTGTGTAGGTGTGGTGCAATATGTAGAAAGTTTGAGATCGGACGTTGCAGAATCGATGGCAACATGCGGGGAGCTTTGGCAGCCCAGGCCCGCCGGGGAACCGAGGTCCCTGCTTGGACCTTACGATCCGGAGTTACGCCACCGATCAACAGACATAGTTTGAAATATAGTTATTTGACATTACATTCTCAGTCAGATATTGTGTCGTTAAATCTATTCTGTTGTACATGCACTTCGCCAAGCTTAATCCTGACAACATGGCCGAACTCGCACCAACAGTGACAGGGAAGCTTCCTGTCTAGACTTCATCGCATCTCGGAGCTTATCATCTCGGAGGATTTTTCCGCAGCGATGGTCGTATAACGCGGGGGAGTATTTTGCCGGTTTGGATAGAAACTCTCTCCATATCGACGGATTGTCATGACTCCGGAAGCCCTCCCTTGCTGGGGTCCTGCTTCTGACCGTGCCAGCCAATGAACGGCCAACCATCCGGAAGAGTCGAGTATGGAGGAAGCACATAACGGTCATTACATGCGCCCTCACTGGGACATGTCAGATCGCACAGTCCAAAGACCTTGCAGTAGCACTCCTCCGCCGAAGGGCAATGGACGGGATCCTTGCCAAAAATCACTGCAACACATTAGCTCACTCACTCTCTAGTCAATCGGCAATGCAAACTTACTATGCCACGAATACTCCATAATCCGCCCGCTCAAATCATCCGTCAGGTCCGTCTCGGAGAGCCATTTTCGATACCGCAAATAGTCGCTCTTCGGCCTCTCGCGGATTTTCCACCTCGTGACCCCGAACTGCGCACAACATGAAACACCCACGGTCTCCGGAAGCTCGGTGCCCGGGAACAGCTCCATGAAACCGTACTTGAAGTATTCGCCCACGTGGATGTTTTCGTGATGCACATCGGTGAGAGGGTGGACTTCGCCTGGGCAACCGAGAAGCCAGACGCAGCGGATGTTCACGTAGCCTTGTTTCTCGAGGTACGGGAGCTGGAAGTTGCGGAGCATCGGGACGCCATCGTAGTACGGGTCGTCGTTGTGCCATTGATATCGCTGGGAGTGGATAAAGAGGACGGAGTCGGGGAGGTTATCGTAGTTGTCGATTATGTAGCTACCGACACCTGTGAGTCAGACATAGGAAGCACGGCCTGGGAAGGATGGTAGCTCACGTCAAATAAACCATCGACTCCCTTCCTTTATTCTGCGCCACCGTTAACTCCGCCTTCTTGTCGTCCACCACGTAGATACTCTTGTGCCAGTCTGGAAAGAATTTATGCAACCACGAGACATCGTCCCCCTTCATACTGGCCACGACCATGCTTTTGCGGATGGGCGTCGTCTCCCGCGCGGGCGTCGCCTGTCCAGACTGCGGATCTCGATTCGGTCCCCCTTTCCCGGCGGGGTCGTATATCGTCGGGTCGACATGTTTGTGTGTGGATGTGTTTGAGAAGAAGAGCAGATACAGGGCGAAGATGATGAAGATGGTGAGGAAGATCGCTTTCTCGCGGTTGCGGCGTCGCGGGCTGTTAGGACCGCCGAAGAAGAAGAGCATGGCTGCCGCCAGCGACTGCACAGGTACTGGATAGGGAAAGGTAAGCTTCAAATTATGGAGGTCGTCGTCGTTCGTTCGTCGACTGTTCGTTTCGGAGTTCTGAGGTTCACGACGAATCGACTGAGCAACCCATGATCGGCCGCAGAGTCGACACCAGCCGGAAGAGCGCGCGGGGTCGGGCGATGGTGGTCGCTGATGAGGCTGAGAGATCCCAAATTCAATCGGAGAGGATCAAAGCCCAGGGAAATGCAAACGGTGGTCGTCGAGAGCTGACTGGGTCAAAGATGGAGCCAGATGGCAGCATTGGCTGAAATTTGGAGCTGGAACCCCAGCCACGGCTCGAGGTGGACCGGATCGACAGACCCAGAGTTACGCCTGCAAACTCTCCTCGTCCACAACTCATCAATTCAATTGAGTTCGGGAGATTTCAACGTTTCATACTGATTGTTTTTCCTAGCCTAGAGATCTGGACTACGCCATCGATCGCTGGTCGGGTTTAACGGAAATTAAGCTACAACATACAGGGATAAGCGTTTCGGCATTCATTCGTCTAGCACGTGTTATATATACCATTTCATCGGATCATCCTCCTGCTCATCACGTCGATCAAAACTCATCCACAAATATTGATATATCACTGACACGCGGAAATATCAATGAAATACCAGCTATGTGACTCGGTGGACTGAATAATCTCTCCGGCATTGCCCTCCCTCGATCCAACGCCCTCGATGACCTGAACATCCGCCGTGGTCGGGGTCACACCATTGTCGCTAGTGATCCAATACTCGGGGCTAGTGTGGCTGAAGCCGAACAACATTGGCGGAAGTCGAGGGACAATGTCGTTGGTGTGTGTGACGCGGTAGGTGCTCCCCTGGTTGGTGATATATTGGGCCAGTTTCTCGTTACCAACGCGGGGGCTTCCGTATGGGTACTACTCGCTGTTAGACATTTGCTCGAATACTTGACTGTTTGTGGACAAGAAGCAACTTACGAGCTCAATGGCATACCCCGCATTACGCAACTGCGCCGCACCAAGTGTAGCAATGGCGCCGCCGAAACTGTGGCCTGTGAAGACAACAGTGTATCCGGGATAGGCAGCGAGAGCAGACTCGACGCCAGAGGTGATGTCATCTGCGACGACCTCCCATGACCTCCAGAATCCGCCATGGACTTCACACCCACTGCACAGACCGACTGGGTCCTTGCCAAAGTCGAGGTTCGCGATCCATGTGTCCAGCGTCCGGCTTCCACGGAAAGACACGACGATCACGCTGTTGGTCGTGTCGGCGGCCACAAATCCCGCAACATCGCCATACTCGCACTCCCTGTGCCCGTTAGTCCTGGCCGTTAAATCTTACATGGGCGGCATACTCATAGAACTCAGACAATGTTGTTGTGTCCGCCGCTTGGACAGTCGGGCAGTTTCCGGTGGCGCATGTCACCTTGTCGCCAGTCGAGTCGATGTTTGGGGTGCAGTAGGATGCCGCAGCATATTCCGCGAACAGTGTCAGCTGCTGCAGGACCTCGGGCGAAACATCTGATCGAGGTTAGTCAGATATCTGATTGTTGTTCGAAACACGTACCCCGACGTGCCAGCGGAGCGGGAGCCGCAACGCTCAGCCCAGCAAGGGCTGCAGCAACAGAGGTATATCCAAGACGAACCATCACGTCAAACTCAGCACCCTTTCGGAGGGGATACAGAACGGAATATGTACAAAGTAATGGGAGATCCAGCGCAAACAAAGGCACACCGCTACGATTCTCGACTCAGGAACCTGGAGACAACCGCTGATCATCAGGAACCACTCTCCTTATATAGACACGGCGTAAACCCTCATTTGACTCTTGGGTCAGTCATCCGGGCAGGCCACATTCTTCGTCAAATCCAAGAATGTTGACGCCCCGAGCGGGGTAGATACCAACAACGCGATACAACTCTGGCATGCTGAAATCACAAAGCTCGACCGGCGACAACAAATCCGAGTTCGTCTTCCTGCCACCCGCCGACGATCCCTCCGTTTCTAGAAGGAATCCCGTCGACCGTGTCTGTTCGCTAGGCGCCGCCGGGGCAGATCAATCTACAAAGTGGAGTAGCGTTTGGCAACCACGAGATCTGACTGGGCGCGAAACAGGTAATGTAGCAGTCAACAAGCCACTGATGGGCTGAAGAGTCGGAGGGGACGTGATGATGGAGAGGTGCGAGTCGTGAAGAAAAAGCAACGAACTAATCAGGTTGCAACACCACAACATGTTCTGCGTGCCAAGCGACTACTTCGGGATGTGTGGATGTGGAATCCCCGCGTTCCTTGTCAAGTGATGAAATCCCGGCGGCACTTGACTTGCACGAATCAGAGAGGAACTTCTCAGATGAAGTGGTGTCCGCTCGCATTGTTGACAAGCTTGGAAGACTCAAGTCTAGCCCTGCGTAGAGTCTAACTGACCAGCGTCAAATCAACAGAAACCCGAAAGACTTTCTTGAAAAAGTACAGTCGGAGAATATACCCTCGGTATCAAGGTCAGGTGGTCCAAGATCACCCTGTCTTCCGCTGCAGTACCACGTCCAAAAAGTCCCCAATGTACTTATTGGCCTCCACAGGAGTATGAATCAGCGCCCAGTGCGACGCCTCGTTAATGACCCCCGTCGTTAACCCCGCCGGGAAGAACGCTTCCTGACCATCCAACATGCTCGGGGGTAAAGCCTGGTCCTGCCCCGCCATGATAATCATGGCAGGCACAAGGAGCTGCTGGTTCGACTCCGCTAGGGGGATTTCGTCTTCGCCGTTGAGGGTTCGTGTGCGGTACCAGTTGATGGGGCCGTTGGCGCCATGTCGCGAATACTCTTTCACCGTACCCAGTTAGATCTGGCATGAAGACAGATACAGGAGAGGGACACACCATAATGCTCAATCAACTCCTCGCTCACAAGCGGCGATGGCCCAACCTCTAGCAACCTCTCCTCAACTAGACCAAATGCAGGATCAAAGCCAGGCAGTCCCTCGGGCGTGGCCCCGCCAAAGGAACTCCTCACAAAGCCCCGGAGATGCGCCTCCGACCGGTCAACCACCTCCTCTGCAACGGGACTTGCCAGCTGCAGCTGGTACTGGAAGGAAGGGTTTGCCTGGACAAATTCCTCGAGCGTCACGACAACAGGCGTTGGCGGGAAGTAGGGCACGGTGAACGAGAAGATCCCCTTGACCAGCTCTGGCGAGTATAGCGCTAGACGCCAGGCAAGGTACGAACCCCAGTCGTGGCCGCCGAGAATGACGGGCAAGTCTATTTCGGCGCGGATGATCTGTGCGATGTGTGCGGACATGCGCTTGAGCGTGTACGCTGCTATCTCGGTTGGCGCGGAGGTTTTGCCATAGCCGAGGAGGTCGGGCGCGATGACTTGAATGCCTTGCCGGAGAAGGAAGGGAATCTGGTAGCGCCAGCCTATTGCGAGATCCGGCCTGAAGAATGAGATGAGTGGTTACGCTCTGGGGCTATGGATTACTCACCAGCCGTGCAAGAGTAGAACGGTGGCGCTTGGTGTGCAATCTGGGCTTGCCATCATATAATGGTATGTAATATCATCTTCGACCTGGAGCTGCTTGTGAACCACCCGGGGGTCGTCAAGGGCAAGGACATCCATTGTGCTAGTTGATGATAACTGATAGAACAGCAGCGAGTTTCGAGACGTTCAAGGTGATTAAAGGAGTGACAGAGGACTGGGGTTGTCCTGAAACCCGTCTTTTGACTGGGCTTATACAGCTTTACTACGAGCTGGAGTGCTGAAAAAGCAGAGTGATGGTTTGTTGCTTTCTTTGTGCTATTCTCCAGGGCATTACCGACCTCCAACCCAATCCAGCAAACAATCAAAGCGCCGGAAGCGGCTTGTTTTTCCAGGCCATGGACCCCTGTTTTCCAATAAAAGGCACATACAGTAAGACGAGCCCTTGCCGGATCATCATCAACGACGTAATGATGCCATATCCAAAAGATTCAATGTCCAGCCACGGCAGCATCAGTCGAGTCCACAGCCAAGTGCCCCACGACTTGCTTGCAGAATCACGGACCATTTTGCGACCCATTCTCAGAATAAACTGCACTTCCTCCTCGCGCGTGCGTTGGTATCGCGAAAACGCCTGGTCGATTGCGCTCGTAACTGGCAAGGGATCCCTTTCCAGAAGTGACTGCAGCTCGTTTGCGAGACTGGCTGCTGATTGTAGCCCCAAATTCAATTCAAGGCCATTCTGGCTGGTGCTCTTGTGCACGGCGTCGCCAACGAGGGCAATGCGATCGTGGTGCCAGCGCGTGAGGAGTCCTTCCTGATTCAGCTTCCACAAGGTGTTTTTGCCGGTGTTGTCCCAGAGATCTTTAAAAGTCACCCCGCGACACACAACAACGTGACCAAGTGAAGCCGCATGGTCCTCGACGTCCTGCATTGTGACACGCTGCCGCACCGCGGGCTTTGGATCAGGCACCGGTGTGATGGTGGCAAAGTGTACCTCCCCCTGTTTAGTCGCCGTACATTGAATGACTGTCGCCGTGCCGCGAGTCTCGATAAGACGTTTTGCTCGGTGCGCAGGTCTTCGTTTGACGCCCGACCGATAACCCCATTGAAGTTGGCCATCATGGGAGCGACATTCGCGTCAGTGCCTGTGGCAGCTTTGTACAACAGTTCCAGCTCCGATCGGATCTTGCTATGCACGCCGTCCGCCCCAATGACAAGAGACCCATTCTCGACGGCCCCAGTCTTGAGGTGGACCTGTACGCCTGTCGAGTGTGTTTCGATAGCGACGACTTCAGACGAGGTTTTGATGCGGGTTTCTTTGTCGGGGAGATTGTGGTACAGAATGCGGGGCAGGTCGCAACGCACGATGGGGACGAAAGGGTACCCATGTCTGCTCTGTCAGCCTCGCCGCTCAGACTCCCCCCTGTTTTTGAATCAAGTGAGGCGCGGGTACGTACCTCCGCTCCATGAACTCTGGAAACCGCGCTGTCGTCAGGACATTCCCCGTGAAGCCGTCCGTCCGCTTCTTGTTGCGCATCCCCGCGGCGGCCTGTCGCACAGCCTCGAGCAACTGAAGCTGATCGAGCCGTAGTTGACGAGGACCGACTCTTTCCTCTCGAGGATCACATAGTCGATGTTGGCGAGACCCAGGGCGTATCCTAGGTAGAGTCCGACGGCGCCCGCGCCGACGATGATGACGCGAAAGGGTGTTTTGTCGGCCATTGCGCAAGTTGAGTTGACCAACTCCTGTAACAATCCGTCAGTGCGATGCGAATCTGGCTGTCTGTAGCTGCTACAGGCTTAAATATACGATGTACATTGCTAGCAAGCTGTCTGTCCGCTTACGGTCTTTCACAGAAAAGCTACGACCAAACCGAGATGACAGTCCTTATCTCATCTCGCTTCCACAAAAGAAAAAAAGGTTCGAGCTCGACTTTCGAACCCCCCTTTCTCCCGTGGTTTTCTTTGTTGCGTTGGACGACCTGCGGCAAAGCCACCAATGAACGGATTCGGCTAACACTCCTGGCTGCTTTTATTTTTCTGTCACTGTGCTCGATCTGTCATCTTCGCCATTGGTCTTGGGTCCGAGCGCTTGGTTGACGGCGAGCCTATGGGGCTATGGGAGACTCCGCGATTTGCACGGGGCCGCAGACCGTTTGTCAACTGTGCAATAATTGTCGCTTGTGACTCGGGAGTCAAGAGCATTCCTCTGCGCCTGGCTGCATGGTTCGCAGCGATCACCCTCGCTTTCTCTACTGGTGCATCAAGCCATGAAGCCCGATCGATGGCGCAATAGCAATCTTGACATCCTACAGGGTGCCAGAGTGCTCCATGTTCACTAATTTAGAGATCAGTGCCTGGAACTGGCCCAGGGGGCTCAGGGAGAACGCACGCATGCATCGCTAGTCACAGTGGCGCACCACGCAACGTGAGCGGTTGGGATTTGGAACTTGACTGCAGGGGGCAGCAATCGACGCCTGTTGACTGGACGCTTTGGACGTTTGAGTCCGCTGAGGCTTTCTTTGGGGATCTGGATTTCTCGTGCCCGGGGGCCAGTGCAGCTTGCTGGGTATTGGCTGCGTTACCCAGTCTAGAATTGATCAGCCTGATGCATGGATGTTTACCTGACCCTAGGGAACTGCTGGTGGTACAGGCGATCGATTTGAGACGCACGCAAGTCCACGATCAAGATGAGAGGGTACGGAGTACAGTCTAATGACCTCTTTGGGACTCTGATCTAGGGTTCCTCGAGTGCTCACTGTACACTCAACTCCATTGTTTGTTCTGTACGACGGGCAAACCGATCACCCCTATCTACTTATCCATACTGGAGGTAATGAATCACTTGCCCTCAAGAGCAGCATTAACATCCTCCTCCATCCCCTCAACCCCAACATACTCCTTGGCCAAGGTCCCCAGATACCCCATCATCTTCTCACCACCAATTTCCACATCACCACAATCCACCAGAATCCACAGCATGCGGCCAGGCAGCGTCCCACCGCCCGTGATGTTATGCCACTTGTGCGCGCTCGCGCGCTGCACGCAGAAATCCCCCTGCCGCATGATCTGCTCCTCGCCGGAGTCGAGAATCAGCTTGAATTCGCCCTCCAGGACCACACCGTAGTCGACACTTATCACCCGGTGCAGCGGGGATTGGACGTTGGGGCCGAAATCAATCATTCGGACAACGGTTCCATTGGGGATGTGGATGGGGGGCTGCAGTTCAAACAAAGAGCAGTTAGCATCGACCCCCAATCAATACCCTTCTCAAACCATCTCCTCAAAACAAAGGAGGCAATCGACCAAACATACCTCGGCCTCCTTGGCAGCCTGAATATCGCGATTATCCGTGAGATCAATTGGCGTCTCACGCGTGGAATACAGGATATTCGCGACGGTGCGGCCCTCGCGCCATGTCGCGGTGGTGGTCGCCGCACTCGGTCGAGAGGAACACGCTCTGGCCCGCCTCGTTGTAGCCCGTGATGTGCCGGATGGTTTTGCGGAGGCCCGGGGCGGGAAAACCGTTGATCACGTAGCCTTTGCCGGGGAGTTCGGGGGTTGCTTCTGTTGAAGGAGTGGTAGGGTTGGCGGGTGGGGTGGCCATGTTGCCGGTGGGTTGCTGTTGTAGTTGGTGGTGGTGATTGAAGAGTTCTTTGGGGGGTTGGCTTGGGTCTGGTGAGTGAGTGAGTTGGGATATCTCAGAGATCGAAGAATGGATGTTGGATAACTAGTACGACAGGGGTCAAGGTGAAATGTGCAGAGGAGGAGGATGTGATGGGATATACTCGATCTCGAACAAGCATAGATCTACACCCACCTCGTGGTCCGGGCCCCGGCCCCCCTCATCCGCTCTCTCCCCCTGGGCGCCGAAACGATATACACGGTGAGAAACACAAAATGCAGCACTGAGAACCCTCCAAACCCCAACCGGGCAAAGGGCATGTTGCTTGCTTGACTTGGAAGGATGTCCGTCCGTCCGTCCGTCCGTTTCGCGACTCAGTGGGTTTTGACGCCTTGCTCTTGGCTTTTGCTGGCTGCCTAGGGGTTCAACTTTGGTATCGAGGCGACTTATGACGTCGAAGTCCTAGCGGGGAAATGTCTTCGAGATGCGAGATGCGTCAGTTGGAGATGAGATCCGAGAGCGATGCTCTGTCAAGGTCCTGTAGTGCGAGGCCGAGGCCGAGTGAAGGCTCTCGACCTCTTTGGATCCGACTTCTCCGGCTGCCGGTAAAAGGGCCGTGAATCGGATGTTTGCCATTGTCCGACGACGCAGACAGGCAGGCTGACAGAAAGGGAGCCTGATAGGAAGGAAGTCTGGGGTTGCATACGCCAACATGCAGCTATAATAAGCATTAGAGTGTAAGCTGACTCCCACTACCAGCACAGGCGCGTCGTCAGCGCATCGACGAGCTGTATCACCCCTTGCGTTCGGCATTATTCCCATTATCGTATCTGTCCAAGTCCCATATGAAACCCAACTACATCCCCTTTCTGTGCCCTTGACCCAGCCAGACTCTAGACCTCTCCCTCCCCAGGCACCACGTGTAACCAACTACCCCCCGAAGAAAACGAATTGTCTAAGGATACGTGCTCGGCAACGCATGATGAAACCTGAACACGTTGTCAGGGTCATACCTCCTCTTCAAAGCACTCAGCCGCCGCAGCTTGCGTGCCCCGTACATCTGCTCGAGCGTCTCGTCGCCATAAGCGTAGTTGACGTACACGGCCAACCCGCCGTAACCAGACGTCGCTGCGAATCTGGAGCGGATGTCCAGGGCCAGTGAGGTCACGGTGTTTTGTGTCGCTGTGTCGCCGGGCGTCCAGGTTGCTCGGATCAGTCTGTTTGTATGAGTAGAGAGAGGGGTTAGTTTAGTTAGGGCTCGGTATGGATGGATGGATGGGAAACGTGGACATACGTATAAACCTGAGCATCCCTCCAGGGAAACGCCATCTCCGCATCCGGCACAGCAACAACAGCCTCGTTCGACCACCCCTCAAAGCCAACCCCGATCCCCCGACCAGCCGGATACTCCGCGTAGAACGTACTGAGCAGCTCAAAGACCTCCCCCAAACTCCCCACATCTCTCTCCCGAATGTTCACCCCGTGGATATCTTGAATGGTCCCCTTGACGCAAGTCTGCGCGTCTGACCCAAACCCCGTCGAAGCACTAAGCCTGTTCCAGGGGACTTCTTGCACACTGGATCGAATCGGACCCGGGTCACTGTGTAGTATCGGGCTCAGAACGGGAAGCGCCTCCTCGCGAGGGCCATGGTAGACGACATTCACAGAGAGCGCGGCGCCCCCCGCCTCCTCACTGAACCCCATCGACATCCCAATCGCCCATTTGGCGGAGATGTCGACGTCCGCGAACCAGTCCAAGACAGTCCCATTCGATCCCGCGGGGAAGACCAGGTCGACGCTGGTGTATGTGCTCGTTTCCGGGGTGAGTCTGTATGTAGGTTCCGTGACGATTCCAAGATTCGCCCCGGCGACGCGAATACCCCAGAAGAGGTCTGGATTGAAGGTTTCCGAGGTTATGAGGAGTGACCCGTCTGCTGTGACTACACGGACCGAAAGGAGGGCGTCGATCATGAGCCCGTGGGTTCCGGAGAGGCGTCCGATGCCTGCGCCGAGGGTTGCCCCGATTAGGCCGACGCAGCTGCAGATGCCAGTTGCTGTATAACAAGCTTAGTTTGGGGCGTTGCGGAGGGGGTTTGGGGTGGGGAAGGACCAACGCATGGAGTAACCCGCTTCAAAGACGGGGTCGACGACGTCCGCGGATGGAACGCCCGGTCCGACGGTTACAGTGCCAGCATCGGCGTCGACGACGATGGAGTTCAGCGGGCTGAGGTCAAGGGCGAGCCCGCCCTGCATCTCGCCTATTGTAGCGCCATAGGCGTGGCGAGTGCCTGTTGCCAGAGAGGGGATATCGTGCAAGGTGGCTAGTTGACCTGAACAGAAAAGGGAAGAAATTAGCCATGACACGCCTTATATGTTTAAACAATCAATGATAGAGAGCAAAAAGGATGCGAGGATCATACAGCAGCAACCAGATCCTCCTCGGAACCCACAGCCAGGGCCACCGCAAAGCTCGGGGCCTGATAGACATCCCAGCGCTCCGTCGACTCGTTGAACCCACCGGTGCCGGGGAAGGACAGGGTCGAGTCTGACCAGGACTGCGAGCTTAGTATCGAGACAGTCATCGCTCTGAGATTTGGATTTTCCGCGAGAGAGGAGGAATGCGCGGCGTGCACGAGGCGGAGCGCCACCAGCGGTACCACCCTGAAGATATTCATGGCTGACCGAGAAGATATCTCCTCAGAACAAGCGAGCAACGTTGGAGGAATGTCGGTTCCCCAGCTCTTGTGTCTTATAACTGCTGTGGGATGTAACCTGTTTCCCTGGTACCTCGCAATCTTGCAAACTGCTTGCTTTCTCCACATGAGTGCAGCGACCCGAGGGAGACGCGAGGGTTTGCCCTTCTGGAGGGTTTACGGCCACTGAACTGGGCCATCAGCAGGGGAATATCAGGCTCATGTAACCAGAAAGAGATTACATGTCTGGAATTGCTGCATGAGGATGGGGTTCGGGTTCGTCTGGTATGCAGTCTGCTACTATTTGGAAGTCCAACAGAGCAGGGCGAATGGAGATTGAGTAGCCTCGAGAGAGACGGAGCTTTTATCAATCTCATAGTCTTGAGTCTTGTGAAGGGTATGATTCAAGGTCTGGTTCAGCGATATAAGCCCTAACTTGGGAGCTGTTCCTAAAAATTGCATCCGTGTGCTCTCCCGAGACACTCTCACCTGCTGCCGCGATTTCACCAAGCCAAGACGATGATCTCTCTGCCCAGTAGCGCGGCCGCAGCGATGGCAAGGGATCTATTCATCTTCTTTTTGCTGGCTTTGTCCGTCTTCGCTTCTCCAACGTCCCAACACAAAAGCGTGCGGTGGGAGCTAGCGACTGACAACTGGGCCTGGAACGAGGCCAGCACCTGGATGCTTTCGCACATCGGTCTGATACTGGGCCCTCAACTCTCCAGCAGTTCGAGCATTTTCGGCCCCTCGGACCCGCACTGGGAAGAGACGACCAGGCGATATGACCCGCACTCTGCACCGCGTATCCGATTGGTCGTGCAGCCTGGAGCGGAGGAGGATGTCCCTGTCATTGTTCGTATCAGCTACTGACGCGGGGTGGATTGGATTGCACATGATAGGTGCGATATGCGAATAAGCATGGGATCCCGTTCTACGCGGTCAACACGGGCCACGGGTCCACCACTTCGCAGACGGCCTTTGACGGGATCCAGACTGATCTGAGCATATTGATGAGCGTGAGAATCTCCTCCGGAGGCGAGACGGCATGGATCCAGGGCGGATCCACGGTGGAGGTCACTGTTGACGAACTATGGGCGCTGGGATACGTGACGAGTAAGCAGCCCTACTCTGCCTTGGTCCTGGTCTCATAATCCTCCGATTCGCCGCCCGGCAAGATTTACTCTCCGCTCGTTCGCTGACGATTGCAAAAGCAACCGGCGGCGCCGGGTGCCCCGGGATCCTCGGAGTAGGCCTGGGGGCGGCCACTGCTGGCTCCAGGGCTTCCACGGGCTGGTCAGCGACAACTTTGTCACGTTCAACATGGTCCTCGCCAATAGCAGCGCCATCACCGTCTGGGAATCCTCCTACCCGGATCTGTTCTGGGCCATGAGGGGCGCAGGCCACAACTTTGGGATCGTGACCAGTGCCGAGATGAGGGTGTACCCCCGGCCGGAGCGTGATTGGTCGTTCAAGTTGTACATCTGGACGCAGGATAGGATCGAGCCCGTGTTTGACGAGCTGATCCGGATGCGCGAGGCCGGCGCGCCGAGGGATCTGGCGTTCAACTACGGGTCGTATGCGCTGGATCCCGGGCTTGGTACTCGCGAGGTATGTACGCCAGCCCTATCATCCTCCCAAGGTAGCGTGGAACTCTGGATAACATCCAAAAGCCCATCTTGGTGTGGAGCTTCGTCTGGGCAGGCCCCCTCGTCGAAGCACAGCCCTAACTCGCCCCCTTTGACGCCATCCCCGCACTCACCACGCAGAATGGCTCGGCGCCCTACAACCTCCTTTCTAGGGCCACAGGCGCAGGCGCCGATTCCCCACAATGCGAACGCGGCCGCACATACATGCACTATTCGAGCTACTTGCAAGAATGGAACGTGACCGCACAGCGCGCCATCTACAACCTGTACGCCGAGAACATGGCGACAAACCCGACGGCGTTTGCACGGGCGGCTGTACTGATGGGGGACTACAAGCACGACGCGGTTGCCCAGGTCGACGCCGCGAGCTCGGCGTATCCGTGGCGCGACAGACGCTTGCTAAAGTATGCATAGTCCCCTTTACTTTCGTTCCCTCTACTGTCTCTGAAGATCCAAAACTAACTGAGAATGCAGCAACGTCGTCATAAACTACACCCCCGACCCGTCCCTCGACGACTTTGCGCTTACCTGGGCGCGCCGCACAAAGGAACTCTGGGACGATGGGCAGCTGGGGATTCCGGGGGCAAACTATGTCAACTATGCCGCTGGGGACGAGTCGCCCGAGTCGGTGTATGGGCATGAGCCGTGGCGGATGCAGAGGCTGAGGGCGCTCAAGGCAAAGTATGATCCACTTGGTTCGGTTTAGTTACTATAACCCGATTCCGATTGGAAGGGGTTAGATGATGAGAGTGGAAAAGGAGAGGGGAAGCGAGGGGAAGGAGGCGAGGATGGAAGGCAGTTTATCGTTCTTGTTGTAGGCTACATGGATATCTTGACATGGATCCAACAGTATATTCACTGCTACGCATGATTTGTGCTTGACTAGATCCTTGCTGGGTTCGGGGCCTGGTGCTCAGGAGCAAAAGGAGATCAAGGCTTGTTCGTTTGGTAAAGTTCTACCAAAGGACAAAGTGTTTAGTATTATCATAGACACAGTCTCCAATATGATACCATGGCCTCTGCCACTACCCTATACACAGTATATCACAGGGAGCTTGGCAGGGACGAACATGGATAATAGGGAGAATCGACAGTGCACAAACCAATATTTACCAGGGTACAAGTCTGAATAAGGATGATTTAGCTCTAGGAAGTCCTCTGAATAGTAGTCCTTGCAGTGCCCGAGGAACTATCAAGAATTGCCAAGATTCAATATGACTTGGAATGTATATGTTACCAAAGTACCCAAATATTCTTATTATTCAGTCAAGTAATGTGAATATACTTGATATACAGCGTGCTTAGTATTTTAATCTCTATTTTGAAGAGATCTGCAACTTGCGCAAAACCTAATCTCACCCTAAAAGTTGCCTACCAAGTTAAGAATACAAGAGATGGAGCTCCATACACCAGGTGGTCAAGTATCCTTACGCTCAATAAACACGCCGACAGGAGGCGGGCGATTACGCAGGAGGAGGCTCAAGGATAATAGGATGATTGAGGCATGCATGTATAGAGACGAATAATGAAGCCATCTTGGTAGGAGCGAGCAGGTTATGCTATATAAAGCCAGGAACACGAGGTGCCAGCCCTAGAACAAAGAGAGAGAGAAGAGGTCCCAACACATGCGCCAGTCATGTATAAAATCACCCCTCACCCCTCTCCGACTGAATTTCCAGACACCACAGCCTCTCCACGAGACCAGCAAAAAGTCCCCAATGGCTCTTCAACAGCCCAAATACGCTCTCATCACCGGGTACCTTCCCTCCACTCCCTACATGTCTTGCATCTGAACTCCCATCTAACCACAATTGCTGTCTAGCTGCGGCCAAGGCGGCATAGACGAAGCTCTCGCCCTCGGATTCCTGCGCCGAGGAGTCACCCCGTCGCGACTGTTCTCCCGACTGAATCCAGTGAGCGCTTGTCCTCTGCGGGGATCACTTGGTTCCCGCTTGATGTGTCGAGCGAGGAGAGTGTGATTGCGTTGAAGGAGAGGGTTGTGAAAGTTACGGAGGGGAAGGAGTTGGATGTTCTTTTTAATAATGCGTGCGGCTCTTCCTTTACGTTTTTCATTGCGAGAGGTGTGGGATGTGTATTGATACTTTGGTATGGATTTGTCTTGAGCTAACGGATGGTTTCTGGTGTGTAGGGGAACATGTACGGCTTTTTAAACCTCCCCCTTCTCTACTAATACCTAAATATCCCCCTCTATACCATCTTCTACGAAACTAAACATATAAAATGAGAACAGGCTACACCATGCCCGCAATTGACACCGACGTCCCCTCCGTCCAGCGCATGTTCGACGTCAACCTGTTCGGCCCCATGCGCATGGTCCACCACTTTCACGACCTGCTCATCCGCGCCATGGGAACTGTTGTGAATATGCGGTCCATTGGGGGCGTTGTCCCGTATGTTTATGGGGGTATGTTTTCCCACACTCTTCATCTTCTTTAGTTAGTGCTTTGGAGGGTAGGAAAATTGGGGCTTGTGAGGGGAGTTGATAGAGGAAGCAAAGAGTGGCAGGAAAGGAAGGATATGCGGTATACTGATGAGCGCGATGTGCAGCATCGTACAACGCCAGCAAGGCAGCGCTGGCGCACTGGTCGAATACGTTGAGGGTCGAGATGGAGCCGTTTGGGTATGTGACTCTCTACAGCATCGAAGAGCCGTTTGTATGTGGGCGAAGCTAAGCCAACCCGGATGTCGACAGCGTCAAGGTCCTTCTGGTATGTTGCCACCAACTAATCTGAAGCGCATCTCCGGGCGAGATAGACAACAGAGGATAGCTCACAGACCACATACAGATCATCTCCGGCGAAGTCAGCACAAACATTCTCCGCAACGACCACGGCAGGACTTTGCCCGAGGGTATGCCATGTTTCCACCTCTTCGATCCCCGACTCATTTACTCAAAGAGGCTAACAATGGAAACACACTCCAGACTCCTACTACGCGCCCCTGGCCTCGGAGTTCAAAGACCACCTCTATCGGACACCGGGTATGTGATGATTCCATCTCCGCAATCAATCCATCGATATCCAGCCCCCATCCCATGGGCCAGCCACATCATCTCCGCAAGCTAGTCCAGCCAAACAAAAACAGAAAACATATGGAAACCGGAAACTAACCAGGGAAATTAACCCCAATGTAGAAGGGGCAACCGACCGCCACGCCTTTGCCACAAAGGCCGTCGCCCAGGCTCTACGGTCCTCCCCACCAGCCTGGTTCTGGACGGGCAGCTGGGCGACCTTCATCTGGGCTCTGGATACGTTTTTCCCCAGGAGGGTTTTGTACCTTGCCGTTTTATTTCTTCTCTTTCACCCGGTTCTGGTTTATTCAAGTCTATTGGCTTCGTTCCCCATCACCCTTTCCTGGTCATTCCTGGTCTATATCGTCGTTGTTATTGCTGGTGAAGTGACGTTTATTGGGGTACATCGACATTCATACTACCTCCCTATCATTGGCTGGGACCTGGTGTTGCGATTCCAACTAGGGATGGATACCCGCGGCCCCGATCCCGACTCCTTGCCCTGATTAGGGCAGCAGTCTGGTGGATCAGTGGATGAGATTCTTGCGGTGCCTGGATCGGGTTCTGCAATACCGACCGAGTCTCAACTCGACGTTTGACCTGGGCCGGATGTGTTGCGTTGTACTCACTGTGCTCGGTTGAAGAGTTGAGATGGAATGGGTGACGTGAAGCGAGAAGCTGACTCATTCTTGTCTTGTTCGACGATCTAGGATTACATGTTCTGGAGGATGTTTGGGCTTGCGAAGCTCAAGGAGGCTCATGAGGCGTCGATGAGGATGAAGGAGGATTAGATTTGGTTGGTTGGAGGTGGTTAGGGCAAGCAAGTTTGTGGTAGTAAGTTGGGGGAGATTTTCAGTGGCAGGGGGTGCACGTTTGCTAGGCCATGCAGTCAGATTCCAATGCGATATACGGTAGTCTCTATCAACTTCTTCTTTTGGAAACTGCTCTCAGGGCCAAGATTCCACGATAGCTTCCTGAAGGATGCCCAGCCATGTCATGTTCGAACCAGCATGAAATGGTACAGATCGGGGTCTATGACTCTATGGCCGGATAACAATCGAGCCTGGATTCAATCACCGATACATGCTATCCCTGTTTGAACGTCAAGGACGGCGACGTACAAATCACGACCTGGCAGTCTGGTTACATTGCAGGCTATCCCTGCTACGGCATATCTCCGGCGATAGGGCAGACAAATCGTCCACGGTGGATCGTTTAGATACAGACTGCTCTTTGATCTGATTGTATATGCACCTCTGCTACATTCAACCCGAGCGAGATCACACACGACCGGTCAGGGTGGTGCTCCCATCGACAATGACCCCGCAACCGACCATGTAGCTCGAGCGCGGGCTGCACATGAAGGCGACCACATCGGACACCTCTGCATTGGCAATGCGGCTTATCGGGACCAGACTGCGTATAAGCTCCTCGAGCTCAGGACTAACCGCCGCCACTTTTTGTAGCATCGGGGTATTGACCCAGGACGGGCAGACGGCATTGACTCTGATCCCGTGCTGAATGTGATCGATTGCTTGATCATGTCTCAGCGCAATTGACGAGCGGGACAAGCGTCTAGGATGAGGATCCTGACTTACCTGCGTTCTTGACTAAGCCTATGATTGCATGCTTTGACGCCGTATACATCCCCATACCGGGCGTTGCGACATAGGATGACGCTGACCCCAGCACCACAATGGTTCCTCGAATGGCGCCACGATGATCGCCCAGCAAAGAGGAGAGCTGCTGCAACTCCTGCGCCTTCATGATTGTCGCCACCTCGCGAATGACCAAGAAAGTGCAGGTGGCATTGACCTCGAGCTGGTGCCGAAGCTCGGACAGATCGCTATCGGCGACCTGCACATCGCGCGGCTGGCCAATCTGTTCGCTGTCAATAATTGCGCTAGAACGCCCGGGGCCATATGCAGGTAGGCAAGCAGCAAGGCAAGCCAACATACCCCAGCGCAGTGTACGCAGTAATCGATCCTGCCCAGGATCGAGGCCATCGAAGCTGCAGCGGCCTTGACTGATCCTTCGTCGGTCACGTCGACATGGGTGACCTCTGCCCGGAACATCGGATTCGTAGCAACCTGTTGGCATTTGGCAGTCACCGCACGGGCAGCAGTGAGGTCCAGGTCTGCAATCATGATGCCGGCGGCCCCGTCCTTGGCCAAGGTGAGGGCACACGCCATCCCGATCCCACTCGCTATCATTGCCTCGGTTAGCGAGCGTCCAGATCTGGAAATAGGTATGCCAAGGGGTGAGTTGCTTCTTCCTCGTACCTCCTCCCACAATCAAGGCATTGCCCGTAATCTCCATCTGCTAGTGCCTGGGGGCGAACGATGAACAGGCCACTGAAGCACGGTGGCCAAGTGGATAGTGCCGAGTGCCTTGGATTTGGGGCCCCTAACTGAAACTCCCTGGTTGTTTAGGAAATGCAAAAAGGCTAGCGTAGGCGAGATGCTGCTGCAGTCATTGAGGGGGCTAACCGACTATATAAGTTGCTTCCAGCGATACTCGGAGCCTCACCATCGTCTAAATAGACAGCTCACCACGGCGCTGACCACGAATCCATCGGCTTTCTTCCCTAGACATGCTAGTCTCCGAGCTTGCCACCATGTCCGGGTCCGACAGCAGCGACTTTGTGCTTGCCAATGGCTCGGACACTGGCAAGTCGGTCGTGCACGCCTCGCTACAGGCCGCCACATCCACCTCCTCGCCTGGGCCCAGCCTAATATTCGATGACCCCGTGTGTATTGTTGGCATGGGTATGTCCTCCTACATTGTTGCTGACGGAGATGGTGGTGACTGGCTCTCACTTTTTTCTCCAACAGCGTGTCGTCTTCCAGGCCAGATCAGATCGCCTTCCGATCTATGGACATTTTTATCCAACAGCCGATCGGTCCAAGGCCCAGTGCCTCCGGAGCGTTTCAACATCAAGGGCTTCTACCATCCAGACGGCTCTCGGGCCGGAGCTATGAATGTACTCGGGGGATACTTTCTGCAGGAAGATGTCCGGGATTTCGACAACAGTTTCTTCGGGATAAACAATATAGAGGCAACATATATGGACCCTCAACAGCGCAAGCTGCTCGAGGTTGTCTTTGAATGTTTCGAGGATGCCGGCGTATCGATGGAGGCCGTGTCTGGCTCCGAGACGGGGGTCTATGTTGGCAACTTCACGGTCGACTACCAGGCCATGCAGACTCGAGACCTGGATTACATGCCCCGGTTTGTGGCAACGGGGTCAGACTCAGCCATCATGTCGAACCGGATAAGCCACGTCTTCAACCTTTAAGGCCCAAGGTAAGTAAGGTGAAGAAGATGGCAACAAAAGGACACGATGGTGACAGTGGTTAGTCTCACACTTGACACGGCATGCTCGTCCTCATTATACGCGCTCCATCAGGGCAGTCGCAGCCCTGCAGGCCGGGGATTGCGACGGGGCGATTGTGGCAGGAGCGAACCTGATCACCACCCCGGAACAGCACATGGGAACCATGAAGGGAGGCGTCCTCTCGCCAACATCGACCTGCCACACGTTTGACATTTCCGCCGACGGATACGGACGAGCCGAAGGCGTCAACGCCGTCTACGTCAAGCGACTCTCCAGCGCTATCCGGGCAGGGGACAATATTCGTGCCATTATCCGCTCAACAGCAGTTAATGCGTGAGTCAAACTTTACCAACAGGCTAATTTTCTACTGTTAACTGGAGCAGAGATGGACACACTCCAGGGATTTCGTTACCGAGCACTGATGCCCAGGAAAAGGTTATCCGCAAGGCCTACGCCAAAGCTGGCCTGGACTTTGCCGACACCGACTATGTGGAATGCCATGGAACCGGCACTGCAGGGGTGACCCGATCGAAGTAGTCGCCCTCAGTCGGTGCTTGACTCCTCGTCTCGGCGAGCCACTGCTTCTTGGATCGGTACGTGCTGCCCTCTGCCAATGTCTACTATAACAACTGCTGGCTAATCAACCTGACAGGTCAAGACAAATCTCGGCCATAGCGAGGCGGCCAGTGGTCTCACATCTATCATGAAAGTGGTGGTTGCGTTTGAACATGGGCTTATTCCGCCAACGCACGGCGTCGTCAGCATTAACCCTAACTGTACACCCCCGACTGCATCTGGCTCGGCACAACATACTAATTGCGGACAGTAAAACTCCGGGAGCGAAACATGAAGGTCGTTCAACAGCAGACGAAATGGCCACGTACTCTTCGTCGAGCTAGTGTCAACTCCTTTGGCTATGGAGGCGCCAACGCCCACATCATCATGGAGTCGGTCGATAGTTACCTGAACGACACTGCTGAGATCGTGGAGCCCATCCACAACGAGCACGACGACCAAGCCATCGTTTTGCCCGTCACTGCTTCGTCCTCCAAGTCTCTGGACACGCGCGTCGAGCAGCTTACCCGGCAAATTATCCCCACGTGTGATGCCAGCACGCTTCGGCGTCTGGCAATTACCCTTCAGCGACATTCCAACCTGCGTGTGCGAAGATTTTTGCTGGCCAAAGCAAAGTCACCTGCAGGCCCTGTCGAGTTAGTGGATCTTTCAGAGGATGCTGCGGGCAGTGTCCTCAACGGGGAGCCCCTGCCCTTTGCCTTTGTATTCACTGGCCAAGGGGCGCAGTATGCCGGCATGGCAAAGGAGCTGCTCTCCCTTAATACTGACTTTCGCACAACAATCCGCTCATTAAACCAAACTCTCCTCAACCTGCCGGCCGAGCATGCTCCATTACAAACATTAGAAGAATGTAGCCTCGATAGTAGCCCTAGAAGCCGTGTCAACGATGTCATTGTGAGCCAGCCCCTGTGTACCGCCATCCAGCTTGGCCTCATCAGTGTCCTGCGTGCCTGGGGTATAAACCCCTCAGCTGTCGTGGGTCACTCGTCTGGCGAGATTGCAGCAGCGTATGCAGCAGGCCTTCTCACAATGTCGGAAGCAATCCTGGCTGCCTACTTCCGAGGCTACGCCGCCAGCAAGCTGCAATCAAGAGGTGGTATGCTGGCGGCTGGTTTGGACCCTATCGCTGCGGCCTGCTTGATAGAGGAGAAGGGACTGGTCGGGAGAGTACGGGTGGCCTGTATCAACAGTCCTAACGAGCGTCACCCTTAGTGGAGAGTTGGCCGGTATTGAAACATTATTGAGCAGTCTTAAGTCGCAAGGCACGTTTGCCCGGAAACTGGAGACTGGTGGGCGTGCGTACCATTCGCACATGATGGCTGAGGTTGGCGAAATATATCAAAGCCTGCTCAGCCCACACATTTCGAGCAAACGATTGACTACCGGGGTCAACAAGGTGATCATGTACTCATCTGTCGGACACAATAGTGAATATCTTCGACTTTTGGACAGCAGTGTGAAGATTGACATGGCTGTCTACTGGCGAGAGAACCTCGAGCAGCCAGTTCAGTTCAGTGCCGCACTGACGAATCTGGCAGCCAGCGGAAAGCACCACTTACTCGTGCTGGGACCTCACGCAGCTCTCAAGGGACCGATCAAGCAGATCCGGACGGCCATCAAGAAGGACACACACTGCCTTCCGTATACACCGACACTGCTTCGCAATCAGGGCGCAGACATCTCCATCAATCAACTCGCTGGCACCCTCTTTGCTCACGGCCATGCCTTGGACTGGGGGCGAGTACAGCAGACGGACACGGTCATTCCAGGGGCTCTATCCCGCATGTTGCATGATCTTCTCCCATATCACTGGAACTACTCTGCCACGGCCGGAAAGCTGTGGTTTGAGCCGCGCCAGAGTGTGGAAATCCGCAGTCGGAAGCATGTCCGCCACGAGCTGCTCGGTACAGGATCGGTGGCCGGTGACGGTATTCACTGGAGCTGGCGGAACATCCTGCATCTCAACGAGGCTCCATGGTTGCGAGATCACCGGCTTGAGGATCAGATTGTCTTTCCTGGGGCAGGATACCTTGCCCTGGCTATCGAAGCCATTACACAAATGCAAGGCCTGACAGAGAAGCGCCCAGAGAATGTGCTCTTTGAATTCCGCCAGGTGTATATCCGCGAGGCTCTGATCCTGCCTGATAGTGGCGATGGCACTGCCGGTGCATATTCTCGCGAATTGCACACTATGCTATCGCCGCTGGCACTGACAGCACTGAACTCGTCGGCTGACTGGCACGAGTTCAGCATCTCGTCCTGGATTTCCGGCGAGACGACGACGCATTGTACTGGCCGTCTACGTCTCGTACCGCGGCCAGACGCCCGGCAGACCATGGGGACTGTCACTGTCAGGAACCGCGAGAGCTACGAGGTCTGGGGAATGTTTAAGTGGTATAAGAGGCTGCAGGAAGATGGCCTCGCCTTTGGCCCTGAATTCCAATCCTTGACAAGTTTACAGACCGACTGTAATCGCCTGCGTACTGAGGTGGTATCGACGACTCATCTGAGCCCACCAATTGGACGCCAGGGGGACACCTCCTACCTGGTACATCTCATCACCATCGACGCCTGTCTTCAAACTGCTCTGATGGGAGTGACTGCCGGAAACCTTGACCAGCTGCGCGCACACATGCCCGTGTCGATTGGATCTTGTCGTATTATCATCTCGTCCCAGCAGACAGTCGACTCTACAGAGGAAGTTGAGATCCACACTCGCTCAATACCAACTGGGCTCTCTACATGCCGTGTTGACTGCACGCTACGCACTGGACCTGAAGATAAGCCTGTAATTGATCTTCAAGATGTGCGGTTGGAACAGTATAACGGCAAGCAGGTCCGTCCCTTCCAGGGCGGACAGTCAGTTTTTGAGAAGCGATATCCATGCCTGGAAGTGCAGTGGAAGCCAGATATTCAACGACTAGCTGTCGTCGCGGATGATGCACTGCGCAAGTACGTGGCGGACTTTGTACAGAAACTGTCTCCCGATCTGGTCGATAGCACTAGTCTCCCAGTAATTGCAGCCCTAGTCGACCTGGCCGGGCACCGTCTGCCCCGGATGCGCATTCTAGAGCTGGGCAGCAGCGAGTGCGTTTGCAAGGCCAAGCATCTGCTTGATCTTCTTGACAAGGAGAGGCGTTTCCCCGGTGTCGCTCATGGCATAAGGGCGCCATCGAAGCCAATGGGGATGTGAAAATCAAGGATGGTACTGACGAGCCATATGATCTGGTTCTAGTTGCACAGGTAAGCTACCGATCCGAGTCTCCCCTGTGTCCTTCCTGACTAGATATAGCATTCAACCTCAAAGAGCCTATGGCATAGGCCCCAACCGTTGGTCGACCTCCTAACAGAAAGGGGGGTTGTGGTCACTCGTACGAATGATGAGGCTGTGGCAGGCGCTCAAGGGCTGGGACTGCAAGTGGTGAATGTGGACCAACAGGTTCTTGTTGCAGTGCGCCCTCCAAAGACCACCAGACTGCAGGGACGAGACGGGATGATTTTGGTAAGCAATCGTCACCCAGACGCTTGGAGGTCGATTCTTACCATGACAATAGACCACAAACACACCATCTCAGGATGCCACGGCGCTTGCGACCGCCCTCGTTTCACATCTCCCATCTACTGAGGTGGCCGCTTTGGCAAATATCCTGGTACTGAGCTGATCGTATGTCTTTCACAGATCCGAGATCTGACATGGTAAAGCGCAGCGCGGGCTGCTCGAGCATCAGGGCCCGGGAGAGGCCATTGGCCAGGGTTAAATTGGGATCCGGCACTGCTCCCATCATGTTGGCCCGAGTAATCCAGAGCAGATCCGTGACAACGTCGGTGACTAGGCGCAGCTTGTCTGTATTTGTGGGCGAGATTGTAGCCAGGAACTCGGTCTCCGTCTCCAGCAAAGAGATGACGATAGTCTCCGCTCTGATTTGGCTATTTTGAAGATTGTCAAGAGACACATGATCGATGTTGTCCTACGCGTCCTCGGCTCGGCAGGAGATTGCGACGATACCGAGTTCATCCATCACAGCGGCCTGCTCTATATTAGTCGCTTTGTTCCCAAGCAGGATCTCAACACACTCTTCCGCCGCCGCTTAGACTCGGATGAGCCTCTGGCCCTCGAGCGCTTGGACAAGGCTGGAGCTGCAAGGCTGGCAATTGGCCAGACTGGAGTGACCGACACCCTCTACTTCCAGCAGATAGACCCACTGGGCCCAGAACCCCCGGCTGGATACGTCGACATCTCGTTACGCTCTGTCAGTCTCAACGCGAAGGACATGTACACCATGACTGGCCGTGTGGAGACCCACGAAGCTACTACAGCATTGGATATTGGCGGCGTTGTAGTAGCAGTGGGTCGGGACATCAAGCATTTGCGACCTGGCGATCGCGTCGCATCTTTTGCTCCCAACCATTTCCGCACTGCAGAACGGGTTCCTGTTGGTGTCGTGAACCTTTTACGGCCTGAAGAGAGCATGACTGAGGTACCGGCTCTACTGTGTGTCCACGGCACCGCCCTCCACGCCTTGCGAAACTGTGCACGACTGCGCGCTGGCGAGTCGGTGTTGATCCACGCTGGAGCTGGAGGCTTTGGACTCGCAGCAATTGCACTGGCTCGCCGGGTGGGAGCAGAGATCTACACCACCGTCAGCTCCCAGACCAAGAGGAACCACCTGGTTCAGGAGCTTGGGTTCCCAGCAGCAAATATCTTCCACTCGCGCAGCGCATCTTTTGCGGCCGATGTTCTCAACGCCACCAACGGACGGGGTGTCGATGTGATTGTCAATTCACTGGTAGGCGACCTGCTGCACGCGAGCTGGGGCAGCCTTGCTCCGTTTGGGCGTTTTGTAGAGATTGGAAAGCGAGACCTGGTTGATGCAGGAAGGCTGGACATGAGCCAATTTGCCAAAAACGCCCAGTTTATTAATTTCGATCTATCGGAGCTCTTCTTCGCAGACGACAAGTACTACCGCCACTTGCTCAACAGGTATGCCCTCTTTATCATCTGGAGTAGCAGTATTGACTAGTACAGTATCATGGCCGAGGTTCTCGACGACTACCGCGCCGGACTAATCGATCCTGGCCCGGCCAAGGCGTTTGACGTGTCCGAGATAGCTCAAGCATACCGCTACTTTACCTCAAAGGACCGCATGGGGAAGGTGGTTGTTCCATGGAGAGCCCACAGAGTCTCATCCCACTCGCCCCGTCCAAGTACCAGACGACCTTTAGCCCAGACAAGATCTACCTCTTGGTTGGATGCCTTGGTGGGCGTGGACGAAGTTTGAGCCGATGGATGATGGCCCGTGGTGCTCGACGATTTGTTTTCTTGGGCCGATCAGGATGCGACAAGCCGAGCGCTGCAGAACTGATGAAGCGACTCCGCGAGTCTGGAGCGGGGGTCAAGGTGGTCCGAGGAGACGTTAGCAGTGCAGCAGATGTCAACAAAGCCGTCCAGACATGTGTCGAGGCGGGTTATCCAGTTGGTGGCGTAGTGCAGGCTGCTATGGGTTTGCACGAGGCTCTTTTCACTCAAATGTCCAATGAAGATGGCACACAGGTATCGACCCCAAGTGGAAGGGGACGTGGAACATCCACCACGCACTACAAGGCCACGAAGATGCACTTGACTTCTTCCTGCTCACCTCGTCAGTCTCGGGCAGCGTGGGTACGGCAACCGAGTCCAACTATTGCGCTGCCAACTGTTTCTTGGATGAATTCGCTCGCTGGAGGCGCGCACAGGGAAAGCCTGCTGTATCTGTGGGACTGGGTATGATTTCGGAAGTTGGATATCTGCACGAGAATCCGGATATTGAGGCCTTGTTACTGAGAAAGGGGATTGCACCGTTGAACGAACAAGAGTTTCTGCAGGTTATTGGCTTTGCGCTGGCCGGAAGCGGCCAAGTTCATATCCTGACTGGACTTGAGGGAACGAGCGTCCGCAACCTGATGGCTCAGGGCTTTGATGTGCAATCCGGCACCCTGCAAGATCCTCTTACGGCGTTGCTGTTGGCGTCGCTGCAGGCTGAGCAGGATCTGAACAAGGAGGAGACAGTAGTGCCATTAACGCCAATGTTGGTTCAGCAGCAGCAGCAGCAGCAGCTTGGTTTATAGACGGAGTCCCCGCGGCGGGGAGGAAGATGCTATCGAGCGAGGCCAGCGCACCAAGTCTGTTCGACGCTCTGCTTCGCATGACCCGGAGGCAGTTTTCGAACTTAATCCTGATGCCACTGGACCAGGTGGAGGACCGGCGGCCAATGTCACAGGTTGGAATGGACAGCATGATCGCATCCGAGTTCCGCACGTGGTTCTGGTCGGCGTTCCAGGTTGATATACCTTTCCTCGCCATTATGGACTCCCGGACGACACTGGTCGATTTGGCAGAGTCTGTAGAGGCGAAGCTGCGAGAGGTGTGGAAAGCAGCGGAGGCTACATAGTCCTGATCATTGTACATAGATATCGTAACAGTGTCACCATTAGCGTCACTCTCTAGCCGGCGAGTGTGTCTGCGGGGTTTTTTTTTCGGAGACTTTGTTGGTGGATGCCTGAGAATTTGTACTACCTTCAAATATATAGAATGAAATAGGTCTGCTTTTGCGAAATGCGAGGCTGATTCCCGTCGTAATGTACCCTGCTTGTATGACAATAGCCCCAAGTCTAGCTGACTTGCCTCCGAACATGCATAATCCACTCTGGTTCCAAGTTCTATGCAATACTGGAAAGCCGTCCATCCTGTCTCCAGCTGCCCCCTCATGGTCGATGCCGACACCAAACAGCTTCGATCATGATCACCTCACCCCGGCCATCAGTTGCAGCCATAACTGACCCTACCAGCGACCGTCACAAGGGTCGTCCGCATTATCCCAAGTACAACCGCGTACCATACGTAATAGTATACTATGGACTTGCCGCGTCCGACGCTTCACGCTCCTTCCTATTTTTGATACCCCAAATACGGAAGGAGCGACCCGTAGACCACATACAATATGTGGAAGGCGCGACCGACTGCTAGTGGCCACGGTAACGGAACGTTTCTTCCTACTTTATCACGATACCCCGAATGCAGAAGGTGCGACCCTTTGCAGATATCCTGCAACATCCGAGTAGTGCGACTGGCTGTTGGTGACTAGGGTAACGGGGGCGTTCCTGTCTTGTCAGGGCTTTCCCAACGGAGGCAAAACAAATAGTACATAAATTGATCACCTATGCAAATTAGGATCATCATAGTCTATCGCTGTCTCCGGGTTCAGTACGATAAGAAATAAGGATGGCAGGAAGCCATGTATCTCGCTGACTTATTAGCTCATGATAAGGTGATGGATAGATGCAATAAGTAGGGCTGGCTCACCGCGAGTCGCTCGTGTTGGAGGTACAATACCACCTGGAACTCATTGCTAGTGGCAAGGAAGGACAGGTTGTTCTGGACACGATAGTTATTTTATCACAGGTGAGGTAAGCCCAGGAACGTTCCAAGTATGAGTACAAGAACCCAACCATGGGTGTGTGATTGAGAACAAGGGCTTCATTGAATATTTTACTTCCTGCCCGGCAAATCAAAATATCCAAGCTCTTGAGCCAACACTGCCATCGCCGACCTCTAATCGCGCTCCTCATAAAGCCTCCTGGTCAAAAGTCCTAATAACCCTCAACTCCCAGCGACGGCCAGCATTTCGTCCCCTAACTAGGGATGGAAGATACGGCTTTCAGCGGGGATTGGCGTGGATAATTCTTGAGGTGCTATCCTCTATAAGAGGCAGCTCGACATCGTAGCCGTGTGACCGGTGGAGCTCAGCTATTCTGTCATGAAGTCTCTTATCCTCCCCGATGTATTTGAACAAGAGCCTATTTATTCCTTTTAGGAGCTGGCTTCCGCAGATAGACTGGAAGGGACTTGCTGTCTTCATGTGCTGTGTAAAAGTTGTACTCGTGATGGTTGATATCCAAGGCGAGATAGGTGCGGTTGGAAAGGATCTCCGTGGTAAGAAAAAGGATTTACTGGTCGGACTCCTAGTCAGGGAGGATGTTATTTAGGATTCCCTTTACTGACTGTAAATAGTTACAAGAACCTAGGTGGCGTGTTTTTAGTTTTATGACTATCTATTTTGCGCCCTGGCTATTAAAGATTTGCTTATGAATGTTCGAAAGGCTAGCCATGGTTATGTATAGCCTGGGAGGTGGTGGAGTATAAAGCCAAAGTTTGAATGATAGACTAGAGGGTGATGCAGAAAGATAAATACAAGGCCTTCCCTTCCTTATACTGAGGTCTCACACGATAAGACTGTACTAGTCCAAGAAAGGCAAGTAATGCCAAAAGCCTCTGGTGTCAGGTCCGGATTTGCCGAACGTAGCAAAAACAAAAAGAGAAAGGAAGAAAGTCAGAGTAGATACATATATATTTCATGTCACCCCACCAGCGACCGCTGTTCTCAGCAGAATGTGTTGAGGACGATAAAACCTGGGTAAATGACAGGTACAGCCCACGAGAGATATCCTGCGACCGGGGTCCAATGGTCGGAAGAGCCAATTGGACTACATGCTTTCTGGCGAGGTATACGGAGTAAGGTCCTGGTGCTGAGTTGTGGCAATTGCCTTGGCCTTGGTTGCACCGCTGGGTTCGTTCGACTCCGATGGGCCAGTGACAGGCCCGCCAATACTTGGGGTCCCAATTGCACATCTGCTAAAGATGATTAGAGTTTGACATCCTAAAGACCCAGGTCGAACAAAAAAGAAAAAGGAAACCTGCCGTGGAAGCAGGAGCTCCTAGATAGCAGAGGCAAGGCTTACTAGTGGTGCGGCCCAATAAGAGGAAGTGTATCACCTGTTCAAGAGAAGGATAAGGAATTTTTGTGCGAGATAGTAGTCTCCTCACTCTTGAAAGTGAGTCTTTGCCTTTATAACTAAACGCAAGATGGGTTTTTCCAAGATCCTATCCCTTAGGACAGTGCGCAGGAGAGGGAGCTTGCACCACAACAATAGTATTAGCCGTGATGCCACATGAAGGTGGAGTGGGGCCATGTTTATTTTGTGGTGGTATAACTGGCTTATTTTTAAGGTTCGGCGCTAATGTACAAGAGACACAACAAGAGACACAACAGTGTTGTGTCTCTTGTACATTAGCGCCGCCCAATCATGGGTATTATTGTGCAGGTCTCAAAGCTCCTTTAGATCTTCTTTACCCGCCTACAAGAGGCCTAGATCGAGACCATATGACCATTTGATAGGTTCACCTAAATGAACGTCTAACAACTGTCTGCATGGATCTGCCAAATTTATGAGTGCACCCCCGAAAGATTATTCCTGGAGTGGGATTAAAATTGTACTTTTGTCCGAGCATGAATGCTAAGCGCCGGATTGGCAAGGCTGGGCCAGCCTGCAGCGGGCAATGTGTCGTAGCCAAATTTGTGTGAAGATACCCTCCCTGCTTTAATGTAGATGTTTGGTGCATAGCTGTACCGACCTCTAGCCATTGGTTTCAGAGATTTGCATCCTCTTAGAACTTACTTCATCATCGCCCATCTTCATTCCTTGTTAAGGAGATGGCCTGCCTAATGTGCCCTCGAGTTTTTGCCTGTTCTAACTCGACCGGGGATCCGCCTACGTGACACAAGCTCGAGGCAGCCAGAAAGGAGGGACCTTGCCAATATTGTATAGAGTTAGGCAGCCTTGTCATACTTGCATGATGCATAGCCGCACCAACCTCCAGCCATGGGTGCTCTGGAGAGGCATTCTTGAGCGTCTGATCTAACCGCTGCAAAAACTCAGATAGTAACTGTAATTCTAGCTCGGTCGCAAACAATACCTAAGCACATGCTGACTGCTTAGTGCGTTGCTGCAACCTGCTCATGGCCATGGCTAGAAACACGGCCGCGAGACCTGATTCTGGTGCCTTGGCAGTAAGCTGCTTATATTAGGTGGTGAGATGGAGACGCCTGGTATTCCTATCTAGTGGGAAGACTAAGGAGGAACATTTTATAAAAATAATATAGCTCTTAGAAAAAAGTTCAAGTATCTATACAAGTACATAACGATTATCTAGTTTAAAGTATTAATCTTCTAGTAGGCCCTTTTAACCCTAATATGTTATTAAACTTCCGGCTGCGCTCCTATACCCTGGTAAGGATAAATCCCATGGTCCACATAAAGTGGGCTGGTAGTCCAAGGAAGTTAAGTATTATCGTAAACTTTCTAAGGTAAGCACTATAGTAAAGATATAACATGCCTACTAGTAATTAATAGTAGGTGCCTATACCCTATATACAGTACATACTCTCTGACCACGCACGTAATACTGCAAATGCCCGCAGCACACTCTGGCAGTAGTCAACTCCTCCTATATCAACTACCGACACAGGAGAGTTACGGTTAGTGTCCTGCTCAGAATATGTCGATGACGCGCTTAAATGCCCACCGTTTCTTCACAAGTTAGTTTGTTCATGTCTGCCAGGTGTCCATGAACGAAGACTGTATCTTGGTTATAGTGGCCCGCGTATATCTTTACTAATAACAAGGTTACTTTGGTAGAATTGCTTAGTCTCCAACTTGCAGGTGGTCCCTCGATGACCTCCGCTCCGAGAAGCAGCACAAATTGTGTAAATAGTTTTCACTGATGTGCAATAAAAGTGGATATATGTAAATAAAAAAACATACAACAGTAGGGATTCGCATGTGGTCACCCACCATACTACTAACCTACCGGCGTGTGGCTTAAGTACGGCTGAGCGGACGGGAAGCCCTGTTCTCCACACCCTGTGGTCGTATGTGCCAGGATTACTTTAGGAAGGGCTTATGTACAAGTTTCAAATTTAGTTGATCTATGCTTTCTGGTGTGTAGACCATCCGCTCTGCTAACCCTAATACGTTATTAAACTTCCAGCTGCACGCCCTATACCCTGTGGAGGATAGATCACATGGTCCATATAAAGTGGGCTGGCAGTCCAAGGAAGTTAAGTATTATAGTGAAAGATCCAAGGTAAGCGCCTTAGTAGAAATATGACTTGCCCGCCAGCAATCGAAAGTAGGTGCCGATGCCCTACATACGGTTATACACTCCGGAGACCACGCACGTAATACTACAAAAGCCCCAGCACACCTTGGCAGTAGTGAACTCCTCCTATATCGACTCGGGAGGTTTCGTAATATGCGTCAATTTATCCCTGTGCACTGTTAGCAACATGCTCTCTTTCCCATTGCCCTTTCAAGAACACCCGAAGAAGGAAACAAGGAGAGGAGCGCATGCATACCCATTCAACTTCTTAACCACCGCCCCAAACCCCTCATGGTCATAATCCCTCCGACTCCACATATCCTTGTGGTACACAACCTTCTCGCCCTCCCCATCCCCCACATCCTCAAGCCTCAAACTCACAAGGCTATCGACCGTCCTCGTCCCCAGCCCCTCCCCCAACCCCCTGAGCGTCCACCGCTGCCTCTGCTTGAACACCACTTCATCATCGTCACTCTGCACAACCTCCGTCGCAAGCGTCTCGGACTTTGCAAACAGCTTCGGGATCCCGTACCACTGCCCCGCGATCTTGTACCGCGTGTCGCAGTAGCTGAACGGGTCGTCGTAGATGGATTTCTCGGCGTAGACGGCCATGTCGGATTCCGAGGCGCTGCCGCGGTAGAGGGATTGGATTTTCTGGAGGATCGAGGCGCGGTGCGGCGGCAGGGGGAGGGAGTTTTCGGGGTGCGGGGTGTAGGATTCTGGGGGCGTTGGGTGCGGTTCGATTTCGCGTTGGGTAGGGTGGGGTTGCGTCGATGAGGGCATTTTGGTATTTATATCTATATAGTTGGAGATCGGTTTTTATTGAAGAACGGCGGAGGTTTGAGATACGATTGCTTCAGTCGATAGCAGCTCTAGAGCTGCCTCGCTCTCGCCAGTTATATACCAGGAACGAACTGACATCATCATTACGCCCGGGGATATAAACTTCGATATCCACAATCAACCATGGCCAAAATCTACCTCGACATGGTAAACATGACTGTTTTATACATCGAGTACAACGATGATAGCCGAGATGGCATTGCGGGGTAGGCGACCTCGGTCCACAGCGACCCTGTCCCCGCTTCTCCGCATCTGGGCCTCATCTGGGCCTCCTTTAAATAGTCTTCCTCTGGCCCCTCAAGGCAATTCATCTTTAGACAACAAGAAAGTGTGTAGAACGCTAGAAAATGATCTTCACCTCCCAGCATCCACGCCTCGACAGTACGACTACCTGATCCCCATCCACATACGCAGCCTACAGCTAACGCCAGCACGCAGTCCCCACCAACATCCCCATCTGGGAGTGGCTCTTCGCCTCGGAGTACTCGCCGCTACGGAAGTCCAAGCCCGAAGAACTCGGCTCGTTTGTAAATGCCATCACGAAAGAGCAGATTCGTTATGACGCCCTTAAAGAGCTCACGACCTCCGTGTCGACCTCGCTAGTCGTAAATTACGGACTGCAGCCGGGGGATACGGTCGCGCTGTTCAGTCCAAACACGATTTGGTATCCGGTTGCAATGCTGGCCACAGTTCGAGCGGGTGTGTTTGTCGTTCTGTTTTTGATGGAGGGTACTAAATGGGGTCTATAGGCGGCATCATATCCGGAGCATCCCCCGCATACAACGTCGAGGAGATGACATACGCCCTCAAGACTGCGCGGGCAAAGTTTCTGATGACGGTACCTTCGTCAATGGATGTTGCGATTCCAGCTGCCAAGAACGCCGGAATTCCACCCGAGCGCATCTTCCTGCTCGAGGGCTCAAAGGGCGAATACACCTCGGTGCAGCAGCTCGTGAAGAAAGGCCAGAGTCTGGGCGCTGCACGTCAGGTGGCGCCATGGCAGCTTCCACCAGGCAAGACGAACAGGGATATCTGCGGATTCCTCAGCTTCAGTAGCGGGACGACGGGGCTTCCCAAGGCTGTACGTTCCCACTTGCTAGTAATGTGAACACGACTGACAATCCAGGTCATGATCGCCCATCACAATGTCATCGCGCAATGTATGCAGATCATCCAACTCACCCACGAAGATACCAAAAAGTCGCTGGCCGTCTTACCTCTTTTCCACAGTAAGCCATATGCTTCCCTCCCATTGACCCATTCCTAACATGACCTGGCAGTTACCGGCCTCGTGCACCAGATGCACCTCCCTATAATCCGCAACTCAACCGTCTACATGCTCCCCTCATTCACCATGGAAAGCATGCTCAAGACGATCGTCGAATACAAAATCAGCGAGATCCTCTCCGTCCCACCCATCATCATCCGCCTCCTGCAGGACCCCACCGTCGCACAATACGACCTCTCCCACGTCAAGCGCTTCTCCTCCGGCGCGGCCCCGATCTCCGGCGAGATCCTGCAGAAGCTGCAGGAGCGGTATCCTTGGACGGGGTTCAAGCAAGGGTACGGGATGACCGAGTCGTGCAGCTGTATCACGGCGCACCCGCCCGACAAGCAGTCGTATGAGTATGCGCAGCGCGGGGGGATGATTGTTGCGAATACCGAGGTCAAAGTTATTGATGTGGCGACGGGCAAGGAAGTCGGGTATGGAGAGGAGGGCGAGATCCTCGCGCGCGGGCCGCAGATCGTCATGGGATATCTGGGCAATGAAAAGGCCACACGGGAGACGTTTGATGAGGACGGGTGGTTGCATACTGGTGACGTCGGGTTCATGGATCGCGAGGGGTTCATCAACATCACCGATCGCATCAAGGAGATGATCAAGGTGAAGGGGATTGCGGTATCGCCGGCTGAAATCGAGGATCTGTTGCTGGGCCATCCGGCTGTCGAGGATGTCGGAGTCACATCTGTGCCCGACGACTACGCAGGCGAGAAGCCCAAGGCGTACGTCGTGTTGAAAGCAGCTGCCCGCCCGCGACTGGACACAGAAGAGGGTGTGCTCGCAGTCGGCCGCGAGCTCATCGAGTACGTCAAGGCGAAAAAAGTCCGGCACAAATGGCTCATCGAGGTCGAATTCATGGACGAAGTACCGAAAAGCGCGAGTGGAAAGATCCTCCGCCGAGTACTCCGCGACCTAGAGAAGACAAAGCGAGCAGGCGAGCGACGGCTGGTGGTGCGAGACGAAAAGGCAAGGGCGAAGCTGTAGACCAGAGCAGGTAGACTTTCATTTAGACTCGAGTGACGCACTTGCTTCCTCCTCTACACTCTAACCCCTCCCCTACACAATCTACCTTGTTATTCTTTGCAACAATAATCTTATCGCATTCTTATCCCTAGACAGCATGGATTGCGATGCCCATGTAGCAGAGCGCAAGGTCCTCTTCGACGGCGGCGGGTAATGCCCCCTCCCTCTCTATTGCTATATGCGCCGCTCAGCACCGCTAACATCCATGAATCTCAGCCCCTGGGATGGAAACTGGGAAGCCACCTTCAGTCGCGTCGTCCACGGCCTCACCTACTCGCGCCTCGACCACTACGACTCGATCTTCCAGACCGAATTCAGCGGCTGGCTCGACCGGCAACGCATCGACAAGTCCGCATTCGCCGCCATCCACACAATGGGCTCGGACCAGACATGGGACCTACGAGAGTATGACGCGGTGGAAATTACACTGGGCAAATCGGACGGGAAAATATACAGCATCGTGATGCAGGATGAGCGGCCATTCGCCTGGGAGGACACGTTTTGTGCGAGGAATGCAAAGGGACTCATGACGCCAACGAAACGCTGGATTCGCTTCAGCCGCCTACAGCCCATCTGCGGAAATGGAGAGCCGCCGACGCCGTTGGATCTACGGAGGATCAAAGGATTTGGGATTTGGATTCGAAAGTAAGCGGCCGTACTCTGCTATGTCTTGGGGTATGCTAACGGTCTAGTACCGACGAACGGCAGGAAGGCCCCTTTTCGTTGAACATACACTCTATCAGCGCCGTCAAACTCCCATGCTCGTGTCCGGTCGCCGTACAAAAGCACGATGGTGTAAAGGAAAAGGTCAAGGTCGCGATCGACACGGTCAGAGACTCCATGAAGGATAGCATGGCACAAGCCAAAGTGATGAACACTCTCGACACGATGAAAGACTCGGTGAAACACTCGGTAAAAGGCTCCCTGGCACAGGCAGTGGTCCGCATGACCAAGAAGTAGCCACTTGATAGCCCTGTATTAGCTAGCTTATCTGTACCCCAAGCCCGCCAAATCAGTTCTTCTGTTCCAGCTTATCCAGTCCTTGTCCCATCGTCATGAGCTTGTCGAAGATCCACGAAGGGAGCACTTTTTCAAAGAGCCACATAGTCCCTGCATGGCTTCCTGCCCAGATCAACCCCGATGCGCCTCCGATGAGCTTTGCGACAACGTTGTCCGCCCACTTGGATGCTGACTCCCGCGGTACGCCATCATTCCACGTTGCGCGGGCAATAACATCTTCCTCTATGCTCTTGTACAGACTGTCCTCCGGTAGAGTCAACCCATCGGAGTGCGTCTTGCCCTGCGACTCCACAGCCCCCGTCACCAGCGTCGCGACCCTGACCCCAAACGGCGCAAGCTCAATACGCAACGTCTCGGTGATGATCTCCAGCGACCTCTTCGACGCGCCATAGACGCCTGCAATCGATCAGTACACACAGCATATTTCATAGAGAAGAGGGGAAGAAATACCCATATAAGGAACAGTACAATGCCCCCCCACACTACTCACACTAACAACGACCCCCTTCGCAGAGATGACCAGCCCCTTAAACCCCTGAAGAACCGCAACCGCGCCCCACACATTCGTCTCAAACACCTGCCGAGCAACATCCAGATCCTCATCGAGAACAGGCATGTACCGATTCCGCCCCGCGTTGTTGACCAGGTAATCGAGTTTGCCACCCGTGGCCTCTGACACGGTCGCGACAGCGGATTTTATCGAGGCGCGGTCTGTCACGTCGAGGTGGACGAGGGTGATGTTTTGTTTGTCGGCGAGAGCGCTCATTTTCGAGATATTTCGGGCTGTCGCGAAGATGTGTATGTTGGGGTGTTTTGCGAAGGAGAGCGCGAGTGCTGAGCCCAGGCCGCCATCGCTGCAGCCGGTTATGAGGACGAATTTGGGAGGCATTTTTGGGTAAATTATTGGCGGTGGTCGGAAGGATTCGCTGGGGGCGAGAAATGCGCGGGGATTTTATATCTTCTTGTCCGAGGACGTTGGGTATGTCAGCCTAGCTCGCTAGTGAGGCCCTGGCGCTCTTAGAGCTCATGACTGCACTGCCCAGGTTATTATTATTGGTGAGGATTTAGGCTCTGCTCCAGCCGTCGGAATTGTCCAGTGCTGTATTCGCCTCCTCCGAACTTAAGGCTAACGGCGTATTCGCTCTGGCGTGGGCTAAACCGGACTAGGCAATCACGTCGTAAGCTCCAGGCTGCTTTATTTGGTGGTTTCGTTTATATGGTTGGAGTTCTTCAAGCTGCCTATCCATGCAGTGAGGGGTAGTATCTATCATCACGAATATTGCTAGTCCCAATTGTGGCCACGAGATCTATTTTCTGCTCCTTTGATGCTATCAACATATAGTTCTACGCTATACTTACCGGCTCTATATGCTATTATCGACTGTTGCGACGACTCTTCTTGAAGATTTGCGGTTCTCGACGCCGCTCCCCTACGGGCTTGTTCCTACAGTGCTCACCGAGCCCTAATAAAAGAAAGAACCTGAGTATGCTCACTTATTCCTTGGTGAAAAAGTCAAGTACCCTAGACTAAAGCAACGAGCTTGGTGCTAAAGCGAGGCGATGATATTACCGTGGTGTGGTTATGGTTGCATTGACCACAACTGTATGAGACTTCGAGTAGGATACCTAGCTTCTCTGTAGAAGCCCTCAAACCAATAATCGCGACTAGTACTATCTATGCTATCTCGGTCATTAAACCCACCCTTGGAAAGAATTGAATATATATATATATATATATATAAACTACTCCATTTCAAGGTAAGGATTCATGATGTTTTCAAAGATGCTGTCCTCCAAAGATGTCCATCCACCCTTACCGGGCCTATGGCGCCACTTGTTGAGAAGCGCAACAGATTCCGTTTGATCGATTGAGACCCTCAGATGGTGCGGATCTGGGTAGTCATCCACGAACTTCTTCTGCGGGTGAAGCTTGCGCAGTATAGCGAGTATCTCATTCCAATTCGCACTATGCCCCCAAGCCTGGAGTCGCGCGTTCTTGACCTCTGGATCCAGAGCGGCTGCCACATGGAGCAACGCCACGTCTTTCACATCCGCGTAGAAGGCTATTATGATGATAAGAGTTAGATCACGGCCCGGTTGGTTGCAACAACCTGAGTGAAGGCTAGCTGGAGGAGGAGAAATGGATTGCTTACTGGCTGGCAAAGTATCCATGACCGCCTTGTTGCCCCGGTAGGCGTGGACCACCCAATTGGCCGGCCCTTCAATATGTTTCTTGTGGAGGGGTTCTCCAGTAATCCCCGCGGGAGACACGACGTTGACATTGAAGTGGAGGAGGCCCTTATTGCTCTCCACAAACCTCCAGACTTCCTTCTCGGCGGCCACCTTGCTCGCAGGGTAGTTGGCCATGGCATGGGCCATGCCATACGGCGGCGGTGCGGCCCATGCAGCCTCGAGAACAGCATCATTCCAAGAGTCTCGCCCGACGACACCGTTATCAACACCACTCGCAAGCGGCGAGGCAGCAAGGGCGCTGCTAGTAAACACGACCTCGCGAACCGAGGGCTCGCGGCTGGCGGCAGTGAGAATCGAGCGGACGCCGGCTACCATGGGGGTAATGACCTCGTTGGGATCAGGGACGATGTTTGTCACGTAGGCAATGTGGATGATGGCCGCAGCGCCTTTGATTGCCTCGTCGTAGGCTCCGTCCGCGCCGAGATGGGGCACGGAGACGAGCTCGATGGTGCCGAGGTCGGCGTATGGCTTGAGGCGAGCGCTGTCCAAGAGCCATGAAGATTGATTTGGATCGCGAACGGCACCGCGGACTCTGAAACCGCGCTGGAGGAATTCAAGGCAGACGTGGGATGCGAGAAAGCCGCTGGCTCCAGTTACCAGGATCCAGGAGCCGGTGGGAATGGACGTGGTCAAGGAGGACATGTTGAGGAGTAGGTGGTTAGCAAACAATTGGAGCTCTGACTGGATCCAAAGCGTCGGACTTGGCTCTTATATATACTGCCCAGTCATTCATTGTAAGAGTTGATAGCGTCTTATTACAAATCGGTCAAACACGCAATTTGCTCATCCAAGAGACTTGACATGGAAATAGCTTCATAGGGAAGTATTCGGTCTTGGCACAAGACGACTCGCCTGGAATAAGACAATGTTATTTGACAGAGATGCAGTTCACCATGGCTTGATATAACCAACATATAAAGTCACATCCCGATCGGGGAATCCTTTGTCTTGGCACCGACGTCTGACAAATCCGCATCCATCCAACAAGATCAGTATCAACTCACTGACATGCACCTTTCCCCGTCAAGGTCCAAGTATGTCCTCCCGGTTCCAATTTGTTACCGTCTCAAACCCGACGGAAGCCCCTTCGTCCGAGTCCAAGAAAGTGGCCTATTCACACGCTTTCCGCCAGGCACACGCCCAGAGAAGACGCCGGCAAATGGAAGAATATACAAGAGATACACATCGCTGTGTCCTGGCCAACAAGGTCTCAACTGCATTCGAGGAAGCCATCTCGAGCCCCTTGAGCCAGGCATTCAACAGTAATAAAGACCTGTTCTCATCCTTGGCAAGACCGCTTTCTTCGGTGGAATACTCCTTGTTGAATCACTGTACGTCCGTCGAACGTCCTGATATTTCACCTACCGAAACATGAGAACTTACCCTTACCTCTATTCCGCCCCTCAGCTAACATGGCTATGGTTGCAGATATCCACGTAATCGTCCCATTGACCACCGGGCACTGCAGCCTCTTCGACTACCCCGGAGACCACAAAACCCAGCTGCTTCGCGAATGGGTTGGTCTCGCCGTGGCAGACGACACACTCATGGTCGCCGCCGTTCTCCTGAGTACCTGCCGCTACATCCTGCAGTTTCAGCAGCCCGATAACCTCGTCTTCGCCCGGTTGGCTCTGCAGTATAAGCAAATCTGCCTGCAGACACTGCGGCAGGATGTAGTGAACATGGACATTGACAATTGTTCTGCTGCCCCTGTTAGTACCGTGACTGTTGCCAAAGCGCTCGCTCTCGCGTTGGACGAGGTAATAATAATGGCCCCTTTCTGCAAGCTCGTGACATGGTACGGTTCAAAACAAAACAGACGACTAACTGATTCGTCTCATATATAGGTGGCGCTGGGCGAACATGCTATTGCTCGAGAGCATCTAAGAGGCGTAGTTGCCATGGTCGATTCCCGCGGTGGCGCAGGGGAGCTCGGCTTGACGGGTCTTTTGGAACGGATGTACCGAAGACTTATGGGAGCATTAGAGATAGAGACAGAGATAGAGACAGACCTCTTGAAGCGCGACACCAACGCAAGAGTGATATAACATGAAGTATTTACCGTTTGTTTTGAAGAAATCTGTAATAGACTCGGTCCCGTGGTTCTACAAGTAGACCATCACAGTTATGGCGTTTATTATCCTCAAATTGCTAAAAGAATCATCCATCTAAATCATCTTATTGGCATCGGTACAGTCTGCCAACCTTTGTGGCTCTAGGCAATAATTGTCTGTACCCTGCCCTGCTCCCAATACTACCAAGAGATAGCTCTGCACTATTTCCACTAACAGGCTGTATATGCTAATCTTGGAAGCTGCGACTATCCTTTTCCAAAGTTGCAGTTTTGGATGCTATTCCCTTGGGTGTTGTTCCTGCGGTGCTCATCAAGCCCTTGCAAGAGAACCTCAGAACCTGAGTATGCTTATGTTGGGCAGAGGGCGAAATACCCTACTAGACTAGAGCCACGAGGTTGACGATTAAGGGACATGGTAATATTAGGATATGGTATTAGACCACCTAACCTGGGTGATAGATTCTGGTTAAAAGCTCTCAAATCAATAATCGCAGCTAGTACTATGCTGCTCTATACTAAATTCAATGAACAAAGCCAAGAGAGCAAACTTTGTTCATCAACAATCACTCTAGAAAAAAAAATGACATGGCTTTTCATCTTGAGTCCTGGGCTAATGAGTTAATGGCCTTTGTGCATTCACAGGACAATGGGGCTCTTGTCTCAAATATCACCCGTAAAAAGACAAAATATAGAGCAATGAAACCCGCAGAGACAAATATTAACAAAGACTACAGTGCTGCCCTGTTTACTCTTTAGCTAGCTCTTTATCTGCCAGACAATGGTCCAAAGCTACAATAACCAAGGATGAGTGGAAGAGAGCAGTTTAAATATGCTTGCTCCCTGCCCAGAGTTAGGATCCATCATATAACTTTGCTCCTTCAAATTTGATTTGATCTACACGTCTACAAATCCAACACAGACCAAACAAACCAGCGCCAACTAACTAACCAACCAACCAACCAACCTATTCCACCAAACCACACAAAAATGGCCCCCCTCTACGAAATCTGGCTCTTCGAAGCAAAACCCGTCCCGGAGCTCGACCTCCCCGTATCCTGGACCCCCGCCTTGCGCACCCTCGGCACAAACACCACAAACCTGTACACAATCGCCGGCGGTATCCGGCTCGCCGACGGGCCCTACACCCACCGCATTATGCGCGGCATCCCCTTCAACCCGGCCTTCGACCCCATCTCCGACTTTGACAAGTTCACCCCCATCGGGACGCTCGATGAGGCGGGGTTCTGCAAGTTCGAGGAGGTCTTTGAGAGGACGGAGGCGGGGCCAAATCAGTTCTTCTTCATTAGGGTCTTTGGGGAGATGGCCATGGCGGGGCTGATGAGCTGGGATGTTGTTAGGGAGTGGAGGGGGAAGGCGAGGTATGCGGAGAGGGAGTGGGAGATGTTTTTGGGCGAGTATACGATTGCGGATCGGAGGTTTATCGGGATGCTTGAGCAGATGGAGCAGAAGAATTAGAGATGGGTTGGAGTGGAGTGGAGTGGAGTGGGTAGGACTAGTCTTACCTACATTTTCTACCTCTTCTGCGAATGTTAGCTTGTTGTAGGTTCCTTGCATTTACTTACTGCGGCTAGGGTTACCAGTATATCAAAACTCTAACATTATGCCTTGTATTGTTTAACCTGGTTTCGTCCATCCTACTCTGTAAGCGCAGCTGGCCACATGTCATCAGCTATATTAACCATATTGGCCACGTGAAGATATAGTACATTATGCTGACCTCGTCGAATCATACCCCGCAAGTCTCGCAGCAAGCAGTGGCTGCATTAGAAAGTCATCATACGCAAGCTCCTCGGCCGTTGGTCTCTCCTCTGGTAACCAGCAGAAGATTCTTCGCAAGAACGCCATGAATAGCTCTTTATCTTCGTTGAAGAATTGCCGCGCTCTCATTTCAAAGGATTGTTCTGGGATGGGTATTGAGCCTTTCCAGGTGCCTGCCGTATGATATTGTCAGAGATAATGAAAGAGTCATCAAAGAAAGAATAACAAAGGAATGGGAATGACGTACCTTGATCATCCCAGAACTGGCGACACTTTTCGCTCCTTTGGAGAAACTCTGGAGGAGGGGGGCCCATCAGGGAGACTAATTCTGCTAGTTGCTGTTCGTCGTTGAGGATGCGGTCTTTCTTGGCGAAGAAGAGGTGCCCGCCCTCTACCATATCCCAGATCTAAGCCATTAATCAGATTCGGATCTTGGTCATATCCATTCGAAGCACGGCTTCATGTAAGATATAATGGGGAGACTCACCATGGTACCAATAGACCATACGTCTACCTTGCAATCCCACTCCATATCCAGAATCACCTCCGGTGCGCGATAGATGCCGGGCATAATATCGCCTCTGTTGGAACCTTTGTCAATTCTCGCTTCGCCAAAGTCGGAGAGAACAAGCAGCCCTGCGGAGTTGGGCATCGGCCTGGAGTAATAGATGGTTCTGTCACTGAGGACCTTTCGGGCGATTGGCCGGGCTACCTCATCTTCTTCGATCTGGCGGAGAACGGAGGGATCTTGGATTCCTTGGAGGATGTTGTTGGTTGAGATATCTGCGTCTAGTCAGTCATGACGTTCTCTACACACATAGGCTGGGAGATGCTAGTTTGAACTGAGACCTTACCAGTGTGTATCACGCCATTGTCATGCAAAAACGCCAACGATATCAGAATGAGTTGGATCCCTCGTTGGACAAGCTCTTTTGGTAACTTGTTGTCGGGGAGTAAGTGCTGGAACTCGGTAAAGCTCATTCCACATGGTTGGTATACCAAACATGTATGAGTCCCGCTGGGGCCCGACACCTCGAAGGAATCAAGCACTAGGCGGATCGTCTTCTTCCCAGCATGCTCTTTGGAGTTTCTTAAGAGGTCTGAAATTGCGAGTTCATGAGTGGGTTTGTGTCCCTTATTGCAGACTTTGAGTGTGAAGTAGTCGTTCTCTCTGTTAAGATTAGGTGTTGGAATGTTTCTCTGGTGCCAGATTAGACACTCACAGGAGATCCCGACAAAGCCAAACGGTCGACGAGGTGCCATATCCAAGCTTTGAAACAATCTGGTATCTGGACTCGAGAACCTGGCCAATAGAAGCAGGGTAGTAATTCTCGGCCTTGTATAACGGAAGGTCTTCTTCTTCTATCTTGCGCGAGATGTCCACCTCGACGAATCCCGAGGTGAGAAATTGGCGCTGTGGAAGAAGGAGCTTTGAAGCCACGGTTGTCCCATTCGAACGATGTAGAGGAGAAACAACATAGCGAGCGAGTGAGCTCCGGACTACTGAAGTCAATCCTCTAGGGCTCCAGCGAAGCGCTGGCATCGTAGATGGTTGGGAGAAGCTCGAGGACAGCCAAGTCAAAACAATGGCAGGCCCGACCGAGCGCCTAGACGCCGCCCCACTCTTAAAGACCATGATTGGCTACACATTTATAGTAACACAATGGAATCTTCCAAGGTCTATTGAGAGAACAGAGAGGCTATTGGGGTAGTTGACGTGATTCACTCAATAATATCAGTCAACTAAGTGACAAGGAACCAAGGCAAAAGTAGTGTGACTTGGAAAGACAACTATAATTCGTCCTGGCATCGCAACTCCCATCTCTTCTTACTGTGTCTAATGAACAAGCTGCTAGTTTTCATGCTTACAATTTAGTAGGCGAACACATATAAAGGAGTAGACGGGTGGTATCATTAAAAATCTCCGCTAGAAACACAATCGTACAAGCATCAAATCAAATCCTGTTCATGCATCCATGCATCCATGCAAGGGGGAAAAAAGGCAAAAAGACATCTCCAAAACGACATCAATCATTCCTCAGGCTGGACTTGATCGGCCATGAGAAGAACCGGGCCCTGTACAGCCTCGTAGGAAACCCTCATGCCCTCTCGCAAGGTCCCGAGGGGAATGCTCGCGCTCGAGCGCAGGATGAGCGAGCCGCCGAACTCGGAGGTGATCATGCCGAAGCCCTGAGCCTCGTTGTACCACTCGATGGTTCCGAACTGGCGGATGGACATGGTGTCGGGAGTTGATTTGGGTGTTGCTGTGTTCAGTGGTTAGTACAGACGAGTCGGAAGAGTGAAAGTGGCAAGACAGCCAGGCGGGTATGAGGACATACAGTCGACAGGAGAAGAGGGCGCAGAGGGAGTTCGGAGGAGGACGGGGAGAGTAATGCTAACAGCCGCGGCAGACATCGAATAATGTATGTGTGGAATGTGGAATGTGGTATGTTATCGGATCGCCGTACTCCGTCCGCAGTGCCAAAAAAAAACTGTTCAAAAAATGCTCGTGTGCTCGACGTGTCTACCCCTCTTCCCCTCGAGGAGGAGCGTCGAATTTATACAAATCGAAGGCCTGGGCTCCGGTGGTCCGTTCCTGTGATATCATCCGGTTCTTCCCGGTCCTCGGCAGACCTGAAACTGCTGATTGAAGTGCTATGACGATAATAATGTCCATCCCTATACCCCGCGGGTTTGGGTGGGCTCGCCGTCATGATCGGCGCTAGTCATTGGCTAGTCCCGCCGAATTTATGCACCCATTGGCTGATCTCGCCCCTCCAGAGCCCGCTGTCAGTAAATTGGCCTATCGGGTGGACTCGTATCGAGCATGTCGTGATCGGAGCAGGCTGGGCTCGGATCGAGGAGTGCGCTGTTCTTCTTGGGTATCCTCGCATCGAGCCGGTGCTGAGGGATATATTGGTCATTTTCGTTGCGATTACAAGGTACGGCTCTCTGTCGACAGGCGTCTTTCGAGAACATATTCCTGAAACTTTGCTGCTGTCGGCCGTCGCATTGGATGCTCAAGGAACCTACCATTTGGTGGCACGTGTCCATGGACGACGAGATTGTCTGGCTGACGGTGTGCAGCAGAGAGTCGTTGGAATAGAGCCTGATGCAAGTGAGACAGTCAGGATGAAATCGTCGTCACCTGCCTGTCGTCGCCTTATATTTTCACCGGTTGGCAACGGCCGATGCTGCTCGGTAGACCACTCCGGATCCCCAAGACCGTTGTGTCTTAGCACATCAGCTCGCCTAATCATTGGTAAAAGACAGACTTGGAATATCTCTCCAGCTTTCCGGGCTATGGGCATTGCGCTCTTGCAGTCACTCATGAAGCACCACCCCTGGTACGACCTCGCCAGAACCTTCGCGTGTGCTCATAGGTCCTCAGTTGCATAGATTCCATTCTCGCGACACCGTCGGCCTCCGCTTTCCACACCACTCCTAAGTCCGACATACATCTGGTGACCAAGGAGATACCCTCTTCGCGGGCCAATCCGTCCCCGTGGCGGGGCTCGATCGAGCCCTTGACTAGCCATGAGCAGTCTTGCGCCAGTTGATGATGGTAAAAGCAAAATGGCCCTATTCAGATACTACTATAGATTCTGTGGCCTGGTGACGCGCTTGCCATATCCTACCCTGGGCATCATACTAGTTGTAGCCTCTGGGTCCCGAGTCGGGTACCTAACGCTCTTGCCGTTTCAGGCTACTGTAAGCTCTGTCCGTATATGGAAGGCGCGCTGCACGCGACTGGCTCAGTCGCACCTTCTTTCACTTTACTAGGTACGATTCGCAACAGGGGAAGGTGCGATTATATCCCGGGGACAGGCCTGGGTAGCCGACTAGTATATACCTGGCAAGCCTGCCAAGTATAAGTTCTTGGTCCTTATCAGTCTCTTCATAGGTAGTAGAGTCTCGAGTTCGGGTATCCCTTTACTAATCTAGATAACCCATTGCCATGCTCTACTGTCGGCACTTTACCGCGCATGTGGCTAATCATAACACACGAGCAATTCGATGTCTCTAATTTAATTCATGTTCATTATAAAAGGTACCAATTTCGAGAATGGCTGCTTGCAAACAGTTTGTATATATTCAATCTGTGCCTTTTTCCCTGTGGAGCATAGCGCACCACGCCAAGTAGAAGTAGTAGTAGCAGCAATAAATAGAGAGAATCACTGAAGTAACAAGAGAGCCCGATCTGTCAGCTGCCTTGCGTGTTCGCCTATGGTTAGCTCCTAGTCTTCTTTCGAAGACCGCCCCTGCTTGCTAGTACGTACTACCCCCGCCCCCTTCCCACTTCTTCTTTGTCTCCGTAAGCTTGTCTCGGCGTTCGTAGACTCTAGCAGGAGATCGCCTTCTCTAGCAATCCTTGACGTTGATACGCAGGGCCAAGACGATGAAATCCCTTGAGGGTGAAGAGGTGATTACGGCCCATTGTCTTCTCATAGCCTTCCAGTGCCCGCAGGAACATGCATTTCGCCTTCTCTGTCTCACCCTGGGCTAGGTAGAGATGTCCTAGTTCACTGCACGTTGTGAGAGCGAATCTACCGCGTGCTTCAGGCATATTTTCATACCCCGTCAGTGCTTGCTGATACATCTCCTCTGCCTCCTCAATCTGGCCTTGAGCTCAGCAGAGATCCCCAATGTCCCCAGATAGAGTGAGGAGGCACCATTGATGTAAGTGCCGTGTCTTTGTATAACCAGCTAGTGCTCGTTGAAGCATCCTTCCCGCCTCTTCCAGCTGCCCTGCGTGCTGTACATGAACACCTAGACAATGGACCACTTGCAAGGTAAAGTCAAGATCATGACCAAATGCCTTCTCATGCCCCCCACAAGTGCTTAATCATACAATTTGTAGCGTCCTCTAGCTTGTCATGGTTGTAGTAGAAAATTCTCAATTCATGCAAGCCATTGCAAATGTCGAGTCTGACATCTAGCGAAAGGCGCATCGCCCCCTGTCGAAAAAAAAGACTGTCTGCATGTGGAAGCAACCGCTGTTGGAGCCGTGGGTCTTCCTCTTGAATATCCGAGTCTGGTCTCATATTCTTTTTAGAGATGAGCGCCAGTCGTGTAGGTCTGCATTAGGGTTCTGGGAAGCAGCAATGTGAAGGGCACTATTGCCCGCATAGTAGTGGTGCACAGCATAGCTTTCCTCCTGTTACTTGGTCTTGGCTAGTGAGAGTCCACTCACCATCTTGTTCTTTATCCTAAAAGCAAGTCTGGCTCGGTAAGATCAAAAGACATTACGGGATGATGGAGCAGTTGAGGCCGCCTTGAAGTAATCCGTATCGTATACCGCGGTTAACAAAACATGCAGCAAAAGAAGTAGGCTGTCAGCCATTGGATCGCGTTTCTAGATTTCCTGTCATGAGGCTTTCACGTCTGTAGCATATCTTTCCCTGTTGAGAGTGGCGCGTGGGCTCGGAAAGAGACTGTAGACTAAACCAAGAGTTGTTATACGGTCCTTGACCGGCGGGTCCATTCTTGTGCATGAAATCGCCAGCAATGACAATAGCCAGGGGAGGATCTATCTAGCCCGGTAGCACGATCCGTCCTGATGGAGTGTTAGTCTTGACCCCCCAAAGTACATTCCTTCTCATAGTACCTTGGTCAGCTCCTATTCGCTCTATATCTATCTTGTCCTGGGAGACCACTACTCCCGGAACAATGGCTGGATGGCAGTCTGATGAACAAGTCTCTGAACTAGAAATAATCCCCGCTACTCAGTGAGCCTCTGGAGCCAGGAAGTAATGAGGATAAATCTAAATCCGGTGGTGCGCATTGCGCCAAGAATGAGCGATTGTCGTAACCACGAGTAAATAATGGTGATTTAGTATGCAATGCAAAGCTTACCAACCGCCAGAGTTGTAACTATTGCGTAGCTCGCTAACCACAGTAAAAAGCCTAACTGGCTTGTTAAGTTGGTTTGCATCTCTTTTATTCGCAAACTGCCTTGAAATATCAGTCGCGCACTTGGCGAGGATAAATGATTGCGTAGACCAGTCTTTCTTTTCCTCTAACCCAGTAGACTGCAGTGAGTCCGTGTCGATGGATTCATGCGAAAAGCTTTCATGTCGAGAGGTAAGATCGAGTCCTGGGCAACGAGAACTGCCGGATGTGTTTCCGCGGAAATCCTCGGAGGAAGGGAGGGGTCCATTTATTGGGCGCGGCGCAGAACCTTGAATAGTGCCAAGAAGATCAAAGATGTCTTAGCGTCTGACCGAATCGTCGTCATAGAGTCATTGCAGATAAATTGTAGGTAAATACCCAGAGTTTGGATGGATAGACAGACCTTCAGATGCTGTTGGCTGAGCCGGAATTTAGGCTATAGATGCTGGAGTCCATTCAACAGTCCCAAGGAGCAGCACCACCACTCCTTCCCAGTGCAGTGCGGGCCTAAAGCCATGGTAGACGTACCGAAATCTTCGTGGAATGTTAAAAAGGTGTACAGGCTCTACAATGAAAGGGAGAGGGACTGTAGTTGTGAACCACGATGGGGCTTCAATGATACCTCCTTCCTAAGCAACTAGAATCTACGAAGGCTTCGGCGTATGCAATTCAAGGATGAGTTGCCATGCGCTTGCTTTTCGAGTCGGGATCGTCGTATTGTATTAGTAGACATTAACGGCTGGGTGAAGGAGAAGTAACCTAATATATTTCCCGTCAGGATAGGTATACAGAGCTACGTAGTGTTGGAAATATGTCGAGAGACCGATCCTTATTTAGCCCCTAAGTTATGGGGATATCGGAGTATACCATTATATATCACGTTATATACATTAGCGTCCCCATAATCACACATAGACGGTCATCTTTGAGTACTAGATACAAAACCTCGGGAGTTGACGGGCAACGACTGTCTACTCCGAAGCAGCAGCAGCCACACTCGGCTCAACCTTGACAGCCTCAACCCCTTCCCTCGCCAACTTCTCCGCAGCCTCCATACTATAAACAGGTCCCTTATACTCCCTATTTCCACGAATAAACCACCAGATTGCAACAAGGGTCATGAGCCCGACAGTGATGACACTAGTATAGTTCATATTCTGCACGGTAACGGGCATGACGAATGGGAAGCAGAAGAAGACAACGGTCACGACGATGTAGATCACGGAGCCAATGTTCACGATGTATCCCCAGATTCCGGACATGGCGAAGGGGCCGGGGACGATCTTCTTGCGGCCCGTAAGGATATGTGGGACGATTGCGCCCGCGTAAGAGAGTGTGCTCAGCACGATGAACGAGGAGATGAGAGCCTGGAAGGCTGTTGTGCTTCCGACGTAGATGCAGCCGAGGCACGAGACCATTACTGTCATTCCGACAGTGGCGTTGACAGGGGCATCAAGAGTAGGGTGAACGCGCGCGAAGAAGGGCGCGAATGGGGTTGCATTGTCGCGCGCGAGTGACCACCACATGCGGCCGCCTGTGGTGAGGGTTCCGATGAGGGTTGGGAAGGTGGCGAGGAAGAGGAGGGCGATGAGGCCGACTGCGCCGGCGGTCGAGCCAGTGGCTTGCAGGTAGATCTCTGCGGTGGGGAAGTAGGAGATGGAGCTGTTGAAGACGGCGTCGATGTCCGAAATGCCGTAGAAGAGGGCAATGAGGTAGACAAAGGCCGTGGCGAAAGCTGTGAGGAGCTGGAGCATGATTCCTTGCGGGACCTTGCGTTCGGGTTGGGGGACTGATTGATTCATTAGCATCAGGAAGTGAGAAGAGAACAAGGAAGTGCGTACCCTCTTCAGACAAATGACTGATACAGTCAGGTGTGCCGACGGCAAACGCTGCGTTGAGCAGACCACTCAGGAAGCAAATGGCATCGTTCCACCCGCCAGTCTCGTTGTAGTATGTCCTCCAGACCTGCCTGTTGCTCGCCCGACGGCCACGAGGCATCACAGCCAGGACCACAATGGTGATGAACATACCGCCCATGGACAGAACCAGGGCAATGCGGTTGAGGAGCGGCAGGTAGCGGTTGCCCATGCACACGATACCACAGCACATCCAGAGAACAATCTGGAAGACGATAAACGGCTGCCAGCTGTGCCATTCGACTTCCGGGTTGCGCAGGAGATACATGGCGACAGCCTCGTTGCCGAGAATCGAGCTCATGGACGAAGCGGAGAGCAGCCACGCGCACGCATTCAGGTAGCCTGTGAAGAATCCAGTGGCACGGCCATGTCTACCTGCGACGACAGTGGACCAGTGGTAGACACCTCCAGCGGAGGGGATGGCAGAGGCCAGTTCGGACAATGAGGCAGAGATCAGGCCATAGAAGATGGAAACCAAGATCAAACCGTAGAGCACTGCCATGGGTCCTCCATTGTATAGAGCAGTGACGATGGTGCCTCCAGTTGCGGCCCACGAGCTATTGGATGTTGGACCCTGGTCAGCGATCGTCGATCGAAATTCCCCGAGATGGGGCGACAGGGGACTGCAGTTTTGCGACTGATAACTCACTTGGCGATGATAATCCCCAGACTGGTCAAGCTGAAGAGACCGAATCCACGACGCAGCTCCTGCTTGTGGCCCAGAGCAGCTTCAAGACGGACCTCGTCGACCTGGTCCTGCACGCCGCCCTTGCTGGCAGCGGGGTTGATGATCTTCTCGCCCATTTTCGAGACACGTCAGATACGACCACAGATGTGCGACACAAAAACGAGGAAAGAAGGGGGAAGACAACTGAAGAAAGGGAAAAAAGAAAAAAAGAAAAACCCATGTTCAGTTTATTAAGGAGGGAAGACATGCGATTAGCTGGAGGCGAAGGCTCAGCAGTGGTTTGGGCTAGGGCGACTTTGGCTTTGGCTACCGATTTAGTGTGCAGGCAAAGGCTCCACGTCTCAGCAGGGATCTGATTCCTTCCTGCCCACCCACGCTGCCGGTAAAGCCTCTGGGTCGGGTTGCAGAATTTGCAATTGCTTTTCCCAGAGCGGCATGCTCCGGCTCAATCTGTGGTGTGGGATGATGCCATCTCCTCTGGGCTCCAACCACGCCCGTCCTCCTAAGCCTCCTTTAAGAAAGGCTCAAGAGTCGGCGTCCATCCTCAACCTTGAAATCCTGCCCCGTGCCCCAAAACTGATGCTGACCTGAAGATCCCATCTCACCGACCATGGGGGATACTTCGCCCACCCCGCACCAGCTCCTGGTGGAGGCCGTTGTGTTTTGGAGTATCGGTTTCGTGATTTATGTTGGAAGAATGTATGTTTCACCGTGAGACTGCGTCGATGGAGGCTGATGTGTCAGAATCGCACGATGTATATCCAACGGAGGCATCAAGCATCTGCAAGGTACTTCGAGTCCTTCAACTCTGGGTGACTTGCGCTGACATCTCCAGTGGATGACTATATTATGACAGCGACGTTTGTATGCCATCCTGATCTCAGCAATCGAAAAGAAAAGTGCTGACCTGTCAGGCCGTATATACAACCCTTCTCGTCCTCATCCGAGTCTCTGCCGAATACGCGACGAATTTGTTCCCAGATTCGGAGCTCGAGAGCATCCTCGCAGATCCCCAGGATGTCGCCAACAGGGTATACGGGAGCAAGATTGTCATTGGGCTGGAGCAGTGCATGCTCGTCTCAACCTGGGGCGTGAAGACCTGTCTCGTGGCCATGTACTGGAAGCTCACGAGTCGGCTTCCATGGCATATATTCGTCCAGATCCTCGCGGGGTACGTTGCGCTCGGGTTTATTGTGATTGAGATCACCTACTTTGCCGTTTACTGCCGTCCGTTCTCGCAGTACTGGGCCGTCCCCGTTGACAACCCGCAATGCGCAACGTACCAGCACTATTCGATCACACAGGCGGTCTTCAACCTGTCCTCGGACGCCTGGATGCTGGCCATCCCCGTTCCCCTGCTAAAGGGATCGCAGATGCCCCTCAAGAAGAAACTCCTGCTCATCAGCGTCCTGGGTCTCGGTGTCTTTGTGATGATCGCCGCCATACTGAACAAATACTTCAACTTTGCCGCGCCCGATACGACAATTTACCAGCTGTGGTACATTCGCGAAGCCAGCACGGCCATCTATGTGGCCAACCTCATGTGCTGGTGGCCCCTGCTCCGAAAGATCTTCGGCAAGGCCCTCTCGCAGTACAGCAGCAACTACCGCACAAATCGCTACGGCGACCCATCGCACCAGTCGGGCGGGCTGTCGCAGCAACTGGGCTCCGTGGTTGCTAATGCTAGCGCTAAAGGCACACAGGCGTCTACGGCGGGAAAGAAGGGGTCGAAGCGATGGTGGAAGGGGGCAGTGTCGCATTCGCGATCAGAGTCCAAGGTGCTGGCCACGTCGGCCAGCCAAGAGGCGATCAACAACGATTCCGGCGGCCGGGAATCGCAGACGGATGTGCCGCTGGAGATTTGGCGCAAGGTGGAGTATAATGTGGAACAGAATCCGGATCCGAAGCCTTGATCGGCGGGCACGCACGATCACATTCGCGATTCCCCGATCACTGATTTGTTGCACGAACTTTGAAAGTGTTTCCATCAGTTCCGATAAAAAAATGATAGATAAGATCAATTTCATTTGTTATCATCCGCTTGTGTAACTTTGAGTTTTCAGATCAGCGTCTCGGTTGCAAGCCGACAGTGCGCTTGGAAATCGAGTACGAGAAATCGAGGCTTGTGGCGCTGCCTTCAAAGTCCGAGGACTCGACCAAGGCCAATGACAAATTTCGAGGGCGCGAGCAGCGGCCGGCGAAAAGTGAGCTTGGATTCAGAGGCCTGCCGGACCGAACCTTCTGGCGCCAGAAACCGGAATTCCAGAGACCTCAAGCCTTGGAGAAACGGATTTGGAAGACGCCGACGCCTTGACTGGACCGCAAGGTTCAATCGTTGGTGGTGGGGCACCCCACGGGTTGCGCCATTTGAGCAGATTCAGCTGCCCAGTGCTCACAATGACACACAGGAACTCTGTCGAGTCGTCAACGTCCGAGGTTGTGTCTTCTGAATTGTGCATCTCCATCTCGCGTCGGACAAGTTCATTCCTTCAAGCTGTCAGCTTCGCGTAAACGGTAGCGCAATGTCAGAAGGATGGCACAATCCTTCAGTAATACGCACCGTCAGCGTCTCTGAATCTAGACTCTGCAATTGCACAGGACAATTAATCTATCGCCCACGCGCTAGACCCATTATCAAGTTGTTAGCCTCGATCCTCAGTCGGGACCCTCTCCCCGGCGGGTACAGCGCACATTGACCAGTGGGTGGGTGCATCTGTGGTTCTGGCGCTCGCCCTGCGGCGCGCACGCTGCGCCAGCTGCGGAGCTCTGTGGTCTCACTTTCCTCTTCCGGAGCGCCACCTACCAGGTTTTCAATCTAAAGAAATGACCTTGTCTCGGTCTTTTGGCCCGGATCGCAGCCGAATTGCGAACCTCGGCCGTTTTTTCTCCAAGAGGCGTTCAGGGGCGGCCAAGACGGCGAGTTGGCGAGAGGGGGCTGGCTGGCTGGCGTGGCAGTGGCAGTGGTAGTTGCGCGAGTTGGAGAAGAGAACCTGGAAGGAAATTTGAAATCTCACGCCCACGTGCATAAACAAGGTTTATCCTGCTCTGGTGTCCATAATTTATCCCCGCAAGCACGAGGCAGATGTTGCAATTGCGACCAAAGCTGCAGCTTCAGCACACAAGGTTGAAATCCAACTGCTCTTGTGCAGATGACGCTGCAGAGTCGGAATCTTCTCGAACGGCCGAACCACGGACTAACTGCGTAATTGAGTTTAGCTACCAAATCTAATGCAGGGGGTCGCAATCCTTGGTTCTGCACCGGTTCTTCAGGTGGTTGAATTGTTGATTAATCCGTAGTTCTTCCGTCTTGACGATTCTGCGCTCAGGCTCTCCGGTTACCCGGTCGCTGGATCTGAAGCAGAATCTAATCAGGATCGCCCTGATCCTTGCCCTCCGCGTGCAGCACTGCAGGCATTCTTATCTGGAACCTGCGATTGAAACGGTCAGTTCGGAGGTTCCGATCATCGACCCGTTTAATCACAAATTGATGGTCACATCGCGTGTGCTCTCTTCTTGGTATGTTGTTGGATTATTCCGTGGGCGCGTGGGCGAGTGGGCGACTCCAAGGTCCCCGGCGCCCCCAATGGAAAATTACTCCAGAGTACTTGAGCGAGTTGCTGAACGTCTCGCCCGTGTTTTCGAGTCAGGCGCGTTCTGTGACTCCACGACATATATTAACTGTGGAGGGCCTTATCCCCTCGAATCATACGATGCGGCACGGCCTTTTTTCGGGGGTTGCGACGACCTTGAATTGGATTCAAGGAGAATTATTGGCGGATTCTCGATAGATATATGTATGACTACTAATAGCAAGGCATTGTCTCCCAACCAACGGGCTGTCTTTTCCTCCTCTCAGAAAAGATCTCGAACTGGAATCCCATATGCTGGAACAAGACGACCCCCAACCACGGTCCCCGTTGAGACTCCGAAATAGGACTGGATAATACTATGTCTATACCACGAAATCATTTGAGTTTGAGTAAAGAAACTGGCTCCTCCGCTGAACCGAATTTACGACACGAGGCCCCGGCGCTGCATCGTTTCGTTATCCTGATTCTGTTCGTTCAGATTTCTTCCGGCCTGTGAGCAATGCCTATCAACCCATTCATATGTACTTGTCTCCGCAACCACAATCGGGGGTGAACTCCGAATAGGCTCATAGAAGTCTGGTCAATCCTTCTAACTATACACCAAAGAAAATACGTGTTTAACTACCCTTTTCCCAAAGGAGTTACTAGAGATGCTATCATAGTGCTGCTGTTCACATCTTTACCGAATGACTAGAAACTCGGCGATAGGACGAAACATAAGGTCCTCGAGTTGGAGCTATCCTGCCTAATCTCTCTTGGAACTTTATCGACATCTGTCAGACCTCCAGCAGCTGGAAGCTCGGGGCGAGACAGGAGTCAAAAACAAACTGTAATAGATAGTGAAAGTATGGCTTTGGCTCATAGCATGGAGGCAAACTAATACCCAGGCCTAGTATTTGCTTCTATGTTGACCATTCCCACCTCCATTGTGGTCAGTTCTTGTTACAGCGATTCTCGTACGGCTGCATGCAACAAAAGAAAGTCCGATCCTAGCTTTATGTAACAAGAGAGATATATATATATAAGCAATGTATAATGCTAAGGCGAAGATTTGAAGTAAATCTTCTATTATATCCCTGGATAATCCTGCTAGCCACATTGTCCTTATATAACCACTGTTACAAACGAATAGTCGTTATATACAAGTTAATAACAACAGGGATCTTCGCCTATGTCACAGATAGGCAACGCTCTAACCGAGATGGACGCGGCACTCCGAAACCTGCAAACAGAGTCGACAATATTTACGTCCTCCAATGTATATACTCAATAGCCCAGGATAATGTTTCTGTTAGCTACATAGTAGAAATTCAGAGAAATAGACAAGTCCCTCATACTATAAGAGAACCTGGAGCTGCCTGATGTTTCTGTCTATGCTTATGGCCCCTCATAGCTCTAGCTATATCCATGTGATTGTAGCTACATGTTATCCTACCAATCTCCAAGATTTGCCACAGTGAGTTCGAGTATAAAGGTGTATAGAGGTGTATAAAGAAGTCCAAGCCAAGGATATATGGGGAGACTTGTGTTGGAGCTTCCGCCAAGGTAGGTGAGGCATCTGTCTACCTTGGTCAGGATCATCTCTTGCAGTGATCACTTGAGAAGTGACTGTTACTCTTGAGTCGTAGTTTTCTGTTCTTCTCTGCCGTAGATGGCTGATATCCTCCGCACCAGGACTATTAGTAACAGACAGTGATCGAGTATTGAGCCATTCAGCTTGGGCCTAGATGTGGTATTCGCTGACCTAGATAGTCTACTCTGAGTGAGAATTCATTATCCAGCTTAAATTGGCTGTTATAACACCTTTTTTCGTCGACTGGCAATGTCCGTTGACCTTCAACGTTGTATGTACTTCATAGGCCCCGCCCGCCCTACAGTCATGATGATCGACAGCAATGGAGGATAAGATCATTACACAACTCTGCGTACTGCATTGCATTATTGGGTCATTGAGAACGATCCCAACACGTCCGCAATGCCGCCCTGGCAAAGTCATCAACCATTCATGATTTACCCACGGTTACCGTGACAATCCCCCGAACAGACTAGCAAGCGTCCAACAACCCCTCCAGCGCACTCTTCTCCGCTTGCGTAATGGTCAAACCGTAGGTATACTTGATAAATATCCACATCTTCCCGTACGGGCACGAATAAGAGGCTATAACGTCGTTAGTTGCAAGAATGAGACATGAAGGCTCGGATTACCATGGGGTGAAGGTGCGGCAAGGGTCTGGAGGTTGAAAACTGGGGATAACTTACCCAACGGCGGAATCCACTCCTCAGGCCCCGAGTCGCCTTTCTCCTGGTTGACATTGTCTGTCACCGCGATGAGCTGCGGGTTATCGAGGTCGTTGGCGAAGGCTTCGCGCTCGGCGGTTGTCCATTCGGAGGCGCCGGACTACAACCCAAATCAGTCAATCCGCTCGGCAGGTTATATATGTCTCAGAGCAGACTATCAAGCTGCGATAGCCTAATTTGAGAAAAAGGAGGGAAGAAAAACGCACCCTCCAAGCATTCGCCAACGGCACAACATGGTCGATATCGACATCGCTCGACTGCGTCCACGTTTCCCCATCATACGGCGAGTACCACGAGCCGCCGGAAATCGAGCAGCCGGAGCCCGTTGAAACGCCCGTCCCGTCCCGGACGAGGACGAGGTCGCGCGTGTCGCAGGAGCTGTTTCGCGTTAGCGTTGCGTCTCTTTCGTCCCGACCAGAATGCAACTCACTCTCCCTGGCTGATCCAGTGCGGGAACAGATCGCGATCATAGCCTGACCCCGAGCCTGCGGCGGCGACGGTGAGGGCCTCGAGTTGCGTCTGCGCGACGGCAAGCGAGGGGATGTTTGGTGGGGTTGCGGCGACGCCTGCGGCCTGCAGGGATGCGGCGAGGAGGACGGGGATGAAGCCGCGGGCCATTGCGATCGATCTCTGTCTTTTCTATATCACTGTTGCGCGCTGGGTGCGAGGCTGATGAAGAGAGGGAAGACATCTTTTATGTATCGCGTACGACCGGCGTCGACCACGCATTGAGTAAACAGAAGCGAAGCTAGTTGTTCTCGTGTGTATGCAAAGCCCGTTACAGCGCGGCATTGAATGGGTGTTGTTTATCCTATCTGTGGTGGTATCGCGGCTCATGTGGGCGATGGCGATGCTGATTCGCTGGTGGCTCGGCGATCGTCGCGGAGGTGCAGAAGAGTGGTTACATTCGAGATTGGACGCAACAATCGCTATTGGGCAAGATATTTGTCTGTAACACCGGATGCGCTTCTGATCGGCGGGACGGTCTTCTGGGGAGGCACACGGCCGGGTGGTTGCGCGGGTTTGCCTACTTGGCAGTTGAACTCTTGGAGTCTTGAGGACAGCGGACATCACCGCGGGAGAACACGGTAGATTAATCTCTGCAGGCTATGTTGCCCCATGTACATTCTCTCCGGCATGGCGCCTGAGGGGTCAAATAACAGTTGAACGGTAGACAACGTGAATGCATCTTGAACCAGCCAAGCTCAAAGCCCCAATGCCTCCACCAAGGCCTCCCCGACGGCCTTTCCACTCACAGGGTTCTGTCCTGTAATCAAAGTCCCGCCCAGGCCCTTTACCTGAGATACTACAAGTTTCTCCCCGAACTTCTCGGTCTTGACATAGCCACCGCCAGAGAGTCGCTGCAGCTCATCCTCCAGACTGAATGGCATCGCAGCTGTTGCACCAAGGGCGTCCTCCTCGTCGTTCGAGAACCCAGTGACGGTAGCAGATGCGATAAGCGATTCTCCGGAGGGGAGAGTGACATTTAACAAGGCAGCCGGGCCGTGGCAGACGGCTCCAATGGGCTTCCTCGCGAGTGCGAACTTTTGAATCAACGAGATGGACTCGGCGTCGGAGTAGAGGTCGAAGACGGCTATTCCTAGAATTAGCGTTGTAATCTGTGGTAGGGCATGGAAACTCACGTCCATGACCGCCAGGGTAGTAGATCGCATCAAACTCGTCGACACGGTCCAAAACATCTGACAGCTTCACGGTATCCTCCCAAAGAGACTTCTGCTCTGCAAAAAACTTTGACGAGACAGGATCACTCGAGAACAGCTCGACAGACTGCGTACTTATAGGTGCGACACCACCTTTGGGAGAGGCAACGACAAACTCAGCCTTGGACTGCAGAACGTCCCATGGGTGCGCAAGCTCGGGCTATGGCCATATTAGTTTCCTCGTCCTTTAACCTTGATTCAATCAGACGTACCAAGTACCACCCAATCTCCTGTCCATTCGACGGGTTCGTTGCGGCAGAGGTAAGAACAACGAGGATCTTCGGGGCCATGGTGCTTATAGTGTTTCGGAAGATGGTCGAGGCTTGCTTGATAGACTGTTCGCTTTTCCCAGAGAACGTATTTCTGATTTTAACGCCATATTTATACCTCGCGTTCAATCATCAACAGCCGCACCCGTCAGTCAGCCGTACCATCCTCTTCGGCAAGTCCTCCGCGACTCCGCATCACCTGTCAGATACCTACTAGAGTACCCTCGTCGGGGACCAGAAACAGACATGGAAGACCGGAACAGTTTCCTGGAAGGCATCGGGGTCTCTTGCAGAACACGTTATCTCCATCGCAATTCCGGCCTTATCACCGACAGGTATGGCTTACACAGCGAAGCCAATCTCGATACAGCCTAGGCATGTCAGCTCGTCTTGGCAAAAGTAGACAGTCCCGCCGGCACACGAGGAAGCCATACATCGTAGGTGGTTGAATTTAACTCGTGGGGACCGGACTGGTGACTCACGAGGTCGGGGCTGACACCTCTTTGATACGAGGATACGGAGTAAAGTCTGACACTGGGAAGCGTAAGCGCGTCGCTGAGATGAGTCAGGGGCTCATAAGGCGCGTGATTTATTTCTCTGTATGTAAGCTCTCGTCTTCCCTCTTGATCGACTGTGAGGGCGTCAAAACAAGGGTAATATCCTTGTTTCTTCCACTTCCAGGAAGCCATGACGCCCACCACACACCATCTCACCACTCGCCAAGACTGCCGTTCGCTGCTCTCTTCCCTCTTTGAGGAGGCTAGTGCGCTCGAGAGCTCAAGGCGATTGATCAACAGACTAGTACCTGACATCATGGCCATGCTGGGATACACTGCCCTGCCAGGCTGCCCTGCCCATCAGGCACGCTATCCCGTCTCAATCTCATGACGAAGGACCATCCGGATGACGTCGCCCATAAAACGCAGTCACAAAGGCCGGAATAAAACAGCCGGAGGCTCTTGGCTCACAAGCGGTAACGAATAAGGGGCCCTCCCTCGCCGCCAAGGCTGGATTGTGGGGGTTTTCGTAGGCTTTAAATTGGGGGCCAGATAGCAGGCCTCATCGCCGACAGGACGCTGCCACGGGGAATGGCGAGGTGGAGAATCTGGGAGAAGGGATTGGGTCATTGTGCAGATTGTGTTGTTGGCTGGGGCCCTTGGAGGTGTATTAAAGAGGGCCATCCGGGTTGGGATTCTTCTTCGACTACGCATCCACCCCGGCTGTACTCCTAGACTGCACATTGACCGAGACCGAGTATGTCAACCGCGAAAATGATGTCCAAATCGAGCATCGCCCTCCCCTTCCTCCTCTCCACCACCCTCCTCGCATCTGCCCAACAAACCACCACTCAGGGCAACTGCACCATCTTCAACTGGGACAACAACCCAGCCTACATCGCCACCTACCCACCGCAACGAGTCTCCGCCGGCGGAACATGCCCCGAGAACGAAAGCAACTTCACCTGCCCGCTCACGGCCTCCGGTGAACCCCAGTATTCCGCGACAAACAACCTCACGGACCTCTCAACGCGCTTCTTCGTCCCCATCATCGTCAACACACTCTCAGAAGCAAACAACAGTGCCTCGGAGCTGCTCGCGCCTGGTTTCAACGAATCAGTCATCGGAGCGATTGATCAGACAAGACTCATCGAACCGGGCCAGTCGGCGTATCTCAATTTCACAGCTTATCGGTACTGCTTCGAAGGCACTGTCGGCAATTGCACGGAGGGGTTGGAGAATGGGCGTGCTGTGCAGGTCTGTGCGCCAGTTTGGCATAGTCTTTCGGAAGGTGGTTCTACGGTTTTCGATGGCGAGTACACTGTTGTTAATGTCTCCGCCAATGATGTGGAAGACTATCGCGATCCGTATGAGAACCAGGTTAGCGGTGAGGGTGAGGATGGGGGCAATGCTGCTGCCGGATTAAGGGGTGGTGCCAATGTTGCTTCCGCTGGTCTGTTCACTCTGATGATGACGCTGGTTTGAGAGTTGTTTTCTTTTGTCTTGTCTCTGTATGGTAGTCTGTTAGATGGACATGGATATATTGCATACTTGCCTATTACTGTATCCGCTCTAAGAGACAAATGGCAGCTACCGCCGTTATCTTGTCGAAATTGTCTCGTTATAAGTATATCCTGTATAAGCCGAAAGTATCAGAGTGGCCGAGAGAATCAAGCTGCTATTGACGAGCGTATTATTTTGCGGCTAGTTACAGGCCCCGTCCGAATCTCTAAAGGTGAGCCAGCACAGCATCAGCTCCAGAAACCTAGCACACAGTTAGCACTTGTCACATCACGAAAGATACTGATTTCAGGATACCTTCACAGCCCCCCTCTCCGTCTCGATATCTGCATACGTAACCTTTCCGTGATCAATGATGACCGCATAACGTCCAGTGCGACCGGCATTGGCCCAGCCAATGCTCGAGGAAAAGCGTGCGTCAGGGTCTGAGAGGAAGAGCTGTACACAAGTCATTAGCATTGGTGTTGAGTCCGATCGCCCAGTATCTTTATTCGGTGACAGGGATCGGTAGCTAGGTCTGAACGTACAATGTCGTCGCCGGTAACCTGGTTTGCCTTTCCCCAGGCACTCATGACGAAGGGATCGTTGGATGCGACGACTGCGACGATCTGGACGCCCTTTTCTTTCAACTGCGGGAGGTTCTGGATGTAGCCAGGCAAATGGGAAACGGAACAGGTGGGTGTGAAGGCGCCTATTATTGATATCATTAGCATTGATCGATGCTCGGAAAATTGACCTGGGAGGGTGAAGTCAGTTGCAAACGCACCAGGAACTGAGAAAAGGACGACCTTCTTGTCCGCCCACTCCTTCGAGGCGTCGTATTTGATCGGAATTCCGCACGAGGTGATCTCACCCTGGTCCTCGGACCAAGGAATGTACTGGAACGCAACGTTCTCGGGGAAAGGGTCGCCAGCTTTGAGAGGAGCCATGTTGAGTGTTTTGACGGATGATTGAAGCGATTGAAGCGGAAGTTGTGGGAGGTGAGACGGGGGATTTGTTGACTGCGGGGTTGGCGGACCGAGGAGTGAGGGAGGGACCTTGGGTGTTATCAACGGACCGTGGACAAGTGGACACCGGAGAGCTCCGTCATCGACTGCGAAAAAGGCGAGTTGCGCAGCCAACCATCATCAAGAGATTTACTCCTCTACTGTGGGTCCAATATGGTAGCGCTGAGCGCAATTCAATCGAGAATTTCGTGATTCTCCAAGAGCTTCGTCAACAACCGCCTACCAAATATAGACATTGGTTGGAAGTTGGTCGCAATGGGGATCCTGGACAACCAATGTCTCTATGACAGATATGAATTAAATATCATTGCATATGTCACATATGGCATGAGTATTGATAGTCTCATGCATTGTAAACCCCGCTATACCTTGGTCTCATATAATGCCAAAGCTCCACAAATAAGGGAAGAAGACTTTGCTGACGATGAACGCCAGGAAAAGCTCCAGTAGATCCGGCAAAAATGGAGCAAAGATCATCCAATAGATTTACCAAGAATTCCAACAGTTCTGCGGGAACGAGACGTGCATTGTGCTCTATCAGGTGGAAGATACCCATGAGATGGTTCATGGATGCTCGGTTGACATCAAGGTCCGCGGAGCAGGTGGCAGCCACGTTGGATCGGTAGTTTTCATACAAATATCTGAAAAATGTGTGGTGACAGTGGTGAAGTACGGTATGGCAGGCGGTTGGGTCGAACGGTCCATTCCACTGTTGCCTGGAAACAGTGAAACGCAGCTGAAGCACCTGGTTTCGAAGATTCACTAGGTGTGCCAGCTCCATATCGACAAGTGTCAAGTATATGTCTAGGAAGACCAGATTAGAAAAGGTCGATGGTGGGAAACACCAGAAGGGACTGACAGTAGATATCAAAAGACGAGCAGCGGGGAAAATATGGAGATAGGCATCCAGTAAATAGCAGAAATATAGAGGTTCAATGAGGACAGACGTTGGGTTCAATTATCAATGTGGCGCGAGACAGTCGATTCGTGGACTGCCAGTAGATGACAGATAGAAACGGGAGGAGGGCACGACGAGGCAAGCACGATGTGGCAGAAAGAAGCAAGAAGCCGAGCAGAGACCTCGAATACTAGTAGTACTAGTAGCGTACTTGAGGGACACGACATATAGATCGCTAAGCGAGATGAACCAGACGAAACGAGACGGACGAGAGGTGGGGGTTGGTTTAAGAGGAAAGAAAGAGGGAAGAGGCGTGGAGAGACGTTTTATACTCTCACCTTCTGTGTCATCAGCCCACCATGTCACCGGAACTATAATCCGACCTCAGTAACTCCAGAGAGTAGACCCCTAGATCATCATGCTCGACAGTTCATTGCTGTAGTCGAGCATGTACCCTCCTTGGTAGGCATCCAAAGACCCCACCCCCATGATCTGATCTTCCAGATTCCCAACAGCCTCGAACCACTCCCTCAACTCCTGCGTCATCTGGTCGCCATCAGGCGTCTGGCTCTGCACGCTAGAGGTGATCATCTGTTCCACTCCCTCCGTGGCCGCATTGTCCCCGTCACCATGTCGGTGCATTAGCTGTGGTCCGAGCCGACGAAGACCCTTAATCGACTTCCAGAGTCTTCGTGAGATGTACGACCTTGCTGATACCCCTTTGACGAGCTCCAGCGCCATATAGAATTCCTCACGGCAAGTTGTGCTATACTGGCTAGGCATTTGAGCGACAGCGAGGAACAGTGCCATGAGAGCAGACACCAAGAACCAGTTGTACACGACTTGCTGCGTTTTATAGATGTCGGACGAGGCGTGGAGCTGGGTGATGAACCTGATTGAATCTTTGGCCATGTCGACGACGGTCTGGGCTTCCGTTGGGAACCGTACGACGTTCGCCGTGGAGTGCAAGACAGGACGGTGTATCAACATTCGCAGTTGATTTGCCCTGAGGTAGACCAGCGAACGCAGTCGACGCAGACTTCGCGTTTCGCCATCTGCATAGCTTGACGGGTTTCGCAAGCGAAGATCATCTGGGAGACCCGCAACCCACTGCAAGACTTGCCAGTCAAGATAGTTCATTTCGTCTTTCTTAATCTCGTTGGTATTGTTAGACTGTGATATGAACCTCCATACCTTGGCTGCAATCCGAGTGTACCGAATCATCACACGCAGATACGACGCCTCGTCCGCCGGCTCTGGAAGCAGGGGGTCTATATCAGACTCGTCCATTCCGAATGGCATACCAGTACCGAAACTCCAGCGCAGGTCTAAGACGCGTACAGACCAGAACAGCTTCAGCACACGCTCTCTCCCCACCGCGACGATTGTGGGATGTCTAAGCGTCTCTCGTCGATGAAACCCTTTTTCCAGACAAAGGCGGTTGACAATGCCAATAGTTCGCCAGGCCAGCGTCTCCTCCCCAATCTGGAAGTATAATATCGCCTGTCTTTGTTAGCCCCGCTGATATGACCAGAGATTCGACTTACCACAAGCGCGAGCAGCGTGATGCTTTTGATCTCAGGGGCTGCCCACACGTAATGATCCGCCGCATCGCGTACCGTCTCGAACAGACTCATCGCCAACTCGCTATTACCGCTTGCCTCTGCCGTCAAAGCACAAGCAAATACCAGCCGCAAGATATTGATCTCGTCGTTATCCAACCCTTCCTCGTTCTGCCCTTGAATCGGAGCCCGCGGCCAGAACCCAACCTCCGCCGGTCCATACAGCAAATCAACATTCTTGAGCAGCTCACTGAGCTCCACGACGGGGTACATGACCCCCATTTCCTCCTCATACACCTTACACAGCCGGAGAGCTTCCGTCTTGCTGATATCCCACAATGGGTCTCCGCTGTGCCCCGGTGCACCAGCCGACGGCGGAGTCGCTAACGGCGACGGCTCCCTAGTCATATCTCCTTCTCCGCCGACTTCGATACCGCGTTCCTTCAGACTCGATTTGGCAAGGTCGAAGCTGAACCCGGAGGTTGTTGGACCTTGAAAGGTCATTTCTTTCGAAGCTATCGAGAATCGTCGATATGGCCGTGAACAAGCATCAGGGCGCTGAACTGCAGCCCCTGAGAGGCCATTATTATTCTGCGCCAGGGAGTGTACAGCAGCGGTGAGAGCACTAATCTGCGCCTGCATCGCGCTCATCTGATCGTACAGTCGCTCCATTCCACTACCGTTGTCAGCGAACCCCTGCTAACCTACCTCTCGATTAACCAGCCCTCGCACTCACCCAGATCCATATTCATCATCGTGCGGATTATCGTAAACGCATCCGATACGTTGTCTTCCGCACCTCACGCATGGCTTTTCACCATTGCACTTGATCTTTCGCCTCTTGCACTCATTGCTTCCTTCAATTAGCTCTGAGGGGATTACCTGGAAGAATCGCAATAGAACGTACCAGGCTTTGGCAATATACTTTCTGCGCCTCTTCCGAGGCGGCTCAACACCGCCAATCTCAGGATTCTCCTTGCTGCCCACGAGATCCGGACTCCGTTCCCAGATGCTCATGTTGTGCGATACAGATACGGATGCGTCCATGCCACTTTACTTTCAAGTCATCGGTTGTCCGATCAATGCGAGAAAGGGAATAATGGGAAGAGACAGGGGTGACTGGACACCCGGGAGAGGGATTCGTTGGCAATGGAAAACAAGTGGCTGGACGGATGGAAAACTGGGGGAATGCGGGGATTGGGTCTGCGTGGAATTGATTCCGCCGGTATGGAGCGGGCGTGGCGTCGATCATGGCGTTCATCGAGCTTGGTAGAAACGGCATTTGTGCTGTTGGATTTTCTACTGCTATTCACGCAAGAGTAGAGTATTTAATATTTAGTCAGTTTCTCCTTGAAGTCGACCTCCTTATGGCTATGTAGGGTACAGTAATAAAAGATTGTTTATCGCGTGTTCCAGTCCAACACACAAGTAACCGGGATCTCTCTAAACACCACCGTCATCTTCGTCATCCGGACTAATATGGGCACAGCTCATTGTACTCTATATCACAGGTCGCGCCCATAAGAGACCATACAATACAATCTATCACTCCCGCGAAATGCAAGCACTTAAAGAAGCTAGTTCAGTTCCTTTGTGCGCAGCTCACTCTCCTCGATCCACTTCTTCAGCATCTCCGGATCCCGCGCCTTAAATCCGACCTTAAACGGCTTCGGCTCCGTCGTCAGTGCAGTCGGAATGGCATTGCATTCAATCGCGTCGAGAATCGGGCGATCGGCCGGATTTGAGGCTGGGTGCATCGTGAACGCTGTGATCAGGCGGATGTATGCGGTAAAGAGCTCGCGGTTCGCCAAATGGCTCCCCGCGCACATACGAGAGCCAGCGCCGTAGCCGTAGTGTGGGGTCCCGGAACCGTCGGTTGCAGCTTCGAGATAGCGCTCTGGAAGGAATTGAGTTGGGTTGGTGAAGTGGGATTCGTCGTAGTCGGCTGCCCAGGCGTTCTGTTTATTTGTATTAGTAGTGGCTTAGAGTAGAGCTAGATAACAAGGCTTCGGAAATAAGGCTCGGGATAGGTATTTTTACCATGAAAAAGGTCGTGCCCTTCGGTATAACAGCGCCATTCCAGACAATATCCTTTGTGCTTTCTCGCGGGAGACAGATTGGAATGACCGTCCAGAAGCGTAGCGTCTCCTTGACTAACGCGGTCACGTACGGCACCTTCTCTTCGACGAGGCATTTTTCCCAGGCGTCGCCGTCCGGATAGACGTGCCTGATCTCATCGTATGCCTTCTTCTGAATGCGCTGGCCGTCTTCGGACGCGAGGTAGGCAATTCCCATGATTAGGTTCCCAGGGACAGTGTCTAGTCCCGCAGAGACCATGGTTAGGCATAGACTCTTGATCTCAGCTAGGCGAATGTTAGTTGACATCCATAAAGAGGGAGATAATTGAGAGGCACACCGTCATTCAGCTTAGCCTCAGGATCTTTCAAGATACTACCCGTAATGCAAGGCTTATCGGTTCCCTTCGCGATGCGGTCCTTTAGAACGTCGAGTAGATATGCTAAGTACTTATCACGCCGCCTCCGGAATTCCTGTGCCTCGCCGTTTGTCTTGGGCACGAGTCTTAAAAGTGGAATGTAGTCCGCCCATTGGTTACTTGTACTTCTAAAGTTCGACACGCCTCGTTCGACATCGACGATCTCCTTCAATAACTGCTCGTCCTCGATTCGTATGCCGTAATTGAGCGTCAGACTCGTGTTCAACGCAAAGCGCTGGAAGTACGCGGTGGGGTTAATGTCCACGGCCCCGTTGACACTGTCTCTGAAGAGATCCTTGATACTAGCGGTTGCCTCAAGGTCAATAATGGGCATCAGGGATTGCACATTTGGACGGTTCAGAGCTGTTGCAGCGGCCTTGCGCCGGCGTTTACACGATTCATCCCAGGGCGATGTGCCAATGGTAAAACCCTGCGAGCTAGAGACGACGCTGTGGAATGTATGGAAGGTGGGTCGCGAAATAAGAGCTGCTTGATCTTTAATCCAGAGTTGGCGGACGGAATCGAATGTGTTGGCGAAGACGACGCGCTGCCGGCCTTAGCATTTCACTTGTAGACGCGGGAGAAGATTAGGAGAGAGCGGGCTTACCTTGTTACCCAGTCGAACCTGAAACACGGGACCATACCCGTTCTTTGCCCACTTCGCAGCGACGGTAGCGTGTTGGTCGCCGAGTTGAATCAAATTACCCACGATGGGCAGACCGCGTGGCTCAGGCAGCCCTTTTATGAATGGAATATCCGTTCGGTTGAAGTAGCGAATGAGGAAATAGACCACCGCAATGGCGACGATGCCGATGGTTTGAAGAGCCATGATGCTAGTCCTGAGAGCTGATAGTTCGATGGTAACACCAGGCGAGATCGCTAAGGAGGAGCGAGCCGCTTTATATTCGTGGTGCTACAGCCGACGTCTGCGGCAGGGAGGGTTGCTGCACGGTACATTTCCGGCGTCTGGGTGAGGTGTCCGCGTCATCCCCGCAAGTGAGACGCCTCGCTGTCTGCAATGCATCGCAGAGCGCCAGGGATGCCAATGGTAGAGGTGCGGGATTTCGGAGGTCAATCCCACTCAACGGTTACCCCCGGATTGCCCCCACCGCGGAAGGTGCGGATCTCACCCCCGCGCGCGGTGACGTTGGGCAGCAGCCTCATTTTGGTGTTTCGATCCGCTAAGGTACTGCTTTCAGCAGTCAGAGCACATAGCGCAGGTCTTTGAATTCCGCTTCTGGAAGAAGAGGAAGTAATCATAAAAGTTTTAATGCATTGTTCTTCACCTTGATCTGATAAAATTTGATTGCTAAGGCTACATTTGCACCTATAGTACATAAAGGGTCATAAATTATATACAGGATCATTCATAAGAACCAGCAGAGCTTCATCAGGCTAACCCATCATGCCCCGTACGGGTTTTAAAGGGCACTGAGTCGGCTAGCTCTACGGCCATCATTACGGGCAGGTCTGCTGCAAGCGTCTGCGCAAATTTGCTCTTCTCTCGAATTTGCGGTCCCTTCCAGTAGAAGATATAAATCGAAATTCTAACAAAGATTGCCAATATGCCGAGCAGGGTTGAAGTCGGCTTCCGATATTCTCATATAGGGCGAGTAAGTCGGGCCGGGCGACATCACTCTCGCTTTGGAGAGAGTAATGCCGGCGGTTACACTGCATAACGAGCACAATTCTCCTGTGCTATTCACCCCTTACCAATGCTAGCGTTTTGATGTTGTTCGACACGAATTGAAAATCTTTGAAACCCAAAAGAAATCTCAAATCAATAACGGATTCATATGCTCGGTCTCACCATGCTTCCTAAGAGAGAAGATTGGCGTTCGGGACAAGAAGTGCGATGCCCTAGGCGCGCTTGTCCTGCGTCATGATTAGCTCCTGCGCTTTCACGTCGAAATGTCTTGTTTGGCTACAACTTATTGAGCAGGGATTCTATACGTTTGGAGTTCGTCTTGTTATTATGGATTTTAGGATTGACGACGACGAAGTATGGTCGAATTGGTGAAACGTGGCGTTGGCGACCGTAGGTCGATAGTCTAGAACTATGTATGTAACATTGTCGCTCATGAATCCTCGCCATCCGAGAGGTAGCCATTTGATCGCTCGTCTATTATGGAATCATCTACTATACATCAACTCGTAAGTATGAATAAGATCCTGACCAGCATGAACATGAAAAGAACGTCGAACAGATTAGATGAAACAAGTCAAGAGAATGTCCTAAAATACATGATTCACCCGAACACTCTCGCTACTTATCGAGGCGGATGTTGCGATGGTAGACTATAAACGCGATGATGACTGGGGCCAGGAACCGCGTCAGATAGAGGACCGGATGGTCGCGTTTGAAGAGTGTGGGGATTTACGGGCCCACTCGGCGCATAGGCCATCCCACCTGTGGGGTTCTGTTGTAGAATGGCCGGGGGAGTATAGGGACGGCCGATTTGTTGGACGCCTGGCCCGGGTAGCGGGGGAGTGCTGCGGCCATATTGCGCCCCAGACAGCCCCAGAGCCGGTCGGTGAGGTTGAGGTTGTTGTACTGCATTGACCATCGGCTGTACGTGTGAGTACCCCTGTGCACCGCCCGGATGTTGCTGAGGTGTCCCCGACACATGTCCCGAGGTTGAGCCATACGATGACGCCGAGGAAAGCCCCGGGCGCGAGGGATACGCCATATGGCTGTTACGCGTCGTTGGTGAGTTTATCGCCGAACGATACATTGGAGTCTGCGAAGGAAGCTCACGCGACCCGGCTCCTGCAGATTGCGCATGTGCGGCGGGTGATGGCGCATAAACAGATGTAGGGTACGCCGGACGTTGTGATGGGGGGGCTGGCGATGGCGTGGGTGCCGGCGATTGGGCATTGAGGTGTGGTAACGGCTGGCTCGAGGCGTTCTGACTAGACGCAAATGGCGAGTACGTGGGTTGAGGAGCCAGTGTTGTAGCGGAACGACTAGGTGGTGGAGGAGCTGATGCTGGTTGTTGTGATTGCTGCTGGCCTCGAGGATCAAATCGTCCTAGCCAATCAGTATTTCCCGCAGGGCCCGGTGCTCCTGAGGCCGACCCGTACGAACCGTACTCGGGGTAATTGCGAGAGGGTGGTAAGTATGGGCTCTGCTGAGCATAGCCTGGACCCTTTGGTTGAGAAGCCGAGAAAATGGACTCTTCTTGTCGCGACGGTGTTGGCTGGGGAAGCGACGAGCTTCCCGTGTATACAGGTCGTGAAGGAGAGCTGTTGGCAGTCGCTGCGGGGACGGACGAAGCCTGATCACTTGCAAATCGCTTGCGAGGTTGAGGCTCCTCGGGCTCGTCGTTCAAGATGCTCATAATATTGGACCGTTTTGCAGGAACTTGGCGAGGAGGCTCTAGAGGTTCAATAGGCATCAAGCCGGAACGCATTGGGTCTCTAGTCGGGGACAAGACCGGAGCGGGTTGTGATAATCCAGCTGCAGAATGCAAAGGATAGAACGGCCTTTGACCGACCGATTCACGACGAATATGGGACATCTCATGCTCGTGTCGCCCGAAGTTCTGCCCTGGGGAACTGGGAGCCTTGGTCAGGCTATGTTGACGTGAGTGGGAGCCTGAAGGCATAAGCGATGGCGGAGGCTGATTGTGGGGTTGAGCCAGAGACTGCATGTAGGGTTGGTGGGACTGTACGGTCGCACTGTGGCCCGGAAGTAGAGGCGATCCGTGCACATCTACCCCTGAAGTTCGGAAACCTTGGCCGTGAACAGGCTCCATTCTGGCCATTTCCGAAGCAGAGACAGCAACTGGACGTGAAGACAAGGGGTGTTCGTGAGAGCGAGGTGTTGCATGTGGGAAAACCGTGTCGCGCTTATCATCTGCAAAGTACCCCATGCGTGGGCCTTGCATTCGCGGCGGCAGCCCAGTGTGGGAGTGGATTGTCCGCGATGTTTCGTCGGCCAGGGCAAGAGCAGGCGAATGAGTGGCCATTGGGGCAGTGCTGGCTTGGGCAAGGGGCGGATATCGAGACAGGCTGGAAATGCTGTGCTCCCGCTCATGAAGTGGCCGTCCGTGCAGTGGTCCTGGCTGTGAAGACAGCGCAGGATGTTTCACGTGAGACACAAGTCGACCGTCGTCAAGTTCAGGCGTAGCTTCAGTATGTGGTGCGAGAGGCCTAGTCATACTGACGGTCGAAGGCGTGGCTTCGTAGCGTCGTTTAGACGTGAAATTGGGGATGGGCAAGGCGCCTGTCGGCTCGCCACGAGACTTTTTGAGCTCCGCATCTGCAGCGATTTCCTCATAATCTCTCTTCCCAGAATCAAGTCGTCGCTGGAAATAGTTTTTGACCTTGAGATCGTTAGAATAAAGTCATAGCGCACATTAGCAAGGGGGTTGTCGGTCATGCCGGCTCTTACCATTTGGGTAGACTTTGTCTTCATAAAGTTCGAAATACTCTCAAAATCCCGGCCAAAGTGTGCCAGCAGCAGAGGAAAGTCTCGCTGCTCGGGAACAGACCAATAACTAGTAGTCTGCGGAGAATTGTACATATCCTGCCGGGCAGCACCAGGAATCGGCGTTGCTGTCGCACTTTCTGCCTCCGTAGATTCGAAGGCGTATATCCCCTCTCTCTGACGTCCGCGCCCAGGCTTTGACCGTGAAGGACCATCTACCTGATCTCTCTCAGCCTGTTCCTTGAGGATTGCGATGCCAGGGTCGAGCACAGGTTCCAAGGAAATGTTTTGCAGGGCAGGTTCCGGAACAGGAGGAACACTTGCGATTGGTGTTGTGACAGCGGGTACCGCTGCTACCGGTGTTGGTTGCTCTGGCTGAGGGGTCAATGAAGATGGCTGTGGCGGGGGCAGTTGTTGCTGTTGTTGCTGGATAGCTTTGCCCCTTCTGCCGCCTCGGGTACCAGTGCCAGAACGCGCACCACGTCGGCCAGAAGGTTTCTCTCCTTGCTCACCATCCTTTGCTGCATTGCCCCTTCGGCCGTTGGCACTTTGCTCCGTGTCTGCAGAAGAGTCTCCAAAGGTTGGTGCAGCCGCACGGCGTGGGCGACCAGTATCAGTAACGGGTGTCGGTTCCTCCTCGCCATCGTAATCGGGCTTGACTACTCCCAAGTCTGCCATGAGGGCGTTGGACTTGGGCCTAGCAGATCTCCTCGCACGGCCGCGGCGACTCCAGCGCTTGTTCAACTTGGCCTTGTACTTGATTTCTTCCTTGGTCAAGTAATAGTGAACAATACATTGCTTGAAATCCCGCCCAGGTAGAGACTCTGCAATCTTGCCCCATTTCTTTGGGTAACTCATGAAGGCATTAGTGAATTTCTCGTGCTCTTCAGCGGTAAAGTCGTTGGGCGGAGGTAAGAAGCCGAAGACCTCCATGGCTTGAGAGGTTTCGACGATGTTGTTGGTGTCTTTGTAGATAGTAGCTTTGGCCTCTCGGGGTTCGAGCATATCTGGTATCACCGCCTCGCGAGTGAGGTCCGGTTGCGCGGTAGCTTTATTCTCGCGACGCCGAGCGAGCTCTTCCTGCGCAGAGATCTCGGAGGCACGAAGAGCCATTTGGAAGTCCAATTCGCTGTTACCCTTGTAGCGCCTACCCTCACGGGTGTCGAGGACAGGGGTAGGAGTCACCACTGGGGGTGGCGGCGGCGGCGGAGTCAAACCTGGCGTGACAGTGGTCTTTTCCTTTGCGCGGTCTAGCTCCCATACACTCAACCTCCATCGCTTGTAGTAAGCAAGCCAATCCTGCCTCAACTCTGCGTTTTTCTTGGCAATGGCCTTGCGCTGGTCCATCAACTCCCCACGGAGAATCGTTTTGATACGTTCATGAGTCGCAATGTTATCTTGAAAGACATCGAGATCAGACATGGGTGTTGGAGGGCCTGAATGAAAGAATGGGAGACCCTCAACAGATATCGCTCCAGGAAGTGAATTCAAGACCACTTCGGTCGGTGGTTCCTGTTCCTCAGTCTTGTTGTCAACCTCCTCGTCATGAGAGGGAGCCGGTGCCTCTTCTGTGGAGAGAATCGATTCCACTGGAGGTGTAGGCGTGCGGACTTTTTCAGGCTGTGTCTCGTTTGCGATCATACCCAGAAGCTGGATACGCATGAGGAGCGAGACTATGTTTGGGTCTTCCAGCGGCGGAGGCGGCATATCTGCACGGAGCGCCTTCATATCCTTTTCGAAATCCTGCTTTCTCTTCTCTAAGAACTCTTGCGAGAAGACATTCTCATCCTCGTCTTCATCGCTCCTTTCAAAATCCGGAATCATTACATCCTCCTTATTGACGGCGGGCTTGGCAGGTTCCTCCTCCACAGCCCGTCTCGGAGGGCTAGAAACGTTATTTGGGAGCTCCACGAGAGGCTCGGGGCGGGAAGCGTTTCCCTTCTCTTTTGCTGCAATGACACTCTTACTGGTATCAATTCTATTCGCATCTGGGCTTTTCGTCTGATCGTCAGAAACCATCTTCACCTCTCGTTTCACATCTTCACTAATGGATAAGCTTCGGGGTCGGCCATCTATTGAATCTCTCTTTGGTGGCAAAGGAGGGCTAGTTCCGGTATGAGGTCGACTGAAGCTGGGCCGTGCCCAGAGCTTGTTTCCCTTAGAAGATCCACGGGAGGGGGGAGGCCGCTGTTGAAGAGCACGGGGTCCAGTAGGAATACTCGAGGAGTGCATGCGGGGCGACGTGTGTGACGCCGGTGATGCAGATCGTCCTGCCGATGGTGGCCCCCATCCTGCATCTGAGAAAACGGGTGCCGAACCTAATTTCACCGGCGAGGAGTCGGGAGTAACTGTATTGTCCTTGGCAGTGATACCCGGAGCGTCCAAGCCCGTTCGTTTAATATTAACCATAGCAGCTGGAGCGGTTGGGGGAGAAAGTTCCGTCGGCTTGTGTAGGCCAACCGATACAGTTTGCGGTGTCTTGAAAGTTCGCACAGGGCTCTCCTGTTTCGGAAGAGTGTCGACATTTTCATCACGCTTCGCTTCATCGCGTCGAGGACGCTGCTCGATGCCATGATGGGGCGGACCCCGATCTGCCTTGGGTCCCGTTGGCGGCTGCATTTGCGGCCTAGGCCCGGGATCTGGCCGGTTTTTCTCAGTCTTGGCTAGTGAAGGGGTGGCAGAAGGTGCATCCGTAGACGATTTTTCGGTTGAAAGATCCGGAATAGGTGCGGTTACTGAACCGAATGCTGGAACCTGAGGTACGACAGGAGGCGGCGAGCGTTTAGCAACAGGCGCAAAGAGGTCTTTTGAGGGATCTGGGCGAGAGGGAAGCGTTTCGAGTCTTTCAATGTCACGCCAGGAATCCCCGCCAGATGATTTTCGAGGGTGCTCGATAGTTGGTAAATCGGCAATTCTGTCCGCTGATGGAGGTCCGGTATGGATGGATGGAGGAACAGGCAGTACAGATGAGATGCTGGGATTCCTGACCTCGCTTCGACTTGGTGGCCGATCTCTCTTCCACATATCTCCTGGTCTGTCACGGTCGTCACGGTCCAGACGGCGGTCCAGCTCATCACGACGGTCGAATCGATCACGGCGGTCCAGATCGCGGTCTCTATCACGTCTCTCAATGTCCCGGTCCCTGTCTCGATCTACACCCAGTCGCTCTCGGTCGCGATCACGATCAATAGGACGTTCTCTGTCACGGTCGCGATCTCGATCGCGCTCTCTTTCCCATCTGGCGTCGCGTGACCGACTTCGACGACGAAAAGAATCGCGATCATCCAAATACGGCATCCGACCGCGCCCGCGCCCTCCATCCCAATCGCCACGTCCCCGGCCCCGGATCGGACCAGGACGAGAGTGGTGACCAGCTCCTAAGGGAGGACCATCCGGGGCAGCAGAAGACACCGACAGCAAGCTATCTCTCGAACCGCGTCGCATCCGAACGGCATCTGGGTCTCTACCTAGTGGCTCTCGTGTATCGCGAAAGTCGCGAGGGGGAGGAGGCGAACGTGAGCGACCGCGACCGAATCCAACTCGGGACTCTCTTGCGTCGAAGTCATGGTTGCGGCGGCCCCAATCTCGATCGACGTCGCGGCGAAATGGCGGTGGTCCATCGCGGGCATCTCGAAAATCGCGGTCGCGTTCTCTGTCGCGGTCGCGGGGGTCACGGTCCCTGTCACGGAAGTCTCCACGGCCAGGATATCCGCGGCCTCGACCACCGAATGAGCCGCCTCGAGGGGTGTCAATCAAGGCCTTGGGTGCCCTGGGCGGCTCTCGTCCTATCGGTAACCCTGCATCTTCAGATCCACGGGGGCCAGCGGGAGGGCGACGATCACCAAATCGTTGGGGAGAACGGTCTCGAGGGTTGAACCCAGATGATTGGGAATATCGCGCAGACATCACCAGACCATGCTAGTGGATATGAAAGGTGGTAACCTGGCAGAAAGCCCTGCAACAGGTTAGTAAAACAAAGCTTCCAGCTTCAATAAAAATGCAAGCGAGTGTGGTAAATAACAGTAAAACTAGTATTCAGCGCTCAGTAAAAATGCAGGGAGACCAGAAGCCGATCCAGCAGTGACAGGGCCAAAGACTGTGGGGAACACGTGATCTTGAAATGGCAATGCACGGTCCATGTCGAAAATTATCTAATCAGCCCAGCCGAATCGGGAAATTTGGGAAATTGGCGGGCGAAGCTCGAGATCGAATCATGCAGGCTTGGGTGGACTCGAAAAGTGTGCCCTCGACTTGGCGCGGTTTCTGTCTCGGATGGCCGATGCGAAAGAATAATGGCGAGGCTGTGAAACGCTGCCTGAAATCCACGAAGCCGAGGGGGCGCTCCAAGGCATGAACAACGGAGAACTTCCCCAAATTCCAGACGACAGCCGTTTCCATTCCATGACGGGGATGGCGTTTCGGCCAGTCAAATTTAGACTGTTGGTCGTTGAACGCTGCCCTGTGTGACAAGCACGCCCAAATAACCTCCAGACGGGGCGACGAGATAGAAGGGCGCAAATATGGAGAAATTGGATTTATTGAACAAGGCTTTCTTACCTTTCGACCGAACGCAACGTGTCAAGCAATCAGCCGAAGAGACAGCTGCAAGGAGTTGCGCCTGGCACAGATCAAATTCGGGCTTTTCAGCTCAGGGAACGGGGAAACGGCCTGGATCCGGCACCAGGCGGTGCTGAAGCGTTCGGAAACAAGAACCGCAGTTCGTGCAGGTTGAAGCTGGGACAAAAATGGGAGTGAGCTGGACTCGGAAAGGGAGTTGAGAGAAGGTGAGGAAGATCAGAGAGAAGAGAAATGAAGATCTCGCTCGGATCATGGATGGGGAGCAAGTTTGAAAGGTCTCGAGACTGGTCACTGCTCCTGCCTGCGATTGGAACTTGGGATGGATTCCGTTGGTCAGGGATTAAGTCCTTCCACCTAACGAAATCGAATCCAATCTTTCAAGGCGGATCCTCAAAAAGGGAGCCTGACTTTGACGCGCGCCGCTCAACAGGGCTTAGTGCCTGAGGCCGGACTCAGGCTGAAGGTTTCGACCTCCAAGCTTCAAAGTCTAAAGTTGACCATGCCCGACGCAGTTAGTGCATCCCCGACTTTCCTTGCGCCTCAGGCACTAAGGCAGACATTCTTTTCTTCTGGAATTTTTTTTATTTTTCTCCGTGCCAAAAGGTCCCCCGCACAACAACAAGACCATTGTCGTTTGACTGATCACAACAGCGTCTTGTTTTCTGAAGTCTGTTGCAATTTTATTATTCGGCTCATCATGTCCACCCAACCAAACAATGCACCACCGACCTCGGTCACAGATGCTGTCCTCGTCGCCTCAGAACCAGTGCCGGAGGGGACTCACAAGGTCAGCGGGGTTGACTTTGAGAAGTACCAGGGACGCGATATCACCGTGGCAGAGATGGTCGACAACATGAAGTACATGGGCTTCCAGAGCAGCGCTGTTGCCGATGCTGCGCGTATTATCAATGAGATGGTACCTTCATAACCTCGGCCTTTTTGCGTCTGCTGGCATCACTGACTTTGCGCTTTCTGTGAAGCGCGCCTATAGACATCCCGAAACCGGCGACAAAACCACGATTTTCCTCGGCTACACCTCCAATCTGATTTCCTCCGGCCTCCGAGACACTATTCGCTACCTAGTCCGACACCGTCACGTTTCTGCCATCGTTACTACTGCTGGCGGGGTGGAGGAGGATCTCATCAAATGCCTAGCGCCGACATACATGGGCTCCTTCACAGCCCCTGGAGCTAGCCTCCGGGCTAAAGGTCTCAACCGTATCGGAAATCTGATTGTTCCCAACAGCAACTACTGTGCTTTCGAAGATTGGCTCATCCCCATTCTGGACAAGATGCTCGAGGAGCAAGAGACAGCCAACAAGAAGGCGCAAGAGACGGGCAACGAGGAGGATGAGCTACACTGGACACCGAGCCGCGTTATTGAACGACTGGGCCACGAGATCAACCATGAAGACTCGGTGCTCTACTGGGCTGCCAAAAACAACATTCCGGTCTTCTGCCCCGCGCTCACTGACGGATCTCTTGGTGACATGCTATATTTTCACACGTTTCGCTCCTCTCCGAAGCGTCTTAGGGTGGATATCGTCGACGATTTACGTCGAATCAACACAATGGCTGTGCGGGCGGCTCGAGCGGGTATGATTATTCTTGGAGGAGGTCTGATCAAGCACCATATCGCCAATGCTTGTTTGATGCGAAATGGGGCAGAACACGCGGTCTACATAAACACAGCGCAGGAGTTCGACGGAAGCGATGCTGGGGCCCGTCCGGATGAGGCTGTTAGCTGGGGTAAGATTAAGGCAGATGGCCAGTCGGTTAAAGTTTATGCAGAAGCGACTGTGGTGTTCCCGCTTATTGTGGCAGCCACTTTTGCACGGGCCGAGCAGCCTCAGTCCGCCACTGAAGAAGTCAAAAACTGAGCGAGGGGGTGGTGGGGGGGCGGGGTCTCACGTCTTGAGGAAAGAACTGGCATGTTATTGGCATAGCCCCAAGGGTCATGCTGCATGAACTGCAGTTGGAACCCGTATCAACACCCCGATAACGATAACACGACTCCACCAGTTGGTCCATCGACCGTTCTCGGCATGCCTCTCAGTGTTGATTGTTGTCTGGTGGCGAGAAGCATTCCAGAAACCCCCGAAAGGGTGGAAACTGAAAAAAAGAACCAACGAAGAAACTCCCAGGAACGAATTCTCCTCCTCGATGGAGATACAACACCTGTCCCGAACTTCCGGCATCTGGAGCGCAGGGGGTTGAAGAGGGGGGCAAAGTTTCAGGTGGGTGAGCAATGGGCGGTTCAACGAATCACAAAGGCAGCATGCAGGAAACTGAACGGTTCTGGTGGGCTGTCCCGTGGGTTTGATCGCCACAACCAGGACGGGCCCGAGAAGACGAATGCCATTTTGTTTGATCTCCCGAAATGTCGCCACGGACCAGATAATCAGCAGAGCGAAAGCGGAGAATCGGCAAAAGCAAATATGCATGGGTTTGTTGAAGTGGGGGGGACGTGCTGTCTCAGCGACTTTGTTGGCAGATCTCCTCCCTCACTGGGTCCGGTAGGATGAGAGCAGGCCGGTGGCAAGGCAGACAGGCAGGCAGCACGGATGGAGAATGACACTTCGCTTCTATGAGCCTTGAGAGAGTGGATAAGAGGCACAGCTCCCGAATCTTCCAGCGTAGAAGAATTTCTCTTGTAGGCAGAACCAGCGGTGAGCGCCTCTGATTTGGCTGTGGTACCGCCTCATTCTATAGCCTTACTTCCAGCGGCTCTCACTCCCTCACCAAATCTTCAGCTTCTTTTCCCCGTCCTTCTTTTCTTTTTTTCTCCAACTGATTCAACCTCGCTCCTTTCGCTTTCGTGCTTCTTCCTCGTCTTCTCCCATCCCCTCGTTCGGCCTGTTCGCCTTGCACACTCGTCCCTTGTTCCCCTCCCCGGCTCACTACCCCGTACAGCCCCTGATAAGCCTTCTTATCGCGCTCATTCTAGACGCCGACTCAGCTCCCACCGGCTTGTCTGCCTGGCTTCACGCTTCTGCATCGCTGCGCCTGCTGCCTTTTGGGAGTGACTCACACACCCTGCATTTCTTAAATAGTTCATTGCACTGCTTTTTGTGCCTCTTGAGATTCATCATCTGCCTGGTCATTATTTGTGTTGTTTTGTCCCTCCGATCATCTTGAGCCGCTGGCTGTTACCCCAACCTACGCCTACCTCCGCTCCGCCTAGCCCCCTCCACCATGGATTCCAGGCTCGACACCGCAGTCACTGTCGAGCAACTGCCTGCTCCGATTCCCGTCGTCAATGATTCCCACCCTACAGACCTCACAACAACTGCACCAGCCTCAATAAATACCACAGTGCAGGAGGTTCTCCCATCACCGCCCGCGACTACTCTCACAGAGCCCCTCCCCGCGGATCCGCCATCCGCAGAGCCTCAACAAAACCAGCTACAGGAAACACCCCCTGACGCTCCGGTTTCCACCGATACAACAGACACAGCTCGGACGAACGAGACATCTGTGACGGCTGAGGCACCTCAGGCAACTGAGACAACAGAGAGCGTGGAGGCACCTCAAGCAGTTGAGGAAACGGAGCCAGTTGAGGCACCTCAGACAATCGAGACATCGGAGACCGTCGAGGCTCCTCAGACACCTGGAACAGCTGAGCCAGCCGAGCCAGCCGTACCAGCCGAGACGACCGAGACGACCGAGACAACTGAGGCTGCTCAACCTCAGGAAACAACCGCGGAGAATGACTCGCCCTCTGCAGAGAATGAGGAACAAGAACCAGAACAGGAGCATGATTCGTGGTTGGAGGAGCCAGAGGATACATCAGTGCCAGATGAGGCTGAATTGAAGGAGATTGAATCGGAAAATCAAAATCACCATTCACTAGAGTGTAAGTCTTCTATTACTGCTTTACCGGTTCTCAGCCTTAACTCTTCTAGATGACTACTGGGAGAAGAACTTCTACCCCGCGCTTGATGACCCAGAGTACCGCCCGGTAGAGAAGGCTCGCCTCACATGGAAGATCAAAGGTGTTCGTGGTACCAAGGAAAATCCCAACCGGGTCAAGATCATGCGCTCCCCACCTGCATTCGTCGGCGGGTATTGGTGGACTATCAAGTTCTTCCCTCGTGGAAACAACGTGGGCTCGTTGAGTGCTTACATTGAATGCTCATCCACACCGCCCAAGCCTGACAGCACTCTCCCTGAGACCGAATTTAAGGTCCTTCGTGGTCCTGCAGACGCGAAGCTAGATGCCAGTACACCTGATCTAGACATGAAGTTTGCCCGGACCGAGGATCCTGATGCGTGGAGTGAGGCGTTCAAGTCTCAATATCCAGCTGCTGCCAATGCATCCGAGGCCGCTACCCCGGAGACCTGGAGAGTGTCTGCGCAAATCGGAGTCATTGTGTATAACCCCGACGAGCCTCGCACTGGTTTCATGCAGTCCTCCTGTCACCAGTTCAACCCGCACAACCTTGACTGGGGTTGGACGAACTTCCATGGTCCTTGGGACCAAATTCATCGTCGTCAACGAGGCCAACATCAAGCCCTGTTGCGCAACGACACCTTGGCTTTCGATGCCTATATTCAAATCTTCGATGACCCGACACGCTCACTCTGGTGGCATCCCAGTGATGCCGAACAAACCTGGGATAGTCTCGGTCTCACAGGCTATCGGCCTTTGGGTGATTCAGTTATCAATCACAGCGCGGATGTTGCTGGGTTGGCGACTTGGCTTCACATCGCTCCCTTTTGCAAAATTATACAGAACGCCAACGTCCTGGAACATCTTAGCAACTGTGATGTGAAGCCCAAGCCGTTGTGTGACGCGCTCCAGAAGTTTCTCTGGAAGTTACGTCAGCGGAGCCAGTCACTTGACTTTGTTGATACGGACAATATCACCACTACACTGCGTAACCTGCATGAGGGCTCCAGCGATGTGTGCGAGTTTTGGGAAAGATTGCGTCGGTCATTGGAGCTAGAACTGGCGGGGACCAACGCCGTCAAAGAGCTCGCTGAGCTATTTGACAGCCCCTCGCTCGATTCGCTCCAGCCAGGTGATACTCAACAGGATACGATCCACACAATTCCGAAGGACTTCAATTCTCGCATATTTGTCCCAGCCGATCAGGCCAAGACCACGGCCGAGGCATTCAATTGGTATCTAGGTGCGAAGCCAGGGAAGTGGGCATTACCCCCAGTTCTTCACCTAGAGCTTGGTCGTCAAACTTTGGACAAGGTCGCCCGCCAATGGCGCCTGCTCTATAACCGCGTTGACTTGGATGAAGAGCTTGACCTGTCACAGCACCTCGTCGAAGGGCAGTCTGGGAAGTATGTCCTCTACGGTTATATTGTACACCGTGGCCGACGAACTTCTGGCAAATTCTTCAGTATACTCCGTCCAGGTGGCCCTGGCACCAAATGGTTGGCCTTTGATGATGGAAGTGATAACCGTGTCGAATGCCTGACCCGAAAGACCGCGCTGGGTCCGCATCTTGGTCTGGAAGATACTGAGACACCTGATCACAAAACTGGGCATGATGTGGCCATCGCCGTCATGTATATTCGCAGCGACGTCGTCAAAGATTACCTACCCGGCCCTCAAGGGCCCTGGGAAGTCTCCGAAGAGCTGAAAGAGTATTACGAAACCGGCCGAGTGAGCTTACCGAAGAAAACAGATGATGGTAATGCGGAAGAAGAGGATGTCCAAGTCGAAGTGTACTCTCTTCAGAAGCACGACCAGCTCCCCAGCTTGTTCGATACATATGACCTAATGTCGCAGGCCAAAGCAGCGAACAGTGTCATGTACCTGAGCGTGCCCCGCTCAACGAACCTTGCCGACGTTCGCAAGAAGATAGCCACTTGGGCAACCGCACGGGCGGAGACTGGCGTGAGCCCTGAGAATGTCCGTCTCTGGCAAATTGGACACACTCGCGACCGATATGGTCCCACTCTTGCGTTCATTCGCATCTCCGATCTGACGGCTACCCTGGATATCCCTCACAATCCAGTTCGTTACTGGCTACAAATTGTGTCAGACGGTAAGTTCATTTTCTACGATCGATTTCGCTACCATTAGCAGTTGCTGATCTGATAACAGCCGATGCCAAATACTTCGCTATGAACGACCCTGCCCCAGTCGTGGTCAACACCAAGCCTGAAGAAGCCGTGGTCGAGCAGGCCGCTTCTGAAACGTCAGATGATGCGCAGGTGATTCCAACCTCGGAGAGTGCTGAGCCCAGCTCATCCCGTGTCGCGCTCCAGGAACCTCCAATTGCTGAGTCGACCGATCCTGCGCCAATGTCCACGGAGCCATCCTCGACTCCTAGCTCGAACAACGAAGCTACGGAGAACTCGGCGCAGGCTGTGGTCGAGACAGCACAAATCGAAGTTCTTCTCGAGTCAGCCGAGTCAGCTGAGGCTACAGTTGTTGTGAGCAATGCAATACCGTCTTCTGTCAGCACAGATACAGCTTCGGCAGTGGAGCCAACCGTTGAGGCTACTGAGAGCCCTACTCAGGCCCCGGAGGTATCGGCACAGAGCGAGGTTCAAGCAACCTCAGTGCAACAGGAAGCGATCGCCTCTAGCGAAGATCGCGCCGTTACAACAGCTACTAACCCTGTTGCTGTCTCGATTGGGAACTCTGACAACGCGACCGCAGAGGGCGCATCCGAGGTGCCTGACAATACAAACTCATCAGACTCAGCTCCACCTGATGAGACTGCATCTGATGAAAATGACGCAGTTATCGCTGCAATCATTGCAGGTGACCTTCAACAGTTGGAGGAGGCACAGGAGAATCAATCCTCCGATACCCCTGCGCAAGAGTCAGAGGCTACTCAGACCTCAACAACCGAAGGGCAAAACAACGCTTCTGCCGAGGACAATGAGCCGGAGGCACCGGTAGAGCCCGAAGTCGTTCTGCCTGTCGATCACGTCTATTACTATATCCAACTTTTCGACATAGAAACTCAGACCTTGAAGGTTGTTGGATCGTTCTTCTCTCAAAAAGAAGAGACAATCAAATCCGCTATCCGGAAGCACCTCGAATGGCCCGCAACGAAGGACTTCCAAGTCTGGCAGCGTATCGATGGCACCACCGTGATTACCCTTGCTTCTGCAGAGACGTTCGACATCTCACCCCCAGATGGGACCTGCTTCATTGTAGGTGATAAACTAAACAAAGAGAAGCGCGCCAAGCTCAACGAGGCCGGTCTCTTTGCCAATCCCGATCCGCTGGTTCGTTACATTTGGGCTGCATCTCGGAACCATCCAGTGCAAGCCTTCACAGGGACAAAGACCATCGATGCCACCTTCACCAGCGATTACTACAGCGGCGAAATTATGAAGGGGTACTACCACGGCAAGGGCAAGCACATTTCAGACAATGCTGCCACGTACACCGGCGACTATGTTTTCAGCAAGAAGCACGGAAAGGGTCTAATGGAGTACCCGATCGGAGACACATACGATGGTGACTGGTTCGAGAATCAATGCCACGGTCAGGGAACCTTCATCGAGCGCAAGACCGGCAACAAGTACGTCGGTGGCTACAAGGATGGCAAGCGCCACGGCAAGGGTATCAGTTACTGGGAAGTCGCGGATGAAGAGATGGACCTATGCCAGATCTGCTTCGGCGAAGAGCAAGATGCCTTGTTCTACGACTGCGGACACGTGTGCGCTTGCGTTACCTGCGCCCGACAAGTCGACATTTGCCCCATTTGCAGAAAGAACATTCTCAACGTTGTGAAGATCTTCCGCACATAAACAACACTTTTGCAAGTTCTTCGATTTTTGGATCTTCGTTCGTTTATTTGGCTGGTTTTGTCTCTTTTTTTTTTCTTTGAAATTTGGAGAAGCACGGCATACCCTTGGAAGTTGTTTATCCTATTACCCCTATCATATTACAACATTTAGTTAAGATCACGAGGCTGGATTCGTTTATCGAGAACATTCAATACAAGTAGATTTCATTCTCATCCCAAATTTTGCATTCGAAGTAGTGCTTAGATTTGAAACTACAGAATATGACTTCAAGTATAGTGAGAACAAGACCGTCGTCCATTGTTGATGATGGTATCGCTTGACTAAAATCGAAATCTAACATATATACAAACTCCCAAAAGCACACTCACTTTTTGTATCACCATGATATGACAGAACCGTTAGACAGAATGAATTATACTATATGTAGGCGGCGATCAATCATTTACCACCCTTGTTAGCCTTCTTGCTCTTCCCAGGGCTGGTAGAAGAAGACTGTGTTTGCTTCTTGCTCTTCTTTTTATCCTTCTTCTGCTCCGGCTCCTGGTTGGACGAGGGCGTAGCAGAAGAAGAGGGCTCGGAGGACGCTGCGAGCGCCTCGACCGGAGGAGCAGCCTTTTTCTTCTTGTCGTCCTTTTTCTTAGGTTGTTTGGCGGCAGGTTCTTCGGTGGTAGCTGCGGGAGTGGCTGTCGGGGCTTCAGCTTCCGCCTTCTTTGCCTTGGGTGATGTCGTTGACTCAGACTCGGAGGTGGTATCGGCCTTTGGCTTCGTGGCGGCCTTCTTGGGTTTGTTCAAAACACCCTTGGGGTTAAGTCCCTTACGCCGCAGCCGGTTGCGCTCCGCGCGGAGCATGCGTTCCTTGTCCTCTTCTTCGTTCTCGCTGAAGGGGCCGAATCCATCCTCGCCGGCGGCGGTGCCGTCGTCGTTCGTGATGGGTGTCTTGTCAACGGCCTCATCGTCTGTCGTCGGGGTGGTGGACTTGGGTCTGGACGTTCCGTTTGTGGCGGAGGCGCCGTCTTGCTCCTTGGTCTTCTGCACGGGAGTAGGGCCGGTCTTCTTGAGCTTGCAGACGAAGAAACCGTCAACATTCTCGCGGTGCGGGAAGTAGCGCCTTGTCATGGTCATCTTGGCGTCGAAGTGCTTGCCCATGTAGTGGGTGAAACCAGGGGTACCGAAGTTACCAAGACCGGTCTCGACGAGCTTGACGTTCGGTCGCTTCTTGAGGACGTACTGTACGACGGCTTCATTCTCTTCCACCGTCACACTGCAAGTGGAGTAGACGACGTAGCCGCCGGTCTTGGATGAGTGGTCGACGGAGTCGATGGCCGCGAGGAGCAGCTGACGCTGCATGTGGGGGATGGCGAGGAAGTCGCGCTCGTTCTTGTTTGTCTTGACGCCGGGATCCTTGGAGATAACGCCGGTACCTGTGCAGGGAGCATCGAGGAGGACGCGGTCGAATCCACCCATGGCCTTGGGGAAGGCGGTGCGGGCGTCGAGGTTCGTGACGATGGTGTTTTTGCAGCCGAGACGGTGAATGTTACCAATCAGACCCTTTGCACGGGGCTTGCTAGCATCGTTGGCGATGACACAGCCTGTGTTGCGCATAAGGGCCGAAATGTATGTTGTCTTACCACCGGGGGCGGAGGCCATGTCGAGGATACGTTCGTTCTCTTGAGGTGCGAGGGCCATAACGGGGAGGAATGAGGAGGCAGCTTGGAGAATGTAGTGTCCAGCAAGATATTCGGGGGTGGCACCGAGAGGAACAGCAGACTCGAACACCTGGAGACCGACCTTGGACCACTTTCCGACGGGCTCGAGGACAACACCACGGTTGATCAGCGCTTGAGCGAGAGATCTTCGGTTTGTGCGGAGGGTGTTGGTACGAATGACGACGGGACGCGGGGTTTCGTTGGCTTCAAAGAAGGCAAAGGCTTCCATAGGTGTGAAGAGGTTGAATAGCTTCTCGGCGAGGAACGGCGTGTATCCGTAGTATGTGCAAATGTCGTTGAGGAGCAGCTGGGTATAATCGGCGCGGGACTTGCCTGGTTGGCCAAGAGTCTTCATGTCGCCCAGGATGCGGATTGTATCAGTGATTCTCGTGCGGAGCAGCTGGAGGTTAGGAGCCAGTCCCTCCCCTTCTGTTCCTTCGAAAACATCTGGCCGGTCACCAGCAATGTTGGTTTGCATCGCGGCCTCCTGCAATTCAGCCTCTGCCTCCTCTTCTTCGGCCTGCTTGGCTTCATCCAACTTCCGAGAAAGTCCTTCAATGTTAGCTGCCGTCAATTTCTCTTCTGCGTCGGAAAGATCCTCATCGTCCGAGAACATGGTTTGCCGGGGATGGTCGTCTTCATCTGAATCCACCACAGAATCCGAGTCGTTTTCCTCCTCGTCGCTTCCAAATCCAAAGTCTCCCTCGGCCTGGCTATCCATGGATCCCTCACTGATACCATCCAGATCATCAAACTCATCCTCATCCATACCATCAGCGTCAAAGTCCGACATATCCTCGTCCTCATCCTCGTCTTCCGACTCCAATTGTACTTGCTTCTGTACAGGCTTCTTCTTCTCTTTACCCGCAGTCACAGCAGCGGCCTTTTTCGTCTCCTTGCCATTCGCAACCGCGCCATTGGCCTTGTTCTTCTTGCTCTTCTGTACATCCTTCACAACATCCTCATCCTCAACTTCAGTGCGTCTCCGCTTCTTCCCCGATTCCACCTTCGGTTCTGCTGAGCCGCCGGACTTGCGGTACTTGGAAATTGTGATTTTCGACTCGTCCAGCGGGGCCGGAGGGCCTTGCTTCTTCATACGGCGACCCTTTCCCATTTTGAAAATGGTTGTGATGTGAGAGGGAAATGTTGTTTTGTCTGTTCCTGATAACCTGGGCGAAGATTTCAACTTTTTTTTTCCTGCGCCGAGGCGGGCGGGTCTGCGTGGCAGAATTCTCAGGGCGGTGCACTTACATTGTGGCCTGAACACTGAGGCATCAATATCGAGAGAGCCTGTTCCACATGCCAGACTTCATCGCCGCCCGATTGGGTAATCCCATCATCGTTTCGTACAACATTCATTGAAGCTCCTATACCGTCTTTTATCCTCACATATTCAAACCAACGCACACATACTACCAATCAATCACAATGTCTGAACTAGCATTTGCAAAATCATTCCTCTCCGCGCTCGATGCGCGCCCTGTCAAGCTCCGACCAGACTATGTCCACGAGCCAGAAACCCCGCGGGCTCCAGTACGTCCACGGCCACCTATCCTTCCCTCACTTCCCCTGCTCATTTCATATCTGGTTTACTTCCCAGTATGGCTAACATGGGATTGTATAGTACCTCCTCCCTCGCCTCCAACCCCCACGGCCCGAAATGCCTAAGAAGACCAGAACCCCCGCGGCCCCCGGCTCCTCAAAGTCAATCAGCATAACGCTCAAATCGGCGCGCAACCCCGTCCTTGAATTCACGATCCCAAACGCTCCGCTAGCCACGACAACAATCTCAGACCTCAAGGACGCCGTCCGCGAACGAACGCTCGAGACAGGCTCCGAGAACAAGGTTGCGCTGGACAAGATCAAGATCCTGTATAAGCGGAAGCCTGTTACAGGGACTGGGAAGACGGTTGGGGAGATTCTTACCGATGCGGGAGAGGGGACCGAGAAGGAGGTTGAGTTTGGGGTTATGGTTATGGGGGGTGCGAGGGTCGCTGACGGTGAGGGGCAGAAGCAAGAGGATGCTGGTGGCGGCGAGACTACGGTAAAGCCTGCTGTTGGGCCTAGTGGGGAGGAGGTTTTGGTGACGGAGCAGTTCTGGGATGATTTGCAGGGTTATTTGATGCAGAGGCTTAAGGATGAGGAGTTGGCGAAGAAATTGCGGGTGGTTTTCGGGGATGCGTGGGCTGCAACTCGGTAATCATAGTTCCAGCTTAATTCAACGGAATGTAATATCTCAATGCCTTACGAGGGCCCGCGCATCGAATGCGTGCAGATATGCTGTATAGGTTCGCGTCGAATGATATCATATCAACTTGGCAGGTAGAGGGTATGCTATGAAAAGGCCAACATCAAAAAGGTAATATAGTAGCATACATCCCCTACCCTAGATCATATTTCACATGGACAAGTTCCTGTGCAGAGAAGGAAAGGAGCAAAAAGACAGAGCATTGGTATACGTGGGTAAATCGTTGAGCCAAGTTGACACGAAGACCGTCGAGGGAGTAAGGTGGGTGTCGATAAGGGGGAGAAGAAGAAACAAGAAAAAAATGGTGTTATAAGCACAAAAGCAGGAGAAAGGAACATATGCCAGGTAGTTAACTTGACCCCGTTGCAAATGCTCAAGAATTGGGCGACTCGCTCAATCGTTTCATGAGTCCAAAAGAAACATGGCGTAAAAAAAGTTATCGGCGGGGCACATCATGTAGAAAGAATCAAATCATACATCAACAACAGTTTAGGGCAAGTTGGGTGGCTCGTCTTTATCGCGAAAAGACCTTGACTACCCCGTCGCCGCCACCACTGACGACCCATCGCCCATCACGGCTCCAAACAACAGAGCAAACACCCTCACCACGCATCAGCCTGTGACTCGTGATTTCTTGGGTGCAACTTCGTGTTTCAAGGTTCCAGAACCGCAGGCTGGCGTCATGGCCGGCAGACACGAGCTCGCGACCATCGGGAGAAAGGGAGAGCGATGCGATCGCTGAAGGGTGCGCTAGCATGGTGTACGTGCCTTGCCCTAGATAATGGTTAGTAGCTGCGTATCTTTTGGAATGGCAATGAATACTTACCACTATTAGCATCAAATAGACGAATATATCGGTCTTCGTGACCACTAATAACAACACCCTCCACACCACTTGAACCGGTGGCACCGTGAACAACCTCCTCGTCTACTAGCGTTCGGCTAGGGTCGAGACCTGCTGAGCCATCAAACCCAACTGTAGTTGCAACAACTGCGTTGACACCTGTTGACCGAGTTCCGTTGTACGTTTCGAGGCTCGCCATGCCTACTATCTCTTCACCGGTCCGAGTGTCGTACACAAGGATCGAAGCGTCCGTGTAGGACACGACAAAGTTGATACCAGCAAGGGATAACGGGCTGATACACGTAGGTGATGGGGACTCCGTCCGGACAATTTGTCGGACCATGGTGTAATGGAAAGGCGTGGTTGTTGCGGTGCTAGGTTGCGGTGATGATGGAAAGTTTGAGCCAGAAGAGATGGAATTGGCGCGTCTACTTCCTCCAGCGCGTCGAGAACCAGCCTGCGGTGAGGAGAGCTGAGGCGGCGCACTGACAGCCCAAAGAATTATCTTGCCGTCTGCTGAACCTGATGCAAGGATAACCCTGTCCGGTCCGCCATAATGATTTGAGGAATCTCCGAAAATCGAACCTGCTGTCCCGGGGAAAACACAGAGTCCCCAGACAGAATCTGTATGACCATCCAGTGTGGCTTTGGGGTCTACCCTGCCCCGTTCCCAGACTCGCACACTAGCATCCTGTCCACCAGAAAAGACCCATCCATCACCCAGCGCACGGCCACCGTTTAAGAAGTTCTGGGACGGCGAACAAGCAGCCAGAGCGGTCACGGCCCCGACATGTCCTCGGTGTGTAAAGTAGCTTGTAATATCCAAGTCGCTGCTAGAGCTTGCCCCGTGCGCACCGAAGGCTCCGTAACTTGCTGGGATGATCCATCGTTTAATAGTTCCGTCGTCGCTGCAGGTACAGATTTCGGGTTCCGACGGGCTGCCGCCACCCGTGAAGATCACGGACCGGATAACGTCCAGATGTCCTCGTAGCGCGAATCGAACCTTGAATGCGGTATCCTGCGCTTGGGAAGGCCCTGTACCGAGATCGACGGAACCTTCACTCTTCCGTCGAGCGCCAGAGCTCTTTCTTCGGTGCGAAAGCGATCCAGACCCTGAAGGAGACTTTTGTCGGACGAAATTTGCATTGGGAAAGGCATCAACGTCTGGCCGATGATGCGTGGGCGTCGGTTCAGGTTGGGGTAATTGATCAGTCGGGTCATCAAAGTTCCAGCCATCAGTATCTCCCGAGCTCTCATCGGGCTGCTGCAGTCTTGTTGATTCTTTAACCGACACTTGAGATCCATAACCGTCGTACAGTTGCCTGTCTGAGCTAGCGCGTTCCTCTAGAGAATTTTCCAGACTCCTTTCATCGAGCGTCGTTATGGGGGTTTGTTGTTGCTCCATGGGCCGTCTGTCAACGACGTCTCGCGAGGGGGCTGGGAGACTATACTGGCTAGGAGCGCGAGACAGGGCAACGTTTTCTGGGTAATGTCTAATGACAGGTTGGTGGTTTTGCATGGGAACCTCTCGTGCCATAAGGTTATTGGCCTGCTGCTGCTTCTGTCGTTGCTGCTGCATATATGCTTCTTCTAGGCTTTGTTGGGACAGCTGCTGGTTGCCATACACATGGTTTGAGAGTTCAAGATCGCCCATGTCGGGTGCCGGATGTGTGGACGGGATAACGTGGTATGCGATTTCTTGCGAGCATTTGGATAGGTATAACCGTGACTTATCACGCTCAGTCTCCTGTCGAAATTCGTGTTGATTTTCGGCGGTAGGGTCGAAGTCGCCCAGGTCGGTTAACAGTTTCGGTCGTTGAGCTAAAGAGAAGCAAATAGTTAGAAAGAGGCTGGAAACATTTGGTTCGGAGGAAACAAGTACACTTCAGAGCATTAATACTCTCCCGGGCGATTTCCTTGGGATCCCGCAGGTCCTCCACAGCCTCATTGTTTGTAAGCTTTCGGACCTTCTCGCGCTCCTTTTTCAATGCAGCTTCCAACAATCGGACATGTTTTCCCAATGATTCATGTAGGCGCTTGTTTGTCCGGACGTCACCCTCGAGTTTGCCAATCCGAGACTTCATCTCCGCGCGCTCGATCTCCCAGGCGTTGCGGTCTCGCTCGTGTCGGTGCCATTCCGTCTGCAAGAAGCGCATGACACCTGAAATCCAGCCTTGATTAGCATACTCAATTGCCTTCATAGACGGGTCGCGAGTCCGCTCCCAGTGCGCGCAAAGAACCCACCTTGTAATGTATATTCTGTCCCCTGAGGATGACCCCCATTCGCATCACCGCCCGGTCCGACGAACCCTCCTCCCCCAGACATGGCGGAGGGAGATTGCCAAGCCATTCAATGAGAAGCTGGAGAGGCTAGTAGGAATTAACCCCTAGCGAAAGAATTGATTTTGCTCGGTCAGATCGATGGTGGATGTGGTTTGGGCGGATTGTTCGGGAATCGTGTTCGCAGCGGTAAAGTGTTGTTATGAACCGACAGACCCAGACGGGGGACAGCGGCAGGGAACACAGTTCCAAGCCGTGCCAGCACCGGTGAATAAGCAACAATAGCGATAATCTAGAAGGCGAGAGATCTCGTCCAGTCAGAGAGAAAAGTGAGGTCAACTGAGCTCTTGGGCCGGGATGAACACTGGAGCGCGTCTCCTCGCAGGGAAAAGTCACCGCCGCAGCTGGGCTTTCTTGTTGGCTCCGGTAGACGCCCACGCGGCCGTTACCGCCTTTAGCGCTGGGGTTGTTATAGTCAGGGGTTTATCGTGGCTTTTGATCAGTGTCACTCACAGATCAGAGTTCACAATCGTTGAAAGATATCTGAGATGTAGAGTCTGATCGCTCTGGCTATCCCACCGCAATTCTGGAGTCCGACTCTTGCTTCTCCACCAATCACCAGCCACCGACGTTTATTGCTTTTGGCTATCAGGGCACGACCGCCAGCGAAACGTGTCCCTATTTGGGGGCTTCATTCATTATTTCAGCAGGTCAGGCAGACATTGTTTGCCTTGACTATGACTGTGTCACGGAGTCTATGTCTGTATAACATATGCTACGAAGCTACACTTTCTTCACAATCCTCTTCATCGTCCCTTTCCTGGCCGTAGAGTACTTCGCACACTCCACCGACCGGGACATCTAGGACCGCGTCCGTCCCTTCGCTCCAAATCTCCTTCCAGTTCACTCTTCGGTTCTGCGGACCCATGATCTGGAACGAAGTCGCGCCAGGTCGCATTTTTGCTGCCCCGCCCGGTCGTCGTCTGCCTTTTCCATCAATGACCGCTACATTGGCAACTTCGTCCACGATATTCTCCACGCTATTCATCGGCAAGGTCAGGTATCCGGTGTTATAGGATGCCAGGGCGACATAAATGTAGATGATGGACATGACTAGCCAGGACGGAATCGCCAGCGACCACCAACGGTTGGGGTAGTAGTAAATTCCAAGCTGGTGTAGAAATGGCGATGGAAGATACGACCAAAGGATGTAAATCACTGCGGTCGGGCATCAGCTATCAAGCGACGCATGGCACAGGGTACGATTTCACTCACAGAACGCCAGTGATGATGCGAGGTATAAGACAAATCCATAATACTCATAAGTCGGCACCTTTGGACTTGCTCGAGGCACGGTTGTCGCCCTTCGCGCCGACTTTGCGACAGCTGCTTCAGTATCATTGGGCGTCTCAACGTCGGAGCTATCAGGAGTGGTTGGCCGCGAGGTGGTGGTGGAGAAAGGGGGCCTAAGCAAAGACGTCAACGATGGGGATGGCGGCAACGGAGTCGGAGGCCTGTTGTAGAATGGCGGCGCAAATGCATTAGGTCCGTGAAGTGAGCTGGCTGACTGCCGGAAAGGACGGTGCATCGCGATCCCATCCTCGGGCGACTGCTCATCGTTCGAGTCCGTAGAGGCATCGGAGAAGGATTGATCGCCTAGAGAGTAGTGAGAGTGGAAGTCCAAATCGTCCCCTACTTCGACTCCATGATGCGGAGAGGAAACTATATCCTGATCGTCTTCATCTGGATAGCTGTTATCTGGAGCTTCCCCTGTTGTTTCAAGCTCATCGGGGGGTAGGGGTGGGAATGGCTGTTTTTGGTCGAATGACGAGATCGGTGGAGTGGATTCTGGATCATCTCGGATGAAGAATTCCCCCTTCTGCTCCAGATTCAGAAGGGACATCTTCCAGGAGCATTCGAGACGAAAAGCTGCCCGCCATGGGTCCTGTGTGTAAAGGCCCAGGCTTCAGATTCGGTGATCTGCTCCTGCCCGTTTACTGCCGATGTTTCCCGCCTTATTAAGACATCTCCGAAGCAGTCTCTGGTCTCTGGTCTCTCCTTGGCTTTGATTTCTAACACCACAAGAGGGTAACCTAACTCGTGGTCTTCATGAACGGGAGGATAATCCTTGCTATGTGGCCAAAACCACTCTCAACCGAAAGTTTCATGTGATACACGAGCTTATCTGAGAATATATATTCCCCGTCCACGCCAGCACAAGTACAGATTAATACTCATTCCTTGCACCTGTAACAGTGTGATTCCAATCCCTACCATGCATCAAGCTGCATGAACGAGCATGGAAGATGCAATCTCCTGGGCAAGTGCCAAAGGTGATCGGTCATATTGAGCTCGCCAGCTAGGCCCAGGTTGCCCAACCACGACACCCGAGTAAAGGGTACTAGTCACGGAAATCTATACAACGTAGAAATCCTGACTTGGGCGGGATGATCAGAGATCAAATTGAAGGTCTTGACGTTTTTTCAAGCACTCTTGGTCATTGTTGCGGCTGGCTGGAAAATAATGCAGGTCACCAGACCGGGCCAGAGGCATCTTCCATCCAGCTGGCCAACGTTAACCCTGAACTTACTCACTGCAGCCTTTTACCCCTCTCCGCTGCGATTACCATTCCATTATACACCGCTGTCCCAAATCCCGAAGGAAATTGGAGTTAAGCACCAGAGATCGTGAGAGCCTTGACTTCAGAGTCGATCGCACGTCGATCTTTTTGGGTCCTCTACATCGGTGTACGTCAATCAGCCATGATGATGGAAGCTCGTACGTAGATATGTCACTCGTGCCAATTGCATCGAGCAGAGTTCAAACTTCATGCAGAGGTCCTCAGAAGAGCTTTCGAGTTAATCGATGCCGCGAGATACACGCTCTTCTGTTTGCTGCTGGCTTACTCTGGGGTCTGGGCAAATCATCAAGAGATGTTCATTCCGCTCAGTCGGGAGCACATGCACAAGATCCATCACCCTTGCGTTCCGTCTCTTGACGCTCTTTTTGACAGCAAGAATAAGCGAATGGGGTCTCAGCGAGGCTTCTTCAGAGCTCGACGGAAACTCCAAGAGCAGTCAGACTCATGACAGTTAGCTCCGAAACAACCCTATCTCGTAGACGAGGGCAACAGACCTTTAGACCGCCGCTACTAGCAGGGGCTGGTGGATTGTTACTTGCCTGTGAGCACATGGTTTCCGCAAGAAACTGCTGCAAGAGTTCTCGAGTCTGTCCTACCACACTTGGTTTCCGAATGATGATCGTTTGTGCGAGATGACTGTGTGATGAGCGACTGCGGCCCACTCACTGCTACGGAGTAATCTGTCGACTGGTATGAACAATTCAATCCAACAGCATAGATATTTTGTGGCGAGCATTCCATGGCCCTGCGAGGAGTTGGGTGAATCGCGGGTCCGGATCGGCAAATCCCATCGAACCCCGATGTCGTGCGGGTCTAGTGTATTGGATGGGCACTGACTATCGCTGGAATCAAAGGCCGCTAGCGACGACTACAGGTGATAGCCACTCGAGCCGGGGGAAGATCCCTGTGCTGGCTGCTGTCTTAATTCGACTATCGACGAATCGTCATTTATCCCCCTGGTGAAGTCTCCACGAGCCCAGGACACGGTTCGTCCTTCGCGATGCTTCCTGGATTCTCAATCACCCTCGACGAATCAGCAAAAATCTAAATCACACACGTTCAAAAACGTTTGAGTCTCCTTCCACTTGAGTTCGCTGTGCTAGCCAATGGCTCTGTGCTGTAGCCCACTAGCGCCGCATACTTCAGCCTTCCGTGCGCTATTGATCTTCCGGCGCGATGACAGGTCGAGCACGCCGTCGCATTCTCTGCTTGATGTGACGCGCAACCCAGATATATGTACCTGGCCGCAGTAACGGTTTCAAGGATGTCTGGGCGAAATCTTTGCCTCTGCTGCCGACTGATCGGAGCGGAGAATATGATAGATCTGACTCGCAACCACAATGGCACAACGGGCTTCATTGAATTTTCTTGTTGCAAGACAGAATCTCCTTGTATGTGCTGCTATCCCTTGATTTACGCGTTACTTTATCAGTGTTCCTGATAGCGGAGAATATAGGATCCCAGCAATGATCCCAACATTGGGTCTTCTAGGGGCAATGCGACGTCAACAGCCTCTGAAACCCTGAACACTCTGACTGGTGGGGGTGAAGGCTCAACTTCTCTCTCGTCTCTCTTGTCGACATTGCTCCCTGCCTTGGTGCTGGCCACTATATGGTTTTCTATCTTTCTCATCTTCCGCCGAACGCAGATACGATGGTATGCCCCGAGAAGCCATCTGCCTTGTTTGCATCAATAGTATGTTTCCGTAAACCAAATCACTTCTTGGATATCTGCTCATCAATGCCTCTATAGTGAGAGAAGCCCCACCCTGCCTAAAGGCTTTTTAAGCTGGCTGGGACCTTTTCTGAAAATCTCCGACTCTCATGTTCTCAACCATCATTCCATGGATGGCTATCTCTTCCTACGCTACCTTAGAGTACTTTGTTCGACATTTATGGCAGGCTGTCTGATTGTATGGCCGGTCATTATACCGATAAATGCGACAGGAGGCGTAGGGAACACGCAGCTTGATGCTCTGAGCTTCAGTAATGTCAAAAACCCGAAACGTTACTATGCCCACGCTGTCATGGCATGCGTGTATTTCACCTATGTCTTCTATACGGTCACGAGAGAAAGCATATTTTACGCCAACCTTAGACAGGCTTATCTCAACTCGCCTGCATACGCCCATCGGATGTCGTCTAGAACGGTTCTATTCATGTCAGTCCCGGACGACTATAAAGATGAAAGGAAACTACAACAAGTGTTCGGCGACACTATCCGGCAGATATGGATAACATCCGATTGCAGAGAGCTAGAAAAGAAGGTCCAGGAAAGAGACAAGTTTGCGCACCGCCTGGAGCGGCTGGAGACAAGGTTGATACGATCAGCAAATTCGATGCACCTGAAGCTTCTGAAATCTGGAGCAATCCCTGCTTCCGACTGTGCCGACTGCGAGTGTGGCCCAGCCATGTATCACGAGATCAAGCGACCTACTCATCGTCGCCCGATGCTATTTGGCGAGAAAGTGGACTCCATTCGATGGCTCCGCGAGGAGATTGTAAGATTGACCAAGGAGATTGAGGGGCAACAAGAGAAGCATCGAAACAGGGACGCGAAACTTCTCTCCGCGATTTTTATTGAGTTCAACTCTCAGTCTGATGCCCAGGTTGCCCTGCAAACCCTATCTCACCATCAGCCCCTTCATATGACTCCGCGCTTCACTGGCATCTCCCCCGATGAGGTCGTTTGGTCGGCATTGAATCTCAGTTGGTGGCAACGTATTGTGCGTCGCTTCATTGTCCAGGGTGGAATTGCTGCTTTGATTATCTTTTGGAGTATCCCATCTGCTCTTGTTGGTACTATTTCCAATATCACCTACATATCCAAGGAGATTCCCTTCCTTTCGTGGATAGAGGACCTTCCCGCAGTAATCAAGGGTGTGATTGCCGGCTTACTGCCAGCTGCCGCCTTGGTTCTCTTGATGTCGCTTGTTCCCATCATCTGCCGCTGTATGATATCAACGCCCACTCTACCTTGACATGTCTAACTCTGATATCCAGTTTGCGCTAGACGTGCCGGTGTGCCCTCAGCAGCTCGGGTGGAGTTGTTCACTCAGACTGCGCACTTCTGCTTCCAAGTGGTGAACGTTTTCCTCGTCACTACGCTCACGAGCGCTGCCTCTGCAGCGACTGCACAGATCATTCAGGACCCGCTCTCAGCCAAGGACCTACTTGCTGAGAATCTTCCTAAAGCTACAAACTTCTATATATCTTACTTCCTCCTGCAGGGCTTGACCACCAGCTCCCTAGCCGTGGTGCAAATCATGAGCGTCCTTGTCTTCAAACTAATAACCACATTCTTCGACGGCTCGCCGCGACGCCTATACAGCCAATGGGCAGCTCTTAGCGCCATAAGCTGGGGCAACGTATTCCCTATATTCACAAACATGGGCGTTATAGCCCTAACATACTCCTGCATCGCACCCCTGATCCTTGGCTTCTGCTTCGTAGGCCTGTACCTCGTCTACCAAGCCTACCGCTACAACTTCCTCTTCGTCTATGACATCCGCATCGACACCAAAGGCCTTGTCTACCCACGTGCCCTCCAACACCTCCTAACAGGCGTCTACCTCGCGAACATCTGCATGATCGGCCTCTTCGCCATTAAATCCGCCATTGGCCCGCTAATCATCATGGTGCTCTTCACAATCCTCACAGTCCTCGCCCACCTAAGCCTAAACGAAGCCCTGGCCCCACTAACATCCTTCCTCCCGCGCACCCTCGACGTTGAGGGAGAAATGCAGCAGGCAAAGGAAGAAGATCAGGCACTCCTCATGCAAACCCTCCCGCGCAGCCGCTGGGAGGCGGCGCTGAAGTGGTTCCATCCGAACCTGTACAGGGACTTTGCCTCGCTACGGCGCAAGGTAAGACGGGACCACGTGGAGATCTCGTACTCGGAGCAGGAGAGCCGCGACGCGTACTTTGAGCCGTGTGTTACTGCCCGGACGCCGACGATCTGGATCCCCAGGGATAAGTGGGGTGTTAGTCGGTTCGAGGTCGAGGAGACGGACCCGAGTATCCCGATTACGGATGAGGGGGCGCATCTTGATGAGAGGAACAAGATCGTCTGGGACAAATTCGATCCTAATCTGCCGCTCTGGGAATTGAGGACGTTGTATTAGGGTTCCACGGCTGGGGATGTGCTCTACTTGGGAGTTGGATGGCCTCGGGAGTGGATCGGGCTCGGGTGGCTCTTGATGGATCATGATTATGTTTACTACTTTGTCTCTCAGTGGTCTTGTTCGGCTTCTTCTTGATGCGATTATGGCAGTTTAGGAAAGCAATCAGTAATATGGAAACATGCACGAGCCAAATCTAATCTCTCTCTCTCTCTCTCTCTCTCTCTCTCTATATATATATATTCAGTATATCAAGCGTTGGAAGGACTAATCGGACTTTATGTTTGCATATATCTGGGCCTCGAAAAATTCTTTAACGTGCTGGGCATTGTGTTGACGTAGTTCAATACAATGGTGTAATAAGTAATAACGAGAAATTATAGAGATTGTTGACTTGATATGGAGTAGTAAGCCAACATAGATATCGTATGTCTTCCCAGTTCTCCTGTACTTCTTGAACGGATGAGTCAGTAATTTGTCAACTCTGTTTGAGCATACTTTGTAATCAGTGTTCTATATTCGAGTGGTAACATGATAATATATCTCATACGGAAGGATCGAATATTCTAAAGATATTTACAAAAGAACGCAGGTGTCCGTCCACGGACTACACAAATATAAACATAGATATCAGGTCTGGGCTATATCACACGCAAGATAAGCCTTTCTAGAGCCCTTCAGGTCCATGCAGGCGTCAAAGCAAAGTTATCTAAACCGTCAAGGTGAAATTGGCCGTATTCACACCCCCAGCGACACGTGGATAGAACTCAAACGTAAACACCGTCGTCTGACCCGCCGCAACGACCGCGTCAATAGCAGCAGCGGTAAGAATGACGTTGTCATCGCCCCAGTTATAGTGGTTGCTGTAAGTCTGTATAGTAACCACACATTAGTCATTCTGACTTCTGGTATAAGAGAGATCTGCGGGCTGTTCTGGAAGACGAAAGGAGTACTTACAGCGCGAGCTTGCTGAAGCGGACCTAGCCACTGCGTCCAGTCATCGAAGAGATATACGCCGGAGGTCGTAAGGGCTTTCACGGCGGCGACTGTCGACAGGCCGTTCCAGGTAATTGAAATAGAGAGATCCGCACCTGACACTGCAGAGGCGAAGGCTGAAGTTGTCGCTAGGACTGGCTTATCCCATTGTACAATCTCAATTGTAGGAGACGAGGCGCCGCCATCAAATTCGAGGGTTAGAGTATCGATGACGCCGGGAGCTGTGGATGAGGTATACTTTGTTGCGAGGTACGTCGCGGAGAAGACGATGTTCGCGCCGGAGACAGAGTAGTCCGAGCCACTTTCTAGCACTGTACCCGCGGAGTCTGTAATTGATACGAGGCTGTTTCCGTTGAAGAGATAGGGTACAGTTTGCGCGGTGACTTGATCCGTAACGCGGTGGAAGATGTATGCGGATGAGGACTGCTCTGTGGCCGAGGCGTCCTCGGTGCTGTCCGGGAGACTGTTGAGCGTTTCTTCGGTCGTGCCTACGACCAACTGCGGTGTAACTGGATCGCGCCATTCGCCCGTGGTGCGGTCGAGATGGTCGTTTCCATTATCCCACATGATAGTGGCTATTTTCAAGTCATAAGCGACGTGCTGGAGGTGGTCGAAGTATTTCCAGCGCGCGGCTGGCTCTGTGTTTTCGGCACTTGCGTCGTACTCACCGAGAATAAGGGGCACGTCGGTAAAGTTGTTGCGGATTAGCTCAAAGTCTGTGGTGAGGATGTCTTTGTCGCTGTCGGATCCCCAGATCGTCTTTCCCCTGCAGAGAGTTCAAGTCAGAAAGATGGAAGGGTCAGACGTCGGATCTCTCACCATGCACTAAAGATAAAGTCGTAAGGGCTATAGTAGTGGAACTGGATAGCCCAAGGGTTTGTGATATTGGCCGGAGCCTCGAACCACTGCGAGGTCTTGACACTGTCCTGTCCACCTCCGACAAGGTTAACAACGCGTTCCGAATTAAAGCCACCGGCGTCAGCAATGGCCTGAAGGAAGATGCTGTTCAGCTTGTTGATATTGGCACCATCCTCAGCGGTGTTTGCCGGGGGTTCGTTGATTGACTCGAAGGCTACAAGGCTCGATTTACATGCGAGCTTTGTTCCGATCTGATACCAGAGCCTATAAAACTTTTCTTCAATCATGGTCAAGTTGGCTCCAGCCACTGAGACGTCTGCCCACTCCCATGAATCTTTACAACAGCTTGGGTTAGTTGCAGTCGTTGAAGGCGCTGGGATCTGTGCGGGAATAGGGCTCACCATGATGAACATTCACAATGGCATACAAATCACGAGACGTAATCATATCCAAGACATCAGAAACTCTCTGCAGCCATTCCGGATCAACTGTCCAGTCAGGAGAACCCCCGATGAAGTGATGAGTCCAGGTGACTAAATGATTGTCAGTGAAACCTTGTGGAGGCGGCTAATTATGACCTACCTGGAAGGCGGATACTGTTGAATCCAGCCTCCTTGATAATATCAAATGTCCCTTCCTCTACCGGAGCATTGTTCCAAGACCCTTCATCCGGAATGGCGTCCAGGCTGTTCCCCACGTTCCAGCCGGGGTGGAGAGCAGCAACAAAGTCCTCGGCGGTGATGGGTGTGAAGGTTTCAGAGCATTCTTGAGAGTACCCAGTCGGTACAAGAGCAGCAAGGGCTGCTGCAAGTACAAGTTTTGGCATCTTGATCTACTTGCCGTGGTCCTGTAGCTCTTAAGGGGGTCAAGACAGCTTTTGCGACGAGGGAGTCCGGATATATAAGCTTGCTTTGCGCCGGAGAGTCTTCCGTCATTATAGCGGAGCAGATTCACGCGAATCACGACAAATGACGGAGTGTGTCAGTGTCAGGGCCCTGGAGAAGCAGGGGTATGGAACGAAAAATGTCCGAGTGGGCAGATATATCCGTGCAGGCCATCAAACCACGGAAGCGCGGACCGTTCTGGGCAGAATATACATATTTCCTCCAATAATGGCGTCAAATGATGAGGATACTGGTGGGGTCTGAAAGCTATGTAATCAAAAGCATCCATCCTTGATGTTTGTGCCTGAAATTCGCGATAGTTAGCCATCAAATACACAGCAGCTGCAGAATTCCCCGGATTTACCCATATTAATTCTTCAGTCTCTCCGCACTCCGTCCATAAACTTCATTTATTTTCTCCCGTAAAAGGTGTGATCGGCAATGGTGCTCGCTAGGCAGAGTCTTGGAGCCGTGGTGGATTAGGGTTAGTGAGTTTTTTGAATCATGAGCCTGAATGTGTGTGACTTGAACTGAAGAAGATGGTATCGATCTCAAGAGATGTCATATTCGTCGTCACTTTGTTAAAGACATTAAGTGCGCCAATTTCAGGCATCTATATAACGGTACATAAATAAAGTCGGTCATCCATGGTCATCGCGTCGTCAAAATGCCAGCAATTCTACGCCAGTTGTTCGTTAGTATAGCGTAGTTATTGAGTGAAGGCCCGCTCCAGCTATAAGTAGACAGAGTCTACATGACTATACAGTCTTTGTTTCTGTCCCTAGTTCGCTCCGGATACCTGCCATACTGGTTCTGATTTCTTGGGTACGGGCTTCGTGGAGGGGCATCCAAGACGTTAGGGCTTCGTTGAGGGGGTGAGTAGGCCGGGCTTTTGGCCGCCTGTTCGTACGACGGGGGCGGGGCATCGTCATCATGATGTGTCGGTCGGATATGGGGTTGGGAATGGTTGGCGTAAGATTGTCGCTGTCGCGACGAACGCTCAGCTGTAGAGGAACTTGTCCCAGTGCCTAGATTGGCTGCACTTTGAGAGCGTCCATGCGTAGCAGCCGGCTGTCGCTGTTCTTCTTCCTGGTACTGCAGGGAAAGCGCATACGCATAATCCGCGTCTGCTTGCTCTTGGGCAGAGAGTGAGCTTGCGGTATGCCTTGGAGCGTCACGGCTTGATGTCCGTGGACCGGCCGGATCAGAGCTCTGAGGAGTATGATGGCTGACGACTCGGAAGTCGCCGGCGTAAAAGCCTGCGTTACTTCCAGTCACGTCAACGAGACTTTCCCAAACAACTTCAGCGTGGTTGGAATAACCGGCATCGGTAACGAGGGTGAAAAGCGTCTGGAGAAGTGGGTGCTTGTAAATGGTAGAGAAATGATCGTTGCGGAATAGAATCGAGAATGACCCTGGCTGAAGCGTCTTTGACAACTGGTCGAGGCCAAAAGTGCTTAGCTGCGTCGCGTTGTCCACATCTGCAAATTGTTGAATCGCATGAATATCCCCCATGACTCTCTCCTCTTCCGTGCTCAGTGCCGCCCCCTGGAAGACCCGGTCCTCTAGCTCCTGTTTACGGAACGGGAGTAGCTGTATGTCTTCATGATATTGACCAATTCGCTCCAATGCCGAGCTGGCGTCCGTGGATGGGGGTGCAATCCACCCATGCACAAGGGGTACGCCGAATGTACTATAAAATTTGATATCCTCAGTTTGACGGAACGTTCCAGGCATATCATTTGATTCCTGGACATGTTAGTGACGGTTATTACATTACAATAATCAAACGATTGAGACGTACTAGAGTCAGTCGGGGATTGACGTTCATGCCCGTGTGTAACATGGTCAAAAATCGGCTAAGCGCTTCGATGTCAGGGAGTTCGTCATCAGGCCCGAGACGCGTAGTCAATTCGTCAAATAGAGCCTCGATCAGCAAGCCTAATGAAATCTGTTCCCTTGTACGCAATGCCCTTACAATTGGTGGATGTGAGGATTGCCCTGCTGCGCGGAGGACGAGGGCATTAACCAGCGCCAAAAGTGGACATGGCCCATTTTTGTTCTGAATTAGCATAGGGGATTCACGTAAAGTCCCTGTAGTATCTTTCCAACTGATGTGTCTAATCGAGTACGTTTCTGACCGTTTATCTGCTTGCTGTTTCGTCTCTTCATCGGAGATTGGTGCGCTTTGAGAAGGCGGATAGGTAGCAGACTCGGCTGCGTGGTCCGATTCCCACAAGGACGTGGCTCCATCCGACTGAACGTTGTGTAACGCGGACGCGCCAGCAGGTGGCGCAGTGGCGGTCCTCAAATCGCGGCCCAATTCTAGGTTGGGAGGGTCATCAAAGTCGATCAGGACATGTGATGATCCAGTGGTCGCTGTAGACACGGTTCCTGGCGTGCTTGCTCGAGGCTGGGGGGGTAACGGTTTTTGAAGAGATTGGAGTCGTGCGTTTTCGCCTCCATCAAATGGAGCTTGGGGTCCCGGAGGTTCCATAGTTGTGACACCTGTTTGTTGGCTGCTCATCCCTATACCTTGAGAGCGTTGTGAACTGGGCTCATTAACCCATGGAGATTCGGCATCTATCTGTTGGTCGAAGAGGGATAAACGCGCTGTCATGGGAATATAACCCTCGTCTAAAGATATAAGCATGCGCCGTAGATCTTATCATCAAAGAATGAGCTTACCTTGACCTAATCTTCCGCTTGCATCATCTCTTTCTCCTGACGACGCGCGGGAGTCTCTGTCCTTCCACGCGTTGCTATCCTGCTGAGAAGCCTTCAAAAATGGGTTATTCGACTGTAGCTGGACATGCTCAGGACTCAAATACTCCCAGTCGGAGGTGTCTGCGCCCCCTTGATTCGGCTGCGATTCATTTGCGGCCATCCGTCGTTGAGTACCAGCAAGCACGATAGAAGGTACACGATCTCCTCTCCTATTATCGGCGGCGTCTCCCTCTCGAATAGCATTGTTCATGACTGGTTGGTGGGTATGGTCGACGTTGTCGCGAGGGCTCTGGCTCGGATTCTCCACCAGCTCATCCGCCCAAGGATTCGGTGTGTCCGTGGACGAGGTCCGAATCGGGGACCTTTGCGCTTGCTCCAGGGACATCAGGTCGAATGCTGGTGATGTATTCAGATCGGGGGAGAAGATCGATTCCTGCGATGGAATGCGGCGGGGATGGGGGGAGCTCTGAGCTCTACTCGGACGTGTTAGGTATTTGGGAGATGGCGATGAGACTGAAAAGGACGTGGGGGAGGATCGTGAAATCAAAGAGCGCGATGCGAAGCGGGCATTCCCTTGACTGAGGTTGTGAAGGTGCGGAGGAGCTCGTTTGCGCAGGACCATGAAGGCAGATTGAATCGGGGCAGTCGGGCAAATGATGAAACGCTGGGCACGCTCAAGGGCCAATAAAACTAACGCAGGAACGAGTCTCGCAGGTGAACCCGGGCAAAGTCGATAGAATGCACGGAAAGGCGCAAATGAGCAATCTGGCGTTGTTGCGAGGGCCCCAACAGTAGTCGACGTCAATGGTGGCTTAGACGCAAGTAATAAGGCTGAGTGGACGCAGACTAGCACCTGAATGAGATAAGTGGTAAGTTATCTGCTCTCGATTTCTCAAAAGCACAGAGGCGCCAAGTTATATGTGCCATGCCGCTGCCCCTTGCCGTGTCTAAAGAAGAGAGAGCGGAAGGCTAATTTCAATAGACCCCGGAATATATACGTCGATTCATAAGATCGGTCAGATTGCAGGCACCCGAATTACAGCACACAGCCTAGCTTGTTCCATTGGATGTGGGGAAGAGTATGTCCGACTTTTGGGTAAGCCGGACCATGAGACGGGACTTGAACGCCATTACGTATTGGTGTACCAATTGCGCGCAATTTGGCTGCCTGCATGGCGAATATGGTATCGTATTCGTTTTGTACGGTAAGGCGGACCCTTGCCCGCCCACAGCGGGAGGCTGGAGTTAGCTGCGAAGCATGTGACGCGGTCGGATCTTCCAAATTCCGAAACAGGTTATGTCAGCATGGGCTTATCTCGAGCTCGAGTGGTCTGTGCGCTATCGCAAAGAAGAAAAAAAGTCAAGAAATCGGAGGGACTGACGCAAGCTATTATTCAATACTTGGCCGGTGTAAATCACTCGGGATATGCTGCACCCTGTCTTGAGATTTCACGATACCTTCCATTATGCACTCCTCAATTCGCCCCAATCAGTTTGTCCTCTTGCGGCTGCCTTCAGAGACGACAAAGATTGTTCAGATAGTCCCGAACACGTGTGTATTCTTACTCGATTAAATTGCGTCTTTCCAGTTACCGCATACTGACTAGGAAGCAGACTGATTAATTGCGGAAAATTCGGATCGTTCCCTGCAAACCAGATTATCGGACGGCCTTTCTACCTAACGTTCGAGATCCTCGAGACACCTGGCGACAGCCAGAGCACTCACCTGCGCATTGTGCCCGCGACCGAACTACATGCGGAATCCCTGATAACAGAGGGAGAAGGCGATGATGATGTTGAAGTAAACGAGGAGGGGCTGCCCGTGCGCACGAACCGCGAGATCGTCGACGATGCCTCGACCCAAAAACTTACGCTAGAGGAGATTGAAGCTCTGAAGAAGGAATCAACAGGTGCAGGGAAGGATATTATTGCCAAAATTCTGGAATCGCATACCGCTCTGGATCAGAAGACGGCATTTTCGCTCGCCAAGTACACGCTGCGTAAACAGAAGAAATACATGAAGCGATTTACGGTCTTTCCGATGGATGTCAGCGCACTTACAAACTATATGCTCGAAAATCGAGATTCCGCAACAAAAAGTATGGAGTTGCGTGACGAGCTTGTGGGGCTGATTGGGTCCTGGGGAAACGTGCACCATGGCGGCGATGCCACATTACAGCGGACTTTATCGAAACCGAACGGCCGCTACCTGGTTGTTGACGAAACGGGAGGTTTAGTTCTTGCAGCGATGGCGGAAAGAATGGGTCTTCTCCACCCCGATGAAGAGTCAGAAGATGATGTGCAAGGGGACGGAGCACTTGAGGAACAAACACCTGTACAGGACGGGAATCCTGAGGAAGAGACTACTAAGCCAACACCACGCATGCAACGGCCATCGCAAATGTCTGCAACAGGAAACACCATAACTCTGATCCACGCGAACAAGCAATCAAACGCATCATTGCTTAAATTCTTCGGCTACGACCAAAACAACCCCGACGAATCTCATCCCCTCTTCACTCATCTAAAGACTGTCTCCTGGCTCCAACTTCTAGATCCCGAGGCTGACCCCATCTACGCCGAGGAACCGGCTATTATCCCAGAGGCAGAACTAGCCACCCTCAAAACAAACAAGCGCGGCGCATACCACCGGAAACGAAACCGATGGTCGCGTGTGCAGAGCGTCGTCAACGAAGTCCGAGCAGGTGGCTACGACGGCCTCGTTATCGCCACACTCATGGACCCCGAAAGTGTCCTCCAGCATACCGTGCCCCTTCTTGCAGGCTCAGCACCTGTAGTCATCTACTCGCCTACCATCGAGCCCTTGACCGAAATCGCAGACCTCTACTCCACCGCCCGGAAAACAGCATACATCAACAGGAAGCGAGACCTAGAAGAGCAAAAACAGGCCAGTGGCGAGGCCAACCCAGAGAATGGCGAGTACCCTGAATTAGCTGCAGAGTTCTCTCTCAATCCGACATTGCTCCTTGCACCGACGCTTGAGACAGTTCGAGTGCGGCCGTGGCAGGTTCTTCCCGGCCGCACGCATCCGATGATGTCTGGCCGAGGAGGTGCAGAGGGTTACATCTTCCATGCAATTCGGGTTCTCCCAACAGCGGGATTCATTCAAGCCGCTGGAAACCCGAGTCGCAAGAGGAGAAAGCTTGCGCCTGCGCAGTCGACTGCCACGCCGGGTAGCACGACAAGCGCGGATGTCGAGATGAAGTTATGAACACACCAAAAGCATGCTGTATACTAGATCCTATATGGAGAATATATCTACCAGTCTAGACAGAGCCTCGACATTGTGACGAGGCGTATAGAGTCTTGGACCGGGTTTTCAACCAGTGACTCTTGGAGTGCTGCCGCTTAAATCATATATACCAGCATGGAATGGCTCTTGAATATGTATATACGAGCTATCGCATTTGAGCATTTGTAGGCAACCGTCAACTCTTCACGCTAGGCACGACGAAACAAAGCAATCCATCCTAGAAGCTCTTTCCCATGAACTTTCTCTTCGTGAAACTGAGCCAGAACTGTTGCCGATGCGTTAGTAAGGACCTTTCCACTATGATTGTGGCACCAATAGGGAAACTGACCTTTGAAGGACCAACGCCGCCGGGGTATAATCTCGCAAGCAACCGAATCGCAATCTCCTGTCGCACCTGGGAGAGGTATCTAGCACAGACATGCCAGTTAGTATTGTCCTAATATGAATAGAGGTTCGGGAAGCAGGGAAACGCACGATCTAAGCGTCTCAGCGTCCTGGCGATCCCGTGGGGGCTCGAAGGCCTGGTTTAGTGGGAACGACACATCGCCGGGGATAGCGAAGTTATCGAGCGCAACGTTGGTTAGAGCCTAGACACCACAGTCAATTCAAATGACCTCCCCGTAGATATTCCTTATTATCCGGGTAGTACAATACCTTCTCAGCCTCCCTAACTGTCATAGCAGGCTTAACCTTTCCCAGGCACTCAGTGATAAACAGCGTCCCATAGATAAGCATGCGGTCAGCGGGCCCGTTGATCTCAAAGTTGCGGAAGAGGACATTCGCGCGGAAGAGCGATAGAATTTCGTCGACGCAGTCGTACGACTCGCTATCTGGTTGTACGTCGACATCTGCGCCGGCGGGTAGGCTGGGGAGGGTATATGCGGGGCCGCGTGTGCGGGTGCGGAGGGGTAGGACTGGGAAGTTGCCTGTTGAGAACCGGGATAGATGGGTTAGCTAGCTGAACAAAATGCGGACTTATTTCGTTTGTAGGGTGCGTATGTGCTGATCCGGGGTGAAGTCGTGGGGAATGGCGCATTTGATGGGTTCGTACCTATTACGGGGACATCCCGGTCCTCAAGGAAGATGGAGTGGTATGCCTAGTTGGTGTTAGTAAAACAATCAATGGGTCGGCAAGAAAGTATTTTCGGTATGCGACATACGGGCATCTTGAATGTAGAAAGAGCAATCCGATCCCCAGAGCCTGTCTTGAGGATGAGAGCTGTGTTGGCGGGAGGTGAGGGCGGTGCTGCTACCTGGCGGAAGTTCGCATGTCATCACCGCACGCACCAGCCGCCGCCGGGCGAGGCTTGGAGCTCCTTAGATTTTCCGGTGCCGAACCTCTTTACGCGCTGCTGGATTTCGACGCGTCGAGATTCGCGGATTCTCCAACAGCACCACTTTTGCTCGATTTGTTCGATTCCTAGGCCTGACTTCGAAATACATTGAAAAACAAAGATCATCTGGCCATCATGTCTGACTACGAGGATGAGATGGACGTGGATGCTCCGTCCAAAAGCGCCATCCAATTCAGCTCAGATAACACTGGGGGAAAATATAAGAGAGCTGCTGCGGATTTACCAGTAGAGGCCCAAGATAATCTGCCATGGCGAGTGACTCTTGAGTTCAACGACTGCTTTAGCTTCTAACCTGGTCTAGGGTGGAAAAATACCGCCCGAACTCCCTTGATGATGTCTCCGGTCACAAGGATATCCTAGCCACAATTAATCGTTTCGTTGAAGCAAACGTCCGTTCCCTACGCCTTTAACCAATTGAACTGTACTAATATGGATGCAGCAATTACCACATCTCCTCCTCTACGGTCCTCCCGGCACAGGTAAAACATCCACAATCCTGGCGCTCGCCCGACGAATATACGGCAACAAGAACATGCGGCAGATGGTGCTCGAGCTCAATGCTAGTGACGATAGAGGAATTGACGTTGTCCGAGAGCAAATCAAGACTTTTGCCAGTTTGTTACCCACTCGGAATGTTCAAGACCAAGTCGCTGATCCGTCAAAGGCACTAAACAGATTTTCTCAATGGCCCCGTCTGCCACCGGCAAGTCGTCTCTCGCGTCCTTCAAATTGATCATCCTTGACGAGGCCGATGCCATGACATCCACTGCACAAATGGCGCTGCGCCGAATCATGGAACGATATACTGCAAACACCCGGTTCTGCATCATTGCCAACTACACACACAAGCTGTCTCCCGCGCTCCTCTCCAGATGCACTCGGTTCCGCTTCAGTCCGCTCAAAGAGCAGGATATCAGAGTACTTGTCGATCAGGTCATCGAGAAGGAAGAAGTGCGCATCCAGCCTGATGCTGTTGATAGCTTGGTCACATTAAGTCGTGGTGATATGCGCCGTGCTCTGAACGTACTCCAAGCCTGTCATGCAAGCAGTGAGTATTTATCAACCTCTGGAAGAATTATAGCCAACCGTTACCAGGCAAACCACTTCCGTTGAAGAACGCTCCCAAAGACGAACCCCTTCCTGAACCCGAAATCATCACGAACGAGACCATTTACGACTGTATCGCCGCACCTCACCCCTCTGACATCCAGGAAATCATGACCACCCTCCTTGCGACCAGCGACGTCACTTCCTGCCTCAATACACTGAACACGTTAAAGATAAACAAAGGCCTTGCCCTTGCAGATATTCTCGCTGCCCTGGGGGAACAGCTGCAGCGGATCGAGGTCCCAGCCCAGACACGGATAACCTGGTTAGAAGGACTGGCAGAAGTTGAATGGCGTCTTGCTGCCGGCGGGTCGGAAACAGTCCAGACTGGAGGCTTGGTGGGGGTAGTTCGAAATGGATGTGAATTAATGGGGGGCACGGCATGAATTTGGCATGGTAGCCTGCATGGATCGCGAACTTAATGAATACCACTCATCATGACCATTAGGTGGAGTAGATAACGCAGATGACTCGCCAACGATGGGAGAACGTGTTAACGCAGCAAGCGATCTCTCAACATGAATATGGAACGGTCAAAAGTGGGAGGTCCGAGCATGGCATGATAAGAGTGGGGAAGCCCTCAGCCTGCAGGGCTGTCCTTGATTACGTTTGATTATCAGATGGCATCTTGTCGTTAGCCACACTCGCCAAGAAGGATAAGCACGTCAAGCACTCCTGGCGTTTTCAGGACCGCTACTAAACATGGACTTGTCGCCATTCGGCGAAAATGGCTTTGTCGGAGGCTGCCCTTGCGGCCGGACGGATACGCCCGATAACTCGAAAGATCTTGCTCTGGAGGCTGGAAATGGGGTCTCCAACCATGCAAATTCTGTCATCCAATGAAGGCCAAAATCCTGTATCTTTGAATGCAAGCATTAGCTAATATTTTCTCCGCTGGCTTCCTTGACCTTGCCTGGTTGAGCAATAGTCTATGCAAACCTTGACCCAGGGCTCTTCGGGTCCCCGCACCTCGTTCATCCTTCAGTCGCACGATCCGATAAGCATGAGTGATCGAGCTGCCCTTCCGCGGACATTGCTCCAAGAGGGACCTATATCCGAGGAAGAATAATGGCAAGCCTGACGGGCTGGCAGCGATGGCCCCACCCTCTCAAGTCCATTGACTCAATTCTAACTCTAGCCTTGATAACGACGAGAATGCTGTCCCGCAATGGGGTTGACCGGAGTGGACCGTATTTAACCCCTCTGTCTCCCCCGCTCGCCTTAGGGTTCGACTGATCGCGTTGCTATTTGGTTTCAGCTCAAGTGCTTCTTCTGCCGGTCTGCCAACATGCGCTCCTCTCTGCAGCTACTGGCCCTCTCGGCCATGCCAATTGCCCAGGTCTCTGCTGAGCGAGTCCTCGGAGCTTATGTCTTTGCGCGCCACGGTGACCGCACCGCAAAGATCCTCAAGAACACCCAGCTCACGGACCTGGGATACAGCCAGGTCTACACGACTGGCTCTTCCTACCATGGCCGCTACATCAACTCGACCTCGTCGCAACACATCGACGGCATTAGCGAGCAGCTCGTCGACCTCAGCCAGCTCACTGCGTCTGCTCCCGCCGATGCCGTGCTCCAGAACTCTGCCACCGGGTTTTTGCAGGGTGTCTACCCACCTGTTGGCTCCATTTCTAGCCAGGAGCTCGCCGATGGCACAACGGTCCAAGCTCCATTGAACGGCTACCAGCTCATCCCACTCTCCCTGATCGACTCGGGAGTCAGCAGCGAAGACAGCACCTGGCTGCAATTGACCACAGACTGCCAGAACGCCATCGCAAGCAGCGATAGCTACTACAGCTCCGAGCTGTACAACACCCTCCTCGAGTCGACAAGGGACTTCTACCAGTCCCTCGCCCCGCTCATTAACACCTCCTTCTCGGAGTCCGACATGAGCTTCAAGAACGCCTACGCAATCTTCGACTACCTCAACGTCGGCTCCATCCACAACACCTCCAACACCCCGACAGAGGCCCAGCTCAAGCAGGCCTTCCTTCTCGCCAACATCGAGCAGTACAACCTCGCCTACAACACCTCGGAGCCCATCCGCGCTATTGCGGGGTCCAATCTCGCTGCCGAAATGCTCATGGGCCTCAACGAGACCGTCACATCCAAGGGCGAAGTCAAGCTCCACGTCGAGTTTGGCTCCTATGGCACTTTCCTCTCGTACTTTGGTCTCGCTAAACTCCCCGCTGCGGATGCGGATTTCACCGGAATCCCGGACTATGCTTCCTCGATGGTCTGGGAGCTCGTCACAAACTCGACCTCCGACTCCTTCCCGGAGACTTCGGACATCAGCGTCCGCTTCGCCTTTCACAATGGTACGCTGACCGCGGACTCGGCGCCCACGGAGTTCCCGCTGTACCGCCAGTCCAGCGCTACGATTCCCTGGTCGAAGTTCGTTGAGCAGACGAAGGAGATTGCCGTTATGACCACCGAGCAATTCTGTGAGGTTTGCGGGAACACGGATGGGCAGTGTGCTTCATCTTCCTCTTCTTCATCGGACTCGAGCTCTGCGTCTGCGGATGCTGCGTCGAAGCGTGATGGTGGTGTTTCGAAGCCTGTGGCTGGTGTCATTGGTGCTATGGTCACGCTGGCTGTTATTTTGGGTCTCCAGGCCGCTTTCTTCCTGCTGGGTGGGTTCCGCATCACGAAGAAGGGTGCTGCTGCTGCTGCTGCTGCTGCGGAGATTGCTGAGAACAAGGCCTCTGCCTAGATGCTCTCGCCCATTGAGATGGCAGTGTCACGACTTAGCAACATGATATCATGATTTACTGAATAGTTACAATCAAAATGAACTCGGGGCTACATTAATTTAGTAATCCTGAGCAACTACATGAAAGAATAAGATTATCATCATGGGGGTACTCCACTAATCCAAGAAGACCAAGTTCCCATCATCGTTACTGATTCTCTCATCCAACCGTATCCAATCCCGCCTCCATCCACCCCGTCCATCTGCCAATTCCGCCTCGAGCACGCGCCCTCCCTCCGTCAACCGAGCATTCCTCGCCGAAGCTCCAAAGTTCCCATTACGCTTCCACTTGAAGTGCCCAAACTCATTCGTTAGCACACTGCTCAGTGGTAACCTCGACTCATGCTGGTGGCCCGACCGAGAGCGGCAAGAGGCAACAAGCTCATAGTTCCCCCGTAGACTGATAGAGTTAGACGAAGCGGAGAAGTTACCGCTGCGTTGCTGTGGAGCCGGAGCGGGCTTTGGTTTTTTATCCTCCTTCTCAGAGTCGGAGGAACATGAAGAGGAAGAAGAGCCACGACGGTGGAACCCGAATCGAGACTTCTTTTCTTTCTTTTCCTTCTTTTCGCTGGTCTTTTTCTTGATTGCGTCTTCAGCCAGCGAGCCTGCCAGAGCTCCGCCCAGGGTCCCCAATACACCATGGTGGACTTGATGCCCTGTGTATCCGCCTGCTGCGCCGCCGGCTATTGCACCTAGGACACCGCGGTCGTTGGGATCGGCGGGGTTGACGGGCCCATCTGGGGTAGCAGTAGCAGCGGGAGCATAGGCTGGCTGGGGGGAGGCATATGGTGGTTGCTCCGTGTGTGGTTGTTGGTAGTAAGGAGGAGGTGGAGGCTGTTGATATTGTTCGCCGTAGCCGGTGGGCTGATACTGATTCTGATAGTAGGACTCAGGCTGAGATTGAGGCTGAGTCTGGGGTGGGTATTGAGGTCCAGCATAGTACTGTGGCTGGTAGGCGTTGTACCCCGACGCAGGAGGCATGGGTGTCTGCTGCTGTTCCGGGGCGGCGGGGGAGTATGATGAGATTGGGCTCTGCCCATCGAAGCGTTTGGTGTCGTTGTAGTAATCTTCAGAGGCCATAGTGGATGTGGTTACCTGAGACTGGACTCAAGGAGGAAGAATGAAAGAAAAGACAGAGGCTGAGACAGGAGCTGGATGAAGGAGGGGACCGCGGAAGGACTTTATGCTCGCAGGGCTGATGGCTGCTAGCCCAATGAGGCAGGCATCGGAGGAGCATCCTCCACTTTGGGGCTGTGCCAGTGCTATAAGGCTATTGCACCGCCATAATTCGAAAACTATGGGTTCCTCTTCCACATCGTGATCTGAAGCAGCTTTGGTCCAGAAACTTGCTTTGAACCGAATGGCCTGTTATGAACGCAGGCTTTCATCCATGCATCAAGCCTCCCGCAGCACCATCAGAGTTTGGGACCAAACAAGTTCGAATCTAAGCTTGGTTGGCCCCCACCGTAAACTCACTCTTCCTGTTATTTCTCCATGTAAGAAACTCAAGTTTCAAGTCCAGCAGTTCTGAACCGATGGCGCACTTGCTGAACACATCCGATTAGACGTCTCCCAACGCATAGGGCACCTAACTTTTGTAGCATGATTCGTTGAGGCTTCTATTGAGAAGTCAAGGACACCTAGTGAATGGCGTGGTCTGTCTCGCTGTATCCCTTACAGTTCCGGCTCCGATAAACTAAAATTCTTTCTCAGTAGAATAGGCACCACAATTACGTTTGATACCGCGGTCAAGTTGACTTCCATGAGCCGTCGACTCCAAAGATATCAGAGAGCCGGTCTCGCCCGCTTCGATATTTCCCATTCTTTTTCTGTCTACGGGCATGTATGATTCAATATCCGCTCCGATTTGCTCTTTACACGTCTCAGACGATTCCTCTGAGTCAATCTACCTAGATATCCCTATTTTTACCATTTAAGGCCTTTATAATGTGTCAATATTCAGAGAAGGCCGTATTCTGCTATGTAATAGCGCAAAATATCAAAATTTGTCAACAATCAGAATGTTGTGGGTGCGTTGTATAAAATGCTTGGCTTGGTGGAGATGACGTGAACCACCGAAACTTCCCCGAAAAGCTTCACCTTCACCACTTTTCCTCCTTTGCGCGATCAGCCATTGGCCCTGCCTTCCCAGGGCACATAACTGTACATTTTACTCAAGCAGATAATATTTCTTTCTTTATTTGGGCCCTGGAAACCGCCAACTTGATCCCAAGGGGCTCCGACCTCCGCCACCCAACCCCAGAGCTCAACCTCCGTCAAACCCATCGGAACCACAAACTCCCCCCATCCCACCAAAATGTCCTCCCACTACACCACAGAGCCAGCTCCCACGGCATCCGCAACTCTAAACACGACCTTCGGCCCCCTGCACATCGCTCTCTTCGCAAACCAAACCCCGCTAACATGCCGCAACTTCCTCCAACACTGCATGGACAACTACTACGCGGGGACAATCTTCCACCGCATCGTCCCAGATTTCATCATCCAAGGAGGCGACCCGACAGGCACAGGCTCCGGCGGAACCTCCATCTATGAGTACCCCGAATTCGAGTACGACCCTGACGCACGCGACCCGAATGAGAAAGTCGTTCTCCGCGATGAACTGCACAGTCGATTACGGTATAACCGGCGCGGGCTGGTGGGGATGGCGAAGAGCGAGGATGGCACGTATGGGAGTCAGTTTTTTATCACGCTGGCGAATACGGAGCGCGAGCTGAATGGGCAGTGTACGCTTTTCGGGCGCATTGAGGGGGATACGTTGTATAATATGTTGAAGATTGCGGATGCGGAGCGTGTCGAGGGGACGGAGAGGCCTGTTTATCCCGTCAAGATTACGTCGTGTGAAGTGGGTGAGTTGGGACCTCTTGCGGGTAAGGTTAGGAAGAGGGAGGTTACGGCTACGGGGCCAAAGACCGAGGAGAAACCGGCGGCGAAGAAGAAGAAGAAAGCCAAGCCTGGGAAGGCCCTATTGAGCTTCGGAGGGGACGATGAAGAAGGCGAGGAGGATATGCCTATTCGGCCTGCGAAGCCCAAGTTCAACCCTGCGCTCGTCACCGATACGAAACTGCCAGAGAAGGAGCTCTCTACAAAGAAGTCATCCTCGCCAACGCGCAAACGACCCCGATCTCCATCCCCGAAACGCTTGCGCCAGCCATCTCCCAAACCCATCGACCGGCCAAGGACACCAGACCACTCAAACCAACTCCCTCTACCCGACCCCGAATCCCCCGAACGCTCCCCTTCCCCCCAACAACCAAGGCAATCCTTCCTCTCACGAACGAATGCCGAAATCGAGAACCTCAAAGCCTCCATGCGCCGTACCGTGCAAGCGCCCGCCGCCTCCTCCAAACCAAAGTCCGCGCTTGAAGCCATGATTCCCGAGACCGCAATTCGCGGCCGCAAACGCCCGGCCCCAGGAAGCACCAACTCCACCTCAAACGGGATAACGGGATTCAGTAGCAGCAATAGCGCTGAAGCGGAAGCACTCAAGATGTTCAATGCCTTCAGAGCGAAACTTGAGAATGCCGACTCCGCCCCTACTTCTTCCACAAAAACGACCAAGAAACCATCCTCCTCGTCGCACACCACAGCACCAGAACCCACAGAAGACGAAGACGAAGAATCGCAACTTTGTGACCTGCACTTCATCGCCAACTGCCAGTCCTGCAAAACGTGGGACACCAACGGTGCTGAACGCGCCGAGGGTGCTAATACCGCAGACGACGACGCAAACGACCGCGGCTGGTTAAGTCACCAGCTGCAATTCGGGCGCGACACGCTTGGCAAAGATCTCAATTGGAAGCGCGAGCATCAGGACGTCGATACCTTGATGGTGATTGACCCGCGCGAGAAGGAGAAGGACATTGCTGGGGAGAGGAAGGGGAAGAGGAGGGGTTTGGAGAGAGATCGCGAGCGCGAGAGGAAAAAGGGGAGGGTTGGAGATTTGGAGTGGTCGAAGCGGTAGATACTTTTAATTGGTATGTCTGTAGATATAGGATTGAGCCGATTTATAGATCATATTGGACGCTTTTAGTCGATACCTGAGAGAGGCGCCTCGTGTTATGCTCAAGCATCATAAGATATTTGAATACAGAAATGTCCAAGGATCCAAGATAGCCAAGCGCATATTGTACATTCGTTTACCTGTACGCGTTTGTCTTGGAATAGATTTATCTAGGTGCAATAATCAGGAAGTGAAAAAGGTTTAGATCATCACATCGTTTCAAGTTCGGTTGATAGATAGATCTCTTCAAGCTTAGCTGGCCGGCTAAGAAGGGGTTCTCGTAAGTATGTATGTATGAGAGAGCGGGATGGACATAGGGAAACAAGAAAATGATAATAGTATATAGGGTAGAGTAGGCCATAGCCAACAAAAGAAGAAAGAGAACACTTTCTAGATCCAAGCATGCCCTAAGCTTTCTTCCGCCGTTTCGCAACTCCATTTCTTTTTCCTCCCTGCGAATCATATCCTGGATCAATTAGCCCCGTGTACTGGCTTGTGTCGTCGATAGTGTTGCTGGGGCTCGTGGACTCGCTGTCTGTGAGCGCTTCCACGACGCGGCCCGGGTCGCTGAGGCCTTGGTTTCCCTGGTTGGGGTTGCTTGTGTTTGCGGCGCCGAAGTTGTTGTCGAAGCCCGCGTAGAAGCCCGGGCTGGGCTGGTGCGATGCGCCGAAGAGGTCACCGTCGCCGGCTAGATGGTCAAAGTCAAAGAGGTCATTTCCGTCTGTCTTGATTATAGGATCGTCTGTAACCGTTGAGACTGGAGGTTCTATTGGGACAGGTGCTTGGCCGGGTGCTGTGGGGTCGCCAAAGTCTAAATTGCCCTTGTTTTGCTGGTCGTAGTCTGCAAAGTCCGTGAAGTAGTCATTGTTGAATATTTGGTCGAGTTCTAGAGGTGGGGGTGGGATTGTCCCGTCGGCGCTGAGTCCGGGAATAGTGCCGTTGGGGCTGAGGGGTTGGAGGAGGTTGGTGAGGTTTTGTACGGAGCGGTCTTGTTCTGCTTGCATCTTCATCAGATTGTCGATTTCAGACCGGGTGTTGGCGAGGCGGTTAGAGTAGTTATGTGGCATTGGCGGAGGAATTGGGGTGATAAGGGCATTGTTCTGCGATATCTGTCCGCCAGAGTCGGCGGTGCCAGTCTCGTTGGCCATGAGACGTAGCATATCTGCACGTTGGTTTGGAGTGAGAGGAACGTTGCCGCCAGAAGTTTCGAGCGACGATAGCACGTTCGGAAAGTCGGAATAGGTAGTTGGAATGCCGTTTCGGGCATTCGTGTTCTGAATGACGGACATAATATCTCGTTGTGGATATTGTTGGGGTTGTAAATCGGGCGAGTCCTTTGATCGAGGGCTGCCATCAAATACTTCCTCTACTTGTCCAGAATGCGCACTCGGCTGCCGCACATGGGTACGAGACTGTGAACGTTCGTACCCGCTGCCGGCAGGTGAAAGTGTCGTAGCGCGCCCATGACTATTTGACGTCGGCGGTGCCTTGAGAAGCAAGGGCTGCTTCTTCATAGACCGCGGCCCGCCAGGGCTATTCATGCCACCTAACGCGCTCAGCGAGTAGTCATGAATGTCGACAACATTACTATGATCCTGCGAGATAGCTCCCGCGAAAGAGTTGGCGAGGTTCTGCGGTTCCTGGCCTTGGAGGCTCCGGTTGTAGACAGTCGCGAGAAAAGTAAGTATAGCGTTGATCGAGTTCTCATGGCGGTTATGCTGCTCCTGGAAGTTCGCGGCCTGTGCATAGAGCTGCTCATGCTCCCTTCGTAGCTTACTTATAGTGCTAGAGATGACCTGCTGTTGCTGGCGAATGGCTTGCAGCTCCCGATAAACATTCGTAAACTGGTCCTTTGGGAGAGGTTGTTGGGCGATCAAAGATAGCTGCCGATTGCGGGTACCATCGTCCCGAGGCTGCCCAACGTTTTCTTCGTCGAATTCCTCATTCTCATGTTCCGTTTCCTCCGTCTTTACACGGACATACCCCTTCCCAGTCTTGCCGCCTTGGCCGGCCGCGTTCTTAGGTTTCTGGATCAACCACAACAACTCGGGGTGGCCCTTTTTGAAGTATGGGTTGGCGTACTCGCTAGGGCTTTTGTTTTTCCTCTCGCTGGCACGCATCGAATTGTCCGAAAGACCCACTTTCTTATGGAAACCGTACATGTTCAACTGGCGAACGAAGGATGCATAATTGTTGTGTTTGAAGAGCTCCGGGATTAGGGTTTTTGCGAACTCATCTTCATCCAGAACAATAAATGAGTTTCCATCGTCGGACCATCGGATCAAATCGGTATTTTTCGATTCGTCAAGGAAGCTGTTTAAAGTCAGTTTTCGCCGCACATCGAGACCAGATTGTAGACCACGACCTACCTGCTCAGTTTCTGTACAAACGGTGGTATTTGTTTCCTCTTAGCCTGCGCCTCTCTCTTCGCGGTATTCGCGCGTTGATAAAGCTCCTCTAGACTCTCTGACCAACCGCCTGACTCACCAGATCCAGCATCTTGCTCCGGAAGGGTGGCCGACGGTTGCTCATAAGCGCGATTTCGGTTAACCAGTTGATTCGGGGTTTGTCTACGTGCAATCTGGTTTGAGACTGTAGAGGCGCTAGGGATGTCTTGCGTGGACGTTGAGGGGACAGCGGCGTTGTTGTAGGAGTTAAGAGCGGGAAAGGACGGGGCGGCGACGGTATTGGAGGCCGGAGTCTGACCCCATTGTAAGAACTGCTCGTTCGACAATGGAGAACCAGAAGTAGGCGGATAATTTGGGAGCTGACCCAGCTGGGGATGAACGACGGGGGAGGTGCCGGGAGCAGGTCTTTTGCGGTTTACGCCTTGGGGGCTCATTGCAGGCGTCCAAAAAGTCAACGGTCGGCGAGCAGTTGGCTTTTTAAGAGTGGATTAGACCGCTCCCTTTGACTAGAGAGGTGCGTTTCGACGAGGACCGTATATTCTGATAGGCGAAGATTCGAATATTTCAGAGCCTTACGGTTTCGGAGCGGGATATATTGCGGGGTGAGATATGGAAATGCGACTCGGCACAGATTCTGGGCAAAAATGGCAATCAATAGCAAGAATACCGTCAATATAGCCTTGATGCGTGGATACAGAATGGTATCGCTCAGAAGATGACAAGGAAACACGAAGGGATGAAGCGAGATGGCCGATAGCAGGAGGAAAATGATGGATCGCCGTTACGCGACGGGCGCGGTCGACACTAGAGCGGAGAACGGTTCGGCCGGACGAAAGAATGGTTTTGGCCAATTCTGTCAGATGTTGGATCGTCTGTAAGCGAAGTGCGACAGCAGGCAAATCAATTGGAGCTCAGCATCAAGGCTGATACTAGATTGGCATTGACAGCCGCAGAAAAGGCGGCGGCAGTGATGGAGAAAAGGCTGTCCTAGTGTCTCGTCTCACTGCGCGGAGGCGGTGGAGAATTAAAGTATTAGGCACGAGCGTTGGCAGGAACCGCTGGGAGCAGAGGGTGTATAAGGGTAGCGTGGGCAGGGATACCGTGAGGCAATGGGCGCAATCATAGAGAAAGAAGAACAAAGGCTCGCGATTTTCTTTTCTGGTCAAAAGAATCCATTGCTTGGCGGCCGACGATGAAGTCAGAGAGAGGACCGAGCGCTGATTGGCTGCTTCTTAGGATCTCACGTGATATTATGTGTCGGACTCGAAACAGTAAATCCTATGTCCATCCAACCATTCATTCATCCTGCTTGACAAAGCAGTTACAAAGGGCTTATTGTTATGTCCGAATCCGAATTTACATTCACAAAAGTGCTGACTGCTCAAGGTCTTCACTGCAACAAGACATGATCCCCAATATCTCGCTGGAAATCTTCAAGATAACTTTGCCAGTCATCGGGATTCTCCTTGGAATACCGCTCCAGGCTTTGGAGTGCAGCCAGGTCTTCCTCCATGTGCGCCTTCTTCGTGGTTCCGTTTAGGATTGTCGTGCGTCCGAGTCCCAGGATCAGACCATACAAGGCCACAGCCGAAGACACTCGGGCTTCCCTGGACAGAGACAAGACCGGTCGGGATTGAACCAATTCCGGATTCGCTGTCAGTGTCCAAAAGCTTTGATAGACCAGTTGTCTCTCTCGACAGTAGGCGCGCAGCGGTACATCGAACTGCGTGCCGCCGTAGAACCGGTTTTGCACCACAGCTGGCTTCACTTTGACCAAGGATGAGAGCTCCCTGAGGATGGGAAGAGTGGTGTTTGATATGCCCAGATTGCGGATAAGATGGGGGACATATGTTTCTAAGGCCGTCCATGCTTCCAATGTCTGGGCCATGGTGGGAAGAGGGGAATGGAGGACGACAGTGTCGATATATGCCTCATCGGCACTCTCAGGCACAGCGGCTGGCCGAAGATTATAAAGAGATGACTTTACAGACGCGTGAACTTGGTCTGTGATACTGTCCTTCGGGTTGTACGGCATATCGTCCGGGCTTTGGCCATGAACAGATGTGAACTTCGTCTGGATCTAGCAGTGGTTCAGCGTTCGAAAGCGTCGACAATATAACTCGAGTCTCCACGTACGTATAGATCTTCCCGACGGACGACTCCATCGCCGATGGCTCTACGTATGCCGTCGCCTACCAAGTCTTCCCGATAATGTTTCGGCTGGGCGGCAGTGTCAACGGCACGGAAACCAGCGCTGATTGCTTGGTGGACGAGGTCCGCAGAATGATCCTTCTTCCAGGCTGTGCCATAGATGAAGGTCGGGATAAAGGCGGGGTTCGCGTCCCGAGCCGAGAGCAGAGCATATCCTTCCCACGACATTTTACCAACCGCTGCGCGAGCCATTATCGCTTCGCTAATCGATCGATTAGAGTCTCGAGGGACGAAACAGCTCAAAGATGGTCGCCAGGAGTCAGTTGAGGGGTTATCAGATCAGCCCATGGGAATCCGCCCAATCATTCGGTCTCGAATGTTGATTTCATCATCGCAAAGTCGCCCCAAGGTTCCTTGGGCAACTTTCATTGGCCGACGGATACTACCATTCTGGAGGCCCATGCATCAGTACGTAAAGCGAAGAATGGCACCCTCAAGCATCTAAACACAACTTTGCTTTGTTGGCCGTATTGCTGATTTGTATTTGGCGAGCTTTCCGTGAGCTCTCTTGTCTCTGATGGACCCAACTGACTACATCAGAGGCGTTTACCAAGCTCAAATTCGCCATGGAAACAGCAAACTTTGAATCGAGTACTCCAGAAGAGACCCAGGATCAGGCTTGTTCGAATGTGCCGCAACGGCACCATTTAGGTTCAACATCGACCCCATCTTCCCAAGTCCATAGCTGGCAGTGTGCTATGGAGATCCCCGGAGCTAGGGTTCCGAGAGCTTTGAACCACCTCGACAGACGTCAATGGTCTTCAATGACCGGCAGTCCTACAGAATGCAAGCCATTAATAGTTCTGTACCTTGGCTCATTGACAATTACACCCATCCAGACCCCGCGATGCAACACCACCATTCTCCAGCACGCATCATTATTCGCCAGTGGCATGTAATTCTGACCGTCTATAAGCTCTCGGCACCGTCACACATGTCACGTAGAGTTTGGGACGCGCAATATCGGAACCGTTCAGGGGACAGCAGTGGGCGCACATAAAGAATAGCTGAAAGCCTACATGGTACTTTCACTGCGTGTAGAACATCCTCTCAACGTTTAAATCTTGCCAATCCTTCAATATTCACCCAATCGTCAGCAACAACATCAATCACTCATCAAGATGCGCTTTCGCCAATTTCTCGCCCTTTCTAGCCTCATGCTAGCCGGCAACCTCGCCCTGGCCGCTGAGCTAGATCGCGATGACGTCCCGGACATGTGCCGCACAGTCTGTGAGCCAGTCGTAAGCGCCGCAGCGCGATGTGACAGAGACAATGACAACGACACATCCGAGATGAACTGCATCTGCAACTCAGACCAGGCAGATACCCGCGTCCCTCAATGCGAGGCGTGCATTGCTCAGTACAGATCTGATCATCCGCGCGATGACGATTATGATGGCTCTGATGAGGAGGACGGCGATGAAGATGACGACGATGCTGATCCGCATGATAATGGTATACCTAGCTACCACTTCCTTCCCCCAAGTCTGCTTTCCATATGTGTATTGCGATATTGACATGTGGAAAACACAGACGCGTACGACATCCTCACCTCATGCGACTTCACCACGACCACCTATGCCCCGGCTGGTAGGTCAAACAACGGCTCAGTCTCTCCAACATCTTCCCCGTCTATTTCGCCATCGTCTACCGCAACTCCAACGTCTTCGCCTTCGGTCTCTCGCACTTCCAACATCGTCGTCACTGAGACCTCGTCAATCCCTGGCCGGCGTTATTGAGCTACAGAGAGTGGTAATATTAGCTGGCAACGCGAAGAAGCGGCCAACAAGCGCCAACGCCTATTGGAATCGAAATCGTTGCTTTTCGTTTCTTCTCTTTTGTTTTCCTTTCTGAGTCTTACAAGAACTGCCCGCGTCTGGCAGGGTATCAAAACTGTGAATTATGATTCTAGGAGCAATATTTGTTCAGTTCTCAAAACGCTCGCTGGATACCATCCTCTCGTTTGATTTTGGCAACATTTGCAATTCTTCCAATGAGACTGCCTGTCCTTCAATTCGCGACATATATCAGCATTACCTAGCCGGGGAATATTGACAGTCACTCCCCAACGGACACCTGCACCTATCTACATGGAGATAAAAAGCCCAATTCAACCTGATCCAAGAATAGTGTGCCAGCACACCACTACAATGCAATTAGCGCTCGCGACTTCGCATCCGTTGAGTCAAGATGCGCCATGTAAAGTGCTAACTCGATATAATATGATAGGTATGAGAGCCAAATCCCTTGCATTTCGAATCGTCATTGAAAGCTATGCTTGGTTACACAATGCATCCCAGAATCAAGCTCCGGAATTGACGTTATTTCTTGACTTGATGTAACCACTAAGAACAATCACTGGACGTGTTCTTAAGATTTTAATATGCTAGATTTTCAGAGTTGATTGTCAAGCTTTCTCCCTCTCTTTTGATGTGTGTTTGATGGGAAACAATCGGGTTGCTGAGTTTTGGGCGGCCGGCGTGGCTTAGGTACAGATTGCATTGCATTAGGTGCAGATCCATCTGCAGGTGAGAAGAAAAAGTGGGTTTATGGGATACGTCCAAGGAGAGCTCGGACTGCTGTACATAAACTTGCGAACTTTGGATCTTGCTCAGTCGAATAACAAGTGAAATGTGATACTAATATGATATAGTAGCTTGATATGCTTGAGTACTCCTACATATAAATCCCTTGTGCTGGTTCTTGTTGTGTACTGAGTATCTAGTAGCCCTCCTCCATACACTTCATCCATGCCAGAAAGACTGTTCTCTACTTTGTACTTGTTGAGATCTGAGGTTGTTATCTCAGTCAAGTAGCTGAAGATATGGATGATTCAAAGAGGAGCGAGGCTGTGTTGTGACTAGAGGAAGGCCATTACGGTAATCTTCCCTTTGTCTTTTCCTATGGATCTAACCCCTTCCATTCTCCTGAACGTCGTTGCGAGTTTAGTATAAGGCTTTTGATGAGATTTGTCATAAGTACCACATGGAGTGGGCTTATCGCAACAAATCACCCACCGCAAGATACAGGTCACGCCGTCACAGAGTGATCGGACTGGGCAAATATCGCAATCTCAAGTCGCGACCATGAATAACACGCCTGAGTTTGAAGCTCATGGGCTCTATTGAGCTTCCCAGTAAGATTCTCATGTCATCTCAGCGTATCTGCCATGAGTTTTTTACCCCTATTCCCAAGGGAATGTGGCAATGCTTGTGCTTGTCGAGAGGCCAGGATCTTCAGACAATACCGGTCTATCCCGGAAACCACGCGAACGGGCTGGTCCGGCTAATTCTTAATTAACGGTGGGTTCACTCTGCCAGAAGCGCCGATAATTGCCATGCGTGTCGCGCAGATGACATTTGTTGTCCAGTGTCAGGGGTTTCTTGCTCCATCAATATGCTCCGGCACCCGGGGATCATTTCGGGTCTTCATTAGCCTTGACCCGCGAAGCAGGAGTACTCCGTACGGAGCACAGCATAGTTGGACGGCTCCAGTTGGCGGGTTCTGGTGACAATCTAGCGGATTCTAGCTTGAACGTTAGTTGTGAACGGCGCAATCGACAACGGGGCAAGCTGATGACTCGGAGACAAGGATGGAAGGAAACCCTGCAGCGAAGCATCGGCAATAGTCATCAGAAGCTCATTCTTGAAGCAGCTTTGGAGTACTCCAACGGGGTCCAAAATTGGTAATAATCATCAGTCATCTAAGTGACTAGTGAAGAATCGGTTCTTTCTGGAAAAGGGGTTGCTGGTAAGAATAGGTATGGGTGAGGCGGAATGATCCGTTTGGATAGTCATGCGCGGGAACAGTTTCCAGGGCAGAGCTCGTGCCTCATTAAGATAGCAGATCGTGACGACGCGAGGAGCCGAAGAACAGTATGCCAATTCTCCGTTTGCCGTGCCGCCACAACGAGCATCTATCCGTATCTCGGGGTGACTGCGAGCGGGAGGCAAGGAGTTGGCTATCAGGGGCAGATCTTATTTCTGAATGGAGAAGGGCGACTTTCTCTGCCCAGGCCGTTAGCTTAACGTAATATCTTTTTCATTCATCGGCCACACTTAATGAGTTAAAGCTTCAAGGGCAAGAAACCGTAAAATTAGTGGCGAGTCGAGCTAGCCAAAGAAAAGAGGTTCGAGAAGGAAGAGGGAGGTCGTGTGGGTGAGCTCCTTGTTCAGGGAGAAGATGAAGTCAATCTGGAACAAGTTACCCACTGATGGCGGATCCTTGATAATCTGCACTTTGAACAGGCTAGAACCAGCCTTGGGCCCAACGGAGCCTGGTTATTCGTTGTGAGAAGGGTGGAATCTCTCCGGGGACTCAGAGAGGGAGGCCCGAACCAGCCAGCAGGAACGTTCAGAAGGAGCTGGTGGGAATCGAGCTCTAACTTCTAACGGAGAAGGCGATGCTGGGACCGGATTCCCGAGAGGGGACGGACCGTCTGGAGCCTCGAGCATTCCTTTGTCATGAATAAGATCGGAGTGTGATGAGGTTCCAGTGGCAAAGCTCCTCTTGTTCCCTCCCACTGTGACGCGGTACCCCCTGAGGAAGGCACCGCCCCATCTTTTTAGAGTCAAAGAAGGAAAGTTGTTCTTCCCCTGTAGAGGAAGAGGACAGTAAGGCGGAGAAGCAGACAAAGCACCTAAAAACCAGGCCGATGACGCGGACTTGGATGATGCCATTCATCAAGAGAGCAAGATGTACGAGCTGAGTCACAAAGAGCGCAAGAATGGCAAGCAGGACAAAGAGGCCAAAAGAATCACAATCAACATGATACTGGACACTAATAATGAGTGGATGCCGTCTAATCTCGTCGAAATCATTTCCTTCTCCAGAGCATCCAAAAATACTCCCAGCAGGAATCAATAGGGGCAAGGGGGAGGAGCCCCAATACTGAGAAGTTCTAGGCAGACGACTATCAGTTTAGGTATCTCGTGCCAGAAGTACCTCAAAGCGATCAACTTGCAAGTACATATACAGAGCAGACACGCCGCAGCAGACTGATACAGTTCTGTTGTGAAACTCTTCCGTGTCCGTTGGCCTCGAAGCACGTCCTCTCTGCAGCTCCTCCTTGGATAATCACATTCTTTACCTGACAGCGACGCCCCTTGTTTCTTTGGTTGCTGCCAAAGCACATACTACACTACCACTCGCAGTATCAAGATCAATCCATCTGCCCTTCTGCAAGAGCAAGGCTCCCTGTCAGTCGAGTCAACCAAGGTCCAAGACCAATCGAGTACCAGACTCGTGCATACGAGGCATCGATATCGATCCACCTCAAACCCACAAACCAAACAGAAAAAAGAGCCACTAGCGAGTGACTGATCAGTGGTCCCGTCGCGGCCCCTATTATTACGGGATTAGATACCTGCTGGGATCTTCAGAGCGTCCGAGTGTTCATTCGCACGGGGGTTGATTACAGTTGTTGAACTTTGGAAACACAGACGGTCATTCGCGGTCGTTCGCCTCTGGCTTCAGGCCTTGTTTCAGTCGCCAAACTCGCCCCAAACGATCTCTCCATCGCCCTTCGTCCTGGGCGGAATCTGCGGGAGAGAACCTTCAACGAAGCGGTCTCCGTCCGGGTTTTTCTCCTCGTCGACTCCAGCTCTCCAAGGTAATTATTTCGCTTCTCCCCTCGTCACCTTCCTCTTCTCCGTCCTCGCCTTTCTCTCCCAGTCCCATCCTCCTCCTCGCAGGCTGTGGCGACTTTCTCTTTTCTTTTTCTTCTATCTTGACATCTCTTTTTTTGTTCTCCATGACGGTCCCCATTTAGTATTCTTGTTTTCTTTTTCTCACCTTTTTTTGGACGCCCTAGGGGAAAATAGGCCCAAAATCCTCACCTAGAGACTCTCGCGGCCATTGAAGACTGCTCAGTCACGAGACAATTAAGTCCGCTGCTGAGATCGATCGGGATTCCCTGGTCTTCTCACATCTATCCTACCTCTCTGCCTTTCGTCAGTTGGTGGTCAATCAGAGGCTTTTGCTCATCCAACGCCCCTCCCCCGGGCCGATTCGAGACAAGCCCCGACCATCCCCTTCCCACGCTCGAAAATCTCCGCTGAACCTCCTCCACCATCGTCCAAGCGTGGCTTGCTCCATCCCGTGACTCCTGCCGGCTTTTCGCGATTTTTGTCCTCCGCCTGTGCCTCGATCGCTCCTATGACTGCGTAGGGCGTCCAGACTCCATCGGGTTCTTTTTACAACGGGATTGTTGTGGTGGGTTCCAGCGCCACATTCTTCGGTTTGGCTGCTTGTTGGGAATTATTGATTTTCTGCCACCATGAGTTATCAACAAGCCCAAGAAATGTATCACGACAACTCTTCCGCGCGGTCTCCTGGCTCTCAGCGCCATCAGCAGCCGCTTCATCGCCAGCCTTCGCGACAGTTTGACGCCTACGGACCAATGCCCGTCAACCTATACGATGATCCCATGGCCCGTTACGACACTGGTAGACTCGACCGGCTGAACCCGTCGCTGCATAACCCTTCCTACGCGTATGATCTCCCCGGCTCGCAGACTTGGAATCCGAATGGCTTTGCCAACGCTCAGGCTCTGGGAGGTATTCGCTCCGCATCGGCCAGCCTGAAAACTGCCCCTCGCGGCGGCCGTGCGGGCTTGCCAACGGTACGTAATATACGCACCGCAAAACGTGGTGGTGCTATCAAACCTTGCGATTTACTAACAGCTTATCATCAGACGTGGCTTGACCAACAGCCAGGTATCCCGAGCCCCTTCTCCAACCTCGGATCCGCATCGCTCCAGAGTAGCTCGATGAGGCCAGACACTACGGGCCCATCAGAAGCCGATGACGAGTTGATCCCCACTGCGATTGTTATCAAGAATATCCCATTTGCAGTGAAGAAGGAACAGCTTGTTCAGCTTATGACCGAGCTGAACCTGCCCCTGCCGTACGCTTTCAACTACCATTTCGATAATGGCGTTTTCCGCGGGCTTGCTTTCGCCAACTTTACATCCGCGGAAGAGACGGCGACCGTGATCGAGGTCCTAAACCATTTCGAGCTGCAAGGCAGGAAGCTGAGGGTTGAATACAAGAAGATGCTTCCTTTGCAGGAACGCGAACGGATTGAACGTGAGAAGCGAGAGCGTCGTGGTCAACTCGAGGAGCAACATCGTCCGATGGCGGCTTCTCAGCTTCAAACTCAGAGCTCCATGTCCTCGCTTACATCACACATTCCGGCCACCTCACCGTCTCCAGTGTCTCAACGTGGGCAGAAGCTTGGTGAGTCTGTTGATTCTCTTACTTTGGCCATGCGCTAACATTACCTCACTATCATTAGATGTTGATTTGAATGATTCTACGACTCTTTCGTTCTACTCCCAACTGCTCCTCTTCAAGGAAGATACTACCCGCGACTCCGTAATCTTCCCGTCCAACCTTACGCCTGTCCAACGTCGGACTGTCCATACTTTGGCTCACAACATGGGTCTCGGTCACGCATCTCGTGGCAGTGGTGATCAACGCCAGGTACAAGTTTTCAAGGTTGCTGCAGGCACAAACGTGAGCCCCCCTTTGTCTGCCATCCCAGCCGCTGTCCAGCCCAGTGAGACCGCCCGTCGTGGGCTCAACCGCGCAGCGACCATTGATTTCAGCGAGGCCCGCAATGAGGGCCCTGCTCATTATGGTACCTTACGCGGACAGCCTTCTGCCGGCTTTCTAGGAGTCTTAGACTCGTCTGCCGGTTTCGGGAATACGCAGAACCTTCGCGCTGCCAAGTCCTTCGCGGACCTACGTTCCTACACTCCGTCCCCTGTTCCTTCGTCCGCGAGTTTCCCTGCAGCTCTACAGTCCAACGGCACCCGCCTTCAGCATTACGATGGAACCGCGAGTGGTACTTCCAACACACCAACACTGACCCCCGCTCCCTCTGGATCTTCGCTCGGCATGCAACGCGATGACGGCCTTCTGGTCAACAGTTTGAGCAGCTTGTCTCTAGGTACTGGGATTGGAGGACCTAATGCGAGTCCAAGGAGATTGAGGGGTATGTTCTCTTGGGAGCAGCCGGAACCCCAGCCTTCCAGCGCTGGACCCATCGGTAGTAACCGCACCATCGGAGTTGGATTTGACGGACAGTCACAGGAGCGCATGCCTATTAGGCAGCCGAGAGGCCCCATGCCCGAGAAGGGGCCAGGATTTCGACGCCCCAACGGACACCAATCGCGTGGAAGTGACGAGCTACGTACCAGTTCCGGCGTGGAGATCATTGTGGAGTAAAAACGTTTAATGGGAGATGAAGACAACGAAAATTGTTAGATTGCTTTACCGAAAGACGCATACGACCTTTTATATCACGAGGCCTGATCTTTTCGCGCGATGATCGGCTTACGATTCGATGAGGGATGATGAGACGACAATGCAACTAAGAGAACCACAAAAAAGAATATTTCTCTGATCCAGCCAAGTTTAGAAGTTATTTTGGGGCAGCCCTCCGGGCGCGCCGTTCATACGGGCCCGTTTATGTTCCTCCTTTTCGCCCTTTTCGCCGACACCACGAAATCACGCAAGTTGAACCCATGAACTTTTGCTGCGACGCGGGCGCCTTGCGTGTTGCACCCATTACCCCTCTCCCCGATTTTTTTACTTACTTTTTCTTCATTTCGAGTTGTGTCTGCCGGAACGAAAGCAAAATATCAGAAATTAACTCTCCAAGGAGACTACGAAGAACGACCAAAAAGAATACCCATGTCTTTGTTGCTATGACAGAGAGATGACCTAGCATTTGCATTACTTTTTGGGTCTTTTGTATATGGGGCAACATGCATCTGTTTAATGCTTATTTATTTATCTTTATTTCATCTTTTTTTCTTCCTTCATCTTTTCATGTCGTTTTCTGTATCTCTACTTCTTCCTGAAGGAACCTTGAGCCAACCCCGCCCCTCAGGCTTTGAACACACCTTGCATCTTCAGACCTTCGAAAGTGATTTTGCATTGTCATTATTTTCAATGTGAAATCTTCGGCGAATGTGCGCTAGGTGGACAGGCACCCATGGTTCGAACTACTATTCGATCAGTTTTCTGCTAACCTTTCATGCTAGAACAGCATGTTCGAGTACATACGCTCCCTGCAGTATGGCGTGCTGTGTTAACTTCAGTATTGTTTCTTCTTACCTTAGGTTCTTTGGTGCGGAATTAGTGACAGGCTCTTCATGTATGCAATCCCGACTTCTATCTAGAAACTGTTCTGTTCGATGCATGCGTAGGATTAGCTCGTAACTGAATCGTGGTAGTGACTAGTTACATACTTCACTTTGTTGATCTATATGTCTTGTAGCAGGCCTGCACTCGGCCAGATTCTCCAGCACTATTATTACCTATCAATATATCATATTGCCCCTGTTACACATTGATTTCTTTGCAATCATGCGAGTTGGTTTACGTTCCAGAAATTTTATTTGGCTGGCTGTTCTATGTTTATTTACATTGCAGTGGAATGCCGCGCCACAGCCCCAGCGTGCGAACCAAAATATATTTCCGAATCTGAAAGAGTCAAAACATCGAGTGTACTATCTATCCACAAGATACCCTAGCTTTAGGTCTAAAATATCACGACGCACTCAACACGAGTAATGTATTGAAGAAATAGAACTAAGAATTAAAGATTGAAAAAAGGTACATACGAGACACAAACAGTTCCCCTTAACGAGAATACCCCTTTTCCCCATTACAGCGCCCTTGATAACTCGAGAAAAACGACATGAACTGGAGCAGACATACAAGAGGAGATAAGAGGTGAAGCAAGTACACAAAATAGGAGTCAAGACCAGTCCGAGGAGATAAGCAAACGCATGTCAAAACTGCAGCGTTCTGCGTGAGGAAGGGTGAGCGAGCGCGGGCACACTTCTGTTGCATCCGCGGCCCGCGTAGCGTAGCCTGCAAGCTGGGGATTTCGGTCGTCATGATCGCTGTACGAGGGGCCTTTCCATTCAATCATCATTTAAAACGCCGTATTTGTTGGGTATCCGCGGTGACCTATGCGTCCGACTTCTTCTTCTTCTGTTCGACCTTGAGCAGCAGCGCGCGGTTAATGCGAGGTAGAACACCACCGAAGGCGATAGTGGCGCGAATGAGGGTGTCCAGCTCTTCGTCTCCACGGATGGCGAGCTGCAGGTGGCGCGGTGTGATACGCTTGACTTTGAGATCCTTGGCGGCGTTTCCGGCGAGTTCCAGCACTTCTGCGGTCAAGTATTCCAGGACGGCAGTGACATAGACGGCAGCTAAAATTAGGTACAAATTAGTAAAGCTCATGGTGGGGAAAAGCGCGTGCCAAAACTCCATACCTTTCGCACCAACGCGCATCTTATTTTGCGTGTTGTTCTTCAAGAAGCGCTTGACACGACCACATGGGAACTGGCAAAACTAGTTAGACACAGATGTGACTTGGCAAACGTGCAAAACAAGCCATGCTGATCAAACAGCGTCGGAAAAATCAAGACAATAGGCAGCAATGGTAGATGAGATGAAACAAGGAACTCGAGACAAGCGACCGCTACTTCTAGGCATCGACAGGTCGAGAAAGGGAGAGAGGGAGAGTGGGGGGGGGAGGGGGTGCGACGAAAGGTACAGCTTCCGGAGCTTGAAGCCGTCGCAAATCCGGAAAATCGCGATCGGACGGAGCAGCCATTGAGAGATTGAAGTGTAGACGAAGCAATATACTGACCTGCAGACCGGCCTTCGCGCTGTGGGACTTTTGGGCCTTCCCCGCAGAGTCCTTGGAGCTTGCCTTCCCACCAACAGACTTTCCCTTTCCGCCAGGCATTTTGAGAAAAGTGTCGAGATTCGGAGTCGCGGGTGATCAAGTGTCGCGTCGAGCAGGGTTCGGGCACGATGGAACGTGATGGTGGACGTTGAACGAATTCGAGACACCGACGGCACGCGCGTTGTTGATGGATGAAGGAGTCAGAAATGTCAGAGCCATCCTGGTCGCTAAAGACGGCATCGAGCCTGGGATGACGCTAGTCCTATTTAGGTAACCAACTCAGCTTCGCTCGAACCATGGAGATGCCTCGAGGCGGAGGGCGTCTGGGAGGCAGTGCACCAAAGGGAAGGAGAGAATGAACTCACTCAATGTTGGTACAGAGCAGTTGCCTGCCCACTGACTTGGATAAAGTGCAAGCCACTTGAGAGAGGACGGAAGTGTGTCCCGATTCTGGTCCTCAGCGGCAGGCTGTAGGCCCCAAGATGCTTGATATTGGCTGGCATTTCCAGAATGCCATCCTGGGGAAGCAAGTGAATATTTTGGATGCTTCTCCCTAGTGCACAGGGTTGACCCTTTCAGCATATATCAGAGCATAGTTGCGCAGTGACTGGTTTGAAGCTCATCGTCGAGGTACAGAATGTTTCAGATTCAATGAGAGTCGACAATTGTCTTGGGTGGGTTACGTCAGCCACAGCTGACAGCTGCTTGCTGCCTCAGGCTCAAATCTTATCGGAGAACTGGCCCGTGCGGCGCTCTTTGTTCTGGAAGACTCTGCACGTGATTTTTGCCTATCAGGACAGATGTCCGACTTCCGGGATGGCGAGCTTGACGAAGTTTCTGCTCGCGTGGCCTTCGACTCCAACGTTCCCCTTTTCACCTCATCGCGCGACAACTTGAGCAATTTACTCCGTCGTCTCTCACAATCATTGTCAAAATGGTGTCTCCTCAAATGTAGGCGTTCCCTGCGCATCCTCATTCTTGTACTCCGCTCGACGCCACAACAGCACCATGCATACCTCGCTCATTTTACGTTGCTTGATGAACTATTGTTGACCAAATGTTCGATCTGCAGAACAAACCTGGCGATCATCGTCGTGATGATGCAGCTGGCCAAGAAGGTTCCGTTCGACAACCCTGATGTCCTTATGCTAGTCCGTGGCATCTACATCTTGTCCAACGTGATCATCCTGAGTCTCTACCTCTACACACAGGCTCAAATCAAGAAAAAGAATGGTTGGTCTTCCCGCGCCCTGCGCATCTTCTTCCTTGTATGCGCCGAATAAAGTCAAGGCTTAGTTGAGCTAATTTGTTGCGTCTTTTTTGTAGATCTCACGACCTTGAAATACGTCGAGCCTGCTCCGCTCGGAAGTGGCGAGGAGGCCCGTCCCGTTACAACCACCAACTCGGAGTACGACAAGGGACAGCTGCGCCAGCTCATCAAGAGCCAGATGATGGGTGTTGGTATGATGGGTGTTATGCACCTGTACATGAAGTACACCAACCCCCTTCTGATCCAGTCGATCATCCCTCTCAAGGGTGCGTTTGAGTCGAACCTGGTGAAGATCCACGTCTTTGGCAAGCCAGCCACCGGCGACCTCCAGCGTCCCTTCAAAGCTGCCAACAGCTTCCTCAGCCAAGGTCAGGCCAAGACCGACAAGGCCTCTCTGGAGAACGCAGAGAAGAACTGGAGGGGTGGTGTCAAGGAGGAGTAAGCATGCCAGTACCGGTCAATGCATGGAGTGTTGTGAGAAGCGCACTCTTCCCTCTGTGTATCAATAGATGTGATGCTGTGCGTGCGGATAGATGCCGCTTGGAATTTCTTCCTGACTGAGACCTTAAGTTGGAAGAATAACATTGCTCAACTTCTAAATATATTTTCGAATATATCAAGCTCTTTGCTGTCCTCATGTTAATTGTCCTGTAAATATACGTCAAAACACAAGGCCAGCGAGGCTATGAGTTTCTGCGTTGCTCACTAAGACTCAAACTCACCTCCCCAGCTCAACCCCTTCCTTTTGCCTTGATCATTAATCTGAGGACCCTGCAGGATGATGTTGCACAGAGGCAAAGACGCATCGTAGTATCGACCACGCGACTCGTGAGCATCGGATGATAGCAACTCATCGCCACACCAACGGCGCACGGTGATTGAGCGCCTCATGGGCGCAAATGCCACGCGGTAGCCTTGCTTGACTCAATGATTTGTTCGATGATTATAAAGAGTGACCGCCACTGCAAGCAAGTTGTTGTATGATCGATGACTCTGAATTATAGTACAATTACTAATGCCAGCCAGACACAAATATGCCACGTAAAAGCAGCGAATAATTCATGACAGAGCTCTTAGCCTGACCGACGTCTGGACCTTCGCCGAACGGGGATCATCCTTTTCCATTCGTCGACCGGTCAAATATAAGCAGCGACATCTCCACCAATGTAAAATTGTGATTGAGCTCGTGAGCTTCGATCAGCCTTCGATCCAGCTACCGGTGACTGCTTCTGGCGCGCGGAGAGAGCGGAAGCAGAGCAACCATGCCAGAAGAGGCGCCAAGTTTGCCTGGCGGCTCAGAAGAGGGGCAGCGGAATTTAGATACCCCGTCTCCGGGATGCTCCCTCAGCCCAAAGCGGCAAGGCGGGCGTTTGCCCCTCGTTGAAAGCTCCATTGCATCATCAATTGTTTGGGCGGCCCCTCTTTGGAGCTTCACCGTCAGTAAGCGAGCTGGAATGTGAAACGAGGAGAGGAATAGCCGTCCCCGAGATACCATGCCAGTAACCTAGGTAGAACAGCCCAATTGATCCCGATCTGCTGGCAAAACATTCACGAGATGGTCCCCTGGAGGAGTGAGTACCCGGCTTGATAAATATGCAACAAGCCTATTGGCCGATCCGGCAGCTGTAGCAGTTCCAAATATCGTGACTCTCCTGCTTTGCCCGGTGTATGAAACCGGAAAGGCTGCTAAGGAGCTGGCCAGCGGCGCAGACCGGGTACACAGGCTGACAATCGACCCATTCGATGTTTTGCCGTCGCATTTGCTGGTGCTTTTGGCAGCTTTGCCCCGTCTGTCCGCCCGGTGTGTGGCCGCCTCCGTCAGCGGGATAGGACGAGGTGACCAGGTCGTTGCGTCAGTGCAGGGAGTGCTGCCATATTTTTCTACTCCTCCTCTCCCCACCATTGTCTCTTCCCTCTTCTTTTCTTTCCTCTTCTCCCCATCACTCTGTTTTTTCATCGACGAACTTCACACATTTCCATCTAAGTAAGTCTCTTCCGCTGTACTCGTGCCATTGCTCGCCCTCAGCTTCTTCTCCTTCCTGCTTGGAGCTTGACTAACAGCTACCCCGCTTTACCATAGACACCCAAACAATGGCTCCTAAGGTATGGTTGAAAGCCAGACGGGCATCCAAAAGGCAACAATCTTACTAAACTCATCCGTACAGGTTGGAATCAACGGCTTCGGTCGTATTGGCCGCATTGTAAGTGCTGCTTTCTCATTGCAACCCCTCCCAGGCTAATCCAGCTTCCAGGTCTTCCGCAACGCGTAAGTCCCGTCTCCTCCGTGGCCGCCGTTTCCGGCGCCTAAGAGCCTGGGCCGGCTTTGAACGGCTCGTACAACTCATTTCGGAATACGTTTTTAACATATTTTGTCTTGCAGCCTTGAGGCCGGTGACTCCGTCGACGTTGTTGCCGTCAACGACCCTTTCATTGAGACTCACTATGCTGTACGCCGCCTGCCCGCCAATCGGGCCCTATGGAAGCTAACTATGCTTCAACGTTCTAGGCCTACATGCTCAAGTATGACAGCACTCACGGTCAGTTCAAGGGTACCATCGAGACCTACGACCAGGGTCTCATTGTCAACGGCAAGAAGATCCGCTTCTACTCCGAGCGTGACCCTGCCGCCATCCCCTGGGGTGAGGCCGGTGCCGAGTACATTGTCGAGTCCACTGGTGTTTTCACCACCACCGACAAGGCTGGTGCCCACTTGAAGGGTGGTGCCAAGAAGGTTATCATCTCTGCTCCTTCTGCCGATGCCCCTATGTTCGTCATGGGTGTCAACAACGAGACCTACAAGAAGGACATCCAGATCCTCTCCAACGCCTCTTGCACCACCAACTGCCTTGCTCCTCTCGCCAAGGTCATCAACGACAAGTTCGGCATCGTTGAGGGTCTCATGACCACCGTCCACTCCTACACCGCTACCCAGAAGGTCGTCGACGGCCCCTCCGGCAAGGACTGGCGTGGTGGACGCACCGCCGCCCAGAACATCATCCCCTCCTCCACTGGTGCTGCCAAGGCTGTCGGCAAGGTCATCCCTGCCCTCAACGGCAAGCTCACCGGTATGGCTATGCGTGTGCCTACCGCCAACGTCTCCGTTGTCGACCTGACTGCCCGCCTCGAGAAGGCCGTCAGCTACGACGAGATCAAGCAGGCCATCAAGGCTGCCTCCGAGGGCGAGCTCAAGGGTACGTAACTTGCCGTCTAGGAATATTGGAGCCCTCGCTAACTTCGTAACTAGGCATCCTCGGCTACACTGAGGACGACATTGTCTCCAGCGACTTGAACGGCGACACCCGCTCTTCCATCTTCGATGCCAAGGCTGGTATTGCCCTCAACTCCAACTTCGTCAAGCTCGTCTCCTGGTACGACAACGAGTGGGGTTACTCCCGCCGTGTCGTTGACCTCATTGGTAAGTTACATCTGTGGTTGATTGTGAATGTCTGATCCAGTTTGCTAACTTTTCCCTAGCCTACATTGCCAAGGTGGATTCGCAATAGCAATCAGCGCAAAAACCGGAGGCTAGAAGCTTTCTCTAAATGAAACTTCCTGATCCTCAAACTACGGTTCTCAACAGGATTGAGTAAACCACACATCCGTGTCCGAAAGTTCCTATCTAAAGAGTGTCATCTGAAGAGACATGGAGGATCCTGGCCTAAAAGCCCATGATAACGTACTATTTTAATGACAAATACACGATTGAACTCGTCAGTTTCCCAACATTTAGATTTAAAATGTTTCTCTATTGATATAACTCCTACTCTTGATGGCTTTGTTGAATGGGCTGCACAAGAAGAATAATGACTGATGTAGTACTAGTAGACTACTGCACTGCAATCTTAGAACCATGTAAATTCACCTGTAGAACTATTCCAGGGGGCATAATTGCTCAATCGCTGAGGATTGTATATCCCGGGGGAGAGCGGGTCACGTGAATGGCACTTTGGCAGCTCCCGCCGTAAACTCGGTCGTAGAAGCTCCAACCAAACTCCCAGTCTAGAGCATCCCCATTCGGTGCGCGCGCCGTGGCCCTTTAGTTTCAGCTTTCTTTCTTGAATTTGATGTGTCTAAGCTCCGACACTACTGGGCCCAGCAATATTTTTTTCTTGACCTGCGTTGCTTTGCTATGCAATGGTTGAGACTTGCTCTTGACCTGCGGACATTTGGGTTTTGCGCCTAGAGCTATCTAGTTCCTGCCCCATCGCCTCGTTCTCCGCCTACCAGTCAACTACTATTCTATCTTTGACTCTTCCGGCTTTTGTTCTCATCCTATATCCGAACTGCCAGGTGCTTTATTGGGGTCCTCTCCCTTTGTCCACCTCAGATAGGGCCTGCCAGCCACCATCTCCCTTATCCTGCGTGCGAGATTCAGTTATTCAGTTCCAGCATTGAAGTACTCCCTTCTTCTTCACTGCCAGGCTGGTCATGAAGTGCTAGTGCACCTGGTTTCTTTCACGTGACAAGGGAGACAAAGCAAAGTTAAACAAGCTCCCTTTCGATGACCATGGGAGAGGATGAAGATACCATCATGGGCGAGGCACTTCCCCATGCCCACCCTGCTCCTTCAAACCATCTAACCACGGATGGGGCCTCCAAGCAGAGAGTTTCTGGCCATTTAAACGGGGAATCCGACCCATATCTTGCATCACCTCTACTGAGCCAGCCTGTACAGATGCCTGTGATTACTCAATCTGGTAACTCAATGTCAGTAGAAGCGAGCGTCTTGATAGACAAGCAGGGGGAAGTGTCCTCTAAAGATGCTGAAGGTTCAGCCGGTCCTGCAGGTTCTACTGCTGCGGACGCTCAAGAACAGCAGGACAGCGCTGCAGAGGAGAATTCAGACTGGTCCGATGACGATGAGGTCGCCCACGTTGGTCTTCCACTTGCTTCGTTGCCTTCAGGGCTCTGTTACGATGTTCAGATGCGTTACCACTGTGAAGTCCGACCAACCTCAGATGTGCACCCGGAAGATCCGAGGAGAATCTACTACATCTTCAAGGAGCTCTGTCGGGCAGGGCTCGTTGACGATATAGAATCTACGAGACCGCTTGTAGCGCGACCTCTCAGACGAATCAATGCCCGCAACGCGACAGAGGAAGAGATATCTCTCGTCCACACAACCGAACATTATGCTTTTGTCGAGAGCACGAAAGGTATGGACACTGCCTGGTCCACGCCGTATTTTCTTCTAATAACTCTACAGATATGTCTGACGAACAACTTATTGAGCTGGAACACACTCGTGATTCCATATATTTCAACAAACTCACTTTTGCTTCGTCCTTGCTGTCTGTGGGAGGCGCGATCGAAACATGCTTAGCTGTCGCTACTCGCAAAGTGAAAAATGCTATTGCCGTCATCCGCCCTCCTGGTCATCACGCTGAGCATGACAAGACAATGGGATTTTGCCTTTTTAATAACGTCTCTGTCGCGGCGCGCGTTTGTCAGAAACAGCTGGGCGATAGCTGCAGGAAAATCTTGATTCTTGACTGGTATGTCCTACGTACCCTAGGCGCCTGATAAACGTAACTTACTGACTGGTAAAGGGATGTTCATCACGGTAATTAGATCCGTCAAGGAAACACGAATATACTCGGCGCTCACATCCTTTAGGAAACGGGATTCAGAAAGCATTCTACGACGACCCTAACGTTCTGTACATCTCGCTCCATGTTTACCAGGATGGGAAATTCTACCCTGGAGGAGACGAAGGTGACTGGGACCACTGCGGTGCTGATGCAGGCGTGGGAAGGTTTGTCGATTGTTCTCATGATGCCATATGTAACCCACGACTGACGGTGTCACAGGAATGTCAACATACCCTGGCCTAGTCAAGGAATGGGTGATGGCGACTACATGTATGCCTTCCAACAGGTGGTTATGCCTATCGCTCAAGAGTTCAACCCCGATTTGGTGATTAGTACGTGTTCCCTACTCCCCGCATCAAACTTCGGCTAACTTCTATAGTCGCCTCCGGTTTTGATGCCGCCGTAGGTGATGAGCTGGGAGGTTGTTTTGTCACACCGGCTTGCTACGCTCACATGACACATATGTTGATGACGCTTGCTCATGGAAAAGTTGCCGTGTGCTTAGAGGTTAGCAGCATCCCTTTATGATGTCTTGAGCAACCTGACCGGTAATTCCAGGGAGGTTACAACTTTAGATCCATCTCAAAATCCGCCCTCGCTGTCACCAAGACACTCATGGGAGATCCGCCAGATCGACTCCACTCCACTTCCCCTTCGGATATGGCAGTTTCCACTGTGAGGCGTGTGATCATGATTCAGTCCAGCTACTGGCACTGCATGTATCCAAAGGGGCCTCAAGGGGAAGGGCTCTGGACCGATAGGCTTCATGGTAGGTGCCAAATGAGTGAATATGGGCCATAGGGCTGACCAGACTGTAGATGTCATTCGCGCATACCAGGCTAAGCAGCTTTATGACAATCATCGACTGACGTCTCTGTATATCTATCGAACTTCGATATCGAAATCATTTGAGAATCAAGTCCTGGCTAGGTAGGCGTAAGCGAACCGAGGGCAACGGATGATACTAATATCTTGAAGTCCGAATTACCATACGGCCACTCCGCTACTGGTCTTCTTCCATGATCCGTGAGTATCACTTTCTTGCAGAAATATTGTCCATATCTCACGAGGAATAGACCTGAAATAATGGGACTGCCCCACCCAGTGACTAACGGACTGGAGGCGCACAACTGCTGGCTTGTAAGTGGAGCGCTCTTCGGCTACAACGGCTGCGCTGACTGAAACAAGGCTGATGTCATGAAGGATTATGTTGAGTGGGCTATTGGCAAGGGTTATGCCGTGATTGACGTGAACATCCCAAAACATGTCACAACAGACCCGGTAAGTGTAGACGTATAGGTATTTTTTTTTTTTTCGTACTAACTGACAAATCTACAGACACATAATAGATACGAGGGAGAGGATGAAAATCGGCCAACAGCGACTGAAGAGTTGGCAGGATACTTGTGGGATAACTATATCGAGTAAGATTGTGCGCTGCTTCTAGGCCTCTAGACTGATACTAATATCTGATTCTAGCCCTAATGAAGCGACGGAAGTGTTCTTTATCGGGATCGGGAATGCATTTTTCGGGGTTGCCAATCTTTTAATCAATAGAGGTAAGTGACTTCGGGCAGTTCTGATATGGGGAAGCTAAAACTCGCAGCAGAGACATTATACCAGCGGATCAACGGAGTCATTTCATTTGTTGCGGAGAATCCGGTTCGTGCAGTTGCTTCGTCCACGCAAGTTTGGTTGTCGAGATGGTACAAAGACGTAAGTTCCCCTCATCCCTTCAATAACCAAGCCTTGCTGACTTGGGAAGAATTCGCTTGTCTTTGTTTCGCACGCACATGGTGTCTGGAAGAGTACAGACCGGCGCAAGCCATCCAAACGCTACGGGCACCTTCTCCAGTCACCAAAAGCCGGGCTCAGTGAGATGCTGATGCACCACAAAGACGATGTTTTCCAATGGATCCAACAGCGGGCTGAACCGCCTGATAGCGACGAGACGGACGAAGAGAAGCCGGCGAGCCGTTAGTTGACATAGGATGAGACGGGTGCAGGACTTCCGAGAGCGGGCCCATGATGCGCTTTCTATTACTTTTATGATTTGATTCAATTGCGGCGATTTGGAATATTTGGCTGATGGACTTGATTTGTCTTGTTTCTTCATGTTCAGTGAGGTCCATCGGGAACGGTGGGAATGGCTTGAAATGATCAGCGCGGAGAGTGAAACATGGCGAACGAGCCACTCGCTTGCATGTCTTTAGTGCCTTCTTCACACCTCATGATTTTTAACCAAATATCCGATATTTATCTCCGAAGCTCCCCACACCTTGGCACTGACCTTCTTGCGGGGGCTGAGGGTCTCACCCTCCCCTCTCTCGTTCTAACCGTGGTCTGACCTTACCTGCCGATACCCTGTCTCTCCCTAGACTTGCATGAAGTCATCATAGCTCCAAGTCAGATGATGACTGAGACAAAAAAATGCAGACTAACACGGGCTGCCAATACGTGAGCTTCCTTGGGGAACGGGGAACCAGGATCAGGTCCGTGGCACTTTTCCACACTCTACCTACTCCGGATGTTCGTGAACAACTCCTGAGACATCTGTAAAGCTAGTTCATGCCAGCTTCACTCACGCGATGCATGATTGGGCTCCATCCAGCCTGCCCATATCCTAGCAGCAAGATGACTAGTCTCCGATCATGGACTTTTCTGCGCAGGATGTAACTGTCTCACCACAGCCCCGCTGGATGAGTCTTGTCTGATTGTCGAGGCTCGTATACTCCACGACATGGCCAATCTCATGGCTTCTCGCCATGTCTAGCGCCTGCGAGGGACGTCAGGCTGCCGTATCCGTGGGGTCCCCAGCCCTACCTTTGGTACCTTGAGGTTGAGATGCGATCGTCGTCTTGCCCGGGCTGGTGGCCTGAGTTAAGTCAGAAGATACGGTGAGAGACAACAGGGACTGGAAGGGAGAGCTCGCCGGTTCAAGCATGCATATTGCAGTGAGAGCAAAACCTATATAAGGATGGTATTCCTCCCTCGATTCAGACACAACATCTTCCTCTCCATCAAGCCTTTCACTGGAACTATCACTGAAGCCACTTGCACCTACTTCCAAATCTCATAAAGATCAAAATGCACCTCCCAAGCCTCGCAATCGTCTCTCTCGCGGCCCTGGCCCCGCTCGCCAGCGCCTTTGGCTCCGCAAAGGTAACCAACAACTGCCTTGCAAAGATGTACCTCTGGTCCGTCGGCGGTTCCATCAGCCAAGTCCACACCATCAACCCCGGCCAGTCCTATAGCGAGCAGTTCCACCGCGACCCAGCCTCGGGAGGTATCTCGCTCAAGATCTCCCGCCGGCCCAACGGCCTCTACGACGGCAGCCCGCAGCTGAACTTTGCGTATACCCTGGACCCGAACCAAGTTTGGTATGATCTGTCCACTGTCTTTGGGACTGCATTCCAGGGCAAGATTCTCTCTGTCTCGTCGGAGAATGAGGACTGCCCGACTATTTGCTGGCCCACTGGCACGCAGCCCGCTGGCAGTCAGGTCAAGACTTGTGAGCCGAATTCGGATCAGATCCTTACACTTTGTGCGGATGAGTGCCCGGCTTAGGTTGACGGGATGATGCTATCTCGGTATTTGGTCTGGAGTGACTCTTATGCTGCAAGGCTTTGACAGTGTTGATTCCTGGGATAATGTGAAGGAAGTACATCGATGGACATCACGGAATGTACATACATCTTGTTTTGGGCTCTGCTAGTTAATTCGAGGAAGTACTTATGGTTACCGTTGCAACATATTTACTGTCTTCCCTATCTTGTAATTAAATCGTCGGGGGTTGCGCACCAGTTCTGGTTGCTATTTGTCCTGCCAGTTACGAGAACTTCCGTGCTCAGCGTAAGCTGCATAGAGCGGCTTAAAATTGATTCCATGGCATCTGATCGCCAGGCAGTTCATTGGTAAATTTTGATGCGAGGCTCCCATTCTTACAACCTGAGTGGACGATGATTAGATGAGCGTAACCAGGTAATCTCGCTAGAGCTACCACCGGGCAAAAGGTGGCACGATCCATTGGCCACTGTATGATTCGATCTGCAAGGCAATGACCACGGGCCGGAGCAGGTACGAATGCCGAGTATATAAGATGAGCAATATGTAGCCTGATTAAAATGCGGCTCTTCTTTCCCCCCTTTTCTTCAACTTCAACGCGAGGCTCCAACTTCGACCCGGCGAATCAGTCTGGCATGGATGGCTTCCCCAGACCCCAGCCTCGCTATGGAAGACTCCCGGCCACAGCTCGCACCAGCCAATCAATTGGCGACCAAAGAGCCACTTTTGTTGGCGTCAACATCGTCGAGAGACGATGGATTCATCCAGATCCTCCATCCTGGGATCGTCTCGTCCGAGGCTCAGGCTCACCGCCCCGCTGAGATGCCGATGAGATCGCACATGTCTTGCTCCAAAGACCCCTTGCAATAATCACGCGAGGTACTATTGAAGTCCACATTCCACTATTTCATACCATTGGGCTCTATTGCATTTTTTGCCTCTTCCTGAGTTACTCATCCCGAGCTGTTGTGGCGTGCGTTCCAAGCCCGCACGCACACCATTCAGGCTCACTTCTTTATCTCCCTGCCTCATTCTATCCTTGCCCAGTTTCCATTCCTCCTGGTCAATATTGACTAAAGAGGCTGCGCCTGCTTACTTTCCAGCCACCGACTGATCGTTCCGGGCCACCTTCCCAGGAGAAACACACCTGATCTTCCTCGCGGCGCACTCCCTTTTATGCCGTCCGCAAGGTCCTCTGCTGCAGCTCTCCGCGTGTGGAACAACAGAGGCCCGTCCATCGCCAACGCTTCCTTATACTGTCCATCCTCTGCTTATCGCCCCTCCCTTGTCGTCGGCGCTGCCTTCTTGTCGGTCGCCCGTCTTCCTTATTCCACTCTCGCACGATCGCCCTCTCACCCTCTTCGCTCGCCCTTTCTTCCTTTGCGCATTCCGCATCAGAACCGCCTTTCCGCTCTTCAGTCCACAAAAAACACAAGGAATATGACAATGAGATCGGTTGAGCGCCTAACAGAGGGGCTGGAAAAGCCATCCCTGGATGACCGCTCTTACCGGGTCATCCAGCTACGCAACAAGCTGGAGGCTCTGTTGGTACACGATCCGGAGACAGACAAAGCTGCCGCGGCCATGGATGTCAATGTGGGAAGTTTTAGTGATCCACCGGACTTGCAAGGTCTTGCCCATGGTTTGGAACACATGCTGTTCATGGGAACTGAGAAGGTGCGCTTCTTTTTTGAACTTTATTGAGTCGTCAGATCTAACCATCGCTGTTGTGATAGTACCCGAAAGAAAACGCATACAACCAATACCTTGCCTCCCACTCCGGATCGTCCAACGCTTACACCGCTGGCACTGAAACAAACTATTTTTTCGAAGTGTCTGCGACAGGTACCTCTGGGGAAACATCGAGCGGCCAATCTACCCCCAACGGAACAAATGGCACGCCTGCATCGTCAGATTCCGAATCGAGCACAACGTCGCCTCTGTATGGCGCTCTTGATCGCTTCGCGCAATTTTTCGTCGCACCACTTTTCTTAGAGAATACACTCGACCGTGAGATGCGGGCCGTAGACTCCGAAAACAAGAAGAATCTCCAGAGTGATCTGTGGCGCTTGATGCAGTTGAACAAGTCACTGTCCAACCCGGAGCATCCCTATAATCATTTCTCGACGGGAAATCTGCAGACGCTTAAGGAGGAGCCGCAGAAGCGGGGCATAGATGTTCGCAATGAGTTCATGAAGTTCTATGAAAAGCATTATTCGGCCAACAGGATGAAGCTAGTGGTGCTGGGACGCGAGTCGCTAGACGAGATGGAGCAGTGGGTGTCGCAATTGTTTGCGGATGTGAAGAATAAGGATCTGCCGCAGAACCGGTGGGACGACATTCCAATCTGGCAGTCGAATGACATGTGTAAACAGATCTTTGCTAAGCCTGTGATGGACTCGCGCTCGGTGGATATTTACTTCCCGTTCCTGGATGAGGAGCAGCTGTATGAGACGCAGCCGAGCCGATACATTAGCCATCTCATTGGGCACGAGGGTCCGGGCAGTATTTTGGCATATATCAAAGCGAAGGGCTGGGCTAATGGATTGTCTGCGGGCGTGATGCCCGTCTGCCCTGGAGCCGCCTTCTTTACTGTCAGCGTGAGGTTGACGCAGGAGGGTCTGAAGCAGTACCAGGAGGTTGTGAAGGTTATTTTTGAGTACATTGCAATGATCAAGGAACGGGAGCCGGAGGAGTGGATTTTCGATGAAATGAAGAATCTGGCTGAGGTGGAATTCCGGTTCAAGCAAAAATCTCCTGCCAGCCGCTTCACAAGCCGTCTGAGTACTGTCATGCAGAAGCCGTTGCCTCGCGAGTGGCTTCTCAGTGGCTCGCTCTTGAGAAAGTTTGATGCAGAGGGGATCAAGAAGGCCTTCTCGTACCTCCGCGCAGACAACTTCAAGATGATTATTGTCGCCCAGGATTTCCCAGGCGACTGGGACCAGAAGGAGAAATGGTATGGAACCGAGTACAAGGTCGAGGATGTTCCCCGAGATCTCATGGCCGAGATCCGGGCTGCGTTGGACACTAACCCGAACACTCGCCTATCCGAGCTGCATATGCCTCATAAGAACGAGTTTGTACCGACAAGGCTCTCGGTGGAGAAGAAGGAAATCGCCGAGCCTGCAAAGACCCCGAAGCTCATTCGTCACGACGACCATGTCCGGCTTTGGTTCAAGAAGGATGACCGCTTCTGGGTTCCCAAGGGCACCGTATATGTTACCCTGAGGAACCCGCTGGTCTGGGCCACGCCTTCTAATCTAGTAAAGTCCAAGTTGTACTGTGAGCTTGTCAGAGATGCTTTGGTGGAGTACTCCTACGATGCGGAGCTTGCTGGCTTGGATTATCATCTGTCTGCTAGTATCTTTGGTCTGGACATCTCTGTCGGTGGATACAACGATAAGATGGCTGTCCTCTTGGAAAAGGTTATTACGAGCATGCGTGATCTGGTTATAAACCCCGACCGCTTCCGTATCATTAAGGAGCGCCTGTCCCGTGGCTACAAGAACGCCGAGTACCAGCAGCCTTACTACCAGGTTGGAGACTACACCCGGTATCTCACGGCAGAGCGGTCTTGGCTCAACGAGCAGTACTCCAGCGAGCTGGAACATATCGAGGCCGAGGATATTCAGTGCTTCTTCCCTCAGATTCTTCGTCAAAACCATATTGAAGTCTTGGCGCACGGCAACCTGTACAAGGAAGATGCTCTTCGCATGACTGACTCTGTTGAGTCTATCCTGAAGAGCCGCCCTCTGCCTCAGTCCCAGTGGCATGTGAGACGCAACATGATCATTCCGCCTGGATCTAACTACGTCTATGAGCGCGCGCTTAAGGACCCAGCCAACGTGAACCACTGCATCGAGTACTACCTCTTTATTGGAGACATCACTGACGAGGCTCTGCGCTCGAAGCTGCTTCTGTTCGCCCAGATGACTGATGAGCCCGCCTTTGACCAACTCCGTAGCAAGGAGCAGCTTGGGTATGTTGTTTGGAGCGGCGCACGTTACTCTGCGACTACAATTGGTTACCGCGTGATTATCCAGAGTGAGCGCACGGCGCAGTACTTGGAGTCGCGAATCGACGCCTTCCTGACAAACTTCGGAAAGACATTGGAAAGCATGTCAGAGGACGAGTTCGAAGGCCACAAGCGTAGCGTCATCAACAAGAGACTCGAGAAGCTCAAGAACTTGGGCTCTGAGACTTCCCGATTCTGGACTCACATTGGATCCGAATACTACGACTTCCAGCAGAATGAGACTGACGCTGCTCGTGTGCGGGCCCTGACCAAGTCTGATATCCTTGACTTCTTCAAGCAGATGATCGATCCTGCGTCTACCACCCGTGGTAAGCTCTCGATCCATCTGAAGGCCCAAGCTGGTGTACCAGCTGCGGAGCCCAAGGAACAGAAGGCGCGGTTAGTTTCCCTTGTGAACAAGCATCTGGAAGGTGCTGGGTTCGCAGTGGACGGCGAGCGTCTCGGTGCCGCGTTGGAGAAAGTCACCCCTAGCGAGAACAGCCAAGTCCTATCCAGTGTGAAAACATTTTTAACCACAGAAATGAGTCTACTCGAACAACAAGTCTCACCGGTCCTTGAGAAGATCCAAGAGAGCCTCGGATTGGCCGCGAAGCAATTGGGTATTGAGTCGAAGAAGGATTCGGAAGAGACTGCTGTCGCCAACGGCACTGGAAAAACGACGGCCCACGAGGGCCCAACATACATCGCAAACGTCACAGAGTTCAAAGCTCGTCTGGCGGTCAGCACTGGACCTAGTCCCGTTACTGATCTCACCGAGTTCGAAGACTTTGATGCCAAACTTTAGATCTCTGGTTTGCTTCTAGTTGCATTGCCTGAGGTGCAGGTGGTGACGTGTGGAGCGTGGCGAGCATGTGTTGCTCCCTTTGTAGAAATAACCATTGATGTTGAAACTAGATTTCTTAAATCTCTTCAGCTGTTGTAGCTAGAGACTAGCGAACAAGAGAATGTGTATACTTGTTGCCTCAGGACACGAACCGGGCCGATGTTTTCGCGGAGCTCCAGCGCCAATCACCCAAACCTCAAGCTTGAGCTTGAGCAAGAATACCTAGTACGCCATTAATTATCTGCTAATCGCCAATTGCTCTTGAGCGTCTTGTCCTACTGAGCGCTGCGATCTCTCGGATTGACTATTATCCGTCAACATGTCAACAGCCACCGTCACCACCATGCAAAGCAGCCAACAGTGCGTCCCTCTTTGTCCCCGTCCCCGTCCCGTCCATACCTCCACACTACCAACTCCAAATCCCCAGCTCACCTTCTCCCTCCGCCAACCGCTTCCTACCTTCTAACAAGCCGCAATGACCAGACCAGTTGTCCCAAAGGACTTCTCCGCCAAACAACCGCAGACAATCCGCCTCTACCCGCTCTCCAACTACACATTCGGCACCAAGGAAACACAACCGGAGGAGGACCCCTCCGTGCTCGCTCGCCTGAAGCGTCTGGAAGAACACTATGATAAACATGGCATGAGGCGCACCTGCGAGGGGATCCTAGTTTGCCATGAGCACAATCATCCGCATGTGTTGATGTTGCAGATTGCGAATGCGTTTTTTAAGCTGTACGCGCTCCCCTTCATAAACACGGCACAACACAAACAAGCTCCGGGCAACGCAATTCAACCCAAACCAAACCAAACCAACGTATACTAATCCAGACCGAACAGACCAGGCGACTACCTCTACCACGAAGACGATGAAATCGAAGGCTTTAAGAAACGGCTCAACGAGCGGCTCGCGCCCGTCGGCTCGCAGTTCTCGGGCGAGGGCGTCAACGAGGATTGGGAGATTGGCGACACGCTTGCGCAGTGGTGGAGACCGAACTTTGAAACGTTCATGTACCCGTTCTTACCGGGCCATGTGACGCGGCCCAAGGAGTGCAAGAAGCTTTATTTCATCCAGTTGCCGAAGAAGAGTGAGTGCGCCCTCTCCGTCGTTCTATTCTATTTGGGTTTAGACCTGCAACCGTGGAAGAGTGATATGCTAACGATTTATCTGTTGGTGTATGTAGAGGTCCTCTCCGTCCCTAAGAACATGAAACTCCTCGCCGTCCCACTCTTCGAGTTATATGATAACACCGCTCGCTACGGCCCGCAGCTCTCGGCGATCCCACATCTCCTGTCGCGGTATAACTTTGAGTTTGTTGATGAGAACGATAACGTTGTGGCGGCGACGCCTGGGACACCAATGCCCGAGGGCCAGATTCCCCGAACAAAGGTTCTTGCTGGGGATGAGCAGGATCAGGGAATGGCCGATTACACGGAGGGAGGTGAGAATGGCCAGGGACAGTGAAGTTGTACGGAGCGAGATGGGTTGCGTAGAGTGTTGTACTGGCGGAGCCATGTAATGGGCTTCTTCTTGTGGTATAGGCCGGGTTGTCTTTTGTCCTTTTTCTCTGACCGACATGGATATATGTCTGACTATTTCGTTCTGGTGCTCATGATCGGCGTTGCAGGAGCGAGTCTTGTTGCTGTTCCTCGTTTTCCATTTGTGCGAGGTATTTACGTTACAGGTATCTGGAAAAGCTAGATAGGGAAATAATACCATCTCGTTTGGAATCGCGAGAGAGATTTGAGTGTAGGGAAGCAAGCAAAGGGCTACCGGGTTGGAGGAGGATGAGAGCCGGCCATCTGGTAACGCCAGTCAGTTTCGGAACTATGGCATCCTTTATTGGAGGAGTGCAGCCTCTTTATTTTCCATCTTGTGACTCTAGGACATATACATTATGGTAAGAAAGCTGCATGGAGGGTCTGCCTTTATCTACCCTCCCTTCACCTTCCTTATAACGCCTCACCCTGATTCACTTGCAGTTAAAGTTATCTCCAAGGCCTAAATAAGGTCTGATTAGTAGATCCCACTGCGAGAACTATGCCCAGGTGTGCTTTTAGGGTGCGTGAATTAGGAAAAAGATGAATGAGTTAACTAGAAGGAGGGAAAGTCCTCGAGTAGAGGGAATACTACCATATTGCTGCCAGAATTTCTCTACCTAAGCGTGAATTATCAAACATGAGCTCATGCGCACTGGAAGTATTTCACCATATTTAGCCTGCCTCCAGGTCCTCCCATTCCCTGCCTCTTTCTCTCTACGTACTTCTCACTTAGACTCTTTACACTCAGAGTTCTCTCTTCTCCCATCTCGAGCAATCACATCCACTCTCAAGTCTCTCTCTCAATCTAATAACACAATGTCCACCAAGTACCGCACCACCACTACCTTTACCCCCATCAACGCCAACACTACTACTAGTTGTAGTAGTAACACCAAGACCGAGACCGAGACTGACACTGAGGCCGATACCAATACCGACAGCGACAGCGTTACTACCCCCAGTCCCAACCTGGCCGTAGTCCCCCGCCGCCGCTACGACCCAGCTGTGCAAGCCCTCCACGGCGAGAACAAAAGAAAGCTCTGGGAAGTTGTCCGCCGTTCCGAGTCTCCAGCTCCATACCTTAAGTCCAAGTCCAAGATCGATATCTGGATCACCGTCCGCCTGACGGCTTGGGGCAACGCAAAACTCTGGGAAAGATGCAAAGGCCCGAAGCAGAAGGAAGTCTGGAGATACCCGTGCTATGACTTTGTTATGAGGGAGGGGGCGCTTAGTGAAGAGCAGGTATGTGTTTTCTATCTTCTTTCAAGTTTCTATTCTATCCTGCCCTCGCTATCCCTTTTCGATATATGCCAGTGGTGTTTGGAATAGTGTTGCATGTACTGACAACATCTTTTTCTGAAACGCAGATCCTAACCGGCCGCCCATCCTACATAAACGCCATCCTCATCGCGTCCCGTGGCAAGCAAATGGCCGTACCGTGCACTCGCAACAGGCGGCGCCTCTTCCGAGACAGTATCCGCATTCCAGGCATCTGGCTTGGTGCGTGTGCGGGCTGCAAGTGGACAGATAGAGCGAAAGTTTATGGGTTCAATTACGAAGAGAGGAAGGGATATAAAGAGGAGAGTATTGTTGAGGAGCAGTACAGGCCTCCCAGGAAGTACCTGGCGGCTGTTCCTGGGGAGAGGGATGTAGATGAACAAGAGGAAGGAGAAGATGCTAAAGTGAAGGTTGAGCAGGACGAATAAGCGGGGAGTGAGGATAACCATGAGGCTGGGGGGAAGTGAGTGGGAGTGAAAATCCTTGCTGATTACGCATGTATCTAACGTGAAATGAGTTTGATATTGAATGAGGGATAGGCGGGGTACTCCGGAGATGGGGAATATTTTCTGGATGGACTGGTTAGTACAAGGCCTGGTTACCGGAGAATATTAGCGGTTATGTACCTCGCTTAAACGACGCACTCTATCCCTAGTCAAGTCATCGTAGGCATGGAAGATAGAGACACTACCAGGCGTCTTGGGCCGAATAATGAATGGAAGGTACGACTAGTGAAGCCTTGGTCGTTCCTTGCTCTTTCGCTGTCGGTCAACCATATTCAGAAAGGAAGGAGCTACCTGTCGTTGCCACGGTGAAAGACGTAGCTTCCCTATTTGGACAATACCGTATACATCCAGGTAAAGAAAGTGCGATCCAGGACCTCCGGGTTTGAGGATCGATGGGGAAGGTGCTCTGCTGGCAAATGGCTGGCAATGGCACTGTGCGTGTCCAATTGTGGCTTCAACTCTCAGCCATATTGTAGTAGTCAAGAGCCATTATGTTAGGGTTGGGGCGCCATGTCAGACCTTGGAGAAAGATACGCGCCATAGTCGAAGTGCATTGACGGATTTAGGGCTGCGCTACGTTCGTCCACTGGGCCAGACGGGGTATGCCGAATGCTAGTTCCCGGTTGGGCACGAAAAGAAGCCCTACCTTTCTATTCCAGTTTTCTTCAAATCTTTCTTGAGGCCTGATAATCATTTATCCAGTAGTCCGCCAACACTTGGGCAGAACGAAGCGTGCGTTGCCTGGAGGTGATGGACCTGGAGAGATGTCAACTTGTCTCGCGTGCGATATCAAGCTAGAATGTACCGCGCTCTATAGCATGAGACGTTGTGTTTCCTCCCTCTTTCTGCTCTTCTGATATGCGAAGGAGGAGGAGGAGTATGGGCGTTTGTGAGACAAATCATGGGCGTATAACTATATCAGATTCTCAAATTGGGGACAAACAATCATATCGACAAAAGATGTTGACCGAGCTCTCGACGTAATTATTTCAGTTCAGGAAGGATACGTAATGTTCTGGGACCTCCTCGATGCTTCCAAGGTTTACACCTTGATGCATTTTGATATCATCGCCCTGGCGGCGGGTCGCGTTTCGCGAACTGCCCCACCCATCAGCCATATGACCGGTTTATCGTCCATGCTTATGAACATTTGAAAGATCCACTTGCCGGAGTCGAGAATCAGGATATCAAGTGTAGTATAGAATTCTCAGAGTCTGGCCGACTCGAATTCACGAGCGCAGGTCTCAGTTGCCATCCAAGATGCTTGGGCGCATCCTATCAATAGAACATGCCGACAGCAAGATACGACGCTATAAAATTCTTCGCCGGGTCCTGACCCATGCGAGGCGAAACACGCCTCTGGACTGTCGCGACGGCCAGGGGTGTGTATATAAAAACTGGAGAAGAGCGCGGATAACCGAGCCCAGATTTTGCGAGGATATCGTCGGCTTTGTGCGGCTCCAGCCACAATTCCGAGCCCGCACTAGCCACTTTGCCGTCCGTAGCCGACCACACGCTTGAATTTGATACTTTTATTGGTCAATGGCACCAGTACCGTACCTTGTGGCTGGAGCTCAAGGTCCAGATTAGGAGATTCTTGCTCCTGGTATCTGTGCGGAAAAGAATGGATCCTGGTGTTGTCGGGATGTAGTCGCGATGGCTCCATCATGGTGGGCTTCCCGAGACCCGAGTAGACAGGTTGATAGCAAAGAGAAAAAATTTTGTAATGCTGGAGCACTTATATCAAGGGCCCTGGATCCCGGAGGTGTTTCTCGTAGAGAAAAATAGATAACTGCATGATTCGCAATCGAGAACTCTACATCGGTATTGTTGTAAACGCGCTCGGCCCGATAGACCCTGCCGAATTAGGGCAAACATGGACCACCATGCAGATGCAACCCGAGACAAGGACATCGACCTTTCCGTTTCCGATGCTGACACAATAAGCGACGCTTATTCCGACGATACCGATACCCTAGAGCAGCCCGATTCGCTTGAACTCGCCCGGATCGAAACACATCGGCTTCAGCAAAAGACAACGGTCGGGTCAACGAGAGGCCCTCTGCCGCGCGGGGAATGGATGCCCATGGGTGCTGGAAAGGAGTATCCGCCGTTACTCCCTGACCCAGAGCAGTTTGTCGTTGAATTTGACGGTGCAAATGATCCGTTACACCCGTATAACTGGACACTTCTGAGACGGTTCGTTTAAATCTTAAATGAGAGTAGGACTTTTGCTGACGATGTCTAGGATCTTCCTCGTTTGTATCCTCTCGTATAGCACATTTGCCAATTCATTCACAAGCGCCGTATTTTCCGCAGCGATCGGATCCGTCAGCGAGGAGTTCAATATCGGAAGAGAAGCTGCATCACTGGGCGTTACATTATTCGTTCTTGGCTTCGCAGCAGGTCCCATAGCCTGGGCGCCCATGTCAGAAATCATCGGACGACGCTTGCCAGTATGCATTGGGATCTTTGGATGCGGAATCTTCACCATCGCTTGCGCAACGGCTAAGGACGTCCAGACAATCATGATATCCCGATTCTTCGCCGGACTTTTCGCCGCCAGCCCGATTTCGATCGTCCCCGCCGTGTTCGCGGACCTGTTTTCCACCGCGCAGCGCGGAGTCGTCATGTCCATTTTCTGCATGGCAGTCTTTGTTGGTCCGTTCGCTGCGCCCTTTGTCGGCGGCTTCATCGCCATGACCCTTGGCTGGCGATGGATCATGTACATCTCCGCGATCATGGTCTTCCTTGGCTTTGTCCTGGTCGTCTGCTGGATGGACGAGACCTACGCGCCCGTCATTCTCGTGCACAAGGCAGCTGTGCTGCGACGTCAAACGCATAACTGGGGAATTCACGCGAAGCAAGACGAGGTCGAAGTGACATTCGTTGAGCTCCTCCGAAACAACTTTACGCGCCCGTTGAAGATGCTGGTCACCGAGCCCATTCTCCTTCTGGTCTCATTGTATATCTCGTTCGTGTACGGGCTTATGTATGCCCTGCTAGGCGCATACCCCGTCGTCTTCCAAGGTGTATATGGCATGAACATGGGAGTCGGAGGGCTGGCTTTCATCGGCATTATCATCGGCGAACTTCTTGGCGGCGTATATGTCCTGTGCCTACAAGGCTCATACCAACGGAAACTTACAGCAAACAACGACCAGCCGATTCCTGAATGGCGCTTGACCCCAGCCATCGTCGGCTCGGTAGCTTTCTCAGGAGGCCTGTTCTGGTTCGGCTGGTGCGGATACAGAGCAGATATTCACTGGATGGCGCCGATTGCATCGGGGCTGCTGACTGGATTCGGTATCTTCTGTATCTTTCTGCAGTGTTTCAACTATATCGTCGACTGCTATCCTACCTTGTAAGTTCCTTTCCTCTATCGATCTCTTGGGCCATGGCTAACCAAAGCAGGGCTGCATCGACTATCGCTGCGAATACAATTCTCCGATCGGCGCTCGGATGTGCTTTTCCGTTGTTCTCGCGACAGATGATGGAGAACCTCGGCGTCCAGTGGGCAGGTACCCTGCTCGGATGCTTGGCGGTTGCAATGATTCCTATCCCAGTCGGATTTCAGGTCTATGGGCCCTGGCTGCGACAAAGGAGCAAGCTTGCCTCTGCGGCGGTTGCTCCCTCCCATAAAAAGGGCGACGTCTGAAAGTTTTGACCGCGCCAAAGGCCTCGTCCTTTTCATGATACCCACTTAGCCGCTGTGTTAGCGGCACCCAGTCCCTATTTCGGGGTCGCATTCAGCTGTCCCTCACTGGAACGGCAGAGGCATTGGAGACCACGAAACGAGCATGAAGAACGCCCGCTTGCCGTGCGTTTACGCGACCTCGCAGGGTTGACGCCTAAGGATGCCGAGTGATATACAATCAGACCTCGAATAACGAATTATGAGCTGTAAATAATTGTTGTTAGCGTGCATGTCAATAGAGATACTCATGGATCAATACGGTATAATGTGAACACTTGATCGTGCCATAGCTCTGTCCAAGCTAATAGCATGAGAACAGGTATGAAACAATGGTGTGGAAATCACAGCTTGGTTGACTTCATACTGTTATACTACACTGAAAACTAAACCTTGCACGTCTCTCGGTCACCTCTATCCCTGTGTACTACCTCACTGCTTCGGATTCTCCTGCGAATTGTTCTCCTCGTCCTTCCTGAATCTAACCAGATTGGAGTTGAACACTGCAAGGGTCAGTTAGCCATTCTTGTAGTTGAAGCCGGAGAACATACCCTCTTCCATCTCCTCCAGCGACTTCCCGGTAGTCTCCTTGATAAAGAAAAAGACGTAAAAGACGATCGCCCAGTTGAAGATTGCAAACATCAGGAACGTCCGCCATCCCATATTATTGACTGCATGCGGCGTCGCTAGCGAAAAGACGCAGTTGAATAGCCACTGTGTTGCTGTACCAATAGCGATGCCAATTTCTCGGATTCTTGTCGGGAAGATTTCACTCATGTACAGCCACGGGACCGGGCCCTATAGCGCATCCGTTAGCTTGATGAACAAGGGTTGAGGTCCGAAAGGCTTGGGACTCACCCAGGACATGTTGTAAGAGGCCGCTTCGAGGTAGATCATCGCAATGGAGGCGGCTGTCGGAGCGGAGATTCCTGTAGCATTGGGATCGGATGTAAAGGTTTTTGAAAGGATTGCCACGATCAACATGAGCGACCCCATCATGAACGCGCCACCTATCAGGGACCACTTGCGGCCGATCCTTTCAACAAGGAATAGCACAAAGAACCCGCATGCTACAACTTTGACCACGCCGAAGAACCCGGTGATCAGGAGAGTATCGTTCTCGCTTGTGCCGACAGCGCCGAAGATTTGTGGTGCATCTAGCTACAGTCAGTGAGTGATCCCTCTCCAAGGGAGTGGTTGATGTACAGTATGCCAGCGAAGTATTTCCCGTGCATTGCGCGCCTGTGAGAGTCATTAACTTGCAAACAAGGCTGACCTGGTAGTAGGGCCATACAAATCTGGATCGTGATCGCGATGAAGACTCTGTACCGATTGGCTGGGAGATTCAACTCTTTCCAGGTAAGTCCTTCAGTCGCCTGCACTTCCGCGGCGATACCATCCAAGATCTCTGCCATCTCAGCGCGAACTTCTGGTGTGTCTTCTCCGCCGCGGATCCAGATCAAAGACTGCAGAGCTTCCTCGTGACGCCCCTTGCTGGCAAGCCATCGCACACTCTCCTTCAAAAACAGCATACCGAAACCCAGGATACCAGCAGGGACAAGCTGCAGCCCAATCGGGATCTGCCATTGACGGTCGGAAGGTTCAACGTGTTGTTCAACAGCATAGTCTATCCAGTACGAAGTCATCACACCGAGAGTGAAAAAGAATTGGAACAAACTGCCGAGCTGTCCTCGAATCTCCTTAGGGCTCATCTCGGCACTGGATATTATCTTAGTTGATAGTCGAGATGGGCGCCGGAGTAATTTACCTGAACATGGGTACCATGACCGTAGCCATGCCGACCCCAATACCACTAATCACGCGAGCAACATAGAACGCCTCGATAGAGTGAGTCGGCGCCACTTGTATTATACCGCCAATGGAAAAGATGGCCGAAGCGAGTGCAATCGACCATCGTCGTCCATATTTCTTGGTGAACGGCCAGGCGAAGAAACAAGAGAAGAAGGCTGGATTTCGTTAACACAAATTACTGACATTTCGAAACCACAAAATATGATCATACCACCGGCCTGCAAGAGACTGTTCGAGTTTGAACTAATATCCGGCCGCTCTGCATCAGTGTACCTAAATGAATGCTGAAATGACTCCAAAGTGAGGATCCCTCCAATAATGCCAGTGTCGTACGCGAAGAGGAATGACCCGACGCAGCAAACCGACACAAGGAATATCGCCCTTATTTTCCCTAGAAGCTTGCCCATCGTAGCAATCGAGAAGTGAAACTCAGGGCGATTCGTAAGGCCACAGGGCGCAAGGATAATGAAAGAAGGAAACTCGCGACATAAGATCGGCAGACACGAAGGTCTTTGTATCCCAGCTGCTGCGGGGACTAATCGATGCTTGCATCAGCCACGCCCAACCCATCAAAGGGCACGGAGCGCATGCATCCTGCGTATGTGTCTGCCGCACATCGAGTCATGTCATGGTTGGATTTAAGCTTGCGCGTGCGATGATTTGAAGACCAATACCATAACATCATTGCAGGTGAGCATAACACCATAGTTAGCGCCCGTGCTCCAAGTCTGGGGAAGGTCGCTAGCGGAGCATGGCTAACCAACAGGGTTCAATCGTGGCGCACGGTTTCATCCAGAGCGGGGGCATGGATTGCGATGTGACATCTCAAAGGAGTCAAAGCAAGCCACTTGGACTCAAGAGTAGCGTCCAAGGCTGATCATTTTAAGTTCGAATTTAATCGAACTTATATTTGGAATCTTTCAGAGTCACAGGGTTGCTTCCACGGGCAGATTAATCTGAGGTGTTGTCCGCAGCGTCCTCGCAAGCAATGTGGTGTGTTGGTTGGAGCGAATAAGTTGTTGGAGCTTTGCGCCACGCGTCTTAGCCAGGCTTAGCAGAGGTGCTATAACAAGGCCTCCTTCTCCTGTTTCTATCGGTCAAAGGTAAGTCTGCCAGTTATTCTGCGAATCTGCTTGCGGGTTGACAACAATTCTACCTTTGATCGAAAAGTGTTGATTTTATCTCGGCTTGCGGACTGGCACGATGGAATCTAATCTCGGTAGTGAGAATAGCTCCGCTCCCTCGCTGTCTCGCTGGTTCCGTGTGTGATCGCGATCTCGGAGTTGCTGCATCCTGGGTTGTTGATATCGATGGCGTGGTGTGTCAAGCATCAAAGAGTCCCCTCCAGTGGCTGACAGAAAGAGCTTGATTCTTGCGTGCTTTGAAGGCGCTCGTCGCGATCAACATTGCCCATCATTTGACCCTGAAGGCGCCATACGGCCCCCTGCTTGCACCACTGCCATTGGATATTCCTTCCACGCGTACGGCGGAAAACCCAGCCTCTTGCGTCCACGCACCTCACATTCCACACACGCACCATGGCATCGGAATGTCAGTCATTGATACGAAGCTGGAAGGGTTCCTACATGCGACAATTTGGTTCTTTTACCCTTTTGACTTTGCTAGATCGTTGAGTTTCGCACATAGTACCGATCCGACAGAACTCGTTGACGGTTATAAGCAGCCTTCCGGTAGCGCAGGTGTTGCGAATTATGAGAACGACGAGAAATCAAACCTATATATTGGTCTGGTGACAAAACGCGCGGCTTTCATAAGTCAAGAGGTGCAAACTGAAGCCTGGCTGATGCGTGGGACAGTTAGTCTCATTATTTGGTGCCTCCTTGGTGTTTAATCACAGGCAACCCAACCTCTTCTGCAACAGGCGGCTCTGTTTCCGGGTTTCTTTCGGGGCCTCTTCATGAGAGCTCGTCAATACTCCCCTGGAAGCATGTCATCGGGCCGCGTGTTGGGTATTGCTTCATGGTCGGAAAGCTTCAAGGGCTCGCGCGCCGGGGTTGAGTGATTCTCCATGACGGATTGTGGTGGATGCAAAAGGAAGGCTGAGCAGGAGACAGGAGCTGCCACATGGCCTTGCTCAACGTAGACTTGGCAAGAAGCATTATACCCTCTGGGAGGAAGATGGACAGGGGAAGCTTGATAATCTTTCTGTTTGTGTTAGAAGTTTTTAGTGTTGCAGAAAGAGCGAAAGGTGAGGGGTATTGGGATTGACTACCTGAGGCCGGGACAAACGCCTGACTGGAAATCGGTTGACAACTTCAACAATCCTCACCTGTCTGCTACTTTTCCGACATGGCCATCCTTACAGGCTGCGTGGTCCACAGACGAAGGAGCTTCATTCACTATGCTACAAGCACTCAAACCCTGTCCCAGCCTGGGCACAAGACGTTGCCCAAGTTCGCCATTAGCCAAAGAGGCCATGACTTCCGCACAGGTTAGAAGCATCTTGCTCGGTGCCAAGCTAATCTGTTCAGATCGTGAGTGTCTTCTAGTGCTTTCACATCACCTTCCTCTCCGCAGGTGCTTGGGACATCGACAACATGCTCGGGTATCCGTCTCCCTGTGAATGAGTCCACGATAACACTCGAAGCTTAGTCGGCTCGGATACAGCAGCTACCCGGATATCAAACTAGAATCGACGCTATAAAGCCTTCCACAATTAGCTCGCCAGAAGCGCTGCCAGATCAACGTTACAATTGATGGAACTTCAGCCCTCATTCCATGGGTGCTCCGCCGGATATAAGACCTTGCGCAGCTCCCTGTAATAGGACTTTCGATTGTCGTTCTCTCACTGCAGTGTAAAACCTCCTGTTTCCGCTCTCTGTGCACCCTAGTATACTCTACCGCTCCTGGAACGGGACAGTAGGGTTATTACGATGCCAACATAAACTAAGGAAGGGAGGATGCCCTTTTGGCCGGGCTTCTGCACAGTTTCGCTGCCGTCTAGTTGCGCAATTACGTCGGGGATGGCTATTGCGAAGGACAAAAACCAACCTTGGGAATTTTGGTGGCATGTCAGTGGCTGCACTACGACATTTACGACTGATATTTGCTTGAGTGGTAATTCTCACGGCTTTGATCATGCGTCTCAGAACTGCATGTCCATGCAAGAAATATCTCGCTGCCCAACGTCTATTTTCGGACAAGCTAATTCACTAATGAGGTGACAACCATTGGAAACATGGGGACGGCTTTGCCAACCGATACCCAGCCTTCCCCAGGTCAAAGGCTTGGAATGCCCTAATTCCAGATCGACCGAAAACTCCACATTGCCGGGACTCCCGAACGCCAATACCAAGTTCCTCAAGGCTCCAGGCATTGACAGGCCGTGCGTCTTCAGGCGATACATACTCTGCGTTTGCCGTTGTGGCTGGCTAAATACGATCGGGTGGCGCTCATGAGCACAGCCTCCACAAGGTACAGAAGCGGTCAATTGACCATCTCATTTCCAAGGTTGACCCAGTGCAAAAGTGAAAGAATAATCAATGCCAAGTCAGTTCTGGCGAATGCTGGCGCAAAGTGAGCTGGTGACTCCGAGACTCGCTTGGCCGTCGTCAGAGGTCTCAGACGCCTGCCTGAACCCGAGTAAAGCGAACACGAGGTTCATGCTGCTGTCGACTTGGCACATGCAGTCGTATTTTTAGGCCGGTGACCTCCCCTGCCAGTCGCTGGGTTTCAGTGCTTATGTCTCGGATCTCGTATATTCGCTGCTGTTTTACCAGTCAAGTGCATCCCTATGTCGGTCAGCTCCCTACTTGCTAGCTTGGCGTGGGTGACTCCAAGTTCCTCTGCAGAATGACTCCAGAAGAGGTAAGTTAAATCTTTACGACCAATCGTGTGACAGTCGGATCGCTCGGTCCTGAAAATCATAGCCGAATCCATAGAGCTCGCTCACATATAAATACTCTCCGAATCGCTCGACTGAAGGAAACCATCACTGTTTCTCGTACCACATCCTATTCACACAATCAGCTCCATACCACCAGCAACATGAAGTTCACATCCGCCCTCGTCAGCGGTCTCCTCGCTACCAGCGCCTCTGCTCTGTTTGACAAATACGCTCGTAAGTCATCCCTGCCATTCCCTTGACTCAGCCATACCTAACTCGGTACTTCATGTAGCTTGGGGCAAGCGCGACTACCACTGTCTTAACGTCTACCAAGGCGTCCCTGAGAACGCTACCCTGGCCCAGAACTGGCCCGTCGAAATTGGATTCAACCGTGGCGGCGGCCGCTGCGACCCCATCTATGACCAGTTCCCCACCTCCACCTACAGCGTGTGGCTCTACAACAACCCTGTTCGCGAAAACGGCTTTGTAAAGTCCGACTACCAGGTCAAGCTCGTCGATGGAATCCCGCTTGACGCCGGCAGGGTGACCATCAGCTTGCCTTCGGATCTGCCCGAAGTTGACGATGATACTGTTTGGTATTTGCGTCTGGATACTTGGCTCCCGACTGCACCTCAGGTTCGTCCCTTTTTGGTTGGCATTTGGGTAGTTTTGGAAAAATGCTAACGGTCTAATTAGACGCCCACCTTCTTCAACGCCCAGGGCCCCTTCACAATCAACCGATGACGCACACCCGTACAAGCCCTTCAGAGCGTACTATTTACCGAGAGGTGATTAGTTGGATTCTTTGGACAGTAGTGATGGAATTTCGATGTGTATACAGTTTCCATTGAGGCACGTTGGGCGATTTGGACAACACTCCTTAGCATATAGACATAGCTCAGTCGTAATATAATCTTGAGGTAAATTTGAGAGAACCTCTGCTTTCTGCACTATCTCATGTCTACTAGTAATTTGCCAGACTTGATCTAAGACCATTAAATTTAGCTTATCACGCCGTCGCGTACGCCGTGTCGACGTCCCCATATATCCCCACAAGCCATGAATCAGACCGCATAACGCTAAACATCATTTGACTTACATCCGAGTCAAACGAACCACGCACATAATACGGAGTGCGTCCCATGATGTCGACCTTTAAAAGACCGCGGCGTGGTGGCTAGCATCCCGGAACTGGACACTCACCGGCGAACCTATAGTACAGGGACCCGGAGAACTTAGTAGTAGACATTACAAATTAGACAGCGACCGAACTCGACACGAAAAAAAAAAAAAAAAAAGCTTCTTAAGGCAGGGAGCGCAAGTGGAGAGGTAAGGGTAGGAAAGCAAGTGAAGATCAAAAACAAAAAAGAAATCTCCGATACGGGGAATCGAACCCCGAGCTATCGCGTTCACATGAAAGGCGATGATGTTAGCCGTTACACCATATCGGATGGTTGTTGAGTTCCTTCAGCCAGCTGCAATTGATAGGCCGCTACAATTATATAAAAGTAAAAATGTTGTCGGGTTCCTGTTGGTGAGATTTGTGATGACACAACAATGCTGGGAAATGCGTTTAGGAATAGATATTAGTGGTGGTAATATCAAGTGTACCTAGTACCATTACTCGTACACTAGTAAGTCTCCCCCGAGAAGGTGGAGTAGGTGCTTTTGAGCAGGGATTGATCGTTGACGCGTGAGGATATATATCTGGCCTCGAGCACCAAGGCCCAGGGAGGGTAGAAGTCTTTTAGCTGTGGAACTTCTAATGACACATGTACTCGGGATTCGATCGCTCGAACAATCAATTCATGTAGTATGCCATCATATTACCCTGGGGCCTGTCTTTGTGGCCGGGAAGCATCAAGAAGGGTTGACTGTCAGTAGCAGGAGACCTGGCCTCAATAAATGTGGGTCAATAGTTAATGATAATATGTTCATTTCCTATGATATTATGCTCTATATATGCTGGATGAATTAGTTCTGGGTCATAATAAGCGCTTTTGAATCTCACCACCACACAACACTGCGGCCTTAATTAGTCTCTCCAAGAGATAGCAGCCTCTTACCTAGCTCCTTAACACTATAATCTCGCGACTTAAAACCTTCCGGTCAAGAGGAAGAGAGCCAGAGATCTAACACACCTCCCTCTGCTGACCCTCCACACTGCCACTGCTCCCATTCTGACCCCACTCATCCTTGACCAACATCTGGCAGAATCTACTCTTCTCCCGAAGCCAAGCCCCCTTCCAGAGCAGGACATATGGAATGGGTACACACAACAGGCTCACGAATCCAACAAGCGAGGTCGACCACCCCACGCCGAGAGATGCGTACATCGGCTTCGCAGCCACGGGCAGGGCGGCGCCAAGAATACTCCGTAAGATGACGGAGCTCGCAAGGGCGCTTGCAGAGTAGACCTTGTAGGCGTCGGTGACATATGTGAGCAATGAGGTAAAAATTATCTGGTAACCGAAGCCAAAGAAAAGACCGGAGAGAGTTGGGACAATCCAATGGACGCTGGGTGTTGCAGTCCATGCGAGCCAGAAGAGGGAAGCGACGATGGTTATGCTGCTGACGCAAGATGTAGGGAGGCGGTGCATCTCAGGGCTGTAGGGAAAGGCCCAGGATTTACCTTTTGAGAGGGCGGAGTCGTATTTGAGATCCCAGTAGATGGCTATGGGGCCGCTCGCGCAGGCGCCGATTCCCACTGTAGTCAAATGAGTACACTGTCCGGGTAGTGAGGTCTAGAGACACATACATGGAATTAGGGTGAGAGAGGTCGTTTGAATACTAAAGTTGTAGGCCTCAGGGAAGATGATGGGGTAGGCTTGAAAGAAAAAGAAGACGAGGGCGTAGACCACTGCAACGTAGATCGATGTTGCTAAGATGATAGGTTCAAATAACAACATGTATAGTGGTCGCAAAAATATGGTGCTGAGGTCTGTGTCGATCGTCGATAAAGACACAGTGATCTCTTTTCCGGACAGCTTGCTCAGCTTTGCTGCTTGGCGCTTGAGGAGGACTGGTCCAAAGGTCTCTGTTGGATGTTAGCATATGCAGGCCCCATGCTAGGCAAAACATACCAGGTATAAACAGAAGCCCGGACAATGCGACGGCAGCAAAAATCAAATCGGCCCAAAAGGTCCATCTCCAGCCATGCTGGGATGCGAAACCAGAGATAATCGGCCCTAGGATGGGCCCAAAGCTTGCCGACTGTACATGTGAGCAAGGAACTGGTAAATGTGACAAGGGTAGACGTACTGCCATGTAAAATGCCATAACTCTCCCCCTTGCGCGTGCCTCAAATATATCCGCATAGACTCCCCCGATGACAGTTTGCGGAGATGCCCCCATACAACCACAAACAAAGCGGAAGAATAGTAACGACGGCCAGTTTGGAGCAAGCGCACAAGCGAGGGTGGAGAGAAAGAATACTATAAAAGTATAAACCAGAATCGGGCGCCGTCCGATGGTCTCGCTCAATGGGCTCCATATTAATGGACCAACTACGTATCCCAGGAGGAACACCGAGGTAGGCAAGCTGCTTTGACTCTCATCGTCTATGTTGAAATTCTCAAAGATATAAGGGACAGCATTGCTTGGGAGTGATGACGAAACCCCGCTGTTCATCACCGACAAAAGCGTAAAACAAAGAATGTACAACTTTTTTGAAAGAGGCCAATTTTTTGGATCTGCATCAGGGCAATCTTCAAAGCTTGTTATGGAGGTGGGAATAGAGGTAGAGGTCGGTGTCGGCGGTGGGGTAGAGATCAACGGGGCAGGGCTTTTGTGCGTCGGTCGAGGATTGCTTAAATCTGCCAAGTTTAGTACAGACCGAACTAGAGAGTGAGGAACATACCTGTCGACATGGTCTCTTGCTGCCGCTCGGGGCAGGGCTGAAATTCTTTTCGCTCGTCCATGGTTGTCGGTTACACACTCGGAGAATTGCTGCATTGCGCGGTAGACGGCTCGTTTAAGTATGAAGTGTCGAGGCCCCTCGCTTCTTCAAAACTTGACTCATGGATGAGAATTCGGCCTGTCCAGACACCTGCAAACTCCTGTCTTGTTTTCCGGTTTTGCTGGTCTCCCAATAAGAGTGCCCATATAGAAAGGTTTCTCACGCTAGAGTCGGCGCCGCAATCGGCCCCGACCGGCCCCGACCAAAGAACCGGAAAGCCATGCAGGAGCCGACTCGGTCCAGGTCAGAATGACGGCGATCAACACGGACCTTCTCACAGAGATTGGGAATCAATGCAGTTCGTATGCAACCCATAGCCCTGTGACCATTGTTCGCAAGGGCGATGCGAGTCCAGCCCCCTGCTAGGAGACCTCGCGCCTTTGCTTTCCAAAAGAAGGCTATATTTCCAGAAGATGGAAGTGACAGGAAGAGAGTTCCGAGTTCTTACCAATTGCTATGTATATGTCAATTAGGTGCTAAAGTAGGAAGGAAGTCAAAAACGTCAGTTTGACCCTCTTCGAACAAGTCAAACGAATCGGCTATTGGGGCGGTTAGGTTCCAGTTTGGTATATCAAAGGGTGGGACTCTCGGTTGGGCTGGCTCGGGTCTAGGATATGCTGGCAAAGGAGCGGTCAGGTCGGTTTCTCTGTCCACTCGTGCATGTGAGCCTTCAGTCGGGGGTCCTGGCATCGCTGCCATGTTGAACTCCGATCTTGGAGTATTGGCCACCTCTGGCTGGTTTGATGATTCGGAGCCGGACTGGATAGTGCTTTCGTTATTACATAAGTCTTGCTCAGCGAGAAGGGCTCCTGCATAGTTGACAAATATCTGGACTGTTCTGTGAATGTCCGGATAAGGGGGATTTTTAAGATACTCCAAGATTCGCCGAACACGCTGCAGGACCATATGCCGGTTGATCAGAGTAGGATGCCACCGAGCTACTCTGATCGCGAAAGTGGCTATAATCTGTCAGCCTTGCTGGTATAGAGTAAGTTAGCATACTTACTAATGAATCCAATCGTCAAAGCTGAATAGGTTGGTGCCCAGGTCAAGTGGCATATGTACGCCGCTTCCGTGACCAAGAACGTCAATTGATTTTCGATTACGTCGACCAATGACTTCCATAGACTGGGGGCGACTTCGGAGTCAAGGCCCTGCGCGCCTTCTGGTGTTTGCTGGAGCTTCTGTATCCTTGCTATGGTCACACAATAGATAAAGACCTAAAGTTTGTTAGTACTAACCGAGTGACATATCACCTGGTTTACTCCGCACCTTCGCGTAATTCAGCGCCAGCTTAAGTGACGAGCGCTGAAATGCCCCGGGATGAAAGCCATTTTCTAAAGTGTTTAGCAGCTATTAATCGGAGCCACTACCGGATTACTCACGATCATGTATATCGTCCCATTCTTTCCACCATTGCTGCAGCCTCTGGAGAATTGCCGGGAGTTCCACCGATATAAGCTGGGCGGCAGCGGTACTCTCAATCACCTGCCGGCATTTTGCGCGTAGTTGATGAAGCTCAACGATGGAAATTGTCCGCATATCGCTGTACAGCGACAGCGGATAGTCTAAGAATTTCCGTAGTTTCGAAATATCCACATCGCCGAGACGTGATTTTCTCCCCGTTCCACTTGCAACGTCAAGCTCAAGAGTGAATGAAATGATGAACGTCCGGGTCTGCCAGACGAGTTGCCGGTCTTCCATCGTGGCGGAGAGGTAGCTTCTTGGAGCAGGATTTTGAGCCAGCAGTGTATCAAGAGACTTCTCTAAGCCCAAATCTAAAGCAGTTCGTAGGATGAGAGCCGTGGAGAACCAAGTCTTTTCCGAGTATGCCGCAAGAAGGATCATGCCTTGAACTGTTTCCAACTTGGTGGGCTTTGCAAAGAACGAGTCCTCCGCCAGTCGCTGAGCTTCATCCTGCAGCACCCGTTGCAGATGGTAGTTTGCACGGAAGTCGGAAACAGCACGACTGGCTAAATAGAGGATGACTGTAAAACAGAAGAGCGATCGCGAGCGAATGGAATCAAAAGTGTCTCGAACAGGATCGAACAGAGGAAGAAAGTTCTTGCTACCGTTCATGAACCTAGAGATAGTCAGAACTGCCTACTGTCGATGAAGTCTTCTTACCTTTCGTAGATGCAGCGAGCATCCTCCTCGCTGATGATACCACGCTCAATCACATCACCCTTGGGATCCGACACCTCAGACTCGCCCATAAAGATTGGTGAGCTTTCCGTCAGATTTAGGGACATTGTATGCATGGCCGACTGCGGTGCAATCATATCCTGGGGGCTAAACTGCTGAAGTTCGAGAGTGTCCAGGTGGTTGGTGCTTCTCGGACTGGCCGAGGAAGCCGTACTGAACGCACTGCGAGCACTGCAACAAATTAGTACTGCATTCTTTCATAGCATATATATATAGATGGGAACTTACTGAGCCGATCGGTTCGCCTGTCTTCGGCGTTCCGACGGGCGTGGTCTGTTGATTGTGTCGACGACGCACTCATGCTCAAAGCCGCTGGCGCAGCATCGCGAACATGGCATTCGGGTTCGGGCATCGCAGCGGACCTTTTGCTGTCTGCATCTTCTGCAACTCTTAAATAGTTTTTCCGACATGTTGCACAAAGTATGCTGGTCCCTTGCAGATGGAAACTCGTGGGCGCCGGAAACACAAGACGTCGGCGCCGATTGACCGCCTTTAGGGCGCCTTCCTCTTTGGGCTACTACGACGATGCCACACGTGACCGGGTTTCTCCCAAGTCTATGGTGGAGTTTCAGCTGCTGAATCACTGAGTGATTTTCCAGTTATCTAATGGTTAGCAAACAGAAATGTCAAAGACAGGCGAGGCATTTTCTTTCCCAGTGAAACTATCTGCAGAGGCGTTGTGATTGGCCAGATAATGCGCGCGTCTAACCAGAAAAGCACGAGCCATTTCTTGCGGCCACTCGGACCACAATTTTGCTACTCCAACCACCGCCTCCTGATGTCAACCATGTGCGCCATCTCGATACATCTTTCAATCCCATGTCTCTCAGATCCATTCTTTGCATGATGCACGCGAGGGTGTTCGTCCCTATAAGAAGGTCAGGGCAATCCCCTGTCCTCGAACACTCTATCATCTGCGTCTTCCCTCCTTGATACCTATATTACTTCTTTTGATTCCAAGTATGGAACAAGACGACCGCAAGGACCATATACGTATCGCCGAGGAGGGTGTCCATCGCAATGAGATGCGATCAATCTCTCGTCGAAACTCGTCTCTGTCTATCCATAGTGCGCGTGGCAGAGTCGTAGCGCCCGAGAATTTACTTCCCATAACATATCGGACACTGTAAGACTGATTCAATTGTGCTTAATGAGACAGAACAGACTGACCAAGTATCATCAGCTCATACAAGGTTGACGACGCTTTCGACAAAGACGCCAGTTACGCTTCAGATAAAAGGGAGCGGAAACAAGTCCAAGGTCAAACCAAAGTTTCTGCCTGTGATTGCACTGCTGACATTGTTGCGAAGGTCTCACGGAGCTAGATCACCACCTGGTAACTGTTGATGAACTGCAGCGGCGTCTCTCGACTTCCCCCCAAGGGCTCCAGGCCGAGCAAGCCCACCGCCGCCTCTTACAACACGGGAAGAACCAACTGTCACCCCCTCCTTCGAGATGGTTTCAAACAATAATGGGATACCTCTTTGGAGGCTTTGGTACTATCCTTCTTGGAGGTGGTATCCTGGTGTTCATTGCGTGGAAACCTCTCGGGGATCCTCCTGCAGAAGCCAATCTTGCTTTAGCGCTTGTTCTCATCGTCGTGTGGATCATCAATGCCGCGTTTAATGCCTGGCAGGACTGGTCGTCATCAAGAGTAATGGCTTCGATAACCACCATGTTGCCGGATCAGTGTATTGTCACACGCGACAACAACCCTGCCTACCTCAGCGCACTTGATCTGGTTCCCGGAGATCTGATCCAGATCAAGCAGGGCAATAAGCTGCCTGCTGATGTCCGGCTCATTCAAACTTCAGCCGATGCTAAGTTTGACCGATCAATCCTGACAGGTAAGACTACCTTTGCTTTGTCCTTTCATTAGCTGACCGTATAGGCGAATCCGAACCCGTCTCCGGGACGGTTGAGTGCACCAACAACAACTATCTGGAAACAAACAACATCGGTCTGCAGGGCACATACTGCGTCTCCGGAGCTGCTCTAGGAATTGTCGTGGCTACTGGAGATCAGACAGTTTTCGGACGAATTGCTAGTTTGTCAAATGGAAGGCGAACGGAGATGACTCCGATGCAAAAGGAAATCCTACGATTTGTGCTCATCATTGTGGCTTTTATTGTGACTTTCGTGGTCATAATAATTGTTATTTGGTACGTCCAGGTCTAGCAATTTTAGGGTAGAACTGACAGTTCTAGGGCGGCATACTTGCACAAGGACCATCCGGATTTCATCAATGTTCCAACTCTTATTGTCAGCTGTGTCAGCGTTGGAATCGCATTTGTGCCGGAAGGGCTTCCCATAGCAGTTTCAATGGGCCTTACAATTGTTGCTGGGATTATGAAGAAGAACAAGATTCTTTGCAAGTCACTGGCCACAGTGGAGACTCTGGGTGCTGTTTCCGTGATTTGCTCTGACAAGACCGGCACACTCACCAAGGTAAGATAAGATTTGATTACTATATGTATCCTGCAGGTTACTGATTTGCCCAGAATGAAATGTTTGTTGCGAAGTGCTTTTCTGGCGGAGAAGAATACATCTCGGAAGACGCAAAGGAACGAATGGTACACGGCTCAGCTCCAGGCGAGCTTCCAAACGAGTCGATAGCTGTGGTCCGAGCCATTGGTGGCCTCTGCAATGCAGCTGAGTTTGACGCTACTACCCTGGAACGACCGCTACACGCTATGAAGATTTTCGGCGACCCAACTGACCAGGCTATTCTGCGTCTTTCTCAATCTCTGGGATCTGTGAGTGATCTAAGAGGGCAATGGAAAAAGGTCTTTGAGATTCCGTTCAACAGCAAGAACAAGTTCATGATCCGTGTCATGTGCCCGCACAATCAAGACAGCGGGTGAGTTTCTGATACCCTTGGAAGACCTCGAGTTAACCGTCGGACTAGCTATCTCTTTATCAAGGGAGCTCCTGACATGCTTCTGTCGAAATGTGCCCATGTTGTGAACAGAAACGGACAGGCAGAGCTTTTATCCCAAGCCGAGCGTAACCGGCTTGAAAGGATCAAGGACCGTTGGTCAGCCGAAGGAAAACGCGTGATTCTCATGGCTCAAAGATTAGTGTCTAGCGATTGGATCAAGGCTGGTGTGGACGAAAGAAGTGCCCTCCAGGCCGCGCAGGATGGTCTCACCCTTGTTGGCCTAGTTGGTCTCATAGACCCACCGGTATGCGCCCGACTTTTGCAGGTGCGATATATTGCTAATCTTTGAAGCGAGACGAAATCCCGGGTGTGATTGATACCCTCCGCAGAGCTTCTATCCGGATCATGATGGTAACAGGAGACTACAAACTCACGGCGCAGGCGATAGCAATTGAGTGCGGTATCATACGGACACCTCCGGGTTTGATCGATGATATCAAGGCTCTCGACCACGCTGACAAGGCAACCGTCCGGTCGACTGACTCAACCACTGCTATTGTCGTTAGTGGTCCTGAGCTAGCTGATCTTTCATCAGAGGACTGGGACACACTCTGCACTTACGATGAAATTGTCTTCGCACGCACGACTCCGGAACAGAAACTTCGCATCGTCAAAGAGTTTCAAGCCAGAGATAATATTGTTGCGATGACGGGTGACGGTGTCAACGATGCTCCTTCGCTCAAGGCAGCAGATGTCGGCGTTGCCCTCGGGAGTGGTTCCGATATCGCGATCGAGGCCGCCGATATTGTTCTTCTCGACTCGTTTGCCGCTATTGTCGAAGCCGTAAAATATGGAAGACTTGTTTACGGTACTGTTCCCTGGGATCGTGAGACTTTGCTTGAACTGACAAGACTTAGATAACCTCAAGAAGACCATCATCTACCTACTTCCAGCTGGAAGTTTCAGTGAGCTATGTAAGGGATATTCCAACCGAAGACTTGACCACAACTAACAAGCTAGGGCCCGTCGTGACAAATGTTGTCCTGGGAGTTCCCCAGATCCTTTCCTCCTTCCTCATGATTATTATCTGGTAAGCCAGGTTGATGCATATCCAGCCAAACATTTACTGACTGTTTAGCTGTCTCACTGACTGCGCCGGTGCGATAACCCTCGCCTTCGAGAAACCAGAATCAGACCTCCTCCTCAGACCACCCCGCGACCCCAAAAAGGACCGCCTCGTCGACGTAAAGCTCCTCGGTCACGCGTACCTCTTCATAGGCCTCTACGAGTGTCTTATGTCCTACATAATGGCCTTTTGGCACATGCAAGTACGTGGCACCTAACATGCTCCACACAAAACAATATTACACAGAACTAAACGTCCCCGTACAGAGACGTGGCGTCCCGTTCAGCGCAATGGTCCTCCGCTATGGCTCCTGGGACCCGCAATACGACCCCGACTACGTAACCCAGGTCGCGAACGAGGCATCCTCAATCTACTTTGTCAACCTCGTCTTTATGCAGTTCTTCAACCTGCTTGCTGTCCGGACGCGCCGGCTGAGTATCTTCCAGCAGCCACCAATCTTGAAGAAGGAGACGCAGAATCTGCTCCTTTTCCCGGCTATGCTTTTTGCGTTGTGTGTTGTTTTTATTTGTGAGTTTCCCCTACCTAAGTCGCTGTTCATGAGATATTTCGGCGGACTCGGAATGCTGACCAGGGAACAGTCCTCTATATCCCCGACCTCCACGGCTCGATAGACACAACGACTGTTCCCGTCGAACATTTTTTCCTCCCCATTGCTTTTGGTATGGGACTTCTCCTTCTGGACGAGGGTAGGAAGTACTCTGTTCGACGTTGGCCGAATGGGCTTCTTGCGAGAATCGCCTGGTGAGGACGATGACTCGATTTTGGGACGGACTTACTCTGATATCTGGTTGGGAGAGACGAAAAACTTCTATTAGATCTTGATAAAACGGGTGGACTCTGACACTACTTAGGTAGTAAGAGTATCTAGGTGCATCGTGTGACAAAAAAATAGTATTGCCAATGCAGCATCAGGTATTCAAGCCAATGAGATCAAAACCAGACGAAGATGAGAAAAAGACAAGAAAATTGAAGCGAAATAGCCACCCAAAACACCATAACTAAATACAAGTCAAATGAATAACAACGAGAAGCAATATCCAAGAGGGTATCCAAGTCGATGACTGTAAATGCTCCGAAACCCTAAACGCTCCCAAGCAGATATGAACAACCAGAGAAACACCACTGCAATCAATCCAGGGCGGGATCGAAGAGTGACACGCACCACCTCAATCCTCGTCCCCGCATCCTCCTCCTCCATCGCTGTCGTCGCTGTCGTCCTCATCGTCGCTGTCCCCGTCGCCGTCGTCTGTGCACACCCCGTCACTGCAAACAAGATCGTCAGAACAGTCATAATCAGCGGAACAGGAAGAGTCTGTAGTAGAAGATGCGTTAGCCTATCTTCAAGCCATCTCATAAACGTAAGCAAGTTGGGCTAACATCGCATCGCATCACATCACATAGAAGCCCAGCAAAAGACACACAGAGCAGAAAGTAAGGAAAAAAAAAGAAAGAAAAAGCAAACAAATAAAACAAAAGTATATTACCCTCACTGGATGCCTGTATGGGAGTGCGTCTGCTCCACCCGTTTACAATCCACGGGTCAGGATCAGAACGAGCAGGAACGCGAGCAGGAGAACGGGCTGGTTGGTGCTTGGGTCCAGGTGGGAGGAGGAGGAGGAGGAGGAGGAGGAGGAGGAGGAGGAGTTGGAACTACCTTCGCAGTGGCCGGGCCAATCGCAGTCGTCCTCATCGCCATCGTTATCGTCGTTATTGTCCTCTGGTGTCGATGGCGAGGGGGCAGGCTCGGCCTCTGGCCCTGGTTTGGGCGACGAGGGCGAAGGCGAGGGTGTGAGCGTGTGTGGCTGCTCAGTTTGTCCTGTGACGGATGCAGGGGAAGGAGGAGCCTGAGACTGTGACGGCGAGTGCGACTGTGTCTGGACCGGGGGTGGAGGCTGTGGCTGGGAAGCTCCATTGTCCTCTGACGGGGTCGCACCGGGGAGCCTGAGGTTGACGAGCAGGGCGTTGACCAGTCTATCGCCCATGAACTTGAGCGTGCCAAAGTCCGTGATGTAGTGCTCGTTCACAGCCGAGGGGGGGAGGACCGCGTTCGGGCCGGTGAAGAGTATGTCTGTTCTTGTTAGCGGACCAGCGGCGAGATTGGTGGTAACGGGGTGCTTACAAGTAACATCGCCTTCGGCGTGTCCTGAATTCCCGCGCAGATCGTCGTCAGGGAAGCAAGTGCGAGCCATGAGCCAGGAGGCCTCGCCGGTGACCTGGGGGTCATTGCCGTTGGTGTCGCCGAGGATGCCGTAGAACATTTTGCCGTTGCTATCGCTCGTGAGTGCAAGAATCATAGTATAGTGGGTGAGATACATACCAGATAACGGCGGCGACGTTGTTTCCAGGAATGGCGTCTTGGTTTCCAGAGGACACGTATTCCTGGGGGATAACGATGAACGGGACCTAGAATGATGAGCTGCTTTCAGGAGTAGTAGGCAAGAGGGAGCCGTACCGCATAAGCAGACAGTGCACCGTAGTCTGTCAGTGCCTGGCCATCCTTGTTGCCCTGCGTACGTCAGTATGAACAATCTTGTCACCACAGAAGCCTTGGGAGAACCCACATCGCACTTGTAGTCGATTCCATCACAATCGACATCCATATCAGCCGTCCAAACAAGAGCGGCGCCCTATGATATCATCGTCAGCTCTCAAATCTTGAGGAGGAAGTTTAAAAAGGAAGAGGCGACTCACCCCATCCAACTCCGCCCAATCCGTATAAATTGTCGACATCTGCTTCGACGACGACGAGAGCTTATAATCAGCAACGGCGTTGCCAGGAGACTCGGAGAGACCGGTCGCCGCCGTCTGCAGGGCCGCCACGGGCATCGTCGCAGCGGCCTGGAAGTAGCTCGCTGGCGGCCCGCCAAAGGGCTTGTTGAATTCTGGGCCGCTGATTTTCTGGCCCGTGGCGAGGAGTGTGCTGGAGAGCACGAGGAGGATTGCGAGGGTTCCCTTGAGGGCCATGGTCGGGGTGCTGATGACTGGGAACATTTTGCGAGGTGGGCTGGTGGCTTGAGGAGAGGAAGAGAGGAAGAAAAACAAGAAAAAGAAAAAGACAGAAAGACAGAAGGAGAGGAAACGAAGGGAAGCAGAAGCAGGCACATAAGCCTGAGATTAAGAGCGTCTCTCTAGTAATGCTTATACCTAGTAGAGACGCAGAAAAGACGCGCGATGGGGTGATGTGTCAAAGAAAGATAAAGACGAAAAAAGTAGGAGGGCAAGAGATATGAGGAGAAGAAGGAGGCTGAACGTCAGTCTCTGCTGTTACTGTAGAGACACAGAAAAGCCCCTGATATCTGTGTCTGAGCTTCTGAGGTGCTTTAGATGCCTGAGTGGTTGCCAAAGCGATGGATAGTCAGAAGTCTGGGAAGTTGCGATGAGGAAGAAGGGAGGAAAGGAAGGAGGCAAGAAGGAGAGAATGAATAGGCAAAGTCCAGAGAAGGGTCTTCAAGGCCTTAGATCAGCGGATTCCATTTCCACTTGAAGGCAACCTATAGGCGATTCACATTGGAGTTAAGCTTCGTCAAACCGTGAAGCATGGGGTCAGTCAGGTCACCGGAAGAGGCGAATAACCCTGGATCGGGTTTCCCTGTAATTCTGAACACGCGGCCTCGACGGCGACTTTACTGCAAAGGCTTGTGTCTAAGTGAATCGAATAGTCCAGAAGGAAGGAAATCCACTCAATACTTCATTCAATGTATGTAGTTAGGGCATGATTAAAACCACGACTTGTCTGTAAGGAAATCCAATCTTGGTAAACCCTAAATCACCAGCAACTTCCTCTCTAGGCTGCAATGAAAAGAGCCTCGGTAGAAGATGAATAGAACATGTAGCCCAGATCCGCCCAACACCTTGTAAACCCCTAGCGCCCACAATTAGAACTCGACATAGTATGAACAGGACATCTACCGAACAACCGCCTTCCTCATAAACGCCGCCTTATAAACAACCTCCCTAACCTCGCCACTCTCAAGGACAACCGTATCCTCATACCTTGGCTCCACCTTCCAAACCACATACCCCAAGCGCTCATACCACTCCTGGTTACAAATCGGCTGGACTTTCCTGACAGCGGGGCCCAGCACGGGGTCATAGTAGTGCTCTTTACTCATACAGTCCAACGTGGTGAATTCGCAGTTTGGACTCCCGTAGGGTTCGTGTCCCGCGAGGGATTCGATCAGGCTCATGGAGGCGCGGCCCAGCCCGCTGCTGCGGTGCTCGGGGAGGATGAAGAAGGTGCGGATGGCCAGGCGGGTTTTGTCTGCGTTTGCGACGGATGAGTCGGGGGGTTCGGTGTAGGCGTCGAGCGAGATGTGGCCTGCGCGGATTGGAGTTGGTTCTGATGATGGGGATTCTGCGTCTGAGCCTGGTTTTGATTCCGATGCTGAGGATCGAGCTGGCCTGCTCGTGGTGATCCAGAAGAATGATTTCAGCCCCGCGCGTTGCTTCTCGTGCCAGAGGGCGAGGGCCTCGGGGGTGTGGTTCCAACCGCACACCTGGCGCTGTTGGCGCAGTTCTTCGTATTCCGAGGGGTCGTCTAGGTTGATGGGGACGAGGGTGCACGCCATGATTACGACTTTTATTCCTTGGTGCAGGAAATGTTGAATCAACCTTTTTGGGCGGGAGAGAGAAAAGTTGGCCTCAAGGGAAGAAATCTCATGGCGTAAGCGGACTTTATCCTCGACGCGGGCAACCCGTCCGGATTAGCGTGTGCAGTGTCGGGGTCGGAGTTCCGTGAGTCATCGTCGAGGCGTACTGGCCGTTATCTTTGCTATGACCTGCTACTGTTTATGCTATTATCTATCCTGGAAATTGATAGTATACTGCTCAGAAAAAGAAGGAATATACCAAGCTTCCCAGCTCGTTACACAAGCCAAGCCACGCCCCCTCATCCTGGTTAATGCCCTCCCAGACACTGATGCCTTGCAGCCTGAAAGGGCCAAGGTCTGCCTGGCGGTGCCTGGCACGTGGCCCAGCGGGGCCGCCTGATCGGAGCCTGTGCCTCGCGTTTGTTGACCTCGATCCTATAAAGGTGGTGCCTCAATTGCTTCTGCCAGACTTTCCGTATTCGCATTTTACTTGATTTTGTGGCAAGGGTTTGAAAAGACGCCCATCTCGCCTTCCCACAATCATGCCCAAGCAAAGGACGCCCTTTGAGCTGCCGGGGTGGAATTTACCCCTGACGCACAAGCCCAAGGTGCGCATTTCAAATATATTCGTGAAAAACAGGGATTGAAACTGATCAATGCAGCGGGACATGAGATTTGCCAATGCATTGGATACGAACGATATCGAGGTAGGGTGGTGCGGGTAAGAATCGCAATCGCTCTGATGGGCCTTGGATTTGATCGAAAGAGGCTGAGCTGGGCTATCAGATATACGTTTACGCTGCGCGAGCTCCTCATGATGCAGATCATGGAGTCTGTGACTGATAAGCCGGATTGGGAGAAGAAGGTGTGTTGACGAGTTCCATCAATTGAATGAATCATGCTGACCGAACCACTCAGGTCTTTATCGAGGAAATCACCAACAAATGGAGAGAGGAGATTGCCCAGAGCGGCAAGGACGTCACTGATAGTATGATCGAATACATCATGGACGAGCTAAAGTGGAAAGCCGAGGAATATATAAAGACCGGCATTATTACGGCCTACGATCCCGGCGTCATCAAGTCCGACACCATCATCTCACACGACCTTCAGCGGAAGCTGATTAACGCGGTCAAGCCGCTTGAAGACGTCCCGGAGAAAGAAAAAGACTATCACCCACGGTCGGACAACAAGGTCGTTGACCTCGTGCACCCTTCGCTCTTCCCGCTCATCTACGGACGCACCAAGATCCTCCCGGACAAGCTGATTAGCCTCGACGACTGCTTCTTTAGCGTCGGACAGGGCGAGGTCATCAAAGTCCCGGAAGAAGAAACCGCCCCACGGGGTTGGAACTATCACGGCCATGACCCGTATAGCCACAAGTTCCAGTGGCTCCCGTGCAACGTCGAGTTTACAGACGATGGGCAGTGCAAGATCGCCTCATACATCAACAACCTGCACCCGGCAAAACACAGGGAGCTGTACGGTGTCATTGAGCAAATCATGACACGCGCTCTTCCTCTCTGGAATCTCTCGCTAACGTCGCAGAGCTGGGACATTCCGCGTCGCATTAAGTACAGGATGGTCGATTATCTACCTGATGTAGAGCCCGAGCCTGAGCAGGGATCTGACGAGGAGGATGAAGCTTTTTGGGACCGCCAGGAAGCCTGGCAAGAAAGACGACAGCCGATACATCCCGAGCCACGGGGCTTCCAGGCTCCCGAGCCGGAACAGGAAGAGCCGCTTTTGGAGCAATTCCGCGAGAATGGGCTGCAGGTCATTGTGAAGCTTGCCAATATCGAGCTCACACCGGAGAAACCAGAATATGAGGGTGGATCATGGCACATTGAAGGACAGCTGGTAAGGACACTTTGGCACCTACCTGTAGTCCAATACTGACGCTCCCAGAACGAACGAATCTGCGCCACGGCCATCTACTACTATGACTCGGAAAACGTCACGTCCAGCAGCCTCGCCTTCCGTCACCGCGCATCAACGGACACCTTTGATGACGTGGAGTACGAACAGGGCGAGTTCCAGTTCCTGCGCGTCTTCGGCTTCGATAGTGACGCCGGCAATGACCGCAGCGGCTCCAAAATCACGCAAAACCTCGGCGCCGTTGATACACGGGCCGGTCGTCTCTTGACCTTCCCTAATACATTGCAGCACTGTGTCTCGCCCTTTTCTCTCGAGGACCCTACGAAGCCAGGCCATCGCAAGATCCTCGCCCTGTTCCTGATTGACCCGACACGACGGGTGATTTCGACGGCGAATGTGCCGCCGCAGAGGGAGGACTGGTGCAAAGAGTGGAAGGAGGCGACGAGGGATGTTCTGGCGCCAAGATTGCCCGTCGAGTTGCAGCAGATGGTGCATCGCGATGTAGACTTTAAGCCGATGACGCTGGACGAGGCGAAGAAGTACCGGTTGGAGCTGATGGACGAGAGGGCGGCCAAGGTGGAGCAGGAGAATCACGAGTTTGAGGATGGCGGATTTGCGCTGTGCGAGCATTAGTCTCCGATTGCTGTGCCTTTAGAACCTGGTACTAGGCTTGTTTGTGGGTTGGTGCAGTGCAGGTCTTGCGAGTCTCGGTACATTTTTCCAAAGTTAATGCCCGCCTGCTGTGAAGTCCCCGAAAGCGTAGTGAATATTTCATCCTGGGTGAGAACCCTGCTAAACAGCGCTGTGCTAAACTCTGCAACACGAGGAACTTGCTTGCCCAGAGTCGAACAAACCCCGGGTAACAGGGATTGAGCCTCTGCTGATCTGCGCGACCGTTGGGGTATGTCCTCACTGGCGCGACGTGACGGATCATTGTGAGAGCATGACGGTGCCTGAAGAATGGCATGGAAGCCATTAGCCAGCATCGGGACATTAGTAGAGTTCCAAATCGAGCTAGCAGGGTTCCTATCGCAATTCCCCGTGCCCCGGAGACGAAAGGAGATAATATTCCGCATCCCGGGGCCGACAGATCGCAGTCGAGTGGAGATTAAATCATGGCCCGACGGCCCACGCGGTGCAGAAAGAATATTCGCTCAGCTCTGTATCTGGCTAAGGCCGAGAGATTTGAGCGACGACGACTCGACTCGCTGCAGCTGTAGACACTGCGGGCACTGCGGACACTGCGGACGCTGCTGGGGGCTGAAGGATCATGCTGCCCAGAGTATCTTGGCGTCTTATTCGCAGCAGATCATGCACAGGCGGTGTTGGCGTGCATCCCATACGCAGAGCCAATCGAATGCCGATACCTTCCGAGTCGTGTTCTCGTGTGGATGGGCATGGGCATGGGCCGGCATATACGAACCCGAGGTGCAACTCCGAAAACAAAAAAAAAAAGAGCATCTCCGAAGCGAAGCCCAGCCAGCGAAGCATAAATAGTAGCGGGGGCCTGCGTCGGGGACTGACAATGAGACTGAGGTGTTGATATTCGCCCTAGCGACAAGTGGCGAGAGTTCGAGTCCGAGTCCAAGACCAAGATGAAGGAACACCATCCTCTTAACGTCGTTGTCGTCGGTGCCGGTATATCGGGGCTTACGGCTGCTATTGCGTTGGGGAAGCAGGGGCATCGTGTTGTGGTACGTTGCACAGTGACCATGTGGAGCTGGCTAGTAACTAGGACAGGTCCTCGAGAAGTCCAAGTTCAATAAGGAGACTGGTGCTGCGATAAACCTGGCGCCAAACTGCACAGTCGTGTTGGAATGGCTGGATATTGACCCGCGGGACTTTGGGGGGACATTGCTCGAAGAGGTCCGTCTGTCCACAGTTGGTGACGACTAATCCTGATAGCGATAGATGCGCCGATATGACCACAATGGGACGATCAAGTATGGCCAGGAGTTTGCCAACGTTCGCCAATTTTGGCAAGCTGTGCGTGCCCGTCCGATGTGGAGATGACTGCCCTGACAGCAATAGGAATACTACCTCGTCCACCGAGCAGATCTTCACGGTGCTCTGAAAGCTCGAGCTTTGAAAACTGCCGAGATTCACACAGGGTGTAATATCATTGACATTGACATTTGCGTCGATAGACCGGCAGTGACGTTGGACGATGGAAGAGTCTTCGAGGGCGATCTACTGATCGGAGCAGATGGACTCAATGTGAGAGATCTCAGAATAACCTGTAGCAAAAGTTAACATGGCCAGTCCATCGTACGCAAAGTAATCGCACCCGAAGCCTCCGCTCCCTACCCGGACGAAAAGTCGTGCTTCCGCTGGCTGCTCCCCGCTAGCGACATGTGCAGCCTGGACACGACGCAGCACGCAGTGAAGCCAGGAGTCTTTATCGAATGGGAAGCGCCAAAAACAAGGCTCGTAGTGTATCCATGCTCCGACAACAAATTGCTGAATATGTGCGCCTTCGTCCCGACTGCTCAGGCAGGAGACCAAGGAGAAGGTATGCTGTCGAGACCAGACAAGTGTGTCCCCAGCTGACCTCTTCGCAGGCTGGGAAGCGACCGGCAACAAAAACGCACTGGTCAACGCCTTTGCAGACTTTTGCCCAGCGGTGCGCGAATTCGCCGAGCGCGCAGGCGACGACCTCAAAGTGTGGCAGCTCTACGACATGGCAGCGCTCCCACGCTGGGCGCAGGGACGAGCGGTGTTGATCGGAGACTCTGCGCATCCGTTTCAGCCATGTATGTTGGCCATGCAGTTTGAGGCGTCTCAGCTGACCAGTCGGTAGATCTCGGGCAGGGAGGGGCGATGGCCATAGAGGACGCGGTCGCACTGGCCATTCTGTTGCCACCAGGGACCACCGTCGACGAGATTCCGGGCCGACTGGGTCTGTACGAGACGGCTCGGAGGCCGCGTGTGGAAAAGGTGCTCGACTACACGAGGCTGAATGCGCGGGATGACGATGATCCTTCGGGAGGGAGAATCAAGCGTGAGTTTATCAGACCCTGTTTTGTTTTGATTTTCGATCGGAGAAGTAACCGTGACTGAGACAGCCACGCAAATGATCGAGTTTATGCAGACGACCATGTCGCATAACGAGGTGGCTCATTCGACGGCCATACTGGAGGAGTGTCTGATCCATGGATAGCGAGCGACTTGCCTGATGCGGACGCGGGGAATCGGATTAATAATGCTGTCAGGAGAGATGAAGCAGGGTCCAGCTCCACAGTATAGTGTGCTTATTTCCATGTGAATCTACACTCTTCTTCGTAATATCCAAATTGAGTCTTGCCCCAGAATCCCACCTCGTAATCGCGAGATCCAACGCGGATGGCGTTAGGCTGTGCTGCTGTTGGTTATCTCCGGTCGCTCGGTTGGGCTGAGACAAACGCACAAACCGTCGGTGACTCACACCCCGACGCGTCGCCGTCCGCCGGCGAGCAACGGGGATTCCTGATGATTCCTCGTATCGGCCACTGCTGCCTTAATAATCCCCTTCTTTGGCTCGCAAGCCAAGGCGCTACTTGGGACTGCCGTGACCAATGCTAGCGAGCTTGGTGCAAAGCCAATTACGTGCGTGAGGCGTCCCGAAAGGGTGTCGGGCTCGTTAAGCCCGTGGACCGATCCAAGAGCTGAAGAAAACGAAATGACGGGAGGATCCAAACGGGCAACCATTATAAAGGGTTCCCGAATTCTTTCTGGCTGTCAGCTTCGAATCAGCAACACCTCTCATTGCATCTCAGTCTCCTCGTAGCAGAGCTTCCACCATGTCGACTACTGCAAGCAATACCGATATCGAAAAACCACCCCTGGAGGAGGCCGAGGCCGCTCCAGAGCAGGAGTATCCCCCTTTTGCTGCTGTCGCGGTCATCATCCTGGGTCTCTACCTCTCCGTCTTTCTCGTCGCGCTCGACCAGACCATCATCTCGGTGGCCATTCCCGAAATCACGAATCAGTTCAAGAGTATCGAAGACATCGCCTGGTATGGAAGTGCGTACTTTTTGACCTCGACGGCCCTGCAGCCGTCCTACGGTCGACTCTACAAGATTTTCAGCGTACGTCCCAGCTCCCTCGTATTTGAGTATATCTAACCCCATTAGGCAAAATGGGCTTTCCTCTTCGCCGTCTTTGTGTTCGAGCTCGGCTCCCTCATCTGCGCTGTCGCTCCATCTAGCACTGTGCTGATCGTCGGACGCGCCATTGCTGGCATTGGAGTTGCTGGTATCTTCTCCGGCGCAATGGTCATTATCGCATTGACTGGTAAATTTCTCACGTCATCTATAGCTGGCATGTGCTAACATGAACAGTCCCACTCGCAAAACGACCACTGGTCTTTGGAATGTTTGGCATGGTCTGGGGCATTGCCTCCATCGCTGGCCCCTTGCTTGGTGGCGCCTTCACCGACTCGGTCAGCTGGCGCTGGTGCTTCTACATCAAGTACGTACCTGCACTTGTAATTTCCCAGGTCTAGCTAACTGTATCAGTCTCCCCATCGGAGGCGTCTCCCTCGCCATCATCATGTTCGTCCTCAAGCTCCCCGAGCAGAAAGAATTCAAGGGAACCCCGGTCCTCGAACGCATCAAGCAACTCGACTTCATCGGCGCCTCCCTGATCATCCCCTGCATCATCTGCCTCTTGCTCGCTCTGCAGTGGGGCGGCAACAAGTACGCCTGGAACAACAGCCGCATCATCGGCCTCTTCATCGGCTTCGGTCTCCTCCTCATCCTCACCATCTACTCGCAAATCAAGCTCGCCGACCGCGCCACTCTCCCACCGCGCATCATGATACAGCGCTCCGTAGTCGCATCTTGCACATACGCCCTGCTCTTCGGCGGGTCATTCTTCGTCCTTGTGTACTACCTCCCCATCTTCTTCCAGAGCGTCCGTGGCGCGTCAGCCATGAAATCGGGCATCCAGCTGCTGCCCCTCATGCTCGCGACCGTCGTCTCCTCTGTGCTCACAGGCGTGTTTGTCACGATCTTCGGATACTACACTCCCTTCCTGATCGGTAGCACCGCACTCGCGGCCATTGGCGGGGGCCTGCTAACCCTCTACTCCATCGACATCTCCGACGGAAAATGGATCGGCTACCAGATCCTCCTCGGCGCAGGTGTCGGCGCGGGCTTCCAAGTCCCCATGACAGCCGTACAGACCTCGCTCAAGGCAGCCGACATCCCACAGGGCACAGCAGCAGTCATGTTCTTCCAAACCCTCGGCGGCGCCCTCTTCATCGCCGTCGGCCAATCGCTCTTCCAGAACGGTCTCATTGACGGGATCAAGAACTACGCGCCCTCGGTTGACCCCGCTGATATCGTCGAAGCGGGCGCGACGGAGATGAGGTCTATCTTGGAGAGATTGGGACAGACCGACCAGTTGCGGAATGTCATTCTGGCGTATCTGGACGGGTTGAAGGATTCGTATCGCCTCAGTGTCGCGCTGTTCTGTGTTGCGTTTGTCGCAGCTTGTACGTTTGAGTGGAAGAGTGTCAAGGATGGCGGCGCTGATGGGAAGAAGGAAGCTGCTGTGCCGGCGTTGTAGATTTCTTCTTCTTCTTTTCCTCCTTGTATTTCGATGCGGTTTAGATCGGCCTCGCTATGCTTTACTACTGGATGCTTAATGACTAATAGACAAAATACACTCCGCTTAATACTTCCAAGTTACCGATCTCACCACTCTACTAGATCCTATGCTCCTTCCTTTCTACCTAAACCCACTATCCCGACTCGGAGATGACCACATCTCGGTATGTACTCGGACTTACAGGAGGTAACCAAGCTCTATCTCCGCACAGGAGGCCCTACGAGCCAAGGTACCTGTCTGGTTGGCACGACCGTAAGTACGGCTGAAAACTCGGCGAATCCTTCGGCGGAGGATTTAACCACGAGTAGTCTAGCACCGCCTGGTCCGCCTGGTCTAGCGGCCAATTCCCGACTGACGGCCCAGGTCGGTCTTTCTTGGGTGGTCATCGGCCATCGCATAGTCCGACGAGGCTAGACTCGCTGAATGTCCGGGACTGCTATGGATTACAAAACGGACCGCGGGGGCCAGATGGCTTTCTATTCTTTCGACGCACGAACGTCATCTTTCGACTGGGCTAGTCGGATGGTTGATTTCCGTCATGTGAGGGATAATGGAAACCCACCCTAGGCTTGGTAGCTCTGTTGCGTACGACTATTAGGTTAGGTTTGCATGGCCAGTCTTCCCATACCGCGGATTCAGCATCCAAGGCAGGATTCAAGGTTCAAGGTTAAGATTAAGCTTCAGACGCCACCCTCAGTTAGACGCGCAGCGAAGCTTAGACGGAACCGAAGCAAATCTTCTTTTTCTTCTTCTACCCTCCTAAACGTGGGCATATTACATCACCTGCACTGGGTCGGGCAAGGCACGCATCCACCACCACCGCCCAAACTCATTGTAGAAGCTCAACGTAACTATGTATATCTCTCCCCTCTTTCAATAATATGCAATATAAGTAAACCACTTCACATATACCGGTCCGAGTAATAACAATAACAATAACCTCCTTATCTATCTATCCATCTTCCATCACCACCCCCCCCCCTTTAGCATTATCCCAGAATAACCAGAAACATCACCGTCCGCGATGAACCCACTCCTCACCCTTCTCGCCGTCCTCTCCTTTCACCTCCTCCCCTCCATCCCACCCTTCGTTTCGGCGCAGGAAGTCCCCTGCGCAGGCTACGGCTCCGTCTGCATCTGGATGGACCCGCAGTCCGACGACTTTGATACATGCACGTGCGCCCCCGTGACGCGATGTCGCCTGGTACGCCTTGACCCCGGGATGCTGGATGAGCATATTTCGGCGTATTTGTGTACGCCGCATTGGTTGATTCCCAAATCCCATGTATGTTTGCATGCTGGATGGAAGAAGTGGGTTGGGAGGGATTGTCTGGGAAGAGAGGAACGGGTAGGTTTGGTTTGAGAGGGGGTGGATTATTTTTGGGGGGGTTTGGCCGTGGTGTTGATAGGACTAGGACCAGGCGTTGTGCATGGATGATGGGGGAGGGACTACTTTTGGATGTATGGCAATGGGGAGAGCTGATTTTGTACTTTGACTGTGCTGTTTCTCTTGTTAGTATGATAAGACCTGTGAGTTGCGATTCATAGTCTCGTGGCTTGCTTGGAAGGCGTTTGTCAATTACACAGTTTCCCACTGCCCATTTATCGGGGTTTACACAGAATATAGGCCGGCAAGCGCCGGCAATGTAGAGCAGGAAGTATAAGCAAAGTCCTGATGAGTGGCTTGAGCAGCTCGCTATCTCAGGAGTGTGGTTTGTGGCTTACAGAACCAGAACCACTCCTGTACCTAGAACATATCAACTTAATATAGCGTGTTAGGCCCCGCGCCATGGCAGACTTTATATCCCACTCGCCTCCAGGACCTGCATAACATCGAAACAGACGACAAATCCCCACACAGCCACGATAAAAAAAAAGACAGAGACGGCCGATACCCTGGATACTTTTAAACTGGTCCATCGATGGCGAGTCCTGCAGCTAGACTAGAGCACTAATACATATTCAGTGACTCCAAACAGCGTTTCATCTGCCTCCTCTCTTCCGAGCAACAACGCCCATTCGTCTGCCACGGTCTCGAGTACGCGTTCGAGCCTAGGTTCCTGAAAGACCTCCAGACAAAAGCTGATTCGGACTCGGATTTGGATTCGTATTCGGTGGGTATGTTACCGAGGAAGAAGAAGGCCGTTGGACAATACTGGCAAATATGCGCCGCTGTATCCGGATTGTACCAGCCGATGTGTATGAGGTTATAGTGTGGGCAGCCGAACACGGACTCTTGCGGGCTAAACACTGCGCCGAGCTGTTCCCATCCCTGTCTTATGCCGTCCTGGGTGATTGCCAGACTGTGGCGTGTGCACACCATTAGGCGCTCATTGCGCTCATTGTCATCATTGTCATCATTGTCCTCATCTCCCACGAGTTCTGCGCGGATTTCCAGCCTGAGGGTGCCGTGTCTGCGGTTCGTGGCCATGCAGCGGTGTCTGAGTGCCCGATGGGGGTTCCTGTCGTCGAGTTGAAGTACATCAAGGATACGCTGGTCAAGGTTCGTTGGAGCGATGCCGCTGCGAAGCCATTCTCTGATCTTCGCGCCGGTCATGGGCGTCAGGGCGAGGCAGTGGCACAGATCGACGACATTTATGCCAAATCCGCACTTTCGCTCAATTTTCGGAATATCCCAGACGTTCTCGGGGAACTCGTTGCGGTGATGGAGCTTGAGGCAGGCGACGCAGAATGGATTGTCGGGCGTCTTCAGCTGGAGGAGGAACTGGGTTCGAAGAGCTATCTTTGGCAATCCATAGGCGGCAGACCCTTGCTCGAAGATCCCTTTTGGCCAAGCGAGGTCCGGGTGCTGGAGGCTGTTTCCGAAGAGATTATAAAGCGTCTTGCAGGTGAGTGCGAGGCAGGCTTGCGATGGGACGGGCAGGAACGAATGGATCATCAAAAGGATCTCGGGCGGGTACTCGAGAAGCCGCGGGTCAGTCTGGTTCTTGGCCGCGACGGTGATGGAAGGCTGAAGAATGGGGGAGCCGTCTGGAGCACTGAGGGAGACGGACGGGGGTTCCTCCCCAACTTGGAGAGAGGTGAGACTCATAGCGCGACCATGAAGGAACGACAAGGAAGAAGACTCGACAGCGCCCGTGAAGCAACAATTTCACTTTCACCTAGAAAAAAATAATAATCAACTTGGGCTGTCGTGTGAGTTTCGCTACGAGCCATCGCCCTAAGGCTCCGGCCCAGAGGAACAATAGGGTTCGACTCAACTCAGAACACGATGCAGGCCGGGATTACGCGTATAACCATGGTACTTGTTGGAAGAGGTTTCCGGTGAAGTGCATTCGACTGGACAAGCTCTGGAAGGATGGAGATGAAAATGGGTCAGGTGGAGAGATAAATGATGCTCGAGAGGGTTGCTAAAAAGAGGTAACCTCAGAAGAGATTACATTCGAGCAAACAGGATGATGTGATGGTTGCTGTACAGGTCGATTAAAGCCGAGATTTCGGGCTGTAGAGAGGAGCTTCACCGTCACTAAGGAGAAAGGAGTAATGTGGGAGCGATCCGATCTCCAAACATGATTGCATTCCGGCCAACAAATCTGACGAGGCAAAGAAGACGATGCGATGGGCGTTGTCGATGGAACAAGTGGGCGAAGGCCGAGATTTGAAGGAGAGGCTGACCCCCCTTCGCTCCTTCCGTCAACAGTATCGCATCGACTGGCACTCCTCGCAGCCGGCATCGACTCCTTGGCTTTGATCGTCGTGCTTCGTGTACACAAGCTGAATCGACTGACTACGTAGAAAAGGGCGGCCAATCACATATTACAACATCGTAGCATAGTTTAAGTAACCTCATCAGATCAAGGATCAGCTAAGTACAGAGAAAGTTTGCCTCCAAGGCTGCAGTACAGCGCGCCAAGGTGCGTAAATAGCATAAGAGCAGAGTTAAAAGGGGGTATTGGTAAACATTTGACAAGAAAAGAGGCGGCGCAGCGCAAGCGACCACGGGCTCTTTTTCTTTGCGTTGCTTTTCAGTGCGCAGGGCCTTAAGCGTCGCTGTGGTCGACGACCTTTTCGGTGACGGTTCCGTCGGCCTGCTGGATGACCTTGTCGACCTTCTTGGAGGCCTTGACGGGGTAGGGCTGCTGGTAGACCCAGTCGAGCTCCTCGAGGGTACGGCCTTGAGCCTCGACACTGGAGATGGGAGGTTAGTTCCAAATCAAATACTCTTTCTTTGGTAAGTGGAATAGGGAGAACGTACCCGAAGAAGTACCAACAGAGGGTTTCGATGCAATCCCAGCCAACAAAGACCCAGATGTAGTTGTAGGAGATGGAATCGTACGCCTCGGGGGTGCAGTAGGTGTTGATGAAGCCAAAGCAACCAGTGAGGAATCCATAAAAGGCGAGACCCTTGGCGCGGCGGCGGTTGTCGAGGGCCTCGACGGGGACGACACCTTGCAGCGGGGTGTAGGTGAAGGAGTAGACGATGTTGAAGAGGAAGTAAAAGGCAAGCGCGGCCTGGCCAATGCTCTTGGAGTCTGTCTTGTGGAACTCGTGGCTGGTGGCACCGTTGATGGCGAGCATGACGGCGCAGATGAAAGTACCGATGACCAGGACCTTGCGCCGGGGCATGCGGTCGGTCAGGGACACAGCGGTTCCGGCACCGAGGGCCTGCAGGCACTGACCGAGGATGTTGAAGCCGAGCTGCTCAGCGGTGGTCTCGACACCGATCTGGCTGAAGATGAGGGGGTTGAAGTAGCCCAGGCCGTTGCCGGAGAATTGACCAAAGATGCCCATCATGGCCACCTGGGCCGTACGCCAGCGGGCCTCGCGCGTGTTGAAGAGCACGCGGAAGTCCCACCAGGGGATGCGGCGGTCCTCGAGATCCTCCAAGACACTGGCGCGGATTTCCTCGATCTGAAGCTGGACGAGACGAGCCTCGGGGTTGCCGCCGCCGTGGTACTTGGTGAGGAAGGCAATGGCTTCCTGCTCGCGGCCCTGGGAGAAGAGGTAACGGGGGGACTCGGGGAGGAACCAGACAGAGCACAGGACGATGATGCAGGCGAAGCACTGGCCGATAAAAGGGATGCGCCACGACCAGGTGTTGTCGATGTACGCGGTGCCAAAGGTGACGAGGGCAGCGGGGATGGCACCTCCAAACCAGCCGCAGTTGTAGAAGCCGGTGGCACGACCACGCCATTGGGGAGGAGCCACCTCCATCGAGTAGGCAGGGGCAGCCACTGTCATGAACTGAATGCCGGAACCGAGAACGAATCGGCCGACGGTGACCTGCGCGAGGCTGAACGAACTGGCGGAAATGACGCTACCGAGGATGATGATGACTGCGCCAAAGGTCATGCCGGCGCGACGACCCCATTTGTCACTCACAAGGGCGGCGAAAGGAGTAGAGACGATGGATCCGCTGCGATTTGTCAGTCCCTGGGGGAAGGCGCGATCATGCGGAATGGACTCACACAGAGTAGAGAGAAGAGATGACCGAGACCTGCCAGCCGGCGTCTCGGCTGCCCATGGTGGACTGGAAGTGAGGCATGACCGTGATGGCGCCAATCAAGGAACCATCATAACCGTTGGCGCAGGCGCAGCAAAAGGCAATGAAGACACAGACTGCGGCTGGTTAGACTGTCCTGTTCGGGGTGCGTGCAACATACGGTACAGCTTGATACTCTCCTTGCTCCATTTCTGAATGTGGGACTCCTGGATGGCAGCGAACAGTTCGGCCTGGCGATTGTCAGCTCCCTTGTCCTTGTTCCCTCGTTGATCGCATTCCAGCGCGCAGTCGACATACGTTGTAGACCTCCTTCTCCTTGGCTCCCGCGTTGTGAGCGGTCTTGCCCGTGCCCTCCGCGACGACCGCGATGCCCGGATTGGCGACGTGGGCGACGTGCTCCTGCTTGATATCGGCAGACATGATGGGCGATGCGAAATTGCGAGCTGTCGAGTCTCTCGGCGAGCGTCTGTAGACAACTTGGCAGCGAGGGTGGGTCTAACAGAGGGCAGACGGGGATTTATATCCCCAGAGCGCAAGACCCTGGCCGCTCGTTCTCCAGATCGAACCACAGGCGCGATGCGGACAACGGCCCGAGACGGCCGGACGCAGCGTTTCGTTTCTGGATCTAGTGCTCGACGCCCAGCAAACCCAACGGCGCTACCCCGGATTCGTCACGGATTCCGGGGTCCGCGCTGCATCGACTGCCCCGTTTCGGCATCGGCCACCCAGGCGCGTTGGGGATCCCAGTCAAGAAAAGCAAAAGTGCTTGTCTCGTGTTTCAAGGCGAGTTCGTTGAAACTGCCAGTCTCCTTGGAACGATGATCATCTAGGCACATCCAAGCTCTGGACGAATACCAAGCGTTTCGGCAGAACAGCGCCAGACCAGCACACTACAGTGGCCACACAAGTAGTACCCAGACAGAGTCATGGGAACGACACACGCGCTTATCCAGCAGCTGGCACAAAAAAAGGCACGACTCAGTCGTTCCGTGACCTTCTGGACCTGTCAGGCCGTCAGCATCCAGCAATGTCTCACAAGTGGCTCCGTGCAGCCAACACACCAATCAGCAGGCGGCAATGTGAGACGAAGGATTATTAGAGCCCCAATCATTTCCCCAGTGGCAAGCATTGACAGGATATTGCACCAATAGTGAGTCAGCTAGTCTGCAGTTCCGAGGCAGGCTTTTGCCCCTATTCCACTCTGCAGTCACCAGTGTGGTCCAGTGCGGGTGCCCGCAGGGCCAGCAGCTGCTCGCTTAACGGTTCTGGGGAAAGACGCGTGCAAGTGTTGGGGGGTGTGACACTCAGATTCTTCATTTCATGCGCTGAGCTCAGTCGCCCGCCACAATATACCAGCTCACCTATCACGGCTCACAAGCTCACAACCGCGTCTCGGTCTTGCCTCCGCATGCGCTCCAGCTGTCTGCCCTTTGCGAGATGCACTGCACCCTTGCCTGATTGATTCGGACCCAACCATACACGACTGGCCCAACAATCGGCTCTGGTAGCCGAACACAGCGTCCAAGCTCACCACCTGAATCTCCAACACGAATCCTTCTCCTCTGAGTCGAAAGTTTCGACTTCCAAGGCGAGAGCTGTGCGGAGAACTCTCCTTGCCTCCCACGCTCTTAGCGGCTGACATGAGACCACTCTTATTCACAGAATCACAACCCCGTCGGTTCGCCCCGGAATCATCGACCTCGTCTCCGCAGACACTTCGCGTACACACATTCGTTTGACGCTCTAGCAAGATCTCGGTTGGCAAAACCAACACGACTTCGTTACTCTCGTTCTCACCGGACTCCTTAGCTGGGAACCCCCTTCCTTGACCCTTTTGGCCCCCATCTCTTTCCATGTGAGAGGTAATAACTCGACACTTTAGACAAAGAACTAACGCTCTAGCGCCATGAGACTACGGCACTGCTGGACCGGGATCCCGAAGCTAACATCCGAAGCTGGGGCCCCGGCGAGAGTTCTCCGGACTGCCAGAGACGCGACCCAAAGCAACGGGCTCTGCTAGCCTCGGCCGAATGTCGTGTCGCGTGTATACCTGTGCAACTGGCAGGCATTCGTGGTTTGGCTTGACTGTACTGTTTACCTGTTATCACAGCCTATGACTCTGCTACCGTTATACGAGTGTCACAAGCCACCATTCGCATACGCCCAATACAGGACCAGCACTCAGGCCACGCGTAGCTCAGATAAGTCACGCCTTCGCCCCGGGTACGATCCTCGGGCGCCCCCTTCGAGACCCGTGACTCTTGCGGGGGGCGTTCGGCAGCCACTCCGCGTCCGATAAGCAGCCCGAGGCTGATGAGCGGTCATTGCGTGGTGGTAAGAACAAGCGAACAAGCAACTGTGGTAATGTGATGTTGGATTTGCCCCTCTGCTCACAAAGTCGACCGGGCCTATAGATAGTAAGCTATCTGTGATCCAGTGGTCAGTTCATCAGTATCGGAGCATCGGCCCTCGTTGCGTGGTCTTTATATTCGGCCGAGGAGGTCTCCTGTCGTGGGATTAGACTTTGGGACTACTTTACATCCATGTCACCAGGCTCTCCAGGTACAGACTGCAATTGGCTCTACCACTGTGCAACCTGGCAGCGCACAGTTCGTGCTCTGGCCTGATCCACCTACCTAGGTCTAAGCATCTACTCTACGAACGTGGTCGGACGTGGCCGGAGTGGCTGACATGGCACCTAACGTATTCCACTCTTTGAGTTCGAATCATATCTAGGATCCTGATAACACAGACCTTCGACCTAACGCTGTCGTATCATCAATAAAGGCATACTGCTGGGGGACGAGCCAAGAGCTAACGACTACCTACTGAACAACCTCTCGATTGTACCGAGCCTCTTCATAAAAGAAGCAACCCTCGTTCTTGTCATCTCATGCCTACGCGGGTAGGGTATTTTCAATATGATTCCTTATCGTCCCGGCTTTCCAATACTCTCTACAATACCTCCTCCTCCTCCCAGGCTCCCTATCTATAAACCCCTCTTCCTCCCAACAACAACCCCAAACCTCAAATCCAACACCTCCCCACCCCCCGCAAAAAACTCCTTGACCCCGCTCACAGCCTCCCTAGCCCTCTCCTCTGCCTCCACCTGACTCTTCGCCTGCCCTGTAACCCTCAAAACAGGCGGCATTACCGCCGCAAACGCCTGGAGTTCCCAGTTCTGCGCTCTTTCGCTCAGTTCCGGACGGCCGGCGACGGGATACGTCGTACTGGATATATCGAGCAGCTCGTTGGAATGCGTGTATGCGTTCTCGATAGTAGTTGTCGGGCAGGTGGAGAGGTTGTTCAACTCGAGGAACGTCAGCCACGAGGTGATTAGTGGCGACGCGCGGGGGTCCGCGGCGCTGGGTGCCGAGGAGAGATGCGAGGAGTCGAGGTCTGTCCATTGGAGGTAGCCGCCTGGTTCTGTTTACCTTTTATTAGCATTCGCTCGCATTCACCCACACCTCAACCAGCCATCCAACCACAGAAAGAAACATAATCTGGGATAAAGGAGGCGGAAAAAGGGGCCGGCGTACTCAAAACCCCCACCAAATTCCGCACCGCAACCTCATACTCTTCAACCTTGAGCGCCGAAACAAGCATGCGCACATGGACGAGGTCATATCTCTCCCGGTGCGCGATCGGGAACGGGCGCAAGATGTCGTGCACCGAAAGCGTGAGTCCGTGCGTTTCGGGTGAGGGGAGGAACTGCGCGGCGGAGATGTCGAAGCCGTGGAGGGTATATGGGTTTGTGTTTGGGGAATATGTGATTAGATGGGTTTTTGCGTCGAGGAGCCAGATTCTGTTCGGATTTGTTAGATACGCATAGTTTTGTTTGATCTTGATCTTGTCTGGGAAGTGGTCGAGGGAGGACATGGTAGAGTATAGCTAAGTAAGTACGGAGTAGACGCACCCAGTCCCCGTCCCAACATCCGCGACACTGGCGATATTTTCTAACCGAATCGATTTATCAATCGGCCCGCCGACAATATCGACGAGGAGTTTATGCTGCGCGTTGAGGCTATTCCGGTGTCAGTAAAGATCCCACCAGACTCGTCTATAAAGATGGTAATAGTAGAAGCGCAGGGCGAGACTCACCGGGCAGACTCGGCCTCATCCCTCGCAAGTGGATAAATCTCCAAGGAAGGACCATCACCCATTGTTGCTTGGCGATGCACTTGCGATCAATCACGTATTCTCGACGCCGGCCAAGGCTTGTATTTATATATCCGTGTACTCCGTACAAACCATGCATTCTTTCTTGACAAGTCTCGTGCCTAGGGTTCCGGGAAACGCCTTATCGGGTTGAACTAGCGGATAATCTCCGCTTATGGAGACGGTTTCTAGCTTACTGTACGCAAATACGCTGGCAGATATCGCGTTGATCGGCACCGGATCGGCGGGGGCATTCATCCATTTGCTTGATAGCTCGTAAGCGTACAGGGCGTCCCGTGGTAAGTAGGCCTTCGACCTCATGCTGTAAGCTTCATTTGTAGTGGATGGGTGGCCTAAAGTCAGTGCCTCGAGCGAAGTGAGTGCGGGCAAGGCTTTTATGGGGTTAGGATAATACGATAGAGCGTACGGGTTATACGCTTGCGAGGTGCCAGGCGCGGGGCTTATTATCGTCGTAAATACTAGTTAATAATATTATCTATCAGGTCTATATATACCCTGTATGTGTTGAATCTAATGTACAGCCAAAGGCTCAGCCTGTTGACATCTCTAAAAACCCTCTATAGTCTAGTCTATACACCCCAAACGAAACGCACCCAACCACCGCAGAATCCACCTGATCAAGCAGTATTCTCCCCAGTGGCCTTGACAATATCCTCCTCTACAACCGTAACCTCATGACTATGCTCCAGCTCCGAAAGCACAATCCACGTCGGAACCACACAAAGCACCGTGATCCCAAAATTCAACCCGATGCTCACAAAATGGTTCGCATTGCCCTCGCTCTGCATCGCCCACGCAACCGTCTGGCCCAGGGCCTCGAACCCGCGCAGAATCCCACAGTGGTACGACAGCGACGAGATGTCCGTCGCATACTGGCCCACGAGCCAGTACAGGAACTGCTGAAAGGCCTGTCCGCCGAATGTCCAGAAGAAGACGAGCGCGTAGGATTTGCCGAAGCCGCCTTTGAACCAGTCGAAGACGGGGGAGGGGTTGGAGCCGTAGTAGAAGTCGTATTGCAAGATCGACGCCCAGATCCAGGTTCCGACGAGGACGAGGATTATGGAGCAAAATGCGATGCGCGCGCGGGTTTTGATGTGGATGCTTTGTCGATCCAAGAGGGCGGCGATGAGGAATGAGGATGCAATTCCGGCAAAGTTCGTGAAGAACGACGAAAACGCGCGCGAGCGCACGGTAAAATACGTCGTGAGCCACGTACTCTGGAACCCATTGTAAAAGTAGCTGATGAAGAACGAGGGCAGGAGGAGGAGGACGCGCCGCGAGGCGAGGAGCGAGATGGCGGCTTTGAACTCGGCCGCCCAGGTCGGCTGCTTGTGGACCATGACGAGGGTGCGGTCTTTGCGCTGCACTTTGTGCGCGGGGCTGAGGAGGAGTGCGATGGGGAGGCCCAGGCACATGATGACGATGAAGACGATGTATGTCCCCGCGCTGACGGAGCCCGTTGTGGACTTTTGGGCGTTGAGGCCCAGGTTTATGGCGCCGCCGACGATGGGGCCCGCTGCTTTGGCGGTTTGCCAGATTGCTAAGTGATGTCAGTATACACACCGCTGAATAGTTCAATAGTATCTAGGCGACGCACCCAGATAGAAAGCGCGATCCTTCGGACTGGGATACCCGATAATAATCGCCGCCTCGGCCGCCCAAAAGAAGCCAGCCGAGATGCCACACAGCGCGCTCCCAAAGAGCAAAAACCACGTGGTGGGCGAGTAGTTATTCGTATACAAGCCCGCGCCATAGATCGGATACCCGATGGCGCCAATTGCCAAGCCATACCGCAGTCCGATGCGGTTGTTGATCGCGCCGGCAGCCACACAGACCACAGCGAAGAGCCCATATAGAAGCGCATTTGCCGCCGAGACAGCGTACGGCTCTGCGGCGCCGCCGGCGCCCAGGTTGTTCAGGGCATCCCACATGCCTGGTGCGGTAAACGAAACACCGCTGGCGATGGCGATCTGGAATGGGATCGATCGGAAGACGGATCGGAGCCGCGAGGACGCCGGCGCTGCCGGAGCCATCGCTGGCGCTGATACCTCCACGGATGTCATTTTGACGGGGATCTGAAGGATTCAAAGTGACAGTGTCTTCCACGTGGCGAGCGCAGCGAAGGAATGAAGAAAAAAAAAAAGAAAAAAGTCGGAAGCTTTGGGGAAAGCTTTGGGATCGGAGCGAAGCCGGAGTGGGGCCGGCGATTGCGTGCTCGCCATCCAGAAGATTTTTCAGCGATTCTGGTGGCTGCCAAGAACTCTGACAGGTTGACGTCTGTCACCAAGACTCCAGAGTAATTCATGGAGAGTCTGTATCTGATTAGATCAGACGTCTCTTGATCTAGAATCCATTCGTGTCACTGCTGCGTACAACGAAGCGCCATCAGACTGCTTTGCCGCTGTGGCAAATCCGGGGTACAGCTATATATATCTAGTTCTGTGGTTTACATACATGGTCCAGTTACTGGCAAGCGCCAGTGGCATCAAAGAATGAAACGATTTCTTAATTTTCCAAATTGTTTTGACAGATAATGGAGTTTGATCCGCCAACAACTTATGGAACCCGGACTCTACGTAAGAGCAGAATTGCGTCTCCCACATCAGGAGCGACACTGAATAATTCTACGCATGCACAATAGACGCATCTTACTAGTGGAACATTCATACACCATTAAGCTACCAAGTATAATACATACATCATGATCATCCCATCCAAGCTTGCGCAGTGCGTAGCTGCCCTGTTGAAAACGGCAGGAACGCCCGATGGCTCCTTCCTTCTGGGTTTTATACAGTCGCAGCTTCCGTCCGTGACGCAAACCACTGATCTCTACAAGGCAGGTGGAACGGACGACGGAGAAGCCACTAGAATCCATCGCACCTTTCTGAACCGATAGGGTACTCCTTACCGCTCTTGATTCCCCTTTCGACTATGAAGCACAGTCGTGATAGCTGCTAGAACCGTACACACAATCATCGATACCCCGGCAAAGATAGCCGCCTCATCATACCCATAGTTCCGGATAAGCGCTCCCGCAATAGGCGTCCCTGTCAGCCCGGCAATCGACACGACGAAGCTCGCCTGGCCCAGGTACGTGCCAATCTGCTGTGGGTTCGGAGTCACCTGCGCCACGGAGGCTGGATATAGCGAGATGATGGCGCCAGATGTAAAGCCGAAAAAGGCGACCCAGACGAGGAGACCCGCGGACGAGTCTACTCGAAGCCAGCACAGGAGGACGAGGGCATTCGTGGCGTAGACGGCAACGAGCATGCGGAGGCGGCCGAACTTATCGGCGAGGAAGCCTGGGATGACTCTCCCAAAAAAGGACGCGCCGTTTAGGATGGAGAGCGTGTAGAAGGCGAGGTTGCCAGACATGTGCACCTTTTCGACGGCAAAGGAGACGATAAAAAAGTAGGGGATCCACATGCCCCAGAAGCTGAAGAAGATGGCCGCTGTGAGGGTGGTGAATGATGGTTGGAGGAAAGCTCGGGGGAGGAAGAGTTTGCCGCGGCGAGGGGGAAGGCGCTCTTTGACGAGGATGCAAGCGATGGACAGGAGACCGAGGATTGCGAAGCCGACTACGCGGACGCCCCAGCCGAAGCCGAGTCTCTGGCTGTAAAGTGCATGGTTCAATGCGATGGGCAAGACGAGACCGCCGATGGAGGAGCCAGCGGTGCAGAGCCCGATTGCAAGGCCTCGATGGCGGGAGAAATAGTGGCTGATGCATGAGATGGCAGGAGTGAACAGGAGACCACCACTCAAGCCGCCGAGAACACCTTGTCCGAGGAGAAACTGATAATACTCCTTGCAAATACTGGTCATCATGATCGACAAGACGAATCCAAGCGATCCAGGGATCAGAAGCACCTGCACTACATAGTTAGCTCCGTATGATGGGGAACCCGTGGGGCATACCTTGGCTCCATAGAGATCAAACAGACCACCGGAAACAACGCTAGTCGCATACTGAAAGAAGATCTGGACGGACCCGATCCACGCGATATCGGACGGAGACTTGTGCGAGAGCTGGTGGGTGCTATAGTAGTTTTCGTATACTCTGCAGCTGTGAGTTGGCGGGAGCCTGCGCTGCGCTACTAGTGGAGGACATACCCAAACGAGGAGAGGTAGCCAAACGCGCAGGCAAGCGCAATCGCTGAGCCGGCAACGACAGACCAGGCTTGAACTCCTCCTTCGGGAAAGGCTGGTTGGTTGGCCTCTATGCTCGGGCTTTCGTTCGACTTGTCGGTGGTGGCAGCCATTGTGAGAAGGTTGATTGTGAAGATGACGGAGAAAACAAATTCTGCACGTCTTCGGAGAGATAATTATACGCCATCAGCTGAAGTGACTAGTCTCATAGCTTGTGAAGCTTGCGCAGGGGTGGGTGAGCTCGTATTGACTGGTCGGATCGGACTTAAGCCCGGACGCCGACCTGTCCATTTCTCTTCATCACCCATCTCCCCTCCATCCGACAACTCACTTTTCCATCAAAAAGTCCATCTCGGAATGGAAGTTGCAATGACTCGTCGGCGCCAGATCCGAGCTTGTCAGCGCTGCCGGACATTGAAGGTCAGGTGTGACACCCTGAGGCCGATCTGTGCACGGTGTGCCGAAGCCGGTGCTCGATGCGTCTTCCTACCAGAGGTTGTCGCGCGAAGGAAGGCATGGTTGACCCAGGAGTGGCTAGCGATGCTGGACAAGAAATGGTTAATGTGGTACGGTCTCCTATGACTTTGAAGTTGCGTCTAACCATAGTCCAGCTGGATGCATCTCCCAACGAAGAGACTCTCTTTCCATTCACCTGCCCTGCCACTTTTGGTCCTCTGCAATGCGCAGAACGTCCGAGTCAGCAGCGAAAGCGTGCTCCAACCCCACCCAGGCTGGCAGTTATGAAACGGTCGTCGACGCGACAACTGAAGTTAAACCTCTGCTAAAGCAAGCGGCAGCCTTTCTAACGAGAACACGGTCAGTGCAAAGCACCGGGAGCGGCTTACAATGTGAAGATCTCGAAGCCATCATGTTCGACACCATCTTTCGCGGGCTCTTACTGTCTGCGCATCGCCGGTTTGCACGGGACGAGCTTGCGCCAATCCAGTACCCTGTATCCTATGGACATCATTGGATTGTGCACTGGCAATCCTCGTCCACCAACGCGAGCTATGGGAGGAACCCGGCGGAAACTCCACACTTACCAGATCCTTTGCGCGATTGTTCTGGGCTGACTTTCTGGCCGCTGCGCTCACGCTGTCTTCGTACCTCCTCCAGGGAGATTCGTTGGAGCCACCGGGCTGTTGTGCGAGTCATGGACGCGCCACCATTCAGGAGGCGCTCACGTCGCGTAGAGATATCTGGCTCCTGACAAAGGATAAAAACGTTTGCCATTCGAGGTCCTTTTCGTTGATTGATCAGGTTGTGTCGGTGTTGAATGAGATGGATTAGACTACGTGGTCGGGGGATCCTGGTCTACCTGACTAGAATTTTCTACGTTTACCGGAGAATACTGCATTTGTTTGTTGATTGACAAAATGGCTACATGAGCAGCTACTCCTTGATGGCCTCCCTGAAATTGCTCCTGGCCTGCTCCAAAGTTGCCTGGTCGTTCACCATCTCCCATCCGATCAAAGCCAACGACTTGCCTACGACAACAGCCTCCTCATGCGAGCTATCGGTCCCCGCGGCTGCCGCAAAAGATGCATGATGTGGGAAAATGCCGTCTGCATCCGGAAGACCGAACATCGTGTGCAACGTGGGGACAACGTAACTGACATTCCCAATATCCGATGACCCCGTCAGCACCTTTTCGTGTTGTGCTAGCACGCCGCGCCCGTACGAGCCCATGTGCGCGGCATACCGCTCACAGAGGGTACTGTTGATTTTGATGTCGGTATACAGTTCGTTCCTGCGACAGTTATAAGTCATCTACTTTCGAAAGTCAAGACGAGCAGAACATACTCAACAATCTCAACCTCACACCCCGTCGCAACAGCCCCGGCCTCAACACATTTCCTCACCCGGCCCATGAGCGAATTCAGCCCTTTGAGCGTCGGACTCCGCACCTGCCAATACGCTCTCGTCGTATCCGGAATGACATTCGCAACCTTGGGCGTGTCCAAGAACGCACAGTGCGCCCGCTCATCGGGCTGCATTTGCTGTCGCAGCACCGAGACATTGTTGTACGAGGTTACCAGTGCGTCGAGGGCGTTTACGCCGTCCCAGGGGTTTCCGCCGGCGTGCGCGCTTTTACCACTGTATTTGACGTGGAGCTCCTTTCGGGCATTCATGCGAAGCCCCGCGACGCCGCTGACGCCGGGGAATATTTCTTTGGGGCCGGCGTGGCTATAACACCATGAGTCGAGGATGCTCCAGTGGTTTCAAGGGGACAATAACGAGACTCACGCCATGAGAGAAACATCAACACCCTGATAAGCCCCCTTGTCAATCAGTTTCGCCTTCCCACCTCCATTCTCCTCAGCGGGAGTCCCCAGAAGCTGTGTCCGCCCGGGGATCCCGTACTCTTTTAACAGAGCAGAAAGCGTCAGGAACGCCGTGACACTACTCGTCGTGATAAGGTTGTGCCCACAGGCGTGCCCGATATCCGGGAGAGCATCGTACTCCGCGTTGAAGTTGATGAGCGGACCGCCGGAGCCGCTGAGGGCTTCAAAGGAGGTTGCCAGGCCGTACGCATGTCGGGTTACGGCAAAGCCGCGCTTTTCGAGGAATGTGCAGATTGTGTCGTGCGCGCGGTGTTCCTCGTATGCTGTTTCGGGATTCGACCAGATCTGAATTTTTTTGTCAGTGTGTAGGACGGAGTGTGGGAGAAAAGGAGGGGTACCTCGCGATTGAGCTCACGGAGTTCATTCTGAAGGGATTTGACGGCCGCATCTGCAGAGGCCTTGACCTCTTCGATCGTGGGTGTGGTGTGAGCGGTTATGGCCATGGTGAAGGGGAGGTGGTTGATGGTGGAAATTGAAGATAGGAAAAGTCAAGAGGAAAGGAGATGGGATACTTGGCCTGGTTTAAGCACGTCCTCATCTTATTCCATCGCCTCGGTTGGATCACGCCTTCCGAGGACAACCTCCGTCGATGGCGTTGGAGTTGGAGTATATTGGTCATGGCCATTACGACAGATGATGCATCCAATGGCGATGGCAGGAATTCCTCCGTATCATCGGCTAAGGGTCTCCCTCCTCCTTCCTATCTCGAACACTCATAAGCCCGTCCAGATAAGCTGGTTCCCACTTCTCCGCATTGTATCTGGGGAGCGCATGGCTGGGAGCATGGCAACCCCATATCATCACCAAATTCCCGCGATGTGATAGGGTTGTTTCCCGAAGAGATAAACATGGTTAGCCGAGCTGCTGCACGCTCATTGGAGACATTGCCGATCATCTCCACTTTCTCTGGGCGGTTGACTCCAACTGTATCTATCGCCACTCAGCGCTTCCTGATTTCGAGTCCCGTTCGCTGTCCAGCCCCTGGTCGGCAGAGAGATATCGGCAGATACGAGTGAGGGGAGAAGGGCGATTAATCGCTGCAGCGGGGATGGGGTGGCGCGTGGACCCGCTCTACGCAGATATGACTGCCAGAGAGCAGCTGATACGGCGATCAGACAGCGGGAAACACAGTGAACGATAGCGGAAATTGGCGGAATGCTGGGAGGGCTTGACTCCCCGCAGCCAAGCATGGCTGAGACCGATAGTTGTCCTCGCTTGACTATCGGCAGGCACGCGAATAAGAATCAGGGGATAACTGACGGGCAGTTCATATCGCTGCGACTTGCCGCGAGGGGGAGATAACTGATGGAGATAAGTACCGAGTAGCATCCACGGTACGTCACGGACAACACTAAAGCCAAAGCGGGTGTTATCTTTTAGAGTTTTCCCCCGGGTTTTAAATCTTCTTGTTGCCGCCAGCTCGACGCCGACTTCACTCTGGCGGAGAGACTCCATCACACCAGATTTCATTATGGAGAAACAATACACCAACACGCCCGGCGATGAGCCGAAACTCGACACTGTGGCGAAAATGTCCCGCGACGATGACCTGGGCCAGGTCCTGGACTTTGAAGTCACACCGGGCGATGAGAAGAAAGTACTACGGAAGCTGGATATTGTGTATGTCGTCTCCGTCTCGCATCTGCCTTTTGCTAATTTTCGAACAGCCTGATCCCCCTCATGGGCGTCTGCTACATGATGCAGTATATGGATAAGTTGGCCCTGAGTCAAGCGACGCTGTTCGGCCTCCGAGCAGACCTCAACCTCGTCGGCGACCAATATTCGTGGGCCTCTGCCATCTTCTACTTTGGCTACTTCGCGTGGAGCTGGCCAAGCTCGTACTTGATGGTCCGATTCCCTCTCGCCAAGTATATCAGTGTTTCTATGTATGTGAACCCCCAGCACCCCGAGCGATGGCTAATGGGTGACAGTATCGTATGGGGAGGTGCCCTGATGTGCCATGCGGCCTGCCACAACTACGGGGGTATCATCACCGCCCGCTTCTTCCTCGGTGTCGGGGAAGCCAGCGTCGCCCCTGGGTTTGCGCTCATCGTTAGTATGTTTTATAAGCGGGAGGAACAGCCATCGAGGTGAGCATCTCTCGCTCTAAACGTATCATGGGGCAGTTTGACTGATGCATCTCTGTCGCAGACAAGCCGCGTGGTGGTTCGGCAACTGCATCGCCAACCTCATCGGAGGTGTCGTCGCATACGGTATCGGAAACATCGGAGTCAGCACGATCAACAGCTGGCAGCTGCTATTCCTCTTCCTGGGTGCCATCACCTGTGCCTTGGGCTTCGTCACTTTGATCCTCCTCCCCGACCGCACTGAAAATACCATCTTCCTCAAAAAGACCGAACGCAAAATCGCCCACCAGCGCATTATGAAGAGCAAAGCCGGCTCGAACCAGACTGGCGTGTTTGTGTGGAACCAGGCGTGGCTTGCCTTGCGAGATCCCCAGACCTGGTGTCTCTTCTTGTATACATTCACCGTGAACCTGTGCAACGGTGGTCTGACCAGTGTACGTGTCAAGCCTCCATCTTATCTACTGCAGTATCTAACATAGTACCCAGTTCAACGCAATCATCATCCAAGGCTTCGGCTTCTCCGCCCTCCGCTCCCTCCTCATGCAAATGCCCATGGGCGCCGCACAGATCATCTTCCTCCTCATCACCGTCAGCGTCGCGACCTTCGTCCCCAAGACCCGAATCCTCATGATGATCTTCAACACGTCCGTGTCCATGATCGGCATGATCCTCGTCTGGCAGCTCGACGAGAATAACCAGAAGGGCCGTCTCACGGGGCTTTCACTCGCCGCTGTCTTCGCCTGCAATATCCCGCTTGCGCTGAGTCTTATTGCGTCGAATGTCGCGGGGTTCACAAAGAGGAGTGTCACGAGTGCTCTAATTTTTGTTGCGTACTGTGTTGGGAATATTGTTGGGCCGCAGATGTTCCTCGAGAGTGAGGAGCCGCAGTATGATGTATGTTCTTCCATCCATCTCTCAAAGCCACCCAACACTCTCTCTATATCACAGAGCAGGACTAACGGAATGCAGACCGGAATGGCCGCCTCCGTCGCGGGCCTAGCCCTGGGCATCTTCTTCCTCACATGCCTACTGGTATACTACATCTGGGAGAATAAACGACGAGACGCCAAGTACGGGACGCCCGTGGAGTCGAGCGATGCGCAGGCGATTGCCGAGGGCATGTCGGATAAGACGGATCTGGAGATTGAGAGTTTCCGGTATATGTTGTAGATGCATATATACCTACATACTACATACTATAATGATCTGAGTTGATACGCCTGTTGCGTGAAGTGCTTCGTATTCGCTATTGTTCGTAGGTTTCCTTGGAGAAGGGTGTGTACACTGCAGGTGCGAGAATCGAGAATCGACGACACCCCTTCCCGGTTTCGGGGCATCTAACAAGGAAGGGACTGCCCGTTGCCCCGGCTACATACGGTCGGTCGTACCTTCCGCATAGATGGTCTCTGGCATTCAGTCGCTCCTTCCCTACGTGGGGCATTGGGAAAGGGAAGGAGCGTGGAGCATCCCAGGGGTGAACCTGGCCGGAGCATTCCTTCTTTCCACTACACCCACCGGACGTTCCCATACCCCGCGTGTAGGTCGTTCGTTGCCTATCATTCACGGTTAAAACTCGAAATGGTCAAATTGTGGTGATAGCAGATATCCTGTTGAGGCTAGCTAACTGTCATTCAGATGTGAGCCCATCTTCAAACCATCGACTGGATGATGCCGCTGCTCTTCACGGTTCAGACCGTGAAGAGCCGTGATTATCACCGGCCCCAGCTCGAGTGCTTTTGATGCGCCTTGTTCTCCTTCTTTGCCAGACCTCTAGACTCACTGAGCTCTTCTATCAAAGTCACGAGTCCCCATAACCACGAATCCCACTGAAAAACCCAACACCCCCACTAAGCGCCGGCGCAATGACACTGCCGTGATCCTCATCTGGGTACTCCCGCATCTCAACCTTTCGCAAGCGCCCACTCTGCAAAAGCCGCGAGTAAAGCTGGGTACAGTTCCCCTTCATCCGCCGCCGTGCAGCCCCCCGTCTTCGCAACTCGAATCGCTCGTCTGATTCGCCTGGTTGCCGCACGGGGGATTCCTCGAGGGATCCGAAGGATAGGCGGAGGATTGGGGATGAGTTGGCTGCTGTCCCAGGGCCGGCAGTGGAGGGTGGATCGCTGTCGGCGCAGAATCTCGCAGCCTCGCCGAGGACGAGCCCGTTATTCCACCAGATCGACGGGCTCGCTGCGAGATACACGTCAAACGACGCGGACCGCCTGAATAGTGCATGCAGGACAAAGAGACCGCCATACGAATGCCCGAAGAGCGCCGTGCGCGCAAAGGACACATGCGGGAAGACTGTCATGGAAATAAAGGGCCGCACGACCTCTGTTATGAACGAGAGGAATATATCTGCGCCCCCGTGCTCTTCGATTTTGGGTCTTCCGTCAGGTCCATCGGGTGGTGTGTAGGTTTCACAGGGAGGCGTGAGGTCGTAACTGCGGCGTGGGCTGAAGACTGAGGTTGTTAGCGGGTATCCAATTGCAGTAACCACCGTCCCGGTCTCGTGTGGTCGGTGGGATTGTCGTCGACGGAGGGTCTCGGTCGCTGTTAGAAAGAGGGCGTTACCGTCGACGAGGTACCTGGTTCCTCCGAAGGAAGGAAAATGGTTAGCCAGACAATCCGGCTTTATTACTTTCAGGCGGACGCCCCACTTACAGGACGTTTGCGCCAGAGTTTTCTCGGGCTCGGTCCGACCAGGTCAGCGGCCACGAGACGTCGATTTGGTAGGCATTTTCCAGATCCTCTGGGTGTCCGATGAGCCACGAGGCCGTGTTGCGTGTCGCTCCGGGACCGGCGGGTGTAAATGTCCACTGGGTCATCATGCGATGCAGGAAAGCAGGGGCACAGAACAGGAACACGAAGTCCTAAGACTGAAGAGGAGAGAGGGCCGCTCTTGAACAACCAAATCTCGTATCCGACGGCGCAGCCATCCGAAGGCCTCGTTGCAGCTCCGAAAGTGGACACGCCAGCGCGAAGCGGCGGACTTGGCGCGCCTGGGCATTTGTTATCTGATCTGGCAGACCCGCTTTTGCCGTCGTGGAATCTTGGTCAATCGGGTCTAGATTAGATTAGATTCGGTCGTCGAGGGGCATGATTGGCCTTGACTCGTGCATTTGTCGTGCACTTGGCTCGTTTCGTCTCGCGGCGCGCGTGGCCTGACAGGGCTACGGGTGGAAGGAAGTTGCAGTTGGAGTCACCGAGGTAGCTGGAATGTCTCGTGAGGTGAAAACTGGCGGCTATTACAAGTAGCTGCAGTCGCCTTTTCTTTCCCATTCGATTCCGAGTTCTGACCATCAGCCTCTTCTTGCACAATGGCCGTTGAAGAAATCTCGGCAGCGCCAAAGGGCGTCCCAAGCATTGAGCCAAGCGTCGAAAAGCCCAATCATGTTTCCAATGAGGAGCACTCGGATTCAGAGAGTCTGCAGGCCGGTGTCCGCAGGGCAGAGATGCTGCGCAAGGGGTGGACGAAGCAGGGGTTGATCGTTACGTTCACTGGGTAAGCTATCGCCGTTGGGTCTGTGTCGTGTTTGTCTTTTCTGATCATGCAGTTTGTTTCTTGCCACGCTGGTCATCAACTTTGGCGATTACTCGACGCAGGTGTATACGCCGTATGCGACCTCCTCGTTCAAGCAGCACTCGGCCATGTCTGCTGCAAGGGTTGTGGGGAATATCACTCGCATTGCGGCGTATCCTATTATTGCCAAGCTGGGAGACGTAGGTGGCTTACCTGCAATTTAAGATAGAGAGAGGACTGACGGGTCTAGGTCTTTGGACGAGCAGAGATGTTCATCCTCTCCGTCATGTTCCAATCCATTGGGGCTGCGATCTATGCAGCTTGCAGGAATGTCTCACAGTATATTGTGAGTCACCCGACATATTTGTAGTCGATAAATACTAACAATGCAGGCTGGTGGTATCTTCGAAGCCATCGGGTGAGCTATCTCACCACCACCTCACCCCCTCTCATGATATAATCTAACAAAACCAGATCCACCGGCTTCAGCCTCACCCAACAAGTCTTCGTTGCCGACGTGACAAACCTCATCAACCGCGCCGTCTGGTCCACCCTCCCCGACTCCCTCACCGTCGTGCCCGCCCTCTACCTCGGAACCGAGATCGCCGAGCGCATCCTCGCAGACAGCGAATGGCGCTGGGGTTATGGCATGTGGGCGATCATCCAGCCCGTTTCCGCGACCCTGCTCGTCGGATCAATGCTGTACTACCAGCGGCGGTCGCGCGTCGAGAACGCACAGTCAGCTAGGCAGATTCTAGGATGGACAGCGGGCGAGAGCTGGTGGATGAGGGTGTATAACCTCGTCTGGGTCCAGCTTGATGCTTTTGGTGCGGTTCTACTGCTTTTGGGACTATCGCTGTTTCTCGTGCCGTTGTCGTTGACGGGGTCTGGGAATAGCGATGATTGGCACAAAGGGTCGTTTATCGCGATGCTGGTCATGGGTGTTGTGATCCTGATTGCGTTTATCGCGTGGGATACCTGGTTTGCGACGAAGCCCTTCGTGCCCTACCGCATGATCCGCAACCGCACAGTCGCTGCTGCGTGTTGTCTCGGTGCGCTGGATTTCTTCCACTACTCTGTCTTTTCGGTCTTTTTTCCTAGCTACCTCCAGGTTGCCGGACATTATGGCGCCGGGCCAGCAACGAGAATCGAGTATGTCCCTTTCCCTCCCCACCCCTAACTCAACCTGCCACTAATACAAAATCCAGCAACTCCCTCCGCGTCGCCTTCCAAGTCGCCGGTATCTTCGCAGCCTATTTCATGAAATACACCCGCCGCTCGCAGATCTGGGTCTTCACCGGCGTGCCTCTGTCCGTACTGGGCATGGGCGTCCTCCTGTACCTTGTCGATATGGGCGACGGCAAAGTCGGCAACGAAGCAGCGTTCGTGACCGCTAAATCCCTCATCGGCATCGGCCGCGCGTTCTACCAGACTGCGTCACAGGTCTCGGTCCAGGCGACGGTGCAAAGAGGAGAGGTCTCCGTCGTCACGGCAGTTTTCTTTGCGGCTATGAGTGTGGGTGGTGCTATTGGGACTAGGTATGGATGCACAGCCGTCTCTCTCTTTCGTATTCAATCCAGTTTATATGGCATACTAATGTGGAGATATCCAGCGTCGCCGGCGCAATCTGGCGCTCAACCCTCCCCAAGAAACTTACCGAGCACCTCCCCACCGAGTACAAGAGCCAAGCACAAGCCATCTTCGGGAGTATCGTTGTCGCGCAGAAATACGAGGTTGGGAGTCCTGCGCGCGAGGCCATCGATCTGAGTTATAGACAGTCACAGCGGTTACTTGGTATCGCGGCGCTCGCGGCGTTGGCTCCGATGCTTATTATTATGTTCCTCCTTGAGAATGTGACGTTGGATGAGAGGATGGCTGCCCGAGATAATAAGCGTGAGGAGGTGAAGAAGGTCGAAGAAGACAGCGAGAGTAAGCAGGATGAGCGAGGGGAGGGAGAGCAGGGACAGTGATAGGAGGGCTTGCGTCGACGTGCCGGCTCGAGGCCTTTGTCTGCGAGAAAGATCTTGATCAACCACGGTATTATAGCTTTACAGATCGGTCCATATCACTTGGATATCCACCCTTCTGTGAGCCCTTTAGAGGTATGACTAAAGCCTGTTTCATGTGCACACAAGAAGTTGATAGCAGGGAGTGGGCCATGGACCCATGACCACCTACCAAACATCCTCTTTACCAGCTAACAACCGGCATTCTTACGATTATCTCCAACTTATAACGTGGATAATACTTGGCCGAATCCCCAACGGCGTCCTGTGTTAAAGGTCCCAAGTAAAACATGGCTTGACCGAACCTCACATGGGTCACTAGTCTTCTGAGGGGGGTCTGTTCACCCCAGAATGAAATAAACTCTGCACTAATTCGCCCGGTGATATTAACCCGTAGGAAGTGTCCTTGATTCCTGTGTTACCTATTATTCACTGTCCCTCGAGAGTATAGCCAGGATAGCTGTTGGCTCACCCGTGGAAGGAGTCGCATGAGCAGTATAAGGTGGGCAGTCGCTCTTTGGTGCAGCGACCTTTTTGCCTCGTATAGGTTCACCTGGCTGATTAGCCTTACAGGGGCACGTCGCAAGCCTCCAACCTTAAAATGCATCGGCATTCTCTCCGCCCTTTCTTTGTTATTCTTGCTTGGAATCTCAAGTCCCACCTGGCATCTCCCCTAAGAAACTCTTCCCACTCCCTGCTCTTACCATCGTCCTAATATTTTATACACCCTTTGCTCCTAGTTCCAACCCGCTTCCCCCACTTAGTATGGGAAATTGTCTTTATCGCCTCGTATTGCCCCATCTACATCCAAGCCCGCTTCCTTCAAACCTGTAACCTAACCCATACAATCGCAGGCCGGCCGATTACGATGAAATGGTCACAACCCACCACGGCCCCGTCGTCGTCGAATTCTACGACGAGGCATGCGCCCAAGCCAAGGCGATTTCTCTTTGGGTCACCCACCTCGCCAACAAGTACTTTGAGGTCGTGAAGTTCTACGAGGTGAACGTGCGGGAGGAGAGTACGCGGGATATCGTTGCGAGGCTTAATATCGCGCAGAATGATGCCCCGACCTTTTTGATTTATCATGGTGTCGGGGATCGCAGGGCTTGTGTTAATATAGGGTCGAACTTTGCTCGGCTGGAGGCTGTGGTTGAGGCCATGGCTAGCCTGGAATAGGGAGGGATTTGGGGGTGTGTGGTTAAGGCCTTTATCTTTTTTCTGGTACCTTCTTCTCTCTCTCTCTCTCTCTCTCTCTTTTTTTTTTTTTTTTTTTTTTTTTTTTTTTTTTTTTTTTTTTTGCAGTTGGTGACCAGCGTCTGGGGCGTAGTTTTGAACATTTCTAGCAAGAAATGCGTCCTATCTCCTCCTGATATGCTCCGTGAATGGAATCCGTTGGGTATCATTTAGGCTCAGGACGGGATTATATAAAAGCTCTAAACAAACAGGGAAGGATCTGAAATTATCTTGTCTCGGAGTACTGCCGTAGTCGGCATAGTAACGATCCTAAGGTTTGCTTGACTGACAAAGAGGCGACTCCCCAACGCCGCCCTGCATTAGCTCCATGGCCCAAGCGCGACCTGGCCTACCTCATATCTAGGGATATCACTCTCCTCTAGCTGAAGTTCAAGTCACCACTGATACGTCAGTGGCAGGAAGTGATGAGAACGGTAGGTGGAGGGATTACTCTGCTAGAACCGGCCAGTCTACACAATCAGGCATCCCATATCCTATTCAAGGTCTTCCTTTTTTTACCGTGAGCTCTTCGCTAGTCCCGTTAACCAGGGCGTTGTCGACAAGGTATCTTGGTACGCAGGCTAACATTGCCATGAATAAAAGTTCTTATAATGCCCATCCCCATCATCGAACAAGGTTTATAGTCAAGAGCAAGGAAGAGATGGCTTGGGTAGAGACAAGCCCTAAATATTAGTATGAGATACTTCATAGACCCCGTGACTTCACCCTGAGTGTCTTTCTTTCCCTTTCCCGCTCAGATAGGGGTCACCCTAATACTGTCGAGGTGCCGAGATGTGACGTTGACGAACCCATCTTGGTGTGCCTCGTCGCCAACAAACCATTTCTTAGCGCTCCGGTCACCGCGCAGGACCCATTGCAGTATCTTCCTCCCCGCAATTCCGGGAATTCCCGCGTTCGGGACATCAAAGGCAGCGCTGTGTCCGAGGTTGTGGCTCCCCTTCCAGGCGGGTGTCTTGGAGGGGAGATTCGCGTAGTCGAGGTTTCCCTGGACAGCGTTAGCACGGGGTCAATCAACCAGGTAGACAGACGCATGGGAAACCGACATTGGGATAAGCAACATCAGTTGGACCTCCCAGGATATAAAACGCGGGCTTCGTAATATCCCCCGCGACCGATTTGCTTGCATTTGCAGACAACTGCCCACTGTTAAAGATCCCCAGGTGGCCAACGCGATCATCATGAGCGCCCGCAGTGTACGCCTCAAGGCCGCCGCAGCTCTGGCCCCAGACTCCGATCCGGGTGCGGTCGATGTGCTTCCAGTCGCCTCTTCCTGCGTTCGCATACAACCAGTCAATGGCTTCCGTAAGAGCGGCTGGGTTCTCGCCTAGGCCGTCAGTGGGCGCTGATGTGTCGCCCTCTAGGCTTTCGGCGTACTCCTCTGGGTCGACGTATGCGGGCCCTGTGGCGATTGCTAGCGCGCCCCCGGAGGAGACTTCGCCCAGGAAGTTGCGGAATTTGAGACCGACTGGAGAATGTTAGTCGAACCACTTTACAGTCACTGCGGTACAACCGAGGGTACATACTGCACGATATTAGCTTTGCCTCAATGAAGTTATTAAGGAAAAGTGCTCACCACGGGGAACAAGCTCCATTACCCCAAACAATAACTGGGAGCTTTAGATTGGAACCCTTTTGCTTAGAACCAGACTGCAGGGGCTGGTAGAAGGTGTGGTTTGGAAGCGACTCGACTTCGAAGAAGTACTATTTCAATTCAGCTCAAAGCAGCGGATAGAGCCTGGTGGCGACATACCGATTTGTAAGGCCCGGAGCCTCCGTACTATTTCAAGTGTTGTGTTAGATAGTTGTAGTGCATTGCGACTATCAACGTACTGTTGACCCGTGGTCATAAGCGACTGCACAGGCCGCAAGAGCCAAAACGGAGTAGAACTTCATGGTCAAGGGAATTGGAGATTGAGAACCCAGAAACTCTGACTTACAGGCCTGATCTTCGGCCATCAAAGCCCATTTAAGTGACCACCCTGTCCTCGTCAGGCGGATAAACACATCCCTTGCTTTAATCTGGATAAGAGGTTCCCCGGATCTTGGAGCAGAATGCAGAACGGTTTCCCCCCTCTTACCCCGCAAATTTCATATATTTGCCCCATATTGATCGGCGGTTCCCCATGTGTCCCCATTCTGTCCCCATTTTTGTTTTTAGCATGGTTGAGATATCTTCCTAAATGGATAAATCTTTTCCGAGGCAGTGAAAGTAGCACCGATTGCGTGATCCCATCCTAATTGAAAACTTTGCTAGACAAGCGCGATGACATAAATGTCTCCCAATCCGTCATTTGAAGGACCATAAATCAGGGCGGGGCCTCTCTCTACCCTGCTGTACATTTTGTCGTAGCTGCCAGGTACGGCCATAGTCTCCATTGGCCATCGAGAGCTCTAAATACCAGTAAAGATGTATCAGGGAACCACTCTTGGATCGAATGACTATGAATTCACGATCTCATGCTATTTGCTCTATGTTTAGAAAGATATAATGCCAAGAGTTCTGTAGGTACAAAAAATACAGTGCTCTTGACTTTGTCTATACGAGACTGCGGCGCGGCTCATACGGACCCAGCATTGATAGTTCCAGAAGACCATGTACGGTTTGACCTAGACAACATGTTTTCTTTTAGTCGCCTTCAAAAGTGCAGTTGGAGACACAGGTCGAGACTATAGCCCGAATATAGTCTACGCAGCATGATATCTTTCTATTGCCGAATACATGTCTAGAGTCTTCTATAGTATCTAAATGTAAACAAAGGCCAAGATTGCTGTCTATCACACCTCCATCCATCCCTTTCAAGTAGATATCACTTCCAATCAGAGCCCGGCCGTCCCCAGATTCCTAGCCTTAATCCTCTCCTCCCTCTGAACCCTCCACCGCTCCCCCCACATCCAAACAACCCAAACAAGCGGACTAAAAGCCACAACGATCCCCGTGACAATAAAAAAGGCCCTCATGGCCTTCACAGCGTCAATTAGCGGCTGAATAGCACTCACCCCCGCCGCACCCAGCAGACACCGACACAGGTTATTCAGAGCCGTCGCGCTTGCGGGGCGGTCCGGGAACGAGTCGATGAGGACCGTCGAGTTGATATTGAAGATTGCGGTCGCGGTGAATGCGATGAGGAATTGGAGGATTAGCGGGGCGGCGAGGTTCGGGGTGTAGGAGCGGTGGAGGTCGTTGAATTCGAAGCTGGGACCGTAGAGGGCTAAGGAGATGACGAGGAGCGTGCTGAAGAGCGGCATTAGCTGGAGGCGGGCTTTTATGTAGGGGAAGTTGGCGGTGTCAATAGTAGAAGTAGTACTGTTGTCGGGCTCGTCCCCGAGCCTGTGCTTGGATTTGTATTTTGCTTCGACGCGGCGAAAGTTTTGGTTCAGGAGCCAGCCTGTACTGAGAGACCCGCAGATGCAGCCCACTCCATTTGGTAAGAAGCAGAGGCCGATTTGCCATTGGGTGAGGAAAGGGAAGCCATGGAGGAGCATCGTGGTTGTCGACGAGGTGACCATGCTCCATGCTGTGTAGGCGATTGCGCCCCAGGCAAGGAGGGCGGCGATGTCCTTTTCGAGGATGTAAGCAAGTGGGCTAAATGCTTTCTTGAGCGATATTGGAGCTCGCGGCTTTTGGTATATGGGTTCGCTCTTGGCATTTCGGGCCCAAGCCGTCGGAGGCTTGATGGTGCATGCAAGTGGTTTGTGGAAACCGGTCAGCGGGATGCTCCCATTGCCGGCGATACTGCGCTGGGTCTCGGGTAGGAAGATGAGGAGGGCGCCGAGGACGATGATGCTCATGACGAACAATAGCCAGAAGATGCTGCGGAATCCCCAGGCGCTATTGAGAAGGCCGCCGATGACTGGGCCAACCGCTTGACCCATCATGCTAGCATCGTCAGAGATGGGCTGCGTCAGATGGGACGGGTCTCTCTTCACCTACCGAACTCCGGCGTTTGTTCCCATGAAGCCTCCGCGTTCTTGTGGGGCGGCAATATCGGCAATGACGCCCGCACTGATGCTGATGGTGGCAGCGGATCCTGCCGCTTGGAGCCCTCGCAGGGCCATCAGCATGGGATAGCTGGACGTGAATGCGAGCGCAAGGTTGGCGGCGGTGTAAATGGTGAGGCTGATTGCGAACGTCAGGCGGCGCCCGCAAGAGTCGGAGAGCGCACCGAATAGCGAGGGCGCAATACCCTGCATGACCATGTAGACGGTGATGGTCAAGGAGACAAGGGATGCGCTGATGCTAAGATCATTGGATATGGTGTCTATAGCCGGGAAGTAGATGTTGGAGGAAAGGGGGGAGAAGCAGCCTGCTAGGGAGACGAAAATGACCAGGTTCCATTTTTGATTCTTGGACAGGATATGGTATGGTTCCTGCTTTGGAGGAGAAGTTGGATCGGGCATTGTTCAGTTTCATGTCCAAGGGTATATCGGGTATGTTCTCCAAGGAGGACTGTGTAGGGAATTAAGTAGGCAGGAATTACGTGTCCACCGCAGTGAACAACGTATCCTGCCAACAGCTGCGCCCACGGGCTACGTAGACTGCGACATGAAGCACCTTAAAGGATCCCTGGCGATCATCCACAGGCGGTTCGCGAATAAAAAAGGGCCGATAGATCACAAGGGGATCAGCACTAGCAAGAGCTTCGCTGCCGATCATCCCAGCCAAGTCCCCTTTAGGCGTCTGACTAAGCCGGCTACGCGGCCCTCGCTATAATTAAGCACCGCCCGTGCCACCACGACTCGTCATCCTTCCTTTCTGGACAGCCGCCTTGATGACAGGAGATCAGCGCTTCTGAAACAAGATTGATGCTTGTCCCTGGGCTAGAACGCGTTCGGCTATCTAGGTAGGAGTGTATGTATCGCAATCTGATGGGTCCAAGCCTAATGCCATATTTCATTGACACACAGCCAGCTACTGATGGCCTGCTCGATTTTGATGCTAGATCTAATCCCTTGTCAGCTAACTTTAATCCAAAACGCGCTGCAAAAGCCCATGAGGGTAATGTACGACAAGGAAACTGACTCTGGCAAAAGCGCCCGCGCAGTGGATAAGAGCATTTTTGACCCTCGACTGAATTAGGCAGAAGTCTATGGTGGTTAGCCTTGTTTATGCCGATCGCAGATTGGCGCACAGGGAGCTGTTCGCCAGTGTGAGTGGTTGATATACTTGGTTGGCCTGCACGTTGCTGGCTCCCCTGTATATTTCCTTCGACTGTCCGAGTCTTCAATAGACCCGTCTGGGCGTCATTAGACAGTTTGTGGGATTGTGAGGTATAATCGAGGTCGCTGTGATTTTGGATGATAATGTCGAAGCTCCTTGTGGGGTGTGGGTAGACCCTTATTTCTCTCTACCGCAGATATGAAAGGGACCAGTGCACTAGGGTCTTCGTCCAATAGAATTGTTTTATGAACACGAGCAAGGCTCTCAAGCGGCTGAAAGTTATTATGATACAAATGGCAAATCTTGATCTCCTGCTCGGGGATTCGCAAGGAGGTGAAGTCGGTTGATATCGGGCTTTCTATAGTGATTCTAAGATAACATGGTTGGGTACCAGCGCGATGCGATTTGGAAAAAAGCTGCCATGATTGACAAGGACAGTCGAATCATTATACTTGGCGCAGGGGCTTGGGGCCTTTTAACTGCCCTTCACCTGACCAGCGCAGGGTATTTTGACATTACCGTTCTTGATCGTGCCGAAGCCATGCCCTTCCTTACCTGATCAAAACAAGATTGTCAGGACCGAGTACGAAGACGACTTCGAGTCAGCTCCAGACGTAGGCGAAACATGGTACTGGAACTGCCATCCAGGCGCCCGCTTCGACTCCGAGTCCGTCTCGTACGCCTTCTCCTTCGACCAGGGTTTCCTGAACGACTGGCCCTGGAATCCAAACTATTACCATTCGCTCCAAGATCTCTGATCTCAAGGAGCTTACCGTCCTCCAGAGGACTGCAAACTGGGCCGCGCCCCCACACAACTCCGACATCTCGAGCGAACAAATGACCGCGATCCGGGAGAACTGGGACGAGATATTGCAAACATTGACTGGAAGGGCAGGAACGCATCCCTCTCATGGGTACTAGTAAGGGCGAAGAAGCTGTATGGATCGATTACAGACCACACACATACCTCGGCCTCACCGTGCCGAAATTCCCAAACATGTTCACAAGACCCAGCGGAACGTGGCGCGGTATGCGGGTAGTGCGACTGAGTGTCGGAGGCGCTGTGAACTGAGCAGGGCTGCGGGGTGGGATGGGTTGGTCTTTGCATAAGTAGTTAACAGCATGATCGACATCCACAAAGATTCCTACGGGAAGGAGGTGTATAAATTCCGCTCGGTCCACACGGTATAGGGTTAGATGAGGCTGGCATTGCGATGAGCTGGAATTTCGTCACTCGCAGAGGAGGGTTAGGGGTATCGCCGCCGGCCGTAATTGTGATTTGAGAGTGTTTCACGCCGTTGCCTGGAGATATGTGTAGGTTTGCACAGCCTGGACGTGGTCGATTGATACCCGGATTCGGATGGATCATGTGATGGTCAGAGGTTCCTGAGTGTTTTCGGTTCATAGTAGTGAGGGTTTAGCCGCGGGGAATTAGCCCAACCACAGAGGGATCAAGCGGTGATTACGGCGCCTTTTCTAAAGTTACGGCGTCAACTGCTTTGGAGTTCAAGCTTGTCAGGATATGGATGACGGTTGCAAGATGCGCTTCGGCCCGTGCGATCAGCGCCGGGTCCGAGTCTCCGTTGATGACATCCAAAAGTGCCGCGCCTGTCAATCGAATCTTTTCGGCCTGTGGAAGAGGGTTAGCGAGAGCGAGAGCGATGGAAATACAGCGGTAAAGCTTACACATGACTCCCCGTTGGCCTTGATGCTCTCTATCGACACCGAGTTGACGACCTGAATCATCTGCCGGGCTAGGTCGATCTTCGTGAGCGAGATGTCGACCATTCCCCAGGGGTAGTTCAGTCCACTCGCCTGACAGAGTTCTGCCATGGCATATAGGCCCCTCATCCGAACACACTGGAAGGAGACGTGGATGTTGGCCGACTGGACCGCTATCATACCGGACGGCAGTCCGCCGTGTGGAGAGCCAGTATTCAGAGGGACAGCTGGGAGCTGAAATGCAGCTGGTGCAGAGTCAAGACACGTTTCGAACGCCACGTGCAATTGCCTAATCCGCGCATAGTCCTGCCCTTCCAGCTTCATGTTTCCGACCGTGCACCGGTGCCGGAGGTACTGCAGCTCCCTAAAGAGTAGGTCCGCCTGGCGCCACAGTCGGCTGTTGAGGTTGAAGCCAACGATAGGCGAGAGGGACACAAGCTCCGTGGGGTCTCCATTCGATTCTCTGCTATGCGCACAGTCGAAACTCTCGTCTGGAAAAGGCACGTCGATCTCGTGCGCCTCGTTGACGCAAAAGGAGGAAACACGCCGCATGATACATCCCGCTGATCTATCGGCCGTGTACAGGATCCAGAAGAGCCGGCTTCGCAGCTCGCGCTGCCAGGGATCGAGGTCGCCCTCATACGCCTGCTTCTGATGGAGGTTCAGGACCTCGGCGAACCGCATGGCCTCGCCGAGGATTAACCAGCTCTGGTTTCTCTTCCCTATGTGGTGGAGATATCCGGTTTGTATGTAGCGGGCAACGATAGACCCCGAGGTCGGATTCTCGAGCTCTACTTCCGAGTAAGCGGCCAGGGCCTTGCGCGAGGCTTGGAACATGGGCTCCCGCCATTGGGGGTCGCTAGTAGGGTTCTCGCTCGGCGACATTAGTAGCGTTTTGGCACAGACGGCCGTGACGACGGCCAAGTCGATGGGAGTGACCGACATGGCTGCGGGTAGTGGTGTAGGCAGGGACGCGCCTTGCAGGAGGTGCTGTCTCAAGGTCTGGCAGATCTGCCGGCAGTGCATGTCAAATGCACGCCGATGAACCAGGGGATCGAGTGCATAGAACTTGTCGAAAAAAGCGGCCGAGCAACCTGCCATGATCTCCTCCAAAAGATCGACATTATCGGGCGAGCCGAGGCCGCAAAGCAGCGCTTTGCCGATGGCGGCGATATCAGACTCAAAATCCTGCGTGCTTGCTATGGCAGGGGGCGTGGGCAAAATATCTAGACCTGGCCCGGATCCTGGTGATTGATTGGGGGCATCTGGCACCGAGACTGCAGCATGATCCTCCGTCAAACGGGCTCCGTACGACAACTCTCCGTTGATTGTCGCGCCAGGGTCGCAGGGTGCTGGGAATCGCGTGGGCCTGGGCCCTCTTTTCCGCACTGGCGCGGTAAACGTGCAGTTGATGTCGACCGCAACGCAGCTGGAACATTTCGGTGTCGCCAGATCGCACTTTGCCTTGATCAGCTTTGGCCAAGTCAAGGGTCGATGGCAGTGGTAGACGCACCTTGACTTTTCGAACCTTACAGCCATCGCATGCTCGGCAGGAGCGATTCGCATGTAGCGAGCTCCGAAACGGACTTTTGGTGACCTTGGGCATTGCGAACATGCAAGAGTTGGAGATCAAGCCACTCGGCAAAACTGCGGCCCACCGAAGAAGAGAATAGAGCCTCGGGTAAACTCAAGAGATCACGTCAGCAGGCTCAACGGAAATCTACTCCACACGCACATATAGTACATATATAGGTATAACAGATCGAGATGTACATGTCAAAGGGCGTGTTCGAAACCACTGCCAAGATATATCATGATGGATTTATAGTTGCCTTGTAAGGCGCCCGCCCGACCGACTTCCATGCTGGGATCGAGTCTTCAAGACACTATATATTATGCGGCCACTTTGCCCAGGCCTAGTTGGTCTGCTACATCCGTAGTCTCTAGGCATTGTCAAGAGCAATGGCGATAAAACACATACTACAGCTATGAGAATATTGGGAACCAGACACCAGACACAGACTAAAAATCATCATGATTAAAATCATTCAACAGTCTAGTTGATTTTTCACCACTTTTCCCGCAGAACGGCAATAGAGCATTGAAATTCAAATAAACCAAGAGTTGCACATCTTCAAATCCAAGACCCTCAACCCATTTTCATCACTCAAAAATCTCTCAATATCAATAATAATCCCGCATTCTAGTCCCGCCTCCCCCTCCCCTTCTCAACAACTTCCGCCATCTCCCTCAGATCCACCGCCATCCCCAGCTGCGGCAGAGGCACATCAACCCCAAACTCGCGCTTGACCGAATGCTTCAGATGGACCAAGAGGAACGAATTCCCGCCCACGGACAGGAACGAGGAGTGCGCACCGATGTCCGCGTTTGCGGCCGCGGCGCCGATGATCCGTATCCAGAGGGCGCGGAGGAGTTCCTCCGTCTCTGTGAGTTTTTCGACGCCGTTTGGTCCCTGGAATCCGGAGGGGGAGGTGCTAGCTGCTGCCGCAGCATCGGGAAGGGGCAACGTCTTTAGAAGCTCGCGATCGAGCTTCCCATTCGGGACGAGGGGCATGCGGTCCAGGACCACAATCGTCGCGGGGATCATGTACCGCGGCAGCGGGAGGCGCTGGACGAGATCCACCAGGCGCTGGTGCTCGATGTGTCTACCGGGTTTGAACGAGACATGGCAGACGAGGAACTGCGGCTGCGACTCGGATTCGCCTCCGCGGACCGTCACTGCGGTTTCAGCGAGATCCTCCGGGGCAGCGGCCAGGATCGCCCCGGAGACTTCATCGAGGTCGATGCGGAGCCCGCGGAGCTTGATCACTGTGCTGCCACGCGCGGTGCGGCCAAGGAAGGTTATTGAGCCGTCTTGGTGCATGATGCCCTTGTCGCCGGTCTTGTACATTGTGTTGTAGTATTTGTCTGCTGCGCTAGTGATGGTGGCGAACGGGTTCTCGATGAACTTGTCCACGTTGAACTTCGGGTCCAGGTACCCGTTCGCGACCATGTTTCCGGCGACGCAGATCTCACCGGGCATCCCGAGGGGCAGGAGCGTGCCGTCGGCCTCGCTGGCAATGTAGATGGCGTTGTTGGGGAGGACGCGGCCGATTGTTGAGCCGAGCGGGTTGTTATCGTGGTCGTCAGAGGCACGCCCATTCAGGGGGATATCCTGCGCCGTAATCACCGTCACTTCCGTAGGCCCGTACCAGTTCGTCAGCAGGAGATGAGGCAAGCCCAGGTCGCGCAAGCCATCCACGACACGATCCGGTAGGACCTCCCCGCCTGCACCTGCGAAGCGCCACTCCGTGCATTGGCGGAGCCGATCAGCAGCATAGGTAAGCATCAGGCTATACTCCGAGGGCGTGCACATGGTCCACTGGACTTTGTTGTCCAGAATCAGTCGAGAGAGTCTATCGGGATCACCGCGTGCTTCGAGGGGCGCGACGACGAGGGTCCCGCCGTTGGCGAGGGCCGTGTAGATCTGCGAGAAGCCGACGTCGAAGCCGATGGATGTCTGTTGGAGGACGCGGACTTGACCGAGGTTGTAGCGTTGCGTTACGGCTGCAGCAAAGTTCATGATTCCGCGCTGGTGCAGCCGGATGCCCTTGGGGATTCCCGTTGAGCCAGACGTAAATAGGATGTGGCTGTCGGCGCCGGAGTCTGTCGAAACGGTAAGCGGGGGAGGGGAGGATTGCCGATGGGTGCGGGCCAGCATGGTGATGTTGACTAGGCTGAGCTTGCTGCCTGTGTCGAGGTGGAGATGCTTGTCGGCGACCTCGTCTGCGGTCGCGGGATGGAAGACCAGGACGCGGGGCTGGCACGCCTTGATCATCTCATTGCGTCGTGCAGCGGGGACACTGGCGTCCAGTGGGACAAAGACTGCCCCGATCCAATAAACTGCCAGCATAACGGCGTACAGATCAATACTGGGTTTGCACAGGACAGCAACGCGCGATGTACCACTCCTGGTATCCGCAGCGAGCAAGATACTAGCATAAAGCTCGACCTGGTCCTTCAGCTGGCTGTAGGTAATACTCTCATCGCCATCCTTGATCGCGACAGAGTCCGGGAACTGAACGGCGACTTGAGCAAATCGCTCGACCAACGTCGCAGGCCATGAATGCGAGAGCGGCGGAGTGGATCGAGCGACAGTCCGAGAGTTGTCGAGTTGCGCGTCGCTAAAGAGTTTGAAGTCCCGAACCAGGGACAGCGGCTGCTGCACAATCTCCTGGAGAACACTGACAAACGCCTCGGCGAGGAACTCGGTCGCTGATCGCGAGTAGTAGTCGTCGCTGCAGGTGATTCCGAGGATATGCCCGCCCTTCCCATCAGCCGAGGGCTGAATATCGAGCACCAGGTCGTAGACAGTAGTAAAGTCCGCATCTTCCAGTGCAATGGTGCTGTCTGCATCAAGGGGGCCGGAAAGACTCACATTGGCCATGTAGTCGAATCCGACCTGGATGAGCGGCATGTTGCCCTCGCTCATCCCTGGCCGGCGGCGCACGACCTTGTCGACGATGAGGGCGAATGGAATGTGTGCGTGGTCGAGGCTGCTCACGAGCGTTGTACGGGTGTCTTGCAGCACCTCTGGGAATGCTTTATCGAGCGCGCCCTTGAATCGAATCGGGAGAATCGTAGCCATATGCCCGACCGTCTCGCGGAACTTGCTCAGCCCGTCGCGGCCGGCGTGCACGACACCAATGACAATGTCCGCATCTAGATTGAGCAACCGGCGGAGAAAGACCTGCAGTGCGGCGAGGTAGAACTGCATGGGGGTGACATCGCCATGCGACTGGCCGATCGCCGTGATGGCAGCCACAAAGTCACTGCTTACCTCTCTGGTGACGTGGTGGTGGCCGTACGCGCGGTTGCTCTGGCGGGCTCGCACTTTGGCGACGGGGAGCAGTGGCAGGGGGTCGGGAATCGGGTCGAGGTGCTTGATCCAGTAGTCGATGCTCGCGTCCAAGCGTCCGTTCTGCACATCCTCTCGTTGCTGGCGGGTATAGTCAAAGTACGAGAGGGTAGGAGCCTGCCCCCAGCTAGGAGACTGATACTCGGCACCAATCTCTTTGAGGATCATCATGATGCTGACCACGTCGACTGCGAGGTTGTGGATGCCCAGGACCAAAGTATGCGACTGTGCATTATGCTGCAGCAAGATGACGAGCAGTGTCTCGCCGGTCTCGATGGAGTACTCGTGCGCCTTGAGGCTGTCAAAGGTGCGCTGCGCATCGGCATCGGCAGTCTCCAGCGAAGATTGCAGCCGGGTGAGTCGGAACTCGTTGGTGCGCATGAGATACTGTTGCACCTCAGAGCTTTCCTCGGCAACAAAGAAGCATGTCCGAAGCGCGTCGTGGCGGTCGATGGTCTTTTGGAATGCCTGGGTGAGTCTCTCGATATCCAGCGGGCCATCAATCTTCCACCGGGTCGTCAGGTTGAGCGATGTTCGGCTTTCGGAGAAGGCATGGATGTAGCACAGCCCGGATTGCGAGAATGACAAGCGCTCGGAGCGGGTGAACTCGAGAACACGCTCAGAAGACAGAGATGAAACTGGGGATCCCGGGACGATCTCCCAGGAGGAAGGGGTTGAGGAGATCTTGCTGTCAAGGGAGCCCTGGCTTTGGCCGAGTGCCTGCTCATCAGCAGTGGGCTCGGCTTTCGCTGGCTGTGCCTCCTCGGCATTTGCAGCAACGGGACTCTCCTCGGTCGATGGTTGTGCCTCCACGCGTTCAGGTCGTTTCTCAAGATACTGCGATGCGATGGACCGAATGATCGCAGCAGAGGGGTCCCGTCCAAGGATCTTGACCATCGGAATCTCAACCTGCAGGCGCTCCCACAGCCACTTTCGAATCTCAATCGCATTGATAGAATCAATGCCCAACCGAGAGAGCGGCTCATCAAGGTGAATCGAGTCGAGCGAGACATGGATCATCGCCTTGATCTTCTGCGACAGGAGCTCCGTCACTGGAGGAATGGCCTCCTCGACCGTCGTCGCAGCTTCCAGCCGGGACTGGTGGCTTCCCCCAGATGCAGAGGCATCACCTGCACCACCCTCGTTACCGTCGGAAACCTTGCGCACCATATGCGACAGGCGAGGGGATCCCACCCACCGCGGCCGCGTAGCCTGCCCCTTGTCATGGAACATCTCCACACCCATGATAACCTCATGGCTCCCCGACCCCGGTCTCCCCGCCGCAATGCCCTGGAGGATAACATGATGGAAGTCCGCTTCAGACAGGGCAATGAGTCCATCAGTGCGTAACCACTCCTCAACATTCGACCCCTCGCTCCGATCCGCCCTAGCCACATACCCAACATCAACCAGCATCCCGAAATTCAAAATCGAACCCGCAAGGCCACGCCTCTTCCTGTTCGCCACGAGACTGAGCATGAATGCGTTGCCCGCGTGGTAGATCGCATGCCCCGGGTTGCCGATCGTCGTCCCCAGGGACCCGAAACACATGAAGAAGTCGAGCGGCGGCGCGTCGGCAAATGCCTCGTCGAGATGGACTGTCCCGTGGATCTTGGGCATCATTTGCTTCGCGATGCTTGCGGCAGAGAGGTTCCCGAAGACGCCGGGTTCAAGGACGAGGGCTGCGTTGGTCACGCCGCCGATTGGGGGCATTGTCTGTCGGAGGTGTTTGACTGTTTCGAGGACTTGGGTGCGGTCTGTAACATCCATTTTGACCATCCGGATGTCGATCCCTGCAGATCGGAGGTCCTGCAGCCAGTGTTGGTTGTCCTTGGGGTTTCGGCTAGAGAGGACAATGTAGCGGGCGCCGCTGCGGACGAGGAAATAGGCGAGGGACTGTCCGAGTTCGCCGGCCATGCCGACGAGGAAGTAGGTCTTGTTAGGCAAGATGAGCGTGTGGGGATCGAGGCCGCGGACGACCGCGTTGATGGGAGTTTCGCGGGTCCATTTTGTGACCACCGAGAGACGGTCGGCCTTGTCAGTGCGTTTCTGGGAGATGTCAGCAAGGGAGAGCACGGTGGGCGCTGGGATGGAAGATAGGATGTCATGGTGTGCCGCGAAGATGTTGACAGCTTTTTGAACTGCATCATAGGATAGCAGACTGACGTCCAGGCCCTGTGCCCTGGATCCGGAGGGAAGACATGCTGCGATAAAGGCGGCGCTCTTGTCACCGGAGAGGTCGAAGAGAGCATTTGCATCACGGGGGAGCAGCCTTGCCACAGTGCGGATCGAGCTCTGCGGGTGAACCTGGATTTCCTGGAGACTATCCAGCTGCTCAGGGCTCCCCTTCTCGCTGGTCACAGTAACGAAGACGACCCTCCTCCCTGCCTCCGCAGCCAAGGTAGAGATCGCCGTGGCCAGAACCTTTGATGCACCGCAGACAAGCGTTGCCCCGGAGGGAGAGGTCCTGCAGACAATACTGGATGCAATTAAGAGGGTGGCCACTTTGACAAGAGTCGCTGCATCGCACCCTTCACCAAGATGCGCCTCGAAGTCGAGATTTCCAGGTACACCGACCACTGACGACTCGGCCTCGCACAGGGCGAATGCAGGACGTCCACCATCCATTTGGCCATAAGACAGATACTGAGGAGCCTCGCCATCGACGTGCAGGGCGACAGAGAGCTCAACTTGCAGCGGCAAATGCCCCTCTGGGACGTTGGGCGTAGTGCTGCGAGCGATTCTCGCTTCGGACGACCCTGCATCGACGATCTCAATGGGGTCCGAAGAACCAACAGACTTGACCACCTTCCGGCGATCCGCATTGAAGACTTCGTTCGTCTCGGTATCCAGAAGCACACGCGGTGTGACCATCTGTCCATTCTTAACCACAAGCTCCGGCTCCTGGACCCAGAGCAACCCCTCCGTAACGCTCGGAGAAGAAATTGAAAAGACCAAGCGCAAGAATTGAACGAGCACAGTCTGGCCATGTACCGGCTCCCCATCATCAAAGTCGAGGAACTGCAGAGTCAAATCGACATGTTCGTGGTTCAAGGCCCGGCCAATACCGGCCATGATGTTCGCATACGGATCCTTAACCAGGCGGCCGGAGGTGACCCAAAGAATATTGCGAGCACGACCCAGCACCTCCTGCAGATTCTTCAGCTCGTTGACAGACGGTGGCGTTGAGAAGAGCGGCTTGTCGAGGTCCTGCAGGTTAATCACCGAGCAACCCTCCGGAATGCGAGCAACATCAACCGTGTCGAATCGACTGTATAGTTGGATCTCGGATGCCCAGGTACGGAAAAAGTTCCTGCCCTGTCGGATAATGCTTGAGACGCCACTTGTCTCGCCGCCGATGATCAATACCTTGGCTGGTGGGATTGTGTGCAGGGCTGTCAGCGGGCTGCGAAGGATCACCAGACGATCGTCCATGGCCTGCGCGGCGAGAACCGAGTAGCCATGTGTAGCTTGCGAGGGCTGATCGTGGAAGATGGAGTCGATACCAAAGAACCCGTTGTTGGAGAGGAGGTTATCCAGTTCGCCAGTCTTGATGGCTGGACACGACGCTGTGTCTCCGTTCTCCCACCAGCCTTCGACCCCTCCGAGCATCGCCATCGGCACGAGTGACACACCGGTGAGCTCCATCGAGATCAAGAAGCCACCGGGGCGCAACAGACTCCGCAGCGTGCGGATGGATTGGGGAAGATCCTTGCGTGCACGGCACAGGTCGGTGACTATGATGACATCGTAGAGCTCCCTTTTCTTGCCAGCGGGAACAGCATCCTCATCCTCGGGATTGAACACGTCGAACGAGAATCTCCCCGTGTCTAGCGCAGGAGCTAGCTTCTCACTGCTCTTCAGCTGATCAACGACATCCTGCGAGGGATTCACACAGGTATAAGCCGCGTAGGCATCGCCGACGGCATCCAGGATCCCGGTGACGGTGCTGACAGTACCAGCACCAGCGTCGCCGCACAGGTGCAGAATGTTCGTTCTCGGGAACGTGTGGCTGATCTGGGCGACGAGCTGTGCGATTGCCTGGCTGCACCCTGTGCCCCGGGTACTCAAGCCCTGATAGACAGAGAAGTTCGGCTCCTGCCCACTGAACCGCCCATTCATCAAGGACTGCGTCCGGTCGGCGCTCGCTAGCAGTGCCACCATGTCGGGGTCGGTTGGACTGCGAGAGACCAGCTCCGAAATTGTCTCGGGGGTATCGGGCAGCCATTCACCTTTGAAAAAGCCGCGATTGGTGTCCGCGCGGATATTCGCTGTGATCGCATTGATGCACCGGATGAGCCTCTGGTGATGGGGCTGCGACGAATGCATATCCTGTGGGGTGACTGAATCGCTGAGACGGCGCAGGTAGAACAGTGCAACCCGCTCGTAGTCCTCTGCTGCGTAGCTTGACGCAGACTTCTCCACGACGACAGCAGCCGGAGGGAGCGACAAGCCATGTGCTGCGTCATGTCCCCAGACCGTCTTCGCGTACATGTTTCGATCCTCCGATGGCAGCTGCTCGGAAAGCGCCTTGAAGGCTACGCCCTCGAGTTGGATCTCGCAGACCTCCCCGGTGCTCCCGCCCCCTGTGCTCTTGACACTGATATCGGTCTCGATCCGTGGACCCAAGCCAACAGTGGGGCTGGTCAGATACGCCTCGATGCTAACCTGGGAGCCAGCCCCAAAGGCCTGGTTCGGATCGATGATGGCCCGCTTGATCCCCACGGGGAGATATGGGCTGTGCATGGACCGCTCGGCCATGGAGAGGATTGTCGAGAGACCCGTCTGAAAGGCAACATCCGTAACAGCCGGATGCAGGGTGCAAGCGATCTGCATATCCGGATCCTCCTCATCCCACACCGCTACGCCCTTTGCGTGACCCCAGCATTTGTTCAATGCCTCGAGCCCTCGGAAGGGTCCCGAGTACGCGAACCCGATTTCCGACGCGGCCTGGTAGAACCGGTCGACGTTGTAGGGAGTCAGTTCGATCTTGGAAATGGATGTTGGGGGGAGGTCTGTTGCCGCAGGGTCTCCGAGGTGGATGGTCAGCTGGCCCTGGCAGTTCTTGTCGGCTTCGACGTGCTGGTCGCTGCGGGCGTAGCTGTGGCAGGTGAATTCCGCTTCGATGGTGGAGGATCGCGGATCCACAGAACCCCGGGCACGGATCGTGAAGATAATCTCGACTTCGTCGCCCTCGTTGACCGGCAGCGCTGTCGGGATCGTCATATCCCGCACCTCGATGAGCCTTACAGCGTGACCATGGCTCTTGGCAAACACCTTTGTGGCATCAACAGCCAAGCTGATATACCCCGTCGCCGGGAAGAGGATCTGGCTCTGGAAGACGTGGCCACGGAGCCAGGGCATTTCTTCCAGTCGCAGGGTGTTTCGCCACATGTGCTCTGAACCTGTATCTTGCCAGAGGCGTCCGAGCAGGTCATGTGTGGGCTGCGGGTTGAGACGGTAGCTTCGAGAGACGCGGGACTCGCGCCAGTGGGGTTGCGTGTGGTCCCATGCGTAGGGTGGGAGGTCGCTGAGTGGGACTGGGGGCTTCGAGCGATCGTGCCCGCGGGCTGTGCGCCATCCCGAAAGCTGGACAGAGGTAGGAGCCAAAGTCCAGAGAGCAGTGAGGGCATCCGAAAAGGTCTCCATGGCGTTCTGGCCGCGGCTTAAGCACGACGTGTAGGGCATCGAGGCTTGCTTCAGAGTCTGGGTGACAGGCCCTTTGAGAGCGCCATGGGGACCGACTTCGATAGCGGTACTGAAGCTCCCGCCATTGCCCTGCACGGAAGAGGTAACGGCCTCCGAGAACAGGACCGGCTGCACCAGGTTCTGAGCCCAGTACTCGCCGTCCAATCCCATTTCCAGCGGAGCTTCGAGAATGTCCGTATCGAGCCAAACACTCGAATACCACCGACACTCCTGATCAGCCGGCGGTGTCTGGACAGTAACCCCGAGGTCCTTCAGGCGCTGCAAGTATGGCTCAGCACAGGCCCGCATATGATGCGAGTGGTACGCCGTGTCAACCTGCAGCACTCGGGCCTGCACCTGCCGCCCATCAAGGACCCGCTTCATCTCGGCGATGGCATCACGGTCTCCGGACAGCGTCACACTGGAAGGCGAATTGCTTGCGGCAACCGTAACCCGGCCCTGGAACTGCTGTTCCGCGCAAAGCGCAGTTGCTGCATCCCGCGACATGGAAACGGCCATCATGGATCCAGCCTGCCCGTTCGCGCCTTGCGCAAGCTTCGACACACACCCACGGTAGTACGATATCCCCATGGCGTCTCGTCGGGTCAACAATCCGGCGGCATACGCAGCACCGATCTCGCCAGAGGAATGCCCGACGACACTGCGGAAGCGGACCCCGCAGAGACGGAGGAGGTCGACGAGGGCGATCTGGATTGCGGTGCAGAGGGGCTGTGAGAATCGGGCTTCGGATACGTGCGACTCGCCTGGGGGAGCGGAGAGCTCGGCGCTTAGGGACCAGGTTGGAGGGTCGGGGATTGAGGCGAGGAGGCGCTCGCATTCGAGGATCGAGTCTCGGAAGGAAGGGCAGTGCTTGAAGAGGGCGTAGCCCATTTGGGCTGCTTGGGCGCCCTTTTATCGGCGAGAGACGTTAGCAACAGAATCAACACGGAGTCATGATATCGGTACTACATACCTGGCCAGTGAATACGCCCAGAATCGACACACCCTCCCCGGTAGCTCCTCCAGCCACCGAAGACGGGGACCCGTCGCTTGCGGTGGTGAGCATGTTGATTTGGTCGGTCAACTTCTCGACGAGGTCGTCGCGGTCCACGGCCGTTGGGATTGCAGTTCGGTATCGAAAGACAGATCTCCTCGAATGTAGCGTGCTGCTCAAGGTCTCGAGGTCCACGGACTCGTTGGCCCGGAGGTAGTTGACCAGTTGCTGGAGCCAGCTCACCAACGACGCCTGGCTTCTGGCCGAGAACACGAACGGGCCCACGAGCGTTTGCTCAGCCTCTTCACACTCGGAAATGCCACTAGTAGCCTGCTGTTCTTCGGTATTGGACGGCTCGTAGCTCTCGAGAATCGCATGCGCGTTGGTGCCGCCAAACCCAAAACTGTTTACACTCGCCCTGCGCGGCCCATTGCCGGTGTCGGGCCAGGGAATCAGAGTCGTCGGAACTTGGAGGCCTTCGTAAAACGGTGCAACCTTGAGACTCAGATTGTTAAAGTGCATGTTTGGGGGAATCGTCTTGTTCTGGATCGCCAGCGAGGCCTTGATCACGCCCGCTAATCCAGCGCAGCCTTCGAGATGGCCGATGACGCTTTTGATCGAGCCGCAGTACAGAACGGGCAGGTCTTTTTCACTCCGGAATGCGTCTCGAATAGCCTGCGCCTCTGCTGGGTCTCCAGCCTGCGTGCCCGTGCCATGGCACTCAAAGTACTGGCACCGATCCGCAACAGGATCCAGGCCTGCAGCACGATACGTCGACTGGATGAGCGCCGTCTGCGCAGCCGGCGAGGGGATCGTAATCCCGCGGCCATCGCCCTGTCCGTCCGAGTTGACGCCAGTTCCGCGGATAATGCACTCGATGCGATCGTTGTCCGCGATCGCCTGGGAGAGTGTCTTGAGAACAACGGCTGCGACACCTTCACCACGTGCGTAACCGGAAGCATCGCGGTCCCACATGCGGCAACGAGACTCGGTCGAGATCATGTGCATGGAGCTTGCCATGATGTACCAGGTCGAGTCCATGAGGAGGTTTGTGCCTGCCACCACGGCCTGTGTGGCTTCTCCGCGCTGGAGACCCTGCACGGCCATGTGGAGGGCAACGAGGGAGCTGGAACAGGCGGTATCCAGCGCCAGGGAAGCACCCTGGAGGTTAAAGGCGTAGGAGATGCGGTTCGCAAGAATCGACCGGGATACACCAGTAGCAGCATGGCCGCCGAGCGTATCCGGGTCCCGAGACTGGATACACTGATAGTCATCAGTCATAACCCCAACATGCACCGAAGTCTGGCTGTTATCAACAGCCTCAAGAGACAGCCCCGCAGCTTCAAATGCTTCATAAACTGTCTCAAGAAGCATCCGCTGCTGGGGATCCATCTCAGCGGCGTCCTTGGGGTTGATGTGGAAGAACGCGTTGTCGAAATGGCGCGTGTCTTCCTCGAGAAGGTACGACTTGTGCAGGACGTTGGAGCGCCCGCGCATGTCGCCGTTGGCATTGTAGTACCCCTCGGTCCCCAGTCTGTCCTGGGCGAACGATTTGAGGACGTCGCGGGGCGCCTTGAGCAGCTCCCAGAGCTTGGACGGGGTGCTTGCCGAGCCGGGGAAGCGGCAGGCTGTTCCCACAATGGCGATTGGTTCGTACATGGTAAGTCGAGCAAGCGAATATAGAAGGTAAGGGCGAGGGCTGTCAAGTGCTTGGCAGTCAATGATTGCCAGGTGATGAAGAATGTCTCTCAATTCACCAGGAGCATGGCAGCGTAACCCATTCTTAAATGCAGTCTGGAATTCAGCGCATGGCTCGTCTATCCAGAGTCAAAACACTATACTCTGACCGCATCAATGATCAAACATGACGATGCCGGCCAAGGACTCGGTCAGCATGTTCCTAAGATAGCCCATCCCTGTGTTTGAAACGGTCTGCTAGTTTGGCCCTGCCCACTTTTGAGGCCTAACCCTGCTGCGGAGGGCCAGAGTATAGCGCCGGGCTCTCGCTTACATGTGTCGAGGAAGCATGTTGGCCTATTAGACGTTTCGCGGCTCTTCGCTGTTCGCTTACTGCGTTGCACAGCGCCCGCACTCGAGGCTCTTTGCTGACATGGTGGGACAAATCCCACAATATGTTGCGCTCTTCGCGGGATCAGCATCTAGAATCGTCCGCATGGATAGATTGGCAATTGAAGCGGTCTGCAAGATCATCAACTTGATACATCAACCCGCCAATGAAGCTTCCCTTGGATCTCCCCAAACCACGCGATGCAGAATGCTCTAGTCAGCCTTTTTGAAACTGCACATCGATCCAGAGTATCCTCGGTCTGAAGACAATCAGGATTGTATACCTTGCTCACTGAGCAAGAAGGAGTCCGCGGACCACCTCCATCACTTCGGTCTTCGCACAACGGGCACACATCATGATGAACAGCATCGTGAACTTGCATCATCATCACCACTTTGGCTTCACTCTGGGCTATCGTCTTCCGCCAGCTTCCGGCCATGTGCCTTTTTATCGACTCGCTTCCGCCGCCAACAACGAGATGCCTCCTCTGCGTACGCACCAACACAGCCGACGCGCTCTCCAGCCTCGTTTAGCCTTGTCTATTCTCATTGGCACAACTTCCACATTCCACATCTTATCTGCGCCACATAATCTAATTCCAATTCAAACCAACCAACCAACAATGGAACGCAACCCCGAACTCATCCAGGGCCCCGACATGGCGCGCGAGAACGGGCCCTCCTCTGCCCCCCGCGCCCCGCTCTTCCTCATCCACGACGGCGGCGGCACAACCTTTGCCTACCACTGCCTGGAACCCCTGCGCCGCCCGCTCTACGGCATCTCCAACCCCCGCTACCACACGGGCGGAACCTTTGAAGGCGGCATGCGCGGCATGGGCCGGCTGTACGCATCCATGATCCGCAAGACCTGCAGCGAACCGAGCTTCCCAGCGGGGAAACTCGATCTAGATGGCCGCGTGCCCGTCCTCATTGGCGGGTGGAGCATGGGCGGCCTCGTCGCGATCGAAGTCGCCAAGGCGCTGACGGGCGATCGACACGTTCGCGTCGTCGGTGTCCTGCTCATCGAGACCATGTACCCCGTGCATGCGCGCGCGCCCACAGAAGTCTACGACGAGACCCTCGAGCACCTGCAGGACGTCCTCTCCAAGGCCTCGGGCAACGCGGCTCTCTCGATCCGCGCCATGCACGACTCGCTCGTCGCCATTCGCGACTGGACGCCGCCCGTGTGGAAGGGCGCGCAGGCTGCGCTGCGCCCGCGATTCTCGCTTCTACGTGCTGTCAGTCCGATGCCCACGACGCCTGGGAGCAAGCATCGGCATTTGACTGATATGGATCGGCATGATAGGCGGCTCGGCTGGGATCGGTATGAGGCGGGGCTGTTTACGGAGACGGTGGATGTCAAGGGGAATCATTTTGATATGTTTTCGTTCAAGCACATCGAGGGGGTTTCGACGGCGATTCGGAGGTGTTGCGATACGTTTGAGAAGATGGGGGCTGCTTGATGCTGAGGGAACTGTGTTTTTGTTTTTGCTTGCATCATTTTTCCTATGTTTCTTTTGTCCCTTCAGCCTTGATTTGTTCTTTGCGATTGTCTTACGTAGATTCCGATACACGAATTAAAGCGTACGGTTTTAGATTTAGTCACACCGACACCGACCTTGTTCTCCTTGAGCTTATCTGGGGGCGTTTCTTCATGATTAGGATATGTTGCACAGGATATTTGTCCCGACGACCACGTCCTTGTTTTCTTGCCGAAGATCAACGCCGTCCGTATGCATGTCAGACTATGTCAGACCATTTTCCCTGCCACTAGAGTATGATGCGACTTGCGTTACCCGAACCTCAAGATATCACAATTCAGCTGCGGTATGAAGAATTATAGCCCGACTGAGTGGGCTACTCCTCGGGAGTTGGGAAAGGGTAGATGGCCTTCACTCATTACATGACAATGCAGGCCATTTAGCAGGTGAGTTGCCAGGCAATTGACCAGGCACTCAAGCAGACAGTCAAGTAGGCGCTGTGTTAGTCTCTGCAAGCAACCAGTAATTCATGCCGCCATTGGATGGATCTAGGTGCCCACCTAGCACAGCCCTGTCTACTTTGACACCGGCCTCGTCTGATCCTCCCCATGTGCTAACACTCGTTGCATTGTTTGTCAGCCATTCATCTGCTGCTTCGGAGATAAACTACTAACGGGGCAAATGAACAGCCGATACCCTGGTTCCAGAGGCAAAGCCCATGGTGATATGCTATCCAAATCCCGAATCAATCCCCTAGCCCTATAGGGCAGCCAACCCTACTCCGGACTCCTCCTCCCAACGACTTCAGTCGCAATTTCAATTTGACTCAGCCCTAGACTCCTCATCGCAATTCGCACCCCTCAAGGCCCTGCGCACATTTCATAGGCGTCTTCATCCACATCCTCATCTCCCGGCTGGCCCCGGACGAATTGACACCCGTCGCAGCTAGTCGTCGCGAGCACTCCGTATCTCGCCCAGCGGTTCCGCTTACCCCCGGACCGCAGTGTGCTTAATACAGGTCCATGGTGCGGCAACGGCGCTCCAGGTCTATCTGCACGTGAGATCGGCCGGCTCCTCGATGCCCTTGCCCTTAGGGCTGATCTGATCTGATCTGTAACCGCATCATCTTCTCTGCGCCAAGGTCTTCACCGCCACCACAAACGCTCATAGTTGCGTCCTCCATGTCGGGGGCGTACTTCTGGGACAGCAAGGTTGACCACGGCGAGTTTGCTTGCGGCTTACATTATGGAGGCAGCGCAGTGGCATACGCCCCGGAGCACGGTGTCGACTACGCACAGACCTTGGAGTACTGGCGTATTGCGCCCGTTTCGCTGTTTAGAAGCGTCCTTTGGCGAATCCGAGTCCGAGTCCGTGTTGCGAAGAGAACTCTGGCAGTTGCATGACCCGACGATGGGGCGGCCGTTTGACCGAGTGCAAACGGCGGAGTCCGCGGGATCCCAGGCAGCGTTTGCGGGGGATCGGATGATGCGGGCTGGTGCGACAATCATTTCTTGGTATCGCGTCGCGGATCGATCGACCCGTTCGCCAAGAACTATTGCTCAGTCTCTGGTGAGCTCGATTTCTATACTCATCGTATAGTCGGCCTTTGGAAAGCCCGATATTCTTACCTGGCTGCGAGGCTGTGCGTGTCATGAGTGCGATGAAGTTGTTACGGAGTATCGGTGAAGGTCGAGTTGAGACTGCCAATTTCTCGGCGGTTTGAAAGAGGGCTAACTGCTGATCTCAGATGGATCTCTCGAGGGCGCTGCCGGATCGTTGCTGCAGCATATCTGACTGCGCGGCAAACGGGGGATCGCAGGAACTGACGTTGGCTAATCCTTGGCCACGCTCTGAGACAAAGAAAGAATCGGCTTGAGACGGATGGCATGCATCTACGCTGGTCGACGCTTTATGTCACATTCCTCTTGCCTAATAGTCCCCTGGATCCCTGAGATTCCAGCACCTGCGCTCATTGCGTTCGCCTGTCTACCTGGGTACGATCATAGCTGACCTCGTCTCGCAATGCCCATCTTTCGCCCCCCGCCCTCCTTGGACCTGTATGCCCTCTATCACATGCTCCGGCTAGAGGTGCTGCACCCAAAGCTGCTCTCCTTTGCGCGCGATGGACCCCTCCCGCTCATGTGGAACAACCTGACCACCCGGTCTCAGCCGCTACAGCCAGACGAACTCGAGGCTGTTACCGGCCGCACTGCCCTCATCGTGGGCGCGACATCTGGTGTGGGCTTGGAGGTGGCCAAGATCTTCGCTGCACACTGCTCGCGCCTGATCATCACAGCGCGAGACCCCGACCGCGGCGAACAGGCCCTCGAGGAAATCCGCGCCAGCCACTCCGATGAAAAGGGCAGCGCCGAAGCCCAGATTGAAATCTGGCCGCTTGACATGGAGTCGTTCCGGTCGATCCGCGAGTTCAGTCAGCGCCTACAGGACGACCTACCCTCGCTCGACATTGCAGTCCTCAATGCGGGCGTGTGGAACGTCCAGTTCACCCGGTCCATCGACGAGAACGAGACACACCTACAGGTAAACTATCTCGCGTCCTGTGCGCTATCCATCGCCGTCCTCGACGTCCTTGGCCGCGGCGACTCGACTTCCCCGGGACGCCTCCTGACCGTTACCTCCGAGGGCCACTCGCTCGAGGAGATCCCCCCTTGGAAACGCGCCAGCGACGTCCTGCAGAGCTTCAACGACCCCGCCGCTTTAACCTGCTACGAGCGGTACCGACTCTCCAAGCTCCTCAGCATGCTCTGGACGCACGAACTCGCGACCCTCATCAACAGCAGCAACCGCGCCGCCGAGGGCTCGCCCCGCCGCGTCGAAATCGCCTCCTTCACGCCCGGCGCAACCCAGACGCAAATCTGCCGCGACCTGGGCGCGGGCCGCGTCGTGCGCCTGCTCGTCAGACTCTTTTGCCAGTCGGCTGAAGAAGGCGCCTGGACGTATATCCGCGCGCTGGCTTCGGAGGTGTACAGTGGGCTGTATTTCTTCCGCGGGCGCCCGAGCGAGTATGTCTTTCTTCCCCCTTTCCCCTTTCCTTTCATCTGATAGGGGGAGTTCACGGTATGTGTTTGCTAATTTGTGTACGACGTAGACCTGCGGATTGTGTCACCTCGATCAAGCACCGGTACTTTCGCGAGGACCTCGTCAAGGAGACCCTTGCAATGCTCGAGGGGCATGTCGTGGTCCCGGATGGTGTGCGCGAGATGCTATCGGGTTGTTGAATTTGTTTCCGTCAATCTCCGGTCTTATTGTATGGATATCGATATGGCTTTCGGCTATCCTGGCCTGGTCGTTGGGCATTTTCTACGCGTACGCGAATCACATATTTTGCTTGGCTTGCCCGGATTATGACGTGGCTGTACTACGGGGATTGATAGTCTGTGTAACCAGGGCTGTGATTTCTTGTCGCCCGCGGATACCGAACGGGCCCCTCCCGCTGCAGCTCTGTCTCTCCCCAGACCACTTCTTTCTCTCGCCAAAGCCCAGCACAGACTCCATCCGCTTACCCCGAATCTGAAACTATTGACTTCGGGTCCCTATTAGTGTAGATTCCACATACGCTGAATCCTTCAACGGTAGGGTCTTTTAGAGTAGTGGTGACGAACCTTGATGAGATGGTGTGCTTAGCAGATTGTGCTCCTTATACTCGGGAGATGTATATCTCTAACAATGACATAGCCGAGATTTGATGAAGGATTTCCACCACCTGTCTGCTGTGACGGTAGCTAGATATATATATTGGGTCGCAATGTCCAATCGCTACCTTTCTGTAGACTCTAGGAGACAACTCTGGTTGAAAGTAGATGGCCCATATATAGGTCCATTATCGCTGCTCCATAGGCATGGAGGCCTGGATAAGGGCTATTGCGCCGGTTCTCAGTATGGGAGAATAAGGCAGCCGACGATCATAGCACGTGACCTGCTTCTCAAGTGTCCCTTCTTTCCTTGACCAAACACACCGCGGCCATTCAGGCGCGAGCAATAAACTCTTAACACCCTAAAGCACAAAACTCCCCCATTGGCCTTTCCGCGAAATCCGGGGCAAAGCCGGCGTGGCCGCAGAAGCTGCGTGGGTGAAATGTCCGCGGCCGAGATGTATTGACAGGACTCGCCATGATTCAGAGGATCATGAGAGATGCCGACTAATATGGAGGGTACTTATGAGATGCCGCATGTGAATTGGTATCTTGATGTGGAGTGACGAAAAGACATATCGGCAGCTTGCGGCGAGATACGCGGAGATCCGCTACGATACGTAGGATGAGGTTGATCAGGTCTGTGCTGTTGGCGAATGGGTAAATCTGTTCAAGAGAGCATTGGGCTTTCTCACTGATACTGATGCAAATACATATTGAGCAAGCGGCATGGGACACCAAGGTGATGAAGATCTACGACTTGGCTATGGTTAGTCTAGTCTAGTTCAGGGTGGTATGTTGATATGGACGACTACACGACAAGTGCCAGCACCAAATGTCCGAGTAGTGCAGCCGTACGACTATCACTCAAAAGGAAGCAGGAACATTCGCCGAAGTGGAACGAGATCCGTGCTTCAGTATCATCGAATCCATGGGTATCAACACATACCATTCGCGTTTCCGAACAACCCGTCGACGATGTTTCTCCACGCCGCCACGCGCGTTCTCTATTTCTCGACCGTTCAACCACGAACAAGAACAGAGTTATTCATGACCCCGTAATACGGCGATATAGCTTGTTACAGCCGTCTGCAGCGCTTGATGCCGATCCCCCGCGAGCCAGGTTGCATCAGTCGCGGAACCTTCCATCTTTCACTAATCGGGAAATGCCCTTCATTAGTGGAGGTAGCCCAGAGGATCTCCTCATAGCCCTGGTACGATTGTTCAACCGGAGAACAGTATCGAGTGTGCGATGACGGCCCACTGCATCATGAACAACGTCCTATACTCGCATCCTCAGTCGGCGAGATATGCGACCCGAGTGCATCTGCTACCCCGCCAAGGCTAGCCTCGAGGCGCATAGAGAGCTTGCATGCAGGGTCCCTACTATGCTCGTGATGGCCGCACATGCATGTATTATCGCAGGGGAATGGGCCGTTCCCCAGGAACCGTCCGAGCGCGAAATCAATGGAGCCATGGTACGGGAGGCGCAACTGGGCCCGAAACCGGTCATGGCTACGGAAATAAAGCGCAAGATTGCCGCTGGAGTGATCGAGATCTTTCGTACCAGTAAAGCCTTTATTAGTATTAATTAATACTAGAGGATTACATGGTGCTAATATTAAATTTTTAAAGATATTAGTTCTTAACGCGTTGTGTGGAACGCGCTAAAAGTACACAGAGACTTTTATTAAGGGACTATAACTGTTCCGTCCGTAGTAATGTCTCTTGTTGTCTGAGCACGATAGAATCCCTAATGCGTGATATGCGAGCTGTGGGGAGCTTTCCGCTAGAAGGGTAGGTAGGATCGAACAAGCGTAATATATCTCTGCGTTGAGCGATTATGCCAGCAATCATATTGTATACGTAGTTTGAAGCCAGGTAACCTCGCCTGTCGGTATTCAGCTTTGTTTTTCAACGACACGAAACACAAATTGTTCATGGTTGGAATAGTAGGGGCAGCTGGAGCTACCTTTACCAGGTCGCTCCTTCCTGTGCTCCATGCACTAGCCTTGATCGTCTTAGGGAAAGAACGACCCCGGACTCGATTACAATGGCCAAATTGGCAGGTACTTAGATGGATAGCCTACATATTCTCCAAGGGTATGTGTGAACTGGAATTGAACCTTCTTGACTCAAACACGCATCCCATGTCCGGCGTAGCTGGGTGTATCAGCACCTTTTTGGCGTACAGAAAGCTGTGACAACATAAATCGCGACACCAACGACGACGTGGGGTCTACCTGGTAGGTATCAAAGAAGACAGGGGTAGCCTTCTTGATAGTACCCATTCCTTCTGGAAGCTTTGGGTGTGGATCCGACAAGCTTGGGCAGCGGCAAACTGTGAATGAGGCTCCAGAACTGTCGAGGTATAATGTCTATGATTCTTCGTGGAAGTCACTGCAATATGATTGGGCGTGGAGGGAGCATCATGACGAAGCTTCTACTAGAAGTGACAGTTCTTTCCTGCGCAGCTTTCGAGGTGCCGGTTTCCGACATACATGGACGCGATGACTGATTCCGCTGGGGCTTCAGATTGTTGAAAGCCATATTCAGCTTATAGTTGACAAAAGACAATCGGATTGGATCACAGGTTTGTGAAGCTTCAGGTTACTTGTCATATAAAGCTCGTCGTGAGTCATCATGTAGGAGGATCTCGCAAGTTCTCAAGGCCTGAACACTAAGACATAAGGAAGGATTATCTCAGCACACGATATCCAGAACTCTCTTCCAGAGAATAGTTCGATCTAGCCCTGGACAAGGAAGCCAATGATCTCATCTCACCTCCAAGCTGCAAGCCACCAGGAAATACCGCCTATTCATTCGCCGTATTGGGCTAGTCGGCATCTAAGCATCGGATAAGCAACCTGCCAACCGCGTAACAAAGCAGCTTGTGAGCAGCCGAGCGACAGGGGACGTACCGTGCGATAATGACTTGTTCTATTTTGTATCTACACGCGACGTGGTAATGGATCTATACACGGCTTTTTTTTTTTTTTTTTTTTTTTTTTTTGGTGTCCGCGCTATAGCAATTCGGCGCGCGCCGAAGCTCAAGCTCACGGGCAGCTCGACTAATCATATTTTATTTTCGGACCACGGCACTGAATCGGATGGTCGGAAAGTCGCCCAGGGCGAAGATTAGAAAATCGTAAATGCAGAAATGGCATCTAAGAAGAGGGATTGGTTGATATTATTTTGATATCACCCTGGCGGAGATGGCTCGGTCTGGGTTGGGCTGGGTCTGGGTCTCGGGGATCGCTCGGCAAGGCCAACGTGGGAAAGGATCGACGTAAGCATTTCATCACGGACACCGTCAATTCACTCATGCTGGTCACTATAAATACGCCGCAATGGCCTGTCTATATTCTCATCAGTATATCCATACAATAATCAAATCGACCCCACAATGTCCCAACAAAATCAACCAGGCAGTCCCCAAGACCGCCGGCGTCTCGTCCGCGGTGAAACCAGGCAATCCTTATCAGAAGCCGGTCTTGCAGCGACACCAACCCGGGTCGACTTCAATTACCCAGATGTCGGCCGTCCTGAAAGCCCCATATTCCCCGAGGAATATACCCTCGAGACCCAGACCGGCCTCGTCCCTGAACGAACATTAGAACAGATCCGCTCCCGACCCTCAGTCACCCCGCAAAGCTTGGAAGAGGCGAATGAGAAGGAGACTGAATTCGTCACGTTTACCAATGGCGACCCCGAGCATCCGCACAATTGGTCGCGACTGTACCGCTGGTATATCACCTTGGTCGCCTCGATGCTGGTCGTCTGTGTTGCGTTTGGATCGTCCATCGTCACTGGCGGTCTCGGTCTCATCGAAGAGAAATACAACGTCTCGCTAGAAGTCGCCATCCTCACCTGCTCAATCATGGTCTGCGGTTTTGCTGTTGGCCCGCTACTGTGGTCTCCTCTGTCCGAGATCATCGGCCGACGCCCCGTGTATATCATCTCGCTCGGTCTCTATGTCATCTTCAACATCCCCTGCGCGCTTTCACCCAATATCGGCGGCCTTCTTGTCTGCCGGTTCCTGTGTGGTGTCTTCTCCAGCTCCGGTCTTTCTCTGGCTGGTGGCACCATTGCTGATATCTGGCGCATCGAAGAGCGTGGAATGGCCATTGCTTATTTCGCCGCCGCGCCCTACTGCGGCCCCGTCATTGGCCCCATCGTCTGTGGCTGGATCACCGTCGGCTCCGGCCGTCTCGACCTCTTCTTCTGGGTGAACCTCGCATTCGCCGGTGCAATCCTCGTCCTCATGGGCCTGATCCCCGAGACCTACGCCCCCGTCATCCTCAAGCGCCGCGCCGCCAAACTCCGCAAAGAGACCGGAAACCCCAACATCATCACCGAGCAAGAAAAGACCAAGCTCACATTCAAGGACATCATCCGCACAAGCCTCATCCGGCCCATAACAATGATCATGACCGAGCCCGTCCTCGACCTCATGTGCATGTACATCGTCCTCATCTACGCAATTCTCTACGCCTTCTTCTTCGCGTACCCCGTCATCTTCGGCAAGCTCTACGGCTACAACGACGGCCAGATCGGCCTCATGTTCATCCCCATCCTCATCGGCGCCGCCTTCGCCCTCCTCACCACACCCTTAATCGAAAAGGGCTTCAAGAAAGTCTGCGAAATCCGCGACCCCACCCCCGAAGACCGCCTCATCGGCGCCCTCCTCGGCGCCCCCTTCATCCCCATCGCCCTCTTCATCCTCGGCGCGACCTCGTACAGCCGCATCATCTGGGTCGGCCCGGCCTCGTCGGGGATCGCCTTCGGGTACGGGATGGTCCTGTGCTACTACGCGGTCAACAACTACATCATCGACAGCTACCAGAAGTACGCGGCGTCGGCGCTGGCCGCCAAGGTGTTTCTGCGGTCCGGCGGCGGCGCGGCCTTCCCGCTGTTTACGACGCAGATGTATGACCGGTTGGGGTTGCAGTGGGCGTCGTGGCTGCTGGCGTTTATTGGCGTGGGCATGGTGTTTATTCCGTATGGGTTTTATGTTTTTGGGGCGAAGCTCAGGGCCAAGCTTACGAGGCATTGATTTGATTGTGGTGATGGGGTAATCAATGCGTTAGAAGGATGGCTTCGGGAGGGATTAACGCGAGGGCTGTTGAAATAGACGGACAGTGGGAGTTTAAACCGTGAGAGGGCGTTTTGTTTTCAGTTTTAGGCATCGGGGATTGACATTGGATCAAAGCTGTTTTGCAAAGGATTCTACGATAGAGGGACGGGGAGCGGATGGAGTGTCTTTATTTCATTTCAAAATTGGCGCAGGCAGGTTTTCTTTTGTTTGCTTTTCCTGTTACGATTTCTGATGGCATATATAGAGAATAGCATCGAGCCTAATATCTAATTTACGACTAGTTCAGTCTTGTTCTTTTCATCTTACCATGTTGAGGATGATTCAGCCATACTACAACATATACCTTGCTGTCTCGAGTATTATATAATGGAAACGCACAGCATAAATCCGGGCGGGCAAGTGGATAAAAACCGCTAGTGCTGTGTATGGAGGGGGTAACTGCCACTTATAGTAAGCTGAGCAGGGTACCGTACGACAAGTAAGCTACAGTTCCAGTATCTTGCACGTATGCCACGACTACGCCGGCCCGTCCACTATATCCTGCCACACGTCCTAAGGCATACAGGTCAGCACCGAGACACTGAACTCGGCCTGGTGTCAGCTCCTGTAGGTCTTGGAATGCACTTACCCAATTGATCATGTCCATACTCAGCCATGGCAGAGTCTCGGCCCACTCTTCGGAAACAGTATTCGTCTCTACCGCGGGGGTCGTGGTCGGTACTGGAGCCTTTTCAGGCTGGAGCATATTCCTAAGCCGTCAAGGCCTGTTAGCCGGCTCCAAGAACACTCACCCACGACGGAAAGAAGGGGGATGAAGAAGTAGGTAGGTAGGGAACCCACTGCAACTGCCTCAGTATCGGCAACGCCTTGACACAAATCGGACTGCGCCCCCGAATAGCCTCAATCCGCACAATCGCCGCATCAAACGCATCACGATAAACACTCGAATCAAACTCCCCGCTCTGCATAAGTAGACAACTCGCAAGCGCCACGGCCCCATGCAGCGCGCAGAAACTCATCATCCCGTACACGTACCACCTGTAATGGCGCAGCCGGGGCACCTCGAAGAAGAGCCGCTGGATCTCGAGGAGCGCTGCGCCGGAGGCGATACATTTTAGCTGGGATTGGGTCCGTTGGTCGGCACTTCCGCCCGGTCCCTGGCGCGTGCAGAACGAGCGGTGGATGAGGAGGTAGAGCTGGTGCGCGTACTGCTGCAGGATGCACCAGTGCGCGTAGCTGGCCGTGTCGAGGACGCTGGGTTTCCCGTCGAGGAGGAACGTGGCATCCCACTGTGTCTGTTCGGCGGCGATCTCGGCGTCGAAGTGCGCTAAGGTGTGGGCGTCGAGCGGGGCCAATAGCCGCTGGCATATTCGGCTGGACAGTTTGAACAGCCGGAGCTTGAACATTATCATGGACATTTGCGTGGGTTGGCTCGAGGGCTTGCGGATAAAGTCGTCGTGGATGTCCGAGTCGTTGACGTCGGCTGGGAAGAGCTCGGGTTCTTGTTTGTCCAGCAGGAACGAGACGTCGACGTCTCGGAAGAGGATCGCTTGATAGGTGTGTAGGAGGAGGATGCCCGCCCAGCATTGCCGGCGGCGCTCGAAATCGATGTAGCTCATGGATGGCGGCTTGGTTTTGAGGTTGCAGCGAAGGGCGATGCCGATGTTGTGGGCCGTTCCTGCGTTTGTTAGTAGATGTTGGCCAGAGATTAGCAGGGCATAATATTACCTAGTAGTGCCCAGGTCTGCTCAACACCATCATTGTGACTGATTCCATAAAGTAGAATCAGAAGCGCCTCGAGTGTATTCAGAGAATGCCGAATGAGAAAGTTGTCCTCGGACAGGCACAGCATCGCCGACTGGCGATATTGAGACGCGATGCCCTGCAGGCCGGTATACTGCAGATGTTGCAGCCAGAGTCGCTCCGTCAGGGGAACATCATCTTCCTCGAGTGTATTGAGTACCATGGACAGCACAGTGAAAAGTAAAGCCACCCATGCAAGATCAGCACCCGATGGATTCTCGAGAAACGTGTTGTACTGTCTCTGGAATGTCGGCCCATGGAGAACATGGAATAATGGTGACAATCGCAGGAAATACTGTGAAATGAGGTAGTCGCAAGACTCCCTTGGTGGAAGGGTCGCCAGGATGTTTGCTTTGGAGACCGACGGCCCGAAATGAAATGGGAAGCAGGCCTTCCCATCCGTAACCTGACCTTGTTCTGAGCTTGCAGCAACCGAAGGATTGCACAGCGGATCGATCGGCCTCTCGAAAATCGCTTCCCACCGCGCATGCCCCTCGCTTGCGGGCCCCTCCGGCTCAGCTTGGGCATTGGGGATCGAGATCTGGCTTGGCAACAGGCGATGCTCGGGATTGAAGTTTCGTGATGGCTCCAGCTCGGGGCCAGCACGCACCGGAGAACGTGAAGCATTAGGGTAGCAACAGGAGGGCACGAGACCGCGCCGTCGACATGTTGCACACGGATGTTGCCGGTCGCATCGTAGCTTCGAGTCGCGGCACGGCGCGCAGCTGATGGGCTTTCGCACTCGGCGCGGTCTTGAAGATCTAGGGGTAGTAGGCGATAGGGACATTGTTGCGGCGCGCAGAGGGGGGGAAACTCGAGACGAGGTGAGGTCGGAGATGTCGGATACAATTTGAAGGAATCGGGGGTCCACCGGAAGGGGTCAACTCCGAGTCTTGCCACTGCCTGGTTTATCTGATCGTCATTTCCATTTCTGATACTTGCTACATCACATGTGTCCCTCCATGTCCCAGTCTGCTCTAACAATCGCACAATCTAAAAGTCATTGTTTCAGTCACCCTCCTCACCCAAATTCCCACTCGCACAGGAGTGCGCCGATGATAAGCAGGTAGAAGAGGGATCTGTTCCCGGACTCTGGGGAGAAGAACCATCGAGGCCCGATCCCGCCCCCGATTATACTCGTGTCGAAGTCTGTCTGCGAGAATGGGCATGCGCATCTGTCTATTGCGTCCGAGGTACAGATCCCCTTGATGTTGTCGACCGCCCAGTTTACAATGGCGACTTGGCCGATTGTCCCGATTATCATGCCCGTGCCTTGGACGAGGAAGACTTCCAGTGGTGGGATCTGTTTAGCAAATGATCTCTGGACGCAATATTTTGGTGAATATCTAGGCGCTCGACATACTAGAAAGAGAAAAATGGACCGCTAACAGCAAAGCTGAGCAGAACGCCATACCATCGCAGCTCGACGGCCCAGTAATTTGATTGAGAAAATTGCAAGGGTTAGTCCAAGGATCAGATAAATGAGATACCACCATGCTGGGACGTCGCCAGTGTCCAAAGTGCGACATCAAAGTACCCCGGGCCACATGATCTTACGAGGTTCCAGGAGGACTGATTGACTAAGACCAGCGAATGCGAATCCATTAAGGAAGAGCGATAGAATCATGAGCAGTTGGTATCCATCCAGAAGCGAGTCCAAAGAATTTTTTTTGCCCCACCAGGGGGTCTACCGTCATGCGAGAGAAGAAGGTGATGTTGACCATGATGTATATTAAACAGTGTTCCTACCAGTCAATACCTACTTAGCCAGTGTTATGCTGGAAGACTGGTCACACGTGCGGCGCTAAACCCCATTTGGAAGTTAAAGGGAGTATCCACACTGAAGGTCATTGCTGCCGGGAATATCTCCAAGGCTTGAGGAAACTGAATGAAGGGCTCAACCTGCCCATTGATGGCCTTCCTATGCTGTAATCCTGCTACATAGTTTCCTGCCTGTAAGGAAGTTGGTAAATACTTTGTAAGGGCGATAATGGCTCTTTGTATACAAGCTTATCCAGCGACGAGAAGACCAAGGCGACCACACTTATGATCTGAAGTCGTTGCAGACTATACCATGGAGTGGGGCATTCTTGTCTGCGATGATTGGACCCACACTGCAGCATCTCCGATCGGGGACCACGAAGGGCGTCGAAGATGTCGGAGATGTCGAAATTTCACGTGGGGCCAGCCAAGATGATTCACATATCTCATCTCGAATACCCTGGAACCGAGCCAACACTGTAACTGTGTATACGCGTCTATCTTCTACTCTCCAGGATTTTTCTTTCTCTCGCGCTATGCAGAACAAGATCTCGTTTCGAGGCCTCACTCTAGAGTCAAGAAAGCCCGTGTTTTTTGATGTCCTCAACAATCTCTGGGATCCGGAGTCAAATCCGGATGGAATTGTCAATATCGGACTAGCTGAGAATGTAGCACAACCCCGCCATGATATGATTGATCGTGTTACTAACAAGCGACCAGGGATTGATGCAAGCTGAGATGAGATCATTTATTAACGCCCAGGTAAGTATTTTTGGACCAGGTTTAACCCATGTGGCACACCCTTAACCAGCATGTCCTAGCCGGGCGCTGACAATCACGCCTTGACATACGGCGATGGCTTCACCGGCTCCAAGAAGCTGAAAGCTGCAATGTGCCATTTCCTGAACCGCCACTTTCAGCCATACGTGCCTCTGAACCCGTCGCACATGTGCATAACGTCCGGGGCAAGCAATGCCCTCGAGAACTGTGCATGGGCGCTGTGTGATCCGGGCGACTATGTGCTGGTGGGAAGACCTTACTGGACGACGTTCCAGTCGATATTTGGGAATCGTGCGGGGTATGTTTCCTACCATCCGGATCCGGTGTCTTCGTTGTTGTTATACGCCAACTGACGAGTTAGTGTCAACATCCTCGAAGTCGCCATGGGCGCAGTAGACCCGATGAGCGTGGATGCGGTTGCGCGGTTTGAAGAGGCTGCGGAGCAGGCAAGGCGAGAGGATAAAAGGGTCAAGGCTATCCTGCTCTGTTCTCCAAATAATCCTCTAGGTATGTTGGTCTCTGCCCCCTATCCATCACTCCGCTGTGGTACCGCTAGCTCATCTGATACCAGGCCGCTGCTACCCGGAAGACGCCTTGAAGGGCTACATGAGGCTCTGCCAGAAGCTGGGCATACATCTGATATCCGATGAGCTCTACGGATTGTCCGTGTGGGAAAACCCAGACTCGAATGATCCAACCCAATTTAGATCGGTCTTGTCGATTGATAGCCAGAAACTGGTCGACCCGCAACTGGTCCACGCCGTGTGGGGGATGAGCAAGGCAAGTGGCCCATGACCGTAACCCGGGATAATTACTGACGTAAAACCAGGACTTTGGTGCAACCGGCCTACGAATCGGTGTTCTTATTAGTCAATCGAACCCCCAATTCCTGGGCGCCTGTGAAAGCACCTCGTAAGTCAATACGCCTTGGTATCGAGCCAAGCTAACAACTCGAAGACTATTCAGCTTCCCGTCAAGCCTCGCAGACAAGGCCGTGGCTTCCCTACTAGCTGACGACGCATTCACGGATAGCTTTATCTCAACGAATCGAGCACGACTATCTGAGAGCTATCAGTTTGTGACGGAGTTCTGTAAAGCCAACGGGATCCCGTATACGCACTCGAATGCGGCGCTTTTCGTGTGGATTCACCTCGGGGCTATAGTCAAAGACCCCAATCTTACAGACGAAATACTGCTGTCTCGCTTGCGGTTGGAAGGGGTGTACATGACTTCTGGCGCTACATACGCAAGTGAGGAACCGGGCTGGTTTCGAGTGGTCATTGCACATCCTCGGCACGTTCTGGAGGAAGGCTTGAATCGGATGATGCGTGCTCTTGGATAGGTTTAATGAATCGATCCACATTCTTTACGTAAAGACATAGAAATACATTGCCCAGTGTTTTCTGCACCGCTCATCAAATCCAGTTGCGCTGTCTTCAATGATTGAGTTATATTTGTGTCATGTTGACCAACGTGGTCAGAGTCTGTCCCGTCCAATAGATGCCGTGTGTTGACCTTTGAGGATTTGCCTGTACCCGGCAAATGACGCTCAGAGGATCCTGCAATCTCTAGGTCTCTGGAGCTCTGATTCCAGAAGCTTCAGGCAGGGCATCTCCGTTGTCTCCGAGGGCGACGCGACGCTCGGAGATACCCTCGACATCCTGTAAAAGTGCTTTGGATCTCCGATACTTTTCCGAGAGTCCTATGTCTCGCCACCTAATCAATCATTGTATATTGAAGGCATATATTGAAATATAAGAAAAGTTCTGTGTGAGCAAATGCATGAGGAGCGCCCTCAACACTAATAAGCCAGCGAGACCCAGGATGATGGCGATACACTAACTGAATTACGAAGCGTCTTCTAGCTCAGGCGACTTAATATCCCCGAGACACTCCAGTCAAGAACAACAGGAGCCGAAAACTCCACAATATACAATGAATAGCGACAGCGAGGAGAACTACCCAGAAGGAGGCACTCAAGGCTGGCTATGCGTATTCGGCAGCTTCAAGGCTCTAGTGGGAAGTCTCGGGCTCGTCAACTCGACGGGCACATTCCAGTATACCTCGAATCCCATTAGCTGAACCAGGATGGATCTTGGGTCTGTTCACCTTCCTGACCTTCTGCAGGATCCAGATCGGGCCTATATTTGGCGATCGGGGACCTCGACTCTTGGTGTTTCTGGGATCGATATTGGTCATGGTTATGATGATTAGTGTTGAGTTCAGCCACGAATACTGCCAGTTCAGCTTGACTATTAGCATTACAGGTGGTCTTGGAATGTTACTTATATTTATACTCTTAATTATAGTATTTAGCTATTTCTTTTATAATAAATATAGCCTTAGGATTATAGCTAGTAGTAGCTCTAGAAAAGGTATTATTATTAGACTTATTTTAAAGAGCCTATTTAACTTTAAATAACTAGTATATCTTATCTCCCTTATTATTACTAGTACCTCGCGTGCGACGGGGGGTTGCGGAGTGTATGGTTGCGGCGGAGGCTGTGGGCTGGGCGACTGCCCTGGGAACTGCCCGCTGGAATGCTGTGGCGGGGACCGCTGCCGCGATGGCAGCTGCGGCAACTCGGGCTGTGCGGATGGAAAGTGCGGACCCTCGACCTGCGAAACAACGCGCACGGCCGTAGCAGGCAATCTACCTGCTACTTAGGATATGTCCCGCTGGTATAGCAAGACTGTCCAGGATTGTGTACCAACAGTAACCACTATTAGCAATACTGCTATACAAAAGAACCAACAAAAGGCGAATATACAGAAGGGCATAATAAAACATGTTTGTGAGTTGTTGCTCAATACTTGCCCTTTGAGGGAGGTAATATTATACATGCTAATAAACAGCAGACGGAAAAAACTGGTTGGAAGGATTTTGGACTTGGTTAATAGAAGCAGAAGGCACTGGTGGTAGAGGATAGATATACAAACAGTTTACAGATCTTTTCTTCCCCTGTGACTCAAATAAACTCTAGTCTATTTACAATGGTATTGCCGGCAACACACATTAGGACTTCATAGGCATTACAGCCGAGTTGAACAAGAATATAAAGGGTTGGGTAAGGCTTGCGTCTTCTATTATCTCTTATCCATTATATTACATACCTGTTTGAGTTCTGCTTGTTTTGGCATCTTTAATCTTTTACTCCTTTGCTTTTTCTTACCTCTCTCTGTTCCTCTTTAATATTACTCTAACAATACTCTAACAACCTGTATCTAGATGGGCGGCGACTATGGCGCAGAAGTTGGTAGAAGGACCAAGAATGTCCGATGAGTAATTGAACTGATGGAACCATGGGGCTCCATAATAAACGTTCTGAGTAAGCAGAAGGGCGTGCTGGATGATCTGGTTCTGGGGTGCAATATTTGGACCTTGGAAAATATCCCTGGCCCTCTGGATGCTACCAACAACCGGATCTACAACGCCATCTATTCCATCAACCAAGACCTCGCAGCCAAATACCGACAATGGATAATCACGACTCGTCTAGGACAAATGATGGAGGTCACCAAGACACAGGTCGGAATACTCACAAACGATCTCGCAACCGGCATTGAAAAAGGGAAGCAGGCGGCACAAAAGGCCAAAGACGTTGAGACATGGCAAAGCATGGGCCACGCCCTTCAAGCGCTCATTACCAAGTACGACCTCCATGGCGATAACAACCCCTGCGCCAAATCCATTGAGCTCAGCTGGGCACTTGATGCGTCGACCAAGAAACGGGCTGCTACTGCCCTCACGGCCCAGGTCGACGAAAACGGCCGTCCGATCCGGCCTCCGAATACACTGTCCATTATGTTCAAGGTTGTCAAGACGGACTTGCCGGGGATTGGGTAAAGTATGCAAGGTATTTGGTGGCGTATGAGACCACGTACGACCATGGCTATAACCCGGCGGTTATCTGTGAGGAGGAGGGGCTCGTCTACGGCCCAGAGGACTACTACTGGGATGCTGATACCCAGTACCCGACATCATTGGGCCCATTCGATCTCGTCCAGGAGACGTATACCAACTGTTACTACAAGGGACCAGCCACGGATAAACTAGGTTCCGTGACCTGCTCTGGGGGAGTTTCCTTCTCCTGTGTGTCGCGATTGGTTTACAACCAGGGGGATGGAGCTTCGACCGAATGTGGCGATGACAAACTCTACGTCCAGATTGAATGCCCTATTGAATCTTCCTAAATGGTCACAGACTATGATTTTTCTGTCTCCGATATTCTTCAGATGTTACTAAAGGTCCTTCGCCCACGTTGGCCAACCATAGTCTCTGTAATGCTTCTGCCACATTTTCCGATCAGCATACGGCTCAATGTCATCAATACGAGCTTCTTCTAGCAATCTCCAGATCCTTCGCCGGTTTCGTAGCCCCAGTGGTGCGCTCTCCATTCGACTTCCCTCCCGGAAAATGTCAACCTGCGCCAGTTGGCGAGCCAGCAACTCCCAGTCCCAGAAGTTTTCCGCCTCGTAGGAGGCCAGGGAACCGTCCGAGAGGTTTTCAGTAGTGTGCGGAGGTGTAATTTGCAAACAGGCGTGTTCGAGATCCCAGAGCCACGGAAATATATGCCTTTCCATCACGAGGGTTCGCCAACAGGTCGGCGGTAGGGCGCGAACACATTCCTCTGGCGGATTCACAAACGGTCGTGATCGCAGCAGCTTAATCTCCGCTTCCGCGCCCGCTCCGGTTAGGTATTCCACGTGAGATGTCCTAAGGCCCGCCGGGAGAGGTTGCAGAAATGATAATATGGCCGTGGTTAGTCCAGAGATAGGAAATGGCTCGATCTCGAATTCCTGGACTAGATTAGCAGGATAGCACCTTTGCACCTGGGGCACTGTAGGCGATAATCACCTCGGCTTCGGGATGGCCTGTAGGCCATTGCAGCTCGTTGGAAGTGTCCCAGGAAGCGGGAAAGTAGTATTCATGAGGTTCTAGGATCCTGGGCTGGCACATCCAGCTGTGTAACAGACCGCAGGGTCCGCGCTTGTAATCATCAATGCGGCTGCAGAAGACTTTCCAAAAGTCTTCAAGAGATCGCGGTTCATCACCTGCATCTTGCTGCTTTTCCCTTGAGCGTACGAGCCTCTGCAGGAGTTCGAAGCACTTAACATGCACGGCAATAATAGGCGAGTCATCCATGCAATTATGGACACAGTTTGTTGGATATTCGTCACCACTCCATGGAAAACCCACCTCTTCTCGTGAGAAGGTCTCGAGCTGAGAGTCCACGAAGCGGAATGCGATTGTTTCAAACCAGGCGTAGACCAAGCTATCTGTCTCATTGGGCTATAAAGTAATCTCAGCCTGTTAGTTATCCACATGTACGCTTGGTTGATGGCCACTACCCGGTCCAGAAGCACGCCGCAGACGGCGCAACACGTGTCCTCGTCGTCATCGTCTCGTTCAAAGACCGACTGCACGAGATCAGGGTCAGGAGGCATGATAGAAGTGAAAGAATGGCAGATCCAAGACGAAGGCTGTTGCCGTAATCAATAATTTGTATGTGAGCGAGGCGGAGAGGGGAAGAAACAAGTTGAAAGTTCCGAGAAGCGATGGCCTTGCCTGTTGTACTGGCTGATCACGTAAAGGTCACGGCATCGGCCGAGGTTCCAAAAATTACTCCTTTGGGGAAACCCATCTCTGGACTCAAGACTCGGGATCGCCTTTCAAGTTTAATCAGCCATCCTTCACTTCCATAGATCTGCAACAACCCACTCTGGACACAGCGATGAGTCGTCAGACTAGTGGCAAACCCTGGCACGCTATGTTCCGAGCTGACTTCACTTGATGATGATAACGCCAAGTTAAGGTCCTGATTTGCTGGAGCGCAAACGCCACTGTGATGACCTATTGCCTTGGGAAGCAGTTTCTGATCACCATCCCTCCCGGTCTGATATGACATCCAACCAAATAAAAATGCCGACAATTTACCCCAGCCTGACGCTAGATTAAGCCTTTGTATGCATGCTTACCTTTACTCCACGTTCTTGTCCTCTGGAAACTCCCAGCCCCACTCTAAGTATTTAACAAACCTCCAGGCCAACCACTAATCCATGTTTAATTAGAGCCGAGAATCCTGTATTTAAATATTTTTAGAGCCATGTGGAGGGTCTAGGGAAGACTAACCCCCTGTAAGCAATCAGGTACTCGCTCAGATTCTAGTGGGGAAACCCGATCTTCTGTTTCTATGGGCGACGGTATCAGTCTCCGCGTTCTCCACGAGGGCACAACCTCAGTAGTAGAGTACATTGACATTGGTCATGGTTATGATGGTTAGTGTTGGGTTCTACCACAAATTCTGGCAGTTTATGTTGACTATTAGTATTATGGCTGGTATTAGGATATTACTTTTATTTATATTCTTAATTATAGTTGTTGCTATTTTTCCTAGAATAAATATAGTCTTAGGATTATAGCTAGTAGTAGATTTAAAAAAGGTATTATTATTTTTACTTATCCTAGATAGCCTAGCTAATAAGAACAGCTTTAAATAATTAGTATACCTTGTTTCCCTTATTATTACTAGTACTCTAATCTCCTTATAACTCCCTATAGAACCCTTTTTAAAGGAAACTATCCTTATAGATTTTGAAATCCTATATAAACCTAAGTTCCTTCTAATAACCCTTTTTATCTTCTTTATCCAATAGGGCCTCTTTAGTTTAATAATATATATCTTATCCTATGCCCTCTCTCACGGCCTCTCAACCAAACTCTCCTCTCAACTCCTCGCCATCCTCAACGCGGGTTCTTTCTTCGGGAGACTTCTTCCTGGTTTCCTTGGTCATTTCATTGGTCGATTCAACATGCTAATCGTCACCATGGCATTCTGCCTCATTTGCAAGACGTGCCTGTGCATGCCAGGGGGAGATACCGTTGTTCTCCTAATCGTCTACTGCGCGCTCTTTGGTTTCGCGAGTGGGAGTAATATCAGCCTTACATCTGTTGTGTATCGGGGAGCTCTCAGGTCCCTTCCAAGTAGGGGGTTGGACTGATTTATGGATCAAGCAACATGCATAACATTCTAAGCCAATTAAACGGCTCCATCAACTAGCGGTATAATGTATAATGCGAAAATCGCAAATTATTTACTGCCATATAGCTCATTTCCTCACTTTATCCTCTGAAAGGTCACCTTTCAATCCGTCTGACTTTACCCGAGGTCGCACCAGACCCTATCTGGTCCTACCTCCGCGGCGTGGCAGTCGGGGTAGAGACAATCGTCGAAGTCGCCGCGAGAGTGGTACCCGTCGCAACAGAAGCGCTGGACGAGCTCGAGGACCCTGTATCCGCGCCCGTGCCGGAATCCGTTGACCCAGCGACAACATACTGCTTGTCCGACTTGAGGTGGTCGAGAGCGCTCTGCGGCAGACGCAGGGTATCACCGACAATCTGCTTCGACGTGGAGCCGAGCCATTGGCCGAGGGAGATGTCTATTGTCATTAGCGATTTCTTGGTAGTTCAAGGGGGACGGGGCACGTGCCAGAGAAATGATCCGCCTGCAGCACCTCGAGGAACACGAGATCCTCGTTGCCAGTATTCTCAATGTAGTGGCTGTGCGACTTGGGAAAGTACGCGACGTCGCCCGGGTGGTAGTCGAATGTCGTCGCGGTACTGGGTGCCTCGAGGAGGGTCGCTCGGCCCCGGCCCCTGATGAAGAAACTCCACTCGTCGCTAGATGGGTGCCAATGTACTTCGCGCATCGCGCCGGGGTGCACGGTTACAATGGCGGCGGCGAAGTTGTTTGCGATTGGGAATGTGAGTGGGTCGACAATCTTGACAGATCCACCAGCGACCTCGTGTGCAGGCTGTTCGGAGAAGTGGTATGAGTAGGTCACTTCGTGGGGGATGGGTCCAGCTGCTGTTGAGACGTTTTGCTGCTCGATGTCGGTGGGTGCGGGGGTTCCGGGGAAGATAAAGAGTTCGCCGTCGGGGATGTTGTCGAAGGCGGAGATGGGGAGGTCGAAGTTTTTGCTGAGGACGGATTTCTATATGGTTTAGCTTCATCCAACCAAGAATGAAAGAGTGGCTTACAGGGTTGTGTGCAAAGACCTCGGACGCCAGGAACGTGTTGTCCTCGGAGAACGAGCCGTCGTCAAACACAAGCAGAAACTCAACGCCCACATCGAGAGCTTGGATCGAGTGAGGAACGCCCCTAGTTTGTCAGCGTACGACTCGCGTAAAGGATTGAAGAAGCTTACGGAGGGAAGAACCACACATCACCCTCGGTTACATCGTCGATGAAGGTCTGTCCATCCTCGTTGATGGCCTACATCGTTAGCGTGTGTATCCAGGTAAGAGCCACATGGCATACCTGAATGCGCGCAGACCCGTTCAAGACCAGACTCCATTCGCCTGCCAAGTGCCAGTGCAGTTCGCGATAGGCGTTGGCCTCGAGTCTCATGTCAACACCTGCCATCTTGGTAGCATCAGGCATGACGACAATATTTTCTTGACGCGACCATCCAGCGCCGTCTAGCCCCAATCTGTCCCAGTCAGCGTATGCAGTGTTTAATATCCCACGATAGACTCACTTGGCTTTGCTGAGCGACATGGGCCAGTTGGCGTTGATTGTCTATCCTCATCAGAGATGCACGATGGGGAGAGTCAATAGCCCTACCTGTCCATGATCTGTTCCGGGCGGTGCTAGCTTGTCGCTGTTCTGCCGATCGAGCTCGACGTTTCCTGGAGAAAGCATAAGCCAGACTGAGGGTAACTCAGTCAACGCGGGACTTACGTGGACCAGGGTCAGTCCCTCCCAGAGTACCACGAATCGGCTGCGGATTCTCGGTGTTGCTAAAGTCGAGGTAGGACCCAATATCCGCATCCTCGGTCTGTCCGGGCACCAGTGTATACTCGATGTCTTCGGTCGTCTGTCCCGTCAAGGTGTTTCCCGGCGAGTATCCAAGAAGATCTTCGGATCCGCGTAGCGGTGGGTTTCCATCCCGCTTCGGTAGCGCGGGTGCTGCGTGGATCAAAGGGAGAAGGGGGAGGAGGGTGAGAGGGAGGATTGACTTCATGGTGGATGGACGGTGTGGGTGGGTTGATCCAGACCGAGGAGCAGCTGGTGATCGGTCTTATATATCCGCAGAGGATGAGGGGTAAGCAGTGCCCCTCTCTCAGACGTCCGTAGCTGCGAGGAGGCAGCTGAGCCGGTGAGGAGAAATAGGCCCCCAAGGCGACTGGAATGCAATGCCGTGATTGAATTGGTATTGATGCGGGGGTGTCCTCCTCCGGAGATAGGGGGTAGTGCTGCCTAGACAACCGGTCAGGGATGGTATCCCAGCCTGTTGAGGGGGGGGTCATCATGCTAAAGACAGAATGCAACAGAGGCCGCTAATGTAGGGCATCCAGCCCAGTGCATATAGTCATCGTGGGCTGGGCCGTGTGACAACATACCACAATCAATACATGGCATGATAGAGACTTCCCAAGCTTTAGCCAAGGAAGTCAAGATTCAACTTGGCAGAGCATATTCAGACCAACGTCCGGCTCGCTCGGCAATGCCCTTGTCTTGATTTCTAACCCCTCACGCGGGGGCCGTCGCACTGCATACAATCCCTGTCAGCGCGGGCTTACTGGTTGTGCAGGATGTGACGAAATTAGGGCACTTCGCATGGCGCGATCTTATAGGAGGGATTAACTCTCCGTCTGCGTCATCCCCCTCACGGGGCTTACAAGGTTGCTAGATAACTCTAGCATTGGCTCATCGATGGAGCGGGACAAGGAACCGCAGTGCGGCCCCGGGTGAAGGTTTGGTACCCGAACGGGAAGGAGCCGTCGAGGTCTCAACTCTGCAGTAAATGGGCAGGAGCGACTTAGTGGGTGCTCAACCTGGCGCTCGGGCGCTGACTCGCAAGCAGTTGTCTGCTGCAAAGCGCAGAGACGCTGCAGTGCGGGGAACAATCATTCTTCAGCACGTATCGAGCAAGCTGCATCCGCGTTGATCCGAGTCCTGCAGAAGACGGAAGAAATGCCGCAAACGTTACACTGCAGATATTAAGCCAGCTCTCATTGGATTTCTACAACCAGGTTTGCCAGGTTTATGAACGAGCTCACCAATAACAACTCGAAATCCTGCAAGGTATACTCTGGTTCCTGGCAAGTTGAACCGCGGTCCCACTCTAGGCAACTCCATTTCCCGCGATCTGCAACGCTTCTCCAACGACCTCGCCTGTGATTCGCTCCGTGGAATGATGAGAGTCGTAAATGTCTCATAGGGCTGAGGCTCAGTATAACAAAGGGCGCGGGACTCGCGGGAGTCAGCCCTCCTATGTTGCTTGTTGGAATAAAGCTTATGCTACTCCGCACAGTCGTAAGTCTAGGCTTGACCTCTGCGACTCCAGTCCTCGACTGTCGGGCCTTTACCCGGGGTTTCTGGTCGTGCTATCGGAGTTTCCGAGTTCCTTTCGAGTCATCACCATTCCGACCATTCGACGTAGTTGAAGTGCGAACTGTGGATTGAATCTGGAAGGCATGGGTAATGGGCCATTCCTTCCACACGGAGCACTGTTGGAGGAAGGAACGAAGGACCGGACGACTACCAGAACCTCTTCTCGCTACGGGAACCTCTTTGACCTCCAGAGCACCTCCTACTACGATTTATCGATTACGTGGCTAACTCATCGATTTCAGTACTTCTGTCAGTCCGTGGAAGTCTTCCAAAAGCACTGAGCTTACACATCTATACGAAGAGCAAGGCGCGATCCATAGACGTACTTCCCTGCTAAGAAGGAAACCAGAAGCATAGGGAAGAAACGACCCGTTCCAGCTTCATGTCTCGGATTGTTCCAGATGGAATAAACAGCGTTTCGTGGTCAGAGCGTCGGAGCGATCCTCTTCGGCCGTGATGGCCTCGAACTTTGACAACAGGTGGAGATCTTACACACAATCGTGTCATCGGAGCTGCCAAGCCGAACTACTATATATTGCTGAAATCGCCCACCATATCACGATCCAAGCTCGCACGCATGACCTTCACTTTGATCCGTGCTTTCGCTAGTCTGATCCATCGCTCCTCAAAATTGTGGTAAACAACCTCGGTTAATCAGCTGACGAACCTCGTGTGCAGTACTTTTGGAAGACATGGCGACAGGACATGCAGCCCTGATTTATCCGCCTCGCTGTGATTTCAAAAGTCAACAAATCATCAAACGAGATGATACCATGGCTAAGATCTATATTTACACCTCAACATTGAGATGCCCGAGATATCGCCACAAACCAGTTGAATAATCTCGCTGACAAACCATTAATATCGGGTGGCACGGGACACGCAAAATCCTCTGCCCGCGTGACCAGCAAGCAAGCCCTAAGAGGACCCGCTCTATTCCTTCCAAAGGTGCAATCCTGCGATTCCAGCAATTCCAGCGCCTCACCGCCTGTCCAGGCCTCGCTCCTTTTCACGCTCCCGAGACAACCCGCCCCTCGGAGTTGCTAAAAATGGGGGTGCCGATATAGGCGGTTGCATGAGTCCCGGTGGCGGTCGCGGACTGGCGGTCAGGTGGGTTCCAACTCAGGGGTTACCCGGCCCTGCAGCGGGCTGTGATTGGGGGGACCAGGAAGGCGATCGTGATGAAGAGATTGTGTTGGAGCCGCGCCATGTGGGACCGTGTGGCGCTCATTGGTCAATGGGAGACACATTTGAGGATCTGCTCCCCAGCATTTCTGATTTTTGTATCTTCCATCTCAGCTCTGTTCGGTTGAAGTGACAGTTGCAGTCGTCGTTGCTCTCGTTCCGTCCACACGCAGAGTTCGATATGGCTTTCGACTGTTACTGTGCTATCTGCGGGGTTGGCTTCTCGGGCATGCGCATTGGGACTCCATCAGATGCCACACCAGAGCGAAGGCGACAGTACGTGGAGAAGATTTCTCAGTCGGGGAACGAGACGACGCCAGACTCAGCTCCCCAGGACCAAGAAGAGCCCATCCGCAGTTATGATCCAAACCTAGTCAACCAAGACAATGTCGCGTGGACCGCACAAGTACACTGCTTGGGGATGCAGGACGACGCCAAGGGGAAGAGCAGGTAGATACTCTCAGCAGCAAAGTGTCTACTCATCCTAACGTCGCCTAGAGCATTCATCTCAGGACCAGGATACTATGCAGACGCTGTACGTTCCCTCTGCTTATTTTCAGAAACATAGTTAACAAAAACAGGGTGAATTAGCCGTCAAAGTCGGACAGGCTGCACGACGGACATACTTCAACTGGTGCGCTAGCCTATACCTACTGTCTGAAAGAATGTCTACTAACGACTTTAAAGCTATGGCTTCGGGACAAACGACGTGCCCGGCCCAGTGATGCCCTTCCACTGGTGCTGCTTCGAGATCCTTCTTCGCACTCTCACGGGGACAACCGATCCCAAGAACGTCAATCTCGAGGCCCTCTACGAGGCCATGAGCAGCCACTGCAACTGGTCGGGCTCAGCTCTGCGGTTACCCTACGGTGACGACGTTATCCGCGCACAGGGCCAGTACTGGCAATCCCTCCCTGGAGCCGAGGTTCGTTACCCAAGTTATCAGCCCGTCTCTACCCCATGACCACCAATCTAACCACATGCAGTACACCGTCCGCAACCCCTCCACAACAACCATCACGGAAACACTCAAAGCCAACCTGCAAAGCAACCCCAAACTCCGCACACCACCGACAGGTCTGCCCCTGGACACCCGGGAACCAAAAAACCCCTTCTCCACCCTCCCCACCGAACTCGTCCACCACATCTGCTCCCTCCTCCCCGGAGAGTCGCTGGAATCCTTAACCCAAGCATCCCTCTACATAAACCTCATCACCCGCGACAACTACTTTTGGAAACGATTCATCGCAACCGATATGCCCTGGCTCGAGGAGGGTGAGGCGGAGATGCTCAGGAAAAGAGCGGACGTCACACCAAGCGCGGATTCCGGCTCGGAAAGCCCGATCAACTACCAGCGCGTGTATCAGTGGCTGGACGGAGTCACGAAGCCGGCCTTCGCGATGGACGACGAGGTGTTTATGGCTGTTGCGAATCGCAGGCGCATCTGGGGCGTCTGCGAGGTACTGGCTGGGGCGTATCGCGCGCAGTGCGCGTGAAGTGATGGGCGTGCCAGGCGCGGGATTGCGACGCGCTGATTCGACATCTGTCTTATTCGCCTCGCCCTCCGCGATCAGGTCATGGCTTGTGGTTGTTGCATGGGACTCCTCTGGGCGCGCCGCGCTCTACGGCTCTGCGACAAGAACGATGCCATGGCTCGGACAACCCCGGCATACCCTACATGGCTCGCAATCCCCGTTTGCACACTGCAGCCGGATGGACCGATCGGTGCATGTGTGTGTGTGTGTGTGTGTGTGTGTGTGTGTTGTTTTCTATACCCTTATTTATCCCCGGCGGAGCGGTCGGTCTCGATATACATTTCTCATCTGGTCGGACAATTTCACTACTTGGGGTTCAATTGGGGAGTTGGGATGGGATGGCTTTTACTTATATTTTGTTTGTGGTGTATGGGGGCGCTTTGGTGTTTATAGATTGTTTCTGTTGCTTTGGAAACGAACTTTAGACTTGAATATAATGATAATATCTACATGGCAATAATTCTTGGAGTTGTTTGTTGGTGCAGATTAGTAGGACTCTGAACATGGACGGACACGATGGGCAAAACTAAGAAGATTTTTGTTTTTTGATTTTCTCCCCGTCTTTTCATCTTTTTTCCCTATCTTTTGTATTATAAACCAATACAGGATGGAACAAGCATGTAAATATGATAAGTGTAAAGAGCTACCTCTAAAACACGACACGTAAAAAGTTAATAATAAACCAGGTCAACGATACACCTCAAAACCAGTCCAATCCTTGCTCGTTTCACCTCGCAAAACAATGTCCTCCATATCTAAACAAACATCCTCAAATGCCCCAAACCCCCAGCGGATCCCTGCCACTGCCACCCCGCCCCGCTCCGTTCCTCTCCTCCTTCTGCAACGCTTTGACCCTCTTGACCAGCGTCCCGACACAAACCGGCCCGACAAGGGTACACAGCGAGATCGCCCAGACGACAATGAGGTACGTCTCCGAGGATGACCCCTCCGCAGCCACGCCGAAGATCCCGTTCGATTCGGCAAGTGAGGCGATTAGGTACCCGATTTCGCCGCGCGCGACCATTGCCAGTGACAGGATCGAGGCTGGATAGAGGGATCTCGGGGCTTGCGGGAGGGATGATGTCGATGAGGTTACCGGGCGGGTCTGGTCCCGGGCATCAGGGGTAGATGCGGCGCCGCTGTCTGTTGTAAGGTCCAGTTGATTCGGGAGCTCGGTATTTGAGTCCGTAGTGAGGCTGGTGGCTGGAACTTGAGTACTTTCTTGACTCGGTGTCTGTCGTTGGCCCTTCTCGCGGTTTGGTTGAGATGATTGCCGTCGGAGACAAGTCCTGGCGTAGCCGTAAGGTGCCTTGAGGATTCGGACGAGAGAAGTCATACCCGATAGAGGTGAGAAACGAACAAGCCACAGGCCCGTGCACATCTTGCCGAACGTCATGAGGATCGCGTAGACGAAGCCGCGCCACACGATGCTTCCTTCAAACATTTCGGTGATTGGGATCGCGAACCCGATGGAGGCCTTGTTTGTTAGCTATATGGGCTAGCGAGAGGGAGTAAGGGAATATGCTTACGAAGAACATCGGGATCAGAATGCGATTGACGGGGCTGTGGTAATAGTGTTCGTATACGTAAGTGCCTGTGACCTTGGGCTCATGGTTGGCCTGGGTTGAGGGAGTATATGAGGGACCGCGAGCGGCGTCTTGATGAATCCCAGGCTCGACTTGTTGTGGAGCCGAGGTCTCATTTGCGGATTGCGGCTCGATAGCTGAATCTTCCGTGCTGTGCACATGGCTGTCGAACCACGATGTGATGACTCCAGCGAGGTACGCCGCAAAAAGACTAGACGTCCCGGCATAGGTCGCTCCCGCCACCAAACCAACCAGCAAGGCCGTATATCCAAGGAACGCGAATTGCGGAGTGCGGGTAAACTGGGGCAGCTCTTTTTGCGATGCGAGAAGGCAAAGGAGAATCGGCCGTGCGACAAATCTACACACAAGGACGACGCCAACTCCGAAGCCAACCGATACGAAAAGGGGCCGGACAACAGTCACCGCGCTGAACGCGTCTCCGCTCCCACCGAGGTTCGAAATGATTTGAACCATAACAAGACCAACGACATCGTCCAGCATGGCCGCACTGGTAGTAACTGTCCCCAGACGCGTTGTTATAAGCTCTGTCGTGGAGAGGATCGTGAACGTGGTTCCCAGACTAGTCGCAGTCAGCGCCGCGCCGGCCGCAAAAGCCTGAAGAGGCGTGGTAGAGACGAGCTCCATCAGGATGAACGACAATGCCATGGGCACGGCAATGCCGGTGAACGCGACCGCGAGCGACAGGCACATATTCGCCCGGAGCGAGGACAGGGACGTCGACAGACCGCCCTCGTATACCAGCATGATCAGTCCCAGGTATCCCAGCTGCTGTATCACGATCTCCGTCCCGCGGTCCAGCCATTTTGCGCCGGGGGTGCCCCAGAGGATTCCGATGAAGAGCTGGCCAATCAAACCGCAGTAGAGCAGCTTATCGAGACAAGTGTTGACGAGGTTCAGCACTAAGAGGAGCCCTGTCTGATTTAGGATGGTCAAAATCGAGGGTTCATGGTAGGCAAAGGCGGATTCTGCCATTTGGGCTCGGTCGGGATGAATCCGTGAAAAGGGGCGACAAGCTGTGCGGTGATAACAATGTTGGGTACAGGCCCGTGAAAGAAGAACGGAAAATGGACTCCATCAGCGAGACAGGACGGCCGAGAGATTAGAGAGATGTATTAAACGTGCAGGATGGTATAAAGCAAGGCAATTAAGAGGTTGAGGGAGATGAGGAGATGAATCGGAAATCAAAGTGCTGGGAGGACGTGTGATCGCGAAAGCTTGGCGCCAAGACCAGGCCAAGGTGACGTCACGCGCAATCCTCGGGAATTATCACGTGACCAATGCATTCACCATGTCCGACCACTGCGACACTACATCAAATCTCAACCACCTTGAACTCCGATCCTCAAAAAGAACAGATTGCATTGGGTATGAAGCGGAATGGAAACGCAGCGCAGCACACACAAGTGGGCTCCAGTGGACTATCAGGGACTATGAATGGGCAAGCGGAAGTCCCTATATCTGCAGTATCTCCCTCCAGAAATCCTCCGACTCATCCGAATACTCAGCAAACCGACCAAGACATTCGCTAATCACAGTCCGCTGGTGGCCCGACAGTCGAATTTTTGGTGCCTCGATTCCTTGGACGGGCCTAACAAGAAACAGCGCATCTTCCGCGTCCGCGTAGCGGTCACGAACCAGTCTTCGCAAAGGTGCCGACGTGACCTTGTGTACTAAAAGATCTTCCACAGGAACATATGGCATAATGCCTCTTCTCCACGCATCCACCAACGGTAGAAACCCGCTGGGTTGGTAGCAGAGCTACAAGGCAATGTCAACATATGTGCGTCGGGAGCAAGCGGCCATATATGAAAGGGCTCCCTACCTCGTCGTCTCCACAAAATCGAATGAGTACACCAGTCTCCGTCTGTAATCCACCGTCATGCTGCTTGTACGTGAAGAAGCGGTTCTGGTCGCATTGCAAAACTTCTCGGATCAGGCTGCTTTTGGTGAGAGAGTCCTGGGTACTGTGGCGAACAATAATGTCGATATTCTGAATGGAGTCGTTAGCAAGGCTGATACCACCCCGATATAATGAGTGAGGGGTTAGGTAGAGAACAACATTTGTCACGCGAAGAGCTGGGGAACAAGGCTGCGTCAAGTGATGTTGCAGCGCGGCGCCACCGACAATTGCTATGGGCGTATCCTTCCAAGTTGCAGACCGTGCTAGGGTCCGCACAAGCATGTCGGCAGCCTCCTGGATATCAAGGGGCGACGGTAAGTGCATGGTGATATGATGATAATTGGTATGGGAACAGAAGATAGAAAGCAAAGTCAAAGTTACTAAGAGAATACAGAGGCCTAGGTTACCGAGCAACAACTGGGAGAAGGGCAAGGCAGTAAGGAGAAGATGCGGCACGGGGGGGGTGAATAGGGTCCTATTATTTAACTGTTCTCAATCCACTGCGCCAGACGTCTTGACTTGGCGATGACTCTGAAATGTCGTTGTGTCCCGGTCTTGGTAGTCTACGATGGAGAGACAGTTTTAGGTGGCGTCATGCACGACGCAAGAGAAGAAGTTCTAGAAGGGTTGGGAAGGGGAAATGACTTCCTTAAAGAGAAGTGGAAATGTTTTAGAAATGTCTTACCGTCACGGCGTCTTGTCACCATTTTCTATTCTCGTTTTTTCATTTTCTCTGAGTTGATGTTCTCAAGGCTAAACTATCCTTCAAAAGGAGCGTGCATATATCCGGGACAGGAAGCCGGGAAACAACTCTGGACCAGACGACGGGGTCTTGGACACACGCAGAGGGTTTTGGGGACGGTCCCCACACATGCCTCAGCATCCAGGTGTCGGAAATACGAAGGGAAGATGATGGATTCGGCAATCAAACCTATACTTGTCTTGGAGCCGGCAGATCGGGATCAACGTCGTCCTCTGGGAGCTTAACACCCCTGGACATGTCAAGGGGCGGAAGCGGGGGAAGATTTGCGCTCTGGTCTAGTTGACCTGCCAAAAGCCTCCTGCGAAGCCTCAACAGTGTATAGATACCCGGCCCCCTCTTCACCGGGCCTGTTTTTGAGTGCTCTACCTTTTTCGATGGGTCTGACTCGCCGTTCTCTCTCATCCAGATGGACCGGAACTCAGGCCGTATACCAGCTTGGATCTCGCGATAGGTTTGATGGTCAGGTGTGTCGTATAATCTCATGTTCATCTGCTTAAACGAATGCTCGCTCCAGTCTGGAACGTAGCTGTAAAAACAACGGAGAAGTGTCAGAGCCTGAACAACAGATGTTAGCTAACATAATCATGCATCTTACATATTGTACGATTAGCTTGACTTACCTCGTAGAATTTCGCCGGCCTCAAGATTTTGACAGGAGGGAGGTCTCTCCAGCAACCGGTGCCTATTCCCCCGTTGGCTCTGCTCGGCGGTAAGTTCTCGTCATTGGACAACATGAAATACTCGTCAGCCACAGGCCCAACCTTGATAGCATCCTTGGGGAGCCACCAGAGCATTCTGGACTGTTTGTAGAGCCTAAGAACCGTGAAGTGCCATCTGCGGTCGAAGTGGAAATGCTCGTCGGCGATGAGGTGATACCTGTTTAGCCCGGTGCGCGTGTAGATATCCGGCATGCTCATGTAAGTCTTACCAGTAGTTGGGCATTGGAACGTGGAGTCCTGCATGGCTGAGCCTTCCGCGTGGAATTCGACACACTGGCGCCTGGTACAGTGTTCGTAGCCTGCAGCGACCAGAACGCTAACAGCAGTGGCAAGCTTGTCGTCGGCCACAACAAACTCGATTTCCTATCAGCCGGTCAGTTCTTTCCTCCTTGTATAGAGCATAGGGGTTGGATGCGGCCGAAAGCTTACCGGAAAGCCATAATGTATTGCAATCAAACTGACAACCCACCACCCCCAGAGAGCACTCGGAACACCCGCCCTATCCAAGATCTGGCCCACTTCCGCCGCTGGCCTTGCGCCTGAAGAAGGAGCAGACATTTTGGATCGAGTATATGAATAAGATGATGGGTTTGGTAGTGTCCTATTGTTGGGATAGAGGAGATTGATAAGAGGGATGATCATGGACAGAGACGATCCTTTCCTAATCGGGTACTTCAACCTCGTATTTATACCCCCAGGGCACGAGCAGGGTTGCTTGGACAGGGACCTTGTTCCTTCCTGTTTATCAAAGCCGGCTTTTAGATTGATTGTCTTCCCATTCATGGTTTGTGGGCATCTAAAGTGTGGAGCAATGGTTCGCTGCCATCTACAAAGCAAAGCAACAATCGAGGATCGTCATTTACCTCGAGGACAAAGAACCGACCATTATCATCTTGAAACGATAATGTATTGGCACCTGAAGAAGGAGCCAAACCATAAGCTGTATAAACCTCAAAGGACTGACGAGTTGGAGATTCTCAATGCGGACTACAGAAGACGCGCATGCGAATTGGAGATGTTGACTCGGACTGTCCGGTTACTGACAAAGGCAGGATCCTTGACTGTGATCGGTATGCCGACGGCAACCTTGACGGGCAGCTGCATTTTCGCCTTCCTCATTCATATTTTCAGCCTGAGTACTTTATTTTCCTCTATGATTCTAGAAGCAACATACTCTCTCCGGGGTAGAGAATTTGTCAAGGACACAGACTCACAACAGCGATCGCCTGCGACACGCCAAGAGGAGCAGGCAGACTTGAACCTCTGCACATCCACCCTGCCACAAATGGGAGTGTCAACCTTTGGCTTACGTTGCCCGGAAATAGCCGGATGTTGCGTTTAAAGTTGCTGAGCGAAGCCACTGACTTCCCAAAATGTGCGTCAATGGAGCCCTTGGCACCATTAGACAGCTGCTTTGATCGCTTACCGGAGCTCAAGCGATGGGCAATGTTGAAAGAATACCGAGACCAAAAGAGCGGTGTGAAAGAAAACAGAGTCGCAACTCCTAAGCCAGTGTCCTGAGACATAGCAACCTGTATGTCTTGGTCTCTTTGTTCAACCAGAGCGCTATCCAGAGCACTCTTCCTCCTACCAGCCTCCATCCGGAGTTTCAAGTAGCTCCGAGGCGTCAATTGAGTTCGTTTTGGGCGTCGAATGACCAATCGTCTACGACTCCCATATGCAGCTCCTATCGCAAGATACTCTTGGCCATATTCGTGGCAAGGCTGAACTGGCCAAGGCTGACACGTCGGTTGGCAAAGACCAGGATTGCGGTCCGGCCAATGATTGGGAAACCCAATCAGCGAGCTTCTCTGACGGAAGATGACGTCGATTTGAATTTTCGGCTGCGGTTGTCTGCCAGAGGCTCGATGTTCTCAGGATGAGCCGGACCCGCGCTTCCGGGCCAAACGACTAGCCAATTCACCAACTCGGCACGCGTCGACTAGGGAATGAGGAGAACCGATATGGGACCAAGTAATAAACAAAATTACCACCAGAGACAAAGAGCAACGCTCGCATTCGAGACCAGCGACAACAAAAGTCAATACCTCGTATGTTTCACATTCCTTTGTCACTGCCCGTCAGCAGACTCCTTGCGTCGAAAACGGGATCTCGGAACTTCCAATACCACACAGAATTTGTGGGAAAGATCCGAAGTTCTCCAGGCAGATACCCTGGCAAAGCCAAAACGTGGTGGGAAATCATCACTACGTGCGAGGCTGAAGACTTAGGGCTCGTTCTCATCACCGAGGAGCCGCCAGATGCCCTAAAACATGTCAGCCAATAAGACGACGACATCCCAATCTGACGTGAGATTGTCGCCTCACCAAATCTCAAATAGAGTTTCTCATGGAGCTGAACTGCCATTGGTCCCAGCCTCAGCCTGGAATCGAGAGCCGTTCAGATCCATCCAGACTGTCTTCCCAGTCCACCAATCCTCGGCAGCTCCTTGAACATGACCTGTCCTTTTTGCCAATACCCTCTCTATCCCGGAGGCGCAGGAATTGATACAGTTGGTGGAGGCACTTCTGCGGTTGACGGTTAGGGCAAATAGGGAAAGTAGAAGAGCCAGAAATGAGACCTTCGATGCCCCCTACGAAGGTGTAGCAGCAACCTCACTGGCGAGCACCTAGCGGTTATTTAATCCATACCACTACGAGGTAGAGTACAGTCGTGTAGAAAAAGCATCTACAGAGACCCAGTGCCACGCGGACCCCTGGGGCATTAGCCGCCGAAGCGCCTGAGTGCTGGCCGAAGCTTACTTCAAGGACGGTGCATTACTGAGATTACTATCTACTATCTTATATAGCTGTATTCACTTGTCCCATACTATATCTGCAGGATAGATGCATTGGTTCATCGCTCTGACTGTTGGTTGACCAACTGATCATTCTGATTGATTCTCCATTCCACCGGCGCCTGCCCAATAGCATGTAAAATCCATGTTGGTTGGTGTAAATGACTGGACATGGAGTTAAACTCGTATCTGGTTGGTCCTATTGAACGTTTAAAAAAAATCACCTGTAAAAGCCCAACGCGGTGGTAGTGGAGGCTTCTTGAGAAGGCCTGAAGATATACAACATGTAACTATCAGGCATTGAAAGGGATAATGATTAGTCGTTTCTGCCTGGGCGTGTCTGATACCGCGGAGATTCCATTCGTTCGGGCCCATCTTGAACTTCGCTCCCTGGACACGCAAGACAGACCGAAAGGGAGCCACACACGCAGCTAATGCCGAAGCGCGTCGAGTTTGCAACCAGTTGCTCAGCTTCTGGAGTGCCATGTAGAGATCGCCAAACCATCTACCACGGCGATTCACGGCCTGTACCCGAATCACTCCATCCGGGCAGGTTGCTTTCCCTGTCGGCGGTTGGAGAACGAGGTCGACGCCTTATTGTATGAGGGTAGGTACCTCGGTCTCGACGGTTAAAGGTCCCTTCGCAGCGGTAGTTTAACAAGGTCCTCTGTTCGACTAGTGCTGCGCCAAAGAATGGCCGAGTAACAGGTCTTGCTTCAAGCGAAGGTTGCGTGGTTTTGACCTGGGAATACATGGTGGATGAAGCGGATCTTTATCAAGGCAAAAGTATGATTCGTTGATTGTCAAAGGCCCAGCCTAGTAGTAGACACTATGCGGTACTATGCTACGCAGTGGCTGTTTCAGGAGGGCCTTGAAGCTAAGCTATGAGACCTTGGCCGGATTGCTTCACTGTGCTAAGAACACGATAGTCCAAGACTCTGCCAGAGAGGAAGGAGCAGCCTGCTGTGGCCCCTTCCGCAAATCAATCCACATCCAACTGGTGTTACTCGGCAACTTCCCACTTCCCACAACCACCTCCCCACGTCCAAAAGCCACAGCAGCCATGGCTGATCACTCCTCTGTTCCGTTTGAAATCCACTCGATAATCCTTGACTTTTGCGGCTTCCCGGCGACACGATCCTACTCCCTCGTTGCAAAAGCGACCACGTCCGCCGTTCAACGACACCTCTACCGTGAGCTGCACCTCGGTCCAGCCGGTCACGTCACCCAGTGGGCCTGTACGACCATTCAGCACCTCCTCCGGACCCTTGTCCGACGTCCAGATCTAGTAGCAGTGGTGAAAAGCGTTCACCTCGATGTCCACGATGCCTGCAACTTTACGGAGGAGGCGAGATACCTTGAGAAAGTCGGCGTAGAACGCGCAGACTCCGACCTCACCAGCCTGGCAAGAGCCGTCGTGGAAGATCTGGACCTCCCGAATTCTCGCTCATGGGACGTAAAACTGCGCCACACCTCCCTTGACCCTTGGATTGCTGTCCTCCTTGCCCGACTCACCTCGATGGAGTCTCTCAGATTGGGACCGGCACTGCTACGCAGAGCAACGTTCCTCGGCTCCATATTTCAGCACCTAATTCAGGAACGCCCAGGTCACTTCTCACGCCTCCAATCCGTCAGTCTAGGGGCAGCGGATGCGGGGTATAAAGTCGCGGGCCTGAACTACGGTCCTGAAATCTATATGCCTTTTCAACCACCTCCCTTGGAGACTTTGAGATGAGCCTCGGCCATTTCCCCAAGCTGAGACAGTGGGGGATCAAGCAAGCTCCGAGCTCTTTGACCGCATTTCGGCTGCTCCGAACCGGCGGCATCAGCCAGCAACAAGTGGCGGACTTGTTGGCACTAATGCCCAAGCTTGAGGCTCTACACCTTGGCTGGAATGAAGTATCAGGGCCCAGGGGAACTCTAACAGCTCATCCCCCAATTGATTTTGCAGAGATTAAGGCTGCTCTTGACCCCCTATCGCAGCATCTCAAAACCCTGTCGATTGGGGTCACCAACTATCGGCCCAAATCAGGGCAGCTGGCCGCGGAGGACAATCCAACCCGTCCGTTTATAGAATGGGCAGACTCCTCTTTTGGGTCTCTGGCCAGCCTGGGCTTCCTTGAGCACCTCGAGGTTTCTGTCAACATCTTGCTCGACTTCGTCCCGTGGATTAACGCTCTAGAAGACGTCCTTCCAAAAAGCCTAAGGTCTTTGGTACTGACGGACGAAATGTTGACCTGGCGTCAAGGCATACCTGAAGACCTGCTGCAGCCATGGGAGCACGGTTTGCACCAAGTTGTCGCCCTGCTAGGCAGATACCTGCTCCTCCACGAAATCTTTGCCCCCCATCTCACCAGTGTGACGCTTGATTTCATCGCTGCGATCGGTTCTGACGGAACTGTGCCGCAGGCTCTTGAACGAAGGCTTCGTGGTTGCGCAGAGGCGAGTCACGTTACTGTCAAGATACTCTACGTTCAGGCATACCCGCTTGAGTATTCTACGAGACTATATCCTATAGCCCTCACCATCTACAACCGCCAAACTCCCAAAGTCGCCCCGATGATCCGGTGCGGGGGCCCGTTGACTAGGGTTCCCCTGTATTGGTGCCCACGAAGCTGGTCTAGGTCTGAATATGCCTATCGGTTCCCCATGCAAAAGCTGAGCTGAGGATATTGGCGTTATTGTGCCCACTGGTCATCAGGGTTCATGGTGGAGGTGGCGGCGAGAACAACGGATATGTGAGATATCATCGACTCGCAAATGACTCGACTTGTATGATTGATGCATTTGATATGGATGTCGCAACAACGATACCTTACAGGAGGAGACTTTAGTCTATCAAATGAGACCATCAGTGGACTTGTCAACGTATGTACTTAGCCCAATATTACAACCATCTGCGAACACCACGCAGGAGAACAGACAAACGAGTCCCGGGTTTATTGAAAACTACCTGGTAGAGAGCCCTCTGGTTTTATACAAGGTTTATTTCTTCGTAGAGAATCAACTGACTCCATTGCCAAGCTCCAACACTAAGCCCCTATTATGACTTGACAGATCTTCAAATGTGAAGTAGGGAGATCCTATGGTCACAAGATTGGACGTGATCAACTCCTTCTCCAATGGTAGGTGTATGTGAGGATAGCCCAGCTCCTAGTATCAGCATAACAGATACGCGAAATGGCGTTACAACCCCAAACACCTTGCAAAGAATGAGCGGCCATTGCGTCCGCTCTATCCTTGACAACTTTCGCAATCGCCGGCGTGGCATGAAGCCTCTCCAATCAGCCACTGACACTCGGGAACTCCCTCTCGAGATCAATCGCATCCCCAAGAAACTGCGGCACAAGGCCAACCCAAGTCAAGAAGGCCGAGTCGACAAAGCTATACCGGCCGCCCACCAAATACTCCCTAGTTCATAGCTATGCAGCAGGTTTTGGCCCGGCGTCATGAGTGGAGCGACTAGATAGAGATAGCACCATTGCTGGACAACTTACAGAATTGAAATCTAAGTAACCCAGGCTACAGCCTCTGATGCGACTCTCCCGCAAGCAGACTAATAATGGCCGCTACAGATAGGAATGATCGCAATCACCGCCCCCCTTGGCAACAGCCGCAATCAAATCCAACCACGCCGCCAACCGATACCCAGCACGCGCAATCAACTCCTCAAACACCGGCCGTGCAGCCTGATAATACTCGCCCGCCAAATCCGTCGACTCGAGATACTCCAAGCCCGGCTCAATCACCGTAGTGCAAACATACGCATTCGCATCGCGGGCCCACCCCATCGCCGTCGCTCGCGGATCGCTAATATCCAAATCCGCAATCCACGACGCAGCCTCGCGCCTGTATGCCCCCGACCGGATCTTCTTCGTCAGGCGCGTCGCCCAGGTCTGCGCTGTGGAGAGCGAGGATCCGCCCGCGTGCGCTTCGGGCATGTTGTTGTCCCAGATGTGGTGCAGGTTCTCGACGCTCCCGTTGAATGTTACGGCGATGTCGTTGCCGCCGACGGCGAGGGCTTCGTCGTGCAGGGGTTGGTGTATGTCGCCAGTGAACTGGCAGATCGTTTTTTTTAGTACCACTAGGGTGGAAAAGGACGCCAGATGGAGGAAAGGATTGGACACATACGTGGATAATAAAGCGCAGCGCATCAAGCTTGAGCTCATCCGACGTATCAGAGTCAAGTAGTAGATCCGTCTACAGACCCAGACACGCATTAGTTGCAACTTGTTCCATCGCCATCCCGCAAACAGAATGGAGGAAACTCACATAATTCTGAATCGCGCTCACAATACACCCCTCACTCGGACAATCGCGCTCAAACTCGACCCCACAACTAACCGGCGGGTCATCGTTGGCGTCGATGTAGTGGAACACAGAGGAGAATTCCCCGCCCTCGGTATATCGGTACGAGTCCGCCCAGGGCGCGACGCTGGCGAGGTAGCTGCTGCTGCTGTTGCTCGCGCTGCCCAGGATCTCTTTGCAAAAGGCCGCGGTGCGGGGCGAGACGAAGTTCTGCGCAATGTAGGCGACTGTTTCGTGGCCCATTGCGCCCCATGCGAGGGCGGTGGGGAGGCATGAGGATATGGCGAGGGCGATGGGGAGGAGGGGTCGACTGCGGGCCAGCATGATGAGGAATGTTTTCTTTTTCTTTTCCAATGCAGCGCAGAGTATCAGGGGGAGACGGTGGCTGATTTATGTGCTTTGCTTTGGAGAAGCATTCGGAGAGCGCCGATCATGTAACCCTCCAGCACTTGGCGCCCCGCAGATTGGGTGATTGGAACCTATCAGCTTAGCGACTTGGATAGGCTCTGATATTTGCTTTTTTGCTTGATTACAGCGTGATGTCCATTGGCTGGAGATATGATAGGCCAGGTTTCATGTCGCGTGCTCATTGTCTGTCTGGTCAATAATAAGCGCCGGCATAAATGCTGCAGAAGAAGTGCTTTCTTTAAAGGAAGGTCTTTAGTGAATCGTGCTCAGGTACCTGCAATAAATGTAGATGTAATACTTGGGCAGCTGACAGTTCTAATATGGAAATTGCGCTTTTGACCCCCGCTCGACTGCTGTTCCGTTTAGTATCCAGACTCCTGTAGATAAGATAATCTATCCAAAACACCTACCTCTGGCCAAAGTCCACCACTGCGTATTTATCCCACTATCAGCGCATTCATCAGGATAGAATAAGACTTGGCGTGTATGTTTTTTTTTTCTTCTCCTAGCCTGGCATCTCACGATAAAGCTATGACTTCACGGAGATGCTGGCCGGATGAACGCACCAGACTTAACTACCTCATTCGTCATTGGCTGTCGCATACTCTACAGGCAACATGGAGAGAGTGCGAAATATCCGTCAATCGCCTGCCATGGTGATATAGCTTCGGGGAACGGTTCTTGGAAGGCGAGTCCTTGTAGGGGCCTTGGAGAGACGTCCAGCTGGTGCGGCTAATTCCAGCAGTAAAATATAGGGTAGTCCTAATCTTTTAGTGCTGTTAGCCATATGAGCGCGGGGTGAGTGGACGGGGAATCCGGGGAACGTGGAATGAGAAGGACGGTCTAGAGGCGCAAGTATCTGCGGCAGGGACCTGCCTCCATGTCGTTGCGCTGCAATTGACAATCAAGGAAGGACCCGACGCGGTACCGGCTTCGAGAATCGCCCAGTCGTCTATGAATAAAGATAGGCAGGAATATAGGTGAATGCGTATGTGGAAGTCCTAGCTGATAGTGCTTGATAAGTATCACTACCCTCCCCAGGCGCCGCAACGTCACCGGCAAAGCAAAATGGTGGCCTGGCAAAGCCAATATCAGCGCAGAGGAAAACTAAGAAAGGAAATAGCGAAAAGAAGTATCTCAGGTCGCATTAACCACTTTAGAGAAATGCCTCTTAACACTTCCCCAGTTCACATACCGCATACTCCGCGGTTCCCGGTGGTCTAAATATATATCGCTCGCTAATACAGTGGAATATATATAGTCTTTCTCATTGCCCCATAAAATACCAAGCAGCATATGGACGTTACTATATTCAGACATCACGTTTGGTACAAAGGGAGGCACAAAGCGTGAGGATGTTCCCTTTGGCCTGAGGTGGAAATTAGAAAACGCCACAGCATGCACTGTTGATGATCCTTCTGGCCCGAGTACACGGATGTCTCACCCACGGAATGTGGGCTGAGTCGGGGTCCCACGTGCGGAGTGCAGGGGAACTAGAACACAAGATCTGAGACATGCCCTGGTGGCGTCCGTGTTCTCCAATCATCTCTACAGCCACTCAAGGATATACCTTTGTCTTGTATCTACCGTGTATTATCTCCATACGAAATCACACATGCTCCTTGACACTCGTCGACTGCACATCCGACGACGTCTGCGTAACTTCAATCATCTGATGGATCCCGAGCCCCATGCCCATCCCCGAATTCGAACTTGCATCCACGCCCCGACCCCCATGCCTCTCGCGTTCCAGCGTCAACCGCTCCTCGCTACTACTCACACTCCCCCCTCCCCACCCCTCCCCACTCCCCTCATCATGATCATGCCTCGTATGCACCGTCGTAACCGTAACCGCCTTATCCGGTCTCAGCCGTCCCTGCAAACTCGAATTATCCAACGAACCCAGCGGAAACGCCCGGTTGCGATCGCGATCCCGCGTCCCGCTAGCCAGTCGCTTCGACCCGGACCGACCGGGGAAGGGAGACGCGTTGTTGTAGTCGCCGTCGGAGGTGGTCGAGCCGAGCCAGTGGCGGAGGAGGGGGCGGAGGGTCGCGAGACTTCCGGCTGTGATGCCTAGCCCGGCTTCGATGTTGGACCAGATTGCGATCTCGACGGTTGCATCTGTTTGGGCGGTCTCTTGTTAGCAAGCGGGCTTGGGCAAGACAGGGTGGGAGAGGCTGTGTGTGTGTATGGGGCAGGGTCTTGGGAGAGAGGGTGCGTACAGAGAAAGTCAGGGTCTCGGAATGTTTTGACGTAGGGGAAGCGGACGATGACGGCGGAGGAGGCACTAGATAGATATCTCATCAGCAAGGGATCTAGACATTCATCACGATGGTAAGAAACTCACATGCACGCCATGCCCAAAATTCCCACAACAGCCATCTTGGTCTTGCGTCGCATATGCAATTTCCGCACAATAAATATCGGCAGAATGCCCACTGTAAAATCACACAGCGCCGCAAACGCACTGTACACATAGGTCATGGTGATGACAATCTCGATACTGATGCAGTGTCCCTCAATCGTCGGATCGAGCGCAGTCCGCGTCCAAAAGTACTCGAGTGGCTTGCACTGCAGCAGCATGATGAACATGAACAGCAGGCCCGTGAGCACTGTGAAAGCCATGACGGCGCAGAGGAGCCAGATGTGGAGGCGCTTGACGGTGATGCGCATGAGGAAGATGCACACGGAGACTTTGCATCCGATCGAGGCGAAGCAGTAGGCGATTTCGCAGAGCCACCAGTACTGAGGGGGTTAGTCTTGGAGCTTAGAGAGGGAACAGATAAGGATGTCGGTAGGTATACTGCACACCTTCATTGCTGTTACTCGTTCGTGCGCGGTCAAGACGGCGAATTTGCGTCCGGTTCCGTAGATGGCGCCGCCGATCATACACCCCGAAAACATCAGATAGAACGCCTATGCTTGATCATCAGTACGGACTCCGCTATATCTCAAAGACAGTCAAGTATACCATCGCAAGGACCATCACCGCATCATCCCAGCCAAACGCCTTGATCAAGAACCCTCGCACATAGCACCGCAGGAGGACCGCCACGGTCGCCACGGACATGAACACCGCAGCGACCGCCGTAACCTCTACCGAGCGATCTTCGTCACCAGCAGGCATCCTGGCGAGCAAAGCAAGTGAAACTCATCACGGAAATGTCACGGCGGTGGAGATGGGCAGGGGGCCCGTATATAAGGGAGTTCCCTCGGTAGGAGCAGCTGCCAAAAATCCCCTGCCCCACAAATCTGGAGCTGTGAGCCGAGGCGGTATTCGACAGCGTTCGAGAGCTAGACTCGAAAGAGCAGGAGGCCCCGTTAGAGTTGGGCACCGCAGCCATGAAGAGTAAATCGTTGCAGATCTTGGTGCCATGACACGGGAGGGCGACCCAGATCCAGGTCATGCCGGGAATTCCAGGCGTCAGGTAAATTTGCAGTGGAGCAGGGCTGCAGTTGTTGTTATTCATCAGCAACCCCTGTTACTGGCCAGACGAGCCGCGGAGATGAGGGATGCGCGTTGTCCGCGATCCACTTGCCCTCCGGAAACCCGGTAGCGAGGGCCAGTCTGGGCGGCACAATCCATGTGAGATAAAATTAGCTTTACTCGAGGCACAAGAGACTGAATATTATTATTCACGCCACCCCAGCTAGTTCTTCAGACGGAAGCGGCTGTCATATTAAGCGTTGGGGGCCATACACTAAGGATGCACATGAACTGTCCAGGATTTTGTCTGCGCCTAGCGTAACCACCAAAACACCAGGAACAGGATTCTGGGCATTTAGCCCCTTGGCAGCTTGGATCCAAGACCTCAACCACGGTTGGAAGAGACAACAAGCCATGCTTTGCCCCTTTCGGACTTCCCAATTAGGGCCCAGGCCGGCAGGAGGGGTGGCTCTGCCTCAACTTTCATGACTCGCGTATTTCTGCTTGGTCTTTGCCACAGGCCTCCCCAAGCGCGCGCTTGGGCCACATACCACCGATTGTCGGAGAATTGTTTCAGCCACTTGACATCCTTTTGTCCGCCGCCGAAGGTGCAAACCTCGCATTGCCCGCATTTACTCGGCATTAGTGACAATGAGGCAGCTGGGCGCTTATAAAGCCCCGAGATCAACATCCGCAAATGCCTTTCAAGGAAGGAGTGTACTCTCATAGTCGAAGAAGCCGCTGCCGTAATGAATACAGCAAAGGTAAGAGGTTGCCTGAAGCTGTTCAATAGGTCGGGAACAAGCAAAGTTCCTATAAGGGTCATTACTCATTCTTCGCCCCTTGGTTACGGCCATAATGCAAGTAACATTTTGCTATCATCTGACCGGCAAAGGGAGTCGTCATTGGCGTCAGGCAAAGTTCAATGGAAAGTTAGAATAGCGTCTATACACTCACACAAATGGTTCCCGCCGGTGGGCTCACCGGCCATGACCTCATTCCTGATTGAACTCCAAAGCACGAGACCTCCCTAACGAACCGGCCCATCGCAACATCAGCGACCGTCATCACATCGAGGGTCTCTTGCTACCGCTACAAGAGTCATGTCGCCGCTGCGTCTGTCTCCCCAGCCAAGCTTACTGAGCCGCATTATTTCGATATTTCGCAAGTTGATGCGGGCGCCGTTGTGCAGATTTAAGCGAAGTCTACCGCGCACGCTGTCGCAGCTGGAGTTGATACCGCCTGAGGTTCTTGGTTTAATCATAGACTTCCTTGACAGGGCCGATATCGTCTGCCTAGGATTGACTAGCCGAGGCCTGCTGAGAACGACTGGGACGTCGTCATGGCCGAAACGGAAGGATAGAGCCCTGAGAATGGTCATGTTGTCCCGGGTGGCAAGGGATCTACCGGGAATGTTCTGCTGCTACTACTGTGCGAAGCTACACCCCTCGAAACTCGTCGGACCGCCCCCAAATGCACGACTAGGTAGAGGCGATGAATGCCCAGAGATAGGTGGGTGGGTCAGTCACCGCCAGCCTGGCCCAATTCCCAGCCCTTTGCTCGACGCACACGGTCTTGGGATCTCCTATCGTTTCCGGGTATCGCACCTTGTTCTGGCGATGAAGAGACATTACCGGGGTCCAGCGCATGGTATCCCGCTCCACAGCTTGGCATATACAGAGGTTATGGCGAGGGACGCAATGTTCACCACGCTCTTCTCTGTGGAGGCCCGGATCTGCCCGGCGGAGCAAGGTCCGTCAACGCTTGTTTTGCACCTGCAGGATTGGGCCCTGATCCACGACGACGATTCGGGAGTCGAACAGTTTGCGTGCATCATGCGGAACTGGACGATATGTCGACACCAATACTCCGATACTCTCCAGAACCGTATTGCGGCGGCCATCGACTCGCGAGGTTTTGGCCGAGGTCAGTGGCCAGAAGCGGAAGTCCTCGAGTGCCCACAATGTGGTGTAGAGTTTCAACTGGACTTGCGAGATTGTGGTGGTGAGGGTAGGGCGGTCGTTGTAACCAAATGGTTAGATCTTGGATCCGGGTTGACGCCAGATGATCACAGGCTGTTGGCTCTTGCGAGCCGGGATTTCCACGGACTAGTTGCCGATCAGGCAGTTGCGAGCTCGGGGATGACTAGGCATCGCTATCAAGCTGCTTCAGGGCATGAGGTACAGGAAAACGACATAAGGGAGCGCAACTATCGGTATCTCGCAGAAAGGGAATATCGACGTGAGCTAAGTACTAGCTGGCTGGACCCGGGAGTCTGGACGTCGTCCGAGTGAGGCGTCTGAAAAAGATGCGTGTGCCTTGGAGTGAGAGTCCAATGCGAAGCAGTCGGGTCCTTCCAGTTTGTATGCATTAACAGGAAGAGGGGGAAGCGTTCAATGACCCTCACGATGGGTATCTTCAGCTGCCTCCCTCCTTGCTGGTCTGCGTCGTTTTTCTTCCGACTAGTACCTATAGTTTCAAGAATGATGAGTCTGGCCATTACCAACGCCATTTTTGGCACCGTTGGCACGTGGTTTGGGGCATTGTGCCCGGAATTGCGGTGGCTATATCGGGATATTCTGCAATAACGTCTCCAAAATTACTTAAAAAATATATGCCGTTCCCATAATACGGCAATGGAAGATTACAATAGTACCCTTAGGCGACCAATACAGTCAGATCCTTCTCTAACTTGGTCTCCAACGTTGTATACGCTTGTGTCCGCGCGAATCATGCATCGTGTTCCGGATGACCTGAGTCATGACCATGAGTAGAGGACCATGTAGCCAGCAATTATCTGCCAAGTTGATCTGGGAGCTGAAGGCTTGTTGTATTGCATTCTGCCATTGTCCCCTGCTCCTTTGTTCAGGTCCCAGCACCAACATGAAGGCCTAGCTGAAGTGGAAAATATCTCGTTTACAGCCCATCGAACGGGCTACTCACCAAGATTTCACCCACTCATCATGACTCCGAACTGCAACGCTAACAACTGCAATCCCGACGCCTGCGCTACAGCGGTGGCGGGCGCGAAAGTGCTAAACAATGCCAAGGTGCTAAACACCCTCTGGGGCTGGAAAGCTGTAATTGTGCTAGGCGTGGACTACTAGTATCTAGTGAGTGCCCCGAAATATCCCATATCTTGCAAAAATGAACCAACTAACAAAAGAACCAGGAAATCAACCTCATCGTCCTCGGACCCCCTCTGAAGAAAGCTCGCAACGCTCTAGCCGCGGCCCGCAGTCTACACCCAGTGCACGGACGCCACATGCTCGACGAAGGCCAACGACGGCCACCGGCACCTCGCTGCAGACGAGCAGTTCCATAGCGATGCCGCGCACTGGCATTACGACAAGCTTACCCCGGCCTTCGCGGGATCCGGCTATACAGCAAGGCGCGCCTGCTCTGGTGGATCCCCTACAACAGGTTGGAAACCATGGCAGATCGAATGTTGACGCGCTTTTTATGAGCACGAGCGATGAATTGACTCCGGACGCCGACGTACGTACATGGGTGTCCGGCACGGGACGCTGAAGGATGATATTGATCCCGCCGGGAAGGGGAGGATGCTGCGACCTGCGCTGTTCTTCGAGGCGTTGCAGCTTCTCATGTGTCGGCACTACTACGACGTGGAGGAGCACAGAAATGCACTTAGCGAAATGTGGTGTGGCGTCCTCCTCAGCGAAATCAACCACGGCCTCGTGCAGGAGGTCGAGGCCAAACTCAGTCCAGAGTTTCGTTGGGTCTAGGAACATGATAACAAGGTGCGATTGAGGAGGAGCGGCAGATGGATAAGGGCTTTTATCCCCTTTTAAGGCGCCACAATGGACTTACTACGGGGAATCTGCGCCAAAGTAAGCATCTAGCTGTGCTGCCTGTTGAGAATCGAGTTAGCGTTAGCTCATCCTCCGTCAACACATAGGCGTATGGAGTAACCTTGGAAGGCGGGGACGTTCCCCATTAGTCTCAGAAGAACTGGTAGACGGTCGCATGGTTCGCGGAACTCGTCTTGCCGAGTAACACTCTACGCGCGATAGATCCCCAAAGCAGGGTATAAGCGTTGGTAATGGCTAGGAATGTATCAAAACAGTTCACGACCTGCCACTTTTATCCAGGTGTATCCATTTAGACCCTTTGTATCTCAGCGATCCGCATCGCATCGGGAGCCATAGTTATATTATGCCCTCTCCCCAGTAATACGGACAAACTCATCCTCAGTATGCTTCCAGACTCTCTCAATCATTCCTTCCCTCCTCAGCTCCGCTAGAAACTCCAAGGTCTCCGCCGGCGCAGTCTCGCCATCAAAGCCAACCGTGTACACCCCGCTCCCCAGCTTCCCGTCTATCCCACGAACAAAGTCCGACTCTGCTGAACCATTCCCCAGGGACGCCGTATCATCTCCACCCTCACCAGCAGGATACCGAGGGCTAGTCAACAGGTACACATGCCGTTCTCCACTCTCCTCAGCCGTAATCAGCTCCGGAACCGGGCCGCCATCAATCGCAGCAGCCTCATTCATGACCTTCAGCACCTGCCGCGTCAACGGCGTGTCCACTGCCCCGGGGTAATCATGTATGAACGACACCTGCGGGGCACTCTTCGCGACGGCTTCAAGACCGAGCGTGATGAGCGTAATAAGATGTCCGCGGAGCTGCTCGAGGGGGATATGCAGTGCTTGAAAATCCGAGGGGTCAATCGGACCTTCAAACCCTCCGCCACCGACAGTGACCACACGGCGATGATATGGTGCGGCTTTGACAAGGGGGAGGAGGCGCGTTATGAAGCGGATGCGGGAGTAATGGGCTAGGGATGCGACGAGGTGTAGGTTTTCCGCGGTTACTGTGGCGTCCGTCAGTCATTCATTGTGCTTTGGTATGTGAAGGTAGGAGTTTTGAATGTTCTGTGTGAGCCAAGAAGGGGAAATTACCAGGACGATCAAACCTCGCAACACCCTGGCTGAGGAAGAGGATGTTCAGATACGGCTCGCGAGCCTGGATCTGCGCGCAGACCTCATCGATGACCTTGATTAGGCTCACGTCTGCCGCGATGAAGATGTATTCGCCCTCTGGATTAAGCGTCTGACACTCGGAGATGATTGCATCCGCGGCTTCCTGGGAACGGCCAACGAAGTATGCCTTTGGTTTCACGGTATACTTTGCGAAGGCCTTTAGGGTTGCTGCGCCGATGCCGCTGGTCGCCCCGACGAAGAGCGCAACAGGGCCGGCAGGGAACGAGCTTGAGATTTCCGCATTGAAGGAGAGGATTTCTGATAGAGCTACCATGATTGCGGTGGATCGTTGCTTGTCGCATCAAAAGAGCAGCGATACAGAGCTGTATATATGCCCTGTCCCCATAACGCCGAGTCGGCGAAACCGATAACGCCGAACGAGCCCAAAATCCCGACCGAACGCCACGTCTCTTCTCGTTTCTCCAACACTTTCATCGAGTCACTATGGATCCACCACACCGTTCTAATCAGCCCAGAAAAACGCGATCAGCGTGCAACAAGTGTCATACGCAGAAACTCCGATGCACCCGCAAACCCGGCCAGTCACGGTGTGAACGGTGCCTGCGGCTGAATGCCGAGTGTCGCTTTGCGCCCCGAGCAAAGCGGGGTTCCAAGAAGCCACGACTGCCTTCACATTCAACCTCGACACAGGGGAAACAGAGCTCATCAAATCAGATTTCCACTCCAAACACTGGGCTTAGTCTTGATATTGGGGATCGCCTTGAGGAGTCCTTGCCCGCCGAGCCGTGGTTGAATACACTCGGATTGGCGGATCCCGTCGATTGTATCAACTGGAATATCGAACCCGCTGGGAGCGCATGGGATCTAAATATGGATACAGCTTGGGCAGTGGCGGACCCTGACCAGGTCGTTACACAGAATGTCTGCACGATGCAGGTGGCCTTGGACCCGATGCCTTCTCCTGGCACGACGAGCACCCACGAGCTAGCAAATCTCAGCATCGCGCTCTACGAGCTCACAGGTAAGCTGCCATCTGTACGAGACGAGACGCGTACCCCAAGCGATATTGCCGCTCAGAGCACCCGGCAAGCTCTCCCCTTCATGTTCGACGAGCTCTTCAGCCTCACCACACAGTTCACAAACGTGAGCAAACACTACCTGTGCGGCATAGAAGGTACCGACGAGCCAACGGCCCTGATGGTTGGATCATGTCACTCCCGCCTCACGGGAATATACATGGACATCTTTTCCATGATGCAGCGCTGTGTTCAGCACACGGGCGGGCCACCGCGACCGCGACCAGACGGGACACTTGTCCTTCCGAGTGTGCAGATGGGCCCCTTGAGTTGTCCCTCACTGCATGTGGACTTTGAGAACCCGCTCTCGGTGGGGGCAGGGTATATGTACATGTGGATGGTTGCGGTTTTCTCAGCGCAGCTATGGGGACAGCTGGCGGACATCATGCGGGAGCGGCATATTGCGACTGGCAGGTCGTCAGTGTATGGTTTGTGGAAGGAGATGGGGGAAAGGATGGAGAGGTTGCTGGAGATGATTGATAGCACGAAGAGCCTGCTCCGGTGATAGGCTTTCGGGACTATCGTGGAAATGAAAGCCGACGACAAGGACAAACCATAATGACAGCTAACCCCTTGAGCATATGAGCCGCGCTGCAAACCGTAAGATTGTTGACAAGGGGGATCTTGAGTTTGAATGGCGAGTGGGGTCCTTTCTCTCTGCATGCCAGAGTCCTCTGCCCTACCGGCTTCTTTGTTTCAGCTATGCCATATATGGCTTTGTCCAGGTGCGCTATGTCTGGCACAAATCTGCTACTCAGCTGCAGAAATCTGGACAAAGGATTGTTTCACGAGGCATTGTTTCCTCCCACTCATTGCTTGAAAGCAGCCCAGAAAGCTGTTAGGGCGACAGGCTCACACAAGGGAGGGTTGATTGTTCCTTCCACACGTAGAAAAGACAACCTGCCCACTGACAAGGAAGCACCAGCCAGGCTGCGACCTGTCCTCTTGTTCAAACTCTTCAAACTCTTTGTCCTTTCTGTCGCTTGCTTTGTGTCGGCTGCATCCAGCATGATTGTGAAACTCCAGTGCGTCATAGCCACAAACGGCCGATCCGTCATTGTTTGCTGAGAAGACTTTAATATCTCCTCCCAACCCTCAAATGGCGACCATTCCAATTTTGACACTCTAACCATATATTTATTCCATTCGATATCATCCATCTAATTCTCCTCCGCGATGCCCCGAAACGGAAAACGCAAACAACGACCATGGGAGGCCGACGAGCCTACCTCCTCGCGACATGCTGCAGTACGCAAAGACCCATTCCGATATCTCTGCTGGGACTGCGCCAGTATCGTCATGTCTTATCTCGACGTTTGCGATTTAGCCCGCTGCGAGCGGGTCGACAGGGGCTGGCGGCGGTTTGTCCACGAGTGGATGGGCGCCGCCGGCTTCTATCAGCAGTTTCCAACTCTTCCAAAGTCAACGGTCAATACGCTTGAAAGTACTGAAGCACGAGCTGCCGTGTTCAGGGCATGCGGTAAGTCAGGATTACATCGATAACTATCCATTTGCTAACGAGTGACTAGCTGTCGACGAGGCGCTGCGCAAGAAGTGGGCGACTGGTAGCGCATCCTGTGTCCGTGAATATATCTTTCCGGGACGTATATTCACTGTCAAAGGAGACTTTGTCATCTGGAACACACACGATCAGGTATACTGGCAGCGTCTCGGGTTTCGCAGTGACGGCACACTCCATCCGGTCTCAACGTGCAAGTACACACCAGAGGGTAGAATCAGCCGCATGGTCGTTAATGAAGCGGGCTATATGTTCCTTACAACCTCTTATCCTGTCAATCCACTGTCTTCCTCGTTGTCGCCCCAGGAGACCAGATACTTCGTCCCATTCGGTCGCTTGGCTCAGGAAATCCACACAGAATCTGTCGTGTTCTTGGAAACCGGCCAGGAGCTGTGGAAACAGACACAGGATCCGGATTACGAACTCCTCGCCGTTGGGAGAGACAGAGTTTACTTCCATTCTTGTGGCACTCAGGAACGCTCGTTTGTCGCACGCGACTTGCGGTTCGGGGAGGTACTCTACAAAACATACCACGGACATACGGAGTTGCCGGACGGGCCTGCTATCATTGTTCGCAAGCAAGATGGTGAGGAGCTGATCGTCAAGCAATGGAGAATCCGCGAGCCTCGCCCCAGAGTAGGGGGCATCTTCCCCGGCCTGCTCGACTACGAGCACGATGTGGGCGTACGGGTCTTCGACGGCGAAAACGGGCAGTGTCTCCAGACCATTTTGTGCGAGGGCACATTCCCCGTTGCACGCCCGAACGACGGGGAATTCGCCTTGCTCGGCGGATGCGTCATGAATACGAACTATTACCGCGTCCACAAGTATCGGTTTTCCGCCGAGCAGGGGAAGTTCCACCTCGAGACCACGGAGGTCTTGGATCAGTCGCCGGCTGTAGAACCCGGGAACCGCGATGGCATCCGGATCCGCTCGGTCGACCCGTATGCGTACAGAGCCGGCCACTGGGACAGAGATCGCGGTACAGGCTACCTCTTCCCCATCGTCCCGGGAACAGCCCCCGCAGACTGGCACCCATCGGAGGTCTGGGACGGCGACGAGAGACCGGTCGATGCCTGGCTTACTCTGGGACCCGGCCAGGAGATCACCATGCCCCCGAGGACGGAGGCCGAGCTGGAGACACGGCGCTCACTGCGCGTCGACGATCCCTCCCCTTGTAAATTTTTTACCCGGTGGATTCCCGAGTTTGACCACCGGAACCGGCTGGTCTGCTATGTGGAGAACCTGAGGCGTGCGTATGTCTTTGATTTCGGGTTCCGTGCCCTGCAGGCTCTGGGGGCGGGCAGTGATGGAAAGAATGAGACTACGATGGAGATATGATCATTAGCTTTGCATTTTGAGTGTCAGATACTACAATTAGCTTTCCTAGAGTTGGATTAATACAATACATCCTGGACCTTGATCGTGCATGATGAGCAAGCCACCCACGCGTAGACAGGGAAAGGCACTATCCGTCCAAGCTCGTCAGAATAACCTCTCACACATCCGCCGTCCAAGTAAGCATAACCACAGGTCTCAGACACGCATCTCGTACATGTCTCGGCTGCAATCCATGTGGTAAGCACCGCTCACGCCCGTTTCAGAGTAACTTTCCACCTGTCCAAGACACGCGCTCGTATTCGGGCGCGGTCTCACGACGCCAGGTGTCAGCCGCGTTCAGCCCGGTGGGGAAGCGAAGGCGCTGTCTCACCCCGGCCGGCGAGCTTATGCATGTGCGCGGCTCGTCCCGTGTGGCGGGCAACTTGGCTGAGACCTGTCTGAGGCCGGGCCGATCTGTCTTGAACTTACACAAGTGTCTTGCATTGCTGGAACAGTGTCCCAGACATGCAGCGGGATGTTTGAGACATGCCATGCTGCCGTGGACGGCGGGACGGGAGGGCTGCTCCATGTCTCTCCACGCGGCTATTGAGTTTTGTTTCACTTTATATTGACTTCACGTCCACTGAGGCTGGATCAACCGCGGAATCTACCGCATGATATTTGCTCATTATGTACTCTGTCTACGCAAGATCGGACGAGCCAGCTTGGTCGATTGAGACATCGAGGCATATTCACTGCGGAGAATAGTATCCATAAGCCAAGGGAACAGGTCAACGGTCTGAGCCCTATGGCCCGGTTTGCTTGGTCTTCGCTGCGTCCCTTTCATCCATGTCCCATCGGATGAGGTTCCTCGGGTGTATGTACAGGGTGAGCAAATATCTCAAAAGATCCCACCCGCAACATCGAAAAACGAATCCCCCAGCCCCATGATCCTCTCGATCCGCGTCCTCTCATCCGCATCCGGGCCACGCTCACAGTGCTGGTGCCCGCATTCAGCCTCATAAGCCGCAATCAGACTCTCAAGGTCCATCCCACTCCCACTTCCAATCCCTACAAAGTCCTCCAAGTCCGGACACGCCCCCTGATCGCTAAAATACGCTAGCATCGTATACAGAATCTCGACCTGCTCCGTACACCAGCTGAACCCGCTGTAGAGTTTGATATAATAGCTCTCTAACCAATGCTCGTTCTGGAGCAATGAGAGGGCACGGTGCGTGGCTTGCAGCGTCTCGGCTGTTTCGTTGAATATTTGTTTTGTTTTTGAGGACGTTAACAGCGAAATAAAGAGGTCGTGGAAGGGGATCATGGGGTAGTTGCGGAACATTCGAGATAATGTGGCCATCGAGGCGTGGGTGTGCGTGTTGGGATGATCACGGTCGTAGGAGGTTATTGTTGTTAGGGCTGCGAGAGAAGGGGTGCGGTAACGGTTTGCTATGGGGAGGGAGGAGTCGCAGCGGGAGATGAGCAAGTGCGTGACGTGGAGGGCGTATGTTAGTTCTGTTGTTGAGGATTGGAGATTCAGGTTCGGACTGTGCGTGCTGTCGATGACGGTTGGGTTTAGTAGGCGGTTATGTGCTGCCTCCCACCTGGCGAGTTCCTGTCGGAGAGTTTGCGCCTGCGACGAGCGGGAATCAGTGCTGTACATGGTCGACCGGGGCGAGTACAGCTTCAGATAGATATCTTCCCAGATGGCCATGAGATGCGTGAGCGCTCCAAAGTGCTGTCTCGGACTCGGATGCTCGCAGTCAACGGGGTGGAGAGGAAATCTGCAGTCGAAGAGGTACAGCTCGCCAGCCTGTCCAGCCAGGAAGACATTCTGCTTATCCATGGCGTAAGCAATCCAGAAGAGGCGCTCGGATTCAGACATATCTTCCCACGAGGTGCTGAGACTGAGCGTGGTCTGGTGCAGGCCCATTGCCCGGACGACGCCCGTTACTGATGACAGCACGCGCGAATAGACGGGAGCAGAATAGTATTGTTGGCAGACGAGGGCCTATCGATGTTAGTGCTTGGCAGCTTAGACTGTGGATGGGCAGCATACCAGTGTAAGCAAAGCCCTCAGATATTCCATAGTCGGCTTCATAAACTCCGCCAAACCCTCCAGCGCCCGATCACAATTCCGAATCAACGCGCGCGTCTGCTCAAGCTCAGCAGCGACCTGGTCCGGCTCACGAGGCCTCGTCGTCTCCACATACGAATCCAGCGTCTTCGCCAGCAACAGCACATTACTATACGTAAGCGCCTGCGCACACACCTGCTGACACGGCGGCGAGTCATAGTAAAACGCAATCCCATCCTGCAGATTCGTCTTATCGAAGATTGGCGTTACGGAGTTGATGTGTTCCAGGTAAGTCTCGACACAATCCTCAACAGCCCACCGCGGCGGCGCGATAACCCGCTGGCCGTCGCTTGTAATGGGAAAGTCCAGACATCCGCCCGCGAAGGGGAACTTGTCCAGTTGGCCGCGGAGGATCTGACGCGCGCCGGGATGTTGCGCGGCGTACGCCCATAGGTCTCTGCGGTCGTGGGGCTCGCTGCAATCGCTGTTCACGGCGCGCTCGAGGCGGCGATGCAGGGATCTAAAGAGCGACAGGGCGGCTGGGTATGTCTCGTTGAGCTCGGTCCCGTCAGCGTCATGGTCAGGGACATGATCCTGATTTTGATTCAGATGATCGACACGATGCTCCCCGGTGGTGGATCCTGAAACTTCAACAACCTCCCGCGACGCATCACTTGTCGAAGGCGATATAAGCCCCGTCGCACCAGGCCTCTTAAGCTGATCAACCAAGCTAGCCAACGTCGACTCAATGCGATCTAATCGCGAGGTAACGGTTGAAAAAGCATCGAGCAACTCTTTCACTTGGTACACCCTCGAGGTTGAGTTTGAATACTCGCATGCCACGCCCCCTCTGCGACAATTCGAACAGTCGGGCTGTTGCCGGTCGCACTTGACTTTGCGGGTGCGGCACTGGGTGCAGGGGGGCCCTTGGGTGTCGTCGTCTTCTCGTGGGCGGCGGCGGGACACAGAGACACCGGTTGAGCCGCCGTTCGTGGACAAGCCGTTTTGCGAGCTGGAGCTACTTCGGCTTGGTGGCATGGCGCATAGAGTAGAAGATGGAGATTCGGTCAAGAATAAAATGATGATTTGTAAGATCGGAAGACGCTGTGACGCCAGAAAGCCGCGATGGGCTTCAGCGCTCTTGGCAGACTGATTCGGGCTTAGTGCTTACTTATGCCTACTATTTGCTTAAAAAACGGAGTTATTGTGTTCATAAATCCTATAATCATGTGCCGATCGTGTGTTATATACGAAGATTGTCGAGAGAAATATGTCCAGCCTCTCATGTTGTCGTTCATAACCTTCATTCCAGCCCCTTCCTCAGCCCAGTCGGGAGACCAAGGGTTTCCTGCTGCTCCCTAACAGCCGAGGTAAACAGCTATTTGATGTTAGCACCACTTCACATGAATACCAGGAACATGGGGAAGACATACCGTTAGCGAACAGCGCGTAGGAATCCGCATTGTTCAGTGCCTGGGACGCACTAAGCGCAGTCGAAGCCGAGTATCCATACGCGTAGTCCTGAGTACCAGGGCTGTAGACGCCGGGAGTGTGCGTAAACTCATGCAGAGTCGTGCCAACCTGATCCTGGGCATAGCAGGAGCCAGTCACAGCAGGGAGCGCGCTGTAGTAGATGTCGCAGTTGGCGATGATGTTGGACGCGGGCAGAGCATAAGCCAGCACGTTCGGGCTGCAGTAGCCGTACGGGTCCTGGCAGTAGTAGGTCGTTGCACCAGATGAGGTGGAAGAGGCCTCGGAGGCAATGGCGCGGAAGCGCGCAGCGACGGCGTTGCGGGTGGAGCTCGAGTCGGTCTTGAAGAAGCGGGTGAAGCGCGAGCCGCCCTGCAGGGCTGCGTTGGCCGCGTTGCTGGCGAGGGTGACTGTGTTGCGCAGGGCAGTCTGCAGCGAGGAGGACCGGCTACCAGAGCAGCTGGTGATGCGGGTGCGGGCCGCGAGATGGCCGACGTGGGCAACCTTGGCGGCTTCGGCACCGTCGACGGTGATGGTGAGCTCGTTGGAGTCAAAGGGGATCGAGCCCGTGATTTCGGTGCCGGTCACAATGGGGACGGAGCCCTGCGAGCGGAGGGTGATGGAACCACCTTCAGATAGGTCGCTGGTCGAGGCAATGTCGAAGATGTCCTCGATCTCGGCGCCGGGGGCAAGAGAGGTCAGGACATCCTCGGTGAGCTCAGTGGTCTTGAGAGTGTACTTGATGCCTTGGAATTCGATCTCGTTGCCTGACCTGTGAGCCTCATCCTGATTCCGCCGGGGTGGTACATACTGTCACGGAAGAGGGAGACCTTCTTGACAGGTGCGCTGTCCTGGAAGAAGTTCAGGTGGACAAAGGTCACCTCCTTGCTTCCGGTGTTCTTCACCACAGCCTTGATGCGGGTGTTGTCGACCTGCTCGAGGGTGACGTGCAGTCCGGGTGTGTTGAGCTTGACATCGACAGGAGAGGCGCTGATGCCTTGCATCAAAGCGAGAAGGGCAACGGGGGTGATGAAACGCATGATGAGGCTGGAATAGAGTGAAGAGGATCTGATGCTGGATGATGAGCAACAACGCGGATCGCAACGACTTCTTATAGCCATGCCCAGACCTCGAGGATGCCGCTACTATCTTCGGGGTCGCATGCTTCATGGTGGAAGTCCTCTCGACTCTCGGAGATTCGCACGAAAACAGAAGGTGGTATCGCAATGCAGTCTCGCAGATGCCAAGGGGCTTTCATTCTGGGAAGTTATGAAGCTATTCGGAGTCTATCCAGTAGGGATGCTCGATCATCACGCCACGACTCGCTGCAAGTATCACGTCCATCTTGGCCGACTTCGACCACTGATAGGACTCTGCAGTCAAGCCAATGTTTATCAGGAACCCCTGTTCGATTCGAGTTTCGGGGCATTCTGGAAGAGCCCATCGTGGGGGTGCGCCAGGATTGAGAGGAGGTGATAGGTCCGGAGCATCTGGGATGTGCCCCTTTCTCAGATATCACACTTGGCGGCATTAGAGTGTTCTCCAGCGTAACCCTACGACGGGGTAGTCTAAAGTTGTTGATCATGCAGGACCCCAAGGTTCTGGCCTAGTAGATGACTAGAAGCGTCGAGAAGAGGATGGTGTACACCCGGAGCCAATGTAGTCTTCAAAGAGGCAATTGTCACCAGGCATGTAGATAACTTGCAGTCTGCACTCTGATATCTCAACCCGAGGCGTTAATCCCCCGGGAAAAGCCACAAGGCTTCAATCCTTGGCCCCAACCTGCAATCTAACATCCATCTACACCACACACCATCGTGACTGGGCCAGGCCAAAGGATGCAACCCAAGAGTCTTCAGCGCTCTCTTGGCCCTCTCTTGGCACGCGCAGTTGGCGTGTGATTTGCTGTTGATGAAATTTAGACTCGGAGGAGGGCGGGAATTGCAGATCTTCTCGCGAAAAGGTGATTGCTCCCCGCCAAATCGTGGTTGAATCGTCTTAGACCGAGAGCGAACGCTTGACAGGTATCACCAGGTTATCGGAGGGGCCCGATCGAGTTGAGAAGAGATATTGCACCACCACTGCTGGGGTCATTGTTAACGGCGTTCTTCCTCGACCCCGCCAGAAAGGCCAGATAAGCAGCTGAGACAAGGAACAAAGAAATGTTTCATCTCTTCACTCGACCCCTCCTCCTCTTCTCTCTTGGATTATTTGCCATCTACCACTTTGCAACCATGTCACACGCACCTCCCACCCCCAAACTCACCGTCCGGCTACAATCGCCCTCGATCCCCGCCTCATTCGAGAGCCCGGTCGCCGTCTCCGTCACAGCCTCAATCACCAACACCGCCGCGTCGCCAGTAACCCTGCTAAACTGGGGTTCCCCTCTCGACCCGCGTGCAAACATCCTCGGTGTTTTTGAGATTCGCGATGCAGAAACTGATGAACCTGTTATACTCGACGAGATCAAATTCCGCCGCGTCCTACCTGCGCCTCGTGAGGATTTCGTTGAGATTGCCCCTGGTGCCTCGGCCGAGGTGAAGGTTACGATTCCCCGTGCGCCGCTTGATCAGGGGAAGCACTATACGATCCGGGCCAAGGGCTGGTGGCAGGCCGTTTGGGAAGCGCCGCTGCAGGATGTGCCGCCGGAGGATCTAAACGAGTTGACTGGGGCGCTAAGGGGCGAATTTGCGTCTGACCCTGTGCCAATCGAGACGGACTAGTCTGTTCTTATTCCGGAGTATTAGTCTCGTCTACGAGTATATAAAGTCGCATATGCCTTGGCAACCTGCATTTATATTAATCCATGCAACATGATTCATAGCTATAGTACATCCACCACCAGGGTGACATTCATCTCATTTCGTCCAGCTCTTGATCCATTTATTCGCGATAAACCTTGTCCTCGGGTCCGCCTGGGCCTTCGAAGAGTTTCGCCGGGGCGAGTCTACCATGCATTAGCCCACACGCTCTAAACAATACCTATTTCATTTGGGCAAACTCACCGTCCTCGAGCATCCCTCACACCCCCCTCCTCCTCAGGAATCGGCTTGCGGTCGCTGCCAGTGGGGAGAGCTACGCGACCATATCGCACTTCGCCGGCTTGTGGGAACTTGCGCTCAACCATCTCGTCGACCCCGGATTCGAGGGCTGAGGCACCCCGTTAGCTTGATGACCCCTGTAATGGATCAGACAGAGGGTGTGAGGTGCGACTTACTCGAATCGCTCTTGCGGCCGATTCCCTGCTTAGCCTGGTACGTGTTGACGTCCTCCTCGGCGCGTTCGGCGATGTGGTCTGCTTCGGAGGAGTCCATTGTAATTACTGTAGTGTGTTTTGCGGAGTTGTTGAGAGTAGTTGTTGATTATTGTGCTTGAGGTTTGTTATCTCGTACTCAAGAGCTCCATTAACAGCATTTTATATGGCATTGCGTGTTGTATGAAATCATCTCGATGTCACCCATGCCCCCTCCACCATGACGTCACATGACTACATCGAGGCTGAACTATGAGTTCAAACAGAGTCACCTTATGTCTTGACGGAGGAAACCAATTGTTGGAACAGCAGGAACACGTTCTATGTTTTACGTCAGTATTGCGACCGACGGCCGGAGCCATTTCCATAAAACCGCCGGGCTTGTAGAGCTCCCCTTCCCCACGTCCCCATAGCTACCGAGGTCTCTCTCTACCTATCCATCTTGCAGATCCAACACACAGCAAAATTAGAACTCGCCATGTCAGATCCAGACCTCCCCGGCTCGCCCAAAACCACAAAATCCCGCGTGCTCGAGACCGCCGCAAGCGCAACGCAGGACTTTGCCCCCGTCAAACAGGTCTGCGCGCACTTGCACGCGTTCCATGTCTATGCGTCGGACACGACGCGGTGCGTCGAGGCGAACCACTACTGTTCGCATATTACCGAGGGTATGTAACCTGCACCTGCACCTCCCTCTCTCTTATCCACGAGATGCCCCCCCCCCGTGGATGATGCTAACGGTTCGCGGCGCAGACCTGCGCCAATGCCTAATCTACGACTCGCCCTCCGCCCACGCGCGCCTAATCGGCATCGAATACATGATCACCCCGCGCATCTTCGAAACCCTCCCTCAGGCCGAACGGCAGTTGTGGCACACGCACGAGTACGAAGTCAAATCCGGGATGCTGATTATGCCGACGCCCGCGGGGATGCCGAATGCCGCATGGGAGATTGCCGAGACGTCTGAAATGCGCGACGTCATCCCGCTGTATGGCAAGACGTATCACTTTTGGCAGGTGGATCGCGGCGATCCGGTTCCTATGGGTGCGCCGGAGCTTATGTTGAGTTTTACGGATGAAAATCGGGTCAAACAGGCGGTTCCGGGCGGGTTGGATGAGCTTGTGAAGGGGAGGGATGAGCGGTTTGGGGTCAATACTGCTGTCAAGAGGGAGAAGAGGAGTGATATTGAAGGGGTTGAGAAGCATCCTGGTAAGTATTCCCCTTTTGGTCATTGCGGGGCTCAGTGCGCTGTAAGTGAGAGATGTAGTGAGATGCTAAAGAACATTTAGACGCCGACGCAATGTGGGAGAAACACGACACCAAGTCAGGTACAAGTCGGCCGGGTGATCAACGGACAAGGTATACCAGACAGATCCTCTCCCGTGTTTCCTCTTCATGACAGTAAGATCATTACTGAATGATTATAGCGCACGTGCTCCCTAACGAGCAATCATGAGCCGAGTGTGTGGGAAAGCATGACGAGCGGCGGCTTCCACCAGTATTGGTCCAGAAGTGGGGGAAGGTGATCAAATGTGCCTAGTTTGTTGTGCGGATTTGCTGGAGTTTGAGCATAGCGAGCGAGGGCTGAGGGCACAGAGGACAGTTCTTTGACGAGAATACGAGACTTGAATGAATATAAATACCTCTATAATTGTAAGAGCCACTGTCCATTGCAGTGATACAGTAGTGAAAACGACACTGCACTAGTCGTACGGAGTACTTGTTCAAGTTCATGCTGCAAACCGAGGAACTGCGCTCTTTATGAAATAGAACATACCTATCTATCGACTGTCTAGGGCTCAGAGCCAGGAACTAGCTCCCCATGAAGGCACCCCTCGTGCCTTGCGCCTGTGCTTCCCCGTTGGCTACTAGCACCCGCATGGCCGGTGTTTTATATCTACAGCCTGGCGGCTTCTACTATCTTCTAGGTCACCTAATCTTCTTATGCATCAGTATTCATCTAACATCAGTTAACCGGCCGTCTGCTCATTTATCCCATTTTATGCTAACTGGTTACTCCTTTTTATTCACTTAATTCATGGCCGGAGGGAAATATAGTACGCAAAAGTTCTCAACGCACTCACATGGCAATGATAGGATGAATTCCCCATCTAGCCTATGTAGATAAACCCAGCCTCGGTGGTAATCGGGTCCTGTAGCGCGCGCCGTCGAATATTGGAAGAACGAGCGCTGCGCAGTGGGTGGACTCGTACCGTTCCGCGCAGGACTGGGTCGGGGTAAAAGGTTGAGGCTTGTTGGCAATAGAGGTGCCACATAGTCGTAAGCTCAATGTAGTCCTCGAGGACCGTAGTATAACAATAGTATCTATCGCTATGTATCTATGATCAGGGATTAAAATATCATCACCGAAGGGTATCTATTTCTTGTTGAACAGACTGTCTCGTATCAATATCCTCTTCACCAACATCTTCATCGAAACGCAGATGCTTTGTCATGTAGCTGCCAGTGCTACTCTCGTCACTGGCCGGTTGGCTATAGCCGTCCTCACCCTCCGGAGCCTCTAGTAAGGTGGATTTGCCCTTCCCGGTCTCGCTTTCAGCCGATCCGTCGGCAAATAGTGCCTCCTCGAGTCCCTTGTCCGGAAGGACAATACTTCTGTCGGGCTTTGAGGGCTCGGGACTTACGTCAGATTCTTCCTCTATCGTCTCGGCTAAAGCTCGTGCACCTGATGCGCTCGGGTCGGGCTTTCTGGCTCCTGCCCTGCCCCGCCTCGCCTTTTGGGGGGCTCCTACCTCGATCGGTCCTGTTTGTGTTTGTCCTGCCTGGATCGGCACCGGTGTAGTCAAACACGTCTCAATGGCCTGGCTCGGCAGGTCAGCCAGTGAAGGCCCCTCATCGACCGCCTGACTCGAAATCGCATCCAGTAAACGAGTTCGCTCGTCAAACTCCATTGGTCCAGTAACCGGCCCTTCGTCTCCGGACAGTTCAGCAGTGGAAGATTGAGCGGTCGATGTGTCATTACGTGGTCGTTCCGCTCGCGACCCTTTGGGAATCACAATGGCCCCCGTCGGTGTTTCTTGACCTGATGGTTGATCGGCAGCAGGAGGCAATGGGTTTTGCTCCGCGGGCGTATTCATAAACAGATAGGGACCGGGTCGTGGGTTCCAGATCATCCCAAACACTAGGATTCCGGTGAGGGGTTCATTGTTGACGAATTTTCCGTCATTGGTACACTCTCCCATGCCGACGTGGCGCTCTGAGTCTACCATAAACCCAAGAGTCAGCAGCGTGTCCCGTGTGCGCGGCACGGCTGTTTCGATCCAGAGAGGGACGCCTGCGTCATAGGCCAGGGCCTGAAGTTTAGTGATGAGCGTACGCGCGAGTCCTGTAAGAGGCGATCAGCGTTATGAGAACGAATCGGACATTACCTTTTGCCTGGTGAGCATGTATTGTGCCAAGGGCAAAGATGCAGAACGCGCCTCTGTCCCCAAGAGCCTCCCTCCTCATCTCTCTAGAGACACGACAGTACCCATCAAGCAACCGCTCACCCAAATGTCAGCATCCAACCTGCATCGCGGGGAGCGTACCCTACCTTCGCCCCGTTCTGGCCAGTTAATCGCCAAATGTCCTTGAAGCCATTAAGAGCGCAACAGCGCATACGCCCCCGATTAATGCATCTCCCAGGCGGAAAGACAATTGCGACGGTCTTGAAATTGTTTCCCTCGTAGAGTGTAGCGCCCTGAAGCAACGCCGCCCTGATGATCGCCAGCCAAAGTGTCCTAGAAAACGTCCGAAAGACCTCCTGACTCATTCTTCCCAGTAGATACTGGCAGAGCGCGTCGCGGTCGTACACCTGGCCTAGGACGGTGGCCGCCTGTGTCCGGTAGTCTCGAAGCTTCCGGTCGCGGATCCCGCACGGTCTCAAGATATCGAAGCGCCAGCGGACCTCTGTACACTCAAAGTTGCTCAGGGGCATCGTGACTAACGTGGGATTCGTGTTGTCGGGGGCTAAGGGTTCGTTCTCGCGCTCGGCGATTGGCAGCGGCTGGCTAGGTTCGGCGTGTGACATGGTGTGGAAATGGTGTGGTAACGACAGAGAGAGTGGTGTTGTAATAGTTCAGTGGCTAGTAAAAGAGCGTGGGGGATAATGGATGTGACAAGGGGTGGAAGATGCGGCGAGGCTCTGGACGAGGCGCAGAGCGCCCGGCTCGGGATGGGGTGCCTGCCTGTTTTGTCGTCCTGTTACTTCATTGGACTGGGAAAGAGCAATTGGGCGAGGTATAGTAGTGCCTTAGCTCTGTTGAGGCTTCGCTAACCCTTCATTGGGCGTCCGCCAGTGAGCCTTTGGTGAAGCTTTATTAACTGTCATCAAGCACTAATGAACCTCCATTACGCCATTGCAATGACATCTTGGGCCATGTTCCTGAGTTGGTATCTAGGGTTCTGAGTGCATGATATGAAGGCAGAGCATTATACGAGATACTGTTTGGCCGAGGGACTAGGGATCTGCTGTAAATGGGAGGTGCATGGCAGGCAAAGTGAGGGAAGGGAGGGGGCAAATGTCAGAATATTTATGACTCTATATCAACTTTTCTTTTCACTTCATCCAAATAAGCTTCACATACTCTATTTGTGATCTAAGCACTCTTCCTAGACCTAATACCTTAACCCCAGTTTTACTGAGGTACAGACTATGTTCAGCATCCTATTCAAGTGCCAATTGATGACCTCTAGGCAAGTGTTTATTCAAGCCCATGATGCCCCCATGGAGTAGAGTATGGAAGGCAAATATAAAGTCTTAAAGGAATTTCACCTAAATCATATACTAATCACTCCCATCATATGGTAATCACTAGCCCTCTAATCGCGACCAATGAAAGCATGGCACTGTCATGCCAAGAGAATAAGGTACCTATCCCCCGTTCGTGAAGCACGTGATCGGCTGACAGCGTGCTCGATTCCGGCCGCTCGGTGGCCAGGTGCGCGCCTCAAACAGCCTGAGTTGCATACCAGTGTACAAGATACTGCCAGATATTAATGGACGAGCTGGTCCACGCCAGTCTACAACTTCTGCATGTGCTGTGCTTACCCTCTGTACCAACCCACTCAGATATTCCCGGCAAGTTCACGAAATATATAGTTTGTCTCTGCGTCAGGAAGCGGCTTGAGCGGCTTGAAACTCGGGGTAAACTAGATGCTTTAGGAGCTGAAGAAGTAGGGAAGTATACTTGGACAGTCGCGAAACCTTGTAAGTTGTATGCTACACTCTTTGAGATGGCGCCAGTGGCTGGTGGTGCCTTCGCACTCGATGGCAGGTGTTTCTCTCCGCAGTTCCGTTGGAGTCTGGCGATAAGAGCAGCGGCTTATCGCACGCTAGGCTACAACAGGGATAGTGGCAGGAACGCCGGCTATTGACTTTGCGGAGTTCGAGTCGAGTGTTCGCTCCCGCTTGGAGTCTCCTCGATCTTTCCGCTCTCAGCTCGATTCCGCCTGGTCACGAAAATGGTGGTGGTGTTTCCTTGTCATGGAGCACTCTACCCCCCAGAGACGACGTAGCTTCAAGATCAAAACCAAGTTCGGATCCGCCCGACAATGGAGAAGCCGCAAGAACCCTCCCTGCGACGCGTGCCGGCGGCGAAAGACAGCTTGTATCATCGAGACTTCTCCGCCTTGTGAGTGTGATCGAATCATCCCTGTCAGGGGACTACTCGCTCACAATGTCTAGGTCGATTTTGTCGTTCTAAAGGCCAAGTTTGCACGTCGACCGACATCGAGACCGGTCGACCCTCGCGCCAAGGGCCCCGTGACACCGTTGTTGAATCGGATCAGGATACCACTGACAGCACCGTCGACGCAAGCTACCTTAGTATACCGCCGCTCACATCGCCCGGAATCGAATCGGACTCCTTCGGAATACCTCTGATTGCACAAACAACTTCCCCAAGCTATCGTAGCGCCTCGGTGGCCGCTTCCCTGACCTCTCCTGGAGCACACCTACCGAACTCTACTCCGCGCAGCGACAACGGACCTGTAGTTGACACCCTTGAAGATAATGAGAACCGGACTGCTCACTCTGTCGGCCTTTCTGGAGAACAAGACACGGATCTGCTGGCTTCCTTTCGATCATTCATCACCAACGAGAGAGATGGTGTGAGCGCGGACGTCATCCAGGCTTTTGCTGGCGACCTGGAAGTTACTGCGTTTCCAATACACTTCAATCTCCTGACCGATGAGTTTCAACCCGCCGACGATGTCGCTAAAAGCAGGATATCAGATGCGATTGAATCCATGGTGTCGCCGCACGCTTCGACACTTGTCCGACTATTCTTCAAGCACGTTCATCCCGTCTATTGCGTCGTTTCGAAAGGCCGGTTTCTAAAGGCGTACTCACAGGACAAGACCAAAATTCCAGCTTCACTTCGGGGCGCCATCTACGGGCTGGGCTCCACGTTTTGGCAGCACGACTCGGATGTGGAGGGCACTTTGCACTTTGACTTGCATACTTTGTTTGAGGAGGCTCAATCGTCTCTTCAGCGAGAGTTCCACGCTCCAGATTTATGGACTATACAGGCATGTTTACTTTTACTGTACGAGCGTGCCGCCGATAACGCGACAATCGAGACACCACGGACCTGGGTCTTCTCTTCGCATACCGTCTCTTGCGCGCACATGGCCGGACTGCATCGGGACTGCTCGACATGGCACCTCGTACCGGGAGAAAAGAAACTACGGAGAAAGCTATGGTGGGCGACCTACATGAGCGACATTTGGTCCTCTGTGTGCCATGGAAACCCTCCGCTTGTGTATCCAGGCTCGTTCACCACCGCGCCGCCGTCAATAGACGATCTCGCCTTTGACGAAGATGTGCCAGCAGACTTTCAACACATGGTGGACCTCTCGAGCCGAACCGCTGATATCTCTACCAGTGCCCGGTTCCTGGAAATGGTGAAACTGAGTCAGATTCTGCACGAACTGATCGACTCGTATTTGTGAGTTCCCCCAACCGTGGACTTTCACTTCCTACCTAACTCCAGTAGTCTTGATTCTACTTACCAACAAACGATCGTTCAGCCTCAGCTGAGAGAGGCTAAGCTACTTAACATCCGACAGGACTTGGAGAATTGGTCGTCCATGGTTCCGAATTGCGTGACAATGGCGTATAATGGAGAGCGACATGCGTTTCGCAATAATGGTAAGTGAACCGACCACGATCTCCTGCCAAAGGCTCATGGAAATAGGACCACTCAATCTCGCATATTTCGCCGTACAAGCTCTCCTCTTCCGCGCACTCATGAGCCCCGCTAGGATGTCTGCAAAGACCGATCCAACTTCATCTCTGTGCCGGTACTTTGACTCTGCAGTCACCGAATTCCGAAGCTTCACCCTATTCATGGACAGAATCACACGAGTGACCTTGCACGCTTTCTGGGGTGGCCGTATGTTACATTAATGCCTACCCGGTTCTCTGCTGACATATCTATAGACGCCCGGTCGCAGCTCACTCTATGTGGGAACTTCCTAATCTACCTCTTTCTCCTTGCCCCAAGTCCGGAGCAAGTCCACCCTGCATTTGAACTTCTCGGAAGCTTCCATGAGTCACTCCAGCGGCTACGTGAATGGGCGGATGATGATCCATCCCTTGCACTTTTACGGCCGGTTGCTCTTCGGATTGACTCTTTTTTTCTACATGCTGCTCGAATTATGCGAAACGGAATGGCGGGCCAGGGCATCGTCTCATAATTTCCGCTAGCCCCTGGAGCAATTACACAATCTAATAACATATGCATTGAGCCATTGTTTTATTCAGATCCATGTGTTCTATCGAGTGCAAACCCTCCAACAGCTATTCGTATATACTGTCATTGTTCCGCGAACGCATCGATGACACTTCGAGGCTCACTGTATTTCCCAATCGGAACGTATTCAATCTCTTCAAAACCCATGGACCCTGGCCCTCCGAGAGCCATACCTCTCGCGGTATCCGTCCAGCGTGGCGAGGCAGCAATTGCAATGATCATTACCTTTAAGCCATACCTGTACTCTGGAGTTCCAAGTCCTGACCCTGTCTCTGCGTCTAGGACAGCGATTAAATCGGGGACCGACGCGAGGATCCTCGACTCGCCGTTTGGGAGAACTGCTTCGACAAAGGCGTTCTCGTTCTTAAAGGGCACTTTCAGAACAGCCTTGGTGCCGTCTATGAGTGCCCCATCTACTTCCAATATTCCATACGTATGGCCCGTCTTGAGGACACGTTCCACGCTAGTGATCTTTCCCTCTCCAAGGATGGCTGCGCTCTCAGGGCCTCCCACCTCTTCGATGACCCGACTTGCTCGGTCCGCAATGTTTCTCTCTAGAGCTATGGCCCGGCCGATCCACCATGCAAGAGAGACGGTGTTGGTAACGGCTTGCTCGCGGACAGTCTTGGCGGTTTTGGGCGCACCAGCGCTTCCAGCGCGGCAGCCCATCTCAACACAGGAGGCTCGCAGAATCTTATCCACAAGCTTATCCGTTCGCGACGATGTCATAGTCACGAAAGATCCGTCTCCGCTTGCGATAGTCATCGGCACCAACGCTTCGCCTTTCGCGGTACCATAGACATTCGGAGTAATCTGCCACGCTGTTGGGTACGCACGGCCCATGTAATCAGCGTCGATGCAAAAAGCGCCAAGGCTGGCCGCAACGCCGAGGTTGACAACTCCGTTTCCACCACCAATCTCCAATGCCACAAACCCAGATGCTGCAGGCAGGCCAGTGACGCGAATGAGCTCCTCTTGCGCTTTGCGACATTCGTCGTTTTCGAGGCGCTCCATACTCACCTCGGGACTGCCCATGCATCCCGTCCATCCGACAGTGGCCTCGTCGGGAAGGTAATCTGGAGATACAACCTTGACCGAGCCGGGTTTCTCTCGTATGATGGCGCTGACCTTGAGGTACTCCTGGTATGGGTCGCCCCCACCACCGCAGCCCAGTACTTTGCAGCCCTCTGCGATAAGATCGAGATCCTTGGGGCTGATGATCCATTGCCTGTCTTTGATTACCGGACGGTATGTCTGGATATCAATGGAAGCATCGGGGACTGCCTCTAGTCTAGAAGAGCTCCCTTTGCTTGGGTCTTCATGCTCTTCTTCCTCAAATAGGTCCAATGGCTGTGCCACCCTTTGTCCCTGGGCGACGATTGATAACTCCCCGACGGCGCGAACAACAATGCGAGCTTTGGCGTCGACGTACTGGATTGGAAGCATGGTGACCTCGGCGATTTGAATGGTCTCAGGCTTGGCTCCGTTATCAACTGCCTGCTCAATCGCCAACTTCGAGACGACTTCTTGGGCTTGTTTGATTGTTTGGTTCGATGTATCGGCGACAGTGTCGATGACGCCTGATACGCGTGAAATGGCAGCTCCAACAGCGTTTGCAACCTCTGCTCCCTTGACCGTCCTCAAGTTTCGGACCCCGGCCAGTGGCTCATCCGTCCTAATAATGGGAGCGCCGCCACCGACGATCAAAACGTCCACATCTCCCTTTTGTGTTTTGGTTCGGTCCACCAGCTCCGCGATCATCCGTCGCATGACCTTGCGTGCTCGAGACACTTTCTCCGGTGTGACGTCTGATAGATGTCCTGGGTCGCCCATACCGCGGAAGGGATTAGGCTCCGTAGGTGTGTGGATAGCGGATGCAGCAACGATATCGGTTGATGTTAAGTATGCTCCTCCGAACAGCTTCGCCTTCTGCAGAAGTTCCAACGCAACGCTATCCGGGCCAACGGTAAGCTCACCGGATCCAGTCTCCCGAATGATGCTGCCGCCTCCTAACCCGATACTTTCAACTGCGGGAAGGGCAAAATTCGTGCGGACACCTCCAACGAGACCGGTGATAGAGCTCATTTGCGGAAGACCATTGGGCAGCAAAAGTCCACTATCCGATGTTGTTCCGCCAATGTCAATAACGACTAGCGGCTCCGTCCGAGCTTGTTGCCCCTCGCCACTCGCCTTCGCGGCGGCTCTCCAAAGGAACTCTCCACCGCGGATGGAATTGGTGGGACCCGAGTTGAAAGTGCGTATGGGTCGGTCGACTGCTTCTTCGGCGCCAAGGACACTGCCGTCGTTCTGTGTGAGATACAGCGTACAAGGACTGCCCTTGAAAATGTCGTACATCGCTTTGCGAAAGCCGTAAATCGTCTTCTCAGCAAGTGGGCGAAGCGTCGCGTTGAGGATGGCAGCATTCTCCCGAGCCAGGAAGCCCAACCCCGAGACTTCGTTGGAGAGTGTAACCCGCGGCTTGAACCCGGGTGTTTTGTGAGGTAGCATTTCTTCCAGTAGAATATCGCGAACAACGATCTCCTGCGCGTGGTTGAGAGGTGCGTACATGCCCGAGATGACAACATTCTCGATACCGTCGGCGACTAGCTCAGCGGCAACACGTCGGATCTCATCCTTGTCCACGGAACTGATTTCCTCACCGGAGATTTGATACCCCCCGTGGCAAAAGTATTGTCGGTCGGATTCGATGCAAGATCGCAAGTCGGAAGGAAAATCGATGAACGGTGGAATACCGCGTCCAAACCCGTCATCCGGGCCGCCGCACAGTCGGATGACAGCAACACGCCGAAGTGACGGGGATCGCTGTACGACAGCGTTGACAAAGTGTGTCGTCCCGATGATGACGCAGCCGATGGAGGAGAGGGAAACGTTCGCCGCATCGATAACCGTCCGGACAGCGTTCGTGATACCTGTCGTGACGTCGGGCGTTGTAGGCGATTTATGCGATGCGATGATGGTCATGGAATCGAGTGCGATCAGCACCGCGTCGGTGTTGGTGCCTGCTTCCTGTTAGTCTGTGCGCGAATGGTTTCGACCATGCCCAACGTACCACCCACATCGACCCCGATGCGATAATTGTGCTCCTCGAGACTGCCCATCTTGATTCTGATGTTCTGCTGGATGACCTACCCTCACGGTCGGCTCTTAATCTGCATCGTACGGTCTGTGTGTTGGGAAAGATCGGCAGGATTTATGAGCTCCAGCGGAGGGGAATGATGACGACGCTTTAGGGGAATAATGCAAGGTTGAAAGGTCTGGTTCATTAAATATCCGAGCGACCTCGGAGTGACTGGGCTAACCCGAAAGAGGAAGCAGAGGTGCGAGGAACTGCAGCTTCTGCAGATATCACTGTATGACGGTAGGTGGTCACAGTAGCACAACATGATCTCCATGGGACGACCTCCACATGAGCTATTGGCCTGGAGCGATATCGACCAATTGCTGCATGCAGTTCCTGGATGATATCGGAGGCAAACATCAATATTGGAGGTTGGATGTCTCCGAGCGCCTTGACAAGATCTCCAACTGCTTACGATAGCGGGGTAGATAGGCGAGTCGGTCGCCGAGTTATCCGATCAGCGATAGGCCAACTGCGCTCGCTTCTTGACCGACGCTGATCCGGTTGTATCCCCTCACTTTACTCCACACTAGTGCGATGTCAAGCCAATGACACGCCGAGCGCATATCAAGCCGTCATTTCTGGGGCGAGGTAAACACCACGCGATGTGTCAACGTAACCGAGAATTGGAGTAACGCCTAGCCCACTTAAAGACCCTCACGAGCTATCTCGATAAGCTCAACGACACTGTTGAACGACGGAGTAAACAATATGGTCGCCCTCGCAGAGACATCGAGTATTCCCATCATCGACCTGGAGCCTGCGCGCAATGGAGGCCCGGAGGCAATTGCAAAGGTCGCGCACGAGGTCTACCAGGCCTTTAAATATGTCGGATTCGCATACATCAAAAACCACGGGGTGCCCCAGGAGCTGGTAGATGAGGCTTTTGGATGGGTATGTTTGCTTTCCCCAGAATTCCCTTCCCCAGCTAACTCGAGCGGTTCGCATTAGAGCGCACAATTCTTCGCCCTCCCCCAAGCCGACAAAGATAAAGCTCCCCACCCTCCAGAGGGCTGGTACCACCGCGGGTACAGTGGCGTCGGCCGCGAAAAAGTCGTACAAATGGTCTTCGACGGAGACGGAATTGCCGACTGCCGCAAGATCCCCGACGTCAAGGAGTCATTCGAGATCGGCAACGAGTCCGACAAGCACATGCTCAACATCTGGATACCCGAAGAAGTCCTCCCAGGCTTCCGGGGCTTCTTTGCCAAATTCTTCGATACCTGCTCCGATCTCGAGACGCTGATGCTCCGCCTCATCGCGCTGGGAATGGGTCTCGACGAACACTTCTTCCTGGATTACCACCAAGACCGCACGAACCAATGTCGTCTGCTACACTACCCGGCTGTCGAAGAGGAGCTCCTTAGGCTCGGCAAGGCAGAGCGAATCGCCGCACATACAGACTTCGGGACAATGACCATCCTCTTCCAGGACGAGGTCGGTGGCCTCGAGGTAGAGGATATCCACGAAAAGGGCAAATTCAACCCAGCCCCATATATCCCCGGGACAGCAGTCGTGAATATCGGAGATCTATTGATGCGCTGGAGTAACCACGAGCTGAAATCAACCATGCATCGCGTGCGTGCGCCGCCTCTTGTTGAAGCTAACAACGGGGAGGGTGGGAGTACAGGGAGAATGACGAAGCCACGGTACTCGATCCCGTACTTCATCAGCCCGGACCGGGACCGGGTCATTGAGTGTCTCCCGAATTGTCATGGACCCGACCGGCCAAAGATGTACGAGGGGATTACGAGCAGTGATTATATTGCGATGCGGATGAACGCGACGTACTAGGATCAGTGTTTGGGTTTGATGTTTTGTCTTGAGTATTTTGATTTATGTTCGTCTGGTAACCTTTAATGAGATATGATTATATTCTATGCTTTTACTCTTCGTTGATGAGGCAAGGTGGAGTGTCAAAACACGCCCACTAGACTAGGGGGCAACTCGTTCCTGGCTATCTGGTTCTTAGACAAGTACATCTGGTTGCTCCTTCCTCAACAGGATGCCTTTGGAGAGTGAGAAAGGAAGGAATGACCGGCCCCATTTATGGGTCGTCCCTTCCTTGTTTGACACCCAACCATGTGTAATAGGAAGGCACTACGTGCCCAAGTTTCATAGCCAATGTCATACCCCGGGGCAGCCCAACCAAAACTACTACGGAACCCCTTGCGACGACCGATAGTTCGTGGGAAATAAATAAAAAATAAACATGTCAAGTATTATGGCAAGAGGTGGATGCATAAAATGCTTCCATTTTAAGCAATGTCCCTATTCTACAGAGTGAGTGGGAACCCTACTCATCATCGCCCAAAAACACCCGAATCGGCATCCAACTGTCACCAACGACCTTTGCGCGCGTCTTTATCGCATTTATTCGCTCAAACTCGTCCTCCGTAAGATCCCACCCTTCGAGGTCGTAGTTGTTCTCGATCCGCGAGGGAGTGACGCTCTTGGGAATAACGCTCACACCGCGGCGGAGGTTCCATTGCAGCCTGTATAGAATCTTGGTTAGGGCTCTTGCAAAACAAAACAGTATATAATGGAAGAGAGGATCGTACAAGATCTGCGCGGGTGTCTTCTTCTTCGACTCTGCGACCTCGAGGATGACCGGGTCCTTTGTCAAGTTTGTCTGGCCGTTGATCGGCGAGTCGCTGTGCCCGCCCAGGCAGGAGTATGCAGTGCAGTGGATATTCTTCGACGCGCAGTAGGCAAGAAGCTTGGGTCTATTATCGGGTAAGATGCTGGAAAGAGCTGTCACGTTCGAGGATAGAATAGGACTCACGAGGGATTGTACGGATGCAGCTGCGACATGTTAGCAAGGAGGGCTCTTTTAGGATAAAAGGATGGTTGAGTGTACCTCAATTTGATTGACAGCTGGAACAACTTTGCAGGAGGGATCATTGAGAAGCTTCTCAAGATGGCTGATCTGGAAGTTTGACACGCCGATGTTTTTCACTTTGCCTGTGTCGAGGAGCTTCTGCATTTCCTGCCTGAACACCCCATTGGTTAACCCTTTAGTGAAGTAGATGGATCAGAACACAAAGGATGCACGTACCAGGTCTTGATAAAGTCCCAATCCTCCAGGTGTTTACTTCGATCCTCTGGATCCGTCGAACATGGAAAATGAACCAAATACAGGTCCAAATAATCCAAGCCTAGATCGCTCAAGGACGATTCTAATCCCTCGCGTACCCGATGATGCCAATGGTTATCCAGCTTCGTCGTCACCCAAATATCCTCCCTGGGTACACCAGATGCTCTAATCCCCTCGCCTACCTCTTTCTCGTTTCCGTAGTTGAGCGCTGTATCGATGTGCCGGTAGCCATGTTGCAGGGCGTGTTTCACGGCGTCGCGTGTGGCGTTCTCGCTTGATTGCCAGGTTCCCAGGCCAATGGCGGGGATGGCCGCGCCGGTGTTGAGAGGAAGTGTTTTGATAGAAGGCATCTTGTTATCAACGAGGAGAGGGTAGTATGAGGGATGAGCGGTATCGTGCCTCGATTCATTGATATTCTTATTGCGCTTCGCTTGGCTGTATACCCGTTCCCCTCGTTCTCCAATTCTGCTATCGTCGGCCAGCTCATTTCTTGTCAGCCGATCAGATAGGGGTGGGCTCCTATTGCCACCCGATGACTCCAAATCGCCTTATCTCGATCCATTCCGTTGGAGTAACCACCCATTGCAGTAAGGATTCACCTCCTAGGGCCAGGAAGGAGCAATTTGTGGGGAAAGATCGGCCAACAGCGATCGGGGAACAGGAAGGAGTCGCAAACAAGAATCCAGGTGGGGATACTCCAATAGCGAGTCTTGGAATGGTCTGTGTAACGATAAGCGGAGAAGCTCATAATGCCCACAACCGGTCCACCGTCGGTAGTGCTTCCCCAGTCTTCTGCAGTTGTCAACCACGTTCCACCTGCGTTGGTTTACGAAGCATACTCCATTTTGAGACTTGGTGTGAAGCATAGTCGATCAATATGCCTTCGTGGTCGTGGCCTGAGATTAAGCAGCGGCTTCAATGGTATGTTATCCCTTTATGCTCTCGAAAAGGGCGCGACCCAGAGTATAGATGACTGACATATGTGCAGCCCTGTCGACGAAGATGCAGACTATGAGAATACGACATGGTGCAATCGGGATCTGATTCCCATTCCGCCGGAGAGGAGAACATATGGTGTATGGTCATATTTTGGTAGGATTGCGCGACTATCTCTCCAGTTGGTGCGGCATGCTGACAGCGGCCAGGTTACTGGACTGTATCAGGATCATGTATCTCCGCATGGTCGACCGGGAGTACCTTGCTTTCTTTCGGACTCAGTCCGCAGCAGGCAATTGGCGCTGTGGTAAGTGGACGGGTTGGGCGCGCTGGACTGGGCAGAAGATGAGCTGACAACGCGAGCAGGTCCTCGGCGGGTTCCTATCCGGTCTGCTTGCAGTCTTTTGTGGATGGATGGGTGAGGTACATCATATTGGCTTCACCGTATCGAGTCGCTTCTCGTGGGGAATGAGAGGGTCATACTGTAGGAGATACCGTGTCATGGACTCGGATAGAGTGCTAACGCCACAGTCCCCGTCATCCTTCGCACATTTGTCTCGTGCATGTGGTTTGGTATGCAAGCCTTCTGGGGCGGCCAAGCGACACGCGTCATGATCGGCGCCATCATTCCAGGTAAACACATCTTTCCTCCAGTTCGAAATATCTCAGGCTAAGGGTCAGGCTTTGCACACATGAAAAACTACTTCGCAGAAAGCTCTCACTTGCAGACGAACGATTTCATCGGCCTCGTCATCTGGATGTGCGGCTTTATCCCAGCCGTCCTTATCCGACCAGAGAAGCTCCAGATTCCCTTTTTCGGCTGCTTCGTTCTCTTTTGCGGTTCTTGCTTTGGAATGCTGATTTGGTGAGTCTGTCTCTATGTCTCAGGTTGGGTATTGTACTGACGGCAAGGGAAAAGGGCCGTGTCCCAAGCCGACGGCCCAGGAAACCTCTTCCACCAGCCCGGTTCCGCGCCGAACACAGGGTGGGCGTTCATGTTCGGTATCACCGCCATCCTCGGCTCTTGGGGATCTGGCACACTAGGGCAATCCGATTGGGCCCGTTACTCGAAACGTCGATACGCACCAACACTGTCGCAGCTCGTTGCCTGCCCTCTGACTATTGCGATCACAGCAACTATCGGAATCATTGTCACAAGTGCCTCGAATAAGATTATGGGCGGCGACATCCAGTGGAACCCGATTTACCTCCTTGCAGATATCCAGGAGTATTATCATTCGTCTCCGAGGGTTAGGGCCGGTGTGTTCTTTGCGAGCCTGGGACTGGTCGCGTCTCAATTCTCGGTAAGTTGAGTTCGGCATGACTGTGCTGACCATGCTGACCGGTAGTGTAGATCAGTGTCGTGCTTAATAGTGTCAGCTGCGGTATGGATCTAGCGGGTCTCTGGCCAAAGTACATAAACATCCGACGTGGAGGATATGTCATGGCTGTTATCGGAATCGCGACTCAGTAGGTTTCCCACGATGTTCCAAAGTGTTGCTCCTGTCCGACCAGCCTTGCTAATAAACTCCAACCACAGACCCTGGCAACTCATCTCAACTGCTGACAAATTCCTCTCCGTCCTGAGTGGCTTTGGCGTCTTCATGGCACCCGCAACGTATGTCACTTCACTGCCCTAAACCCCCTGTGATCCACATGCCTAACAGCTGCAAATGCAGCGGCCTCATGCTAGCAGACTACCACATTATCCGCCGGCATAGACTCAAACTCAGCGACCTCTACCGCGGCGACAGCAACTCGCTGTACTGGTTCCGCAGTGGGGTCAACTGGCGCGCGTTCGCGGCGTTCACGGCCGGGATGTGGCCTCTTCTTCGTATGTGCCCTTTCATATCCTTACAACTGTGTTTGCGAGCATTGATAGCGAGCTGAACTGACTTCGATCGCGTAGCCGGTCTCGCTGGCAATGTAAACGGGTGGGATGACGGGCAGTGGGTCGGGTGGGTGAGGTTGTATAATCTGACGTTCCTTGTCGGGTTGGCGATCAGCTTTCTCGTGATGTGGGTGTTGAATTATTTCTTCCCTGTTGATGGCGTTGGAGTCGAGGGACCCTTCATCGAGGGGGTGATTGATGGAGTCTCGAATAAGTCCGACGAAGAAGCGGCGGAGGCGGGAGAGGTCGGGAATGAGAAGAAGCGCGAGGTTGTGTCTGTTGCCTAGATTAGCTGTAGTGCTCGCTGTTCACAATGCTGTTGGTCTCGAGAATTGTGGCTCATCGTGCAATAATTCAGGTCCTATTCACTTAGTGCTCTCATGATTACATCAATTCCAGGTATCTCCGCGTGCTAAAATAACTCCCATTACCTGCGAGCTGCATTTCCTACGCCCAGAACCAATCAGAACACCATTTCCCAAGTGCCCATATTGTATTCGCAGCAATCGCAACTAATGGGGAATCGTCTGTGCTTGATAAATTCCACCCGTTCCACCACCTTACCCTCGAATGCTGCCTCAAGATCGGGAGGGATTTGAGGGGGCGGGATCCTAGCCGCTTCGTCCGGGTTCGCAAAAGTAAGCCTGGTAAAGTTCGGCAGCGAACCATCCAGGATCCATCGGCCCAGAGAAGAGACATAGTTGGCTTCCAATGACGGAAGAAACATGAGTCTCACATCGAAGAGCATGAGACGCTCTAGACTGGTGGGGAAGGGATTGGACGTGAACGGCGTGAGATTGAAAAAGTCCTGACTGTTGCCCTGGAGGATTGCAGGCTGGATTGTCAAGGATTCTAGCGAAGAGAAGGATTGGAAGTTCATAACGGGAGTGTCCAAAACCTTTCGTTTCCAGAAGCTGACATTGAGGTACACCAGCGACGAGGCCTGTGGCTCCAGGGCTTCGAAGTAAAGCTTATGGTGCATACTGGTGTTCACTCCCGAGCCGCACATGCGTTGGTGTGGGGACCCGATGTATGTGAAACGGCGAAGGGCCCTGGGAACCGAACTGATCTTGCCAAGTGCTTTGGGACTGATGTCGCAGCACATCAGGGAGAGCTCCTCCAAAGGCGTGGTATGCCCGTGACTTTCGGTGAAGGATATCAATTCTGGAATTATGGCACCTAGAATCGACAGGCGTTTGAGCCGAGGATGGAAAAAGATGCAGTCGCGTTGGGCAAGGTTCCATCCAGTCCCGTCGCTCAGATTGAGTTCACCTACGTGTCAATCAATTAATTAATCCCCAAAGGACCAGAAAGTCGTTGGGTACAGCTGTAGGGAGCTTACAAGTCTGCAGATTAGCCAAACATGATGGCTGGAGGATTGGGACGAAATAGGTTTGGAATGGTTTTTCCTTCCCAGCAAGCGCGCGCATATTTACGTCATTCGAAAAAGCCATGGAACTGAGGGCGTCACGGATATTGGGCGCTTTGATGGTAAGATTCCGGAGCTTTTCGCAAGTTGCAATAACACTTTCGAGTCTCTTAGTGTAAGCGGCATACTTGACCTGATGTTCTAGGGTGGCCATGTGATCTTCATGCAGTGTGATTGAATGCACATGCTTCGCTAACGAGGGATTCCCGTCAATTGAACGCATGAACTGCAATCCTCGAGCAAAGTCCAGCGTGACAGCCCGGAAGAGAAATGGGACCGCAATGGGCTGGAGCTCGCGAGAGACGAGGCAGACGCTTTCCAGTGATGCAGGCTCTAGGTGGGAGAGAATCTCTTCGAGAAGCTCAACGGGGAGCTGCAGGAGTCTGGAATCATATTTCTTGCGGGAACGGAGGCTCAGCTTTCCAAGGAGGCGGCGGAGGTTCGGGGGACGGCGTTGAGAGGGCATCGTGGATCGGGATTCGAGAGGCGAGTCGAGAGCTCGGTAGGAGAAAGGAACAACAGTTTGCTTCAAAGACAAGATGATGAAAGAGCTTATGGCAAGGTACCTGTGTGGGTTGAGCTGGGATGGGAGGAAGGAGAAATGGATGTGTTGCTCTGGGAGGAAGAAAGGAAGAGCAACACAAGCTTGAGACTCGACTAAAAAAAAATCTCTCATTCACAGCAACACCAGGACCACTTCACTATTTGTCCTAAACTCTAAAGATTTTCACTGCGGCTGAAACTTACAAGGCCCTATCATAAACAGAACTCCTTGAATTTTAAACTCCTCGATTCTAGTCTACATACATTAATTCTGATCTGCTACGACCTTCGAAGAACAAAAACACCAGTGCTACACCAAACAACCGATGCAAATCACACTATGTGGACATCTGCCTGTGAGGACTACCGGGTTGGCGATAGCTCATCTGACCATTGAGACGCTTGCAGTACTGAATGCCCGGCCCATAAAACGCACATTCGCAATCCAGACCCGGCAGAGTCTCCCAGGAAACCTGGCGACCGAAGCGCAGCTCGAATGTTTGCCCGAAACTGTTAGCCAGTCCCAAACTGGAGCTATGCGACGTGATTTCACCTAGTCGAACCAATTCGAAGGCGTTTAACGTGAAGACTCGCAAATGATCCAGCACTCCGAGGCTGAGTGCTTCATGTAGTGCAAAGCCATAGGTGTTTACCAAATCGATTGTGGGAAATTTGGGATCCTTCCTGAGCCAAATTGTGAGAGAGATTAGGCCGCGAGGAAGTAAGCTGAAGCTCACATAGAGGGTTTTGGAATCTCTCAGGTCCTCGAAGTGCAATGCGCCCGACCTGATGGTGAGTTCGCGAAGAGAGGTGAGGCGGGTGAGGTCGATGGGGTCGTTCGGACCATGATTGACGACTGGGAAATCGACGTCAAGGGCGACGAGCGAGTACGCCTGCTGATTTATGGCTGTCACGTACGCCGCATGATCAGTCGTGGTATGTACGGGCCCTTTCCCACCAGGGTATGATTCCCTTGGCCTCGACCCCTTGTACGTCAGGAAGCGAAGAGCTCTAGGAAGGCCGAGAAGCTGACTTATTGCCCAAGGAGAGAGATCGCAGCAGTAGAGCGAAAGCTCTTCGAGGGCAGTACAGTATCTGTCCCCGGCGCTGAACTGGTCAAAAGTATCAGCGGATGCACCGACAAGAGTCAGTATTGTGAGATCGCAGAAACGAAACAGGAAACCGAGCTCTAAAGACAACTCCTCGGCGGATGGCCCATTATTTCTCGCGGGCTCGTGAAGATGGATAGTGAGAATCCGGAGAGTATCGCGCACTCGTGGCCTCTGCACGGTCTCTGTGAAGCTTTTGATTTGATACTCATGAAGGACGACGATAGCACGGTAAAGAAATGGAACTGCAACGGCACTCAGGCGAGGCGACACGGCTGCTAGCTGAGCGATCGAGTTGATATCGGGCTCAAGATACCGGATGATACACTCCAGAATCTCTAACGAAAGGCCGCAGAGGGTCGGGCACTGGGCAACCAATGCCATTTTGGGCACATTAAATACGGCGAAAGCAGCTAAAACAAGATGGTAGGACAAACAGAAACATAGGGAAAGGACCAGTGTTGAAGACAAAACAAGTGAAGAGATGGAAGAAAGAAGAAATCTATGGGCCAGGACGAACATCATAAGCGAGATGTAATGTTCAGAATTAGATTCTGCAGTGAAGGTTGAGGGTGAATGCGCGCATATTCCCAAGGCCAGGCTGGCATTCACAACATGCACAGCAAAACAACAACGTTGCGGAATACAGAAGAATCAAGCAGAGCCGGCATCCTCTGTAGCGACTCCAGGCAATGGCTTCCCAGCAATCTCCTCGGAAGAAGTGGCCATTTGAATGGCCTCTCCTCTCTACATCACCCAACTCAGGTTCTCAGTATCCAAGCACTTGATGACGCTGAGTCCCCTTCTTCGCCAAAAACTCCAAAAGGACGATTCCACCAAGCGCACCCGCGGCAGCGAAATACGTTGCACCAACGAACATCTGCACAGGCAGATACCCACCTCGCAATGTCCACTTTCCCTCCTTTTCCCTCAGCTGCAACGCGATGACCTCCGCGACCGTCCCCGGCGGCACAAGAACCAACCAGAGAACCGTCAACGCGCCCGGAACCTGCGGCAGCTCAATCAGGTCCGCTGCAACAGCCGGTGCAGCCGCCCATATCGTGCCCGCGCCGAGCCCTGCCAGGATGGAGAATGCATAAAGGGCCCCGGAGCTTGTCGCGAACGGCCAAAAGACCATACAAAGCAGTCCACAGAGGGCGAGTGAGATTGCGGGCACTTTGATTCGGCCGAAGCGATCGCTAAGCGCGCCGACCAAGGGCCGTCCGAATGCCTGGCCCAGGTTCAGCAGCGCGCTCGCCAGGCTCCCCGTATTTGATCCCAGCCCAACAGCTTGGGCGTAGCTAGCGATACTGAACAACAGCGAGATATAGCTGAGCAGGCCGAAGAAACCAAAGATCAGAAACAAGATGAAGGTCGGTTGCCGGAGGGTGGACGAGGAGATTAGGCCGGTGCCTTTCTTGGGTGGAAGACCCGGGCGCTCTCGAACAAGCAGACCAGCGACGAGATTCACAGCCAGTGCGACGATTCCAAGAATGCGAAACGCCCAGCGGAACCCAAACTGCTTGATCATGTGGTTCGTGGCAAGGGAGTATATCAGGCCGCCAGTACCCGACCCGGCAGCAACAATACCATTTGCGATTCCACGGCGCCGTTTGAACCACCCGTTCGCAATGGCAACTGTGCTCGTGAACAGGCATCCCATGCCGAGACCATAACAGATGCCCTGACTGAGCCATAGTTGCCAGCTTTGTGTGGTGAAGGATGCGCCGATAAGAGCGGCAGCAATGAGGATGGCTCCGAGGACGATCACGGTGCGCTTAGGGAGCAAAGGGTTGAGGTATGTCACGAGCGGTGAGATCAGGAGTGCGAAAGAGACACCGACGCCGCTAACGGCTGCGTAGACGAGAGATGAAGTCCCTGGGAATTGGTTCTCTGAGAGGTAGAATGAAAGGATGACTCCGAATGCCTATTGAAGTAAGCTACCATCCAAGAGACTCTATCAGCAGTGCTCGCCAATAGTTACATACCCCGTTGATGCCCCAGGTATGAGCGTTGATCAGGAATATAGAGACCACGCATACCCAGCCATATCCCCCCTCTGGAAACTCGTCAGTTGGCTGGAGCGATAGGGCTTGTATTGAGGACGGCATGACTTTCGGCTCCATGATAAAACTAACGATCACAGAGGAATTCTGCAGTTTCCGGACCTGAATATATAGCAAAGGAGATGGGTCGTATAGTAGTCGGGGTTAGGGCAGCCCTCCGACCGGATCCACTCCGATGCTGACGTAAAAGGGTTGAAGGATGACCCCACCTCGACACATTAAAAGAAACGCTGCATCCTGCACATCCGATCGAACTGTCTATTCCAGAGCCTATCTCCGACTCCGAGAACTGAAGATGGCCGCTTTGAGTCCTGTGTCGACGCACGCCTGCATCGCCTGCCGAGCGTCAAAGCTCGGCTGTGACAAAACCCGGCCGCAGTGCATGCGGTGCCTTCGGATGGGACGGCAATGCAGTTATACGCCGCAGCAAAAAGGTCCTCATAATGACCTCGCAGTCATGAAAAGGACGCGCAGAATGACGAGTCTTGATGAAACCAGACCAGCCAGGGATCCAAAGAGAGGTGTCATACCAACACCACAGGTAAAACTAGAAGCCGCCATCGCTGGTTTCTGCGGCTAATTGACCAGAGGCGAAATCGTATACCAAATGCATGCTCCCGATGTCGGCAGTCCAAGCTCAAATGTGACCGGGACCAGCCATGTGGTCGCTGCCTGAAAGCTAATAGAGGACACGACTGTCATTATGTGGTTGACCCTTTCCCGTCAAACGCGCAAAGTGAGAAGAAACTCGTCCCTCTATACAAGCAATCATACCACAGCGGATTCCATTGGTCTGTTCTTGTCGAGAATGTATGTTTATCTAGATACTTATGATGGGTACATGCTAATACTTGCTCTAGATTGAGAGTCTTTTGAAACATCATCGCTGGGCCGGTATTCACCACGCACATCCGGAACAAGAGAAACTCTTCTCGTCAATGGAAAACTTCTTGGGCAATAGTCCATTGTCTCATGCCACGCGACGAACATTGTTGTCCTATGTTCCTCCTCGCGATATGGCAGAGACGTTCATTCAGCATTATCTTGATGTGATCGAACCGTCGCATCAAATTATCCATCTACCCTCGTTTAGAAACGAGCTCGACGCCTTCTGGGATAGGCCAGGCAGTATGGATGATGGGTGGCTAGCGCTATTTTTTGCCATACTTGCACTAGGTTGTCAATTACACAACCCAGCCCAAGCGGCCAAACAATATGGCGATTTTGAGGCCCTCCCCGCTCGTTTATTCGATGCAGCACAGGCCTTCCTGCAACGCACGCCTTTCATGATCCGACCGAATCTTACCAGCATCCGAATTCTCTGTCTCCTCGTGATCTACAGGCAGACAAGGGGCGCCGTTTGTATCGAGTTCACTGCACTCTGGCCTGTCACTGGCTTGATCGTCCGACTTGCTATCACTCTGGGATTACACCTGACTGATCCTACCCAATACTCACATAGAGGCGCAGAAAACACCACCTCGCGCAACCGGCTATGGGCGGCGGTCATTCTTCTTGACTTACGGCAGGCTCTTGCAGCGGGTATGCCGGTGATCCCCCCGGCTGGAAACCTACTCACAGAGCCACTTCTCACGATGGGACCGGAACTTGTCGGTGGGTCACAGCAAACCGAGTTCCTCTTCCCACTAGTCATCTACAATTACCTCCCTCAGATCTTCAAAATCCTCGAACTAGCGACCTCGCCTCAGATCACCTTATCCTACAATCTCGTCGTCAAATATGACCAGCAGATCAAAGCACTCCTCAACCACTTCCACAACGCGTTCCTCTCCGCCTGCGCCGAGAACCCAAATACCGACCCCTTCCAATGGACAATGACAAACATCTTCATTCGCCGCATCCTCCTCGCCCTCCACAGCCAACTTTACCAAGAACCTAACGTTATCACCCGCTACCCGGTCTCCTACTGGTCGTCTCTCGAATGCAGCCTCGCTATTCTCTCCGCGCAGCGTGACCTCTGGGACACCGACGGCGACGCGGGTTCCGAATCATCATCAAAATGCCCGCCGGGGCGCACTCCTGTCATAGCCCGCCTCTTGCAACAAGATTTCTTCCTTTCAGCGATCACCGTCTGCTTCCACCTTGTACAGGCTGAATCCCCACTGAGCTCTCCAGAGAGCAGTCAAGGGTGCCAGGTGCGGGCGCGGAAGACAATCCTCGAGTTATTGGGGTCGTGTCGTGATATCTGGGAACGGGAGCAGGATGTTTCGGTCTGCCATGGGACGGCGTTTTCAATGATCGATTCATTGTTGGGAATTGTGCGGAGTACTGAGGTGGAAGATGAGATGGAGAGTAAGGACTTGCTTGCTTCTGGATGTACCGTTGATGGCGAGGAATGTGAGGGTTTCTGCCGTGGGGATTTGGGGAAGACACATGATTCCATCAATCCATTACAGCTACAGGCCTAAGCTTGAGAGCCTCTAGCACATGGATTAATGATACCCTTCTTGCCTGGCTCTACATATTTGTCACAGGGTCTGCTTGTTCTACGTACAGATTCACGCAGTGAGGGCTCGGTGTCTCGTCATATGGAGATGACAGACAAATTGTGTAATTATTAGGATTGAACGGGACAGCGGGCGGAGCAGCATGAGGAAACGAAAAGAATGGACAGTTTCATCGCCCATACGGAATAGCAATGTCATATAGTAACCTCAGCTGCCCCATCCATCCCCTTCTCAAATCCGGCCCTGAAAAGCGCCTCCGCATTCGACATATCGACTTTGGCCGCATCATCTTGAAGTCGCTGGGATCTAGTTTTCATTTCCTCGCGTAACGCCTCCCAGTCCACGCCAACAAGCCGTCCATCCCGCTTCACAATCTTCCCATTGACAATAACAGTATTGATATTCTTCGGCGACGCATGGAAGACGACTGTCCCAACGGGATCCACAACAGGCACGGTATCAATATCATCACAGCGGAAGATGATCAAGTCCGCTTTTTTCCCTGGACTGATCGACCCGATAACCGACTCCATCTGCATGACTTCCGCTCCACCAATCGTCGCCAGTCGCAACGCGTCCGCCGTTTTGCGGGGTAGGAGCTGATCAACGCGCCGATCAAGCTCCCGCGCCCGCTGAACCTGCAATGCCAACCGCATCTGCGCAATAAAGTCATTTCCTTGGTTCGAGGTAATATCGAGCCCCAGACACGCGCGACAGCCGTGGTCCATTGCGTGGAAGGCAATGGGGTATCCCATTCCCATTTGGAGCTCTGTATCCGGCGTGCTGACAACGCCCGCACCGGATTTCTTCAGTGCGGCCATTTCATCTTGTGTCATGTATGCGCCGTGGCTGAAGACAAGATCCGGTCCCATTCGGCCTGCAGTTGAGAAATTCTGGATCACTTCTCCTTTCGCGACGACACCGGGCATGACCGAGGTGTGAACAGTGATGAGTCGAGCTCCTAGCTTCCTGGATGCGTCGAGCTCCGCGACGTTGTTCTCGCGCAACTGGAGCGGGGGCTCGTTGAGTGCGACACCGAACGTGATAAGGGAGCTGTCAATGTCGTTATCCGCAAAGTGCTCTCGTCGCACACGCGTCGCATCCTCCAATCGCGCCGCGGGAGTGAACGTATCATTTTCAGTGCTCGCCAGATCCCCTGGAATAGGTGGATTCTGATAAAACCCGTAGCAGAATGTTCCGCGGATGCCTGCATCTTTCAGACCCAACACAGCGGCGTCGGCATGCGCGGGCGAATTGATAACGTGGCAGTGGTCGAGGACGGTTGTGACACCGTTGTTGAGGAGACTTAGAGCCGCTGCGTAATTGGCAAAATAGACATCCTCCGGTGTATATAGACTCCCATAGACGCTGCGGAGGTGGCAGCAGTAGCCGTACAGCGACCAGTCGACCGTCAGGCCTCGCAGGAGGTGCTGCCACATGTGGTGGTGGCCATCGACGAAGCCGGGCGTGACTATGCAATCGATCCCATCGATTATCGTGCCGTCTCCCTCGTTTGGCTCAGGAATGCCTTTTGCAACAGCTTTGATCCGATCGTTTTCGATCAGAATATCGCATTTGTCGACGACATTGTGCCCCGCACCCTCCATCGAAATCACCGTCGCGTTCTTGATCAGTATGTATGAGGTCGCCATAGTTGCATACCGAAAGGAAAAGGCGACATCAGCGCGGGGAGAGGTTTCTCCATGTCTTTATAGCCCTCATCAGCGCCGCGTCTGCCCGCTTACGGCCATGAGCCCCCAGCTCAGCTGCCATGGGGAAGCGTACTGGTGCAACGTCAGCAGCATGAGGCCCGTGTATCAAGATGACGTCACAAAAGTGTGTTTTCATCTCAGCTCGGGGGCCTGACGCGCTGCATTGGCGCTCGGCGGTTCCTTTCGTTCTCTGATGTGGTCGCCAAGTTCCTGGCCGCAACCTGGAGTATCGCATCCTAAGTTAGCATGTTTGCAGTGTTTGCCCATAAAAGCTGCCTTGTTATGCAGGCAGAAGCTCCGCGACTTGCAAGCAACACAACAACAACAGAACTCTCCCCTCTCCCCAAACAAAGCCTTCGCCAACACGGATGCATCTCTCCCTCTTCTCATGTAAAACAGGTCCCTTTCCACTCTCATACCGCGTAACCGAGACGCAAATGTCGCCAGAATGCCTCCGACGGCTGCTTGTCGACCTCCTTTTTAGCCTTTAGGGTTCGCGCCGCGAAAACCAGCCAGCCATTCTTTCCCACGATTTCCTACGAAGACGAGAACGACAATTTTCTCCTTCCTCCCTCCGATCCTCGGACGTTGACTTTCGATTACGCACCTTACGGCGCCTTCCCTCCCTCCCGCTGATACCTCGATTCCTGCCGGGGACCTAACGCTAGACGGCGCGTTCGCTAAGCTCCGGCTCAGCTCCGCTAGCTAGCGTTTCCGCCACATCCCCACAAGATCATTATTGCGGGGAACCATGACATTTTGCTCCACGGGCGAGAGACGGCAAGGCACACCTGCGGAAGGAAAGCGATAGTGACAATGCTGAGTATGCGAAGAGGCTGGATTGCGGTTCACATTCAGTACTTGCTGGATAAGATGGTTAGGCCGGAAGTTGTCGCGGCCACTGGCGTGGAGGTCCAGTCCTTCTGGTGAGGGATAAGTTTTACAAGTGAAGACGAAACAAGGTCTAAGATAAAAATGAGTCTGGAATTCTAGTAACTATATCAACTTTCCGGAAGGGGGGCCACTTAACTGTAGGTTAAACCCTGGGACAGTGCACCGGCACCAGTACGGACAAACTGACTCGGCTTTGGTTCTGGAAGAGCGTCAAAGTGGTCCTTTTACCTTGGGGCGACCATTGGTAATGGCAACCATGAAAGGTCCGGATGGCTTCCTATTAGAACTATGTGGACGACCAACCCGCTTTCCATATAGCAGAAGGTTGCTCCACAGCCTCGCCGGCAGCCTCCTCTTCCGAAGTAGCTCGGCGAACCATCGCAGCCGCCACAGCTTGGCATCCGCGGGATCCTAGCAGCGGTGACAGACCCAGGTGTCGGTTGAGGTGGGTGTCCCGAGGCGTCCTGCTCCATCTCGCTGTGCGAGTGACCCATCCTCGAATGTGTCTATTGCCTGGATGCGATTGATGCTCCCCTGATGGAGGATTGAGTCGGTAATTTTAAGTGCCTTGATGATGTTGGCGACTGTTTTACTGTTCACCTCGATGCTAGCGGGTAGATTAACCAAGAGACTAAAGTCTAGTACACGATCATTTGGGGACTGGACCTGCAAATCCATATAGGTGCCCCTGACATGGAAGGCTATAAGGCTCAAGCAGTCTCTTTTGATATAACTACAAAAACAGCATGTTGTCTAATGGTAGCTTACAAACGAGTAAAGGGCATTGGCATTGAAAAGGATACCTAAGTTAAATATAACAACTGTTTCTAAAGTGAAAGATTATTTAGACTAATAGAGTAGGGGTTTAGGACTGCTCTTGAGGTTTAAGAGATAATGTTAAGGGTCTGGGCTCTGCATCCATAGTGAAAATATATTGTTCCGTCTAGGCACTATATCAATGATGCCACATTAATTCGCATGACCCCATATTTCCGTTTCCATGAGTAAAGAGATACAGGATTATGCAGAGCACTATCATTATAACCCTGCTGGTTGAGTTGCTTAGAGATAAACGTGCTGTTGGCTTTGAAGCCCAGCGATTCTTGACATGGTGCCTGAAACTACGGTCACGTGTCGACCTCCTTAGGTAGCCAGGTGCGCTTGTTTTGCTCTTCATACAGACACAACCATCTTCACAACCATGGACGTCTCCTTTTTCGCCTGGTCGACGGCCCAACCATCTAGGGTGGACGGAGACATCGAAGTACAAAGCTGACTTATTGTCAGCGGAAATTGAGTTGGCATGCGATTCATCTACTCCCTTGCATGACACGGAGTTGCGGCTGGGGCGCGTCAACGAACAGCTGGAACCAAGACGTCTTCGGTGGCGCGACCACGGAGGCAAAAGCTACAAGGAAGTGACTTTACTAGGGTCATGTACCGCGATGATGACGATCCCCTTCTGTCGGTCCTTGGTCAAGCCGTTACATCATGCATCACATCTTCGAGCTCCCTTAAATGCTGGCAGAGTCCCAAGGCCAATTCTTTACCACACTGGTTTCCGCCGCTTCTTTTTCGCATCCATGGCCAGTTCTAGTGCACCAACCGGCGGATCGGCGTTCCCTCATCTGTACGTTCCGATTGAGGATGTCGAGAAGCTGGAACGTTACAGACCGGGCGGCTAACACCCTGTATGCATCGGGGATCACCTTGCGCATAGAATTATGCTGTCTGAGTAACTTGTACCGCCCTGTACCAATAACTATAGCTTGGTTGCAAAATAGCGCAAATTTTTTCTTCGTGTCTAGTGGTCAATTCCGCTGTACTAAGGCTGCCTGTTCAAGTTTCTTCCACCGTCTGTCTGTTGATCTAAAACACCCGTCTGGTACTGAGGGTAATAAATAAGACCTGAATTTATCCTTTGCGCAAGGGGAAAAAAATTATTCTCGCAAAATCAACTTATCTTTCCTTCTCCTTGTCCTGACTCTGCCCTGCTAAAGCTCCCAGTCCTTCAGCTACCAATCTTTAACCCTGGCCTCAACAGAAATAGATTAGCGTGTTTTGAATTTGGGTTCTAGGAAAGAGATATGCCCAATCATAAAATGGCCTAGCAATGACAAATCCACAGTTAGTGCATCATTCTTGCATTGGCGGCAGGCTTAGCTAAGATTGGCCAATGGCGTTGTAAAGGAGGAAAAATATCAGTCCTACTGAGGGCCAAAGCCCCTATAGTATTGAGAATCAAAGTGAGGTAAAGGCACGAATAAAAGCACAAATCGAGTTCCCCGCTTTTAGCCGAGACGGTTGCTCCTGAGGTCTAGATCAGACTATTCCAAATAAGGATAGCTTTAAAGGATCTGCGATTGGCCACATTCGCGAGAGGACCAACATGCTACTTTTGTTTCTTCAACGCTTCGTTTGTGGAGAAACTCGACCGTCGGGATCTGATTAGTGATACAATCGTTGACTGCGTTGAAGACCTGGAACCCCAGGCCAGTCTTCTCGATACAGAGACTGCACATCTTTGCAAGGTCCCTGACATCCGTGTATGACCACCCGTGGACCTTCCACCTCGCCGGATCACTGGCATAGCTCGCAAATGCCTTCTCATATTCGTCGGGCGCGATGACGGGTCCGATGCGCAGGGCATAGACATCTACACCAAATCGCCTCGCAAATGAGCTCCCTATCCTCTCGCTGCAGACTTTCGAGAGCGAATACACATCCATTGGATTCACATCTACCTCCTCGTCGACCGGAATCGATGGAAAATCGACGTCTCCATCGGCATATGTCACCCCGTACACACAGATCGAGGACGCAAGGACGATCTTCTTAATACCGAGGCGGCACGCCGCCTCAGCGGTATTGTACGTCGCCGCGGTGTTCACGCGAAAGGTCTCATTGTCCGGCACCAGCATGTTGCGCGCGTACCCGGCGAGATGGATGACTGCGTCGGGGCGGGGCTCCGGGGCTGGGAACGGCTCAGATAATTTGAAATGCGACATTAGGGCGCTGTAGACTTGGCCTGCATCGGCCAGGTTCGTCTGTAAGGTGTGGACATGTTGGTTGAGGGGTGGAAGGAGTGGCGCTAGATCCAGGTTCAGGACTTCGTGGCCTTGAGACAGGAGATGTTCGATCAGGTTTCGGCCAGCCTTGCCTGATCCACCCGTGACAATAATTCGCTTGCTCATGTTGGGCTGGGCTATCAGGACCCCTTGGTGTGCGCACCTGATTAAGGACTCGATCGACTCGATCGACTCGTCGGAAGCAGAGGCAGCGTAAATTCGGAGCAGGGAGGTACCGTAAGGACAGTTGTTTCCCACCTTCTTTTCGATCTTGCACGGCACGGAAGCGATAAAGTACGGAACAGTCTTCTCGGTATGGACGGCCCAAACTGCGGGGAGACTGTTCCACTTTGAAACAATCTTCCGCATCCGACAGGTGAGCATCCGCCCCACTTCGTCTACCCCGAACGGTCACCCGCGTGCATCGCATGGCAGCACCGTTTCGTCTGCTTCTTTCCAACCATCTAACAAATACTGAAAGCGCAGCCAGCCAGCCAACAGACCAACGCATCGTATCCGTCGCGGAAGCAGCTTGCCTTGCCTACCAACTCGGTATGATGTAGCCTACTGTTTGAACCTGCAGGTCAGCCGAGCTTTTGCTTATCAGGTATAATTATAAGCAAACGAACAAGTGAGATTATCTGTCTAGGTTGGTGGGCTTAAAAGGTAAAGGCCAACAAGTCGTAATTGATTTGGTCAGATGGACAAACCCAGCGTCTAACAGTAGAGTGAAAAGTAGGAAGTACAGGTCACATGAGCATGAAATTTAGACAATGAAAATGGACAGCACACCAAGGATCGACGCAAACATGGACGCATGAACCATGAACAGAATAATATTGGAGATAGCAGCGACATGACGGCATCAAAACTATGCGTCAACAGGAATTATCGACAAGACAACATCGATAGGATCCATCGACGGGGGGCAATATCAACAAGACAACATCAACAGCCTAATCCCTGAATATCCTTCGGGTAGCCTGCAAGGTGGCGTCATCTGATCGCGTACGAATATCCTGTTTGTCATCGACGCACACCAAATTTCGTGCTGCCCTTGGCACTGTGATCAAAATCCTCGTTCGCCTCATGATCGATAGGCAAAGAGAACGACATGTACAGATAAAAAATGGGCTTGACATCAAACTATGGCACAACTTTGTCCTCAGTGCAGTATCTGAGACTAGGAGTCTGAGCTTGATGGCCCGGAAATAGATGTAGCGGTATTTGCAGACCATTCTTCAACATATCCTTCCACGACAACGTATAGCCTATCCGCTATACCCCACCGTCCACCAACACAGAGCTGGTACAAAAGCTTGTACCAATTCCAACCCCAATTATCTCCACATCCCAAAAACTCAGCCACAGTACCATTGCCTGGGCCAATAATCTTGGCCATTATAGCAATAAGGATTGCAACCAGTGTTGCCAGGTAAGGATTTGCTAGAGATGTTAACAACATCTGCAGAGATAGAAAAATGCTGTTGTTTCGCCAATCAACCCAGCCCCACGGAAGCAGCGCATGAAGTGAGACATCAGCGGCGCAATATGCCAAGTCCCACCAGCGAGATTGGGAGGGAAGGGAAAGTTTGATCCATGAATTTTCCATCTGGTACGGCCCATCGGGTGTTGGCTGTGAGACCAGAAGTTGCTTCCTACCTCTATAAAAGAGGTAACAATGCAACACACGACTATGTTCATCATTTGTCCTGTTCTGAAAAGGCCCAAACTGCGTCTTCAGCATCCTTATGGTGTATTCGATCCGCTGTGCATTGCGGTGAAAAGCAGCTGTGAAACACTCATCATCTGCGCCTAGAGGTTGCCGATGAGCAAAGCAACAGGTAAGCAACAGAATTATGCCGCAGCATCCCAAATATGCGGAACCGAGGATGATGAGTATATACCACCAAACGCCTTTATATAGGTAAGCTGCTGGAAGTGCGAGACTGGAAATCAATCCTAAGAGGACAAAGAGTCGTACAAATCGGCACCTCTCGGATCTGCGGCCCCATATCCGGACAGCATTCAGGTCCACCGGACCCGGGACGCACGCATGCTCGATTATGACAGCGTTCGACCCGTATACGAGGATGAGGTCGTGGTCAGTCTGCGGAGATGTCGTAGCCAATATAGGCCTTTCAGGATACCCAGTTTGTCCAGGCAAGGTTTGCCAGTCATCGCCGAGACTATCGACTAACGCTGGATGATCCATGTGTGTCAACTGACGGGGCAGATGCCCTCTTCTGTGCCATGGAATTGCCATTCCGGGATCTTGGTCTTCTGGATGGAACCAGTATGTTCGACTCCATGGAATTAGCGAAAGTAGGTTGGCCCATCGCCCCTGCCCCTGCCAGGGGAGGTCCCTCCGGATCAATACGCTGGACCCGATCCTTATGCCACCCCTAGGAAAGTTGGGATTATCGAAAAGGGCTTTCCAACAAGGATCTTCATCGACCCATCTTTCAAGTACATGGACAACCATGGGAAGAATGCCGGAGTTACGGCCGTCTAAACGTCTTCTCACCATAAACCACCGAACGCCGACGCAAATAAATGGCCAGATAGCCAGCCATCTCTGCAAGGCTGAGTGTCCAGACCACCAGTTTATAACGTCCTTGAGGTCGCTAGCGCTAGGGCCTTTCACTGCCTGATCGTTCGCAATTTCAGACGACTATTGCACTAGTTAGTAATAGTCTACTGCGAAAGCTTCACGGGCATTGATGAAGTACCATAGCGCTTGTCGGGTTACCAATTTCCGTTCCCTTTGCTGGCCAAATCTCCAGTATACAATGATTGGACAATTAAAGACTGGCCGCTTAAATCTCTCCTGCCGTTCCAGTACTGTAGAAATAACAGGGCGAAAACGTTATTTCGACTAACCGACTAACCGTAATTATGCTTGAGGTTAATCATATATATTTATACCCATGAAGTCACTTTGTCTAGGCGCTTCTATTGCTAATATTCCTACCATGGTTTCTTAGCATACAAACTGGTTGCGGAAATCTCAGGCCACTTAAACGACCATGGTTCAAAATAGGCTTTAATTACCAGAGCATAATCCGGTCATCAATCCTCTTTGTCTTTGTTCAGCATTCCTTCTAAGATCCAAGAACAGTCTGGATCCAAGTTGACATCATCATCACCTGGGTGATGGAATTCTGTAGCACGACTTTATAGTTGCGCTGCTTATTATGCCCAGCTGGTCTGGCCATTTTTTTAAGGTTCAGTCTCATGATCTAATTTCCTCGGTAACCCTGCTTATTCCCCCCTTGAAATTTAGTACCTCAACAGTTTAGATTTATTTTTCTTTCTACTCAAGTGGTAGCCTGATGTTATTCCAACCTAATCCACTAATTGGCGCTAGATTCAATACATGCCCAGTACTGTGAAATCTTATCTCTGGGCATGTGAAATAGAACTGCTACCATCATTTACCTAGCCATCTGACAATCTTCGTCAGAACCTCTTGAGCGGCCTAGACCCAATATCGTCATCGATTATGTTATAGTATCGGAGTTCCTTCCCCCAATCCCTTCTCGGCCGTGACAATTATATACCTTCCTCTCGATTCCCATGACACCGACCATTATTTATACCTTTCAATAAGTTTCTCACATTGAATGTTAACAAACCTATGTCGGTTCTCTTTCCCACACGGCATGGCGGATATTACTGAAGTCCAAAGAGTGCCACAGTGGCGTAAGAAGTTTCTAGCGGCAGCTGTTGGAGCCGCAGTAGCTTGGCCTCTCGGTATAGTTATAGCTGGAGCAGCAACCGCCACCGGGGTTGGTGGCATTCTCACAATGGCCGGATCTAGTCTCGCATCTGGCATTATTGGAGGTGCTGCCTCAAGGGTGGCCGGGAATGTGATGGATGATGATCCTATCCTAATAGCATTATATCACCCACAAACAGGGCAACGCGTCTTTCGTCAGGCCATTATGGCATTTCTTGACACCCATCTTGAGCCGATTATCAAGGACATAATGAGAAACAATCGACGAGCACCAGAAAGACAGGTCCTTAACCTGGAACTGACGGGCGATCTGGCGATTCTGACAGCGTCTGTCACAGAGGAATCCCGGCTCTTCATAGAACTCCGCTTTGAGGTAATCCCAAACGACGACGCTCAGCCAAGGCCGCTTGAGCAAGGCATACCTCCACCAGAACTTCCTCAACACCACCAGGGAGTCAGAGAAGCCTACATTCTACCTCGCAGAGCTCCAGGCGTTCTTGATGGGGCCGCAAAGTCTGGCGGCAATGGTTTGCTCCTTGGAGCCATTGCAGCCTGCCTGGCGCCGATATCTCCAGCATTTCAAGCGTGGTATTTTGTCCGCACGGTGCCAGGGTTGAATATGGGTGCATTTGTCGGGCTTCCAACCTTGTCCGGATTCGGTGCAGCGGCAGCAGAGGTAGTAAACCCTGCGTCCCCATCAGCCACCATGGTGTCCTGGGTTGATTTTGCTGCTGAATTTGGATTGCACATCAATCGTGTCATCGAGTGTGCTGCACGCAACGGAGTCGGCTTACACTACTACGTTGCCGCTGGGTATCGCCAGAGAATTGGCGCTGAGCATCATCAGCCCGTTAACATCCTCCCAGGAGTCAACGCTGGGAATACTACGGGACTCTGGTATTTACGCCAATTTCCAGACGGTTAGGTATATAAGCTTTGGGTTTGTAATTGAAAAAATATTCGAATTAAGAACATTTTGTACTTAACCACCTTATAGGAATAGTTAAACTGGGAAAACTGATGGTAGCTCTAATCTAGCGCTTTACCCCTGCTGATCAGCCACAGGTGAGGCTACTGGCTCTACTTTGTTGTGCTATTAGCATAAGTCCTAAAAACTTTAAAATCTAAGTTCACCCAAATACTCCTCAACTGGCCATATGGGCTGCATGAATCTTCTCCTTGCTCAAGAAATCCTCACGCAGCACGTGTTCTCCGAAACCGTTACACTAACTATCAGGCTGGCATTGGCGCGATATATGGATCTGCCAGAATCATTGTTAGCGAGGCAAAACATTCAGCCATTACCCTTGAGCGAAAACTTACAAGTTGCCTTAAAAGAACCTCATTCCAAAGATCCTCCTCAGCCCTCTTCTCCCGAATCTGGGCGGTATAGAAGTAACCGCCTAGAACTGCCCTCGCCTCCTCCCACTCGTTCAACTCCAACTGCTCCGTCATCTTAATCAGCCTATTAAGGTAACTACCACCGATGGCACTTATACCCCTGCGACGCAAGACCACCAATGACCAGAATCCAGAATAGCAGCTCCGGTGTTTCGGATTCGAGATGTGGGTATGGAACTCCAAGGCTCTGTCGGAGTGATTCAACGAGATATTGCATGAACGGGAAGGACTGGAAGTGCCACACTCGCAGGTTTACGTAGATAACTAAAGTAAGGCGGAGTGTCTCATTAATACTGTATCTGTTGGGTCTGTTGCCGCGTAGCAAGCTGAGAGAAGTTGGTGCTCAGCAACAAGGAAAAGATCATTATCTGTTGGCATTACAGAAGCTGGATTACGCTGAACATGTTCATAGTAAAGGATCAGGCGCCGAATAACATGCAGGAAGGTTTTCATAGTATGGTCAAGCATCGTATACCAGAAGGAAGATAAGATAGTATCACCAAGGGAAGCAAGATCTTTGGGCGTGCCGAGCTTGCCCTGCATGAGGAAGAGCCGGGAGTCCTGGATAATCTCGCTGCGCCAGCGGGCGGAGATGGGAAAGACTGGCGGGAATTATAGAGGGAAGCGCTTTGGACGTCGCTCCTAAGAATTGTTAGCGACATAATAATTTTTTAATAGAGGCATGTGAAGTATACTGGTAAATTTTGGACAGAGTCATGTGGTCCAGGGTATCTAATCCGCCCATCAAGTGGACTAGCTCGTAAGTCCTTTCATCTTCGCGTCATGGGCCTCCGTGTTTGCATCAACGGCCTTCAATAGATAAGATCTGGATCTTTCGGCTCATCTCGTCACATCGGAAGGTCAAGTATCAAGTTGGCGCAAAGCCTACCTCACTCGCGACAAGCGAAGCAACAACCATGTAGACTCAGCTACTGCTCTGACAGGATCTTGCATGATATTATTCAATGTCTTAAGAGTATCCCCACGGAGATGGAGCGAATCCCACATTGACTTCTTGGTCACCTGAGGTGAAACACCGTTGCTCGACTCCAAAGTCGCCGGATGGCCTGCTGTTAAAAACAGAAGCGCCTGGACAAGAGCTGGCTGTGCAATTGCCTTCTGCCACCGCCACATACTCATCCTTGTAGCGTCGACTGGGTAGCATGCTGCTATTTTATGGATTCTAACTATTTGAAATTAGCCTTTGACATTTCTCAACCCGATTTTCATAATATGTATACAATGATGAAAGTACATATTCATCGAACCTGTCATCTTATCTGCTGAGGTCGTAAATGGATCAACATAGCCTTGACCTAGATAAGCTTTGAGGGACCATATTTCAGAGCGTAGTGCAGCCTGTCCAGGGGCTCTTCTCGAAATCTCGCCTTTATCAACCCATTCATCCTGCTCACTGCTGGCGCCTGCATTGTCCGCTATAGAAAAGCTGGATCGATCTTTATTCGCTTCAATACCCGACTCTTACATTCAAAACCTAATAAGTCCCACCGCGTCTGGTGATTATTTATCTCACCGCATATGCAATGTGCCAGCTGCACCATCCAGCGCCACCAAGTGCCTGGCTGATTTGTAGTCGTCCATCATTCACTGCGTCCATGCGCACTTAAGACCAGAGCTTCCCCTCACTGAAACAAGCCAATTGCCCTTTCCTTGTTTCTTCTCACCCATTCTGTCGACTGTTTCCTGCCTTGTACTGGTACATCGACATCATATCAAAATGTCAACTCCTCCTAAAGCACAATACCTCGAAGGAGCCCCAGATGCGGTCAGAGAATTCTTTGCAACGTTTTACACCCTCCTTGACGGAGAGACACCCGATGCAGCGATTGCATAGAGCAATTCATTCACTGAGGATGGCGAATTCCACTTCCCTGGGCAGGCATACACTGGCCGCGCAGGTACCCAACCTCCTGCCTATACCCATGAAACGACCGCTAATCAACTCTAATAGCCATACGAGCTCAGCGCGAGGCATTCTGGGGTGCCTTTCCCCGCCTTGTACATACACCACTTCGGGTGTATCCGTCGCTGACCTTGCCGCTCTAATTTGTCGTCGTTAACCGGTTCGATTTCACCACCAAGGATGGCCCGCGCTTTGCTCATACGGCCGCTGAGTATACGCTTGTCGAAAGTGAAGGAGCCTATTTGGTGAAGGAGCTTGTTTTGTACATGGTAAGTTGGATGGATTTCGTCTTGGATGGATTTCCTCCACGCAGTGAGCTGAGCATCGCTTATTGACCCTCTATACAGGACCCAGCAGCCCTGAGTCAGTGATTCCGCTCGCCCTTTCTCGATCGAGTGGCTGTTCTCGTTCCTATAACATTCAGACGGTTCCTCGTCTGTAATTTACTACATATTCCGTCAACAATCGCATTTGATTTCGTTGGGCTGCTACATGGCGTCGATTGGATTTGCGAAGCGTGTATTATTACTTCAGTAAACATAACGTCGCCGTGCTGGCACGATGAGTGTGAACAGCTCCCTGGTCCCTTACACGAAGACCTTGAGCCTATCGGCTAGATCTGCCCTGCCAAGTGCGACGAACACACATCGATCCCCCGCCACCCACCATCGGATTGTCACGCTGCCCGATTGTGGTAGTCCTCAACCTCAGGAGTGCTCGACCTCAGATCCATCCAACCTATTGCCTCGCGGGCGAGAAAGCAAATCTGCGACATTCAACGATGAGTGGTCCATGGTACGAACCAGTCGCGGGTCCGAGCGGCTCTAAATCCATAACAGGCGATAATCATCGCCTCAATCCTCGATTCAGGCCAGATTGGATCCACGTGTTCGTCCCATCTTTGTCCCCTCGGGTTCTGATGCGCAAAGGATTGCCCCACGAGTTCTGAAGAGACCAGGTTGTTTCACGCTATTTCCTGCATGCTGCAGCTCATCGCACAAAAAGAAATACTGGAGCCTGGCTGGCTGGCTGGAGGAGTTCTATTTTTGGGCAGGTGGTGAATGGTAATGGTATACATCCAACATCTCATGTACATTCTTTTGTCTCGTATATACTGTTCATAAATATTTACTTGAACACCGGAACCCCCAACTAGACAGCTCCCACCCTTTCTCTCACCTCCACGAACTATCAACAACCTGTGTCGCCCCCTCACACCCCTGTTCCACCTTACCCGAGCGGTTGGGGTCACTCTCCCAGACAATCGAGCCACTCGCCAACTTCTTGACAAACTTATACTCGAACGAGGTTCCCACCGGCAGCTCAACCGTAACCGTCCACAACGGATTGGACGAGGTATACTGCGCAGCAGAAAGCGCAACCCCCTTAGTCGTATCCCAGTTCCCGAGCTGCGAGATCGATCCCACCAGCAGGACACTATCGCCATAGGCCGTCGTCACGCGCTCGTTGAATGTCACGCTCAGCGCAGTGGCAGTCGCCGACGCACACGCGCTCGTCGTGGTGCTCGTTACAGTCGTCAACGTAGTCGTGCTCGTCGGGCTACTTCCGCAGAGCCCGCTTCCAGAAACCCAGGAGGAGGGAACGAGGACGCGCGGGAGGCCAGATGTCATGGGGACTGGGATCGCGCCGTTGGAGCCCACGGATACCGAGGTGCAGGTGTAGAGCTCGACGAGATTAGCCCCGTTGCTGTAGCCATGGTTGTACAGGTCGAATGTGTATGCGGCTGTGTTGTCGAGGTAGTTTGTCAGTAGGGTGAGCACCTGCGAGCCTCCGGAGCCCTTGCGCATGGCGATGTGGTGAGCGTCGTTGTAGAAGGGGGTGTTCTACACCGAGGAACAAATCAGTCTCCTTGCACCATACTAGGTCCTGATGAAAGAGAGGAAAGGTCCACATACCCGCGCAGTAAGCCAATTCGAATCCTTTGCAATAGCCAACTTGCGCACCGCATTCGTCGTCGCGATGAACTTATACAATTCCGCATTCTTGTTGTATCCAGCCCACCAGACTGGTTCGCGGTTATACGGGTCGTTTTGGCCACTGTAGTGCTGTTCTTGGCCCGCGTAGACGATGGGAATTCCGTCGGTCAGGAAGAGGAAGGCGAGGACGCTTTTGGCTTGGCTCATGTCGGAGGTGTAGCTTTTCACGGCTTAGCTTCGGGATCTGGGAGGTTGGTGAAGGTGGGAAAGGGGGAGGGGGTACCTCGGGAATCGAGCATTATCATGGTTTTCAATGATGTTTCCAAGCAGTGTTGGATCCTTGCAGCTCGAGGAGACCGTGTTGATCATGTTGTAGAGGGTGCTCATGCTGCCGCTGGAGGACTTGAAGGCTTCGAGCAGCGGGTAGTATCTGCACCTGTTAGCACGTATGCGTTATGCAAGGTGGCTGACTTACACGGGGTAGTTCATTACTCCAGGGATATAATTCTGGTAAGGGCAGGTGTACGCGGGGTCACCATGCCAGACCTCACCAACACTATACACGCCCGCAGCACTGACGAAGCCAGGCCAGAAATCTTTCTCGACGTGCTTGGCTGTATCAATGCGAAGACCGTCCACTGCGCACCATTAGTACTATTCCATACACGACCGACACAAGGATGAGTAATGGCAAGACGTACCAGAATAATTCGCAACTATATCCTCAATCCACTCATACCAAATACTCCGCACCTCTGAACTCTGCGTGTTAACATCCGTCAACGAAACCACATCGCTCCCCAAGTAGCAGTTCTCAACCTGCCACTGGTCGTCGTAGTTGTTGATTGCGCAATACGAATGAAAGTACGAGGCCGAGTTGAAGGGCGTGAACTGGCTGAAATCGGTTGAGGCGCCGGGGCCGGCGTAGCCCTGTAGGCTTGTCAGAGGGGAAGAGTAAGCGATTTGAGTGGGGAGGGGACGAACCATGTGGTTGGGGACTACGTCGAGCATGAGATACATGCCGCGGTCGTGCAGGGCGTCGGAGAGTGCCTTGAGGTCGTCGGCTGTGCCCAGGTGGGAGTCGACGCCGTAGCTATATGACCCTGTTAGTCCTGTACTCTTTGACATATCACGTCAATGTAAAGAACTTGCATGTTCTTCTGCCAGTAGCCATGGAACGCTGTTCCCTCGCCGGTGGTTCCGGGAATCTGTTCCGTAATGGGCGTAATCCAGATCGCTGTAAAGCCCATGTCTTGGATGTAATCGAGCTGAATCAATTAGTATAAGTATACCAATTTCCACGCTATGATTTCACTCACCTGGTCGATAACGCCCTGCCAGGTACCGCCGCAGTACGCCTGAAAAGTCAAGTCAGCATTGTTAGGGAACGCCGAAGAAGATACGTACCCTCGCTCCAAGATCGCAAGCAGCAGTCGTCGAGCCATCCGTTCGCGCAAAGCGGTCCGTGAGCATGAAATAAATTGACTGGCCGCGCCATCCAGCAGCATCAAGTCCGAGGACTCCATTGCCGAAGAGGGCCAACGCTGTGGTTAAGCTAGACAACCGCATTGTGCGAAATGTTATCTAGATGGATATATAGGATTATGTGCGATGTATACGGAGAATAAAACGATCGACATCGTGTCGTGACAGGCTCCTTTTATATCCCTCACCGTGTCTGCGTCTGCTGGTCCAGGTGAGATGGCAATACCAAGCCGGAGTTCGCGGACTGCAGAATCACACGCGCCGGAGGCATAAACCTATCATTTCCTCCGAGAGGCAGCGCATACCCTGGTCCGAAGCACCAGTTCAACAACCACCTTGCCTTACTTTCATCAAGCTCCGGCTGAAGAATCCCAAATCGGCATTCCCTCACTATATTCTCCTATCGCGATTGGTCCGCGGCCATACTTCAGCCACTAGGCGACGAATACGAGCGCTGAAGGATTGATGGAATCTCCGGCAGATACTCGCCCCATGTGGAGCCCCCGGATCACCCCAGATTAAAATTACGCGTGTCGACTCCTCGTGTTTGGCCGGCTTTTGTCCGTGCCTTGCTGCTAGGCTGAACATGTCGGGCCGACATCATCTATCCCCTGCGTTTGTGGAGAAGTTCCCCCGCACCCCGGAGATACTAAGGAATTAGATTGCGTGCTGAAGAATTTTCCGGTCTTGTGAGGAGTGAGATGTCTACACTAGCTGTTGGGATCAAGGGTATTGTTTTCACGAGCTTTTTGGGTCTCGCGATGGGTATAAGTATGGCATGACATCCCCTGTGGTCAAGGATACTCCAGCACCGAGAATAACCACCTTTTACCGCAGATTTTTTGCATCCACAATGTCGGCCATGAAAGGATTCCTATTTCTTGCGGCCACCCATCTAATTGGTACTGCCCATGGCCATGGATACTTGACCATCCCCTCCAGCCGTACCCGTCTAGGGTTCGAGGTTAGATCGCTCAACCATGTCACTGTCAACACCCCAACAGACTAACATATGCTGATTGTAGGCTGGAATCGACACATGCCCCGAATGCTCAATCCTCGAGCCCGTCTCGGCATGGCCTGACCTAACCGCGGCGCAGGTCGGTCGAAGTGGACCGTGCGGCTACAATGCCCGCGTCAGTGTCGACTACAACCAGCCCAGTGACTACTGGGGCAACGAGCCCGTCGTCACGTATTCGGCCGGTGACATTGTTGAGGTGCAGTGGTGTGTGGACAACAACGGCGACCACGGCGGCATGTTCACGTATGGCATCTGCCAGGACCAGGCGCTGGTTGACCTCTTCCTCACGCCGGGGTATATCCCAACAAACGAGGAGAAACAGGCTGCCGAGGATTGTTTCCTCGAGGGTGAGCTGAGCTGCACGGATGTGCCCGGACAGAACTGCGGGTACAACCCCGACTGCACTGCAGGACAAGCCTGCTATCGGAATGACTGGTTCACCTGCAATGCTTTCCAAGCGAGCAGCAACCGGGGATGTCAGGGCGTGGATGCGGCGCCGCTGGGTTCCTGCGCGACGACTATTGCGGGTGGATATACTGTGACCAAGAAGATCAAGATCCCAGACTACAACTCCGCTCACACGCTTCTGCGGTTCAGGTGGAACTCGTTCCAGACTGCGCAGGTTTATTTGGGCTGTGCGGATATCGCCATCTCGGGCTCTGGTGGCTCGCCTACTTCATCAACTACTGCAACTTCTACCACCAGCACCACCTCGGCCTCATCCAGCTGCGCCGCGGCGACGTCTATCCCCGTCACATTCGACGCCAAGGTGACGACCTCCTGGGGCGAGAATGTCTACCTTGTCGGCTCAATCAGCCAGTTAGGCTCGTGGTCAACTGGCTCCGCCGTCGCGCTCAATGCTGATAAATACACCTCGTCGAACCCGCTCTGGAGCGTCACATTGGATATCCCGGTTGGAACCTCCTTTGAGTACAAGTACATCAAGAAGGAGTCGGATGGAAGTGTCGTGTGGGAGAGTGACCCGAACAGGAGCTACACCGTTCCAAGCGGATGTCAGGGCGCAACGGTGACTGCCAGTGCCTCCTGGCGGTAGACATTGTGATTGTGCAGAGATGGATTCGGGTGATGGTGATGGCGATATGAGTGATGCTTATGCAACTTGTTGGTCATGGATGGATAATCATTTGAACTTTCGTCGGTAGAATTTATCTTTGATCTGTACATATTGTTTGGCATGGAATTTGCGCAACAAGTTGATGCTGCCGTAGAGGCTCATGGTCGAAAACAGCCACAGCCGTCCTCGATCGTTCAAGTAATTGAGAACAGAGCAATCGGATGCCTCGGCTCACCCGACCCCGTTCCGGAACAGGACTAGCCCCATTTCAACAGGCCTAGTGCCGTGCGGAGGCGGGTACAACCGGAGAGAGCGGGGCTCCAAGGCACACACCACCCCGCATCATACCTGACCACCCTCGACAGGGAGGACGGACTCTTTCCTCTTCTTACAACGCACAGGCAACATGTCAGGACACATGCAACACTCAGTCACACGCTCCCTGGGGAGAGCTTCTCAGCGAGGCTTCTGTCGCCCTCCCTCGCGACGGTTCGCCTTTGTCGCATCGCTCCTTCCGAGTGCCGGCCGCTCGGAGCCCCGTCTTCCGGACTTGTGCATGGAGAGGCCCGACGGGTCCCGTAGGTTGCCCAACTTGCTCAACGAGGTCAACGGCGCGATTTATTGATCATGTCGCAGAAACGAGGATTCCTGAAGATGCTTTGTATAAATACACGCGGCATCGATGGCTGTGAGTGCATTGTGTTCCCGAAGAAGAAACCTCGGTCGCTAATCCGGTATAGGGTCGACGAGCAAACCGAGCTATCGAAGCGATACTTGAAATTCAACTTACGAGGACTCATCGATGTAGCCGTTGGTGTCTGCGAAGGCGCTAGATATTGTCCGTCTTGGACCCCGTGATAGTTTTGCGTGATGATGCTGACATTCCCCTCTAGGCACGAGGGTCATCAAATGCTCCGAGAGCCTAGGCAGCAAGGCGTTTATCCTGCGAATGGATAACGGCATGCAAGTTGTGGCCAAGCTACCGAATCCGGGTGCGGGGGCCCCTAAATACGCGACTGCGTCCGAGGTCGCAACGCACGAGCTGGTGAGTCCCGTCCTAGTCATAGAGGGAAGCTCACATGGTCTTACTAAGCCCTGCAGCTCCGCGACGTCTTCAAGCTCCCCGTTCCTCGCATCCTTGCATGGTCATATGATGCATCGAGTAACCCGGTCGGGGCAGAGTATATCATTTCGGAGAAAGCTCCGGGGGTCAGGTTGAGCACAGTGTGGCAGCAGTGGCCGCGCAAGTCAAAGGTCAAGATGGTGGAGCAGATCACGGATATGGAGAACACACTCAGCTCTGTATCCTTTCCCAGCCATGGCTCCGTGTATCTCAAGGATGACCTACGCTCATTAGCGGGAATCGCCGACGATATCAGTGCGGACGGCGTGACCGATGAGGCTCTGAGTCGCTTTACGATAGGCCACCTTACTTCGGCCGAGCTGTGGGAGGGGAACAGAGGGGAGATGGATTTAGATCGCGGTCCATGTATGAACACCACCAATACCCCCACCCGCAGCGGTTCACTGACATTTCCTCACCAGGGCGAAACGCAAGTGACTACACTCGGGCGATGGGATGGAATGAGATTGCTTGGATTCGAGAGCATGCCCTTCCACGATTAAACCAATACAGGTCGTCGGATCCACACGAGACACCTGCAAATGGCATTGCACTTCTTACGCAATACATGAACACGGCAGCGTACCTGGTTCCTCAACCGACTGAAGGTGGCGACGATGCGGCCACCTCGAATGTACTTTGGCACCCGGACCTCAAACTCGATAATATCTTCGTCGACCCTCGGACGCACCAAATCACAAGTATCGTCGACTGGCAGTCCGCTCAGGTTGCCCCATTGTTTCACCAGTCCGACATTCCACCAATGTTCAAATGTTCCGGACCAGTTAGCGAAGGCTGGGTCCTGCCCGGACGACCTTCTGATTTCAACTCCTTGAGTGCCGCAGAGAAAGCGAAGATCGACACTGACCTTGAAGCCGAGACCCTACATAAACTCTACGAATCCCATGTCTACAAGCGTTCCCCACGCCACTGGTCTGTCCTCTCCAACCGAAACTTCGAAACCCTCCGCACGCCCACCAGCCTCGTGACCAAAGTCTGGGAAACGCACAACCTCTTCTCCCTCCGCGACTCTCTCATCACCTTATACACACAGTGGGAGGCCCTCTTCCCTGAAAGCCCCCTCCCCTGCCCAATCCGGTTCACAGCAAAGGAATTGGAGCTGCACCGTAAGGAGAAGGAGAATATGCAAGGGGTCGGCGCCATCATGGCACTATTGCGGGATGGAGGGGCCCTTCCCGCGGATGGAATGATTGAGACCGAGGACTTTGAGATGGCGCGCAGCGCGAATCGGAAGTTTAAGGAAGTTTTTGTGCGTGGCGCCGAGGGGGAGGAAGAGAAGGAGCTTTTTAACAGGCTTTGGCCTTATCAAGAGACGGCTTAGTTATATGCTAGGCATTGGTTAGATATATCACGAGTAGTATGCGCATGGAGGGTATGGCGGCGTTTGGGGTTTTCGTTCTTATTTTTTTTTCACTGACTTATACCAATTTGACTGGACGCATCGGCGGCGAATATCTTTTGATGATAAACAGAAACAATGAACCGCTTCCTGATTCCCACGGTAGGGTTATCTCGCCTGAGGTACAGCAGAACTTCCTTGACTGATGGAGGAACTGCTTGAGGACTTTAATTGGGTCGGCCTCCCCTGATTCCTGGTCTATGAAGAAATCAGGACTTGGCTCAATCCATATCGGATTCGTCCATTATCCCCCATCTCAAGATAGATGAGATAGCTGACAGAAGTGTTTAGGTACATTGTCTCCTCTGACAAACCTGGAAAGTATTCTCTCGAAGCTCTACCTTGGAAGGCAGCCATAGTAGCCGGTCGTTCTATCCCGATTCCGAAATACGATGGATAGAAACAAGCTTACCCTCACTTGCTGTAATGTTTCGAAGTATATGAATGGAGATGCGGAACAAACAAACAACCGGATTCTCCCCGTCTCCTGCTTTGACCCCCGCTTGTGGGATCCGGCTGGATGGACTCGGGATCCTTATCATGCTCATATGCAGAAGATGCTAGATCGAGAGATATAGACCGAGACGCAGCTAAGCAAGCGATATCTCCTCATGTTCCCGACAAGAAGCAACCAGGCTCGGCCAAGAGATAGTTCATTTACTGCAAGTTGAAGGGGTATCCTGGAACATGTGGAATGCCAGTGGGAAATCAGGCCCCCGCCCCATCTGGAGCGGATTGGGTTGTGGTTCTTCTCTGCACCTAGAGGTCGAGCGCATAAGCACGCCGGACCAGATACTGATCTGCATCTTGCGTCTACCTCGGTAAACCAGACGCGAGATAAGGGCCTTGTTTATTCCATTGCTGGTGCTCTTCGAGGCGTGGAGCACATGGACCGGGTCTCGACAATATAAGCACAGAATACCCAGGAACAAACGCTTGGTCATGTGTTTATTTGGTTGCGAGCAGTAGCTCATTACATAAAAGATTAGCCACTTAAAAAATCCCAGGCAAAATGTGTAAGAATAACAGCTGGTAGTAACAACGCTTGCTCACAGCATGGCCCAAGTCAGCTTGCCGCTATGAATAGAGGGGGTACGAATCAAATCCCACTCCACTTGATCAAGGTTGCTAGTATGCAGGTTTGCTACAAGCAGCGGGGCCCTTGGCTTATAGATATTATAGTAACTGCGCCTGAGACACTGGTCTACATCTCCTTAACTCCATCCCATCTTTTCGGAGCCTTTGTTTCTAGATTTACCTTGTAAGCTCATTGCCCCGTGCGCTGCGCATTCCAGCCCCGCGATACCGACAGCCATGGGCTTTCCAGGGAACAGGGGCCTATTATTTACTAGAATATGGGGTTCCATTCAACGTTCTAAATCCCTACAGGCCTAACCCACTTGAAGCTCGCCTCCGCACTAACAACAACACGTTCTCCATTTAAATCTCCGGCGAGATCGGCATCGGTCCCTAACAGCTCAATCCACCCAGTAACCTTGGCAGCATCCTCATCTGCATCATGCACACTGGCCCAGAGTGCGTAAACCTCCCCAGTCGGCGCCGCCTTGCGGTATCGGATATTTAGATCAACCGTCAGCGGCACCCGCGTGGGGTCGGCCTTGAACAGGGCCGTGGCGAATCCCTCGTCGAGCAGAGTGGCCAAGACGCCACCGTGAACCAGGCCCGGGTACCCGGATAATGAAGGGCCAAGGTGAAAAATCATTGTTGATGATTTGCTGGATGGGTCCCAGAAGATGAGGGGGAAAGAGGCGATCTTGTCCGCGTCGAGCAATGTGTACCGATCTTTGCTGTGGCGGATTGTGGGTGGAAGGTCGGAGTAGAGAGTCGTCTCGGTCAACGCAGGGTTTGAGCGGAGGCATCTCGTCAGGGGGTGGTTGGCGACCGGGGAGGTGGACATGGTGGTGGTCCGAGTGTGGTGGGACTGGGTTTGCGTGGTAGCAGGAAATGCGATGTAGGCGGGAGGAGCATTTGCCCAGGGTGATCGATGGTTGGAGATGGTGTGACGCAGGTGTAATATTTATGCATGCGCTCTGCTCACGGAAAGGCACCGAGGGCGAGATTAGCGAGGTGGCAATCCTGGAATCGTGCGCGTATAGTTCGCACTAATGTAAGACGGAAAACTAGCAGCTCCTCCCAGATCTCTTGTAACGTGTCAATTGGCGCCAAGGAGGCGATCGTCTTCAGCTGGCGATGAGTGGGAGTCTACACGTTACGTGGCTGATGCGAGATCGTGTTTAGGTGAGGTCATGGCGCTGGGACCCGTTCTATACACTTCGTGGGTCCATGGAGGGGTACTTGCGGTGGGAGATAAATACCCCTTTCTTGTTGAAGCAGGTAGAGAGAGAAACAAGAATAACAAAAGACATTCAACATGGCACCACATCAGGCAAACAATGTGGAGCCCATTGCGCTGGTCGGCATGGCCTGCCTATTCCAGGCGACGCCATCGACACCACCAAATTCTGGCAAATGCTGTACAAGGGCGAGTCGGCCTGGTCGGAGGTGCCCGAGTCCCGTTTCAACGCAAAGGCATTCCATCATCCAGACAGCAACAGGAATGGAACCGTACGTTCTGCGATATCACGTCCAACCGGAAGTGCTGACGACAACTAGTTCCATACGCATGGAGGGCACTTCCTCAAGCAGGATGTATCCGTGTTCGATGCCCCGTTCTTTGGCATCACTCCGTCAGAAGCCCGAGCGATGGATCCCCAGCTGCGTCTCCTGCTCGAGGTTGCCTTTGAAAGCGTGGAAAATGGTCAGTCGGCCACCAGTCGCTCAGCCTGTCCGCAACACAAACTAACGCATGGAATGGGCAGCTGGATGGACCCTCGAGAAGCTCAGGGGCAGCAACACGTCGGTCTACACGGCCTTGTATAACCGCGACTATCAGGCGATGCTGCTTCGAGACCCCGAACACCTCCCTTTCTATACTGTCACGGGAAACGGCGAAGCCTTGTTCTCAAACCGAATTTCGTACTTTTTCGACCTGCGCGGGCCGTCCTTCACCCTCGATACCGGATGCAGCGGCGGTCTAGTCGCACTCCAGAATGCATGCCAAAGTATCTGGACCGGCCAGGCGGAGCAGGCCATGGTAGGAGGGTCCAACCTGGTCCTTGATCCATCGGTCATGGTTGGTCCAAGTTTCATGCAGTTCTATAGCTCAGAGGGACGGAGCTATGCCTTTGATCAGAAGGCTGCTGGATATGGGCGCGGGGAAGGCGTCGCATGTCTCGTGCTCAAGCGACTTTCGGACGCTGTCCGCGATGGAGACCCTGTGCAGGCAGTGATCCGGGCAGCAGCGGTGAATCAAGACGGACGCACAAATGGTATCACAGCTCCAAGTGGTGATGCTCAGGAGTCTCTGATACGCAAAACGTATGCCATGGCCGGGCTTGATTTGCACCGCACCTCGTACGTGGAGACGCACGGATCTGGCACCTCGCTGGGGGATCGGACTGAGACCACTGTTCTCGACGCTGTATTGGTCACGGTGCTCGTCAGAAGAAACGACCCCTGCTCATTGGGTCGGTGAAGACCAATATCGGCCATCTCGAGAATGCGAGTGGACTGGCGGCAGTGGTCAAGGCTGCCCTTATGATCAGGCATGGCTGTATCCCGGCCAGCTTGTTTTTCAGAAACCCTCCTCCTGACTCTGTACTCCACAGCGACGGGCAATTGATTGCACAGAGTCGAGGCAAATTTCCGTCAACAGTTTTGGGTACGGAGGTACCAACGCACATGTCGTCCTGGATGCACCCGATCAGCCCGCAATCCCGACGGAACCTACAAGTGAGAGCGACCATCTGATTGTCCTGTCTGCCCGCTCGCAAGCCTCTGGCCAGGAGATGACTGCTCGCCTGCGGCATTACCTGGAAACAATCAGCGATGTCGACACCCCGGACCTTGGCTCCCTGCCCTACACCCTCTGTGAGCGGCGGACCCCCTTCGCTTGGAGAGCGTCACTGGTCGTCGACTCTGTTTCTGAACTAGAGACGAAACTCAAGTCACTCTCCTTTGTCCATGCTCCACCCTCTTCGCCCAAAGTAGCGTTCATCTTCAGTGGGCAAGGTTCACACTGGTACGAAATGGGCCGGGAACTGCTGGAGAAGCACCCCGTGTTCAGGTCGTCTATCCACCAAGCCGAAACGTGCCTCACGAAGCTTGGTGCGGAATGGCTGCTCATAGAGGAGTTGACAAGAACCCCGGACGCCTGTCGGCTTGACAATGCGTTTATAGCACAGCCCGCGTGCACGGCAATCCAGCTGGCCCTGGTCTACTTGCTTGCATCCTGGGGCATTACACCCACTGCGGTGACGGGCCACTCAAGTGGAGAGATTGCAGCTGCATATGCCTGCCGGGCCATCACCTTCGAGTCGGCGATCTGTGTTGCGTATTCGCGGGGCAAATCGGCCCATCTCCTGATATCCAACAGCCTTGCGAAGGGTGGTATGCTGGCGGCGGGTCTCTCGAGGGAGGACGCCGCAGCTTACATTGCACAACTCGCTGGTAATGAGGGATCAGTCCATGTAGCATGCGTCAACAGTCCAAAATCCGTTACAATATCCGGTGACGTGGATGTGATCGCCCAATTACAGACCCAGCTCGAGGACGCAAAGGTGTTCGTTCGCAGACTCCCAGTTGAGGTCGCGTACCATTCCCACCATATACTGCGCATTGCATCCGAGTACCGCGACCTTCTTGCCGGCCTGCCCCTCCCGACAGATTGTGGTGATGGCATTCCGTTTATATCGAGCGTTGAAGGAGGACCGATACCGCATGCCGCCCTCACGGCGGACTACTGGGTGAAGAACCTCACGGCGCCAGTGTTGTTTGCAGACGCCATGTCCAGTCTCTTGAAGCATCTGGGTAGTGGCCAAGGAGGCAGCAACAGCGTGGTCGCTCTTGCTGAACTGGGGCCTCACTCGTCACTCAAGGGCCCCATCCAGCAGGTGCTCACCGAGTTCGCGCCTTGCTTCCAAACCACCAAGTTCGTCTACGCCTCCCCGCTCATCCGGAACAAAGCTGCTACAACAACCTCGCTTTCGTTTGCCGGCGAGCTCTTCCGCAACGGCATCGCCCTCGACTTGAGAGCAGTCAACTTCCCCGGCCCAGGGCCCCGCCCCGCATGTTTGACTTCGCTGCCCTCTTATCCATGGGACCACTCGACCTCTTATTGGCACGAAAGCCAGGTCAGTCGGAGCTACCGACACCGCGAGCACCCTCCGCATCCGCTGTTGGGTGTCCTCACACCGGACTCTTCTGTTTTCGACCTGCGCTGGAGGAAATATATTCGCCTCTCTGAGATGCCCTGGCTTGCCGGCCACAAGGTTGAGGGGCGCATTGTGTATCGGGGGGCTGGGTATCTGTGCATGGCGCTGGATGCGGCGATCCAGTATGCCGAGTCCACGAATGCACAGTGGGCGGCTGTCGACCTGAGCGATGTCGAATTCCTGAACCCGTTGATTGTTTCACCCGACGCAGAGGCTATTGAGATGAGCTTCTCGCTTAGACCCTCCTCCACGGCGAGGGGGAGGGATCTGGCCGGTCGTCATGAGTTTGTGATCACTTCGAGGCCTGGCGACAAAGTTGTGTTTGAACATTGTCGTGGATTTGTAGCAATTCTATCACCGGACAGAGCCGCCTCGTTTTCTCTCAATTGCACTGTACCAGTAAATGTCCACGGCAAGACTGCGTTGCAATCTATGGATCCTCTTACAATGTATGATCGACTATTAGAAATTGGCAACCAATACTGTGATCCGTTCTGTGCGGTCTCAAGTGTGTCATTCAAGTCCGGCTACTGCCATGCGACAGTCGACATTGCAAAGACCAACACCCAAGATCATTCTTTGTTCTCTTGGGTGCATCCTGCAACATTGGACGCGTGCCTACATGCTCTTTTCCCCGCGGCGGCTGGACCAATTCAGGGGTCGAATTCCGTGATGCCGACCAGCGTGAAGCGGGTTACCTTTTCGGCCGCTTGTGCAAGACCAGCAGCGCACGCAGGAGAGCTTGACGTCTTTTGTCACACCCGGAAGACAGGAGGCCTCGCGTTGACAGCCTCCTTTGATGTTCAACTCGGTGGAGAGCCGTTGCTGTCTTTAGCTTCTGTTGCTGTGAAAGAGCTGGAGCGAAAGAGCTCCGAGACAAGCAGTATAAGTCGCTCAGGTCAGTGCCAGCAGCTTGTCACCTATCTTGATACAGTACTCTCCCAACCAGAGGAGGTGAAGAGACTTTGTCTGGAGCGGTTGACAGAGGCGCCCCGGCCACGGCATATTGCTCTATTGACGAAAGCGTGTCGGTATTTCGCGGTGCGTGCACTGTCAAAAGACCTACAGCTAGGTGCTCAAGACATGCCCCGACACCGAAAGGAGTACTTCGAGTGGCTGGAGCGTCTGTCATCTGTGGTCGGGGTAGAGGATGTATCCCCGGCCGACGCTGAGCAGTTTCTTCAGGGAGTACAGATCACAGGCTATGAGGGGCAGATGGTCTGCCAGATCGGGCGCAATCTAGATGCCATCCTTTACGGACTCGCTGAGCCGCTGTCATTCATGACGGAGAACAACCTGCTACACAATGTGTACCGCCACGACGAGGGAATGCAGCGGTGCGCTATACCAGCCGCCGAGCATATACGCCTCCAGGCCCTCAAGAACCCTCGACTCCGCATTCTTGAGATTGGGGCAGGAACAGGTGGAACGACGCTCCCTGTTTTGCAGGCATTGACCAGGGACCACGCGCGACCCTTGATGGACAGCTACACCTTTACGGACATTTCGTCTGGATTCTTCGTGAAGGCAGAGGAGACCTTCCAGGCGTGGAAGCCCCTGGTGCAGTTCAAGACACTAGATATAGAAAGGAATCCAGGCGAGCAGGGCTTTGAGGCTGCCACATATGATGCTATTGTGGCGGCCAATGTGCTCCACGCGACGACATACATTGAACAAACCATGCATCATGTGCGGAGTCTGCTCAAACCAGGTGGGACCCTGTATCTGCTAGAGAGCACGAAGCCCACCGTCCACCGGTCATTTGTTTTTGGGGCACTTCCTGGCTGATGGTTGGGCTCAGTCCAGCGTGGAAAGGACCATCCCCTGCTGACCATAGCAGAGTGGGACTCGACACTTAGAGAAACGGGCTTCAGCGGAACTGACTTGTGTATCGATCCCCATGAAACTTCCGAAGAGCAGACTGACAACCTGCTGATATCTACGGCGCTTCCGGACTACTCGGATGACGGTGAGGTGCAGATTCAGCTTGTTCTCTCTGATCAGCAGCTCTGTTCAACCGAAAGCCCCGCTTACCAGCTAGCTTGGGCATTGTCTCAGGCCCACGCTAAGGTGGCTGACGATATCGTGTCCCTGGGTGAAGCGAAGACTGAGAACAAGAACTGTCTGTGTCTGGCGGGGCTCGACGACGCATTCCTATCAACCATGGACCAACCTGCTTTCGAAGCGTTCAAGCGCACCTTTAACTCAGCAAAGGAAATCGTTTGGGTAACTCGTGGTGCTATGAGTGACTACGCGAGTCCTCGCAGCTCCCTGGCCCTGGGTCTTATTCGTGCTTTGCGCAAGGAAATCCCTGCCGTGCGGATGTTCATCGTGGACCTCGACCCGGACCAATCTGTCTCCCAGCAGACGTTATGTGAATCCTTGGACCATTTCATCAGACGCCTTGTCCTTATACGGGCAGGTGACGATAACGAGTTCTTACAGCGCAATGGAATGTGGCATGTGCCCCGGTTGATCACTGCTCCCGAGCCTTCGAGGGCCATTCAGGCAACTCTTTCCCCCAACGTTCCCACCAGGCAAACAAAACCTCTCATCAAGGCTGACCAGCCATGCCGTCTTAGCCGTAACGAGTCGGGCTCCCTTCAGAACCTCTCTTTCACCAAGGTGCCATTCGAAGATCCCATTGCGCAAGACGAAGTCGAAATCGAGGTCCACGCCACAGGGATCAATTTCCGCGACAGCATGATCCTCCTCGGCGAGATGGACGATGATCTTATAGGTGAGTGTAGCGGCATAGTCAGAAAGGTTGGTGAATTTTTCAAGGGCAGGCTCTCCATTGGAGACAGGGTATACACCTGGTTTGTTCCCGCTCATTCGACCATCGTCCGAGCAAAAGGCTGTCTGGTCCATCGCATACCCTCGGCCATGTCCTTTGAACAGGCTGCGTCTCTGCCTATCATCTATGGAACCGTCTACTACTCTCTGTCTACGGTCGCTCAGCTTCAAAGGTGAGAAACGGTCCTCATTCATGCTGGCGCTGGGGGTGTTGGACAGGCTGCAATCCTGTTTGCGCAGCACATCGGCGCCACCGTGTTCACGACGGTGGGATCAGATGACAAACGGGCACTCCTCATGGAGAAGTATGGCATATCCCAAGAGCACATCTTCTCCACTCGAACGGGCGATTTCCGGCACAAGGTCAAGACCCTCACGAATGGCACAGGTGTGGACGTCGTGCTCAACTCGCTTTCCGGCTCATTTCTGCAGGACTCGCTAGATTCACTTGCTCCGTTTGGACGGTTCCTAGAGATCGGGAAGCGTGACATCCTGTCGGGGGCTCGCATGGACATGGCTGCGCTGGCGCAAAATATCACAATTGCGGCCGTCGACCTCCTGCAGCTTGCACGCCATCGACTGCCCAAGATGGCCGAGGTATATTCGCGTGTCCATGAGTTGGTTGTATCAGGCACCTTTGCGCCGCCGACGCCCCTTCATGTCTTTCCTGTATCGCGTATCGAAGAGGCCTTTCGCCACTTCCAAGCTCGGCCCTCTGGTAAGACTATACTGTCGTTTACGCCGAACGACCAAATTCAGGTTTGCTTAGCGACTTCCAGCTCTATTCCCTATCTTACTGACACTTGACACTGCACAAGGTCCTGGATAGTCGGGCAGAGGGCGTGTCCTTCAAGCCGGACGCGACGTACCTTCTCGCTGGCGGCCAAGGTGGACTTGGTCGCGCCATTTGTTCGTGGATGGCCCAGTACGGGGCGAGGAACATCGCCATCCTTTCCCCTTCCGGAGATCAGAAACAGACCACCCAAGATTTGATACGCGACCTCGCTATTCAGGGGGCCAAGCTGGTTGCACTCCCTGTTGACATCAGCAACGGTTCCCAGCTATTTGCGGCAATGGAGACCATCAAGGCAACTCTCCCCCCGTCAGGGGCGTTATCCAAGCAGCCCTCTGGCTCAAAGACACGGTTTTTGATAGACTCACATACACGGAGCACCAAAGCATTCTATCTCCAAAAGTAGCAGGGACACAACACCTCCACAACGCGACAGTGCAGGAGCACTTGGACTTTTTTACCATACTTTCATCCTACGCCGGGCTAATCGGAAACGCCGGGCAAGCGAGCTACGCAGGTGCTTCGACATTCCAAGACGCCTTTGCACGCTGGCGCACGGGCCAGGGGTATCCAACCCGGTCGTTGAACCTGGGTCCTATTGTAGGCGCGGGATACCTTCATGACCACCCAGAGGAATTGGAGTGGCTCCAGCGCGCAGGGCTGGAAGTCGTAGAGCTTGATGCGTTCCTCGCGCTGCTAGGGTACGCAATCTCGAGTCCTGTGAGGACGATAGAGGAGAGTCAGATTGGCATTGGTTGGGCTGCTTCCTCTGGGTTACACAGCTCTTCAGCACTTTTCAGCCACCTGGCGCACAAGGAAACAGCTGGGGACCCTGATCAACCAAATGAAACTACCTCAGATCAGGCTGCGGCCCAACAGGCCAGTCCGGAGGTGATACTATCCGATGCCCTGGCTAAAGGGCTCACTCCAGCCCTGACGGCGGGAGTCACACTGGCAGTTTCGCGGAGCGTGTCCGCTTTGACCGGAGTTGCACTCGAGGACATTGACTGCACAAAGTCCATTTCGTTTCACGGCGGAGATTCGCTTGTGGTGGTGCAGTTCCGCAACTGGCTCAGGAAGACGATCGACCCGGGCTTTGGGGCTGGAAGGGACGTCGCGAAGCTGTCGCTGCAAGAGATTGCTGAAATGGCAGCGGAATATGCGAAGAAATAGACTCTATCTCGTGTCAATTCAAGATCTTTTCTTCCATAGACACGGCTTTTTCCACGTAGCGTAGCACATGTGCATTCGGACTTTCGGCCTCAAAATCCCCGTCTATGGGTCACCCAGTTGCGAGGACTTGGCTGCAGGTGCGATACCAGGTAAGCTGCATCCCACCTGAGGCGCATGACACTCAGCACAGGCATTTCTTTATTCCCGCCGCTGGAGCTCTCTGTGCCGACAAATGAGATGCCGTCCACTTGCTGGCTACCACAAAGGATTTCCAGCCCAGCTTCCACGCGTCACTGCTGCTGTAGCTTGGGTGTCCGAGACTCATTGGTAGATTGAGCTCTGTTTGCTCGACGTCCGCGGACGTCCGAGGTTACACTGCAGTCAAGCATGTTAAAGCACAGCACTTAAAGACCGACGTCCCAGGCGGCAAGCCATGAGTCTCTCAACAAGCAATTTGACCTTTTGCGACAATGCAGAGACTCTTGCACTGGAATCCGCAGTGGGCTGCGTTCGTATCTGGTCTCGTCGTCCACCATGGACTGTTCCGACAGGGCGAGTGGCATCGCTCAGCCAGCAATATCATCCTCGCATATTCGACCGTGTTTGCTTGTGCATTGCTCTTGGCTACTCTCACGTCAGATCTTTTCGTCGGCAACCATCCCCTCACCCGTACTGTCATAACCAAACTGCACGTCTATCATTTCGCCGGCCTCTTCTCCAGCATCCTCGTCTACCGCGCGCTCTTCCACCGATTGCGACGCTTCCCCGGCCCACGATTAGCGCGCCTCGGCAGTTTACACGCGGTCGTTCTGGCGCGGGATCTCGGGATCTTTCGCAGATACCGCAGGCTTCATCAGAAATATGGGGATATTGTCCGGGTTGGACCCTCTGAACTCTCCATCGCAGATCCAGACGCTGTCAAGGTCGTTCACCCCCTTCACGGGTCGCACGCGGCCCCAAAGAAAGGGCCCTGGTACGACCAGGCCTATCCGCGGTTTTCACTGCAGACGACGCGCGACGACCACGAACATGCCCGCCTTCGCAAGATCTGGGATCGGGCTTTTAATACAAAAGGTATGCCAGATTTCTCCCCACAACGCCCTGTGTGTTGGTAACAATTCCAGCCCTCCGCGAATACTCCCCCCGAGTCCGCCACCACGCCGTCCGCCTCCACGAAGTCATCGAACAATCCATCCGCACTGCACAACCCCTCGACCTCGCCCAATGGTTCAACTACTACAGCTTCGATGTTATGGGCGACCTGGCCTTTGGAAAGTCCTTCAATATGCTGGCGGACGGCCGCGATCACTCCTTTGTTTCCATGATCCACGACAACATGCGATACGTCGGACACCTGGGCCCGCTTGTTTGGCTGTTCCCGCTGTTTACGAGGATCCCGGTGCTTAATTGGGAGGATTTGAGGTTTTGGAGGTTTGTTGGTGAGCAGATTACCGAGCGGAGGAAGGTATGTCTTGGCGGCGAGGATGCTTTCTGGGATCTTGCTCTTGCGCATACTAATACGTCTTGGGTCGATTAGAATCCGCCAACCTCGCCGGACGTGTTTCACTGGATTCTCGACGGGTATGGAGACTCTATCAATACGCCCAAGGGCATGTTCGCCCTAGAAGCCGAAGCCGAGCTCGTCATCGTCGCCGGAAGGTAACCAACCACCCTATGTCCCCCTCCACCCATCATGGATCCAACAAAGCCTAACCAAGAAACCAGCGACACCACTGCCGCAACCCTAACAAACGCCACCTTCGAACTGATCCGCAACCCGGACCAAATCACCAAACTCCGAGCCGAATTCGACCACCTAAACAAAGACCTAGCCGCCCTCACCCCCGAAGACCTCGTCAAGCTCCCGCATCTCAACGCCATCATCAACGAGACCCTCCGCCTGTACCCGCCCGTCCCCTCTGGTGTGCAGCGCAAGACGGGTCCGCAGGGGTTGAGGATTGGGGAGACGGTTATTCCGCCTGAGACGATCATTCAGGTTCCGTTTTATACGCTGTTTCGGGGTGAGTAAAATATTTTCCCCTCTTGCGCGGTGCAATCTGCTGATCTATTCGGGTACGTAGATGAGCGGTGCTTCGCGGACCCCGAGGAATTCATCCCGGAGCGGTGGACGAGTCGCCCCGAGCTGATTCGTGACTCTTCCGTGTTTATTCCCTTCAGCGCTGGTACGTACATCTCCGTCGTCTAGCAGTGAAATCCACGCTCAGAGGCCCCCTTGCACACTGCATGCGCGCAGAGGTATGAGACCGCTAACTCATGCCACACTCAGGTGCCTACTCCTGTGTCGGAAAGCAACTCGCCCTCATGGAGCTCCGCTGGGTGTTGACGACGGTGGTCAACCAGTTCGATATGGAGTTCCTTCCTGGCTTTGACGAGCAGGCGTTTGTTGATGGGAGCGAGGATACATTCACGCTGGTTTGCGCGCCTCTGCCGGTGCGGTTCTCGAAGAGGAAGGTCTAGATCATTTCATTTACCATCCGTGGGAATATTTTGGTTGAATGAGAATTCCGGACCCGCTGGTTCTATTTGCATGTCGTGTTCGTGAGATTGGATTATGTAGAGACTATAAACAACTTTGCCACTCTCTAAGCCCAGCACTGCACTGCACAGCTTACCTACTGCGCAGACGCAGCAGTAGCCCCTGTGATCTTACCCTTCAACTTCATCACCCACTCCCCAACATCCCGCGTATACTCCTCGCCCATCCCCTCCGGCTCCGCATGCAGCTGGTGGTATCCGCCCTCAAACGACTTCCACGTCTTTGCATCGGCGTCAGTCTCATCATACGGCTCGAGCCTGTCGTAGAGCTGCTTCGAAATGGTGGGTGACGTAATCATGTCCTTCGACCCGTGGGCCCAGAAGACGGGACAGGGCAGTTTCGCCGTCAGGCCCGTGGGAACGGGTTCCGTTGCCGAGGAGAGGGCGGTCAGGTCTGCTTCGCGTTGGAGCCTACCAACAAAGACGATCACTAATCAGCCCCTGCCTCCTGCCTGGCGCAGACTAGGCAACTAAACAAGATAATGTGGGAGACACATACAGATCCTTCAAGCCCTCCAACGTCCCCGTATTATGACACAGCGGGTCCGTGCGATACTTCTCCTGCACCGCGACGTCGCGACTCACAAACTTGACATTCAGCTCCTGCGTGTGCTTGAGCTTCGGCAGGAACCGCGACACAAACGTGAGCACCGAGACAATCAGCCAATGCGGCCGACTCGCCGGGTCCAACCCGATGTACGGCGCGTTGAGGATCCACCCCGCGATCGGCGGCCGCTCCTTGGATAGCTTCGGGTCTGTGGAGAGGAGGTAATGCGCGGACTCTTGGCCGCCCATGCTATGTCCCATGACGAAGAGCGGGGTGGATTTGGTATCGGGGATCGTAGATGCGATGTGTGTGAGGGCTTCGTTGATCTCGCCGAGGACTTGGGGTGTCAGACCGATGTCGCCGCGCTGGGATTTGGTGGTCGCGGTCTTGCCCCACCCGCGTCTGTCCCATGCGTGGACTTTTATGGGGTATTGGCTTGTGAGCAGGGTGAAGAAGGGGTCGTAGTGGTCGCAGCGGTCGCTGAAGCCGTGCAGGAAGGCGATGTGGGCTTTGGGCGGGGTGGAGGGCTGCAAGACGGGGTGCGGGTTAGCTGTGACTTGACTTGGGGGGATGAGGGAGATAAGATTCAGGGACCAGGAACGGAACACAGGCTGGTTGCACAGCACAGGGTTAACTCACCTCCCACACCCGCGAGTACACCTCGAGGCCACTGGCTAGCTTGAAGTTGCCGGTCGTGCTTGTCGCCATGATGAACTGTTGCAGGTTTGAGGAGAGGTGAGAAAGACAAAGAGGAAGATGGGGAATGTCGCCAAATTTGGGGAAATCGCGCGGATCACGTCGGGCTACACAGCTCGAGGAGCTGAAGCAGAGAAGCGATGTGATTGGTTGCAAGGAGCCTCGGCAGTTGGTGCCAAGTGTCAGATCAAACTAGGTCAAATAGGGAAATCATGTGAAAACGGCCCTGAAGACTCGGAAACCCGGGGGGGATTTGTACAATTCTTGTACTCGAAGTTGGTCTATTGATAAATATATGTTCGAATTTGCAGTAGCAGGAGCAATTCTTCCGGGTTTCTACAACACCTCGGTTAGAGACATACTGTAGATGGAAACATCCATAACTCTCTTCAGTCTTATCTACAATATATTCTGGATAACGGCAGGGCTCACCCGTCATTACGCGGGTGAGCCAATCAGAGAATCTCAACCTCAGTCCGGCAGACACGGCCATGAGCCAGCGGCTGATATTGACCTGAAGCCAAGGCATTTTGCATTTTCATGTCACAGAGTGGCACACAACACTACTGACTACTACCTGTGTAGGAGGTTCGGGCACATGAATCCCGGGCCCTCGAAGCCGGGCGAGTGGCAAGCCGGGAGTCTCCTGGGGTCCGGAAAACGGAGCCCTAAAGTTATATATATCGCTCGCAGGATCGGTAACCCCTGTTTGTATATATTCGACATTGTGCTGAGCCTCAAGGAGAGAATTATGTCATGATTATGCATGTATCCTCAAGAAGCGACGCAGCAGGCACCTACGAGATATAGCCGAATTGCATGAAAGAAGAACAACCTGCATGTGCGCTAGAAGCTTCTCCATGTCTTAATAAATATCTCTACATGCTCTTTTTCGGTCTTCATTAACAAGCATGAGCTGTTGCCCGTGGGCTCATATCTGCTCCGGGCGTGTAAGGTATGGCGGGAGGGTTTGCCGAGGCAGAAACAGGGTCAAGGGCCAGCATAGCCAGTTTTGCGTATTATTATATATAGTAGATAAAGTCCCGCGTATATTCTGGACCCAACATGCATCTCCTCGCAAAAAATCAATCTATCGCGTCTATGTCGAAGTATATGGCGCCTTGAATGATGCTTCTAGGCTGTCAACACCATGACTATATGCAGAGTAGATCATAAGCCCCCACCTCAGAGCCAAAGGTAGATCAAACCGTGTTGTAGAGAATCTCAATCCACTCAATGTCGAGATACGCAGCAGCCCCGACATCCATCTCGCCCGTCCAAACGCCACCATTACCCCACTACCGAAGATTAGCAAGATAAACCTATACCAGAGCCGTGGGACCTCACCATGTTCAAAATCGCCAAACTCGGCTCACTCGGAACCCCATACGTCTTATTATGCACCAGCTCCCCATTCAAATACCACACACTGAGATCCTCTGTCCAATCCAGGCGATGATCATTCCACTCGTTCCAAACCGCACCCCCGGCCATCACCGCATCAACCGACGCACCCGGAATCTCATTCCCGTCCTCGTCGAGCCCAGGCTGGTTCGTGTACCGGATATGGTTCGTCGGGTCGCGGGTGAGGATCTCAATGTCGGACTCGTTGTTGTCGTCGTAGTAGGTGAAGATGCCTGCGCAGACACCGGCGTCGCCGCGGACGCGCGCGCGCACGCGGATCGAGGCGTGGAACATGTTGTGCACTTTGGACTCGACTTCGGCGCTGGAGATGAAGTTTTCGTTGCGGTAGGCGCGCAGGGTGAGGTGGGAGGAGGGGCTGGATGTATCGCGGTCTGGAAACCATCATTAGTAAAGGCCAGAAGGATATGGGTAAAGTGGACTCACGGATGTACACATTGGCATTGCTGTTTAGCTTCCTGATGGGAGCGTCTTTGCTGGCTGGGGATCCCCAAACCTGGATGCCAAAGTCGTTGATCCAAGCGTCGGAAGTGAGGTATCCAGACTGCACGGTGGCAGCGGCGGACTCGGCATCGGTCGTGATGTTGGCAGGCTCGCTGGCATAGCCGCATTTATTCAACGAGCGAAAATCATGATAGATGCGATGAGCATAGGTCGCTTCCTGCGCGGCAGCGACACCCGCAAGAACAAGCGAGATCTTCAGGACAGACAACATGATCCAAGTTCCGTTTCTATTTTCCCTCCTCTCAAAATGTCCAGCAAAAGTCGGCGCGACCCGCTAGTATTTAACCCTTTCCCTCTGGGTCCCAAGTTTCCAATCTTCGAAATTCCTCAGCGGCTCAGCCTCAGGGCGCTAAGATGGCACGCCTGATCCGGGCCCGTTTATATCGACCGTTGGGGTAAAGCCGCCCCCACAATAAAGGGCCAAATCTCGCTGTCGGTCGCGATTCGCAGAGCCAAGGCAAATAAACTACGGCGTAGCCAGTTAGCCGCCCGAGTAAGGGCACCAGGGGGTGGCTGGAGTCTAGACTTTGTGAAGAGTTTCGGCCCCCAACGTTGGGCGCCTACAGCGTATTTCCTTGAGGTGTGAGTTGCAACGGAAAATCGTTCCAGTGTGTCAAGAGCGCCGGCTTCAGACAAGCGATGTAACATGTTCAATCAGGCCTTGGATGCGGAGATTATATCGTAGCTGTGATGTGGTGCATTCCTCGCAAGTGTCACAGATTTACCCCGTGTGGTGTCACGTTCTCCCGAAGTCGCCGGACCATGATCAGTTTCAAGTCACAGCAAGTCGCCGCAATGCAAGGGATGTCGACTTGATCTTATAAGCGCTACGGCTGTTCTAGTCTGATGGCTTCTCCACAATGCAAGGGTAGTCAGTCTCTTAACCTCAACTGTTGAGCACCTGACTGGTGACCGATAAATTCTGGCGCGACGTCATCTCACTCTACGTGCGAGAGACATGATGCGGGAAGAGCTGTGGCAGGGAACCGTAGTCCGGTTCAGTGGAATGGGATCTATCAGGCGTTGGAAGTTGAGGGGTGGGGTTGACTGGTCGATGGGATTCCTGAGCCCTAATACACGTAGCCCACCTCAGACAGCGATAACTTCGGCGAGAAAGAATCCCCAAATCACTGATATCATCTCCCCCAAACGACTATCAAAAAATCCCTACAATGACCGCGATAAACCAGCCAGCCAGCAGCAACGAAAACACCGATGCATGAGCCACACTCGCAGCCCCAGACTCGACATCCCACCGCTCCAGACTCGTCGTACAAACCTCCGACTCATTATTCCCGCGATACCACTCCTGCAAACAAGAAATCTGCTCCTGCGCCAGCTGCGCCTTACAAGGCTCAGGCTCCGCCTCAAAAGACGAGAACTCCGGACACGTAGCCGTCCCATCACCAGCCGTCCACTGCCCCGAATAAACCGGACACTCATCGAGGGGAATCTCAAACCCCAACCCGCTCCCATCGGCCACAGCAGTAAAGACCACATTCCCCCCACTCGCAAGGTACCCGTCGCCGCCGATGTGGTAGGTCGTTGTGGTATCGCTCACCCAGCAGGTCACCGTGTCGTACGTCCATTGCACAAGGTACGTCCCCGGGCGCAGGTAGTATCCATTCCGGTTCGAGACTTGGCCCACGGCGAGGACCGAGTCGTCGTGGGTGTATTTGAAGTCGCTTAGGTATATGCTGTCGCTGATGTCGGGGCCGGTATAGGCGTCTAAGAATTTCTCGTCCTCGTCGCCGCCGAGCCAGACGAACTCCCAGTCGATGGTGTACCCGAACGCGAGCGCTGCGTCGGCGTTTTGCAGCGCGAAGACGATCGGGAAGCTTGTCATGTTGTTGTATGTTTCGTTGCGGGGGAAGATCAAGTCGACCTCGATCGTGGCAGGGTAGTCCACACCCAGAACTCGCGGTATTAGGGCCAGCCATGTGGCCGCCGTCATAGCGGGGATGCGCACCATGGTGGATGCTGTGCTGGTGCTGGTGGATGGGCACAGGGGCAGGCAGTACGGTGCACCCGGGGCGCTCTCTTGCAATTTATCTTTCCTCTCTTGCAGCGCGAGTCATTGGGGCCTCCTTGGCAGTTGGCTTTAGCGCCGTGGCATCATCCGAGTATCGCGAGTTGACCACTCGCTGGTGATCGAAACTCGTATTCGGTTTCCCCTCGTCCGAGTCGCGTCTTGGCCTTGCTCTCACTTTTCTTAAATCACGAGGCCTCAACCTGAGCCGTTCTTGAGAGCGGGCATTTGATGGCAGAGTGGAGATCAGAGCCGCATATGTGCGGGTCCATAGCTGATTCGCGTATCTCCAGAGCGCGATTCATCCCACACGCTGAGGCCTCAACGCCACAAGCCGCCTATTTGTTTGTCTGCAATTAGAGCCCTACGATTCGGCAGGTTCATCCTCGTCTGGTGATTTCTATCTATACCTACATACATAGCGAATGCCCACCGTAACCCCGCCCTTCTCCCACGCGGATAAAACACCGAATGTGAGCAGCGTCTGGAGAATCATGGACCTGGCAACCGTTGGCGGCCACGTCAAAGCGGGCAAGGGACACCGATATTGCGAGTCGGCAAGAGAATACGTTCTTCCGTGCCGTTTCCTTGCCACTACCACTTGACAGAGCGCGCTACAGCTCCAGGAAAGAACTCGGCCATGGCCAGAGATGACATGCATTTAGGAATGATGAAGCTTTCTAGCTAGCTAATCTCCAGATATAGCTAAATGGGATAAAAGAAGACATGTCTGCTAGAGCCTTTCGTGGAAGACAGAGGAGCGGGGCATCCAACACCATAAGCCATCGCGCCATCTCTAATGCCTGCATCAAATCAACCCTTACTTCTGCAGCAGGTCAGAGGGGAATGGCAGATACTGTTGGTAAGAACACAAGCATACGCCAAGCCGCTTGAGGCATGCTTGAGGCATACATATCGCAAAAGTAGGCGAGCTACCGAATGGGGAAGAGAGCCCCCCAATGCCATCTCGATGGAACGTGAGGCTGAAATGCTTACGCACTAGCTGGGATACATGCGACAGAGCTGACATTGCTGATCGATCATGCGGGACAATGCATTAGGGCGTCCAGCATTACATAGTTCTATTTATAGCTTGAAGCTACCATAAGCCAGAAAGTTTTGACATGGGTAGTTTGGTACCACGACTGTAGATTATTTTCCAACATATTCCAACGCCGGTGAACAAGTATCTCAACGTCAGCTAACCTTCTCTCCTAACTCCCCTACCTCCAACATCGTGTACTCGCTCAGTGCGAGATCCTGTAGACTTCGCAGCATCCTTGGTTCCACAAGTACCAGGCTTGGGTGGTCCGATATTAACCTCAAAGCTCCCAGCGCTATTGGGCCTTCCATCTATATCTGGTGTTTCAGCCTCTTATCCTGAACATTTACAGACTCTCTAACAAAGTCCGCAAGCATTGGAAATTTCCCACTTTTGCATAACGAGATGGTACTTGGTTCCAAGAGAATACAATGCACTCTAGAACCCCAATCCACCGACCAGCAAGATGATTTAGTTTCCCACTACCCAGCAAAAACGGGCTACAGATGGGCAGCACCCTGAGACCCGCGACGGCGACCTCAGTTCGGTACACCAGTTTCTACTCTTGCAATGTGGTCCACTTCCGCACAAGGCTATCCACGTCTCGCCCATCCAGCTGCACTCTAGGGCTGGAAGGCACAGATGGAAAATGGGGCGACCAGGCAACGGGAGGATTGAACGGAGAGGTGGGCTGTCCCTGCCGTCTGGTGGGATCCGCAGGAAACCCGTGGCTGGTGCGGAGTTGAAGTCACTCGCAGGTTGTAGTGCGCCTATTGGGCCGCAAATGATGCTGGGATTCGTATTAACGCTCGAAGTCGTATTTATGGATAAGTGGCTCCTGTGAGGAGCTCCGAGGGCTGATGCTGGGGGGGCGAGACGCAGGCCTATAAACCGCATCAGCAGACTGCTGTCGCGGGAAGAGCGGGCGGTCTCCTAACGTGATGGGATCCTGCTGGAGTTCGATATCTGCGGCGCGTTTCGCCTTTTCGCTTCGCCGCGCAAGGCATGGACAGCAGACGAGATATAAGCTCTTCAATCAAGGCTCGGTGCTTGGGTTCATTGAATGGGCTCCTTGAACTAGTGTGAGAAGGAGCCCTAGATTACCTCAAGGAGTGCCGTTACTGCGACTGAGACTTCATCCTGGCATAGATGATAACCTGCATCGTACACGGCAGGTTGCTGCGCATTTCACCCAGCCTCAGCTGAAGTCTTCAGGGTGAACCTGACGAGGCCAAACACACTCTGCTGTGTATCGGAGAGGATGCTTTGAAGTGTTTCGAATGCGTCGGTGCATTTTTTTATAATTTGGTTTACCGTGGAGATCGCATTCTGTGAAATCAACTGTTGTCCAGTATTCTCCTCCTCCTGAAATACTTTCCCTATGTCTTCAAGGACGGATGATGTGGACTTGACAGAGTTCTCTACATGGCTATTGCCGGATGGTGCCTCGTCGCAGAGACTGTATAGCACTCGGGCGAGTGCGAGTCCCACCGTGGCGACCTGGAGCACCGACGCGGCGACGGCGAAGGCTTCCATTGTTCTAAAGGGGATACGAGATGTCGTCTTGCTGCATGGCAGACACAGGGAGGTCACTTTGGATTTCAGTCTAAGCAGGGGCGCCATCATTATATCAGTTCGACAGATCTTGACAAGGCTGTAAATGGTGGGAGTGCAGCGATATACCTGCGAGGGAATCTGATTGGCTATTTGTTCTGTTGACCAGGCAGCTTGGTACCACTACGCAGGAATGTAGGTGGGAGAGGGTTGTGGACACAATCTGGAGTTACCCCGGTCGCCGGAACTACCAGGAGTGAGTGTCTGTGCCTTGCGTAAGGGTCGGGGTTTTTTATGTCAATGTAGTAAATTCCGACAGACGGTCTGGGTCAGGATAGCTCCTAAGATCTGCAATGCGCCTCGCGTATCAAATCCAGCCGTCACTCGGACATGCAACCGCGGCCGAACCCACGCGAGTATCATATTCACCACCCATTCTCATCGAACTCTGGACGCCTCCACGAAACAGAAAAGGAGAGACGCGAGCGAAGAGAGAAAGGACCATAGACCAGCAGTACAGAATGGGTAGGTCGGTCCTTCCCAAACGGGCAGCGAGCAACCACAACAAAACCTGCCGACGCCTGACGACCGACTGCATTGCCCCTTCATCACCCACAGCTCTTAGCTCATATCCTACAGCATTTATTATCTCCATTTATACCTCCTTCGCCATGGAATGCCTTCTGCTGAAGCTTCCCCCCGAGCTGATTCGCTTGATCATCGAGCAGCTGGACACCGGCCCAAACCGCCGCGATCTCCTCACGCTCGCCCGTGTCTGCCACGCCCTCAACAACTACACGATGCCCGTTGTCTACCGCGACGTTACTCTACGGCTTGGGCAAGCCCGATTTCTGGAGGGCCTCCTTTCTCGGCGCCCGGGGTTGGCGTATCACATTCACACGCTGACGATCCATTACCATACCCCGGACGAGTCCGCGACTCGTCCTGTCCCCCCGCACCAGTTCCCACTGTACGCTGAGTCTTGTTCGATGATGATCCGGATTATGCGCGAGCTGCGGAGCCTCACCATCAAGGGATACGAGAGGGAGGGCGAATACAGGCTGCAGAAGATAGGTCTCGACGGGTTGAAGCGGTTTTGGTTCGCAACAAGGATGTTTCGAAGTATCTTCAACGAGGCGTTTTTGGGACACGCTTTGCAGAAGCTGGAATCATGTGTGCCGGCCGGTCCCCGGAGCAATGAATCTCTCCACTGACCTGCGGTAGGCAAACTGGATTTTAGTGACCGGATCTCGTGGTCACTGCATGATCGGTCAGCGGTCTTCATCCATCCTACGCTAAAGAACCTGACGATTCGCCACGCGACCATGGCCGACTTTCCCTATTTTGACCCGAGATATGCCAGATCTTCTGCTTTGGAGAATCTCGAGTTGATGTTCTGCGATATTGGTCCTGTCACGCTGGCCAAGGTCTTGACGGTCCCAAAGGCACTGCAGTCTTTTACCATGAAAGGATACAGGACAAGATGGACGCAGACATCGGCCAACTGGCAGCTCTATGTCGACGCCCTCGCGTACCAGCAGGACTCTCTGTTGAAACTGGATCTCGACTTCTTCCTCCCCGACAGAGGGCAATACAAGGTTTTCTCTCTGCGATATCTACCGCACCTGCAGGAGGTGAGAATGAGGCGCCAGGTGTTCTTCAACCGGTGGTCTGCCCGACCTACTGCAGCTCACGTCCTGCCCCACGAGATCCGCAGGATGGCCCTTTACGACGACGAGGATGAAATTACCAGAGCACACGAGAACTTTTACCTTGCCAATTTGAGGAACTGGATGAACCAAAAGCAGTTGCCCAAGCTAGAGTCGGTCCGCTTTGAAAGCGTCTTGACTACGTCGAAGCCAAGAGGGCCGTGGTGGCCGGATGAACTCGGCGGCCAGGTGGCATTTGAGCGAGCCGAATTGGTTGCAAGGGAAGAGTTTATACCGGGCTGCCGGTTCTGTGTGCATCCCTATGTTCCCCGTGAACCATCCGCTCAGTGAATGCCGCCATTTGTCGTGAATTAGTCACATCATCCACTATGAATATGCCCTGCCCTCGACTCTAGTTATAATTTGTTAGATAGCTATTAAAACCAACGAACTGGAAGATCTCATCTTAATTGAAGCCCTCTAGTACAGAGGTAATACACACTGTACCTGATAGACAGAGCCAACCATGGCCAAAGGCCAAAGCGAAAGTGTAAAGCCAGCGAGTAATCCAGCAACCTTGAAAAACTCTCCTTGCGGCAGCGGGAATCTCGAGTTGGAATACGACCAAAAGTAGTGAGAAGGATGGTCGCTGTTATTGTGTAGAACAGTGAGGTTCAAGTGACAATAATCATTCAGCCATTAGCGCGCTGCTAGTAGACCAGGAGACGGGCTGAGGTAGCATTGCTACTTTCTTACATGCACTAGTACCATGACTCACCCCACAAGTATAACTAGTTAACTATAAGTTACCCCGAGCCGCATCTCTCCGTCGCTCCATTCCATCTCGTGTCCAACAACCTCATTTCCCACACACCCGCAAAATGCCCTTTGAAACCCACCCCCTTAAACTCGAAGACCTCAACGAAAGCTTCCTCGTCGGAGAAAAGGCCTTCCACGCACACAACCGCCTCGTCTACACAGGCATTCTCTCCGATGCCTCGCGCGCAGTCCTCGTCAAGTCCCGCGAACCGGATTTCCCTGAGCCGGAGAATGTGAAAAACTTCAAAGTGCTCAATGAGAAGGGCGAGATCATCGCGGGGTCCCGCTGGTCAATTCAGAAACAGGACGAGGAAATTACCATCTCCGTCGAGGACGCCGTCAATAAGCGCATAAAATCCGAGATCACCGAGATGCGGCACGAGCTGGCCAGGAGCCTGTATACGATTTTCGCACAGGGGAAGCGAGACATCCTCGGCGTTTACGCCGACTCGGAAGCGCAAGCCCCCTCTACCTCAGACTCCACCGTCGAAACCAAGAAGATCCTCAAGTTCCCGCCACGCATCGAGCTCGACGTCCTCTATGTGCATCCGGATTACCAGCGGAAAGGGATCGCTTCGGATCTGCTGAAGTGGGGGTTCGAGAAATCCGAGCAACTGGGCTTGCCGATCTATCTCGAGGCCACGGCGGAGGGGAGGCCGGTTTATGAGCGGTACGGGTTCGAGACGGTCCGCGTGGAAAGGTTCGATGCGAGGCCGTTTGGGGTTGATGAGGAGGTCGAGTACGCGGTAGGTTTCATTCCAATCCTAGCTTATCTCCCAATCTTTGTGGTAGATAGAAGGCTGACAGGCCGCGTAGTTTATGATTCGGCCCGCGCCGAAGAAGGCTGGCGATGGTGAGAACTAAGAATGCAGCTGGGCGAGAAGAGGAGTTGGAGAGTGGAAGTGGTAGGGTAGGATGCAAGGCTGGGTCGATGCGTAAAGATGGTGGGAGTTCATTTCCAACGGTTGTGGCTGAACTATGTGGGCTATTCTGAGTTGGCCTGCAATGCCAAGTGAGGAGGCGGTACACACTTCACATACTAGGTATCTTCTATTAGAGTCTATGTGCTATAGCCTGCTTCTCCTCTTGCACTCCGAGGAAAATCCATGGCTCTCGTTCTACCAACTGAAACAGCCTGAAATGCCACACTCCCTTCGGCATACTGTATAAACCTTCAGCGTGCGTCCCACCTGTGATTGGTATGGTGATCCAGTTATCAGACTGGTGTGGACCTGGATCGAGCCTGGAATGAGTCACAGGGCGCATAGTACTGTTTCGCCAAGCGGGGCCTCTTTCTATCGCCGGGGCTCTGGCTGCGGGTGGTATAGTGCGTGCTTTCAAGGTTCCTTGATGGATCCCAGTGCGTATCATACCTGGAAGGCCATCAAGACCGGCCAAAAAGGGAAGCAACGACTGCGCCTGGCCTCAAGCATCCTTCGAGGATCAATTTTCTCACAAGCTCCACCAGACGATTCAGGCCTACCCTACTCTCCACTTGGCGATGTCTTATCAGGCTCTCCCGTCATCTCGTGAATTTTGTCGCACAAGTCCTTCATCTTGTACGGCTTGTGCACAATGTCGTCCATTCCGGCCTCGAGCATCTCCGCCTGCTGGTCCTGTCGGACATTTGCTGTCACGCCGAGAATGAGGATATGGCCGCCCTTCTCTCTCTCCAGATTGCGAATCTCCTTGGTTGCAGTGTTCCCATCCATTACCGGCATCTCCTGGTCCATCAGAATGCAGTCGAAAGCCTCGCGTTTCCAAGTCTCCAGCGCTTCCCGCCCGTTGCTTGCCTCCGAGACGTCGAAGCCTGCCATTTTGAGCCTCCGTGACACTATCCGCTGGTTGATGATATTGTCTTCGACGAACAACACACGTTTGCGCCCGGCGATTTTGGACTTTGCCATGATTTCGGGTGGACACTGCGCAGGTGCATGGGCATCAACGTTGGAGTGTGTCACCTTGGGCTCTGCCGTTGCCTCGGAGGGCTCGTTCCCGACTTCTTCAATCAGCTTCTCGGTGTGTTTTTTCCGCTCGTCACTTTGAGAGGCGACCGCGACTTCGTTGACGTGCTCGACGGGAGGCTCCTGTGCAAAGTCCGCCCCGGATGTGTCCCTGCCCACGTCCGGTGTCTTGTAGTCGAGCTCTCCGATCTGGACGCACAGCTCGTCAATTGGTGATTGGGGGCCGATCTGGGTCCACGCCTCTGCTTCGACACATCGCCGGACGGTGAAAAAGAAGCCGAATGTGCTCCCAACGCCTTCCTTTGAACTGACACCAATCTCACCTCCGTGCATGTGACATAGTCGGCGGCTGATATTCAGGCCGAGGCCAAATCCGCCGTATATCCTGTCGGTTTTAGGGGTTGCCTGCTTGAAGCGCTCGAATAATCGCTTCTGATGTTGATCGCTAATTCCAATTCCCGTGTCCCGAACCGCGACCATTATAAACGCCTTCTCGCCGTCTCCCCATTCCGGCTGGTTAGTGGTGTCTAACCGTAGCGCCTCCTCACTAGGCTCGAAGAACACCACGTTGGGTGGATACGAGGGAGGGCGCCGCCGACAAGCGCCCATGGAGACTCTTATTTTTCTCTCTTTTTGTGCTTCCGCTGTGAACTTGATGGCGTTGGAGACGATGTTGATCAGCACCTGTCCCATCCGGTCGAGATCTCCCATCACCCAGTCAAGGCCGGTCTCCACGTACGACTCGTCAAGCTTGTACTCAAACTCGATTCTCGACTTCCGGAGTTCCGGTCGAAACATGGTTAGCAGTGTCGACAGGTGCGTTTTGGGCTGGACGGGTTGTGGCCTCAGTGTGAGCATGGACGCGTCCAACTTGGAGAAAATGAGGACATCATCGATGATTTTCTTCTGGTGTGCGACGCAAAGGTTGATTGTCTCGGCGGCCTCTGCGATTTCGGCCAGCTGCTCTTTTCCCTTCTTCCGCTGATCTTGGACCGCTTCCATGATATCTTCGGCGCAGTGGAGGATGGCCGACAGAGGATTTCGAACTTCGTGACTGATCATGTCGATGAAGCGCTCCTGTTGCTGCTTTCGTTCCCGCGCGTCTTCTGCGATCATCTTCTGCTTCATCTCTGCCACCTTTTCCGTGGATATGTCCGTCACCATGCTGATCATCCCCCCGTTGTCACTCAGCCCGAATTGCCGCAAGTGCCCTTCACTCAGCGGCTCCAGCGCCAGCGCGCGCCATTCCTCCTTTTCATCAATCGTCCGGTATTCTGTGCGGAGAGCCGTCCGTGTGCTCAATGCCGTTTGGTAGACGTCTTCGACCCGACCGCGGTCATTGGGGTGGATTGTTCGCGATAGACATGCCCAGCCCGTCGGCTCTTGTGGTCCTGTAAAGTCCTCGAAGCGTTTGTTAACAAAGGCCCTCGTATCTTCGTGGTTGACGATGCAGACTCCGACCGGTAAGATGTCTGCCAGCTGCTGCGCAGTCATGTGTTCTTGCTGGTCAGGGGCCATTGCCAGGGATCTGCAGCCTTGGCCGCGCGACAGTAAGTGAGAAACGAGGAAAACCTATCTTGATCAGCGACACTTGTGCACAGCTGCCTCTCAGTGCAAAGTAGAATGCGAAGATCTTTTTTTCGGATGCGGCTCGACTGGTGGCGGTTGTGACGTCAATGGAATGTGATGTCAACGCTTCCCCATCCGGCGAATCCAATCCGCCTCCAGGGCTGGAACCTCAGGCGTAGTCATTGGTTCTATCCATCGGATACTTTACCCGGCGAATGCGTGGGATGCATTGAAAGCGCCCCTGGTTGGGGCCACGGATACTCCAGGGTCACTCGTGCTCTACCTCGGACATGTCGAGTTTATGGTCGGAGATGCCTCTCATCCCTAATGGCATCTATCAGGAGACTTGGTGACGAATCCATATAAGCCTCAGCGTAGGACGGTTTCTCGGTTATCGAAACATGTACTCTTGGGTCGCACTTGCCGACAATAGTGATACAGATTGACGGGGAGAGGGTGGGCTCCTGGCTCCCAACTGTCTTTATAGTGTCAATGGGCCCCAGATTGGATCTCCACCCGCAGCTTGGGCGAGCAAGTTGCAGTATTACATTGCGCAGTTTGAATAATCTGCTATGGTTCGAAAAGATCATTTGTCGCGGAAGCTGCTGCCGAAAAGGTACCTTGCGCTCCTCCTCTACGGTGTAGGCGTCGATTGCGATACCTATCGACTTCTGCTGGGGATGGTCATTGAACAAATCTGCTGTTAGGTATGGGCAACGGGAATTAAGCTGCCTGTTTCGAGGCCTCTCACTGGGGTAGTGCCGGCTTTATTCATTATCTTCTCTGTTCAACCCTTGACCTCAGGACCCATCGGACACCATCGAGAACCAGCCCGACCTCTAAGCCTTCACCAATTAGACCATACGTCAGTGTCACCTCAAGGGGCGATGTCAATACCAGATAAGAATCAAGATTTCGTCCAATATCGACCACCCAGATCGCCGTCTGCGTGCCGACTACTCCCACCTCGACCAAAGGTGGTGGTGCCAGATTGGCTTTGTACGACGCGGCACGACACGGAGACTTGCGGTTTTATTCGTCGATTAATATCAGACGATTCATTGATTGGAGAGCAGTGCTCACTTGAAGTTGTGTCACATTGCAGAGTGCAGATGAGCAATGGTGAGGTGAGCATGCTGCTTATCCGAGTTGGAGTAAGCAAATCAGAGGACCGAGCCATCGCCGACCCAGTCTTTGCTGCGCATCGGCTGCAGACATCCGAATCGATTGAGCCATTGTCCAGTGATTTATTGGAGTTTATAAGCAGTAGTGACACCCCGCTTCTTTCCTACGCCGGAATTCGTCTCGCAGCGTTGGAGAGACAATCGCCCAACATGGACACTCTACTCGAGAAGCTCGACATAACAAACCGCCCTGATGAATGGAAGATCGAGCAGGGTCTCGCCGCTCACAAACTTCCCATTCTGGATCAGAGTGGAGAGGAGGCGGTCCATATTTATCCGCCCAAGCAAAAACCGAGGGTGAAGGATGAGGAAGCCATCGCTTCCGTTGGGAACCGCGATGAGTTGTTCAAGAGGGAGCGAGAGGGATGGAAAGGGTGAGTACAACCAATTCCACCTTTACTGCACTGCCCTCGTTCATAATCAATATTCGACGCTGACTCTGGTCTTCCAGATATGTCGAGTGGGAAAACTACCCCGAGAAGAAGGCGCAGGCGCACAAGATCCTCACCTCGCAGACCTTTGATCCCACTCCGGACTTCATGTTCGGCCCCATCCCGGATACTAACCCCGTCCTGACCGGCGAAGACTTCAAGCAGTGGCATTGGGCTCTAGGTGGGGAGCTGGCCAGTGTTCCCGATGACTCGTGGGAGATTGTGCTGAAAGAAAAACACCCGGACATGCTGCATCTGCTGCAATTCCCATACAATGCCGAGCCTCCAAAGCGACTGGTCACGTCCAAAGCGATCACACCGAACCCGCTGCACTTTGTACGCAACCATGGCGGAATCCCGCTTATCGACAAGGACAAGTGGAGTCTCAGTCTTGACGGTTTAGTCCACAACCCCAAGACGTACACACTCGACGATCTCATGGATGAGTCACGCTTTCCGCAGATCGAGAAGGAGGCTACCATTCAGTGCTCGGGAACCCGGCGCATTGAGCAGATCACTAAATACGGCGGACAGGGCGATGAGGTACCTCAGGCACCGTGGGCTGAAGGCGCGATCGGCACTGCGCGATACAAGGGAATCAGCTTGAAGAAGCTGATCAAGGATTGCGGCGGCTTGGTCAAACCTGCAAAGCACCTTGAATTCTACGGGGCAGAGACATACGTCAAGGATCTCGAGGTCATGAACTACCTTGTCAGCGTGCCGTGGACCAAGGTGAAAGCCAACGAAGTCATTCTCGCCTGGGAAATGAACGGCGAGCCACTCCCCAAGATCCACGGGTATCCTCTGCGCGTCGTCGTGCTCGGATACATTGGCGCCCGCAGCGTCAAGTGGCTCTACCGCATCAAAGCAATCGAGAACCCATCGCTCGCACCCGTTCAAAGCAGAGAATACCTCTACTTCAACCAGCAAGTCGGCAAATACAACCAGCGCCCGACCGACGGAATTCAGATCCAAGAAATGCCCGTCAGTTCCGCGATCATGTCCCCCTGGAACAAACAAGCAATCATCCACAACGGCAAAATCCACTGCAAGGGCTGGGCCTATTCGGGCGGTGGCCGCTGGCCCGAACGCGTCGAGCTCTCGGCCGACGGCGGCTTCTCCTGGTACGCGGTGCCAGAAGAGAACCTGTCCAAAAAGGGCCGCTGGATCTGGCGCACGTGGGAAATCGACCTCCCCTGTGAGGTTGAGGGGTGGATTGAGATTGTCTGCCGGTGCTGGGATAACGCGATCAACACGCAGCCGCTGGAGGTGCGGGCGGCGTGGAATTGGGGGCTGCATGTCACGCACTCGGCCCATCGGATCAGTGTGTACAGTATCAATAAGAGCCGGGCGCTCACGAGGGAGCGCATTGAGACGATGAACAAGCTGGGCGTTCCGCTCGCGCCGCTAACGGAGTATCAGGCTGTGTCGAGTCAGTCGTGGGAGGAGTATAATGCGTACTGGAAGGCGCATGAGCCGAGGGATGTGGATGATTGATCATATCTTGATGTTGATAATGCTTTGATGAACCTTTTCCAAGTTTAGTTATATCCCATTTGTTTCTTGTTCCGTTCCGCTCGATTCTTGAACCAGTATCGGCTTAAGGACCATTTTGCTTGACATTGGACTGCAAGCCAGTCAGCGGATATATCCGCAAATGGAAGAGTAGCGCCATGGCGACTTGGAGGCTTAGTGGTCCAGCTTCTCGTCAATTCTGCATACGCGCGTAAACAGTCTCGAGGCTAGACGTTGAGGTCTGGTGTATGGCTCTAGAAAAGAGCAGAGCGGACCGTTCTTGAAAGTGGGCACTTTGTATTTTATAGGCCTTTGCCTACTTTGCCTCTAAATAGTGCAAATCCAGCATAAGAGCTGCGAATTAGCTTGGGTAGACCAACCATAGATCTCCAATTGACAATTGTCAACGGTCTCCGATGTGGACTCCAGGCCGGTGCACTACGCTCGGCCGCGGTAGGGGTTGTACCTCTGCCGGAGCTGAGCTCAAGAGTACCCTGAGTCGAAGTGGAGGCCTGGGGCAAGTCGTGTCTCTATTTATAACTGATGCTCTGCACAATGGTAGCGCTCCATTAAGGAGGTCTGTGGAGAAAGAAGAAAAAAAGATGCACATTCACTCTGTGTCAAGCTGTCCACTGTCCAGGGCGATAAAGTCCAAGGCAAGAAAGAGACTTGATTGCTGGGTGTCAGGAAACAGTATCTAGCGACTACAGACTGTCATCTGGCGCGATAATGGTTGCAATGTCTTGTGAGACACTCGAGACTGTGTCATGAAACTGGAATGGTGGGGATCCTGGTGTTGTTGACTCTGGCGCCTGAGGCTTGACATTGGCCTCGTGGCCTGGAGTCACCTGACACTGAGAGAGAGACACTGCAACCGAATATCGAGGCCTCAGGCCGCGGAGGAACAGAGCTCACTGTTGCCGGACCGTCAATCCGAGGAGGCACAATTCACTTGTGTCTCATGCTGAATAATAATGCAGGCTGTCACCCTGTGTTGCAACAGCGTAGTCACACCAGGTTCCTCGACGGAAAAGGAACTTGACGAAAATGATATTCCCCTTGGTTCCGTGTTGAGGTACTAAAGGGTTTCTCCCTTCGAGCTTCGTACCAAGAGTTGCAGAGGTTACCAGGAATTTTGATCAGGTGTTGCCTGGTGGACCTCATAGTCCTACAAAGGGGGTCTGGAGGGTGTGAAAATATATTTTTGGTGTACACATAAGGGAGCATTCTACCACCACCAGGACCTCGATTGAAACCACACGACCACCAGTATCGATCTCCTTACGGAGTAGTCTGGAAAACGACTTTTGGGTACAAACGGTCTCGGCGAATTTCTTTTCCTGCATCTCCAAGCATTGTCCAGGACGCTGCTGTGGTGTCGGATGCCCGGAAGTGCTGGTCATGTGATATGACGTCGTGGCTAATCGCCAAGGCCTCAAAGCCAAGTGGCGAACCCACCGTCGCCGGAAATAGCAAGCAGTGAGACAATGATTATTGGAAGATCAGTTGGGCAATGTGGAGGGAAGAAACAAGTGTCCATGGGACAGCGCACTGCGGATGCCCAATGGTGAGGTGTACCTGCAGTGTTCCTGCGCCCTCGACAGCAGTCACAGTGTGGTACACCAGTACCGTTGTGCCCCTGTCAGCATTGTCATGTTGCTTTTTGTGGGTTGCCACTTGCCGCCGTTTGTACTCCTGAACACTGGTTAAGCACTGACAAGTCTTATGCTATGTTTAGAGTGGATCTTGCTTCTCAAGCCAACGCGGCCGACCCACCACATTCGAGTCCAGACCTGGCGGTGGTGCCCTCCCTGCTTGCTCTGCTGCTTTGCTGGTGCTGCCTACTTCAAAAACCAGTCGCTCTCCCTCTGCTTTCTTCTGTACCTTTTCTTTCGCTCCTTCATCACTCACCCTCTTTTTTTTTTTGACCACACTCGCTATACAGAATGTTTTCCAAGACTCAGATTCTGGCCCTCGCTTTGGCCGTTGCCTCGGCCGAGGCCGCCTCCAAGGGCTTCAACTATGGAGCCACCAAGCCTGACGGCAGCGTCAAGGCCCAGGCTGATTTCCAGAAGGAATTCCACACCGCAAAGAACCTCGAGACCACCTCGGGTTTCAACAGTGCCCGTCTTTACACCATGATCGTAAGTTTCTTTGGCTGAACAGATGCCCTGGATCATGCTAACACTCCCACAGCAAGGAGGATCTGCCAGCACCCCCATCTCTGCCATTCCTGCCGCCATCGCCGAAGAAACAACACTGCTGCTGGGTCTCTGGGCGTCGGGCGGAAACATGGCCAACGAGATTGCCGCTCTCAAGGCTGCCATCCAGCAGTACGGGGACGACTTCACCAAGCTCGTTGTCGGTATCTCCGTTGGAAGCGAGGATCTCTACCGCAACTCGGAGATTGGCGTCCAGGCCCATGCTGGCATTGGTGTCGAGCCCGAGGAGCTCGTCTCGTACATCAACCAGGTCCGCGAGGCCATCTCCGGAACCTCGCTCAGCGATGCGTCCATCGGCCACGTCGATACCTGGAACGCCTGGACCAACGGCTCCAACGCTGCCGTTATCGAGGCCGTCGACTGGCTCGGTTTTGACGGATACCCCTACTTCCAGAACACCATGGCCAACTCCATCTCCGACGCCAAGTCGCTCTTTGACGAGGCCGTCGGGAAGACCAAGGGCGTCGCCAACGGCAAGGAGGTCTGGATCACCGAGACCGGCTGGCCCATCAGCGGCGACCAGGAGAACCTGGCCACTGCCTCGGTTGAGAACGCCAAGAAGTTCTGGGACGAGGTTGGCTGCCCTCTGTTCGACAACGTCAACACCTGGTGGTACATCCTCCAGGACGGCGAGGGCTCCTCCGTCCCTAACCCCAGCTTCGGTCTCGTCGGCAACACGCTAAGCACCAAGCCTCTGTTCGACCTCTCCTGCTCTGCTTCGCACTCCTCGTCCTCCGCCCGTGGCTCATCCAGCTCGACCTCCACTTCCACCTCTTCCTCTCCCGATTCCACCGGCTTCACATCCATCACCAGGACTGGAGTAGTTCTTCACCCGACCGGCAACGCTGGCGGCTCCGACCTTGGCTCGTCTGACTCGTTCCCCTCGTCCGGCTCTGGCCACTTCCCCAGCGGCGGCAGCATCAGCGTGACCCCCACTCCTTCTGGCTCCGCTACCCCTACTCCCTCTAGCGGCACTGGCGCTGGCTCTGGCTCTGGCTCTGGTTCTGGTTCCGGATCTGGTTCCGGATCTGGTTCCGGAACTGGCTCTGGCACTGGCTCTGGCACTGGCACCTCGGACGAGTCCACCAGCACCACCTCTGCCAACCCTGCCGACTTCACCGGTGCTGGCACCCGTCTGTCTGGATCCATCTTCGGCGCTGCTATCGCTGTCGCCGCTCTTGCGATTGCTCTTTAATTGGTTGACCACATGACTGGTCTGGACTGGTACTGGCACTGGCGCATAGGCGCACTGGATTGAGCCGTGATTGCTGTACTTTAAAATATCACATTACCTTCGTTTGTATCATTTAGGATCATCTCGCATAGATCGCGTCATTAATACAAAATATTTGACCACCACAACTTTTCGATTAAATGCCGAGCTGAAGAAACCAGCCAAGCCAACTTAGTCCATCCTGCGCCGATCCCCCTCTTAGCCCCCGGAGTCTGCCACCGCTTGGTGGACAAACTCCCCGCCGGAGATTTCCCCTTTCACTCGCCCACCAATGGCGATACAGTGGTCTTTGAATCTCCCCTGACGAGTTGTTTATCCCCCGCGACGGAGATCGGGTCGTCTGCCGCGGACTCCCGGAGCATCTCCAACTCGCTACGCAATACCCCGAGGAACAGCCGGATTGCGTCGAATTGTCCCTGAATTGTCCCGCGCACGTAACATGACGTGCCCGGAGCCTGCGGGGGAACGGGTGAATTCTGCAGAGCATAAAAGGAGGCCGGGGTTTCTGGGGAATCGGGGTTGTTCAGCAATTGACTCGTCAGCTCTTTACTTGCCCAGTATCGAGCCCCGGCGAGGCGATCGTCATAGTCATTCTTTTTTTTTTTTTCTCTCCCACGATGTGGTCTTCCACTCTCTTCCTCCTGGGCGCAATCGCCCCAGGTGTCCTGTCCTTACCCAGTTCGGGAAATAGTTCCTCTTCTTCGTCTTCGTCTTCGTCCTCCTCTGTCCCCATCCACTGGCTCGGCGAAACCCCATCGTACGCCTCCGGCTCAACCTTTGGCCTCCCCTGGCCCCAGGGAAAGCACTTTTACAACAGCACCGCCTTTAGCATCTCCAGCGCTTCCGGCGGCGACGCCATCGCCCTCGACTCCTGGGTCACAGGCTACTGGCGCGACGGGTCGATCAAGTGGACTGGCCACGCGATCCCGCCGCTCGAGAGCGCTGCAGAGGGGTACACCGTGACTGCGAAGCGCGGCCGATCGCAACCGGGCAAGGACGGGATCAAGGTGAAGGAGTCGCGGCGCGAGGTCTCGATCGACACGGGCAGCATCGCCGTCACGTTCCCCCGATCCGGATCGGAGATTGTCTCGTCGATCAAGAAGGGCGGCAAGGTCGTTGGCGAGAGCGGGAAGCTCGTTCTGCACACGCAGTCGGCCGTCGCGGACGATGTCGCCGCGCGCGCGGATACAAAGATCACCTATGCGAATTTCGCGAGCAGGATTGCGAATGTCACGGTCGACGCCGAGGCCGGCGGCGTTCGGGCCCTCGTCACGGTCCGCGGCACACACGCCCCCGTGGGCAAGGGCAAGAGTGCGTGGCTGCAGTTCGTCGTGCGCTTCTACCTGTACGCCAACTCGGACGCCATCCGCATCGTGCATAGCATTGTCTTTGACGGCGACGCCGAGAGCGACTTTATCAGCGGCCTCGGGATCCGGTTCAATGTCCCCCTCAAGGGCGAGGAGCTGTATAACCGGCATGTGCGGATCCCCGGCGAGGAAGGCGGGTTTCTGCACGAGGCCGTGCAGGGGATTACGGGGCTGCGAAGGGATCCCGGGGAGGAGGTTCGGACTGCGCAGGTTGCTGGCCAGCTTCTTCCGAATATCAGTACCTGGGACACCCGCGTCTCCTCGCGCATGCAGTGGATCCCCGCCTGGAACGACTATAAGCTCTCGCAGCTCTCCCCCGACGGGTTCACAATCCACAAGCGCACCAAGGCGGGCCAGGGCTGGGTTACGGTCCCCGGCGGGAAGCGCTCGCATGGGCTGACGTATCTCGGCGGCGCGACCAAGGGCGGACTCGCCGTCGGCCTGCGGGATTTCTGGAAGCGGTATCCCTCGGGTGTGGAGATTGCGAATGCGGGGGGTGACGAGGGGACCCTCACGGTTTGGCTGTATAGCCCTGACGCGCCGCCGTTGGATCTCCGGCCGTTCCATGATGGCATGGGCCAGGATACGTATGAGGAGCAGCTTGATGCGCTGGAGATCACGTATGAAGATTACGAGCCGGGGTTCAATACCCCGTATGGGATCGCGCGGACGAGCGAGATCTACCTGTACGCCTTCGACAGCACCCCCGACAGCGACGACCTCGCGACCCTGAGCGCAAACACAAACAACCCTCCCGTCCTCGTCCCCGAACCAGCCTACATCCGCGAGACAAAGGCGCTCGGCACATACTGGAACCTCCCCGACACGTCGAGCGAAAAAGCCGCGACCATCGAGTCGAACCTCGACTTCCTCGTCGCCTTTTACGAGGGCCAGGTCGACTCCCGCAAGTGGTACGGCTTCCTCGACTACGGCGACTACATGCACACGTACGACGGGGACCGGCATATCTGGCGCTACGACGTTGGCGGATACGCGTGGGATAACTCGGAGCTCTCCCCCGACTTGTTCCTCTGGCAGCAGTTCCTGCGGACAGGCCGCGAGGACGTCTATCGACTCGCCGAGGCGCTGACAAGGCATACGGGCGAGGTCGACGTGTACCACATTGGCGACTGGAAGGGCCTCGGGACTCGACACGGCGTGCAGCACTGGGCCGATTCCGCGAAGCAGGTCCGCATCACGCAGCCGCAGTACCGGAAGTACTTCTTCTACCTGAGCGGCGGTGACGAGCGCGTCGGCGAGCTCCTCGAGGAGGCACTCGACACCGACGAGACGTACGGCGTCCTCGACCCGCAGCGCAAGGTCCGCGAGGACGGCTGGACCCCGACCCCGGGCCAACCAACCGCCATCTCCCTGGGCACCGACTGGGCCGGGCTCGCCGGCGGCTGGCTGCTAGAATGGGAGCGCCGCGGGCCCCGGTGGCAGGAAGCACGCGCGAAACTCACAGGGACAGCGCGCGGAATCGCCAACTTGACCAACGGCTTCGTGACGGGCTCGGGCCTCTACGCCATCAACAACGGAACCCTCCTCCCACCCCCCGAGGACCCGAACAACGAGGGCATCGTCTCCGTCTCGCACCTCAGCGCCGTCTTCGGCATGCCCGAGGTCATCTCGGAGCTCTTGGAGTACTGGGGCGACGACGCCCCGCAGGGGTTCCGGGACGACTGGCTCGATTACTGCTTCTACTACGGCGCGACCAAAGCGGAGCAGGCGGCGCGGTACGGCGAGAACTTTGGATCGCTGAATCTCGTGCAGGGCCACTCGCGGCTGACGGCGTACTGGGCGAACCACGAGGGGAATGCCACTGTTGCGCTGCGCGCGTGGAATGCGTTTTATAATAACAATGATGGGTTCACGGCGGATGAGCCGTGGGCAGCCGAGGTGCTGAACGGGTCGGCGGTGCTGGTGGAGACGGAGGAGGCGAGTTGGGTGTCGACCAACGCCGTTGCGCAGTACGGGCTGGCGGCCATTCAGAATCTGGGGCTGGTTGGCGAGGAGCTGGCGGGGTCGCCGTACCCTTGAACTCGGACTTGATTCCGACGTTTACCTTTACTTTCAACTTCCCTTTTACTTTGTACATATGAAGTTCGGTAGTAGTGCGTTGAAAGAAGATTCGTTTGCTTTTGAGGTGCATGTCGCCGGTTGGGAAAGTAAAAGTAGCCGAGGTGAACTTGAGCTGCGGAGATGAATCCATATAGTCTACAAGGGATGATTGAAGAATATTAATTCCGACCGGCTCTACTTACCTTATCCCACCCATGTTGGGATAATGCGGGGTCCGTAAGGGATGATCTGATCTGTCATTGTGGCTTTCCGTGCGTCGTGGCTGCGAGAGAACTTGAATCCTTGACTGGGTCTGGTTAACCTCATAGGTAGATAGAGCATTGACAGCAATCACGGATTTCAAGTGATAACTTGCATGCCCTGAAGGATCCAAAGGCCTCTCCTCTGGTCTAGACTCGGCGGGCGTGGTCGGAAGTAAGTTCCTAGAATACAGTGGCTGATCTCACCCCGCGCATGCGAGAGATAAAGTTCAAGGGTCCGACATCAAGGCAAAAACTGCCGACTTGGTCTGCTATTGGGAGATGCTCATTCGTCCATTTGAAGAATTCAGCTGCTGAAGGGACCTCAAAAACGAGGCACACTGGTCATTCGACCACTCAGTCGAGCTGATGGCAGCCATGGTTGGGATTTGGGTTCTTCAGCTGTGAATCAAGCAAATGATGGATATGAGGAGCTGAGATCTTGGTAGAGCTGAGATCGATCCCCTGGCCCGTGCTGGAGCAGCGCGAGGTATAAATTTCCCCAGCTCACTGCTCCAATTGACCATCTCCATCTCCATCTCCATCGCCATTCCCGCCCTCCAACCACCAAAGCATCAAACAGAACACGAAGACCAACCAAAATGGCCGAGATCCACTACCAAAACACCGTCCGCTTCCGCACCCAAGTCAACGGCACCACAAAATACGTCACCCTCGCCGTCGTCCCCGCCGAATCCGGCGGAACCTGCTGGCTCACCCTCACCGATGAACCCACCCCGGACAGCAACTTTCTCATCCGCGAGTGGAACTACAGCAACGATCACCGCCTGCACTTCAGCGGCAACGACCGCGCCGATACACCCGACAGCGGCGGCAACTTTCGACTCCTGCACCTCGACACGCGGCCCGTGGGCAATGTCGGCAATGACTACTGCGTCTCGATGACTATGTATCAGCCTATGGTCACAATGGGGTATTGGGGCGTGAGCTGGGGGAGAGCGTATGACCTCGAGACGTTTGCGCTGTTTGCGACAAGGTGGCCAGACTCGGATGGCGGGGTTTGTGATGGGGATCCCGTCAAGATTCGGAATCTGATCGGCGCGAAGAATCCCGCGCCTGTGGGGAGTATTGGGCATTTCCTCACGGTGCGGGAGATTGATGGCGAGTGGAGGGTGATCGGCGAGTATGCGACGTATGATGCGGGCCAGGAGTTTGTTATTGAAAAGGTTGTGCAGGAGACTGCGTAACTGGGGATATATACCGAGAGAGATCATGGATTGATGCTATAACCTCGCCCGCTCATCCCTGTGTATAGCCCTAACAAGTGCCTCTGCAAACTCTTTTTCCTTATAGACATACCCCATATGCCCGCCCGGAAACCTCGCAAGCGATACCCTCAACCGCCTCGACAGCTCCACCATAGTATAACTCGGAAATTCCGGGGCACCCTCATCCTCGCCCACAACAAGGATAAGCTTCCCGCTCTCCCTCCCCAGCGCCTCAATATCCGGAGCAAACGACGCCCACTCCCCAAACTCACGCTCAAAGTATAGCGCGAAGAAATCCGTTTTGAGCGTTGCCAGCTCTCTGTATAGTGCTGTTCTGCCAAAGGCTTCTCTGTCAGCCGGACTGCCGATCAGGGGCATCATAAGACGGTTCGCGGCCGCCGTGCCCTTGTTGTGATATACGTGCAGGATTTCCGCGACTGTCGCGCGGAGCTGCGTAGCCCTCTGTGATGGGAAGAGCGCGACGAGCGTGGGCTCGTGCAGGATCGCCTTGATTACGAGCTCTGGGTACCTGGATACCAGGCTGATAGTGATAATAGCAGCCCAGGAAGATCCAAAGATAATCGCGCCCTCCCCGTGAGTGAGATGCGTGATGAGCGCGGCGAGATCGTCCGCGTGTGCGGTAATCGCCTGTCCAACTGGAGGGACAATCAGCGACGAGCTGCGACGAAACCCGCGCCGGTCGTATGTGACGACACGGAAATGCGTGGAGAGGGTGGTTGCTAGGCTGGTGAAGAGCATCGATGTCCCGTGGCCGCCAGGGACGAGGATAAGGAGTGGCCCCGAGCCTTGGATCTCATAGTAGAGTGTGGCGCCGTCGGGGTCGAGGGGGAGGGTGTGTGAGCAGAGTGCCATTTTGATAGCCGGAAAGAGGTAGACCTGGCATTTGTTTGAATATCTGTTCGATCTCTATCAAGCAAAGTGATCAGTGGCATTATGTATTTGATCCGCCGGCCATGCGAACCAGTTGGATGCACGCCCCACTTCATCGTCTGAAACCCCGAGATGGGCGTTAGGGCCTCTGGGCACCGCGAACGAGTGGTCAGGGAGTGGAAGGATCGCGACAACGCGAACGATCGTATTGACGTGGACCCACCCCATTGGTATAGGGAGCAATCCGACGGATCTGGATCCTGCAAGCTTGTGCCTAGCCTCACAAGGTACAGCGGGAAGCCCGATGCTGTGACGCCAAGGGTGAGACTGAATACTGGCGCAGCTGGACTCGTTAGAATTTGCGATGTGGAGAAGTCCTGAGAGGGTAGAATTTAGAAACAATTGATTCAGGTGCAAAATGTCTAACATGTACGCTCAGATAACCCCCCCGATCTAAATGATTTCTGCATCATCTCTATTATTTTTCCCATTTAAGCCTTTTCAATACTCGCCTTGAGTCTATATTCCCAATCGCTGGCTGGAGCCCAGTATGTTGAGAACCACAAATGGAATGAGTTCCACGGGTAGACGAACCAGTTCTTGTCTGTGCTCTTGTCGATGAAGTACTGGAAATCAAGGGTTAGTCCTAAGTCGCAAGCCCAAATAGGGAAATAGGGAGGGGATTGCACATACACTTCCGCACAACGTACTATGCACTGTCTTATCAATCGCCTCATGCAATCGCGCATCGTATTCCCTTTCCTTATCAACTCGGACGTCAACGGATGCAGCCTGATGGTGAAGAATGGGTTGCATTGCTTTGAGAACCATCCCCACCTCGCTTGGAATCATTAGCGTTGTATTACGGGATACTAAGTACAAGAAATAAGAAATGACAAACACACCTCTCGATAATCTGAATCGTAGACGTATACAGCCTCCCTGAGTTTGGACCGAGGATGTAGAAGAAGTTCGGGAACCCGTGCATCGCAATAGATTTGAACGTCGCTTTGTGTCCGTAATCACTCCAGTGCTGCTCGCGGGTTTTTCCATTGCGGCCCTGAATCGGGACTTCGTAGTGTGTGAGGGCGAATCCGTTGGCGAGAAGCTGAGTCAGTTAGTTTCGATTCTGGAGAGGAGAAATTGAGGAGGTGGGACGTACGATGGCGTCGACATGGATCTCTTCGCCTGAGCGGGTGATTACGGAGTTGCATTTGATTTCGACGATGGAGTCGTCTGTTAAGCGCATATTTGGCTCGTTGAGGGAGGACAGGTAACCGCGGTCGAAGATTCGTCGCTGCAGGGGTTAGCCACTGCGAAATAGTTTTGGTGATAAGAAGCCTTACTCTGCATCCGAACTCGTATTTCGGGATCAAGAGATCCCAATATGATGCTGCCCCCTCGGTTAGGAAGAGATAACGGAGATGTAGTGGAAAGGGTCATACCGGGCGCCGTGTCTTGGACATACTTCCGGCTCTGGTTCTCAACCGACTTTCGTCCAATTTCTCCTAAGCGGTTGTTCTGGAATCGGAACCATGTGATTTCCATCCATAGAAACAGGAGGAAGCGGATGAGATAGAGTAGGAGAGGTATGCGACGGAAAGCATCTCTCCATTCGGGCGAGATCTGGTGATTTGTTGCGTCGACAATGTGGTGGGGTGACTGGTCGTCTAGGTTAATCTGGTGACCTGAAAAAGGCGAAAAGGGTACTGACTCTCATAAACTGCGTGACGGACTTGGCTTGGTGGACGATTGCAGGGACCAGCTGTGCAGCAGAGGCTATGCTAATTAGCGGGGATGGTGATGCGAGCAGCAGAATGCATACCTCCATTCCCAATAACGGCAACATGTTTGTTCGTAAGATCAACTCCTTTCTTCCATCGAGCGGTATGAATAATTTCTCCCTGAAACGTCTCTGTACCGGGAATCTTCAACTGCTGAGGATTGACCAGACCCCCAACAGCGGAGATCAAAATCTGACATTCCTGCATAAAAGCCTGCTTGGTCTGAACATCCTGAAAGCTGACGGACCAGGTTTGTGACTTATCACTCCATGCGGCGCCGGTCCACTCCACATTCCCTGTAAAGTGCTGGTCCACGTGGTATTGTTTGACGACATTCGTAATATACCCGAGAATCTCCGCCTGCGGAGGAAACATCTGGGTAAAGTCGGGGTTCGGGGCAAAGGAGTAGCTATAGCAGAAGCCAGGGATGTCAACGGCACAGCCGGGGTCTAGAGGGACGTTGTCAGGGGTATCCTTGTCTGAAGAAATGTGGGTGTGAGACAAACATATATTGGCCAACCATGTGCCGCCGAGTCCGGCCTGACGGTCGTAGATGTGATAGTTGTCCAGGTTGTAGTCTCGCTTCAGGCGGCAGGCCATGGCGATTCCAGATACTCCCCCGCCGATGATGATGACTCGGCAGGGTGTTCGGGATGGGAGAGCCATGGTGAGACGAGGTGGGTAGTGGAAGCACGACAGAGTAGAGTATGAGGTCGTGGGAAAAAGAAATCGTGTATCCAAGTAGAAAAATCAGCACTCTAAATATGGAGGCGAGCTGTCGAAGAAAACATCCGAACGGTAGGGCCTGAGACGCGGTTTAAAGGTCCGAAGAGAAGGATTTCGCTAGACCCGATGCCAAAACATCTTCTGTCGAACAACAACAAGATACCAGACAAGCTGAGTATATCGGGCATACCGAGTCCCGAGCCCCAAGACCTAACCAGCCTAAACAAACCGCAGGTCAATTCCGAAACCGCCGAATGGGTTCGTTGGCTAAACGAGCAGGATCGTGGCGTTCGTAGTTCCTCAGCGGGGCCAATCACAACCCACCGCTTGTTTTTACTAACCATCACTTCCAGCATCGTGGTCTGCGCCCAGATTTCAGTCAGCCACACAGCCATGACGAAAGGTTCTGCTGGTGTCTTCAGCCAGCCCGTTGGCTGCCAACTGAGCCGGACTGACAGCTGTTATAGCCGGACGTGCGCCACGCCTGGAGTGTGGAGATCATGTCTCTGCATTCGCTGCCTGATTCATGCGTCTGCAGACGAGATAGAACACTTTTTCTGCAGCGTCTGAAAATTCAGCTCGGACATGCCGGAGCCAGGCTCTGTTATGAATCTTGCGCGAGGTTTGTGAGATTGCCCATGGGTTAAATAGAGTGTGGACGAGCCGTTCGATTTCGGGGCCATTGGTTGCGGCGAAACCTTACCAAACACCAAAACAACACCATGAATCCGACAGACGTGGTTCTTGTTCTGCTGTACCTGGGCCATCAGGCCCAAGTCCCAGCCTTCTGGACAAGAGCGTTCCTGGGTGGAGCTGGCCTCCTGATCCTTCTCACCGTGCTTTCCCTGATGGTGATGCTCGCAAGAGCCGTTCTCACCTCTCGACAATTGGTTTCCCTCTCGGACAAACCCCTGAGCGTTATTGGTAAACCGCTTCTCTTCCCAGTCAACTTCATGCACATGCGCCTTTCTCCAGTGAAGGACAAATTCAGCAATCGCTTTCTCATCGTGGGCGTACCAGTTGGTCTGCGGTGCCGCATCGGAAACTTGGTAGCTGTCGACGACAGCTCACTTGATGTTTCTCCAGCTCCAGGAGACGAAAAATGGTTCTGGAAGCGAATATGGTCGCACTTGAGTTGTTGGTGGACCATCGATGCCGCAAAACTGCTGCACCGCGGCGATCATGGCGTGGATTTGAGGAAGAAGTTGGATAACTTTCTCATGTCGCAGGTAGATACTAGATGTTCTATCCCGAATGAACGGATGGCTGACCATACCCCACCTTCGCAGAATGAGGATCCGGCGCAGTGGCCGTTCGCCTACATGATGAGCGTTCCTCAGTTTATGGGCTGGTACCGCAATGTTGTCAGCTGGTGGTATCTGTACAACGAACAGCGCGAACTCGACGCGCTTATTCTTGAGATCAATAACTCCTACGAAGAGAAGCGGAACATCCTCATACGGGTTCGACCGACATCGGACAAGCTCAGCGCTCTGCCTTCCTCGCCAAACGCCGAGTTCATTGACGATCGTCAGCTCGTTCAGTCACTTCCGTCGGAAACAAGGGCAAGATTCTATGGCGGCGAGTGGTACAAGTACATCTTTGCGTCTCCATTCGAGAAAGTCGATGGGGTCGTTTCGCAGCGGATGATGGATCCGTTGAAGCGTTCTGCGTGGACGTCCAAGGCGTCGTTTTCCAATATGACCACGCTCGATGAGACAGGACAGGTACGAATGGCGACTCGCTTGGTCTGCGACGGGCCGCCGATCGATCCAATGCAAATGAGCAATTGGGACGTGATCAAACTCGTCTTCCGCATGACCCTCCCAGGCATGCTCACCACGGCCGAGATTGTTATCAAGGCCTTGCGTATCCGCTTTTCTGGTGCAATGCAGATGAACAAAAAGACTCCTGTGCGAAGTGGCAGTGTCGGGCGGCATATCACCAAGATGGAACTGTATGTGTACCGCAGCTCTATTTTTGACACCTTGCTGACCTCAACCGCTAGTGACCTAGAAACCATCTTTCGCGCATACCTAGCCCGCTGTATCGCCAACTGTCCCGAGCCAGTGAAACTCACGTACCTCCCCTGTCGGTCATTTACCAACGATGTGGTCGTCATGCAGTCTCCCGCATCGCTTGGAAAGCACGAGACCAGCTTGCGTCACCTCAGCGTCGAGCCAGCTGACCCCGCGTTTTATACCCGGTTCATCAACTACAAGGATGTCCGCTCGGCGATCGAACAAGAGACGAAGGAGACTGGGTTACCCGCTGATCCCACGTCCCGATACCTCATCGTCTCTGATGTTGAGCTGCTATTGTCGGTACTGGAGTCGGGACCATATGAAAAGGCAGACCTGTGTGAGTCTTCAACTGCCTCTCAGAAGCACAGCACAATGCTCTCCACATGCCGAGGAACATCGGCGTTCATGGATGAGTTCGCCTTATCGATCCTGGACCCATCGTCTCGCACTGTGTACATGGCCGCTTCTTTCCGTCTGTCCATGGCGCGAAGACTGGCGTTTGGCTCACTCCGTTTGTTTCGTATTTTCAGTTCCGTCGCGGCTTTGGTTTCCCAATGGCTGCTCTTGGATGGTCTTTCGTTTGTCTGTGGTAGAATCGCTGTGGACAAACTGACTGGCTCACATCTGGACCCTCGGTGGACAGGGACTGCTGGTATGCTTCTCGGGTATGGCTCCGCCATCACGGCGGTTAATGCGCTGAAAAAATGGGCCTTGCGATAATCGGCGATAATCCATACAAGGCGTTCTTGTATCATTCGCCGAATGGGAGGATAGATTCATTCGTGTGGAAGGAATGCCCAGTTTTGGAAAAGATTAGGCTTGCTCTGTGATTGTCGTGTCTTCAGAGTAACACAACCGCCGTTCGTATTTGTGTAACGCTTGCAACCATCGCCTCCCCGGCGCTTGAGTCTGGATAATCCCGACTGCATCCGGGGCCTCGATTGGTGCGGACTATTTTGAGCTCCGGCGAATCCGGGACACCATCTCGAGGTCGAAGTGCCAGAAGACCGGGCATGAGGCTGCACTAATCAGCCGCTCCGATCCTTGCAGCTGGTGATGCTAGAGCCATCAATGGAAGAAAGACGGCCACGTGTTATTGGGTGAAAGCCGTGATATCTCGATCGTTCCAGGCTCAGCTGGACGGATTGCCTTGATTGGACGAGAGACGTTCAGACTGGCCCTAGGAAAAGTTAAGTGTCTGGCTGCTGGAGGGTGTAGACTACTCGGCATGGAGCTGTGTTGTCTTCAGGCAGCCACAATGCAGGTTGATGAAGTAGTCGTTGGCTGGAACAGGCTTCCGAGACGGACGTGATAGATCATCTTCCGATAAGATTCGTCTTACCTGTTCAGGATATTAGCGACGAGACTCAACAATGCCAAGGCTTGCTTTCAACTTCCCATACCAGCAGGAGCTGGGTCGTTCCATGCGTTTTCCCTACATCTTGCGTCAAGTGTCCGCGACCAAGGAGAGAGGCGCCTTTACTTTAATAGCGGTATTGACTCGAACCCGGAATAATTGAAGTTACATTCATTAGAGCCGATTAGAACACAAGGGGCCCATTAAGGCACCGAATCATAACCCCATATGCAGCGCCAAGTTCACATCGGATCCCCACAGTATGTGGAAACAAAAGACATCAGAGGCAAGAAAACATTGGACTCGCCGTCGAAGCCGAGGACACATGCAACAGTCTAGCGAATCCCAACACCGGCGGAAATCGCCTTACAGCCGCCCTAAGGTACCAGGTATCCGCCATCCAAGAAATATGAAAATGTCATATGTCCCATCAGTCAACCCATTCATAATAAAGCTAGTGTTCGAAATACCATACCGCGTCGTCGTTAGGTTAGTATCCGCTGAATATCTTCAAATTATCGTCGGGGTTTAAATGGATATAGGAAACAGGCCATGGTATGGGTAACCGTCTCGAAATGCACTTCAATGCGCGTCTAGTCCGCAACAACCTCACTGTGCTCGCGGCGTTCCATGAAACTGTACCAGCAGGTCGAGTTACCGTGGGTAATGTGACAGTTCCGGTCATATTGTTAGATGACGTCCTTATGCCAATACTCGTGATCAGGGTCGCGGCCAGGGAGCCATCGTCGGCTGCAGCGACGACCTTCCAACACGGCTTAATTGCAGTACGGCGAATATCGCACAGGCTATCTCGAAGACCTTTCGGGATTCCCGATATGGGTTGAATCTCAAGGGCGAACCTGGGAGAGCAGTGGGCTGTGTCCAAGTCAGCGCCACGCATATCGGCCTGCAGTGAAAGTGGATTGTCCTTCCAGTCCTGGCCTTGCTTTTGGGATGCCTTGTGCTTGCGGGGACGTTGTGGAAAGCTCGACGGACGGGTTTGCCCAGGTGGAAGAACGATCCGTTGCCGGGCGGTTGTTGTTCTTACGCGATGGGCAGCTACTTGAAACGACAACCTACTCAATATGCTGTCGCCTGCACGTTCTCATCAAATTGCTAGAATTATTCAAGAATAGCCACCCGCTGGAGAAATCACTCTATAAGTTAAGCGAAGCAATTCCGATCTTGCTAAGCATGTCATAGGTGGAGCATTCACTAATTTCCACAGGCACATATACCCTATATAATGGGCATCGGCTCGCGGGGTGCTCATGTACGAAGTATCATCGCTGGGTCCTCTGAAGAATATTGCGACGAAGCAGCATCATAAGCCAGGCAACGGCCTAGTCAGTCCCCAGCATCGCTGAAGCAGGGTCAGCCGGTATGGAGGATGCGAGCTCGGCAGCCTCCTGGTAGGCTGCAAATAGGTTCTGAAGCTCTTTGTCCTTAACCAAACTGGCCGAGTTATAAGTTGTGCTCGTATTCTGCACAACCGTGTAGTTCGCCTCAACCAAGTCCCTCTTCTCGAAGCCACAACAAACGGGTGGGATAACGCAGGCAACAGGGGCAGTTTCCAGGTTTCCGTTGTACGCAGATATACAGAACTGGAAGTTCCAAGTCCCTGGGAACAGGAAGTAGATCTCGTGTGATGTTTGCGTCGTTGTACCACCTCGCTCGAGGGCTGTGTTGTCCCTTACGCTTCTGGTATAGATACCATACCCTGAAGCGCCAGCGGCCGCATTCCACTCAAGCCGAACGGTGGTTGCATCAATGTTGGTCACCCGCAGTCCGGTAGGTGGTGCGGGTGCCCAGGATCCGGCAATGAATTCTCTTCCCTCTGCAGGCAACCCACCAGCTACGACGTATTGCCTAGTCAAGCTTCCAATCATGCCAACATAAGTCGCTACCCAGATGCCGTAACGTGAACCCGATTTCAAGCCCTTGACAAGCAAGCTCGTGTCCTTTGTGGGGTAAATTGTGATGAAAGCACCCTCTGTTGATTTATCCCAGGCAAGGACACCGTATCTATTCACGTTGTATCCCGTAACCGCATCCCATCGCACGAGGACGTCGGTTCCCTGAGGCTCAACAATGATGTTTGATGGTCCCGGGGCTGTCTTGATATTTGCTGTGACCGAGCTCAATGCAGACCAGGAGGAGCGGGCATCGTTATCGCCCTTGGTACGGACCTGGTACTCCCACGTCTGTCCGTTGATCACCCATGGCGACCAGCTTCCGTGGGTAGACGGGTAAACGTCCCCCTCGGACCACCATCCCGTCGCACCCTGGACCCGCGCACGGATCTGGTATCCACGAGCATTCTCGACTGGGTCCCAAGTGGTAAAGAGCCCCTCCGGATACGAGACTGACCTCACATTACCCGGCGTGCTCACAGGCCTGGAATCAACTGCATCAGGGACCGAGAACTCAGTCCCGTCATAGTTGAAATCCCTCTGCAAGACTCGCGCAAACGCCTGCGCAATATGGTACTCCCCGCGAGCGTTAGGATGCAACCCGTCATATCCATCCGGGCAGCCGGAAGGCCGGCAATCATAATCGGTATTCACATCAACATACGCAATCGGAGACTCCCACCGAAACCAATTCGGCAACGTATCCCGGAGGAGTATGTTGTATCTGTTGGTATTATCAACGAGGTCCTGCCTTCCGCCTATGAAGCTGCGGTGGACCACGTTGCCCACGAGAAGCCTGATATCTGGTTTCGCTTCGCGTGCAGCCTGCACTAGGTTGCCCATGTCACCGATCAGGCCCTCGGGTCCACTCACAAACCAACCGAGGTCGTTGAAGCCAAGCAAGATTAGGAGATAGTCGGGCTGGTGCTCGGAGACCCATGCTTTGATCGTGTGCCGCGACTGTGCGGCTTGACGGCCCCACCATGCGGCATGGCCAGTGTTGCGGAAACTTTCAGGTACACCGGAGGCGTAGGAGCCTGTGCCTTCTGGGAAGGGTGCTGGCGGCTCTTCGCCTGGTAATAAAGGGGCAGTGGGTTGGGAGACGGCGATTGGTGCGTTGGCGTGTGTTCCCTGCCAGGGTCCAACAAAGTGGTGGATGTACCCGTTCTTGTCCACTACAAAAGCACTGTTAGATTCGAATACAATGGTGCAGAAGGAAATGCGACTTACACCATTGACTGAGTCGGTATCGCCAAGTCCAGTCGTCCTCCATTCCATGTGAAATAGAATCCCCGACCACCATGAACTTGGCCTCCTCGTTTGGTATAGTGACATAGTCATCTGGAATATCATCGATGCAGGGAATTGCACAGCTCCCTCCCCATACAACGCCGCCTGTCGAAAATTGATCCCGGACGCCCGAGGAGCACAGTCCTAAGCAATTCTGTCCACCAGAATATTGGCAAGCCGAAACGCGGCCCTGGGATTCTTGAATGATGGCCATTAGATGACAGGCGCTAATCAGAGAAAGCCAGTAGATGAAACTCACCCCAGGTATTAATGGCGATCCTATAACCCTTCCGATAGAAGATATACTGCGGGTTGCACAGGCCCTCGATAGGGCATTTCTGGGTATTCGGGATACCGCCCCAGGCGACCGTATCAGTTGCCGTAAACTGGACACTGTAAAGCCCGATTGCCGGATCTCCCTCGAAGAAATGGACCGGTGGATCAGTGCTGCTGGGGTTATTCCATCCAGCGCTGTCACGATTCAAAAAAGTACCAGTTAGTGCGCCGTTCCTCGCGTGACTACCTGCAGCCTTGCGGCTACTGAATCGCCAGGTCAGTCGGGAACTCACTTTATCTTATTTTCCGCCGTAGGATTCCCATGGTCCTTAGCATATGTCCGCAGAATCTCATTCCCTCCCCCATGAGTGCTGAAGAACGCACGACACCTTTCCCTACTTTCCCAAACGATGTCGTCCGACTTGAACAAGCCCAGGAGCGCATCGAGGACCTTTTCTAGATTCTTGAGACCGAGTGTGGTGAGAAGCTGGACGCCCAGGAGCCCAAAGACTTGATACACGCGTTTGTCGTGCTCGTGCAAGGACTCGTCATTGTGCTGGCTAAGATCCGTCGTTCGCTCCACGGGTATAACTTGCCCAGCGTTTATCCATTCGATAGCCTCAGCGTGCATCGCGGAAAGCACTGACAGGCGACTTGGGTCGGTAATTAGTTTGCCGCCCATGGGCCCAGCGTAACTCGGTTCCCATTGTAAAGGTTTAGACTCGTTACTTGGAGGAGCCGCGGAGCCTGGGGAAACTAGCGGCAAGAGAGCGAAAACGAAAGGGACAATGATTCTCCTCATCTTGCTATGGAATGGACCAGAGAAGAATTGCATGTTGTCCCTAGGTAGAGGGCAAGCGTACCGTCGCCTGCAATTTATAGTAGAACTCTCATTGTGACGAAAAGAAAAGCTCTCGGGCCTGGTCCTCTAAGCTTGGGCTTTTCAGCCCTCAACTAAAGCCAAAACTATCCATATTTTGTGTTTTATTCGCCCATATGAGCTGCGTGCAGAGTAGCATGAGATGTAGCCAAGCCGCTAAGGACCCTGCCAGCCTCGTATTTTTAATATCAGGATATTAAGTTATTCAGCTCAGCCTGCAGAACCAATCAATGTCTGGTAGTAATTACTTCCCGTGCCTGGTAAGGCCTGGCCTAATCCTTCCTGGGACGCCAAGATCGTCTAGAATCTTCAAGCGAGTCACGGTGACTATGGAGAATGACCTCTGGGAGCATCCACCGTTCAGCTCCTACTAGTGACTGTGCCAACCTTGCACGGCAAGTTGGGAGTTAATCTTACTTTCAGATTATGAGATTACGTTTCTTATTCTTACGGCTTTACTCGGGGTCTCCTCCGGGCTGACAAGGAGAGTTCGCCGTCCTACTGAGATTACGCATTTCATCTCTGACAGCGAAAATGCCCCGCGCTATGTTGGATCAGAAAATCGTTGGCTCTGTGTCTGTGTGCCTGGCGGTGTTTGGAGAGACCTGTTCGCAGGACTATCAGCGTTCCAAGTTGTCCATGTTGTGTTGTAAGTTGTTGAAAGTGGGGCTTTGAGCGGGTCCATGCATCCTCGAGTCATCTCTGTGGATGGCACGGTGGGTATGGGCCATCGCCAACAGCTGGCTGATATACAAAGAGCACTGCCTTCTATGTATCAATGAAGGTTCAAAGGAATGGGAGGAGAATTCTAATTATGACTATCCAGTAACTATACTATATGGATATACATTATCATGGATGTTTCTTGTGCAAAGGGCATATATCCATCCATCTTATATTCTAGGTGACTGCCCCCACAGAGCTTCGCCCAGTGCCAAAATCTCGGCAAACTCCGGCGTAAGTCACGACTTCGTAAAAAGAGTAATGAAAAAAAAAATCAAATAAATAAATGAACACATTCTGATCCGGGGAATCAAACCCCGAGCTGCCATGTGAAAGACGGCGATGTTAACCATTACACCATATCGGACTGGATGAATGAAATGACTTTGCTTTTGCATCTATCTTACTTTGATTGCCGGACAATGAAAACAAGCTGGTGTAGCCAAACCCACTTGAGGTGAGTTTCTCGGATCCACGGGGTTTTAGGCGGAGAAATGTCTAAACGAATCTGACTTCCCCCTTCAGTTCATGTGGTGGCCTTGACTGTCTTATTCCAGGTGGCTGTGGAAGCACCCAGGGTTCCAATAGTGGTAGAAGTGGTAATAAATGCAAACCCCCTGCCATAGCACCTGCGTACATGTATCTGGTAATAATATACAATGCCTGGTATTTGGCTTTTGTCATTAATAATAACGGAGCTAAGTAAACCTAGGCTGCCAAGGTAAAAGGAGAGTGCAAATCTAACTTAAGTCAGACTAACTGCATGACAAGCACGGCATACGGCAGAGAGGGTACCAGAGTTACAACAACGTCCAGCAGCCAGCAGTGCTCAGTAGATCCTGATGTCAGGCTAGCTTGATGGGTCTTTGAAGGGTCTTATATTTTCAATTTCCAAAAAGATGTCTATCCAGGTGATTATATTTACAACGCCTATTATTGAAAATCTGTGAAAGAAGTGACGACCTGATTTATTATGGAAATATACCCGTCTATCTACCCACAAGAACTAAAAGTCTCCTGGCATTCGTCCCTATAAAATCTGTTTGAGTCTTCGCAATACCCGTACTTAGAGCAGCAGTCACTAAACACCAAGCCTTTGCACACCACACTAACAGGGTCGCTCCCCTGGCTGTATAACCCATCTATAGACACTGGCAGCCTCGGCGACAGGCTTAAGTTATTATTTCCTTCCCCTGCTAATGACAGCAAGAAGGTGACATGTTTACTGTCTGCGACGCCGGTGGCGGCACGGTGGTACGTTGCGCTGAAATAAATAGGTTTTTTGCTTGATTATGCTGACCAGGACAGGATCTTATTTCCTACATCGTGCATAGTCTGGAGCCTTTGCACCAGGTACACACAATTAAAACCCTACCTCTTCCGCTCAATCAACCTTAATCTAACCTTACCAACCACTAGGGCGCATCTGCGGCGTAAAGGTTCTTCAACACGCCGCCGGATGGGATCCGACAGGTACGCCGCCCTGCCTCAGAAGTCGAAGGGGGCGGCTTTTCTCTACTAGTAGGACAGAGTCAAGCCCAGCTTCACGGGAAGACTCGATGAAGATTAGAGCGAGGTTCCGTACTACGTTCCTATTCCGGGAGCCCTGGACGATGAAGACGCGGGGCGCCGGACCTGATTCCTCCTCTAATTTATAAATTCCAGCTTGCAAATGAAATTCCGGCCCCCTGGGAAACTGCTACACGCTCGTCAATATTTGGTCCGCAGGATCCGAGAGCAACCAGGACCTCGTCCCGGAAAGTATAGTACAAGAGATCTGCAGGTTTCTTCATGAGGTACGGCACGTCACGCCCACCACTCACAAATAACATCTACTAACAATAGCAGTACCCTACCTACAACACCCCTGACCTCCTTGCAGCCCTACAATCCCTCCTAATCCTCCTCATAATCCTCTTCTTCTGTCTTGGCAACGACCCAGGCCTCGAAGACCCGACAGACGTCCAAACCCTCATTGAAGTCTGGGAAGTCAAGAGCCGCCTCGCAGCAACGGGCCTGTTCATCGAACCAACTCAACCACACAGCCTCCCCTCTTACAGTGACTGGGCCCTCGTCTCCGCAAAATGACGCACAATCCACAGCCTGCACCACTTGGACTTCGTCTGGTACGTCCTCCGCGGGTACCCCATCTTCTCTGCTGGGAGCTCGGGCCACTACCGGCTCCGCCACCGAGATACCTCTGGGAGGTGGGCAATGAGGAGACGTGGAAGCGGATGTATGCAAGGCTCTTGCAACAGTGGATGGACGTGCCGTATCTCATGTCGGAGATGTTTGCGCTGAATGGAGAGGCGCCCCTGGAGCCTAGGGCTGAGAGATGGCTGGCCGAGGCGGATAAGTTTGGGATGATGCTTATGGCGGAGGGGACTATTACCTTGTGGAACCGGGTGCCGGAGGGGGGCAATCCGCATACGTGCGGAAGAGTATAGACGATGCTGACGTTGCCTGTTTAAACTTGATCGCTCACGATTAAGATAGATGATGGATATACCCGATACATGAAATTATGTATCATCAAAATCAATTGCAGACCAACAACTTATGACCCAACCATAGTCACATTCAAGCAGACCCCCTCAGCTCCAACTGCTGCTTCACCACTTCGCCAACCTGCACCTCCATCCCCTTGAACTGAATGCCCAACTCCCTCTCCGCCTTCGAGGCATCAACCTCATAGTTGGACCGATCAACGGGCTCCAGCTTAATTGGCAGAGACGGAAACTCTTTCTTGACAAAGTCGTAAACCTCTTTCCACGACTTCTTCTCGCCCGCAAGCAAATACGCCTGCACGGGTTCCCCCTCATTCTTCTTGACTGTCAGTGCCCGCACATGCGCAACCGCAACATCATCAACGTGGACGCCGAGGAAGTGCCCAAAGGCATTCGTCTCCGTCATCAGTGCCTGGAAGAGCAGGCCGTTTGTGCCCGCGAGGTCGGCGGCGGATTCTTGGATTAGGCTGCGGCCAAAGACGTAGACGGGGTGGATGGTGATGATTTCAAAATGCGGGTTTTGCGTCGCCTGGAAGTCGAGCACGGCTTTGTAGGAGGCGAGTTTGCTGGCGTGGTATTGCGTAAAGGGGGACTGACTGGGCAGGGCCTCCTTGTCGATTGTGAAGTCGATTTCATTGTCCTCTGTGTGGTTGTTAGATTTATTCCAAAGTCAGTCAGGCCGGAAGGAAGGCCAGAAAAGTACCTCGGAGAACAGTCCCATCGGCAATCGGCCCCAGCGAGACCAGCGATACCACAGAAGCAGTCACAACAACCCTCTTGACACTCGAGGCCTTCAACGCCGACTCCAGCACCGAGAGCGTGCCCTGCACCGCCGGCTGGAGCAGATCGCCGCCCGCGCTTGCCAAAGGCGAAGCGACGTGGATGACATATTCGATCCCCTGGAGGGCATCATCGAAACTACCCGACACCGTGATGTCGGGGATCACGACGAAGCTGATTTTGTCGGCGTATGTGGAGAAGAGGGCTTGGATCTTGCTGGTTTGCGCTTCGCGACGCACGACGAAGCGGACTGTGTGGCCGGCCTCGAGGGTGCGGAGGGCGACTTGGGCGCCGATGAAGCCGGTCGCGCCGGTGATGAGGACTGCAGACATTTTGGTATGAGCTGGATGGATTGGATTCTTGAATTTGATGATATTCTACACTGATCCGAGCTCCACCCACTGTTTATATAGAGAGCCAGCCCATGGCTGAGAAATCCGCCAACCCGCCGAGGAAGCAGACAGGCGCATTTATCGATTAATGATATTATAAATCCACCCGGTTTAAGCTTCTTCTGTTGGCGACCAATCGCGTGGATTTGCTGGTTCCGGCGATGCTGGTCCACTTGTAAATGGTGATTAATGATCCTGCCGAGCCGAGGATCGCGCGCTTTGGAAGGCGATCGAAGGGTCATTGATGGGATTTGTCACCAATCTATGGACTGCAGCAAATTTCTATGATTAGAATTTATAGACCTGCATGGGCCTTGGCTCGTATTAGAGTGTAGTCTGGTCGGGGCTCCCTACTACAACAACTGCAGGATAACGTAATGCATGCGAGATTCCACGTAAGTACAGGATGATTAAATCGCCTCCAAGATCCCAAATATCACTGGGCATCGCAGAAAAAAATGTATTCGCAATCTGCTTCCCCAGCCTCGCTGCCGTAACTAATTACCCGCCCCCCTCCTCTCTCCTCCGGCCCTCTGCCAGTCCCCTGGATACCCAAAAACACACTCAACAATTATAACTCAGCCTCAACCCCGCCGAAGCACTCTGCACAAACCCCACACTCGTCTTGCCCGTATACCCCTTGGAAATACTCAGTCTATACGTCATAGTCGACGCACACGCAAAGCTATTAACCACCCTCGACGTCCCCTGACTCGGGGAGCTCTCAAACTTGACCGTCCCCACCATCGAAATCGGCGCGGGGCAATACGCCCACGAGATATCGATCCCGCGTGGACTCCGGCTCAGCGGGCCAGACACGGAGAAGAATTCGACGGGGGCGAGGCCGACGGTGTTGATTGCGTATCCTGCCGGGAAGTAGTATGACAGCGTGCAGCCCCAGCTTCCAGGCGGGACGGTGAATTCGACGAAGGTGTCTTGTTTCTTGGTTCCGCCCGCTTCTTGGCTGATGCGGAAGTCTGGGAGGTAGGATTGCACGGGTTGCGCTTCGTCGACGCGGGCGTAGACGGGGGTTATGGTTGTGCAGGCAGAGGGGGCAGGGATTGCGGCAACCAGGGTGGTTAGGGCGGAGAGGAGGAGGGAGGCGGTTTTGAGGAGGTGCATTTTGGGAAATACAGATGCTGAACGAGTGGACTAGTTTGAGTATGAGCTGTATTGTTGTTGTTCTTGGTCTTGCGCGGTGGTCGTGGTGCCTTTTATAGATTCGAGGAAGGCGTATACCAGCGATGCCCTCCCGCCCCCAAACCTGGTCACCACGTCAAATTCATCACCCCACAAAAATAGGACAGAAGTGAGACATCCAAAGCACCTCCCACCTCACAGGCGATGCCTCTCCCACGATATCCATCCCTCGCACAGCCCGCGTCTGGCCATGTTCCACCCCTCGGCTGCAATACCTCTTTATCAACTCCAGGTCTCACCCCAACCACCGAGCTCCAATGAGACCCGCATGAGGCTGAGGATCGCCCAATAACGGTCCTTCAGGCCGAGCTGTCATGCCGTCCCGCTGAAGAAGTTTACTGGTCGGAGCTCAGCCGGGTGCCTTGGCGGTTCGTATTCGCGGGGTTGGTTCTGCAGGGATAGAGGTGGGGTGGGGTGCTGAGGGAGATCGAGTGGTACGGCACGGAGATGGATCTTGTGTGACTGGTTATTTTGGGGTTCGGATTGATTCGGGTTGTTGTTCTTGTTGTTGGGTGGTGGGAGCTGGGGTTCGGAGCTTTGATGGACGCGAGGGGTCAGGGGATGGGGTAGATTGAAGCGAGAGATGAGACATGCGATGTCAGTTGATCGTGGCTTTGGGAACGGCGTATTGACGGAGGCTACTTTATCAGGAGCGAGAATTGATATTTTTGGCGAGCTTCTATAGAGACCGTGCCTGGATATCTTCTTCTTACACAGCAGTCAGGATGACAGGATGAACGTGGATTCTCACATATTGTTGTTGCACAGACGTCTTATTTCCTCGGAGCATTTACTTGCCACTCGTCTATTCGAACAATAGGGGATGTCCAAGATACGATGCGATTCAAGCTGGCAATTGGTAAAGAATACTACCAGTCTGACTGTGCGAAAGGGCGTCATATGACCCAGAAGCTTTAGGCTTTAGGCGTTTTCTCAAAATAGCATCCCCTGTGCCAACTCACGGGTGTTGCAGGGTGGCGTCGTTGATCCAAGCCTGGTCTCGGCAATCTTTTCCTCCCCAAGAAATCTCTATTGCTAGCTTGATCGACAAGTGATTTCGTCCAGACTCGATCCCTCCATATTCGCGCAGCCAAAGTAGGCTTCCTGGCCACTCGGCGGACTAACGTTGATATCGCTCAGGTGGAAATCATGGCAGACCTAGACGGTCAGCGAGAGTCGTTGGAAAAAGGCAAGGGGAACAAACATCCGGGCTGCTGCACGTCAGCTCCCCGATCCGCGGATCATACTTCTTCGACGTGGTCCCCTCAAAGTCCCGGAAATAGATGTCCTCAATAACAAGCGACGACTGTGACAGGTCAGTTCGACACACCATTATGACACAGGAGTAGGATAACCAACCGGGTTCTTATCACAGCTCGCCTGATCCGCCGCATAGTAGCACTGGCTAACCGAAATAACATGATCATTATTGTAGCTGCGCATACCCTCATAGGTCACGTTCCGCACAAGGCCCAGGCCACCTCCACTACTCGACCCCGTCGTGCCCGGGGCAACACCCGGCCAGACCTTGATCCGCGCGACGTCCGTAGCGTTGGTCATGGTCACGTTGTACACGTGGATGTCTTCGACGAGGTCGGTTTCTCCCTGGTATTGTCCAAGACTCCCGACGGAGATTCCGTGCGAGCCGGTGCAGTCGAGGTTTTGGACGATGATGCCGGTCGAGTTTGGTTTGAAGGAGACGCAGTCTGAGTCGGTTGGTTAGTGGTATTCAGGATCGGGGGCGGGAGCAAGTACCATCTGTGTTGACGACTCGGGAGTTTTGAATGACGACGTTGGAGCTGCGGTACGTGTCCCAGCCATCGGTGTTCTTGGCAGGTTTTCCCTCCAACGCTTTGCCAACCAGCATCGTCATATCGCTGATCAGGATATCACTAGAGTTGGCAATGAGGTTGAACCAGCCCGGCGGATCAAGCATGGTGAGACCGGAAATAGTAGCATGATGCAGACCATCCGTGCCAAAGAGACAGGGCCTCATCACCCCCTTGTCCTCGGCCATGGCGCTCCACCAGTACTGGCCGCGTCCTGGCTCATTTCAGCACAATTAGCCCAGCAATTCCAACTTCAATTTCGGAGAGCTCGCACCATCAATAACCCCCTTCCCGCCCCCATAAACATTAACATCCCTCCCTCCAAACCGCCAAAACATACTCGATGTCTGGAACGCATACTCAAATGCCTGCGTGGGCCAGAGGTCAATATCCTGCTTGAAGCTGACATTGCCGTAGATTGCAAAGTCGATGTTGTCCAAAAACGTCAGGTCCAGCGCCGTCGCGATGATGTAGTCGCCCGGTGGCAGGAAGACGGTTCCGCCACGGTTGCATTTGTGTGCTGCGGCGAGGATTCCGGGGCCTGCGTCTTTCAGCGAGGGCTTGACTTTGCAGATTTTGTGGTGTGGCTTCTGGGGGTGGGGGTGAGATGGCTTGAAGTTGTTTGGTGCATGGGGAGACGCAGAGATGGACGGAGGAGCTGGCACTAGATTCGGTTGGGATAAAGCTGCTGTAACTGTGGCGAGCACTGTGAGGAGAGTGGTGGACTTCATCTTTGCTATCCTGCACAAAAGACTGGATCTTGTGCAAGGGGATTTGCGAGGTGATTAGCCTTCTCTTTATAGTAGTAGTGGTGGTGAGAAACACCCCCAGTCTGTATCTCCCAAATCCTAAAAACGAATTCCATCATCTTGGAGATTTTGGCTGAATGCACCCTTCCTTGGCCGCTTCAAACAAGCATTTACCCATGCGAAGCCGAGGCCCGGTGCCGGCAGCATCACAGCCTAAATGTCTAGCCCTAATAACAAATGGCTATCTGTATGGCAAAGGCTTGCCAGTACAACCGGAAAGAGCGACTGTCTGGACCGGATTCGGCCGGAGCACACTTGGGACGAATGGCAGGAAGGAGTGGCTCATATACAGGGTTGGCCAACTGAGGAAGCGACGAAAAATTAAAGGCGGCGCAAACGCCATAGCCCCAGGGTACTACCATCCAATAGACCTTGAGGCACTATCTAGATGGGGACCCCTGCAGAGGTCTCCAGTTCTCCATATGATATGGCCGGGGACCCTGAGCGGTAGAGGCTTTGTTTTTTGACCAACTTGCAAGCACTTCAAGCTCACATTAGCCGTCCGCAATGAACTTTCTGTGTTTAGCCTGATTGTCCGAATCCTACACCCCATTGCCAATATGAAGGATCGAATGAGAAGATGTTGGGCTTCTACTAACGACGATCTGGGGAACGATATCCGGAGAAATCCATTGGGGTCTCCGGACTTATTCCACCAATCATAATCTGGAAGGATGACAGGTGTTGCCCTACCGACAGGTCCCTCACTTTGCGGGAAATGATCCTGCGATATTATCCGAGTTAAGCAGAATAATGGAGGCATATTCGAGAAGCGCGTTAAGGCTAAACAGTGCTGGTCATAGTATAATACTCCCAAGGCCGCCTATTGACGCCGCGATAGACCGAGGGGCCGTGGCTATTGATAGATTCAGGAAAGATAATAATACAAGCGAAATAGGGTTTAAGCCCATCTTGAATGTGAGATGGTAGTATCAGCGACAATAGTCTCCGAGGCAAGCTTATGAAAGAGAGAAACGGAACGATAGGTACAGTTTGAGCAACATCCGCGACTATATATAACCGACAGAGGCAAGAAAAACAAGAAAGGAAAAGAGCCCATTTGCACAGTCTTACACAAGGCTCAAGTGCAGCCTGCTAATTGATTGTAAGATGTGCCCAGAAAAACCAAATACAATACATTGGCACATGGCGTGAGATGTTGTCACTGGCATTGCAGATCGGGAAGTTTATACTTGGATATCACATTGACAACCCCGAGTCAGCCAATCACTTCAACCTCAGTTTGAACACAGTGTTACACCGTAGATTAGGTACTTTTCAGAAGCCAAAGTGAACAGAAAGAGATGGGTCGAGCTGTGCTTCCAATGCGTGAGAGACACTTAAGGTTCTAATGTTGCTTATGGCTTTGGGGCTTGGCAAGATTAGTGGGTGTAAACGATTGTACTACTTGTCAATCCGACTGTGTTATATATATATATATCGGAAATGTGGGTCAGCGATGTGACGAGTATGGATATAGACCCTCGTTGTTGAGTTTGGAGAAGCTCGGCACAGTAAGGGCGCGAGATTGCAGGTGAGTTCCGTACTTGTTACCCAACAGGGATACATTAATCCTATTCGGTTGGCCTAGGATCGGTGCTCCCCTGCTTTCATGGGATAAGGTACGTACTGACACGCACGTCAAACCAGCTAGACTTTGGATCCATTGAGAGATCGACTCCTCAATGTGCTGGGTAATCCACGAGAGACTGCAGGAACAACTGCAGGGGCTCTTTATCCACCGTACACGGAAGGGATGACTTACGTATCCCTCCAAATTGTTGGCTATATCTTCTGATTGTCTCTAGGTGCGCTCCGAGAGTGGTTCCAGGGGCTGCGGGTACACTTCATAGAGAATCCTCAAGTCTCTCATTACATACCTCGAGTCTAAACCCATCCCTGCATATGCCTGACCCAGAAAAACACCATATCCTCGGGCACCCCCGCCCTGGCAAGCGCCATCCGCCGGTCATGCCAGTTCCGATGTAGTCATCGAACCTCATCAACCCGCTCAAGCGACCGAGCAGTAATCTCACGAAAGACCTGATCCATCCCACGAATCTCCTGGCTAAACACGTCCCCCCCGGCATCTTCTAATCTGCACATTCCCTCTGGCCGCGCACCCACTCGGCCGAGGAGCGTCTGCACGATCGAGATGGCCTTTTGCGCTTCCCAGAGACCGTCCCGCGCCGGAAGGCGGGAGTGCCGTAAGAGCGCCAGGGCCGTTTCTTGGCTTTGGGGATCGGTCGTTTTGAGGCAGAGGAAGTACAGGATTGCGACGAGCTGCGAGCATAGCGTGAAGTGGCGCGGCGTGTCTGGGGCACTGAGGGAGGAGAGGAATCGTTGTGTGTCCAATAGCGCGCTTTGGAAACTGTGATTCGGGCCGGGCGAGGGATTTGGTGAGCTGGGTGACGACGTGTGCTTTGGGATGTTCTCGAGAAGGATGGCGTGGTACATGAGTGCTTGGATGCGGAGGAGCAGAGCACGGTGCATCATGTCCACTGGGAGTGATGCAAGGAGGGTGCTCAACGCATCCAGAAACCGCTCATATTGTTGGTATAGCACGAAACGCTCGTGAATAAGACCCTGCGGCAGCTGGTCCATCGACTGGTTTTTATGGGAGAGATACGCGATGATGTGATGCATCATCCAGTTTTGCAGTTTAGTTAACGCGGCTTCTGCTTCCCAGAGGCTCGACATGGTATCGGGAACAATGTCGACTAAGCCAGACATTTCCTCTGGTGAGACGAGCGTGAGGATAGGCACGCGTAGGTCGTCGAATGCGCTTGCTTGGACGTCGAGTCGTGCGAATATAGCGGCAAGATGTGGAAGGATGTCATCGGTGCAATCTTGCCAGAGGGCCTGTGTCTGCCTCAACAAGTTCAGGCCACTGTTGAGGTGTTGTATAGCAGAGCTCGCATCGCCAACGAGAGTCTCAAACGCATAGAACAGAATACTACAGATGAGTGGCGTCTCGACTGACGCATCCGGTGATCGAAGGTACAATCGCAGCTGCCGATGGCATTTGGCAATTCGCTGCATCGCAAGCTGCGACCCAGAAGGCTGGATACTATTTCCGCCCAGCAGGTACTCCCGATACAGGCCCGCTAGCGTGACCAGGGCATTTCTAATTACGGGCTGGTGGTGCGACCGCTGGAGAATAAGCGTGGTCCACAGGGTTGGATCTGAGAAGCTAGACAGGCTCCCCGCGGCCTCGACGCAGTAGAAATGCAGAAGCTGTCGGTCGGCTTGACTGCCGGGGACCTTGAAGGGCAGGCTGTACACACGGATGTTGAGGCGTTGCTGCCGTTGCAGTTCTTTCCCTGATGCATCGATTGCGACGGGGTATCCTTCGCATTGGCGCCCAGCCCTTGAGCAATTTAAACAGCTCGGCTTCCCTTCGTCGCATTTAACACGCCGCTGTCTGCAGAGAATTAGTCGTTTACGGTCATTCGTCATTGGCGAGGGCCACGTACTTGCAAGTGCGGCAACCCGTGCGGACTTTCGGCATACTCTTCCTCGTTCCTTTCTTCGGGGCCATGGCGGTACTAGTCGCTCGTATATTCACAGCGTTTGACATGATGCACGGCGGTGGGTAATAATCTTCTGGGACAGGAGGCAGCAGCCGTTGAGTGTTTGAGTCTTGGGAGATGAGTCGACTGCGAATCATTCTTGAGTTTGGGGGCCAAAAGGAACACTAAAATTTACGAACCCCGAGACTTTCCCTGTTGGGGTAATTCCGAGAGCGATCTTGGGCCCTAAATTCGATGGAAGACGTGCATCAAGTATACGAGCGCCTCAGCCTTGCTGGGCGGGGGTTCTGGGGCGGGGAGCGTTGTAGGCAGATGCCAGCAGCGTTTCTATAAATTCGCATCCCCCTGTCCAATATGGATCCAACCTACGTCAATTCCAACCATGCGTTCCCCTAAAGCACTCATATTCGCCGGTCTGCTCGTCGGACCGGCCGCCTCCACCACGCTCTCTCTGCGGCGCCGCACCAGCAATGCAACGGCATCAATGGTCTCAACGACATACGGCACCGTCTTCGACGTCGAAGCACAAATCGGCGGGCAGAGCTTCCAGCTCCTTGTCGACTCCGGCAGCAGCGACACGTACGTGATGAAAACCGGCTTCCGCTGCTTCGACAAGGCAGAGGGCCTCGAACTGGAGCCGGAAGAATGCTTCTATGACGTCGACCGGACGTACAATGTCTCCGACACCTACGAGGAGATCCCAAACCAGATGTTTGGTATTCAATATGGCGCCGGCATCGCGAGTGGAGTCATGGCATATGAAGAGGTCACGCTCGCGGGCGTCACTGTACCACGCGCCCGCGTCGCCATCGCAGATACGTCGACGCCCATGGGCGATGGCGTGAACTCCGGCCTAGTCGGCTTGGGATATCCATCGCTGACCTCGGCGCATCCTGCAAACCTCACCGATAACACGACGTACTTTTACAACCGCCTCCCATACAAGCCCCTGCTGTACACCATGTACGACGAGGGCCTCATTGCCGAACCCTACTTTGCACACGTCCTTGCCCGGAATCCCATGAACGAGTCCACGGGCTTCGGGGGATACCTTTCCCTCGGCGAACTGCCACCAGTCAAACACAGCAATGACTGGGCCATCGCGCCCGTCGAAATCATCGACGAGATCCCGCTGAATTTCACCTCGAACAGACGCACAAGGTCCTACTGGGCCCTGACCATCCCCTCCGTCTCCTGGGGCCGAAACGGGAGCACACACGCTCCGTTCCAGGCCTTCTTCGACACGGGGAACCCGCTCTCGTACATCCCCGGGCGCATCGCGATCCCATTCAACAAGCTCTTCAACCCACCGGGCGTTTACAGCGAGGATCTAGGCGCGTACGTGGTCGACTGCAACGCGAAGCCGCCATCATCACTCGTGTTCGAAATCGACGGGCACAAGTTCGACCACGACCCCGCGGATTTCATCTACCAGACTGGGGAGGACCTGTGTATCTCGACGATCGGGGTCGCGGAAAGGGTTGGGTTTGCGGGGCTGCAGATCAACATCATCGGCGTCCCGTTCTTGAAAAACGTTCTTGGTGTCTTTGATTTTGGCAAGAATGAGATGCGCTTTGCCCAGTTGCTCGAGGAGGTTACGGGAAAGATTCCGGATGATGTGGATGGCTCCGAGGGGGGTGAGGATGGAACCGGTGAGGATGAGGATGAGTCTGACGACGAGTACGTGCCAGGGAATGGTGCTGCGCGAGTGATGCCAGGTGTCCTTGCCTGGACTGGTATGGTGGGTCTGCTTGGGTGCTTCTTTGCTGTATAAATGTCTTTAAGCGGGGACACTGCGATTTAGAGGACAAGGTTGGATCATTGTTAGATTAGATTTTTATTCGGTTAGATTGCCTTGGGTGGTTCCTTGGGGGCACTGTAATATCATCTGTTTGTTCTATTCTATTGGAGACACAAGGATCTACCTGTATAGTCTTGGTGATGACGGAACACAACCATATCGTTACCCAAATGCCGCAGATTCCTTCCTTGATGTCGCCCGCAGAGCCGGGCCAGGTGCCCAATCACAACTTACACGAAGAGAGTTCCCACCATAACCCCGGCCAAAACAGCAGGCACCAAAATAAGAGACACGGCAGGCAGCGGATGCTTTTGGTACGAGATCTCCGCCTGCACCTCACGTCGCGGAAGCCGCGGAACTCCAGGCAGGTGAACATCTCCCTTCACATCTTCAAGCTGCGTCGCTCTCTCGGGATACTGAGGTGGGCGAAGCAGACACATCACGGGGACGGAGAGATTCGTGATGCTGAGATAGCAGAGATGAAGGAGTGGCGGCCAGGCGACTGTCGTTAGGAGGCGCATTAGACCGTCCTTGGTGTCTGTCATTGACCCGAGTTGACTGGTCTGGCCGAAGGCTTTGAAGATCGAATAGAATAGTGAACCGGTGGTGACGGAGAACAGAAGAACACCAAACATAGCCCCGCTACCGACCGTCTGTAGGAGCTTTGTATACAGCGACGGAGTGGTCGATCTGTTCCAGGAGTTCGCACTGCTTCCTGTCACGAACGATCCCTTGGGCTTGCTCGTGAAGCAGTAGAACTTGAATATTGCGAACAGTTGTGCTGGATATTGGTCAGTATCTCATATATGAAAACGAGGGAGAGGAGGTGGGTCAACATACTCCCCGCAAGCCAGCTATTCTCGAGATGCGAGAAGAGCGACACTCTGAATCCGGTACTCGCAGCCTGTAGGCACGCATACAACCACATCAAGCCAACCTGCACAGCCGCAAGGATCAACTGGAGCCTAAATGCCCAGCCCCCTGCCACAGGGATGAGGCTCTCTTTCTCCGCAAGTAGCAAAACCGGTAGGGCTAGATATCCCGCGAAGTAGCCAACTAAGCTTAGTACAATAAGAACCCCATTGATTGCAATATCCCACGCCAACCACCTGGGTAGCGCCTTACTCGTCGGCGGAAGCAAAGCCTTGATCTGCTGCGCATGTCCGATGTTCCAGCGATTCCGCTGCGCAATATGACCCTGGAGCGTCGTAGGCACGAGTCCGAACTGCAGCGGTTCTTCAACTTGCAATGTCTCGTGTCCATGGCCTTGTAAGATCAAAGAGAGCTGCCAATCCTCGGAGAAGGAGAATGTCGGGTACCCGCCTAGGTCGAGGATTGTCTGGCGGCGGAAGAGCGCGCCGGAGCCCGCGTCGATTGCAGATTTCTGGACGTCTAGGTCCGCGTTGTGGCAGGCATAGAAGTGGATGCGAGATTGGGACAGCGGGTCGCCGTTTGGCAGGTTGTAATAGTATTGCCGAGTTGTGAGGAGGGCAGCCTGCGGGTTGAGCAGGAGATGCGGGAGCGTCGCGCGGAGAAAGTCACGCGCCGGCATACAGTCTGCGTCGAGGATTGCACAGTACTCGGGTTGGAAGTCTTCTTGCAGCGAAAAGATGGCGTAATTCAGATTGCCAGCTTTGGCAAAGACCTTGCCTGGGTGCGAACCGCGCGTGTGGTAGGTTAGATTCGGGTACGCGGATTGGAGCTCCTGAATCGCCTCTTTGAGGGAGCTTGACCCCCCGTCGTCGAGAAGAAGGACTCGAAATTGAGTGACGGGGTACTCCATGCAGCATGCTGCGCGGACGGTGTCGAGGATTACATCCAGAGGCTCGCCGCAACAGGGGATCAGCACGTCAATTTTGGGCAGGCTGGCTGATCCCTGTACACGCAGTCGCTGTCGGGGACGGGACGAGGCATGGCCCGCTGCCACAGTGAGGAGCTGGTTTTGTCGACAAACACCTGTAAATGTGGTCAGAAACAGATCTCGGTTTGAAGAGATGGTACTGACGAGAAAAGATCCATTCAACAGTGATCATGAGCCACATCTGCCACATCTGCTGGGCCGCTGTGACCAGGAGACCCAGGCGGACGACGAAATAGAGATCTGAAGCCCATGTCGCTGCGAGTGCGACATAGTGGAGATGTGTTCGGTATCGCTGTCCCGCCTCGATTTGAGGATGCGGTGGTAATTCCTTGATCTCGTAGGAGACCGTGGGTGTGGTGTTGCTCATCGCGCTCCTGATGCTGCTGGGGAGAATCAGGGGAATTGGAACCGACACGTGCGTCGCAGCGGTGAAAGAGATTCCGCCGTCTTCCGCACAAAAAAGCTGAAGATCCGGGGGATTGCCCTCTTTAATGCTCCTCCCCATTTAGACTACATGGCGCTGCTAGTCTTCGCTTGAGGACGCCACAAGTGCGCAACCCAGACCGCGCAAAAGAGCGGTGATGGCAAGCGAGGGAAGGCACATGGTGGATTCGCTGGCCAGAATTGGGCGATTGCATTCCTTCATACGATACTTGGCTAGACTGAGTCTATACGATCGTTACAAACGATCCTCCAGGATGAAGAGTGCTGCACAAGTGGGTGAAAGATGGAAGCTGCGAGAATCCGGCATGATCCGGTGGGAGCCTTGGTGCCTGGGAGCCCCGCTTCATCCCGAGCCCACAACAAACGCAAACACGCGCCAAATCACTGCAGCCACGCCTGGACCGCCCGCTTCAACGCGTCCTGCAGCCACGCCTCCTCATCGTATCTCATGTCCAAATCAAACCCATGCTCTCCATCCCGGATTGACAGAACCAGCTTATCGCTCCCCGGCTGCCCCTTTGTCGCATTACGCGCCTTTTCGATGAACCTCTCCGCGCCTCTCGCCGGGACAGCGCTGTCCTGCCCCCCCTGAATCAACACGATCCCTCCCTTCGGAATCTCCACCCCCTGTCTTTCCAACCTCGCGTCGGGATACAGCAGATCCAGCGACGAAACCTCCACCCCTCGCTCATATAATGCCGGTAGCCGTCCGTGCTGGATAGTCGCGATAAGCAGCGGAACGCGGTCGGGTGGAAGTACAGAGGAGATAACACTGCCGGGGATGACGGACGCGAGGGTGCTGTCGATGACGGATTGGGGAACGTCCATACCCATTGGTAGGACTGTACGCGGAGCAGTCCAATCGGTGGATCGCATGTCCAGCGTCGGGTAGACGCCGGTCGCGGCGCGAATATCCTTTGCGTGGGACAGCGCGAGGTTGATGCTGAGCAGGCCACCGGCGGACTCGCCTGCGGTCAGAACCCGGGTAAGATCAATCTCCGTGGGGGTGGTGTGCGCACTGAGCAGCGACTCTAGGGCACCAGAGTGAACCCATGTCCAAAAGTCCTCAATGTCCTTGTAAATGTCTAGCCCGTTTGCCTCGGGGAGGAGACGATGGTTGGGACTGATAATCACGGCTTCGTGCTTGAGTGCGAGGTCAGCAAGCCAGTGTGACCAGAGCTCTACAGACAACGAGTCCCCCATGACCTGTTAATTCGGTCAGCGTACGGCACTGTCATGGGTTGGGTGTGTGTACCAGACCACCGCCGTGGAAGCGAAGAATTGCCGGCCGTTTGCCCGAGAAGGACGTCTTGGGGACGAGGATGTCTGCGCGAATCCCGTGGTCGCCAACATGTTTGTACTTGGCTTGGATCACGTCAAAGCCTTGGATCTTGTGGTTTACGGTGGCCATTCTGTCGATGCAGCAACTGCAATTCCGGGTATGAAGCTGAGCCCAGATGCCCCGCGGCAGCGGTGGGAGTCCCCTTTTATATTGCCCACTTCTCTGTCGCTCGCTCGGGCCGCCCACAAGTTAGCGGACCGCGATATGGGACGCCTAGTATAGGTTGTAGTCAGAGAGAACAGGCCAACTACGCTATCACTAATATTACTAAGCACCTGCAACCAGGCTCAGTCAGCTGCCCGTCATCAACAACCTGAGGCCTCATCCCCGCATCGCCGTTTGCTTCTGATTCTAGTACATCAGCCTCTAGTTGAGCTTCGAGCTCTTTGATTTGCGAATTCGCGCATAGGGTCGAAATTCCGTGGTTTAGTCGTGTCTCCCCCAAACCCAAAGCGTATGCGTATCAACCCCAGGGCGCCTGAAGGATGTCCAGCGTACAGCAAAGACAATGGGGAAGGCTCTCTGAGATGGGCCAGGCCGCGTACAACTGGCACTCCTGCTGTCAATTCGTGCACTCAGCTAGATACATTGGTCACTTCCGGCTGTTGCCGACTCTCGTTGCTCAAGAGACTCAGTCTCTCATCATCAGTTCGCAGAAAGTGACGGGCGCCTTGCAGGGCTGCCACCACATCCTTGTCATCTGCCCTCAATGGGCCATTTGGTAGGCTGATCTGCTCCTGCTTGGCAGACACACAATTTCTTCCCTTGTGCTTTGTTTTGAACGCAAAGTTGAAGAGCGGATAGGAGGTTATGACGGGCAATGCTGGCCGTTTTATCCAGAGCCATGCAAGTACGGCCCAAATAAAGAGATGCACGGATCCCTGAAGAAGGACAAATATCGAAAACATGGCCGTGTTGATGATGATTCTGTCATGCGGAATGGCGATCGAGGCAGTCGTGTAGAATTCTGGTGGGAGATTCTCACTGATGCGTCCCCAGTCCTCGTCAATGTTTCCGACTCCGTTGACGTGAAACATTCGCAGCGGGAACACGAGGATGCTTTGAAATATTTGTTTCAGTTCAGCGGACCAATATTTTTGAGTGAGCTGAGTTTGCCCATTCCAGAAATGCGCAGCAATGGCTGTCGGGGCCGGGATAATGGCTGAGTTGAAATCAAGGATCCAGGCTATTGCAGCTCGGTAGGCGTCGAGGTCCAGTGATGGATTTTGAGTCGGTGTATCAGTGGACGTAACAGACAGGATGGTCATGTTGGAGCGAGACGCGACGAAGCTTGCTTTGCGATTGAACACGGACAGCGTAGTGGTGATGTTGGGGTAAAAGGACGCGCTGCCCTGGCTGCATGTGCCGTTTCGAACCCCTTCCGGACACACGTAGAGGCCTTGGTGGTCAGGCTGGACTCACCTAGCAGTGTAGGACGCACTCACCAGTAACTATAGACCCTTGATGCATCCGACTCTTGGCCAAGCAAAATCTGACACCGAGGCGTGTCGTGTTAGCCCCGAATAGGCTACAATCCTCATCTGAGAACACGTCTTCCTCATCGAGACCGTCTCGAAAGTCAATTTGGCAAGCCGGGGTATCAACGATTTGTATTACTGGAGCGGAAGGCTCCATAAGTGGTGGCCACGGTGTTGCTGATATCAGACCTCCGGGAAGGAGATAAGAGTCACAGCTATCCTGGGCGCATGCGCCAACCCGTACTGGGCGACTAGCGACAGAGTGCACTGGGTTGGTAACGAGGTTGAAGACGATGGCCTGCACCGAGTATGGGACGACTGTGTGTGGGTATCCTGTCTCTAGGTCCTGCAGTTGCTGGAGGTAACGAGGGACGTAGGAGCCATTGAAAGGGCCAATACCGGCGGTGACGCGGTAGTCAAATACGCGGTCGTATGCGGTTCCCATTGAGGTGTCGGCTGTGGAGAGTGTTGGGTTAGTTGTCTTGTGCTCGATGCGCGCTCTGTACTTGAGGAGACCAACCGAAAAGAAGAACACTTGATATCCAGACGGCAACTGTCGCTGCGACCCTGTTTCGGAGGAGTGTAAGCACAAGCAAACGGAAAGCGCCAAAGCCGAGCTGATGCTACCGAAGAAAAGGCCATAGTCTGTCTACAGCTCGCAATTGCCGAGTGAAGATGATGGCTAAGGAGCCCATGATGCCCGTCGTCGGGGACAGTCCCAGGAAGCCAAGCGACGACAACCCATCATGTCGCACGGTAAGCGCCCAGTGGATGAGTTCAAAGACAGAGGCTAGCACGATGGTGAGCAGCGTTGAAAGCAGGCCCGAGAAAATGCTCAAGAGGGTGAGAGTCGAGCTGGGGTCGATGATGAAACCGGCAAGAGCGACCCGAGGCGTGTGAGTACTCTTTGCGATCCACGCAGTTAGGATGAATACCGCGGTAGACACCACTTCAAGAAGGACGGGAAACCAGGTCTGGGCAAGAGGGTTGTGTATTGCCATGGTGACTGCGCTATTGAGAGGGGAAGTGGTGCAGCCTCATCGGCGTGAGGCGACGTCCCGCGTATTTATTCTCATTCGAGTCGCCAAGATCGAGCCACGCTGGAATCAGGATTCTCGCATGATCAGAATGCGATGCATGTGGTGAAAGCTGCCACCAATCGGTTCGTGATTCCTTGTACAGCCTTGGGTGGCGCACGGAGGCACAGACACAGCAGCTGAAGAGGGCGAGGCTGCTGCGCCTTTTAAAGGCTACACACCATTTTTCACACTCTCCATTTGCACGGTGGATGGCTCCAATCTCCAGCTGCCCAAGATGATTCTCACCTTAGGTATTATTGTCATCCTGCAAAATGTATCAGCGCTAACAACAACGCCCACCAATGGAATGTATCCTAAATTCTCAGGTCGGTATTCATATCTTAGCTATATGTAATGTGATTTATCGTCTGTTGGAGCTGAAGCCTGCTTACCGACACCGAGCCTTGCTCAACGATCATACATGACCAAGGGTTGCTAGACACAGTAAAAGTAGCCGGGCCAAGCGTCATCTCCCACCAATGAATTTGTCGATCATGTTCAACAAGGTTCAAGGTCGCGGTGGCTTGGTAGGCAGATATGGAAATCCCACGCGCGGTCGACAGCTCTACTTCGAGTTATAAGCGCTCCTGGGTTCTTGCTTCATGCGCACATCCCGGGTCATTGTCAGACTCACCGTCCATAATGTTGATCTTCCCCCTGATTATCCTTCTCTATACCGCCATTGCACGGGGACAGGCAATCATCCACACCGTTTCAACACCAGCGGATCCATCAACCCCGCCGACCTCGACATGTACGCCTATTTTTGTGAACCCAGATGGAACAGAGGTACACCAGACGGCTGGGATGATCCTTCTGTAGGTTCTCTCCAGATGCTTATTGCAATGTCCTCTCAGGACCCCTTTGCTAACCGACATATCATCTCCACGGATTTCTAGCTGCCGTGAGCCAACTACACAGCCCAGCACTTTCATCGAACCGGCGATTCCCACAGAAACCTCTCGGGCGAATTTCCGACTCGCGAGGAACGAAGGTATTGGTCTACTGGGTCTCGGTGTTGTTCTAGCCGCATGTCTATTTCCAGTAATCGATTAGTGGAAGATGTTTCAATCAAGCGCTGTACTCAGTGGTTCCTCTATTCCTTCATTGAACCAGTAAGGATTAACCGACGCGATTATGAGTCTGACTGAATACGAGTAATAGACCCTTTTCTCTCCAGATGATGCAGGTACTCAGAATACTCGCTCGCCAATCGGCTTTTCATTCCTCGTATTAGCGCAGCCTGAAGGTGGCGTGTGAACGAACACCGCCCCCGAAAAAGAAACAGCATGACCAAAGCTTGCAGAATTGTTCAAAGCCGCGCCAGGTCCCCCACCTTGAACTCTTTGTTAAACTTTTTACAAACATCCACCATGTACCTTTTCCTCTCCCTAGCAGTTCTGCTGCATGCTCTATCAGCTTTAGCTCAGATAAATGGCACCTTGACGTCTATCTCCTCCACCAGTACAACTCCACCTGCCAATCCAGAGGTACAGCAGACCGAAGGCGCAATATTGGTGAATACGTAAGCCCTCTTTTTACCTCATCTCCCATATCCGTATACAAACTTTCTTTCCGTATTCCCTCTTGATTTCTCCACTAATTCGATCTAGGACCACGCCTTGCGAACCTCTTGACACGGGAGGTCCGGAGGTACACCAGACAGCAGGAATGGTTGTCGTGGACAAGTATGCGCCTTACCTCGTTTATCGTTCCATCAACCTTTATTGTTTGATCTCTGCACCGCTAACTAGGATCTTCTTGAAGCTGTGGCCATACCTCTACCGTCGGGGTTGAATATCCAACGGAAACCTCCCACGCAAATTCCCTAGACCCGGGGACCGACGTGCTGGCTGGCTTGGGGCTTGGAGTTTTAGCATCTATACTCTCATTGTTTGGTTTGGTTTAGTGACCGGATGTATTATCCTGGGTGTCAACGTGGTTCCCGCCTAACTGGCTTGGAGATGGGCAACTGCAAGCTATATTAGTTTTCATGTGGATATAGACTTTGGGTAATCGGATCATGGACTCTGCTATTATTCGGAAACTCTAGTTAATACCTATTTAATAGGTACACCTCTGGCCCGGAAGCCTCTGGTACGCGCCTGATCGCATTCATTGATTTTGTTACTCACAAGGCTGAGCCGACCTTTGCTGTGGGGGATGTCCCGTGGCACATGATGGACTGCAAAAGACGATCAAATCGGCGCAAGATCCTCCAAGTTGTTTCATGATACGTCCAATTGGGTGCTCACATTGAAGGTTGAGGTGTGTGGTGGTGATAAAGACAAGTACACACCGCAGGGGAAGCTGTTGGAGCAGCCGAAACTCCCACCCATAGCCCATATCAAGGTCTGAATCCGGGACCATCTTCCCCAGCACAGCCCCCTACTGACTATATTACACTCAGCATTAATCAACCACGTGACATGGACACTCTCATTGACCATCTGAACTTACTGGTAGAACTCACCGATGCGTAGTCGCTCCTGGCCGTCCCATCGTTTTATATACTGATGTGCTCTCTTCTGCGCGATCAGTTGCAGGATGGCTCGTGCCAATGGCCGTCATTACCCAGCACTTGGACATTGTGGGCAAGAGCGATGATGGCTGTCCCTGGCCTAGATTAAGGCCACCGCAAGCGGAGATATATTACGGGCAACGGCCCCCCGCCCCAACCATGCCTCAAGATTTTACCCCAATCTTTAGAGATGTTGAACCTTATTAGTCTGATGGGGCCATCAAGCATCTGCTGCTTACTGCGTATCATTAAAGATAGGAGAAATAACGATACTCGCGAAGAAGACAGTACGTTGACCGCACCACGAATGCCGCTGTGAGCTAACGCGATCAGTATCCGTGCAGTTAAAGCAGACTGCAGTCGCTCTCGATCGGATTGTTGAGTTTTCCGGGCCACGCGCGCAGGATATGACCTCCGACATGCGGTTCACGATCTGCAATATGACTCAGGTACGTCTGCTGGTTGCATGAGGTGACTGAAAGTAACCCGGAGCGGGAGCTTGGTGGAATCATTGGCCTAATTGTACCCGATGAAATCACACACATGCTCGTCCAGAGGCGCCGACGATCGTGAGATCGGAGCTCCAGTGTTTACTTTAAACCCGACGCGGATGCCCAATATGCTGGAGTGTATGAGATTGACCTCGGCAATGTTCGACCATTACTGGCAATACACCCAAACCTCGACAAAGTTGTCCCTCTTGACGATGTGGGGCGAATACGTCTAACAGGATGCTTCATCGGCGGCTGCGCTACGACGGAAGAGAATCTCGTAGTCGCTGCCTTGGTGCTACAACAGGGACTAAAGACTAATCGGCGGCCATTTGATCCTGGAAAAAGAATCATGGTTCCTGGGTCTATGTGGATGTTACATAGATTGCGCGAAAAGTGGCTGCTCCAATTCTATGAAAAGGCAGGGTTTGAGATTAGCGAGCCTGGCTGTAACTATTGCGCAGGCATCTATGATGGTCGCGCCGCAGCAGGGGAGTTTTGGCTGTCATCACAGAGCAGAAGCTTCGAACAGGCCCATCTTCCCGCTGGTGTGTAGCTCCCCCCAGAATCCGACTTGGATTAATTCTCGCAGGGCCGATTGGCCATCTGGCCTCAGCCGCGACTATGGCCGCGTCATCCTTCAGCATGAGGATTCGGAGTTCGCACTCTTTCCTAAGGCGGATTGACTTCGAAGCCTCTAAGCCCGCCTTTGCCGGACGGATGGCTTCGGATCGTGTCCTTGGTACCTGATCGGGTAGCATATACGTCGACCCGAAACCCGGCCACCCCAACTGACTGAGTGAAGATGATGCAGAGCGGGACAAGTTTAGTGTTGACCATGGAGGAGAGTGTCCTAAGGCTTTCCGGTAAATCCGATATCCCCGCCGTAAGTCCACAGCTGCAAGTCGGAGTTTGCGCTGACAGCTGGACAGCGTTTGACGCCTGATTATCTATGGTACCTCAGCACATCCGAGCGTAATGACCGACGGGGTTTAGAACATGTACCTGAATGGCTACAGAGTGCTCAACAGTGGAAGGCTATCATCGCAAGAAAGGGCTTCAGGCAGGGCTCGCCACAGGAGTTGGCTGTCATAGCACTTGCTGGTAAGTCTTCCCACTCTGTACAGGCAGTACCTGATCCTCCAGCATTTGGTGTGAAATGCGTCATTGCAGAATCTTTCTCGTGGTTCATAGAGCAGAATATGCCGCTCATTGGCCTACTGGGCATCACTGCGGCAGACGGGGGATTCTACAAACGTGCGCAAAATGGTAAAGAGATCCGGATCCACATGGGTGCTAGAGAAGTCGAGATTAATGAGCAACGATTTCAATTTGGATCGGGACACATAGCAACCGAGCTGCACCGGTATTGAGGAGTATGACGTGAGATCAGGCTCAGTGCATGATCGACACGCAAACCGGAAATCGGGAAGGAACGGCGGACCCATGATGCAGACGTATATTAAACCCTCCCCCTCCCTGATCCATCCTTCCTTCTCCATCTCCCGCCCGCAGACCAGACGAGAATCATGGGATCAGCCACAGCTTCAACCACCGGGGCCAATCATGGTGTCACTAACCAACTCTGCTCTTGGGTCCATGGACTCACCCTCGCCGACATTCCCCAAGATATCCAGACGCGGGCCAAATATCTTATCCTCGATGGCCTCGGGTGTGCCATTGTCGGCGCTCACCTACCATGGACTGAGAATGCGACCAACACAGTCCTGACCATGGAGTCTCCGGGGCACTGTCCGATTTGGGGATATAACAAGGTAACCTTGCAAAGCTCTACGATCGGAACTACTGTCGCCAGCTGACAACACGTAGAAAGTCGGTCCACTCCCGGCCGCCCTTCTTAACAGTACGCAGATCCAGTCCTTCGAGCTCGACGACTGGCACTCGCTTGCCCCGTTGCATTCCAATGCGATCATCCTCCCTGCCCTCCTGGCCGCGGCGTCGCAGGCAAGAGCTGGCGGGAAAAGTACGACGGGGGCATCATTTCTACTGTCGACAATCATCGGATACGAGACGGGCCCTCGCGTCGGATTGTGTCTATACGGTAGCGACATGCTCTCTCGCGGGTGGCATTCAGGTGTCGTGTTCGGTCATGCTGCGGCTGCGACGTCTGTTGGGAAGTTACTCGAGTTAAGCTCCGACTCGTTGGAAGATGCGGTTGGTATCGCATGCACGCAGGCGTGTGGGCTGATGTCCGCGCAGTTTAGCAGTGACGCGAAGCGGATGCAGCATGGGTTCGCGTCGAGGAATGGGCTGTTTGGAGCTCTCATGGCGGCTGGTGGGTACAGTGGGATTAAGCGCGTCTTCGAGGAGCCGTATGGGGGATTTCTTACCATGTTCAGCCAGGGTTCAGAACAAGACCCGCCGTACTTGGAACAGGAGCTCGTCAAGGGACTGGGCGAAATCTGGCAGTTGGAATCGATCCGAGTCAAGCCATACGCGTCGATGGCGGCAACGCACTGCTCAATTGACACGGTCGCCGCTCTCCAGAAGGAGTATCCGGATAAGCTACGCGATCGGGCCACGATTACAAAGATCGTGTTTGAGATGTCCGAGCCGGCGTACAAACATGGCGGATGGAAGCCACAGCGGCCGCTGACGGCCACAGGGGCTCAGATGAGCTGTGCTTATGTTGCAGCCGTGCAGATGGTGGACGGGCAAGTCTTACCGCAGCAGTTTAGGGCTGACCAGCTGGATCGCGATGTAATCTGGGAGCTGGTTGAGAAAACAGAGTGTGTCCAAAATGATATGTTCACCGAGATATTCTCACAGCGCGCGACAATTGTATTCCGTGATGGCAGCGAGATCTCCAAGACGCTCAAAGCGCCCAAGGGGGTTGATCCCACCCTGTCAAATGAGGAGATAGTGGACAAGTATCGTTCTCTCACAAAGGGATTGATTAGCGACGGGCGACAAAAGGCGATTGAGGATGCGGTGCTAGGGCTGGAAAAGCTGCAGGACATTTCTCAGCTGGAGGCTTTGCTAGTCGACCTGACACTTTCTCCGTTTCGCTAGATTGGCCTGTTTGTAGAGTAATCAGAAAGGATGGTCTGGACTGCATAGTCCGCGCCACAATTGACAAACAAGCAACTCAAGGCGAGCAACATTAGTACGATCAATTTCTTCAGGGCTGAAATACGACCTTCGAGGCGAGAGCTTCAGCCTCGACCCTAAATAGGAAAAGTCAGCCAAATTCTGGGCCCTGCAAGTTGCCCAGTCTCGACTCTGGTCTGCTGCAGCCAAGGCGCGGCGCAACGAACGCTTGGACACGAGCGACTCTGGGCTCGCCCCGAGTTGCCCCGTCGGAGAACCCCACGATCGCGTGTTCGAGCGGCCGCTCGTCTCTGGCTAGCCTGAGCTGAACCCTGTCAAGCCCAGCTGAGCTCAGAAGTGTCGCTATAAAAGCACTTTCCCCCGAGTCGGGGAATATTCTTAATCTTGAAGCTGACACTCCCCCGCGGTAGCCTTGATTACATGCCAAGATGGGCTCCAAGCGACTAATTATCTGCTGCGATGGTACAACTCGCTTCGCGATTCCCCATCTCCTCGAGGTCTGAATGTCGTACTAACGTGTGACAGGCACTTGGCAGGATGCGACAGACGACGACCGACAACCCCCTTCCAACGTGACGCGGCTCTCGCGCGCCCTAAAACGGACAGCCACCGTCAAGGAAAACGGAGTGACGCGCGAGATCCCCCAGATTGTGTACTACCAAAAGGGGGTAGGGACTGGGCTAGGCGATAAATATTTTGGAGGTACATGAACTCGATATTCACATCCCCTACGGGGGTGATTTGCGGTTATGCTGACTCCATCCTGAACAGGCGTCACAGGCGTCGGCTTAAGCGCAAACGTCCGCGCAGCCTACGGCTTCCTCGCAGAAAACTACGAAGAGGGCGACAAGATCTACTTCTTCGGTTTCTCCCGCGGTGCATACACCGCACGCGCCGTTGCCGGTCTCGTCTGTGACCTGGGCCTCCTCACAACACGCGGCATGGACAATTTCTCCAACGTCTACAATGACTTCTATAATCGCAAGAAAGAAGCCTACACACCCGCGGAACGCGCACAGCTCGGATTCCGACCTCCCTTACCCCGATTCACTGTCGAGGTCATTGGTGTCTGGGATACCGTTGCGTTCCACAAGCCGTGGTTGGGCCAGTGGTTTGGCGAGCAGCTCGAGTTTAGGAATACCCTCCTCTCCCGTGAAGTTAAGTATGCGTACCATGCGCTTGCGCTCGATGAGGAACGCACAGCGTACCAGCCGACGCTGTGGCATCAGCCGGATAACTCTGAGGGGACGGAGCTACTGCAGGTGTGGTTCTCGGGCGTGCATACGGACATTGGTGGGGGCGCAGATGATCCCCGGTTGTCGAATATCCCACTCGCGTGGATGATCGCGCAGTGTTCGAAACATAATCAGCTCGAGTTCGATATCCCGGGATATCTTTTTGATATTCCGCCCCACCCTGCGACTCGCGATACGGGGCCCTGGACGACGATGCTCGGTAAGATCCCGCGGAACGGGTTCATGCGCAAGGTTGAGAATTGGGTCGGCGGGACGTCTGTACGTACGCCGCTGGCGTATGATCAACCGGGCACTGAGCAGAGAGCAACAAACGAATGTATCCATGTTTCGATCCGCGATCGCGTGCTTGGGAAGCTGACGGCCAGTTCTCCGAAGGGCGCTGTGCAGTGGACATCACCGGTTGTCGCTGCAAACACGAGCGATTGGACTCGAAAGGTCTGGAAGTTGAAGGGTGGAGGTGAACTTTTCGAGGCTATCCCGCTGGATGCGGAGTTTGAGATGAAGGGGAGGATCCGGACAGTTCATTGGGATGCTGTTGATCAGATGGAGAAGAAGGAGTAAAGGGTCGCGTATGGCCATATCTATACGGATGGATATTGTCTTGACACACCTGTTTTGGACATTTTGCTGCTTTTGCATGTTGGCATATATACGATTTGGTTTCGGCCTACTGAATTATGATATTGCGCTTCGTTGTTCGGTGCCTCTTTGGTTGATAATAGCCCTTGTTGGATCTTTCTTTGACGCCTGCCTGTACAATCCACCGGACCCTAATCCTGTGTTCTTTGTCCCGCAAACCATAAGACGAACGTTGGATCCCATATCTTGCTAGACCAACTCAATCTCCCCATCCAAGATGCCGCCCTCAACTCCCTGCAAGATTTGCCACCAACCTGTCTGCAAAACCGGCTACATCGGCCTCCAGTACAATTTCACTCACACTCGCGAACCCGCCACCGGCTACAGACGCTGGTTCGCCGATGAATTCTCTAGACTCGCCACTAGAAGCGACCTCGAGATCCGGCAGTACGCCATCACATCCCCAGCCTCAAGCCCCAATTCGTTTTACGTGTTCATCGATGCTGACAGCGTTCCCGGAAGAGGCGACGACATGGCGCGATCTGTTATGCTGATCCAAGCGGATGAGCGCGGCGTTCACTATGTGAGAGCGGTTTGTTTCTATCATACCTGCCAGGGTGCTTTGGATGATATTCTATGGTATAAGAGGCGGCTGAGAAATGGTAAGTTGTTTGCCCTGTCAATGGAGATTGGATGGGGTCGGCCTGGGTCGTTCCTGAGGCAGCTTCGGGGTGTTACTGGGACTGGGACTGTGAAACAGGTTGCTGCGACTGGGAGGGAGGTGTCCAGATATGGATATCGTAGCGTAGCTCAGAAGGACGGTGGATATAGAGAGTAGATCAGAATTCATCTCTAGTTATGAGCTACATTGCCCTTTCCTCTTCTCCAGCGCCTATCCCATCAAGCATCCGGATTGAAATTGCGCGTGTAAGGTCGTGGATCTGATGCGCGGGCTGCGGAAATTCGTGGTCACATTCCGGCCGAGAGTGACACACACCGATATGACCGAGTATCTGTTCATCGTATTCGGACTGAGCCTCGGGGAGGTAGATTTCATGTATCATTGATATCAGTAACCAAAACATACCATGGCCGAAAAAAATAAAATATCATTCATTACGGCACGAACAAGCCCAGTTGATTTGTAGCTCAGAAGCGACTGATCTTTGGTATGGTTGGTATTCAGCTTAATGCTACTTAATTCTAAGTAGGGTTAATATAATGCTGGCCAACTTTCAGCTACTGGGCCAAAGGGAACATCTCGTCAAAGAACTTCCCACCTTGGGCTATCATGGCTTGACTATCGTTACTATGATGCTTTGAAGCATCAATTGTTGTTTGGCATTATGCTCATCTTGATTAATCGTCTTTTAGCTTGGATCTTTGTGTTGGGACTTATTGTACGAGGCCGAACAAAGGCTTTTATATAATAAAGAAATGGGAAGATAAAGGCTGCCAGAAGTATATCAATAGGGACTCGCTCCTTCGAGACACGTATGCTTCCTAATCAAAGCATACACCATGGCTACTACAACAAACCAGTGCATATTTTGCAGCCGCAAACGCTGCCTAGTCCTCGACTACAAATTTAGCTCTGGCGTGGATCTAGACTGGTTCCGAGGCGAATTTGACAAAGTCGCTAGGAGCAGCAGGACCAGGATCCTCTCTTGGAGTCTAAAGGGCAATCTTATGCACCCAAAGCATGCATATGCTGTCCTGGATCTTGCTGATCCCCAAGCCAGTAATCCTGCGCTGGGGTTTGTTCTTCCGAACGGCAGCGGTGCATCCGTTACTCCCATTGCCTTTTGGCATTGGACCTATGCGGAGGCTATTGAAGCCATCAATGAAGGGGACCCGGGAGCGAGGGGTGGCCGCTGTGGTCAGGATAAATGACGGCTCTTGCGGGGCTTGCCAAGTCCTGACTTTGTTTGTTCCAGCTCCTAGTACGTATTCATCTAGGCACTAGCTGGGTCCGCGGATGGTCCATGGATGTGTCTGACCTAAGAGTATCTAGCAAAGAAGAATACGAACGTGACGCATATTTTGAAGATTTGAGTATTTAGTAGATGTTGAATGCTTGTAGATAGGTCCGGCCATTGCTAACATTTCAAATTACTACCTAGCCTGTTGGGAAAGAGCACAGCCTATAAGCGGCACTAAAATGGTTTCCCTGACTTTTCTCCATCTGATTATATCTATCAGCAACACTACAAGCACCTAAGCTTAGGCCCATTTTCCCCTGTTTATTCTTGTTATCCTTACCCTTGATGTACTGAAGTCTCTTTCTTTCTTCATGCCGCTGTCCTCAAGGGAACAAGCTCTTTGTCAATAATTACCCATTGTAAGTTGGACAAACATGCATTATATCTGGCTTTCCTTACTGATTAACCTAATCTAGATTTAATAAGCCATTGTCACAACTTTTACAAGATATGTTTGCTCGTCCTTTCAGCCTCCTGGGATGGTGAAAGGAAATCTATCTATTCTTTCAGACAATTCATTATAGAGTGAAGTAACAGCCTGTGTGAAAGAATGGCCTGAGCATATAAGGGCCTCAAACCCCCTCCGTTTACCTACCATCAGTCCTCTACATCTAGAAGAATCGACGACCTGCCCCTCAGAATACTCACCATGTCAACCAACCAGATCTGCGACATCTGCAGCCAATACGCCTACCAAACCCGCTTTGCCACCATCAGCTACACGTTCCACAAGACAGTGGACGTGGAGTGGTTCGCCAATGCGTTCCATCGGGTTATCAAAGCCAGCGGCCTCAAGGTCCGTGGATACGCGCTCACTGTGCACGCTCTGGTTGTCTCTGTCTGGCTATATATCGATAATATTCCGGCTCCCCAGGACCTGCAGTCGCGTCTAACGTTTCCGGCTCCGCCCGGTCTGACTGTTCAGACTGGGCTGAGGGGCCACGCGCGCTGTTTCCTTGCTGTTGCTTCGATCCGGACGGAGATTCAGAAATTGAGGGCCAGTTCGGGGCAGGGGACCGCTTTGATTGATAATGTGATTATTCGAGGGGCTCCTGAGTTTATCTAAACTCGGGTTGTGGAGTTAGTCTGGGCTGTTTTGGCCTTTTCTTTCGTTTCAGTCTTGGGTAATCGCTATCAGCTGTTGTGTTAGTGTTGAATCAATCTATTTCTTTTTTACGTTTCTAGCGCCTGTCTCGTAGATACAGCAACAATCTCCGTCTTAGAAGATCCAAAGGTCGTAATCCTAGTTTTATGACCATTATTTATGATCGGATTTTTACTGATTGAGGTTTGAGGACTGTCCTATTGAGTGCTATGGCTAGCTGAGCTGAGGACAGACATGGCTTTACTAGAGCAGCATTAGGCGTTGGTAAATTACTTGACAAGTAGCTGATATTCGACCAAGTGTGTAGTAATGGGACACCAGGGGTTAGCTTTATAATGAACAGTGTGTTTGTATAAGTGGATCATTTTCTTCCCTGGTAAACATGGCTCAAGCACACTTGATAACATACAGAGTATAAAAATGCTGCAGTGCTTAAGGCACATGAGGCAAGACCTGCTCTGAACACCGCTGACCATGCATCACAAAGAGAGATGCTTTGTGTCTATGAGCCGTTTCATTTCCCCGAGAAAGATAGTGTTCTATAAAAAAGAAACTTACGAATGGCATCATATCCTAATAGCCTTGGTCAGTTCCCTAGAGGTGTTCCATCATAATGCTAGCTTCGGCCTCCTTCGTGGGAAACCTGGCATTGCGACGGGCACTCTCCTGCGACGGCCACCGCAGCTCAAAAAATGGCATGAATAACTGCCGGGCTTCATTCCACTGTTTCTAAGATAAGGCGCAGATATCCAGACTGCGGATGGTGATGGGCAGCTAGTATTCCATATGCTACCCTGGCAGGTGATATGCCTGACTTGCAATACATGAAAGGGCTTCCGGGAAGAGGCCTAGATGAGCCCGACACCTGGGGGCTAATGCTACTAAGGATGGCTGCAGTTAGGGCCTGGACAGACGTTATAGATTCGCTCTTCTCCCAATTCTACGGTGCTGATCCGAATCGCCGAGACAACAGAGGATGGACTTCCTTATTATGTTCAATTAACGGGCGGATAGATTCCTATGGGCAAATATTTTTTTTTTCTCCTCGAACTTGTGTGAAAAAATATTCGGCTTTCACTAAGAAGCGTAGTGTCGGCGTCAATTTTCAAGAACTAAATGGTCGATGGTCCTTGAGCCATCGCACGCAGATCAGGCGAGAGGAAGGGCAACAATAAAACGAAAAGGTCCCGGCGCTTAGTAGGACTGAATCAGAAAAGACGACTAGCCTAGGTGGTGATCTGACCGTCGTAGCAGCTAAGATTTACCTAGCTGAGGACCATCCCGCGACGAAGCAACAGAGAAAGTGGTTATTGGTCGATGTAAAATCATCGAAGCTTTGGACAAGCATTTCGGCACACCTAGTCGTATGTCTCACTGCGTCCAAAAATATCCCACCCAATCGCTGTCGTGCCTCAGGGCATGGCCAAAAACCGTCGGCGAATCCGGGCCGATCTGTAACCGCCGGGAACTGGGACCCCTCTTATCGTGCATGAAGGATGGCTGGAGACTTCCAAAAGGAAGGGGAACATCACAATCTTTTATAAGCATTGGTCGTCCAAGAGGTTTTCCCACCAAATCCGTCTACAGCTTTCCTCCTCCGCGCTTGTTCTGCATTCCTCTCACCATGGACGCCTCAGACATCATCCAATACATCGTCGTCCCCGTCATCGCTGTGATAGTCGGAGCCATCACGGTGGCCATCCTATGCGTACGGCACAAACGGAAACAGAAAAGACTAGATCTTGAACACCAGCGTCTTCAGCAGACCTTCGCCACACCATGGATCCCCGATGCCCAGCAGTCGATCTACCAGATGCAGCATCAAGCCTTTCAACCCGAAAAGCCCTACCAACAATCCGCAGGGGGGATCCAAAGTAACGTCATGGTTCAATACCCGAGTCCAGTCGCTCAGGGGCCTCCGACGTACAATGCACCGGGCGTTCATGGACAGCGGCAGTAAATGGTATTCTTCCCATATCGGTTCAGAAGGCGCCGACTGACGCGTCTTCGATCAAGGTATCGTACAGGACCCTATTTCTGACGTGGCGAGTCATGCACTGCTTGATTCTCCTACACCCGATCAAGAGGTTGACGCGTTCTGTTTAATGGACCGGGGTTGTCTATCAAATTGCGAAAATAGGTGTGTCGGGTATTTCTTTCAAGGAGGTCCTGGCGACATCACCTCAAGGAGCGGTTTCATTTGTTCAACATTGCAAGCATAGCGTTGCTGCATCTGGTCTCAATCTATAGCAAGAAAAGAGGAGTGTTGCCATGCTGGTCCTGCGATTCCCACCGGCCCCGTGTTTGAGGGTGTGCTACAATGGACAGGGTGCCTCTCTCAACCCTTGAGGATAGTTGTGTCCGTTTAAGGTTATCACGCGAGTCCACAAATGCACTAAGGGTGGTATATCTGCCTAGTGCTTAGTTTTATGCATGGGACTGTGATATTATTATTATGTTTAATATTAGCTTGGCTTATAGCTATTCTGTCCATTGCTAAGTAGTTATAGGACATACTCGCGTATAAAGTTAGCAAACCACTAGCCTAAGACTTGCTTAATAATAAGAGCTATGAAGCTTATAATAGTATTATTATATAACCACTCTTAATTAAACCTATACTCCCTAGGCAGGTTTCTTGTGGGCATGGTATAAAGGATTAGAACCAAGTCTTTTATATTACCTATAATTATTCCCCGCCGACTAACTATAAGTATTATAGGCAGAGCAAGGTCTATAGTATGCTGGAAGTAATTAATAATATTAGCTTCCTGCCTAATCCATGGATTACCCTCTAGGTTAAACTCCAGAAGATGCTTTTAGATCTAGTTACCCTAGCTTAGTTAGCCTTTCTTCATAAGGATCCCCACCACGGTGGACATAAACATCTTTAAGCACGAGGTTAGCATATATATGGTGTCTTTATTAGCAGGGAGGGTTAGGTTATTATTATAGTAGCCAAAGGCTTTCTTCATGATACACGCCCCTGGTGGGCTACTCCAAATGTGGTAGAGGGGGTCTGACAGGTGGAGTGAATTTATTGGATTTGGGGGAGGCACGATGAAAGTCTGTGAAGGACTGTGTCTTGTTCCGTGTTCATTTTTCCGTGCAAAAGTAGTGTAGGAATGAGGAAGTCTAGGGAAGAGAACTAAGGGAGGCGGGCTAGGCGTGTTTCGGGGGAGGAAGGCATATAAATAGGATATCTGACCTATCTACACATGTCTCACGAGCTGACAAACTACAATGGCGCCATATAGATGTCTCGTTCATATGGTATACTCCGCGTACATGGAGGTTCAGTATTATCTTCAAATACTTCCCACCAAGGAACTACAACGACACGTAGTTCTTGCTGCATGCAATATAAGCTTCAATTGTAGCTAACGAACGGACAGCAGCTAACATCTGCTAAGTTGGATCACCATGGCGTCCGACTACATCCCCATCATTCACACATACAGCTGACCCCCACGTTCACCTCCCCTCTCCCACACCGCGAGCGTTCAGTATGCTGAATTCTCCTCACTTGGGAAGGGCTTCACCCTCGCCCTTTCCAGCACCAGCGCAACCAGTGTCACCCCAGGGCCACAACATTTTCTTTTGCTAGAAGTATCAAGGTAAGCTCGTGCCACGGTGTCATGATATGGTTTTGATGCTGAGAACTCACTAGAGGTGGAGGAGTAGGTCTGTTTTGAGAGTGTCAGTAGAGTGGCACAAGGTCAAAGGGGCGAAACAATTGGGGGAAGAAGGACTTGTTCGTACCCTTTTTAAGATTTGGATAGTCGAAAGTGCTTGATGGAATGCGATAGTTTGGTTTGGAGGTTCTGTCTTGGTTAAGATTGAGCAGAGATGCATTAAAGGGCAGCAGAGGACGCGGTATTTAACCTTTTGGCAAGGACAGTCTGTCGCAATTCATGAAGATTCTCTTAACATGGAGGATTAATGCCATGTCATGGCTTTTCGCCCAAGCTGGACAAGTGCAGCGCGCGCTGACTGCCAAGGTGATGCTGTCGTCTCGTCTGCTCTCGAACCACCACCCTCCAATGTCGAGTTTACATCGTAGTATTCATCATGATTCGCCATGCACAAATGTGTCTGTATGTGTTGGAGACATGCTCAGGCACCCCGCAGGTCAACATTCGCGGACACTCCCCGCTGCCAAAACCCCAGACGATCAATTTAGCCGCTCGGCTGAATAGATGTTAAACAGGTAGCATTGCATAGTACATTTCCAACCTTATAGGACGACAAACGGCACATACCAGGCCAAGCGTGATTTTTATTAAGGTGATTTTAGCTTGCCTTGAAACGTTATCGGGGAGTTGGCCCTTGTGAACCCCAGGACATTAGCTGGGTTGCCGTTAATCAGCCATGGGCTTGAGAATGCCGGGCGCCTCACCATCTGTAGTATTTGCGGGGAACAATAAACTGAAGAGTGGGGGCCAAATCTGTTACTCTTCTATAGCCCTGAAACAGGATAGTATTCTACATACTGCGTTGTTCCTATCGTTCATCGCCCTACTATGCCCGGTGCGAAGTTGGGTAGCCCTTGAGGTAACTTTCTCTCTACATGCTTCTAGTGTACTAATTGAAACGTATGCGCGAGTGATAGATTGAAGTAGGCGCTCTAGCCATGCTGTCGGTTAGGGTAGAAACTAATGATCCTACTCTAAAGAACCAGTTCTGTTGCCACAATCAAGTAAGGCTTGAATCTCAGGAGCACCATGAATTAGGGCGTCCAAAAATGCCCTTTGCTCAGCACATAAGCGATGCTTTGTTTTCATCACGGGTTTCCGTTATATGAAAGCAGAACAACTCCGCACGCGCCTATGCTTGGCAGTCTGTTCCCTGCATTTTCCACCACGGGGAAGGCCCGACTCCCCCTCGTTGGTGATGAAACTACCCCTGTTGCATATTCATCCCAGATATTGCTCTAGAGTAGATAAGGCGCAACATCCGAGCTAGTGCACAGCCACTTTGACTAATGATATTGAGGTACAAATGCTCGTTGGCAGACGGATGGATCCCTTTTAGTCGGCTGGGAGCGGGGCTGCGGTCTCGGCATTCGACACCCCCTCACGCAACGGGTGGGGGCGAGACTATGGAGTGACACCAAATATGTGGGGGCCGAGGCGCTCGGACGAGGAGCTACATTTAGCCTCAACAGAGGTTGTTGCAGCATCGGCGGGAATTGCCCGCTAGCTCCAAGTCCATGCTGGTTTCAATGAATACGGACTGACGTAGCTAATAGTTAGCAAGCTCTGCAGGCTCAAGGCTCTTCGACGCAGTATGACATTGCCATAATGCTTGGACTCTTCGACTAAGCTTTGAAAGAGACTCACGGGTTGTCCAGCAGTCAATCGTCTCAGACTACGTTGGGTTTCGCTAAAATGTAGCCCCAGAAGTTCAAGACACAATTAGACCTGTGACATAATAGTTATTCTGGTAAATCAGAGACTCTAGACACCAGCCGAAGTTTCAACTTATCCCCAAAACAATCTCATCCTTCCTTGCCATGAGCTCCTCTACTTCCCTTACCCAGCTTATATACCTCGCACCCAACGACTCTCCACTTAACATCCAACCAAGCAATTGTATCTCCCACAATATCTGGCGACTCTAGGAAAGCGTTTCGCACTGCCTTAGGTAATAATCCCTTGGACATATTTATCTCAATCGCATGAGGATTAAAATAGAATGCCAGTAGCCCTTACTTACTATATTTAACCTGCAATAACTTGGTCCATCTTTTGGGTATTAAACTCTATAGGGAGGAAGGCGCGCGCTATATTAAATAGGCCGTGAAGATTCACCTTCCAAGTTTACTAGCATATATCTGCATTTAAGTCAAGGAAGGGCTTGAGTAGCTTTATATGTCCCATATTATTCACAAGTATATCCAAACACCTGCTAAAGTACTGCTCCACGTTATCATGAAGTGCCTGAACGCTCGCCTGGTTTGAGATGTGAGCCACGAAGCTCAACACCATATGCTCAGGACGTCTGGCTTGCGTTACGGCGCCTTTAAGTGATAAGATTGGTTGTTATGCCGTGTAGATCCGCGATTGCTATCGCAGAGGCTCCTGCATGTGCAAAACCTGTAGCGGCGGCATATCTGACTCCGCTTTCCCAGGCGCCTCCTGTGATAAGGACATGTTTGCCGGCTAGGTTCAGTTTTAGTGGGGCGATGTAGTCATAGGTTGTTGAATGGTATGTTGCTGTGAAGTTGCCAGCCAGGGCCGGCTTTCCCGACATTCTGCACTGATCTAACGTACCCTACCCAGTAAAACGTGTAGTTTCTTGTTTGAAGCAGAATATCGAGGTGAACGGAGATACCAGATGGCCAGTTTGACCCCCTACTGCATACTAGGGTTTCTTCGGTTATCCAGCGGCTTCGCACCAGCTATACCCAGAGTCGTCTGTACTATGTCTTGGAACACTGATAAGCTGATAAACGATCTAGATAGTGTTTGAAGCACCTAGTCGGTCAGTAAAGAATATATGCAAAACAGCCAGACACGTCTCTATGAGTGGAGGACAGGTGACTTGTTACCCAAAAAGCGGGGTAGGGCAGACAGCTGACGCCTTTAAAAGAGAAGAGGGATTCTTACTGTCTAGTGATCCAATCAATAACAAATGTCCTCGTCCTCCCAGAGTCAACACGTACGAAACTCCTCACCTGGTGTCAAGCTTGTTGGAATTTCCCCCGAAGATTCAATATTGCCGTTGAAAAACCAAGTTTATGACTCGATTATCGGAGCATGGACCACACCTGAGATCAACTACACTGTCGCTGCTTCTCCGACGCGAGTGCTGGCCAGTTGCGCTCCGGAAGATATTACGATGGCCATCCGACACTTCCTCCATCGGATTTACGTCGCGAATTCGCTAGACATCGAATGCTACCGAACCGAGAACCCACTGCATTAGTTTCGGTGACAAACCGTCCACTTAAAGCAGTGCATCGCGCCCTGTCAAATACTATATGGATGGCGAGTGCCCGGCAACAATCTGGATCGCTGTAATCCGCGTACCAGGGGTTAGCAACTATCGGCGAGCATCCTGGATAACACGCGTATTTCAGAAATGGAACCTTAAATTGAAAATATGCATATCAAAGAAAGGACGATTGGAGACTCTCAGTGCAGAGAAACCTCAAGCTATAGAGAAGGGGGTACAGTGAATAAAGCAAGTGACATGAAAAACCCCAGCCATGGCGCCGATCACCCAAGTGCAGATACAGGAGAGAGAGGTGATAGGGGTGCTACTGCCTCCAGTCCCACGCAAGCCCGAATCAGCAGATCACTTGCCGGGCAAAGTTATCGCAACTACTCACACCCGCAGGCGAATATTGGAGGATTAAGGCCAGCCCTATCTACTTCTGAGAACTTTCCATGTCGCCAGCAAGACGACCAGACGGCCATAATGATCAAAAATACTTCAGCCCGAACACCCTATGACAGTGGACGTTCTAATGACGATTACGAAAGTGAGAATAGCCAAGCAATGGGTGGGCTGGTTCATGGCCACTCAAGACTACGATCCAGGCTAAAATGCAAGCCAGATGAACGCCTGGCAAAGAGACATAAGCATCCGTCAGATGTTGGCACGCCAATCAGATTTACTTTGGCGTCAGCCGATGACGCTTCGAGAGAGCATTTAAGTCTGCCACAGAGACCATCGACCGGCAGCTTTCCGCCTAACCTTGGCAAAGCGCAGGAGATCTTTGGTTGAGGAATTTTGCGTATCCAACCCCATGGGCTTCGGAATGCCTACACCATCACATTCCTGCCGGAAGTTACTCAACCGACGTCTATGCCATTGACACCCGGGATATCTTACGATAAGAGGTCCAACTCAGCTAGCTGTGACCAAAATACTCCGGCAACCATATTTGTGACTGGAAATATGCCAGTTCGACGGAATGACCTCCTAATAGACCCTTGCCGATAATGCGCCGTGGGAGGCCGAGGCAGAAGATTACCATCTACCTTTCTTCTTGGGTGATACTACCTCGTCAGAGACGACTTATCCATATCCAGACCCTTCGCCCATTTTCTCCAGCGTCCCTGACCACGGACGGACGCTCTATCACACACAGAGGCAGGGCGGTGATGCTCAATAAAACAGCTGCCCTCACAGTCTGCTCCATCAGAAGTTGCCTCGCAATAATATAATTGGCATTCTTCCCTCCTGTGATCCTCCAGATTCCTCTCAGGGAAGTAGACAGTTTAAATCCTGCAAGCAAAAGCCGTGCCAACCGGATGGACCAGCACCCAAACGGGCTCGAAACACTCACTAATTTGGCAGGGGAAAATAAATTTGCGGCACTATACTCTCACTTCTTGTCTCTGCCACGTGACAGGCGTTTTCAATTCTTTCATGGGTTGTTGGAAGGTGACCTACCACATTACGTATTACTCCTGATCTGCCAATGGCTGAGAACGGGAGTGCGCGGTCAGCAAGTCGCTCGAATCAACGGTCAGGTAGTAGTGAACCCTATGGCAGCTCCAGAAAGGGCATGGCGTGGTCACCTAAAGAAAAAGACCTCCTACTGATGCTGAGAATGGACGAAAAACGACCCTGGTCGGAGGTGACAAGATCATTTTCGGACAGTTCCCAGGCCGGAGTCAAGGCTCCATTCAAGTATTTTGGAGTACGAGCCTGAAAAGCAGAGCACATTAAAATGGCATACTTTGGCGTCACAAAGCCTCAATAGTTTGATTTATAACTTGTAAATAATTAGAGTAGATTCAATGTTTTTGAGCGAATTTCAACGAATACGTTATTAGGACGCCATAGAAAGTGATAGGAGCAATACAACAGTGCTTTAGACTGATAATAATATAAGGCCGGGCCTGATCTAGTGCACACACACATACAGTATAATTGATTTAGTTGGGACACTTATGTCGCCGAGTACCCTCCATCAACAAAGAAAACCTGACCTGTAACAGCCTTGCTTGCGTCACTGGCAAGATACACGGCAATCCCCCCAAAGTCTTCTGCAACCCCATTCCTCCGTATCATGGTGCGCATTGCGTGGGATTCTGCCTTCATTGGGTCCCCTAATACTGCGGTAGTCATGGCTGTTTCAACGAGACCAGGAGCGATAGCATTACATAAAACGCCTCGTGATGACCAAGCCTCCGCCTGCGACCGAGTAAGAGATACGAGTCCACCTTTTGAAGCTCCGTAGGCGCCGCTGTTGCCAAAAGCTCTAAACGACTGCTGGCTGACAATGTTGATGATGCGTCCACTTCCCCTTTTTGCCATAGCCGGTCCAAACTTCTGTCCAAGAGCAAATGGTGCCGTAAGATTGACAGCTATAGTCTCATCCCAGTCTTTGACTGACAGATGGTCCATATGAATCCGAGTATTGATGCCTGCAGCGTTGACTAAAATGTCAGGGACACCGTATTGCTTGATGACCGCGTTACTAATGGCGTCGGCGTCGCGGACGTCAATAGGCAGTCCGTGTGCCTCGACTCCTTTACTGGAGAGGTAATCGACTGTATTCTGGACCGGGCTTGGACGTCGAGCCACAACAATAACGGCAGCTCCAGCCATGCCCAGGGCGGCGGCCATCGCCCGTCCGATGCCAGAGCTGCCTCCAGTGACAACAGCGACACGGCCGCGAAGACCAAAGAGGGACTCAAGATATGTGGCGCTGGTCCGTATGCCGTCTGTCATTGTTTCGTGTATAGAATTAATATGGTGAGGAAGTCCGCGAATTTTCCTTCCTTCTTAAACAATATGTGTATGAGTCATATGGTACCCGTCGATTTGCTTTCCCGGCTAACCCGCCCCCAACCCCAACCACCTCCTCTCCCTCACTTGACCAGTGGCTGGTCGGCTACAGCTCAACGCAAGATTTTTTTTTTTCAAATTCTCAACGAATTCAGTTCAAGTTAAGAAAGCTTTTAAGTTTCAGTTTCCTCGGCGTCCAGCGAGGAGTTTGTCGAGAATGCGAACCACGACCCGAAGAGGAATCGGAAAGCAAAGCTGCCCTAGGCCACCGAGGCGATTGTGATGGTACTTTCCAATAAGCAACCAATTGATATTCAGAGTGTGACCAATGCTGATTACTTCAATAAGTAGCTACATCGTTTCCAGCACACTTCTTATGATCTATCCTTGCCCAAACCGATATTGCTGCCATACCATTTCTGGAGAGAAGCATTGAGGTAGTGGTTTAACGTTATCGGCGTGCCTGATCATTCAACGTGGAGAAGAAATTCCACTTTATCCACTGCTTTCTTGTACCTATGCAGGAGATGATCCAGCAGAACTAATACCAGATTATAATATACCTGGGTATCTAGGCAGGCCAAGTTTAACACTATAAGAATAAACCGATGGACTAACCTAATCCCCGGGTGATCCGCTCACCCTGGTTGATCTGATTTAGACTTGTCAACCCGCGGTTGGGTTGTTGCCAGGGCAACCCATAACCCACAGCGGATTATTGCTTTTCCGGCCCGACTCATTTCTTGGCGGGTTTGGGGCGGGTTTCTGGGTTGAGTCAGATAAGTCTAAGCCTAGGAGCTAGGATACATAGTTATAACGTAATTCCCGAGTGATCCGCAGCCACAAACTTGTCGAGCCTTAGTATGACCGCACCTCACCTTCACGTATCTAGCTGACTTGTTGTCCAGCTCGGTTTACACGCTCTCCATCCAGTCCTCAGACGGTCAATTGCGTTTGCTATCTGGAGCCAATGTATGAGGAACACACAGCACCACACAATCAGGAAGTCCCCTTTCGCCTCTATATGGTCATCGTAATCGGAGCGATTCCCCTTTCCAGAAATGGAGTGCACTTAGTTACACCAATTGCACGCCAGACGAGCCCGTTTAGTGCGGAGACTGTCAGCAATTCTCCGTCCAGAGGGCTTTACTGAGTCATCCGACATGGCTGCTAATAGGCCGGGAGCGGGAGATGTGCGATGGAGACAGCCCCGAGAGATTTCTGCGCGGTTGACATGGAACTGGGTGGGTGTGAGTTGAAGCGAGGGGCATTTCCCGGGGCAATTCCTAGTGAGCTGATCCATATGTCTGCACTTTCCGAGACTTGGCTGATCCTAAGAGTTTAGGTTCATTCTCTGTTGTGCGTTCCCAAGTGGTGTGGAAAACGACGCCCCGGGTCGATATCAGCAAGCACGCCCTCGTTGTTTGATGAGAGTCGCTCAACGAAGCGGTTCACGACAATATCCTTGCTGATTCTTTGGCATATACAAGAAAATGAGTCCAGAGACTTCATTCACAAAGTCATTCGTACGAAGAGACAAAGCAGCCTGGCCACGTTGAGGAACTTCAATCAAACCAGAGCCCGAGTATTAGCCCAGAGGATGCAGCCTGGTTGGTTTCATCGCCAAAGAACAAAAGAAGAAAATCATCTGGATGGTATGATCGGACCGGGAACCCAGTGCAGCCTCGCAGGCGTATTTTCTTGCTCACCCTGGGCAAATTTAAGTTGACGTCTGCATGATTCCCGCCGCGGTCGTGGCATATAGCCTGCATGCATAAATCCCATGGATTTCATCCCCTGTGAGGCTTTACTCCAGCCCAGTATCAGACAGGCAGACTCACAAATCAGCGAATGCCAAGGATCGGCTTGTCTGAGGCCCAAGACCTGAGTGGCTTCTTGAGAGCAACTTCAGGAAATAAAAATGTCCCAGCTGCGTTGCATGTGTAGGGGCGAGCAAGGGCATGGGGGGATCAATGCTGGAGGGCGCCGCATTTCCGCGCTGGTATATCGGTCCATTTAGGGTATCTTGGTGCCTGGTTCGTTCTCATCTAAGACCCTGACAGAGGTCGCGAAAGACGTTTGTGATCGCCACGGTGTTTATATGTTGTAGTTGTTGGTGGGAAGTAGATTACCGACTCGAGTTCCTAACAATAATAATGCTCTCTGGTAGCATTAGATTGTTCGTCAGTGACTATGTCATCTCCACGATTTTTATTCAGCTCCACAAGCGAAGAACCCCCGCCGAGCACGCGATTTTTCCCGAAAAGGGAAGATTGCAGCGACCATACATGCTACAGGCGCAATGACGGAAGGGCGGAGCGTAACGGGGCGGAGGTCGTCTTTGCCTGAACGAGGAGTCTTGTTGAGAGCGTTGGGCACTCTACCTGCTGCCTCAATATCAACACAGCGCTTCCATTATGTCGATTGTTCCATAGCGAATGCATCTAATAAAGATTTTTAAAGGATGATAAGTAACCATTTAATGTGCACTTGGCCACCGAAATCTTCGTCTCAAGAATGGCAGTGCTCTGGCATCATACTAGCCCCCTCATCTCGCTGGAAAAGCACAAGGTAAAGAAAGCTCCCTCAACTACACCCTCACTACACCCCCCTGTCCCTGAGCACAGCCCTCAACGTCGCAGCAAACTTCTCGACATACTCCCTGTTCAACATGGTATAATGCGCCCCCTGCACATCATGGAAGCGCACACCCTCACGCACAAACCCCCTCCACGCGCTGAGCCTGCCCTCAACCCAATCACGCCGATCCTTCGCAACATGGCTCAACGGGTCGGCAACAAACACATCCATACATTTCACGGCCCCCCGTGGCTCATACTCCACGGCCAAGCTCTGCATATTCGACGCAAGATCCACCCAGAGCAAGTAGTACTCCTCCGAAAGGCCCAGCTCGTCCCAGCGCGCAGCATCACAGTGCCGACGCAGGTAGCGGATGGCGTCGAGGCGGCGGTTCTCTCGATTCAATTCCTGCAGAGCAGGCTTGTGCGTATACGCCGCCTCCTCGGTCATCAGGCCCACGAAGTAAAACAGGTGGATCACGCACTCCTCCCAGACGAGCTCGCGCATGCGGGACTTGATGTGCGGCGGGAGATTCCAGCTCCCGCAGTAGCGGACCTCGTCGCCGGCCTGTTCGAGCAGCTTGCTCACTTCGAACGCCACCATCCCGCCGAAGGAGTACCCCGCTATTGCGTATGGCCCGTGTGGTTGGCGCTGCTTGATTGCGTCGCGGTAGGTTGTGAAGAGCTCGTCCAAAGAGGTAAAGGGGGGCTCGGGCAGGCCGGCTGCAGCGTTGAAGCCTTTTGCGCGGAAGGCATAGACGGGCCGGTCTTTGATGTGGTGTGCTAGGTTTACGAATACTAGGACCTCGCCGACACCTGGGTGCACGAGCCATAGGGGGGTCTTGGTGCCGTGGGGTTGCAGGGTTACGACGGGGTTGTAGACGTGTGTGGAAGTTTGCTTCTCTTGCAGGGGGTCTGTGGCGCTTGCTGCGAGGGCGAGGCCCTTGGCCGTGGGGTCTTTGAGGATGTCTGTTAGGCGCAGTGACCGAAAGGGCTGGAGAAGCTTGTTGGCTCGGTGGATGATGGCTACGAGATCCATCGACGTGGCGCCTATGGACAGGATTGAGTCGTTGACGCCAAAGTCTTCATCCTCAGGCCGGAGCTCTAGCTGCTGCTTCATGATATCCAGAATGAGCGCTTCCTCCGGTGTCTCTGGGCTGCCTCGTGTCTTTTGCTGGTATCGCTTAATGGCTTCATTGTTCGTTTGCTCCTGCGCAGCGAACCTCCCCTCTTCAAACGCGGTCTTGAGTTTCGCCCGCGATAACTTGCCCAACGTGCTCTTTGGCATGTCCTCTAGACGCAGCGGTACGACGCGCGGTCGCGACCGCGTGTGCATGGCCACTACGCGGATGATGCTGCTCTGCGTGTTAAAGCGGGCTTCGTCATCGCTCTCTCCATACACGGGGAGGTAGAGCACAACGACTCCTTCCGTATCCATGGAGCCATCGCGCGAGCTAAACGTACAAAAGTAACTGGGCGTCGTGCCTGGGATCTCCGCCTGCTCGAGAGCGGCATCCAGCTCGTACGGGAGGTATTTGACTCCATTGATATTGATCATCTCCTTTGTGCGCCCGTCAAGATGGAGGTTGCCGTTGCTGTCCATGAACGCCAGATCGCCAGTCCGGAACCATCCGTCGCTGGTGAACGCCTCTGCCGTGGCGGTCGGATTGTTATAGTACCCCGTGAACACGGCCTCCCCAGTTACTTCGAGGCTCCCGCGCTCACCGGGGGCGGTCTCCTCGCTTGGATTGTCGAGCCTTGTCACCCGCATGCGCACCCCGGGCATGGGTCTCCCGAGACAGGCGAACTCGTGGTGTTCCGCGTCATCATAGCTCGGACAGCGGGAATTGAATATGCACCCGGCCGCAGTCTCGGTCATGCCGAACGAGGGCTTGAAGACGTCGTCTGGTGCCCCGTACCGGCTGAGGAGGGCTTGGAGTGCAACACACACCTTCGTGACGTTGGCTTCGCCGCCGGTGTCAACATAGAGCGTCTCGAGGTTGAGGTCAGAGTCCAGGGTGTACTCTGGATTCCCCGACTCCAGCTGTCGTCGCAACTTGGCACAGAGGAAGTTGGGCATGAACGTGCGCGAGACGCGGTGGCGGCTGATGAGGTTGAGCAGCTGGGCCGGATTGACGAGGAGATCCGCGGCTGGGAGTTGGATCTGCGATATACCGGACACAATGGCGAATATATGGCAGTGGACTAGGTTGGCGACGTGGTCCATGTGCACCCATGATAGGAACGGGCTTCGGGGGAAGCGCAGATTCGCCACGGCGGACTAACTCTCGGGTTATGTGACTAGCAAAGGATTCTCTTGCTGTATTATAGTGAAGGTCTGAATGCTCTTGGGTCAGCAAGCAGTATAATAGGCGTGATGCCACTGATTAATACACTCTTTGCGTGATTATTGTTTTGACACATGAAATACGGACTTTTGACTTAAACACCGCCGCTGGATGCCTTGCTGAATGGTTCTACTACGCTCATATCTTTACCGTGTCCTCCCTGACCTCCACCATGGCCTCTGCGGCATCAAGTATTGATGCAGAGTCCACAATTGCCGATGACAATCTTCAAACCCCGGATGCCAAGGAAGAAATGGAAGATGTCTCGATCTATTGTTCCAGAGCGACATGGCACATGGATCCCGAATTGCGCCAGATCCGAGAATGAGATGAAGCCGAGGGCGAGAAGTTGAAAATGCTCAGCGTGGCCTGGCAGAACCTCACCATCACGGGCGTTGGTGGTGATGCCACATTCAATGAGAACGTCGTCTCTCAGTTTTCTCTCTTCCATCGCAGTAACAAAAGGAGCAAGACTAAGACCATCATTGACAATTCATTCGGATGCGTCAAGCCTAGGGAGATGTTGCTAGTTCTTGGACAGCCCAGCGCGGGGTGCACGTCGCTGCTAAACGTGCTTTCTAATAACAGCCTTGGTGTGAACCGCAGCTAATTTGACTGCGGATAAGGTATATATGAAGCGGAATATGAGGGTTCAGAACGTGTGTATTGGTTGTAGCTGAACTAATCGCTGGTCTCCACTGCGTGAAGCCCAGCGGCCGCAATACGTGGTCCGTGCGTCACGTGTTCCTGGTAAGTGGGAGCTGCGGCGCGCAGGTGCGGTGCCTGAGGCACTGCACTGCGGGTGTGCTGTATGGATATAGTCTTTTACCACTCTTTGCTAGAACTTGTGATTGTCTTTTATCATAAGGTCTTTGTATATTGATCCTCCATACATCCTGGTGATTGCTCGCAGGTTATCAAGCCCTTTGTTTTACAATCTTTGCAGCCATGGTGAGAATGACACCGCAACAATGCGTTATTCTCAGTGAACAATGGCTTGTCTGCTAAAAGACATTGCTTCGCAAAGCGCCGATCATGTTATAAATACCCCCAACACGCCCCTGCTATTAGGCTTTTTAGGGTCATCTCACACAAACCACTTCTATTCTAAGACTTACTTCTATTGGAACAACTATCACAACCGCAAAAATGTCTACCACCAGCAGCAACAACAAGGCCACCACCTGCATCCACTGCAAAAGGGCCGAGTGCGCTTCGCGCTACATGACACTAAGCTACAAATACAACGAGCCAGTGACAGTTCAGCTGTTCGCCGATGACTTCGGCAGAGTGGTTACTACTAGCGACCTCAAAATCAACCGATACGTTGTTACTGGGTTCAAGGCGCATCCACCAGTGAGACATGTCTGGCTGGATATCTCCGACTCGCCCGCTGACCATGACCTACGTCTGAAGCTTACGGTTCCGGCTCCTGAGCCCCATCGTCCGGTCCTTCCTACTGTCCCTTCGAAGTATGGCTGCGTGGCTGCTCTCGAGGAGGTGAAGAAGGAGATGGAGAATATGAATGCGGAGGGAGGGTTTGCTGTTGTCAAGGAGATGGAGGGTGCTGCTCCTGGGGTCATTTGTTTTAAATGATTATCGTCTGGTAAGTTTCGTTTATGTTTGGGTTAGGACTAATTTTGAGCTTGTCAGCACTTGAACAATTGCATTCGTTGTTGAAGTTAAGGACTTTAATAATATACTGAATCCTTCTTTCCCATTTTTTTCCCCTTTTAAACATAAGCAAAGACCAATCGCCGTCAATGTAAACAACCCGAACCGCAGAGACCGACAGAACTCCGGCAAATAGGTGCCTGTGTGGAATAAAGCACTTCTGCCCCTCTGGATATTGGCACATGGCTCGACGTGGAGTCCGGAGATGAAAACTAGAGATTAGGGAGAGAAGAGGCCGGGCCCCCTACTCGCAAGTCAGTCCCTGGCTTCGTAGTAGTTTCCTCGTAAGCTTGATGCATATCTTGGTGTGCTTGTTTCTTCCTCGCCCACCTTTGAGCTGCAAGTGTCCCGTGGTGTAGTAAACATGATTTTACAAATGTTATTATATGTATTCTGCGGTAGTCTGAGTATGCCATCCTATCTAGTGCCACCCTGGAAGGATTCGACACTGGTGAATCCTCGTGCCATGATCAAAAATTCACACTCTTTCGTGAGATAATGGCGGCCATGGCGCTGTCCACCCCGAGTAGCTCGGCCAGCACAAGCAACATTAGCCGACGTGCAACACTATTGGTCAGTTTTGTCATTTGGCCCGTAGTGGTTGCTTCTCGAAGAGCTTTCCTGTACAAGATAGGTCCTCGCTCGAGCAGTCATGTGGCTTATGCGACTCTGAAGGCCCAGCCTCGAGTCAGCTTACCTCCATCACCAATATTCTTGCTTGGTGATGGTTACTTTGCGTGGGCACGCTTGTACGCTAGTTCAAAAGTTTAAAAATTTGCAAAGACAAACCACCACTGCCAGTAAAAGTGCTACAAAAGAGATAGGTTATGGTAGCAAGGAGCTCTAAGTACCGAAATCGTCATGTTTTTAAAACGAAACTATTTATCAGCTGCCACCTACCTCCACGTTACCCTGGCTCTGCTCCGGATCTTGCAATTAAAGGAGCCAGGCGAAAACTAGCAGGAACCAAACACTGAAACACCGGCCAACATCCCTAGCAATGTCCCCGAATCAACACCATAACACCAGCGGGCTGAAACAGGCGCTGAAAGCCCCACGAAACAGTACAGAAACAATGTAGCGTACATCCCGAGAACCCGGCGGGACCTCGCTTAAATAACGTCAAAGTGAATAGGGAAGGCTGCCTTAATCAATCATCTGACAAGCACGGAGCCCATCTGCATTCCAATCATCCCCATTCGACCGATAAATCGAGCCTGCAACGCTAGCATAGAACGTCCGAACCACAGTGGCTCAAGCAATGAACCCTTCATCCCCGGGTAGGAGGCAAACAGCTTCTTATCGTGATATAAACGCCAGGTCTCCTTGTCATCATCGTCCATGGGCCAACAAAAGCGCCCCAACTCTTGTTCTCGCTGGCTGCAAAAGCTCTTGTATGTTAACCGATACTTCTATGAAGCCGTAGCGAAGTGTTAGTATTCAGATATGGAAAGATTTATAGAAACCACGCACCCAATGTTTCTTCTTCTTGCCAGTGAGACCGAAGTGCTTTTAGTGGGCAGTCTTAACCAAAACAAAGGCGTTCACGAGGGTTTCCATCGCTGTATTAAAGTGTGGCAGGAGTTTGTTAGCCCGGACCGAATCATTGTGCTTAGTATTATTTGGGTAAAAACCAGCGTATCACTCAATCATCGAGGCCAAATCGCTGGCGCTGCCCAGCATGCACGTACTACTGCAATCGGACCTCAACCTTTCCAGCCAACTTGTCCATCTCTTTCATGTCCCTGATCGTGCTCCGTACCAGGTCACCATCTCGGTCATGTCGGCACGCCAACACCGCCAGCGCCGAGGTTTTCCACAGCGGAACCCCGCGGCTTTCGCGGCTTCTATAGATTGTTATGACAGCAAGCATGAGAGCAACGACCTCTATAGCCGTAGGACCTATCAGATAAACCCAACGAATACGGACATACTGGACGCTATCGATTCTCTCTCCCAGCGCCAGCTGTGCATTCGGCCCGTTACGCACACGGTCTGTCATGGCCGTTGACATTCGCTCAAATCGCTCCGCGACATCCACGTTGCCGGTGATGAATGGCGCCAGCCCGCGATTGACGTCCATGTTGGAGTGCCCTTCGATGAACTCGGAGACGATGATGGGAGATGTCAGAAAGTTGCTTAGCGCAATAACCTCCGCGGACCCAATCACAAATGAGGGGATGTCTAAATGATAAACGGTTGACGCGTTAGTATACCGTATCTGCGACCCCACATCCCCTTCCGAGCCTTCATGCCACGGATTCTCAACGCCGAAATTGACCTCCGTGACTCGTCCAAAGGAGAGCCCGGTACTGCCGCTTGCCGTCGCGTTCTGGAGTTGGTATGCGGTGAGAGACAGCGAGCATTCTGTCACGTTGATGAAGCGCTGTTCGTAATTGAGGTCCGGAGACGAGCGGTACACGGCGAACTTGGCAATCTCAGGGAAATCTCGTTCTGGCTCCGCGAGGATGCCCGAGGTAACATTCATCACGTAGCTGGTGGCGTACGAGGTACGCCACATGTGAGTGGCGAGGCCTATCCCACCGGGTGTTGTCATGTCGCAGGTTATGGGACCCTCAGTTGCGTTGCAGCTCTGTGTTTGTAGGCTCTCCTGCGTGACATTCCTACATTTGCTCTTAAAGCCAAGAGAGATATATGGCTTGGTCCACTGGCACAGCCCGGGGCAATTAAACTGGCCCAGGCTGCTGATCCCGTAAAGGCCTTGGAGGACGGCAGATTGCATTTCAGGGTCCTGCGGAACGCTGTCTAACATTCGTAAAGACTGGAAGATTAGCACGCACACTCATTTCGCCTTGCAGGCAAAAGGGTTAGGAGGATCCTTGCCGACTCTGATAATGACGGATGATGCCCTGGGCCGCTGGAACGCGTGGGAGTAACCAAAGGCAACATTAATTCCATCGGGTCTGGCGACATTCTGCGGGACAAACTCAATGACCTGCTGGGCAAGTGGTGCAAAGCTCAGTCGGAAGATGGTGATCAATGCGCCGATGGTGGCCAAGTTCCATTTGACAGTAGTAACCATGAAGATGGATCCCCAAGGCCCACGGCTTGCTTCGTCGAAGATCTCAAAGTGCGAAAGTTTGTGCAGTCCATCCTTAAAATAAAGCCATTTAAGCTGCCCAATAAACTGGCTCACGCTGTGCATCAGAGCTGCAGAGCAGAAGGTTGTTAGGGCTGATATAGTTGCTGTAAGGGATATAGGTGCGGTCTAGCTGGAGAGCGGTTTATCTTCCATTTTAATAAAAATATAGATAATCCCCACCAGGAGCCCCAAGCTAAAAGTTAGGGTACTAGTCTCGTAGAGCCATTCGGTGCGGGAGTACACTGGGTGTCGCTTATACTTAACATGCGCGAAGCCCTGTGGCTCGGATTCTTGATTGGCAAGGTGGGCAGGTGCATAACCGCGAGGTTTCCTGGTGATGCTGCTATCCAGCGACATGATGAGATGCGCTGCGTCGATTTCGTGGCGTCTGTAATTGTCAATAACGCTCTAGTGAGATAAGCTGGAAAGCGGGCGAGCAAACAACTGCAACAGCTGGGCCAGGTGGATTTAAATCCCTCCTTCGACTACCCTGGGCCTCTAGTTAGCCTGTGGTCAGAGTTAATGGGTGCGCTTGTAAAGCCTTGTGCGCTCATTGCTATAAATATCTCATACTGAGCGATTCGCTTTGCGTAACCTTGTCGTCAAACAACAAACGGTTTACCAGGTTAGTGACGGGCGCTTACGCCCGATGCCAAAGAACACCACCTCACTCGTACATTATGAAACAGGATAAGCTGGTCCAATTTAGACCCTCTAGACTAGGTTTATCGATGTACTGACAGATCTATAGTAGGACAGGGTACTGTAGTCCCCGCAGATATGTATCGCTGGCAGCCGCATGGGAGCAGAAAACTTCCCTCGTATTCCGCTTTTTGACCTTCAAGAGGGCTAAAAATAGTACAACTATTAGTACTGGAAAGCAGTCATTGGTAGAAATGTAGTATACATGTTGATCTTTTTTGATATAGCAATTATCTGTGCATCTTATTTATAAACTCAAGCAGAGGCTCTCGGACTAGCCTTGAGCCCTACGTGGCTTCTTCCCACTTAAGCCGCTATGAATTCCCCTGTGCTCTCAACAAGGGGCAAGGTATTTATTGGACCCAAGCATCGAGGCGCAGCTGAGGTTTATTTCATACCAAAGATGCCATCAGCTAGTCGAGACTAGCGACATTTGCAAGAACGAGATGAAACTAAAGCGAATGATGAGTATCTGTTGCTAGCTAAATGTTTAAATCCCAATTGTGCTTTCTCCAAACCATGGGAAAATGTTCGCACAAGCCTTCCCACGACATCTTATAAACCACCAATCCTTTTGGAAACAATAGAGCCGTACAACTATTCCAAGATCCACGAAATGGTTTCTTGTAAAATATTTCCACCACTTTCAACAGTTTCCTCCATACATTGCCAGCCAGGAATGACCAGAAGCCGCGGAGCTACTCCGTACGAATTGCAGTACTGTGGCTGTGGCTATTTGAGCAAACATTAGCAAATCCCAGCACATGGGTATTTTAAGGGTATTCTTTATATATAAGATTTCAGATTATAGTGCTATTTAGTAGTATTCTGGCTGCGACTTCTTCTTTTTTGAATAAAGGTCTGCGTAGCTAGATTACTATATATAGGCTGCATCAGAGATAGATTAAGTCTGAATTGATTTGATGTGAATGTAACATCCCCCGGGCCTGGACCGAGATCTAGTTTCAGATTGCTGTCACTTTATGCTAGTGCGGGGTACGCTCCGTTGCCTTCTTTGCTCGTCGGCATACAGGACAATAGTCTGATCGGTGGCTGACTGGAATTCTTCAGCTCGGGGTTACTGGCAGGTTCGGCCCTTGACCTACGAAAGAGTCTGAAATTAGAGGAAAATGGAATACACATCTCTGAGAGGACAACCTGGGTGAAACAGTGGATCCGATACATCCGAAGCGTCAAGCCACATACGTAGCAAGGCACATTGTTGCTGCTCAGAGCCTCAGGTACCATGGTACACAAATCGACTCGTAATGGGCTTCGTGGGGAAGCGTAGAAGAGAAGCTGCATCATCAGCCACTCCGCCAGCCACATCCGCTCTGAATTCGGCTCCTGAAACAAAAAAACCCGAGCAGAAACGCTGCTGCCTAGCGAAATCACCCCATCGGTGTTCGGGAGCGAGTGCGATCAGCTGGGTCGGATGAGTAAAAATTAGCGATCACCGAGCCAAGCTCCGCCTGGACGCGCCCGGCATGTCTTAGCCTCTTACTACGCCAATAGAACACCGAGACTGGCGCCATCGGGCCCACCAGCTCAAAGCTTAGGGGGCGATTACCCATGCTATTCTTGTCAACGTGGACCGAGGATGACACGAGCATTTGTCGTGCGTGTGCCCCGTGGCGCAGGATGCGTTATTATTTATAAGGCTGGCCAGAGCCCTGAGTGCCCCTCGTTTTGTTTTCTCCTCAGATTATTCTTATTGCTCACTCGACTATCTTCAAGTCCCTCACATACTTTATACAGACATCATGGGTTGGTTCGGTACGTTTCCCTCGTTCAATCCCTCACCCTTGACGCGGCTAACCTCCCAATCCCCACTCCAGACGACGACTCCCACCAGGCTCGCTCCTACGAAGAGTTTCAGAACCTCGACCACCGAAACGAAGAGCACCGCGCCAAGATGAGCCACGAGCTGATTGCTGGTGCCGCCTCGTTCGAAGCCATGAAGGCTTACGAGGACCATGTTGCCCGCAATGGTTCGCATCCTCCATCACCCCAAACTATATTCAACGACAAGGAAATATATCCAGCACGAGGGAATGAAATGCTGATAAATGTCTAGGCCAACCGCCCAGCCACCAGATGGCCAAGGAGCTCCTCGCTGGTTTCGCTGGGGCTTTCATCGACCGTGAATTTGAGACCAAGGGGCTGGACTTTTTGGATCGCGAGCAGGCTAAGCGACATGCCCACCGGCAGCTGGAGGAGGCTTCTGCCCGTGACTACTATTAGACTTGGATTCGATGAATAAATCTCATTCTGGTATTGAGAAGAATCTTCTTCGTTCTTATGGTAAACCAAGAGGGAGGCCGAGGTGGTTCAGTTTCCTGGGATGGAAACCTCTCTGCGCTCTTCTAGAACAGGTTTGATCACGCAGCTTCAAGCTTCCCTTCAACCTCCTCGTTTGGCCGCCCATCAAACACAACAGCGACCTCTTCCAAGCTCATCCCTTTTGTCTCTGGGAAGACGAACCAAATGAAGGTGAACCACACAGCTGCCAGAACCGTAAACACAATGTAATACTTCCAACCGATCGCTTCCAACGCAACAGGGTTCGCAAACCCGTTGAAGATGCTGCTGCCATATTGGGCGAAATTGAAAATAGTCAGACCTTTGGCGCGCAGAGTAAACGGAAGGATCTCGAGAAGATAGGCCATGGGAACGGGGTTCATAGCGATGTTGTAGAAGAAAAAGAACACGAATATCATGATCACGACTCCAATACCAAGGCCCTTGTTCTCCAGGTGTTGCTGCTCATTGACTGCAGATATGGCTGTCCAGATCACAAATGCCAGTGTAACTCCCGCAGTCGACACAAGAAACAGCGTACGACGACCCACACGGTCGACAAAGAAGGCAGCGCCAACCGCTGTGATGTAGTTGAAGATTTGCAGTACGCCGTTGATCACATTCTGCATCTCCGGATCCGTAATACCAATGTTATTCAAGACCGGTACTAGGTAATACGAGACAAGGCCATTGCCACACCATTGAATGATGAAGCCAAGGGAGAAACATATCAAGAGCCGGTGGCGGTTGGCAGCTTTGACAGTCAGTCAACTTCACACCCCTCAAGATAAAACCTGGAGACTTACGAGTCCGGATAAAGTGCATGTACGAAGCAGTCTGTTGAGACCGTTCGGCCTCTAGTGCGTCAGCAATCTCTTCCAGTTCGGCGCGCACCAGTTCATTAGGGTGTTCGGAGCCGCCATGGTACCGACAAAGAACTCGTCTTGCCTCTTCAGGTCTATTGTTTGCCATAAGCCATCGAGGACTTTCCGGGACCAGATAAATTAGTGCGAGCTGGATCAAGGAAGGTAGAGCTTGCAGTAGGGAGGGAATTCTCCAGCTCCATGAGTTGGGTATCCTGAAGGTACCGTAAGTCGTCCAAGCAGCAACGATCGATCCGAGATACTACCCTATCATTAGTAAAGGCCTCAATGGCCAGCAATGCGAGTACGTACCCATGATGTGTTGTATATCGCAGTAATGATGCCACGGTGACTTGGGTAAGCCAGCTCAGCGACGAGCGGCGCCGCAGCAGTGGCCACGAAAGACGACCCGATACCAATAATGACTCGGGATCCAATGAACATCCCCAGGTTCTGCGCACCTCCTTGAAGCCCTGCCGCCAGTATAACAAGAAGAGATCCAATGGCAATGGGAGGTCGGCGCCCAAAGCGATCCGTTAGGTAGGGACCGATTGGGAGAGCACCAGCGCTTCCAATAGTCTGAGCCGTCGTGACCAGGCCTAGCATACCGCCAGAGGGATGGTCAAAGTCTAACAGTACGAGATGCCGGTGTCAGTTTGTAACAAGCACCAGCCAAAGAGGGTCGAGTGAAGTACCATTCTGCCACGCAGGCACAGTTTGAACCCCGTTGAGCATGCTACCATCAAAGCCAACCAGGTAGCTCGTCAAGAGCGGTACCATCAAAAGAAGGTTGAGACGGAGAAGATGCGGCACTCGATACCACGGCTGCTCGGGCCCTGACGCAGCTTCCTGGACATTAATTCTCGGGGCGAATTCGAGTCTCGTGTCAGAGACTGGGCTTGAAGCTTGCTTGTCGGCTAAGTCAGGCATGGTGAACAAATTCTGATGCAAGGGATAGCTCCAATACTGATGAAATAATGGCTGCAGTCGATACAAGGAACGATCTCTACCAGACCTGGAGGGTTCAGTCTGTATTTAGATTCAGGGGGTCGAGAGGATGGCTTGTCGCCGCCAGCGAGACCAGCGACTCAGACACATACTATGCCCAATTGATCAGAAGGGCACATGGCAGACGCCTGCATGAGAATATCCGGGGAAATCTGGAGTATCACAGTAGCGTGTTGCACGACTCAGTCCACTTGAATGAGACACAGGCGTTGATTTCTGCAACCAGAGTTTCGATACTCCCGCGGCGAATTCCCCACCATCTCAGGAGTGACGCCGCGGCCAAATTGTGGGGACGTGACCCCAGCTGGGATTCCGCAGTTTAGCCGGAGGTTGGCGAACAGGTCTACTTAACCTGCTTCTGCGAGCCACGATGGGCCCTCAGCACACACCGATCCGCGAGCGACTTCACCCAAATGGCACCGATCGTTGACGTGGATAAAGCCCTCGTTGAGCTGACTCTCGACGAGAAAATCCAGTTGCTCGCGGGTAAAGATACATGGGCAACGCATGGCATTCCTCGACTCGGAATTCCCTCCATAACGGTGTGCATCATGACTTTCCTCTTTAAGACATGATAATACTGACCTGCAGACCTCTGATGGACCTCACGGTGTGCGGGGCACCAGATTTTTCAATGGTGTAAGATTCCCAGGCGACTTCTTGTCAAATACTAACCGCTCAAGGATCCCGGCTGTCTACTCCCCTCGGCCACGGCTATGGGGGCTACATTCGACCAGAGGTTGATGGAGAAAGTTGGCAAAATGCTGGCCCAGGAAGCCAAGGAGAAGAAGTGCCATGTGATCCTGGCACCTACCGTCTGCCTCCAGCGCTCGCCGCTCATTGGAAGAGGTTTCGAGGCGTTTGGAGAGGATCCGATACTGAGTGGCCTGATGGCATCAGGCTATATTAATGGTGTCCAGAGACATGGAGTTGGAGTGTCCATTAAGCATTATGCTGCGCATGATCAATCCGCCATGTCCCTTGAGGATGCAGTACGCGCTTCTGAGCGAACTTTACGCGAAACACACCTTCTCCCGTTCCAACTAGCCGTGAAACATTCAAATCCTTGGTCGTGCATGACTTCGTATCATCGGATCAATGGCAAGCATGTTTGTGAGGATCCTTGGTTGCTGAATGAAGTGCTAAGACAGGAATGGGGCTGGGACGGCCTGGTTATGAGTGACTGGTTTGGAACATACAGTACTGCGGAAGCACTCAACGCGGGCATGGACCTCGAGATGCCAGGACCAACTCGCTGGCGGGGAAGTCTATTACATTGGTCAATCATCTCCAGAAAGGTCAGGAAATCGTCAGTGGAGTCTAGCGTGCGCAACCTCCTCAACCTGGTGAACAAGGTGTGCGAGCAAGATTCGCTCGAGAGCGACCAGGCGGCAGGCAATACGGCAGAGAAGCGCGACCTCTGCTTAAACGTTGCCCAAAGCTCGGTCGTACTTTTGAAAAACGACCACAACGTGCTACCCCTAGATGAAAAGGTAAAACGAACATATGCACTGATAGGACCAAATGTTCTTTATCCAGCCGCCAGCGGTGGCGGCTCTGCGGACTTGGTCCCATACTATGTGAGCAAGCCAATAGATGCCATCCGCGCCATAGTTGGGGATGAGAACGTCAGGTTTACCCCTGGCTGCTCGGGTAGGCTGTGCTCCGATTCCGCTACACCTCGATGGTGCTGACATGAGAATAGGCCATATATTCACGCCACTTCTGCACGACAACATTAGCATTCCAGGATCCAGCGACCCAGGATATGCATTGGAGTGGTTTGCTGAAGATCCGCTCGTGCATCCGGAAAGAGAAGCTGTGGCTTCAACAAAAACCACTCAGGCACAGATGTACTTCGCGGACAGCCTTCCAGCAAACGTTCCATCGAAATACTGGCTGCGTGTCAAGACGACATTCAAAGCGACGCAATCAGCAACACTGCAGTTCGGCTTGTGCGTCCTAGGAAAAGGTCGAATGTGGATCAATGGCAAGGAGGTCATTGACCTGGCTACCAGCCAGCCGACAAAGACTTTGCAGACCCCCATGTTCAACCAAGCCAGCATGGAAGTCACCACAGACATTGAGGTGCACGCGAAGCAAGAGTACGAAATAACGGTTATCCTGCAAAATGAATCCGCAGAGGCCGGAATTGGCGCTCTGAACCAGGGGGGTTTGAGAATTGGCTGCTGTGAAAAGCTGGACACCGAGCGCGCATTGGCTGAAGCCATCGAGCTGGCCAAGTCTGTTGATTTCCCTATTGTCATTGCTGGTCTCAATGCCGACTATGAGAGTGAGGCAGTGGATCGAAAAGATTTGAAGCTCCCGTTAGTGGTTAACAGACTTATTGAAGAGGTCATGGCAGCCAACCCGAACACGGTAAGTGGTCCAGCTCCTGATAGTAGCACCGCACTGCTAAAGAGATCTCATTCAGGTTATTGTAACTCAATCTGGATGCCCGATCGAAATGCCCTGGGCGAAGACCACCCCAACGCTGGTTCACGCATGGTTTGGAGGCCAGGAGACGGGCAACTCAATTGCGAATGTGCTCTTCGGAAGAGTAAATCCCAGTGGCCGCTTGTCTGTGACATTCCCGGAGCGTCTGGAGGATACACCAGCCTTCCTTGCCTTTGGTAAAGGCACCCGCGAAATATTCTATGGCGAGGGAGTCTTTATTGGGTACCGGTACTATGAGAAGCTGAGGCGGCCGCCTCTCTTCTACTTTGGACACGGTCTCTCATACACCACTTTCGAGTACGCCAACCTTTCTGTTCCACCAACCGTATGCCTGGACGATGAAAACCAAAGCTCGTTTGATGTGACAGTCGATATCCGCAATACAGGTGACCGAGATGGACACGAGGTGGTTCAATTGTACGTTCAGGACGTAGAATGTGTGGCGGCAAGACCGGAGAAGGAGTTGAAGGCCTTCACAAGGGTCTGGATTCCTCGCGGCCAGACGGTTGTGGCGCGGCTGACGCTGGACAAGTACGCGTTGTCGTACTGGGACGAGGAAACAGAGGCATGGTTGGCGGAAAAGGGGACCTTCAGGGCCATCATCTCAAGGAGCGCAGACCCAAGGGACGACGTGTTGACCCAGAGTTTCGAGTTGGCAAAGAGTTATTCGTGGTCGGGCGTCTGAGAGGTTGCGAGACGAGGGTGCGACCGTACGTCCCGATCCGGGAAGGCGCGTCTCGGTGTTTTTATGTAATCGCAGTTTCCCCGCGGCACATCTTGTCCTCCTGCCCCCGCATTCCTCCCTCCCTTTCGCATCTCCTCAATGCAATCTTCATCTCCACTGCCAGGGACAGCAGGCAAACGTGCCTGTGACTCGTGTAGGCGACGTAAAGTCAAAGTACTTCTTTTCCCACATCTTCTACCCCCGAGTCTAACCTTCTCCGGGGTTTGCAGTGCGATGCCGATCCCCCGACTTGCGCAAACTGCCGTATTTCCAGCATCGACTGCACCTACAATGCTCCGCCAAAGCGCCGTGGGCCAAAACCAGGCAGCATGGCACTGACATCGGTCCTCTCAAATGCGTCGACCGACCGTGGTTACAACGTCAATTCTCCTGGGTCCAGCTTCCACCACCATGCTTTTCCACCGTCGCCAGACACATCTCTGTATTTGCAGCATTCCGCTTGCGACCACCGGGCCACTCTGGCGGCGCTGGGGCTTCACACCAGCCAGGTGGCGCTCAGGCTACACCAAGAACTTGTGCAGGAGTTAAAGCGCCTTCTATCCAGCTTCGAAATCTCCATATCGGACACCGTGCAAACAGCTATCACCCTTGCGTGTCAGTACTTGTTCCCTTCCGCCCCAATTCTTCATGAGGGTAGATTTCGCGCGGACGGTCTGTGGCTTTTCGGATTAGATCGTCCAGGCGGGACAAGAAACAATGAGGATGCGCGAGGGAAATGGGCCGATGTCGTTTGTAACGACAGCGAGCGATCATCTCAAGTTCAAGCAATCAGAGCCTTCTCATTGATAGCTGGTCTCTGTGCAGCGGTGGGGCTCGGGAATCGCAGACCTGGTGTTCCAGACTTCCTCGTCCTTGTCGCGGGATGTTTTCTAGGCGCATCAAAGCTATCCCTGCGCCTTATCGAGGAACAAGACATCAACCACCCAAACTCGTCCTCGCTCATTGTGCGAATATTTCATGCACAATGCCATCAGCACGCCACCGGTGAAACAGTCGTTGCAACTTTCCTTGGAGGTCAAGCTCGTCTCCTCGCTCAGGACCTACGTTTGTATGATGAATCAGTCTACTCGAAATACGATCCAATAGAGGCCCAACTTTTGCGAAGCGCATTTTGGTTGCTATACACTGCTGATCAGGCAGCTGCGGCTCTCCAGTCGCGGCCATTTACATTGTATGACTCTTTGTTTGACACCCCCTTGACAGTGAAGCCCGTCGATGAGAGCACTACGTCGCTTCTGGATCCCTCTAACCCTCGACACGCGCCCCCATTTGAGGAGCGCCTGTTGGCAGCGTTTGCGTTTGCTCATCGCATGCGCTCAATGGCCGCTGAGCTGACACTGGGGATTCGGCTCTTCCCGCGCCGTCATCTCGAGGGCTGCAATACAGAGGAAGCTACCTTGCTTCGAGAGGTCGAACTAAGACGCCTGTCAGAGCTCTTTGTCAGCTTTTCCTTCATCCTCGATCAGGCTCCTCCTCATTTGGCAGATCTTGGTGGCAGTGATCGTGAAACCGACTTTATCCGGGGGTACCAAGGCGAGTCATTCTTGGTTCAGCGCTCGCAAATCAATGTGACATTCCACTGCCTGCGATTTACAATTCTCCATCAGTGTATAGAGCATGACCTTGCCTCGATCATGGGCTTCAGTACACAGCCCATGACTCTCGCTGTCAAGAAAATGGAGATTGGCCGGGACTTTGTGAATGCCCTCGAAGACGCACCGTTCTCTGCCCTTCAAGCCTTGGGAGAGCCCATAGTGAGTTCTTAATTCATATACTTTTGGGCAACATGGGTTGACGATAATCAGGTCGAACAAGTCCGACACGTCGGCAGTATACTTCTTCAGCTTTCTCAGAGTGTCTCCAGTGAGACCATCAGAAGTCATGCGGACCTGTACCTGTCTCGCCTAATTAATGTGCTGTCAAGACTCGATTCGAAGGCATCAGACGCCCTTGTACAGCAGTCTGTTCCACTTTGAGGTCGCATTGCACTGTCCGCGGGCGGTTCCAGCGGTCTTGTGACCAGGCGAGGCGCTCCGAGAACCATACTCTTCCCCCACACCTAACCTCTCTTCAATACAGTTTTTGGGAGTTAGGCACATATCAGAGGAGCTCTACAGTGCCCGGCACGCCTGTGGTGTTCCCTCGTTCCATTGTCCACAGCAGCATCTGTCAGCTCCCACCAGCGAATCCTCATGTCACGAAGATAAACGCTGAAACGGCGAATCACGCATGATGAGGGCTTGTATATCGTGCTAGAGCAATTGCTCCTGCGGAATAATGGTTGTACCAAATATTTGGTGGTGCTCTGCTAATGCAGGACCTACCACGGTCTTCCCGCTATAAATGTATAGTTGGTCTACCATGCTCAGTACCAGCTTCACTATATATATCGCCAGAACATCAACCAAAGTAAATCCACCCATCTAGAGGCATTAAATTATCTCAATATCTTCGATATTCCGCGGCGCAAACACTCCCTTCCACTCATGCCAAATCCTCTCCAGCTCCTCAATATATCTCCCATGCACTTCATCCAGATACGCCCCATCAATCAGGTCCCCCATCTTCCTCACCGCAATCGGCCTCCCCACCACAATATTCACCGGCCGTCGATGCGGCGTCACCCCAAAATCCAGCGTATACGGCCCCTTTGAATACAGAAACGGCACAGTCAGCCCAAACACCCGCTTGAACGTCTGCTGCGCCCGCCCAGCGAATGTCTTTGGATCCAGATCCGCCGTCATAGTATACAGATCGTTCTCGCCGAAAGCAAGCACAGGCACAAGCGATGCACCCGTTCGAATCGCCAGCTTCGCGAACCCCTTTCGATTTCGTAGGACGAGCCGCATACTACCCGGAACAGCCTCGAGCGACTCCTTCGCGCCGCCAATGACGATTGTGATTGCGCGTCCCGTGCCGTAGTTATCTGCCCCGCCTGTGCTGAGGATATTCTCGCAAGAGGCGCGCGAGACGCTGTTCATCCCCAGGAGAAGGAGATAATCTCGGTAGATGGGGATCTTGAAGTTCGAATCGAGGGTCAGGAGGGAGTTTTCGATCCCTGGGAAGAGGGTAGAGAAACCGAGGGATTCTGTTGCGAAGGCTGCAAAGGCACCGTGCGAGAGAATCCCGTGCGGATGGTAGCCGAAGATGTATTTCTGGTTTGTGGGGAGCGGGGTTGTTCGATACAGGGTGAGAGGGAAGTAGGAGGCAACGAACCGCCATAGTGGGAGGGAGCGGAGCCAGTCGCTCCTGCGGGAGAAGGAGCGGGGGAGTATGAGGGATAGCAGGATGGGAAAGATGACTCTCGCTGGATGGTAGATGGCGTACGTGGCGATCATGAGACCGGGGAGGAGAGGGTAGACGGTAATGACATGGTAGAAAACAGCGAGTGTTTCGAGGGCTTTTCTGAGGCTAGCTGGCTTTATTGGGTCAGGGCTACTACCAAGCGGACGGTCAGTGATACCTTTGGGCGAGATCAGGGTTTCAGACCTTTTGGGTTGTGTGGATGCGAGCTTCTGCTTTGTTGCCAGAGAATTTGGGGGATACTCGAGGGTATATAGCTGCTGCGTGGTATGGTCGTAGCCCACGAGCCCATGTACATCCTGGAGCACCATTTCCAGCAGAAGAAAAATAGTTGGCACAATTGATTTGCTTTACAGAACAGCTAGAGGACTATCCAAAGGCTACAAGTCAAATTCCGCACGGCGCTCAGCGCTTATAACTGCAGTTATCACTACAACAGCGAGCATCGCTTATCCTACCGACTCGGCTGCTGCAACCTTGAGGTATGGAGTATGCTAGGCAACACAATCTCATCTTCACAGTCTACGCCCGAGGGTGGCCGTGATTAGGAAAAATAACGGTCTGGGCATGATCCTAAACAAGGTGCCACCGAGTGCGTCGCCCAGGTATTGGCGTTAGCCAAGAGCCTTGCAGAAACCATGAGGAGCGATATAAAGTCTAGACCTATTATAGTTTGTTCATTATACACAAAAGGAAGAGGCCAAGATGCTTAGGAGTGTGATGATGTACGCAGCACCCAGAGAAGGGCATGAAATATCCTGTCCGTGTCTGATGGTTTTCAGGTCTATTTGCACAATATGAGGAAGATCTTCATTGCGCCGTTGGCTGGCTTTGTGGCTGACCATATCCCCGATGCAGCAACATTCTGTGGCTTATTGAGAGGATCTGGTTGGCATCTCGAGCCGATGTGTCCTGTGCTTGTGGATCATGATTGTCTATAAGCCAAGTTTAGGGCTGCCTTAGGATTACCCTTCCCCTCACTCTTCAAATTTGAAACCCATACTTTTTCAAACTACTGTATAAGAGGCTACCCAAAGAAGCGACCAGTGCGAGCTATCCTATCTCAATGGTCCAGAGCTGGGGTAACTTTAAAGAGCCGGGGCAACGCACGGATACAGGGGCCGAGGAGCCCAGCCGTGGATCAGGGGCCAGGCCAAGCATCCGTGAATCATCATGATAACCTCGGAAATAACGGTCTCCTTTCCAGGAATACCCCTCACTGTGCATTTTATACCCACGATGCAGCCTGCAGGATCCATCGCCATGCCTCTTGACTTGCACTCCCTGGTCGATCGATATGCGCTTCTCACTTACCCTCTTCATCCTGACGGCTGTGACAGCTGTCCAGGCCCTCGTTATTCCCCGAGATGCCGCGCCCATCCTTTCTGCCCTCGACACAATCACAAACCAACTCCACACTGTCGGCGACCTAGTTGAGGTCTTCACCGGCGGCTTCAATGGCACCTTCGCCGCGCTGAAAATCCAAGGCGAGACCGGCGAGCTCGGAACGGCGATAAACAAGGGGGTCACCGCGATAAAAAACATCCAACCGTTGAACGAGGCCGACTCGGCGCAAGTTGTCAATGTCGTCGTCGCACTCCAATCCGACATTTACGGCCTCCTCGATCTCCTCGTGCAGAAGAAGCCAGCGTTCGACAAAGCGATTTTCGGTATCGGTTCAGCCAGCTTTCTCGTCAAGATTGACCTGCAAAATCTGCGCAAAAGCACCGCGCAGCTGGGAGACGCGATTACCTCGAAGCTAGTGGATGAATTTCAGCGCTTAGCGCCGTTGATTACGTCCAGTATTGATTTTCACTTTTCGCAGGCTCTTGATGTGTATGCTTGAGCATTTCGTGGGATCCGACGATGTGTACATATCGAATGGGCAATGCTGTCAAATCTCGACTTGGGTATACTACGTGCCTTGCTGGCCAACTGTATGTTTGCGGTGGGTAGGAATGTATGGAGATAATGCTTCAATCGCTACATGATTCAGCTATCATCAGATAGTAATATTTGGGGGTTCAATAACAATATAATGCACAAGAGACTGACACTGGAGAATTCCTTGTGGACTACATCATGTCACCCACGTATTTACTCTGGATTCAGCAGCCTTGGGAATACTAGATGTTCAGGTAAATAGATAATTTCACCTAGCCTATCTTGATTGCTCTCCCTCTTCTCCTACATCTTGGCCTGGGCATACAGAACTGCGCAGCACAGTACTACACTGTTTCTCTAGACCTCGTCCACTTGATCAATTCAAAACTCCGGCGCACCACAGGCGACAACATTCAACGAATTCCCAATGACCTGACTCGTATACGTCAAATGTGCCCTGTTGATTGGGTTGCTTCCGAAATTCTGTGCTGCGTTGCAGGCCTACCCCCCATTAGCATACTTGCTCCCCGACAACAGTTCCCCACAGGGGCCAAAGGAAGACATACCCTCGACTGCTTCCCACACGCAAACGTTGTCGCAGCGGTATTCCTTCCCGGCTCACGCTGCCAAAACTCCGGTCCATGATGCGCATACCCCAACAGCGTCGGCGGGATCTGCGGAACCCCATCATTCGCGTGCGTGACGCGGAAGTAGTTGCTATCGGGGACGGCGCGCTCGATGTACTGCACGAACGCCGCGTTGCCGTTGAGAGGTTCGCCGAATGTGTATGTTGTCACGGTGTGGCCCCGTCCGCTGAGGGCGGCGGTCGCGATTGCGGCGATGCCGCCGCCGAGCGAGTGGCCGGTTATTGTGAGCTTATAGTCTGGGTTCTCGGCAAGGGCAGATTCGATTTCAGCCGTTACAGGGTCGGCTAGGGCGTTGTAGGCTGTCTGGAAGCCTTGGTGGACCTGTCCTGGGTTAAATTGTGGCGTGGATCTCTAGAGGGAACATACCCTGCAAGCTGAACAGTCCGTCCCCTTTGCAGTCAGAGGAACGAGGACGAATTGCAGGTCGCTGTCGAGATCAGCCGGCGCTGACGTGCCTCGATACGCGATGATGAGCTCGCCTGCGGCGTCATCCTGGAACAGCGTAGCCTGGGTGTCTGTCGCGTTGTCGTTGAAGTACTTGACGACCGAACTACCAGCCGGGGAAGTGGCGCAGCTGTCTGCGTATGCAGCAGCAGAAAAGGCCGAGTAGCGAGCGATCTTCTCGTAGACCGCCGGGGAGACTGAACAGTTGGTTAGCCTTGTCTAGATGGATTAACTTCGTCTTCACTCACCCGCAGTCTGCGCAAAGGTCTGCGCGACAAGGGACAAAAGAGCAAGAGATCGGTACATAGTGATGATGGTCAGTGAACTGCTGCGCAAAACCCCATTCTGCTACCAACTCATTGGCAGATATAAGGCTGATGTGATAGTCTGGGACTGAGCTGCATCTTGCGCATGGTCGGGTCTCGCCGAGGCTGTGGAGTCTGTGAATCATGCAGATCTGGGGTTTGCTCGTGTTGCTCGATCACGGGCTCCGATGATCGCAATCAGAGTGACAAGCTCTGTGATGAAGGAACATTAAGGTTTAACGGTAATTTCATATGCGGGGGATGAAGATGTGATCGCACTGATTTCCGCATTGGGGCAGTGCTCTTTCTCTCAAACAGTCTCCCAGTTGAAGAGTTGATATGTCTCGATTTGCCCCCGGAAAAGTACCTGCCAGCACAGCCCTAACTCCTCATACACCCCAACCTAAAGAATTCCCTCTTCTCTTTCTAGCATCACCATGCGACTCCGTTTCCTCCCCCTCCTGGCTGTCCCCGCCACCGTCTATGCGGACGCCCAAGCCGTCCTCAACGACATCAACGCAATCCGCACGCAGCTCACAACCCTCTCCTCAAGCGTCGAGGGCGTCGTTTCGGGGATCCCCGGCATCCCCCACGCACTGCAGGTCCAGGTCGACGCAACAGTTCTCGACAGGCACATCCAGGCTGGCGCGCGCGATGCCAACGCCTCCCCGCCCTTTGGTTCCAGCTCGCTGCAGGTCGGGCTCTCGCTGATTGCACTCCAGCCGGCCATTACGGACGCGCTCGGCCAGATTAGTGAGAAGAATACTACGTTTGGCGAGTTGGGGGTTATTGTTCTTTCGAGTTTGGTGCAGCTCAAGAGGGATACGACGGCGTTTTCGGACGGGATTGTGCCCAAGCTTGGGGCACTAGAGGCGGCAATTGCGCCTGCTGTTGTGAGGTCGATTGAGGAGGCGTTTGATGAGGCTATTGCGGCGTATGAGAGTAATGGTGAGTTTTGTGTTCCACCTTTGTGTTGATTGGGACTAATTGGTGTGCAGCCATTTGACCGCGAATCGATTTGGGAAGCGCATGTGTGATACACAGCGTGACGTCGAATCCTATAGGGCGAATTGAATGTTAATCTTTGAAATGGAATATCTTTTTATACTCTATTCCTTGAACTTTATGATGCATATATCACGTAGTTTAGGGCCAGCTCCCAATCGCAGGGCGGAAGCACCATGACATGTAGTACTACTCTACATAGCCTGAATCTCCAATGGCCTGTATGGCTCCTCCAACCATCGAGCCTCATCATCAGAGAGCGTGATGCTGAATGCCTCCGTTGCAGCTTCAATCCTCTCTGCGCTGTTCAGTCCGACCACCGGACACGCCCCCTTGCTCAGCAACCAAGCCATAGACAGTGCACTCATCGAGCAGCCTTTACTCTGCGCCAACTGTTGTACCCTATCAATAATCTTCACATTCTGGTCACCGGCAAACCACTTTGCTGTCTTGGCGTCACGTTTCGACCGCTCAGTCTGCACGCTTGACGGCCGGGCGAGGAGGCCTCTTGCTAGCGGACTCCAGGGAATGAGACCAATTCCCTCGACGTCGCAGAACGGGTTCGTGTCACGCTCCTCCTCTCGATAGAGCAAATTGTATAGATTCTGCATACTGGTGAAACCTGTCCATCCATTAAACTTAGCCGTGTAGTGTAGCCGCGCGAGTTGCCAGCAGTACATGCTCGACGCGCCGAGGTAGTGCACTTTGCCCATCTGAACCAGATCGTGCAGTGCCCGCATGACCTCCTCGGGGTTGTTCTTCACGGTCTCGTCCACGCGATGTAACTGCAGCACGTCAATGTAACTCGTCCCGAGCCGTCGTAGAGAGGCCTCGACCGCTTCGAAAATATGCTTTCGGCTCAGGCCCATCTGATTGATGAGGGATCGATCATTGACCGCCGGGTTTGGCCGGGAATTAGACTTGATATCCATCACGGGGTAGTAGAGCTTGCTTAGGATTACCACCTTCTCGCGTGGGATAGAGTACTCTCGTAGTGCCCTGCCAACGATTACCTCGGAGAGACCATTAGAGTAGGTGTTGGCTGTATCCCAGGTATTGATGCCGCAGTCGTATGCCTTTTTCAGAAGGGGAAGTGCCTCTTCTTCAGACAGGACCCATGGACTTCCCTCCCAAGAGGGGTTACCAAACGTCATGCACCCGAGGATGACTTTGGATATTTTCAGCGAGCTCTTCCCCAGTCGCTGGTACTGCATTCCTGTCTTCTCTTTGGCCCATGAAGCGACCAGGTCGCGCAGGGTGTCGACCTCGCCAACGTTACCAGGGAAAACCACATATGGGATGCCGGAAAATTTGGATGTCGGCTCGTTGCATTGCCAAAGGGGCACCCCTGAAGCTACTTGTCCGAGGATCTGGGCACGGCGCATGCGAAGACCCTTACAGGCGGCATCCGAAGACGTGATGCCTCCTTTGGCAATGATGTACCGCGGTCGAGGAACGAGGAGGCGAAGGAACAACACGAGGACAGCCGCAACGGTGCTCCCAATCTTCAAGCTGGAGACTCCGTCATTTCCGGTAATCAAGGCACGGCTGGTCATCACGAGCACATCCTGGCCCTTGAGGATGAGCTGGCCAGCTTTGTCCGCCGCGTCCAGGGCCGCTTGCTCCGCGGCATCTGTGCTCTTCAAGAGATCTTCAACTTTGAGTACTATTGTTTGTAATGATTTGCTGCCGTCGATGAGGGACTGCAGCTGCTCGGTTGTTTTGGGTACGTATGACCCTGCCAGGATCAACCCGCCTGGCTGGGACGGCTGCAGGCTCATCCCCAGGGCTTTGGGCGTCACAGGAGGAATCTGTGGAATGCCGAGTCTAGTCGACACAAACGCGGCGCCGGTTCTATACAGGTATCGGCGACCCTTGGCTTGTGCTGCTGTCTGTTAGTTTTGTCTGGACAAATTGAATGGAGAGAACTCGCCTCCGAGTAATCCCAGCACAAAGATCTCCATGTCTGTATCCACCACAGCATTCACAATAATCACGGATCCTTTTCCAAAGGTGAGCAACCTTTCTGTAACTCCCTGTTGCCCTCCATTGCGAATGTCCTCCAGCGAAATCGACTGCACTCTATCTTCCGCGATCGAACCGCCCGACTTTTCCACCACGTACTTCCTCAAGTTCGAATTCCTGTATCCAAACGTCGCATCCTTGGCAAACGGCGTCTGTGCCGCCGGCACCAGATTTCCTTTCGCATCGGCGACATAGTGAATATCGTCAATGGTGTAGCGCCCACCCTGCCGGAAGAAAGGCGCGAGAACCCAGCCATCGACGGCTTCAATGACCTCTTCAGCGACCTCGGGCTCGTCGGGAAAATGGCCGCGCAGAGTTGAGTCGCCGCGCAGCACGATCTCGAAACGTTTCGAAGTCTTTATCGCCGCATTCTTTACCGCGGTGCAGATGGTGTGAATCAGCTGGCGAGCTTCCGGGGTTGGAAGGGCGCGCGAGTTGGTCAAAATAAAGAATCCTCCATTGCACTGCAAAAACTCTTGAGCGAGAATGTCCTCATCCCAGACCGTCAGGACGTTGATTCCGTGGCATGTCTGAGTCCCCGTGGGGTCGTCATCGAGCACGACAAGCACAGGCAGGTCACTCCTGCCCGCAATCTCGCTTTCGAGATCGGTGCTGGATACGGCTGGAGGCAGCTTCTGCTTCACCTCTTCAAAGTTGACAAATGCCTCTGCCATGTTGTTTGCTTCGCAGCTCTGCCCTTCTGACTCCCCCTCATGAGAGATATGGTCATTTTTGGGCGTCGGAATTGGGCCGATGACTCGATCGGCAAGTTCTCCGCAGCTTCGCCAGACCAGCTCGCGGCGATCAATTGTCGGAGCTTGCACTGCTCTTTTCGGTCGCACATGATTTATTTCGATGGCTAGAAACCGCTTTCAATCCGAGTGCTTGGTCCGATTGCTATACCGTCACAATGGAAGGCAGCACGGGCGGACCGCTGATTTCCTACTCGGAGCTGCAGAAGCATGCAACTCCAGATGATTGCTGGATTGTTGTCCATGCCAAAATCTACGATGTAACAGCCTTTCTGGAGGAGCATCCTGGAGGGTCGGCGAGTAAGTGTGCAGGGAGTAGCCAAGAAGGCGCAGCTGACAATGGCAGTTATCCTCAAGTACGCCGGAAACGATGCGTCCAAAGCGTACGACGAAGTACACGCGCCGTCGATGATCTCGAAAACTCTCGAGAGCCATCGATTCAAAGGCATGATCGATCCGACAGCGCAACTTCCGTCCGTCGATACACTGTCAGACTCCAGCGCCTTGACCGAGCCAGACACAATTCCTCCACTAGAAAGCCTCATCTCCGTCCACGACTTCGAGGACGTTGCGCAGAAGAAGTATACGGAAAAGACATTTGCCTTTTATTCGTCTGCAGCGACCGATCTGGTCTCCCACCATGCGAATCTCGAGAGCTACCGACAGATTCTGCTTCGACCCCGCGTGCTGCGCAATGTCAAAGAGGTGGAAATTCCTCGAACGATCCTCGGTTGCTCGTCCAGTGCGCCGTTCTTTGTCAGTCCGACGGCGATGGCGAAGCTGGCTCATCCAGATGGTGAGCTTGCGGTTGCGAGGGGATGTGCGCAGGAGGATATCATCCACATTATTTCGAACAACGCGTCATACCCTTTGGCAGAGATTGTGGCTGCTGGTAAACCGGGTCAATCATTCTTTCTCCAGCTCTACGTCAATTCCGAGCGACACAAGACAGAAGAACTCCTCCAGGAAGCTGCGCGACTAGGGATCCGCGCTATCTTTGTAACCGTTGATGCACCCATCCCAGGAAAGCGAGAAGCGGATGAACGAATCGCAGCTGGAAACCTGGTCTCTGCGATGAGCGGCGCAGTGGCCAAGAACGATAAGAAAGGTGGTGGTCTTGGTCGCGTCATGGCCAAGTACATCGACTCGACACTAAATTGGGAGGATCTCGCCTGGATCAAAAGGGTGTCGGGTCTACCTGTCGTCTTGAAAGGAGTTCAGACTGGACATGATGCTCGCATGGCTATTGAATATGGGGTTGACGCGATTATGCTGAGCAACCACGGCGGAAGATCGTTGGATACGTATGATTCTCTTTCTATTCCATTCGAGTCTGGGCTAATGGGTGCCATAGTGTTCAGCCAGCGATCCTCACGCTACTTGAGCTACATAAAACATGCCCCGAAATCTTCGGCCAGATGGAAGTCTACATAGATGGAGGCATCCGCCGCGGAACAGACATTCTCAAAGCCCTCGCACTGGGCGCAACTGCTGTCGGTATCGGTCGGCCATATCTCTATTCCCTGACATACGGGCAAGACGGTGTCGAGCACCTAACGCAGAGTACGTGTCTCCCGCCGATCATTGCATCCCTGCTAACAATCGCAGTCCTGAAAGACGAGCTCATCTCGGCCATGAAGCTCAGCGGCATCACACACATCGATCAGGCGCATCCGGGAATGGTCAATACAGGCTATGTAGAACATTTCGTTCGTGCGACAGAGGCACATCCGTGGATTACTTGGGCCCCTCGCGCGAAGATATGATTGCTGGAGCTTGGACTTGTATAGAACTGTAGCCTTTCTAGATAACTTTCAATGCTTAACGCATCCAGCTTTCACTCCAGTAGATTTGCAAACCATCAGTCCCACACGGTCCAGGTAGTTCGAGTTGTTGCAGTCACTAAGCTGCGCGAACAAGCGCAATTTTCCCAGGCTCAGACCGCAGTGAGGAGCCAAGTGCCTTGTCGATGGATACACTACCACCCCGCACTCGTCATCAGCGGGCATGAGGACTCGGAATTCAACCGACTTGGTCCCAGCCGTCAGCTTCAGCGGTCTTCTCTCCGTCTACAACCGGAGGGGTCCAAATGTGATCGGGGTCAGCTATACCGGCTCAACTCCGACGGCGAGTTCCCCCTCACCTGGAGCTTCTCGCCCGAATACGCATTCTACACCACTAATAACATGACTACGTCTCTTGCCTCAGGAAAGAATTTGTATGACCGCCGTTCTATTGATTGCGTTGAGTCTATCAACAATATCCTTCTCAAAATATTCTATTTCAGCAAAATGAGCATCCTCATCACCGGCGCAGGCGGCTTCATCGGCCAGGCCCTCGCCAAAGCCCTCGCAGACTCTCCAGGCGTCGAATCCCTCGTCCTCACAGATGTGGTTGAGCCCGCGGTTCCGTATAGCACCAAGATAAACATCACGGCGCTCAAGGCAGACCTGACCTCCCGCGAAACATGTCAATCGCTCCTCTCCACCGAGTTTACTCATGTGTATCTCCTCCACGGGATCATGTCCGGCGCGAGCGAAGCCAACCTTTCACTCGGGCTTGCGGTTAATGTCGACTCGATGCGGAATATTCTTGATGTCCTTGGGGAGAAACATGAATCGAGTGGTGCGAAGCCAGTTCGCATTGTGTATCCGTCTAGTCTCGCAGTCTTTGGTGGGCCGGATATCCTGAAGTCGCCAGTGACCGAGTCGACTATTGCCCTACCGCAGTCATCATATGGTGCACAGAAACATATTTGCGAGGTGCTCTTCAACGATTTCTCTAGACGGGGGATTGTCGATGCGTGCATTGTTCGTTTACCCACGATTATTGTCCGACCGGGGAAACCTTCTGGTGCAGCATCGAGTTTCTGCTCGGGGATTGTGCGAGAACCGCTAAAGGGAGAGCAGAGTTTGTTGCCCGTGTCGCGTGAGTTGAAGCTGTGGGTGTGCTCAACGAGGACCATCATTCGGAATCTGGTACAGGCCAAGGACGTGCAGTTTGCAGGGGACACATACTCGCGGATCGTGAATCTTCCAGGCGTGACGGTCACTGTGCAGGAAATCTTGGACGGGCTGAAGGCGGTTGGAGGCGAGAAGGCATTGGAGCAGGTGGTCGAGAAGCCCGATCTGGCCGTCCAGCAGATTGTTGGGTCATGGCCAGCCATCTTCGACATCAAGAAAGCGCTCTCTATGGGCTTCCATCCCGATGGAGACCTTGCGCAGACGATTCGAGAGTATATAGAGGACTACGGTCACAATGCATCATGAACAATCAGGGCCCTTCTACGTCATAAAGTTGGACGTCAGGTCCGGAAAGTTAAACTCGCCAAAGTCTGTAAATAGAAGCTCGTCGATGGGCTGGGCCGATGTGCCTGCGGAGGGCACTGGTGGGTAGAAGACAGAATGCTGCTGGTCGGGCATTACAGACTGTGCAGCGAGCCCTCCGGTGGGCATCGTCGTCGATGGAACGAGGACTCCGATACTGGTTGCGCAGTCTTGCAGTTTGCGGCTCAGGCCAGGAGTCATCCGCCAGATGGGATGCTGAGGAATGCATTGCGTCTTGCGGAACAAGTGCAGGGCACTGTTGATCAATTGAAAATCATCCTGCACTTTGATCCCCAGTTGCTCATAGTAATTCTGGCAGATCTCGAGTAGAAGATGACCTGCAAAGGCGATCATGACGTGGAAATAGTGCGGCATACCAACGAGGCCTTCCTGAAGCTCCGGTTGACCCAGAATCATCTCAAAGATAGCAACCGCCGTGTCGTGGGCCATAGTAGCTGCGGTCAGGAACTGAGGGGGAATTGGTCGGCCATGGAGGCCCTTGAAGACTTGATGTCCAAGGTAAAGCTTACCAAACTGGTAGTGGAGCTGCAGCCCCTGCTTGGGAAACTCGCCCAGAAAGGCGTTTGGCACGAAGAGGCCGGAGAATTTGGTGTACCACTTGTCCAGCTGGCGCGAGTAGTTGAGGATCTGGCTGGCCAGCGCTGCAGGCAAAGGAGTCTGATTATCCGATCCCAGCACGTCGCGGACCTGGCCCATGATGACCAAGAGCGAAACCTGCGATAGAATGCGCACGTCTGCCTCGTTGGCTTCTGCCCGGTGGAGATACGACTCCCAGCCCACAGCGATCGCTTTTTCGCTGCGTAGCAGAGAGTCTCGGTTGTGGAGGATGGACAGATGCTGGTCACACACAAAAAGGAGATACCACAGCCGGACTCGATCTGCAGCGACGGACGGGTTCTGGGACGAGGGCGATGGCGCCGAGGGGGCACCGGCTGACCGGTCGTCAAACAGGGCATCAAAGCTGCGATGAAGGCGCATGTCGGCTGCACGTCGGATGGCATCGCTACAGAAGATGCGCGAGGCATCCGCCAGCCAGAACGAGCTGATGCACAGGGCCCGAATATAGTCGACGTCGCGCTTCTCAAAGGTCGACTTGGCCACGAGAGAGCGAAATTCTCGGTTGCAGGCTTCGTACACGGTGCGATCCTGGGGATCGTGCAGGGCGGAGACGGTGCAGATGGCCGCTAGCAGGATAGGTGCACTTGTCCTCAGTTGTTCCAACCCCTGGTATTCCCCTCCGATGCCGTAGAGATAGTGATCGAGTCGCGAAAAGTAGTGTTGGACGAGCCGTTGGGCGATCGTAGCGGTGATGATGCCTTTGCTGATCAGGTCCGACCGGGTGCCCGACCGACTGGCGCGAGCGCTCGGAGGGGAATCGATGGAATGCGGGCTGCGGATCTTAGAGATGTCGAGGAAGGTGTCGATGGGCGCTTGCACGGCTGAGGGGGATTCTGGAGGAGAAACCTCGCAGCCTTCTTCGTCCTGCTGTGTCGTGTCCTGGTCTTCTTCTCCGCCGGGGTAGAGGCCATCGCCATCTTTGCGGCTGGAGACGAGCGCTTTCGGGCCTTCAATTCCGAGGTGGTGGCAGAGCATCTCGAGCGTTTCGTGCAGGTGGGAGACGTCTGATTGCAGCAGTTGTACGTTCCTGGCCTGTCAGTTCAAACTTACTTGCCCTCTCAACCCAGGAACCTACTTGTTATCCTCGATCAGCGACTGCAGGCTGCGATTGAGAACGCACGACAGGCCGCGGCGACGACATCGAACGCAAGGAGGGCCATCGTCGGGCATGTCGCAGCGGATCTGTCGTCAACTGTTAGGATCAAACTGATCATGGCTAAGAAGGCGCAGTCACCTTGTTCTTCCGACACGCAGCGCATGCTGTGATCTTGCGAGTAATCCCAGGAAGCACCTCCACCAGATTGTGGCCTGAGGATGACTCGTGGCCATTCTCAGGCCCTCCGGCAGCTTCTCTCTTTCGCTTAGGCATGATTTTTAGTGATTCATGGGATTGTCGCAGTCATTGCGCAGAGGGAAATCCCCAGAAACCCCACGGGGACTCGTCTTGACAGCCTATGACTGCATGGCTCGGGTGAATATCGGTACGAGCGCATTGTCTCCATCTGAATCTCCGTGGACAGCCAATAATAAGGGGGGTAGGGAGGGAGTTGGAGATTAGCGGACAAGTCTCCGCTCCTTCGGTCATCGTCCGATGGGGCCAGCGCGCGGGGAATAGAGACATGCCATCCCATTCTTAAGAGCGAAGCCGGCCAAGAGGATGACAGGAAGCTGCAAGCTGCTTACTCGGTATCATTCACTAAGATGACGTCGAACATTGCGAACAAAGCCCGGCCGCTTCCTGCCGGCATCTACTGCCCGGTCCTCTCGCTATACAAGCCCACGCCGCGCCAAGAGATCGACTACGAGGCGTCGTACAAGTACTTTGCGTATCTGATCCGCGGGGGAGTGGACGGTCTGGTCATGGCTGGGACGACTGCAGAGGCTGTTTTGCTGTCTGCGACCGAGCGTCAGGAGTTGGTGCGTGTCGCGCGTCGAGCTGCCAACGAGCTGGGTCTGAAGGATTTCCCAGTGGTCGCTGGGATCAGCGGACAATCGACAAACGAGTCGATTCGCCTCGCAGAGGAAGCGCATGAGGCTGGCGCAGATTTCGGTCTCTTACTTCCCCCGTCGTACTGGGTCAAGGCTGTAACCAGGGATGTGATTGTCGACTTTTACCGTGAGGTTGCCGACAACAGCCCGATTCCAGCTGTCATCTACAGCGTAAGTGCCAGTTCTCCCACTGTGAGTATTCAGCGCTAATCAGACCAGTTCCCCGCCATGTGCAATGGAGTCGACCTCAACTCGGACGTCATGTCGGAGCTGGCGCAGCATCCCAACATCGTCGGCACGAAACTGACCTGCGGCAACGCGGGCAAAGTCACTCGCCTGACACACGAATACAGTCATGAGCAGTTTGCCGTGTATGCCGGCTCCTCGGACTGGCTCCTTCCATGTCTCATTGGCGGTGGATCCGGCTGCGTGACGGGCATCGGCAACGTCTTCCCCAAGTCAGTCGCTCGGTTATACGCCTTGTGGAAGGATGGCAAGGTGCAAGAGGCGACCAAGCTACAGGGGCTTGTGGCGCAGGCTGAAAAGGCTTGCAAGGAGGGTATTGCACCGACCAAGTTTGCTGCGGGTTATTTTGCGGGTCCCGGGGCAGGCGTGACGGATGAACGGGCGTTCTGGCCGAGGAAGCCATACAAGCCTTCAGGAAAGGAGAAGCAGGAGTGGGTGGTCCAGGTGATGAAGCATCTTGTTGAGATTGAGCAGTCAATACCAGATCGGGGGGCGAAATAGAAGAAATACTGGATGTATAGACAAATATTAGAACACTACTATGAGAGCATGAATATCGTGAATTCAAATGGTCTGTCGAAGAGATAGAAGAAATATACTTAGAGAAAGACTGGAATGCTATTCTCACAGTGATAAATACCCTCAATTGGAATGTCTAGACTATGCACTAAAGAAATCGTCTCGAATCTGCACATACTTGATCGTCTGTCGCCAAAAGGTAAAAGCGATATGGATCGTCCCATCCTCACCAACAAGCATACTTGGATATGAGAGCTCCCGATTCAGCTTCTGCTCGCTGTTGTTCGTGAGACAGTATCCATCTCCCTCTTCCAATGTCCGTGACTGCCACGTCCTGCCCTCATCGTCGCTCCACGCAACAGAAAGCGGCGCCCTTGGGGCTCCCCAAAACGCCTCCTTGCCATCGGTGCGAGCCTTCTGGTTCGGGCGCGAGTCTGTCCCGTCGCTGATTTCATCGTACAAGCCCTCCCTGCGTCCAAGAGCCTTCTCTCGCGACGAATGGTTGTAGACAACCACGACCCGACCGGAAGGCAGGACATCGAAGCAGATACCAGCGTTGGGATTCGGCAGCGATGTTGACTTGGGTGCACTCCATTGGATTCCGTCTGGAGACGTCGACGAATAGATAAAGTCCGCCCATCGACTCCGATAGAGCGCGAGGTAGCTCCCGCTCTTCAGTCGCTGGATTTCCATGTGCACGGCTCCGGTACTATCGGGGACAGCGACTTCTGACCAGGTTTGGCCCTGGTCCTGCGATATCCGGATGGCGGAGATGTCGTCGTTTCCGATCCATTTCGCGCCAGCTTCCACGCGGCATTTAAAGACGGGGATTACGAATGCTCCGTTATCTAGCACGATGACCGGTTGGCGGATGAAAGTACCAGGCTCATTGAACAGCACTGTTGGACTGCTCCAGGTACGGCCTTGGTCCGAGGAGGTGACGCGCTTAACAATGGCAGAGTCTTGGTTGCCTCCGTGCTGCGATGTATACAGCAGCCATAAGTCTCCAGAGGGGTGATGGAATAGCACGGGGTTCTGTTCGCTGCGGGTGTCGTCGTGCGTGACCTTGGTCGCGTCTTCCCAGGTTTCGTTCCCTGCTGCCAAGCGGGAAAAGTAGATGCTGATATCGGGCTTGCCTTCCATGTTACCTCCAAACCAGACGCAGAGGATATCGTCATTTGGCAGGCGGAGCAGGTTGGATGCATGGCATTGCACCGTCGCTGGGCGCAGATAGGCCTCTTGGTACCAGTATGGTCGCGATCCCGATCGCACAGTGCCGTCTAGGAGACTCGGTAGATTCTCTTGAGAGACTGCCATGATTGCTTTTGATGTAACAAGTGTCGTGCTTCCAAGAGCTACGCTTATCCAGCCAATGGCCTCTTAAGGTGCGGTGTGCGGTCCAAGGGCGGGGTCCAACCCGAAGTTCGGTTCTGGTCCGAGTGCACAATTCCTGGAAACTCGAGGCAGTTCCACGGTTGGAGAGAGTGTCGGAGGACAGTCCGATACCCTCACGATCACCGGCTGCCCCCATGGGGAACCGTCAGCACGCGGGGAACACCCTGAAGATCAGCACTTTAAGTTACCCTCGAGTCGTCAAGGGATCGATATCTCTTCCTTTCCTCATCGCTCTTTCCTTGATCATCCTATCAACAAGATGGCCGGCGGCACGAGTATCTGGGCGAGCCGAGAGGCCAAAACCGATCCCAAGGAGATCTTCAATCTGCGGCTATTGTACTTGGGTCTGACGCTGGCCTGGGCTGGCTGTTTCTATGGCTTCGATACCGGCAACATTGGCGGCATCCTTACCCTTCCGTCCTTTGAACACGCATTCGGCCTGATCGATATCCCTCAGGCTGACATCGACAACCGCAAGGGCACCATTGCGGCCATGGTTGCTGCTGGAGGATCTGCGGGCTCGCTGCTCGCCGCGCCCACCTCGGACTATCTGGGCAGGAAATGGTCCGTGTTCCTCTGGGGGCTGGTCTTTATGCTCGGGGCCGCCCTGCAAATGATCCCCAACTACAGCACTCTCCTCGCCGGGCGTTTTATCGGTGGCCTCGGGGTCGGTGCCAGCTCCATGCTGAGTCCTCAGTTCCTGGCCGAAAACTCGCCCAAGTCGATTCGTGGATCCATGACCGCGTCCTACAACTTGATGATTGTCACGTCCCTGATGCTCGCCTTTTGGGTCAACTACGGTGTCTCACTGTGGTCGAAGCCGGGAATCGAGCACGACAACTCGCAATGGCAGACTGCCATGAGCATCCAGCTGATTCCTGGTGGTTTGCTCGTTCTGATGATTCCCTGGATCCCCGAAACCCCTCGCTACCTGATCAACCACGGCAAAGCTGAGCAGGGTCTGAAGAATCTATGTCGGCTGCGGCAGCTGCCCGAGGACCACCCCTATGTCCAGATTGAATACCGAGAGATCTGCGCGCAGGTCGAGTCGGAACAAGAGGCCTTCCAGGGACACAGTTACTGGGTAGTGCTCAAGGACATCTTTGGCAACAGGAGCAATCTGCAGCGCTTTGTCCTCGCTGTTCTCCTGTTCCTCTTCCATAAATTGACTGGCACAGACTCGTTGAACGTGAGTCCTCCGTTAACATCACCATCTCTCATACTAATCGTGCTAATTATTTGCAGTACTACGCCCCTCAGATCTTCCAGCTCATCGGAGTCCAGGGCGATAACCTGTCACTCCTGACGACTGGTGTCTACGGGGCAGTCAAAGTGGCCGCCACCATCTTTTACATTGGATACCTGGTGGACCGCGTCGGCCGTCGACTCCCGTTGCTTGTCGGAGCCACCATCCAAGCGACGGCGATGCTGTATCTTGCGCTGTACCTCCGGTTTGCAGGCACCGACACCGCCGGAGATGGGGGCACGCCTGCAGGGGGGATCGTCGGGATTGTCTGGATCTACCTGTATGCCTTTGGCTGGTCGTTCGGACACAGCGTCGCCTGTTACATTGTGGCTGCGGAGATCTTTCCGACTCGTATTGTAAGTGCTGTCCTTTTGCCTCGCTGTCTAGGGACCAACTCTAACTGTTGGATAGAGATCGGTCTGTATGGGCTTCTGCTTCTTCGTCAACTGGATCGTCGACTATGGAATCACCCGTGCGACCCCCAACATGATCACCACGATGGGCTACGGAGCCTTCCTGCTATACGCGCTCTTGACATACCTTGGAGTGGTCTTCATCTACTTTTGTCTGCCCGAGTTGAAGGGTCGCTCGATTGAAAGTATGGACGACCTGTTCCAGCGGCCGCTCTGGACCATGTGGAAGCACGCGTACCCCACCGAGGAGGAAATGGTTCGACACGGAGTGAGAGAAGATCTGGATCAGAAAGGTGTGGAGGACGACGAGAATGCGAAGAGGCGCGATAGCCGTGCGGTGCATGTCGAGTCCATTGCGTAGATGGCAGTCCGGTGTAACGAGGTGTAACGAGATATGGCAACTAGTACTATTCGGACGCCAGTCATTTGACAGGCTGGATTTGGGATGATCGGACAGCGACGATGTCCATGGATTCTGCAGTGGCGGACTTGGTCCGTGTGCAATGTTCTCGGCCTTCTCTCCGCACATTGAAGATGCGGGACTGCGGGGAAGATCAGTACATCGAATGATACTTATACCCATTGTCGACCAACAAGAGTAGTAGAAATCCAGTAGAGCATCAGTACCAATGGCAACGGGATCATTCACTCTCAACACAGGAGCCAAAATCCCCGCCGTAGGCTTCGGGACATGGAAGGCAGCCCCGGGCGACGCAGCAGCGGCCGTGCAGGCAGCGTTTGAGGCTGGTTATCGTCACTTTGTACGCTCCCATTCCTACCATATGCTCCCCTCACGGTACTGACATGAAAATGGATAGGACTGTGCCCCGCTCTGTACGTCTCCTGCCTGATTGCCCATCCCGATATGTACACAACTAATCCGCACAGATGGCAACGAAGCCGAAATCGGCCAAGTCTTCAAAAACACCAAGGTTCCAAGATCGGAGTACTTCGTGACTACGAAGCTGTAAGTCTCCCTACATTCTCCAAACGTCATCCGAAACTTAACAGGTGCGATAGATGGTCTTCCGACCACCGCCGTGTTGAATCTGCCCTGGACAAATCCCTCCGCGACCTGAACCTCGACTACGTCGACCTGTACCTCATGCACTGGCCCGTGACGCTCGACCCATCGCCCAATGATGAAAATTACGGGAAGGAGGATCGAACGGTGCACGCCGTCGGGTGGGACTTTCGCGATACCTGGCGCGAGATGGAGAAGTTGCTTTCCACCGGCAAGGTCAAGGCCATCGGCGTTGCGAATTTCTCGACGGTTAACTTGACCAAGTTATTAGAGACTGCCAAGGTCGTTCCGGCCGTGAACCAGACGGAGATCCAGCCGCTTCTTCCGCAGGATAAGTTGCATGCGTTCTGTCGCGACAAGGGCATCCATCAGACGGCGTTTGGGCCGTTGGGGGGGTCGGGGAGTACGTTGCATGAACATCCGGTTATCGTGGAAATTGCAAAGAGAAGAGTGGTTGAGGCGGGGAATGTGATGCTCTCTTGGGGGATCCAAAAGGGGTGGAGTGTTATTCCCAAGAGTACGAATCCGGCGCGCATTGCGAGGAATTTGACGGGGAATTTCGTCCTCTCCAGTGAGGAGATGGAGGCGATGGATCGCTTGGCTTTACCCAAGGGGAAGAGGTTCAATCGCCCGAATTGGGGGACCGTTGTGTTTCATGATGATGAGGATGTGGATTTGGAGTAAAGTACTCCGTAGAGCGGATTGGGGGCTCAATAGCTCCTCATGTAACTCGAGAAAATAAATCCGGCATTGCTTCGTGCACACATCGAACATACATCGTAGGCATCATCAGCCCTCTTCTACGTCTGCCATTATTTACACCTCTGCCCTGTCTTCAGCTGCCAGTGGCTTCTGCGCATAAGTGACAAGACTAGTACATGATCAGCGGCGATCAGTCTGCGCGAGAATGGGACGACTTACATGGGCCAGTACGCGTGAATTCGAGGGTTCTTGATATCATCCCGGCACTTCGCAAGCAACGTCTCCAACTCTTCCATGGACATTCCTAAAACCTGCGTCAATAGTCTCGCCGAGAATCCATAGAGCCCGTCCAAGGTGTTGACCATATTCCATTGCCCCAGCGTCTTGAGGTGCTTGTCCTTGGGCCACTGGTTCTGCGGCCACTTGTACCTGAGCTCGACGACATTCTCAAACCCGGCCTCGGTCAGCAGTTGCTTATACTTCTCCGGCGCTCTGCCGTCGCGACCAATCATTTCGAGGCCTGCCATGAACTTGGTGTTCAGCTCTTCAAAGGCGGTCCCCTTCATGGTGTCGTCGTCAGCACGGACTGGCAGTGAGAAGTCCTGCATTTCGATCCAGCCTCCTGGCGCGAGATTGTCGTACGCCTGCCTAAAGAGGTTCTTCTCGTCGGCAATGGAGCCCATGAGCATGCGAGCGTGGATAAAATCAAACTTTTGCACAAAGGTCCATTGTTTCTCGTAGTCATCCAGCTCAAACTTGCAGTTTGGAGGAATCCACGAGGGCTGGATTGGACTCAAGTCGATGCCCAGGACTTGGGCCGACGAGTGTTGGTCCGCAAAGTCAATTGCCCAGATTCCAGTGCCCGTGCCAAGGTCGAGAACGTGCTGTACATCAGGTGAGATGGGGGCGTGGTACAGCTTGCGGTGCATCGTGATCAAGAAGATCTCGTGCTGCATGTCAAGGCGCTCCTGCTCCTGCTCATCCTCAGGAATCAAGTACTTTCCGTCGGAGTACTTGTGGTAGCCGCGTCCATTTTCGCGCACACTCTGGAGGAAACTCGAGCGAAGACTCTCAGTGTAAACGGTAGAGTTGTTGTCGCTAAATGCCGAGTCAACGTCGCTGGCGTCGGGTTCAATGAACCCTTCTACACGATCGTCTCCACACATGGGCGCTGAAATTGTGTAGCGCAGATGATTGAGAGGAGGAAAGAAAGGCGGGTGATGGGGGGTCTTTCATATGAAATCCTGAATCGCACCCCTGTCACCGTCGCACAGTCACCCCGTCTCAAACCAGTGTATGGTCAAATCTCAACGGCGCCAACTCCACCAGTGATGCGTGGCTTGTGAGGGGCTCGGACCGTCCACGAACCGCGTCAAGGACCGGCTCACATGGCATCTCGCTGGGCAAATGGCGCTGCTGCCCACGGACGACTAGACTAGGGTTCGCGACGCCAATGCGGGCCGACGGCCGTAGGATTCGTGCTAATCGAAGCGCTGCCTTGTTCGGAAGTCCTCCTCCGCTCCAGGTTCCTTTGATGGCACAACAGCTCATCGACCGATTAATCAATATCAAACCGGTCGCCTAAAACGTCGCTGCTGCGGCGCAGCCGCGTGGCCAGGCAAAAATAAAATGGCCCCCGCGGTCCACCCGAGGCTGCCTGCTCTTGGTCAATCCTCCGTCAATCACCATGCTCATCATTATTGTTGTCACACTGTCCACCTATGCGGTGTATAGCGTCGGCCTTGGGCTGTATCGCCTGTTTTTTCATCCCTTGGCCAACTTCCCCGGCCCAAAATATGCGGTCTTGAGCCGCTGGCACGAACGCTACTACGACGTCTACTTGGGAGGAAAATTCATCTTTTGGATCGAGGAACAGCACAGGAAGTATGGTGCGTGCGATGCCAACCGAAGGATCAGGGAGGCCAGAAATAATGTAATCTGTAGGGCCCGTCGTTCGTATCGCCCCAGATGAACTCCATCTTCTAGACGCAGACTTGTGGGAGACTATCTTCACCAAAGCCGGTCGAGTCGACAAGTACGACTGGATGTCAGGTCGATTCGGTAACGACACCTCCGTCTTGACAACGGCCGCCGACAGCCTTCACCGTGTACGTCGCGGGGCGTTGAATCCACTATTTTCGCGGCAGCGGATTCTTAGTCTCCAAGATGTCATCCGGGAGAAAGTTGGCATTCTTATCAATCGGTTGGACGACGCGAAGGCGGTACAGGCGCCCGTGCCAATAGACCGTGGCTTTGGGGCGTTTAGTGAAGACATCATCATGCGATATTGTTTTGGCCGCGATTATGATTCTCTGAATCAGCAGGGGTGGGAACCGATTTTGCATGACTCGTTCGTGGGAGTCACCAGATTTTCAAACACGGCATTACACTTTCCGCTACTGCTGAAGGTCATGAATGCTTTGCCGGAGCTCTGGGTCGAGAAACTGAACCCCCTTTGTGGTCTGATCTTTCGCTTGCAAAAGGTTAGCTCAGTCTGCCCGACTGTGGCCGATGCCCCGACTAATCTCTCGACTACGAACAGGACCTTGGTGAACAGATTCGGGCAACAAAGGCATCCATCGCATCGCGCGACAAAACTACCAAGGGCAACAAGTCGACAGTGTTCTCGGAACTGATCGAAGGTGACCTCCCGGAGGCAGAAAAGGCCGATCGCCGTCTTCGAGACGAAGCACAGACAGTTATCGCCGCAGGACTCGCGACCTCAGCCTGGGCACTGAGCGTGGGAACTTTCTACCTCCTCCGCAACCCCAGAGTCCTCACTCGTTTGCGCCACGAGCTCGACGACGCCATTCCAAGCTATAATCCCGCGGATCGCACTGCAGCCCTGGAGTGGACGCAACTCGAAAAACTCCCCTATCTAACAGCGGTGATCAAAGAGGCCATCCGACTGTCGTATACAACCACATCCCGTAATGTACGTCTGCTGCCGAAGCCGATTCAATTCAACGAGTGGACCATTCCCGCGCGCACACCGGTATCAATGACCATCCCCTTTCTCAACCACGACGAGAAAATCTTCCCGAACGCGAGGTCTTTTGTCCCAGAGCGATGGCTGGATTCGCCAATGGCCGATAATGGCTCGCCTCTCGAGCGCTACTTTGTCGGTTTCGGAAAGGGGTCAAGGTCGTGTCTCGGACTAAAGTAAGTTTTGCTCGACCTTCTCTGGGTGTTTACCTGTCTGACGTGTTAGTCTTGCCTGGTGCGAGTTGTACCTGGTGTTCGCGTCTTTGTTTCTATTCTTCGACTTTGAGCTGTTCGAAACAGACATCACTGATATCGAGTTCGCTCATGATTTCTTTATTCCGTTTCCAAGACTCGATTCGAAGGGAGTCCGAGTGTTTGTGCGATCCCGAGAAGAGGCTGGAACGCGCCGACCGCCAACCACGAATGTCGAATCACGTGCTGTATGTCACTGAGTCATGGTCTGACTGCTGCCTGACTCATGAGCCACTGAGCCTCAGCCATCGTCTCTCACCGTTCGCGACGCTTTCCAAAAGCATCCTCAATAATTCATACCATAGTTGTGTATCCAAAGCTCGTTTCATACTCCGAGGTACTTACAAGCAGAGATATGTACGAAGCAGCACCTAAAGTAAGCTCAGTGGCTTTGTCTTGAACCCTCTTCGTCCGTAGCACAACCCCTTGAAAAGTGGTGCATGAAGATATATAGTTTGGCTCTGCGTACCTAAGTTTGAGTTATTTGGCCAACAAAATTGGTCTCCACTACGACTATTATTACTTCATATCAATACATTAACGGTAGGTTATAGACAGGTAGATATTCTCAATCTGGATTCCAGGAAAGAAGCTACCTCGAGGCATCTCGCTGCTCGTCGGGTCAAAAGACTTGCTTGTCTGGGGCCTCAAAAATGCCAAGACGCCGACACCAAAACACGTCGGCAACGCGTCAAGCTCCTCGACTCTCAAAACATCATCTCGATCTCTTGAGTTTTCCAGAGTCGCGCTTCTAAATTACTGCGCCACTTTACTCTTGGAGCACGTGGAACAAGGTATTTTGAGCGCTCAGATTCCTTGAACGCGGAATGGCCACACAAATGACGACCGTTGGATGCATTTTTCGAGAACAAAACAGGAACGGACGTGGGCTCGCACGCCCGGCAGTCGCTCCTTCCTTCTTTCCTGTGGCACGTCAAGTGAGGAAGGAGCGACCGGCGGCATGGCACTTTCCCCTAGCGGTGGTCGACTCGACGACTGGAAGAGGAAGGTACGACCCGGGGCCACTGCTTGCACCTGCCTCGATAGCTGCCGCCCTCCCTAACCCTTATGGTGTAGGCATATCATACACCTGGGAAGAGGGGATTCGGAGCTGTTGCAGTGTCCAATCTCTGGCTCTATTGTTCGCCAAGATGGAGCTCAAGAAGTATCATTTCTAATATTTATTCTATATGCTGGCATATCCAGTATGCTTCTTCAGTCCTTGCGATCAGGATCGATGGTGACCCTCTGTCCCTCGAGGTCACTACTTTCTGTCTCCGAATCTGTCTCGATAACAGGCGACTCGGATACATTCCAATCGCCAAAGACCGCAAGAAGCGTGAACGGGATCGTGAAACCCCACAGGGCAAAACCTAAGATCATCTGATTCAGGTTTGGCCAGTGCGTCGCTCCCACCGCATACGCAATCGTACTCCCGATGGACTCCCACGATCTCAGGATTCCCGTCGTTCTCGCGATATCCCCGTCTGCTTGCGCTCCCTTGATCTCGGCCATCAGCCAGTAGATATATGTCTGTAGGACCTCGTAGAAGAACTTGAAGAACAGGTACACGGTAAAAGCTTGGTTGAAAAAGTGACCGTCGCCCAGGTCGAGCGCCGGTGGGTCGGTCTTGCGCGAGAGTTCCGTCTGCGTCACGGCAACCCACGTCCACGAGGCAGTGACGAAGATGAGGACGAAGATGTATACACCACGCGAGCGAGTTTGTCGAGAGAACTGGTTCAGATCCAGAACGATACCCGTCAGGATGTTGGCAGAGGCACCAACAACGGCCGTCAGGAACGACGCGAGGGCCCTAGCACGGACGGTGAAATACGCTGATCTATCGTTAGCACGTGAGCCATGGAAGCATATTGGTAAGCCATACATGTCAAATAGTTGCCCTGATAAGTTGTTCCGAACTGACCGGCGAGGAAGACTGGAATAAGAAGCAACATGTATTTGTTCCGAAGTTGCTTCCAGATCGCACGAGCCTCGATCTTGAAGGTCGTCTTCTTCATGTAAGGAATCTTGGTCCGGTTGGTTCTGACGACCTTTTGCGGCTGCGACAGGAGCAAAGCGAAGGGTGCGCCAAGAGATGAAATGGCGACGAGTCCGAGATACGTTGTATAGGACACCTTTCCCGCCTGGGCCGTGTGCACGTTCAGAGCGAGCGAGATGGCACCGCCGACAAGGGGACCCATCTGGCGGATGCCCATCCAGATTGCAACGTATCTGCCTCGTTTTTCCTCCTCTGGATACCCGACCGCAATGGCAGCTTCACTTGCCCATAGGAGGGAAGCCCCTATACCGCAGAGAGCAGCGCCGAGCAGGAGAAACCACTCGTTGCCATAGCGATTATTGCAGTATAGACCAGCCGCGTACGGTGTGTAGAATGCGGCTCCGATGAATAGTGTCCATTTTGCAGTGATTTTGTTGGAAACACCACCGGCGAGGAAGCAGCCTACCGACATAAGCCCGTATGTCAGAGCATTGGCGGCATTGTTCAGGAAAGGACTGGCATTTCCTCCTGCACCGAGATTGTTCAGGGCAGTCCAGATGCCGGGCTCGCAAAAGGCAACCAGGCCGACGATGACAATCTGGAACAGACACGAGCGGTAGATTCGGAGCACGCGTTCGAAAGCCATGATGCTGTTCTGCTGTTTGAAAGCGATCCTACAAGGTTCTACCCTCGCGCTCTTATCTCTTATACTCCAAAGCACGCCACCTTGCATCGTAAACGCGAGATCTTGGCTTTAGCTTAGTGCCCTCCAAGATCCAGCCATACGGAGCTTGTCCTATGAGTGTTGAGGTCTTTGCCTGTCTGAGAGCACGCCATGCTCCACCATGATGGTGCATCTCAACCACACCAAAATGTTGCAAGATTCTATGCGCTCTCGGCCGATATAAAATCTTGGCCTTGTTATCAATGTCTAGTGAGTGTTTCTGATTATTATGAGGGGTGGATTCTTCAATGGCGATTGACGTATCTCTGGTGATATCCACCAGATACGATAGCTAGATACCCCCATGCGACGACCCAAAAACCTGACGCGATCAAAAATGGATCGCCTGATTTGCCACGTGGGGTTATCTTCCGAAGTTCAACCAGCCATTGCAATTACTTCGCCTTCTGGCCGATCACAGTCCCAAACCTCACATCGATAACCTCGCCTTCCGTAAACGCCGCCGCTAGGTCTCCGATAATCTCCTTGGCCTTCTCGCTCGCCACGCCCCCATTGGAAGCATCGCCTGTTCTCTGCAGCACGAGAGGCATAACAGTAGACCAGAAACCCAGTTGCCAAGCTTGCGCTCTTGCCTTGATGTCCTCGCGTCCGCGGACAAGGAATGGTCGATTGACTACCTTGACGAGGCCGGCAGTCTCGAAAGCTTGAGCTACCACATCCGGAGCATTTCGACTAATGTTATTCTGGTCCATGTATCTTGTCCAGGACTGAATCATTGGCATAGCTTTCGGATGGTGGGTGATCTTAGGGTCGTATAATGGGGTATAGTCAATCTCGACCCATTGCAAGTAGCCACCGGGCTCTACGGGGAGTTAGCGATGATCAACACTATTCACGAACTCGCGCAACTTACTGAGGATGTCTAACATGTTTCGGACTGCGGTCTCGAACTCGGACTCGCCAAGTGCAGTCACGAGCAGTCGAACATGAATCAAGTCATAGCGGCCTCGATGCTCCGGAGGAAATGGCGTCAGGACATCCTGGACGGAGAGCTCAATCCCATCCGGAGCTGCCGGAAACTGCGCGGGAGATATATCGAAGCCGTGAAAGTACCGTGCAGAACTATTGACAATCTTGCTAAGCGCCTGCTGGACATCCCACAGCCACACCCTGCAGATCGATCCGATTAGCTCTCCACACTTCAAACTGGGCTGGCAACTATGCAAAGACATACCCGGTACCAGTCGCGACATCTGCGACGGAGGAAATTCGATCCAGTGGGATAGAGCTATCGATCGCTCCATCGACGATTTCAATAATCAACTTGTGCTGCTCATTTAGTCTGCCCGAGGTTAGTTTCTGCAGCGGAGCAGATTGATCGTCTTGGACGAACCGCTTGGATTCCGCCGTATCCCTGCCAAGAGGGTATCTTTCCACTGCTTCGGCCATTTCGAAAAATCCGGTTAGTGATACAGGAGAGAATTTGTGACTTTGGCAGAAATGAAGAGTCAGTTCCTGAATTTATACCATTGCCACTTCGGACCCGCTTGTCCTGACTATAGCGGGGTAACCTGGGCCGTTGCTCCAGCCAGCCACATATTGTTGACGTGGAGAATGTCTTGTGCCCGTGTCGGCAAATGGTGGATTGTGAGAAATCCTATCGAGAGAAATCAAAGGCCTCCCTAAGATACGATAGGAGGCGCTATATACATCGATGGTAGGGGTCGAGGTGTGACAACAGCAGTTCTCTCCCTCCGACAGATCGTGTAACGGAGTCATGACAGCCAAGACCCAAGCACAACAGCAGATTAATGAACGTATCTGAACGAAATAACCTGATCCTGGCCAAGCCGCCGACTGACTGCACCACTGGCAGTCGCAGACACATTGTGCTCCTCCTCATCCATCCGCTTGTTCTCCCTTCGCAAATACCATTTGATCGTCAGCGCCATCACAGCACATACCAAGCACGCGCCGCTCATAATCCCACCGCCGACGTAGTACCGCGGCTTCTGCGAATCGGGGAACATGTACGAGGTATAGAAGTGGGCGACTCCTGCACCCATGAGGTTCATGATCGCCAGCGCTGCGGCACGTTTCGCGCGGGGTCGCGGTAAACTGGAGCTGAGCCAGGAGACGCAGAGGTTGTACGGTGAGTAGGATCCGGAAGTCATGAGGAACATGCTGAAGTAGCGACCGCCCGTGGTTGGGACGAACATTGCCTGGGATTATGGTGTCAGCCGATGTCTGTTAGGGAGGGGCGAGCACGTACCAGTAGGTTACCGAGGAAAGAGAACAACAGGGGGATTGCTATGTGAAGTCCACGTTCCTGTTTGTGTGCGGCATGGAACGAGATGCATAGGGAGGCAATGAAAGCCGCGAAGTACGGTGGCGCTGTGAGAAGAAGGGTGATGGTGTTGTTGTACCCCAACGTACCCACGATGGACGGGAAGAAGTTGTTGAATGACTGCGCGGTGATGAGCGCCATCTGCATGACCACAAACATGTACAGTTTGGGATCGCGAACGGCTTGCTTAACACCCCAGAACAGGGAGTTGGGGTCGCTGTCGGTGATACCAGCATTCTCGTTTTGGAGTCTCCAATCCTAGACAGAATGTATCAGGAACTTGATCACACCGAGAGGGTTACAACTTACGGCTAGAAGTTGCTGCTCTCGGTCGAGCCACCATCTTTTGGAGGCGAGAGGGAAGTCTGGAATGAATGGTATAACCAAAAGAGCGATGGCGATGGTCATGGAGCCCTCGATGATGAACAGCCATTGCTAGAAAGGTTAGGGGAGATTCAAACCCAAGGTGGGGTCTAACTTACCCAGGCTGGCCGATTCAATTTATCCTCCATCCGACTAATGATGCCAGCCGCAATCAACCCACCAAAAGCGCTGGCCAACATGTTCGCTCCATAGAGGATCGCAATTCGCGGAGGCAGCTCGGAGCGTTTGTACCAACAGGACAGCAGGAGGAAGACACCAGGCAAAAATGGCCCCTCGACAAGACCGAGGATAAAGCGACACATGAAAAGCCCGGCAAAATTAGTGGTGAATGCCTGACACATGGAGACAATACCCCAAGCCGCCGTCACGCATCCGATGTAGAGCGAGGGCTTGACCTTTAGGATAAGGATATTCGAGGGCACCTGCGTCAGGACGTCTGGGAATATTAGAAGGCTCCCTGAAAAGAAGAGGGGGTACGTACATCCGACATAGAAGATCATAAGACAAGTGTTGTACTCCGTGTTGGTGATTCCGAGCGAGTCTGGCAATCCCGAGATTTTAGCATTCGCAATGTTGTTCCTAGCAAGAGGTGAGTGATTGGCACAGGCTTCCGAGCCAGGAGACTTACCTATCCAGAATGTTCATCAAGAAGAGAATCACCACCGCTGGCATCAGATGAAAGTCTAGCTGTCTCACCAGCTTCTTTTCCAGCTGCTGCAGCTCCTCTCGACTGCGCCCCTCCAGCTCCACCGGCAGAGGTAACTCCTGGAGAGGCGCAACACCGACCTTGTCGACGGATTCAACCTGTGGCTTTGTCTGGTCCATTCTGAGGTGCTGTGACGGAGAGAACCTGGTTCGAGTGGAATGGGCCGCGAAAACGCTGATTATTTGACTCGACGAGATAGTGGTATCATACGGACTGGTCTCCGATATGTCAAGGGCGAGTGTGCGGGGGCCCCGGATTTTCCCCAGAACGCGTTGCACTAGCGATGGAGAGAAATCCGGCGACTCCAAGCCGGCTACTACTAGGCTAAGCCTGATAAGACGGAGTTAAGGCGAGCTGAGACGAGGCTTGTGGGTCTTATTTTGGAATCGCTAGCTAGGCACTACTGAGGTATTCGAGCACTTGTTTCGCGTTGACTGGGGTAGACGGTTCTCCGATGAACTCTCCTTGGGATCCTACGGTCGCGAGGATGTTTTTCATCGCATTCAGCTCAAAGTTGATACGCGTGTTCAAGGCACCTCCGCCGATATGGGTCGTTAAGGTGACATTTTCCATTGCTGCGAGCCGTGGTGACACCTGGGGTTCGTGGTAATGGACATCTAGGCCGGCCGCAGATAACGAGCCCTCCTCGAGTGCCTGAATCAGAGACTCTTCTTCGACAACCTCTCCACGGGAGGTATTGATTAGTTTCGCCCCCGGTTTCATTATTTTTAGCGTTTCACGGTTGATAAGGTGTTTCGTGTGCTGGTTCAGCGGTGTGTGCAGCGATACACAGTCGGCCACCTCCAGTAAGCTTTCCAGCGTCTCGTGGTAGGTAACCCCTAGACTTTGTTCCACGTCGAGACTTTGACGAACGACATCGAAATAGTGAACCGACATGCCCAAAGCCTGCGCTTTCTTGGCCACCTTCTTACTGATGTTCCCAAGGCCTACAAGACCGAGGATATGTCCGCTAGGGTTTTGTGAGATGGTTGCGATGAGCTTGTGCGCGGCGGTAAAGATTTCTGGGTCCGCCGTGCGGGCAGCCAGCTGGGCGCGCGTAAAGTTTCGAAACACTGAGAGGATCATGTAGAGCGTAGTATCCGAGACCGCTTCATCCGATGCGCCTGCGCCGTTCGCGTACCAGATCCCGTGGCGCCCGAGAGCTTCGACATCTGCCCAATTGAACCCTGCTCCGGCGGAGGCGAAGATGCGGACAGATGGAGGAAGTAGAGCGATAAGCTCATCATCCCATTGTCCCATCTCGCCTCCAGACTGAAAGTGCGGTCGAAAAATTGCGACGAAATCGCCGTATCTGTAGACGATTAGCGAGTGTGCTGGGATTGGTAACGGGGACTTGCGACCTTTTGTTCTTCAGGGCCTCGATAAATGAGGGGCGATCCAATGCGTCGTTCCGGACAACGTCAAAGCGGGCGAGGAAGTCGTTGCTGTAGAAGTAATGGTTGTACTTGATGGGCTCGCCCAGATGAAGCACAATCGGTTTGGCCATTGCGGTAGGCAGAAGAGTGACACAAGCTTGAGTGGATCAAGGGCGACATCGTGAAGGCAAAACACTGAAATAAATCACTGCGGTACATCTCGAGCGCCGTGGCCCTCGCTCGCGCGTCCGCTCGGACTGACTCCGGCGACCATCGAGCGATGACTGGGAGAAAGTGAGAGAGCAGAGCGTCGGAGACCAGCCCGAGAGTCCCGCGCTAGCCAAGATGGGAAATCCCAAAGTCCGCGGGGCTTATCGAAGCACCAGCGTGATCCTGACGCGTCCTCATGCCTTTCGCAAGACTCGTCATCTGGCAGACTCACCATGCGTGCGGGCGGACCAAGGATGATTCCGTAGATTTCAATGCAGACAATCTTTCAATCAGCTCTTCGAAAGCTCAGGTAAGTTCAAGATCTTCCTCATGGTTTCTCTACCCCTCTGATCACAGCTTCCATAGGCCTGCGACTGTTTACCCGCCCTGAAACTCACGACGCTCAAACCGCATTGTGTCGCTAATATTGCCTTCCATTCAAAGTCCTATCACCATGATGCCCTTCTGACTCTACAGATACGCGTTTCGACGATGATGAAAACGACGCAGCGTGGATAATTACCACACAGACACGCCCGCGGAGCGCAACAGCTAGAAATTAACAATAACATTGTATCCTCCCCCGGATCATTGCCAACAGCTCAATATACGGACAAGTGGTATCTATCTGTTCATTATAAAGTGGATAAGGTAGGAGCGCTGTTGCCTCCCTGTTTAGAAAAATAATAATAGCAACAAATCAGCAAATGCTCATGAAAATCAATCCGACTCAGCCACTGCCTCCTGGAGCAGTTTGCCAAGGTCGTTGGCCTAGAACTGTCAGTTTATCATCAACATTTCTTGCATTTCAGGGGACATACCGCTGGTGGAGTGACCATCGAGAAATGATCCGCCTTGATCGTCCGACATTCGACTGGTCCCAACAACTTGTCCCAGCCATTGGGTCCAAAGTTGTCTCTCCGTGAGTAGAACCAGGAACCGAGTCCTGCTGATCTGGAGATTATGCTGCATATGCGACCGCATGCCCATGGCACGCGCGACAAGGCGTTTGCGTGGTGGGAATTCTCAATCAGCACATGTGCCCCGGGTCAAGAGCTGAGGCAGAACTGTGCTGGCTTGCTGCTTATCGAGTACCTCTCGGACGAAGGCTCGCCCCTGAGCATCGAAGCAGAAATTGCCGCCATCGCTGCCTCGGAGCGCTACGCTGATCTCCAAACCTCATGTACCGTCCACGAGGAGCCGGGCAAGTTCTACGAGGACCTGGCCGCATTTGGCTTGAACTACGGACCTACCTTTAGCACCATGACCGAGATCCGTCTCGGAAAGGGCGCCTCATGCTGCACGGTGGAGGTTTCCGACCATGGTTCAACAGTTGTTCCTCCAGCGTCGATTGGGAAGCCGTACATTATCCACCCTACCACACTCGATGCCATGTTCCACGCCGTATTCGCTGCGCTGAAGGGACCCGGTGGAGTCCTCAAAGGTGCAATGGTTCCCAAATCCATTGATGAAATTACGATTGCCGCCGACATGGACATTGCTGAGAAGTCACTCTTCCGGGGATACGCCACTGCGAACAAGCACGGCTTCCGGGAGATCATGTCAGATGTACACATGCTTGACAACAGCTTGAGCAAGCAAGCCGTGTCCATCCGAGGTTTTTGCTGTGCGGATGTGGCTGGTGCTGTCGACCTCGCTGATGCCGGCGCGGATGCAATCAACCTGTGCACCACCACCACCTGGTTGCCGGCCATTGAGCTGCTATCGCCGGAGCAGCTTCAGAGCGTTGTTGAGGCTTTGGCCAAGGATGCCCCGGAGCTGCAAGAGTCTCGTGTCAAAGTGCAAGAGGTACGTCAGCCAGACGACCATGTTTTAATGGATACTAACCGTCATTGTAGCTCGTGAAGCTGGCAGTGCAAACGACGCCAGCACTGTCAATCCTGGAACTCGGTGGGGATGCGCTGCCCATTCTTTCCGATCTCGCTGCAGCCAACGTCGCATCGTTGTTCGAGTACACAGTCGCCAGCAGCAACACCGAGTGGCTAAAATCGGCCGAGGAGCAGCTGGCAGCTACCAACCTGCAGTCTAGATTTACATCGTTTGACTTGGAGAAGCCCTTCGAAAGTCAAGGTCTTGCGCAAGGCTCTTTCGACATCATTCTGGGCTCAGCCACGGCAGGCGATGGACAGGATATCCAGACACTAAAGCAGCTGTCCAAGCTGGCAAAGACTGGTGCTACAATCTGCTTGACCGAACATCTCTCCGAGGATTCCGATAGCGAACTCGCCCTCCAAGCAAAGGAGCAGTGGGAAGACTTACTCCAGAGCTACGGTCTGCAGGTGCAATTCACCTCCTCCGCTTCAAACTCCAGTCTCACAGTCGCAAACGTCCCCAATGCCCAGGATGAGGCTGCCGCAACCGACGAGATTATCATCCTCGAGCCCGCAAGCCTGACCCTTGCTTCGCAAGCTCTCGCAGCCGAGATCAGCGAACGGCTGCAGGCTGCCTCCATTGCCTCATCACGAATGACGCTGGCAGACCCATTGGCCAACCTCAAAGGCAAACGTTGCATCTCGCTACTCGAGATCGAGGCGTCCATCCTCGAAGATCTGTCTCAAGCGGACTTTGAATCTCTCAAGGAGATCATCCTTTCCACATCAGGCCTGCTGTGGTTCGTGGGCTTCGAAGGACCAGCAGCGTCGTTGATCACTGGTCTTGCGCGCAGTATTCGCAATGAGATCGCTGGCTTGGAGCTGTGCACTTTGCTCGCCCCCGTGAGCTCATTCGAGTCCCAAGACGTGTTAGTATCTGCCATTGTCAAGGTGGCCACATCGAGCATTCGCGACCACGAAATCCGAGCGGAAAATGGAGTCCTTCAAGTCAGTCGACTGCTGGAGGATGAGAACCTGAGCAACGCCATCGCCGGCCTTCAGCGCGGGGAAAAGGTTCTCACGCCTCTATCTCAGACGGTGCGACCGCAGAAACTCGTCATCCAGAATCCTGGTTTACTCGACTCGCTCTGCTTCGAACTGGACGAAACCCTGGAAAAGGAGATCGGCGGCGATGAGGTTGAGATTGAGGTTTGCGCCAGTGGAGTCAAGTGAGTACCCTTCTATCACTTCATACAGCATATACTGACTCTGCAATCCAGCTTCCGCGACGTCATGACAGCCATGGGTCAGATCCCCGACGAGACAGTCGGGCTGGAAGCCAGCGGTGTCGTCCGTCGAGTCGGGGCAAGCGTGACCAAATTCCAAGCGGGCGACCGTGTATCCTGCCTCGCTCACGCAGCCCACAAGCCCTTGATCCGAGTGCCGGTGGTGCAATGCAAGCAGATCCCAGAGGGAATGTCCTTTGAAGATGCTGCCACTCTGCCCACGGTCCACTATACCGCATACCACGCACTGGTCAATCTGGCTCGAGTCCGAAAGGGCCAGAGTATTCTGATCCATGCCGCCGCTGGTGGTGTCGGTCAAGCTGCAATCCAGGTGGGGAAGCATTATGGGCTGGAGATCTTCGCAACTGTTGGGTCCGAGTCGAAGAGAGAACTGATCAAGGATGTTTATGGTATCCCAGATGACCACATCTTCAACTCTCGCGACGTCAGTTTTGTCAAGGGTCTTTTGCGCATGACCAAGGGCCGCGGCGTCGACTGCGTGCTCAACTCGCTGTCTGGTGAAATGCTTCGCCAGACCTGGTACTGTCTCGCGCCGTTTGGTGTCTTTGTCGAAATTGGAATGAAGGATATCCTCAGCAACAGTGGGCTGGACATGTTGCCATTCAAGAAGCACGCGACATTTTGCTTCTTCAACCTGGAGAACATCGCGACGATCAACCCGCAGCTCATCGACGAAATCGGCGAGGGCGTCTTTGATCTGCTTCGTCAGGGTGCCCTGAAGCCTGTATACCCTGTTACTGTTTACCCCGTCTCGCAGATGGAGAGTGCTTTCCGGCTGATGCAGGCTGGTCGGCACCAGGGCAAGCTGGTCCTCTCGTACAGCCCCGACGATGTCGTCCCCATGCTTCGTCGAGCCGACGACGCGCTCCGACTGGACCCGAATGCGACGTACGTTCTCGTCGGAGGGTTCGGAGGTCTGGGCCGCAGCTTGATCCGCATGTTTGCTGCCAGTGGTGCACGTCATCTCGCAGTCTTCTCCCGGTCCGGAGCTGCCTCGGCCGCTGCCAAAGCGTGTATCGAGGAGTCTGAGAAGCTGGGTACACAAGTCCAGACATACCAGTGTGATGTCGCGAATGGACAAGCCGTCAAAGAGGCCGTCGACCACATCCAACGCCATCTCCCTCCGATCAAGGGTGTCATCCAGGGAGCCATGGTGCTGCGCGATGTGCTGTTTGAGCAAATGACACACCAGCAATGGATCGAGTCGACGCGACCGAAAGTACAAGGGACATGGAGTCTTCACCAGTACCTCCCGAAGGATCTGGACTTTTTCATTACCCTCAGTTCGTTCGCTGGCGTGTTTGGCAACCGTGGACAGGGCAACTACGCCGCCGCCGGTGCATACGAAGACGCACTGGCCCACCACCGTCGCAGTCACGGCCTGAAAGCAGTGACGATTGATCTGGGAGTGATGCGTGATTCTGGAGTCCTCGCAGAACAGGGCACAACGGCCAACCTGAAGGACTTTGATTCGTTTGCGATCAGCGATGCAACATTCCACGCGATGATCAAAAAGGTCATTGTCGACGAGTTGTCGGGCTCAACGACGCAGGCTCAGATCACGACAGGCATGCCGACCGGGAGAACCGTACAAGCTGCTGGTATTGATCGTCCCTACTTTTTCGACGATGCTCGATTCTCCATCATCAGTCAGGCTGGGGCACAGAGTGGCGAGAGCGGTTCGGGTGAGGTTTCGATCGAGACGCAGCTTTCACGCGTTGCATCGCGCGATGAGGGCGTGCCGATTGTGCAGGAAGCGCTGGTGAACCGGGTGGCCAAATTCCTGCAAACTTCTCCAAGTGAGATTGATCCCAGCAAGCCGCTGTACCATTACGGAGTCGACTCGCTGGCGGCGGTGGAGATGCGCAACTGGGATTTTAGAGAGATCAAGGCGGAGATTTCGCTGCTCGAGGTGATGAGCGCGAGTCCGATTGCGCAGTTGGCGCAGGAGATTGCGAGCAGGAGCAAGATTTTGAGCAAGTAGAACAGGCACATTTAATACAGTATCGTAAATTCGTGATGGCGTCGGCTAACGTGCCGATGTCTCCATTTCTCCATTTCTCCAATTCTCGCCCCATTCTGGATTCTTCCTCCTGTCACGCTCAGGATGCCCTCTGCACTCGAGGATAAGAAAACCACTGCTGTCGAACAAGACCAGCAGCCCATAGCTCCGTATTCGGTCTTTACCCGCGCCCAAAAGAGATTTATCGTCTTCTGGGCATCATGGGCGGGCTTCTTCTCGCCAGTCTCGTCGCAGATCTACTTTCCGGCCCTCAACAGCGTTGCCAACGATTTGGGCGTGTCGGGCGCACTGATCAATTTGACCCTGACAAGCTACATGGTATGGGTACGATTGTGGTTGGGGGCCGTTGCTAACTCTATAGATCTTCCAAGGCCTCTCCCCCATGTTTGTGGGCGATTTTGCGGATAAAGCAGGTCGTCGCCCGGCGTATCTGGTCTGCTTCATCATCTACACGGCCGCCAACATTGGCCTCGCCTTGCAGGACAACTACGCTGCTCTCTTTATCCTCCGATGCCTCCAGAGTGCCGGGAGCAGTACAACCATCGCCCTCTCATCGGGCGTCGTCGCCGACATCGCCATTGCGGCCGAGCGGGGATCGTACATGGGCTTTGTGACGGCCGGATCGCTGCTGGGGCCTGCGCTGGGTCCCGTAATTGGAGGCCTTTTATCGCAGTATCTCGGATGGCGGTCGATCTTCTGGTTCCTCGTCATCTTCGGGTGTGCGTTTCTCGTCCCCTTTGTTCTCTTCTTCCCCGAAACGTCTCGAGTGATTGTGGGCGATGGCTCTCTTCCAGCACCTCCCTGGAATCAGCCTTTGGTTCAATGGTTCAAGTCGCGCAAATCACCGCAGCAAGAGAGCATTGCCCGCCCGAAACTACAATTCCCCAATCCGTTGAAAACTCTCTCGATTGTGTTCCAGAAGGACGTGAGTATCATCCTCTTCGCCAACGCGGTTCTCTTCGCCGGCTTCTACGACGTCAGTGCCTCGATTCCATCCATCTTTGAAGACCTGTACGGTCTAGATGATCTCCAAATCGGACTCTGCTACATCCCCTTTGGCCTCGGTGCCACCGTAGCTGCACTCATCACAGGAAAGATGCTCGATCGCAATTTCCGCCGGTTAGCGAGACTTTCCCACATTCCTATAGAGGAAACCCGAGCCCGGAATCTGCAGGGGTTCCCGATAGAAAAGGCTCGCTTGCAAGTTGCCCTGCCGACGTTGCTTATGGGCAGCAGCACGGTAATTGCCTTTGGCTGGGTCCTGCACTTTGGCGTGCACATCGCGGCCCCGACCATCATCCTCTTCTTCATGGGATTGACCCTGACTGGGGCGTTCAACACCGTTAGTACGCTGCTGATCGACTTTTACCCGATGAACGCTGCATCTGCGACTGCGTCGAATAATTTTGTCCGTTGTTTGCTTGGAGCCGGCGCGACGGCGTTGATCGATCCGATGCTGAAGGCGATGGGACGCGGCTGGTGCTTTACGTTTATCGCGCTGGTGATGATGTCGACGACGCCGTTGCTGCTGGTCATTATGCACTTTGGGCCGCGTTGGAGAGAAGAAAGACAGGGGAAGCAGGAGGCCAGATAGGCAGAATCGAGAGCCGATAGTAACAATAGACAAAAATTTCAACCCCTTGACCATAGTAGGTACGTCATCGTGAATAAAGACGTCATTATTGGCTGGATTGCTCGCTGGTGGAGAACTGGCTGGATACGCAATACGCAATGCGAGAATACGACTTGGTCTTGGCCGCAAGAGAATACGCCTCGACACGAACTGGCACATTCGATCCGGCATGATGCCACTTGTAATCGAGGCATCTGAGTATCCATACATAAGTTAATCATTACCCGTCGCTATGGTGGACAAATCACCTTGTCAGTCGCAAAATGTCGAGTAAACGCGAGCAAGTGGCCGCCCGCTATGCGTCGTATGCAATCCCCCACCCAGACTTCGACAAGTACATGGACATGGAGAACCCATTCGCAGGAGCAGAAGGTCTATCAGTCTCAGCGATGCGGGAAATCTTCACCCAGATGCCGATGACTTTTCCGTATGCTGAAAAGGCTGCTGCCAACGTCCGAGTCCGCCACCAACAGATCACTGCCCGAGACGGGGCGGAGCTGGAACTGAGAATCTACAAGGATGCTCATGTGGCAGGGAGAGCGATCTTGTTCTTCGTTACGCATGGTGGAGGTACGCACCTCCTACATCAAGTTATGCATCATCTCATCCTTGAACAGGCTGGGTTCTCGGCGACCATAACGTTGAAGAGGCAATGAACCGGCTGGTCGCCAAGAAGACAAACTCGGTCGTTGTCAGCGTCAACTATCGACTGTGAGTATAGAATGGCCGAGGGAATTTACCTTGTTCCCAATACTGATTCAACGCGGTGCTCCCGAGTTCCCGTTTCCGTACGCAGTGAACGACTCTTTTGACGCGCTGCAATGGGTGTGTCTCTTGAGATGAACAATGACATTTGACTCTGATACTCGAGACGTGGCAGTGCAGACAAAACGCGGAAGCACTTGGAATCGACGCCAACCGAGTCATTGTGGGCGGCAGCAGTTCGGGCGGAAACATCGTACGCCTCTCTCCCACATCCAAATCTCGATTTTAACCGCAGATAGGCCACTGCTCTGGCGTTGAAAGATCGGGATGATGGCATTGGTGCAGTCTTTGGACAAGTCTTGAATTTTCCCGACACCTGCCATCCTGCGTATTTTCCCAAGGACAAATACGTGTACGCCAGCCCGGAGCAGAACAAAGATGCGCCGATTCTGACCACTCAGGCGGCGCACTGGTTCTGGGGTGGGTTATCTTTTCGTTCCACCGCGTCTTTTCATCGCTGACATTCTCTCTCATCAGACCAATACTGCCCAAATACTGGAGCAGACCCCTATGCAAGCCCACTCCTAGCCACCTCGCACAAGGGCTTAGCACCCGCATGTACGTGACCCCTGACATGATTATTGGCACTTTCCTGACTAGTACAAGTGATCCAGGTTGCAGGACTCGATCCTGTGCGTGATGACGGGCTCGCGTACAGCGAGGCACTCAAGGCAGCAGGGTACGCAACGCCTTTCGATCAATGTTCAAGCACTAATCTGGCTTCAGGGTGCCCGTCAAGACCAGAGTCTACCCGGGATTGCCGCACGCGTTTTATCTGTTTCCGGACCTCGGCGAGACGCCGACCTACTTCAACACGATTGTGGACTGGATCAACTTTCTTGATAAGGATATGGCACGAGTATTTTGATTAGAAGCCCTATTGAACAGGCGTGATATTCCAGGGAACTCTGACTGGGACTCCCAGCTCTATAATTACTTTGTTGAGCAAATTGGAAAGAAGACGAGCCATCAAGCCATCCAGTCCCAGTGTTTGTGGCCCGCCATTCAGGTTAACCATCTGAACAGCCCCTTGGACGTGCTGCTTTAGCATCTTCTCATCGTGCACGAACAGCTGGTGGACATTATCATCCTGTCGTTTGTAGTAATGCAGGGTTCTCACCTCATCATAAGCCAGCATCAACGCTTTGGACACGGTCGTGTCGCTAAACCGAGGTGCTTCAGTCGTAATTGACTCCCGTAGCGACCGTAGGATCACGAGCTTGTACTGGAAAGCCAGCCGGTTGAACAATTTCTGTTCCGGCCGATCCGTGTATTGATTGGCCAGTGTCCGACACGAGGCAAGAAATATGATGTACAAGAGGCTCTGTTCAGCGACGGCAAGCGGGACCCAGCCATGCATCATTCGCTCCGTAAAGTGCTCGTCGAACGCATTGCAGCGCATGAGGGGAACGACTACGGTGACATCTCCGGGGCAAAGGTAAGCGACTCGGAGAGACAAACTCGGCAATGGGAAACACATACAGTGGTCGAACAGGCGTTCTTCGATGGGCTTGAGTGGTAGTGCGAAGCTCGCAAACGAATCTCTCCGGCTCGCCGACAGTGGGGTTATCAGCCCACATCCAGTCCATGCACTAAACAGACTGGGATCTTGACGGTTCTTCTGGGCCTGATGCTCGAGGGTTCGTAGGCGCCGTGCCTTGGCGTGGGCCGACCGGGCTGCGTGTGAGCGGGCAACCTTTTTTTGCGGGTCTTTTTGACCAGGGGCGCTTGGTGTGCTGAGAATAAACTGGAGCTCATGAGAAGGCATCTCGAGGTGTTGGGGCATTCATGTTTAGGATTCTGTGCAAGTGGAAGGGAAGAGCCTCCGTGGGGGATGGACTTGGATGGGCTGACAAACTGTTCGTTCGGTTGTTTGGTGTGGGCCGCCAAGACTTGCGCCTGCTCGATGGGGTCAAGCGCCCGATCGGACCACCAAAAAGCCAATCAACGAGATCCAAAGCTTCAAGATCGATGACCCCAGGAGTCCACCTGGACAGCCTCCGCCGTGCGTATGCGTATGTCCCTTCGTCAATGCTCGAGGAGAGCCACAGCCAAGACATGCGCCTTCCATCTTGAGAAAGAAGCAGCCATCATACTGCGCATTACAAAGCTCATTGCTGGGTAACCATGTCTCCCACAAGATATATTTCCAGCACGACAGAACAGAGTCTCTGGAGACACAAGTCCCAAACACATTTTCAAGATGACTGGAACCGTTCTCCTTACCGGTGCCAATGGCTCTTTAGCCCTTGGCTTTGTCGAAGCATTCCTTGCTCAGTACCCCGGGCATACCCTCATCGCCACAGTTCGGAATACTTCCCCAGAAAAAGACCCCAACACCGCCAAATTGATGCAACTGGTGGCTAAGCACCCGGGAGCTGATGTCCATGTTGAAGCCCTTGACCTGGGGAATCTGGCTGGTGTCCGATCCTACGCAGAAAACGTCGCCGCCAGAGTCTCTTCCAAGGAACTGCCCCGGATATCCGCCATTGTCTGCAACGCCGCCACCTGGTCGCTCGGGGATGGGCAGCGATTCACCTCGGATGGCCACGAAGCATCTTTCCAGGTTAATCACCTCGCACACTACCTGTTGGTCTTGAAGCTTCTCGGAAGCATGAACACAACCTCGGGACGCGTAGTCATGCTGGGATCCATCGTCCACTATCCGGAAAAACGAAACCCTCTCTCATCTTTGGTGGCGCGTATTCCAGATAATATGGAAGAACTGCTCAAGCCCGAACCTGATGCCGCGGGGCAGGCTCACGATCGAGGATTCCAGAGATACGGAACATCGAAGCTCGCCAACGTTATCTTCGCTGAAGACCTGAACAGCCGACTGCAGCAGGTACGCTACACCGATCAAGTGTACAAGTTTGACTGACCTGTACTACAGGACCCAGAGCTATCCAACATAACGGTAACAGCCGTGGATCCCGGTGGTCTGCCCGACTCAAGAGGCCAGGTGCAACAAAGGCGTGCTGTCCGAGTAATCATGGCGACTTTGAACGTCTTCATGCCTGTTCTAAGGTACGTCACCACAGGCTTGCGGACGTCGAAAGACTCTGGAAGGGATCTTGTTGCTGTGAGCGTGGGCTCGGAGTTTCAGGCGAAGCGGGGATACTATGTGGGCGTGAACAAAGCCGAGGGGGCGCAAGTGAGCCACGATGAGCAAGTGCAGCGGCGGCTGTGGGAGGCTTGCTGGAAATGGGCTGGTCTCTCGCCGGAGGAGACTGTTCTGCAGAATGCTGCCCCATAGCTGACCATCACGGTACATGTTTGCAGTTGCTGGAGTTCTTTCCACCTGCCCTCGGTCTCGGGTTGGGGCTCGGATGGGGAAGATAATTCATGTTTTACAGCAGGAATCATGCCCCGGTCGTTGAATACTGTTTCACAGTCGAGGAGGCGTGGGATTGATCAGGTTATGGAGAGGAAACTGGCGGAGGAATTCGACGTTTAGGTAGCGATTCTTCCTATTTACATGATGTGCGCTGCACCGGCCATGGCATTGCCCATCTCCACTTTGTACCACGAACCTCGCGTGCAGGAATCCATTTGAGCGACCGTATATCCTCTGCGCATCGTAGGAGGGCAAAATGATATGCCAGCAGCACTAGAGCTCGACCCCTCTGCTCGAAAAGCATCTGTATGAAACGTAAGTGAGTCATTGACAGACAGCAGAGTCACACCCCCTGCATTTCTAGAAAAAGCCCTACTACCCGTATGATGCCTGTTCGATGCAGGGCTAAGGAATCCGGATCGAGATCGCTGTCATCCTGGTGGAAGTCTAATAGACCGTAAAAAATCCCAGGCTGTCTTTGTCTCGATCCGCCCACTGTGGAACATGAGCGGCGCTCAATATCGGCGCTGTTTCAACCGTAAAGTGATGCATGGGGCTTAGATCTGTGATTTGCATTTCATCAAAGTCCTTTGCTGGCACCTCAACGGCAGTCAGGTGCCCGTACTGGCAAGGGTCGCCATGTCGGGCGCACCCTTTACACTCAGGGTGTGTTTTGACGCGTTTGGACTTGCAGAGCTGGCACCGAATGCAGCCCTTGGTGGATTTCCGATGGTCTAACCGCAGGGGCAGAGCCGACGACAAACCAGGCAGGAGACGCGCGCCAGAAAAGAGACTAGGGACATGATCCGCAGAGCTGCATTTTACCTTGCATAAAAGTCCAGATTAGTTATAGTACCGAGAGACGCCCGCTCTCATGATTCGTCGTGGCGCTGCATGTTCGGGGTTTGGCCGTCTTGGGAAGTCGCCGGCTTACTTTGCATATATGTACCAGACCCCCCGGACTCGACGTCTTGAACCAGGCATACACCAATTCGCATCATGCATACCCCTGACGGCCTCTTCAAGGGCCTGTCCGAGCAGCAGATTGCGGCATTTGAGACCCTGAAACTGCGCTGTGCCGAAGCCGGGCTTCTGTCCCGCCCTTTGGCGTTGAGTGACGGAGAGGTTGAAGACGGGTTGAACGATGATCCTACTCTTCTGTTTGTCGACGATCTTGTAAGACAATTTCAAGGACGGCCGCACTGATGGTATGCAGACGATTCCTTCGCGCACGCCGATACGATGTACAGGGTGCCCTGAAGCAATTCAAAGAAGCTCGCCGCACCTGGGAAACGAACAATGTTTCCCAATTGTACAATACGATGGAGATTGCCTCTTTCGAGAATGCTCGACCGTTGGTCTGTGGAGCTTCTGTGTATCCTTCAATCCGGACTTTGCGCTTATTTCGTCAGTAGTACCCCCACTGGTCTGGCCGGCGCACAAAGGCCGGACGCCCCATCTTTCTCTTCGACTTCGCCTACTTGAACCAAACAGTGTTGGCGTCTTACGAGGAAAACCGCAGGGGCAGCATCTCTTCCGCCCAGGGATCTCTTCAGCAACGAGAAGCCAGTACGGCGCTGGACAGCGTGACTCGCTTTGTTCTTCCGCTTTGCTCAGCCATGAAGGACCGCCCAGACCCTACATCTCCAATCACTAGCGGGGTATTCCTCGTCGACCTTGCCGCATTTACGCTCAAGGCCGGGTGGGGTGTTAAGAACTACACGCCAGACATCAGCGGCTTAGTGGCGACTGGATACCCAGAGATTGTTCACCAAGTTTTTGTCCGTGAAATCCCCATCCTCTGCATGTCACGGAGCCGCTAACAGTGTTGGATGTGGATAGCTCATCAATGCCCCGTCATACTTTACAATGATGTGGGCGATAATGAGAAAATGGCTTGATCCGGATACCACTGAGAAAGTCCAGATCCCGGCCGCCAGCGAGGCACTGGCGACTCTGTCCAGATATATTGACCCAGAAAACATTCCCCGCAGGTTCGGTGGTCATTTCGATTGGAGCCACGGGATGCCTGTTGACTTGGATGCTGAAATTGGAGGGGCGTTGTCGTGGCAAGGTGAACAGAAACTACCCCCAGGGCCGATCAAGTGGCAGCTGGACAAGAGCAGAAGGCGAACGGCTGTGGCTGTTGGGAGCGTCGATGGGACAGCGAGGGCGGAGAAGATTGCTGTGTTGGACGATGAGGCGGAGCAAGAGAAGAAGACAATAGAGCCAGAAGTGATGCAGACCGTCGAGGCTGTTGCCCAGCTGTCATTGGAGTAGCTGGTCTTGGAGTACGGCGAGATATCAAACCCTGAATGAATCCCATTTCCAGTACCGAGCTTGGCCATGTCCAGAACTACATCGTAGCACGTGCTTTATGAATAGGAGCTCCACAAAGCTTACATGTTCATGGCGAAGAAAGATGTGACAATTTGATCCCGAGGCCAGCTGGCCGTATATCCCTTCCAACCCACAGTCTTGACATCAGGATAACGATCGTTGTCAACCTCAGGGCCGAGAAGTATCTGTCGATTGATCCAGTAGTAGTAGAAGAATCTATAGAACATTCGATTAGATCTTTTTAAAGGGGCAACCAGGAAGACGACAGAATAACAACTTAGAAGGACATGTAGCTATAGATATCTTGGGGATTCCTGTCCCGGAGATCACGCATCGTCCTGTAAAGGTCATCCAGATATCCGCGTTGCTCCAGTTTCACTGGAACGCCATAGACAGCTTCGTAAGTCTTGGCAATTTCCTGGCAATTTCCTGGCAATTTCCTGGCAATTTCCTGGATGGTAGCACGGCCGCCGAGAGATAGATGTAAGAGTGTTGTTACGATGCTGCTCAGGTAGCGGAAGTCGAGAGACTTACACTTCAAAACACCGTTTGCAGTCGAATCCAAGACGACCTTGGCTGTATACTTTGCCGCATCGTCGTAAGTCGTTCCTTCCATCATCTCATTGCCGTCACCACAGTATCGGAAGGTGTTGCTCTGGACATCCACAATGTCAAAAAATGGACTGAAGATGGGCTCCATAAAGCCGCCGATCAGGATATGCACTCCAGCTACAGACTCCTTTGCATCGAGGTATGCCTTGACGTGGATCATAGAGTCTTTGTGGAATAGCTCGCCGAGCTTCAACTTGGTGTAATCCAATGCCCAGTCACTGACAACGTATCGGGGTACATATCCCTAGTGATTTGTAGTATATCACCTTGTCGTAAACGAGATGATAGTTATTACTAGTCCTGTGTCGATACAGTGAGCGGCGAAATGAGCCTGTCCCCCAGGCCCGTATTTCTTTGATCTTAAATAGAGTAGAACGCCAAGATATGCTAACTTATTTTGTGTTAATGCGTTCTTGGCGTATTGGTTTGGAGGTAATATATTTAAAGTCGAATAATACGGCTAAGACCATAATTTCTTGCAAAGATGAATTATTGAAACTGTTAACGGCGTATATATATGAGATCAGGAACGTTTTGGCAAACTATTTGCGCATCGCCCAGTCTACTCTCCACAACAATGTTCTCTGAAGACGATTAGTGGCGTGTATAGCGCTTGGCTGTAAACTTTGCTGATCTCCTAAAACTCAATATCAAATTTATACGGGGTGAAATCGAGTCCACGCCTTACCATTGTGGTCCACTTGACCCTGAAACAGATGCCTTGAAGCTGTCGTTGTTAAAGCTTTATGAACATAGAATATTTACGTGGTCTAGTCAACCTTACCTACATAAACTTAATGTTACCAAAAAATCCATTGGTACAAAGAAAATAGCTAGTTTTAAGAAAGTCATTGTTCTCTAGAAATTTGACGAGGAGCTCCAGCGGGCATTTATATCCTTTATCATGGCAGAGAAAGATGAGCCAATAAAGGTCTTCTAGGAGCTGAAAAAAAAACGTGGGATCAAGGTTAATACACGCAAGTTGTTTTCGCCAGATCCCGTGAAAGGATCTTTCACTTAAAACCTCATTGTGACTCGATATCGTTCTTCTAAAACCTGAACAACCCTGAAATTCTAAAAATGGAGGACTTATTCTTCGATCAACAGGAAAGTTAACCTGTCAACCAAGGACATCTTCGACCTTGAAGCTATAAAAAAAGCCAATCCCCAGATGTTTGAAGTGGTCGCATCTTCATGGAAGGAAATTAACCTCTCTGGGATCATTTTAGCAGCAGTTGCGGAGGCCAGGAATTAAGGGTTGAGTTTAAGGAGCCGCTAGAACTCCGTTTCAATGCCAACTTGCCTTTAATGAATAAGAGATAGGCTCTCCAGCTACTGACTTCATATGCCTGGAGGACCGCTAGATATATGCTAGACAGTTCAGATATACTAGAGCGCTAGAAATAAAGCCTTGACAGCTGTATCTGATTTGGCTTTAGCTTTCCTAAGTTTACTACGCCATTTTCAGCCAATCCGGTCACGTATCCAAAATTCCACGCGTCAGATTAATATGTACAGTCAGGGCGAAAACCTCCTTCACCTTTCCAAACCGCGGATCGGTCTCTGTGTACCCACCTGCCAAGGCGCTATTACTGAGCCTAGACCCTACAGGCTAGCGTAGAAGTTAAATATTTTTAGCTTCGGCAATAAACATTTCCAAAGCAGACTGATTACTGCTGTTTAGTATTGTACCAAAAATACGCCTCACCTCAGTCCCCCACCTTCAAGTTGTTGGGTGACATCAGCCAATTCTTCACAATAATATATCCGATATGGCCCGACATGTTGAAGTCTGGCAGCGTGAGCTCGTACGGGATATGATACGATCAAAAAAGTTCAAAGATCCACAGATTACCGTCGCCGCTGAGTGTAGCGTCCAGACTGTCAAGGAAATTCGTGCTAACCTACGTGTGTTTAGGAGCGACAGTCCCCCCCTCAATCGTGGAGGTCGACCACGAAGTATCACTCAACCTATGCTCGCAGCCCTTTTCGATCACCTTCAGGAGAAACCAGGCTAATATCTCGACGAGATGGCGGTGTTCCTTTTAGATGAATTTAGCATCTACGTACCACCTTCCACGATCAAGGGGACTCTTTCAAGAGAAGGCTGGAGCAAAAAGAAAACCTAATAGAGAGTGAAAGAACGGAACCCTAACTTAAGAGACTTCTACTTCCACAAGCTTTCCAACTTCCATTCGTACCAACTGATTTATGTGGATGAATCAGGATGTGATAAACGTATAGGCTTTAGAAGAACTAGCTAGTCCCTACTAGGAGTAACGCCCGTCTAGATAGCAAAATTCCATCGAGGACAGCGATATTAGATTTTACCAGCCTATTGCTAGGATGGTATACTCCTTTCTCGTGTCTTTACAGGCTTAACAGATGCATTAGTCTTTAAAGATTTCATTGAATAGCTTCTCCAGCACTGCGGAAGGTGGCCTGAGCCAAAGTCTATACTAGTGATGGATAACGCGTCCTTCCACCACTCCGAGAGAATTAAGGAGATGTGCTTTGAGGCAGGCGTTGAGTTGCTATACCTGCCACCATACTCACTGGACTTGAACCCTATTGAGGAGTTCTTCTCTGAACTGAAGGCCTATATTAAGCGCCATTGGGCACTCTATGAAGCCCAGCCTGACCTAGGCTTCGATACATTTTTGTAAACCTGCGTCGATGCTGTTGGTGCGAGAATTGATAGCGCCGAAGGTCACTTTCGACATGCTGGAGTAGCTATTGAAGAATATGAGGAAGACCTTTGAGGAGTTATGTATAATGCAACTATCTGTCATTTCACTTTACTAAACTCCGTGAGACCACAGATCTTGCGAGGGATCCACGTTAATAATTGTACTGTAGCATGACAGGGATTGATTGTTTGGCTAGTGCGATCCGTTGCAGTGGCTGAAGTCGGATTCTCCTTGCGTGCGTAGTGTAGACAGAGCCTAACACGCTCCCGTAGGTAGTCTATCCGCCACTGACGGCCCTCTCTGTAGTTCGGCGCTATATGTTTGTATTCGTACGTGCAAGTAGTACTCCTTTCTTGAGGAGTAGGGTCTGGAATGCTTCCTGCTCGCTTTATTGACTCGGAGATGTTGATTAACCCGGTTAGCCAAAGGCGGTAGTCGCGGAGCGATTCTAAATAAGCATATGCGTATTTGCTTGTCCACCCACATTTGTAGGCACACTCTCCACTTGTAATCCTGCCGATGAGCACATCTCCGAGTTCTAGCCTTGCCAAATTCCTTTGTTCTTCTAGAAGACCCAATTCAACCCGTCAGTCATCCGCAACACGAGCCATCAGAATCAACCGAAGGTTTCTCACAAAATACTCTCCGTTCATGTCAAGATCCCATCCTGGCAGTACGGAGGCAAAATCTGATACCGTTGACCTCGCTGGAATCGCGAAACCTGGACTGGAGCCACCCCGCTGGGGGACCAGCCCGTCCTCCTAAAGCCAGCCCGCTTGTCGCAGCCTGATTCATCAATGTAGACCAGGTGGTACGAGCGAAAATTGGACAGCTGATATAAGTAGTAATCTCTCAAGTCGCATTTCTTTCTTGTGCTATCCGTCGAGCCACTTTTTTAGTCCAACCATGTGATCGAAGGGCCCGGCTGATCGTGTATGTAGATACAACCAAGTCGAATTCGTCGTACAAAAACTCCGCCATCTCATCCAGGTATAAGTCCGGTTTTCCTAGCAAGTGGTCGCATAGCGCTTCAAGAATGAGAGGCGTAATCGAGCGAGGACGGCCGCCAGGGATTAAGGGCGCTCGGGCATCGCCGAATATTCGGAGGTTGGCACTGATAGTTATTATCGAACGTCTGCTGCAGCAGCCGCTTCGGCCATCTGAGAAGTAGTCAGTGAATCACTGGCGATCATATCGCGAATCATCCCAAGCTGGGATGGGGCAAGTCGGGGCGCCATGATGGTCTTCGGCACGCTTTGAATTGAAGAAGGTTCGTGGGGTGGTCAGAGGTGGGCAGAAGGGTAGAAAGCTAAGCCTAAAGGGGCTCGGGCCGACGGCGGGCCCGATAATTAAGCAAACACCAGCACGCCGACGATAGATTTGTCTCTGTCCCCTGTGGCACGGTGATATTAAGTCATGGCATTCCACGTTAAGCATATCTTATGGCAGGGCCCATGTAATGGGAACAATTTCCCTCTAATCTCTAGCTACGCGTTGACTAGGGAGAACATGATGACTAGTTGTTGGTTTGTATTAAAAATGAGATGCAGTTTGCTTCACGGCCTCACGCTTGGCGCCCAATTACCCCGCTTTATCTCGCGAGATAACCTTAGCCTCTCATCCTGAATCCTAATGACTTCGCTTTCAATCTACTACTTGGGAAATAGGCGTCTATGCCACGATCTTTAAATGGATGGTATATCCTCAGCGGCGAGCGTCATCGCTGTTATTCAACTGACGGGAAGCCTTGTGAAGCTTTGTGGGGGCTACATTCGAGAGGTGAAAGATGCTCGAAAGGAAATTAGAACCCTACAACAGGCAATTGCAGGCCTTCAAGGGACACTCCAAGACCTCGAAAAGCTCCTTCAAAGTGACAACGCAAATGCCCTACCTACATCCTCACGACTAGTCAGTACCGTTGCCGATTGCCTGTCCGATCTCCAAAGCTTACACGCGAGACTTGAGCCAGGAAAAGGCAAAAAGCTGATGAGTAAATTTGGATACCGAGCCCTAAAGTGGCCCCTGAATCGCACAGAGGTGGAGGACGTTGTGAAGAACCTCGAAAGATATAAATCTTCATTCCTCTTATCTTTTCAGGTGGATCAGACGTATGTATATTAAGCACGATACTATGGCTCCGTATGACTAATTGAGGACTGCATAGTGCTCTAATGGTGGGCGTGGCCCATAATACCGATCGTATCAATCGACATATAGGTCTAGAGAAGTTGGAAGGCGCGATAGACGCCGGGTTTGAGTCATTCTCCGATCGAGACGAAGCCCAATGCCTCCAAGGCACCAGGACCGAGCTCCTCCAGAAGATTATGGAGTGGGCCAATTCGACAAACCCAAAAATTATTTTCTGGCTAAAGGGAATGGCGGGGACAGGAAAATCCACAATATCTCGGACTGTGGCACGGTCGCTCAAGGACACCAACCATCTAGGTGCCAGCTTCTTCTTTAAGAGGGGTGAAGGGGACCGAGGGAATGCAAAGAAGTTTTTTCCAACATTAACAAGGCAACTGATGCTTTGGAGTTCTGAGCTGAGGTCTAGCGTCCAAGAGGCACTGGATCGTGACCCTGACATTGCGTCGAAATCGCTTAGGGAGCAGTTTGAGAACCTACTCCTTCAACCGCTGCTTCGTCTTGACCAACTCGGCCGACGACCTCAAACCGCTGTGATAGTGATCGACGCTTTGGACGAATGTGAACATGATCAAGATGTCCGAAACATAATTCGACTACTACCTCTTCTACAGAAGGCAAAATCGGTTCACCTTCGGATCTTTTTGACCAGCAGGCCTGAACTTCCTATTAGCCTTGGGTTTTCAGAGATCAGAGGTCATCAATATCAGGACTTAGCTCTTCATGAGATACCCGAAGAGGTGACAGAACACGACATACGTTTATACCTAGAGAACCGATTTACAAAAATCAAACATGACCGAAACATCTCCCAAGACTGGCCTGGCGATAAGGCCATCCAAGAACTGGTCAGGATCTCAGTTCCACTCTTTATTTCGGCTGCGACTGTGTGCCGTTACATTGAAAACTCAAAATTGGAGCCCAAATTGCGCCTCGCAGAGCTCCTGAAGGACCAAGCCAAATATGTATCAAGAATGGACAAAACATACCTGCCAATTCTAACACGATTACTCGATGATCAAGAGAGTGATGAGCTCGAGCAGCAGCAGCTTCTACAAGAGTTCCAGGCCATAGTTGGTGTTATTATCCTTCTTGCTGCTCCTCTTTCCATAAACGCGCTGTCGCTGTTTCTTGGGATAGGAGCAGACCAGATCAGCAATCAATTAGATACGTTCCGATCGGTGTTAAGTGTTCCTGGTGGCCGAGATCAGCCTGTTAGGATTCACCATTTATCATTTCGGGAGTTTTTGGTCCAGTCCAAAACCAAGTTTCTTGTGGATGAGCCAAAAACACATAGAGACATTGCTAAGCACTGTCTCAAAACTATGCGGACTTACCTACAGAAAGATGTGTGCAAACTAGAAAGCCCTGGAACGCGTAAGGCAGACATCAGCTCTGAAAATATTCGCCCGTACCTACCACCTGAATTGCAATACGCTTGTCGCTACTGGATACACCATCTAAAAGAAAGTCGGGGTGTATCTTCTGAGATAGATGATGTGCGACTATTTCTCCAGAAGCATTTTCTGCACTGGGTGGAAGCGATGAGCCTGCTGGGACTTATATCAGAGGTAGTGGGTATGCTTGATCTCCTCTACACGGATATACGAGTGAGTAATGTGATAGGCAGCCATTCGTGGTTTATGCTAACAGGCGCAGGGCGATGATAAGTCTGTGTTGACTGACTTTGTACATGATGCAAAGCGCTTTGTTCTGAAGAATTTCCAGATTGCTGATGAAGCACCACTTCAGATATATAGCGCAGGATTGGTGTTTGCACCCCAGAAATCATTAATTCGTACAGAGTTTGGAGAGGATGTTCCAAGCTGGATATGCCAGCTGCCAAAAGTCAATGAGAGGTGGGGCGCGGAATTACAGACTCTGGAGGGCCATTCCAGCTGGGTTCAGTCCGTGGCCTTCTCGCCTGACAGCCGGCTACTGGCATCCGGCTCTAGTGACGAGACAGTGCGTCTCTGGGACACGGCCACGGGCGGCCTGCAGCAGACTCTGGAGGGCCATGGGACAGTCACTGAACTCCAATTTTCTCAAGATGGTTCATATGTCAACACTAACCTGGGGTCACTCAACATTCAATCCAGCTGTGGCAATAATCTATCTGATTCACCAAGAACGCATTCTGATATACTTATTAACGGTCGAGATTGGATAAAATTAAAGGGCACACAAGTATTATGGCTTCCCCCTGAGGCCAGACCTTCATGTTCAGCGATCAGATTGAATACCCTTGCCCTAGGACACCCTTCAGGTCGAATTTCATTTATTGGGTTTAGGGTATAACGGGTGTTGGTTAATTCAAATTCTCTTCTATCCTCTATTTTATAATCTCTTTGTAAAAGGAGGGCCTGGGGGAGGTGGTAAATTTATCTATATTTTTTATCTTTCTGGAACCTGCCACATGCTTCCTCAAGGCGTAAGAGATAGTGGCGCAGCCAATCAGAGAATAAATGCTTGCCAAGCCTCTATTCTCTTATTGGCTGCGAGGTCCTCAACTGGGCCGCACTTAGTTTCCTGACTAGGGCCTTGGCACTCGGCCCAGAATCAACGTGATGCCTTGCAATAAATTGCATGAGCTAGGTGGTGGGCCAAGAAACCATCTTTTTGACACAGAATTGCTTGTCTACCGATCTATACCTGGCAATGCGATCATCTCTCGAATTGAGTGGCCAGTGCTTTGTGGTAGCCTAGGCGAAGCTCTTCCACCCCGTTCGGACTTGCGTGCCATGCAAGATGGCCAACGTCCGCTAGAGAATCTTCGACGTTCGCTCCATGGTCAAAAGCTTGATTTATTAAACCTTATCAGGATCATTCTTGATGACTTCCACCTATCCCAAGGTAGCCTGGTGGCCAAACAGATTGCTATGATGATTGTTGGGTGGACGCGAGGCTACTCCAGCGTGTGGCTTTACAAAAATCTACGGAACTCTCTCGAATGTGGCGCAGGCAAGCAGGGTATTAATGAACTTGATTGTCGGTTATACACCAGAGAACTTCGGGAGAGACCTATACCTTTATCAAAGCTCGTGCCCCATGAAATCGAAAGCCTGGAAGTGACTAAAGAAGAGACGACGAGATACACAGAGTTGCTACCCCCCTCGTTTCAGGATTAGCTTGCTGAACGCTTGACTATGGAGAAAACTTCCTTCCTTGAGGCATGTGAGCAGGAGCGAAAGGCTAGTGATCTGATACCAAGACTAATAAGTATTGGCGTCAACGCAAAGCCGACGTGGCTTCAACGATGTTTCATGGGACTGTATACCGCTTCCATAAGTTTGACAAATTTATGTTTTCTATTCTTCCGCCAGATGTTCTGCGCAAGGCCCGTTCTAAGTGGTTCAGAAATGGGCAGAAACACCCCGCGACGAGATATTAAACAAAGATCTGATGCAGCGTCAGACTCAACTCGCCAATTTAATCACTATCAACTACCGAGTGACATCCCACAGTCAAATACAAGCGTTCACATTGTCATCGACCTGGAGACGCAGGATTTTACTGGCTCCCTAAAGCAAGAATTTCCGCACGAGATTTATGCAGTTCGCCGTGTTGCTGGTCATCCATAAGCATTAAGCCGTTCCTCATACGCTTCAATCAATCAACTTGGTCCCGCGCACAGAGAGCTGCGTGCCTATGATGAGAGCGTAAAGCAAAACCTTTTATAGAAAATTCGAGAGTACAGCGACGGCTTTTACCCTTGGGGACAGAGCAGGAGCAATCAGAAGGCCGAAGTCAAATAGTTCTTGCGTCTACGTTCTTACATTGTTTCTGGAATCACGAGCTTTGTGCAGAAGAGCACTGTCATTTGAAATCCCTAGAACAGATGTTATCGGCGATGGACGACATCTCTGTTCATGGATTTCCTGCGGATGGGTTGAATCCATGCAAAAAGTAGAGAGCAACCATCATTCTATACTTAGAAATCATCTACATCTATAAGAACCCATCATTCTGCCTCTAGTACGGCTTTTTCCACGTACAGCCTCAGATGCTCGCTCAGTATGCGCTATCGTCGGAAGGGTCCTGAGTGTTTTGCTCTAGCGAAGGATCGCTTCTCACTTGTTCAATCCACTCGTTGATGTCACGAACGAAATGTCGGGCAGTGCCTTTCGTTACCCCTTGCTGACGTAGAAATTGCGCATGCTCTTCATCTCCTTCAACTAAGTCGAGGGAGAGACCATTAGACAGAGTTATATCACGTGCCTTGCGCCAATCGGCTTTGAGTGTCTCGTCAGCCACCTGCAGTTCCTGCCAGGCGCAGTACTCCTTGACGGCGACATCACGGGGCCCGCTTATTCTAGGTTTCTTATTCGGCAGCGCAGGTCCGGACCATGGTTGTGCTATAACAGACTCACCCAATGCTGGCGCAGGTAACAAATTTATGTTGATTGGATATGGTCCGCCAGCTGCAAGCTGATTATTCACTTTAGTTGACCTCCTCTCAAGCTTTTGTTGAGCCTCTGAATATAAGGCTTGCCGGATATCTTCGGGGACATCCTCATGACTGTCCAGCTTTCCATCATTATCCAAAATGCTCGTGAGTTTCAAGAGATGGGGCTTTTAACTTTCACTGTATCTCTGGGCAAACTCCTAGCTCGCTTGAGTGATCGAGTCCTCGGCTGCAATTGAGGACGTAGTGATAATTCTAAACGAACTATGCAGATTCCTATGTTCGAGGATGGCACATTTATATAGATAATATACATAGTATACCTGAGCCTGGGCGAAAAGTATTCCTAGAGTGGCTAATATACTACCTAGTTCCACCTGTTAACTACCGCTTATCTACCTTTCGTGTCCTCGATGCTCACTGTTGATGATCAACGTATATCCTGAGTCCAACATTGATATCTACCTCGAACGGAAACGTTCAGAGTGCCATATTGGTCCAAGTATGGATAGCAAGAATGCTCAAAACCTGTAATCAGACTACCTCGTTTATCTGATAATTGTCTTTTGCCTAAATTGAAGTACTCGCGTAATGCTCCCATTCCGTGCACCTCCATGATGAAAGGGTTGGGCCCACGATGGTGCTCTGTGATTTCTCCTGGAAAGTTCGATTTCAGATATCGTGGATATGTGAACTGGACTCGAAAAATGCCGGATCCAGGCACCGCTGACGACTGCGCACCCGATGCTCATCAATCACGTGGCGTTGGAATGCCATTCTATGCAACAAGGTCACTTCGCACCAGTTGCACCTGAGTGGCTCTTCCTTCAGATGAATGGCATCAAAGTGGCGCGTGACACAGCCAGCATCATGAAACATCCGGCAGCGAACATCATCAGGTAGCTCCTTATTCGCAAAGCATTGAAAGCAGGCCTCTGGTTGTTTCGAGTTTTCTAGGTATTCCTTGGTAGCATGCGACGGCTTGCCTTGTACGATAATTTCGCATGCGCTAACGCCGTCTCGAGGTTGGGGTGCATCCTGGGGTTAACCCACGGTTTCATCCGATGCAGGGGAGATTGCAGTTTCTCGCTTGGGTCGGCCTCTAAGGGGGCCTCCTTCAAGGACATTATAATATCGCATAACCGCATCCGCAGCTTCATCACGCCATTCCCATTCGTCCTCCAGCGAGTTAGAGATCGGGTAGGACAAAAGACATTACAAAAGATGTAGCTAGGGTGGAGGCATCGCATTCTCAAGAGGTTCATCCACTTCCTCCTCCTTAACTATAGTGCTAGAGAGCTGCGCTTTAATATCCAGGAATGCCTGTTCTTCATCAAAATTTTCTCGGACCTGATGCCGCAAAGCCCTTTGTAGTCGTCTCCGCATATTTGCCACCTCCTTCTTCTATCTCTCGATCCGAGGTAGAAGGCCTGGTTGCTGAGTCTCATCATACTAGGCGCGAATCTAGCTTAGTCTCTGGCGGGCTTCTTCTAGTTCAGGGTGGTCCTCCACCTAAGCCCTCTACTGCTTCGTGAGATATCTTGGGCGTCGGGGGTCTTGCCAACGATTCTAGCGTGTGACAGCCCGCATTAGTTCTACGTCCAGGTCAAGGCCACAAATAACCCGTATCATATCCGTGTCAATCTATCGAGGATGGTAGTAGTTGAGGAAAGTTCAAGGGCTCGCGTGCTTTATAATTAACATCTATTGATCTTGGCTAACCCATCCTGAAGTTAAACGTCAGCAGCGAGGAGATTACCCAGAAATTAAAGAGTTGCTTACCACTCTCATTAAGTACTTTACCACTCCCGTACCAAAACTAATGGGCATGGAATGCCCTAGGCCATCCATGGATCTCCCCAAATATGGCCAGTAGGCTAGACATGGAGGATTTTAACATAGGTTAAGTCCGCTGGATCCTTGGAACCCCTTTAATTAATTCTATTTTGCAGAAGAAATACCAATCCGCCTTCTTCGGATTAAAGGGCACCACAAGCTATTGGCAACCTTTTATAACAAAGAGCTTCCGCAGCGCGGCCTTTAACACCAAGTCATTCCGGAATGCCTTGGCGTGGAATAAGAGGCCAAATAGTAATGTATGGGGACATATTACTAAAGACAGGCCGTAGACCACTTCTAGGAGTACAAAGGTAGTCCTGTCGTTAGTTAGCGCATATTACCCTGGCTAGACAGTTCTCAGAAGGCAATGGTTCTCAAGATACAATTACATTAACGAGCCCAGCAGGACTCGAAGATCATAAGATAGAAAGGAGGGATGAAGGAGGAGCCCTTACAAGTCAGTCTCTCCAAGAAACTTCTTACATCCATCTAGCGTTAGTTCAACCAAAGGGATAGGGGGTCCACCATAAGGATCCTTCTACAGAGAGACTAGTATATCCTTAAACTAGAGACTTAATACAGCGGCCCTGCGGTGGACAGTAAATAGAGCTAGCGAATTAAACAGACACACTTAGATACGCTAGTATCCGAGGTGGAACTTCTTTTACTAAGTCAAGAGAATGGTTTCATTCAGCGGGCCGATATCTTCAATGTATACTAGCGTCTTCTTTTTCGGTTGCGTATCTAACCCATGCTCTACAACCAGGTACTTAATACCCTATTATGTAGGCGGTTAGATGAGATGGTTAAATAGATACTAAGAAGAATAATTCATGCTACTAACCCTCCGTACTTCTAAGCCATCTCCGTCGCTGATTCTAATCTTGGTTACTTTCTAGTAGTAACCACGAAGATTTTTCCAATCAGTTTTTAAAGAGCTCGATTTGTGGATGCCTTTATTACGTTGACTATCCTTCCCTCTCTCGAGTTTGAGAGACCAGCCCAAGAACCGGTATAGGTCGTTGTTCGTCGCCTGGCGTAGGGCCTCTTTGGGATCGCGCCATTTTCTTACATCAGGCTTAAGTTTGGTCTTGCTGTTACAATATCTATTCCAGTATTAGCAGAGAACAGCGTGGTAGCATTTGGCCTGTGCCACTCACCGCTTCCATCAGGCTTTGATCTGCTTCCATCATTCAATGGTGCCTTTAGCTTTGTCAAAATCCTCGTCGATTTCGCACAGGTCAATCCCGGTGTCGTTAAGGGGGTCATCCTTGAATTCATCTACCTTATTAGACAAACTTCGCCCCAAATCAGGGCTGTTCTCAGCCGAGCGGAGGCGTTTTCGTGGGCTCGGGTGATCGTCTAGCTCGATGGCTTGACTAGTAATAGGATTCTCACAGCGATCACTACCAGCTAGAAGAGATTGATTCTATCCCGCACGGGTACGCTTCATCATTGCGCCTGTAGAAAATGCGGGACGGATACCAAGAGAGAAGGCACGCGGGTCATATGGATACAGGAGCGGGAGATGACACCATAATATCTAGTGCCGCGCGTCCTCAGTAGTGAAGCAAGGTTCTTGTTGATGCAAGTAAAGCCCCGGAGGCTAGACCATGGGCTTCTTAAGGATTTTCAGGTGCTTTCGCAGATAGATTTTAATGGAGAGATAATAAAGGAGGAAGAAACCTAGAAGGAAATGGGCATGGTAAGAGAGTTGGCGCCCTTGGAGCCTAGCCAGTGCCCAGGCCCATTTAGAGGGGTAAAGTAAAGCCATTTTTAGCTCCCCATACAGCCTCTAGTTGGAGGGATGACACTAAGAGACCAACACTGCACGTTGATGAAACGCCCAAACGGTGGGGCGCAGAGCGCAGTTTGACTGGTGCGTGGTGGTAGCGAGGATTGGAGCGTGTTAAAAGGGGGAAGTCACGTGTTACCAGGTGGCAGCCGAAAAAGGTGTCAAGTGCGGCCGGAAATGGCATACATTTGGTAAGTCCAAATTGTTATAAAGTAGAAATAATATATTAGCTATATTAAAGAATAGTATTTAGGAATACTTATTTATATATATAATTAGTTTTAGTTACTATTTATTACTTTTAGAATCAAAGCTACCCTACCTTTTAGAAACCTAGTTCAGCTTCTTAGTTTATTAAGAAGTAGTCTTCTCATATTAATATAAGAATACCTTAAGCCCTTCCAGGCCTTAAGCAGGATTGGTTGGACTTATCTGACACTTGTCTGCTTGGAGGCTAGTGTTCAGTGTTGTCGCATGCTTGACAAGGTAGTACCTTGTCCAATTCTCATCCACACCAGGGGCAACATCCGTGGGAACTGGGGTCACAGTGCTTGCACTTCCGCAATAGATATATTTCAGGCTATCCTTCTAACTACTAGTCCCCTGCACATTCATCTCTTTCCTAGAATGTCTAGCCAGTCGCTTGTACTCTACGGGAGAACGTTCAGCGCAGCAGGAGCAAAGTCAGCCGTCATTTCCCCATCTCCGACAGTCCACGTGATTCTTGCTTTCCAACCGTCCAAATTGGGTGGGCCATGCTTCCACTTGCACCCTGCAAATATTTGCAGGCGCCATGGGGAGTAGCGGGAAGACGGAAAGATGGGGAATCGTGGTCAGGTGATCACCCGCGGGAGTGCTCTTTAGCCGCCTGAGCACTATTGGCTTTGCTCACAGTTTACCACGGTTGCTGATCTCGTTACCCTGTCCCGACAATGTCACTTTTTCCGGCGAAACCGGCAGAAGTCTTGCTCGATATCCCAGGAAGCCCGCGAAATCAGTAACTTGGAAGGGGTTGGCATGGGGCCCCGCCCACCCCTAGTCAACGGTGATGCTGCGATGATCCATTACCACACATTGTCCAGATACTGAGGACGTTGGCTATCGTAAATCAAGCATGAATTTCTACACATCAGCAATTTAAAGTCATTTGGAGACTCTCTCTCTAGAAAACAACGTCATATCCACCATTTTGTCCTAGTGCCGCTCTCGAGTGGGCCACGATGAAATACCTCGTATGGAACTTGCCCGACGGGAGCAGACCTTCCCGCGGGATCCATCACGAACAGAATTCTACCTGGGAATCAGACATGCTCCAATTTCCCACCCCCAGCAAAGGGAACGAAAACTCGGACATTGAGGAGTGCGGGGCCCCCGGATCCAGAATGCTATAAGAGGCCTCCTTCTCTACTGCTGGTATATGTAGCCAAATAGCCATCATTCGCAATTGAACGATACAATGGCATTGCCGAAGGGAAGCAAGTTTCAATTCAATATGCAAGGTCAGTCGCTTCGTCTAGCGCAGGTGCTTCTTACCGTTGCGCCGGCCTTCATTACCTACGGGTATAATCAAGCCGGGATCGGGCCATTGGCCACTTTGCAGACTTGGTAAGTTGACAAGCTTTCTGGAGGATGTGCCCAGACGGGATAATTGTACCCAGGCTTTGACCGTCTTCAAGATGCCTAGGCGCTTGACTTCTGGGCTGGATCTAGATGCAAATGAGTTAACATATCCTTTACAGGGTGCATACCTTTCCCGAAATCGACACGGTCAATACGTCAGGTGCAATCAAGCAAACAAACTCCACCAAAAAAGGCGCCGTCATAGCTTCCCTCCAACTAGGCGCACTTGTCGGCGCCCTTTCATGCACATACATAGGTGATCTTCTGGGCCGTCGGAAGACAATCTTTCTTGCCGCATTAATCACGGTAGCTGGGGAGCTGCTTCAGACGTCATCATTTGGCACAGCGCAGTTCACCACAGGCCGTGTGATCCTAGGAATCGGCGTGGGGCAACTCAGTGCAACAGTCCCCGTCTTCCAAGCTGAGTGTAGTGCTGCGAAACACAGAGGGCGGCATGTTGTCGTGGATGGGATTTGCATGGTATTAGGGTTCGTGCTGTGCAACTGGATTGACTTTGGGCTTAGCAAGGCCTCCGGTGCAGTGCAGTGGCGTGTGCCACTTGCGCTGTCTTTTCTCTTTCCGCTGATGGTTCTGTCGTCCGTTTTTGCTCTGCCAGAGTCGCCGCGGTGGCTCGTCCTTGTTGGAAGGACAGGGGATGCAGCGGCAAGTCTAGCGGCGTATAGAGGCCTTCCTGTCGATGATGAGGCCGTCCAGGCAGAGATTGCCGGGATCGAATCCGCGCTGGAACTCACCGAGCGCTCGGGATGCATCACACTAAAGGATGTATTCCTCGGAAACGACGAAGAGCGTCTGCTATACAGGTTCGCGCTGTGCATGGTTATCCAGTTTTTCCAGCAAATGTGTGGCGGAAATCTGATATCATCCTACCTGTCAACAATCTTCGAGCAAAACCTCAAACTCGGCAACGATCTTTCCCGCATCCTCGCGGCCAGTGCCCTGACCTGGAAATTTGTGTGTAATTTTATCCCGTTTTTCGCAGTCGACCGGCTCGGTCGGCGCAAAGTCTTCATTCTCAGCGGCGCAGGAATGGCCCTTTGCATGACAATCCTCTCTATAACAACCGCCCTCAACACCAAAGGCGACCACAAAAGCCTCTCCTACGCTTCCGTCGTCTTCATCTGGCTCTTCAACCTCTTCTACCCAATTGGCTTCTCCGGTGCCAACTTTCTCTACTGCACAGAGGTTGCGCCAACACAACTTCGCGTTGCCATGTCCGCCGCTTCCACGGCCAACAAATGGCTGTGGAACTTTATCGTCGTAATGGTTACTCCCGTGGCACTGGATACAATTGGATGGCGGTATTATATCCTATATGCGGTGATTTCGGCGTGTATTCCTGTCACGGTTTATTTGTTTTACCCGGAGACTATGGGGAGGAGTCTCGAGGGGTTGTCGGCCGTGTTTCGGGATGCGGGGAGTGTTTGGGAGGTCGTGGACATGGCAAAAAGAATGCCTACCGGGGATGTTGGTGGTGTGGCTGAGGATTTGGAGCGAAGGGGCCAGGAGAAAGAGCTGGAAAAGGAGTTGAAGGAGCATATTTGAGGTATGATATGAAAGGATTCCGCTTTTTCGATGATATTTCTACGGACAGGGATTGCCGAGTTTGGGGTCTGTCTTGATAACATTGTCTTAGCTTCAATTAGGCTCAGATCACCTGCATACCATAGCCTCATCCAATCCTATTCTCGGTTGGGAAACAGCAACGAATCAGCTAGCACTCTCGGGCTCGATCAATCATGTTGTCCTGTGGCAGATTCATGGTTTCACAGTCTTCTTCCACTGGCTTTCGAGGGGTTTTTATGCTGGAATGTGGACTGAACTCAGGGAATACGAATACATCTAGTATATTTTCTCATCACCCCGTTACGTCGTCGAGTCGGTGCAATTTGGGATGCCGTTGTAGGGCTGTCTTCGGGCACAATGTTCCTGCCACACACCGCGCTTTGGATTGCCATTCCCACCAGCATTCGTCAAGCGTAGATATTGTTGGGATGAGGATAATTAAATACGTGGAGACTCCTATCCTTTGTGCACCCTCAGAAACAGGTCCCAGCGAAATGCTGCGCATCAAGTGATAATTTGATATACCTAATGGCCGGGGGATTCTTATTTTCCGGGACCAACTTGCGCAGGAGCTCGCTGCGTTACCTGCACCCACATATCTGAAATGGCAAAGATCCCAAGGTAGTTTCGTGCGTCCCAGGGTCGCGTTGGGTTGAGAAGCGCCAGGTCAAAGTTCCGCACGAGCTGCATCACGACGGTGGTTAATTCTTTGCTCTATACGGAGAGTAAGACACTTAGGAACGGCCAGTCTGGCTCACCTCGAATATGGTCTTGCCAATTTCAATCTGCGCCACCGGCTTTCCCAAACACTGAAACTTGCCGTAGCCAAAATGAAGGTCGTTTGTTCGAATCATGGCAGCCAACTTGTCCACATCCGCCTCAAGCCACCTCTCCGGCCGAAAAGCGTCTGCGTCTTGGCCGTAGATGGTCTCGCTTCGGTGCATAGCGTAAGCCGAGTAACCAATGCAGACGCCGCCCGGTAAGAAGATGCTCTCGCCGTTGACAGTCACAGTGTCGCCGCCAGCCGGGACGTCTCGCGAGAAAATGTTTGTTACGGGTGGCCAGATCCGCATCGCCTCGCGGATTACGGCTTGCAGATACGGGAGCTGTCTCGCTTGCGCGGCAGAAATAAGACCTTCTTCAATAGTGCGTGGAGCTTGACCAAGGGCCACGGCTTCGTCGACCTCGCGCTGCAGTTTCCGGTACACGCGGATATTCGTCATCAGGTGCAGAAGAGTACCGCGGATTGCGCCAGCCGTGGTGTCAGAGCCCGCGATGATCTGCTCGAGCGCTTCTGAGCGCAGCTCATCGCCTGCGAGGCCGTGGCGCATGAACGAGGCAAGCATGTCGGAGCGTTTATCAGAAGGGGCTGCGGCGCGCTCATCCACGGCGCGGAAGCACGCGGCCATCATTTTGCCAAAGCCGTTGGTGTCGCTGGGCGAGGGTGCGATAAATTTGCCAATGATCGGTGCTTGCGCAAGCCAGCTGAACCCCATGGCCAGGGCGCTATTGCCAATGGCGAGTCCATCCTCGCCGGACTGGATGTAGTCGTCTACGTCGCGGTCGCTCTGCAGCATTCCAAAGGTCTTGCCGAGCCCGACGCTGCTAATGACATCAAGCGTGAAGTATTGAACCTTCTTGGCGAGATCCATTGGTACGACTGATCGATCCGATGAGATATATTTGGAGCCAATCAGGCGCAGGAAATCCAGGAGGCGCTCGTCGACTGATGCTTCGAGGTGGAGGTTCTCCCGTCCGGAGTACTTGAGATATGCTTTTGGTAAGTCTAGGATAGGTAAGGAACGGGAGGGGAAGCCCTTACGCCAGGGGCCATCTGCTTCCTGCGTTTCTCGTGCTTTGCATTATCTGTTTGACTAAAGACGTTGTCCCTGCGGTACTCGATTCGGGTGGCATTGTAGTACCAGTCGGAGCGCTTGTAGCCGGACTTGTTGTTAACGTGCGTCCAAACTTCGGGAGATGAGGTGATCAACACTCGAGGTGCCACACGAGCGATGGGGCCTGGCTCACGCGGTGATCATCAGCTTTGAAATGTATGTTAGAAATAATTGCGTTAGGTGTACTTGATACATACCATATTCCTTGCTAACTGCTGCGTACCACTCGTGGCAACGGCCCCCGAGCATCGCCATGCTATGAGGCCAATTCGAGATCCCGGTCCACTTGGGACCTTTAAAGTGGCTGAGTTTCGCATATGCCGTGATCGTTCTCAAGATACAGAGGCCGACGAGGCCACAGATGAGCGCACCGATTGGCCCAGATATGGTGGCCATCCCCATGGCGGACGAGATGACGGCGGAGCTGGTCAGCACCGATTTCACAAATGCTGAGGTGGCCAACTCGGGAGTCTCGGACTTTCACGAGGGGTCGCGCACACACGTTTGAACGCTTCGTAATCTGATCATGCACGATTGGCTGGCGGTTGACATGGGCGCTACACAGTTTGCGGGTTAGTCTCGCGGGATCGGGAATTTGCCGATTCCTGCAGAAGCGTCAAAAGGGAACAAAGGCATTGTTCCCCTTTAACAAAGTTGGACTTGACAGTGAGCGATTGCATATTAGAATACGGGGTTATGGAACTGGAGTCCTGCTTTCTTCCTTTTCAGCCCCTGAACGACTCGGGGTGCTTTGCAACGAGCTCAGCGAGGGTTCATGCTCGCGCGGTCGGCATTCTCCACACACCCTAAGAACCGATCTCAGCACCCATTGAGTGCCTACTTTCGGTCAATCAGATCGGCTGGATCTGACTGTAATTGCACTTGGGTGCTCCGGGAACTACATCGGTATTAGACCCTTGCGCAGTACAAATTGATGGCTTCGCTGACCAGTATTAAGCAACCGACTGTCATGGCAGTGAGGTACAGAGAGGGTGCGTAATCCCCATGATGCTTAGATCGGCCATGAGCTATGGTACCATGGAACGAAAGCATTCGCCATGGGCGTTGACAGCTAGGGTAGTGAATAAAAGACCGCTTACAAACTCCCTAGTTCCTACAGCTGCTTCATGCTTAAATCGTGTTAATCAGCGATCGTCCGAATAGTCAACATGCGCTGTTCATTGTGAAGATGGCTTGGTGGGAGTAGTGTTTTAGGTAAAATTCTTGTTTGATATTAAGTCAGGTTGTTTCAAGCCAACACAAAAGTAAGTCAATGTTCGGCTAGCATTGATGTATATAAGCAGCACACCATGGGGAAATGATATGGATAGAATACTCAGTATAAGAACTGGCTGTAGTCTTAGAGTTGTTGATCAGGCAGAAAAGGCGCACAATGCTAGAACAGACGTGTCTGCATTTTTGGGGTTGTTCTACTCCCGCCGGCACTTTACGCAATTCGGACCTTGAAAGCCATGGAGATTCGAAAACTGGCAGGGATGAACCCCAAGTAGACATTCTCCTGATTAAGGAAGATTTTCAAGCGGGGCACAAACCATGAAACACACGCTGAAATGCACACACCCTCTCATCTTGGCAGCATCTTCTTGTTTGGAAGGACGCGGATTGTTCCACACCCCTGTTGGGCACATTATCGGGAGCTCCCTCGAATGAAATCTAGGTTCTTCGGACGGTGTATCCGGACTTTGCGTTCTGGACTGGAATTCAGCTTGTTTCGAGTCCAGCCCAAGCTTTACCGTTGTTGATCTAGCACTTGGGTTTAGGGGTTTGCTTGGGAGGGTCTGACAAGGGCGATGAGTTTTCCAGGAAGGGAACGGACAAGTGTTTGTGAAGCTGGACCTCGCTCTTTAAAGAGCACACGGCACTGATCATTCAAAGCTGCTTCGGGTTGTGCAGTCCCCATCCTTCCCTACAGTGCGCGACGGTCAGTACCTGGTCTATATGGTAGGCCACTATGGACCAAGATCCTTCTTCCATGCGCAGACCCGACGCCGGTCCAGCACTGGTGAAAGGCATCTGGGCAGGTATTGCAGTCGCGACCATAATCGTCATTCTTCGGACGATTGCTAAGATCAGGATCCGGCACTTTCGTCTCGATGATATTCTGATGATCGCTGCATTGGTAGATACCTGGTCCTTCGAGCCTTCATGTAACTGGTTAACCGTCCTAGACTTTGTCAATGATCTCGACAGCCTTCCTCACAATCTCCATTCATCATGGATTCGGGGCTAACCTCCGCGTTGCGCCATTGTCCGACGTACAAATGGTACTCAAATGCATCGCCATCCAATGGCCACTCCTCACCATGAGCACCACCCTAGCTCGCTGTTCCTTCATCTGTTATCTAGCGGCCATTCTCGGGTCCAACAAGGCGCACCAAATCCTCTTATGGGCTACTCTGTCGCTTCAGCTTGCCGCGAATATTGTTTCGGCGGTACTCCCTACCACCATCTGTCGCAATGTCGAGATCCTCTGGAAACCACATGTTCTGACGAGCTGTGGTGATACAACAGCTGTCATCAAATTCTCCTACTTCACCGGAAGTCTGAGTTCCCTGTCTTTCTAGCGTACTATGCCCCTACTCAGCCATTTATTGACATCAATACAGGTCTCAACTCTGCGGTTGATTTGTTTCTGGCGCTGTTCGCAACGCTCGTCTTCTGGAAACTCAACCTGGCGCTTCGCATCAAGATCAGCCTGGCCATCCTTCTGAGCCTTGGGATTGTGTAAGTCTCCTTCACTCGGCATCAGGGCCATCAGCAGATGTCATGTCCTTCTCTACTATACTAACATATCCCATAAGGGCAATGGTCGCCTCCATAATCAAGACCACCAAACTAGAGTCCATCCCCAGCATCACGAACCTCGGAGTATCGGGCGGGGTTTCCTTCTTTCGATGGGGATACGCAGAGAACGCAATCATAATCGTCACCTCTTCAATCCCCTGCCTCCGCTCCCTGGCCATCTCGTCCGTCCGCAAAATCCAGAATAGTCGTGGCGCCACCCGCTCTTACGCGCTCACCAGCTGGCCATTCAGCCGCGGCCACCCACCTTTTTCCCAAACACGCAACATCCACCAAACTGGTCCCGAGACTGATAGCATCGAGCGGATCTTGGACCTTGAGACACACCAGGAATCAAATTGCGGTGCTCGAAGTAAGCAGCGTGGGGAGGCAGGATTTCCTTCCGGCCAGTTAGATATCCGAATCACGAACCATGTTCAGATTTCATACCATGGGTCTGATTTACGTTGATAATCCTTGATCAATATATTTTCTTCCACTGCCCTTGTTAGCTTGGCAAACATGAGAGCTCTTTGCTTTAAAGTAGTCTCGAGCAGCTCAAAAGAGTCTCTCGACTCGGGGCGAGGGAGTTCGGACAGAAGTCTGCGAGGTTCCAGGCCTTATCGACGGAGGACAGCCTGTTCATCTTCATGGCTTGCAGCTCATTTCCCGGATTCATCCACTGGAGCGCAAAGTCAGCCCCGATTCTGCGCTAGGACGAGTACAGACGCCAAGGACAGGCTACCGAGATACATAAATACGAGAGGTCCTTGGCAACCAAAGAGCTTGCGTAATGTGTTTCACATGACACCAGAGAGGGAAATTCCAGCGACAACGGCCATTCTTGAAGGGGTGCCGGATTTAGACCCCACGAGCACTTACTCGGTTATCGAAACATTCGACCTGGGCGAACAAGAGACTCTCGCCCCCTGGGTGGATATGTGGATATCCCCGCCGTACGAAACGCCTCTGGCGTGAGAATCTATACTACCACGTTTGCCCTTCCTGAATCTGTTCACCACGAGCCGGAGCCATGCCTCGCCGGTGGCGGTAGCCACAGGGCATCATTGGAGACCTCAGCTCTCCTATTCAGCTTCGGCGCCACACGGTCTCTAATCCGCGGCTGGATCAACGGAAAGCTCCTTCCCCCTCTCGACACCACACCCCCGAGTTTCTCCTCCCAGTCGACTTTGAGTACCTCGTCGCCGGCGAGAACCCATCCGGCTAGAGGTCTCGAGCAACATCCTCAGCGCTGTCATGGTCCGTATTGACGATTTGCTGACCGGTGGAGGGAATGTTCTCTTCCCCCGACTTTATGATGACATTCCCTTGCAGGAGTATGGGCTCGGTGGGCAGTTGAGTATTACCGTGCTGAGAGAAGTTGGGATTCAGATCTATACCATTTTCTATTATGTATTCCTTCATTTACGCATCAAGCAATTCAACGAAAAGGGTTGGAATTGGAAAAAAAGGAACTAAGAAAGGTACATCGCCGTACGAAATTGACCAACATGCTATAACAACGCGACTAGCTCTCACTCGGAGCTGCCAGCGCTTTAGCCAGAAGAAGATTCGATGCAGCAAATCTCAGCCATGTGACGGTTGCTCCAAGTCGGGCTCAGAGTGCATCTTTCCAAGCCCCGGCCGTGCCCCACGACGAATGAAATGGCCGCTCAAGGCTGAGCTCGTTTCGCACCTGAAGAGCCGGGAACAGGAGGTCCAGGCTCTGACTCCAAGGCAGTGGGTGGGGTTCGCAAATCCGCTCGCCTCCCAGTGGCAGCGGAAAACGCCACTGATATGGGATGTGAGCAAGGGACATTGCTGGTGGATGAGGGCTCTACCCGCTATGTGTCACATGAGCTACTCGTCCCTGTAGGGACCCAGCTCAGTCAAGCACAGGACGGCAAACTTACAATTGCTGAGACAACAATCTGGCGGGCTTGGCGAGAAGGTTGAAGAGCTCAAGGTTCTGCTGGAGTCGGCGAGGGATACCGGTGATCCACCAGGCTATGACCAATGTAGCTGCAGATGGAGGTGACAACGATCCCGCAAGAGACTTGGTGGCCTTTGCCGCATACTTTGCCGCTGTGGCCAGCCTGAATCCCGCGCAGTGTGTAGGGACATTTGGTCAGGATTATTCTTCCCTCCAGCAGCATTACCGATTTGCCACAACAAGCATTGGCACGCGCCAACTTCTTCGAGTCGCAGAACCTGGCCGTTCTCCAAGCTACAAGGCTCTTTCTAACTTGCCTTCGTCACCCGAAAGACCCTTCCTTTGTCCTATCAATGGCGGCGGTGGTGCACCGGACAGCCCAGAGGCTAGGCCTACATCGTGATGGGACCACCTTTGGCCTGGGCCCCTTCCAGGTCGAGATTCGTCGTCGTTTGTGGTGGTCAATTTACCTCTTAGACTCCCGGTCGTCCGAGTTTTATGCCATGGGCCCGCAGATAGCAGAGGAGTCTTATGACGCCAGGTTACCTCTGAATATTCAAGACTCGGATATTTCACCAGACATGACCAAGGCACCGGACGAAAGGACAGGTTTCATGGATATGACATTCTGTTTGGTTCGATGTGAAATGACGGTCCTTTATCGAAGGTTTCACCTCCGTACCTAGAGCACCGACAAACGCACCTCGTAAGGCTTAGAGCGGCGCCTCGACGAACTGGAGCAAATTGACAAGCAGCTACAACAGCGATACCTACAGTATTGCTACGAATCACTTCCTCTAGACAGTCGAGGTTTGATTGAATGTATCCGACGGCGCCTAATATAAGCCTTGAAGGCCTCACAAGAAGCGGCGATATTATCACCCAAAGCGCTTTCCGTCCCTCAGGAAGTCCTCTTTTTCTGGCGTTGTAACACGGCCCAGCGCTTCGTCCCGATGCGCGAACTTGCCAAACCTTACAATCTGAACACGATTATCACTCTGCACCTCCATATGCAGCGTGCAAAGTTTTCTTGCCTCAGTCGGCTGTCTCCGAAGGGTTCCACGATCCCCCTTTGTATCCTCTCCAGTTGCGGAAGGATCGCCCCCATCAGACCGAAGGACAGCGCTGAGATCACTGACCACCCCTTTGTACAGCTTGTGAGCTCTGTCCTGGTCGGCTAGACTCTCGGAATGGATCATCGAAAGATATAACCAAAAACGTAGCGCAAGACGGTAGCGGAATTCCGGGCGCGTAGAATGATGAATGCCCGAGTGGACGGCCTCCTTGGCAATAGACAATGCTAAAGGATCGAAGAATGGGAATACAATGCCAGATTCTGCACCTCGATAGCAGTTGCGTGGGAGCTGGTCGAGGAGGATGGTGAGGGAGAGCCGGTCAACTGTAGCTTGTGGGTTAAACCTGCGACAGAAGTTCTCGTGGCGTTCTCTTCTCTCAGACTGGACAGGATGGGAAGTTATCAATTTTCTCGACGCCCCCAGGCCGCCAGGCCCGAGACTGTGTGTAAAAGGATGTGCCTTCCATCTTATCAAGAACTCACAGAAGTCTATGGATAAGCATCAGATTCAGTACTATCCTCGCTGCCATGTGCGAATCAGCTCGGGGCCTATTTAAGGCCCGGGATGGGGTCATTATAAACAATAATGAGCTCTCTCGAAGTCAACATACGCCCCGGCTTCACAGTCCAATCACCTCTCGGAGTCAATATACGCCCCGGGTTTACAAACCATGACCACAAGTAGACTCTATAAAGCGACCATGGCATGAACGGCCAGGTAGAGCTCTTCAACAAGGTTCACAATACTGACCCTGCGGGAAATGTAGGTTGGCATCGCAGGAATCACCGGCAAATTTGCCCGTCGCCTACTCACCCATCTTCTCGAGGCGGGTGATGACTCCCTCACAATCAAGGGCTACTGCCGTGACCCATCCAAAGTTCCCAACGCTCTGAAACATCTCCAAAGCTTCAACTCATTTAAGGCACCGCATTCGACAAGGAGACAATTGCCACCTTTGTTAAGGGCTGTGATGTCGTAGTCTGTTGCTACATTGGCAATTATACGCTCAAGATGGACGGTCAGACACTCCTTATCAATGCCTGTCAATCAGCCAATCTCATTCTAATTCATGCCATAGACTCGCATAACAGGATCCAAATTCCTCACGCCCCTTTACTATTGAGAGCCACGTCCGCAATGACAAATCGACTTGTGATTAGGAAGGCACAGGGGGGGCGTAAGAAGGTAGATGCAGGACTTTTTGGAGCTATAATTGCCCCAGTCATACTTGTTCTCATCTTAATCTTCCTCATTCTCTGGGTCTGGACTCGCAGACGTGCGAGACGTCAGGCAGAAGCACCAACACTATACCCAGGGGTATGGGGAAATCAGCATGAAAGAGATATGGAGCGCGGTATGGCTCGGTAATTGTACCTATAGCTTAGGGCCACGTTGAAATCTAGAAATTCTGCACTATCCATATTATACAGCTAAAATTGCTTCCATAATTAGCTGCAATACTCGTATTTCAGGACGGCTGGGCGGGGGAAATGACATGTGGCTGTTATTTTAATTCACTTTTATACAGCCACGAGCAACTACCTTAAAATAATCATCAATCATGGATTCTCCCAGCCATCGGGCGACACTTTTACCTCTAAGCCTACGCTCCCTAGAAGGGGGCCGTGTTACTAAGAATAGTCTACCGACAATTGAAGAAAAATCAGAAGACTTACCAGGGGCCAAAGTAAAGACTAGAATCACGCAAACACAAGCAAAAATCATTCGCAAACCGAACCTATTCAAGGAGACGCTGACGGATGTACCACGTGAGGACAGAGGTTAGTCTTCTTCTCTACAGACAGGACAAGGCGATGTATAGCAGCGATATAATCAGTTCCTCCAGGGTAACCAGGGTGGTACTGCTATAATCGCCCATAATAATACTATTGACCATAACCTCTTCGTTATCAAGGAGGTCAAAGTCCGCCCAAGCAAAAGCCAAAAGGAAAAACTTCACAAAGTTATTTCCAAGAGACCATCGAGTATAGTGCTGTTAGTGGAAGTTTTCATAGTTGAATTTACTATTCACATGGTTTATGAGAGCTTGGAGACATCGATGTATGATATACAGTCGACCTGCAAAGGAGATATCACGGAGATTAACCTTGCTATTATAGCAAAGGAGGTAAGTAAGCCACAAAGTTCCTCCTGTGAATTCCAAGTCACAATAGTATGATCCTATTTTAACGGATGCTTTTTAGGTACTTCAAGGGCTTAATTATATCCACTATCAACTTGGATCTGTCTATGGCCAGCTAAACACCAAGAATGTTCTCCTGTCGCTCAGTGATGGTAGCATCAAGCTAGGTAAGTCCATCGTTAGAGCTATATTATAAGGCTGACTCTAGTATCCAGCAAATGTTGCCACGGCCATCCTGAAACCACAGCAGGGAGACTTTGCAAGCGACACCACTGCCCTAGGGAAGCTACTTATATGTTTTAAAGAGCCTGGTATAATCACACGAAACCCCGATAGTCTTTAATTTGAAGACTCAGATGAGTTTGGCCCGCTCTGCCACGACTTTATTCAACTAACTAGAAAATCATCCATATCAGCACTCCTAAAAGTAGGGAGGCAATATATCATGCTAAACGTGTCATGCTAATAAATCTTAGCATCAGTTCCTCGAAAAATCCCCCAGCGTTGGTCGAATGCGAATCTTTATCTACACAGCCTTAGAATATGCTGCCCGGGGGGTGGGTGCTAGTGTTTACAACTCTTCACCATAGGAAATTTGTAAGGCGACTTGAGATAATAGCTGGGATGCTTGGAGGGATGCTTGGCTGTTCATACAGGCACTGGAGGTCAGATTAATCAAGTATATGACTACCTTGCTAGCCAGGGGCCTGAAGCTAACCTAAGTATCAATGCGCTTACACTGTTTTAGCACCCTGTCCTTGAATCTAGTTTATGGTCTATAGATAACGTCTTCCCTAAAGCGTAAGTAGACAAATCACTCATAAGTCTGATTGGATGAGGGGCCATATCTGGCATGCTATTGGGCCTACCGGGCCCCTCAAAGTCGTGGTAGGCCCAGACGAGCTGAGTAAATAGCGGAATGCGGCTATCAAGAAGAGCCTAATCACCGCTGTTATAATGGGCTAAACTCAGTCTTCCTTGGCGAGTCAGGGAATCTCTCCCTGGAATCACTGTGAGACTGAATGTACATAACTTGTCCCGCAATAACGTGAAGACATATTCTGTAAACTTGGTATGACTTTGCCTGCAAACTTCAGTCATGCCAGAAATATTTCCATAAGTAAAACATACGAGTTACTATATCATCAGTACCGTACCCAGGTTTTCTTCCAGTAGACTCCCCAGAATGTGTGTAGACATTATAGATCATTGATCAAGGCATGTGCCATGATACAGTCTGTCTCGACGACTCACGCAGTTCTTCAATGCTAGGATTGGCACAAACAACAAGGTATTAAGAACCGTATGGCAAGCTAGCGCCTTTTTCTTTTCAAAGAAAGAAATTTATGTTTTTATTAGGAGTTGCTTATGTACATGTAGAACTAGCATGGGTTATTAGATAATACTAGGTGTGTAACCTGCTACGACTCTGTGCAGCCAGAGTATTTCGAGGTAAATTTCCATGCTGGTAGCTACATTTGAGTGAATCCTCGAAGCATTATACTTACGCTTCGCCGTATCTACTCCCTAGGGGTTGGCCGAACGGGCCTCCGTTCGCCTTCTTCGCCCCCTGATTGGTGATTCTACCCGAACCGTCCCCACTTGGCGCCCCCGCGTGCTCCCGTCGCCCCGTGAGTGCGTGGCGGCGACGCGATCGGGAGGGATCAACTGCACGACCACCATGACCGTCATCTATCTCCACGCGAACTGCTGTTACTATTACCACCACCACTACCACCACTATTACCTCCTGATCCTCCTCCTCCTCCTCCTTGGTGTATGATACGACTCTATACTTACCACCTGCTTCCTATGATTATACTTGCTTCTTTCCTTCCTTTATCCCCTTTTCTTTTTCCTACCTCCCTACGTGACGCGCCGCGCGTCCAGCATGACTTAAACAACGCGTGTATTGCCTGCGTTAGTTAGGTTAAGAAATCTACTACCCCCTAATCCCTAATCCTACTTTTCCTACCTACCTACCTACCTACCTACCTACCTACCCGGCCCCTACTAAAAGCATGATCCTCGCGAGGGCTCTATGGAGGAAGGCGATGAACTAGAACTATCCTCTCTAAACTTCTACACGCGCCTTCCTGTTTAGTGTAGCACCTGTTTAGTAATAGCAGCTAATCATTTATTTATTTATTTATTTATCTATCTATCTAGCCATGGATCTCTTCCTCTATAACCCTACCTACCAGGTCTGGATCTGCACGGCCACTGGCTGCTAGTACGTAGTAACTGCCTCTACCTTGCTTACCTACCTCTACACCCGCCATCGCTCGCACCTAACCACGGCAACCCTTCCCCTCCGCGAAGCCGCCCTAGAGGCGATGCTCTAGCGGGCGTGGGCTGACCTAGCCTGGGAGCCCGGCCGCTAGCCCACCGCGGGCGACCCGCCCGTGCTAGGCCTGCCCGTCTACTAGGGCTACGGCTGCCCGCACTGCCCCTACATCGCCCGGACCCTGGAGTCTACTAACGGCCACCGCCGCGCGCAGTATAAGGAGCAGGACGGCACGTGGGGGCCTGGCTAGCTCTTGGCCGCGCGGGCTAGGGCCCGGCAGCAGGCCCGCCTCGTGAATTAGGTAGTGTCCTGCTAGCAATTCTACGTTACCTAGGCTAGGAGCCACTTCTTTAAGGTGACCTGTATGGCAGCCCCTACGGCCACCTAGGGCATGAAGAAGAAGCCAGCGCTAACCCCCGTGGAGCTTGTCCAGGCCCGCGTGGACCAGGCGCTGCGGGAGGGGGAGGTGGCCGTGGAGAGGGCTATGGGCTAGGTCCTAGTCCTAGATCCACACCCAACCAAGGCCTCGCCCTGGCTGGAGCTTACCTGCTGGCCCGAGTACCTTCGCGGCCAGGACCTAATCGTGGTGGCCCTGCTTGGCGGCCCGCCTGATCCCTGCGAGGAGCCACTGCTAGCCCAGCTCGCCGCGAGCGTGCAGCGGCTGGTTAGCCAGGCCTATAACGCTATCTAGGGCGGCTAGATCAACGAGTTTAACTAGATCTAGATTAACACCTTCCACCGCGAGCCCCGCATGTGGAACCGGCTGATCTAGATCCACCTACGGCCGAAGACCTACTGCTAGTACTACCAGGTGTGGCAGTGCCTGGTCTGCTTTGCCTACCACAGTAGCTGGCCTGGCCAGCGAATCTAGCTCCGCTACTAGCTAAACACCGCCCAGCTGGCCGCCCTGGACTGGATGGAGGAGTGTAGCCGCGGGCTACTAGCCCTGGCAGCCGAGGAGGCCAAGGCTATAGTAGTAGCAGTAGTAGTAGAGCTAGTCTAGCTAGCGCTGCTAATAACGCCCTCACGCGCGCCGCGGATGGTCCCCTGGAAGAAGTAGATCACTAGGCAGGTAGCACCATGGCTACTAGCCCGTAGCACGCTCGCCTGGCTCGCACTATATCTGCCACCACGCGCCCAGGAGGCCCTGGCTATAGTAGCTATACCTCACACGGGCCCTGCTCCTAAGCCCCCTAGTAGCCCCCGCGAGGCGGAGCTCTAGGCCTAGCTAGACTAGGCCACCCTAGACCTCTCTATCGCGCTGCTCGACCACCCCCTGAAGGGGGACCTGTTTAAGAGTGCCCTAGTGGGCTTCCTCGTGGTGCTAGGGGTGGACGCCGCGCGCTAGACCTTCCATGACCTGTATAGCTACACTAGCTACCTCTCCGGCCTGGTTAAGATAGTATAGATGCTAGTTGCCCTCCGCGCTGTCCGCGAGGCCGAGGCGGGCTAGGTGAGCCACGCCATGGACGCCCTAGATAAGATGCGCGAGCGCTTCCTGCTCTTTAGGGTGCGCGCCCCCTTTGGCTAGATCACGCGGCTACGCACGTATAGTAAGAAGATCTAGAATAGTACCACTAGCATGGGCTATATCTACTAGAGCGACGACGAGTAGACCCTAAGCTATAAGGACCTGCGCCTGAGCATGCGCGGGCTGCGGGAGTTCATCACGGGGCAGGTCTCGCGCGCCTAGGTAGAGCTCGCGGGCCTCTTCCTCCTACATGAGGAGGAGGCCCACGAGGAGGTAGTGCCACGCCTGGCCCTACACGAGCTGCAGGATGACCTGACTAATAACACGTGGGGGTGGAACTTCCTGCGGGACCCGCGCACGCGGAAGGCCCTCCCTACCCATGGGGACCGCTAGCTGCTAGACCGCGTGCTTAGGGCGGACTAGCTACGTGAGGAGTTCCTAGAGGTCCGCTAGATTAGGCAGGCTAATGAGGTGCTCTGGCAGGAGGGCCCTGTGGTATAGTACCTGTAGTAGGTGGACGGGTTCCTATAGCGCCTGCTCCTCCTCGTCCACATCACTAGTGGCCAGCCTGCGCGGGCCACTAAGCTGCTAGGGCTACGCCACTGCAACACCCTATAGGGCCGCCACCGGAACATCTTTATCAAGCATAGGTTGGTTAGCACGGTCACCACGTACTATAAGGGCTATTCTATTAGTAACACCACTAAGATCATCCACCGCTACCTGCCTAAGGCCGTGAGCGAGCTAGTGGTCTACTACCTCTGGCTGATCCTCCCCTTCCGCGAGGCCCTGGAGCGGCTGGCCCGGGGCTACCACGGGCCCGCCTCGGCCTTCCTCTAGCCGGCCGCGGGCGGAGGGGACCAGGGGGGGAGCTGGCCGAGCGAACGCCTGTGGAAGGTCCTATAGTAGGAGGCGCAGGCGCACCTATAGACGAAGCTGAATATCCTATCCTACCGCCACGTGGCCATCGCGATCTCGCGCGTGCACCTAAAGTGCAGCGGCTTCAAGCGGGACTACGGTAGCATGGACGACGCCGCGTTTAATGAGCAGGCTAGCCATGGGAGCTGGATCACGGGCACTGTGTACGCGCGGGGGCTGCAGGAGGCGCCCGGCCATGTGGAGGCGCGGCGGCGGTAGTACCGGGTGATTAGCCACGAGTGGCATGGGTTCCTGGGCTTTGAGACGTACCTAGGGCCCCGCAAGCGGGCGTGGCAGTAGGACTAGGACCAGGACATGGGGCTAGCTAAGCAGCCATGTATTACCATAGATATAGACCAGGATTAGGACTAGGACTAGGATAAAGTTATGTATAGGTTAGTAGGGGAAGGCGCGTGGGGAGGCTAAGCTTATATAGTTCTTTATTTAGGTTAGTAGCATGGTAGTAGGCATTCCTATTCAGCCCTAGATCCTATTACATCCATATCTAATACCTAGATGGCTAGTAGAGCCTATCACCACCTATAGAGCAGGCCTAGCAGGCCGTGGACGCCATAGTAGCCATGGCGGAGCAGGCACGGGCGTAGGAGGTAGAGTAGGTAAGTAGGTAAGGTATTATAAGAGTCTTAAAGAGAAGTTGATCAGGTATAATATTACCAAGGTAGATATAGAATTAGGACAAAACTAATCCTTGCTTCGCAAGATATCTGGGACCTTCAGGGGACCTAAGTAACCAGCTATTAAAAGGATGATGTTAAGTTAAGGTCTCTTAATCTCCTTAGTTAACCTCTTAGCTCACCCCTCAGCCAACCTCCTTAGGTTGTGTGAGCGGATTAGCTAAGTTAACTAAGTTAATTAGTCAACCCCTGGCTGTCGGCCCTTCCTAATGAGCCTGATCCCTCAGGCACCTCATGTACCTGAACCGTTCCAACCAGGGGCCTGACCCTTCAGGCATCTAGGCCGCTCCGACCGTGATAGGTATTTAGATAGTATATACATATAGGATTTATACTAGCTAGTAGAGGCCCCTATAAAGGTAGAGGTAGTAGGAGGATTCCTAAGGTAGATCCTACTTTACTATCCTAAATATATAAAAGCTTATATTTATTATTTTCTATATATATATATACATATATATATATACAACCTAAAAAAGGTTTATTATTATTAGAGTATTTTATTACTAGAAACTAAGCAACTTTTAAGGATATATTATATATATATATATATAATATATTTATAGTATTAATTTGTTCCCTAATTTCCCTAATAATATATATTAAGATAATATGATATGGCTTATATAAGGCTAAAAAGGTAATATATAGTTATTACCTATAGTAGAGTATAGAATATTAAATCTACTTATTTTCTATCTATCCTTAGTTATATATATATATATATATATAATTAATATATATACCTCCACCTACTAGTCTCCCAGTCCTAATAAATTCCTCCTTTTTTTATTTATTTATTTTTTTTATAAGCTAGGATTATTAATATAATTATATATTTTTATAATTTTCTCTATAAAATTAGGTATATTATGCACTAGGTCCGAGGGCGCTAGCCCTAATAATAAAGAAGTTATGATAGGTTAAAGATATTAAGGGGCGCTTTATGTAGAAGGTCCAGAAAGGATTTTTAATAACTAGGGTGAATAGCCTAGTGGTTAGCAGCCCCTATATAGAACTAGAAGGTCATGGGTTCGATTCCCGTTAGGTCTTATATATTGGTACTGCAAGAAGTAGTATCTTCTTGAAGTACAAATATTAACCAGGCCTAGATCAATGGAGATCCTTCTAGATTCTTCTATTTTTTTTAACCTAATTAGGATTAGGATTACTAATATTATTTATTATTAGTAGAATCTTTATATCTTTATATATTTAATAAACTAGGGCCTAAATTTTTAATATTAATACTAGGGTTTTTATTCCAGGTTAAATTTTTTTTCACGGTAGGTTAGGAAAGACAAATTTTTTTTTTTAAAAAATTATTATAATATATAACTTATATAGTATTTATAACCTTTATAGAATAAGCATCTAGGGTATATTATATATATAAAAATAGCTATCCTAACATAGCGGGGGTGGTGAAAGAAACGTATGTTGCACTAGGTAGTTCATGCCAAGCTACGGGCTGATTAGCTAGAGGAGGATCCACCTTACGTATCCTTCACTAGGAATCCTAACCCAGGGGGGTCAATGCAACAAACGTATGTTGCACTGGGGAGGGGCCCGCCAAGATAGCCGCTGATTGGCTAGAGGAGGATCCACCTTGCGTATCCTTCACTGGGAATCCTCGCGTATCTTGCACTGGCTTTTTCATGGCCGATCCGGCTCAGATTGGGCCAGGGGTTAGCGGGGCCAGTTAGCTCTAGCTGGTGCTAGTTAGGAGTCGCTCTGATGAGAGATTAGGGTGTAGTGGTTGATTAAACATGCCTTAGTTTTTGATTTTCCTGCGAGCGCGGGAGTGGCGTTAAGACTGTCCATTACGCCCACGCTCCGCTCGCTGGCTACCAGCAAGCAGCAGCCATGGAAACGCGTGGAAACCATAGCAACTGGAAAAGATAAATAGATGTTTATTATTATCATAGCTGGTCATTCAAGCATTCATTTCAGGCAAGGCATTTAGGGGGTGAATCCCCTCAACTGATCCATTCATCCATTCGATCCATCCATTATTATTGATAAGTAAGTCAAGTCGTCGCGAAGCAGCTATGAACTAGTAAACAACTAGTTACCACCATGGAGAACCAATTGTTCGAGAAGATCCCCAGCTTGCAGATTATCATATGCCGCCAGTGCAAGCATGGGGTGCGGCTAGCCGAGGCAGAACGCCATTTAAAGCAGAAGCATCAATTCAACCACCATCAGGCCACCCAGGTCGCCCAGGCCATCCAGCAATGGGCGGATATCATGCAGGATAGCCAGGCGATCTAGATCCCATGGGTTCTGGATCACCCGCTACCCATATTACCATGCCACACCAACGGGTTTTTATGCCGGCGGGACCCCACACAGTGCCATTACATCGGATCCACCATGGCGTCCATGCGGGTGCACTGGCGGGCCACCCACCAATGGTCCCAGCAGGGCCGCCGGGGCCATGTCAGCCAGAGGGAGAAGGCACGTGGGGAGGCGGAGCTGGCACGATCATACACGCGCGTGGCATGGCAGCAGGTATTCCCCACGCGCAAGGGGTCCCATTACATCCACATTAGGTACCCAGATGGCGGCCGCCAGAGGAGCCCGCCACCACCACCCGCGGAGCAGGCCCAGCAGGCCGTGGATGCCATGGTCATCGCATGGGAGCGGGCGCGCGCGCGAGAGGCGGAGCAGGCCACCATCCAGGTGGACGAGGCGGCCGATGCCAACCCATGGCTGCGCATGACGGGGTGGGCGAGGTATTTGGACGGGGTGCACCCGCAGGATTTGCGCCAGCTCATAGAGGCGCCCGTGGAGGTAGAGGAGGTGAAGGAGGCAGAGGCAGAGGATAAGGATGCCAAGGCAGATCCCACCGAGCAGGCCGTGCGGGTGATTTGGGACGCCATGGACCAGCTGGCGCGGCGCAGCCAGCGGACCGTGCAGCAGTGCGGCGCGGGCATCCGCGTGGAGGCGGCCCGTACAGAGGCCGGCCAGACGCCATACAAGCCGCTGCAGGCGTACATGGACGAGGCAAGCATCCAGAAGCACGTGCAGCCATGGCAGCAGGTGCTGGCATTCATCACGCGCGCACGCAGGCCGCGCAGATGAGCCCAGGCCAGGATAGCCAGGAGGATGGGGATGATGAGGATGGGAATGGTAATGGTGGCCACGGCAAGTGGCTAGGGAGGTTGCCCGCGTATGGGATGACGCCGCGGCAGCGCCAGAAGTGGCAGGCATTATGGCAGCTGGCCATGCCAGCTGTTGAGAGGCCCGAAGCGGAAGCCCAAGCTGGTGGCCAAGCGCGTGCGCAAGCCCGAGCCAGGGCAGGGGTGAGGGTTGTACACACGTTCGCTGGGGCCGGCCAGATCATCGAGGACGTGTGGAGTGCTAGTGCTAGTCCCAGCATAGGTAGTAGCCTAACCACCGTGATGGAGATGGATGAGGAGACGGACGAGGAGATAGATAAGAAGGATGGGGTGGAGGCTGCAGCTACAGAGGTGGAGGCGTGGCAGATGACCCCCGTGGAGCAGGCGTGCTTAGAGTTTTGCATCGAGCTGATGAACCAGCGCCACCGCACGCACGAGTACGAGAGCGCGCTGGTATGTGCCATGGCCGTGCAAGGGTGGGGTGAGGCGCGCTGGCGTGATCCCAGTAGTTACCCGCCCATATTATCCCGCGTGCTCAAGGTGGCGCGCTTCATGGTGGTGTAGAAGGCGTTGTGGTTAGATCCCCATGTAAAGGAGATCATCCGCATGTGGACGGGCCATCGGCAGCCAGGTAGTGGTGGCAGCAGCCGCCCCGTCGCATGGCCGTTGACCAGCGCCGACGACCAGCTGGTGGATATCCATATCCATCCAGGGGATCCGGCCCAAGGATCACCACCATCATCAGGATCGCCACCAGGATCACCACCAGGATCAGGATCAGGATCAGGATCAGGATCAGGGTTAGGGTTAGGTGGGAAGCTGTTCCATGACCACGTCCAGCAGATGGTGCGCAGCTTCATGATCCGCGNATGGTGTACGCGCGGCAGATCATGGAGCAGGCGGGCACGACCAGCCACCGGCGGGCCATGTTCCGGCAGTCCAGCGTGGAGTGGCATGAGTTTTTAGGGTTCCCGTGGGAGGAGGAGGACGGTCATAGTCACCACCACCACCACCCCCCCGCAGGCCAGGCGGCGGCCGGCGCCCCGAGCGGTTCGCAAGCAGTTAGGGTTAGGGTTAGCCCGCCAGACAGTACCCCAAGCGGCTCGCAAGCAGTTGGGGTTAGCACCCAGCCGCCAGGACATGGAGATATTAGGGTTAGGGTTCACCCGCCCGCCGTATTAGGCAAGCGGAAGCGGGCACCGTGGCGGGCCGAGGCTGAGGAGCACCAGTGGGAGCGACGGCAGCAGCTGCAGACCATGGACATGACCGCCGCGATGCAGCAGATGACCGGGCAGGCCCGCATGCAGTTCCGCGGCGTGCAGGCCAGCGCCATGGCCGCCATCCAGCAGGGCCGCAGCCCGGTGGTGGCCATCATGCCCACGGGGGGTGGCAAAAGCATGTTATTCATGTTGCCCGCGTGGGCCGTGCCCGGCGGCACCACCATCGTGGTGGTCCCGTTGATATCGTTGCGCCAGGACATGGCGCGGNCTATAGAGCAGGCCTAGCAGGCCGTGGACGCCATAGTAGCCATGGCGGAGCAGGCACGGGCGTAGGAGGTAGAGTAGGTAAGTAGGTAAGGTATTATAAGAGTCTTAAAGAGAAGTTGATCAGGTATAATATTACCAAGGTAGATATAGAATTAGGACAAAACTAATCCTTGCTTCGCAAGATATCTGGGACCTTCAGGGGACCTAAGTAACCAGCTATTAAAAGGATGATGTTAAGTTAAGGTCTCTTAATCTCCTTAGTTAACCTCTTAGCTCACCCCTCAGCCAACCTCCTTAGGTTGTGTGAGCGGATTAGCTAAGTTAACTAAGTTAATTAGTCAACCCCTAGCTGTCGGCCCTTCCTAATGAGCCTGATCCCTCAGGCACCTCATGTACCTGAACCGTTCCAACCAGGGGCCTGACCCTTCAGGCATCTAGGCCGCTCCGACCGTGATAGGTATTTAGATAGTATATACATATAGGATTTATACTAGCTAGTAGAGGCCCCTATAAAGGTAGAGGTAGTAGGAGGATTCCTAAGGTAGATCCTACTTTACTATCCTAAAT